GTGAACTCGTTGTTGCAACCGTTTTCGAATGTTTCGGCAATCAGCTTAGCTGGCTCCATGTTGTGTGAAGATAGAGAAGCGGGACTTGAACCGAGCGCATTTTAAATCTACGCCCTCTGTCACATGGCAAGAGCCGAATTCCCGCATCGTTCCGGGACGGACCAATGAGCCTGAATAGGTTCCTATTGGCTGATGAAGTAAACGTAGCGATGAGCGCTGCCCAATCACAATGGATTCACGTGCGAGAAACGGATCTGTCGAAAGAGACGCGAGGGCGGCGATTTCCACATGGAGCGCTATCATTGCATGCATAGATTGGCGCCCTGCCGCACAGTAGAAGGGACATAACACGCACACATGCACTGCCTCTATGAACCAAGATGGCTGTTTGGTGGAAACCAGGACGATTAGTACCTCTTGGTTTTATGCCTGTTCTATCAGATCCTGTGCGAAGAATTCTTCATGTTTGGACATGAAAGCCACTAGTGCGTGGCATCTGGAACAGTAGCTGAAGCCCGATGGTGACTATGCACATTTTTCTGGAGCCCAACTGTCTCCTGTGCATTGGCTCCCTCAAAAGGCCGAGAGGCTACTGTGCTAAGCTCACGAAGCCGCATCAGTATAACCAATCGAACTAACCTCGTAAATCGAACATTTGGGCGAAAGTATACGGCATGCGAGCGTCTAATTAATGTAGAAGCTCAATGACAAAAGACGTCTCGTATATTTCACGACTGGCTTCACGTCCCATACGACCAGCTAACTAAATCTTCGTTTAATCCGCTTTGTGATGATCGTTTCAGTCACGCGTTGCTCCTAACCACCGCGTTATGAATCTCAACACGCTTGGCTCATGAAACGGTACATTTTACTGATTAGTTCCGCTCTAAACTTCGTTAGATTTCATTCCACTAAGCTATATGAGATATGCAGACGGGTATAGTCGGTGTCATGAGTACTGCCACTATCCGAAGCGCAGTTTCTGCGTCTTCTGATGTGACGTGTCATGATTACACAATATATGTGAGGGGCACATTACGTTAAAGCATTCTTGCCCACCTCAGGCGAGTTTATTTACGCTAATATATGTCAGTGGGATTCGTGATATTGACTTACAAGGAAAGAGATACCGATTTGAAAGGACAGGCACCGAGTCTGTTGGTGTTCGAGACACCGTCATTGCACACAACCATACATATGAACTTTAAAGCAGCGAAAGGGGGCCTGCGTGTTATAGAAGGCAAATTTATTAAGCTTCTATGGATGGTCAATTTTAACTATGAATGTTTCCGAAATACAATGGTGAATCGTTCTCATTCGTTTAAGGCAATTCTACTCATACATTGTCCATGAATTATGCAGTGCATTTCTTTTAGGGTGAGGTTCCAGCATTTGTACGATTTCTATTTTTAGATTAAGTACATCGATTAACTTGCACAAATTAGGTTACTGGCGCGATCGCGTGACCATCTAGCATGTTTAGAACAGATTTACCCCAAGGCACCTGGAACAATTTGTCCACGAGCTTGTGATGTTCAATAAAACTTACCCTTTTTTTGGACCGAGTTCTTACTGTGTTGAAAGTGGGCACCTGCAGACTTGGCACGCAAATGATATCCGATAAATGAAAAGAGACAAAATGGATTGGCTCTAAATTCACAATACCGGAGTGACCTGGCGCATTCGAGCAAACATTGACTGTTTCTCTGCAGCGGGTATGTGCACGAGTAAGTCCAATCGTGAACTTTTGGTTCGGACCAGCCGATGTGCACCGCCTGTTTATTTAAATAAATGAGAGAGCTGTGTATGACATGTCCAGTATCCCAGGCACAATGAAAGGATATGCTATGATCAAGATCGGCGAAACTGGGTGGGTAGAAAAGCCCCGCCCAACATGTGGGCCCATGGACGCGATCTTGCGTCCCCTGGCCGTAGCACCTTGCACCTCAGATACGCATACGGTTTGGAAAGGATCTATCGGCGAAAGGCACAACATGGTGCTTGGTCACGAGGGCTGTGGCGTTGTAGAGGAAGTTGGTTCTCAAGTCAAAGACTTCAAAGTTGGTGATCGTGTGATGGTTGCGGCCGTCACGCCTGACTGGTGCTCTGTGGAAGCCCAAGGCGGCTACTCGATGCACTCCGGTGGCATGCTTTCAGGATGCATGTATTCGAACCTGAAAGACGGACTTCTTGCGGAATATGTTCATGTAAACCAAGCGGATGCCAATCTGGCGCACCTTCCGAAGAACATTTCAACAGCTGAAGCCTGCATGCTGTCAGATATGGTACCTACAGGCTTTCATGGTGTCGAACTAGCGGATGTGCAATTTGGTGACAAGGTTTTAGTTGTCGGTATTGGACCGGTAGGACTCATGTCTGTTGCAGGATGCAAGCTCCGGGGCGCATCACAGATTATTGCTGTCGGATCACGCCCAGTGTGCCGGGAAACGGCCAAATACTATGGAGCGACTGACATCATCTCTTACAAAGAAGGTCCCATTGACAAACATGTCTTGGAGCTGACAAACGGGGAGGGTGTCGATAAAGCGATTGTTGCAGGTGGTGGTGTTGAGACATTTGAGCCAGTGATCAAATGCCTAAAACCAGGCGGGAAGGTTGGTAACGTGAACTACCTTGCATCGGGTGACTACGTGAACATTCCAAGGGTTGAGTGGGGAGTCGGTATGGGACACAAGCAGATCGTTGGCGGTTTGATGCCGGGAGGCAGGCGCCGTCTCGAAAAGCTTGCAAGCTTGATCACGTATGGAAGACTGGATGTGAAACCCTTGATAACGCACCGGTTCGACGGCTTTGAGCACATGGAAGATGCACTGTTGCTTATGAAAGACAAGCCAGAAGATCTCATTAAGCCAGTTGTAATATTATCGGAATAGACCGAGTAGTCATGAAGCATTTCCTTTTATGAATACGACATCCATCTGCTTGTCACTTTCGGGCACTCTCAAGTGTACATAATATGTCTAGATGTGAGTGCTAGATTTTGTCTTCAACGACGGACAGTCTGTGGCATCTTTGTACCCCTTAGTCTTTCGAACCAATCGTGCGCAGTGACAGTTTTGTCTGCGGGTCAATGTAGGTGCACTTCGCCTGTGGTGGTATCACAAAATTAGATCTCCACCAGGGCCAAGTGCCATTGTGATTCAGCATCTGAAAGTTCGCTCAGGTGTCACTACATCTCCACTTCCGATACATGCCCAAGGTTAAGCGCGAGGTGAGTGAAGACTCCTCATGTGACAAGCGGCGTCGTGGAAAGGCCCATAAAGGTGGCGACCCCTTCACTTTAATCTCTCAGCATAATCTGAAATCCCAGGGCGCAATTGATCCACCCTCATTCTACCGGGAACGACTATCTTCATCGCAAGGCGATGGAACAACTTTATCCTCACTCAGATTATTTATGAATGACATGATTTCTCGTGTCGATCTTCCACATCAATCATTACTATGGCGCATAGACTGGAATCCACCCATGGTTCTCTGGGATGCTTGTCCAAATTGGAGCCCGGCAGATTCAGCTCACGAAGCTACTCCTTTAAAACTCTATGTTCAATCATATGAACAAAAACAAGCTATGTCCTTGCAACCGCTAACATCAACGGCAACGATAGATCCATCAAATTCATCTCATCTCATTCACATGTTCGACGCAGGTGGACACATCTATGACCTTGACTGGGCTCCATGCACAAATTCGTCCATCCAATGGCTTGCAGTTGCCTGCGGAAATAAGGACGCTCACACACGCGTGAAATATGGGTGCTGTGGCTCAATACAGCTCTGGTCATATGATACTAACATCTCTATGAAACATGTCCACACAATCAAATTAGATGATGGTGAACCTCTTCAAATAAGTTGGAGACCTGGTGCTCCGGCTGCCTCTACAATCGGCACCCTGGCAGCCTCCATGGACAATGGCGATATTGTCATACTAGATGTTCCTAAGACTGAAGCGAGTTGCTTGTATCTCTCTCCGCGTACCACTTTACGCGTCCCAAATTCTCGCTGCTATAGTTTGGCTTGGGGTGGTAATGCCCGCTTGGCCGCGGGATGTTCAAAAGGCCAGGTCGTCGTTTGGGACTTGGATGAAAGTGATTCACCAATGATAAATGTTTCTGTGCATGATACTCTAGTATGTGCTTTAAGTTGGCAAATGCTACCCCCTCTGGATCTCCTCGGCACGCCGAATTTGTCCGCTCGCCCGCATATCCTTCTCACTGTTGGTTGGGATGGCTCAGAACATATCACAGACATTTATGACGTTTACTCAACAACTCGTTATGGTCATAGCCGTGAGCCTCGGTACGCTACTGTTTGGGCCCCATGGAATGGCGCATGGATCATGGATTTTGGTGACAATCAGTTTGGAACAGTCTCTCTTCGGACACACGATATTGGCCGTCATCACATGCTTGGGATTCATCACGGACGCATAATCTCTCTGGCGGCATCTGCTTTTCATCCCTACATCGCGTCGGGTTCTGCGGATGGATCTGTAAACATCACCAATGCACTGAATGTGTCGAAACGTAAAGCCATGGAAGAAGGTGGTCGTCTTGTTCACAAACGCTTTCGACTCATTCAAAACGATGCTAACACTTACACTATCCGCCACGGCTTTTATCCAGAAGGCGTCTTGCCAAGATCACAGACCCAAAAATCGGCTCCCCTTTCCATCGATCGCTGGGACCCCTCCGTTTGCATAACAAGTGTCGCATGGTGCCCAAACGATGGTCATAGCCTTCTTCTTGCCTCAGGAACAGGCATCGGTCTCGTACGTGTGGAATGGATCGAAGCTCCTTTGTCTATGAACGAGTAATACGTACAACAAATTGAACTGCTCGAATGGCCGCCCGCCATGTCCGTGTTTTAGGAGATGCTAGTGGGACGGATGCTGGCACGTATCGTTTCAGCGTTGGGGTGAGAGCATCTAAATGAGTACTGATGCGTTCAGTGAGCCATTGTTGTGATCGCAAGGCTTTCCCCAAGTATGCCTTTTGAAATATCAACGCACGGCATTGTTCTTCAAGAGCCCATATTTTCGGCTCCCACTCTCGAACAATGTCTGCCACGTATGACTTCACCAATTTTGCGCATTCTTGTTCCATATGGCTAGCACGGTATGCCAGCATATCTTCTTTTTCCTGCAGAGCCTTAACATCTGTGCCATACTGCTCCGTTTCTGCACGCACTTCCCGCAATCTTCGCTCAAACACATTGAGTTGCTCCATAATTTCGCGGCGCTCAGTCCACAGATGGTGCTTTTCTCCTCGAAGCCGCCCTAGTTCGGCATGCTGTTCTGCAAGTAAATGTTTCAACGAAGATAGCTGAGATAGATGCTCGTCAATCTGCGCTTCGCATTCAGTGCGCGCTTGCCGTGCTTCGTCCGCAGACGCAGAAGCTTGGTCGCATCGATGGTTTGCTGAGCGAAGCTGTTCTTCTAAGAGCAACTGCTGCTGCTGAGCCTGTTGTTGTAATGCATGTGCTTTTGCTACTTCTTGCTGTGCTTTGAACAGGCTTCGTTCAAGTGTTATGTTCGTTTGCGGTATTTCCCTTCGCATAGCTTCGAGTTCTTTGCATTGTTCTGATCGCTGCTGTAAATGCAACTTGACTTGCTCCAATTCATCTATTGTAGATGCAAGTCGTGTTTCAATACGTAACTTACTTGCATTTGCCTCTGAAGATTGCGACAAAGCTGTGTCTAGTTGTACGCGTGCACCGTGAAGTTCTTCTGTCAATGAGCGCACCGTTGTTTGCAGATTTCTGAGGTCAGAGGCTACACTGGACACATCACGTGTTGTTGAGGCAGACGTAATGGACCGTCGCAAAGACTCCATAGTCTGGACTCGACTTGGTGTGGAATGGCGCCAGGACGCATTGCTGTGACTGTGCATAAACGACGAATTGGGTCGCGAGGAATCAGGATAAGAAACGTTATTTTGCGGTATATGAGTCTGAAGTTCTGTCACACATTCTTGTAGTGCCTGTACATCATGCACACTTAACGCATGCTGAACTTTTTGAATGAATGCATTATGTTCTGAAGGGGTATCGATAAGGGAAGATTCATGTGCGGCATGCTCTTCTGACTGCTTTTGTGCCGCCGATTCCAAGTCGTGGATCCGTTTCATTAGCATTGAACGATCCTTGTTCACACTTTCATCACGTTTTTGAAGAATCTTCATCAGCTCTTCACATTGCATTTTAAGCATTTCATTTTCTTGCGTGAGACGCTCATTGACCTGGTGCTGATAATTAATCAGCCGTTGCGGATCAATGTGATTTTGTTGCGCATTTGAAGTCGAAGACATTAGCCGCGCTACTGAAGATTCTTCCGTCAAATCAGAAATTGTTGACGCTGGACGATTTATATCATCTTGAGTCTGTACATGGAGCAATCGCCTTGAAGAATCTTCAGTCGATAGAGAATGTTGAAGATTGGTATGTGATAAAGACTTAGACGCTCGTGCTGCTGTGAACGCTAATCTCCCAGGAGCTGGCGGATGTACAGGCGTCGTAGCACCCGAGACTGAAGGTGGTGATGGCGTGGATACTGTGGTGATAGACTTAGTCGGATGAGTTTGACCTTGCAGCCCAGGGGATAGATTAGGTGCTCGAGAAACCGACGGAGACGTCGGCATAGACATCGATGACGAAGATTGATCCTGTCGTGTGAGCTCCTCATACAACAAGTGTACTTACGCTTTCTAACTCTTTTGTCTCGCATGATGCGAGAACGGGTGCTTTCGATTCTCCCTGTGACATAAAATCATCATCAGCGCTGGGAAGTTCTCTGTGACTTGACTCTGATATCTCCAACTCTTGTTCGTGTTTGGGTGAAAGTCGAAGAGAGTCTGATTCGTCTAATAAACGTTCATCAAGTTGTTGCAACTCATCAGACACTTGGTCGGTTTGCCCAGTAGAATTGGAAACAGATACATCATTCATGTGCTCTTGGAAACCAGGGTTTGTCTCAACTGGATCATTTGTAGCAGGTGAACGAAGCAGACCTGTTACGTCTGACGTAGAATGGGTCATAGATGCACGCCGGCTCATACCAGGCAGGGAAAGATCGTCCGAATCATCTTGGAAAAGCTCTTGATCAATCCTATTTTCGATTTTAGAGGAGAGGTCAAATGAGATATTCATGGTTCCTCACCTCCGGTGCACACACTGCACCACGTATTGTTTAGCCTGCTTGAAATTTATCGAAAATGGCGTATTGTTAACAGGCAACGCGCCACACAGAACACACGACGCGAGTGGAGTTTTGGTCACGTGACAAATCAATCCCTTACTGATTTTATTGAATCTTCGACATGACCGGATTAATATCATGCCCGTTGTCAATTGGAAGGCTGATACTCCTCTGAGAACGACTCCAAGCAGAAGTTCCAAGCACCAAACTAGTAACAGCGACGAAGAAAGTGTAATTTCGAGCGCCGCTAATTGCCAAGATAATATTGCTGAAAATTCTCTTTCTCCATGGTCACAATCAAGTATTGAGGCCGCTCGTTGGAATAGTTTGATTATTTGGCAACGAGGAAAGCGTGGCGCACAATGGGATGCTGGTACAGGCGTGTTCGTATTCTGCTTAATACTCACCCGTTCGCAGATGGCAAGTACCGCGAGGCAGCTTCCAATATTACGCTTATGACATGACGCGTCCGTACGGCTAGGATCAGTATCAGGGTCGTGAGGCATCCAAGTTGCAGTAGATACCCATTTTATTTCATTTAAGTACTTTCAAGTAAAAAAGATTCGTCTGAAGTTGATTTTGGTCGCAAGCGCAAAAGAGAACTTTGCCCGCACCCCGAGTCGAACGAGGGATCTCTCCATGCACTTATTAGTACAAGTGGAGTGCGTTAACCACTGCGCCATACGGGCCCGCGACGATTATTTTCAGAAAAATATCGTAAATGAAGACAAACTCCTCATTTCACTGTTTGGCTACGTTTCATTTAAGGTTTCAGCTGTGTGATGGTTCTTTCTTGGGCCATTCAATCATGGACGAGGCGGCGACATTTAACGATATTCGTCAAAAAATTCTTTCTCGCGGTTATCACAAAACACCATTATGTTTAGATGGACTGAGTGAACAAAGAAAAGTTGTCGTTATCAAGGTCTTAGGGGCTCTGTTGACGGAACGAGATGAGGAAGTAGAGCTGCGTGAAAGGCTGCTCATGCGGAACAAGGAACTAGAGCAATCGTTGGAGCGCACAAAAAAGTCTCTTCGCCGCGACAAGTTACTAACTAGTGAGCTGGAAACAAAACTTCTTGCTTCCCAGTCTGAAACCAAGAATGCTAGAACTATGCTCGCAGATGAACAGCTCGCTCACCGCGGGACAAAAGACCAACTTTTGCGCACACGAAAACAGTTCAATCAAATCCAACAGGCGAGCTCCAAATATCGTGCCGCGACGGAACGTCAGACAGAGCGCCTAAAGGAGCGTATGACCACATTATCTCATGCAAGTCTAAAAACTCTTGTTCCTGATATTCGCATTGCTAGTCCGGCATTTGTTGCACGAGCCAACACTGACCCAGCACATCCGGGGGAAAAGCAGATACTTGAAATTGAGAAATATAACACAGCCTTGCTCGAGACATCAACTGCATTAAAACAGCTTGCGCTCGATGCTTTTACTACATTGTACGAAGTGGATATTCGTCTGAAAGACATCATCGACGTTGAGTGCGGAGTCGAAGATCTACCCTTCATGCGGGCACCAGCAGCACAAAAGCCATACTTGGGTACGACATGGGATGATTTAGAACTTCATCAAATGTTTCCTCCTCTTCGCCCGCTCGTGACAGATGATACAGAATACACACATCCTGCCCGACGGCATCTGACCAACCTTGCAGAAAACCTGCAATCGCATGTGGAAAGTCTCTCACATTGGGCAGCTATGAAACACTTCAGATCTGAGCGGTTGGAACATGAACATCAAGAAAAACGTCGAAAAATTGACGGCAACATCAGCTAAATACCATATTTTTTCTTATGCCTCAGTTGGGTCATTAAGTGACATGAGCACCGCTTTGTATGTCTTCTGACCAACTTTTCGCGTCCTTTCGTGTTTTCGGCCGCGATGATAAAGCACGCGTTGGATGAATTTTACAAACTGCAACGCCGGTCCCATAAGGTGCGACTCAAAAACGAAACATGCGACTGTGTTCAATACCACAATGACCAAGAGCTTCCAATGGAAAGACGCTGGAAATTCCACTAGCCCCAGCAGATCGAAAAAGAAGCCCTGCTTTACAAATAAGAAGAACAAAGAGAAACAGGTCAATATCGTAAGAGAAGTCAGAAGCATGGGATTTGTATAAATTGGTTGCCGGAAAGGCGGTCCAACGCTGAATACAGCTGCAACTGTAATGTATTGGAATGATGACACCAAGAAAATAGCCGAATTCTCTGCATTCACCACATTGAGTTGATCAGGATCCATTTTCGGCGGGGTATACCAGGGTTGGCGTCGCGTTAGATAAAATGTAAAAGCCTGGAATGCAGAACAGATTATTACTTGGCCAATCATCGACAATAACACCTTCTTAGACAAAAGGTTCGCAGTTGGGCGCTTGGTATGGAGGATAGGGTAAGGCAGGGTCCTTGCCATAGCCACAGCCACAGGAAGAATAATGAACAAATCAATGTACAAGAATTGAAAATCGCCGAGTGAGCTTGCAAGGTTGTATAATATGGTAATACTGGTGAACTGGATCAAACTGTACAGTGCCATGTATTTGAAACAGCTAAAGCTTGTGACAAGCGCTGCTCGACCCTCTTTGATTACTTCAATAACACAAGAAATGTCAGGTCTCTGCGATGTAAATGGAGCAGCAACACTTGCTTCTGCTTCCGACAGCGAGATACCAATGTCGGCAGCTTTCAAAGCACCACAGTCATTGGCCCCATCACCGCACATACCCACCGTGTAGCCCAAGTCCTGTAAGCGATCGACCAAATCATGTTTTTCATCAGGCGACATTCGTGCAAAAATTGTGCCTTTTATTAACATGCGTCGTACGAGATCGATAGGGGCATAATCGACCATCCATCGGAAGACATCACCCGTAATAACTAGCTCATAGTCGAGGATATTGTGCTCACCCAAGTCGATGTGCATAGGGTCCGGATTAATTGGTTTCAGAGTGTCCGGATTTAGCTTCATCGCATCGTCATCCGTGCTAGTCCATGTGAGGATAACATCGTTAGGCTGTTCAGGTGATCCTTGCGCAAATGATGGAAGAAATACAGTTGATGAGGCTCCCAAAATGCCACACTCTCGCGCGACACTTACCGCAGTGCGGGGATTGTCTCCCGTCACCATCTTGCAGCCGATGTGGGCATGTCGAAGAGTGGTAATAGCAGGCAATGATCCAGGCTTCAACTTATTCTCAAAGACAATCAAACCCAAAAACTGGAGCTCACTTTCAGCCCGTTCTCTCGGCATTCGCTGAGCTTCGACCCAGTTTAATCCAGGCAAAGATTTCCCTGCACAAGCAACAACCCGGAATCCATGATGAGTGTAATAAGAGAGCAAATCGTCAAAATCATGCGGAAGGGAATTACGGTCACATATCTCGAGGAGAGACTCTGGCGCTCCTTTGACAAATACCTCCATAGAGGTCGAATGCAGTTGTTTGACAATGACACTCATTCGGCGCAAGGCAGACACGAACTCAAATGTTCGAATGACACCAAGCTCCAGCACTTCTTCAGCATTAGGATCACGGATCACATCCTGAGCATCAAAAACGGGGCCATCACGAGGTCGGACCACCGTCTGCACAAGCGCCGGAGAACGATCATATCCTTTCGCCACAGCAAGTGAGTCTATGCCGTCACCTTCATCAATCGTCCATCCGGTATATTCGAACATTTTCACGTCCAGCGGATCTCCAATGACTTCACCATCGACCACTTTCAAGCTGTGGCAAGTCGTCAGTGCATGCAATAACGATAAAGGATTTTCCGGCGAAGTACTCTGAGCTGGTATTTCTTCTGCAGTTTGATGTAGCTCACTAAATTGATCTGTGTTTGGATCCACAGTTCGAGCGCCAAGTACATCCAGTCCATCTTCAGTAAGCGTGCCTGTCTTATCGAAACAAACGACATTCACTTTCCCACCCATGTTTACACGCGTAGGAGAAATACAAAATATACCAAGCCTTCGTAAACGTACAATTGCGAATGCTGTACCAATACTCATAGTAGCTGGTAAAGCCGGTGGCACCACGACAGTCACCAAGTCCAGTACACGAATTGCCAGCGTCTTCCAAGAAATCCCAATTTGAATGAAATTTACTGTATTAAAGCATAACCCCACAAACGCAATCGCTGCTAAAAACCCAATGAACCGGAAAGAATCGCGATAGAATTTGAATCCCATGGGCTTAGGGAAGAGCATGCCGCGAACCAAAGATCCCTTTGTAGTGTGGAAACCTGTGCAGACGACCATTGCCTTGGCAGAAATATCTCCTGGATCAGGCCCACTTACTGCAGGTCGTGTTCTAATAATTTTTGTTCCAGAGAACAAAAAGTGCTTTGCAAGGTGGGACGAAAGATCTGTGCGGGTGGACTGTATAAGATCCACGTCCTGCTCGGATAGTGGCTGCTTACTGATAGGAACGCTTTCTCCAGTAAGCATGCTTTCATTTACGATCGCATCACCACTAAGAAGAATACTGTCAGCAGGAATCATCGTCAAGTTGGGATCAGCCGCATCAAATATATCACCGGGAACAAGGTTACTGCTGTCCAGGTTGACCCATTGATTATTATGCAACACACGCACAGTGCAGACAAATCTGTTCATTTCTCGCATACGTGCAATAGTCTTCTTCGTTTCAATCAAAGTTGAGAGAATACTTCCCACCGAAATGGCTGCAATACAAAATGCGTAATAATAATAATCATCCAAGCTCCAAAGAATGATAGAAACAATTTGGAAAATGTAAAATGGATGTAAGACTTCGCTCACCAACAAATCCAGCGTCGATTTGTCTGCAATTTCGATAACATTTGATCCAAAAAATATTTGTCGTTCACGCTCCAAATCTGAGCTGATACCTTGTCGCATCACATCTGTCGATGTCCAAGCGGCATCACGCCAGTCTCGAATTGTGCGGAAGCGACCCGAGGGAGGATGGAGTAAGAAGCGTGTGTAGCGATATTCGAACATGACCAAATCCACCATGTCCTCTCCATCACCACTGTTCCCATTCTCGTCGGTATCCTCGTACAGCATGCTTTGGGCCTGCGCATGAGTACAGGGTGGCTCTCGAGAGGTAGGAGGAAAAACAGACTTGAGTGGACGTGCGAATGGCACACTAATGAACGACTCTTGACTCAAGTCACCCCACTGATTTTCAACGATCACAAACTCTGCATCGGAAAACTCTGCTTCTTCAAAGACATAGCGAAGACGTGTTCGAGGAAACCATAAACACAAAAGAGCGACCAAACCAAAAGACAAGACACACGCCAAAACATACAATACATAACGCCCGGGTCGAGTACGATAACCAGAGATTCGAATCAACGTGTCTTCATCTGCCAAATAAATCTGTTGCTTGAAGCGGCAAGATTTATCAAGCCAAGGACTGTTCCTCATGGCTTCTTCTGGATGAGCCTCAGTTTGCAGCATTCCCGACACTGGCGGCAAAGTACACTCAGGCATTTGATCCACAGCATGTGGAAAATCCATGAGATGGACGGGCTTCGGGCCCATAGCTGGGTCATCAAATGGCATGTCCTGGCCATCCTCTCGAACATCGTGGCGGTGTTCTATAAATGGGTCACTGTCACCAAACACGTTGGGAATCAGACGATTATGTGGTGAACCCTTTGGTTGACTGCTAAGGCTTGATCGGTCACTCGAATCATTTAACAGATCATCCTCCTCTTCATCCTGATCATCGGCCAAGGCCTCCTCGTCAAGCAAATCCGACGCGTTCTCGTGCCAGACCTCGCCGTTTTCTTGCATGTCCGAGTGAGTTGACTCTTGTTCCGCTTGCTCATTACGAAAAGTCGCAAAGAGTGAGCCGATCAAACTCGAAGAAGCAGGCATAGACGTTCCTATGCCATCTTCACTCGCTCGATATGCGCGCCGAGGATATGCGCGTTTCTTATAGCTGATCACACTTGCGGAATGGGATTCAAGAGTATGCGTACTGGTTGGTGAATGATCACGGGATACATGGCTGTGTGAATGAACGGAGCTGGAAGCCCGTCCGCGACGCGATGAATAAGAGTATGATCTTCGACGGGATTGGTGAGAATGGTAGTGCAAACTGGGTCGGGCCATATTGTGGTGCATACTGGAAACGGAGCTTGGAACAAATTCCGCTGAGGGCCCATCAAAAATATTGTTGTGATCGTCGTAACTTCCCAGCTGACTATCTCGTCGCTTCCGCCCAGGCCGTGCATTCTCAGATGAGCGGGACTGCTGTACCCATTGTTCAGCTTCACGTATTTCACGCTCATCAAAAAAAGAAGCCGAGTGTGCAGAGGATGCATCCGTCATAGTGGAATCTCTGCGCTGCATATTATCCATGGCAGATATTGGTCTGCTACACGGCCTCTGGTCTTGCTCGTCAACGAGTTCCTGAGTTTCTGCTCGGCTCGAAGTGCCATTACCGGCCATGTTATCAAGACAATGGACCAATGAAAAATTGAGTGCGCAATGTCATTGACCCTTCTTTTGAATCACGTGTGAACATATTGGTAGGGGCCGATCGCAAATTGGCCTTTCTTGACGACGATGGCACAGCGATCGCGGCAGCTTCTTGCCGAAGTGTACACGCGCTTGATATCTGACCAAGCTTCTCTAAACGCGCTCCGAACTTCGAATAAGCCACTGCGTACATATGCCCATGAGCTTGCGGCTCTGACGTCGAAACCCGCGGCAGTTCTCGGGGAAACGGACGATGACGTGAAAAACACTGAACAATGGCTCGACCAAGTCGAAGGCATAAGCGGGGACCTGGGCTCTCTTGACAAAAAGCTTGAACCAATTACTTTTTTGAGCGGAAATGCTCCAACTGCTGCTGACTACTCGCTCTTTGCCTCATTATATGATGTAGTGTCGACAATGCCCCCAGCAACGCAACATGCGCATCCGTCGCTTGTGCGCTACTTTTCGCACATGTCACACCTGTCAGCTTCAACAAACGTGGAACCACCTTTCAAACCATTTGAGCCTGCTTATGAAGGTTTCCCAAAAATCGAACGTAAGGCCGAGCCGAAGAAGGAGAAGAAGGAGAAGAAAATGAAAGATGAAGGTGGCACGGCTGCAGAGGCCAGTGCACCTACACCATCTAAGAAGGATAAGAAGTCCAAGGACAAGGCAACAGGTGGCAGTGGACCTGGTTCTGGTGTTCCATCGGATTCTGGTCCTTTACCCAGTATGGTCGATCTTCGAGTTGGAAAGATTGTCAAAGTCGATCGGCATCCAGATGCTGATTCTTTGTATCTTGAGCAGGTTGATTTCGGTGAGGCGGATGGGCCTCGTACCATTCTCTCTGGACTTGTGAACTTTGTTCCCATTGAGGAAATGCGTGATCGATGGGTTGTGGGTGTGTGCAACTTGAAGCCAGTGTCGATGCGTGGAATCAAGAGTTTCGGGATGATTTTGTGTGCTACGGCAAAAGAAGGCAAAGAAGGTGGCGTCCAGCCAGTTGCTCCTCCCGCAGGCAGCGAGTTGGGTGACCGCGTTTATGTCGAGGGCTACGAGGGTATGGAGCCACTCGAGCAGATGAACCCGAAGAAAAAGGTCTTCGAGGCCATCCAGCCTAACTACCAAACGACCGATGCTAAGGAATGTGTTTGGTTTGGCTCCCTGCCGAATGGCCCAGCTGATGAAAAGGCCCCTCGCCGTCTGTGCACATCTCGTGGCATTTGCACGGCGCCATTCGCTGGCGCTACTTTATCTTAGTGGAAGTTAGCGCCTCTTTCATGGCTTGCAGATGGTGTTCTTACTGGGTCGTTACATTCTCTTTGATGCAAGTCGAGCTTCTACAACTTTAGCCTTGTGATGTAGCTAGGATTTGCGCCTTGACCAGATGTGTCCTTATGCTCGTTAGATATTCCGAACGCGTGCCTTTCTCCACCAACCCGCACGCTATGCACGTGCACAGACTACACACGTCAGTCTCATATCCCGTACAACCATCTATTCATGAGTGGCTTGGAAGATCTTCGAGCCAAGTACGAGGCTGCCGGGCAGTCACATGTTTTTACATACTGGGACCAACTTTCAGCTGATGAGAAAGCGGCCTTCGAAAGGCAACTTCGCGGCATCGATCCTGCGCGTCTGAATGCCATGGTGAAGCAAGCGTTAGACGCCGATGAGGCCGCACGACACGAGCAGAATGCCAAAGTAGAACCACCACCAACTGAGAGCCAAGTTTCTACTGTTGGAGATGAAGCGAAGTCAAATTACTTTTACGAGATTGGCATGAAAGCGATTGCCGCAGGTCAAGTCGGTGTGCTCCTCCTCGCTGGTGGTCAAGGCACCCGTCTTGGCTCGTCCGCTCCCAAGGGCTGCTATAACATCCAGCTTCCTAGCGGAAAGAGCCTTTTCCAAATCCAAGCAGAGAGGATTGCAAAGTTGCAGGAACTTGCGGCCATTTACGGACGTAAGACTAGCGTTGTGGTGCCATGGTACATCATGACCTCGGGTCCCACACGCGAACCGACAGAGTCATTTTTCCGCGAGCATGGGTTCTTTGGCCTTGACCCGGCTAATGTTGTATTCTTCGAACAGGGCACTCTGCCATGCATTTCGAATGAAGGTAAAATTATGCTGGATGAACGCGGCAAGGTCGCTACAGCACCGGACGGAAATGGTGGGTTGTATGCCGCACTTCGTGTCCCCGTGAAAGATGGCGAACCATCTGTTCTTGACGACCTGCAGCGCCGCGGAATCAAGTACTTGCACGCATACGGTGTGGATAACTGCCTTGTGAAGGTTGGTGACCCTGTCTTTATGGGTGTGTGTGTGGATAAGAATGTCGCAACCGGTGTGAAGGTGGTGAAGAAAACGGACCCAGCTGAGTCGGTCGGTGTTGTGGCGCGCAAAAATGGCGCTTTCAGTGTGGTAGAATACTCCGAGATTCCCCCCTCTTTGAGTGAGGCGCGTGATTCCAATGGAGAGCTTCTTTTCCGTGCCGCCAACATTGCCAATCACTTTTACACAACAGACTTTCTTATGAAAGATGTACCAGCCTTTGAATCTAAAATGGCGTATCACATTGCCCGAAAGAAAATTCCATCGATTGATCTCTCATCGGGTGAGCGTGTGAAGCCATCGACACCGAACGGCATTAAAATGGAGCTCTTTATTTTCGACGTTTTCCCATTCTGTGCCGACCTAGCAATCCATGAAGTTGAGCGCAAAGAAGAATTCAGTCCACTCAAGAATGCCAGCGGTACTGCCTCTGACAACCCAGAGACTTCGCGTCGCGATTTGCTTGCACAACAGCGCCGCTGGCTTGAAAAGGCTGGTGCGACTGTCACTAGTGGGGCAGACGTCGAACTGAGTCCAAAGGTAACGTACGGGGGCGAGGGTCTGCAGAACGTCGCTGGTCGTACATTTGATCAAACTAAGAACATCGAGTCGCTCTAAGGGGTATTTGTTCGTGTGTATGCATGACGCACGTTGTTGTCTCAGTATCTCCACCGTATACACGCACAAACATCTTTTCTTGCTTGACCTATGTTCGATGTGTAGAATCTCGTAGGGCCTGCCATGCGGGCGACTCTAATCGTAATGGCAGTTCGGCATCACGGGCAAATTCCTCGACATGGGCTGCGAGTGACCTTATGTCCGCTGACAGCTGCGCATATACCCGTTTGTCTGAGGCAGCTTCGTCGGATGCTAAGCCTGGTGTGCCTCGCTTAAGTCGGCGCAAGGACTCGAGATTACGAGTGATTGTATCAATTGCCGTTGTGTACCTTGAGAACACATGGTCAAGTACGTCATCAATCCATGCTACCGTTTGTTCCATCGGAAGCCTTCGTATGGGAGATTGTGAATCACCAACAAATACCTGCCGAAGAGGCAGTACGATCATGGGGATAAATATGCTGGGCTCTGTGCTAGCTTGGGTTTCTAGTGCCCCGCGTGAGAATGCGCGGTACTGTGAATTTGCCGCGCGAACATGACGAAGTGGCTCGGTACATCGTTTTCGCAGTATTTGCAGCATAAAAGCCGAGACACCCGGTAATGTATAATTATATGCACCAAGTGATTCTTCCATTGCTTCTCTAATGACTTTGAGCATATCATCAGCGTCTTCTTTTAATCCTTTAGCATCTCGAACAAGTTTCGGCGAAATGTAAGCGTCAAAAACAGCCCGCACACGCTCCTCAAACAAGCGGATATCTGCTAGAAAGCCCACAGCATTACGCAGTGCGTTGACTTCGTCATTTGACAAGCCATTGTTGTTCGGTGCAGTGGATGCGGCTGTGTGTGAGGGTATTTCAATATCAAGCTCACTAACCGACAACGATGTAATTTGGCCTTTGAGCCACGAGCGGTATCGACAAAGCACATGCAAACTTAAGCGCCATTCACGCGCGCTCAAGGTCGGGAAATGCCGCGTCATGTACCAAGGTGCAGCAAATGTGCGCAGAAGACTGCGAAAGCCAGGATGAGAAAACTCCGTCGATATCTTCTGTGGTTCAGTCTCACATGATGGCACATCCCGTGTGCTTGTAAATTGCAGATCTTGTTCTAGCGACGTCACAAGCTCACGCGCGCGTAACTGAAAAAATGCCGAAAAAGCCCAGCGGCGCTGTAATGCCACTGTCTTGGGATGTGCACGAAATGCTTTGGCTGCACGGGGCGAAGGCGCAAGTGACTCAAGCTCATCTAGAAACGCCTGTGTGATGGTATAATTGAGATAAAATTCATCTGCATTTCCAATGAAGAAAAGCTGTGATCCGCGCGACTGCTCGATTGCCGTCGAGACTTTCTCCCACCATAAATGATTAAATGCGTCCATCATACTCCCACCCACACGCTCGGTCGCGTCAAATATATCAGTCGTTTCTTTTGTAGCATCCAAGAGTGCATTGTATGTTCTTATCAGCTCAGACGTTGATTTTGATATTATTGGTTTGTCCCAACTGAGATGCGTGAGAGTCTCAAGCTGTACTGGCTCATTTGCATCAAATGGAAAATACAACTTTGAATGCGTGTGTTCAGGTGGCGCGAAACAACCCTCGATCTTGGGCTCAATGTCATGCGCGGATATGCGGCGGAGCATAGCCTCCACAGCTGATTCACCAAGCTCACAGCTTAATCGGAGCGCAAGAATGAGCGATTCACATGCCTGCTCTTTTGGCTGCTCAAATGATTGTTCATGTAGCAATCTTGTGTGATCAAAAAGCCGCGAGTATATTTTCTTGAGGAAAGGTTCCAATCGTAACAAGTTCCCACACGCCTTTTCCCTGTCGACGGTACCTAACAAATGCTGGAGCCACGTGTACCGCTGGTATGCATATGTCATGCTCTGAAACAGCGTCAGAGGATGAGTCTTTATTCCTGCTTCGAATGTTTGCTCGAAATCATCTTGCTCATCGACGTCGAACCCAGCCAGTTCGTCGAGGGTCATGCGTCCTAATGGAACCATGTGATCAGATTCCTCATTGGTCGTTATACCCAAAAGGTGCCCTAGATCATGAACAGTCCGATCAATATCCAAAAGCATGTTTAGGTAGCGTCGTTCGTGAATGTTTGCCTCCTCTTCGTGTCCAAGTGACTCAATATCTATTTCGGTTTGTCTCATCGTAGCAAGCATGGATTCAAGAGCCATCTGCACTTCTGAAAGCCCGTCTTTGTTACTCAACTCAATAATTCCATCGGTTTCCCTTTGAAGCATGGTTGAAAGTGATACAAAGTCTCGATACTTTTCATTTATTATCAGCACGAGATTCTCTTGGAGTGTTTGCCTGTACGTCCGAAGCTCTTTGACAATCGCATGCACATCCTGCCCTATTGTGCGAGAGCACAAAAATGCGTCCACATCGAATGTTCTTTTCTCAATTGGCGATAAAAGTGGCATTCCTTGCCCGAGGGGCTGCGGCATTGCCAGCTCAGGCACCTCAAACTCGATATCGTCTTTGTCCATGATGACGGCGGAAGATGGTCCAAACGCACTTGCGATTCATCACGTGGCCATTTATTTCAGGTACTCCAAGTGTCAGGATTTTGCTTCAACATATTGAGTGACATACCAGAATCTCCGCTTGCCGCCATTCGACTATGAGCTATCGATGTTGGGACCCTTCGAGGGCGATCTCGGTACCCAATTAGGCATAAATACATCCGTGCATGGATCAACGCGACCAAGGACATGCAAAGCAAATCCAAACAAGCGGTGCTCGATCCAGTACTGCCAAAAGTGTCGCCAAGGACCCACCACGCTCCACCGCATCATGGATCTGTACAAAAAATAGTTAGGCTTGTCATACGCCACAACGAGATTAGGATTCACGTAAATGCGGGGTCGGTATGGTCTTGCGATGCGGTGCATATCTAGACTACTCAACAGCGACTCTGACGAGAAACACAGATCGCTGTTCCGAAAAGTCAGTGGCACGGTCGCAGGTACATCCAATGAATCTGCTCGGAATATTGGAGGGGGATTCAGTGTTAGGGCGGATGTAAGAAACGGCATAGTTTCATTGGGTGATATCGTTGTATTTGAAAACCAGCGTGCGTCGAAAGCAGTCAAACCATTCCAACATGCATTTACAGGAACCGGAAGGCCAGCTTGAACAGCTTTCTGATCTTGTTCTGCTTTAAAATACGGCCAAAAGGGACGAGTCGTTTTTCCATCCGCATCTCGCATGACCCAACTGGGGTAAGCACATCTATACGTACGTATCGTAAAAGCCAAGCCAGCAGTAGTCCATTGCACATGCCTGATCGAATTGACCACCTTCTGTGTTAAGAAGCTGATGGACAGTACTAGACTCAAATAAGATGTCATTGATCCAAATTACCTTTTCAAATGGAATCCCATCAAGCTTTCCATGAAGTTCATCATTTAATGGTGCCATAGCCAAATTCCGGTAAGCGGATAAACGCTCAATGCGATTTTTTCGTGATTCTTGCTCAGATCGTTTAGCTGTGACAATCTTCGTACGAACGCCTAATTTTCGAAGGTTTCCATCTAGTTTATGAAGCAGTGTAGGTGTAAGATCTTTTGAGTCGTTTTCATATATGGACACATATACATTAGACGGCCCGAGTTCTTTGGTGAGCTGGACGAGAGAATGCGAATAATGAGGCAAAATAGCTTCAGAATTATGCAACAGAGAAGCAATGTAATATTTGGAATGGGTGTTAGGTTGATGCGGATATGAAGGGCGTGTCGAAAAGCAGTCTGCTAGCAAACAAGCAATGACATAAGTACATATGCCGCCAGTTATAAGTAACCTTTTTTTTTGATCAGTGCGACCATGCCGTAAGCGTAAAATAGCCGTTGTGAAAATCGCGGGTGCAGTAAAGCAAATGCATACAACATATATATATAGAGAAGAGGGAACGTAAAAGTGTATGCTCATATAGGCAAACAAAGCCACGGATATCCTTGCAATGACCAAATCCGACTTTTCCCGAATGCGCAACCATTTAAGAAACTTCAAGATTGTATACTTCCATGGAACTGAAGCTCTGTATTCTATCGCTTCTTCATCGCTCAGCATCAATTGCTCATGAGGTGCTATTCGGACCCGGTTTTGATAACTTTCAGCACGCATTTCTAAAAGACGTGCCTGTGACATCTTAATGACGAGGATGTTATCAATCTGTGTCGAATAGAAACTCTTCCACCTCCACCTATTGTGAATATGAACTTACGCGGTCGCTTAGCGCTCATGGCCTAGGGTCGTAAGACCGCGAATTTTGACCAAGCGCTATGAACCGAGTTGATGCGCGCAATCTTTTCTATCCATAATACAAAAGGCATCGTCAATTTTATTGGGAGAGCTTATTTGGTATCTTCATGCTTTGGCAGCCCAAACTAGTGCTTTTCGCTGTTGTCGTCTGTACAACTGGAGTCCAACATTCGTGTTGAAGATGGGGCTTGTGAATACATGACATATCTTACTGTACATGAAAACTATGTCAGATAGGAAGTACAAGTTGGGCTTTGTCAGTGTCCATATATACTCAATATCGGGTGGTGACCATCAAATAGACTTTGGGTTCCTTAATGACACTCGGAGTATAAATGAGGCAATCCAACTCACAAAAGTTTCATATAGAATTTACGCATAGGTCATATATTTAAATACAGTCAGGTCCGATCAACCCACTTGTAGTGTCGCTCAGAAGCGAATCAGGTCTGGTACGATGTGATCGAGTGATTACGCTCAGTGCGAATCTTAGATCAACTCCTTTTCACTCTAATCGGGGTTAACCACAAACCTGTTGCATTGCCTCGCAAGTACTTATCATTAGGGCCTTTAAATTCTGTGAACATCCCTCAGATTATTTCATATTAAACTTTTCGAACCACGTATCTAATCACTAACTCATCCCATTGTCCATTTCGCAATACATTGCCAAGAATGTTTACATAGCATGTCTTGTTGTAATGATAGACATGCAAAACCAAAGAGCTTAAGCTGATGCATTCCTTTCCCGTAGCTCATGAGCAGCTTGGATGTATGGTATGAGGGTTTGAAGATCATCGGCGTGTTGTAGGAAAGGATGACTCAACAGGTTGGTCGCATCTGGCCTTTTCTCGACGTCCACCTCTAGGCAGGTTGCTAAAAAGCTTTTGATTGTAGGCGAAAGCTTGTCGGGATTTTGTAATTTGGGCGTTCCATTTGTGGCGATCAAGTACAGGGCACGCAGGGGGTTTTCATTCAAGTATGGGGGCTCACCTTCAATCATTTCGATACACAGAATCCCCAAACTCCAAATATCAACGCGTGCACCGTATTCCTTGCGAGTAACAACCTCAGGGGCCATCCAATATGGTGTACCAACCATAGTGACTCGCTTAGACTGTGCTGGACTAAGCTGTGCGCAGAATCCGAAATCAGTAAGTTTCACTTCCCCACGCATGCTCATTAGCACGTTATCACTTTTGATGTCGCGGTGGATCACACCATGAGCGTGCAAATGTCGAAGGCCTGTCAAACATTCACGAGCAATGGCAGCGATTTGTCCCTCACTTAAAATGCTGTGCAACACAATATCAGTGAGGGGCCCGCCCTCCATGAATTCCATAACAACCCACAATTCGTCTTGACGCAAGAAAGCACTAAGAAAATTAACAATATTTGGATGTCTTGATTGGCACATGACTTCAATTTCATTTACAATCAAGTCCTTCTTCGGCTGTTGCGCTAGCACCATTTGCTTGATGGCAACAAGCTGGTTTGATACAATACTGCGTGCTGTAAAAACGCCACCAGATGCCCCTTGTCCAATCTTGTGCAAGTCGCGAAATAGTAGTTTGGGATCGCCTGGCATACATATCGCTCGTATTCGGGCATACACTTCAGCATCTGATGCTTTGGTCCGCTGCGTCCGGCGTCGTGGGACTACGGCGCCACCTAACGGTGGCCGAAGATCAGCATCTTTTCCAGGCATGGTTTGGAGCGCCTTTTGGGAGTGTGAGCGAACGAGTATCTCTGCCTTTCCAGGAAACGGGTTTGACGTGTAAGGCCGAGACGTGATACCTTCAACATGCGGTTCCGTCAGCGACCCTTTATTCGAATTGAGCAACTCGGGCGGACGGAATGTTGGTGCATGAGCAGGTGGTGTTGGAAGTGGGCGTTTCGAGGGCGTGGATGGTGTGGACGGTGCTTGAGGTTGTAGATAGGGACCGGTCGCACCTGTTTCAATACCGTAAGCATCTGAGAGCCACTCCTCGCTATCTTCCGAATCATCAATATTAGCACCAAATTTGGACCAGACATTATCATTTTCGTCACCAGGAGGGCGTTCCTGGGCTGCATCTTGATAAAAGGCGACAATATCCATGACAGTTTGCGGGTTTTGTTCCTGCTCTTGCAATGTAATCCCGGACTGTTGGAGGAGAGACTGCCACTCTTTTGGTAAACCAAAAAACTCACCCGTTGATGCATTGAATCCAACATGAGTTAAATGTACAGGATCATATGGCGTTGAGATATCTGGCCGTTTCGGTGTGCCAAATGCATCACTCATAGAGTTGACCAGGCCATCAATCATGCTTTTGATCGATCGTGGTGTTCCTGACCCACTAACTTCACTCATTCGCACATTTCCTTGACCTTCAAGCGACGTTCTACGTGAATTGGAACCCAAAAGTGAGCGGTTTGATTTTGATTTCGATAGCATGTGCGGTTGTGGCAATCCTTGATGAACTCCATCCGTCTGCATTCGATGTGACTCTGTACAATTCGATGGGCGCATCCAGTACGTATCAACACTCTGTGAGCGAGTATGAGAATTCCAACGTGATGATGATGATGGTGATGAAGCCGGCTCAATGAGTGACTGCATGTTGGGTGGCGGCGACCACATGCTGACCTGGTCGTTGACGACGGTGTGTGGAAGCGTTGGCTGTTTCATCGGACGAGAGTTGGATCCAGGATGTACTTGCATGTTTGAGAATAATGGAGGGTTGTGAGATTGATATACACCGGCAGGCAACTTGGGGGGCGTTTGAGGCGCATTACCGGGGGGGTTAGGTGCTTGACGTCTTGGAGTGAATCGATCCAAGTCTGTTCCTCCAGGCTGTGCAACAAAGGCGCCCTCTGAGCCCCGTAACTGCATCAGGCGCAAATGATCCAGCATTTGTGGATGCATTGATATGCTTTGTTCCAAAGGCAAAGGTGCGTTGCCATTCCTGTCAGCAGCCATGCTCGCGTTGGCAAGTGTTGTTGTCGTCGCGGTGACTTCAGTGGGTGATGGTCTCTCACGTGCTAGAAGTGGAGGTGTACATGTTGAGTTTGGGAAATTTGCTGCTATGAGAATGCCGAGACACCTAAAGCGTAGGACTAAAACAGAGGCTTGAACTGGGGCGGTTAGGTGGATGGGCGGTGCAACATAGCAACGTGAACGTACGATTTTTCTTGGCGCCTCAACAGGCTGGGTTGCAGGAAGTTCGTCTGCATCTTGGCTCCTGTATGTAGGTATATCTTGAACATTTAGCTCGGAAGATTCATTTTGCTCTTCAGGAGAAAGAGCCTGCCGTTCTATAGCTGTATTGACTGGTGCAAAAGAAGTTATCCCGGAATTCGAACGCCCAAGTGCATAGGAGCGTGTCTCTTGCGTACCGTGAGTCGACAGAAGAGAGTCCGTTTTGGGTCTGATAGGCAGCAAATCGTCATCGTCACTTTGGCTCTCGCTTGCTTTTATATCACGCCTTGGCAGTGTTTTCAAGTACGTCTCTCGCGCTTCCATGTTCCCAGTTGCTGGTATCCTTGTCACGGCTGACGATGTCATAACATTAGCGGATGTTACGGTTTGGCCCGCATCCCGCTGTGGGGGCTGAGTACGCATTCTTGGACGATCAGTAGATGGCGCAGAGCGTTTCCTGGCTACCGGCGCTTGCGTCGGCTCACTAGCTGTAGCCAGAATAAAGTCACCTTTTAAATCGCCGCGCGCATCTATATGAAGAAACAGAGGATCGCCTCCCTGTGCAAACTCTAGGCGGATGTGAGTACTTAAGACTTCAGCAGCAGAAATAGCAGCACGAAATTCCCACAACGAAAAATATATGTTCGTCTCTTGATCCACATTATACTCTTTTAAGTCGTCTGGACAAATACGCACTTCACTCTGGATCGAATGGCGGACTGTTTGTTGTTAAGCGTATGCATACGTACGTTGTCCATCTAATGGGCCATCCACACAACACCTCATAGCACATGACAATCGTGTACAGTGCAAGGAACATTCTCCAGATTTTCCCATACTGAAGAAGTGTTCTGTCCAGTCGCGAGCTAGTGACGGTTGGACAGTCAAGGTATATGGCGACGACATTTCAACTGCAGGAAAGAGACAGGCTCGGTCCTCATAAGTAAGTTTGTGCTTCTTCTGGATTCCGAGATGACAATCTAATAAAAAACAAAGGCGCATTGTAGCCTCACTTTCGTCAAGCGACACGGTACATCGATGAATCTTGCTTCTTGAATGAAGAATACTGAGAAGTGTCTAGCGTTAGGTAACTATGCTCAAAAGCACAAGCAACATACCTTCACATGAAGGTAGCATTCAAACAATGCAGAATGATTTGGTACTAATGTTTCGAAAAATGATGCGTCTAATACAAACAGGCCGTACGCAGAACCTGCTGCATTTACAGCTGATAAATGGACTTGTGGCGTGAAAGGGGCGCGCGACGTATCGGATTCATCGACAAGTTGAGGATCTCGCTGGTACACAGTCATCCAGCAGTACTCATGAATCCTATTTAAGCATTGCAGAATGCGTGCGAGGTCTTTCGTCAGACAGTTCTGGAATACATACCACGGACCCTTTCGCTTGTGAAGACGATTTCCATTCACCAATTGACTGTACAGCGCGTGTTACGAAGTGCTACAATGTGGAGTTGACAAATGAGGTTCCGGCGCGACAGATGAAACATTGAAATCTTGATGACTCATCCCTGCACACAGTGATGTAGGAATTATGGCTGGCGGTGATAAGGCTTATCGAGTACTAAGCTTCCTTGGTATCTTCGAATTTAACGGCGGCGTATCAGTTGCACACAGTATGGCGGAGCAATTGAAATCAGCTTTCGTTTTAAAGAATCAAAGTGTGCGTATAAGTGCTTGCTCTTACACATACAGAATCAAGCGGCATTTTTAACGTTCTTGACCGCAGGTTTTCCAGCGAAGGACGATACGCCTGAACTGCTCATGGCGCTGGAACGGGGTGGCGCTGATGTTATTGAGCTTGGCATGCCATTCTCCGACCCTCAGGCAGATGGGCCAGCGATTCAGGAGAGTAACCGTATTGCTTTGCAGCAAGGTGTAGATTATGCCATGTGCTTGAAATATATCAAGGAGGCACGGTCGAGAGGGCTAAAAGTACCTGTGGTGTTAATGGGCTATTATAACCCGATCATGGCTTATGGTGAAGAACGCGCAGTTCACGATGCAAAATCGGCGGGTGCCAATGGTTTCATCCTGGTGGATCTTTTGCCCGAGGAGGCTGGTACCTTCTTGAACGCTTGTCGCAGGGAAAAAATGGCATTTGTGCCACTCATTGCACCAACCACCGATGTTAACCGGATTCGCTACTTATCTTCACTCGCTGATGCATTTATATATGTGGTATCGCGTCTTGGTACGACTGGTGTATCGGCCTCTGTATCAAGCTCGTTGGGCGAGCTCATGTCTAGAATCCGCTCGGCGACAGACTCACCACTCGCTGTAGGCTTTGGCGTTTCAACACGGGAGCACTTTATCGAGGTTGGTGCTCTCTCGGAGGGTGTTGTCATCGGAAGCAAACTTGTTCAATGTCTGAAGGAATCGGAGGCTACCACCGAAGCACGTGCGAAAGCGGCTTTCGAGTTCTGCGATGGCATCACTGGAAAAAGTCAGGGCGGCCTGCCACGCGCCAAGCCCCTTGTTGTTAAGCCACCAATGAGCACCCATGTTGCACCCGCGAGTAGTGTTGCGAAAGAAGCCCGATTCGGTGATTTTGGTGGTCAGTTCATCCCTGAGGCGCTCGTCCAGTGCCATCGGGAACTAGAGCAAGCGTACAATGCTGTCCGCACAGACCCTACTTTTTGGAAGGAGTACCGCGATCAGTTCAACTATATTGGGCGACCTAGTGAACTGTATTTGGCGAAACGCCTGTCAGAATGGGCTGGCGGTGCTCAAATCTGGCTGAAACGTGAAGATTTGAACCATACAGGAAGCCACAAGATCAACAATGCTATCGGACAGGTCCTGCTCGCTAAGAGACTAGGAAAGACTCGCATTATCGCAGAAACTGGTGCTGGTCAGCATGGTGTGGCTACTGCTACGGCGTGTGCCAAATTCGGCCTGGAGTGTGTTGTGTACATGGGTGCTGAGGATGTTCGACGTCAATCGTTGAATGCGTTCCGCATCCGTATGCTGGGAGCTAAGCTCATCGCTGTTGAGAGTGGGAGCAAGACGCTCAAGGATGCGATCAATGAAGCAAATCGCGACTGGGTATCGAACATTCACAATACGCACTATCTTGTTGGCTCAGCAATTGGACCACATCCATTCCCCACTCTTGTGCGTGATTTGCAATCAGTCATTGGAGAAGAGACAAAAAAGCAACTGCAGGAACAAGCAGGCTGTCTCCCAAATGCCGTTCTTGCGTGTGTCGGTGGTGGCAGCAATGCCATTGGCATGTTCCATCCATTCGTTAATGACGAATCTGTACGCCTCATTGGCGTTGAAGCTGGTGGTCAGGGTGTCGATACTCCGTATCATTCGGCTACCTTGGCCGCTGGCAAGGTTGGAGTATTGCATGGCGTACGAACGTACCTGCTGCAGGATAAAGATGGTCAAGTAATCGAGACGCACTCGATCAGCGCTGGACTTGACTATCCGGGTGTAGGTCCTGAGCATGCGTATCTAAAAGACAAGGGACGTGCGGAGTATATGGTGGCAACTGATTCGCAAGCACTGCTAGGCTTTAAATGGCTTACTGAACAAGAGGGCATTATACCTGCACTTGAAACGAGTCACGCACTGTATCAGGCAGTAATGCTGGCCAAAACCATGCAGCCTGAGCAGCACATTGTCGTGAGTCTGAGTGGCCGTGGCGATAAGGACGTTGAGCAAGTGGCCGATGGACTCAGTAAACAAGGCTGGGGCGATGCTATTGAGTGGTCTTTACCTTCCTTGATACACAAGTAAGATGTAAGTAGATATTGGAATGCAATCGTTTTGTTCACTATAGTCCAACATGATGGGCGCAAAGCCAGAATTTTTTATGTGGATGGACCATTGTTTCCATCAAGCATTTGAAGCAGAGCACCATGGCGTGCAGGACCACCAGCTTTGTATATGAGGTAGTCGCGCAACGGGTCACGTAGACTTGGCTGCTTTCTTACGAGCTCGAGCAGCTGAGGAGCTGGGAGCTGCAGCATGGCTCCGAACGATGTGGGGGCTGGCAAATTCGCGCACAAAGCAAAACCATCCCAGAGACGGGGCTCCTTCCCAATTTCTTTTTGCACAAGACGCGAAAGCAACGACGTCGAGACGTACGAACCCAAGGTTCGGAACGACTTGGTCGCCATGATTGCTGTGCGCATGAACAACATTGGCAAAGGATTTTCGTCCACGAGCCGATTCAGCACAGCTGTCAGGACATCGCTGCGGAATACCTCGCTCATTGAAAAGCAAAGCTGTACAGCCAAGAGCGACGCCTTTAGCCCAATCTGTTTTTCGTGTACATGCAGCAAAACCAACAGCTCAACAGGCGTCAGACTCGCTGTCGTCGTAGGCTGCTTACTTGCCGTTTCAGCACCGGCTGCCTGCATGGCTGGGGCCACGAGCGTTTGAAATAGATGATGCACAGCAACTTTGTGCTCTTCTGACCCATCTGCGAGCACTGACACAACGCGTGGCAAAGCATGCATCATAGCGTCGCGATCCAGCTGAGGAACAAGCGGTAACAGATACTCCACGGACAGGTCGCGAGTCTCAACCAAGTCACGTACAAGCTCGGCAAGAGCGCGAGTGTGGCCTTTGTCAGTAAGAATGCGCAGGATCGCAACGACCAGTGTGTCAGCGCCCTCCGGATATGCGCGCAAAACATCGAGTAATGCCGTGCTGTTTGGTCCGACAGAACGAGCGACAGGCGTAACATGTTTTTGCATGGCCGCCTGAACAGGAGCCGGCACATGCGGGTATATTCGCACAACTTCGGCGAAGAAGCTTGGCTGTTTCACACTCAACACAAGCGCAAGCTCAATGAGACGCAACACATCTTGTTCACTTAATCCGAGTGGGTCTGCTGCCGTTTCATCCGCCTCTTCAGCCTCTACACTGGTATCCTGAGCCTCCTCTTGAGTCTCATTGGCACGGGCTTCTTCAACCAACAGCTGGAGCGACTCGCGAGCAAATGACAGCACCACTTCTGCAAGAGGCCCTTTTTGCAACACCCATGTACGTGCCGTCACAATAGCACGTCCACGAACGAGTCGCTCGCTATGACGTGTTAGCTGCAAAACTTTGTGACACACCGGCACACGGAGAGGGGGCCTTGCAGCGCTCACATCGCGGAGCAGTGAAAATCCCTCACCAATTGTACTTCGATCCAGACATAGTTCATACAAACGATCCAGGACCACGAGAGGGACTTGCGGCAATTCACGCAAGAACGTGCCAAGAGCAATGTCATCGATGTTGGGTGAACTAAGCTGCGTATCCAACATCTTATCGAGACACATGAGATAATGCTCAGACTGAGCACCCTGTTTCTGGCGCAGTCTGTCACAGGCCCATTCCTCCATAAGCCATTGAAGTGCAATACCGCGACGAGCACTAAAGTCCTGACTTACAAAGTCCAAAAGTAGTGCACGCACTTTATCAGCCTGAGCCTGGAGTTCAGGCGGTGGTGTCGCATTAGTTCCATACATATCGAGTCCACGGGTCGCCAGGCGCACGACCAACTTGATCCACAATGCGGCATGACCTTCGGAGGCCCGCTCTAGGGCTTGAGGTGGCACGAGCTGACTGCCAGACTCACAGATTCGTGTTACTGAGTCAATAATAAGCGCCTGCGCTTCGCGTTGCTCCAGGCGTGCAGGCTCAGGCAACTCAAAATGCTCTAAGCTAGCTAGTGGTGCTGTGTCCTCTGCCTCCAATCCTCCCGATCCAGCGTCAGAGGTGATAGCTGTGCCAGGAGTCGTGACGGCGGCGCCCGCAGCTGACGCAGGAACCACAGGAACGTCCTCATCACCCACATCCATCTTCAGTGGATCCACAGGTTCCGTAGGCGCAGCTGGCGACACAGCACTCACAAACGAAGCGATTGCAGTCTTCAGTCGCTTTTCGGGCACGCTTTGCAAGCCCGCGATGATAGCATCAACTACTTGCTCCAACGGTAGTCGCGCAATATCATGGGCCGTAAGTCCTGCAGGCCGACGAGGATCAGTGGGAGTCGAGGCGCGACTACGTTTGGAGGCCATCACGCCGTCCGAATCTTTGAGGGCTTCGCGTTTCCGTGACAAGCCATCTCGTTGTGCTGCTTGAGCCTCGCGCAAGGCCACATCCATACGTTGTTTCTGCCGCTCAAGAGCATGCGTGAGCTGCGTCGTTTGCGGCTCCACAGATCCATGTTGAAGGAAATGCACCATCGCGAGTCGGACAGTATTTTCTACACTGCGGATGTGTACAGGTGCAAGGGATGTCAACGCAGACGGAGTCCAGCTCACGAATGCTTCAATCACTACCTTGTTCAATTTGGAGCGCAGACGTGCAAGTCGCGTAAGCACTTGTGTTACGCCCATGACAAGACTGGGAGCTTTGCATGTGTAGAGGAGTGCCACAAGCTTTGTAAACACCTGATCAGCTTCACCTTCAAGCGTCGCTGTCTGCAGGAAAGGATGGTCAGGAGGTACAGCATTCAGGTTGATTTCTGCGCGGTTTTGAAGCTAAACGTGTGCGTTAGTACTCATTGTCAGAGTGTACAGGCAGCGTTACCGCAGTGACAAGTCACACGCCTGGTGTGCACAGCTCACTCAGCAAACACCAAATTTATACGTTACATACCCTCGGATCACCATCTGGTCTTGTTTGAACTTGAATGAGACGTTGGCATGCTTTCGCTGCTCCAATGCGCGCACCTAACGCCCCACCGTCAAGCGTCAGTTGAATACGCTCCTTGATAGCAGTGACAATCTGCCAGAGATGGTGTGAAACAGGTGAACGATCCTGGTTCACATAGAGAAACACTCGTGGGTACACAGAGGCAAAGCACTCACACGCCAGCTTTGCATACGTAGCCATAGGATCGGCAAGGAGCACCATAATTGCTGCCGGGACGTGTAGGGTTACTGCGGCAATGTAAGTGAACTGTCCATTTCTTATATATATATATATATATACGTACATCTTTCACGAACATCTGCGCCGACAATTCGTCTGCCAAAAAGCAGATCAACGACCTCGGCAAGGCGATGAATACCATCCGGCATACGTAGGTCAACATGGTACATGCCACCAGTGGCCTGGGTCAGCGCGCCACACAGCGACTGGATAGGATCAACCGTCGCCATGGTGACGCCTGTGTACAGTCAGGCCAACAAAACTAGTGCTCGAGCAGAGCACTATAGTCGAGGACGCGTTTTTTTTCTGCGCTGCCGGAACGACAAACCGACAAACTGGAATAGGATGTGACTGCGATGGCGGAGGCGCTCAAGACGATGATGATGTAAAACCACGTGGCATGGCCCGTTGTGCGCGCGACGCTTGATCTGAGTTGGTTGGTCAATGCCAGGAAGTGCCTCCCCAGCCCTCCATCCATCCATCCATCCGTCGCCTTGATTGTAAGAAGCGGAGCTCGACGTTATGGTGGCACAAAAGTCTCAAGGAATCCAGACACTCTTGGAGGCTGAAAAAGAGGCGACTAAGATCGTCGATCAGGCTCGTTCATGTACGTGAAATGCTCTATCATTTGACGAGCGCGTGTGCATGGCACATGCAGATGCACACACACACACCTATGCTAGAACTCTTGATGCTAACTAATACTTTCAGACCGGACTAAGAAATTGAAGGAGGCTCAAACTGAGGCTGAAAAGGATATTTCAAAACTGAAGGAGAGAAAGGAACATGAGCTCGAAGAGTACAAGAAGAAGTTCGAAGGTACACAATCGTCCGCGCAAGATAAAATCGACCGTGAGACAAAGGAGCAACTGAAGGAAATCGAAAATGCCTTTAGCAAGAAGCATGCAGAGCTTATAAAGAAACTTTTGGAGCGTGTTGGCCAGGTTGACCCCAAGCCACACCGGAATTTGCACAAGATTGAGGCATAATTGTTATATATCTACATGGTATCTAAAGCGCCCCCATAGTCCGAAATCCACACTGCCCCACGAATACTTGCGAGACATATAATCCCACGAGCATCATCAACCGCAGACTCTGTCAGCATGTCAACGCGACTTGATGGCGGCGGCACTGTGGAGCTTGTTGTTGAAGTTGATGAGAAAGAATCCACACGAACTCGTCGTGGGCACGGCGCAGAAGCGGTTGCAGATGGTGAGGCAGAACTAGGTGCCGAAGGAGGTACAGATGCTGGAGCCGAACCAGGACCCCAGTTTGACGAAGGTAGAGGTGGTGTAGGTGAAGTCAAACCTGCCGTGGGTGATGCTTGTGTTGTCACCAACGATGACAAAGGTACACGTGAAGCCAGCTTTTGATACCGACTTGAGGCGTATTCTGCATCAGGAACGACCATCTCAGGTGTCGGTCGAATAACACACAGCACATTGTCTTTTGAATAAGCCCGTGCTAGGCACATGGGTGGCACACCACCCAAGCTAGATGTAAGGAGGCCTCGTCGGCCTGATGCACCAATGGATGCTCCTACAAGTCGCTCATGCCGAATTTCAACGCATCGCAGCTGCTTGGGACACTGCTTCCAAGTTCCATGCTCCCATTGCCAATGTGTGAGACAAATTGGATCCACGCATAAGAATGCTAAAGGCAGCGGTAGATGCGCCGTCGGTCCCGTTCCAGGATCCGAGGTTGACGTTGATGTCGAGCACGAACGAGATTCTTGCGTGTCGGCAGCAAAATCGCTGAACGATATACTCAGAATTGGACGTTGCGATATCGTGTGGTCAGCCACAAGGTTCGCCTGGATCGTATTGTGTCGTTCATACACGAGTACAATGCCCAGTCGAGTAACAGCAAGAAGGTGCGTAGGCAGCAGCTTTAAAGCCGCTATGGAGCCGCGCTCAGTAAGTTCCAATGCACAACGCTCACCAGTACGCCAGTCAAGTAAGTGGATCCTTCCCGTGTAAGCACCAACGGCAACAACATCGTCCAGAAGTGACACACATTGAGTTCCTCCCCATTCGGGAGGGTCAAGCGAAGCGCGGAGGTCCATGAAGCGGGGAGGCGCATCGATGTGCAGCTCGTAAAGCAGGCACGCAGACGAACTGTAGTACGAGCCGACAGCTATTTTTATTATACGCGTAGCTTCGTCAACTTGTGCATCAATAGATGCCACATCGCCACCGGTATCGACTTCCGCCACAAGAAACGCATTTGATGAGCGTCGGATATCAGTCTCTGGGTCAACAGACGTTACTGAGTCGTCATCGAGCACAGCATTTTCTTCTTGCGCATGTATAGAGAGGGTATCTTCTTCAAGCTCATCCGTGACGTCGACTGCGCTTGGTGAATGCCGCATAGCACGGTATAGATCCCATACACGCACAAATCCATCGACGGACCCAGTGATGACCCAGTATTCAGAATGTTTAGACCCGGGTATAAGCCTAATGCTGGTGATCCTGTTGACATGAGCACGAAATCGAATAACGCGCCGTGGAGTTGCGCCGTGTTCCTTCCATGCCTTCGAAACCTGGTCAGCAACAACCAGCGAGTATTCTAGCATTTTGGCTCGTTTGTTATTTGTTGCGCATGAGACCGGCAGGACTGGAATGCCTTGGTCTACGTATTGCAGTTGTAAAGCATGCCAGAGTGCGTACGATGTACCTGCTATGTACATAGCGCGCATCGTCTGCTTTGTTAGTGTGTCATTTTGGCGGGATACAACGCGTACGTACTTTCCGAACGCTCAAGATCTCAACTGGATCTAGCAAGCGGAAAATTAACACCCACACTTCAACGGGCATACGATACACTGCAGCTTGCGCCGCAGGGTGATGTACGCCCTGAGCCTGCACCATGTGAGCTGCCACTGAAGATGACGTGACGACCAATCTGGAAGGGTTGGCTACAGATGGCCCTTGCTCGACACGTAGTTCCTCCACGCGCCACCAGGCAATATATGACTTAAGGTCGTTCGCACCTGCAAGATATGAAGGTACACATTTTGCCGCGCTTATTCGAGCTCGCGACAGTCTAGCGCCCCACCTCCACAGGCGTCCCAGTCTTGGTACTTGCAAGAATATTACACGTTAAAAAAGCCGTGACTGATTAAGTGACTGTCGAGGGAAGAATCGACGTGGTCCAATGTCAAATGATAATGCGGCTCGTATTGCCCCATTAGACCTCGACGATGTGCGCCGGATTTCAGGTGCACAGGTGTTGCCAGATATGCGCGCGGCCGTTAAAGAACTCATTGAGAATGCCATGGACGCACAAGCCACGAACATCGAGGTCCGTTTTAAGGACTATGGCCTAACACTTATCGAAGTCTCTGACAACGGTACAGGTATTTCAAAAGAGAACTTTGATGCGCTGGGTAAACGGCATTGTACCTCGAAGCTGACATCTTTCGACGATCTCACGAGCGTTGAAACGTATGGCTTCCGTGGTGAGGCTTTAGCTTCCTTGTGCACGGTGGCTCGTGTGAAAATTATCACAGCGACACAGAGTGAGGCACCTATGGGGACTGTACTAGAATTTGATCACTTAGGAAATCTAACTTCCAGCGACAAGCGACAAGCACGGCAACGTGGCACAACCGTCATTCTTAGCGATCTTCTTGCAAGTCTGCCTGTTCGACGGCGCGAACTGGAAAAACATGTTAAACGTGAATACAATAAAGCACATACTATGCTGCAGGCGTACGCATTAATTAGCCAAAATATTCGCTGGGCATCGTCTATCCAGACGACGGTCAATGGCAAGCCACCTGTATCGCAGCTTATGCTTCGTTCGGCCACCGGACCGAATTATATTCAGATGAACATGGCCGCTCTTTTCGGGAAAAAGGCCGGTGCTGCAGTCCAATCATTCGATTTGAATGTGTCACTCGACGAACCAGCGCATTTCCATGGAGTCATGTCGAAGCCTACGATGGGCCAAGGCCGCAGTAGTGGCGATCGGCAATACTTCTATCTGAATGGGCGTCCGTGGAACTGTCCAAAACTCGCACAGATATGCAATCAGGTCTACAAAATGTTTAATTCGACGCAGTACCCATGTGTCGTCGCCAACCTAGTCATTGGCACGCATACCTATGATGTCAATGTGAGTCCCGACAAGCGCACGTTGTACGTCCACCAAGAGGCCGCTTTGTTCGACCGGATTCGCGAAGCTCTGGAAGTTACATTTAATCCAAGTCATGGCGTTTTTACTGTCAAGTACCCTGTAATATCATCTCCCGCCGTGTCCGAGAAACACGACCGTGAAATCGAGCTACCCTGCAAGTCGCCAAACACGTCAGAAACTCCTCGTGAACTAGCAAGTCCCTCTAGGTCATTAGAAATCGAACAAGGAGCTACCAAATCATCAGTTATACCAGAAACAATCTCTATTTATGATGCCTCATGGGCGGCGCCACCGTCGTCGTCAACATCTGGAATGCACGTGCCTGCAGCTTCGACAGCATCGCCATCGTCAGGTGAAAGCTCTATGCAGTCCCAGTTCCGCCGTGCAGTAGCTAATTTTGCTCGGAAACGTCCTTCTACGATACGTGCATTAGAGTATGAAGAAGCAGATGCAGAAAATGACGAAGAGCATGCCTGGACTGACGAGGACCATGACCATCATGATGATGTTGAACAAATGGCTACTTTGAGTCACGGGTCGTCAGTTCGCAACCAGCTTTTTTCTCAAAGCACGGTACAGCCGCCGGAAGAGCAGCGGGAAGGCGACTGCGATCAGAGAATTCATACACCTAGTCAAGAGAGCTCGATCTCTGAGGAGAGCGTGATGAATGAGGCTCTGAGCCAACAAGACCGATTGGGTCAGGACTTGTCGGATAAGTCACCTTCTACCCATCGTGCTCGAAAACGAAATAAAATACATGCTTTAGAATCATCGAATTCAGAAGTTCTGTTTTTTGACAACCAAAATGATGAATCTATGCCTAACACCGAGGTCCATGGCCTACAACAAGGAACATGCCATGCATCAACACCTCTATCCGTCGGCGACACTGATATTGCAACAGGCGAGCTTGCTAGAAGCCATGAAACTGTCACGCGAGGCACGTTGAAGGAGGCTCGGGACCAGGCATGCTTGAATGCACAGGCTTCAACAAATGTATTTCAAATTGAGAAGCCACAAATACAAGTGGATCATGAGCCTGTGGCTGTTTTGTCGTATGATCTTGCAGCTTTACGCCATCGATGGACTGCTGCTTCTGTATCAGCTGCACCTACACCTATGCTGGGCGCAGACATCGAACAAACAAATGAAAACGCTGCGGCTGTAATGGAGCGCGTTATACCCAAAAAGGATTTCTACACAATGCGTGTCGTAGGTCAGTTCAATTTGGGCTTTATTATCGCGCGGCGCGACACGCCATGTATGGACGACTTGTTCATCATTGATCAACACGCTGCCGATGAAAAGCACAATTTCGAAGATTTGGAACGACACACAAAAATTTACAGTCAACCACTCGTTGTGCCACAACGCATTGAGCTAGCGCCTACTGACGAGCTTGTGGCGCATGAGCATCGTGAATGGCTGTCTAAGAATGGCTTTGACATTGATTTGGACGAAAATGCTCCACCTGGATCGCGTGTTCGTTTACTTTCCAAACCCGTAAGCAAGGGAACAGTATTCAATGTACAAGGTTCGTGGGTTGGGTGACTCCTGCGGCAATCTAAACTGACTCACAGATTTCGAGGATTTATTGTCCCAACTACGTGACACACCTGTCGGTCAAATGGCCCGCGTGCGCTGTGGTAAAGTATATGACATGCTAGCGAGTCGTGCATGTCGGAAAAGCATCATGGTAGGCTCAGCACTGAGTATGCGGACAATGCGTCAAGTCATACATAATATGGGCGACACAGATCAGCCATGGAACTGTCCACATGGCCGCCCAACTATGCGTCACTTGACAACATTACACGTGCAGCATGTGCCTCGTCCGATTGCATGGTCAGTCTTGCCTCTTTTGTAATGCAGACCCATAATCATCCTCTATCCAAAAAAATGGTGCATCTCACACACCAACACGGACGTGAGGTATTGTTAGTGAAGGACAATAGACATGAGCGGTATTTTCTTTTAGACTCACGCGGCCATTTCATGTGGAGGTCGAATACACATGGGGACCGTTATCTCATGCGTTGGAAACCCAAATGGGCCAATTGCCCATGCAGGCTTTCGACGTAACGTGCAGCAAGACGATCGGGTCGTCAGGCACGACTAGTTAACATGAGTGATGATGGCGTTTCACTGGCATGGAACGCTGTAGTTCATGCTGGAGAAGTGCTGGAAAGGCTTAAGGATGCGATGTTCATTGTCGAAGAGCTGCGGCAGTCACATGCTGACATTTGGGATGCGCATACAGATGCAAGTCCAGGTCGGTTGCTCCTTGCCCTGGACGATGCGCGTGATCGACTTGTACATGCGCGCGATAGGGCAGAGGACGCTGCCAACATGCCCGTCGCTTCGCAAGAATCATCGCAACTTTCTCGTACTCGTGCATCTCTGCATTCCGAATTTGTTCGTGTGCATGCCGATGCTCTAGATCTCGAGCTGAGACTCGAAAGTGATCGCGCCTTGCTTGTTTTGTATGATGCATGTTTGCAATTTGAACGGCATATGAATCATCTGGAAGCAGCTGTGGGTCGCAACAGTGATACGCCAGATGCGAAAAGCACACTCCAAGCAAAAAAGCAGCACATTATTCCTGCATGTGAACGTTTACTCGTGACGATCCGAAGTAGTCGTTCTATAAGCAGTCAACTGCCTGTGCAAGCACGCCTAGACTGCATCGAATCACGATGGGCTTCACTCCGGCAGCAGTGTGATAACGTGGATGTGAATGAGACTGCTGAACGTATGAATGCGAATCTGAGTGTGAGTCCGCCAAGTGGCAAGAGACGCGCTATTGAGCAGGAGGATACGCGGAAACGACGCTGGTCACTAGGGACACCTAGTCGCCTTCCACGCACCCCGGTCAACAAAATAGGCTCACGTATACCAGGGTCTATACAACGGATCCGTTGCAATGAACAGGGTCTATGCCGATTCGCCCCCCATGTCTGCAGAGGGGCCGCGATGGACCGGCGTGTTGGCTAGTGGCTCCAGAACTTCAGGTGTCTCAATTAGCATGAGGCAACATTGACACCTTCTTCGCCTAGCATAGCAAACGAGGGGCGTGCCAAATCTGCGCTGGAACATCATCGCCCACCATCGTCGCAAGGCAGACGACTTCGACGTCGAGAATCCATGCTCCCGAGACTCTCGCGAGATTCTTCGTCAGCATCGTCCTCCTTACTCTCTACGCCATATGCTCATTCTGTACCTAGAGTACCGCCGATCCCTGCTTCATATGTGACGTCACCTGGTTTGGATCGTAGTCGCTCACGACTTCGAGCGCATCCATCAACGCCCATCTTATCAACGCATGCAAATATGGATCGCTCTCCTACGGCAGGAAGAACAACACCACATTCAACAGGACGTACAACACCGGGCCATGCGACTCATACTGGTCGCACGACACCTGGTCGAGCCACGCCTGGCCTCCATTCTTCTAGGTCAAGATACGTGCCGGACATGAAGGACCCACTGGATATTGGGGTCGCCCGGATATGCAACTCACGAAACGTATCGCTGGAGCGAATGGATGAGACTGGAAGACCAGATGGTGATTTGATCCATCGATACACAGTGCTTTCAAAGACAGTAGCATGTCGATTACTTCGTATGGTATGTACGAGTAGAGCCCAACAAGACGAGGGCACACCAAGACTCGAATGCAATGGAAGCTGACTCTGTACAAATAGCATCGGCCCGAGCATCCCTGCGATGTGGACCCGCGCAATGTACAAGTGCGCGTAGGAGGTGGATGGCTAGAGTTGGACATGTGGCTGGATGCGCGGGTTTGAGTACACAGATGAGCACACCACCTAATTCTCTTTTTTCTCCTCTCCTTCTCTCTCCCCCTTAGGCGCGCCAAACCAGAAAAGCCATTGTACCAAGATCTGGAGTCAGTCAAGTCACGATGACATACAAAAGTAGATGAAATGTTTCGATTCTGACAACATCAGTAAGACTCACATGCAATCACGGTCGACTTACCGTGGGTAACAAAGCTACCAAAACTTCGACCAACAATAACATGCCACGTAGGACCGAACCGATCGTCCGATGTGCGCTTAATATGCGCCGCCATGTCCTTTTCTACTGCAAAACGAACCATCGCATCCGCGGCTAGTTCAATCACAGCTAACTGCATGTCCTGTTCCATGTCCACATTCTTGATGATAGCCCTAGGCGTCTCGTCAGACGAGACTGGTGGCACAGAGTCCTGATTCCGTGCTTCCATCTCTCGCACAATCGCGTCAGAGCGCGGTGGCCTTACGGGATGTATGTTGTTTTCTAAGCTAAGCATTGTGCTTGTGCAACGGCAGGTGCGATTCGTGTTGTCACGTGATGTTCTTTTCTCGCGTTTTCACTTGGTGTGAGCCATCATTTTGGTTCTTTTTTTCCATCAATCATTTGTATGGATCCATTCTGCTCGACCGGCTTGGACTTCTAATAGTCCTATCGCGCCGACTCGATTCCTGGTAGGGTCCTAGATCGTGTCTGCATATGCAGACATGCTTGTGCATATCTGGTTTCGTGCTGTAACAAGCCGAGTCGTACTGTCGTTTACGTCACATGGCATGTGCGGCGGGAGTGTACATGCCACATTTGTAGAGTCACTGCAGCAGTTTGTGCATATCTCTCGGGTCAGTAGTATGCGCAGTGTATGTAGCACATATTCCGGTATTTGTTAATCATTTTAGTCGTTTTCCTATATCTGCTCCGACCACGCCTAGTTCTCTGTCTGCTACTGTTGTCAAGTGCTTAACTCCTGACTTTGAATACGACCTACCTCCACGACCACATTACCTGGACTCCTGCGGCAGGCATGGCAGATTCAGCGGCTGTAAAAGCGAGTGACGTCGCCCCTGTGAAGAAGGACAAGAAGGCGGCAAAGGAAGCAAAGCGTGAGCGTCGTGCTGCGGCCAAGTCAGATGCGCCTTCACAAACTCCGACGGCGCCGAGCGGCAAAGGAGGCCTGCGCCCAGCGGCCTCAGCGCCCAAGGTTAAGGACACTGCCGTTTCAACCAAAGCAGTCACAGGATCGTTAGATGAAGACCTTTCAACCGTGGGCGTGCTCGGTGATGCTTCACTTTTTGGCAACGTGACACTACCTCGCAATGCGCGCGTGAACTCCGCTAGCTGGAGCACAGCTTTAGCTCGTGGCACTATTCATCCCGCTGTGCTGGATTTGTGCCACCAGATGTCAACATTCGCCATTCGTGGCGCCAATAAGCGTGCAGTCGCTGTACTTCGTGCATTATCTGCCGTCATCGAGGACTACAAGACCCCACAGGGAGCCGTACTTAGCCGCGACCTGCTAACGCGTGTTTCGCAACAGGTCGGTTTCATTGTCGAGTCGCGTCCGCTGAACACGGCCTCAGGACACGCCGTTCGGTTCCTCAAATATGAAATCAGTGTTGTCGATGCGTCGCTAAGCGAAGATGAAGCGAAGGAGCACTTGATTGGTCGTATTGAACATTTCATTCGTGACAGGATTGTTTATGCTGCTAAGGTGATTCAAACTCATGCAGCGTCAAAGATCCACGATGGCGACGTTGTTTTGACTTACGCACATTCCTCTGTCATTGAAGGCACATTGATCCACGCTCACAACCATGGCGTTAGATTTGAGGTGATAGTGATCGACTCACGCCCGCTTTTTGAAGGCCGGCTGCTCGCTGAACGACTGCTGGAAGCGGGTATCCCAACAACATACGGTCTGATTGCATCTTTAAGCACACTCGTACCTCGTGCATCAGTTGTACTTCTCGGAACGGCATCCCTCCTTTCGAATGGCGCACCATATGCTCGTTCTGGCACCGCCATGTGTGCTATGATGGCACATGGCTTTGGTGTACCTGTGATTATTTGCTGTGAAACGTACAAATTCAGTGACCGGATTCAACTGGACAGTTTCGTCGTAAACGAGGCTGGTCAAAGTAGTGATCTCTTGTCCCAAGAAGATGACAATACGCTGACAGACAGTGTTCTCCTTACGCGAGCTGAATGTGGCGCACAGTCACGACTGAAAGTTGTGCAGTTGCTGCATGACGTCACACCGCCTCGGTACGTGAGTGCGATTGCATCCGAAGTTGGCCTTAGTGGCACGGAGAGCGTGGGTGTGATTCTTCGAGACTACAAGAGCGTTCTTTTCGGTGTATAGTCATGTCTGAAGCAGGCACAAAATGTGTCGTACATAGTAATGCTACTCGAAACAGGGGCTAGGAGGAATGCTTAGCTTGAGCTGTTTGAGTCATGGAATCGACATGCGCCTTTACCATGGTTTATGCATCAATTGGCATTTGCATTAATGGGAGCTCAGGCCTCGATCGTATGGCCTAGAATGAGCTTAGAATAACTGTGGTCTCACGCACCAACGACTCAGCCCGCTCGCTCCCTCCCCCAACTATGCGGTCAATGTTACACACAGTCCTTGCTTTTGATCGCGCTCGTAATCGCTTACAAACATAAATACATGGACGAAACGCGATGAAGGGATCTCTCTATAGAATAAACTGCTGCGATAATCGAACAAAAATAGTTGTCTCGGCGTCCGGGCAAAGCTTCCCAGTTCTTTCCAAAACAAAATGACTATCATGGCAGAGAACAACAGTGAATAAACCGGCTCGTAGGAATGCACGAGCGTGGGACCACGTCGATAGGTGGTGCATGGCAGATTTAAATCAATGACTTGACCCGCAATAAGCAAAAGATCATAGAGCTACAGCCCCATGTACTCAAGTGCGTCATGCGTCTTCCCGCACGTAATTGCCAGGAAACACGCCCTCAATACCGTGCAAGCGACCAGTCCACCAATCCTCAGTACTAGGCGTGCGCTTGATAACTTCGATGCGGTCGCCAGCCCTAAATGACAAGTCACCCTCAGCCGTTGCTGCATAGTCATACAAGGCTACGACATAGTCAGCAGCCAAAGCACTAGGTTTGGTGGTGTCGGAAACGGTGGCTGCACCTGCCGCACTAGGCGTATACGCTGGCGGGGGTGCTGCAGCAGAGGTAGCTGTTGCTGTTGGAGGCACTGTAGCCGCGCCAACCTTGGCACCAGTGCCAGTGGTTGATGGAGCACTTACAGCTGAGGGAAGTCCTTTGGGTCGAGAACTGAGCGGTGCACCAGCCTTGGCCATTTGCAGAATACGGGCTGTTGGTGGTCCGGGTTTTTGAATGGAAAATGAATCGAATTCAGCCAAAATATGGCTCATGTCCATGGCAAATTTGTGCTCATGAGAAATGAGGTTGTTTTCTGACAAGTCAAAACGGCCTTCGGCATATGACTTGAGTTTCTCCATAGACAGGTAAAACACATTGAGTTGCATGTAGTACAGAGAATAGAAAAGTGGGCCGATGAACTTGGTGGCCATGGCAAGGAATTGAGGCAGTTCAGCTTTCAACAGATTGTTATGATGTTCATAATCCGCTGCAGCCGCTTCACAGTCGTGCTCGAGCTTAAACATATGTTGGTCGTCTTTAGCGGAACGATTCTGCTTTTCCTTCAATTTTGTGTACGAGTTAGTGTGCCGGTCAAAGTCAATCAATTTGTGGTCGCGCTTCGTGATTGCTTTGTTAATGCTCTTGAGGACTTGTTCAACCTCTTGAATCGGCGCCACCACACGGGTTTCGATCAATTCAATCTCAGGACGCAATGTCTCGCGTATGTCATCAATGTATGTCACATAACCAGACAGATTGACCAAGGTCTGAACCGTCTCGGGGTGTCGGCGCTCAATGTCGTATTCCGTGCCAAACGGATGGAAGAGCGTACTGAACTCTGCTGCAAACAACGAGCACGACTCTAGCATCTCTACGCAAAGCGTTAGTCTTATGATTTCCACATACTTTTCACAGCATCCAAATACGTCTGCGACTCTTTCGACAGCTGCTTGATCAACTTCTCCATGGCCTCGAACTTGTGTCGCAAATGATCAAATTCCACATCTGTCGACTTAGCCGATATGCCCACTTTTGAAGTCACCATGTGCGGCGTCCGCTGGATGAATTTCGTGAACCCTTTCATGTTGTGTCGTCTTCGACGCTCTTGGTCAAGATCAAGTTGCCAATGCGGATCCTAAAACAACTGCCGAGGGACAGTGGCGAGGAACAACTGGGACTGTCGAGGATTCATGCCTGCCACATTACCTCGGTCGGCTCGTCCGCGAACAGATATGATTATGTCATCACTTGCTGAGTGCCTCAAGAACCTTGCCCTATCCAATGCTTGCATTTATGCAACTCGATCGTCAGCACGGACGTTCTCAGACCCATGGATATCTCTGCGGATGCTAAATCCTCTAATGCTAGTGCAACAGCAAGCAATATATGACTGACTCTGAAGTGTCATTCCTACGTATACATATTAGATGTAAAAGTACATGCATTTGATATAAGCGATTCACGACTGAATGTGTCCTTAGGACCAGGGAGCGCATCTGGAAAAGTATTTGTATGCTCCGCATAGTGAGGAATGCATTAGGGAATTGATATCCCATAGGCTTCCATAATTGTAAACGAGTGCAGCTAGTCTTGATGCACGTACACAAGCAGACCTCATATCCATCTAAGGCGACTCTTTCTTCTTGCGCAAACCCTTTGACTTGTCTGCCACAGCGGCTATTTTGGGTTGTTTAGGAGGGATTGCACCTGAAGCACGTCGTTTCGTACCTGTTTTGGGCCCATTAGATGCACTTGGTGGCTTACGAAAATCTTGACTTTTACGGAATGTCTCAGAAACGCGCCGATTTATGCTTTCGTCCATATCTTGATCTTCTTCGTTATCGCTAAATTCTTCATCATCTGTCGCGTCGTCGGAATAAGCAGGATCTAAATGGTTCTCAGAGCGTTGCGCTTTGGGTCGGTGGATCTCTTCTTTCCAAGCACCAAATTGTTGTCTGGTTGGAGTCTGATCCTCCGCTGTGGCATTGAGAAACCATGATTCCCATTGCTCTGGTTCTTGTACAGAATTTCTGGGTTTTACGCGAAAGTAAGAAGGTACGACCCATTGCTCAGACATTGATGAATCTGTAGCTGTTGTAGGACTTGGATCGACGTCCTCATCATCGTCATGACGCTCGCTGTTGAATCTCGTTCTGGACGAAGCGTCTGCTTTGTCCGCCTCTGCCTGTTCAGCTTCACGCTGAGCACCGCGTTGCATGAACTTGAGCCCTTGCAAACGGCTCGATAGCGCCTTGGTTGGCATGATGCCCGGCCAAAATGAAAATTACCTCGAATGTCCACTGAGTCGTGATGCGTGCGGAAGATGTGTCAGAGCAGAAAATTTAGGCCCTGATTTTTCGAGGGTTGACATGTGAAGGAGTGTCCTTAAATGCGTACAAATTTTTCAATTGCAGAGAAAACTTCGCACGTCCCCAACGATGAACCCACAGCGTCTAGAGCAGGACAGGTATGCGTACGAACACTCATGTTAGGGTAAAATGGGCGTCTATATTGTATGATGACGAGAAGAAAGAACCAATGCGTTTTTACTCAATAGCATGGCGCCTTTGTTTGGGCGATATCCGAGTAGATCAACCATCCGCCTGGCCATCGATTGTGCGGACGCAGAGACGAGCATACCGTCATTTATGTTCAAAATTTACGTTTGAAATGAAACATGCAAATAATGAACCAGCTATATCTGAAATTACGCATCCTTTGCAGGATGTACACAAGGTAGGTAAAGTGGGGAAAATCTGACACTAGTCCATCGGTCCAAAGCGAATGGACATCCAAGAGCTTTATTCGTTGATTGACTTGGATCTCGCCAGATCTAGCGAAAAATTATCCGAAATTGAAAAAAAGAGCGTGGCGCAAGTATTGCGTGTATGGGCACACATGCACCCCGAACCAGGTTATCGCCAAGGCATGCATGAGCTGGCAGCAAGGCTATGGAAGCTTCGTTCGTCCGAATCGTGCTTAATTGCATTAGCTACTGATACCCAAGAACCCAATTTATCTACACAATCGATCTTTCATGTACTTTTAATGCTTGAAGAAGTGGAATCTGATACATATTTTTGTTTTTCCGCGCTTGCAAACCGCTTAATACCATTGTACTATCAGTCCGAACGAGCTGGCTCACCGGCGCTCATCAAAGCTATATTGCATCGAGCAGACTCTGATCTTGGCGCACATCTGCAAGCTATCCAGCTTGACTGGGTACCTATTTTATTGAGATGGCATCGACTCTTATACATGTATGAATTTCCTGAAAACACATGTGTGGAACTATGGGACACCCTATTTGCCATTGACAGTACACTGCAGCTTGTGCCATACATCTCTACTGTCCTGCTTCTCTCACACCGGGACGAAATCATGAATGGAGACTACATTGAAGTTATGCAGCTTTTAATGCATATGCCTGACATAAAAATCCCTCGCAAGCTGGTTGAACTGGCCCTCCAGCTGTACAAGAACCCTTCTGCGAGTACCGGTGCTGCAGTAGCCACATCATACGGACAACACCCGCCACCGCCTGAGCCATCTAGCTCCCGGATTGACTTGGCGCGAACCATGTTAAGAGACCTAGCTTTAGGTCTTGTTTCGCAAGGTGCGAATCCCCAGCCAACATGGAGTCCAAGATCTGAAGATCGTCTCAATGCCGAAACACCGAATCACACAGAGCAGCGAAAACGTGCCATGCTCTCACTTGACAATGTACATGATCATTACTGAATTTGTGTAGAAGTAGTTTTTTAGATCTTAGACGAACGCCAAATGCTTTCTCATTGTACCCATTTGTATCCATTCCGTCAGCAACTAGTGTTGGGTATATTGCTGAATTCGCTATCGCATTTAGGACGGGCCCTGTTGTCCCATATGCTGAGGTTCTTGTCGCGTTGGGTAGTGGGGTCCACATACAGTCTGACTTGGTGCATGTTGTGATGATTCACGCGGCGTGTCTTGCTGTTTACTATTCCCGTCCCACTGCTGAGCTTGACGATGTGCGTCATGCTGCAATCCCTGTGGTACAGAGAATCGAGTTTCTTGCTCAGGTTGATACTGGTTTTGCTGTGCCTCCTGCTCCTTCATATATTTTGCTTCTTGCTCGACTAGCCGTGCTTTCTCTTCTGCTTTCTGTTGCGCTTCGTGTTGTACCTTTTGTATTTCAAGACGGTCGCGACGTCGCTCTTGTTGCGATTCCAAAATAGCCGCAACTTCGGCGGGCATTTGAGCTCGCACATAACCAATACCTAGGACACTTCCTTGACTTGGTGCGCGAGCCCAGGCTTCAGGTTCGGGCACCGCGCTAGCCGTAGGCTCGGACTCCGATTCCAGCTCAGGACCTCGCGATAAAGCCGCGCTGGACTTTGGCAAGTTAAAAGAATTTTTCACGGCTGCATGACAACGTTGCATCTCTTGTATTTCTCGCTGAAGTGCTGCGGCTGCGCTCGCCAATTGTTCCTTGTTCTTTCTCTCGTATGGAGAAGCCGGAGCTTTGAGCATGTCGAGACGCGTGCCGCCCATAATCTGATCCATAAGCTTATGATTCAAAGCATATCTAGCAGCAGACAAGTCACGCGGCGCAATCAGGTCAAGAGTATCAACAAGTGTGTCAGCAATGTCGTCTTCTTGCTCACGACCAAAAATGATGTTGTAATAGGGTCGCTTCTGAGCAGCTGCACTCGCTCCCGGCGCACGCGACGCGCGAGGCAAACTTGCACTCGCGGTCCTAGCTGGATCCCATGCCATCGACTGCGACTGAGTCTTGCGCTTGCGACCACGGAGCGAAGGCACATGCATCTCGCTCATCAAGTGTGCAATTTGATGGGACGCGCGAGTTCGGGCGGAGGTATGGACATGTGCGAGTGGCTAACACAGCGACATTTTTCAGTCAGCTGACACACTGGCGACAGGGCAGGATCAAATGAGGCAGCCTGCTGTACACGTGAGCTCCACGTGTGAGCATCCATCGAACTGCTTGGCAAGCCAAATAGGTGTTGGGTCGATCATCCACTCCCTTTTTGCCCTTCACACGCACGACTCTATTTGTGGCGGCAACGTTTACTTCATGCCAAACGACTGGTATGCCATCTTAGAGGTCGAGCCATCAGCCACGGCCGGAGACATTCGGACTGCTTATAGAAAGCAGGCACTTCGATCACATCCTGATCGAGCTGCTGCGGATAACAAGGAGCAAGCAACTGCCAAATTTAAGCTTGTGGCCGAGGCATATGAAGTTCTGAGTGATGATCGCCGGCGATGGGAGTATGATCGGTTTGAATATCCTCTCTTGTCAGGAGAAATGCCTGATGGTTTTGAACCGCAATCGTCAATGTCGCCTAACGGACACACGTTTGTGTGGGAAAGCAGCTTTGATTCAGCGCGGCGCGCACAAGGCCGAAATGGTGCAGATGCGTTTGGGCGTGCGCCATTTGATCCCTTCGAGTTATTCAATTCCATGTTCTCGCGCGATTTTCACGAGATGGAGATGAACCACGGTTGGGATAACGGTTTCGCTTCTATGACTGATTTACATGCCATGCCGGCGTTTGGACGCCCAACATCGTTTGGAGCGCCACCACCAGGGTTTATGCATAATCCATTCGCTGGAATACCAATGCATCACGAATCACCTCTGGGTGGTGTGGGGATGAGCCCCTTTGGCCTCATGTCGGGCTTGTCGCCCATGCACACAAGTGCGCCGGGTGAATCGGCGTTCTCAACGAGCTCATCGAGCTTTTCTTTCAATGGTGGTACGAGTGGAACCGGCGGAACATCTGAAACGCGCCGCACTACAGTTGTTAATGGCCGCCGTGAGACTATCATAACAAAACGCGACGAGAAAGGGAATGAGACGGTGCGTCGTATTTCCCCGGATGGCGAGACTGTGCACGTGAATGGCCAACTGCAGTCGGCCATTGATGCTGCACCACAGCCCAAAGCGGTCGAAATGGCCTCTGGTGGCGAGTCGTCCTCGAAAGAGTCAAGATCAGGCGACTCGACAAACAGTCAGTCGTCGCGTCGTAAAAAGTGGCTGTTTTTCGGATAGATTTGGAGCTTGATGAGCCATGATCCTCTCTATTTTTTTCGGAATATCCTTAACGCTCTTTATTTCCTCCTAGTCAGGGCTCTCCTCGATTCCTTACGCTATCAGTATGCAACATCCACTATAGGCCCATCCTAAGTAACGTTTCTCTTCTATCTATGTCATATTATCAAAATATTCACTGAATTTTTTTTTTCGATATCCTTGAATTAGCTTTTCACCTTTGACCATAGCTTCTATTTATTCTTGACATCTTAGTGTTCAGCGGCTCCTGTTGCTAATAGATCTTGAGCTAATCTTGCCACCAAAGTTACATGCCTGTCTATTGGACTCGGCATGTCTGTGTGTTTATTTTTTTTTGATGAACACGTGAGCTGTCTGATTTTTTTTCCGAGACCAATTCATCCATCCCATACGTTATACTTCGGCTGTTGTGACCATGAATATGGATGTAGGTACTTTGCATCATCAAGATAAAGACGACTAATGTTTCAGCCCAACTACGTGCAAGAATTGCACGGATTGCTGCAACAGGCGAATGTGCCTGATACGGCAGTACTCAAAGCTGTACGTTGACGCACGAAAGTGATCGATCGCCGTTGGCTAACATTTACATATAGGCGACTGAGGCTCTTCAGTCCCGGTACCTGAAAGATGGTAAAGCTGTGCCGGCGCTCTTCGAGATTATTGCAACGTCCTCTGACCTTGCTGTTCGACAGCTTGCAGCTGTCGAACTTCGAAAGAAACTTGCCAAAAGCACCAAGGTGTGGACGAAACATCGTGTTGAGATTCGCGAAAGTGTTAAGAGTAAGCTTCTTGAAATGATCGCACAAGAGCAGAATGCTGCGATGCGTAATGCATTGGCGCGCTTGATTGCCGAGATTGCCCGCAAAGAACTTCCGAACCACTCGTGGCCCGCTCTCCTACCGTGGCTGTACGAGTCTGCGACAGCGCCCAATGCTCTGCAGCGCCAGACTGCCATGCTTGTTCTGTTTATTGTACTCGAGACATTTGTCGATACAGAGGCTCTGAAGCATGAGCTCCCCCATATCATGTCTCTCTTTGCAAAGGGTATCCAGGACCCTGAGAGTTTGGACGTGCGTATTACGACTGTGCGAGCGTTGAGCAAAGTGGCAGAGAACCTTGATATGGATGATCAGGCGGATCTCGCCGCAATGCAGAGTGCTGTACCACAAATGCTCAATGTGTTGCAACAGAGCTTGGACTCGTCGCACACTGAGGGTGTGCGCCAAATTCTTGATGTGTTTGAAAACCTTTGCATGCTGGAGGCTCCTGTTCTGACTACCCACCTTTCTGAGCTGGTGGCTTTCTTCGTACAAAACAGTGCGAACCGCGAGCATGAAGAGGATCTGCGTCTCATGTGTCTGAACTCGCTGGTATGGACCATCCAGTACAAGCGCTCGCGTGTCCAGAGCCTTGGTCTTGCAAAGCCCATGCTCGAGCAACTCATGCCTATTGCAACTGAAGAAGAGTCAGACGATGTCGAAGAAGACACACCTGCACGTCTTGCTCTCCGTGTTATTGATCTACTGGCGACAGAGCTGCCGCCTAGTCATGTCTTCCCGCCGCTGCTGGAGCTGGTGCAAGCCTATGCAGCTCATCCAGATGCTATGCATCGCAAGGCTGCAATGATGGCATTTGGCGTCAGTGTTGAAGGTTGCTCCGAATACATTCGGCCGCACATGGACGAGCTGTGGCCGTTTGTTGAAAATGGCATGAAGGACTCGTCGTCTGTCGTGCGCAAGGCGTCGTGTATTACGCTCGGTTGTCTTTGCGAGATGCTTGATGAAGAGTGTGCAGCGAAGCATGCAGTATTCCTGCCTCTAATCATGGAGTTGATCAACGCACCAGAGACACAGCGCGCGGCATGCACGGCTCTTGATGCTCTCCTCGAGGTCATGGGTGATGACATTGGCCAGTACTTGCCGGCGATCATGGAGCGTCTCACTGGTCTGCTTGATACGGCACCTGTAGCAGTGAAGGCCACAATCACGGGTGCTATTGGAAGTGCTGCTCATGCTGCGAAAGAAGGATTTGTGCCTTACTTTGTACCGTTGGTACAGCGAATCCAGCCTTTCCTCTTGCTCACCGAGGAAGGCGAAGAAATTGACTTGCGTGGTATTGCGACGGACACGATTGGCACGTTTGCCGAGGCTGTGGGCGCGGATGCTTTCCGTCCTTATCTGCCAGATATGATGCGCATTACTGTTGAGAGCTTGGCCATGGATCAACCACGTCTGCGCGAGTGTGCGTACATATTCTTTGCAGTGATGGCACGTGTATTCAAGGAAGAATTTGGGCCATACTTGGAGCATGTGGTGCCAAAGATGTTGGCAAGCTTCGAGCAGTCCGAACACGACCCCGTGCCAGGAGCACCCGGCGATGGTACGGTTCCTGGATTCGGTGTGCCAGGTGAAAATGAGGATGATGATGACGATGACGGTTTCGTGGACATGGAGGAGCTCGCTAACTCCTTTATGAATGTATCGACAGCTGTGGCGATTGAAAAGGAAGTGGCGGCTGACTCGCTCGGCGAACTTTTCCAGTACACGCGTGCTGCATTCCTGCCGTACATTGAGAAAGCGACCGACGAGTTGATTTCTCTCACATCACACTTCTATCAGGGCATCCGGAAAAGTGCTATCGCAACACTGTTCACATTTATTTGTACACTCAATGAACTGAGCAACCCACCAGCTTGGGTGCCAGGCGCAGATGTCAAGGTGCCACTGAATTCCGATGTGCAGAAGATTGTACAAATGGTGATGCCTAGCATTATGGAGGCATGGGAGGCAGAGGATGACCGTACAGCTGCCATTGAGATTTGCCAATCTCTCGCCACCTGCTTGAACAAGTGCGGACCGGGCGTACTTGCCCCACAGTGGCTCGAGCCGGCGTGCTTGTATGCGCACCAGATCCTAGAGAAGAAGTCGCCTGCCCAGCTGGATCCCGAAGCTGGTGACGAGGGCGAAGAAATGGAAGACTCAAGCGAGTACGAGTCCGTGCTGATTAGCGCAGCAACTGATCTAGTGGGCGCTATGGCGAATGTGTTGGGTGCCAGCTTTGTCGATCCTTTGCGACAGTTCTTGCCGCTTCTTTGCAAATACTACAGTCCCGGGCGCTCTCAAAGTGACCGAGCCACGGCGATTGGCTCACTGGGCGAGGTCATCGTCGGCATGAAGAGTGCAATCACACCCTTTACTCAGGACATTCTCACTGTGCTATCGCATTCCATAACGGACGAGGAAGCATCTGTGCGCTCCAACTCGGCCTTTGCCGCAGGTGTGCTGATCGAGCACAGCGAGATGGACTTGTCGCAACACTACGCCTCGTTGCTGACAGCGCTCCAAAGCTATTTCGAAAAGCGCGCTGAGGAGGCGGATGATCTGAAGACTGCCCGTGATAATGCATGTGGATGCCTTGCCCGGATGATCATGAAAAATGCGTCTGCTATGCCGTTGGACCAAGCCCTACCGATCTTGTTTGCCTCGCTTCCACTGGAGAACGATTATGCAGAGTGGGCACCTGTGCTTCTGTGTTTGATCCAGCTGATTCAGACGAACAACCCTGTTGGCATGCAACACCTCGATACCATTCTCCAACTGTTCCGTCACGTGCTCAGCAACGAAGAGGACGTGCTGGGTGGACAGCTGCGTGGCCAACTTGTGTCGTTTGTGTCTCAGCTCCATACACAGGTGCCGGACAAGACTCGCACGTACGGGTTGGATGCTTTTCTAGTGTAGGCTGTAAGAATGAAATGTCGTAGCATGCAGTAGAGATGGTTTTGCAAACATTCGCCGTGGGTCTGAACAAAAAGCTCAGTCAATCGGTTGCAGATTTGCCTGTCTGTAGCTATCCTTGCTATCAATGCGGGATGCAGCAACTAGTTACATGCATGGGCGAAGCAGCTCGAAGGAAAGACAGTGTCGGATGCCTACGTAATTGCCTACGACGCAACGGCCCGGCCTGTACCAATAGAATAATCTTACAGTCTAGCACATGTTTCATAGGTATCTACGAACGATGGGATGCAGGCGTAGCGCGTGGCAGCAATGAACCTGACTCTAAAGAACGCGCTGTGTCAGGCCGAGTTAAGCGTCGGGTTTGAGGAAGACGCGGAATAACGGAATCCGCGCGATGCACGAACCATGGATGATGTAGGGCTGCATCAGCCTTGATGCGGCGCTCAGGATCCCATGTGAGGCATCGCGCCACGAAGTCAAGAAACCATTCGTCATTCGTGCGCAGAACGGACGCAAGTGGTTTTGATTGCGGACGCCGCTTTTGTCCTCGCGATGTGACCACAGGCCTTGGCGCACCTGTGCTATCGAAAAATAGTTTCGTTCGCGTGCTCTTTTCCAGTAGATGACGGTCTGGTAGGCCTAATACTTCCATGATGCATGCAAGCTGGTCATGTTCATTTTCTCCAGGAAAAATTGGGTATCCCGTAAAAAGCTCAACTAAAATACAGCCCAGGCTCCACATGTCAATAGCCATGTTATACTCCATGCCCAAAATCACTTCAGGTGAACGGTAGAAGCGGCTCTGGATGTACGTATATACCTTTTCATCCTCGTAGCAGCTCGAACCAAAGTCAATCACACGAATTTCACTACGCCGTGGATGTACGAGGAGAATATTTTCTGGCTTCAAATCACAGTGAACAATCCTAGCTTGGCGCATAAGTGCCAAGCATTGGAGCGTCTGTAATGTGAAGCGGCGGATCAGAGTCGCTGAGAAGCCTTCAAAACTGTTCGCTTTGATTAACTCGTAGAGGTTGATGCTCAAAAGCTCCATTGTGACACACAGATGGTGCCGAAACGTAAACGAATCTGTCATGTGAACAACATGGTGTTGGCCATCGGGATCCGCTCGTGTAAGATGTTCCATGATCCGAACCTCCACCACTGCCTGGTGATGGAAGCGGCGCTTATTGCGAATCAGCTTGATGGCCACATACTGCCCGGTCTTGTGGTCGCGGCATTGTAGGACCTGCCCAAAACTGCCCCGACCTAATGACTTGAGGATTTCGTATCGGTATGCAAGATGATCTCGAAGGTTCACGATATAGTCACCCCGCTCGTCGTCGTAGCCATAGTTCCGATCGGTCTTCTCCGGCACTGCATAGTGCTTGTGCCGCGCATACGAGCCGACATAATAAATGGAATCATATTGATGGATCTCTTGCAGCTCATATGGACACATGTGGTTTCCATAAATCACCTCGGCCTGCCGAGGCGATAGACGTTTGGTTGCTGCTGTCGGTTGGGGGAATGCGAGCTGCTTCTCAAGGTCCTCATACCGCGCACCACCTGCAAGTTTTCGACGGAACACGCGTTGAATATGCCGTTCCATCTCGTCGTCACCAGCTTGAGAGTCGTCCACAGACACACGAATCGACCGGCGTGACTGAGCACTTGGTGGACGGCGGCGCACATCTGTTGGCACAGGGATTCCCGATTCCAGCATGCTTGATGCCATTGATGGTGTGCGAGAAGCATGAGAACGAGCAGTTTCTTGAACTGATGTAGCATTTGCATTAGTTGATGTCGCTGGGATCGACAACGATGTCGTTGACATGCCAACGTCAGAGTTTGTCTGTGCAGTCTGCTGTCGACGAAGCGCTTCTGCTGCTTCAGCACTTGCTTGTGACTTGCGCAAAGTGCGAGCTTTCACGGGTGATGCTTCCACTGCTTTACGAGACGACGTGCGCAGTGGCCGCTGTTCTGAGCGCTGTCCTGCATTATTCTGGTTGTTATTGCTGCGAAGCGATACAAAAGGCGACTCGGACGCCGAGCTGATGCTTTGCATTGATGAACTGACTGGCAAGCGTGATTCACGCAGATCATCCTGATCACCCGACTTTCGTCTGAGAATCCGCATCATCGATGAAGCACGGGGAATACGACTACCCTGTGCCTTGGCTGTGTAATAAGGCGAAGGCTCTGTGCGCAGAGGCACAACGACGTCAGCACCCTCGCGACGTGATGACTTAGGGGGAAGATTTGGCGCATATTTCGTTGGAGTACTTAAGTTCGCGCCTGTCGATGCACGCGTGTTGGGTGTGTCACGCACATGAGGCACATCGGGTACGCCAGGCTGATCGGCGCGTGCTTGTCGAGCAAGGGAATTGCGGACATGCTGTAGGCTTTGGCGTCGGCGGCGCGAGAATGAGAGTCGTGAACGGGACGGTGGCGTGGATGGTTCTGGCGTCGCCACTTTTGCTGAGGAGTATGCAACTGCAGATGGCATGGCGGTAGTACCATTACCAGTGCTGCCACCAGCACTTCCCGCGTTCGCGTCAGAAACATCTTTTGTCGTGCGACGCGGACTTGATTTAAAGAAAGAGCTGAGTGCTACGAGTGAGCGGCGCGAGAGTCGACCAGCCAAGGAGCTCGATTCGTCCGTATCGTCCACGCGAGAAACTGCACGCTGCCGCCATCTTGGTGATTTCGGTACACGTGGCGAGCTCGTTTCAGATGTAGGTACAGCTGCCTCTGAGAAGGTCATGCCTGATGGAAGAACCGAGGGACTTGGCGGCGCTCGAGCCGGTGCTACGCTCCAGCGAGAATGATCCGGTCCAGCCTGCTCTTCCACACGCGAAAATCCTGCGCGTTCTTGTGAAGGGATAGATGAAGATGGCACAGACGACGCGACAAACGATGCTTGAGATGAATGTGTTTGTGGATGAACTTTTAAATAAGGCGGTTGCACCTGTGTGTGAGACTGAGACTGAAACGGCGACTGAGCTGGGTTGTCTAGAAACACGTCCAAGCTGCTGGACTGTGTTTGCGGCGTTGACAAAGGCGACATGTTCATGTGGTACATGTTATCCGTAATATCTGTCAACGAGCCATGAACGGGTGGTGAGTGTAACGAATTTTCCATTTGTACAGGCATAGATGCCGGCGGCGGTGCTGGAGGCGTGCCGGCGGCCCCCGCCGGCACAGCGCTGGCAGAACTGCCTGTAGCTGCACTTGTGCCCGCACCATCGACTCCGTTTGCTACTGAAGCTGTACATGCAGTCGAAGGCTTCCAACGCCTATCTGCACGACGTGCTGGTGTTTCATAGGATGACACCTCATATGGCTCGATTGGCGGAGATGGAAAGTCAACAGGCGCTTCGTCGAATTGCATCGATGAAAATGAAGGCATCAATTTACTGCTCGAAGCATGATTCGTATTACTCAGAGAATATGAAATAGCGCGTGCACTCTTCTCCCTCGCACTGTTCCGATCACGCGTGGCTGCAACGCCAGGTGTGCTGAGATCACCAGTTCCGCCACTGGTATTTGCGAAAACACTCCCAGTATATGCAGGCGAATCGAGAGGAAGAAGTCGCTGCGGAAAATCTGCATCTGGATGGCCATGTGACATCATCCATCGCGGTGTTGTGAGTTCACCGAGCCCGACTTGATCCCGTCGATCATACAAGCCCTTGGGTGATAAGGAGGCATCTGACTGACGAGGTGATGTGCTCCACGGCGATGATGTCATTGTTATCGGCTGGTTCACTTGCGGACTTCTTTGTGGGTGCATAGTCGGTGTAAGCAAGGTCGGCTGCTGCTGGCGCAAGTAATTTCGAGGCGGTGTTTGAAGGTACGACGTGTTCAAGTTGCCACTCCCATGTGCACTCCCCATATTGCCACCCATTGTGCTGGCATCGTGAGACATGCTCGTGGCGCTATCCGCCATCGAGGAACTCACGTTCATTGTGTAGCGAGGAGGGGCTTATGGGGCTGGTGACGAACGAGGCACGACGACTGATGGCCGAGAGTCTGGGATTGGCCGCGTCGCCCCTGTCCTACCATCCGGCGCAAGCCAACCCGCGTGCGTGTCATGTAAGTCGTACCTATAAGGTACATATCCTCATGGCAGTGTACTCTCCTCCACCCACGCCCTCCTGGACGAAAGCCGCGTTGATGGCATAAACCATCAGTCAGACAGGCGCAAGGAAAGGTACTTGACAATGTCGCAACCACCAGGAACGCTCGTGAGTTTTGTTAGCTCAAGTTGATTCCAGCTATTTTTTATAATTACAGCGAGTGGACATGGTGTGACTATGTCGCGGTTCTATTAACAAATCCCACGGCTTGATTGCTGCCAATATGATAATACCGGTATGGACCTGGCACATGCAAAGAATCCGACTATGGGTTTAGGTCCAGATCAAACGCGTCATCTGTGTCCATGGCAAATGAGTCAAGAACAGGCACAGCTGGTACCGCTGGTTTTTGCGATTCCACAAGTTCGTGCTCTTCTTTGGTCGACGACTGCGCTGTTGCATCTGTTGGCTCAGTCATGACGCCATCTTCCTTGGCAGCATCAGCATAGAGAATGCCTTGTCGCATGAGTCGATCGCTCGGAAATGGCAGCTCTTGTGGCGTTTCCGGTATGACAGGGTCGTAGTAGGACATGGCGCGGGTCGCGTTTTGATTATAGTCGGACTTTCCAAATTCGATATGATGCTGCTGGTGTTGTTCTGAAGCCTTCGAATTTGTTTGCGATACCTTTTGTGACTGTGCCGCAGCTATGCTTGTATCACCTGTCGCTTCATTAACTTGGCTCGCTTCTTGTAACCTGTGACCACGCGGTGCAGACGTGTAACGTGCGAGTCTTTGCGCATATTCAAGTATATCATTGTAGTATATTGGTGTAGACTCTGCCTTTTTCATATCTTTTGCATTTCTCTCACCGCGCTCTAATAGCGCTAGAAGCTCTGTTTGAAGCTCAGAGACACGCATTATCGTTTGCCGCTGCTTCGTATCACGCTCCTTAATTCGCTCAATTAGGGGAGTTAGGCGCATCTGGTTTTCTTGGTGCTGTACGGCTGCATCAACCAGTCGGAGTAGCTCTGCCTGTGTCAGAGTCAAGTTTTTCTCATGAACCCATGGGCGTAGATTTACTGTTTCGCCTGTGCGTTCAAGAGAGCATGCCTGAGCTAACTCAGAAAATATTTCTGTCGTGCGTGTTTCTAGCACTTGCACACATTCACGCACTTCCTCTTGGAGCGATCGCATTATCTCATGGCCGCCCCTAGGAAGACAAATATCTTGATGACGCTGTTGACTAGCGGTGGATCTGAGGTGCAAATTACATTCGCCACTCCGCTGTTGATAAGCACTAACATCGCACACTTGCCTCCACATTGCCTACTCACACTTCAAACAGTGAGTGTATGAATGACGTCAAGATCATCATCTCCCTCTTGCATTCTCAGTACTCCTAATTCTCGGTCAAGATCTCCTACTTTTAAGCCAGAAGAAAATGTTTTGAAAAATTCTTCGTTGTATGCAGGAGTATTTTCAAATGCAGCCGGCACAATTATACCTCGAAAACCTTCGAGTGAGGCCGACGTGAAGGCAACTTCTATGTCAACTGCCTTGCGCTTTGTTCCTCGTTTAAACAAAAACAATACTCATCGAAGTGCTCCTTTGTACTCTAAAACCCATCAAATAACATCTAATGTTCCTGCACCTATGAAACCGGATTTGCCGAAAGTTGACAGAGTCGTTCCCATGTATCTTTCTTCTTACGAACACAAAAAAGACGTAGACTTGGCTCAAATGGCTGAAGAGGACTTAGGTGAGTCAATTACTTGTGCACCATACCATGGTCCTACACAAGATCACGAACATATACATTCAATGGCCGCTCTGCGCGGTAAAAAATCTGTACGTCTGCATTTTTTTCCTGACTTACCTTCAAGGCACCAGCCGCTCCGTCTTCGCTGAAAACTGTTAATTACTGCGCTGAATATCATCCCTTTATGCCAAATGAATACACATCATTTTGCGATAGCTTAAAGGAATGGCGCAGGCTTCAACATTATGACGAAAGCTCAAGTGAGAGTGAAGATGGTGTGCCACGTCGACCACAATATGCTCCTCCTACGAGCTATCAGTTTCGATCAACTGAATCGGACCAAGGCACTCAATCACAGAGCGTAAAACGGTGCTCAATCTTTTCAAAATGCGGCTCCCCTCCTGGTCCACCCCCACTTCCACCACTGTCTGTTCTACGGAAAAAGTCTACGTCACCTATTGACAATGAAATGCAGGACACGAAGCGTGCCTCTGAACTGCTTAGTTGTGATGTACCTGACACTGCAAGCTTTGCTGAAAGAATCATGGCAAAATATGGCTACAAGAAAGGGCAAGGACTGGTATGTATTTTATTACATTTGTTTTTGTGATCTTAATCCTCTTATTGCGTTTCTTACACATGTAGGGTCCTGAAGGAAACAAAGGTATTGCTGCGCCTCTAGAAGCAACATGCATTGGTGGCAAGGGTCGGGGCTTGGTCGTCAATCCAAATGTGGATCCGTCCGGCGACAATTCATACGTGCAATTCGGTGATCCCAGCGAAATTGTCGTGCTCGAATACTTCGATCCATGCCAAATCAAACTTTCAGATTTGCGTCAAGATGTTGAAGAAGAGTGCAACCGTTACGGTTTTATACAAAATATCATCATTTATCCTCATGATGATAACGGTCTCTTGCGTGTGTTTGTTCAGTTCACCGGTGCGGCTGGTGCCTACCGTGCTGTTCGTGCATTGGATTCAAGATTCGTAGCAGGCCGATCCATTCGGTGTCGATACTATCCCGCTGAGGCTTACTTTTCGGGTCAATTTGTAGCTTTACAAAATTAAAACGTGTCTCTCAAAAAGATCCAGCCACCGTGATTCGAACACGGGACCTAAGGTGGAAATAACCGATATCCAATTACAAACCTTCGCTCTTCCAGCTGAGCTATAGCTGGTTCAGTCGCAACTAGATTCGGAGGTAGCATTATAAAAAAGGATATATTTTAACCAGACATGTTGAATTTGTTCACATTGACACCATTGTATTAGCGAGTCTTCCATTATATATATGTATATGATTGGCTCGATCTTGTTCGATTAACCAAGACTCTCTCATTTCGAAACTGATAAAAATGTTAGAAAAAACTATCCAGCCACCGTGATTCGAACACGGGACCTAAGGTGGAAATAACCGGTAACCAATTACAAACCTTCGCTCTTCCAGCTGAGCTATAGCTGGTTGATCTATGAAATCCGTCAACATCGAGACTAGATATCGGTTCAATTTGAAGTTTCAAAGTAAATGTTGCGTTTCAAGTGCGTACTGGAGATTACCATTGTATGGCTGGCTCGAGTCACATCGAGGCAGCTCGGCAGCCGGTTTCAAATGAGTGGCATCAAATCGAGGATCTGATTTTATTGGAACGAAATCACGAGGAGGAATACCGACAATCCTTGGCTGAGGACGGATTTTTGTTGCACAGCGATGTGAACAACGATGAGGGCAGTGCTATGCGGGGACAGCTAGAACGCGAGGAATACCACCATTGGTTTACCTTGGCAAACTGGTTTGGACTTAAAGCTGCCTATATGCCTTGCGAAACTGCTCGTGATTTTTGCATGCGTGAACGAACTTACATGTCTTGGTCAAAATTTTTGGCAATGGTCACAGTGCTCTCAGTTACAATGTTTCTCGATCTTCGAATTAAAAACATGGACAAACATTACGAAAACATTGCATCAAGCTTAGCTTTGACGTCTGAACAATCGAGCAGCTTGACACTGCGCAATTATGATGTAGTTCAACAGGTCATATCTGCCAGCGACTCGGGTTTCTTCGATGGTCAGACCAATCTTGCGACCCAGTTTATTAGTACTCGGACACAAGATATAACACTTGGATCTATTTACTTCGCGTTGGGAATTCTTTCATGGGTCATATCCACGTCTGACTACTTCAAATGTATCCATGAATTAGCGCGCGAGCATATTTTTTTGGACGAATGTGAGGATCAAACAAATCCCATCATTGCATTATTCTCTGTAATGGTTTGCACAATTGTTCTGGCCACTGTCATTCTTTTGCTTGTACAGCATGAATCATAGCTATGAATTGGGCAGCGTGACGTATTAAGCATAGTAAAAGTGGTCTGATTTCTTAAGGGCCTGGACCTCGAGAATACCGCCGAGGAAGTGCTCATGATCCAGCTCAGTCGCACCTTCACGCAAGGCAATCATGCCGGCTTCGACACAGACCGCTTTAAGCTGTGCACCATTCATTTCATCCGTCGAGCGAGCCAGCTCAGCAAAATTGACATTTGGTCCGACCGCCATTTTACGGCTGTGGATCTCCATGATCCTAGCTCGTGCTTCTTCGTTAGGAAGAGGGAACTCAATTTTTCGATCGAGACGGCCTGATCGAAGAAGAGCCGGATCCAGAATATCAATTCGGTTAGTTGCAGCGATAACTTTGATGTTCTGGTCACTTGAGAAACCATCAAGCTGATTAAGTAACTCAAGCATTGTACGTTGCACTTCTCTGTCACCAGACTTATCAGAATCAAACCGTTTTGTACCAATGGCATCAATTTCGTCGATAAAAATTATGGCCGGCGACTTCTCCTTAGCAAGCTCAAAAGCATCCCGCACAAGCTTCGCACCATCACCAATGAACATCTGCACAAGTGAAGGTCCGGCCAGTTTTAGGTAACACGCGTTTGTTTGTGCGGCACAAGCTCGGGCCAAGAGCGTCTTGCCTGTGCCAGGCGGGCCATACATGAGCGCGCCTTTCGGTGGCTTGATACCCAGGTTCTTGAACTTCTGCTCTTGCTGCATTGGCAATACAATTGCCTCGACTAGCTCTTCAATTTGTTTGTCGAGCCCACCAATATCAGTATAAGTTTCAGTGGGCCGTTCGTCCACCTCCATCGCCTTGACTCGTGAGTCGTACTCAGCAGGTAGTTTATCGAGAATCAGGTAGCTGTCTTTATTCACGCCAATGAGATCACCAGGTTCCAGTTCTTCCGCTGGAACAAGGCCGATCAGTGGTAGGAAGATTGTTTGCCGCGTAGATGTCTTGATAACAGCACACTTGCCATGTGGTCGCGAGTTTGGCGCAACGTTCGCAGCTTCTTCTGAATCCTCATCGATATCAGGGTCCATATCTAGAATTTCAACAACATTTCCAACCAGGTATGGCAGCATTTTGTTTTGGGAGATCTTTTCAGTGTTGTCAGAGATACGCTCGCGCATAACTGCCCGCTCATGAGAAAGCCGCACATGCTCAGACTTTAGCATCCGGAGTTCGTTTTCTAGCATGCGCGTACGCATCTGAATTTCCTGGACATCTGCGTTGCGAATTTCTTCTGGAAGCTCTTCTATTTTGCCGACGTCACCATCACCACTACTCATGGTCGTTGACACCACAGGATTATTATCGCCACTGCAGTTGGCCGTCGCTTGTCCACTTCTCTCTTTATTCACGTATCTGCCCACCCATTCACTTCTTCCAGGCGCGCATGCACACCTCCACGGGCCCTACGTTTGCTGGACACCGAGCAACAGGCCGCGTAATGAGCTTCCTCGACCGATCACCAACACTCACGTGATGTATCGCGTGCACTCTATGCTACACGCGCGGCACAACACTTTCGCTTGGCGCTGGCCTCACGTCGTCCTTGTATGGACGTGGGCGGCACGAGCATGTGCGGGTACCGGCCAGAGCAACGTCAGGCTGGAATCGATCCTGCCATAGATCAAGAAATGGGTTGCTCTGCTTCAGCGAAACCGCGACTTCCATTTATGCCAACACCACGCAAGAAACACTTTCGCCCTTTCGTCCCCATCTCTGTTGCTGTGCATCATAAGGAAAAGGGCAATGCAAGCCATGTATCGCAGCAACAACCATTGACAAATAGCTTTGTGCTCAACGAAGCTGAGCACAAAAGCGATCATGATAGCCCAATTATATCTTCTTGTTTACCTGAACAAGCATCCACGCATACCCAGCTGTATCCAACAACTATATCTTCGCCCTCCAAACAAGATGTACCATCAGATTTGATGGGGCACGGGGTACCTTTATCCCAGCATAAGAATTGCTCTTCTTCATCCTCCCGATCTCCCCTGCGAAATGCCAAGCCACTTGTGCGACCGTCACCGACTTCAATGACAAGGGCATGCGCCGAATCACATCGACCTGCAACATCCATGACCCACTGGAGAGATGAGCACCATTCTTCTATTTTAGCTGAACAGAGTGTTGAATCATCAAACAAGCCAAATTTACAGAATCGGTCTGTCTCACCCTCGCACGTTGTCCGAATGGAACCATTTTCTCAGCCGCATGCTCAAGCACAGGCCCGGACTCAGTCGGTTCCTTTTGTCTTGTCCAAGTCAGTGTCGACGCCATCCCCTGCATCAGCTTCACGCACTGTGCGTGCAAAAGTGACTGAAGGAATAAGAACGTCCAAAGCAAAGTCGTCTGGGCTGACGCCAACTGAATCAGATCGACTCACATGCTCGCCTGAACGCCCTCAACAGCAGTTACGGATTCCAGATCCTCCTTCGCCTAATTCACGAATTGATGTTTCAACACTCCAGCATGAATTAGGCGATAATTCGTTCGTGCTAGAGTCTGATGATACCCACCCCAGTGGCGAGTCGGTCCAAGTACATATTCGCGTACGTCCAAACGCAGAAGATGAACAATGTGCATGGGTGGCTTCATCAGAATCTGCGTCACTTGCACTTGATTCAGCGCTGGCTTGTGGGCGCATGCAGCCAAATGCGGACAAGCCATACTATTTCGATGACGTGCACACAGGCAGCTCCAATGCGCACATCTACTCGGCGCTGGCGCGACCACTCGTGCATTCCACGCTTCATGGCTACAATGCTGTAATTTTTGCTTATGGCCAGACAGCCAGTGGAAAAACGTTTACGCTAAGTGGCGATGAAGACGGTCGCGAGCCAGGTGTGATTCCACGTGCTGTCCAAGATATATTTAATGGAATCTGCCAAGGTTCGACACGGCGTGAATATCTTATTCGTGTCAGCTACCTTGAAATATGGAATGAGATTGTGCGTGACTTGCTTGAACCTGCGAATCAGCCCCAAGTTCGTGACGATCGAAGGCGCGGCCCCAACGCTGTCTTAGTCGCCCCGTTGCATGAGGAAGTGGTAACATCACCTGCGCATGTATTCAAACTCCTCGCGCGTGGTGAATCGAACCGGCACACGGGGGCCACTGACTGGAACGAACGTTCGTCTCGAAGTCATACTTGCTTCAAAATTACAATTGAATCCTGGGATCGTAATCCAGCTAACACTCGGCCATATCGGATTAGTGAATTGTCCCTCATTGATTTAGCAGGTTCTGAGCGACATTCCGTGAATACGAAATCCCGGCGGACTGAAGGAGGTAATATCAATAAAAGCTTACTGAGCTTAGGGAAGGTCATTTCTGCACTTTCCGAGAAGGGCGCAGGCGGGCGTGGAGGCCACATCCCGTATCGAGAATCCAAGCTTACGCGCATCTTACAGAACAACTTGAATGGCCGTTCTCGGATCGCCGTTGTGTGCACGCTCAATCCATCGCCAGCAATGGTCGAGGAAAGTCTGAGCACATTAAACTTTGCTCGTCGGATCAAGCATGTGCGTGTACGAGCGCCTATCAATGAGTATGAAGGCCATGTGTCATCGCAAGGGGAGTCGCAGACTCTGCTTGCCCAATACCGCGAGGAGATGGGCTCATTACGCGCGCAAGTAGCTGAGCTGCAATCGAAGAAGCCGTCGTCTAGACAGCCTTCGACTCAGAGCATCCCTGTGACGGTTGAGACCTTGCACGCACGTCTAGAAGAGCTTGGCGCCTTGATATTGCAAGGTGGAGCGGAGCCACCTGCACAGGGAACATCGCATCCTGTATCACCGACAAAGCAGCGGGGCTTTGCTTTTGATGATCCACTTCCTGTTCTGCAGGAGAAACTACATGCAGCACTGGAAAAGATCCGGCGTCTTGAGCGCCAGTTAGCCGCGAGAATGTCTTTGCCCATGAGCACGAATGCGAGCGATGACGTCAAAGATGCACGCATCCAGTTTTTACTGCAACAAATACGTGAGCTTGAGACCGTATGCGAAGCTCAAACTCTCGAGGCGCCACAAAAAGTGCGGGAAGACGTCGAGGCCGAATGGATGAAGCGCCTGGAAGCAGCGGAGGCGGCCAACAAAGAGCGTGATGCTTTCTTGGCAGAAATTAGTGCGGAGTGTACGCGACTCCGACAAGCAAACGAAGCACTTGTGCGTCTCGCGCACGAGCAGACTTCGTCCATGCTTCAAGAACTAGCGAGCCGTGATACGCGGCCGCATGTCATTTCCATGTTCATGCCACACTTGCGCCCAACGACCGTCCTTGGCACACAACACATTCCAGCAGCTGAGCAGGATCTTAGCATAGATGACGTATCAAGTGATGATCGACTGTCATCTAGCGAACTAGATGACTTACTTGACTCGGAGTGATGGCTTGCACATCATCCCAATTTGGACTAGCTTTTTCTTTTCCCCATTGTGTAACATAGTTCATTAATCTGTTGATGGAGACATGCTTGGTGAACGGGACTGGAATGCGGGAGGAGACACACTACCGGATCGAGCACTGATCTTGGGAGACATTTGTCGATCTGGCGAGACACTTGGTGTACGGCTTCGAATGAGACGCGCTTGTAATTTCTCTTCCTCTGATTCGGACTGTTGTGAGGCATATACTTCGCTGTCGGCATCTGTGTCAGCATTAGCATGGGTGCCGGCACCAGGTTTCACGGCAGCATGCTTTGAATGCCGCAATCGATCAGCTTGTGCTATGCGCGTCGCACGTTCGGTACGTAATGCTGCCAGTGAGTCGTCACTATCGCTAGCATCACTGTCACAGGTTTTGCGACGGTCCTCGAGTCCCGGTGCTTCACCACGCAAAAGAGCATCCTCAAGACGCGATACGCGTGGTCGAAGTCCATCATTTGACTCAAGAACGGAGCGCTTCGTCAAACGCGGCAAGATCAATTCACACACACGTTCTTCCGTTAGTAACTGATCGATGAATTCATCCATATGTGTTAGAGAGTAATTTCCAGCCATATCTCGCCAGCGTAGCTTGCGATAATCATTGAGCATCGGTTCCAGAAGCTCATACACCTCGATCGCAGGAAACGTGAGACGCACGTACAATGCAGCCACAGCTCGCAAATACTTGAAATCCTCTGCAGCCAAGTACTCCAACACTATAGCACGTTCCGGTTGGATCTGCAAGAGCTTTAAGATTAAGCACAGAAAGGGACTGGGTCGCTGCGCACCATATGTACCACCCACATATGTCAGGTCAACTGCTTTGTCAATCAAAGTAGCAGCATTCAACGCAAAGCAGTCTTGCTTCCAGTATGTCGAGTCATAAATGCGCGAGCGAATGACGCGTTCCACAAGAAACTGTGGGTTCGTTCCATGGATCGCTTGCGCACCAAATGCAGTCGTGTTTGACATACTCACGGACTACCCCAAACGCACGTAGATAGCTTTGCGCCAGCTGACCAGTGGAGTTGCGCAAGCAACACACGCAGGCGTGTCTCGCGTTGCGATAAACCACATGTACATATAGAGGCGTGTACCTAATTAAAACACAGTTCCTGTCTCTCGCTTCTTGACTGTTCGTCACACGTGACTCTTCGTGGAGTAGGGGAGGCGTGGGCGTTACGGTGGCTACAAGCTCAACGTTGCAAGTGAAAGCTAATCCCACATTCACAGTTGGGCCGTGCCCACTCTTGTCTGGTCAAACACACGGCGCTCACAACTAGATTCGACTTTCTCCGCGAAATAAGGGCCTTTGTGCCTTTTTTTATCGACTCTTTGCATTTGGCCTACATTTGCGAATACAACCCCCGAGTTTGACCAGACCGGGGTTCAGTATTGTGGCTCTCATGTCGCGCTTCGTATCAGCGGACGATGCAGATTATGCGTCATTGCAAGAGCAGCTTCTACGCAGGTCAGGCACGGAAGACACAGAAACATCAGGGATAAGTTTGGGCATGAATGAAGGCGACAATGAAGTCGATGAGGCTGGTGCTACGAGTGCGAATACACCGAAAAAATCAGCTCTGACAGAGAATATATTGCCACGCCGGAGAAACTCCGATCTTGAAATCCAAAAGCCTGAGGGGTCCTTCTCAGCGCGCAAGGGTGACTTCGAGTCGTTGTCGTCGTCGGCTGCGGCTGGAAACTCGTATTCATTGTTGCGCGGCGCGAACAACTTGACGGGCACACAAGATGCCCCCATCCGCAAACTGGGGACGTGGGATGGCGTGTTCATGCCGGTGACACTGAATGTCATGGGCATTATTCTGTTCTTGCGATTTGGCTTTATTCTTGGACAAACAGGTCTTGTAGGCTCACTGCTCCTCCTGGTAGGGAGCTATGCCATCGATACACTAACAGTTCTGAGTCTCAATGCCATTTCTACAAATGGTCAGGTCCGTGGTGGTGGTGCGTACTACCTCATTTCCCGATCCCTAGGTCCCGAATTTGGCGGGTCAATTGGTCTTATATTCTTTTTTGGTCAAGCTTTCAATGCAGCGATGAACGTACTGGGCTTTGTTGAGAGCTTCATTGGTGCACTGGGTGAGTCAAATGGTCACTCGGGTATGCTTCCGGAAGGGTCGCCGTTTCTGTATTTGTACGGAACAATCGTGCTTTGGCTATGTACGCTTGTTTGCTTGTTTGGCTCGTCTCTCTTTGCGCGTGCGACACTTTTACTCGCCATCATTTTGAGTTTGGCCGTGGCAAGCATCCCGATCTCGTCAATTCTCGTTGAGCCGTTTGAAGATTCGGCTCGTGACGTGTACTACTCAGGCTGGAACTGGCTCACATTTGCGGAGAACTTGTGGCCCAATTTTACCGCTGGTGCTGCGGGCTCATCCACAGCCCCTGAGAAAGAAAACTGGCGCTCTGTGTTTGGCGTCTTGTTCCCTGCCGTCTGTGGAATTTTGGCTGGCACCTCCATGTCGGGCGATTTGCGCAAGCCAAGCAAGAGTATTCCGAAGGGCACGAACTGGGCACTTGCATTCACCTTTTTCGTGTATGCGCTGGTGTTTGTCATTCTCGCAGGTACTGTGCCACGTGAATCATTCTATGTGAACTTGACGATCGTCGAGTCAGTGTCGCGCTGGCCGTCGATTGTTTTGCTTGGCGAACTCGCGTCGTGTGCTTTTTCTGCATTGATGGGTGTGATGGCCTGTGCGAAGGTGTTACAGGCGATTGCACGCGATGATTTACTTCCTTTTCTTGCCCCATTTTCTCAGGGCACAGTACAATCAGATGTACCAACGTATGCAGTGCTTTTCACTGCGTCATTCTGCCAGCTAGTTCTGCTTCTTGACTCGATCAATTTGATTGCACAGCTCGTCACGATGACTACTCTCCTCACCTTTGGCGTCCTCTCTGCCGCGACATGCGCTCTAAAGGCTGGAGGCGCGCCGTCGTTCCGCCCATCGTTCCGCTACTGGAACATATGGACTGCAGGCGCCGGCACAATCGTTTCATTCGGCTCCATGCTCATGACTGACGCATACACTGCTAGTGTGTGCATTGCTGTGACAGTCCTGTTTTTTATCATGATCCAAGTGCTCTCGCCACCGAAGCCTTGGGGGGACGTCTCGCACAATGTCACATACCACTTCGTTCGCAAGTATTTACTGCGCCTTGATGAACGCAAAGGCCACGTCAAGTATTGGCGTCCACAGATCCTACTCCTTGCAAATGATCCCGGCAAGGAGTGGAATCTGATCATTTTTTGCAATTCACTAAAGAAAGGCGCTCTGTATGTGTTAGGCCACGTGTTGAAAGGCGACTTTCATGAGTGCCTTCCACAACTGCGCAAGAGCCATCTGGCTTGGCTCAAGCTTGTGGATGTAAGCGGGATCAAGAGTTTTGTCGACGTAGTCATCGCTCGTGATGTTCGCGAAGGTGCACGAAACCTCATATTGTCGAGTGGCCTTGGTGGTATGCGGCCGAACATTATTGTGCTTGGTTTTCCCGCTGCGCTACAGCGCACCAGTGAGCAGCCACGCGGCCCTATTGCACGTGTGCGACCCAGCGAGCCTGTTGCGCTAACGAAGCATGCCATGCCTGATGTAGAGCCTATCGACTGCACGAAGTACGTCGGCATCCTGGAAGATGCCTTAGCTCTGAATAAGGCACTGGCTGTTGCGTATGGCTTTGATGCTATGGACTTGCCGGGTCCATCGAAGGTCGCTCAGTACGAGCCAGCACGTGGTGAGCAATACATCGATTTATGGCCGATTCAGATTGCAAACAGTGCGTGCGGCGATACACCAACGTGGGATACATACACGATGGTGCTGCAACTCGGCACAATCCTCAGCTTTACAGGCACATGGCGACAGCACAAGCTCCGAGTAAGTGTGTTTGTCGAGCATCCAGAAGAAGTGCAAGCAGAACATACTCGTGTGCGTACACTTCTGGACAACCTGCGAATCCCTGCCTCGTTGCGTATTTTCTGTCTTTCGAATGGAAGTGTCCCGCGCTACGATGCTATTGTCTTAGGCAAGCGGGCGCTAGACCCCGAGCTTGGCGAGATTCTTCGTGGCGACCCATGGTGGTCACAGGTCTGCTGTGTTCGTCGGGCTGTTGAGAAAAAGAAGCATCAGCAGCACCATGATGAACACTCCCTGCCGCAGCAACTGCACAAGTCGGAGCCGATTGATACTAACAATATGCGCCGGAGTAACTCCTCGTCCTCTTTGGACAGCCGACAACGCAAGCGCCATTCGCGTCAGTTTGGTGTCAGTTTGCCTGACGAACACCTGGCGTATCACTACAACAACATTCGTCTAGGCTTGTCTCATCCACACTCGCAGGATGTCGAAGGTAGTGATGACGAGCCGGATGCATTTCGACTCGATACAGAAAACACCATCGACGATCTGGAGAGTGAACTGGCTTCTCTCGCTGTTGATTGGGACCCAAGGTATTTGATGCGGCAACGCCGAGTACGCCCTCGTACTGAGTCAGACGCATTGTTTGATGGCACACCTAGCACCTTGTCCTCGTACGGTACACTTTCATCGTCGCAGCGCACGGTTACCCCTGCCACTATACATACTCGACAGGCACAAGGCAGCCATAATCACAACTTGAGCAGCAGTAGCAGCAACGGTCATGTGTCGGTGTCGCCACCCGCTAGCGAGTCACTATCGCCGTCAATGTCACCGTCTATGTTGTCATCAGCGCAAACTCATCCTTCTTATTCACAAGCTTCAACAATGCCAACCCATCATAAGCAGCGGTGGATTCCCATGCAACAAGACCATTATACGCTATCCTTCAACGAGCTCCCCAATCGTGCACAGTACCTTATTTTAAATGAACTTATTCGGCGGCACTCATCACGCAGTACGTCTGTCGTACTTACAGCACTCCCCGCACCTGCTCCAGGCACTTCAACAAACAAAGAAGAAAGCGTGGCTTACTTGCGCCAGTTACAAAATCTGTATGGCGGAGGTCCACCCATCCTTGGCGTGCACGCAACGACATTAACCATGACCATGAGTTTGTAATTGTAGTTCTCGACATGAAATCATATTGAACGTTCTATGTAGCTTTGTTGACTGATTCGATCGAATCAAAGAAAGAGGGGATCAGGAATTAAGGAGGGTAGGTGAGAGTTACGAGACGGAGAGCAAATACGAGGAGAGACAAAAAGTGAGGAACACGGCCAGCAGCCATGAGGGTGTCCATGCCTGAGCAGGGAAAAGGCAAAAATCACGGGAGTTGACGACCCCATTTATGCACGGACACAGACCACAGCCAACTACTCCTCACTAAGCGACCTTGCTTGCAAGGCTACGAAGCAGGGGAACATTCAGGTATGCCGGGCAGTAGGTCTCTATGCCCGTCACTTCACGTGGGAGTGGCAATTCATAAGGCCCAGCCTCGTCCACTTCTGGCGGCAGGAGTAAGTGATCATTCCTATCATTCGGCACAACCCGACTGGCAACGGCTTTGAGAATCTCCGGTGAAATAGGGTTCTCGTAGTCTGCCACATGATAGTGTGATATAAGTTTTTGGATCTGGGTTGGCGTAAGCATCCAGCAGACATCATAGATGATATCAATGTCGCTCATAGTCGCCTTCTTCAATTGGAGCAACTTTGTGGCCTGGAGCAGATGCTCAAGTTGCAACGATCCTTCTGGCATGTCGTGGGACTTGCACCATTCCTCAAGACGCGTGATGTTGTATTGGATTTGCATAGCACGTTTCCAAGAGCAAAAGTTGCGGCGCATAAGCAAGTCATTGAAAGATGTGACACCAATCATTTTCAGAAGATCTGTAATCACCTGCTGGGTTACACTAGGCTCGACGTAGTAACTTTTCAGACACTTCCAGATTTTGTTGAGTATTCCAAGGATATCATCCATCGTGTACGTCGGCGCATTTGTCCCTGCTAACAAGCGATTTAACAAACGGCCGCCAGAGTCATTCGTCACGAAGCCCGGCAGCGACTGCGATTCAACAAGCGCTGGAACTACCATCTTATTAAGCCGCTTCTTTGCCTCTTGCATCCACGTGTGGTAGATGTTGTACTCGAGAGAGTCGAGATCGTGCTTTACAATCGTCACAAGCCGCTCGTAATCGCCCCACTCAAACTCCCGTGCCGAGCCGTCGACGCCGGGTCCAACGCCCTGCAGCATGTCACTTTCGGCAATGCACACAAACGAGAGAATCTCATGTACATTCGAGAGCCAGAAAATACCCGGTATAATTGCATCATCGCCGCGGTATGACATCGCATGCTGCTGGATCGTTCTGATCACGTTTGCAAGGAACCGCTCACTCGCTCGCACAAGTCCATACTTCCACATCTCGTTCGTGACGAGCGATATAAGGTGCGCTGGGAACAGCACTTCCTTCGGACCCGGCGGGTTCTGCAGACTCGGTGCAGGAATCTTCAAGAACTCAATCAAGCCATGGAGCACATCCTCGTCCAGCTGCACTTCGTCTTCAAGCAGGTCAATGATTTCCTCCGACGGCACATCGCGCACATCCTCCACGTATTCATCCTCGAACGCTTCGTCGCCGTACTCACTCACAGGTCTTGAGCCCGCCGTCGCTACTCCAGTCGTACCGACTCCACCAGCACGCTGTACATGGGCCCGAGGGCCCAATGGCACTGTCGTTCCATTCCTCTCGTTTTCTGCCGTGGCTCGGCTCAACTGCTCCCGTAGCATGACGATCTCGTTTCGAAGCGATTGCACCATCGATTCAGGTGCCTCGAGAGAACGAATCTGCGATTGCAGCGTCGCAATTTCCAACTCCAGGTCATGAATTCGCTCCTGCGCCTGGTGCAGCTGCGATTCAAGCGCGTGTCGCTCAAGCTGAAGTGTTTCGTGTGCTTGGATTGGCACACTCGGTTTTTGCACTTCTGCCTGCAGGCCACGCGCACGAGCATCAAGCTCTTCATGCCGGTTCTGCCACGACGACAGCTGTGCCTCTAGTTCAAGCAAAGACGCACGCAAGTCTTTGTTCTCGCGCGTGCGATCCTGCAGACTTTGCGTGAGATCAAACACCTTGTTCTCAAGCTTGTAGGACACCTCCTGGTAATGCGACGCACTCTTCGCCTCTGTGCGCCGTTGTGCCAACGCATGTCGAGCTAGCCGTCGCCGATAGAGCGACTGTAGCAAAGTCACCTGTCGCACACGTTTCGAAGCCGCACGACGGGCGAGCACACCACGTATAGCTGTCTGGAGGAGCGTTGCATGCCATGCCTCGCGTTCGTCGATAAGGCGCAAGCGTGCCTGGTACGCACGAATGACCGTCTGAATCAGAGTTGCCGCATGTACTGCTTGAGCGCGGTGCTTGCGCTGCAGAGCCGCACGGGCCGCCGTTTGAAGCAGGACGGCTGCACGCAACTCACGTTCCGTGCGGAAGCGGTTTTGCGCCGCTCGTCGACGAATATTCGCTTGAAGTGTAAGGATGCCCGCTTTGAGCGCATTGTATTTGCTCTGTGCCGAATAACGACGCCATGCGGTCTGAACAGTGCGGGTGTGCTCGTTGAGAACATTGCGACGCATTTGCTCGAAAGATGCTAGTACACCAGCGCGGAAAAATACCTTGTTGAGACCGAAGTGATATTTATCTGGCTCAAGAGTCTCCGACAGAATGTATTGAGCGAGCTCGCGCACCTTTTCAAGCGACGTCATGTCCCAGTGTGACGACGGCACGAGCATGTAGTACCGTTCCACAAAGTCAGCGAATGTCCAGCGGCCCGGGAATCCTGCACAGCTGATCCGAATCGTCTCGAGAACACCACATGCACGCAGCTGGCTCAGCACATTCTGCGGCTGAACTTCCCAAGCCACTTTCGCGTCATTGGGCTTGATGCACCGAATATAGTGCACCTCTGTTGAGTTGATTGTATCCATTAATGCACCTAGTGATGCCTTGAACTGCGTACCAAGCGTCGGCTTCTTGCTCGCAATACCAGGGCCTGATACCTTGCGTGTGGAGGGCTGTGGCAGCGCCGCATCTGCAGCAGCACGAGCATCGAGTACAGACTTGAGGAACGGCGAGCTTGTCGATCCTAAAAGCGCCAAGTGCTCATCGGGCACAGTGTCTTTGTTTTTCTCCATGAACCCATCGACGTCATATGTTACGTCTAATGCATAGTGCTTGACGGTAAATGCGGACTGTGAGCCAAAACGGGGCTTCGTCAAGAACTTCTGAAACTCAGGCTTCGGCTGCAACTGGCTGTACACTTTCTGAAGGAACGATGCATCCTGTCCAGACGGAAGTCTTGACTCTTCGTCTAGTAGGGACAACAAGCCGTACTTCGACTCAATCATATCGATGCACGGCTGGTTATCGGCAAAATTGATAAACTGCCATGGAATCTGTTCAGCCACGTATTCTTCTTGCTCAAGCTTGAAGACATGGCGATTGAATTCATGCTGCAGTCGCTCATTCGCATAATTGATGCAGAACTGCTCATATGAGTTTGACTTGAAACACTCAAAGCCGTAAATATCAAGAACCCCAATCATCGAAGCAGCAGCTGCTTCATCACGCGGCGCAAGTGATTTGTTCATTTGCGCAACGAGCCAGTCAAACAAGCATGTGTAAACATACTTGGCCACCGAGTCACGTACCGCTGTAGCCTGTGCCTGTGAGAGATTCGAGACAATTTTTTCACCTCGTAATTGCATTTGGCGCTTCAATGTCCATTTCCGAAGCTCATTCGCATCGACGCCAAGGAACATGGCTGCTTGAAGGAGCGCCGGATCTTCAGGAGCCATATTCGCATCATTTCTCGACGCTGTAATAGCAACATTTCCCAGGTGAAGTAGCGCTGCAAGGACTTCAAAAATATGCATCTGCGTGACTCGTGCAACGCCAATCGTCGTAAAGGCATCGACTGTGGCCTGGAACTCCGCTGCGTCATCGACGCCAGGGATCGTAAGGTATTCCTCACTGCCCTGATGCAAATAATGAAAGTCGGAAGCCTTGGTGATGCCCAGTTGCGCTCGTAAATCTTCAGGTGCCCCTGCACATAGTTGATAAAAGATGTGGTAGTTCCGTTCCACATCTGGTTGATATACAAGACGCGAGCGCTCCAGAAGATATGTACGCATCCGAGCACCGGCAATTTCGTGTCGATCGTCAAAAATGATTTCCAAATACTTGCCAAAGCGAGAGGAGTTGTCATTTCGCGTTGTCTTGGCGTTACCAAAAGCTTCCATCACAGGATTAGTGGCAAGAATAGCCTGTTCCGTTTCACTCATGACATGAGACCCAGGACGTCGAGATGTCATATTGTCCGGGTCCTCGACTGTAGCAAAATAGCGCATAATGTACTTGGCCGACATAGTCTTACCCGCACCACTCTCGCCGCTGACAACGATTGTCTGATTTTTACCGTCACGGATCATGCAGCGATATGCATCTTCTGCCACAGCAAACAAGTGGGGCTCCAATTCTCCACGTCGACGTCCTGCATACGCCTGGATGATCTCTGGACCGTACAGATTCAAGTCAAAGAAAGGGTTCACCGCAATGAGCACTATGCCTGAATACGTATAAATAAAACGCTGCTGGTACCTGTTCATGATGGTATACAATACAGACGCTTCATTCAGATGACTCAAAGATGTCAGATCATCAGAAGCTTCCAGCAATGGTGGATTCCGCAGTGGTGGTAGCTCCCTCTCCACGCCACCTGGCGCCTCGATTTTCGCCATAGTGGTTTGTACCACTCGCTCATCACCAGATTCGTCCAGGTTGAATAGCAAAGAAACATTACCATCCTGGTCAACCGCCGGCTCTTTGGTGAGAGTGCCACTCACCCACCCTTGCACTTCATCAGGAAACCATGCTTTGGTGCCCGCCTCGTATGCCGCTAAGGGTTGAGAGACTGGCGGCATAGTGCACGGAGTGTACAATAATTTAGCGCGTTCTCTAGTACCTGTGCTTCGCCGCCGCGATCAACGGTATGTCGGATATGACCGTGTTCCCCAATCGCAAGGCTGCACAAGCGTATGTCGTCGTCGCTCGCAGGGCGCAAGGGACTTAGAATTGTACTCGGACGAGCCGTGTATGTCAGGGGCGAATAATCACATGATCCATCACATGATCTCTTATCGACGTGTATATGCAGGTGTTTGTGGAGGTGACAACAAGCTCGTGCTCAGGTCGTGCGTTAGTGAGTGTGTGTGTTCGCTCACGCGTTTCGCCAGCCTTTTGTCTCGCCCAGCCGAGCTCAAGTGCGACATGTCGCAGAGCTCGTATGCGAACTCGGCTGGCAAAAGCAAGCGCCAAGTGCAATCTGAGAGAATGAAAGCATTATCTGTGCGTATGTTGTGCTAATTCCTAGTTATCGAACATGTTATCCACAAGACTTCGCTACGCTGTATTCAAAGTCGAAAATGGATGGACTCGACAGTCGCTCTCCGAAGTCGAAAACCTCTTTTATCGTAGACAGGTCAGCTTGTCGAAACCATCTAATTCTTCGAAAGAATCACCAAATGTGTTCGACAATAGAAAGTGTCCGGGCTCATCACCTCCGTCGCCCACTTTGCGTGGTGATCCCCTTCAGCATGGTCGACCACTAGGGTCTTTGCATGATTCGGCTACTTATGCAGACTTCTGGAATCACATCGATACAACCAAAATGAGCCCCAAAGCACAAATACAGCCAGTCTCATATTCAGAACGCTCCAAGGTACTAGAACAACATCATGAACCGCACTTTGAAACGACCGCGAACCCGTCCAATCCAGACCATTCGCTGAAAAGACCACTTGAAATCTATGAGCCTTCTCGATCATCAGACATTATTCACTTATCTAAAGAACCTACGATAACGATAACGCCTCTCAATGATTCACAACGCCTGCCTCATCACCCCGCTCAGGGCAAACACGCATTGGCGGATGTAATCGCTCCTGAACCTGTTGATTCATATTTACCACCCAAGCGCCCAAAAATACATGCCGATGATGTGTCCACTACATCTAACACTTAAGCAAGTACTATAGATGTTTGATACCAGAGTCTCCCGTTCCATAAAACAGCAGAGCTCTATAACAGAGGTTGAATGCCGCAACAAGCGAAGGACTCAACATGTGCGCAAATCTAATCAAGGAATTATGTTGTGGCCCATGCGGCTTATTTCCCAGAATGACACCGGTCATTCTAAGGCAATTCCCTCGTAGATGCGTTTTAATTTAGAATCTTGAGTTTGCGATTTCCGCGGTGACTGACAAGCCACCGCCGACTTTATTTCGCTCCGTAGACCATATCTTAGAACTTGATGAATTTGGGATCGCCATCTCCAGAAGAATTCATGGCCAATGCCGTGTTCTCCCTACAACGACGTGACCTAATGAGTGATTTACCTACAGTGCGTAACTTGATGTGTTCTCACAAGCCCTAGACCGATACCCTGAGCGCATATTTGGCTCACTATGCTCCTGGATACAAGCGATCGCGGTCTGAAATGCACACTCTTTCCAATGCGTCAATTTCTGCTTCAGAGAAAGTGGTACAAGCAGCCCAAGCAGACCACTGGCGTGAAGTCGCATTAGTTTCCAGTGAGTGCATAACACGGCCAATTCATCACTCGACTCTGCCAACTTCGTCTGATTTTGCTTTGCTCATTTTATGGTGGCATATACGCCTGGTTTCGTTATGGAAATTGCGTTTTTTCGCGCAGCTACACAATGAAATGGAGTCTCTGTGGAAAGTTCTTGAATCTGTGCAGGTGTACAATGAGCATAGAACGCAGCTTGTGCCTTTGGTCGAGTCATACCATGTTCCATTTGCGCTGCATGTATTTCATGCACAAGAAAAATTGCATAATGGAGAACGGGAACAAGGCGTCGAGCTCATGTGGAAACACTTGCAATTCGCTAATCGTAAGGCAAAAGAAACGTCTACGTCCAATATTTGGCAAACTCGCGCCATTCGAGTCACTCTGCTATTAGCCTCTTTGCTGATTGAGAGAGATGAAATATCGGCAGCTGATACCTTGGTGCAAAGCCTTGTTGTGAAGCTAGATGCTTCAAATGCCAAAGACCCTGTCTTGTCGCTTGCCCTGGCAAGACTATTTTGGGAAATCGGTGATCATAAGCAAGCTAGCGCCATGCTAAATTGTGCAAGGTCTTCTTCAGTTTCGGAGCAGCACGATATGCATGCAGCATTAGTTCATCATTGTGTTCTTGGCGAGTATTTGAATCAACCGCACATGGAACCTACAGCTCTATCAACAGTGAAAGACTTTGAATCTTCACACGTATGCCAATCACTTACAAATACGATGTCTATGGAAGCATTCTTCCAAGGTCAGATTGGAGAAAGTATTCGCATTCTCGAGCAACTCTTACACGCACATCCCACCACATTTGCAACATCATCCTCACTTGCATCCAACTTACTCACACTTCATTCTCTGAGCTCTAACGATGTCAAGGAAGAGAAACAACGTGTTGTTCGATTCCTTGTTCAATGGGCTGGTGATGACCCATCATGTGTACATCCGCGTTAATGAGGTCAAAGCTTATATAAGCGCATATGAACACTTGTGGCGGAGGCGAGCCCAGATTGCTAGTCTCGAAGCCTGCTCAATGACTTAGGACGGTCTGAGAGCAGTTGGTCAGTCTCGCGTGATACTCTACTATATGATCTACTTCATTTCATTCGTGTCATCAATAGTCTTCTTCTTCGCTTTCATACGTACGTAAGGGCACTTTAACACCCGCTAGTTTTCTATTGGCAGAGGCAAAGATTTTGGGACCTTTTGCCGGCATCCTCACAAGAATGTATATCGACATGGATACAGCATTGGCGCGGAAGGTATGCGCCAGTTGTAGCATTCGATTGGAATACAGCAGTAAATGAGGGTCTTTCTAGTACGTTGTTCGATATTGAAGCGAACATTCGCGATGGTGATCCTCGTGTAGGACTCGACGAGGTCGGAATGCAAGATATTCATCGCATAATGCAAGAGAATGGGCTCGTACGTTTCGATTAACCATCATTTATGTACTCACATCTGCGAGTCATTTGACGAAGCGCGCTTAAGAAGACACAGAATACTGTTGCAAAAACACCGGATCGATCCGCAAACTGGCATCCCTATGGACTCAAAAGCTGTTACACGACTGTAATATAGAAATTGTATATGATAGCAATAGCTCGATAATACATTAGTCTCCCAGATGAAAGGCCTGGATTGGTTTAGACGCGTTTTACGACACGCAAAAATTGATACTGTGGCATGGGTACAACAATCCAGGGGTTCTGCATTCTATTTAGCCAAGACGCAAGCCCAAGACAAGGCCAGCAATGAACGTCGCCCGCTCTTGGAAGTCGGCGGTCAAGAAATCAACAGTACGCTTCCAGATGCGGACAAGTGGCATCTGTTCAAAGTTACTCTTCGACGTATCAGCAGGGCCGGCGAGGCGGTTCACAGATGACGTGTACGTGTTCTTCAGGCTTGACCAGTCAACACGAATCATACGCTTTGAGGCAAGGTACTGCATCAGAATATAGACGCCACCAAGCAGAAAAGCAATCACCTTGAGACCTTTCTTGATAAAAATTCCGGCACACAAACCGCAAACTGTTCCGAACGACAGCTGATACAAGTTGACGATACTTTTTGGATTACTAGTGTTGCCACTGCTTGCGTTGATGGCTGGTGCAGGAAGATCGGTCGGCTCGCACTCGGCAGGCTTACTCGAATACCCGAACCAAGCGCTAGTCAAAAGCAGGGAGCCACCTGCGAGAATTCCCGTCGATGCAATAAAGCCTGAACGAGCAGAGGCTGAGACCCGCGGAACATTCGCTGCCATAGAAAAGGAACGGAACGAGCATGCCGTGGGTCGGATAGACAGACGTACAGGTGAGCTTAAACGGGCTGCCTGAGAAATAATTGGAAGCGAGAAGGGAACGCGTCGAAACATGTTCATGGCCATGCTGCTTTGGGACAAGAGAGGAGACACGTAGTAAGACAACTCACGAAGCGCTTAGACCATTCTATCCTTTTCGAAATATTGTCGGGGTATTTGTGGAGGCTGCCCGTGTGGCATGGGCCAGCGGTCAGTCACATGCAGCTGTTGGCGTCATTCCTGTTGGAAACACATGCGCATTTTCTCCACTTCTCATGACTTGAGATCTAAATTGCCGGCGACCCGCGATACCTTCGACCTTTTTGCATCAACTATGATACATGAATAAAACTGTCGAGCCACGGGAGAAACGAGTTTCGTCTGAAAGCCCATCGGAAACATCAAAGCGACCGAAAGTCTCTGTTGCAGCGTGGGTCTCGTCATCCACCCAAAACGCTGATACAAATGCGCTGCCACCTCCAACGACATGTACAGAAGCATGCATCCAAGACCGGGACTCAACATTTATTGGATACGTATATCCACTACATACTGCATCATCAACTTATCGGAGTGCTCTCCTGGAGCATTTGACACATGTCGTCCATCCATCCATCCCTGCGTCGCAACTCCCTCCACAGTTTCAGCATGTTGCGCCTACGAGGCGAGGAAGCACACACGATATGTACGCGTATCGAGTGATGCAACTCAAGCCGGGAAGAAGTGGACTAGGCGGTCCGAATGACTTCGGTACAGACGAAGGTCAAGATGACGACGGCGAGACTTGGGGTTCGGAAAAGATCATGCGCGTCATACGTGCGATGGGGGCAAGCGATGTCCTGGTCATTGTCAGCCGCTGGTACGGTGGGCAGCTCTTGGGACCCGTGCGATTTGAACATATCACACATGTGGCACGCGCCGCCCTTCAAAAACACCTGGACTTGGAGGTGATCCATGAGTATCGTGTTCGGCTGCAGAAACTTGACGAAAGTATATGTGCGATGAAAAATGTCATGAAGCACTCGGATCCTTACGAAAATCTTACGTTGGATCGGGCGAGACGCCTTGTGGTAGCACGCTCAAAAACACTAGCCACTTTACGGCGTAAGCACAGTGAAGAAGTGAACACGAATGTTGCTCAACAAGAGCTGTCTCGCATCTAGCCCATGTCGTGCTTCGTACAAAGGCAAAGTAATTAGGAATAATCATTACCACAAGTTTAGCAAATCCTGTGCATCTTGGTCATTTTTTGCAAAATCGAAATCCAGGGCCTGGGCCGATACGTTCGGCGTAGTATTGCCGCCCTCCATAGACCAATATGGCACCGTCCCTCGCTGACTCATCCCCGAGTACGGCGCAACTTGCGGAAAACGGAACATGCCACCAAGGTTTAACGAAGGTAGAGACGTATTCGCAGAGGAGCTCGACAAGTCAAATGGCATCCCTGGCATGTCGTAAAGGAAAGGCCCCGAGGATTCATGCTGAGAGCTCTGGTCTGTTTCCATATTGGGTTGCCAGTCCGGCCAAAGGCTCGATGTTTCGACGGATTCAAATGGCATATTGAACGGCAAACCATTTGAAGGCCAAATGTCAGTCTGGAGGTTGTGGTTGGCAGGCGGCGGAATTATAGATGGAGAACATTCAGTGTCTGTAGACTCCTTTGCATCATTTGCACTCGTAGGTTTAGAGACTTCGTCATCATCTCGAAGGCGTTTGCGCTTCAGCTCGGGCGAGCTCGTTGATGATGACTCAAGTTCATTCAATGCATCTGACTGTGCTCGACGCTTCATGTCTTGTTCAAGAAATGCGCGAATAGTATTCACATCTGTCAGGTTTTCAGGTTCATTGCCAGTATGCTGGCTACTCAAGCGCCAATCGATGAATTCTTGCATACCGCTCCGTAAAATATCAACATCAGAGCCCATAGGTGTGAGAAGCAAAAGGATTCCGGCAACAACAGTTGTATTGAACCATCGAAAAGCCAACACGGTTGTCCGATTCATCCGTGGTCCAGATTCTTGCTGTTCTGACTTGAGTAGTTCGCGTCGCATAGACAAACTCCGTTTAACTGACTCCATGCAAGTATCGTAAGACGTCATGTAACGCTGTCGAGACTGCCCCTTCTTCAGCATACGCAGCAAGTAGGGACAATGTAGCGACAATGTAAAGAACGACAGATCGAACCAGAGATGACTGCGCTGTGCTCGTAGGAATGGAAAGTATGCATCACACTCACAAGACATGACTGCAGAGCCATTCTGAAATGACATTTGGAAGTAGAATGGCAGCTCTGAGACAAACTTGCCAAAGTTATTGTGCAGTTCGAGTACTTTCGCGTAAGAGAATGACTTGTTAACGCTGTGAAGCTCGAAAGAAAGCACACTGATGAATTTGGTCAAATGGAACCTAACTTTGTTAATCGAAAGCAAATGTGGTGGGTCCACGTCGTCAAACAAATGACGAATCTCTGTCGGGATGTCTTGCATGGGCGTCTTGGGTTGCGGGGAGCGTGTATCTGCCAAGTCGTCATTGATAAGCGGGGGGCGGCCATACCCGAGGCAGTAAATGTGCGATGAGGAATATACGATAGACCAAATCACGCGTCGATGTTCACAAGTAATCTCATCGAGACCATATTCTGCTCCATCTCGATGAAGTCCCAGGGAAAACGAGAGGCGGACCATGTCAACAACACAAGCCCAAGATCGCGTGAGGCTTCCAGTGACGAAAAAGTAGCGGGACAGAACAACATAGGTGAATATGGTATTTGTATCTTCGCGGTTCAAGCCCTGCGATGTACCACATGCAATTTTGGATGCATTCGACAAGCGCCGCGAGGCATCAAAGTTGAATCTAGAAATGTCTAGATTCAGATCTCTTAGATACTCCGGATGCGAGACCAACAAAAAAACAGTGGTTACAGCAAGGATTGCCGAAATTAAGCTGAACTGAGTGAGATTTTCTTGATTGATGATGCCGTTACTTGTGTATATTCCCGACAATGCCTGTGTAATGATATCTTTCGGAATCGGGTGTCGCAAAAGGTTAAGGTGGGTAAAATACACGTCCATCAACTTGAATACATCCTCTTTTTGATACATGCACCGGGTAAAGCTTTCTTGCATGATCGGAGAAAATGTCTCCATGTTCAGTATGTCGCGCGCCTCTAATGGAAGAATGAGGTGAGAAGGTGGTGTAATCTGAGTGCCGGGCAAAGATCGGACTGCTGAAACAAGCGTCTCCGACTTCATAGTCGGGTCTATATCTTTCAGATTAGACTCAAGATCTTCGAGATCGCTTAATTCATCATCACTCATGGTGCCCGAAAGCGTTTCAGCATCACCAGAAAGTTCTGCCTGTGTTTTACCCGAACAGCGTGGACGAGTGTTGGACCGCAAGACAGAATCTAGGAAAGTATCCAAACGCCTCTGCATAAAATTTAGTTTATACTCAATGGTTCGTTCCAGTTTTGCAAACTGAGCTGATAAATCATTTGAACCTTCCTGCTGATGAAAGGTTTTGCACTGCTCTGGAATTCGTCTTGCGATACACTTGATGATTGTTAGTCGACTGGCTTCTAAGCAAGGCTATTTTGTGACGCTGGGCGTCTCTTTCACTTACATTTTGGCATGGAATTTGCCTGTTACAACGTTGTTTGCGACGATAACATTCCGTACCTGATATCATATTAGGATACGTCAGGTCATGACTTACATGCAAAATGAACTCTCGTCCTTCGGGGGGGAGCACGGGCATCAGGTGCAGTTTCGGCTTTCGAGCTCGACGACACACTACTTCCCGTCTTACCGCTCATAGAGCCGCTGCGATCGGGCGCGTCCGCCATACCCCCAAACTGGTGCAAGTTGTGCCACCTCGCAGATCGTAGATCAAACTCGCAGCGCTTCAAGCTTATCGCACAGGTTGGCTCTATGAATAATGAAGACTTTTCTGGGTATTAATGCACTAAACCTAGTTTTCAGACCCCTTGGCCAATAACATTGCTGAGCTGATTAGGCACACTGCACACGCACTTTATACCCACCATGTCTAAGTACGTTGTGACATTGCCATTATGGCAATCTGACCAGTCCTCAACAGGCATCACCCAGATGTGATTTTATGCAGAAAGCTTCCTGGAATTGCTATTGGGAGGCTTTGCGAACATTGTGATGGAAGATGGTACGTTTGTGCATAACTTAGAAAAGTCCCATTTGTGACTCGTACGTGCGTCCAGCGGCAATTGTGCGAATTTGTGACGAATGCAACTTTGGGTCTTTTGGAGGCCGTTGCATAGTCTGTGGTGCACCAGGCGTATCGGTAGGTTTCTTCCCTCCTATTTTATATTCTAACAATGCAGGATGCATATTACTGCGCGGAATGCACACGTCTTGAAAAAGACCGTGATGGATGCCCTAAAGCGATCAACTTAGGACATACACGGATGGACGCTATGTTTAACCAGAAAATGCAAAATACATTCCAACGGGGCTAGAAACAATCGCCGCCATAAAGCAGAGATAGAGGCCCGTCATGAGTTTCGTCAAAAAATCAATTTCGTAGATTTTGTGTGCAGATCATGTTCCGTTACAACCGTACCTATCACAACCACAATCTATATACAGTCATTACGACCACCCAATGAAAGCACATGCTCTGCCAAACAGTGTGCTCTCATGATAGCCACGTCGCTGAATCTTTTGATCACGGCATTCTACGTCTGAGAGCCGTCGCGCTCCTCGGCTCTCAGCTTGCTTGCTGAGCGCGTTCTGATGTAGTGGTGATTCTGGCGCGGAAGAAACGCCGGAGGGAAGATCGTACGCCGAATTTGGAGCAAATAATGCACTAGGGACAAACACATCTGATAGCTCGGCCACATGTGTATTTTGGGGGGTTTCTGGGCTAGCAGATGTCGGTACATCTGTTTGATGGTCATTTTCCACAGCGTGTGCGTCATCTTCGCTAGAGGGTGGAAAGCAAGATGAGCGATAACAGTCCGAACAATAATCCTCAGAATGCCCAGTAGACTGCAATCTCGCAATGGCCAAACTTTCTTCTTCCATCGCGAGCTTAAACTCAAGAGGAGTGTGAATGTGCTCTACCTCGTCGAATCGTGTGAAAGCTTGCGCCTTCTGTGCGGAATAGGACGCCTCACGATAGCGCCTCAGCCAAGGATGCGAAAGTGCCTCGCCCGCTGTGATGCGTTTCTGTGGATCCCAACGCAACATTCGAGACAGCAAATCTAGAGCTTGCTCTGGGACGTCCGGATAAATATCGGCCCAAGCGACCCCGTTGCGGTCTCCCATGGATTCCATATGCTTCTTCGCTCGGTCAGAGCCAATCCGGTCCAGCACAGCCTCTGGGGGATTACCAAGGACTTTATGAATCCGATTCAGCTGGTCCACATAATCAGTTCCAGGAAAGACGGGTGTTCTACCCAACAATTCTGCGAATATACAACCAACACTCCACATATCCATGGAAGGACCATAGCCGCCGCGACAACAGAGCATGACCTCAGGAGCACGATACCAGCGAGTCGCAACATAATCAGTGAGGGGAGCGCCGGGAAATTTAATGGGTTGGGAAGTTTCCACTGAAGGCAATCCCAACTTGGTCGGCAAACGATCACTACCTCCTGGATGAAAGAAGCGCATGAAAGCTTTATGGTCTGAAAGATCCGTGCCCGGTGTCGACTCCCGCGGTGAAGATATTTCAATATTATTCACAGAGAATACATCACGAATATTAACCTCTGGATGAGCAAATGAGTGGTCCCAGCTAGCTGGATCGCCAAGCCGAGCTAGACTTTCAAGAAATTCAGTGTTGTCTGAATCGAAGGCACGCGACATGCCAAAATCGCAGAGACATAGAGTACAATCTGCATTAACGAGAAGATTCCCTGGCTTCAGGTCCCGGTGAACGATATGAGCAGAATGCAGGTGATGAACGGCACGGAGAAGTTGAACAAGGAAGTACTTAATGTGAGCTTCAGTCAGGTCCTGGTCAGAACGGATAATTTGAAACAGATCGGCGTCGCACGCTGAGAGAATCAAATACACCTCATTAAACTCAATAAATGTGACGTCGAACTCAATAACATCCACAACATAGGGGCAATTCATCAAGTGACGCAAGGAGGCAACTTCTCGAAGTACACGTCGCGTCAAGACTTCACGTCCAAAGAAACGGCTCATCTTTTTGATGGCGACATGGCGGCTCGTCTCACTATCGTACGCCAGAGCAACACATCCATATGAGCCTATACCCAACTCTCGCACTAATGAGTAGCGCTTTTTGACGTGGAATGGAACCTGATAACACTGGAATGAATGATAGCCTCGCTTTGCCAGGTTATGAAAATGCAAAGGATGATCCTTCTGCGAATATCTACTCCAGCTAAGTGTTTCAACATGTGGCCCTGGCTGCTCACTCATTCTGGAGGGATTACGGCTCCGCGTCCGGGTTCTCGTGCGAATGGGTTGACGACGAGTCGAAAACCGTGCGTCTTCATGCTTAACAGCCTGTGTACCTTTTGAGGAGTCCGTCGTTCTCGCACTTGATCCAAAGAAATTGGACAGGCTCGAGGTGCCAAGCAGCATCATACTCCATGGACTGAAACGGCGAATCCGTACAGGCGTGAATAGACTGAAAGTGACTTGGCGCGATAAATAATTTCTGGATGCTTATTGAGTCTAAATTTGTGGCGAGATAGTATACGCTTTCATAGGCTCGACTTGAAAATTCATGCGACCGAAAATCTCGACCGAACACATGAATACCTTACTTCTGGTGCCCCATTAATTCCCTCCGGAGAAAATGAGTGTGCCCTTGCACTGTCGCTACAAGGTTCGGATTATTAATCTGGAAATTGAGTGTAGGGTACAGAACACACTATGGCGTATCCTGATTCGCTAAGAACCAGTGAATACATGGCAAAGGATACCGAGATGGGCCGGACAAAGTACCCTAAATATAATATGTTCGCAGAGCAAAGCCGCAATTTGCGTATTGAATCAAACAAAGCTCACTAGAGTCTTTCTACGAATCGCTTACCAATCTTGTTACGTGAAGTGCAAACTGACATTGGTACACATGCAGACCGACGAATGAGACGGCCGCGAAACGCCCATGGGATCGAGCTCAAGCATTCTTGAAGAGGACCTGTGCAATCTTGAATACAATCGTCCTTGCGAGATATAATGATGCAAGGGAGTAAAACTTCGTACTGGGTCTGATGATGGGTGTGTAAATAATCGACTTAAAATGAATTATATGCGCCTAACGCGTATACGCATCAATAGTTGGATTAGAATAACCCGATGCACCACCATGCTTGAAGAGAGAAACATATATCCTAGACTGACAGATTCTTGATTTGGTTGTGTTACAATGCTACATCTATACACACATCTTATTTCCTGTGCTTTACCGAAGAAGCAACGGATCCAGGCCTTGTCGTCCAAATGGTCAAGTATCACAGTCTTTGCACATATGTTCCACAGCTCGATGCCCGCAATGTTTTCCACACATCTACCAACATGCTTGCACTAGAACCGAAGCGCCATCACCGAGTTTCTAGGTGATAAGGGCTGTATGTATAATTCCTATATTGAACATATGCACTGCCTTGACGAATGTCACGTGAGTGACACGTTGGACGGAATCGCGTAGGAAGTGTCGCTTGGCTTGGACGTGCGTGCTACAATCATACCAATGGTAAGTGCATAGGCATGAACAAGACGGACAATGCTAATTAACGAAGGACCGCATTAAAGAGAAACTGAACTCACTTCGCGCCGAGGCGGATGCTGCACTTGAGCGTGCTGAGGTAGCGGAAGCACGAAACAAGGAATTGGAACAGGACAACTTGTCGAAAGAGCAGGAGATTTCTAGCTTGCAGCACAAGCTTTCAGTCCTCGAGAGCGATCTGGAGAATGCTGAAGCAAAGTTAAGCGAGGCCAAAGTCGGAAAAGAAGAAGGAGAAAGCCACAAGTCTAATGTGGACATTTTACAGCGCCGTATAGACATGCTGGAGGAGCAGCTTGACCAGTCTGAACGGAGCCTAAAAGAAACGACCGAGCAGTATGTATAATTATGGAGCGCAAACTTATATGGCAGGCTTCGACATACAGATGTGCGCGCTGAGCAACTGGAGCGCCAGATCCAGGGTGCCGAGCAGGAGCGTGATCAGTGGGAGCACAAGTACGAAGAGGCCCAGGAGAGGTACCAGGCCTCGAAGCGCGAGCTGGACGAGGTTGTCCAACAAATGGAAAGTCTTTAAGTATGCTGAATGGCATGTTGGAGAGGATCCCAGGACAGTGTTTTCATTTGGTTCGTTGGTTAAATTATTTGTCTCTACGTTGTTTTTATCCCGTGTAGCACGCGCCTCGGTGGAATTGTTCGTAACTGAGCATGAATCCATCATGCAAGTGGTCATTTTTCTTCTCTCACATTCTACGCAACTTGACCTTGCGCTTGAAGTTCTCGCGCAATCTGTCGAACTTTGCGCCTAGAATGTGTGTGTTAGTAATGACCAAATCCATGTACACAGCCATAGGGAGAACGATGCTAGTTACGTACTCGTAAGCGGCACGGTCCTGTCTGAGAATATAGTAAGTACATCGGTATCGCGGAATGAACATACTTGAACAAGTGGAAAGCATCTGCCTGTGCAGGATCACCAGGATTTGGATCATTAAGCAGATCCTGAATGCCTAAAAGAATCTGCTTGATGGTAATTGCTGGTTTCCAGCTCTTCTCCTCATCTGAGCAACGCATAAGGAAATCAGCGTACGCACCTAGAATCGATAAGCATACAGTCCCTGAAGGAAAAACATTTGGATGGAACAAGGGTGGTGTAAATTTACCTGTCACTAGTTAGAGCACCGCTTGGATCAAGTATGTGTGTGCGTACATTTAGGCGGCTTTGATGGGTATTCCTCCGGAAAGTACATTTTTAGTTTGTACACACCACCTTCCCATGGAGTCTTTGCATTAGACATCAAGAAAACGTACGTTGGATTTACCGGGAATACCAACTTCCCATACTAGGAGATTGAGCGAGCCGTCCGCCTCTTTCTCAGGACGTGCGTAGAACCCCTGCAATAAGATGGAATGCTCTTTTTCTGATTGCACGTACAAATGGATGATCTCTTCTCCATTGCTTCCGTTCTTCCTGTAGCCTGAGGGTAAGTAAGTACGCTACTTGACACGTACCTTGTACGGCAAATGCCTGACATGGTCGCGATGTGATCCCCCTAGGCACTAAGCCCTTTTGGCGAGGGTTGTTTGAGCGCCAACATGATCTCCACTTTGTCACGTGCGATTATACACTATGCACACCTTCAGCCAACCCCGCCAAATAGGCGCGACAGCCACGGAAATGAACGCGCGTAATGATAAGAGATTCTCTCAGTTCGTTCATGAAAATGCTTTAGTATTGATAAAATGTGTAGGTGATGCTGTAGAAGTTGTGTTGAACAAGACCTCAGTCGCTGCTTGTGTCGAAACAAGCTGAATAATTGAAGGTGTTGGTCGGTGCCTAGCTACAGAGCGGAAACATGTGGAGAAGGCGCCATAACTTATCCCTTGCCTTGAGGCTATTGTGTGGTGTGCCGAAGTGTGATTCTGTAGTTTGACTCGTATGTCGAGTTGGCTCGATGCACTTCAAGCCATTCTAGGAGCCACAGCATTAGTTTGGTACGTGGTCCTATGGACAGTGTGCCTCATTGGATATTCTGTGGCAAAGGAACTCTTCGAATGTTCATGGCCGCGTTCCCCGCTCTCGTCTGCGAATCCAACGACAACGGATGTCCCTGGCGTGTCGATTCTACGACCACTTGCGGGTCTCGACTGCAATTTATTCACAAACTTATGCTCCACGTTTGAACAGCAGTATCCAACAGATCGTTTTGAAATTATCTTGAGTGTCAGAAGTGAATATGACCAGGCACTGAACATTGCACGACAAGTAAAAGAACGGTATCCGCATATATCCAGTACGATCATTGTCGGCGATGTTGAAGCTAGTGTGAATCCAAAAATCAACAACCTTGTGCGTTCATATGCAGCAGCGGTGTTTGATATCATCTGGGTCGTGGACAGTCAAGTCTGGCTCAGTCCTCAGGCGCTCAGCCGCGCAGTCGATGCTCTGACCTTGCGGCCTGTGTCGCCTGTGCCACAATGGATGCATCGCAAGCCTAATGGAGACCGTGTGGGTCTGGTGCACCATGTGCCTTTGGGTGTGCTGCCAGCAGACACTCTCGCTTCGCATGTTGAGCGAGTGTTCTTGAGCACGACACACGCAAAGATGTACCTGGCTATCAATGCCGTTGCAATTGACAGCTGCGTTATGGGAAAAAGTAACATGTACCGAAAAAGTGATCTGGAGTGTGTCCCTGATTCGTTCTTCCAGTACAAACATGATATTCCCGGTATAGGGAGTCGTGCTTTTGATGACGAGAGTACTCGTACAGGCGGCGTTACAGATAATGCCCCTATTGCGCAGTCACTAGACGTTGTTCATGGAAATGCCCGGGCTTTGGCTCGTTATGGCATTTATCTTGCAGAAGATAATATGCTTGCAATGAGCTTATGGCGACCACCCCTAAAGCTAGCGCACCGGATATCGCCCGGCGACGTCGCACAGGTGGCTGTCGGCGATATCCAAACATTAGGTGAGTATGCGAAACGGCGCATGCGGTGGATTCGAGTGCGCCGACATATGGTGCCACTCGCCACATATTTGGAGCCATTTACAGAAAGCCTAGTCGCGGGCGGCCTGGCTTGGTACGGTTTGCGCATGTATGTATTGCGTGGGTGGATTCTTGGCTCAAGCATCCAGACATGGATTGCTTTTTCCCTTTTTTTTCCTCCTACATCTAACGGCGTGGTATTGGGTCGATATGAGTGTGCTCGTGGCACTTAGGCACGGTGAACCCTTGCCTGATGCTGAGCAGCGCTACTTGTTCATGGCTTGGTGTGTGCGAGAGTGCCTGGCATTTCCCATCTGGTTGTGGGCCATGCTGGGCCATACAGTAACATGGCGAGGGCAGCGCTACAGGATTCTCCGCGATTCACGCGCTGCCCCTGCGTCGACCGAGTCCACGGGAAGCACGGAGGCACTATCGACGGGACTGGTTGTCAGATTAGCCCTCAAGCACAGAATCGATTTCCGTACGCCATCTCCTCTGAAGATCTATGCATTCGAGGAAAATTCGGTATTTTGTGTCAAACAACTTGTGAAGCGACAGGTTGTTCGTGGGTTCAATCAACTGACCAGGCTTGGTTGAAGCCTCCATCAAATTCCACAGTGTTCCAGCATATTGTTGGGCTGTTGCCTCAGCGTCAGTTTGCGAAGACAATATGGGCGTCTCAGATCGCACGAGCTTAGAGCGCTCCAATGTGACAAGAGCAGCCATCTGACCAAGGATCGCAGAACCGACCGTCACACTCGCAGAGGCCTCCGTCGGCATTTGGACACGAAGTCCACAAATGTCTGCAACAAGATGTGCATAGATTTGATTGCGTGCCTGACCTCCGCCCGAAAAGTATATTGTCTCGACCTTGTGACCAGAGCGATTCATTTCATCTACAATATGCCGCGTCTGTAGTGCAATCGCCTCAAGTGTCAGAAGGTATTTTCGTGCAAGATCAGCACGCGAACGATCAAGATCAAGGCCACTCAACATGCCACGGAGCGATGTATCGGCGAGCGGGGAGCGATTGCCGTAAAAGTCGGGATACATATGCATGTAGCGCACAAGTAGAGCATAGCTCGATGGCGATGTGACAGGTAGCTCACTTGCTTGCATTTGGGCTTCAAGTGATTCTTCCAATAATGAATAAACAGAGCACTGGCGCGCATGCGCTTCCGATAAGGTTGTGGCATAGGCGGGATGTGTCTGTAAGACCGCATCGATCAATTGACCTGTGCTGCTTTGACCCCCTTCATTGATCCAGCGATGTGGAAAAACTGCATGATGGTATGGTCCCCACACGCCCGGCACATGCACACCTTGCTCACTCTGGATGCAGTAGCAAGTGCTGGTACCAGCAATAGCAACGAGACGCGACTGCGCATCATGTAGCGACGTATGCGTGGTTTCATCTCGACCCAATGACTTGGCAGCCGCTGTGCCAACCCAGCCTGCATAGGCATCGATCAGTGCCGAGGACACAGGTGTATGTGGCAAGAGACCAAGTTCTGACGCTGCCTCCTCCGACAGTCCTGCTCCTACAGGCATGCCAGCCGTTAGAACTAGCCCTTGTTTTCCAGGTATGCCACCCAATGCATCATAGTGTGGGCCTAGACACCCGAGTCCAATGCGCTCAAGAAAGTCTGGTTGCCAGCCGATTTTGCTGCCGGCAGTACCAGGAGGAATGTAACCACACTTACACACGAGACTGCAATTCGATCGTGCACGGGACCCAGTTGCACGGAATGTAAGATAGTCGGGCAAGTCAAAGAATTGAGCGCTATCAAATTTCGCTGCAGGCCAATGGCGACGAAGCCAGAGGATCTTTGGCATCTCCATCTCGAGGGACATAGTTCCGCCGACATAATCGAGGACTTTGTGGTGCTGCGAATTGATTAAGCGCGCTTCTTCTTCTGCACGGTGATCTGCCCACAGAATGACATTCCGATCAGCTTCATCAGGTATCATTTTCGTAATGCTAGGTGGCGTGATACTCATTGGTGCTGCATTCGCCTTGTCCACCACCACAAGACTACAAGTCGCATCAAAACCAAGGCCATAGACCTCTTCAGCATGTACGCCCGCATTTTGGACAATTTTTCTAACGCATTGAGCTAATGCGTTCCAAATTTGCGCGGAAGACTGCTCGAAAAGCCGACTGTCCCGTTCATAAGTCCATGTTCTTATGGGTTGTGTCTCTTGCGCGACGATATCCCCCCCTTCTGAAACGAGGCCCGCACGTACAGCCCCTGTTCCTACGTCTATGCCAACAAAGTACATGTGTGAAGAACGTTTGGTGTCAATCTTACAGGGGATGTGGCCAATAAATCACCCAAGCCTATGCAAACAGTGGCCAACTATAATACGAATGCCAATGAGTTCTGGGCACGGACATTATGTTGGGCTCCCAGCCTTACCTAAGAGGGGGACCCTGTCCACTTGAGCATATGTTGCGCCAACCGACCACACACGTGATGGGCGGCCACGGGTTTCAAGACCCGGGCTCAACATGAGGCGCCAGCGGCTTTTGGCGGGTCTATGGGAAAAAAGTGGGCGTTTCTCCACTCCTTTCCGTCCAGCGAGAATTGTTGGACATTACATTATGTTCGATTGAATGCAAAAATAGCACAGTATCGAGCGGGGGCGCCGTGCTGACACCTGTGAACACGTGGCTGATTTTCCCGGACCGAATCGCTGACGACACTGTCGAGCCCTATTTCCCAATCGGAGCATGGGTCACGCAAGCGTTCACACGACAGCCCGTCCCTACCTCAATGTTGAACGCTAGATAACTATCTTTTTATCCCCAGTACCACAATGTCGAGTACTGAAGGCCAAACTATTACATGCAAAGCAGCTATTGCATGGGAAGCTAACAAGCCACTTAGTGTAGAGGATGTACACGTAGCACCACCGCGAGAAGGTGAAGTGCGTGTGCGTGTGACATTCACTGGCCTTTGCCACACGGATGTATACACGTTGTCCGGAGGTGATCCAGAGGGAGCATTTCCTGCGATCCTCGGACACGAGGGTGCCGGTATTGTTGAGTCGACAGGAGCTGGTGTCACAGATGTGAAGGCAGGCGACAACGTCATTCTTCTATACACGGCCGAGTGCCGTAAGTGCAAGTTCTGCACGTCGGGCAAGACCAACTTGTGTCAAGCTGTACGTGCGACGCAAGGCCGTGGCGTGATGCCTGATGGTACAAAGCGCTTCACGTCTGCACGCACCGGCGAGGAGCTCTTCCATTTTATGGGCACGTCAACCTTTAGTCAGTACACAGTGGTGTCACAGTACTCGCTTGTGGCCGTGGATCCCAAGGCACCCATGGACCGTACGTGCTTGCTGGGCTGTGGCATTACAACCGGCTATGGCGCAGCTGTGTACACAGCGAAGGTCGAGCCGCAGTCCTCGGTCGCCGTGTGGGGTGTCGGTTGTGTGGGCCTTGCAGTGATTTATGGTGCCAAAGAGCGTGGTGCGAAGCGGATCATTGCGATCGACACAAATCCAGGCAAAGCTTCATGGGCGAAAAAGTTTGGCGCTACCGAATTCGTCAACCCGAAGGATGTGCCACCGGTCGAAGGTGGTGGCGACGCTTTGGTTCAGCATCTCGTGAACATCACGGATGGCGGCTTGGACTACACGTTTGACTGTACAGGAAACGTACATGTTATGCGTACGGCTCTGGAGGCTTGTCACAAAGGTTGGGGTATCTCGACGGTCATCGGCGTTGCAAAGGCAGGCGAGGAAATCTCTACTCGCCCATTCCAGCTCGTCACAGGTCGCAAGTGGCAAGGTTCAGCTTTCGGTGGTGTGAAAGGCCGCACACAGCTGCCTGGCCTTGTTGACCGATACATGCATGGCGATTTCATGGTCGATGAGTACGTCACGCACCGCGAGACTTTGAGCAACATCAATGAAGGCTTGCACCACATGCACGAAGGTGGCTGCATTCGTTGTGTCGTGGATCTTGCATAGATGATGTCATAGGCGTATGTATGGTATTGAGACCGCAGCGATGGCCAATATCTAGCGAGGGCCCTCAAAGGCGGGTGAGGTTCGAGGAAACGATGATGAGGCACGTTGGGTAAGGACAAGAGCCGAAAGCTTGTGAACGAGCAAGCAGCCACGCATGCACGACAACAATTGCTCCAGCTCATGAATTCATGAAATTCATGCTACTGACAATAAGCGGGAGGAAATTCCTGCCCATATGTCGGTGTAGGACCGCCGATAGAGCGCCGGCCTCGTGTTGATACTAGAGAAGACGACGAAGATGCGGTAGAGGATGGTCCCGGTAATAGTGTGGACGAGGACGACGGTAGCAGCGTACGCTCATAGTACGAATGCGGCTCATTTACAACATCAGGATCAGACCCATCTAATTCTCCAGGTTTCCGACCATGTGTTGCTTCGCCGATCATGAGATCACTGGGGTTTGGAGGTGGCAGCATGGCCTGCTCAGCGGCCGATAAGTCGGCCAGACTCATGCCACACACACACATATTGTGCGACTCGCCACGGTCTTGATTCGCCATCACAATCTGTTCCCAAGTTGTGCCGGTCAGATGCTTGAGCTGCGGCACAGTGGAAGTAGGTTCATTCTTCTCACTGTACGCGGGAAGTGTCACAGCATCCAATGCACAGCAGCAAGATGGGATGATGACACCTTGTCGCAAGGTAAAGACCTTGATTTTTCGGCGCCCCTCGCTCGTCAGAGCGTCTGGTACTGATGGATGGTTCCGACTATGCACGACCTCCACCACAAGCGTGTGATGGAAACGTAGTGGCGAGCGAGTACCAGACATGGTACTGGGCCGGATGGCATTGTCATCAGGGATGCGAGCAACGCCCTGCACTGTCCAAGCAGAATCCTGCCCCGCGTACCGAATGTAGCCCGGCAATGTATCGACTTCATCAAGAGTCGCCTTCTCCTGCGACGCGACAATGCCCTTTTCAAACAATCGCCGCTTCTGCACAGGTGTAACTTGCCGACCTTTGCGCCGCGTCGTCACTTCAATCGTCGTATGTAGCAGTACTCGCACCATATATACAATCAGGTCCCTTGGTGGTGACGGGCTGTGGATGTCGATGTTGAAAAGCCCGCCGACAGAAATGTTGTTTGACGTGCATGCGACAGAAAGCAAGCCCACAGTCGGGTGGACATCGTTGAAAAGCACCGTAAGCGGCGTCACGCCGCCGTCAGGTGCGGGATTTACCATAGGAAAAAAATCTCGCCACTCTTCGACGTTGGAGCGCGCACGTCCAGCGCCAAGAGCGGTGACTTTGACCGAGTAGCGCACCTTGCCGAATGGGCTGCGGTCATAGGGGGGCGCATCAGCCGGGATTATAAACGCAAACTCGAACATGTGTACGCCTTTGCTTAGCTCCATCCCTTCCTCGTGGTTATTGTTAGAAATGACGTCCACATGCTTTGTCGCGGATCGACCACGTGGCTCGTCGCCATACGTATACGAATCTTTACGCGACGGCGCACGTCCACGAGGTCTTTCTAGCTCGTCTTCCAGGATTTCCTGTGCTTCTAGGCGTTCTGTAATTTGTTGTAAATCCTCATCAGTCATGACACTGTGACTAGTTCCCTGCTGCGGTGTTGATGCGCCAGAATAGTTCTGAGGAGTGCGTGTGCGCGAATGCGAAGAGGAGCGACAGGCATCGAGGCCTGCTGAGGCTGACGACAGACTGTGTCCCAGAAAGCGTGCAGGTGTTTGTGAGCCAGATTTTGGCGCTCTTCCTCGCGAAACACCGCGTACCATATGACGAAAAATATCGTGACTTTCGCTGTGACGACCACCACCGCCAGGAATGATCGACGGACTGCGTGGACGCGACACGCTAGCCGAGTTAGAACGGCGGGTATTTAGTTTGGACAGCCGCGCAGGTACACCGATTTCCAGGATTCGCTCCATAAACGTTGAGTTTTCCCATGAAGACGGGCTTTGGTTATAGGCTGTGTCAAGGTGCGCGAGCGACATCGTCGCTCGTAAATGCACGCGAATGCCATCTATATGACGTGGAGATGGTGCATGCAGATGAATTATGCCTCGTACAAGCTCGTCGTTTGAAAGAGGAGGAAGCTCGTGCGTGCGGTGCTCGTGATCGAGCGTCGCCCGGAGAGGTGGCCGCAGAAACACAACATTTTGGATCAAGTTCACCTGGATCTCGCATGGTTGAAAGATTGTCGATAGCATATCATGCATGATGAGCAGTCTACGTGCGTTCACGCAGGCGTCTCTTCACAGCCAGCTCGTTCTCACACCCTGCTCTAACAACCCCTTCGTCGTTGACTTTGTTGGGTATTCACCGAACGTGGAGAGAGACCGAGCTACACTCCTATCTAACCCGCTGGGCCCGGGGCATGACATGAATCCCTCGAAAACAACGAAAGGCCGCTATAGGCTAGGCTCACAGACTCTTCTGGATCTCTTTGTGTCCTATTGGCTCAAGATTTTTCTTGTCTCCACGCGTAAAAGGACAGCAGCTAAGTACGAACACGCGTGTTTCAGTCATTTTTCACAAGTCCACACACTGGACGAAATTTTGGCGACGCTAGATTTTGGCACTGCGCCTCCGCAACGCCGCGTTGCTTAAGACTTGTTTGCGGTGGCGGTCTTGATAGGTCAAGTCACTTATACATACGCCGCCTTCCATTTTTATTGACTGCGCGCTTTCGTTTGTGTGTGATTGTGTGTGTGTGGGTGGGTGAGAGCGTAACTCTGATGCATCCGAACGCAAAAATGCGTGACGAGGTGCTCAAGTTACTGGACCAGCGAAAGCAAATTGAATCTCAGCTAGCTAAGCACCAAGACAGTCTTAAGTCGCACCATGTCACGATGTCGACTGAACTCTTGGATTCAGAGGGATTTCCACGTTCAGATCTAGATATCCCCACGATTCGTACATCACGCCAACAAATCCGCATGCTGCTCCATGACCGCGAGCTTGTGAACGAGCGCATCGAGCAACTTCTTCCCTTAGCTCTCAAGTGCAATGATGCACATGCGTCCTCTCCGTCGCCGTCAGAGCAGAGTGTGCAACAAGCTTCATCCCGTCTAAGAGATCAATCCCACCTTCTCGCTGTCCGAAGCGTTCGACCTCAGAGCCCTGCATCGAAAGCTGTGCGTATCTTCGGCTGACAGGCCACACTAACTATGCAGGGTCTTCAAGCTGGTGATATCCTCCTAACTTGGGACGAGTTAAAACCCATTACGTCTGAGCATATGTCACAGCTACCGTCTCGTCTTCATGAAGGTGTACCAATCTCGCTCGATGTCAGGCGTCTACAACCGGACGGTCGGCACGTACAGATACAGCTTACCCTTGTTCCCTCTTCTCGCTGGGATGGCAATGGTCTTCTTGGTTGTCACATTGTGCCTGTATAGACTGATGCAGTATGATATTTGCAATCTTCAGTTGATAGCCCCATTTAGTCCATGACAACTCGTTCATCGATTCGTGCGCATTCAAAACCTGTTCGGTACTATTGTGAGAGTGTGGAGATGTCAGCCCCATTTTTTTCCACGACACCGCCATCAACCAATCATGGGTCCTGGCTTCCATCCCTATCCCCTCAATTCGTTGCCATGCCGCAAACTTCTATCGCCTCCAACGTACTGCTGTTGCAATTCGCTAACATCGTGTCATATATTTTGTTCCTATCATCTACTTTGTATGTGACATCAAAGCACGATGCAGTGAGTCGCAACCTCGAGTCGTATATCCAACCTGCACCATGGTTTTACACTACACCACTAATCATTGCCATCTTATTTGTTGGCCTATGGGTATATCAATTCTATCCCTCTGGAGAAAGAATTGTCAAAGAGTCATTGAGGTGGAATCTTCCGCTTGTTATGTGCCTCTACACTGTGTGCAGCCTTTTGTACACGGTCGACTCTGATTCTTTGCTCATTTATGTTACGGCTTTTCTCGTTCTCTGCCTCGTTGCTGCTAGCATAAGTCAGCTGTACGGAAGTGTACGCATGGAATCGGAGGCTTTGAACCTGGCTGATACACTCTTTGTATATCTGCCGGTGTCGTTGATGCATGGCTTTGTTGTTGTGATGTTTTTCGTGGGTGCCTTTGCTCTTGTACCTCGCGATGCGTATTCACACAAGCCTAGTTATTTGGTGGATGCTATTCTGCTCATTGTACTTTTTTTCCTCCAGAGCTCTTCGGCTGGCTACGTCTTCTATGGAAACCGTGATATTGCCGGTGCGCTTGTGGTTTCTCTGGGCCTGCTAGCCATTGCTCAGCAGCAATCCAACTTGCGCTTCATCCACTGGACTGCCTTGTAAGTATCAACCACTGCCCAGACCCTACCCCCACTCCTAGTCCTGCTCTTATTTCCGTCTTGGCTCTTCCTTGTTTATTTCCATACTAACTATATTACAGTGTCTTTTTTGTCTTTTCCATCGTTGGCACAGCTCGTGCGATACTGTCGGTGATTCAGGAGCGACAGAATGCCAACTTGACTGGGACTGATGAGGAAAATACACCGATTGTGAGTTGAAGTAAGATACCTTTACTTCTTCCGCTCATTCGACCACTTGTAGTACTTGGTTTTAGATCTTGCATGCATGTCCGTATCCTCATCGTCATCATCATCTTCGACAACCAAGCCTTTCGCCGTGAGCTGAGCTCCCCGTTTACCGATGGCGTCTTTTATGTCTTGCATTTGCTGCTTCCTGGGCACAGCATGCGCCCCTCGCGTGCGCATGAGTGTGCGTACAACATCAAGCTTTTGGGCTGCCTCAGAGAGGGCGTCCAGTCGTCGCTGCCGCGCATCTAGTTCCCGAATTTTGATTCTCAGTTGCCGCTACATTGCGTTAGTGTCACGAATGAAACAGACATAGAAATGTACCTACCTCACCAACCTTATCAGCTCTTGTAAGCTTCGTCGTACCGGTTGCAGCGGCGGCGCTCGTTTCCTTCGCCGTCTGTTCAGCTTGACGTACTGGCATGTTAGTCAAGATATTTATCCACACCGGAGAATGATTTATTACATACACTCTTCAGTACTGTCAACCCATTTCGTCTTTTTCCCTGCCCCTTGAACGCGGCCTTGCTTTTTCGACGACGCACGTTTTTCACCCAGCAACTTCGCACGTTGCAACGCATCGGCCAAGTCTGGTTTCTTTTGCAATAATGCAAGTCGCATGCCTGGCACACGCGGCGCTAGTTCTTCCACGAGTGCTTTGTATTTCTTGCGCTCCGACGCCAATTGCTTGCGCAGGTATCCAGCGTCTTGCGTTTTCAAGAGCGACACTACATCATTCTCAAGTGGCCTGTTCCCCCGTGAATCAATATGCACACCACGCTCCGTCTTCTTCCCGATCATGCCCGTGTAGAATTCATCCTGGTTTCGATCTGCGGCTTTCTGTCTCAGCCGCTGGAGCTTGTCTCGCTTGATGTGATGCGCACGCGCTCGCTCAACATAGTCTTTGTGTTTCTCTAAAAGGCCCAAATGCTTCCTGTGCTGTGGCTGACTCCGTTCTTTGTGATTACGTCGCTGTACATAGTTCCTTAAAGCCATCGTAGTATCTGAGCAACAATGAACGATAATGCCTGTCAATGTTTCATCGTGCTGCAGTTTGCCAGATTTTTTGAGACGCACGTGACTCCGGGGCTTTCCACTAAGCGCGAAAGCGCACGCGTGCTTAGCTGCGCCGCCATTTTCGCGAGCGTCAGAGACGAATGTCAGTGTGCGATGCATTCTGGCTCAGCGCATCACCATCTTGATCTCCTATAGACAGGTCTTGGCAATGGACTCATTGCTTTAATTCTTTCCAAAATAATCTCTCATCACACTTGAGTAAAGAACTCGTTTTTATTGACGTTTTTCATCAGCCATCTATTTGTTGTTGTGCAAACTTGACCAGCAAAGAATGACATCCGAAGAAAGGGCGTCTTCTGCGTCGACCTCGCGACTGTTGCCTCGTTCTAATGCGCATAATGTACCGAACTATGGTGCAGCTGAGGCACAGCCCCCCAGAAATGTGAGGAAAGAAGACATGTCCTTCGTGCATGTCCTCTTACCATGCACAGCCATGTGGTGTGTGACGTTTATCAGAAGCCTGGATACTACCATCGTGGCCATGCTTTTAGGCACTATCTCTTCTTCTTTCTTGGCTGCAGAGCGTGCTTCTTGGATTGGATCTACGTTTCTCTTGTCTGTCTGTTGTACTGCACCCTTGTACGGCCGTCTGAGTGACATATTCGGACGGAAACGCAGTCTTCTATTGGCCGTTTCTGTGTTCTTGATTGGTACATTATTGTGCGGACTCGCGCGCTCAATGAACCAGTTCTTGATCGCACGAACATTGGCAGGCTTGGGTGGTGGTGGTTTGAACACTCTCAACAGTGTCATTATGTCGAGTCTGGTGCCACTCAAGTCTCGAGGCGTGTATCAAGGGTTGTCAAATATCGTATACGGCCTAGGCGTTGGAACAGGTGCCCCTTTAGGCGGCTTGTTGAATGACAAGATTGGCTGGCGTGGTGCTTTTTATGTGCAGATCCCAATCTTGCTGGTAGCGCTGCTGGCTCTATCTTGTTTCCTTGGGCATGATGAGGGCATTCATTTTGGGCCAGGTGACTCGATTTGGAGACGGCTCAAGGATGTCGACATCCTGGGCCTTGCTTTGTTCGCGTGTGTGCCAATATCATTTCTGCTCGCGTTCGATTTGGTTAGTGTGCAAAATGCGCCCTTGTTCGATAAGTATGTTATGAGTGCCATTTTCATTGCTCTGATTGCTTTTGTTCTCTTTCTGGCTGTTGAACGGACGCTGCCACGTTTTCCCTTGCTGTCCTTTTCCATCCTTTCGATCCGCTCTGTCTGGTCCACGGCAAGTGCGAATTTTTTTATCAGCATGGCGTTGATCAGCTTCAACTACTTCTTCCCATTCTTTTTTCAAACGGTAGCTCAAATGCCAGCCTCAGACGTGGGCCTTCGAATGATGCCTGCCAGCTTTGCCATTGGAGTTGGCAGCTTGGCCGCAGGCTTTTACATGCGCCACTACGGTCGATACTATGGCTACCTATGTGTCAGCGTGGTTGTGTTGTGCCTCTCCTGTCTTCCGATGGCTTTTTACTCGTCCAATCCGCCTAAGCTTTTGCCTTTTGTATTTAATGTGCCGCTCACATTTTCTCAGGCTGGGTTTTTCACATGTGCACTTGTGGCTCTCGTCCATGTGGTCAGTCAAGAATCTCTGGGTGTGGCAACTGGTATGAACTATCTTTTTCGTTCCACCGGGCAGGTTATGGGCATTTCCCTGTCTGGATTTCTTTTACAATGGACACTCTCCGACGAGCTTGGCAAACGGATTCTCGGCCCTGGTTCCGATGAGCTGATTCTTCAAATTCGTCATGACTCGACGATCCTGCCGTCACTACCGGCCGACCTGCGCCACGAGGCACTCTTGTCCTATACTTCTGCGTTACACAACGTCTTTCTTTTTATCATTGGATGTTATGTGTGTACTATGATCTTATCTTTCTTCGTCGAGAACAAACACCTGGACGAGCCTTTTTCTGATGAGCAAGATACCTCTTGAATTCGCCCTTACAAAATCCTGCTTCACAGCTTAAGAACTGGTTTTTTTTTTCTTCATTTTTTTTCATGGCTCTAATCCCACATAACTGCCCCTGCGTTGGTGACCAAGGCTTATCTATCTTGCGCCAATTTAGGAGCAACACAACGGCTCGTTCTGTTATCCTTATCTTGCTGTGCAATAGGAATCTAGATGATCTATCACAACATCGTCTCTACACGCAAGAAAACTTCTACCGCTGCAGAAGCATCCTTGCTCATGTTTATCTACTAGTAGACAGTTACATGTCCAACAACAAATTCGACTAAACAATATAGGCCGGGATCAAATTATGAGGCCATAAAAGCAGCGGAAGCAATGGTGACAAAGAGAGAGTAACATAGAGACAGAGAGACTGTTAAAAATGTATAGATAGAGAAACGGGAAAACAATCGGAATTCAATGAATTGAGGACATGATAGAGGGTGTTGGCATGCAGATACAAAATTCATTCAACGCCAGTCAGCCTCATTCACAGGGTGTGATCCCATGTAGACCTGCTGCGAACTGACACCAGCCAATCCCGGGGCTGCCCCTTGCATGACATGTGATGGGTCTACAGCAGCAGCGGCAGAAGAAGATATACCACCGCGCTCACCAACAAGTGCAGGCTGCATCCGTGCATAGTCAGCAGCCGATTGCATGACAGGCCCCCGGACTGGAGAATCAGCGATGCCCATCTGATCCTGGGGCAGAACTTTTCGCCTCTGTGTCTGACCCGCGACAGTGGCTTTCTGTACTCCCACGTCTTCAGGAGCCCCGGTCTGGCCCGCAGCAGGCAAGCCACGAGACGGGTGTTCGACACGGTCCCTAGGTTGGATGCTCCAATCATATACATAGTCGTACTGGTATCCTTCACGCACAAACAAATCACGGAAAAGTTTCCGAAGGTAGCTGTAATCCGGCCGGTCGTCGAAACGGAGCGAACGACAACAGTTGAGGTATATAGCCATCTCCGTCGGGAAGCCGCGGCATAGAGATTCAGTAGGAGTCATCATCTTTTTCTCCATAATACGCTCGTACTTTTGTTTCTTGGTGGCTGCCTTTAGGCCCTGCCAAGGAAGAGAGCCACGCAGGAAATACATCAGCACATATCCCAAAGACTCAAGATCATCGCGACGCGATTGCTCGACACCAAGGTGGGTGTTGATCGATGTGTAACGTGCAGTACCAGTAAGGTTTTTGTTTTCTCGATAAGGAATGTGAAGGTGAGTCTTAGGATCGCGGTACTTCTTCGCAAGACCAAAGTCAATCACATTCACTTGATTCCCACGCTTACCAATGCCCATCAGGAAATTGTCAGGCTTAATATCGCGGTGAATAAAGTTGCGTGAGTGAATGTATTCTACGCGTGAGATCATCTGGTCTGCCAAAAGCAAGACTGTTTTGAGGGAAAAACGTCGGTTACAAAAGTTGAACAGGTCTTCGAGCGAAGGTCCTAGTAAATCAATGACCATCGCATTGTAGTCACATTCCTGTCCGAACCACCTCACAAAGGGCACGCCGACACCACCGGCGAGTGTTTTGTAAACTTTGGCCTCATATTCCAGCTGAGTGATGTTTTTGCTTTGACAGACTCAAGTTTGATAGCCACTTCTTCACCGCTGATGATGTTCACACCCAGGTAAATATCACCAAATGAGCCGGAGCCAATTTTCTTGCCGATACGATACTGGTGTACATGTTAGTGTCTACTGTCGCGTCGGGTCAACATCGACGGCACTAGTGAAGACGACGTTGAAATCAGCGAAGACAACACCATAGTTGTCTTTCGCGTACGCCTCCTCGCTCGTTAACATACCCTGAGCCAAATGTTAGCACTGAAACCTCCTACACGCGCCGCTACGAAAGATTGGATGCTGGATCATGTACGTACTTTCCTCCAACCCGCAAATCCATCGTGGGCAACGACGATCTATTTGCCTAATACGTGTCGGTAGTTCTTCGGGGAACGACTTACACGTTTGAAGCCCGGTCGTCAGAAGGGACGGGCTATTACTTTCTTTACGCGACTGATCGGTGCAATGCCCCTTAGAGAAAGTGAATAGGCCTTGTAGGCTAGACGGACACAGAGTGAGTATGCGAAGAGCCAATGATATATAGCGCGAGTGCCTATTCCACTGGCATCACCACGTGATCAAGGGAATTCATGGGCTGTTGGCCACGGTGGCACTCTTCGGTGTCATCGCTAGTCCGGACCAACCAGACTGACCTGGCGCCGACGAGCCAAGTAACCGCGGGATGAAGCATGTCTAAGCTGCCGAGGTGTGCACATCATGCCCACGAAGCATATTTCTTGTTCCTATAGGCTATAGAAGGTTATGAATATCAAGGTATGCCCGCAGTAGTGATGGGCCGATTGTTTAGTGCGCGTGTGTTCGTGTTGTCGCATAAAGAGAGAGAGGCGGGAGTATGAGAAGAGTGAGAGCGTATAAGGACGGCAGAGATGTCTATGTAATTTTTATTCTATTTTGTTTTTTCTTGGCTGGGCGCCGAGGAAATCATGCGGAATGATAGCAGACGAACGAAGCGTGCGTGTCATGTGCCATACAGTTACTAGCACACTGCCACCACCATTCTCCCACATCGGCAACGCGGTGCGCGTGCCCACCGAGCACTGCAAGGTTACGATCGGCAGTCTCATGCATCGGTAGCTCAAGCTAGTGGACGGACGAGTGCTTACGAATCAAAACCGTTGTACCCTGGCATGTCGTCCATGAGTCGATCATTTCTCGGACAGCAAGGGACTTTATTTTTCTCGCGAGACACACGCGGATCGTACGAGCTAGCACCCGGGCTAGACGAGCCTTACGGTATAGATGTGCTCGCACCAGCATTTGAACCAAGTCATGGTCAAAATGATCCTCGTTACAACCTGTCGCGCGAAGAAGTTCTTAAAGGATTCGCAAATCGCTTCGTGCATTCAACTACGTACTTGTACTTGTATGCCACGATGGCTATTTTATCGCTGGTAACCGTGATTTTCTCGCTTGTATGGACATGTCCAGGCCCTGCCTTTTATATACTCGAGTTACTTGTCAATGTGGTCTTGGTTGCTGAAGTGTCAGTTCGACTCGTCGCTTATGGCAAGAATTTTTGGAAGTCGACTTTCAACATCATCGACTTGTGCCTTGTGGCCTTGTGTCTAGTCACGCTAGTGGTTCTCTTTCTCGGACATGGATGCTCGCCGTTATCTCAGCGACCGGGTATGAGCGAGGAATTACTAGACAGCGTTCTTTTGATCGTACGAAATGTCATGCAATGCATGCGCTTGATTAGTGTGATTCGGCGCAGTGGCTACAACGTCTCAACTCGTATTATGGCCATTGACCTTAATGATGCGCATGATTACAACCTCGATCTTGACCTTGAAGAAGAAAGCTCACAAGCGCTTCAGCGTATGCGTGATGGAGGTGATCAACGCTCTGGTGAGCGTGGATGGAGTCCTCAGTCACGCCCTGACACATTCGTTGCATCACGTCCGGATGATAGTATTATAGCTATGGATAGTACAGAAATAGACGATACGCATTTATAGATAGGAAGCATTAGCCCACATCTCTCTCTGAATTGAGACTTGTTTTGATATACCGCAGAGCCAACGAGGAGGTGTGGGGCGTAGGAACTTGGGAAAATAACGGTTGAGAAGAGCGGGATGTGTTCGTGTGGAGATATGACTTCTCTTCTACAGTACACGACACGACGGCTTGAATCAAGTTTGCGGTCCATGTCCGAATCGACAAACGCGACGATGGTGCCGCGTGGCGCATATGAATTTCTTGATACAAAAGAGACGCGTGCACATCTGATTGAACAGTATGACAATTTCTTGTTTGATTGTGATGGTGTGTTGTGGTCTGGTCCCACCGTCCTGCCGGGGGTGGTGTCGTTTTTCCGCAAATTGCGGGAGCGTGGAAAGCGAATCTTGTTCGTTTCGAACAATGCATCAAAGAGCCGACGTACATTACTTGAGCGCATCAATGCGATGGGCATCGATGGGCGTGAAGACGAAGTCTTCTCGTCAGCGTATGCAACTGCTGCATATTTGAAGGATGTGCTCAGGTTCCCGACAGATCGCAAGGCGTATGTGGTAGGTATGAACGGTTTGGAAGATGAACTAGATGCGAATGGAATTCAGTATATTGGTGGCACAGACGAACAAGATTGCCAAGGCCTGGATGGGCTGGACTTTTCACCACTAGCCTCAAAAGATGCGCTGGATCCGTCAGTTGCCGCAGTCGTATGCGGCATCGATACCAAGTTCAGCTACCGCAAACTTGCAAAAGCATTTAGGTACATTACACGACCGGGTGCGGAAGGAGAAGTTCGTGCGGGCGAGCAAAATGGTGGATGTCACTTTGTTTGTACTAATGAAGACGTGACGTTTCCTTCGTCCGAGGGCTTATTCCCAGGTGCAGGCGCAGTTTGGAAAGGCATCCAGGTGTCGTCCGGTCGCGACCCTATTGTCGTTGGGAAGCCGCATCAGCCTATGATCGACACCATCTTTGCTCGTTTCGCATTTGACAAGTCACGTACTCTAATGGTTGGCGACCGGCTCGATACGGACATTGCTTTCGGTCAGCGTGGTGGCATCGATACGCTTCTTGTGCTTACGGGTATCAGCACACTTGAGCACGTCCATGCATCGGATGCAGCAGCGGTGCCGACCTATGTAGTGAATGGTCTATGTGACTTGGATACGGCACTTAGTTGAGGTGCTTAGTCAGCTACTTTAACTAGGATCTGGATTTGATGGGTGGAGACGTGTGGCAGAAGCTACAACGGCGAGGTCGTCCGTGTGCCATCTGAGGCTAGACTTGGCCGCCGTATCGGTCCTGAGTTGACCTCAGAGCCAAGACATTCGAACGGGATGGCCAAAGTTCTAGTGTATGGAGATGAGGAAGTTTCTTCAACGTCATATTCATACGTGCTGCGCACACTTCAGTTGCTTTGTAGGAATAGGTATGACGTACAAGGTGTTAAGAGTGAGGTGCTAGCCACGGCTCCGTGGGAGGCGTCAACACGCTTGGTGGTCGTGCCTGACAGTTGTATGCATACCAGTTCTGCTTGGTCGACACCGACAGGAATGCGAACGGCAAAGCAACAAGTCCAGGCCTATGTGATGCAAGGCGGCACGATTTTGGCCTTTGGTGCTAGTGCCGTATGTATTGACAACAGCAGCAGTAGTAGCGGCGACAGCGTCGCAACCCTTGAACAAAACAAAGACGGCCAAAGCGTTGCACACATGCACATGCTTGGACGCGGTCGAATCTTATGGCACTGCGCGTCTGAGCCAGCCCAAGCGTCAATCCAACGCATGTTGGAAGCTGCACAACTCTCAACGCACAACACGTCTTTCCCGGCGCTGCCATCGCGCACGCCTATACTTGTTGCCTCACAAAGCGTATCACTGCTAGACACCTGGGCGGAAAAGCTGCGCTCGCATGCAGCCGCTGCAGCACCAACGAACGTGACAGAGACATCTGGTACTTACATACCTGATTCATCAGACACGTGGGTCCTATATGATTGGCAACCTGCCTATGCCGCCAAAGACGTGGCAGAATGTGTGGGCAATGATTCGGATGATGAGAAAGTGACATCGATCGTACTTATCCCTGAAAAGCATTTTGCTGAAGCAAGTGAATCGACGCGTGACTTTGACCTGGCGCGCTACTTTGACGCTCTGTCGGAAGCGCGCGCAGTGAGTGCGTCAATGCCATGGCCGAGGCCGCGTTCATTTCATACGGCTGTGGGCCATATCATTGCATATGCGCGTGTAATTAAAAGCACGCAGACGGCGTTGGACTCGAATCGATGCCTTCTGGATGCATGTCTGCCAGGGATGACATTTTTTGCAACCCAGCAGGTACATGGTCGTGGTCGAGGCCAGAATGCGTGGATTTCGCCACGTGGCTGCTTGCAATTCTCGACCCTCGTGTCCCTTCCGCTACACATTGGAAGCAAGTCGGTTCTTTTGCAATATCTGGCAGCCTTGGCCGTCGTATACGGTGTGAGCATCTTGTACCCGAGCGTACGCGGTCGAGTCCGGATCAAATGGCCCAATGACCTGTATGCGCAGGTGCCGGAGGAACGACTTGGGAGCATTTGCGTAACGGAGCACGGCATGCGCAAGCACTTTGTCAAAATTGGTGGGATCCTTGTGACGGCTGTGTGCACACCAGAGGCATTTCATGCCATCGTTGGTTGCGGCATCAACTGCCTGAACGACGAGCCAACGACCAGTGTACGTGCATTAGCGCACGACGATACACCAGTAACGCAAGAGGCATGCGCTGGTGCGATCATGGCTGCACTCGAGTCGCTGGTACGTGTGTTTGCTGATGTTGGCTACACATTCGCGCCATTCGCCGAAGCTTATGAGCAAGCATGGCTGCACTCGGACCAGGATGTGTGCTTGGCCGATATGCCAAATGAGCCACGCCGTATCGTGGGGATCACTAGTGATTATGGTCTTTTGCGCACAGTTCCAAGGCAAGCGTCAATACGTGCGCGTGACGCATGTGCATGGTGCGCAACACCTGTGCCGGGCGTTGTGGATGTCCAACCCGATGGAAATTCGTTTGACATGCTCCAAGGCCTGGTGAAAAAGAAAATATGAGCAAGTGGAAGCAGAGAAGCGGGAAGCAACCACCAGACACAATGGCTTTTCACATCACGCCACATACCGATATACTTGCCTGTCGCCGTCCACACGCTCCATACAGTCTTTTTCGATTAGCCGCTCAAATGCACGCTTCAGCTCAGCCGTCTCGACGGGGAAGCGGCTCTTGACCTGCTCGATGACGGCGGTGGTCAGATCAGCGTGAGAGATGAGTTTGTGTGCTTTCAGCACACGCATCGCGGATGCTTGTAAGAGCACATCGCGGTCCATGAGTACATGTTCCGTGCTTGTGCGGCGTTCTTCAGGAGAATCCCGTTGCTGGAGCTGGTTCAGCTTGATTCGTCGGCGAGCGTTAGATAGTTGCTCGTTGACCATGAACGAGTCGCTTTCACGAACCTCACCACCAGGAGGAATCTTGCGCAGGATTCGCGTGCGCGCTGGGCCGCACGCGAGTGACTGGAGCGTGCGTTGGAGTTCATGCAGAGGCATGTGTGTTGCTTGTTCAAGTTCAGAAAACGTTTGCACGTCTCTCACATTAAAAACAAGCAACACTGCTGCTTGCAGCGTGCTCACGACGAGGTCCTTGACCCCCGCTTCGCCCAGGTCTGCGCGCACAAGCAAGGAGCCTAGCGCATGGCACCAATGCAGTGAGCGACCAGAATGGCACGTGTGGTAAAATGTCTCGTAGCGCAATAATGCTGATTGCATGGACGAAGATAGAATGAGTGGGGCATCATGGAATGGCGGCCAATGTGCTTGTGTCAGTACATCTACCTCGAATTCAAACGGTGTGCTAGCACCCCCTGCTTCAGCAAAGGCACTGCGCAGATTGTCGGAGAGATGCATGTCTTTCAGCATCGTCTCGAGTTTCCGCGTGTAGTCAGGCCCACACTCGTGCTTGAGGCGCAGGATCACGGCACGCTCAGCATCGTCTGATGCACTGCACCGTAGAAGCAGACGCCGGGCGAACGCCCGTTGATAATACTCTTCGAATAAGTCCTTGTGATGCAGGCACCGAAACAGAAAGAGCACATCGTCCATGCACGCCTCTGGCATACTTGAATCGACAAGACCGCGGCCTTTCTGGAGCTCTGCATCAATGTAGTTAGCAAGGAGTTCTGCTATGTGCGCACTCTGCCCGCGCAGGCCAGCTTCAAAACCATCTTGGATCGCATGCCGCATGGATGTGTTGGCCTGGAGGCAGGACCACCAAAGCCTGTGCCATGTTCTTTGACCTGTAATGAGATGTTCAATCAGGACATCATCCGACGTCTTCTGTAAAAGCGCACACACACGCGCCTGAATGTACTCCCGCATAGCTTCGTACAAGCGTGGGAGAATGCAGGCGGCATCAAAGACCGCGTAGCATGCACGTAACTCAGCAGCGGCGGAGACTGAGTCGGAATTGGGTATAGGGCCCGCATGGCCGACAGTCCCCTCGGAGGTTTCCATGAGATATGGCCACGCAGATGAAAGAATGTCCTGATGCGGACGTACGATTACGTCCTGAACAACATCCACCACACTCGCATCTGGACCGAGCCAGCTGGCCCAGGCTTGCTCACGCATAATCCAGTTATGGATCACCGGCATTGAATGCGCAATTTCAGGTGGGTTTGCGCGCCCACTATATAGCTGAAGAGCATAAGAACGATAAAAAGAATGGGCTTCGTCGATGACAGGTTCGACCTTGGTGCCGACGCGACGTACGATCTCGAGAGCACGCTCGAGGTACTTTGGTGCTGAAAGACTCCTAAGGTCAACCTGGGATGCAGAAACACCCAAACGTGCAGCCTCTGCGACCTGATACAAGCCTTGTTCCCACACCGTGATACTCTGTGTTGTACGACATGTGCGTGTGAGCATATTCATGCATGCGGCATCAAAATCCGTCTCGTCCGCGCACACTACGACCGGGCGTAGCATATCCTGCACCATACATAGACGCTGCATCAGTTCATTCCATAGCTTGACCATGCGGCACAACCATTCACCAGGATCTTGGGCCTCGGCGTGAAGGGGATCGATGGCGACCACCAACGCTTCTTGCACATGCTTGTGAGCATCGCTCAACACACGTTCAGGCAAGCCCCGAACTCCTGCAAGCACACGCATTTCCGCATACACAGATGGGACAGACCTGTCCGGAAGTGTTGGCTTACCACAAATCACAGCATGAACTACTTCAGCTACGCTTGCTTCATTATACATGAATGCGTCCGGCCTGTCGGGGCCCTCAAATGCCTCTAGTGCATGCACGACACGATTAGTCGCATCTGACATGGATGCATTTGACGTACGACCTGCTGTCACTCCGCCCTTCACATACGGAGCAAGCACATCAATGAGCATGACCTACACGCTCCCAGTGCGCGGCTAAAGAGACACAGCCGTGCGCTTCGTTGGGCCAACAGGCGGGCGCACACACCAGGGTGTAGTGGTATGGAGGTGTGGAGGTGTGTGGTGACAAGGCATCGTGGCCGCCTTTGCAGACGATAACGCGGCTACGTACACGTGACGTGACTTTGATCGAGGCGGTGTGTATGGACGAAGTGAGACGTGTGGGTGGCGTAAGCGCTTTCGTGCTGCGTCAGATTGCGTATCTCTTGCCACACAGACGCAGACTCCGGACGCGACTGGCCGTGAGCAAAAGAGATTGTGTGTGTGTGTATCGCAAAGGAGGTATTTGTGTGCTTCTGTATACGCCCACCACGCATAGTCTGTCTCTGCCGTCTGAACTTACACGCGGAAACGCGTTGTACGTGCCATGAAAATTACCAAAACCCCAAAGCGCAAGCCAGAGACGCCGGCAGACCTGGCAGCGCTGAGTGCCCGGATTGTCGAGGAGCCTGAATCATCTCTCGCTTCATGTCTTCATAGCATACACCAATGGACATGGCCGCGCGGCGATCTGTATGCGTGGATCGCTGTGCTTAACCGCTTCGACGACATCCTCGAGCGCATCTGCCACAACACGCCATTGCTTCCTGTGCAGACCGCCCCGTTTGCGCCACATGATCGCGACCTTCTCGTGGCCATGTTGGGGTTCACTCGACTTCTTCTCGAAAACTGCATGAATCGTAAGCTGTACGCTTCATATGAGCACCTCAATATCCTGCTCGGCACCGACGACGCCGACGTGCTCGAACAGCTTCTGTACCTTGTGCTTCGCCCAGCGCAACAACACAGCAGCACAGGTCGACATGAGTTGCCACTCAACCAGCAGCGCTTGCGCATCCTAGCGGCTGCATGGCCGCCACGCGACGCCGGCATGGAATTCTCAGATGTGGCGCGCATTGATCCGCCCATACCCGCGACGCTCTCATCCGTGCATGTTCAGGGCTACCGACGTGCAGGTAGATCAAGTGCTTCCTCTACTACCCAAGCGATGACTTCATCGAACAACCCAACGTCTTCGTCGTCGCAACCGTCGACGCCCGCAAAGCTGCCGGCATCTTCGTCCACGTCCGCCCCTGTCTCTGCCCCTACCACAGCATCGCCAGATGAAGGTATACGTCGTGCTGTCATCTCCGGACTTGATTCAACCTCACGCACGCCCGGCGATCTTGTCCAGACGTGCGATGCGTGGGACGACTTGTCCGACGACGACCGATTCGAGCTCTTCCACAAGGTCCGCATCGCTCTTGCCTGCCACGACACGAGCCAGCGACGCCAGGCGCTTGTTTGTCGTTTACTCGCTATCGCATGTTTCGTACACGCTGCGCCCGAATCATTCACCAACACGCATTTGTTCATGGTAGAGCCCGGGATCGTGCTTCGTACAGCTGCTCTCCTTGAGCCTCCTCACACCGTCGATGATAAGCTGCGCGGTGCTGCTCTGTATGCACTTGATTCATTCCGTCACTTCCGCAATCGACTGAGCGACGTGCTGACGGCTGTCAATGCTTCAATCAGTCACGGAATTCTGCGTCAGCTGCTGCATTGCACGATCCAGCGTCTTCGCGAGTTGGCGAAGGCTGAGTCATCTCCGCCTTCATTCGACGTGTTTGTCGATGCTCTCATGACACTCATCGCAAATCTCGCGACAGTCGCCTCTGGTACAAGCATGGCAACGGGCGCGGGACTTGTGCCTCAAATGTTAGAGTTAGCGTGTATCGAAGCGCCAACAAACTATCTTGTCCAGCGCACTTCCACACGCGCCGTTGGTCTGCTCGATAGCATACTTTATGCATACCCATCCACGTTCCAACAATTCACGGCCTCACATGGCATTGATGTGCTCGTACGGCGCGTCGAGTCGGACATGTCGCTTGAGCAGGGGCCTGAGTCGCTCCCGTACGGACGTGTTCACGTACTGCGCCAAATCTTGCGCCTGTTTCATCACATGATGACAACGTCTGGCACGGCCGATGCGCTGCGGAATCTGATCGACACACCGCTTGTACCTGCGTTGCGCTTCATCATGGTGCATAAACAAAGATTCGGTGTGCATGTACTGGCGCAAGCCATCTCGATCATGGCCACATTTGTCCACAATGAGCCGACCCAGCTCGCGACAATTCAGGAGAACAAGCTTCCTGAGGCCTTTGTTCGTGCTTTGCAAGACGACATGGAACCGAGCTTTGAGCTTCTAACGGCCCTTACGCCTGCTATCAGTGCACTGGGCCTCAACGAAGCGGGCCTGCGTCTGTTGATGGAAAGCCGCATTGTTCCACGCATCGTTCATGTGCTTGACGACCCGCGCTATCACCGTGTGCTTCTTGACCGTGATAACGCCAATGTGTTCGGCTCGTCCATTGACGAGCTTGTGCGGCACCATCCGAGTTTGAAAGAGGGCGTCCTTTCAGAGTTGATTGCCGTCGTTGACAACATAGTCGCTCAAGCTCACGCATATTCGCCGCCAGCGAACCCCGAAGCTCGCTGCTTGTATGTGGTTGACGAGCCGTTGCACTTGGCAGCGAGGCCAATCCGAACATCACACGTCGTACTCGACGACCCTGATCACACAGTGCCAGAGGCTGTGCCCGGCGACGACAATGTGCCGCTTGCAGCATTTGATGTCATGTGTCGATTCCTTGAAGGCCTGTTTCGCAATGTCGCCCCTTGCCGCGATTTCCTCCGCTGTGATGGACTCTCACGCTTGCTGGCATTTTTCTCCTCCCCGTGCGTTGCGTATAACTTTCCTGCATCTGCACCGGCTGACTCGTGCGTGATGCTCCTGCGTGCCATGACCGAGGAGAGTCCAAGCACGGTGCTGTCTCTCCTGCTCCGTGAAGTCAAGCGGTCTCTGGATGAGTTTGCACAGCTGCCCACAGATTCACAACCCATCACACCCGTGCAATTTCGCGCACTCGTGCGGCTTCATACACGCATTCAGCTCTTATCAGATGTATGCCAGACGTTCGGGCAGTCGTTTGCATTCACCCAGTCCGGCACAAAGATTCCGCTTGCCTTCTTGCGTGTGTTGCGAGAGGGCGGCGATGTCGCGACGATTACACAGCTCACTGAGCTCTTCCGTCATGCAGCATGGGACCATTTGCACGTGAAGGCCTCTCTCCAGGACGCAGACTGCTCGCCTGCAATGAAAGCCCTGCAGTACATGAGCGTGCGTATCCCAGCCTCTATTCTGTCAATGCTCAGTGTGATCACGCGCCTGTTTATGCCGCGGCGCTATGCTGATCCCGACTTCGCTGAAGCGGCGAAGAATGTGTCGAACGATATGGGTGCCGTTCTGCGAACCTGGTCCTCACTGCGGTCAGATGTGCCAGAGTCAGACGCCCTTGCAGAACACACATACCTGCATTTTGTCCTTCGTCACCTTTTCTACGACAAGCGTACGACGCATGGAGAGCAGGCGCACACGCTCATCTTACGTGCATGGTGTGAGCTGGGTGGCGATGCGGCGCTCGTGGACCAAGTGCGGCGAATCAGCACACACTTTGTCCAGGGTGAACTCGATAACGACGAAACCAGTGTCATATCACATGCTGCAGGAGCTCTCCGTTCGTACCTAGACCTGGTTCTGCGATTTGTCCCAGCTCGCACACTGCTTGATGCGTCACAAACTGCTCAGCTGTCGAGAGACCCATCTTTCAGCGCCCACGCACTCCTCGTGCAGCTCCGCCGACATGCACTCGACATCCTAGCACAGCTCTGGGACGCCCCATGGTTGTCAAAGCTTCCACTGACCCCTGTACGTGAAGTCGCTCAGTCTCTCGGTATGGTGCTGTATGCAGATCGAGAGGATCCGCCGCCACCACGGCCCAATCCGCCATCAATTGTGGCAGGAGCATCGGGCCTGCCTTCAAACTTGCCCTCCGCACTCGCAGCCACTTTGTCATCAGCGTCTTTGCCAGTGCGCCGCCCATCGGCTGCAGCGGTGTCATCGGTCGACGAAGGGCGTCTTGCTCAGCTTGTAGAAATGGGCTTTCCTCGTGGTTCGGCTCGGCGCGCGCTTGAGCGATGTCACAATAATATCAGTGCCGCTACCGAGTATATTCTACAGCACCCAGAACTAGAGGACGAACCCGATGACATGCCGGAGCAGTTGCCATTCCCTGAGCCTGATCAAATTGCCAATGCTCTTGCCGGCGCGCTCCGCGCACAGGTGTCGTCGATGGATGACGGGCAGCAGCAGCCAGATGGACATGCCCTAGAACACACAGAAGATGGCGAGCAACGCCTTAGTGATGGGCATCATGACTCAGACGCTCCGCATGTGTCAGTTGATGCGCCAGCCCGGCGTAACGATACACCGTCAGTTGACACAGACCAGCTTACTACGGCAGGATCCACTGAACAACCTACAGCTTCGACACCATCGCCTAACAGGGTGGCGCTCGATCAAGGTCGAGAAAGGATGCGGCCCAACTTCTTCCTGCGACTGCTTGAGTTGGCTGACACACACGAGCCTCTTGTATTTGACGCAAGACATGTCTTTGTGTTCTTTTCTCGCGAGCAAGAGCAGGTCGACCGGTTGTGGAACATGGTTGTACAACGTTTATCATTTGATATGACGAACCCTGTCATGACCGTCCGACTTCACCTGCTGGCTCTTTTGCTCACATCAGATCGGATCCAACCAAAACTGCCATGGCCTACGCTTCCTCACATCGCCCGCAACCTAGTGACGGCTATGGAGCAAGCTCCCCCACACAAAGATGAGACCGAGACGGTGTGGCTTTCTTCGGCTCTCTTGTCTCTTTGCGGCATTCTTAGCGCAAGTGAGTGGTCTGAAGGATACGCTGCCGTACCTGGGGATGCGACTGAGCGCACTGCATTCCTTGATGAAATGCGTCCCATGCTGCTCACGCTCATGCTGCGTATTTTGGAACATTCGTCGCAGTTGTCAGATGGGTCACTGCTGGGTGTAGCACGAATGCTTGTGCTTCTAACGCGCGATCCTCGTACAGCCGCTTCTATGGTAGAGCAGCGGGCGTTGCCGTTAGTGCTTCGTCCACTGCTCACACGCCGGCGATTCCAGCGTGCGTCGTATCAGCGCCTTGTCATCATCGTGCTCCGTCACATGGTTGAGTCAGGCGGTTCTCTTCTCCCTCTTCTCACAAATGAGCTCCATGTGTGGATGAACCAGAGCTCAAGACCGCGACCGACAGAAGTCAGCAGCTTGCTCAAAGCAATGGGTCACTCGGTTATCCGATCGCCTCCAACGTTTTTGGATGCCGCTGCATCGCAGCTTGAGTTAATTGAATTCCATTCAATGAAAAGTCCCACGAATTTGCGTCCACGCCAGGGAGCCCAGGTGCCTGACGAGCCTGCATCGGCACAAGCCATGTACGATGCTGTAGTGCACATGCTGATGAATGATCTTGTGTCAGTTCGCGAGGGCACAACGACTGCGCCTGAAGCAGATGCTGACAGTCTCATAAGCGTGTCAGATGCTCGCGACACGTACGTGTTTGCACTTTTGCAGTGTCTCGTCGAACTGCTCTCATCCTACATGGGATGCAAGCAAAGCTTCCTTCAATACAGAGTGCATGGTACGACGCCTGTTCTGGCATACTTCATGAATGAACTCGTGCCTATTGGGTTCCTTGCACAGTATGAAGCAGAAGAACTCCGCAAGCGGATGACCGAGTCAAACTGGGCTATATCCGTGCTTGTGGCATTAGCAACGGACCCACTGCCGTTGCCGGACGCGACGAGTGTGCCAGACATGCTGGTTAGTATCCGCAAAGCGTTGCTGGATGCCTTGTACAAGGCGCTGCGCGAAGCAACGCAGACAGATGGCCAGCTTGAAATCAAATTCGGCCGTTTGTACGCTCTTTCGGACACATGTCATCGTCTACTGACGGCTCGTCCTAACACCGATACCACGGCACCCAAACGTATGGAAGTCGTGCTGCATATGGCCAAGACGATGTTGGAAAAGAACTTTGTTGCCGTACTCACACAAGCGCTCGCTGACCTCGACGTCAACATGCCGTCACTCTCCTCCCTCCTCGATAGTGTCTTGCGTCCACTTGAACATCTTACGAAAGCGTCAATCAAAATGGCCCGCTCAGACCGACGCGGCTCGCATGACAAGAAGAACTGCCCAGGGGGCACGTGGAATAATCCCTGCAGTGTCGCTCGTAGTGAGCGCGGTGACGATGGCGAGGACCCATGGGAACCATCATCATGATCACCTCGAAACTACTCATACGACAGATGATGCTGACGATGACGTGGATGAAGACATGCCCGATGGGTCGTATGAAGACGAAGATGAGGCACCTGACTTTTACCGAAACTCATCCTTAGGTATGCACACTGGCGAGATGGAGCAAGGTGGTTACGACTCCGAACAGCTGACGGACGATCTCGAGGATGAAGATGCGGACATGGAGATGAACGAGTACAGCAGTGAAGACGAAAGTGAGCTTAGCACTGATGCGGAAGGACTTGACGGCGATTCCGCCCATGTGGTAGAGGTGATGGAGGAAGATGACGATGACGATGACAGTGATGACGATGACGACGAGGAAGATGACAATGTTGTTGTCGATGAGCACGAGTTGGAAGATGATATGGACAACAGTCAAGATGACGATCGTCTCGGTATGGATGACGACGATGAACCGTCTGGTTCTAATGGCAACGTGCATTCTGATCATACACTCAGTGACGACATGATTGACGGCGACGAAGACTTCATCGATGATGAAGACCTGGATGACGACGAATTGGATGTGCAGGACTTTGACTACGTGCTGGATGAGGGCATGGATGACGATGACGAAGGAGGCGGTGTGAATGAGATTCTTGAAGCGCTGGATGACATGGAGGATGCCGCGGACGGCGAAGTTTTCGATCCCGAGCATGCAGGTGATTCGGGCGACGAGGCCATCTACGAGACGGATGATTTGCATCCACTTAACATGGCGGAGGAACTCGCTTGGCATCCGCGTATGGAGAATGATCGCTTTGGTGCGAATTGGTCTTGGACACAAGCTAACGGACGTCATGGCCGTCGTAGCACAAGACAAGGCCCACCAACGTTTTTCTCCGTACCTGTTAGCTCGACAGCTGCTCAGAACGGCGGCGCGAGTTCCAGCACTAGTGGCGAGCGTGCGCCTCCGTCACATCGATCTGTTCCTTCGGTTCTCCAAGACCAAGATGCCATGTTCCATCCCTTGCTTGTGGACGACAACACGCTTGATCGTGATCGAGAAACACCTGGTTGGCAGCGATCCATGGAGGCTCTCATGGGCGAAAACACCATGCAGTTCCTTGAAATGTTCCTTCAGCAGAATGTGCCCCATGGCGCTGATGCAAGCATTCGAATTGAGCTCGATCAAGGTCGAGGAATGCCTCGTATGCAAATCACGAATCTGGTGAGCGGCGGCGGCAATGCCAGCGATGCGCCGACATCAATGTTGCGCGCACCCCATCCATCTTCGTCCTCAGAACCAGAGTCAGCGCTTCCTGCTTACGATGCCACATCGGAGTCTTTGCGCTTTATCCCTCTGAGTACAATTGCTCGGCGTGGAGAGGAAGCCCAGCTGATCCTTGGCACGACAACGGCCGATCTTAATTCTCTCTTTCGAGCGCCGCTCATTGAGCGTCTTCTTCCAGCGTACCATGCACGTCGTGAGCGTGAACGTGAAGAAAAACAACAGAAGGCCGCTGCTGCTACCACCGCCGCCGCCTCTACCTCTACTTCAGCCTCAGCTACGGTCGCCGATGACTCTACTGTATCGCGTCCAAACTCGGAGTCGAAGCGCAAGCACCATGATATGGAAAACGAGCCTGAACCGAATTACTCCCACAATGGGCGGATCACGGTCTCGATCAACGGCGAGACGGTCGATCTTACTGACACGGGCATCGACCCGACATTCTTAGAGGCTCTTCCTGACGAACTACGTGAAGAAGCACTTTTGAGTCAGCAGCTTAGTTCGCGCATGGCCCGGCCCTCGCGGCAGATTGTACCTGACTTTTTGGACGTGCTTCCTCGTAGTCTCCGTGCCGAGTTGCAACACGTCGACGAGTCATCGCTACCATTCTCTCCTTCACATGGGAGTGGATCGGCACATGTGTCGCCGACATCTGATGCACACAACTTGCCTTCTGACTCTGGTCCTTTGCCACACCGTACGCAAGCACAAGACCCGGCGCAGGACGAGTCACAGGCCCCGTCACAGGCCTCCTCTCAGCCGCCATCCCAGTCACATCATCAACAGGTGCCTCCACCATCACAGACTCGCGAGTCAGCATCTCAAGGCCGAGATGCCATTCAGCTGCTCGACCGCACAGGCCTTGCATCGCTTGTGCGGCTTCTATTCCTACCATCCATGAATACACGATCATCCCTACTATTCAAGATTTTGGCACATCTCTCGGAAAATGCTCGCACGCGATACGAATTACTCGGCATGTTGTTGATGGTCTTGTGGGATAGCATGTACAGTGCAGCTTCCGTGGATCGAGCCTTTACAGCCATGTGCAGCAAGGCTGCTGCGGCGAAACAAACGCCTCAGCGCAGCACCCCACGTCGTGGCCATGCAGGTATGAGCTCGTCGGGCATCTTGCCACCATCGACGCCAGCCACGCCTACGCCATTACCACTCACATGGATGGGCGACGAGGCGCCGCATTTGATTGCATCACGAAGTCTCGAAATGCTCACGTACCTCACACAGGTCAACAACCAAGCGGCGCTGTACTTCTTGCGTGAGGACCGTACGAAGAAAGGAAGCAAGCGGATTCCCATCCAAGTGCTTCTGGGTCTCTTGGAGAAAGATGCCATGCTCGAGCATGCGCCCCTGCTTAATGCCTTGCTCGCTCTCTTGCACGCCGTGACAAAGCCGCTCAGCACTGCGCATCCTGCTTCTGATGGCCATCTCGTGCTCGATAAGGCGTATGGAGAGATGGATGTGCCAAGCATGGCAGCCGACCGTTTGGCCTCGATTGTGCAACCACTCCACACGCCTATCTCGTCACGGGGATTCCAACATACACTCGCAGTCGCCTCACACTTGTCTCATTTACCCGGTGCACACGAGGCACTCAGTGTCGCATTGCAGCAGGCTGCCAAGCGTGCATCAGACTCGCTCCTGGGTGATTTGGATGCTCTGATTACCTCCCTACCAGAGTCAGCAATTGTACCAGGCTCCACAGAAGTTGGCGAACATTTGGTTTCTGATGCCACCGGCGTCGTACATACAACGACTCAAGCCCACGCGGTGTCCGAGTCGGACATGAATGTGGACGAGCGCATGCCCGAGTCGCACTCAGAATCTTCAGTGTCGCTATCCCTCCCGCTTGCCAAGCTCGCAAGTCCTTCGAGTGCACAAGCCGAATTTCTCCGGTGCCTACGGGCTCTGGACTATCTATATGTGGGGAAGTAGTGTACATGTCACGTAGAAGTGGCAGGAATGCCTGCATCAACTTGATCTATGAATGCTTTGCCTGGAACAAGTTCATCAATAGAGGGGTTTTCAAGTAGGTTCATGTCGCCACGGTCGTTGGTTGTTCCCTTATCACTGCCAGGATTCGCATCTTCGACGGCAACAGGTGGGGCACGATCAGCGGCATTAGAAGAGTGGGCTTCATTTTCTTGGACTTCATAGCTGCCGGATTTGATCGTCGAATCGGTTTTATCCGATTCCGACACCTCTTCTGCTACGCCTGCTCTGTCCGTCGAAGGCTTTGGCAAGTTTGCTTGCGCTGAATTATCGAACGGAAAGCGCGAAACCGACAAATCTCCTGCAGTCACGCGATCTAAATCACGTTCATCCGTGTCATCGTCTCCCCGGAGTGCCAGCAGCGAGCGAAGAATCTCGTTATCATACCGCAGTCGCTCGAGCTCTGTCGCACCTTCCAGTGCATCGGTTTTTGGTTCGTCTGAGTTCCAAGTGCTCTCGCTATCCATCGACTGTAGTGCATCTCGCACAAGTCCACCAAGCCGATCAGAGATTGTCTGCATAGAATCTTGGTCACGAAGCATCATTGCATCGATTTTATGCGCTTGAGTTTCTAGGCGCGCTTCATAGTACGCCGATAGGTCCAAACCATGTTGCTGAGCTGCATGGCAAAACGCGCGGAACTTGCTCATGATCGTTTCGAGGGTACTCTCAGATTCTCGTAGCAGACTTGCCAGCTGCCTCGACTCGTACGCTAGCGCAGTATTTTCATTCACAAGCTGTGCATTCATACGCTCCAACTGCGATGTGAACACCTCTTGGGACAGGTCGACATTGAACCGACGCAGTGCATAACCACTCTTCGCATGCACTGCCTGTCCCTCCAGATCCTCTATCTGCTTTCGCAATGCGTCCACCTGCTGCTTATTTGCCGTGAGTTGTGCAGAGAGTTCCAACACGAGCGACCATAGTCGCTCATTGATCGGCGCCTCGGCAGGCATCTTGCCGAATATCTGTTTCTCCCACGAACGTCCATCCATCGCATCCACTCAAGTGCACTGCCAAAATTTGGCGCAAGTCACATCTCTGTAGCTAATGGACTCCAGCTTGACACACCTCCACGCAACCCAACACATTTTGTCTTCCAATTCACCGAAAGTCGCTGTGTCGTCAGGCACCATGGCAGCTACGCCGAGCGATACAGACGCCCTCGCGGCGCTGACGAAATGGGTTCAAGCCATATGCCAAGAGCTCAAAATAAAAGATGCGAGCACTTTCGGTAATGGAGCTGCACTTTTCGAAGTACTTCAGAGCGTGTGCGTACAACATATTCTCAGTTGCTGTTGAATGCTGACACCGCCTGATACAACTTGTAGGGACGATATTTATTTCCTTATGCCGCGCACACCCACACTTAAGCTTCTTCACAAAAAAATTTCAGCTTAGTATGTTTCAAAACAACCTTTGCTTACGCATCGGCAGCTATGTAGAAGAGCTCCATATCCCTTTACACAAGCTCCCAACCATCGATATTCCAGCATCGTCAAGTAAAAAGAAGCAAGCTATCGCCACCTCAGAACTCCTTAAACTGCTTCGACTCGTGCTTGGAATTGTGCTGAAAAGCGACAACAATGATGAGCAGGTCCGCGCCATGCAAGACCTGTCTCTTGATGAGCAGGTAACGATGAAAAACGTTGTTGAAGACGTCCTCGCTAATTTCCCCTCTCCTGAAGACGCGCACTTCTCAGAAAACAATGAGAAAAATTCGGATGCGAACCAATATCGCCAAGAGCTCAACGCACTGCGCCGGGATCTCGCTCGCGCGAATGAACGCGTGTCCCAGTACCATGAACAACTTGGGCACATTGAGTCTGAATTCGAGCGTGCCACGACAGAAAACAAAGAACTCGCCTCTCAACTCGCATCTTTTCGGTCTCTGGAGCAGGAGCGCAACACAATGCGCGACCTACTTGATGAATACAAACCTATGATCGACGCATACAAGAAGCAGGAACGCACGCTTGGAAAACTGCGCGAGCGCGCAGAGGAGACGTTGGAATTGAAACGTCAAGTGAAAGAGCTCGAAACAAAAAACGCTGAGCTGGTCGAGCAAGCCTCTGATGCAGCCGATCGATCAGCCAGCGACTTTGCTGGTAAGCAGCGCGCTGTCTCGCTCAAGTCAGATCGCAAGTATGCTCAGCTTGAGGATCAGCACGCAGAGCTCGTAAAGGAGCGGAATGTGTTACAAGCACAATTTGCTCTTCTCGAAGACAAGCGGCATCAAGACCAGATCCAGCTCCAGAGTCTTCTAGAACGCGTACGCTCTCTCGAGGTTGATGACACACATCATCGCGATACTTTGCCTGACGCACTCCGTTCCAGCGTTTCGCAGGTGGAGCATACACAGGATCCTTTACCGATCACGAGAAATGTGGAAAAGTCTCATGATGCCCAGTTACTTGGACAGGTGCAATCTGCACAACATTCATCGAGACAAAACGTTGGGTATGGGACCTTGGACCTAGGCACAACGCTAGCCGCTGTACAGGCAGACATTACAGCAATGAGAAATAACAACACATCCAGGCGCTCTGAGATCGAGCATTTGCTTCGTAAGCTTGAGAAGAAATGGCCCAAGGATGCAGGCAAATCAAGTACCAAAGACATTAAAAATGTATCAAACCTACTTGCCGACTCATTCCAGCATGAGAACCTGGTGTTGGAGCGACTCCAGCATTGCTGGGATCAGGCGAATACCGTAAGTACCATTTCGCACCCCTTCAAATGCACATGCACATGCGTAGGATCAAGTGCACTGACGTTCTCGAACCTGACAGATTATACACGATCGCGGCCCGTACATTCCGACGACGACCGACGCAGAGGTATGCCAATTCACGTTACTTACGCAGCGCGAACGTGACGCACTTCGACAAGAGCAGCGGCTCATTGCATCTGCCTATCACAAGCTGAGTCAGCGGCTGTATCGCGAGACTAGTTGGCAGCACGTCATACCACCGCTGCCCGATAACACAAACTCTGAGGGTTTGAAGGCCCCTCGCATAGTTGACAACAATACTTCTTGGATATCCCATCAGCGAAACGTGTTATCCGATGCTCTCAGCTTTGCTACATCATCAAGGTAATGGACCCCAGTAATCGTTGACCTAACGCCTCTAAGCGAGAAAACTTGCAACAATTCTCATGCCGTTGGCAACAGTGTATCATAATTCAACTAAGGCCTGTGTGTTGGCCTGTGCCAGATAGCCACGTGTGGAGCACGTGATATGATTATGTAAAACCGAAGTCGTTGGAACGATATAGATGCGTCTTCTACCAGCGCCAAACGCACCAAAGGAGTCCTTGTGGAGTGTCGAAGCGCACAGAATCATAGCGAAGCTTTCTTGTGCATTCTACTGGATGCTCGAAAAAGACTTGGCCCCGTCTGACATAGTCGCGCACAGACTATAAAATAGGAATCCAAACTCATCACCTTGTCCTCCAACATCCATTTCTACAATGACGAAAGCTGTCGGTATTGATTTGGGTACCACCTATTCTTGTGTGGCTGTGTGGCAGAACGACCGTGTCGAGGTCATTGCCAACGACCAGGGTAACCGCACGACACCTTCGTACGTTGCCTTTACAGACACCGAGCGTCTCATCGGTGATGCCGCCAAGAACCAGGTGGCTATGAACCCCCACAACACTGTTTTCGACGCCAAGCGACTGATCGGTCGCAAGTTTGCCGACACGGAGGTCCAGTCGGACATGAAGCACTGGCCATTCGCTGTCGTTGACCGATCGGGCAAGCCTGCTATCAAGGTTGAATACAAGGGTGAGGAGAAGGTCTTCACACCCGAGGAGATCTCATCGATGGTTCTCCTTAAGATGCGCGAGACCGCTGAAGCATACCTTGGCTCGGACGTTAAGGACGCTGTTGTGACTGTGCCTGCCTACTTCAACGACTCGCAGCGCCAGGCCACCAAGGACGCTGGTGTCATTGCTGGCCTGAATGTCATGCGTATCATCAACGAGCCAACGGCTGCTGCCATTGCATACGGTCTCGACAAGAAGGACGACAGGGAGAAGAATGTCCTCATCTTCGACTTGGGTGGTGGTACTTTCGATGTGTCCCTCCTGACGATTGAGGAGGGCATTTTCGAGGTCAAGGCCACCGCTGGTGACACGCACCTTGGTGGTGAAGACTTTGACAACCGTCTTGTGAACCACTTTGTGCAGGAGTTCAAGCGCAAGAACAAGAAGGACCTCACCTCAAATGCCCGTGCTCTGCGTCGCTTGCGTACTGCCTCGGAGCGCGCCAAGCGCACCCTCTCGTCGGCTGCTCAAACCACGATTGAGATTGACTCGCTGTTTGAGGGTATCGACTTCTACACTTCTATCACCCGTGCCCGCTTCGAGGAACTGTGTGGTGACCTTTTCTCGCACACAATTGACCCTGTTGAAAAGGTCCTGCGCGACTCGAAGATTGACAAGGGCTCGGTTCACGAGGTTGTTCTGGTCGGTGGTTCGACCCGTATTCCACGTGTGCAGAAGCTGCTCCGCGACTTCTTCAATGGCCGCGAGCCGAACAAGTCGATCAACCCAGACGAGGCTGTGGCTTACGGTGCCGCCGTCCAGGCTGCCATTCTGACGGGTGACACGTCCGAGAAGACGCAGGACCTGCTTCTTCTCGACGTTGCCCCTCTCTCTATGGGTATTGAAACGGCTGGTGGTGTCTTTACCCCTCTTATCAAGCGTAACACGACCGTGCCAACCAAGAAGTCGGAGGTCTTCTCGACTTACGCGGACAACCAGCCTGGTGTGTTGATCCAGGTGTACGAGGGTGAGCGTGCCCGCACTAAGGACAACAACCTGCTGGGCAAGTTCGAGCTCTCGGGTATCCCACCAGCTCCTCGTGGTGTGCCGCAGATCGAAGTCACTTTCGATGTTGACGCTAACGCCATTCTGAACGTGTCCGCTGCCGACAAGACGACTGGTCGCTCAGAGAAGATCACCATTACGAACGACAAGGGACGTCTTTCGAAGGAGGAGATCGAGCGTATGGTGGCTGATGCTGAGAAGTACAAGGCTGAGGATGACGCTGCCGCTGAGCGTATCAAGGCAAAGAACGGCCTCGAGTCGTACGCTTACAACCTGCGTAACTCGTTGAACGAGGAGGCCTTCGCGAGCAAGCTCGATGCCTCGGACAAGGACTCTCTTAAGAAGGCCATTGACGAGACCATTGAGTGGCTTGATAACACGCAAGAAGGCTCGATTGACGAGTACCAGGACAAGCAGAAGGAGCTCGAGGGCATTGCCAACCCGATCATGCAGAAGGCCTACAGTGCCGCTGGTGGCGCAGGTGGCTTCCCTGGTGGTGGTGCTGCTCCTGGTGGTGGAGCTACTGGTGGTGGCGACGAGGGCCCACAGGTGGAGGAGATTGACTAAGGGCGTAACTTGCTTCCACGATGTTTTACATCCATAGCGAGACTTGTTTGATATCACTGTAATTTGAATGGTTACGAGGATCTCTTGGTGAAAATATACTAGGTGCGGAGTGTGTAGATAAAGTCAGTTGCGTTGATTTGACGGTGATTGATTGACTTGAAGTATTTCACCTGGGTAAACAAATTTTTGATACTGGTCTCGAAAACTTTGTCCCATGCATGCCTCGTGAGTGCGATGCCGTGAACTCTGCAATGCCGCCGACCGGAGTATTGGACGATGAGAATTGTGCAATTTGCCTGGAATTGATCCATGATCGATGCGTTCTTCCAAACTGTTTCCATTCTTGCTTGTAAGCTCACCCTGCCCACTCCCTGTCTTACTCTATGAGTCAAGCTAACTAAATCACAGCTGCTTCGCGTGCATCTTAGAATGGATTCACACAAAACAGGGCGACAAACAATGCCCTCTATGTAAAGCGCCGTTGGGCTCATACATCTTGCATTCCTTAGATCCAGCGACGCATGATTTTCATTTCTACTCAATCCATCATGGGAGCGAGACACAACCTTTCGTAAGGGCACACGGAGTATCAGACGACGCCACCAATGCCTCAAACACTAATTATCCTGTCGATGAAATTGAAAGCCACACAAATCTAACAATGGCGAGAGAGCACAGGACTCGACGCACGAGCGTCTCGGAACTGCGTCGTCATGAAGAGCAAAAGACCCGAGCAAAACAGCGTGCTGCATTGGCATTCCGACGGCATGTTTATCGGCATCATTTACCCGCAAAACATGTTGCATCGAATAAATATACACGGTACCAACCATACCCGGGTCCAAGCGGATTTCGCGCAAAACCAGTCTATGCTAGACTTCTATCAGCGTTTTTACAGCGTGAATTGCAAGTGTGGCCACATCTAGACATCGGTTTCCTTTCATACTATATTCCTGCGCTCTTATCGCACCTAGATGTCACGTCAGATGCATTTCTGGAGCGGCTTACAGAATGGATTGGGAACGAGCGTGATGCACGTCTTCTCGCGCACGAAATGGAGCTCTTTATTCGAAGCGGACGTGGTGGTTTGGGTCTTGATCATTATGACACGAATCCATGGCTTCAATACGACCCATCGTAACGACATCATTACCACGTAAAAAACGTACAAACATAATATGAATCCAAACTCGTACTATACATCTTCCATATCATCTAGTACATCTCCAGAATCAGCCTGCTTGTCTGATGCCGATGCGCCATTTGACACAGACGCAGTACCGGTGCGAGATCCTTCCGAGTATTCGCGCTTCAGACTCCACGATCCTGCATAGGGTCCATTGTGGTGTTGGTCGGCAATAGATGAAAGCACTTCTCGGAGATAAGCATAAGGTTGTTGTGTTTCTTCCCGCAATCGTTTCAGAGACCAATGCTTATACTTGTCGAACAAGCTGAAAAGCAAGTCAAGGAGTTCATTGCGTGGGATACGCGCAAACTTTTCAGTCTGTTCATTCGTGCGCGCTTGGGCATTGCCCATGACAAAGTTCGTCGCGCGTGGTTTAATATGACCCTTCCCGACACCAGCAGCAAGCATGTTGTTCATACCAGCGTCGCCACTGTCCATCATAATCACAGAGCGCTTCGGCGTAGATGACTCAATTCGGCGCTGGCGCAGGATCTCACGATACTCAGGTGTCAAGAGCGAACGCGATTTTCCAATCATTCGGGCAGGTTTCGTATCTGTTGCCGATGCTGGCGGTAACGTCGATACCATTGTTTGCTTCTGTGGCTGGATCGATGTTTCGTTTGTGACAGTGCCCGTCAATGCAGTTATCCTTTTTTTTTTGTGCAGTCCACGCGCAGGTCCCGTACTTCGTGGGCGTTTTGAATGCACTGAATCCGGCACAATATCTTCGTCAACGCCAAGGTCACTTGCTACATCATCATCATCGAGAAGTTCCTCTTCGAATGCATATAGGTTTTTCATGTATGTCTCTTCAGTTGTGGATGAAAGTTTCATATCGTATTTGCGTGGCACATTCGCATATTGTGCACGAAGGTGCAAATCTTCGATTGGTATAGCTTGACGTGGGGCTTCGGGAAGGAGAAGTTCCATCTGTTGATGCCCGTTTTCATCAGGGCTAAATATGTCAGTCGATCGTACATGAAAGAGAAACCAAAGCATACGTACTCGTATACACGCACAGTTCCCAATGGTACATCATCTCTCTCGACGTGTGACCATCCCTCAATTAGGAACTTTGGCACCTTGACAAGCCATACCTGATGCATACCGCGGGATAAATTCAAGTCAAGATCTGGTTCAGGGGACATTTCCCGATTCAAATTTTCATGCCGCAGAGCTGTTGTGCTAGGCTCTAGAACTGGATCAGGTCCTTCCTCAAGGTCTTCCATAATCCGCGACATGACGAGGTATCCGGGTGAGGTTTTTCTTGTTGCTCTTCAGCTCCAAAGATTTGTGAGTATGGGCCCCGTTCTGGATGGAGTAAGTCCTACTGCGCCTACTCGAAAGACCCTGTCCTTCTCATGCGTATTGGGCTCCGAGAACCACACGAGAGAGCCTCTAAGGGACGCGAGCGCCCGGCCGCAAGGACACGCTGACTAATTGTATGCACAAGATCTAACCGCCAAGACGGCTTGTCGATAACTCTAACACATACAACGAGCACGCCGCTCCTGTAATCTGCAACTTGGTCAGGCATGAGTACGACACCTGAGAGAGAACGGACAGTGAATTTGGGTGCAGGCCCATCCAAGCTTTCTACAGATGTAGTTCTGGAGGCTTCTAAGGCTTTCATTGATTACCAGGGCTTGGGTATTGGTGTTGCGGAACTTAGCCATCGATCCGACACTTTCAAAACTATTTTGGCAAACGCCGAAAATGATTTGCGCAAACTTTTAGACATCCCAGACAATTATGCGGTCCTATTCATGCAGGGTGGCGGTACAGAGCAATTTAGTTCGACCTTACTGAACATGCTGGCAGCACATGCTGCCAAGCATGGAAATAATTCGAATGCAGGCGCGTCTGCCCCACCCGTCGACTATGTGGTGTCGGGTGCATGGTCGAAGAAAGCTGTTCAAGAGGCACGTCGGCTGACTTCGCGCGTGAATGTCGCAAGCGATATGATATCTATGATCGGTGACCCGAATGCTGAAATTCCCTCGCCAGACAAATGGCAATTGAGTCCTGTTGACGAGTACCCTGCCATGCTGTACTACTGTGAAAACGAAACGATACATGGCTTTGAGTTTCCAGAGCATTGGATCCAACGCCTGCCCCAAGCTTATCGTGAACGAGTCCCGATTGTCGCAGACTGTTCATCAAATATCCTAAGTCGCCCCATTGATGTTCGTGCGCATGGCGTCATTTTCTTTGGCGCACAGAAGAACGTCGGTCCTAGCGGTGTGACTATGGTCATAGTGCGTCGAGACCTGATCGTGGATCCAGATGCTCTGCAAGCCTCGTACGTTCCACCGATTCCTGCTACGCTTGTGTACAAGAACATGGCAGATAACGGTTCGCTGTACAACACGCCCCCAACCTTCTCGATTTATGTGAGTGGTATTGGATTCAGAAAGCTCTTGTTAGATGGCGGCGTGCCCGCTGCCCAGGAACGTGCGAGAATCAAGAGCGAGCTTGTGTACAAGACACTCGACGTCTTTCCACATGTATATCGGCCAACTGTGGCGCATCCCGCATTTCGCAGTAAAATGAACCTCACGTTCCGTGTGCTTGACCGTGCGAGTGGCGAGCCCTCGCCAGATGCTGAGAAACGCCTCGTTGCCTTTTGTCGTGAGCATCATGTGGTCTCGATCCAAGGACATCGTTCTGTCGGTGGAATCCGAGCGAGTCTTTACAACTCCGTCACAATCGAGGAAGCAAACAAACTAGCATCGTTGCTCAAACACTTTGCTGAGGTAAATTAAGGCATACTTAGAATGTGTCAGAGATGCTCTTCTTTTGTTCACAATAGTTTCTCACCCCCCCCCCATTCTGCAGTGATACTATGACCTTTCTTTAGGCATTTTTGAAGGTTCCTTGTATGCGAATCTTGCGAGCGTTGCTTGTCGTGACGATGATGGTGCTGTTGATCGTTTGCCGGCAGGAACTACACCACCGTCAGCTTCGTCGGGAGCACTTGCGGATGCTGCATCGGCTCTGTCAAAAAAAGACGAGCTCTTTTGAAGTTGTCGTTCTTTAGCGACAGAATGAGTACGTGCAAAAGGATTTGCGCGCATTGGCAGCGTAGGCGTCATAGAACGGGGCACAGAATCGTGATCCAAAGATTGAGATGGCATTGACGATGTCGGCTCATCAGTAGCTGTGTGCAAGGAAGACGACCAGTCGGAGGGGGTTGGGCCCAGATCTGGCGACTGATGGAAATGCGACAGGCCCTCACGAGCAAGAGTTGGTTTCGAAGCCCAACGCTGCACGCGAGGGCCAAATCCTTCCTGTTGCAAAGCAAAGCGTGCGTGGTCATGACGAGCATCGGAAGGCGGCATTGATGATGCACTGGTAATGGGAACCGGTACATGTGCGAAGTTTCGGAGAAGTGCATCGGTTCCGCAGGAACGAGTGGTAACTTCGTCCAGGGATTGTTGATAGACAACGAGTGGCGCACGCACGCGTTCCATTCGGTCGGCTAGGCTTGGAAGATGGAGAAAATGGGCAATCTTAAGAGCCGCATCTAGTGTGCTTTCAGAATGCAGAGAACGTGTAGCATCGAGTGCTCTCGCGTAACGATCCGCCTTACCAGCTAGATGCACAAGTTGCAAAAGTGCCTTGTCCGCTTCCATGTCTAGCACGGCAGGATCGCTTTCTTGTACTGATAAGCGCTTGGGCCGAAGCTCAAGTCCTGTAGCTGCTTGAGTATCACGTACAGCACTTGCAAGCAGAGAACGTCGAAGAGCCAGCTCTTCAAGTGGTGTTGCTGCGCTCTCTCGCTGCGCCATGCTGATCGTAAGCTCAAGCTCTTGGACCAAAGGACGCGGGCCTGACGGTTGTGGATATAACTGCGAACTCGGAATTAAGAGACCAAGCAGATGTGTTCCTGTGACACCAATAGGCCACAAACGAACACGCGGCTTTATTGGCGCATCTGTGTACACGTTGGAATCTGAGTCTTTTGGTAACAGAGCCAACTCGCAGTCCAGAGATGGGACCCAGCGGCCCTGTCCTGGTCGCCATACTCGATTTAAAGTGTACAGCATCCCTGCGGAGTCGAATACTGCAGGTGTACCTAGCTCATCAAAGCCGAGCCAAGTCAAGGTAGCATTGGGGCCAACAGGTAATGTCCCTTGTTGCATAATGCACCACTGCGACAACTCAATAACCATGTACGCTAAATGCGTGTTGCTTGAAGTTGATGCTGCAGCTTCATACACCACCATCACACTGTACGCACAAGCAGCGAGGGCCACAACAGGGGCACCGAGAGCCCATACATAGCATTGCATGCCACTGGGCCCAAAAAATCGCAGCATGCCACGAGACGTCGAAACCACGGACGTGGCGCGGGACGTGAAGCTCTCATCCACAACTCCAGAAGAACCTTCGTGCATGTCAGCAAAAGAACCGACATTCGGAATGCCTCCAAGAGCCACGGCAGTCGCTGTTTCACCAGGCGGCAAATTTACGCTCCATTCCATTTGGATGCCGGGAAGATCATCAAATGGCCGATAAAATATAACACTTGGGTTTCCCCCCTCTACTTCGCAAGCAAACAGTATACCTTGCGAGGCCATGCTTGCCATCGTATAACCGAAATGATCGGTAAACCGGAAATTGCGCCGCGCAGATGTATCGTACGACTCAAACACCACAGTCTGGTGTGTATCTTGATCAATAGACGTCAAGGTTCCGAAATTTGACACGGCCAAGTACCTGCGCTGCGCGATCATCGGTGTCGAGCTCGGTTGGAATGAAGGCTGCCGGACAACAGACTTTCCAGCAACATCGGGGGGAATCATTCGCATACGCTTGGGCCGCGGTTCATCACCGGCATTGTCATCCAAGGGCGTATCGTCGAACAGGTCGTCTAGTTCATGCTCCATGGGTTCTAGTCCAGCGGCGTGAGTAGAAGATTCTGCCATAGGTACATCCTCTCGAGCACTAGGCATTGACGTGCCGAGAACAGACTCCCAATGAGTTAGTTGACCTTGCATGTCAGTCCAGGCGATGACGTCTTTACTTGGATGCCAGCTAAGGCCTGTAACAACAGCTTCCGCAGCATGCATCCGCACCAGCTTCTGAGATTCCATCATCCAAACATAGACAAAACAGTTTTCCGTCGCTGCCGCAAGATACCTGCCATTCGGAGAGAAAGCAAGAGCTGAAATTTGGCCCGAAGGCCGAGGTTCATGTTCGACCGGCATCGTTGTCGTCGCTGTCGTCGTCAAAAACACCATTCATGCACCACATGGAGGGATCCTTCGCTTTCTGATGGATAGCAGGTGCATTAAACAGCCCAATATCGTGAGTCTTCAGCGGCACAGCAAACATATGCCCATGTGGATGCCAGCAAGCAAGAGACGTGAACGGACTCTCTGGGCGAAGGGCTGGCAACTGATTCGAGATGATTTTCAAACAAACCCCTTCAGTTGAAGACATATCCCATATTCGTATGTCACCGTCGCTACCACATGACACAAGAAATGGTAAAATGGGACTCCAGCTAGCGGCCCGTACACCACGAGAATGACCTGTCAGAAGTGTAATTTGCCGCGGATCTTCAACATTTGCTACACGAATCAGAAGTTCATCGGAGCAAATAGCTGCGCGTGGAGACTCAGAGGCACGTTCAAGTGCGACGGAGCGCACAGGCAGGACCTCTCGTCGCACAATCCGAATGCATTCGTTCACCTTCGGAGCACTTGAATCATCAGTGCCTGAGTGTTGATAAAGTCGAACAGCCCCATCCTCAGAAGCAGTTAATATATATTTGTTGTTCGAGTCAATCCACGAGATAGACTGGGTCGCATCTTCCAATACCATAGGTAATACATCTGTCGCCGTGGGCTCAGACGGTAACAGTCGCACAAGATGATCTTCCCCCGCCGTGATAAGCCGCCTAGCCAAGTTAATTCGACATTCTGCACTTACGTATCATCAAATCTACCGGTGAGATAGCGTACGCGAGTGATACCAGGGGATATGTGTTACCTGAACGGGAAGTTCATCTTCCATTCTCAACGCGAGAAGCCTAACAAGAGCAACCAGGCACGACGCGTTCCCAAACAATTTACAGGACGTGTACTACGTATTGTTCATATATGTTCACTTCACCTACACTTCAACAACCGTCCCGGCTAGCTCAGTCGGTAGAGCGTCAGACTCTTATGAGTCTCCTCGGAAGCGAGGAGTTATCTGAATGTCGTGGGTTCGAGCCCCACGTTGGGAGCTTTTTGCAGTCAGAACTTTTGATACTATCCTAATTTCGTGCATGCTGCAATTTTAATTCCTCATATTAGATAATATTAAGCGATCAATGTCACCCACCAAGTCCAAAAGTAACACTTCTCCTTTTTCACAACGCACAATTGTTTCACAAATTCCATGCTAACATAAATCCTAAAACCTTAAATAAAAAAAGAAGGGCCATGACACTTATCGCATTAACCCCTAACCAGAAATCCAAAAAAGGGCGGTGTCCAGACCGCACAACCAAAGTAAAATATTCGCAGGGGCAGTCAGTGCGATTTTGCGAAGATTATTGAAGTGCGACGCGTTTTACATCAGAAGCCTCTTGTGCTGGGACTTGTGTCCCTTCGTGTTTGGAGTATTGTCAACCACCTTCAAGCTTGGATTCGAAGCAAAGATATTACCAAGACCAGCCAGCCAAGTGCTAGCGGTGAGACGAGTAGCGGCGCCATTGTCTGCAAAGTATGCATTCATTGGCGATAGGAAGCTGTCAGGAGGGTTCAAAACATCGAAACAGCCGTTCCAAGCAGCACGTTCAACATATGGCTGCGACTTCATCCATTCAATAGTCTCGCGCATGAAACGGTCGACATCTTTTTGCGATGGGTTTGACTTGTTCGTGAGCCCGTACTCAGTCATCCAGATCGGCAGGTTGAATTTGTCGTGAATCCTCTTTACCCAGTTCTTGAAGGAGTCAATTTCATCAGGACCACCGTACCAATGAAGTGCCATGAAAGAGATCTTGCAGCCAGCGGCGTGGCATTTATCCATGAACTTCGAGATCCAATCCATGTCCCAAACCATCTGGGGCGCACTCACTTTGATGCCCTTAAGAGCATATGGCTGGAGCTCTTGCATGAACAGACTCACAGCAGTGTCAGGATCAATGTTGGCTTGGCCCTTGATGTCAGGTTCGTTGAATGAAAGAATGTGTTCGATATGCATATCGTGAATCTCTTTCTTGCGTTGATGCCATTCGTGCATTTTCGTGGGACCCCAGAAAGTGGGGACGTATTCAAGTCCCTTGAGCTCCTTTACGTAACCATCTTGCCAATGGTGATACCACGTTACATTCTTCTTGTCGATAGTCTTGGCCCATGCATTGAAGGTGCCCCAGGGGAATCCATAGTGGAAGTCGGCAACAACAGGAGTGGCTGCGAGCAGTGCAGTGGCTGCAGCGGCAAGCGTCGCAACAGAAAGCTTCATGTGTTAGACTAATGAAGATGACGACCAGCGCCTTAAAGAGCGTGAGCAATAGACAAGGAGCAGGAAGAGGATGAGAGAGAGTGATTACAAGGAGGAGGCGGTTAATATGGTAAATCCAAACCCCGGACGGTCAATGGACAATTGTGTCGCACGCGCCAAAGATTCACCGCCTGATGATGTATAACATCTGTTGGAATAAAGAACGCGCTTTGGCACGCATCTTATGATGCTTTCGTGCTAAGCTTTGATTACGGCAAAAATTTGATTGGACAAATTGACATACCAATGTTGATATGGAGGTGAAATAAGACAATTTTGTGACAACCAATCCTTTATCGGTCGAGAAATTCGATGTCGATTTTGAAAGTGTGTATTGTTCTGTATTGGAACATACCTGACATAATTCGTTTCATGGAAAGCTTATACCGAAAATGTCAATGTGGCGGTGCCCTCATGCAAGTCGCACCATATTCGCAGGGGCTCTTGAATGCGTAGCCAGACAACCTCGTGGCATTAACGCCTGGCGGCTGACCCACGTGATGTGTGCCAAAAGAATGTTCCAATCATCGTTGAGAAAATATGTCCAGTCTTGGTCGAGGGATTGGGGAATAACACTAACGGCGTGTAGAATCAACTCGATAACTCAAGCCTCCTAAGGGTGGGGAGTATGGCTGGATCTGTACTCTCTAATGTTCTATCTACATGACCCTGTTTATGCGTGCGCCCACTTTATCGCCGACAACGCTGGTGTAATGAGTTGATAAAAAATAGGCGCTTGAATTTAGACAAGCCTCATTTGATCCAAAGACAGCCACTTGACAGATATGGAGAACAAGTAACAATCTGTATAGAACAATCTCTCGAAGTCGGATGTTTTCTTGTGTATTTGTCGATGTACAATTTAAAGTTTCTAATTGGATTTGTTCCATGAATTGTACAATGCTGTAGAGAACGAGGGCGTATCTCGACCAGTAGGAAGAATGGGAGAATTCAGACTCTTGTTCGCTTTAACTGCAGCGCCATTTCCTGGTAAGACAAGCTGACTCGGTTTGTCTGCTTGAATCTTGTGCCAGGGACTAGGATTCGTAGCCCCAGAGTTTACAGGTGCATGGTCGATTTGGACAGGCTCAGACATTATAGCCGGCATTTGCGATTTCGTACTAGTCCGGTTCCCATGTTGCTTCGGCGGGGATGCAATTGTTTCACTAGCGGCTTCGCTCTTCGAATCCTGGGGTGTCGACTCTTTCCGGCGCCGTTTGTGCTTTGATCGTTGGGAATCAACAATTATTGCGGCAGAAGAAAGATCGTCCTTCGAATCAGGTGAACCTGTATCATCGCTGCCTTTCGCACGCTTTCTTCGAGAAGCTTGATTTGCCGCCCCTTTGGCATCAACAGCTTGAATGGCATCAGCTGCGGGCGTTTGCGATGCTGGAACGACGTCAGTTGCACCTTGTTTGGTCACATTTGCACGATTTTGGCGCAATTTTTTAATAAATTCAAGCCGCGACAAGCTTAAAAGTTAGTCACTGGAAAGATGTACCAGAATAGCGATAGAAGCGTACCTGGGAACAAATGTGTAAGGCTCCGAAGATAGATCCTGTTGACTATCTGAGCCAGTTCTCCAGCCATTTTTCATCATGTTCATGATATGTAAGCGGCGAGCACCCTTGCTTTCAGCTTGTTCGACTTCAATGCTGTTAAGTTTATAGCCTGTTGAAGCATCAATTTTATATTGTTGGAAAGGTATGCCACTCGTGTAAGAAGATGATGGCATCGTACTGCTGAGCATAACGTTTGCAATTCGTGTGACATGGGGATCAGGATCAAGACAAAGCGGCGGAGCAGTCAGGTGAAGAATCTGAGATTCTATTCGCATGGCGTCGTCGTCGTTCCAGATGCCCCCAGTCTTCACATCCATCATGCGCAAGTCATTCCAGAGTGATTCGTCAGACGACCGAAGTATCATTCGATAGACCTCTACTCCGTCTGGACTAGGATATGCCTCGTCCTTCCAAAGGTTCGAACGACCGCCACCAAGGCGGTGGGGATGAAAGCCGTAGCGGCCACCCTCTCTGAGATAAAATAAGGATGTATTATTAGGGCGCAAACGACGCCCATCCGGCCCGTATGCGTTTGCGTTGTGGCTTGTATCTACTGGCGGCTCGCGATGATCGTGGACTTCGACCATAAGGCAGCCTTCAAAGAACGGGACGCCTGCTTGTTGAAACACGTCCACCAGATCTACAGGGATGATCTGGTTCTGCAGGTAGTGAAGAAATTCCTGTATGTGAGTGATAGACTGTGTTTGCTTCTGCATACCTTAGTGCGCGTCTCGAACAAGAAATAACCATCCTGTCACGATAAGTTGACCCTCGCGACACGTACCTGCTTTTCAAACCGCATAAATTGTGAGTGTATGTGCAAAATGAAGCTCGCTGGGTCTTTCCTGTGACGTTTCAGAATTTGGCGTGTTGTACGCTCATAATTGTACACAGACGCAGACGTCGCCATTGTGACGCTGGGCGTAGAGAATTGGCTCTACGCTTGCTCTGCTCCAAGCCACAAGGGATCGTACCTAGCGCCGACAGACTGAGGCGACACGTATTTTATCTCCACGTCTGAGGAACCGCCCAAGCCATACATGCCACGAAATTACCCAGTCGAAGGGCTTGAGGGCTACACACCTCTATAGCAACATTTTATGGGCAACATTGGAGCAATATGGGTCAATTTTATGGATTTGGTCAGGGTATTAACTTGAGAACGTCTGCTATTCTCCTTCATCACTACTCAATGTCAAATCAATCACATCAGCCGACGGCTCAGAATGCTCGGTGGGATGCACCAAAGACGTTCCAGACGTGTTAAGGTCAGCGGGAAATGATATACATGGGGGCGTTGCGACTTCTTGCTTTGTTGGCTCAAGCTGATTAGAAGGTAGCGAGCGTTGTGGCGTGCGTTCAGGAGATGGCGTGTGATCAAGCAAAGTATCTTGATCCATGGGTATGGATGGGGGAAGCGATGTTATATAGGCAGAGCCAGAATGGTACTGGTCATCTGGTGAATGCCATGATCCATCCGACTCAACTAGCACAGCGTCCAAATCGGGAGGAACACGGCGCAAAATATCTTCGACGTATCCATCCATGCGCAGATCTTCCGGCTTGATATCTTGACTACACACAGGACACTGCCACTGCGGAGACTGCTCATTCATCGAAAAGAAACTCGATGCGTCGAAGCACTGAATATGATCACATGTATTCGAGCGGCAGGGCACAGCCATACGCACATACGTAAGGGGGCATGTGAGTTTGAGTGTCGAGGCACCTGTCTCGATATCTTCATCCCTTGACTTTTTGTGCATCATATCGATGACAGCTTCTTTTGAACGATACCGCCGGTGTTTCAGCTGCTCGGTGAGTTGCTCGGCCGTTGTAATTTTGCACAGAGCAATCACCATGGTATATCGAGATGGCGCATTCGCGTAAGATAGCTCTACACGATTGAGCTTTCCGGGTTGCAGGGAAAGGTGTCCATTACGATTTAGGTTGGGAGGCGAAACGCGCCCAGCATGTTTTTTGTTGCCACGTAAATTCACATTTAGTGAGTGCTCATTGATCCGCGCATCACACGTGTAGGGGAATTCGACAGGAGCCGCTTCGCGCTTTGGAGATACGGAGGCCATAAACTGATCGAATGTGGTGCAAAATAGACGCAGCTGATGAAGATGTCTAGCGTAAGCTGGTTGGGATAGTCGATACGTACTGGGTATCAAGGAGACGATCCACTTGCTTTTCGGAAAGGGTGAATGAAACGCCGACTTGCCTGCGTCCTGAGGCAGGTGGCGCTTCTGGTACTTGTACAATGGATGACACAAACTCTTGCACTTCATAGAAGGGTGATGGCCAGAATCGCAGTTGCTTGAGGGAATTCGGTGTCAGAGACTTGGGCGCCGTAGACGTACTAGCACTATTTGTACTGCTAGCACTCCCTGCATTGACGCGAGCATTGCTAGACGCGGTAAATGATTCGAAGCTACCAGATGCAGGTACACCCAGGATGGAGAGCGAGGGGGGTGCCTCGCCATTAGCAGGTGATCGGCCATAGAAAGAGGTGTACTGATTCGCGGCGCGGCGTAAACGATCTTGGTCTGAGCTCCAACATGTGTAACCAAGGGGCGCAATCACACAGAGCATTTCTTGGAAGTACTGCGGGTTCATACACGAAGCCAAGACGGCTTCTGTGAGACGCTGAGCCAGTTCCGTTTTGTTACCAGATAGCCGCATATGCGGACAAAATGGGAGGCGCTCATTGAAGGCTTTGATATGCTCTTTGAGATCTGCCACCTTGAGTGACTTGACGTAGTCACTCAATATAGACACAGCTCCCAACTCCATCGCCCCGGCCTCGTGGGCGTGGCCACGCACGTCTTGTACAATCAGAAGGTCTTGGCGTAATGCCCTCCGACTTTCTCTTTCTCGCGCTCTCCACGATGCAGTATGAGATCCGAGGCTCCAAAGCGCGAGCACGTGATTTGCCGTGTGGCGTTCGCTCCAAACACCTACACATGCTGTAACCCAGAGGTGCACCTGGGACATACAGAATGACTTTGGCACTGTACGATGATGGTTTTGCTGTTTGAACATAAGAAGGTGCTATCGGTGAGGAGCAGTAAGTGAAATCGGTAAGAGTAGCATTAGTAGTAGCATCAAAATGAGGATAGTTATTGATTAGAGAAATATGCTTGTTTGATGTGATGTTCGAGTGACGCACGGCCTGGCCATGGCTTGCCATGTTGATGTTTTTGCTCCCATTCCTCGAGAAGGTCCAAGTCCACAGCTCTTGAACCCAGTTGGAACTGACGCTGACATGCGCCCGGTCCTACCGCCGCTCGCGCTGGCAGAAGCGACGATAGGACCGAGGCCGTAGGTATAACCGCATTGTCACGCGCGGAGTCGTTGTCATTGTCATCAACCTTGTTCTCGCAGTCACTATCCTGAGAGACTTTTTGCGGAGGGGGAGAGAGGAAGCGCGTACCTTGAAGTTCGGGAGGGAAAAATTCTTGATGCACAGGGTGCGCAAACGATGGCTCATAACGATACTGTGCTCCGTAGCCGAGTTCGCGCATCATGCGTGTAGGAGCATTGCGAATATGCAGCGGTACAGGATACTGCGGAAACAGTTAGACATGCGCATAAACGTACATTGAATTCAGATTCAACCTTCGACAAAGCCTTTTTCCACGCACGATACGAACGTGTGCTTTTGGGACTTTCCGCAAGCGCCACCACACAGTGCGACAAGTTGATCCCACACTCAGGCAAGCCGACAATTTCGCACGCACGATAAGTCGCAGTTGCTAGAGCAAGAGCATCTGCCGAGCAACAGTCCTCTGACGCACACACAATCAGACGTCGCGCAATAAATAGAGGGTCATCACCACCCGCAACCATGCGAGCCAGCCAGTACAAAGCAGCGTCTGGATTGGACCCACGGATACTTTTGTGAAGGGCGCTAATAGTGTCATAATGAGCATCGCCTGCGCGGTCATATTTCAGCGCTGTGCGACGCAAACTTGCCTTTAGTCGCTCGCGATCAGCGCCATCGTCTCTCACAAGAGCAAGCTCAAGAGCTTGAAGCGCGGCGCGTGCATCTCCGTCGGCCATCTGAGCCATCCATTGCAAAAGAGAATCATCAATCCATTCATACGAAGCGGCATCAAAGACGTCGTCTTCACCAGTTCGCACACGAGCCAAAGCATTTCGTAGTATATGAAGGCAGTCACATTCACTAAGCTTCGTCAGTACAACCACACGTAGCCTCGAAAGAAGTGCGCCCTGAAGCCGGAACGACGGATTTTCTGTTGTGGCTGCAAGCAACGTGATAAGGCCACGCTCGAGCATGGGGAGAAACAAGTCTTGCTGGGCACGGTTGAAGCGCTGTATCTCGTCGATAAATAACACAGTACGCTGTGTCGTAAGCATCTGTCGATTCACAGCTTCTTCAACAATACGCTTGACATCATTAGCTGTGGCAGTTGTGGCGGACAACTCGACGAAGCGGAACGGCGTGTGGTTCGTCGTAGTGATCGCCTCGCGCGTCAATAGGCGTGCGAGTGTTGTTTTTCCTGATCCTGGCGGACCCCAAAGTACCATTGATGGGATATGACCCTTATGTAAGAGCGCACGCAGCGATCCATTGACCACATCGTCCTGGCCCACGTATTCGTCGAGTGTTTGAGGGCGCATGCGCTCGGAAAATGGGCGCACATGCTCGGTACGACGTGTCTTAGACCGTGGAACAGGGGTCTTAGTTTCTTCTTTTACCGTCGCCTTATCATCTCTCGAGAGCACATGGCTCTCTTCGTTGGCAGGACGTTTTTTGTGAGGCGACGAAGAAGGTAGCAGGCAACTATCGAGATGTTCATTCATAACGGCGAATGGGACGTGTGCCTCGCAGTTGGGACAGACCACGCGCTCATGACCTGCAGGTATTTCTATTTCGGCAGCTCTCGCAGTATTTGAGTCATGGCTGGATCTTCTCTCGATCATGCTGGTCCTTTCATCATGGCTGACAGGCATGGGATCCAAGAGAATGACGCGTAGTGAGTGCGTTGGATATTGCGCGTGTGCTTCCCTCCACACGCGTTTGATCCAAGACCGCATCAAAACGTTAGCCATCCCCCGTGCTTCGCTTCCCAAATTGCATGCACGTGATAGAACGTGGCCCGCCCGAGACTGGCCGGAAGGTCCGACGGAGAGGCGGACATGGCGAAAGGAGCGCTTGAGCGTCAAGTCTCCTAGTGGGCAAATATTCATACTGACCCGCATTGCTCTACACACGTAACCGAAATGAGCAGCGACAAGCCGCATGGCCAAATCGCCAGCGAGGAGGTGCTGAACAAAAAGATGGACCTGTGCCTCAGTAACACGATTGTCAAAACAGGCATTGGTTTCAGCGCCGGTGTCGTGCTGTCGGTGTTGTTCCTTCGACGTAAGTATGAACCGCGTGTGACATGGAGAAGATAGGCGGTGCAGCATGCTAACTTTGTAAACAGGACGTGCGTGGCCCGTCTGGCTCGGTACAGGCTTTGGTATGGGCGCTGGATACACAGACTGTGAGCGCTCCTTTAATCCTGTCTCAGTTCCAGGTGTACGAATCCTTCCTGCCGACACGGCCAATGTGTCTGCGCCACCAACTCGCTTTAGCCTCTTGCAGCAGCGAGTGGGCGAGCTGTTCGGGCAGGCGCATGAGCAGGCCTCTGATGCCGTGGACAACACAAAGGATCTGCGCACAGCCGCGCACGAGCGCTTTGCTGAACTGAGCCAGAGCGGCAAGGAGCAGATTGAAAAGCGGTTTTCGGATTTGCAGGACACGACGCAGAAGTTTGCTGACAAGATTGTCGAGACTGGCAAGGACCTCACGAGCTCCAATGGAGGCAACAACAGCAGTGGCAGCGGTGAGGCTAACAATAAGGTGCGCGTGGTCTAAGTATGGCTGGCTGGCTCTGTTGCCCATGTCGTGCCGTAGGAATGCACCAGTATTTGTGGTTCCGATATTGACGTCGCGGTCAGTGGTTCGTCCATGCGGTAAATGAGTCCATGGTGGCGTCGGACGAGCACAGCACTAAGGTCGAGCCGTGTTTTGCATGTAAAGCGACAGGTGCTGCGGCGATGTCGTGCGTTGGAATTGCTGCCTTGCATGAAGCGCATCGCCTACGCCGCATGCCAGGTCCACCACAGCGTCGTTGGACCACTTTTCTCGTTTTGCTTGGCACGTCTAGCTTAGGTGCGGCATTGGCACGCCTTTATTGGTAGTTTATTATACGAGCACGGAGAAAAAGAGAGAGAGAGAGAGAGCGAGTATAGTACTTTTCTATGCACGTTCTATAGTGATACGGAGCATATGAGACCGTTCTGATAGTGCACTGAGCTGTGCAGTCTGTGCATCACGAAGCATGTCCAATTCGGCTGCTCGCATAGCTGACCAGTCAGCATGTCGCTTGCAGTCGCGCTGTGCGACGGTGCAAATATGTGCTGAGGAGTCTTCGATGTTCCACGGCTGCTCATCATTCAGTACCGCTCGGCCATGTGCTGAGGTTGCCCATGCTGCAAGCAACTCGTCATCCATGCATAGTCGCTCATCGAAGCCGCACGTCGGGGTGCTTTCCTGTATGTTGCTGCCGGCATCGTTGGTTTGATCGCTCTGATGTGACAAATGTGCTGATGGTCGATCATCTGCTATTTGAAGTAATTTGCCCCGTATGCTGAGCAGATCCAAGCTTACATGCAGCAATGTACACTGGCGTTCGAAGTGCTTCAGCTCCGTCTTCATATGCGCAAGATCCAGCTCTTTTGTGTCGAAACGCGTAGCTTCTTGTCGCACAAACTCACCATAGCTCATACCTGGCGGTGCTTGTGGCGCTTCGGACCTTGCATTTGTGAGTGCAGATTGGATCTGATCAAACCAAACGGAGTCGGCTTTACCGTCAGTGAGAGGAAGATGCGTATGGATCGGCGGTGACGGTGTCCATACGCACAGGCCACGACGCGCGTCCACATTGGCAATCGAAGAGGGTTGAATGATCCTTCGGGTATCTTGTGGCTTCATTGCATCCATGCGGGAACGGATCTCATCCATGCCACATGCATTAGAACAGTAGCGTGAAAGTGGCAATCGCGCAGGTCGGCGACACGCACGACGGTGGCACGGTACCTTGAAAGTCGTTCGTTGTTTAGTCCCTTAACATACGTGTGAGTGTCTCGATTCGTGTGCAAGGTTTGTGGGCCCAACAATCTCCAATGTCATGGAATTTATGAGCAGATCCTCCTGTTAATACGTACGTGATGTACATGAAGGACAAATAAAAGAATCGACCAACTCGACATCGTCCTCTTCAATGTGCATGCAGATTGCGTGAAACCAGTCATCACAGTGATCGCAAGCAAGCATGAGTCGTTCATCATCTGGTGAAAGTATGGAGATTTTGCCAATGCATGTTAATATCATGATGTAACAAAAGAGTTTTTTTTACGAATCATTACACGTACCGTATCGTTGGCGACACACGCAGTACAACTTGACATCTTCAGGGACCTGTGGTGCTGATGCTGGCACTGACGCTGAATGCGAACGTGTCTCACTCACATATCGCTTCATGTCGCGCTCTTGTGCCGTTACATCGTTCGAGTCTTTTCGTTTCGCACTGTCCATTTGGTCGCAAGCAAGTATCCAATCCCAGCTCTATAGCAATGCACTCCAGCAAGACGTGTGAAACAGTCTATTTCATTTTGAATAGTTCCATTTTTCATGTGTCTTTCATCCCATTCGATGTGGTGTCTCCACATTGATCAACTTCGTGGCGCGTTTCGCCACCCCATCCATCAATACGCGCTCTCCACTTCTCTGGTACTCCCGGGTGTGAGTAGTACCCGGACCTTGAGCGTAGATGACAGACGCGGCTGCCCTGGTTAGTCGCGCATATGAGTATGCACAGGATGGAATTCTCGCTCTTATGTCCTGTCTGGACTGCGCAGATGGGTACGGCACAGTGAACGTGAATGGCGTGTCGTACGAAGTCATGCAATTGCTAGGCGAGGGTGGTTTTAGTATGGTATACCTGGTACGAGATCGAACGAGCGGCAGAATGTATGCGCTCAAAAAGGTAAAGTTGATCCGCAAATTTACGCACTAGCGTATTTTTTATTTTTTGAACTAAAAAACCAACGCGACAGATCCGGTGTCAGCACGGCGATGAGTCACTTCGGTACGCGCTTGCGGAAATTGAAGCAATGCGTCGGTTCCGCGGCCCGCACACGCTGCAACTCATTGACTCAGCTGTTGTAAGAGATGAACATGAAGCGGGAATGGGAGCATTTTCCAGGGCCCTAGGGAATGTACCGACACATGATGTCGAGAATCCACGTACCCAAAAGGTCGTCTACTTGGTACTACCGTATTTTCCGAATGGCAACGTCCAGGATGCGATCAATGCGCATATTGTGCACAAAACGCGCTTCGATGAACGAAAGATGCTCCAACTGTTTGCTTGCGCATGTGATGCACTCAAGAGCATGCACCAGTACGTCCTCCCACACGTCTCCGTGCAAGCAGGTGATGAAGATGAGGATGTCAATACAACGCATGCCGTCTCGACGAAAGACGACTCTTTGCTTTTTGATGCTGGCTTATCAGAGTCTTACGCATACCCACCGCCAGAGCCTATGGCCACCAATGCTGCTGCATCTAAACCACTGTCGACGTCGTCAACCCATGCCGAACGTGTGCCATATGCTCACCGTGACGTAAAGCCAGGGTACGTATGCTTTCCTGTGTGCTCGAGCCAGCTGAGGCCTTCTTTTTTGACGAAGACCCTTATTCTCGTTCGCTCACACTGACGTTTCCACCATCACTCGTCCATGGCTGACACACTAGGAATATCATGATCTCTGATGACGGAAATACCGGCGTGCTGATGGACTTTGGTAGCACCATGCGAGCACGTGTCACTATATCGAGTCGTCGAGAGGCTATTGCGCATCAGGATTTAGCTTCAGTTCATTCCAGCATGCCGTACCGAGCGCCAGAACTGTTTGACGTCAAGACGGACGCTGTGCTGGACGAGAAAGTGGATATCTGGGCACTTGGGTGCACACTCTACGCGATGGCATATCTGCATTCGCCATTTGAGACCCTATCCACCGTAGAGCAAGGCGGCTCGATTGCTCTGGCCGTCATGAATGGCGCCTACAAGTTTCCACCTGCCGACGAGGATCCGTACTCACCGCATGTGCGGCATATCATTGAGCGATGCTTGGAACACGATCCGCAAGCACGTCCTGATATTGATGCTGTGTTAAATGATGTTCATATGGCCCTAGCATCTATCTAGGCAGTAGCTTTCCACTGCATACGCCAACTAGCAAGTCCTGCAATCATACCGAAAAAGCCGACCCAGCCGTCGGAAATCAGGCCCTTCGTTAGGGACCAGTGCAACGTCAGTGGTAGATAGCCCACATTGACCCAAAACTGTGTCAGCAGCATGTCCTTTCGAGCATAAATATCAGACCACATGCGCCGTGTCGCTTCCTGTTCTTCAGTGAGTGTTGCAGACTCCGTGCTGGGTGGGCTTGGATGTCCACGGCTCTTTTCCAGCGCCTTAGCTCTCGTACGCAGCAACCGATTGTCCTCCATAATGTGCCAAAAGTCCAACACCACATAGGCTGCCCACAAACGACATCCATACAACCACAGGTTGTTTTGCACGCGGTCTGAAATAGGAAGCACTTTGTGCATCGCAAGGTAGGCGGCCGCTTCCATCGGCGCGTACACAACCATAGATAGCGCCTGCATGCGCTCAATCAGCTTCAAATTCCGCGTAGGTGGCAGCTGGCGCTCAATGCCAACCATCCACTTGACCATCGGCACTATGGCCCAGATTCGGAACAGGATACGCGCATCAGCTGTGAGTCCCCCCAGGGCTTTCAAGTAGGGTGCCAGACGTGAAAACACACTGCTTTTGTCCTTGCTCTTTTTAAGAGCATGCAACGACAGAAGAATTGCTACCAGCAGGTTCGATCCATATTGCGCGAGCATGAAGAACTGGATTTTACGTTAGCCGGGACTGTGTAGTCGCTCAAAGTAACACGTACGAACCTTGTCTGTACCGGTCCATGTACTCAGAAATCGTGCAAGGTGATCTAGCGTTGGGCTTGGCGGAACTTTACGCAAACACTGGAAAAGACAGTCCATGGGATCTTGCTTAACAGCCTTGACACTGGCTGGCTGCGTCGTCTTTTTCTCGTCCGCTTGGCTCATTGTATATGCCGGGGCAGTGAGATATACTCTAGGCTTTTCTCCACACTTGAACCGTCACTCTATGGGGAAAAAGGGGGGTGGGGGCGATTCGGTGAGGCGATGGCCATTTTTGCGAATCTCGTGATAGGCTTAGGCTATGGTAGTGGTCATCAACGTGAGTCTGCATGTGGAACACAATGCCCTTTCGTGTGGTAGGATCGTTCCAATATTATGGAATGAAAACGCAGGCGACATTGCACGTTGCAAGCCAATGTTCATTTTTGTAAAAGGTCGGATATTTCTTAAGCAAGGCTTTGGTATCTTCAATGAGAAGGGACTAGAGGAAAGAGAAAAAAAAAGTTTGATGCAGCACGTATTTATTTTCTGTGTATAGTCGCGCGTACTTCATCGCGCACACGCTGCTCAATATCGAGCCATTCGCGTTGTGCAGCTGGCATAGAAGCCTCTGTCCTTTCACGGCGAAGGCGCTCAGCATCGGCTTGCGTAGTAGCATCAGTCGATGCGCCATGCTGGAAGCCAAGGCGTTCTGTCACAACGAAACGCTTGCGAGCAGAAAGTGGACGGCATGCCTGAGCGCGAATGAGTTCACCAATTGAAAGTGAGGACTCGGGGTCATGCACGAGATACTTGTTATGACGCACGTATGTCTAGTCGTCAGACAGGGGGGTAGGATGCATACCTTGTGAAGCTTAGGATGTGTCTTGACCTTCGCCACGGTCATGGTGACCGTTTTCGCCATGAAACCCGCCTTGGTCACAATGCCCGTAAGTGTTGTAGCGCCCATGGTCAAAGCGAACGGACAGCCAGGACGTGAGAAGCGGACGTATTATGTCTAGTTGTTGAAGTGGGGAGTAACATCAACGGTCTGGGAGTTATGCTATCAGATTCGTGGAAATACATGTCGCTGGCAATCTGCAAGTGTCTTACAATACGTTGCTACATCCATATGCAAATTATGTGGACCTATGTTCCAATGTCACAAACACACACGCGCCCAGAATCCATCAGCCTCAATATCTATCCTGTACACTTAAATATCAAAGAGCATGCGTATTTTTGAGAGGAAGGGGAACGGGTAGTGGGGGTAAAGGAAGTGGATGCGAGGAGACCCTGGCCGACTTGCTTAAACTTGGCGAGCTCCGTGCGTGACGTAATCCGTGTTGCGCAGAAGGCGCCACTTCCTGGGCATGATTCGAAATGCGCTCCAAGTGCGCGATTCGTCGGGCTGATCGAGGTGGTGGTTTGGGGGCTGATGTTCCTGCTCCCGAGGCAGGCACGGGTGGCGGTGTGGAAGGAACGCTTGGTAACGGCCCACGTGCAGAACGGGGCATGCCACCACTCCTAGTCGATGTAGGAGACGTCATGTACATGTCAGAGACGGGGAGCAAAGATTCTTGCGCGAGCGCTGTCGACGAATATACGTTTGGTAGAAACTGGTCGTCTTTTGTTGTGGGAGGTGGCGTCATCGGCGCTGTGTGCACTCCGCCATACAAAGGCGGCTCAGTCAAAGGTGCCAATGACCAAACAGTTTGAGGGGCTGGCGGAATCCAGGGCGAAGCGACCAATGCACCAGGCACGTACATGGGCGAAGATACTGATTTTGTTGGTAGCGTGAATAAGAACGTGCCAGTGTGAGGGGAGCGGGGTCCTGTGCCTTGTTTATAAAGCTTATTCCGTTCATCATATTCACTGAGCCCATCGCCTCGATTTCCATTCACTGTCGAGCTTGGACGTTCAGGCCGTGCCTGTGCTGAGTTGATGATCGACAAATACCAGAACATAAAGTTGGATACAATCACTTGTTGGTACAGTGGACGGCGTGGATTCGATAGTTTCACATGCGACAGCCGGTATAATGCGCGTTCCACTGGAGGAGGGTATCGCTTCACAATCGCAAACTCGGCTGCACCTGGTTGAATACCGGTGCCCGACCCTGGAGACGATGGCGATGATGCGGCTCCTTGTCCTGAAGCAGAAGATGCAGATGACGACGATGACGACGTGAATAAGTTGCGAGCGCGGTTCCGAAGTGCATCATACGATTCCTGCCCTTTGCGCTTGCTAAAAAGACCGGTCAAAAACGTGTCTTTCTCGCGGCGAGAAGAAGATGAAGACGTCGTCGTCGGCGCACTTGATGCACAATCTTCCTTTGCTTCTTTCTCTTTTCTTCGTACCCGTGACTCGTCATCATCTTTTGACAAGCCGAACCAAGAGAGACCGAACGTCTTGCGATCCCGTAACGACGGTAATGACAAACGCGACATCTCGTCAGACTTGCGGTTGAACCGCGTGTTTTTTTCATCACTTTGCCGACTTGATGACGCTGAAACTGCCAAAGCCTTGTCGAGCTCGTTCGTTGTGCTTCGACCCACCTCTTCGAAGCGTCCACGTCCTGAAGCGGATCTGATCATGTCCGGCGCGTCCGATGGTTGTCTTCGTGGCGGAGGTGGTGGGGGTATCAACTGAGCCCCTGTCCCAGTTGATGCTAACGTCGACAACGGGCTTGCTTGAGCCTGTGCCAACGTGGGTGCATGAAGCTGAAGTTGGTGTTGTGGCGGATGCGGGATCAGGGGAGTCTGAGCTAGGTCCAATGATGGCATCGAAACAGAATGACCAAAAAGTCCTGCTTGCGCTGACTGAGTATGAGACGGTACTTGAGCAGTGGCATCCGGTGGAAGCTCTGGTAGGTCCCCTTTCTGTGGCAAAAGTGCACGCATCGCATGCAGTGTCTTTTCATGATCGGCAGAGTCTTGCGCTCGACTTATTTCAGCTGTATGAGAAGCGGGTAAAGACACCGGCATCGGTGCTGGCAAAGAAGATGAATGAGAAGAAGACAGTTTGTTAGGTGCTTGACCAGTAAGCTCCGCCCGATCAACCGGTGCAAGAGAAGGCGGTGGTTTGCGATGCGATCGCGAGGTAAATTCACGACTGTATCGTGAGGGCAAAGACTCCGTACGTATGATTGTCTGGCCGTGCTCATGACCGTGCTCATGCTCTAGCGGTGATTCCGTGTTGGAAAATGATCGTTTATGGTGCACGGTTCCAGCGCCGCTATTACTAGCAGGTGCCCGATCCTCCTGTCTGACCTGCCGCCGGAGAGAGCTGGAGCGCCGCGCAAGTGATGTAGCAAGTGGTACTTGTCGCGATGGGGAGCCAGATGGGGAAGAAGAGGAAGATACCGTTGACCAAGGAGAATAATGACTCACGTTCCGAGCCGCCTGCTCTTTGAGAAATGTACGAAACTCGTCAGCACTCACTTCTGAGTGCTTCGATGCTGGTATCCACATTTCATTCGCATGAGACATTGATGTGATGGAAGGTTGTAACGGTGGTGTGGGAAGTGGGTGCGGCGTATGAGAAGCTGAGGACGACGATGGCGTCGATCCCAGCCACGACTCTTCAGGCGTTCTTGGTGCTGAGGCCGCCTGTGCATGACGCATTTGTCGACGTGCCAGGTATCTTTCGCGGTTTGAAGAGCCGAATATGGGAGAGCATTCCGACAAGAGTTTCTCGTCAAACGAACGCGACTGATTTTTCGGCGTTAATGGTGGCGATATGGCGCTCACACCGCTGGACAATGACGTCGACGGACGTTCAAGCATATTCATAGCACTCAAGGACGCCGAGTCATGCGGCGACTGAACAGATGGAAAGTCTGGGTCAATAGCGGCTGGATGACTCGTGGAGAGCCTTCGGTGTGCACGAAGGACCTGGACTTCACGTTCAAAGTCGAGCTCATTAGTGTCATCCATCTTGGCCGTGAAATACGCGACGTGCGCGCACGTCGTGATTTTTCTCTTGACTCAAAACGTAAAAAAAAAAAATTCACGACAGACTGGGGAGAGGGAATAATGGATAAACCCAATAATCACGAACCAGAAGCCGGCAGTAACGCCCGACACACCCACCAGACAAGTACCGAGCTAGGTATTTTTTTGGTTAGTTTTGCTTCGTGTAATAAAAGAACAAAAATTACATAAAGACAAGGCGGGGAAAAGGGTTGAGCACGTAACACGGCATGAGACCCCCCGATGAGGTACGTTTGGCGTTGAGCCCCCGATCTGCTGCTTGGTCAGCCTGTAAAAATATTGGCGTGTACGGAGTATTACCAAATCGCGTTTTGAGCATACAGAAACCTAAATGTAATCGCTTCTACAGAGCCTTAACATAGAGCACACCAGCATCCGAAGTCGCATCGACTTTGAAGCCCCGCTGCGTAAGATAGCGAATAATCGCGGGTCGTAACACAGACACATTGTGCCGACTATGCATGCCACGTCCTGTTACGATTTCTAAGGGAGCGCGCACCTTAGCCTCTCCTAAAGGCGTCGACTGCCATCTCGCGATATTGTGCGAGACTGCCATCAATGCCTCGTGTACTGTCAAGCCATGCAAGTCAATACAATCACTACCACCTTCTTTTATAGTGCCTCTGGTAGCTGTGTTCACATCAGCTGCGAGTCGCCGCTGCTCCACAAGCGCACATGATGCGCGCAGTTGCCACCGGCGAGCTTCAATATCGTATTTGCGAGCATCTTCGGCATATACCATAGCAGCACCACCGATACCTGAGCCACGCGACTGCCGCACACTCTGTGCTGCTTTCTGCAACGCTTCATTTCGACGCATGCGATATTCGCTCGCTAGCTCGCGGCACTCTTCATTCGTGTAGCCTGTTGCATCGTCTGCACTTGTCGATGCCGCTGGCGCTTCTACACGACTTGCTGAAGCTGGCAATGTGACAGCTGCGGCCACTGATCCTGCTGGTGCCAGAGCTGATGTTGCGCTCGGTGTTTGCGTTGCACGACCTGCGTATGACGTCGTATAACTAGGTAGCCAGCGAGGAGCGAGACCTGTGACTTTCTTATGCTCTGACTGAGCCATCACAGAACGCTCTGCATTGCTTTTCTCATACAAAATACGGCCTGAAGGATCCAAAATGTCAGTGCGGCAGCTTGTCCCGTCAGCGGCCTGTTGAATGACACTTTGGAGCTGAAGTAGGTCCAACACGGCGTCTTGGTTTCCCTGTGTGGCCTGAAGAAGTCTTCGCACATCATACTCACTGTGCCCGGTAATACTTGCAAGTTCCGAACTAGTGATTTGAAAATCAAGCGTTTGTGCCACGCGCTGGGCTGCTGGATTCATAAGTGCCGCCTCGATGGCGCGACCAAAAGTAACGTGTAGATTAAATGATGACTGGTGAAAAAGGCTCTGAATCCGGGGTTGCGGCACGCCTAGCAGCACAGCCAGCTGCGACAATGAAGACGACACTAAGAGCCATTGTTGATCGGCTACAGGCACCGAAGCGGCATCTGCGGCATCACGCTCCGCATTTTGAAGTTTCCGAGCAATTTCCTCGTCGGTAAGTCCTGTTGTATCAACTGACCCTGGTGCCGCAGATGTAGAGGCCTTTTCTGAGTGCGATGTTCGAGAATTATAGTACAAATGATGAGGACTTCGCTGGTCCGTGAGACTCACCGTAACAGGACCAGTCGTGCGCTTTGTGGTCTTGTTTTTTTTCGACTTGCCAGATCTTTTTGACGACAAGCCTTCGGCCAAAGCATCAAAATTCAAGCCTCCGCGATGGCCACCGTGGTTACGAGTGCTGTCATCCTGGCATGGCGTTGACTCCCACAATAACATACGCTCAACAAGGAATTCGTCCATGACAGCATCCAAGTCACCATCAGATGTGGCTAGCGCCGTCTCTAATCGTTCACTAGGCACATCAGGAAACGACTGCTGAAGAAAAAGAAGTGTAAACTCAGTTGATGAAGGATCAAATCCAACTCGTTGGGCTGCCGGCACACTTTCGGGCGGCACCGCTTTGGCTAATTCCTCAAGAATCTTGCCTGCTTCTCCATGAGACTGCCCAGGCTCATTAGCAATCGCCAAGATCAAACTGGTATCTAGCACAGTAGAAAATTTGTCTACAAGTGCATCTATGCTGGATTCCTGAGCACGCTTGGCTATATGGGCATTTGTCGACATACGTTACGAATCCCAGTGTGACAACTGACATCCAAATATTTGGACAAGATCTCGTGTGGCGTGAAGCAAATCTCAACTGTTTTATTCTTATGCGTTTCCCTCATCGGTTTGTATCGTACAAGGCAAGATGGCCGAGTGGTCTAAGGCGCTGTGTTCAGGCTCGTATTTCAGCGATACCTCAACAGCAATTTCGCAGTCTCCCTGAGGCGTGGGTTCGAATCCCACTCTTGTCAAACTTTTTAGTCATCAATCGTTTGGATCAGCTATTCATGGAAGGACAATACTATTAAATTTCTTATGTTGCCCGGCAAGATGGCCGAGTGGTCTAAGGCGCTGTGTTCAGGCTCGTGTTACAGCGATGCCCAAACAACAATTTCGCAGTCTCCCTGAGGCGTGGGTTCGAATCCCACTCTTGTCACGCATTTTTACGCAGCCGCATATATCAGGTCCCTTCTCATTCCAGATCCTTGTTATTAGTCAACTCTTGCAATAAAAATTTGCGGGGTGGGCTCAGGCATAGATGATTTGCATTTCGTAATCTTGGCGTTTGTCATTTCTGGCAATAGGCTCTCCGTTTGCACGTTTTCTCAGCCCATATTCACGTTTGAGTCCATTTGGCTCTTTTTTTTTTGACGTGGGAAAGCAAAATAGCCCGCGGCTCGCAGAATTTTTCGAGAATGAGCAATCCGCCTGTACACGAAGTCAAGGAAGCGCCAAATTTTGAGCAAACCGGAGCTGACGCAAACAACGATGTGGAAGTTCAGCATGTCAATGTTCTAGGTGATGTGCAAGCGGGCAAAAACGATCCAGAAGAAGACTTTTATCATGCTCATGATCACTTGGAGTCATCGGCGGTCGATGAAGTGTATGTACGCAAAGTGTACATCATGAATAAGATTATTAATGAACACATCGGCATGACCTGGTGGCAGTATGGGCTCTTGCTTGTTTCTGGTGTGGGCTGGTTTCTGGACAACGCTTGGCTTCAGCTTGTGGCCGTTGTGCTGGACCCGATTCATAAGGAATTCTTGTCAAATGATGAAACTTATGGTGGCAAGAATTCAGCCATGATGACACTTGCCCTCTACGCCGGTCTGGTTGTGGGAGCTGCCTTCTGGGGTTTTGCGGCAGACATTGTAGGACGGCGTTTCTCGTTCAATGCGACACTCTTGATTTGTGGTATTTTCGGTGTCGCTTGCGGTGGTGCGAAGTCATTTGTGGCCCTTGGTGGTTTGTTGGCTGCCACTGGATTTGGAATCGGTGGTAGTCTTCCTGTGGATGGCATGCTGTTCCTTGAGTTTCTTCCGGGCGCTCGCCAGCAACTGTTGACTTTGTTATCGGTCTTCTGGCCTTTGGGACAATTGGCCACTTCGCTAATTGGCTGGGGTTTTATTGCGACATGGAGTTGCAACGACGATGTCGATTGTATGGCACTGCCCAAGAATAGCCGTGGTTGGATCGAGGCCAATGTCGGTTGGCGTTACACGTTTTTCGTTACTGGATCTTACACACTTTTGTGCTTTTTCCTTCGATTCGTCGTGTTTCAAATCCCTGAGAGCCCAAAGTTTTTGATTTCAAAGGGTCGCGATGGTGATGCTGTTCGTGCTATGCACAGGTTCGCGAGGATTTGTGGCAAGCCTCTGCCCGAGGGCTTGCTGACGGTGGCTTCACTTAAGGCAGCAGCTGGCCAAGAAATTGATGAAAATGAAGTGATTGAAGAAGAGAATGAACCGCCGAAGAATTTGGCTGACAGGATTATGATGCCTGTGCATGAGATGGCGTTGAACTTCCGCAACAGTCACCCAGGTGAAGCATTCTCGCATCTGCGCCCTTTGTTCTCGACCTTTGCGATGGGCTATACAACGGCCATTCTTTGGACCCTATGGGCTGTGATTGGTTTGGCTTATCCACTTTTCAATGCCTTCATTGTATTGTACCTTAAGGGTGGCGGCGATGAATCCATCAGCAAGACATATCGCAATTATGTGATTATTTCTGTTTGCGGTATCCCAGGCTGTCTCTTGGCCACCTGGTTGGTTGACCTGCCGCGAAGTGGTCGACGTGGTGCAATGGCTATAGGCACTTTACTCACGGGCATTTTCTTGTTTGGATTTACGGGTGTTGATGGTACGAATGAGGATGGCAAGCTTGGCTTTTTCTGTGTGACCTCTTTTACGCAAAACATCATGTATGGTGTGTTGTTCTGTTACACGCCGGAAACATTCCCTGCTCCTTTGCGTGGTGCTGCCGATGGTGTTGGCTCGAGTTTGAACCGTTTGTTCGGTCTTTTTGCTCCCATCATCAAAGCGTACCAGAAGAAGGGCTCGAACAAATCAATTCCTCTTTACATTTCTGCCGCTCTTTTCCTCTTGTGTGGTTTGCTAATGTTTACGCTACGTGTGGAAACGGCCTCACGGACCTCACTGTAGTTGTTGATGATTATATTCCCTTGTTTATTCATTTAAGCATGCAGATTGGCGCGTGTTGGGCAATCTTGTTTCAAAGGCTTGGTATGGGGGGAAATGTACCGGTAGTCGTTAGAAAATTATGTTATAGTTCAGCGATCAGGCTCTGTGTGTGGATGTCAGATTGCCACAGACCTTTCCAAGGTGATAAAGGAAAGATGGCAGTTCCGATGCTCTCCAGCCCAATCTTGGGTGTGAGGTCGAGTCATGGGCTAGTACACCGCTGGTCACCATGTAGGCAGGTGCGAAAATCCTGAATCTTTGATGTCTTAGCCCAAAATCGAATATGCGAGCGTCTCGACCGACTGTATTTTGACTTGGTAATGTTGGGAAAACAGTAGCAAATACAAATATGCCTGATACGCCTGATAATGACAGTAATACCCCAATATCCAACTACCATGCTGGGAAGCGCGGGGACATTGGCGTGTCCGACTTTCTGTATAGGTCCAACGAAACCGCCCGCAGTGGATGAGTCCATCGTACGAAGAGTATGCACATTTGCCCATGTTATCAGCGAGCTTATGAGCACGACGGCATGACAATTTAGACAGTTGATTATGGCAGAACCGGTTTGGTTCTTGGACTGTGCATCGAGCCAATTCATCGAGCTAATTCAGCTCCAGGTGCCTGCTGAGTATTTGGGCAACCAGTAAGCGAAGAACCACATAGTTACCGCGAATCCCGCGTTATTCTTAAACTTTTGATTCACACGTCTCTCAAAGTGGGCGAGGGCACCAAGGTTTAGAGCTATCCGGCTAAGGTTGTTTGTCGGTGTGTCTCATTCGCCGTTTGGTTGTATCGTCGAGGTAGGATTGGAGATCGCATATATCGTGCCAAGACAATCACTACGTTAATACGAAATGTCAACGTCCCCTCTATTTTACTATTCATGGTTGTAAGTCACAATGGAAAATGGAACTTTAATGGTTCTTCCTGGCAGCTGATACATCGTGCACGTGCTCTTGTGCGTCTTTTGTTTGCTTGTCTGGTGACGTAGGTTACATACCGGTTCGACAGTAGGAACATGATCACAGCAAGATTGGCAAGTACAGCATGTCGGCTTGCCGGTTTAGTTTTTCATGCCGAGCGCATCCGCTTTATTAGACAGGTTGCATGTTCCTTCGGGATTCACATTCCTGGTTGAATAATTCACGTCCCGTATGGCCACAACGCCGGGGCCATACACGAGTTGTAGATTTATTTCATTGATAGATAGATATTCGTGCCCAATGGACTTGTTGTTGCGCCGTCTGATTGAGACGGTGCTCACCTGGATTACGTCGAGGTCGCTAAGCAATTCACGAGACCGGCTTACGGTGGGGCCTCCAAATGTTGTGCGCGCTGGAGCGAACCTTCGACAGAGCACACAAAGTACACATCTATCCAAAATCGACCACTTTTTCGTTTGTGGCACAATGGCCAGACACGTCTATCACATGATTGTGAACGCGATTGATTGGCTTGGCGTATTCGTCGCTGGTCTCGTTTGACTTTTTCATTTTTACTGCTTGTTCCTGAGTGGAGGAAAGGCAGGGTTCCAACTATAAGCAACAAGTGTTGCAGCTAAGGCACAGGTATGAGATGCGTGTTGAGCCAGAAATTTTGATTGGGACGTGATGTGTGTCAAGAATCGCGCCTCGACCCGTTTCAGAGCCAAATCTACGTTAATCACCTTATCTAGCATCCATCTTTTCGGAGGTAAGTGCAGTCAGTGAAACAGCTATGTACAGCTAGCATATTCCTGCAATATATATGGATTGGAAGAGTGGCATAAATAGCGTGCGTTTTAGCCACATGTCAGATTTGTTTACCGAACCATGTGGCGGTGCACGAGACAAAAGAGAACCATTTTTACACGCGCTACATGTATCGTAGCCTGCTATCATCAAAGCGTATACATACTATAATACAAGCTGGTCCCCAAAGCAGCAGTATCTGTCTGTATATCGGCGGCCCCTTGCGGTATCAGAGTTGCATATGCTGACCTAGACTAGGCGAGGCAGCTGCATGCACAGCTATGCGAATCAAAACATGCCAACGGCAAGATTTTAGGCAAAAAAAGAGAATTTGCATGGTCAAAATAAGACCAGGGACTGAGCGCCATTAGGGATGAAATTGAGACCGACAAAACATGGACGAAGGAATATGCCATCGGATGACATCAGAATCAAGCACCTTTATACCGTTGAGCATCCCATTGAGTCCATATACTCTTGAACACCAACTGTCCAGCCGCGTCAAGCATGCTTTTCAGAGCTGCATCTCGTTCAAAGTCCCCACACATGTTACAGAGCGCGAACATGCCTGGCTGCAGTTCTTGGCGTAACGCTGCAGTGATGGTCGTGTCGGGCATAGTCACACAGCGCACATACGCAACCATGATGTACACGGCATATTTTGACATGGGTTTGGCAAGAGACTCTGTTATGCTGCGTGTTTCAGTTCGGGCTCGCTTGACTCCTAAACTAGCAACCGACGTCTTTCCCTCCAACTCAGTGAGGAGTCGTCTAAAAGCCTGTGCCTCCGTTACGCCAAGCGGATGCTCCACAATATCAATCCAGCATGGTGTCGAGGCATGGATCCGACGCAAAATAGCTAGTCCAGGGTGCGCACGCAGCATGTGAGATAGTAAACGAAGTTGCTGAGACAGGATGTCAGTGAGATGTGGAAGACACGGCGTCACCAAATCTTTTCGCTGCCGTACAATAGAGCGAAGAGCCGCACAGATCCCGCGAAAGATCCACGGCGCATCAGTGCATGCATCAGTGCGGGTTGTTGATGCACACGGCCCAAGAAGCGTACCAACCAAAGCCAAAATACGCGGCACATCAAATGGACGCAGGACCCTTGCACGATGTTGACACACACAACTGAGCCAATCGACAATCGACCGGGTCAGAGCTGGCAATTTCATGGCAAGTGTTGTTAGACAAAGAAGCAATGCGGAAATACATCGACTAGATGCATGACTGGTGCCGGCAGGAGCATGCTCAAGCATGAGACAAAGGACATGCAAGAACGAAGAAAGCTCATGAATGAAGCAGCAAGAGTCCGACTCGAATAAGGACGCGATAGCATTCAATGTCGATTCAAATGATTGTGTATCCATTTTTGCCAACACAGACAGATACAAGGGCGTCAGCTGAGTTGCCTTGTCGCAGAATGCAGCAGAGAACGAGACAAATGCACAGGTGACGTAGAAGTAATGTTTCTCGTGCAGCATAGGGCCAAGTGTTGTGGCACACGTAAACAGTGAATGGGCGAGCGGGGCTAGGCGCTCTGCTAGTGAACAGTCTTCACGAACCGAAGCGCACAAGAATTCGATCGCATGTGAAAGCATAGTAGCAAGTTCATCCACACTTGAATCTTGTGGAAGACAACGGATCTGCGCAGAGAGCACGCGGAGAAAGAATGCCTGCTCGAGTGGCGACACTGAAGCCCAGGAATGAGTGCGAATAGGTTCAAGGGCCACCATCAATGTCATCTTCAACCAATCGAGAGAGGATGCCATTGGGGCGGAGAAAGAAAACCATCTAGGCTTTATTTCCACAGCAAACTCAAGAATCTCGGCCATCACATGCCGTGCGACGTAGCGCTTTCCACCAGGTTCGTTCGCTAACGCAATCGACATCCATTTCTCCATAGGCACAGAGGCATCGTCACAGTGCGGTAGTAAAACTTGCAAGAGAGAAATACTGCTATTTTCGTACAGCTCTTGCGTCAGCGAAGCCAATGGGTCCCATGGCATCGAAAGGAGCATATCCACATAGTCGGTTAGGCATGTTGTCGACAGTTTCATTGTGTGTGGGAAAGAAGTCCACCAGCGACGAAGCAATAGCTTCAGCTCAGAAGCCGCACGTCCATGCGCGGTTAAGAGCGAGTGCTCCTGCATCAAGTGTGCATCCAAGCACCATAGGCGAGGCGCTAGGATCGACACGTGCTGCCTTGAACAATACTCCACGGGCACGAGCGCAAGGATCCGAACGGACGCCAACGCTTGAGAGACGTCCACGAGTGATTCGGTCGAGGCCAAGACATGCCGAAGGACGGCAGCCTGCCACCTGTTCTGCTCCAAGAACTGTGCATTCCGGAGCAGATAGTGACTAAGCTCACTAAGCATACCACGAGGGGTATTACAAGGCGTGTCTTGCAACGTATCTTGTAAGAAGGCAACGAGGCGACCCAGCATGTGCTCAGAGGCCATGTCATTCAGCACACAAATCCAGCGCGTGGTCATCATGCGCCACAGCGCAATAGGTGCATGACCGGGTGCGTTCATTCCTAGGGTTTGACCATCCCATGCACTGAGCGGTTTGTCCGTCAGTCCTTGATGCAAATAGTCAAGCAACGCGTTTTCATTCCAAGATATAGTAACTTCGAATTTTTCAGCGTCTGTACACAAAGCACGAAACTGGACGATGGATTTGTCAGTACCATGCCGATGCTTCCTTCATTACACGTACGGCTTCTAAACGATTCAGATCTTGCTGAGCCTTCTGCTCGAGTATCTTGGCCAAACGATCTCTTGGCACAGAGCTATGCGGGTCATCATAGCCGCGCTGCTGCAGACGTGCGCGAAGACGCAATCCAAGTGCCAGAGCAAGCGGCTCAGGCCCCTTGCTTGCGTGCTCACACGCATCAGCACCTACGGCGATGCACGTCGCAGCCCAATTGAATAAAGAAGAAACCAAACCAGAGTTCTCTGTTGAGGCACAAGGCACCATGAGAGTAAGAAGGTGGGTCATACACAATAACGTGGGAAATGAACGATGTACATGGCACTCTCTTGCCAAGCGAATGCCCTCGTGAGCCATGTCATGCAACTGAACTGACGTAGTGTGGCGCAAAAACCCATCTTCCCAATCACTCGCACTTTTTGCGCACAACAAGGGGCTATGCACCAACTGGACCACAGGCCTGGGGCGACTCGCGACACATATGATGCAGTGTCTCACACAGAAACTCAACAAGTCGTGGCATGCGTCGCTCGGCGGCAAAATGAGAAAGAATAGCGTGGTTCAGGTTTATGGCGGCTTCCCATGCTGGCTCGCCGAGTGACACTTGAGATATACGCGTCAAAACGACAGACAAGAAAGGGGCCACCTCATCAGTGCAAATGTTCCATAAGGCATGGAGCGTGAGGAAACATTCAGGACGATCTTTGAGCTGGGGCGATTCTGATTCCTTCAGTGTGTACGTAACCAACTTGGCCCACAGTGCTAGCCAAGTGTCTTGATCTTCCCCACCAGGTTGGTATAAAGCTGCTTCGTCGATGTTTCGAAGAAGCGATAGCACCGTGGGTAGAGTGTGCGAACTTGGCAAGAGCGACGTCATGATAGGCAAAAGAAAGCGTTCTAGTACAGCGTGTCGCGTGTGTGCCGGCGGTGCTTGGGCTCGTTCAGACGAAGGCGATACCTTCTCGACCAAATTATACAGCAAAGGCGACAGTATTTCGCATATATCAGTTGAAGTGGATGACGACTTGAGCAAGGCCGTCAGAGACTCTACCAGTGTGTCGACGGAATCGGGCAACGATCCACTGGGCTTGCCTCCGAGGCGCTGCGGCCCGTACAAAGACACAGTCGCAAAATAATCGAGCTGCGAAATGAGAACAGAGGCTTCATTCGTCCCGAAGGAGCCGACATGGATACGAGCTGCCGCATACGGACAAAGTATCTCGCTGACAAAGTTCTTGGCCGTTTTCTTTGCATTGACACCGAGCTCGACATCTGAGTACCACGGTTTAATGATTGCGTCGAAGAGAGTGACCATCAGATGCATTGTTGCAAGTGTGCATGCACGAGGAAGAGCCTTGATCAAATCGCGAAAGCACGCATTGATCAATTCAATTTGACTTGCGCCAATGCGGCGTATACTCACCGGAAGCAGAACCTTGAGCACCGGCAGAGCGGCACCCCATACGTCAATGGAAGCATTCTGAGTGACAGCAGAGACCAGCACGAGTATGTTATGCTTTGACACAAGCGCGTGAAGGAAATCGTGCTGGGCACGTAGGCCGACCAAGACATGCTCCAGCAGCTGCCAGTAAGAAACCTCCAGGTACTTCGTGCCCAACTTGGCAGGGTTTTTTGCACTCATGGTTAAAACTTCGAGGATGCATTCCAGCAAAAGCTCAGCTTTTCTTGGAATATAAACAGCATTGTCGATCCATGCTGCTTGCAGGATCTTGATTGTTGGGACGCCGCCTGCAGCGTTAGGTTGTCGATTTTTATAGCCTTCGCTACGCTTAAGAGCCTGCACAAGTTGTTCAGATGTAGAGATGCCCCATGTCGCCAGGTCCAGCGACATGGCCTTCTGCGATGCGCGTCGTCGCGTTCTTGAAGAAAAAGTAGCAATTCGAGTCCTGCAAGCTCACTGCTTGATGCTCCAACGATCACCTTTCCTGCCACACGTCCAAACATCTTGCTCGACCGCCATTCGGTGCTGCACGCGTTGGAGGTGTGTACCTCACGTCTCACGTGATAATTACGTTCGACCAAGCGCACGTCGGTCATCGTTCCGTTGCAACTGTCAACTTAGTATGTTGCTGCGCGCAAGCGTGCCACTTATTCGGCATGCAGCCACGGCTGCGCGTGCCCCAGCTATGACGAACGTGCCGTCGATCATGCCCCTACGTCCTGCGGTACAGGGAACTTTGGCACCTCAGCCAACCATGCCCGCGCTGGCGCGTGGGATGAAGGTCCGCTCATCTGTCAAGAGGCTTTGCAATCACTGTGCGCTTGTGCGTCGAAAAGGTCGGCTGTATGTGATTTGCAGTAAGAACGCAAAGCACAAGCAGGTATGTATATGTTGCAATCACTAACAACCATGTGCAGCGTCAAGGATAAGCAAGCCATGCATGGAACGGAACGATAGGTGCTACAGCCCCATCATGAATCTGTGTTAATGAACAATCTTTTCAAAGTCGGACTGAGTGAGAAAGTGCTGGATCCATTCACCTTCAAACATGGATGTGCGAAAACGTATCGATTTGGCGTCTGAATCGTCGTATGTTCTACGAGAAAAGGATGAAGTCGTGTAAAATTTCTTCAACATACAATGATGAGCTATTTTGCACCAAGTAGCAGATCCATAAAAACATTAGACACGATCTACCACATCTCAACCCGAACCGATCTTTCCATTCCTTCTATTAAATAGCGTGCGTGTCAGACAAACAGGGACAGGGAACAATAGGTGGGGGAAATGAGGTAGGGGGACCAGGGAGGGTCGGGATGCAGTGTGAGGAAATCGCGGAAGCGATCACATCTTCGGAGAAATTCATCTTCGGGGGATACATAGCAGCATTTTAGCAAATCTCTGGATGGGCCTTCTTGCACTTGGCAACAATCTTCTTTACATCTTGGCTACGCGCGCGGGTGGTAACGAGCAAAGCATCGGGCGTATCGACAACAACGACGTCGTCCATACCCAAGCAGGCGATTTTGCGGCCAGATGCTGGAACAATGATACCACCCATCTGACCTTCGGTCAAAACAAGCGAGGGTTCGCCAAGAACACGAGCCTGGTTCTTCTCGGCGGGGAGAAGCGCCGACAGGGATGAGAAGTCACCGACATCGTCCCAACCAAAGGTCGCTGGCACGACAGCCACCTGACCAGTCTTCGAAGCCGGCTCAGCAACGGCATGGTCGATAGCAATCTTGGGAAGCGTGGGCCAGACCTCATTCAGAACCGCGTCACGGTTTGGCGTGTCCCAAACCTCGGCGATTTTCTGTAGACCGGCGTGGAGGTCAGGCACATACTTTGCCATCAGGTCGACAAGAGTAGCAGCCTTCACAACGAACATACCACCATTCCAGCGGTACTCACCCGTGCTTAAGTATGCACTTGCCGTGCGAGCATCAGGCTTTTCCTTGAACTCATCCACGCGCTGCACGTTGGGCGCGTCGGGGAGATCCAGCTTACCACCTAGCTTAATATAACCAAAACCGGTTGATGGATACGATGGAGCAATACCAATCGTGACAAGGTAGCCCTCCCTAGCAGCCATGACAGCCTCACGCACAGAAGACTCGAAAGCCTCACGGCCCGAAACAATGTGGTCGGCCGCAAACGAACCAAGAACGGCCGTTGGGTCCCGGCGTGCGAGCACCGAAGCAGCGAGGCCGATGGCCGCCATCGACTCCTTAGGCGACGGCTCAGAAAAGACGTTCGAAGGAATGAGCTGCGGCAGTTGGCCCTGCACGGCGCCAGTGTGGATGCGGCCAGTAACAATCATAAGCTTTCCCGTGCCTGAAAGAGGAAGGAGGCGGTCCCATGTGTTTTGGATCAGGCTTCGGCCATTGCCAGTAAGGTCCAAGAGGAACTTGGGGCAGTTCTCGCGACTAAGTGGCCAGAGACGCGTACCGGCGCCGCCGGCTGGGACAACAGACCACAGGTTCAACGAAGGGTCCGTCGCTTCGACAGGAGCCTCATCCTGCTCAAGCGACAGTGTAAGCTTCGTCGGTTCATGCGGTCGTGCACGCTCCGGATTCCATCGATCGAGCGACGAGTGGTACGCTGCGAAGCTCTGTCGACGCGCAGGCGAGAAAATAGGCGAAAAGTTGCCCATGGTAGGCGTGTTTGGCTCTGTGCGCTCAACACTATCGAGACGATCGTTCAAGCGCGACATCTGGGGTTCTGCGTTAGTCAAAGCACCTCGCGAAGGGGATCGGTGATCGACGGCATGCAGTTCCTCGAAGGACTCGCATGTCGATGTACTTGCAGGTGCGCTTGCCGTCCTGTGGGATACGAACCTCGCGACGAATGTCTGACAGCCCGGTGAGGATCTGTGCAAGCAAAGCATCATGTTGGGCTCCGCTCATTGTGGTCTGCGTAGGAGATGAGTGACAGAGGGATTTTGAATCAATGAGAGTGAAATGGGAATGCACACGCAATATCAAGCATAGGCAGCCCCTGAAGAAAAGGGGAAAAAGTAATAAAAATCGCGGATGCACTTAAACTTGCCGTTATTTTTGCAGCACAGATCACTCGTGATCGAGATTCACGTCTCTTATTGGCTACATAATTGTACAGAGAATGCTCGTGCGCATGAAGATGAAGAGATCACACAGTCTCGTTACCGTTCGGGCCCGTGACACGTGGGTGGGAGCAGAGTTCGACGCCCCATGCGAAGAATAGCAAGTGGGTCCAGACCGTGGCCTCCAATCGCTGAAGTGCCTCGCGGCACGAGAAACTTTCAAAACTTGGGAAGTTTATGTGCTTATGAACAAAACCACGAACTGACCAACGAAGATGTGTTTCTGTGTGAAAGCAGACTTGCACTGCGTAACCCTGACAGACCATGGGCTCAACTAGGCTAGCGAATGAGCGACTCCTCAACTGTGTCAATCTTGGCCTTGGACGTGAAAGGGCGTGTGGATCGCTGTAGGGTTACTCTGCCGTGCATATGTGACATGAAAAAAAGCAACGCCTCGCCATCTCAGCACACGTCATCTATATCTGCTCACACAAAGAGCCTATCGGGAGTGACGATCGTGTTGACCTGTTCTACAAACCAATATAATGAAGATGCTTTGATATATGGACACATAGGGAGCGTGCACTCACTCAGGCAGCTAACGCAGCCAGTGGCTTGCTCGTATCGACCTTGTCATAGAATGCAGCCCCATGCGTAGTTTCAGCAATGATACCAGCGCGGATTACCCAGTCGCCGAAGGGCTCTCCGTTGAGACGCTCACGCGCATACCGAGGAATAAGAACCTCCATGATCTCGACAATCTCCTTTTCGGTGACGCTCTCGCGGAAAATCTTGTTCAGTCGCTGCCCAGCATGTCCACCACCCAAGCACATCACATATGTGCCAGGGGCCTTGCCGACGAACGCAATCTCAGCAACCCAGGGACGTGCACAGCCATTCGGGCAGCCGGTCATGCGCATGGTGATTTCATCGTGCTTGAGACCATTCGCAAGATAGATGCGCTCCAGCTTGTCGACAAGCTTGAAGATGTAGCGCTCCGACTCGGCCATGGCCAATCCGCACGTCGGGAATGCAACACAGGCACTTGCACTGAGACGCAGACCAGAGTGTTCCCAGTTGTTCATCTTGTACTCCTCAAGATGGGCCTCGATCTTTGGCTTGTCTGCCTCGTCAACATCGGACACAACGATGTGTTGGTTCGGGGTGAGACGGAACGTGCCCTTGTGGAATTTGGCCAGTTCACGAAGACCCGTCCGGAACGGCAGCCCTGGCTCGTCAATAACGCGCCCATTCTCGAGCCAAAGCGTGCAGTGCCACTTGCCATTCATGTCCTTGACCCAGCCGTATTCATCCGTGTTAGTGTCGAAATGGAAGGGCCGTGCCTCTTCGAGCTTGTATCCGAGGCGGCGCTCCAGTTCCCTACGGAAGTTGTCTGCGCCACCCCAGTACTTGTCGATTGTGTACTTCAGACGCGCTTGCTTCCGGTTCTGCCGATTGCCCGTGTCGCGTTGAATCAGCAGCACTTGTCGACAAACCTCGCATACTTGATCCACAGGCACATAGCCGATAACGCTGGCAAGCCGAGGGTACGTCGCCTTCATCGAGTGTGTGACACCCATACCACCACCCACGGCGAGATTGAAGCCAAGCAGCTTGGTTTGCGCCTCATCCGACACGGCAATAAGTCCGATATCGTGCGCAAAGACGTCAACGTCGTTGCGCGGAGGCATGGCCAGGGTGATCTTGAACTTACGCGGCAGGTAGTATGGTCCATACAATGGCTCATAGTCCTGCAGCGCACCACCCACAAGCAGCTTGCTCGAACTGTCAGTGCCTTTGTCGAGCCAGATCTCGTGGTATGCATTCATGCGTGGCAGCAGGTAGTCCGAGAGGCGTTTCGAAAACTCATACATTTCCTCGTGAACCTGGTTCAGATGCAGATTCGGCGAGCACATCACGTTGCGGTTCACATCACCGCACGCAGCTATCGTGTCCAGCATGCTCCTGTTAATGCCTTGCATCGCAGCTTTCATGTTCCGTTTGAGAATCATGTGGTACTGTACCGTCTGCCGGGTTGTAATCTTAAGCGACTTGATCCCTCCGTACTGCTCCGTCACCTGGTCGAGCTGCAGCCACTGTTCTGGCGTACACACACCGCCTGGCATACGCACGCGGATCATAAAGCCGTACGCGGGCTCGAGACCTGCTGCCTTGCGCTCTTCCACCGTGTCGCGGTCGTACTGCATATACGTGCCGTGGAATTTGGTTAGCTGCGTGTCGGTCTCGCAAATCGCGCCAGTCGTCGTGTCCTGCAGACCCTCGGCAATTGTACCACGCAGGTAGTTGCTAGCCACCTTGATGTGCTCGTTTGTGATCGGCTCTGGCTCCGCCTCAGTCACTGTCACAGAGTCGACGCCAAGCGCCTTCCACAGCTGAGGCTCCCAAGCCTTGTAACCGGTCTGCCAGCCGTCAGCATCCTGGTCGTCGCCAAGCCCAAGCGACACCATACGACTCGCACCCAGCTGGACTAGCCGCTGGTCGAGATCTTTGCCTGGCTTGTTGTAAAAGTGGGCATCCTCTGGCCGAGGCCAGTAGTGCGAGTCACCCATGCCAAATACGGCGAAGCGCGTCTCTTCGTTCAGCATGCCCGTGGGCTGCTTCGCCAGCGCCTTCATCGTCAGGCGACCATTCTGCGGCGGCTCTCCCTGACCAGCCGTGGACGTGACAAAGACAACATTTTGCTCACTCGCAAGCTCATCGACCGGGTAGTCATCCATCGCGAGCACGCGCGCGCTAAGGCCACGCAACTGCGCACGCATCGCAAGACGCTTCGCGACCTTTTCTGCGCCACCGGCATCCGATGCGAACAAGACGAGGAGCGGTGGGCCCTGCATCGAGCCCAGCAACTGGTCGTACGCCTCTTTCGCTTTTTGCTGCTGCTTCTCACGTAGCGCGGTGCCTTGTGACGCGGCAAGGTCGTACGGTAGCTCCGGCCGCTCTCTCGCAAGCAGACTCAAGTGGTTATCTCGGTCCAAAAACTCTTGTAGTTGCTGCCGAATACGCACACTGTCAAGATGGAACACGGCGCGGCCACTCGACTCAGCAGCAGCGCTAGGGTCCCAGCGGTACAAGGGCCAGTAGCCAGAGTCAACTGCGAGCTTTGTCTCGCGTAGTACATCGAGTGCCGGCACATCGCTTGTGAGGTACGGCATGTAGGCAAGGATGATCGATGGGCCATCAAATCGATCCGCCTCCATCATCGCTCGCAAGACCTGCGAGTAGTCCGAGTAAAGCGCCGTACTTGCGACGTACACGTTGCCATAGTTCATCGCATACAAACCAATGTCCTTTTTGCGCTGGTGCAGAGGCACTTGGTCCCGCTGCGTGTAGGGCACTGAGTCAAAGATGATCATATTCACATTCTGCTGACACGCAATCACGTGGTGTACACCGCCCATGCCAGTGTCGTACGCCCATGCATCGTTGCCGACGATCCAGCGCGATGGCGGAATGAGGAGGGGCTCATGAGCGCGCAGCACATCTGCCTCCTCGCCGGCGACGCCCTTCAGATTCGCCCGCACATCGTCGGCGGCCGCCGACACCCGGGACGAATCCCCACGCACGGAAAGCCAAGTACGCAACGCCTGCCGCAGTGCATCAGGCGTGCTCGACGCCTCCGACATGCGTTGTGCTGCGCCGACGAGCGCATCAGCCTGTTTCAGCCGCGAGAGCACGATACCAAGGGCGTACTCAGGACTTGCAGCACCATGCTGCGCCTCGTCAGTCGGCGCATTCACGACATCCAAGCGTTCTTTGAACAACATCTCAAGCATCGCGTGGTAGGCACGTTCGTGTGCTAATGTTTTGCGGACTGAGATCGCTTGCTCGTCAGATGACGACGCAAACTCGCCGATGGTGAAAGAAGACTTGGAAGCAGAGTTGGCATCACTAGACGATGCAGCATGGCATGCTTGTGAGAGTGTCTGACCGGCCTTCGCCACATCACTCTGAATATGGCCCAGCATGCCACTCAGCAGCGTGGGCATCGTGCGCTCAGGCACATGCTGGAATGCATTGGCAACATCAACAAGAAGTGGCGGAAGTCGGGTCGATCGCTTGGCGCTATGTTCCAGCACAGCGACGCGCTTCACGCTCGAGGGAATCATGCCCACTAGGCGCGTTGGCAGAAGAGGACGCACCACATGGACCGATAGCACAGGCACATGCGCACTCTCAGCAAGTTCGGCACCCGCGCCACCTAGCATCACAGCCATCGTATCCGTTGTTTCAGAGGTGTGGCCGTGCAGGTCGACAGCAGCAATCTTCGTGCCCAACAGTGCATTCACGTCAGCAAGTGTCTGATCGATCGTAGCGTCCGACAAATCTCTACGCTCCTTCAGAACCTGCACAGAGCTTTGGAATTTCGACGTATCAGCAAGCGAAGCACATGACGAATCTTGGCGATGTGTGGCGTCGAAGAAGTGAATAACACCCGTCTGTGTGCTCGCCGCCAGCTTGTGCGCAAACAGTGCATATGCCTGGGCCTCTGCAGCGTCGCCGGCACCTGAATACACCATAGCCACACCGCTCTGGCGCAGTTGGAGAACATCGGCATGATGCATGCACGTTTCAACATGAAGGACGACAGGCAGCTTCGCCAGCGCAGGCAGGTGAGGGACCAGGCGCAAAAGACTGCTTGACTTGGCGCGCATCACGACAACAATAAGCTCATTAGGCATACTCATTGTCAAGTCTCGCACGACTGTGCCAATTTCAGCCGCTGATGTTATATGCTGGAGCAAGAGGGTGTTCTGGCCCACTGACTCCTGCGACAGAGCAGGTACCTTCTCCATATCTACAGCCACCGCATGGCGGACTGTGCTGCGGACCACATGCCACACCGCCTGCAGAGACGACTCGCTCATGGTCGTAGAGTTGTGGTTGCTGAAAGGCAGAGTGTGTGCGCCACTGCGGATGTAATGACCTAAGAACGCCTGCGTACGTAGATTTCGGCGGCGCCTTTGTCTCGCTGGCTGACTCCGCACATATACTGAGCGAATCGCGAGTGATGCATTTGCACGCGATAATCACGTCATTAGGTCACGTGTGACTGGGCGTTATCGACAATGAGATTGTACGGTTCGGCCTTGCAGCAGTAGCTCGAGGGTGGAGAAGTGGCAGTGGGGGCACAAGGCGTGTCAAACTCACTGGGCTATTTTGTCCGTGCTTACGTGCGCATTTCCTTGTGAGCGAGGGCAGAAGCGACGACGCACTATGAAGCGCCATGAGAACGAACGATGGACCGAAACATGCTAGATTAGCCGTATGTAGAAACTCTAGCGCATAGGACATAGTTACATAACAAACAGTGTGGATGCCTGTGCCCTCGACTGCATGAGAGACCTACTCAGATGAGACGAGTACACGTTCATAGGCTCTCCTCATACATGGAAAATGTGACGAGGATCCGATACAGAATCTCCCTCCCCCATCGCGCATCTCACACCACTCCTGTATGGCACGGCACTGCGAGAGACTTGAGCCAAGCCGCTGCCGTAGCACGCTCGTATGCATGCGTTGTCATCTGTTTGCATGAGCGGCCTGGCGCTTGTGGAGAAATATCGCAGCATTCAAAGACGAAAGTCGTGGGTGGGCTGCTGCTGACTCGAGCTTTCGCCAGGCAAAGCAAATTGTGGGTGTCTGGTCAGGAATATTTTTGACTCTCGCCAAGCTCGTCTGGATTCACACACAGGACGTCCAAGTGGGTGCCCCACGACCGCCACTCATGAGCATGGCCATCCGTGTACAAAAACGACCATGTACGAGCGATGAGGTCGCAGCTTCTTCTGTCAAATACCACAGAAAGACGGCGCGTGGGAACATACGCACTGTCCTTCGTGAGACGTATCAACGGCTCGATATTCCGTGCGGATGCATTGGCTGTGAGTCATGTGCAGCATTCATGGAGCCAGGCGCCCCAGCTCCCGTTCTCGATCAGCATGGAACGCTCAACACATACACAAACAAGAAGCATTATGTGGTGATTGATACCAATGTTGTTCTGCATCAGATGGATGTACTGGAGTCGCCTGTCTTTACGAATGTCATTGTCATGCAAACAGTAGCGAATGAAGTGCGGAATCATAGTATGCCGCTGTATAACCGACTGCGCACATTGCTTATGGATCCAGACCGTCGTTTCTGGCTCTTCTACAATGACTTCCATCAAGACACGAATGTAGTCCGAGAGTCGGACGAGACACCCAACGACCGCAACGACCGCGCGATCCGCCAGGCCGCAGCCTTTTACTCGGCACATCTACGCACGTATGCACTGCCAGGGTGTGTGGATACGACGGTGCTGGTGAGTGAGGATGTTGAGAACGTGCACAAAGCTCGCAAAGATGGCTTGCTCGCGTGCAGTGTGCGCGAGTACATAACTGGCTTCAGTAATGCTGAGCAATTAAGTGATCTGCTGTCGGCCCGCACACTTGACGATGATTCGCATACGCAGCCACGCGGAACTCGCATATTTGACGAGTACTGGCCAGCATCGCAGCTGGAAGCGGGATTCAAAGCGGGCACGCTGCACAAGGGTTTCTTCAATGCCAATGCATACAATTTCCTGGAAGGGACTGTTCGTTCAGACTCACTTTCGAAGCCGATTTTGCTCCAGGGCCGGGACTCGATGAACCGCGCGGTAGATGGCGATGTTGTCTATGTGGCACTCCTCCCGAAGAGCGAATGGAAGGGGGCTTCAGATGAAGTGTTGGAGGCGGAGTCGACGCAGCGGAATGATGATGCGCGCGATAGTGATGACGAGGGTGATGAGGATACTCCGCAGGATACCCCCGTCACGCATGGAAGCGGCACGGAGCGACAGCCGATGGGCCGGGTTGTTGGAATTGCGCGACGGAACTGGCGGTCGTATGTGGCGCATATCGATGCAAGCACTGTGAACGAAGGTGCACTCGCCACACTCGGTCCACAGACCCTGTTTGCCTCGCCGGTAGACCGCAAGATACCCCGCATCAAAATACGTACGCGGCAAGCTGGAGCATTGATAGGCTGCAAGATCTTGGTCGCGATGGACGAGTGGAAGAGCACGTCTCGGTATCCCGAAGGCCACTTTATCCGCTCACTCGGAGCCATTGAAAGCAAGGAGGCAGAGCAGGAGAGTCTGCTCCTCGAATTTGACGTGCCGTACCGCCCATTCAGCAAGGCCATTCTCGCATGTCTCCCAGCGGAAGGCGACGCATGGACTGTGCCGCCGAAAGATGCTGCCTTGGAGGGGGAGACTCGTGCCGCGAAGATCTGGCAGAATCGCGTCGATCTACGTGCTGAGACGATCTGCAGTATCGACCCACCAGGCTGCCAGGACATTGACGACGCATTGCATGCAAAGCGCCTTCCCAATGGCAACATCGAGGCAGGTGTCCATATTGCTGACGTGTCGTTCTTTGTGCGGCCTGATACGCCGATGGATGCGGAAGCAGCATCCCGAGGCACCACTGTGTACCTGGTTGACCGGCGTATCGACATGCTGCCACACCTTCTCGGCACGAATTTATGCTCGCTGCGCCCGTATGTCGAGCGCCTTGCATTTAGTGTGGTATGGGAAATGACGCCAGATGCGCAAGTCGTGCAAGCACGTTTCTTCAAGTCTGTCATTGCCAGCAAGGCCGCGTTCACGTATAAAGAGGCTCAGACGCGCAAGGATGACATGAAGCAGACCGACACAATCACAGAAAGCATTCGATTGCTGAACCATCTGGCGATCAAGCTGCGTGAGGCGCGCATGAGTGCGGGCGCTTTGAATCTCGCAAGTCCTGAAGTTCGTATCCATCTAGAGAGTGCCGAATCGTCCGCCCCTATCGACGTGGAGCAGAAGGAGGTACTTGAGACGAACAGTTTGGTGGAAGAATTCATGCTTCTCGCAAATACAAGCGTCGCACGACGCATCTACGAAGCGTATCCTACGACGGCCGTGCTGCGTCGACACGTGCCGCCGCCCGCTGATAACTTCGAGACCCTTCAAGACATTCTAAAGAAGCGGCGCAACATGGACTTGGATGTATCGTCGTCGGGAGCGCTGGCGGCATCACTGGACAAGTGCATAGATAAGAGGGATCCAGCCTTCAATACACTTGTGCGAATCCTCGCGACGCGGTGTATGTTGTCTGCCGAATACTTCTGTACGGGGAGCGTTCCACGCAATGCATTTGGCCATTACGGTCTCGCTATGGATATGTACACGCACTTTACGTCGCCTATTCGACGGTACGCCGATGTTCTTGCCCATCGTCAGCTGGCTGCAGCCATCCAGTACGAGCCGCTGCCTTCCAATCTGTACAGCAAACACTATGTGGACCAGGTGATGGACAACGTGAATAAACGGCACCGACTCGCTCAGATGGCGGGTCGTGCCTCTGTGGAGTTCTTTGTGGGCTTGGCCATCGGTGCAAAGAACGCTGAACGAGGCGCTGATGCGACGCTTGTCGGTCAGGGGCAAGACAAGCACCTTTTGCGTGCTGATGCATATGTCGTACGAACCTTCCGCAATGGACTCGCAGTGTTTGTGAGCCAGTATGGACTGGAAGGTCTTATCACGTTCAAGGGCGAATGTCAGTATGATCCTGATAAGTACGAAGTCACCATCCCAGCGAGTCTGTCGTCGCTTGACCACGATGTGACGTTGGGCATCTTTGATCGGTGCAAAGTGGAAATCGGCATTGAGAAGGACCGGAACACGAAGCGCGGACGCACCAAGATGGCCCTGGTTTAGTTTGCGAGAGGCTGGGCTTGTCCCATGTCTGGCAAGGTAGCAATCTGCCACAAAACAACACATAGACGCGCTTTGCTGGTCGTAGAGGCTGACCCGTTCTTCACGCCATGCCACGGCGGATCGTGGAACGACCTTGTTTTTACCTAACGACAAACTATGGATAGCAACATGCCCCGACCATGTTCGCACGTGGACTCACATTGCTCGGTCCATTAGTTCCGACACGCACCCCTAGTTGTCGGCCATGATCTGAGGCCACGTGCATGGCTCATACTGAGCAATCTCCGACTCGTTGAACCAGAGGCCAATCTCCTTCGTAGCCGAGTCAAAGCCATCCGAGGCATGGATGATGTTGCGGCCGACGCTCACGGCGTACTGACCACGGACCGAGCCAGGGTCCGCCTCGAGCGGGTTCGTGGCGCCAACCATTCGACGGCCCTGACGAATCACATCCTTACCTTCCCAGACCATGGCCACCACAGGCGTGCCTTGCGTGATATACTTGACGAGCGAAGGGTAGAAGGGGCGCGCAGACAAGTCGGCATAGTGCTCTTTCGCCAGCTGCTCCGATGGCACGACAGACTTGATCGCTACAAGCTTGTAGCCGCGCGACTCGAAGCGGTCAATGATCTTGCCCACAATCTGACGGCTCACACCATCAGGCTTGATCATAATGAAGCTGCGTTCACCAGCCGTCTTGTACTCGCCGGCGATTGTGCGTGGTCCTTCCAGCTGCAGCTGAGGCAGACTGTAAAGCGACAAGCCAGCCACGCCAGCAGCTGCCGCCAGAGCGAGTGGCGTTGTCGCGCGGGCCATAGGCACAGCACGCGCCGTAGAGAACATGCGCGAAGCACCACGCAGAGCTGCGGTCGAGGCAATCTTGGAGAACATGGTTCTTCGTGTGGATGATGGAAAGTTGGTGCAATGCGGTAGAAGATGAATATGACGGAGCTAGGCCCGCCCAGACCAGGGCGACGAGGATCGAACTGGATGTGGAGGCCTTCATGCCTGCTGAGCCCGTCGGTCAGTGAGTCTGCCACCCAAACGAAACCGCTCGCCACGCGGCATACACACGGCCAAAGGGGCTCCACTTGTGCGAGGCGCCACGTGCGTAAGGTGATCTAGATTGGCCGATGACTCCATCCCCTCGTTCGACGCACAGTATCGGGGCGCCGAAGCCATACGCCGGAGAAAGAAAAAAAAAGAGCCTGGTCTCTCTGCAAGTGTTGAATTCAGCGTGTATCGTCACGCGACTGCCAATGTCTTTCATGCAAGCAGGTGAGGTTGAAACAACAGCACCCGTAGCATCGCTACCCGTCTTTCTGTCCGCGTCCATCCCACCCCAGGCACGGCTTGAACTGTTCCAATACCCCTTGTATGCACGCGGCCGATCCTTGCCGGTGCCGGCGACAGCGGCACAGCGGGGCCAGCGAGTAGCTAGTCGGTGGCGTCCACAGACAAATCGAGTGGAAATGGAGCTTCCACTTGACATGCGCGAATCTGTCTACAACCATGAGCGTGGCGCAGAATGGGCCGAAGCTACCGCAAGCATGGGGACTATTCCAGTCCCCGGCGAAACGAGGGTGAAACAAGAGCGTGGATCTTTGTCGGACACGTCATCGGCTGTGCCGCGCTTTGACCGTATGCGCCTCGAAAGCAACCAGATTCAGAATGCGACTCGTTACATGGTCGGCACAGTTCGCCATGGTGAGCTGCATCTTGTGCCGCTGCATGCCATCCTGCAGATGCGACCATCAATGCAGCATGTCGACTTAATGAGCCAGGCAGAAGACGCAGGTCGCCGACTGCCTACCTCTGATGATGAGAGTGACACACAGAGTGATGCACGTCGTGCGCCCGTAGTGTCATTAAATGTATCGATGCGGAGCAGCGATGCAACATCCAACTCGCTTACGTCTCGAGCCGGAACACAGTCAGCGCACATGAACCAGCGCGATGCTGAGGCAGAGCGGTGGATTGATCTGCGTTTTCAGGACGTGTCCATCACGCCTGATGCGACGGACCGACTCCTCGCACAACAGCGTGAGCACTTGGTTTGCACAACCCAGGTCCAGGAGTTCTTTTAAGTGGCTTGCCGCTCTATGTACAACACCCATTACGAAGCATTTGGAGCAGGAGCCGTAGCAGCTGTCGACCCCGACGATGGTTTTGGCGCCGATCCGGACCCTGGACCTGTCGCAGGTGTCGTAGATGCGGACGCGGATCCCGAACCAGATCCAGAGGCGGCGCCTGAGCCAGACCCTATACTCGTCGCAGACGAAGATGTCGACGGCATCGTGGCCGCTGGACCTGTCGACGGTGCAGCCGCAGAGCCTGCGCCTGTGCGAGTACTTGTGCTTGTACCTGCCGATGCCGCTTTGTTTGCTGCTTCCTGTGCCGCATCAGCCGCACGCTCCTCACGGATCGTACGACGGATCTGCTTGATATCATGAAGATGTCGCTTCTTCGCATCATGCTCGACTTGCAGTTTGCGCAGTGCCTGCTGGTGTCGGCTTTTGATGAGCGCATTCATTGTGCTTTCAATATCGTGCTGCTTCCGCTTGATCAGCGATTCGATTTCTCGGCACTCGGCCTCGAGCTGCGACTCACGCACACGACGCTCTGCCTCTTCTTCGCCGCCCTCGTCGTCGTCTTCCTTGTCAGACTTGGGCTCGGCGTCGTCGTCATCTGCCTCGGCTTGCGCTTCGTCGTCGTCGTCGTCGTCGTCGTCCCACAGGTCCTCCAAGTCGCTATCCTGTGCGCTTCGTGCATCATCGTCGCTGCCCGCGCCGGCGTCCTCATTGTCACTCGCCGATTCATCTTCGCCGCCAGTTCCTTGCTCACGCGCTAGTGCAGCGTCCAGCTCAGCAGCCAGGTCCTGGTCCACGTTTTCATCGTCGTCATCCATCGCGCCCTCATCGTCGTCATCGTCATCGTCGTCATCGCCATCGTCATCGCCATCGGCATGGGCTGACGCGCCACCCTCCTGCTTTCCTTCGTCGTCCGACGCATGGTGCTCCATGTCAGCGGCGCTGAACTTTTGCTGTGACACATCCTGCTCAATCTGGTCAGCCTGTGCTGGGTCGATAAATTCATACGTGACGCGCTCAGCGCGCTTGTCGTCGTTCAAGAGACCCTCGACTTCCTTCTCAACGGTATCAATCGAGCGGTTGTGGACGCGCTTGCGGAACCTGCGCTTACGTGCCCATTGCATTGGCGGCGTTATGCCATGTGGATAGATGTACTCGTCATTCGAGCTCTTGGCAGAGTGCGTCGCAGCCGTAGCTTCACTCTCATTGGCAATAGGCCGCTCAATCAGCAGCATCTGTGAAATGTCGGCAATCTTGAAGATTTGCTTGTTGTCAAGTGTCTTGTGAGACTCAATGATGCACGGCAGGTCTACGAGCTTGGCCGCATACAGCTGCTGTCCAATGTGGAAGACAGCTCTTCGCGAGTCTTTGAACTTGAACCAGACGTCGTTGTACTCGCTGCGCCGGCGAATTGCTTGACGCAGTGCATCTAGCTCTCCATGTTCGCCCGGTCCCTCTGGCACACGTAGAATCAGCTGCTCTTCAAAGGCCATTCCCTCTCCAGTCTCGTCATCTTCACTGTCCAGCTCACGATCATAGCCCTGCATGTAAGGCCGCGTCTTGGGCCCGTCGCCTGTCGCTGTAGCTCCTGCCACATGCCGCGAAAAGTTGAGCCTCACTCGCGGCTTGCGAAACTGCGCGCGCAAGCGAACCTTTGACTTGTCACCATTCTCACTCATGACCTGAGCAAAGACGATCTATACGTCGTCGCTGCTTTGTATCGCGCCACACGTCCCCACCTCGTTACGCTTCGACGCGTTGTCGATCGCACGTCGTGGTGGACGTCGTGGAGTGACGCGCATGCGTATGAATATGGGAAATAATCGCTGCGCACCAAGCGACGCTACTCAAATCCATCACACATGTGCCCAAAAGGACGTCCCAAGAAAACAAATAACCAAAAAAAAAAAACTTTCAAAACATGCGTGTGTCTGCCCACCTCACTCTCCCCCTCCAGGGATTCAAATGACACACTCTCCAGTACATATGCCGCGCCAAAGAGCACGCACACTTTCCCTGGGCTTCTCCACCCCCGTTTCACTACCCTCTGTCTCCACCCTCCAAGCTTCTTAACCCCAAGCGTAGAATCATCCCAACGCCCGCCTTCCAGCATTGCCTTTGGCTCGACACAGACATTGTGTTGTCCGTCCTACCTCATAGTCTTCGATCTTGAAGCCTTATGCCACAAGCTACGCCGTTTCATGCATGCTACGAGGCACTTTTGGCCGGTGAGCGTCCATGGGAAGCAGACGAATCCCCGACAGCGGCGGGGCAGCGTGCGTCAGAAAAAGCGAATGCGGCACCACGTGCACAGTACATGCTAGAGTTGCTAAGCAAGCCAGTCGAACACAGCGTCATCGTGGACCTGCTTGCCAATGTATCGCCGAACGAAATGATGGACGACCGCTATGCACGTCGCCGCGATAATATCACCGGCCTATGGAAAGAAGCTTTGCGTGTATGGACAGAGTCATCCAATCTCCATGACGAGCTTGTGTGCCATGCGATTGACACAATTTTGGCACTTGCTTGTGCGTTGCTGCCCAAGGCCTATACCAACTACACGCTGGACGTGATTACTCTCTTGGCAGGTCGCATGGACGAAGCAGACGACATGTTCTATGCACTCATGACGGCCATTGAACGCACATGTCGACGGCCTCAGATCGATACTCATAACAGCGATGATGTCTTTGCCCATGCACCATCACCACCTTCGTCGTCTGCCGTCATCGCCCATCAACAGCACAGTGCACTCCGATTGGTCATTGTGCTGACGGCGTGCACAGGTAGCACGTCCCTCACTACATACCTTTTACACCGCGATCTGTTCGCTGCAGCGATGCACGTTGCTCAAACAACCAGTGCGTCGAATGAACACGTGCTTTGCGACGTGGCTCTATGTACAGCTCTTCTTGCCACAGCCGGTCATGCTCATGGCACCACACATGCGACGGGTCTAGGGCGTGATCCCGTGTCGTCCGCCTTCATGAATCATGTGGCATTCCAGCCATACCAACGGCGCATGCGCGACTATGCGCATCTTCACGACCTTAAGCGCATAGCACATGCTTGCTCAGCACGTGCCATGCACATCTTGGCCGCCTACACGCACGACGAACACGCAGCCACCCACCAAAGCCGTTCTCGCATGTGGGGACTCGACTGGATGTACATGGACTCGCGCAAGAACCTTTTGTCGGCTACGACTGCCCTCTCACCCACGGCATCCGCCGCGGCATCAGCCACAGCACCAACACGGCCGCCACCCCATGCTTGGCTCTTCTTCGCCCTATGGGTATGGGTGCATTCCAACACCAGGTTCCACGCATGTGTCGTGGATGCCGAAAGCCAAGGTGGCGAGCCGCCTCTGATCGTCTCGTTCCTCTCCGTCACGTCGTTTCTGCTGACGCATGCAGCGATATGTGCGCGAGCAACAATGTACGCGCACACGGCGCTGCAGATCATGCTTGTGCTTCTGGGGCGGACAGACGCACAGGCTCCCATGCAGGCAGTGACGAAGCGCCTGCTTCTCGACGAAGATTCCCTCGAGTCACCCGCTGCACGTTGGTGTTGGCAGGTCGTGCAATGCCGCGACAAGCCAGGTGCGCTTCCGCCCATGCCCAAAACAGGCACAAAGCGCCCACGACGACTTGCTACGTGCTGTGTGAACAACGTCGCCATCTTTCTCAAGTACAACCGAAGCAAGCACTTGGACGCTGCTAGTTTCCGGACCGCGCTGATGGCCATCCAGCGCATCGTGCTTTTGTGTGCCCAGAACAAGCTTCTTCTAGAGTACGATTGGCTCGAAGCATGGCGCGCGATCCTTGCGACAGCTGATTTCATCGCTGCCCGACAGACCGAGATTAGCGACGACACACATCAGCTTGCCGAGTGCCTCATCGAGACAATGGCCGTCGTGCTTGTGTACTCCGACAAGTTCCTGCAAACGCCTGCGGAAACGCACTGGCTTCTCTACGAGCTCGCGCGTTCCAAGCACACAATCGAGAAGCTCATCCCTATCACTAGCACTAGCAGCACGGCACGTCAGGTGCATGGTGTTCTGCTGCGCGAAATACTCGATGCCATCGATGCCGACATGGCAAAGGAGCACGACAGGGCTCGCTCCGCACGTAGCTGGCTTTTCTTCCAACGCAACAGTGCCAATGAGCCCGTGAGTATGCACACCATCCTAAGCATCATCCAACACCTTGATTTGCCTACACTCCTGGCGTCGGACAAACCAGCGTGTGCCGCCGTTGCACGAGCGGCCCTCACGGCGAGTAGTGGACGGAGTCCAGGAGGTGTGCCAAGTCCGAGCGCCTCGCTTCTTCGTACCGTACAGCACGACTGGCTAGCGAGTTAAGTGGCACCCGATGGCAGGGTCAAGTCCTTTTGCTTCGTACCTGTGGCATTTGATTGTGAAGATGGCGACGCAGGCGCTACATTCGAATCAAACAAGTCCGCATAGGGACTGTCTGGTCCGTCCAGCGAGCCGAAATCCACCCACGATAGGTCCAGCACATTGTCATTCATTGTAGACGGATCTGTCCCGGTATGCACTGGGGCTTCTGACGACCGCATTGGCCGCGAAACATGGTCCATGAGCACATTCGATAAAACGTCCGCATCACTCGCCAATTTGTGTACATCGAGCTTGCGCCGCTTTGCATCTGGTAGCGCTGCGCGTTCATTCGTGTTGTCTGTCTGTTCTTGTACGCCACCGGTTTCTGGTATCGGAGCACAAAGAGTCTTAGAATCCGCTCGCGTCGGATTCATGTGTGACGTCTCTGAAAGAGATGCGGCTGATTGCGGTACGTTGGCCGCATCGGGAACATTGGCCAGACCCTGGGCATGAACTGACGGCGGGACAGGCGCCGAGCTCGTTGACGAGTCTGGCGCGACTGAAAAAGGTGTACTTGGAGACTCGACAGGGGCTGAGGCGTCCACCGGTGCAGGAGCATGCACTTTCGCAGGCATAGGCGAGGATGATGGGTTGGCTATCGATGGTGTACCGGAAAGCGGGGTCGCACTTGATGTCATCGGCACCTGTCCAAGTGATGCGCCCGACACTTGCTCGGTCGTTGCTGGCATATCCACCGGGAAAGAGGACATTATCTGATATAATCCCATATGAGGAACCGCTGCATTTGGTACCATACCGACACCAGTCACTGTAGGCACAGGAGTACTGGTACCTTCAAGTAGACGCTCAAATTGCACCTGCGCACATAAGAGATGCTCCGACAGCGAGCACACACGTGCATAGTACGAGCGACATGCACTGATCAAGGAATGGAGTGCTGGTATCGAGTCACTCGAGGGCCGACCCTCACGGGCATATTGCGCGTGACGGACAAGAAACCAACCGACCTGTCGAATTACATCTTCCAATGAAGACACCACGGCCTCTGCTTGAGCTCCAATGTAAGAAGCGGTTGCTTTAGGTATCGCGGCAGCTGATTCCGGTACACGACTTGAAGCGCCCTTGACTTCTTCTGCGTCTGATTCTGCACCCGCATCCACCCGCTCCATCGTACAGTGTGCGAACGTTGATCCCAACTTCTTACCAACACGCTTGTCCCACTGTAGCTGCGTGCGGAGGAGGAAGCAATAGCCGCATCTTGCCATGTGCGCTGATGGATCACGTGATAGAGTCTTCGGCAGGCAGGCGCGGTGCACAGCCAGGAAGTTTTTGCCAGGGGCAGAGTCAAATAAAAGGCAGGGGGCGAAGGAGATTGTCACTCTCCATTGTTTAACGAGCAAGGACACGTACACATGCACACGCTGCTTGCAGCAATGTGCTAATGAGCGCTAGATAATGGCGTCTTGTAGTTCGTGTGGTGTCCGAGACTCAAGCATTGGCCACTCTTTGGCAAGTGAGCTTGCACTGATAAGTGTCGCGGTAGCTTGACTTGTCACCTGGTGTCCATACATTCTTTAGTGCGATTATTCATGCATACATGCATGTATATTGGCGACCATAGCCTTAGAATTGCCATATCAGTGCGTCTTGATCAGCGGACGAAGTATGTATCTGCATTCAAACGCGTTAGTCAAATGGGCTAGCAGACCAGATCACCGTCCCATCCGAGACGTTCCCACTCCAATCAAAGCCGGAGCACGCCCTTTGCGCGCGAGGTCCGGAGTTATTTTTTTGCTATCAGGCAAACAAAAAAAATGCCAGGCCTTGTTGCAGCTCTCCATATTACCTGGCGCCTAGAACCAATCGCCAGTCCGTCTGGGGTGCCTGTCAGTGATTTTGACTGCAGCCCAATATGCAGCATTTTTTTCTCCGAATCGCCTTTTTTTCTCCTCTTTATCATCTCGCACTAGAGCGTTCCTTGCCAGTAACACCTACAGCACTGAAAAAGCATTGAGCAAGATGGCAGGTCTGGATAACCAGACCAAGATCATCGCTCTGCTTGGTATTGATATCGTTTTTTTCTTCATCGAAATTATCAGTGGATATGCTGTAGGCTCTCTTGCTTTGGTGGCGGACAGTTTCCACATGCTCAATGACATCATGTCCCTCGTTGTTGCTTTGTATGCTGTAAGATTAGTGCAAAAAGGTGGTCAAAGCCCGAAATATTCGTACGGATGGCAGCGTGCGGAAATTCTTGGTGCTTTATTCAACGGAGTGTTTCTGATGGCCTTGTGCTTTAGCATTTTCATGGAGGCGCTAGAACGCCTCATCGCTAAGCCTCAAGTTTCAAATCCACATGTAGTAGTAACTGTGGGTTCGCTAGGCCTTCTTTCAAACATTGTGGGCCTTTGCCTATTTCATGGGCACGGTCATGTTCACGGGCACAACCACAGCCATGATCATGGTCACGATCATGATATTGAGAATGGCACATCCCACCACCATGATATGGAACAGGGACACGAGAATCACCACGTGCACAAATCAGACCGTGACCAACATCAAAATGGCAATCGTGAAGGACGGCAGCATCTGCATGGTCATGAGCATGCCCATGGCCGCAGGACAGAAAGTGCGACAGAGCGAACGACTCGTACGAAGAACGAAGAAGCTGAACTTGGCCAGAAAGTGCGTGACATCGTAGGTCATCCTGCCAAGGCACGCGCATTTGTCATGGACAAGGCACATTCGCTCGGGTATGACACCGCGTCTTCGAAACATGATAGTGAGCACCATCGCCTGTTGTCACCTCGTACAACTTCAAGCTCTTACGGGGCAGTCAATTTGCCGAGCGCCTCAGTGTCACCATCGCGCCAACGTCGCCTGTCACATGCTGAAGCTTCTACCGAGGAAGATGTGCGCCGGCACCGTCAGTCCATTGGCTCGGGTGCCCACACCCACGATAACATGAACATGACAGGCGTGTTTTTGCACGTGCTAGGTGATGCCATCGGCAACGTTGGCGTCATTTTTGCCGGCGCATTTATCCTTTTCACAGAGTACAGCTGGCGCCATTACGCTGATCCGGTCATCTCTTTTATTATTGCGTGTATTATATTCCACTCTGCTTTGCCTCTGGTAAAGTCAGCATCGTTTATTCTCCTCCAAGGCGTCCCAACAACTGTTTCGTTGGACGGCGTGCGCGATTCGGTACTTCGTATTGAGGGTGTTTTGAGTGTGCATGACTTGCATGTATGGCAGCTGAATGAGAACAAAATCGTCGCGAGTCTGCACGTCATGGTTGACTGCTCCGGTGAACAGACCACACGTTATATGTTCATCGCTGACCAAGTTCGCAGAACATTGCACATTTGGGGTATTCATTCGTCGACGATCCAGCCAGAATTCGTTCCCGGCGGATTGAAAGAGGCAGCGGAACTAAGTGGTGTGGCTGTTCAGGACCGTTTTGATGAGCATGGTCGTCTGCTCACGCCCGACGGTCATCTTGTGAGAGAAGAAGTCGCTTCCGGATTGAACTCCGCGTGTCTTTTGGCGTGTGATGGCGACGAGTGTCGCGATGCTCAGTGTTGCGAGATGCCCTCTTCTGGCAAGAGTTCTGCTACTCCGTAGACACTATACTATCATGTTATATACATTCCCATCCGTTGCCGGTAACATCGACAAATAAAGAAAAAAAATCGCAAACTTGCACATGTTCTTGATTGCTCACATTTGTACTCCTCTCTTAGCCCCATAGATGGGTCATAGGCATCGTGGCCCACAGATAAAAAGGTGTTGGAACCAGCCCGCACCGTCCCCTTCGACGCCCATCTAATCCCAGCTCATACGGCGTAACATATCGCACTGTAACATGCGAAAATGGCGGCTGAAAACTAACCCGAAATACTGGATACTCTTGCTCGGCATCTTGAGGCGCTGGAAGCGGCAAATGTCCCAAAAACGAATTTGTCGTCCGATGCACACGCCATGCATAAGCACCCAAGCTTTTCTCATTCTCTCGCACACGCTGCGACATACAATACGACCAGCGCTCCGTCTCAGCACGAACAGTATCGCGGACAAAGTCTAGTATCAATGAGCCAAACGCCAGGTTGTCATTCGCATTCCATTGCACAGCATGCCCACGAACCAAACGCGGAAGATCAGCCGGTCGAAACGACTTGTGTGAAAGTAGCATGCCTTGCTGGTCTCGAAACCCGATCACAATAGTCCTCACACCTAGCAGAAATGACTGCATGTACATTTTCAGCATCTTCGCATCAAGCCGATTCTGGTCATCGGCAGAGTCCACGTGCAGATTCGTCTTGAGCTCCACGACTCCCTCGCGCTCACGTTCAGTGCCTGCATCCAATGTTTCGACACAATCAACTTCTCCACCAATAATAATGCGGTTATTTCCCAACTTTGTCTTCATTATATGACACCATTGGACATTTGTATTCACGTCACCGCTCCAGCCCGGTACCTTGGCTAAGGGGAGAGAGGCAGCAGAACCAGCTGCTAGCCGCGGCGTCTCCTTCGTGCAGTATGACTCGAAGTTGTAGCCTGGATGTAAGCACAAAATTCATGCATGCATACGCATACATGCACACACATACCATAGTAAGTTGCTCGCTGTGACCTTTTTGGTTTAGGGCGCTCGTGTTGCATCGCTTGCCATTGCATCATTGTGGGTGGGACTTCTTCCAGCACGAGGGTATCGCCCAACATCATAGCATTCAATTCAAAGCCCTCCCTATACATCGAAGGCGCTTGAACATGGCAGCTCCAAGCCGTGCATAGCTTAGTCAAGATACCACGCCACGTCACAAGCTGCGTGCGAAGCATCTCTGACTCTAAGTTCTCGGCAGGCACTTGTATTTTGCCTTTCACGGGCTCTTCCAACGGCCCTCTCATAGCACTGCGTTGCATGATCGTGTAGAATACCGAGTCTAATGGATCAGGTATGTGCGGCTTGTCATGAAATCGCTCGAAGCCCACATTCAGATCAGCTCCTTGTGCACTATTCTCTTGTGTCGGAGGAATCTTATACCAACGCTTGGCCCTGTCATCAAAACACAACGACTTATTCTCATCGTACGAAAAAGTGGCCATTAATATTGGTTGCTGCACAGACACTGGCCCTGGCGGATTGATTGGCCTCCCAAGTACAGCAAGCGGAGGCAGGGTCCCCGGCGCAGACCCAAATCCTGTCATATCCAGCGATTCAAAAGAGAGAGGAACTGAGTGTGAACCTGCACTGCTTGCTGGTTCCCGTCGAGCGCCTAAATGTGGGAGTCCATAGGCCTGATACAGTCCCAAGCATGGTACCGCGTTGCCTCCATACCCCGACATGGCACAGTGAACGCGCCTATTTCGCCAGCAGCGAGAAAGTGGAGGCTTATGGGAGAAAACACGTGTCTTGGACGACTACGTGTACGTGCACGTGATGAATTGGCCATGATGAGAAGAACTTTTCCACGATACTCAGGCACGTATGTGATTGGTAGCCAAAACATTCTTTAGGCCGAATGCCAGCACAACAAGGGAGAATTGATGCAGGTGATCGTACATCAATGGCAAGACGCTCCAATCGCAGTCCCTGATTGAACGCAGCTCACTGACACAGTGGCGAAAACAGGTGGAAAAAAACCAAACGGCCAGTAAAGAAAAAGAAAATTAGCTTAGGAAGACGGAAAGAAAGTACTTGAACCGGGAAGGGCTACCCATTTCTTCGTTTCCCACCTTCATCACTCTTCACAATGGGAAAGGAGAAGCAGCACGTTAACTTGGTCGTTATCGGTCACGTCGACTCTGGTAAGTCGACGACGACTGGCCACCTCATCTACAAGTGTGGTGGTATCGACAAGCGTACAGTCGAGAAGTTCGAGAAGGAAGCTGCTGAGCTTGGTAAGGGTTCGTTCAAGTACGCTTGGGTGCTTGACAAGCTGAAGGCCGAGCGTGAGCGTGGTATCACTATCGACATTGCCCTCTGGCGCTTCGAGACCCCCAAGTACAATGTTACGGTCATTGACGCCCCGGGTCACCGTGACTTCATCAAGAACATGATTACGGGTACTTCGCAGGCTGACTGCGCTATCCTTATCATTGCCGGTGGTACGGGTGAGTTCGAGGCTGGTATCTCGAAGGATGGCCAGACTCGTGAGCACGCCCTGCTCTCGTTCACCCTCGGTGTGCGTCAGCTCATCGTCGCTGTCAACAAGATGGACAGCACTGGCTACTCTGAGGAGCGTTTCAACGAAATTGTTCGTGAAGTGTCGAACTTCGTCAAGAAGGTCGGTTACAACCCTAAGAACGTTGCCTTCGTGCCTATCTCTGGTTGGAACGGTGACAACATGATCGAGGCCACCACCAACATGCCATGGTACAAGGGCTGGGAGAAGGAGACTAAGTCGGGCAAGGCCACGGGTAAGACGCTTGTGGACGCCATTGACGCCATTGAGCCCCCGACGCGCCCTACTGACCGTCCTCTCCGTCTTCCTCTCCAGGATGTGTACAAGATTGGTGGTATTGGTACAGTCCCAGTCGGTCGTGTCGAGACCGGTGTTATCAAGCCTGGTATGGTTGTGACGTTCGCTCCTTCGGGCGTGACAACTGAAGTCAAGTCGGTTGAGATGCACCACGAGTCGCTCGCCGAGGGTCTCCCAGGTGACAACGTTGGTTTCAACGTTAAGAACGTCTCGGTGAAGGACATTCGCCGTGGTAACGTTGCCTCGGACTCGAAGAACGACCCAGCTCAGGAGGCTGCTTCGTTCAACGCCCAGGTCATTGTCATGAACCACCCTGGTCAGATCAGCAACGGTTACTCGCCAGTGCTTGACTGCCACACTGCGCACATTGCTTGCCGCTTCAACAACATCCTCCAGAAGATCGACCGTCGCTCTGGTAAGGTGCTTGAAGAGAACCCTAAGTTCGTCAAGTCGGGTGACGCTGCAATGGTTGAGATGATCCCAACCAAGCCAATGTGCGTTGAGTCGTTCAACGAGTACCCACCTCTTGGTCGTTTCGCCGTCCGTGACATGCGTCAGACCGTCGCTGTTGGTGTTATTAAGACGGTTGAGAAGGTCTCTAAGGGTGGTAAGGCTAAGACCGCCGACAAGGCCTCGAAGAAGAAGTAAATTACAACAGCTTAGCTGTCATAAAAGATCGGATATGATCGTCGTGAAAATGCGTGAACAAGCGTGTTGTTCATGAGAATCTGCATAAGTAGTTAGTGTTCATATTCGACTGTCTTCCTTCAACGCCCGCTTAAGCCGATGGCGGAGTGTATCGGCCAATTTAGTTGTTGACTTAATATAGAGTGTGGGAGTCATTTATAATAAAGTGGGAGTAACCACGGGGTTTTTCAAGAGGTTGCACTAGGACCAAGGATCGGGCATGACAGTTCTGAGGACAGAGCACGTATTGCCAATTTTTCGTAACCTAGCATTTGCAACATATCCTTGCCTATTTACCAGTCATCGTCACTCTCTTCCTCGTCTGAGCCACCCATATTCCCTTTCCGTTTGTTCAAAGCACTTGATAAGGCACTTGCCAGATCATTTTCTCCGCCACTCGTACCCGCTGCAGCTGACAACGACGAAGCTGAGCCTCCAGCACCGCCAGATGATCGAGGCGGAGGTGCATTGGGACCAGTCTTCTTAAGGTCCTTGACACTCTTGCCTTGAATGCTTGCCAATAACGCATCACGTCCAGGCTGAGGAGGTGGGAGTCCACTCATAGAACTCGAGCCACTTGGCGCAGGCGGTGCTGGTGGTGCTGGTGGTGCTGGTGGTGCTGGTGGTGCTGGTGGCGGCCCTCGTACCGACATACCGGTCGGGTCAGGTCGCACAGGTGGCGGCGGCGGTGGTGGTGGGGGTCCACGTCCGCCGACTACTGGTCGAGATGGAACAGGCGGAGGTGCACGACCGTTCACGGAATGCGGTGGCAGCGGTGGTGGTGGCGGTCGTGGCGAGGCACTCGAGCCTATTCCTGGACGAGCTGGCGGAGGAGGAGGCAAAGAGGGTCGAGAGACAGGAGGTGCACTCTGTGAAGTGCTAGTAGAATCCACGCTCCGGGATGGTAACGATGGCACCGAGGGGAGTACTGGTGACGCAGATATGGCAGGCGGTGCTGGTGGTGGTGCATTACGCGTAGACATGAGAGATGTGGTGGGAGGCGGAAGCTTATTGTCCGTCTGATGCGAATCATGGACGAGCCTCTGACTCCCACGACCCAAAAAGTCACGAAGGAATCCTTCGTTGTTTTTGATGTCTATTTCTGATACCCCCATGCTTCCAAGTTGGTCAACCAGACCGTTCCATTGTGGTTCTGCTCGGGTATCATCGGACAGTTGTTCTTTGGAAGAAGAAACGCGCTTGTCATCAGAGGAAGACGATGAGGAGCCAATCAAGCTGGAGATTTTTTTGGCAAAACTGAAGCCTGATGAGCTTGAAGATGACTTAGCATACTTTGCTCGGTTCGACACTTTCTTGTACATCTGAACGGCGCCAGACTCATCTGCATAGCACAGTCCCAGCATGCACTTGTCACCTGCAAAAGTGTGGAAGTATGGCTTATCTTCATAAAAGTAGAAGTCTTCGTACAGTTCATGGTCCCAGACTATCTGACCTTTTGACTTCAAATCGACAACTTTGAAATGGAATACATTGCTTGTATCACGCACGAAAGCAAGAGCACCCTCGACGCCAGTATAGTACCATTTATCTGGTGTAGGAAAGGCCGCATAAATGCGGACTGGCGATACGGTGATAATTTTGTATGAGGAAGACGGAAATACAGACTTGATCAGCGACTTTTCGCTGGAAGAAAAGACGGACGGCGCCATCTAGACGTAATGATGGTCGCCAGGGGACAGATAGGTTTAAATGCACGGACAAGGCCAAGGCTTCTTTCAGGCCCAATATCCGTCGGCCGGTCTTGACGACGCACGAACGCAAATATGCTATGCGTCTTGGAATTACACAAGTATCGAAGAAGTTAATAAATCCGCGACAAGGCCCAGGTGGAGAAACAAATACCTACCCAGAGCCGCATAGCAAATAGCCACTTAGGCACCAATCAAGTTGGAGGGGACCGAAGTCGAAGCCGATACGTGCACGACTCAATTCTCCCTCAACCAAGGAATGGCATTGCCGAAACGAATCATTAAGGTTAGTCTCTTAAAGGTAGAAAAATACCCTAAACTGACCAAGCAAAGGAGACTGAAAGACTTATGGCTGACCCGGCGCCGGGGATTCGGGCCGTGCCACACGACGATAATTTGCGATACTTTGATGTCGTGATGTCAGGGCCTTCTCAAAGCCCATTCGAAGGTGTGTAAATGGAACCAGGCAAGCCGAATCTAATGCGAATAGGTGGATCATTCAAGCTAGAACTATTCCTGCCCGAAGATTATCCTATGGCGCCGCCCAAAGTACGCTTCCTGACAAAGATCTACCACCCGAATATTGATAAACTTGGTCGGATTTGCTTGGACATATTAAAAGACAAGTGGTCGCCAGCACTGCAGATTCGAACAGTGCTTCTTTCCATTCAAGCATTACTGTCTGCGCCTAATCCAGATGACCCCCTGTCAAACGATGTTGCGCAGCATTACAACACAAACGAAAAAGATGCCATCGAAACAAGCCGGCAGTGGACTAAACAGTATGCCATGTAAAAACAATCCAATATGCCTTTCACATCAACTGTAATGACTATAAATTTTGCGTATTTTTGCGACTTTCTGACGTGCCAAGTTGACTGTAAAACGAATGTTTGGGGATTTAGAACTGCTACCTAAAAAACTCTACAAGTCGAGCATACTTTTCGAAAGGATGGAGAATAAGAGGAAAGTGGGTATATCTGGTCCAAAGTCCAAACCGATGGCGATACTTCTGCGGAGTAAGGATTTGCGGGATTTGCCAAACAACATGATAGACCAACTGCATGACTTCTTGATCCCATAGCACACCATGGTGCCTCACAGCTAGCGCGTGGGCCAGTGCGCCATCGAATGCAATCGGATATCATTTTGGACAGCGCCTTGCTTAGCTTGCATGGGCTGGACTTGTGTAGATTGTACATGAGACAGACCAAGCTCCTGGAATGACATAGGATGCTGCCCACTGGTTGACACGCCAGGGTTCGACGAGCCAACAACGCCATTAATTGGCATGGAAGCAAATTGACCTGGTGTCATCGGGCCATGATTTGATGCCGACAAACTCGAGTCGAATGAGTTGGAAAAGTAAACGTCATGAGAGGGAGAGGCGTTCATTCCAAACGCCATAGGTACCACAGAACTGGACCAATGCGCAGGGGTCTCAGGCATACTCCATGACATGACTTGCGACCGCTGATAAGGAGTTACTGGTGTATGTACACTCCATGGCACCCGCTGAGCATGTGGATCCAAAGAGCCGTTCCCGTGATTCGTATGTTGCTCGAAGTGAATGGATGGAATACTCGATTGCGAGGGTCTTGAGTTCAAGCCCTCGGGCTGTTGCTGGTTGAAATGCGCAGGAGAAGAATGCGTCGGCCGCATGGGTACGGATGTAACAGAATGCGATATGGAGGAAGAGCGAGGCAGGTCAGTGCCATGCGCGCCATACGATTGTATAGGCAACGGCTGCGAAGTAGTGACTGGACTCTGTACAAGAGGAACCGGCACTGACGCGCCCATGTTGAGTGTTGGGCCTTGTGCCGGGGTCTCAGTCGATAATGACGGTGATAGCATCGAAACCTCCGGCGTACTGCCTGGCGTACGTCCTTTAGATGGCAGATCGGCGGTGTGGATACCTAATCCAGAATGACCGCCTGAAAATGGCACACGAGACGGCGGTGGTACAGTAGAAACGAGCGGATGCGATTGTGGCGAATATACATCATTCATCGTGGGCGTCCAAGAAACCGATGTATTCGGCTCAGAGTGCTCGTCATCATCCCAGCGAGACGAAAGACGCCGCTTTCCCTTAACTTCTTTTGACTCATAGTCACTAGTATCGGCGGAGGAATTCATGCCCAGCGCCGAAGGACATCCAGCCGCCGCATCCCATCCCTCCAGAGAAGACACGCTCACAGTAATAGGCGTATTTTTGTCCATGCCGTCGTCGCGTAGCTTTTCCTCTTCACGCGCGACGCGATACACATCCATCAAATACGCCACCTTCCCTGCCTTGATTAACGCGACGACCTCCGCCGTTGCGAGCTGTAAGCGCGCGATGCGTGTCTGTGGAGATCGAAGGATCGCAAGCAAAAGAGCGTGTCTCTCTGGTTTCATAAGATGGTCTGGTTCTTTGTGTCGCACATCAGCAGGCCACCATGAAGGTTTACCAGCCTCGCCTTTGTTGTAGGGAAATCTCGTCTGCTTTTTGGGCTCGATAACTTTGACCCATTCTTTCGCGATCATTTTGCACATGACTTGCTGGAGCTGGCTGAAGCGTAGTTCAAAAAATGCAGTGCGCGCTTCCTCGTCTTTCAGCTCCAGCGTATACGCTACATGTGCACCATTCGTGTTAGGACGCATGATAGCAGGCTGTGGCACGCGACGAAACACCGAAGCATGAACTGGCGTAGACGTACGGGGCACTTTGGGATGTGGGCTGCTGGTTTCAGACATCTGGTCCATAGTGCCAGGAATCTCCTCTGCAGCAGCTTCGCGCTTTACTCTCAGTTGCCAGTCATCATTGCTTTGGCGTGCTTGAGACGCGTCCATCGGAAGAGTGCACCAAGAATCAAGAAATGGGTCATCGGAGACTCGGGTCGACGAGGCCGAAGCAGGCGCCACTATGTCTTCGAGATTATCTCCCAGAACGTCATCAGCATTGATTGAAGGCGAGATAGTGGTGCGTGTCTCTTCGTGGCTCTTCTTGGCGAGATGGCGCGCTTCGTCGGCAATGCCGCTTTTTACAAACCAGGGATCAAGGCGATTTTGAAGTGCCTCGCTCGCGTACGTTTCCACGTCGCCGCGTGCGGATACGAGAAGAAGTGCAAATTGACTACCATTGATGTAAGCGGCCTTCCCAAGCGCACGCAAGACTTGATCCCGCTTGCTTTTGTAATGTCTGTGCTGCTTAGACGGTGAGCTATATGGCTCGATCCGGATAGGAATGCGAGGCATGCCCTTCAGTTATGGACGCACACACTCTCGCACAAAAAAAATTAGTAGGACTCGCTGGTGTCGGACGAATGGACCCAGGCCTGTGCTCGAGTTGTGAGTGTCGCAACCTAATCAAGCTCTCTCAAAGATGCAAGCGTCTTCGTTGTGTAGTGGTCCGTCACGCGTCACAAAGAGACCTGTCTGTTGGTGAACAACTCTTCTGTTCCTCGTCTGTATAATCACCCGCACAGCTTTGACTGGCACGCGGCCTGTCGCTTAGGGCTACTACGACTGCAGTGAATGGGGGCCTGCCAATCGGCGATTGATTCGCACTTGTTGGTAACGCTCTGGGTGCATACCTTCTCATACCTGATGCACGTGATGGAAGCGCAACACGACGCGCGCCTGGGTGGAGATAGTGTCCTGAGGATTGGACACGCGGCGCTCTCGCACATCGCTCTGCATTCGTGCCCTCCACCTAGGCATGACCACATTCCAAAGTCTATCCTCGGGCTATAGACAAAGAGGTGTGCAGTTGCTTGGGTTCGAACCAGGACAAACGAATAGTCTTGCCCTTCCGAAATAAAATGTAACTGGTCCGTGCCCATGCTGAAACTTGCTCTAGGCTAGGCGTCTGTCCTATTCGAATGTTTGCCTAGTGTGCTTACCACGTCGCACTTGCAATTGGCGCGCAGATTCCTTCCCCTGCTCCCCAGCGTCCTGTTCATCTATAGACTTACATGTTCTCTTCCTCACCACTTGAGACGAAATGTGTAGCCTGTAAGTGGACTTTGTCCATCTCGCGTTGACCATTGATGATGTCTACTCCAGCCAGAAAGACCTTCCATCTTTAGACTGTATTTGCTTAACGTTACGAGCCTCGAACAGAAAGATGCCTTGCCTACATTTACTTTTCGCAGGTGCGTCCGTCCGCATATTCTATTTCAGGGTATAGATAGATCTAGTTTGCTCTAGAACCCAGTATTTATTTCATTTTATGAATGATTCAAAGGCCATCGCATCCAATTGCAGTCGCATCTTGACAATAGTGCCTTGGTTTCAGATGTCAGGTAGGCTGCTATGACGTGATAATATCGCTTAGACGGTTCTCCTTTGTTCCACCCACATCGAACAGCACTAGATTCTGCCTTGCCAGTTCCACATGTTCATATTGCATTGAACGTCGAGTTCCCGTGTTGCTTTGTGATGTGCGAGGAACTCTCTATCTCGTATGTCATTATGCTCACAGTACGATGGTATGTCAAAGACCGTTGAGAAAAAAAAAAAATCCTGTTCGTCGTATTACTTCTTGGTCCCGTGAAAAAAAAAAAGCATCGTCCTACATCATTGTCTATTGATAGGTGTGTCTTACTCGCCCTTGGCATATCTTCAATGACATGCTCCGACATGTTGTCAGTGTGCTATATCGTTGCACCTACCTTTCATACGGGTGTGCTCTTCTAAATTTGGTACCAACAGCGCCTGTGGACTACATGCATTTCTACAGTGATTCACTTCTGTTGCCTACACACAGCAGGACGATCCGAAAGACACTAGGGATGCTGGCGCACGATGCGGTGAGTTTTGTTTCCCAGTGCGTCTCGTGCACAACGTCAACAAACACGGCCGGTGTCAACTGAACGCTGAATAAGTGACCGGTGGCACTGGCACTTTTTAATTTAGATGCGAAAATGTGCCAATATTTGTATGATGGAGTACTCGTATGCACGGTAAGGTTTAATCATGGAATTAGACGATACTAACACGTGGAGTACTTACAAGGGTCTACGAAAAATACAAACGAGGTATCCAAGAAGAACGGTAGATCAGACGTCCGTTACCTAGACAGTGTGAAAGGGACGCACATCCCCAACTACGCAGACGTAGATGATGGCAATTTTCGACATCAAATGGACTATACGTCTAGGGATGACACTGCACCCTCCAGAAAAAAAGCACACCATACGCGTAACGATTGTCGCACGGTAGGTCACATAGCTGGGAACACAGGCCAAATGGAATGCTTCTCCACATCGGGTAGAATAGAAGGCAGCGTGGAGTCGACATCAGTGTGTACGCCCGAGACAGAATTCGACACCTGATGTACGGAATCATCGTCTAGCTGATAGTCGTTAAACAATACAGGCCCCGTACATGCACCAGAAGAAGCACAACATGTAATAGAAGCAGGGGATGAAAACGGTTCATCCGATAACTGAAGCACTCTTCTTACACTTGCGACATTTCCACATGGATTAGGCGTCATGCTAGAATCGCCCGTGTGCGTTTCATCTGGGGTTTTGGATGACGAGTTCCACTGGGAGCCCGTGGGAGTGGTCTCAGGATCAAACAAGTGCGCCGAGAGGAAAGGCAATATGGGCGCCGCGCCTGGAGTCGAGGGGGACGTAATCTCTGATTGGCTGATCCGACCGCGATTATCATACCGCGAGCGCTTACGGATGACGTCTGCCCTGTAGCGGACAGGCCTGTTCGACTGGTGGAGCTTCAGATACAGACCACACGCATTACACAAGACAGCTCCACTGATGCCTTTGCGCCAGAGGGGTGTCACTTTGGTGCCACAATTTGTGCAGCCAGAAGATGGTCCGCTGCATGGGTCTTGTGACTGAGAGGCGCGTGTGCTATTGAGCTGTTGTCGTTTCCTCAGAAGCAAAGGGCGATGTGTCTTGTGAATTTTTAGGTATAGGCCACAAGCGTTACACAATAAGAGCATGTTGTGATTTCGTCGCCAGAGAGGCGTATTGTCTGTCCCGCAATTACTGCATATGGGAGCCTCTTCCGACGAGGTAGTGTTAGACGATGGTGCGGGTATGGTGGTGGCACTGGTGCTTGCGGCCTCACGTATCTCACGAGGCAGGTCAGCAGCTGACTCGGGAACATTCACCGACTGCAATTTGTCATCTTCACCAGGACATGGTTTCAGCAGCATGGGCGAGCATTGGGCATGATATGTACGAGATGAGACCGAATCATTGTGGTTGAAATTAGAGGGAGACATACCCAAGGCTTGCATCAGCAGATCTTGACCAGCATACACGTTGTATTCCTGCATTCCACACACCTGCGTTGGACTGTCAAACGGATTGACATGAAGCAAATCAGCCGAAGACACATGTTGCTTATCTGATTCCGAAGTGTGCAGAACATGGGGAAAACCTGCGGTTTCATGCGGGAGAGTTTGTATGCTCATGGGTGTCTTGTCGCTTGCCAAAAAACTGTCGATCACGGACGGTACTGAGATGCGAGAGACATCATCGCTCTCATTCGGAGGAGACATGGTCGGGGACACTGATTCAGAGCGTATAGGAGAAGGGAAAGAAAGAACGGAACAATTGTAAATGTCATGTCGTCTTTTGTTTCGATGCCGTGTCTTGTCGCTTTGGTGCTGTTTGTGCCACATGCGCCAAGACGCATTTTCAAGGCGCTCCGCCATTTCAAAGAGTCCACGAAGTCTAGAAAATAGCCTGGTATTTTTGACGACCGTGAAGGCATCTCGTTCTTTAGTGAAAAAGGTATGGTCATCCTGTGAAACGGTCAGCCGTGCAACGAAGCAACGGAGCTACGTACCCCGATAATTTGGAATTTGGGTGCCATTCTCTTTCTTGTAAACGGAAAATCCCAACAAGAAAATCACGGACTATATGTATGCATATACAAGCGTAAAGTGCTGCCCTGGTCTGTCTCCCGACCTGCGATTCGCGTGCGCCTCAGAGAAATGGTGAGGACAATTCATGTGCCATAGGTTGTTATCTGATAGGGACTTTTTTTCCCCCCTTATCCTCTTCTTCACGTGGCCAGGTCATCTTCTTGCCTGGGCGGTTGGTGGGGTATCCGCAATTACCCGATATCCACGACCGCCACGTGCTCGTCCACACATATTTGTGCACGTCAAACCAATAGGTTTGGCAAGTGACCTAACAACATGGTTGGGTATGTGTGAGAGGAATGAGCTGGGGAGCCTAGTGTGACCTCGTGCCTCGTTGAATATGCGCGCATGTGCAGTACTAATACGAAAGAACTCTTGTGCTTACGCGTCACGGTCAATCGGAGTGGAACAAGCTGAACCTTGTACGTGTGCTTCTACGCTGAGCGGGAGGCATAGAGAGAACCGGTGTACTAACCAACGGCTAGTTCACTGGATGGAAGGACCCAGCTTTGACTGAGCTTGGCGAGTCTGAGGCTCTGAAGGGAGCAGAGGAACTGAAAAAGTTCGGTTACGTATGTATTGACTTTACCGTGGTTGACTGTCATGTTCTAACAACAAATTGCTGGGGGCGTGCATGCCCTTGGTGTGATGTTTAGACACATTTTGAGTTCGTATCTATTTTGTCTAGAGCCTTTTTGGAAATGCATGTATACTAACAGAGTCAGTCAAGCGTTCACGTCGGATCTTCAGCGTGCGCAAAAGACCCTTCAGATTCAGCTGAAGACCATTGGTCAGGAGGGCATCCCAGTGACAAAGGATCAGGCCTTGAATGAGCGCGACTACGGCGAGCTCACGGGACTGAACAAGGACGATGCGCGCAAGAAGTGGGGTGAGGAGCAGGTGCACGAATGGCGCCGTTCGTTCGATGTGCGCCCGCCTGGTGGCGAGTCCCTCAAGCTGACGGCCGACCGTGTTCTGCCGTATTACAGGGAACACATTCTGCCCGCGGTCAAAGCAGGCAAGTCGGTCCTTGTGACGGCTCACGGCAACTCGTTGCGTGCATTGATCATGGATCTCGAGCAGATGTCGGGCGATGAGATCATCAAGACGGAGCTTGCTACGGGCGTGCCGATTGTCTACAAGATCGATGAGAACGGCAAGGTCTCTGACAAGCAGATTCTGAAGTAGATAACACGGGTGTTCTGAGATCTGTGCGTACATTGCGCCATGTTCTCTGTCACTGTTCCGTCCCATAGTGGACTAGCAGATAAGAATCGTATGCATTATCGAGACTGTGGGAAGCAAAGGAGTCCAAAGGACCAAGGTAGGGGCAGTAGTGGGTTGTGATGGACGAGCAATTCCCGTTGTGGGGGGTGGTGGGGAACTCGCCTGCAAAGAGTAGGGGGGAGGCCCTGGACGCCAGTGGTTGCATTGAAAGTAGGAAGCATCCCACGTGGTTGGATGCGGGGGCATGGGGAAAAGGGGACGCGCCTGGGGGCGTCGTAGGGGCGGGGGGGGGGGGGCGACAAATCGGCACACGGAAGAGTAAGTGAAAAAAAGTAGACAAGCACGGTCCGTGCGTCTGGATGAGCTGAGAGACGAATTGTCATCCATGAAGGCTGAGAGCTCGTCGATGGCAGAATGGCATGCATCTGAGGGACTTCGGCAACGGTATGCTTTAGATGAAGCAAAACAAGGAGATGCAAGTCGGAAAGAGTCCGTGCAAGACGAGTTAACAGACACCAAAGACGATCCAGCAGCGGAGGCCATGGGGGGATCGCCCAGCATGGTGCTGGGACGCACGCCAGATGGCCGCCTGTTTCATGTAATTGACACGCCGGACATGGTGACCTCAATTTTTCGTCTGGACCGGCCCAAGGCACCGCTGGATATCTTGACGCTTGTGCTTTTGCTATGGCAGGTGTGTTTGTTCTGTGTGCTGCCGCGCAAGCAAGCGCAAGTGTTTTTCGCGGTGTACTTTGCATTCTGGCGCATCATGTACAATGTTGGACTGGGGTACGTGCTGACGAAGCAAAGCCGCTCGCGCTGGATCGTGAGAATGCTTGATTCAAGCGGGTGGCTCGATGCGTGCAAGAACCCAAGAATGCATGCATGGGTCCAGTACCACTTCAAGACAAAGCTTGGTGCGTCGTCACAGCGCATTGCGGCAGCACCGATTGATTTCCAGGCATGGATTCTGTTTCGCTCCGTTGTGGATGTCATTTTACTCAATGACGTCACTGCGTATGCGTTCTTTGCACTGTCGAACATCCAGGGCTTGGGTGAGCATGGCGTACTGCTGTTTGTCATCCGCTGGCTTCTTGGCCTGCTTCTCCTGGCGTTCAATGCGTGGGTCAAGCTCGATGCACATCGAGTCGTGAAGGACTATGCGTGGTACTGGGGCGACTGCTTCTTCCTCTGCTTGCAGAAGCTCAAGTTTGACGGCGTGTACGAGGTGGCACCTGACCCCATGTACAGCATTGGATATATTGGCTACTATGGACTCTCGTTGCTGACGGGGAGCTATGCGGTGTTGTACGTTTCGCTTGCGGCACATGCATCGCAGCTGCTATTTCTCGTCTTATTTGAAAACCCGCACATGGACAGGGTGTATGGCGAACGTGTGCCCATAGCCGCGCGGGTATCGGAGCGACGGCCGAGCGATGTGCCACCAGCGACGGGGGTACAGCGCTCACGCGAGGAGATACGCACGCCCCAGTTAGCTGGTGCGGCAAGTGCAGCGAACGGATCCTACGCTACGAGCGAGCGGGGCACGGCAGCTGTGCCCTCGCCACCCTGCACGAATGTACACGACCTGCATCATCGCCTTTTCCGCAATGACAATGTGGTGCTTTCGCACATCGACCTGTTTCGCTCGAGCGACTTTTTGCTTGTACTTTGTCTCATATATGCCTTGTCGCCGCTGGTCCTGACGCGGTGCGGCCCTAGGGCACTGCTGCTCTTTGCAACAATCCATGCGGTTGCGTGGCGTCTCTTCCACTCGTTCGGTCTTGGTTTCGCACTTCGCTGGCAGTCTGAGGAGCGCTGGATCGTACACCATTTCCTTAAGCACTACCACTTCGCGGATGGCCAGGCCGCCGTCACAGAGTCATTCTCGCACTGGAAGACGATCTACAACACCAGTCTCATCATGACGTATGTGTCATTCGCGCTCCTGGCCATACGCAGTTATACGTCCTGGACCGACAACATTTACCGGCTGCGGTATGTGCTGGGCGTTCTTCTCATCCTCGTGCACATGTGGAGCGCTCGGTCGTCGTATCGTGTGCTGGGTCCGTTTGGCTGGCTGTATGGCGACTTTTTCATCGATGCCTACCCGAAGCGCCTGTCGTACACAGGGATCTACCGCTTTCTCAACAACCCAGAGCGCTCTATGGGAAGTGCTGCCTTCTTTGGCATGGCCCTGCTTAGTGGGAGTCTCACAGCAACGGTTGTCGCGCAGCTGGCGCACCTCTCGCACTGGTGGTTCTTGGGCTGTGTGGAGGGGCCACACATGCGCCGTCTGTACGGCGCCGACGTCAGACAGGACTCGGGCGTCACCAAGCAGCTGCGGCAGCTGTGCCAGTCGCAGTGGCTGCGCGCCGCGCAACCGAGTATCGAAGAGCTGCAGGGCATCTTGCAGCGGGCGCAAGGTGTTGTGCGCCAACTGCTGGAGCAGAGCCGCCCACGGCTGGAGCGCCTCGCCGATGACACATGTGCTCTGCTGCAGCAAAAGGCCGAGCATGTGCTGACGATGCATACGGGCGACTCGGTTCAGCAGATTGACCAGGCCAAGTACCGCGTGACGCCGGTCGCGTCGCCACACACGCACGAGCAGCGCTTCCACGTTGGTGAGCCGATCATTGTGCAATGGATGGCAGCCGAGAACCATTCGCGGAGAGACTGGATTGGCTTGTATGCCGTGAATGCATTGGATGCACACCCCGATGAACACCATGGCAGTTTGCTTGTCACACGCACGACGAGTCGCGGCAAGTGGCTCGGTGTGGCGGAGGACGAGTGGGAGGGACATGTGCATGTCGGCCTCACACAGAGCCCCCTCGGAACACATGGCGTGTCGAGTGTGGACACCGACACACATCAGGTCAGTGGCGTGAGTGTGTTTCAGGGCTCCCGACTCCCATGGGCAGCACCCGGCACGTATGAGCTGCGCTACCATCACGACAACACCCACTACGTGCTAGCAAAGAGCGAGCGCTTTACCATATACGCCGACAGCCCAGAGGATCCGTACTCATTCGACGAGACGTTCATGATCCTGTCGAAGATCTTGCGGTACGCGCTTGTGGAGGCACCTAGCACCACGTCTGCCGCGGCGCATGAGTACGAGTCGGCGGACAAGGCGGATCTGACATTGTGGACCCAGGACCAGGCACAGCACATCCGCGATGGCATTTGGAGTGCGTTCCACGTCGACTTTACCAAGGACGTTGTCATTGCAAGTGCAAACACAACGCTTCTTACACGCGACATTCTCATGGCTCGGCAGCTCTTATCTCGTTAGCACGTCAAGACTAAGGAACGATGGATGCCCCACAAGTTGTAGGCCGTGCTCCCGACGCAGCATCGACGATGGCGTCGAGATATCACCACGACCGTGCCAGATGCGCCGGCAGCTACCAAGTCCAAGCGTCGGAGCCGGGCTTCGTCTGCTCGAGATCGCGCTCCAGGTCGCCCGGCAGAGCGTGCAAGTGCTGTACGAGCCGGTCGTTGCTTATGCGCTTGTACAGAACTGCACAGTCGATGGCCTCACATGGAGGCCGCTCCATCTCCTGTGCACATGCCGTGCAAATATGATGAAGGCCCAGCTGTTGTGCTTCGGCAGCATGCTGAGCGCTTGTGATACGCTGCATAGACGTTTCGGGATTCCGTAGACAATCGATACAGAATGGATGTGCCTGACTCGTCCCGGGATTTCCGCACACAAGACATGTGTGCGCCAGCGTCTGTAGCAGGGTGGGCGCATTTGGCCGAGTCGGCGGTAGACACAGCAGCGGTCGTCGCGGCCGGCCGACTTGTTTCGGCATGTCTTCGAGCCACGCATACACATTCACGCCAACCAGGCCAAGGAGCCGGTCCAGGGCAGGCAGGATCGTTCGGCGCACATAATACTCCATGTGCAGTGCAAGCGGCCACACACGCAGCAGCTCATGCGGTGACAAAGCCAGATCCTGCAGCTTTGCGCTCGGCGCACCATGCTGAATCAAGTACGGCACACGCTCAGCTGCATGTGGCATATACGCGGGATCATGCCTCATACGCTGCATTGCCACGGCGGCGCCAGGCGGCATCGACGCTCCTGATGCATACGTGCCCATGCGTACTTCTTTCGACATGAGCAGGTAGAGTGGCAACACGTCGTTCGTGTATAGCTTAGCCCATTGCCGCTGACAGTAGCGCTTCATGGCCGTCATGTCGTGTGTTTCAAACAGGATACGCAGGCACGTCTCTTGCATGCGCTGCAAAGCGACATGCCCATCGCGACGGATCATCTCGAGGCCTTTGACATCCAGCGTCGCGCGCGCCTGCTCCTTTGTGTCGAACCGATAACCAGCATACCGCTTTTTAGCGACCAGCATGCACGGCAGGTACACCTTTTCAAAGTTCAGGCGCACAGGCGCAGGGTTCATTGCCGTGATCCGCTCAGCGATCTCATGCCCGATCCGAAACGCATCGTCTTTGCTTTGGCCAGGGAGGTGCACAAAGATGCTGTCTGTGTCGCCATAGACAATGTCAGCGCCCCACTCTGGTGTCTGCTCGATAAGCGCCATAGCTTTCTCCAATGTCTCGCGTGCCGACTGCACAATTGCATCGGCTATTTCCACACATGGCATACGTCCCGAGGCTGTCGCACCGCAGTACCCGTACGTGACGTTGGCTAACAGCTTGAGCGCGAGTTGTTGTGCCTGTAAGCGACGCTGTGGCACATGACCTGCCTCCTTTGGCAATCGCTTCAATGTGTGCTTTGTCATGATGCGTGCACTGAGTACTTCATGCAGCATACGGGGCAAAATACCTTCACGGATATGAGGTCGCACAAATGCAAGTCCGTTCGGAAGGATGTACACGTTGGTGTCCTGCTGCTGCTGCTCTTGTGACTGCTGTTGCCACGCCGTCGCTGGTGATGCTACGGGGGCTGCTGCTGTGCGTGGCGGCAACTCGGCATGTTGCGTGAATCCCAGCTTGTATGAGCCCTTGAACGGGGTCACGCGGCCAACACAAGTCGAATAGCACAGGTTGTATGCCATCATCATCGTCGGATACAGCGACTGAAAGTCGAGCACAACCACGGGGCCTCGGTACATCCCGGAACATGGCTCGAGAACCAGCGGAAGACACTCTGGTGCATTCTGTTGTGCGACTTGGGCACGATTCGGCGACGGTAGCACATAACTGCGTGGCTTTGTTATGCGCAGCAGAACCGACTCAACTCGGAATTGCGAGCCTCGCGATAAAACCGAGAAAAAGTCCACACCGTACATGCGTGCGAATTCCGCCGTCCGAGTAATCATTTCCGTCTTGTCGAGCAATGCCACACAGAATCGTACTCGGCGAAGTGCGTATCGCAGTGCACGTGCTACATCAGCTGCACGATATGAACGTAGCCACTCTGTAAGCGTTGCACAACTGTACACGGGCGTGCGCCTGTGCAGCACATTCATGACGACATGCTCAAGCGTGTACTGTGTGAGAGCTATGTGTGTGCGCATGAGACGCCACACATTCAGGACATGGCGCCCACATATGCGCAACGATGACGTCGTTGATGCGCTCCAGTCTGTCATCGCACCCACAGCACTCTGTGTCCGCATGCGTCCAAGCTCATACACAATGTCCATGTCCAGAGCGGGCACCGCACTAGCTCGGCGCACTAGAAAGCCCCAGGACGTCCGGGCCACATCATAGCCGGCCAAGATATCGGGATCCCACATACGCACGAGATCGACGAGATTGTGGAAAAGAGCTACCTCTGAATCAACGACTGTGATAGGCTCGCGCAAGCCGAGCTTGATAGGAAGGCCTGAATCGCGCACGAGAATGATGCCTGAGCGACTTGCATGTCTTGCTTCCTGCTGCCAGTCACAGGCATGGCCATCGGCATCGCTATTATGATGCATACCATGCTGAGCGTGCTTGAAATCAACATCGGATTGTGCCTCGTCCATCCATGTATACACAACTGCTGAGATAGGATCACGCATCGAGTCTGGCCCAAGATCGCCGCGTGTGCAAACGAGAAGATCCATACACAGCGTTGAGAGATGCTTCTTTTCCAGCGGTGGACTTCGTCCAGCACACGATCGGCGCGATGGATCCGAAAGACTTGGCTCGTGCTGCCAAGACACAGCCTGATCGGCCCGCTTCGCCCGCCCGGTAAGTAAGTCAGCATTTCTCGCTTGAAGCTTGTAGTGGCGCTTTTGTTCATCACCCTGTTCTTTCGTGTCCTGCATCGTGAGCCACGCCTGGACATCCACTTGTGATGGCGGCGCATGCGCCCATTGCCAATACCGAATCTGACTTAGGCTGCGAGCGACACGCGACGAGGTAGAGCCGCGGAATCCATCCAGTCCGTCAAGCCCTGTCGACGGAAGTGTCTTGACCTGACCACCGTACTCGTGTGCCTGTCTCGGCACGTCCGCCGTGCTTGAATAGTGGCATGTCTCATATAGAACGCGCGGCTGCTGAAACTGTGACCAAGAATCCTCAAGCTGGACCTGTGTCGGTGGTGGCACTTTGTATGTGTACAAGGAACTTGGCATGCATGTCGGCAGCTGCATAGGCGGTGCCGCCAGCGCTGCCAGTGCTAAAGGCGGCACTGGCGACCGCTGGGGCAACCGATCTGTTTGAGACACTGGTACGGGTATCGGTGATTCATTCGGAAATGTTGACGGCACAAAGTCACTTGTCTCGTGCGAGGAAAAGTTTGGCGGCGACGTGGGTTCCGGTATAGGTGTCGCCTGTGTCGTTCCCATCAATGAACTTGTCTGCGACTGCGCATAATCAAACATCTTGGCCGAGCGACCTGACTCGTCCTCCCATCCCACATGGTCATAGCCATTCTCGTGAAAGAGTTCCACCGTCTGATAGGCTGCAAGTACGTACTTGTCCAGCTCGTGTACAGCGACATCGTGATGATCTCGGTAAGCTCGTCCCACACGCTCGTGCCAAGCGGCATTGAGTCGCGGCGATGCATCCCACTGCATGTCTGCCGCTGGCAAACGACTGCGGCACTCGCGCTCATCCATCGCAGACGGTGGCGTGGGTCCCAGATCCCAGTAGGCGCGGCGCTCGCGGTCTTGGCTCCATAGCGCACGCAGACTCGGCACGACAGGGTCCTCTTGAACATTCAATGATGGCTGCGACCCTCCAGGCTCAGATGCATGAATATAGCGCCGATTTTTTATGCTATGCGCCCATGTGTCTGCTTCCACTGCACAGTAACTATCTTGAGGTACGGCTTTGTCAACTGATGACCTGTATGATACACTTTCGATATGCATCCAGTCACAACCATACACATTGTAGTCCATCATCCATTGGAGATGGTACTGTACATGCGCTTCATATGGCTGAAACACCGTATTGAGGACGTGGCCTTGCTCCAGAAGCGCTCTCAGCCGGTGACGTATAGCCGGGTCCACGTACGAGATTTTCAAGTAATATGCAGGGCGCACATGGTACCCATAGAAAGGCGTTCCTTTGCATAAATGAATAGCCGCAAGAAAGTGCTTCCGTGTTGGTGACAGGCGTAACGAGGCCGCTATTGCTGTCTGCACCGCATGGCCAAGCTCATCAATGTAATCCAGCACTACATCAGGGTCAGCGAATCCTCTTATCTGACACGTACCATTCGTAGGTTCTAGAGATCCATGGTATTCGATATAGAGGTAAGGAAACACATTATGAACATGCAAGCAGCACCGCTGACCATGCCGTGTTGCACCGTACGCGCGTATGACTGGGACACGTGGCAAACATCCGTTGATCCCAAACGCACTGCGATACGTATCGAATGAACCAGACTCTTGCACAGTATACTCTACGTTGGTAATAAACAGGTCCAGTGCCCTTTCGGGTCTAGATGCTGGCATACCATTCCTTGCTCACTCAACGTAACGCGGTAGCCTCTTTACCCTGTGGCAACGATGTGGCGTTGCTCTTTTTTCATTCCTTACTCGCACTTCCTCCACACACGCTGGCGACTCTCCATCCAGATGGGCGGCGGCGACAGTGGCACTCGCGGCAGACAGACAACCAACCCCCGAGGCGGGTGATCCCCGCCTAAACAACAGCAATAACACGGTCCTTGGAGGGCTGGGTTTGCCTAGCCGCTGTGCATGTGTGTGTGTCTTCGACCCAACACCTCTCCACCTTCGCGCATGTGCGCGTGCTTTCTATTCTGGACGGGGCATTGCGATACACACGTTTATATGTCACGTGATATAGGAAGGCAATGGAGGGGCTTGCGAGGGTGGCGGCCTCAGGGAGGCAGATGGCCGGCGCTTGGCAGATCGTCGCGATCGAGAACAAATCTTGCTGAGCGGATCGTTGGATACCCACGACGCTGCAAGTCCCGGGCTTGATTGAAATCACGGACGAAATCACGAGGTGGTTTGTCGAGTTTTCTGGATTACCACCACATCCAGGATGGAAGCCGATGAACAACTGTACCCTATCGCAATCCTCATTGACGAGCTCAAGTCGGATGATGTGACACTGCGCTTGAACTCGATCCACCGCATCTCGACCATTGCACTGGCACTAGGGCCAGAGCGGAGTCGTGATGAGCTGATTCCGTTCTTGCACGAGTCGCTGGACGACGAGGACGAGGTGCTCCTTGCATTGGCGGAGGAACTTGGTGTCAGTTTCGTCGAGTATTTGGGTGGACCAGCGCATGCCCATCTTCTGCTCGGACCGCTAGAGAACTTGGCCGCAGTCGAAGAGACGGTTGTCCGAGAGAAGGCGTGTGATTCGATCAATCAGATCGCTGACATTATGAACGAGCAGCAGGTGCAAGACCACTATCTGCCGCTCTTGAAGCGCCTCTCGTCCGGCGAATGGTTTACGTCACGCACGAGTGCCGCCCTTCTTTTTGCTGCCGTCTATGAGAAAGTTCCTCTTGCTATGCGCACCGATATGCACAACATGTTTGTCACACTGTGTATGGATGAAACACCCATGGTCCGCCGCGCTGCCGCGCGCGATATGAGTGTACGTTGCTTCCCTTTTTCTCCCTGTCCTTTCGCACTAACCCAATCGCCTAGGCTCTTATCAAGCGCATGTCGCCTGAAGTGATTGTAAATGACATGCTTCCCCTGTATCGCCGCTTGTCCACTGATGATCAGGACTCTGTGCGTTTGCTGACGGTGCAGGATCTTGTGGCCATGGCCGAGAAGCTCGGTCCCGCAGAGACGCAGCAGCTTTTGCTTCCATCTATATGCGCCACGTTTCAGGACAAGAGTTGGCGTGTGCGTTACATGGCGGCGGACCACTTTGTCCAGTTGGCCTCGGCTGTGGATGAGAACGTCATAAAGGAGGATCTCGTGCCTGCCTTCATCAATCTTATGCGTGATGCTGAAGCTGAAGTCCGCACCGCTGCTGCTGGGCAGATCCCTGGTCTTGCCAAGCTGCTCGACCAGACAACGATTATCGAGAGGCTGCTGCCTGTCACCAAAGAGTTGGCTGATGATCTTTCTCAGCATGTGCGTGGCGCATTGGCCGCGCAAGTCAGCGCGCTTGCACCACTTCTTGGCAAGGAGGCTACAACTGAGTACCTTTTGCCGCTGTTCCTCCAGCTGTTGAAGGACGAGTTCCCCGAGGTGCGCCTCAACATCATCTCACGTCTCGAACAAGTGAACGAGGTGATTGGCATCGAATTGCTATCGCAGTCGCTGCTGCCTGCCATCATGACGCTTGCCGAAGACAAGCAATGGCGCGTGCGCCAGGCGATTATCGAGAATATCCCGCTACTTGCACACCAGCTGGGCGTCAAGTTTTTCGACGAGCAGCTGAGTGGGCTGTGCATGAGCTGGCTTGGCGATACCGTCTTCAGCATCCGCGAAGCAGCTACGGTGAATCTAAAAAAACTGACGGAAGTATTTGGCGTCGAATGGGCTCGCCAGTCGATCATTCCCAAGGTTCTTCAAATGAGCTCGCACCCGAACTACTTGTATCGAATGACGACCATTTTTGCTGTGACTACCATGTCCCAGTCCCTCGACTCCGACACGATCATCAACTTTATCCTTGGTGCTCTTTTGAACATGGTACAAGACCCCATTCCCAATATTCGTTTCAATGTGGCCAAGGCATTCGAGGCGCTTATCCATGAACTAGAGTCTTCGCCCGCCGGTGTTCTTGTCATCAAGGACCAGATCGTCCCTGCTTTGCAGACTCTCCATGATGACCGTGATGCCGATGTGCGCTACTACGCGCAGCGTGCCTTACAAGCTGCGCAAGCCTTGTAGTCAACCAGTCACACATCCCTTGCCCTGTATGTCCGCGACATGTCTCCCCATTGAGCGGAAATTGTCAGCCGCCATTTGTGATTCTTACGTGTGAATGAAACCATATTTTGGGATTTATGTACCCAAAGTCCTACCCCCCTGACGTTGGCTTGATTTCCAGCCTACCAGTCTTGTGCATTGAAAATTGTCCGTTTCGTAATCCGTAGAAATTCTTAGGCAAATCTCGAGTCGTGTGTCTGCGCGCGCGTCGTTCTTGTGTCTTGGGTGATACTTGTGTGATCCGTGGACCTTTTCGGGCTTAGTGAATCGCCTTGAACTTTCTGACAAGCACAAATCCCCTTAACTAACGGACTGTTCTTCTTCCATGGCACCCTTTTTCGGTCATAAGCGTCGTAGCTCTAGGCAGCACGAAGACGATCATCCCGAACAAATGACGACAGAAGTGAAACTGGAGCCCTCGCCAGAGTGCAAGTTGCTACCGGCCAGGAAAATTGACTCGGCTGATGAGGAAAAAATCCAAGCTCTAGCGGAATGCATCCGGGACTACCGAGCGACTAATCCGTGCAGTCCTGATTACGATGAATATGAACAGAAATGGTTTATGGATCCCCTGATGTATTTGCGTGTTTTGCGTTCTGTTCGTGGTGACATGAAGCACGCCAAGAAGCGTATTCTTGTACGTTGTATTCCAACCTCACGCGTTTTCGACGCTTCATTCTCCTTTCCTTCCCCTTGCCAAGTCTTGTGCCTCACAATACTGACACAACAATACAGGAAACGCTACAGTGGCGCCGAGACTACCGTCCGGACTTGATTCCACCTGACGAAGTTGCGCCAGAGGCTGAAACCGGTAAGCATGTCATCAATGGATTCGATAAGGAGTCTCGCCCCATCATATACCTTCGTCCAGGCCGTGAAAACACCAAGGCGTCACCACGTCAGATTCGGTACCTAGTGTGGACGCTTGAACGTGCGATTGATTTGTTGCAACCGGACCAAGAGACTCTCACAATCGTTGTCGATTTCCACGACACACACTTGTCGTCGATGCCATCTCTCGGCACGGCTCGGCACGTTGCGCACATTCTTCAGACGTATTATGTTGAGCGTCTTGGCCGTGCTTTTGTGTGCAACTCGCCGCGGTTCATTTCTGCATTCTTCTCGGCGCTATCGCCATTTCTGGACGCCGTCACGAAGGACAAAATTCGCTTCAACTACCCAGATATGACTGATTTCATTCCACCTGACCAGCTTGATGCTCAGTTCACTGGTGGCCAGTACTATTACAAGTTTGATTTCCCTACATACTGGAACGCTTTGGTGCAGCGCTGTGGCATTGCTCCTGATGGCACACACCGCAAGTAATAGCGTATACAATCCTTTGTAACTGACGCTGTTTGCTTTACGTGTGTGTTAACAAGGTGGTGTGCTTCCTTGAGCAAGTGGGCTTGTGTAAGACATTCACAAAAGAAACTTTTTCATTACTGACAACTCAACGTACACAATCCGTCATCCTACATAGATAGACTTTTTGCTAATGCCAAGTATGTGCATATGTGCGAAGGGGTTTGGTTGGGGGTTTGATAGCACATCATGTCACCTTCTTGCGTTCGTCCATAGAGAACCCGCCTGGACCCAGGCTCACAAGGAGGAGCAAGCCGCCCACAATGGATAGGGTTTGGAAGAAGTCGTAACGCAGGAAGTCGCGCTGTGGGTGCGCAGAATGAACGGTCCAGAAGTTGTTGACGGCAATCTGTGGGCGTGTTAGCATACAAGCACAAGCGATATGACGCCTCTGGCAGCAGGAGAAAAAGGCATACGTACGTTCAACACACTCAAGAGTAGCACAAGGAACATTGCGCTCCAACGAGCCTTGAATCCGATGGCTACCATAATGCATGCTCCAAAGCCGAGGATCGAAACAACCACACGGAGCGTAGTCCATTCGCCTTGAAGTACGAATCCGAAAAACAAGAATATCAAAAGCACACGCCCGGCCAGCTGGAAGTAGATCTTTCTATCCGTCTCGCTCAAACTTGGTAGGCCGGCAAACAGATTCTTGCGTTTATGTGCAAGACTGTCTGAAAACACCATTAATAGACCGCCAATCACCGATAGGTTGCGCAGGAAGAAATTAAAGTCCGTGATCAATCCGTACCCAAAGCCCTGGATCACAATAACAAAGAGAAGCGAGCCAATCGATACCTCAGGCATGCGGCGTACAATCACAAGCGACGATGATATGATCATGAGCTGCGAGAAGCAAATGTGTAAGGGTCACTACGCATAACCGGGCACCACTCAAGTGATCTATACGTACCACCACATTGAGGATCAAGAACACGTATGCGATGAACATCGGCATACCTCGATACTTGCTTAAGTACAAAGTCTGGTCATGCCACTGCGTAATGATACGGAGAGCATCTTCCAAGAACGTCACTACAATGAGGAAGCGCCCAATGGCCGGGATATATGGGCGTATCGGCTGCGATACACTGTCCATGACATCTTCGGCGCTTGACGAGAGACTCTTCAGGTTTTCGAGCCAGGGTGATTCTTTCGATGGAGGTGGCACGCCGTACAGATCTTGGCCCATCTGTGACGGCGGCACGAACGAGGAGTGTCCATAGGGCATGGTGATCGGACACGCGGCAGTATTTGCTGGATTCTCTCCAAATTACGCTGTCGGCTAGGGTTTGGCCTGTTTACTACAACTCACTTGGCCACATCTGTCAGCCGCAAAGCCTCCGCCCCCTTCTCCTACTTACCGGGGGGCCCTGGAAGACCGAGGTCAAATGAAAGGGGGAAGAGCTCAGATGAGCTTATATAATCTCGCCGCGCATGCTTAGTCCAAGCAGATCGATCCGTCTAAATTAGCAGTCCAACGCGAGGTCTGATTGGCCACAATCTATGTCGAAATCGTCGTGCTGCCTACCGACCTAATCCATTGGGATCCCTGCAAATTCGTCAAGGCCGAGAGCCAAGTTCAGGTTTTGCATACATTGTGTAGCTGCACCTTTCAGCAGATTGTCAATCACACCCACGATAACGACGCGCTCGCCGCTAGAATGCACCTGGAATCCTCCGGCTTTGAATCCGTGTTTCAATGCAATGTCCGTAATCTCCGGCACATGAGGAAGAATTTCTACTAGCTTCTCGCCCTGGTACTTTTCTTCGAAGAGTTGCTTGATCTCGCGTGCTGTGAGTTTTGTGCTTAGTGGGACACTTGCTGTCGATATGATACCTTGGAACCAAGGAGCGACGATCGGAGTAAATGCCACGTTCACAGGTGTTCCATTCGCCAGCTTCGTCAGATGGTACCGAGCTTCACGTTCGTGGATGTGATCTGTAAGCGCATAAGGCCGAACTGCCCCATGCAGTGTCTCGGGATCAAGTTTGGGCAGCGTGACAGGACGCTCTCCGGGCGTGCTTGGCTTACCACTCGACTTCGTGCCAGCGCCACTGTAGCCTGACACACCCATCACCGTAGGAGGGCGTGTTGCGTCCAGGTATGGAAGCAGAGGCGCAAGAAGCATTTGCGTATTGGTCGCATAACAGCCTGGATTCGAAATCAACTTCGATTGCTGAATGGCTTCCCGTGAGTACAGTTCTTGCCGTCGTTAGTCACGAACGAGACGCCGTCGCAAACGCACCAGGAAGACCATACGTCCATGCGTCGTCGAAGCGGTGATCAGCACTAAGGTCCACAATAACACCGTGTCCCTGTGCTTTTCCTTTTCCGCCCTCCCGCACTGCATCCACAAATGGGCGACACACCCCATTCGGCAAAGCCATAATGTAAGCATCGGGCGGGGCGACACTACTCCGACCACTTTCCAACTTCTTCAGGTCCTCTGGGCCAATATTCGCGTAGTACACTTGCTCCTTGGTGTATCCATCTAGAGGAAGACCAGCAAGCTCACGTGAGCTTACATGCGAAAGTGCCAGGTTCGGGTGCGCATTGATGAGCTGAACCAATGACCGTCCGGTGTAGCCACGGGCACCAATCAACGCCACTCGCTTTGGCTCCGCGGTTGTGGCGTATGTCCGACGCCCGAGCGTGTACGACTCTCGCCCCTGTTGAGGAAGCTTAGTTGAGGCATGCGTATATGTACAGAAACCACGCGCCGTTCCGCTGGGAACACGACGCATGTTCAGAGGCAGATACGCACGCTCAATGCGCCCTTTCTCCTCAAGCTGGCGCATCGTGCGCTCGACTTCGCCAACATCCTGGATACCATAGTAATAGAGGCTGCGCCGGTTGCGCGTGAAACTGCCATCTGCATGTTCAAAGTGCCAAGCCCGGTTTTCGTCGTCGGCACGCGACGTCCACACTAGACGTCGATAGTCTTTCCGAATCATGCCCCAGATATTATCAATAACGTGATTCATTGCGGCATCTCGTGTCATGACCAGACGCGTCAACACAGGCACTTCGTCAGGTGGATGCGACACAAAAGCGACGCAGCCCAATCCTTCATCACCGTACACCGTGTAGGGTGTCTGTGAGAGTTCCGAAAAGATCTGTGACGCACTCTTGCGGTTCTCACGTACATCGTCGTCGTGCTCACGAAGCATGGCGCGAAGACGCTCAGCACCAATATCCTGGATCGACGACGATCGGAACAGCTTATAACCTCGACGAACCAGCGTACCAGCTCCGCTGTCAGTAAACAGTTCCTTTTGCAACTGGTCCACCGAGATAATTGCGACGGACGACGAGCGCGGCAGATGATCAAGAAGCTCCTTGATCTCACGCAGCTTCAGCTTCGTGCCGTACTTGACCCATTCCTCTTTCATGAGCGAGTCATACTCTTCGTCCAGATTAATGGATTCAATCAATTCTCCCGACTTGCCATGGTAAAGACCGCCCTTTTCGCTCAGGTACACGATCTTAAGGGGCTCCAGCACCTTGGCTAGCTCGCTTGCAGCAACATCTGCATTGACATTAAGAATCTGCCCGTCTTGCGTGAGTGCCAAACTTGTAAGGATAGGCAGGCAACCCGCGCGAATCGCGCTTTCAATCGGTTCCTTGTCAACCTGATCGATCTTGCCCACAAGCCCATAGCGGTCCTGGTCCAGGTACGAGGCCGTGAACACGCCTAGCGGAACAGGACGCGCACGGCTGCCAAGAGATTCGAGCTTTTCAACGAGCTTTTGGTTCTCTTCTAAGAACACTCGTCGTGCGATGCGGAGTGTAGTGGCGTCGGTGATCCGGATCCCGTCTGAATAGTCGGGAACGACACCTTCTCGTTCAAGGATCTCATTCAACTGTGGTCCAGCACCATGCAAAACAATCGGATACAGACCGACACGGTGCAAGAATGTCAGACTCAGTGCGAGATCATCCAGCTCATTGGTCAGGATCGCGCCTCCCACTTTGATGACAGCAAACTTGTTGGCTGCACTGAAGATTCGCAGGTAGCGCTCAACCTCATTACGCGACGCAATAGAGTATAAAAGCCGCGTAATAGTTTCCTGGTAGATACAGTCAGCCGCCTTTTACTCTTATCGGTTGTTTTGTAGACGTACACGATCACCTGCAAGTTCACGCGAAGCCGGACTTTGGATGCGCGCAGAACCTGACGTATGCAGGGCACGAGCAGTGATTTGTCGCGCTTGCGTGTATACAGGCCGTGTGGAACGCGTGAGGGGGTGCACGCGCAATGCATTTCGACCGGACAGCAGCCACGCACGCATCGTAGCTATGTATCAATGGTGGAATGTTGGTCCGATTGATAACGCTTGGCTAGCGGCTTTAGCAATCAGTGCCAAGGCTGAAGTTCCTCCCCCCCTTTTCCGCCTAGTCAAGTTCGCCACAGCCTAGCCAAGCCCAGCGCTCAACGCTGTTTGACTCGATAAAGGTAAGCACGTGACATGACGCGTGCCGAGTCTCTTCCTCCACCTCACGACTCGCCTTCACGAGTGCCAGCGTCGCAGCGTGCTGTGTGTGCCTGCGTGTTGTTTGTCGTGGAGACTGGGAAAAAATTGGGCGTGTGTCAAGAACTTATAGGCAGGTCCATGTGTCATGCGTCCTGACACATTCCTAGCTTAGTGTCATCAGTGTTTGTACAAGTGATCTTCAATCACTCAGTGGCATGGCCACGACCGTGCCTAGAACCGACTGGGCAGGTCGAATGACCTCGTCACAAACTATGTCCATGTCTTCTGGACGACCAGGAGTTTTTCCATCTCATGCAAAGGAGAACATGGGATTAGGGTATGAGCGGCGTCCCACGACACCATCACGGCCCATGTCCTCGCAGCAGCAGCAGCAGTGGAAGCAGGGCGAACAATTGGATATGAAGCTGCCGCCTTCGTCGCTCCCTCGCTCCTCTGGTTTCGATAGTCTCCAGGATTTATTAGAGCGTGAAGGTTACAAAGAAACTCGAATCGTCACACCAAAGATACCCCATGTGATTACTATTGATGACGCGGATGATATGGGCCTTGTTGCTGAAGATAAACCCAAGCACGCTCGATCATCGCTTAAACCATTACATGAGTCTGCAACGAATGTGAATCTGCAGCGGTCACCCGACAAACGTCAAGATATCGAGCGATGGATGCAAGGGATCATGTCATCCAATCAAGAATCCGTCTCGAAATCTCAGACCAAAAAAACTAAAACAAAGCCAAGCAAAACCAGCGATATGCATGTATTGCGTACGTCGCAGAGTGATCATGCGTTAAAACGACGTCCACTGCGCCGGAAAAGCTCGATTTGGGATGCGAGTGTCGCGTACCGCCATTCAAGCAACACCGGAGCAGACACACCACCCGTTCCGAAGCTCCCTCTCGGACCATCGGTCTACCCGTATCCGCCAGTGCCGCCAGTTCCAGCGATTCCATCTCAGTTCAAGAAGACAGCACCCGCAACAGAGGTCTCCGCGGCTGCTACTGTTCCATCATCCCAGCTCACTGTCGATGCTACGCCGGCTCTAGGATTTCTATCGTCTCCTGCAAAGCCTGTTCTGTCGCGGAAAGATGCGGTTGTACAGGTGTATGATACAGATTCTATGGTGCTTCCTCGGGGATTACGGCGTTCTAAAAGTGAAGATCTTTTACACAAAGCTCTCAAGTCACGCCGCATGCAGCGTGCTGACTCCTTCCCGGTTTGCAACTGTGGACGCGACGGAACTAAGGTGCCAATTGAACCTCGTTGGCACACACAAGTGTGCCCGGTCCGCCTGCGTTGGGAAGCGACGATGCCGGGGCCTGTGCCGCCACCACCGCCGCAGCTTTTTGTATCGACGCCTAACGGTATCAGTACTCCGAAGCACTTGGACCTGAAGGGCACTGAATATGATCCTCTAGATACGCCGAGTGGATTTGCTCAATATTTCCCTTTTTCACGTCCTGGATTCCATCTCGCAAAACGCGCCACGCTCGCCGGTCTCCATGGCCTGTTCAAGAGTCATGAGAAAATGTCGCAAGACATTTCCGCTTTAAGACGGCCTGTACCCACATCTCAGGCACCTCAGCCACCGTCTATCCAGCGTCGCTCGTCAAAACATCGCCTGTCACGCTGCAAGTCTCTTCCTCAGTTGTCTCCGAGCTCGGCCAAACAGACCCATGTAACTGATGCGTCACTTGCTCGGGGCGATGGGGAGCCAGTGGCCCTTACTGGCTCCCGGCGAATCCATGAACTACATCAACACGTACAGGACCGTATGAAACAGGATGACTCTACGTCTGCATGCGAGTCTGCATTTTCCACAATTCAAAGTAATGATGTCGGAACGGAGGCCAGTTCAGCCACAATCAATGCTAATGGGATCGATGTGATCGATCCAGATGCAGAGATGAGTGGCAAAAGCCCTAGTGCATGCACAAGTGAAAGTCCATCTTTACGGCGGGCCCGATCACGTACACATCTGAATCGAAGAATAAATTCAACAACTCATTCTTGTGTTCTTCCCGTATTATCAGACTCATTGACAAACGAAGGTCCTGCTTCGGGACTTCCTGCGTTAAATGATATACCAAATGTGCATGGACCATCAAGCGTGCCCCTAGGAGTAAATCAACAAGCGCCGGAGTCCCTTGATGAATCGAATCCCATGTCTTATGTTTCCCCTGTGACGACAACTGCACCGGTTGATATGCTCAAAATGCAGCCGCAACGGTTGGTGCGCCGTTCCAGTAAAATGCGGCCTCCGTCGGAAAACAAGCGTTCAGATCCATCTATACATCATGCATTGCACAGTGTCGCTGGCTCCTCGACTCTCTCAGACAAGCACCGTCGTCCGATGCGCCCCGTCCCATCTCACACTAAAAATGTCTTTACATGAACGAAAAGGCCATTGATAACGATTTGTAAGACGAAGTAAACTAAATCAGATTCTTATGACCACAAAACATAGTATCATATTTCTGCTGTAACCAATGGATCTGACTTCCTAGCCTACTCACGTAATGCTTCATTGTGCTCTGTAAAGCCAGTTGTCACATCGATGCCTTGGCGCTCACGCTCAAATGCAGCACGATACTCATTCATGGCACGATCGTAGTCAGAGAGCGGTTGCTTCTGCTCGTGCTCTTGCGAGGAGCGTTGCCTGGCATTCACATGTGCAGGCAAGGCATTCTTCGCATTTTCTTGGCGAATCTGTTCCCATTTACTCGGCTCGCTTGTCCGGTTCCCACGGATCTCATCCCAACGTGAGGCCGGTGGTGCATCAGCGCTCTTCTTGTTAAGACCAGCAGATTTCGGCTCCAATGTTGACCAATCCGATGATGCTGCAGGCGCGAATATGGGCTCGGATGTCTCTGAAGTTGCAGCTGGATCCGACCATCCAGACGATTCGACCGTCTGTGAGACTGGCGCGTCAGACAAGGGTTGTTGCTTTGGAACGAAGCCGCGACGACGCTGTTCCATGGTGTCATGTAGCGCACTTGCCAAATGGTTCGGATCCTGCACGGAACGCAAAGAGTTGCGGCTCATTGCAATTCCTAAGGGAATCATGAACAAAGAACCTGCAAATCCACCAAAAAAGGTATAGAATGCAGTACCGACAAATCCAGGACGCCGACGCAACCGACCAAGCATGTAAAACATCGTCGCAGATCCACCGAGAAAACCAATCTGGACGTGTTAGTGATAAAACAACATTCCGACCCTTTCTTTCCCAACAAAAAAAGCTTCTAGCGATCGTACACGAACACGTACCACTCGCGACATCCACACATTTGAACCAATTTGACGCAGAGCCTCAACTAGTAGTTAAATCCAGCTTTGTGTCACAACGTACGTTCTTGGGGCGTAAACTTGGTAGGTTCCCTTCGCTGCTCCTGGACTGGCCTTTCCATCTTGGGCTCAATGAGGAGCGACTCGCGCCTACCTTTAGGTGCACAGACTCACTCCACTCCCTTCACTGCGTCCACACGCGATGCGGCTGTGCGCTCCACCTCATTCAATGCGCGTGTCCGGCCGACACATTACGCGACGCGATGTCTGCATGCGATAAAGGCGCCTCCCGATCGACCTCCTTACGTTGGCGCGCGCGTTGCCTTGGGTCGACCAGCGTGTCCCTGCAACTAATAGCGCCGATTTGTCTGCCCTCCTTTGTGTTGTACGTGGTCGCGTGTGTGTGTGTGTGTGTGTGTGTATCTTTGTGCTTGGGACAATTGAAGAAGTAGGTGACAACAAGAGAGAGAGAGAGAGAGAGAGAGAGAGAGGGAGAGAGAGGGCGTTCACACCTTTTGACTCACTCACAAGTATGGCAGTTGCACAGCTAACGACGCCACTCTCCGCTAAACATGAACCACTGTTGGAACGTGCTGAACTTCTTCGCTGGCGATTACGTTTGGCTGCATCTGAGGCTGGGCTCACAAGTGGCGCTCATTCACATTCTCCAACATTGTCGAAGCCTTTCGATCAAGTGCCATCACTCCATCCTTCGTCCTCGGCTTCGTCTTCTTCGTTAACAGTCTCACCAGCTCCGACCATGTCTTTGTACGAGAGCCTATTTGGGCGCCATTTCCAATTTGAAACCATCGATTCGAAAGAGAGAGGCAGCCCCGTGATGCGCCTCACTGCCTTGCCTATTCCATCGCTTCCTTCGCAGCCATCGTCGTCACCTTCCTCCGCAGTTGCATCTAAAGCTACCCTATGTGACACACGATCGGAAGCAGGTGCGCGACCACAGACACCCATACCACAAGATCATTATGCATCACAGACCGCACGTGAACGCCTCGCGCGTGTGGCATCAGCGCCCCAGCTGGGATCGCCACACCATCGAACGCAGAAGTCTTCTGATCTACATAACTATCCAACGCCTGAACTCCTCTTGCGGGAACAGAAAGGAGTTACCGATGTCTCACACAAACGCCGGCGCCTGGCTTCATCCACTTCGCCACAAACATCAATTCCGTCATCGTCCTCGACATTTCGATTCCCTGCCCCTGCGTCTTCATCCTCTTCCTCTACCTTGTCATCACCTCCATTTCCTGTCTCGCGGCAGGCCCATGGATCTCGACAATTCGCTGGTTTGAATGGGCACCGTGGTGCATCAAGCGCATCCGCAGCCTCTCATGGTTTGGGTGTAGCTTGCGCAACGTCGTACCCGGCTACATTCGCTCCTCGACGCGTGCCCATATCGCATTCGGGACATGTGCGCAATGCGTCTATGCCCGAGGCACGCCGGGCACATGATCATTATGTGCCTATTCGTGGAAGTGATCCAGTTCCTTCCACTGCCACGCTGTCGTCGTCAGCGGCCTCGCGAACCGATTTGGGCTTGCTTCGTCCGCCAGCTGATCCAGCGCAGCGCCATGCACACCTAAGCTCAGCCCCGCACGACAATCATGTGCCACGGAGTCATGTGCGGACACAGGGCCGACATCTGCACCCGCCACAGCGTGGTGTTCGTTCACATCGGCGCTCCATTTCACACAGCACCGTCGAGCTCAGCCGGCCAGTGTTCCATTCTCACGATCGCAATGATCGTTTTACGACACCGCTGGCCGGTGTCGCTTCTCTGCCCACTTCCAATGAACGTGGTGGTGGTATCACAACGCCTCCAGCCAGCGCTGCCTCCTTGCCCGACACGCCCAAATCCATGGGCTCTAAATCGTTGAACCATGGCGACTATTTGGTCATGAGTCCTAGCCCGGAGCCACACACACACACTCGCGATGGTTATGCGTCCCGACAAGCCATCAAACCTTCTACTCCGCAGCGCCATGCAGTTGCGCGGATGCGTATGTCGGAAGTACCCAATGCACGAAGTGTGTGTCCGTTGTGGGCGCAATCGTCGCCACGTTAATAAAACTCGTTCAGCAAGGTAGTTCTAATCGTTCCATCATACTTGTATGTAGTAATCCTATCTTCTATCATGTGCTGAATAACTGATCTTCCGTGTTGCTTCGTTAGCGTCTGGTCATGCCGACTTCTACCGCTGGCCATGCGCACACGTTGCGATGAAAGTTGGGCTGGTAAGCGAGCGAGCATCACGTGCAGTATCATGTCACTGGAGCTAGTGTCCTTTTTCCTTTTCGGCCATTTACTCGCGTGTTCCGTGCGTGTCGTGACAAAATTGCACTCGTGTACGCCCAAATTGACACAGCTGTGGGGCACGTAAGGGCGCCGCCGATACAACACAAGGGCCGATCGATTGGACGAACGTGTGAGCTGTCGTTGCTGTCGATTTCGATGTCGCACGTTGGGACGCCGGTCGCTACGGCGGTTTCAACTTCAAATCCACATTCCCACATTGAGTTTCTTGAGCTAATAGGATCGGGATCGTTTGGGTGAGTACTGTGAACACACGCACCGATCTGACGTCTGTAGCAAGGTATATCGTGCATTGGATCACGCGAATGATCAAATTGTTGCTGTCAAGACAGTGGATTTGGATTTGTCTACTGAAGAGCTGCTAGCAGTTCAGAAAGAGATACAAATTCTCAGTCAGATCCGATGTCCCTTCGTGACCACATATTACGACAGCTTCGTTGTCGACACACAGTTATGGATTGTTATGGAGTATTGTGCTGGAGGCAGCTGCTCAGAGCATGCGCGTGCAGGACACTTTAGCGAAGCTCACATGGCCGTGATTGTTCGTGATGTGCTGCGTGCCTTGACATATTTGCATGCTGAACAAAAGGTTCATCGCGACGTGAAAGCAGCAAATGTCTTGCTCCATGTCAGTCAAGGTGATTGCTGTGTAAAACTTGCAGACTTTGGCGTTGCCGGACAGCTACATACACGCATGAAGAAAGACAGGACATTCGTTGGTACACCTTACTGGATGAGTCCCGAGGTCATCAAGCAGTGTGGTTATGATACCAAGGCGGATATATGGAGTGTGGGCATTATGGCGATGGAATTACTAGAGGGGGAACCGCCCTATGCGGATCTGCATCCGATGAAAGTCTTGCACTTGGTTCCACGTAACCCACCGCCTGAGCTCGCTCCCACGTACTCGCGTGCGTGCAGAGATTTTGTGGCGCAGTGCCTTACTCGCGATCCACTGCGGCGTCCAACGGCATCAACTCTTTTGAAGCATAAATTCATTAAGCAAGCAGGCTCTTCATCGGCACTACTTTTGCCCTTGGCCTTGCAGTATAAGCCTCGCAAGCGAGACTCACTCAAAGCAGCATCTTCGGGCGACCAGGCCCCCTCATCGGCGTTGCCGCCGTTGTGGGAATTCGCTTCTCTTCGTCGGTCATAAAACGAAGTTTTGGCCGCCAATAACAAGCTCGGTTTCGCTACGGGGTCCGATGCAACTGAGAAGAATCGAGTCGTCTCTCTATCTCAAAGAAACATATACGATCCCCTTTCGTTTCTTTGTTTATATATGCGCACACTCTCGTTCAAGCCACTTCAATGCACGCGCATCCTTCTCAACACGAGGACGCAGCTTCGTCAGCACTTCATCGTGGTAGGCATTGATCCATGCACGCTCGTCAGGTGAGAGCAAGCCTGTGTCGATCAGTCGGGTTTGAATCGGACACATTGTTAGGCGCTCAAACCGCAAAAATCCTTTGCTAGTCGGCGGCTCAGCACCATTCGAAAGGAAATGGGGCTGCACAATTACCAGGTTCTCAATTCGGATACCCCAATGGCCATCGAGATAGTAGCCCGGCTCATTGCTTAGCACCATGCCGGGCTGAAGGCCCGTCTCATTGAACACGGGGCGCGTGCCAATCCCCATAGGTGGCTCATGTACATTCAAGAAGTGGCCTACACCGTGCCCAGTTCCATGACGGTATTCAAGATGATCGCGCCATCCCGGTGCACGCGCAAGTGCATCAATCACATAGCCTGTCACATGAGTCGGGAAAATAAGCTGATCAATGGCAATGTGTCCCTGCAGCACACGCGTGAAGCAACGTCGCTGCTCAGCAGTTGGTGTACCGAAGTGTAGCGTTCGAGTGACGTCTGTCGTACCAAACGTGAAGTGCGCGCCAGAGTCGCACACATACAGGTTGTTCGGGTCGATAGGCGGACTGCCTTCCTCCGGTGGAGCATAATGAATAATGGCGCCGTTCGGTCCCGTCGACGAGATCGTAGGGAAGCTTAAACCACGGAAATCCTCTTGCTGCTCGCGGAACGCAGTGAGCTGCTTCGCTGCGTGTGTCTCTGAGACGACTTGTCCCTCAGTCGTTAACATAGCTTCAAGCCATGCAAAGAATGATACAAGCGCTGGTCCATCACGCAAATGCGCTTCGCGAAATCCATCAAGTTCGACTGGGTTTTTGATGCTTTTTTGGTCAACGAGGATAGAGCGCACAATATGCGCGTTTTCAGCACCTAGTGCATCATACACGGCCCAAGATGCACGCTTTCCAATAAGAACGCGCTGCTTCAGGGCCGCAAGATCCGTGTAAAACGAAGCGTATGGACGAACCGTAACCTGCGATCCAAGATGCCTCCGCGCATCTTCAGAAAGCTGCGACTCATCCACGTAGAAGTGACATGCATCTTGTGTGATAATAGCAAAAGCAAAGAACACTGGATTGAACGGTACATCATTTCCACGCAAATTCAAGAGCCATGCCACTTCGTCGAGCATAGTGGCGACAAAGGCCGACGCTTGCTGCTTCCGCATTTCTTCCCGCAATGCTTGCAGTTTTGTGGCAACGCTCTGTCCTGTAATGGATTCAGGTAGTGGGAAGATAGGCTCGTGCGGCCGGGCAGGACGGTCTGGCCACACACTAGCAACCAAATTGTCGTGAAGTGGGACGAGTGCTGATGACGAAAGCTTGAGCGCTTCCTCTAGTGTGTGTGCGTCTTCGGCACTAATGAGTTTCGGATCTACGCCGACGCGTGAATTTGCCGGCATGTTTTCTACAAGCCAATTATCCCACGAAGGCACGCCCGGCTCGCCCATACGCATAAGCGTCCAAACGCCTGGCTCAAGCTGCTGCGAAGCTTGGAGAAAGTAGCGGCCATCCGTAAAAAGGAGCGCTTCTTTCTGCGTTACAAGGGCGCATCCAGCAGAACCGTTAAAGCCAGTTATATACCCTCGCAACAAATCTGCATCTGAGGGATACTCACTAGCATGTTCGTCCTCTGACGGCACAATGTACGCATGCAGGTTGTGTGATTGCATGCGGTTACGCAATTGCTCAACGAGCGACGCTGTTCGCACTACACCTGTGCTAACAGCTCCCATGGTGGCACAAACTCGTGTGTTGGTGAAACCACGATAAACTGGACCACAACCACGGCGGAACAGGGCAGCCGAGCGTGTGGCAAGACGCTGCCACATTCGTTTGGCCTCCGACAAAATTACCACCTGCTCGGCGGATCGATCATTGAACGAATTTGTGTCATGTGATGTGGGAGGGGCAATCAAGGCACAATCGCGTCAGCCGCCACGTCACGAGTGGAGACATCAGTCACCGCTACAGTCGCTAAGGAATGGGGACATGGTGCTGGATAACAACCAACGTGGGCTGTCAGGGAGCGTCATTGATTCATAGCCTTTTACATTGCTATTGGACTATGACCAATCATATCTCAACGTTCAAGACTTTTCTCATGTCCAACGATGCGTGAAGCTTGGTGGCAACATAAAGATTGCGCGTGGACTATGTAGACTAAGCAGGAGGATATTAGGTAATGCTTGTACCTGTCGTGGAACACAAAAAAGACCTACGCAGCAGCAAAACAGATATTTTGCCTTGTTGAAAAGGATGGTATTCCCTATGAAAGGATCGTATGAAAAATGTAGACGGTGTGCATCAGCAACAGCCACAAACCGTATCAAGCGCGTTGAGTACTATACATACAGGGTGTTGACACCAAAGAAAATAGAAAATAAGAATGGAAAACACGTTTTTTCTCACCCCTCATAGACAGAGTTAGCCTGTACCATCAGGAGAAAACTACCGCGAGTTGCTTAGTAGCGGTAGTGGTCAGCCTTGTAAGGACCGTCAATAGGGATGTCGAGGTAGTCAGACTGGACCTGCGTGAGCTTCGTGAGCTTCACGTTCAGCTTAGCAAGGTGCGCACGAGCCACCTCTTCATCGAGCGTCTTGGGGAGCATGTACACCTGACCGCGCTGGTACTTGTTCTCTTTGTCGTTCCAGAGAGTGATCTGTGCAAGTGTCTGGTTGCAGAACGAAGCACTCATAATGAACGATGGGTGGCCCGTGGCACAGCCCAGGTTCACAAGACGGCCTTCAGCAAGCAAGATCACGTGGCGGCCGCTAGGCAATGTGTAGCGGTCGACCTGGGGCTTGATGTTCACGACCTCCTTCGCGATCTTCTTAAGACCAGCAACGTCAATTTCAATGTCAAAGTGACCAATGTTGCACACAATGGCATCCTCCGGCATCATCTCAAAGTGCTTTGTCGTCACAATGTCACGGTTGCCTGTCGTAGTGACGAAGATGTTGGCTTGCGATGCGACATCGTCCATCGTGTCGACTTGGTAGCCGGCCATGGAAGCCTGCAGAGCGTTGATCGGGTCAATCTCCGTCACAATGACACGGCAGCCGTACGAACGGAGCGACTCGGCACAACCCTTACCGACATCACCGAAACCTGCCACAACGGCGACCTTGCCGCCAAGCATGACGTCTGTCGCGCGCTTGATACCATCGACAAGTGACTCACGGCAACCGTAGTAGTTGTCAAACTTCGACTTGGTGACCGAGTCGTTCACGTTGATGGCAGGCACCTTAAGCTCGCCTTTCTTCACCGCCATGTACAAGTGATGCACACCAGTAGTCGTCTCCTCAGACAGACCACGGATGTTCTCGAGCAGTTCAGGGTACTTGTTGTGAATCGTCCATGTAAGGTCACCACCATCATCCAGGATCATGTTCAGAGGCTCTCCATTTGGGAACGCCTTCAGCGTTTGCTCAATGCACCAGTTGTACTCCTCGTCCGTCTCGCCCTTCCAGGCAAACACAGGAATACCGGCTGCAGCAATAGCAGCGGCAGCGTGGTCTTGAGTCGAAAAGATGTTGCACGACGACCACGACACCTGTGCACCAAGAGCGACGAGGGTCTCGATCAGCACAGCCGTTTGGATCGTCATGTGCAAGCAACCAGCGATGCGAGCGCCCTTCAGTGGCTGCGAAGGACCGTAGTTCTCACGCAGGGCCATGAGACCGGGCATTTCGCCCTCAGCGATCTGGATCTCCTTGCGACCGAAAGCGGCAAGCGAAATATCAGCGACCTTGTAGTTCGACATATTAGGAATCAGGAAGAGATGATGGGTGAGAGAAGGATGTGCGCTGAGAACTGTTGGTGCCTTTCATATGCGTGACCTCCTTTCTCTGTCCGCCCCGCCCGCTGCTCGTCGATCTACGTTTGACTCCACGTATCGGCCCTACATTGGCCCACACGCCGCCAGCGTGCACAATCCGTGCGAGTGTGTCGTACGCACGTGCGAGACTTGCATGTCTTCCACGTGATGCACCGTTATTGGCCCTTTGCCGCGGCTCCTCATAGGCAGGCAGATTGGCGGGTAAGTCTTAGTTGCAGCGTTGGGGTTCATAAGAATGCGGTTGCCTCCAGCTTCCAACCTTTCTCTATAGGCTGGAGGCATTCGTTGATAGTTGTGTGCTCTTATTGTCTCGCCACATCCAGACGCTCTGTTCTGAGCGAGGAACTAAGCGTTGTCTGGCGCTTCGGCTCGCGGCTGTTTCTCCTTCTTCCTCTTTACCTAGCAGTTTCATTTTGGCTTTGTGTTGAGAAGCATGTCTTTTTCCCCTGTGCCTCATGCTTCCTCTCAGCCACGAAAGTCGAAAGGGGTGTGTGAATTAGCCGAAGTCGTCCAATTTCATTGTCAGCTTCAGCAGCACCGCATCCTATGTCAGCCAGTTGAGCGCGTATTCCGGATTTGTGCGCGTCGCCCGACTGTGGAAGTCACGCACCTAGTTGAATATACGCCCACAGGTGTGCCTTATTTGCGACCAGAAGTTGCGTGAGTATATACTTCTATGTACGTATGTGCTTACGACGATATCATTGCAGTTCTGCGCTTTCATCAGGATGATGGTGTACAAGGTAGGATTTTGTTCTACCCTGCATCCCCTGCCCTGTTCCGATATATACCAACAAACATGTACAGCAATGAAATCTAACTAGGCGACCTTGTTGCCAAGTGTGCGCACAATCATGCTTTGTACAGTGCAAGCATGTATGCATGAGTCAGTGTCATCGAACTTGCTCGGTGACGCCCTATCTAAGGAGTCAACCTTGTGCTTCCTACCCAAGGTTTTGACGGGACAAGTTGGGCTAAATCAAGTTACATTAGGAACGAAAGTCACGTCTTACTAACCGCCTTTTCGCTCTTGATCGATTTGCGCGGCTGATGGGCGTGGCACAAACTTTTCCATTTTTGTTAAGAGTGTTTTCATATCATCACGTAGCGCTAAAGCAGAATGTCCGTCGGACAACGTGCCGAACAGATCGTCCCATTCATGCCATAGCATTTCGATGCGCTTGTAAATCGCATGGCTTTGATCCGTCGTGTTGGAGTGTGTGGTCCGGTCATGCAGGGTAGATGTTTCCGTTTCTCCTTCAAGTGCTTTCAGCAGCACCTGGATCATGCCATAGTACGCACGAGTCACGGTGTGAAGGCAGACCTGATCAGAAGTCATAGCATGTGCTAGACCAAGCTGAAACTCTTCAAAGAGCCGATGCAGCTTCAGGAGTGCATGCTGATCCATACCATACTGATCACAACGACCTGCCTCAGACAGGCAGATGGCGTAGTATTCCAATGACGGAATTGCTGGATGAGCAGAGTCCGTCACAGGGGTGGTCGTGTCAGGTAGGGCAAGCAGATCGGATGCCCATGCAAGCGCCGCATCAAAATAGCCGCAAACAAAGTAAGCACGCACGACAAGCACTGTCAATGTCGGACGCGGCAGGCGTCCGAGTTGACATTGGTCGTGAATCACGCGCTGTGCCATCGAGGCCATCCCATGGGAAAGTAGCGCGCAAAGATATGGCTCAATCTGAGCGCACGGCAATGCATGACCGAATGCAAGCCAGTCTTGATACATGCGCATAGCAAATGAAAGACTGCTAGGCCGTGAATACGCACGTAGAAAAAGCCAGGAGAACATCGTTGGTATGGAGCAAGGAAGTGCGTCTGGATAGGCGTCGCGTATTTGCTCATATAGCCACCGGCTCATTCTGAACTGACGACTTTGGATATGCATGCGAAGAAGAAGACGCAGATGGTCGATGCGGATGACGCCCACATCATCTCGAGCAAGCATCTGAGTGGTAAAGTGGGCCAGGTAGGCATGCCATTCGATGTGGTGAAGCTTCGCTTGATACTCTTTCAGCCATGCAGATCCTACTTCGGAGGTTCTTGAACTGGTTGGAACAAGCATGCATTGAAGAGCACGTATGAGTTCGCCATACATTTGCTCGTCGGCACGCAATCCAGCCTGCAAAAGCCTATCAAGCACATAAACAGCCAGAGTCATTGCGGCTTGTCGCGATATGTTTGAGCGAACCATCCATGTCAAGGCAGAAATGATAGCGGCATATGCGTCAAAAGGCAGAGGCGCAAGACTTGAATGGCATGTCGAGGACGAAAGAAGGAGGTCGATGGCGGGGCGCGGATCACCAAGTTTCGACAAGACTACCACCGCACGTTCATGCATGTATTGAGGTCTATGCGCGCAAGCGTCACGAAGAATACCGTCAATGTCATTTGCACCCTGCATAGACACTGTTATTTGTGGCGGCAGTTTGGGCGAGGTTGGCGCGTTCAAGCATGTTTTTGTGAGGGATGGGCCTGCACATGAAAGCCAGCGCTGCACAAGGGTATGTTTGATGGGCCAATTGCGCAAAAAAGCGAGCCGGAGAGCCTCGATGCCGAGTGCCAAAGCAGTCTGTTTGGTGGGATCGTCTGGCGCAGTCTTTGAGAACCATGTAAGAGATTCATCTAACACAGCGGCTAGAGGTTGTCCAGCTGAGATTGGATCCACGGGCGTGTCTGAGCGAGTCACATATGTATTTAAAATGGGTAGAAGTGCGCCCAACGCGTGCATCCGAGCCAGTCGGAATACGAGTCGACCAGCCAAGTCGCCGTCGAGTGTGTGAGCATTGCCGGCCACATGGACAAGCGTCGCTACCTGCTCATAGCACTGGCGCGGGCATTCATCAATGGAGAATGTGGTATCAATGCGTTCAGCTCGCTTGAGCAGAAGATAGACAAAGCGTTGCCGCATTAAAGGGGGTATCGTGCGGTTGGGATATGTGTCCTGATGATACACGTATAATTCGTATAGATGGTTGCACACAATATCAAGGCGCTCATATAAACCATGACTGGGTATAGGACTGGGACCTTCCGCCACCAGTGTCCACAAAGAGAGCCATAATGGATAGGGCAGTGTTAAGTGATCAGCGCGTAAAAGCTCTAAACAAGTGGGTATGTCGTGCCGCTCCAATGCTTCAGTGAATGCAAGCGTCGATGAAGGTAAGAATGCACCTGCATTTATCTGTGGCGGCTGGAATGGTTGCCAGTACCGCGTAAAAGTCACAGGACGCGCGTCGCGTGCGCCTGCGTCGTGCGTCAGCCAGCGAAGGTGAGGTGGCGTCCACAGCGACAATGGTGACCCAAGCACACTTGAATGCACTTGCCGTGCGCACACCCAAGCATTTGGACTGACGCATGACACAGACGGTAGCGCTAGGATAGCACGCCACCTAGCACGCGGTCGTGCCATGCATCAAGATGAACAAGGGGATCCTCGAAGACTAGAAGAAAATCAGTTGCTACTGTGACTGATGTCGAGTCCAACAACCGCGTCAGCCTATTTGCATACCTAGCGCTTGCGGGCGCCAAAAAAATCCACAGTCAACACGAGGATCGAACGCGTGTCTGAAAAAAAGATCGCAGAATAATCACATCAAATAAAAACAGGCAGGCCTCTTCAAGCGCACTGTCACTGGCGGATTCAGCCAGACGCGCGCCCACCGAAGCAACACGCTGTGAAGTACACGAAAATTTCTTATTCATTCATACACGTCAGGCCGCTTCTACGACGACCATGAGTCATTTGTCGCGTGTGCGTGCGCGACGAACGCCTTCATTCGGTGGCTCCCAAGCGCTGTCAGGCATAAGCTACTCGAACGCACGTGTACCTGCACCAGCGATTGAATTGTCAGACGATCAACGCCAAGAGATCCGTGAAGCGTTTGACTTGTTTGATACCGATAAAGACGGCGCCATCGACTACCACGAACTCAAAGTAGCAATGCGAGCACTTGGATTTGACATGAAGAAGGCAGAAGTACTGGATATTCTGCGCGAAAATGATCCAAAGGGCTCTGGACTTATGGACTGGCCAGCATTTAATCGCATTAGTACGTGATGAACGCATCCACGCGTGTGCGCATGCGTGTATTCGTGGGGTTATATGCCTATATTGACGAATTACTGTAGTGACAGAGCGGATAGCCGCGCGGGATCCTCGCGAAGAGATACTTCGCGCATTTGCACTATTTGACGAAGATAATACGGGCAAGATTTCCCTGCGCAACTTGAAGCGTGTCGCGAAGGAACTGGGTGAAGACTTGGACGACGAGGAGCTGTACGTTGTATTTAGATGCACTCACACACTCAGGCAAGCTATGATTGATGAGTTTGACCTAGATCAGGATGGTGAAATAAGTGAGCAAGAGTTCCTTCAGATCATGATGGATGAGCCATAGTGTCGTCGGCTTGCTGGCTGGCTCTCGTGACGATTAGTGGATGGATTTCTTTAGGAACGTCCATCCGTGCATAGGCCAGGGCTCGTAGAGTACGCACCTCCACTATAACAATCCCCCCGCCACCCACATGTGCTCGCGCGACTGTCTTGACCACAGTTGAGCATGACGGCCGGTCGGAACCAGTACTATGAGTTCTACCGCCAAAGCAGGTATGCGTGGGCTGCATCATGGTACAAACTCACAAATAGTATTGGAATACAGCTCACAGATGCACTTGATGAGCTAATCCAGTCAGGCCACATAAACCCAATTTTGGCGATGAAGGTGCTTGAGCAGTTCGATAAGTCCATCTCGGAAACACTGGCAAACAATGTGAAATCGAAGGGCAACGTAAAGGTACGCATATACAGGAAAATCTCAACATGAAAATATGTTGTTTTTTGATTACGGTATTCCTAACACTTATTGAAAGGGGCACCTTCACAACTATCGCCTGTGTGACGAGGTGTGGACTTTTATCATCAAGAATGCCGCTTTCAAGCTCGACAATGGCGAAATGTTATCAGTCGATAAAGCCAAAATTGTCGCTTGCAAGCTCGGTGAAAATAACAGTCGCTAATGAAGTATCATACTGCGGGGTTTATTTTTTTGGTTTAGACACGTTATACTATCTTCGTCAAAGCATTTTTTTCTTTCTATTGCAGCGTGATGTATTGGTACACATGCTGTGCCGTTCGTGTACGTATAATGTGAATACGAACAACAAGGACAAGGAGGGGGATGTAAAGAAACAGAAAAATAGAATAAAAAACAACCGTCGCCACGACAAAAGCAAAAAAAAAATCACTTGGAAATATATTTCTCTCCTTTACACCCAAATAAATAAAGAGACTGCATGCGTGCGCTATCATCAAGAATTGAGGCCCAGAGACATCTCACCCGCTGTGCATGAGTTAGTATCGCCGGCTGAAAAGGAGGGAGCGATGGGGTCACAGAGAATCAATACTCACATAAAGGCACTTGCTTGGTCAAAGATGGATTCTCCAGATCCAGTAAAGTGGTATTTTGATCCTTGGCAGTAGATTCTGAGGACCACTGTGGAGAAAGATGATTTTGTAGAGACGATACAGCCGCTGTTGTCGTGACTGCATCAGAAAATGAGGTCGCTACTGCGGTGGAATCCGTGGGTTGAAAGTTTGAATGCATGGGAGATTTGGGCGCGATTATCATGCTAGAAAGTGGTAATGACGGTGTTGGTGCATGTAGCGATGATGTGTCCAATTCATGCTTGGGTACAAACATACTTGATATGTTAGGCGTCGTGTTCGGGATGGGGTGGGGTGTTGAATCGGAGGATGCACGCGCTCGAGAAAAGCTTCTGTGAACAGGAGACGCCGTGGAAGTCGGGGGTAGATGCGAATGTTGCGATGTTCCAGAGTGCGGAATAACAGAAAAGGCTTGGCTGAATGACGTTGTTGGGGCTGTGGGTGTTGTGGGCACAGACGCGCTGATGGGCACGTCCATGGAGACGGCAGCATCAGGAGTTGGGTTAGTGTTTTGATAAGACGAATGAGATACAGAGAGCGGCAAACAAGGGGGCACATGCGGTGACGGCATGCTCGAGTGAGGCGGCGGCGATTGGAACATGATGCGTGTCGTTGGAGACATAAGAGGTCCAGGCGATGCAGGTGCCGAATGCAAGGGGGCAAAAGACTGGAGAGGAGGCATTTTGGGGGGCAGTTTGTTCGCAAACGGTGTGTGGAATCCATCCACAGCAAGCTGGTCATCTGGAAGCGAGGCAAGAACATGGGCCAATCGGCGATCATATTCCGATAGTTCATCGACACGAGTCTCGTCTTGCCCTTTGCTTTTCTTCACGCGTCTATGATTTCGTCGATGCGTGCCTGGGCGACTTCCACCGCCCGCTCCTCGACTTCGAGGAACCATGGCGGGCTCATCGGTCTCTTGATTGATTGACAGAGATGCATTATTGTCACGGCGTCGTCGGCTCGTCAGCGAGCGAGAAAATCTAAGACCACACGCATTGCAGAGCTGAAGTGTTAAAGATGACAGAACAAAGAGCTTAGTACTTACAGTTTTTTGGCCCGATGGTCCTCGACGCCATTCAGGGCTATCGGTTTTCCCGCAGCTTGAACACTTTTTCGATGCATTCACAGCTGACGCAAACTGCAACTTGCTTTGCTGGTCTGGAGCTGCATTGGCTCGTCTCCCGGGCGGCAGAGCTTGCTCGTCAGTGATTTGAAAGCAGGCAAGAAGCACTGAGGCACATGGCACAAGCACACTCGCAACAGTAAATGTGTGATACTGAGTGTGCAGTGCATGCGAAGCGCGGAGTCGTTGCGTGCAAGTGGCGCCGTCAGGAGACGATGCCCCTTCTACGAGCGAGGCGAAGTCGCGAGCATTGTACAAGCCGGGAGGTGGCCAGCTCATGAGGATGGTGCGAGGCGAGTCTGTTGACAAGATTTGGAATACGTTAGAGAGGGGTCCCTTCGGTTGCGGATCACTTGCGGCTGAGAGTGCATCCCATAGACGGTAGACTTCGTCCCGATTGAATGTCCCAGGGTCCAAGCCACAAGCACAGGTAGCATCGTCGACAGCGTGAAAGAAACATAGAGCAAGATCCTCGTTAAGCCAAGATACAATGATGTCGGTAGTATTGTAAGCCGGTGGATTGATTCCACGAAGATACGCATACATCGATGAGAGAGACACAAATCTGCACTGCATCACACTTCCAAAGAGCGTTTGGCTCAGCATGATAGTCCGCAAGTGATCACGCACGCGAGGCTGCTCACTCGGCTGAACAAAATCCATAAGAGATGATTGGTACATTAAATGTCCGATTTTCTTGTATGCACGGGGGTCCAGGTAGACGAACAGGAGTGATGAGTCTTTGCTGTCTTTGTACTTACAAATGGCCCAGTAGCACCGAGTATCTTCAACGCTATTACTTCTCAGAGGTGGTAAATCTACACTCTCACGTCCCTTGTCTTCTTCTTCTGGATCCAGCATGAGCGGAAATGGGCATGGCGACGCATGTCTAAGCCCGTCCGCATGGACCCCCCCCATGTCAGTGCCCATGGCTTGTGAAACCGGCACTTGTGATCCAAAATCCTGCATGGGGTGGGGTTAGGGTTTTTTATCGAGCTGAGTCAACGACGCCCTGCTTTAGCGTCTGCCAGCGATGAGGTAAGCGCCATCGCCAAATAGGCGATGAAAGAGATTGTCGTGCAGGATGGTGCCTTTTCTGTTAGACACAACTCGACCTTGTAGGTTATCTTCACCCATGATACATTTTGGGCGAGCAGATTGCGTGATTTTTTATTTTTTGCATGATCTTTTATAGGAACAAAGTCGAGACATAGTTTCGCGACTTGGGCAGTGGAGGGATGGACCTCGTCCAGCAAAACTTTCCATGACGCTGCAAGTACTCCACATGTCAAGGGGTTGCGAAGTTGGAGGAAGACTGCACTCCATCAACGCATACACTTACATACGTGCATCAGCTACGTGAATGCGGATCCCCATCCACTATGCACCAAGCACCGTGAAACAAGAGGCAGCATCGAATTACCCGGCGCCGCTTGTACGACTAAGTCCGTCTGGCGAGCTTGTGCTTGTAGAGTTACAAGGATCGTTGGAAATGGATGGATGTGATCCACGTGGTGGCGAGACGATCGGGACTATCTCGTTCCCCACAGGGCGCGACGATAAGCCAGTGCTCCAGATCTCTCATCATCGGCTTGAAGGAAGCATAGTGAAACTACGCAGACCATTAGCGGTGCTCGAGAAACAGATGCATCCACGATCGCCATCCACGCGTGGTGCAAACAATCCATCGGCAACGGCCACATGTGAATCGAGTGCATGGCCATCCTCGCCGCCTGTATCGCCACCTGCATCGCCACCAACATCTCTGCCAGCATCACCATCTCTTTCTTCAACTGCGTCGCGAAAGCGTGCAGCCCCAGAACCATGTGTGACACCTCCGCGACGACACCCCCCTACTACTCTGTCTAGTAGTCCAATGCCTGAGTGTACTGCGTCATGGTCTGATGGTTATGCCGACTTCTCATCGCCGAATTCACAAGCGCGTCAAGCAAAACCTTTGAACACCATCACATCTTATACGATTGTGACGCTGGTTCGTCACAAGCTCTTGTTTTCTACACGGCCTGAACCCATTGTGAACTTACCTGCATAGTCCTATATATTTCATCGTTACAAAAGCTCTACGCGATGTTGATGCAAAAGAGTACGAATCGTTCGGTAAGGCAATAGATGGATGGTGCCTTTCATGAGCGGGATGGAGTTGTCGCTAAAGTTTGTCAGTGTGATTCTCGGAAACGAGAGAGAGAGAGAGAGAGAGAGAGAGAAAGAGAAAGAGAACTGCGTGAACATATGCATGTGCAACACGCACCAAAATGTGGCGGACTATTACCTCTGGTTGTGAACACACACACACTTTCTCCTTGTCTCTGTCGTTCTCTCTCCCACCAAAGTGCGAGTACATACTCTGGCATTGACAAAGTGCCGGCATCTTCGCGGCAAAATACAAATACAGGTTCATCAAGCCGGGGCGCCGTGACTATACGTGAAAGTGCCGTTAGTTTCTTCATCTTCGACAAAACGCGCAGATCAACATACTCATACCACCAGTTGTGCCAGCTGACGTAGCACCCGGAGGTGGGTCATCCAAGCCCCGCATCGACTCTGGCAAATATTGAAGAACAACCGCGTGCATATGCTCGGCCATCAAACGATCATACCGTTTCACATACCCGAGCTCGAGGTCTGATAAATATGCTTGTTCCACGTTACTGGTCGCGAAATGTGCGGCAAATCTCTCCAGCTAGACTCGGTAAGGCGGGAGGACGGTGCATGTAAACATACCTTTTCGAGGCGCGTACGCAAAAAACTACGAAGAAGCCACTTGGACCGTTCTGCGTCCAGTTGCACGAGATTCAGGCGGAATTGCTCCTCGTCTGGACGTAGAGATATCAGAAATAAGAGAGTCCAAAATTGACTGCTGTTGCTGTAATTGATCCATCACTGTTTCAACAATCTCAACTGGCCAAGGCTGCATCTCTGGTGAACCACGCTCATTCAGCCATGCATGCGCAAGTCGTATAATCGCAGGCCGGTCGTCCGAGGCCGTGACCGTCACCTGCTCATTTGCTGCAGATGCAGGGTCCATTGCCGGTCCAGATGCACCGGCGACTGAGGACTCCTCAGTCTCATCGTCTTCATGCCATACGTATTTGGCATGAGACATGCCGGCTCAGAAGGAAAGATACGCGAGTTTCCCCGTCGCAATGGTGCAAGCTCACTCACGCTGAGAACGAATGCTGTCAAATTCGTGTGCGAAAGAACGTAGATTGCGCGTGAAAGTGGAGGGCATCGGTGGAGGGTCTTCCATTGAGCCGGTGCCCCGTCCTGTGCGACACGGACGGTTTGGCACGGTGAGTGGAGCGAAATACGACTAGTACTTGGGCCACTCGAATTTCCAATGTCCGCATCTGCATCTGCATCTGCATCTGCAACCCCTGCCCTCGACAATCATTTGAGAATGACGGACATTGTCCCAAACCGCAGGCTCGAAGATATTTATTCTGAGCAGACATTTTCCAAAGAGGAAGTGCGCTGGAATGGACTAGCAGCGCATTTTGAACGAGTGTTTCACCGAAAACCCGAGTTTATTGCCCGTGCACCTGGGCGTCTGAACATGATCGGCGAGTATGTGAGGCATGTGTGTGTGCCGCTGCTAACAGTTGCACGAACAGGCACATTGACTACATCGGGTATGATGTGTTCCCCATGGCGATCGAAAAAGACATCTTGATGGCAACAGCCTTCACTCCTGAGAACACAGACCATTTACGCTGCGAGTTGCACAATGTCGTTATGCACTTTGCACACACGACCTTTCAATGTGACTTGATGCAGCCCGAGACGATTGAACTTACGCATATAGGCATGACGCGCTGGTCAAACTACTTCAAAGCGGCATTGCGCGGATTGCAGTCTGTCTTGCCCGCCGACGTATTGAGAAGCGCTCGGGGCACCATTCACATCCTTGTTGATGGTAGTGTGCCAGCAGAAAGCAGCCTGAGCTCCAGTGCAGCTATGACGACAGCTAGCATGATTGCTGTTCTGACTGCATTGCGCGCTACACACTGTATGACACGCCAAGCTATAGCTGACTTGGCCTGTCGCAGTGAACGCTTGGTAGGCGTGAACTCGGGTGGGATGGACCAGGCTGTTTCTATGTTTGGGCAGCGGGACCATGCAATCTACGTGTCATTCGTTCCGAGCCTACGAACGACGCCGATCATGTTGCCGATCCAGAATGAGTACCTGTTTCTTGTCACCAACACCATGATGGCGTCTGACAAAAAGGTACACGCTCCTGTGCAATACAATCTGCGTGTCGTTGAAACGCGAATCGCAGCGTGTGCACTGAAGCGGGTTTTGGGCACCAAAGCGGACATGCCCTTCCAGTTCCCTCAGACACTTCGCGCTGTCTCAGACACATACTGGTTGAGCCGCCCAGGTGCCTTGGACAAGATGATGGAAGAATATGACGATGTGAAGATGGCGTTCCAGGATCTTGGTAAGGAGGCTGCGCAGCTGCAGGCGATGCTCAATATTGTGGAAGCAAGCCTTCCTAGGTGCGGTCTTTCACGTACTGAAGTCGAAGAGCTGGTCGGTCTCCACGGTCAAGACTTTGATCAGACGTTCCTCAGCGACTTCCCCATTCATGCGAATCAGTTTTTCCTCCATGCACGTGCATTCCATGTGTACTCAGAAGCGCTGCGTGTTCTGCAATTCCGCTCTGTCCTCGAACGTACACGCGCTCGAACTGAACAAGGTGCACCCGTTGATTTGCACCGCGTAGCGCATCATCTAGGCTCGTTGATGAATGCCAGTCATGAGAGCCTGCGAAATGACTATGACTGCAGTTCGTCCGAGTTGGACTTGATCGTTTGCATCGCCAGGAAGCAGGGTGCTTTGGGATCTCGCCTGACTGGTGCTGGATGGGGTGGCTGCGCTGTACACTTGATCCACCGTGATTCCATGCATGCAATCATGCACTCGCTGAAGGAATTGTATTATTCCATCAAGTTTGGCTACCTGAAAGAGTCTCAGCTGGAAGAAGTCATGTTCCCTACACACCCTGCTGAGGGTGCATGTGTTGTCCACCTATGATGGACTTGCGTACATCCACACTTGAACCGAGATTCGTTTGTATACCACTCATGACCGGTTGCTTGTTTTTCGTCTCCTTTTTTAACGAATTCTTGTGGTGTGTGTGTGTGTGTGTGTTTTGTCCTCCCACAGCCGCCATGTTCTATGGAATAGCACCGATTGCTAAAGTTCTGGCGTAATGCCCCGTAGACCTAGGCGACACCTCACCCTTTAGGACAGACACCAGCTGTTTCCTACGTCAGTTAGCATTTTTCAACGCCGGCGACACCATATTTACAAGTACTACCAACACATGACCAGTCCATTTACAGCTAAAAGAGGGCAGGGAGTTCAACGTCTATCGATAAAGACACACAAGAGATGTGAATCGAGTCTGTCGCGAACCAAGTGGGGAAGGGAAGATCCTTGTTTCAGTTGTGCATGAGCCTGATCGACAAGTGCGAATGCACTCGACTTCATTTCCCAAATCTTTCGCCATCACCGTACCTCATCCGACGTCGCTCGTTGCCATACCCCCCCCCCCCCGAAAAAAAAAAAAGAAAAAGCGCTGAAATAAAAAGACTTCGACTCATCAATCTAATCACAAAAATGTTCACTCTTGTTCTTTGGGTTGAGCATGTCAAGCTCGTACAGAAAATCATTATGAACTCTGATAATGACATTGTCCAACATGAGAAAATGGCCAGGAAACCTCTGTGCTGCCAAGGCCATACAGCAACAGTAGCACCGCTATCCATCAGCTACTGCGCCCAAGAACCCGAACAACATTCGATTCACCTCTTCGTACCAGTACCCACGTACACCGCATGCTGATTGATTGCCAGCATCTTTGAATCAGGCGTCCTACCCTGTGAACGAACGAGCATCACACAGAGATGCATCACCTTTTCTTACACGTCCGTACGTCAGGAATTCAGGAGACATCTCCGTCCTCGTCAATTCAGAGCCATCTAGCCCGAAAAAAAAAAACAAGCTGATCGATGCAGACTAAGTATAGCTCTCTCAATTCTCATAGATTGGTTTCCACAATGGTGCACTGCATCAGGCCCAGTTTGGCTGGCCGCGTTGCAAATAGTGCCTTCATCCGTCGGTAAGCGCGTACTTCTCAGTTCTCCAGGGCATACGTTCTTAGTTTCATGTGGGCTCTTGCGTTAGCGTGTTTGACTTTTCTGTGCACCGGACGAACGACTCGTCGAGTCCTGCGACTCGGTTTCTGAACCATGCACCTTTGTGTCCGATGTCCCGCTCTCAGTTCGGGGAGGCGGCGCTTTGGCTGCAGCCTGCTCAGCGGCAGCGAGCCGCGCTCGCGCTATTTGGTACTCGGCTTCGACGCGATCGAGCTGCTTCTTAATTTCGAGGCCACCAGCAACGGCGCCCAAAAGCGTCTCCCATTTTTCTACATTGGTGGCGGTAGGAAATACGAGTCTTGCTCCGACCGGTGGATGAAGCTCAGATAGCGCCTGCATGACACGTGTATATTGGTTGGGACGGAACGTCAGCATACGCGTAGACCGAAGATAGGCTCCATGATGTGCAGCGTTCTCAGACTTGGTCGAGGAGCCACTAGTCGCGGATGCCACAGGTGGCAGTGCAGAAGGTGTGCCGATCAAATTGGGGTATGGCGTGCGAAGCACATGCGGACCCGTCGTCGAGAAGCGCGTGATGAAATGCTGTGCATCGAAAAGTTGCTGTTTTGCATCACTCTTGGACTTTGCTGGTGGAGACGGCACATCGGTTCGGCGTCGCTTGTGTTTTTTATCATCGAAAGGTTGGTCCACATGGTGACTCGATCCTGGCCATACAAGACCAGCACCCACAGCAGCAACCGTTGCAGCGGAGTATGACGGAACACCATCGAAACCGCCGAGCAAGCGGAGAAGATCAGCCCGTTCCCGAGCAAACTTTGTCTCATTTTGTTCAAGACGCCGTGCTTCCACATAGAGCGCCTCCTCCTCGGCCAGCTGCTCGGGTGTGCGAGAAAACAATTTCTGTACAGCATTCTTCCGCTCCATTTCCTGCTGCCGGTCATAGGCGAATGTCTGCAGCTGTGTGTGTCTCGTCTCGACATTCTCATTACTGATTCGTTCTCGCAACAGTCGACGACAGATTGTATAGTAACGGGCCTTTAAATCCTCAATGGTACGATGCGATCCGGGCCATTCGTATCGATCAGCAATGACAATGAAGCGCAAGTCGTACATTTCGCACATATCAATCAAATAGTCCGTCTCATCTCTTGTCCAGTCACTGTCGGTCAGGTATTGGGTATACTCTTCTGTGGTATAATGGAACACTTGAGAACTCGTATTGAATGGGGCCCAAGCTTCATCGAGGGCGACTTCATCGCCCATCTCCTTGTCGTCGTCATCAGCACCACTCTGTTTCGATAAAGACGATGTCGATGATAAGACAGGTTTCCAGTGATGAAGCACCAGACCCCGTCGTGTCGGCAAGCCCTGTCCTAGCAGAGCTTCTGACGCTGCAGAATCCGTGTCGGTTGGCGTGTCCTCGCGTGCAGGATTCCGGAACGGAGTCCATGCCCACCTGCGAACAACGCCTGAGTTGGCCTTTCGCTGGAACTTGGGCTGGAATGTCGGTTGTGTACCTCCGCTGGAAGCCAATCCATCTGGCCCTCCTGTAGCACTAGACATGACGAGGCTGGGTGCATTGGGACCTAGCAGGGCATATAGTTCACGCGACATGCCTTCAGGCCTCTGCTTCTGTCTTGTATCCCCAGGAAGTGTCGGTGGCGCTCGCGCAGGTGCGCGATGTTGTCCACTCTCGGCTGTGGTAGCACGATTCGGCAGCGACAAAATGTCGCGTACGTCGCTGGAGCTCATCTATACGCACGGAGTCACGGCTTCACGCGAGCTAAACAGCTGATGGAGATAATCTCTCGCAAGTGCACACGACAATCTGAATGCACAACGCACGGTCGCACGCCCGACAACAACAACAGCAACGATAGGTGCCAATAGAGGATGGAGGATGAGCGCGTTACGTCGGTATGGTCACGTGATGTATGCGAGAGGTTGCATCCTTAGCGTAAGTGCTTGTCGCGTAGCAGGCAGCAGGAAGTGCAGGGCGAACGCCACACGTGCTACTTCAGCGCTTGAGCCACACAACGTAACGAGAGTGTCATGAGCAGGGCTTGGACGCCCCAGAGCTTCTTCGCGGGATTTCCTGAGCCTGAAGGCCTTCACGAAAGGACACGGCAAGTGGAAGCCTTTCTTCATAGGCATGGAGCGAATGGACGCAAGGTCGTGCTGGTGACGAGCGGCGGAACAACAGTACCATTGGAAAAAAATGTCGTACGGTTTCTCGACAATTTTTCGGCAGGAACACGCGGTGCAGCATCAGCAGAATACTTTCTCAAGCATGGGTATGCGGTCATTTTCATGTCGCGGCAACACAGTCAATTTCCCTTTACGCGATCGTACAGTCACACGACGAACCCACTCTTTGACTTGCTGGAAGAGCCAGGAGCGAATGGTGGCTCCGTGCGCGTATGTGAGGACCAGGTTGGCCGACTTCTTCCCATTTTGCACGCGTATCATGATGCCAAAAAGCACGGACTTCTGTTGACTGTACCGTTTGTGACTGTGATTGAGTACTTGTTTTTGTTGCGGAATATTAGTCTGGCCATGGCTTCAATAGGCCGCCAAGCGATGCTGTATCTTGCAGCAGCTGTCAGCGATTTTTTTATGCCAGAAGACCGTATTTCTGAGCACAAAATCCAGTCATCTGACCATGCATTAACGATCGAGTTGGAGCAGGTGCCCAAGGTGCTGGGTGTCCTCGTACAAGAGTGGCTTCCTGAAGCTTATATTGTGAGTTTCAAGCTAGAAACAGATGATAACTTGCTCGTTCCCAAATCAGAGCGCTCGTTGCGGAATTATGGGCATCAGCTCGTTATTGGCAACCATCTACACAGGCGCAAGTGGGAAGTGGTCCTTGTTGAACAGACTGCACGTATGAGAACCAAGACAACTGATACGACGCAGCCCTTTGAGCACACATGGATCCGCCTGCCACCAGGAAGCGAGCGGGAAATTGAACAGGATATTGTGCTGGCACTTGCACAACGACATATTGGATGGATTGGCATAGCCTGATATACATAGCATTAGGTATGAGCCATGCCTATTTATGTGAGATGGTCGTGTAAGATAGACGATGATAAGCAATCATGTCATGAATACAAGACAGGAAAGGAAAATGGAACGGATGCGAGTGACACTGAGAAAGGAAAGAGAAAAGAAAAAGGGCAGGGATGGGATGTGTGAGTGAGCGACGCAAGAAACATGACAACAGAAGTGACAGGGCCAAACATACTGAAACATGGGCTCCCAAGAGCCAAATGTTCCACCTATGTCATGGATTCCTCTTTCTTTGGGGGATTGAATACACGGTCAACATTATCGCTGGCAATATGTCAATGCATTGGAAAAAGAAAAAAGAAGAAGAAGAAAAAAAAACGTACCCGTAAGAATGCCGTAGCAAAGTATCAAGTGTATCGCGACAGTCTTTCAAAAGCTCAGACTCTTCATCTTGTAGTTTCTGGACAAGCTGAAGCCACTCATCGCGTCTCTGCATATTGTACCTGAGCTTAGCCTTTGCCACAAGGTACGGCTTTGGCGGTGTGTGGCGCGCAGAAGACGCTAGTGGCTCTGCACCGTCTGTTTCAGAGTCAGACGGCGCAAGTACTAAGCCTTCGTTGTGTAGAAAAGCCATTACTTTCTCGAAGTCACTCGTCTCCTGTGCAGGCAACACGAAGCGGCCATTCTCCGCGGCACGCTGAGCGAGTAGCACATACGATGTCTCTAGCTCATTCGCACGACGCTCATTCTCGACGATGTCAAGCATATCTTCATGCATTCCATCACGAGATTCATCGGCATCGCTCATGATGGAAGCGGGATTCATACCGGCGCGTGGTTGTCCGGCTGGGGGCATGTTGTGCTGCACGCGCATATGTTTCGCGAGCGCGTCAGATCGAGTGAAGGACTTGTCACACTCGGGCCGTGGACACGTAAAAGGCTTTTCACCCGTATGACTGCGCAAGTGGCTCAGTAAAGCAAAACGAGATGTCTGGCTCTTGCCTTTTCGAGGACAGCCTGTCCACTCACACGCATAGCGCGATTTGTGGATTCCAATATGAACTGTTGATGTAAGTCACACGATCAGAAAAAGACTGCACCGGCCCATGACGACCCAGATGGAGAAAAAAAAGACATGAACACGTACATGAATGAAGATGTGCAATGAATGGCTGAAGATCATTGAATGTCTCGCCACAGTCCTCCCACATACATCGGACTTCAGGCGCAGGCTCCGGTGAGCCAGCTGGTGAGCGTGCCGACGGCTTTTCGTCTGCCTCATCCTCGATTTCCGGCTCCGACTCCGACGTCGAGATATCATCCAATGGAATTTGCTTCGACGGCGCCGAAAGCGGCGGCGTCATTGTGCTTGCTGCAGCATCATCGTCCATAGACTTCGACATCTCCTCTAGTCACCTCGCAAGACACAAAGCTCGCAAGCGGGAAAGAAGGCTGATCAAAGCTGATCCGCGCGTGCGTGGCTCGCTGTGCGCAGTGCAATTAAGACCGCGGCGATCTTGTTGAAGGACGCGCTGCAGCTATTGCCAATTGTTGGGGTCTCTGACGCTGTGCCTCGGTCTGTCTGCTCTGCGTGCCATCCTAGTGCCTCCACTACGTACGCTGCCAACTGGCCCAGTTTTCCTTCGCCTGTGCTTGACGCGAGAGGGATCGGCGCAGAGCATGACGTAAGCACCATAGCCTGGCGTGAATGAGCCAGTGTTGCTCTCACTTCGTGTGCAAGTCGGTCGCGACGGCCCATTCCACCCACTCGCCTTGCCATTGAGCAAAGCGGGGCTTGCTGTGTCAGAAGACGTCCAAACGCGCGATACAGAGTTTTACATCTGCGCGATGCTTCCTCGGGGAAATCCACTACGCTTGCGGTCCATTGCTCTATTCAAGGAAGTATGTATTGAAATGATTAACGACGTCAGCTTCATCGTCTTGGACGCGATTATCCCGATCCCAACTACCATTTCATCCCAAAGTTGCGCTCCGCTTTCCGGAAGAATGCGAACCTCACTGACCCGGAACAGATCCAAAAGCTCCATGGACTGGCTGAATTTGTAAAGAAAGGTACGTGCCTATCCTGGGATCAATGATAGGAATATGATGCTCATGCGCATTCTCCAGAGACAGAAAGTATGTATCCTACTACACGCAGCAAGTGCTCCGAGTCTTACACACAACCCACAGCCTTGTACATGCTGAAGAAATACCGCGCACTACGCCGTCGGTAAGTTTGTTTATCCGTATGTGCATGGTCTAATGACATCTATGCAGCTACGTGCAAGACTAGGTAGGTCAAGGCCATCTCAGAGATGCACAAAGGCACTTTTCATACAAATGCGAAAGATCGGCATTCTCTACAGCTTGGGGTAAAACTGAACCACCTGGCCGCCGTCAAGGGGAATCGCAGCACCCGTTACATGACTACCAGCCCGGCTCACGAGGAAGAGCAACAGTCCGCCGATGTCCTCCGGCGTACCAAGTCGGCCTGTTGGCTGTGCATCCTCCAACACTTGCTTATATTCGCCCAAACTCCAGGCCGTCATGCGACTGGGAAATACCCCAGGACACACCGCATTCACCAGGATGTTTTTCTCCGCAAGGTCGACAGCCATGGTGCGAGTGAGATGAACAGACGCTGCTTTCGACGGCTGGTAGCTGTAGGTTCCTGTGCCAGGAGCAGCGAGAGGTCCTCCAGCTTGGGGCATGAAAGCAGCAACGGACGCCACATTAATGACAGAGGCATGGTGCGTGTTGGTTTTGTTTTTCTCGAGCAGGGGGATTAACGCCACGGTCAAGTAAAACTGGCTCTTTACATTCAAGTGAAACACTTTGTCCCAACCCTTGTCTTCTGGAAAGTCATCGCGCGGTCCTCCCCATGTAAGGCCCGAGTTGTTCACGAGAATGTCGAGCTCTGACTCGCGCTTCATCAGCTCGGATGCAAGGGCATCACACCCAGCCTTCGAGGCCAAGTCAGCCTGGATGGGAATGCATGCTGTACCAGGTGGCCAGGTGCCTTGGCTGGGCGCAACTTGGTTCATTTGTTGCGCGGCCTCCTTGAGCTCGTTCATTTTGCGCGATGCTATGTAAACTTTTTGCCGGCGTCAGCGACACAGTCACCACCATCGACCACTTCTTACCTCGCGCACCATTCTGTACTAGGGTAGATGCCATCACTTGACAGTCAGCATTGATTCCATATGTGCATGCATGTATGTGTTTCACAAGTTTATAACATACTTTTGCCTAAACCAGAGGCGCCGCCAGTCACTAGCGCAATCTGTAATTGCCCATAAGTATTTCGAGTCCCATTGACGAACCTTGCCGCTTGTATCAAATAGATTGCACATGCGCAAATCAGGCATAACGTCAGGAGCCGCGTCTTTCGGCATGGTTTTCAAAGCCAAGATGACCACGAGCGATGGAAGGAAAACGTCTACCCCGATAAGGTTGTGGGCGCGTGCGACGACGTCCAAAATGGGGCCTGACTCACCTCCGCAACCCACCCCACTTGATTCTGACGTGGAGAAAACAAACCAGTCTGTGTGCATAGGTGACAATTGATTCGCTCGATTCACTCGCTTGACACATGGGAATATCGTCTGAAGGCTTTGGGATTAAGCGATCAGATATTCTTACTCCAATGAATCACGGCATTCCCGACTACTATGCGGTACGTGTTGATGTGCATATTTATATATTCTCTTTCTCTCTCAAAATTGCTTGGCAAGCGTGCTGACAAGCTGTGTGTGTATACGCATGTCTAGATCCTCCATGTAGACGCGAAAGCAACGCAAGAGGACATCAAAAAAGCGTACCAGCGCGAGTCGCTGAAATGCCATCCCGACAGGTTTCCACATGCGAGTGATGAAGAAAAGCGACACTATACGCAAACATTTCAGAGTGTCGCAGACGCTTGTACGTACAAAATGAATGAAGACCAACGCGAAAGATTACATTCTCTCCGACACGAAACGGCGTGCCGAGTACGATGCAACACGTTTATCGTCTTCGTCGAGCGCGCATGCTGATTTTTCCTTCGAGCATACGCCGCAGCCTAATGCACAGACACAGTTTGCCAATGTATGGGCAGACTTGTTGCGTCCCGAGATCGAGCGACAACGTATGTGTTATTCTGCATGACCATGCGATCGACCATGTACTAACGAAGCACTAGTGCCTGTATGGCGAACAACTGGCACAGTGTCGGGAGCGGCACTTGGGTACATTATCGGAAACATACCAGGCGCGATTGGGGGAGCAGTGGTGGGCCATAGCTTGGGTGCTGTCCGTGATGCAAAAGGCCGCGCAGTGAGTGAGGTCTTTCTTTCTTTGCCTCTGAGTGCACGCGCCAATGTACTGCGGGCGCTCGCATCCAAGGTTCTAGAATCGCTGTAGCTATACATACATATGCACTCGCTTCTATACGCTCGTGCTGGATGGGTCCCACATTCAGGCTAGAGGATCAGCCGGACTCGTGCCGATGCCCGGTAGGGGTATGTGCCAGAAATGTGGCCACACAACGTTGTGCTCAAGCCACGAGCGGAGACGAGCCAAAAACAGCTCCTCGATCTTTGGCACGTCCTGCAGCTTGCTTTTCGAGCCCAGAATCGTCGACAGATGGGCGTCTAGCACAAAATTCGGATGCAAACACACTCGTGCCTGGACCGGCGTAGGTTCAGGGAGCGTTCCGATCTCGAGCACGAGCGTGCCGGCGAACCGCTCAACACGCATGCACAAATTCGCTGCAAGAGAGCCAAAGCGCCACTGCGGAAAGTGAAGCCACATGCGCGTATCAATGCCGAGTGTAAGTGCATCCATGTACTCAAAGTCAATTTCCACAAGTGTGCTTTTTGCATGCAGTGCGGGACGCACACGAGCGTGTGAGAATGTCGGATAGCGGCATCCCATGTCGATGTCAGTCACGACCAGCCTATCGAGAAAATGCTTCGTCGCGCGTCCCTGCATAGCTTCGTTCAGCACACGTTCCAAGGCTAGCTTCGCGGCGGTCTTTTCTGCATTGGCCGTGGACGGGAGGGCTGGTTCATCCATGTCCTCGTTCCTCCCAGCGCACATGCCTGCATTGAGGATGCTCATGCGGTAGCTCATGAGGAGCTGCGCTACAAGGACGTTGAGCCAGTCGAGAGACTCGGGCGCGTGCTCAGATGGATCGTACCGCACTTGTGAAAGTAGATCCTGCACACATGCCTGGACGCCTTGCTCATACGGCACACGCGCATAGGGAGGCACATGACTGCGCATGTCCATGGATGTGCGTACAGCATGCACGCGCTGGAGCAGGTCTGCTTGCTGCTGAGCACGAGTGCCCGGTGACGATGTCATGAAGAAGTACCGAAACAAACCCAGAAACAACATAAGAAGCACGGCTTGCCCGGCCATAAAGCCTTGGATGAACGACAGCGACGGAACGATCCATGTCCAAGCTTCTGCAGTAGAAGTTCCTACCTCTTCGTCCATGTATGCGTGTGTCTTGCTAGCGCCTGACTTGAGCGCCTGGCCCCCTCTTTCTAACGAACTTGATGGCAAATCAAATGAATGGATGGGCCCTTCTGCCCAAATCGCGCGTCCCTGCATGGGGGCATGTGTGCGGGTGGAGATGTCGTAACATGTGGAGAATACTCTCGTCTATAGACGCGCGTAGCGAAGCAGGAAGGAACGCGACCAGACTTCCTTGGGACCACAGCTGGCGCCCAAGACTCGTCCTCGCCCCCTTCTCTTCGGCACACCGCCTACAGACCAGCGCAGCCTCATCCCGGCTTTCTCGTGACTCATATTCCGCATCACGAGTCACGAGAATTGGCATGCACGGATGGAATCGCGGAACAAAGGCCACGCACATGGCCATGTGCTAGATGAAACACCAGATGCACGGACAGATCCCCGATTAGCTGTGATCCACGATCAACAAGGCAATGCGGAAGAGAGCCACATAATCACGGCTTCCGAGTCCCCCGGCTCCAAGCATGCTTCAACCAAGCTGCCGGACCCATGGGCACTACGAGACTCGCCGACGCCGTTGTCGCCAGAGGCGCCGGCAGCTCCTGCGGCGGAGCAGCCGTCACTCCGCGTACCTGTGGGATTTCGTGGGCCGCAGCCCCACGAGGATGATGCGCAAGATACAGCACCTGCGCCCACGTGGATACCATATGCTTCTAGCGTTGGCGCCCTTGGCACTGTACCGAATGTACCGATGAACAAAAATGGATGGCGATATGTAGCGGCTGGTCCAGCTGCACATCGCCTCCCACGCACTGTCTACCGAGCAATAGACATGGCACCTGCGTGTGTGCACTGGTCATGGCAGGACCGCAGTGCGTTTACACGCATTAGTCACGACGCATCGATCGTCGGCACGGACAAAGGATACCGCAGTGCACGTACGAATGTCGGCGTGCGGCACGGCGCGTGGTACGTCGAAGTCGAGGTGCTCTCTCCGGATGCATCAAGTGAGCCTGCGACTCCTATGCGAGATGGTGCGCATGTCCGTGTAGGCTGGGCACGTCGTGAGGCGTCGCTCAATGCACCTGTTGGCTGCGACGCGTACAGCTACGGTTTTCGCGATCAAAATGGCGCTTGTGTGACACAGTCACGCCTTGTTTCATTCGGACGTGCATTCGGCCCAGGGGATGTGGTCGGCATGTACATTCGCTTGCCCGACAGAGATGCGCCGTTGCCTCGTGGAACGGAGCATGGTATAGCACAGAAACGCATTCCCATCCGCTACAAAGGTCAGTTGTATTTTGAGAGCCTGGAATATGCACCGACACGTGAAATGGAAGCTCTGATGGACGAGCAGCGGCGCACGGGTGCCGTATGGACAAGTGAGCCGCGTGCACGAGCTGGTGTCACCACTACGGTCGGAGCAGGCGGACCCACGGGTGCCGGACCAAGTTCGGCAGGTCCCTCAGCACGAGGAGGAGCTGCGGCACAAGCAGGCAGTCCAGGTTCGGCTGCTGCGGCGATTCCACGGCTCGAAGATAGCTGCATTGGGTTTGTCGTCAATGGCGAACCACAGGGAATTGCGTTCGTCGATATGTATGATTTCCGGCCCCCCGCATCCCGTGCACATAACAAGAAACGTAAAGAGAACCAAGGGATCACGCCCAACACAAGTGCAAGCACCGTCATCAAAAGCCGACAAAATACTATGGACGATGGCATGCTTGGCTACTATTGCATGGCATCCATGTACGGTGGTGCTCGGGTCCGCCTCATTACGTCGAATTTCAAGTTCCCGCCGCCAGCTGATCTAGAGGATTCATTATGGCGTGCGGGCGCAGCGCCCAATATTCGACACCACCGACAGCATGCAGCACCAGCATGGCGCCCACTAGCAGAAAGATACGCTGAAGCATGGACGGAGGCGATGTTCCTCGATGAGCAAGAGGATCAACGTGTAGCATCGACTGATGGGACATAGTTGACTTGCGCCGGACATAGATGACAAAAGAGATCAAAACAAACAAAGAAACAAACAAACAACAGTCTCTCTTGCGCTATCGTTGAATTGCAACTACTTGGCCTTTTCATCAAACACGATATTTTTCTCATGGAGCCCGCCATCCGCTTCACTCGGCATTTGATCAAAAGGTTTTTTGCGCTCAATCAGCATGGTACGTAGATCATCCACGACGTCGCCCTGGATGTGAATCTCGTCAATGCCGGGATTGTGGACACTTTGTGTCACAGAAGCACCTGTCGCGAAACTTGAACTTAGGCTGCGATGTGTGAGTCAGCAGAAACCAACAGAACAAGTGCCAGAAGCAAACGCATAGAATGAGGGAGAGCCCCGCTTCAACCAGATCTATGCTTGCTACGCCCAAGTCGCGCATACGTACCCTTTAGCAATGACCTTCAGCGCAGGAAGAGGCGGCGAAAATTGATGCAAGCCATGCACACACGTAATAACTTTGCGCTTCGTTCGAGATACACGTGAGAGAATGACCTTGGAAGCTGCGAGCTGCGCACGCTCCTTCTCAGCTTTGGCTTGTGCTTTGCGTTCCTTCTTCGCACTGTCACGCTCAAGCGACTCAGCCTGCTCGGTCGTGAGTGACTTGAGCTTGTCTTCTAGCGCTGCATCCGAGTATAGTTGCGCATAAAGTGTTGGATCCCTCGCCTCCAAATTGGCCTTGCACTTGGACAACGACGAACCATATTCACAGTATTCGTATGGGAACGTGCACACTTCACAGTAGCGCGTAGGACGCGCGGGGAATGGATCTACATCAGTCGATGCAGTCCCTGGTGCTGACGCTGGTACCGTCGGAGTCTCAACGGCTGCGTCTGAGGAGCTCATCAAATCCAATTGATTCTTAGAGGCCAGCTACCAAAATGACAGGGCTCGTGTGATGCTCGCACACACACACACACACACGCGCGTCTGTCGAGACGTCCCAAGTACGACGAGCCACGCGACGCCTCAATCCACCTCCAGTCCCGATCGACACGTGATTGAATCGGCGCACACCAAAGTGTGCGTACGTGGCGAGTAAGCGTCATGATCCCTTTTTTCAAGGGCCTGACGTAGCGCCGAATTTCACAGACACAAGGCTGCGTCGCCACGTCCGGTCGTATTCGCAAGATTCGTACCATAGTAATCTCGTATATTTCTATCACGGCACAGTAACTAGGATGATGCTAAGCGAGCTAGTTGGACAATGGACGAACGAAAGAGACCCACATTGTAGTCGAGTACACTCGTGTTGCATTGTTGTATGTTGGAATTGACCACAGCCAAGAGTGCCAAATGGCTGCGCGCGTGAGCAAACCATCACACATTTTCATACGTACTGATTTAGCTGCCAAAAAGCAACGCTGGTGTCGAAGCCGAGGCGCATCACACTCGTGGACCAATCTCGCGTGCGTACCGACGGCTCGGAATGATCGACGTCAGGAATATTGGCATATAGGTCAGAGAATTGGCGCAAAAACTGAATGTATCGGAACAAGGTATCAAATAAAGGGGCATCAAATGGCGAGGTGTCACAGCCAACAAACGTGCGACTCGGCACATCGAATATGTATACCTTTTCAAAGTAACATGATGCACACAAAAGATTACATGCAGTTTCTAGAGCCTCAGACAAGCTCACCATGGGTTGCGCATCAAACGCTGGTGAATGGCATAGCTTTTCTGTAGGCGAGGGACCCTGCATAAGTTGTTGCTGAATGCGAGAGAAGGCGACAAAGACACTTGAGTCAAACACAGATGTCAAATGGAACCGCAGGCTCACGAGCTGATCAAGTCGCGTCGAGTCATCAAGAATGTCCTGTAGTTCATGCGAAGAGTCAATCAGACCTTCATACACGCGCTGCTCAATATCGCGCTGCGTATCGTATTTGTAGTCATCGCTCAATCCATCGACTTTGTTAATAAACACATGCACTTGAATCAAGCGGTTCTTGAGAAATCCCGTTATGATAAGAGCATTCAACCGCACAAGAGCATCGAAGTAGTCATCTTGTGCGTCGATCACAAAAATCAGGGCACTCACACTAGCCCATGGTACGTCCAATTCCAGATTGGGTACAGACGTGCTTGTTGAATCGCTGGGCGCTGATGCCGTCGTCCCGGAATTTTTGGCCGTTGAAGGAGCTGCAGATGCTGACGACACCGGCGCCCGTAGTCCGCCCGTCCAACCGGCTTTCATCAGCATACTTCCTGGTACGTCCCATAGTTCAAGTGGATAGAAAGCATCAATATCGATGATTTGGGTGCGCGTCGTTGGCGTTAAAAATAGGGTATCACTAGGTTGGAACGACTCGTAGATGACTTTGCAAATGCTTGTTTTGCCCGCGCGACGAGCGCCCATCATGAGAATCTTCCTTCTCGATGGATTAGAGAGGCTTTTGGGAGGACGTACAGATGGAAATCCATCCGCCGACTGCCCCTCCGCGTTCAACGGTTTCATGGTTCGTTTCTACGGACGCAAACGGCCCTCGATGTCCGGTGGCGTACAGAGAGAGCCCTTATGCGATGATGTAGTACTTCCATTTTTTTTTGTGGCGCTCGCTGTTTCTTCGCCCACACGCATACACGTACACTCACACAAATCTCAACCCAGTCTCCACATTGTGGCCAGACCCATGTCGTCATTTTTGTCTTGAGCACACACACTTGGGGTTTGTGTAATGTCCCTTCCAACTCCCGCACCTATCTGTTGAGTTACATGCTTAGTCATTGTGCATGCAAATCCCTCTCCAACGCCAAGCAGGATGATTGTGTGTGCTTGTCACCCTTTACATGATATCAACCTTGTTGCTTAGGGCACATATAGCCATAGATATCTGCATGTGTGTGTGTGTGTTTGTAGGACATACTAGTATCCATGTATCTATCTGTAGCGCTGATCCATCCCGAGGTATGGGGGGGGGAAAACGTGACGCAGCGTCCCCACGACGCACTGTGGCTATAAGTATCGTCACCTTCTGTCTTGCGCATCCCATGAGAATGTCTGCAGAAACAAAAAAATTGAAACATTCACGAATATGTGTCATCTCGTGAATAGATTCAACAAAGAGCTGCTGCTGCTGCTGCATCGTAAGCATGCCACTTTCATGACCTGTATACACGCCCAGTAAAACTACGTAAAGAGAGTAAGGCATCGGTCATTTGTTCAGCTCAGGGATGTGGAGGTGCACTACATGTCGAGGTATGTGTGTAAATATTTTCTCGCGCACGCGATGGGTGATGAGCGGACGAAACCCAATACCGCCGCTATTTCCTGATTTGGGTCGGTGCACAGACAACCATGGCGACTAGGAAAAAGGTTCTCCTCAAGGTACGTGCCGACAGTGTCCATGCATGGCACTCTAGTGCTTACACCATTGTCGGATGTTTGTTCTTTGGATTCTGCGTCTAGGTCATTGTACGTATCTAGCTTACACTGACTAACAAGAGATCCTTGGCGACTCGGGGTGCGTTTTTCACATCTTCGGGAGCAGCAAAGCGTGAACGTGCACGAGATGACTAACACAGGGTGCTCATGTAGTGTGGGCAAAACATCGCTGATGAATCAATGTACGTGCGATGCTGCTGGCGCATAGCGTCATCTCCAGACTGAAGTGCGCATGTGCTAACAAGGGAAAGATGTCAACAAGCGCTTTTCGGCTGCTTATAAGGCAACGATCGGAGCTGATTTCCTGACACGAGAAGTCGTCGTGGATGGCCGCGTCGTAACGATGCAGCTCTGGGATACCGCTGGGCAAGAGCGCTTCCAATCTCTGGGAGTGGCATTTTACCGTGGTGCAGACTGCTGTGTGCTCGTGTACGATGTTAACAACCCGAAGAGCTTCGAGACATTGGATAGCTGGCGCGATGAATTCCTTATTCAGGCGAATCCGCACGACCCCGACAACTTCCCCTTCGTTGTTCTAGGCAACAAGATTGATGTGGAAGAAAGCAAGCGTGCCGTCTCGCAGAAGCGCGCGATGACTTGGTGCCAAAGCAAGGGCAATATCCCGTACTTTGAGACATCGGCCAAGGAGGCGATCAACGTGGAGCAGGCATTTCAGACCATTGCGAAAAACGCACTTCAACAGGAAGCAGAGGCAGAACTGTATGCAGACTATCCAGACCCTATACGGATTGATGCATCGAATTCACGCGCTTCTGGCTGCAACTGTTAGGCCAGACCAGCTGCTTCTTTGACTTGGTCTGCAAAAGAAGTCTCATCTGATGGTCGCGCAGCCGTCTCACCCACTTCCCAACGACGCAGCGCTGCAACACGGATGCCGTCAGCTTGGCCTGCGTATGTGTTGGACCATAGTTCGAGTGCGTCACGCACGCTTTTTTGTTCATTTACACTAGGATCTAGGCCAGCCGCAGGAAGTAACATAACAAACGGTTGCGTCAGGAGTGCGCCGCTTGTCTCTGAGCTAGCGTCGCTCGCGACAGCCGCCGTCGCGGAGGGAGCGTCCACCGACGTGGTCGGGAAGCCAGCAGCTTGCCGAGCGAGCGAGCGAGCGAGCGCACGGAGCTGCCGCTTGCGTTCGTCATCGCCGTTGCGGTCATGGTCATGATCGTTGTGCTGAGTGGTCGCCGTGCGCGACATGATACGCTGAGACAGTGGCCCATGCACCTGTACCGCCAACAAACTCGCCACACGTCCACTGGCGAAGGTAGCCGCCACGGGAGTTTGAGGTGCGGGAGGTGCAGATGCAGTACCGTGCGCGAATGAACCACATACAAGAGCACTTCCATGACTCCCGCCGCTGGTGGGTGCCAGGGACGCGACGCGGCCAAGAGCCACTTTCTCACCAAGACGCGCAACGACAGACGTGATTGCCGCACGCACAGATATGACGTCATGCTTGTTCTCCTCAGAAGCCTCGAACGGAATGATGGGACACTCAAGGAATGCGGCCACATCAACGTCGGACAGCACAGCAGACGTCTCAGACGCAGCGACGATCGGGAACCAGGCAGCTGTGTGCGCAATGTCACGAGCCAGAGCGCCGAAGATGTCGTTTCGTGCGACAAAGTCTGTTTCGCAGTTCAGTTCGACCATCGCTGCGCGCGCTCCTGGGCTGCTAATGCCGTCTGAGAGTGTGCATAGCCCAATCGTTCCCTCGGCGGTGACACGCGACGCCACTTTGGCCTCGCGCTTTGCCCCATCAGACGCACGAGTCTGTTCAAGCCATGCAATTGCAGCCTCGACATTGTCGGTGTCGGGGGCATCTGGCGAGCGAGATGCCGTAAGCGCCTCGCGCGCCTTGAGCATCGACGTGCCGGGCAGAGCCTTTCGCAGCTCAGCAATGGCCTGGATCGACGGCCGCGTCTCTTTCACGCTGCTGGATGCACAGAAGCAGCGTGCCAAATGAGCAACGGGTCTCATCGCACGCATGCGCAACGAAACACCCAAACAAAGAGACATGCTGTAGATCAGACGACAAGGACGACCCCAACACGCGCCAGAGCTCTGGGTGAGCGTTCAATAGCTAATGAGAGGCGCCTCCTTTCCCCTGCAGGAAAATAAAAAAATGGGACCAAGTGGAGGGGGCCCAGCGGGGGCAAGGCTGCATGCGCCATGCAGAGAAAGCAGGCAGCCAACGAACTGGATGGATGACAGACCCACGACGCTGACGGTGGATGGATTCACGTGACCAGCCAGACATTGACTGGGACGCGTGGGCAGCGGCGGCGGCGGCAACAACGGCGACGGCGACGGCGACGGCAGCAGCAGCAGCAGCAGCAGCGCCAAGAGACGACGAATTGTACATCTTCCTCCTCCTCCTCGGTTTCAAAGCGACCGAGTGGCGGCGATGAGTGAAGCGGCCGCAAGACAGCAGCAGCGGCTGAGCGATGCACAAAAGTTCATTGAAAAGTGGTGCCAGCCGGGCGCATTGACACTGCCGGATGTGAAGGCACGATTGCGTATGTACATGTGGTGGAAAAGTAGGCAACAGAACTGACCAGGCATGACAGCGCCACGAGAAGCCCCGTATGAAGAGCATACACAGCCAGACGATGCATGGACTGGCTTTAGTGTCCAACGCCGACTTCCCATACCCAGCATTGTCTTTGAGACCATTACAAGTCGTGCGCCGGTTGCGACGCTGGCCTTGTTCCCAGACATATCACGCGCGTGCATTACGGTGGAAAATCGTCTGTATTTGTGGGATTATGCCAATGGCCAAAGCGCGTTTGAGTACCATGAGCTGCCAAGCGATGACTTGATCTTAGCTGTCGGCCTGGTCCGCGTGCGTCCAGGTGTCTTTATTGATGGCATTAAGCATGTGTTGGTGCTGTCCGTTGGCCCCACGGCTGTCGAAGGTCGGCGCGTCACCCTTTTGGGCGTGGAACTCCTGAACTCACAACAGCAACAGCAGCAGCATCAGCAGCAGCAGCCACAATCACAACAACAACAACAACAACAAACCTACTCTAGTTCTATCCCTGGTGCACCTACAACGCCTCACGCTAGTGGTTCAGGGATCAAGCTTTACGAGACAGGCATGAGCGCCGCTACCAATGGCATCGTCATGCGTGCCATTCACGGCACCGACAGCGGGCGCGTATTCTGTGTAGGAAGTGATCAGTGTGTGCATGAGCTTGTGTACCAAGCGCAGGAGGGCTGGTTCCGTTCGCGCTGTTACTTGTACAACATGACGCAGCCACACTTGGCGAACCTGCTTCCGTCGTTCTTCAAGACAGACAAGAAGGTGTCGATGATTTCTATCGACAATGCGCGCCAACTTCTGTACGTGCTGCGTGACGGCGATCAGATCGACGTGTATACGTTGGGCTCGAAAGATGCCTCTCGCGCACCATCTCATAACGGCAGCATGTACGGTGTGACTCGGCAGGCGGGGCCTCTTGCATTCGCAGCAGCATGTAGGCCCTATTGTGTGGCTCGGTCCCACGGAGCCAGATCCTCGTTCAAGCGTATGCCTGGTTGCCGTGACGGAGCGTGGCTACCGCCTGTATTTGGACGATTTCCAGCGCCGTTCCTGGGCTCAGCTTGCACTGCGGATTCCTCCCGGCTCGTCCCATGCGCGGTCCTTGCCGACGGTGCAAGCGGCACCGAATCTTGCGATGCTGTACACGGGGCAGGGCCCAGGACACCCGCAGCTGTTCACAAGCACGGCGTCGTCTAGCACAGGCGCTGCGCCAGCGGCTGCCTCTGTGCCAATGGCGCAGCGAGCGACGTCCGCCCTGTACGTGAATGGCGTGTTCCTCTGTGCCTTTGCAGCATCCCACACCATGGGTGCCCACCTGTATGCCATGGGACCGTCTTCCCCGGCCACAAGCGCGACACTGACATACGCATCTGGTGTGAATCCGGCATGGCAAGAAGGCGCAACGCTCATCCATCTCGGTGCCGGCGGCACAGCGCCAGTGCTCGCCGAAGCAAAAGTGCCCGCATCCCAATCTGTGCTGATGCACGGCGCCGTGTGCCGTCCATGTGCAGCGCAGACGACCATGCCGCCCCGTGTGTTCCTCGTCCTCGATGCGAATGGACTTACAGAGCTGGTCGAACGGCGCCCCGCCGACGTGCTTGCCGACCTGCTTGGCAGCGCAGCCAGCGCCGCTGCCTCAGTCTCATCGGCGCCTGCGATTGTCGACTTTTTCAGTCGGCACGGCCCCGTTGAAGCCTGCATGTGTGCATTGGCACTGGCCGCGCAGAACCCGTGCGTGGTGCCTCGGCACCATGCGCGGGACGACATGGCGCATGCGATCCGCGTGTTCTTCGGTCCGCTGGGAGCGTGGCCTGCTGAGCAGCGTGTGCCTGGTATGCAGTCGGCGCATTTCGGCACGATACGAGGCGCTGGCGTGCTATATGGCATGCCTCGTCCGCAGTGTATGGAGAGAGCCCCTTGTGCCAGCGAGCTACATCGATGGCCGGGAGCCGGCATCGGCAGCAGCGTCGCCGCCCCCCATCGTCGGGAGTGGCCGACTGGCGGCTGTTCTCGCACAGATGACACCCCTCTATGCCTTCATGCAGCGACACACGCAGCTCTTTGACGACGAGCGCTCCGAGCGCCAGGACGTCCAGAAGTGGCATCTTCTGCTGCAGCGCATGATGGAGGCGTGCCACTTCGTCCTGTTCCTCGCCGACCACCAGCTGCGGACCCTTGCGAAGGCGCTTCCCGATGACGTGCAGAAGCGCCTCACAAACCTCACGTTCGCTGAGCTCGTCGCCAGTGAGCAGGGCCGTAGCGTCGCGCAGGAGCTTGTGACAGCATTGATCGAGTCGCAGAGCGGCGCGCGGGCGAGTGTCGATGCTATTGCCGAGGCACTCCAAGCGCGGTGTGCCGGCTTCTGCAGTGCAGACGACGTGCGGCAGTACAAGGCGTCTGAATGCCTGCGCAACGCGACGGAGCTCTATGCACGACTTTGCGCCGAGAGCGCGACAACATTCGATGCGGTCGATGAGGAATTGGCACAGAGCCTGCGCTTGCTTTTGCCGGGCGCTGCCCATCTTCCCTGGGACAAGCTTTCGCATGTTTGCTCGACGTACGAGCAGCTTGGCTACGTGAGCGGCGTCGTCACCCTTGCACTAGCATGCGCGCGAGCAGCTGATCCAGCCGATGCGGCCGTCTCGTTCCGCGCAGACGGATGCCCACCGGACGAGCCGACGTCCCACCGCTATGCCATGTACACCCTTCGCCGTCGGATGTATGCGCTTGTCCTACGTGCCATGGAAACGGTCGAGGATGGTGGTGGTGGTGGTGGCAGCAACAGCAGCAGCAGCAGGTATGCCAATGATGCAGGTACAGTCACATCGTCGAAGCTCTTGCTAGCACGTCCCACTGCCCACAAAGATGCCATGAGCCTCGCCCTGGCTAGTGATGATGCGCTCTTCCACGAAGAACTGTACACATACCTGATTGCCAAGGGCCGCACGGCTGACTTGCTCAGCTGCACGACGCCCTTCCTTGCCGACTTTTTGCTGGGCACACCTGTTCTTCTGGACGGCCAGTCTCTAGAGACGTACGAGCGTCGCCTTCGAGATCTGCTGTGGCAGTTGTATGTGCGTCAGGGTCAGTACCTTGCCGCTGCTGAGACACTCGACGCCCTCGCGCACACGGACATGTACCCGCTGCACCTGCACGAGCGGATCGAGTACCTTGCCTTGGCGGTGGGCAATGCCAAGTCGGTGCGTCCGTCCGAGGCAGCGGCCCATGTGCAAGATCTCGTGGGCTTCTGCACACAGGTGGAAGAAGATCTGGAAGTCGCTCAGGTGCAAGCGAAGATCCTCAGTGCCTTGCCGCGACTCGACACCCTCGACTGCGAGCCAGAAGAGCGTGCGCAACTGACGGCATCAGCAGCACAACTGGATCGCTCCCTCATGGACATTACGTCGCTGTACAAGGAGATCGCCGAGCCATTTGGCCTCTTGGAAGAACAGCTTTTGATCCTCCACACAGCTCAGTACCAAGATGCTGACCTGGTGGCGCAACTGTGGGAAGCACTCATTGCCCGCGAGCACAACGCCAGCTCGCCTACGCAAGCACATCGCGCTGTCGCCGCTTTGGTCACTGACGTGTATGTGCGTCTCAATGGCTCGCCCATCGCCTGCGCACTGGACATTGTGCTCGTCCTGCTCGAGCGGTATGCATACGACACGTACATCGCCTCTCAGGGCGACATGCCGCTGGGATCCGCTCTGGACTGGCATGCATTTGCTACAGTCACACGCGCAACATCCTCGGTAGCGGCAGCGGCGGCGTCGCCGTCGCCGTCGTCAACGTCACCCGCTGCGACGGACGGTCCCTCGACCGCAAAAGGATTGATCCCGCCTGGTTGGGCACCGCGTGTGCTTCTCGAGGCTGGTGCTCCGCCCGATGCCCTTTTCCATGTGCTCCAAGGTCTGTTGTCCATGGCACCTGCACCATGGAACACGAATCGCGGCGTTGGGTTCCTGCTACCCGACGTGGCCGAGTTCTGTGAGGCATGGCTTCGTCGCACAGATCAGAACAAGTATACGCTCTTCCCCGCACACCAAATTGAGCAGGTCCTGAGTGACGCACTTCTCCAGCTTCATTCACGGCGGTATACACGGTCTGACGAGGCGTTGGATGCACGGATCGAGCAGATCCAAGCGCTTGTGCATCGTGTGCGCCGTTCTTTTTAGTGACATAGAGTGTTTTTTTTTCCCTCATGACCCGCAGCAATTCACATCGATGCACCCTCACCCTATCCTGGAGTCCGTGGCCTGCAAGTGAGTGCGTCTGTCAGCAGGATCCAGATCTTGATCAGCAGTCCTGTTGTGTCGTGGGCACCGTCTGTCTCATGCTGAGGCTCTGAATCCACGTGCGTGCCAATAGTCTAATGGATTCTCTCGTGCCTCTGACTACATTCGTCTCACCTTCAACACATGTGTGTGTGTGTGTGTGTGTGTGTGTGTATTGCAGAGCTTAGCGTAAACTTCCGGCCGCGCCACCTGTCCTCGCATCTTGCATCGTTTCCCTATGCACATCTCGCTACTCACATTGGCGACTTCGCTCATCACCTCCACTTGGAGCCAGCCAGCTCCATGCGCCCGCTCGTAGCGTATGACGATCTGCCGCACGAATCCGATGCGGTCGAGCAAGTGGCTCCCAGCAAACGACGAAGACGCACGCATGAATCACGCTACACAGGACCACACTGGGATGCACCGGAGGATCCCGCAGACGCAACGACATCCCGTGCTGCTGTTCCTACGCCATGGAGCGACGAAGCAGACCAGGCACAAGACTCACTCGAGCCACGGGGCTGGGACTTGTATGACTCGGACGATGCGATGATTGCTTCACCACATGAGGAGTCTCATATAATCCCCTTTTTCACAGATACAGATCAATTGCCGGAAAGCTCTCATACACTCACTGCCGACGACATATGGGACGATAAGTTCCTAGTCGACGTCTGGAATGCCGCTGAACAAGAATATTGCGATTTTCACGCTCGTCGCTCAGAGGCAATTGAGCATTCCGATAGCAAATGGCATGGACTACCGCACGTCGGTACTCCGATTGCACTTCCTCTTCCTCCGCCACCGCCCCCGCACCTCACTACGTCGCACACCGGCACGCCAGAGCCTACACGTGGGTGGACGTTGGCTCAGAAGATCGTTGCCCAGACGCCCAACTGCGTCGGTGGCCGACATTCTACACATGCCCAAGCACACGATCCACACGCGTTCCAAAACGCAGTCATGGCATGGTATTATGCCGGGTACTATACAGCGCTCTATCAAGCCGAGCCGACACAACCCGCGTCACAGCCAGCGTCACAACCCTCGAACACAACAGACACAGCATCTTCACGAGCACCGTCCCCCCTCAGCGATGTTGCATCAAATACATAGCCGTCTCAAATGCAAGTAATGCGCCTGCATTCGTCGGGAAGGCCCGCAGTGCACATGTAAGGTACCCCGTATATATGCGGCGCAATCGTCGTGGCAAGCCAAGGACCCCACATTCCGACTCACGCATGTTAGGCGGCGTCCACAGCTCGACAGCCGCCTGCCACATACCTCGGGTGCCGCTAGCGTACCGTGGTTCGTGCAAAGAAACGGCCATAATCCGGTTTTTGATCACATCCGCAGGGTATGCCGTAAACCAAAATACCTCAGCTGCCAAGCCACCCGCAAAGAATGTGACACTCGCAGGCGACAGGAGCCATGCATACATCCAAGACGCATCTTCCCGATGCTTGGACGCCCATGCCCCGAGCTGACGCTGAAACACCTCGTACGACGCAAACATCGGCCCAAAGCTCGTGCGAAATAGGAGCGTCGCCGGTAGGGCGCGCCACAAGCCACGCACACCCGTATATCGAACGACTTGTCGTACACAGTCCCATGTGCTGGAGAACTCGGCGCCATGCGCTTTGCCGTACGACGAAAACGTCTCTTTTTGCATCTGTAGCTTCGTCTTTAGCAGCTCCACAGGGGCAGTAAGAAACGAATTGGTCCATCCTGCACCCACACCAGCCAGGCCCTGGTATGCCACGGGCAGCTTGCCGTCCCGCTGGTGGCGTGGACTCCAGCGCATCAGCATACGACGGTATGTATGCAGGGATCCTAGCAAAACCGAATCAGTGACCATCCATCCAAACGCTGGTGGTATGCAACCTTTGTACAAAGCCCATATCGACTCATTTTGGACCAAGGAGCGGAGACATGCCATCGGCCCGCGGTACGAGGCTGGATCACATTGCAAGCGGATTTTCACAGTGTCGAATGGGTGCCCAATCGCTAGTTTCGTGAGACCCGAGACGACACCACCCACGAACCCCTTGGCTCGCTCACGCCATTCCAGCTGCTCTCTCGGCATGCAAAACCCGAAAACTAGATTCGCCCCAACTTTCAAAGGCACAAGCTGTTTCTCTTATCTGCCCGCAGCTACAGTCGGCATACATGTGGAGAAATCTATCTCCATGGATGTCTGCGCGTATTTCTTTCGTCCGTGAACTGATTCGATCAATCCAAGCGGCCCTGTCGGTGCGTAACAGCTAGAGAGAGAAAGAGAGAGAAAGAGAGAGTTGGATGCTCGCGGTCAATTCACAGGCGTCAAGCACAGGCTACCCAATTCAAAAAGAACGCGCCTACTCGTACAGCAGCGAAGTACCACGTCTCCACACATCAATGTGACGGAGGCGTGCAGATTTCTCCACACGGACTGGCACAGCGAGAGCAGTTCGGTGATTTCCTGGAGTCCTTCTGTGAGGACGACACGCTTGCGCGTCGCATCCACTTTGAGCATGCCATCAGAAGTGCCTGCTCCGTCGCTTACACTAGGCCGCCCTTTCCGAAAAGGTGGTAGCGCCTCTTCACGCTCCGTCTGCTCCGATGGAGATGCCGTGCGTGCGACAGATTCTGATGCTCTTGGCTCTCGCTTAGCTGCATGTCGCGCGGGGTATCTAACTCCCGACGTATACGCCGAATTATTGGCCACAGAAGCACCTGTCCCAAGTCTGTCGATTCGACGTCCACCACTCATTAGTATTGGAACATACCTGCGCTCGTGCGAGACAGACTCACTTGTGCAACACTTCATCGACACTGGAACCATCGGACCAACTGATTCCTTCGACGGTCGCGCTCTTTCTTCTCCATCAAAAGTGCAGATCATTAGCCTGGGAGCCGGAAGTGATACGCGTTTCTGGCGCATGGGCTGCGTACCAAAAGTGGCACGCTACATTGAGCTGGACTTTCCTGAAACGACTGCACTCAAAGCTGCGTGTATCCAACGGCACGCACCATTGCATGAAGCTCTAACAGATGTACATATAAGCGAACATGTATTCGAATCATCCAAGTATGTCTTGGTTGGTGCCGACATTGGCTCCCTTGCTACTCGGCACGAGTGGGAGACCAGAGTCGGTCGCTTCCTTGATGCTTCCCTGCCTACGTTAATTCTGTGTGAATGTGTGCTGGCCTACATGGATGTGAGCGTCGCTGATGAGATGCTCCGTACATGTTTCAGCACGCTTGGGCAGGTGAGTCTGCTCAGTTATGACATGTGTGTCAGCGGTGACAGGGAAGACCGACCTCATGACCACATTGCTCATGACACAGAGCCAACACGTTTCGGCAAGGTCATGCTGCAGAATCTCAGCGCGCGCAAGCTCATATTACCTGGCGCACGTCAATGCACGACGCCAGCTGCATATAAGGAGCGCTTTGAGCAGCTCGCACGTTCAGAGCGCGCCTATTCTTCTTGCAGTGCCGCACATACACTTCGTGACGCGTGGCACAATCTGGACCGGAGGGAGAGGGCGCGTGTGTCGATGCTCGAACATTTGGACGAAATTGAAGAGCTTGAAATGTTGCTCGGACATTATTGCATGGCTTGGATAGATCGGATTATTGTACAGTAGAGTGGCTTCCACGCCCACGCTTTTTGTTCCGCCGGCGCTGCGAGGTGGGCTGTGATATGGAGGACACGTAAGACTGTGATGAAGTGCCGGAACGACCTGCAGGTGTAGCATGAGACTTGCTCGGTGCAGAGCCTTCTGGCAGGCCCCCAGCTTTGCCCGCGGACTTGCCGGCCGACTTGCTCTTCTTCACACTTAACGGATTCGGTCCTTTGGCCCGTTTACGTTTTGGCGCTGCCGGCTGAGATGGTGCATTTGCATTAGTAGATGCTGGAGAGAAAGCTGGCGTCTGAAGAATGCGCTGCTCCTCGATACTGAGTGCTGACTTCGATTGCTCCATATGCCTGATATGCTGCTCCGTCACATCACTCATGGGTTCAAGTACAAGCACACTCTGTGAATAATGTACGATGGGCAAACCGGGCACCGAGCGGCGCAGAGATCGGCGCACTTGTACATCATCAGCTGCTAACATATACCTATGCTGGTTCTTCTCGCCAATCACTGATGCAAGACATGCGCCGGCCGTTTGTGTCCCTTTGTGATTGCATTTACGCCGCTCCCATGTCTTGGCAAGTGCAATTGCTTGTTTGTACGTTTGCTGCTCGTCGGAGTTCTGTAGTTCGTTACGAGCATGGTTCTCCGCATCATACAGTGCTGCAATGCAGCACTGCGTGATCATAGGCTTCACTTTCCCGTGCAGCACCGAGCCAAGTTGCTTGAGTGGCTCATGCACTTGAAATCGTACAAGCGCCTCGGCAAACGTGGGGTCAATCAGCACTTGATATGGCTCTCGAAAGTGATAATGCAGTACATAATGGTGCAACAGCCGACGATAAGCTTTGGCTCTTTTCTGCCGCATGCTTCAGTCGTACTGTGTGTACCAACACTGCTGTGCGCCGTCGCGTTCAGACCTTCACAAATACTTGAGGATGAAGGAACCGTAAAAAAATAATTATAATAATATTATACGATCTTGTTGCTTACGTTGGGTCGGTAATGGGTTGAATTTTTTCTTCGTCTCGGCTGCCGTTAGTACCCACTCCTCCACCGTGTGACCCCAGACTCGCGAGATCGCACACGAAAATCCTCCGATGTCGGTCGGTCTTCTACTGTGGGCTGAGACCTGTGATGATTGTGTCACGTGAGAAGAACGAGCCGTAGAACACGCGATTTGGGTATTCCGTGCATGACGCATGATCAGATCATGTTGGTACAAGGGGCGACCACAACGAGTAACAGCATGGTACATGAAGATGCACAAGCGCGCGAGAGTGCACATGCAAATAATCACGTCGACAATCGCTCCGGATACGACGTGATTCTAGTCGGGGCAGGCATCGTAGGATCTGCGTTGGCCACGTCGTTAGCACGCGCAGGACGACGTGTCCTCGTGCTTGAGCGTGACATGAGTGAGCCAGACCGCATTGTAGGGGAGCTTCTACAGCCTGGAGGCGTTCGTGCACTACAACTGCTTGGGTTGGAAGACGCGCTTGACGGTATCGATGCGGTTCCTGCTGAGGGCTATGATATTTTTCTGAGTCCCCGCGAACATGTCAAGATACAGTATCCACATATGGCCGAGTTGCCCACCCGATACGGACGCAGTGAGCCGCTGGGCCCAGACATGCATTATGCGGGTCGTTCATTTCATCATGGTCGTTTTATTATGGCACTACGCTCCCGCATGCAAGCGCAGCCCAATGTGTCGGTTGTTGAAGCAGCTGTTACCTCCCTTGTGCATGACCCACGAGACCGTCGTGTGGTAGGTGTACGTACGGCGACGTCCGACGTATATCATGCTCCAGTTACTATTGTAGCAGACGGAATCTTTTCAAAGTTCCGTAAAGAGTACGGCGGCGCTTACAAGCCGGAGATTCGCTCACACTTTGTCGGGATTGAGTTACCACCCGAGTCTGTACTGACGCCAAAACATGGCCATGTTATTTTGAACCAAAAGGCTGCGAAGAGAGTGGCTCCCGGGAAAAGTGTAGGGCCCGCACTCGTTTATCAAATCGGTTCCGACGCCACGCGCTTGCTCGTGGATGTACCGGGACCTGTGCTGCCGTCTGTGTCGAATGGCGATTTGCAACGCTACTTGAGTGAAGTTGTCGTGCCATGTCTTCCTGAAAAAATTGGCGTGGCATTGACCAAGAGACTTGCAGACCATACACGTCTGCGGACCATGTCGAACAGTTTTTTGCCGCCCAGCATGCAAGGTATGCTGCAGCATCAGCGCGGCCTGATTCTAGTGGGCGATGCGATGAACATGCGGCATCCCTTGACGGGTGGCGGCATGACAGTGGCGTTTTGGGACTGTGTATACTTAACACACATCCTCGGCTCCGGTGCATGGTCGCCCCTAGACGGCTTTGACAACACATTCCCAGTGCCAGCTTCTGCGCGTGATCTCTCAGATTGGACCAGTTTGAAACCACTACTGCGAGCTTGGCATTGGAAGCGAAAGAAGCTCGCGAGTGTAATTAACATACTTGCTATGGCGCTGTACAGCCTGTTTGGTGTGCCGAATGACAACCTCACAATCCTACGTGCTGGATGTTTCCGCTACTTTGAATGTGGGGGAGATTGTGTTCGAGGTCCGATCAGCTTGCTCGGTGGACTTGCTCCCGATCCAATGCTCCTCGTGTACCACTTCTTCGCTGTTGCCGTATACAGTGTTCGGTTGATGTTCCGTGGCGACCTCTACGCGACGGGGGGCGAGAAGTCTCAGGTACAACGTCCCCCTCTGACTACGTGGCCACTGCTATGTGTTCGTGCACTGGTTGTAATGGCATATGCATGCTACGTGATTTTCCCTATCATTTACACGGAAATTCGCACGAATATCGCTACGAATCAAAGAGCTTGGTTATGGCCCAGCTGCCTCGCCCTTGGTGTTGCTGTGGTCGCCTTGGGCGCGTCGCGTTACGTGACGTGAGGAGGGCAATTGTTGCTTTTTTTTTGTAATTTTGACCATGCACTCGTACGTATAAGCGTGTTTGACACCTCGTTCTTCACAGGTTTCTCTTCCCTTTATTGTTAAAAAAAATCCTTCATGTTGGCTGACATTCTGGTTTCATAGGTCCTCGTATGATACCCATGCACCTCTCTAATCAAGGCGATCGATCTAAACGCCGATCGTGTATCACGTGATACGCACACACTCATGTCGGCGGGCGTAGCCGAAAGAGCTTCTGTTTCTGGCCCTTCCTCATCGATCGCGAGTGTCAACAGAACAATGGCATTCTTCGGTTTCCGTGCATACCCAACGCCTATTCTGAAGCCCCTGTGGCCTTTCTTCGCCTCGTCGGCTATTGTGTACTACTGCGTTAGCAAGATGCAGTACGCAGGTGTGCGCTCGAGCGAGTACGCAAAGGACCCTAAGAACCCGTACCGTACGTTGATGATGCCTATGGCTCTTGGGAACGATGACTAACGCTTGTGCCTCTCTTTTACCTGGATCCTAATGATTGCGTGACTTCTTGATGGTCCCACTCTATTCCGTTGTATTTGTCTCGCATCTGTCAATTTGATGGCACTGATCACGATGATGAAAATAATGATTATAACCGAACTTTACACGTTTGTTTTGCATTTGCATCACTGCAGTCAAGCAAATTGCTCAAGAGTCCAAGTTGGGTCATTAAATGGACCGTTCTACGACTAGCACCACGCTTGCTGGAGATCCTATGTACTCTCCTACCACGTTTTCAACCCGTAGCAAGCAAACTTGGATCTTACAGGCGTCTATCCTAGACATTCTATCGATAGGCTGGCTGGGACATTCCCTCTGCCTGTCAAATTCATTGCTTCGAAAAGGAGTAGTCGTTTCAGCTTCTTCATGCATTGTGCCCGTAGAAATACCAACGCAGGCTGAGCGAGCTGAGCTCCCGCTCACGTGGCCCGGCCCGACAACACGTCTCCCCCCGCGGTCCCCACATTGGCTACCGGTTACTAGTCAAAATGCAAGTGCGCGGAGTGTGGACTGAGTTTCATGCATAAAATCTCAGTTCTCTCCGCCTCTTACTCCATCGCACTATCCGCAGAATGTTTACGAAGGAGGAGATATCGGCCCGCTGGGCCGCTCACCTAGACAAACAAATGATCGAAGTTCCAGGCACAGCAAAGCCTGGCTTCACTCCCGTGTACCGGAATGCGGCCTTTCCCATGGACCCGCCGGATGACAGGCCATACAACTTGTTCAAAAAGAGAGTGGCTGAAAATCCGGATGCTAAATGCTTGGGTCACCGCCCTTGGGACGAAAAAAAAAACGACCTCGCAGACTACTTTGAGTGGCGCACGTATGCACAAACGGATGCAGAAGTAACAGCACTGGGTTCGGCCATTTCGTGGTTCCAGGAGCAGGGATGGCTCAAGCCGCGTGAAAATGACAAAAATATCTCTGAGCCTGGTATTTCGGGATTCACCGTAGCTTACTGGGGTGCGAATCGTCCTGAGACCATGATCACTCTTTTGTCGCAGGCTGCTTACTCCCGGGTGTCCGTCTCATTGTACGACAACTTCGACGCAGCGGGCTCATGCTACATCCTGCAGCACAGTCAGACTCGTGTCTTGCTGTGCCCGACGCAATACGTGCCTATTGTCCTGCGCAATGCGGACAAGATTCCGGCACTCAAGGTGATCGTTCTTATTGATCGACCCTGTCCATCGAAGTCCATGCTTGGTGAGCTGAAGAAGGTCGAGCTCGTGCGTGAATGGGCCAGTATGCACGGCATCCATGTGGTTCAATACGACGAGACCATCGCCCTTGGCAGGCAGAACCCACGTCCACACATTGTCGCCGGCAGCGATGATCAGCTCGCGTCGCTCTGCTACACTAGTGGCACAACCGGTCTTCCGAAGGCCGCACGCATTGTCAACGGCAGTATGTCGCAAGCGATGGAGGGTTTGCGCTGGATTGTGAATGATCAAGAAATGGTGTCAATCTCCTATTTACCACTTGCACACATCTTGGAACGTGGTTGGGAGACGTTTATCCTGTGCATGGGCGGGGCGATCGGCTTCTTCTCAGGCCAGATTGAACGTCTCATGGAGGACCTGCAGATCCTCAAACCCACAATGATGCCTAGCGTTCCGCGCGTACTCAACCGCATTGCAGGTCAGATCGAGGCACAGATGAGTGCGCCCGGCCTCAAAGGCAAGCTGCTGAGCAAGGCGGTGCAAGTGAAGCTGGACAACTTCTACAAGACCGGCGCGATCACGCACGCATTCTGGGACCGCCTAATTTTCCGCAAGGTGCGTGCTTTGTTGGGTGGTCGAGTGCAGTTCATGATCACGGGTAGTGCACCATGCCGTAAGGATGTGCTTGCCCTGCTCCGTGTCGCCCTCTGTGTGGATGTGCGTGAGGGTTATGGACAGACGGAGAACAGTGCGTATGCCACGTTCATGGCGCCGAACGACCCTCGACTTGGATGTGTGGGACCTGCGAATCCGGGTGTGGATTTGCGCTTGCGCGACTGCCCTGAGCTCGGCTACATGTCGACGGACATGCCATGCCCTCGTGGTGAGATTATGATTCGTGGCAAGGCCGTCTTCGACGGCTATGAGGGCGACGAGAAAAAGACAAAGGAAACGTTCCTCGACGACGACGACGGCAAGGGGCCTTGGCTGCTCACGGGTGACGTTGGCCGCGTGGATGAATATGGCCGACTACAGATCATTGACCGTGTGAAAAACCTGATCAAGCTTGCGCAGGGCGAGTATATCGCTATTGAGAAGGTCGAGAGTGTGTTTGCCTCGCTTCCCCTCGTACAGCAAGTCTGGCTGTACGGCGACTCGTACCAGCCACACCTTGTCGCTGTGGCTGTGCCCCAGCCAGACACGTTCGCTGCCTTTGCAAGCCGCATCTTACAAAAGACGGTGAAGCATGACGATCAGACTGCGATGCAGTCAGCCGTCAACGACAGCATGGTTGTCGAGGCTGTTCTGCGCGAATTCATCAAGCTTGGAAAGAAGCAGCGTCTCGGTACACTTGAGCAGATGCGTGCGCTCAAGCTGCGCCTGGATCCATTCTCGCCTGAGAATGGCCTCATGACGCCGACCATGAAAGTCAAGCGCCAGGAAGCCGCCAAGATCCTCAAGGGCGACTTGGACGAGCTATACCGCCGTCAACCGTACGACCTGAACGACGTTAAGCTGTGAATAAATAGAATCAGAAACTATGAGCTATATAACTAATAGACTGCCTCCGTCGTGTGCGTAGCGGTGTGTACAATGTGTCAGGAATGGAAGTGCCCACCTGTCATCAGCAACAGCGCAAGACACCGTCTAAAAGAATAGACTTAGTGGCGGATGCACAGTGAGTTGGGCGTCGGCCAACATTACACCCGCTTGATGTGTTCCTCGGTGGGATGGATAATCGGCTTCCGAATGGGGTGTATGCGACATGGAACAGGAAACTTTGCTCATCACATTCATAGGATTGTGGCGTGCAAGTGCTAAGGTATCATACATGTCTCTTCAGCACGGCTTTGAATAAGATATGCATTATCAACTAAGAAAAAAGAGTGAGCTCCTTAGAAAACATGTCTGCTATCACATCAAAGCCGTCTTCTGCTGCATGTACCTCCTCCAGCACCATATCCAGAGAAGACAACATGCTGGGATCACGGAGCGCCCGCACGGTCTTGTGTTCATCGGCACAGATAGGGCACTCCCGCGCCGCTTCTCCTTCTGGCAGACACCGGAAATGAAAACTGTGTCGACACATGAAATGCACCGCCGGCAGTTCAAGTGGCTGGTTGCACAACCCGCATTCATGGTGCTGAAACACACGTGGTTCATCGAGACTTTGTAGGGCAGCAATCTCCGCCTGTTTCGTCTGTGCCTCCTCGCGGTATGATGCAACAAGCTTCTGTGCACTGAGCAACTCGGTACGTTCATTGTGCACATGCTTCATTAGATACGGCGTCAACAAACTCATAGGCGCCACAGAATTGCGTCCTAGAAGTTGCACAACCTCTGATGGTGACAGCAGCGCATGCGTCTCGATATAGGCGAGCATGCGCTCGACATCCGTAATATGTGCCTCCAACAAGTCAGACGACGACGTGAAAAACGCCAATGTCGACACATACAAGTGTGTTTCACTAGTTCCAAATTTTTCAAGCATTTGCAACAATTGACGAGGAGCCTCTGCATCGCCAGCCTCGTGTGCATGCACCCAATGCTCGTAGATGGCATCCACCATGCCAAGGCGTTCATACAGACACAAAAGACCCGGCGTGTATGAAGCATCTTGACAAAGCACTAAGGCAGATGATGGGGTATAAGGCGTGACATCATCGTGGCTTTCGAGGATCGCAAGCGCCTTGTCCGGTGCATGTTTCAAATACAGCTCAATAAGCGTGTCATGGACGAGCACAAGCTCGTGTCGATCCCGTTTGGCCGTGCGAATACGCTCTAGGAAACGCTCAAGTGTTCTTTCGTGTCCCACAAAGTGCGAGAGCATGGACGGGAGAAGCGTCACTTTGCTGTCGCTGGAATCAGCATACACACGTACGAGAAGATCTGCCGTGGCTTCGGGCTCAGCTTCAAGAAGCAAACGTGCACAAGGTGGGAAATAATCCATGACATCGGAGGGTGCTAGTGTCTCTAGGTAGGCAAGTGCTGCTTTAGGATCAAGCTTGTCACGAAGCTGAATGTTCAGGTATATGTCATGTATTTCATGTGTCTGCGCGAGGTATGCCGCCTGTTCGGTACACCCCGCACGTCGACATACATCCATAGCCACCTGCACATCCAAGGGGACATCGGGTGCGCGAAGGAACCGATCAAGCGCATCGGTATCTCGAAGTTTTGTGTAGCAATTCAGCAAGAGTGTGGCATGATCTGCATTTGCAAGGTGCCGTGCATGCAAAGCTTCAAGGTACACGGTAAGGAATTGCAGGCGCTGTGCATCAAGGAACTTTCGAATCACCATACTAGGAGAGATAACGCCAATCGTATGGCAGAACTGTTGCATCGCTCCCTCAAAGTCGCCCACGTGCATACAAATACTCACCATAACGTCGGTACACTTCGGCGACAAGCACGTCGACAGGCGATACAGAGTGCGTGCGAAAACGCATGGTGCCAATCACACTACTAGATGCTAGACCTGGCAGCTGTCTGTGCGGAAAACGTGCAGCTCGTGCATACACGAAGGGAATCGCTTGGATGTAAAGGTGCAGCCGGAAAAGCTGCTCTAGCTTTGCCGAGAGCGACTTGGACATAAGCTTCGTTGGCGTCGTCGTGTCGATATGTACAGCTGCATCGAAGTTTTCATCGCCGTTGTTTGTCCATACATGAGATACACGCTCAAAATCTCCCGTGTAAGTGATGCATTTCGTATCAAGATCAAAGACCACAACTCGCTGCAGTGAGTCACCTCCAGCAAACACAATTACAAGTTCCCCATGCAACGCATGCACACTTTTTTTTCTACCCTCTAATGCAATGGATGCTTCACGTCCCCCCGTTCCAATCATATAGAGTGCTTCATTGCGAGCGAGGACAAGCTTTGAGGACAACACAGCTGGTGCTCCGTTCCATGTGTCGGGTGAACAGGCGTCAAATTGAACGCCACAGTTTTTTGCACACCCAATGGTATCGACGACCGTCGGCGCATTTCCTGCACCTGCACCTTCGATTGTGTACTTGAAAGTACATGTAACCGTGGCAATCAGAAGAACCGTCATGCCTGGCGCGTCGTGGCATAGAACAAGACAACTTACTTCGTCTGGTGCGTGACCATCTTCCACCATCGTAGCATCGCGCACAGTCTTAAATCGCAGCGTAGCAGGTTCCCTAGGATGCAAGTGTTCAGATGCACCGCGAAGAACGAGTACAGAGCCATCGCCAAGTCCTACAGCGATGTGAGACAGATTCGGAGAGACAGCGACGGAGGTGATGTGCGGACGCGGTGCCTCATGCTCGAGTGCATCTGTGGTATACATGGCCTGTTGGAAAGACGCATGTATTATCGCACTCATACAGAGCACAGCTCGTGATGTATTCGCGTCGTGCGAAGACTCTATGCGCCATACGCGCACAATCGGAGAGGTCTTGTCAACATCCCGTCCCACAGTTACAACAGCACCGCATTCCGCTGCAACATGTACAGAATCGCATGTTTCCTCAAATGCGCGCCATTCCAACAGCTCAACGTACGTCCGAGCATCCACGACACGCACTTGACCATGTGGCAACGCGATTACAAGAGCACCGCGTGGCGATGCCCATGCTCCCGCGTGCACGGGTGCATATGTGACACAACATGCGGACTGGATCGCATCGTTATATGTTTCTTCCTGAATAGGCCAGTTGTCAAAGAAACGAAAGGTCCGCCATGTCGGCACACTCGATGACAGACTGTCCCTCGACCCCTTATACATGGGACACGCGTCGTTCAAGTGTCTGTGGAGGAGGGAGGAGTATTCTTTTGCAACCTTACGTGAAGCGATGTCGCACGCTATTCTGCTCGTGCATCTCTTCGCACATGAGCTGCTCCTCTCGCGTACGCTTACTCACCATATGGAGTAGCGATCGTACTTTTTTTACTGAGTCGTACTATTTGGCGCACAGCATCGGTAAGAACCTAATTAGCATAACCATTACATGAGCATCACAACTACCGACGAACAAGTAGGGCGAATATGACAAGTGCACCTCGCACAACTAGCAAGCGCATTTAATATACTCGTGAGAACTTCGACAAAGTGGCGTCAAAGGAAGATGGCACCACCAAGAACAGCAGCAGCCACACCAACGGCACCTGGCACAACCAAGGCAGCAGCACCGTTGTCAGGCTCGGCACCCGGAGGGCGCTTCATCTCATCCGAAGGGTCAAAGTCTTTGTCGTTGGCGCGAATGCTGCGCAAAAGACCCCTGTACATCGAGTACTTGATCACATCACTCGACTGCGTCACAGTCGGGTAGTACTTCACAACCGACTCAGCAAGCTCGTCGGCTACATCAACAACCATTCCGGCATCCTTCCGTGAGCGCGTGTAGCCTCCAATCATGTAGCTCACAAGCGAACCAAGGTTGTAAGGCGGCACCACCGTCGAACTGTGAGAGCACGAACCGACCTGGTGAACGTTAGGGTCGCCAAACAGGGCCGAGCACACCGGGCTCGTGCGGGAGTTCTTGTCATCACCCTCCGAGCCACTGCCACTGCCTTGGTTAGCGGCCGACGTGGGCTTGGGGCTCTGGCTCTGCTGACCACCACCGCCTTGAGAGCCCTGCTGTTGAGGCTGCGAGCTCTGCTGTTGACCGTCCTGCTGCGCAACGACGCTTGCCACAGCAACAGCAAGAAGAGAAAGAGGAACACTCAGCTTCACCATGATATGGAAATGATAGGAGTACAAGAGTTCCTGACCTGGTCCCACTAATCCAACTTGAGACTGACACCACAATTGACACCCCTGTTGACTCAATTTCTCGGTCAAATCCGGAATTTTTATTTGCCCATTTCAGACACTATCGGAACACACACACACAACATTGGGCAACAATTGTAAACATTGCCAGGTACCGGATTGGCAGGTGCTTAGTCGACAAATCACGCAAATGGCTACATCCACACTTTCACAAAACGCACAACAGCTACTGTCAACCACACATCTGAAGCATTACACAGTACCAATTGCGCAGATTTCGGATAGCAACTTTGCCTCTCGGCAACAATTTCACAAACATATAGACAATGTCTCGATCACTCATCACTCTCCGAGAACGTGGTCTTTAGGAGTGCATAATGCTCCATCTCAACTATCAACTCGTGAAAGGGCACGTAGCTCAACAATCATAGAGAACAATTAGGACCAACCATCTCACCATGCTTGTGGCATCAACATCATGTGAGGAGAAAAGTCTTAAAGGAAGATGGCACCGCCGAGAACAGCAGCAGCCACACCAACGGCACCTGGCACAACCAAGGCAGCAGCACCGTTGTCAGGCTCGGCACCCGGAGGGCGCTTCATCTCATCCGAAGGGTCAAAGTCTTTGTCGTTGGCGCGAATGCTGCGCAAAAGACCCCTGTACATCGAGTACTTGATCACATCACTCGACTGCGTCACAGTCGGGTAGTACTTCACAACCGACTCAGCAAGCTCGTCGGCTACATCAACAACCATTCCGGCATCCTTCCGTGAGCGCGTGTAGCCTCCAATCATGTAGCTCACAAGCGAACCAAGGTTGTAAGGCGGCACCACCGTCGAACTGTGAGAGCACGAACCGACCTGGTGAACGTTAGGGTCGCCAAACAGGGCCGAGCACACCGGGCTCGTGCGGGAGTTCTTGTCATCACCCTCCGAGCCACTGCCACTGCCTTGGTTAGCGGCCGACGTGGGCTTGGGGCTCTGGCTCTGCTGACCACCACCGCCTTGAGAGCCCTGCTGTTGAGGCTGCGAGCTCTGTTGTTGAGGCTGCGAGCTCTGTTGTTGAGGCTGCGAGCTCTGCTGTTGACCATCCTGCTGCGCAACGACGCTTGCCACAGCAACAGCAAGAAGAGAAAGAGGAACACTCAGCTTCACCATGGCTATGCAGCGGACAGTTAGGTAAGAAGAGAAGCAAGAAAGGGTGATAGGTTTAGAAATGCGAAATTGACTTACTCAAAAATAGCCCTCACGTTGTGTGCGCCCATGTTGATTAGCACTGTCGGTTCAATTCGGATTCGCCAAACTCCAGCTCAAGAATACACATGATGGACACAATTGCGGAAGTCAACGAAATAAATCACCTTGTCGGCCGATTGTACCGAATATATGGACCAATACGTGTTGTATATCACAACAAAACATAGAATTTGGCATCAATTTGCCCACGAAGCGCTCGGATGCTTGCAGATAACAAGGACAGAGCTGAGACAGAATACAAATTACACACGATTTTAATTGGATGAAATGAAGGCGCAGGAAGTCTCGACGAACGCTTTGGGAAAAGAGCGTTGCGCAAGAACCGCGATGTGTCTGTGACATGCAGGAAAGATAGCACAATGCATGGATAGATTTGTAAAGTACTCAGGTCACGAAGTCCATTGCCGCGCTGGTCGCCTGAACCTTGTGCATGTTGTGACAAACATGTGGCACGCACGCGTGCAGGTTGTTGAAATAAAGTTGGTCAAAGCACCTACAAGTGTGGAAGCCCTCTGCAAAGTAAGAAGATAACTGACAATCTTAGTTCATATGGCGGTCGACATGGTCACTTGTACAGGAAGAATTTAACTTAAAGTGTCTCGTAGCACGCACGAAGAAACAAACCTGGAGCCAAAATGGTTTGCTTTGAAGCAGGTCACTGCGATTGCATGCGCTATGATCAATCGCTGTAGACTTAGAGAATGAAGTAAGAGATAATACTAAAAATGACTCCGAACGAGTATGCCCATACAGCCATGCGTTTCGAGGCACTGGACGGCTGAGACGTTTGTGGAGGGGACGAAGCTTGAGATGAATCAGAACTAGTTGGTTTGGATTCCGACGTCGGCGCAGCCTGTCTCGCAGAGGTCTTGGTGGGCGTCTGGCTAGAAGACGTGGATTGAGCGCAAGAATCGGAAACGCTGCTACAAGACGCTCCCTCGCATGTTGATGTCACTTGGGAGCATGACGAGCTTGTGTCATGGTGATTGTGACGATGCCTTGCTGCTCCTGCTCCGGCGACGGCTCCTGCTCCTGCCCCTGCCCCTGCTCCAAATCCTATTCCCTTGTTGCCTGAGCCATTGTTAGGGCCTCCATTGTTACGAGAGCCTGCATTTGAACCCTGGTTGCCTGGTGGTGGCCGCGCTGGTGGGGGCGGTGCAGGTGGGGGACTGCCGCCTTCTTTGCCTCCATCAGGTTCCTTGGGGGCACTGTCATGACCGGCTGGTCTCGGCTTAGAACCTCCGCTTCCAGCTGATCCTGCTCGAGCTGCTCCACCACCGCCTGCCGCATGACCACCACCGCCGCCGCCACTACCACCCTTGCGCTTCTCAAGCGCAGATACATCGTCGCTCACCTGCTCCTGCTGGTCCATATCGTACTCCAGATTTGATTCTGCCTTATCCTCGTCCCTGTCATTTTCTTGGTCGTCTCTTCTCACGTTTTCATCTTCCACAGTAGATTTCCTGCTAAAGGTGTTGCTTCTATTTATATCGCTTTCACGGACGTGTTTGTGAGTGTCGTCGAAGCTTTGGTCAAGTGCCCGCGAAGTTTCGACCTTCTCGACCACGCCGGCCAGATCAGGGAGAGGCCCTGCCGCCGCACATATGGAAAGCGCAAGCACAAAAATAAGAGAGAACTTCGCATGGGATAGCATGGCGTTTGAATCTCGGGAAAGGCTACAATATTTGTATGACCCCGAGTGTTCGTTGTTCTCAGGACCCGAAACCGATCGACGCGGATTTTTGTTGGCCACTGCGTGTGAGTCTGCATGTCCACTAGATATTTGCCTGGGGCTCCCACGCTAATCTTACACATGCATATCGCCGCGTATGGCTTGCGCAAATATTAGGCGCAGGTGCCTCCACATGCCACAGTTTGCGTGGATGCTATGCACACAAATCATGCGCTTTTGTAAGTTCTGATATCACTGATTCATGGGTGGACAATGAAACTTTGAGGTCAGTGTATTGTTGTAGTGATGATGGAACGGTGAGGATCAACAAGAGAACCTCTACCATGTAAAAAAAGAAAAAAAAAAAAAAACACGCACGAAACTACCAGCCTAATGAGCAGGAAACGATGCGGTACTACTTACTATCTTAACAGGGACGGGCATCTCTTACGCGCAGCTCATCCGTAGCGACCTCCCCCCCTTAGAGATTGAATGGATACATATCTATCGGGAATGAATTAGCAGCAGCCACCCTTGTTCTGCGTGTTGCTTATACCAGCGGCATTAATATTCTGCGTGCCACTGGCTCCTGGCACATTGGAGGTAATGCCCTGGTCAACCAGGTGGTCCTTGACTTGCTGGGCAAGCCTAAAGAACGCCTCGTCCACGTTGGTGTTGGACTTGGCAGACGTCTCGATATAGCTCATGCCAAGCTCATTGGCAAGTTCCTGTCCCTGCTCGGTAGTAATGACCTGTGAATTAGCACCCGACACACGCCAGAATAGTCGTACGTACACGCTTTTCGTCCCAGTCACACTTGTTGCCGACCAGGATTTTACATGCACCATCGTTTGCGTGTTGCTGGACGTCTTTGTACCAATTGCGGACATCTGTGGGGGGGTGTGTAAGCAAAGATGTAGTATTCCACGTACTCTGGAAACTCTTTTCATCCGTCAGGTCAAAAACAATAAGAATGCCCATGGAACCACGGTAGTATGCTGTTGTGATGGTGCGGAATCGCTCCTGTCCAGCGGTGTCCCACTACGTGATGGTTAGTCGATGTGTAACCCAGTAGAACAATATGAATAATACATACGATCTGGAGCTTTATGCGCTTCCCATCGACCTCAATTGTCCGAATCTTGAAATCTATTCCAATCGTCGTGATAAACGACGGTGTCCACGAGTCGTCGCAGAAGCGAAGGAGTAGACAAGACTTGCCCACACCTAGACATATGTTACGAACTCGATTCATTCCATTGGATCTGCCCACGTACCTGAGTCGCCAATCAGAAGGAGCTTTACAAGAAGGTCGTAGTGCGGTTGTGGCATCGTAATTTCCTGGTCGGATTTGCAAACGAGTGCCTGTTGAGAGACGGTCGATTGCTGCAACCGCCACTAACGGCGGTGATTTGCCGGCGCTCCACTTGCGCACGTGATTGCTTCACTGGCCTGTGTGCTAGGGTCGAGGTTAATCATGCGATTTACACGTTAGCTATAAAGGGGTGAAACGCGTCCTGCATGTGTGTGTGTGTATTATGTTCTATTGTTGCACTTTTGTGTGGTCCATTTTCAGATCAGATGCAGTGGTGCAACAATCATAGGGACCACTGCACAATGCAAACGTAGCAGCCTCATGCCCACCGTATTCATCATCATCGCCTTTATGGACGGGGCTATACTGACCAAGAAATTGCCGTCACTGATAAAGTGGAGGGAAGGCAGGGATCGATTGGCTCGTATGTAGCCATTTCCAAGCAGATAGAGCAACATGATGACGAAAAGAGACGCATTTCTCCACGCACATCCCTTTGACACATTCTGACGACATGCACCACAGTATCACCCAAATCAGGAACATACGCATGTCTGTGCAAGCATCGCGAGCTAATTTCCAGGTGGCCAGATGCGCATTAAGAATACAACAAAAACGGGCGTACTCGTCGTCTAAGCGAGAGACCAGCGATGAAAAGGATGAGCGCGAGTCCAAACCGATGCCATTCGGCCCACCACAGCCCCCATCGTATACGGACTCTGTCTCTGGAGCGGCAGCAGAGGCCAACACAAGGCCGCTACCGTTTCTATCCGTGCCACTTGGCGTATCGAAGCGACCTACATCGGATCGACCCACGTGGTCAGAGCGACACGCAGAATGGTTTGATCGAGACGTTCGTCTTGAGAAGCGCCGTCTGATGTATGTATAGCATCTAATCACACTTTTTCAATCCTGTGTCCAAAGCGTATTACTAACTCGTCCAAGCATCAAAGAGGCGACGCGCGGCTATTTTCACGATTTTCATGAGATTCGCTCTCATGGCGGAAAGACTTGGCGTAGTCCACCGACGATGATTCGTCCTGATGTTCGTTGATTGTGCCTTCAAAGCATGTTTTTGTTGTACTAACAAACCCTCCTTTCTAATGCCACACAGAAAGCGCGATACTTTCCAGATATCCAAGGCACATGTCTTGCAGACAAGAGCAAAAAACACACTACCGACATGCTCATGGGACGTGTATCCATTGTCGCGATCGTAACATCGAAAGTTTCAGAAGTACGTGATACCGTAATCGCAGTAATTTGATACTCACGCCATGTCAGGAACATACGCGCAGCTTTTATGAGGCCGCCTATGAACGCTTCCACACGTATCCTCACTTTCAGCTTGTACAGATCAATTTGCAAGAAAACTCTCTTAAGGCATACCTAATATCCTTGTTCCTATCATCTTTGCGGTCACAAGTTGCACCCAAACTTCAGTCCACATACCTCCTGAGTCAGCAGAGCTTGGACATGGTTCGTGAGCCAATGGGTCTTCACAACAAGCACGTTGGATACACGTACTTAGTCGGTCCAGATGGAAAAATCCGGTGGGCTGGTAGTGCATTTGCCGAACCCGATGAGGCTCGCACACTTGTGGCATGCACGGGGGTCTTGCTTGATCGTATGCCAGGCGGTCGGAAGGCTGCTTCGAGGGATGCATCGTAACACGTGACTGATCGTTTGCACCACACGCCTGCCCTCTCTTTTCTCTTTGCATAGGTGTGGAGTGGATGGAGGGCCAAAGGGGGAAATATATGTCATTCTGGCGTGTGAATAGGAATTTTTTTTTCATATATTGGTTGTTGTTGACGAACAGCAGTAACAATAGTGGCAATAACGGCGGTGGCAGCAGCAGCAACAACAACAGCGGCGTCCACAGCCGTTAGTTCAAGTCAATTGGCACAATGGAACGTGTACAGTACTCGTTAGAACGCACGCTCCCACAGCTCAAGCTTCTTGATGAACATTCGATTCTTTCGAAAGATGAGCTCCGATCCGTCACAAGTCAGCGCCAGGGATTCGAGGCCAGGCTAATCCGACGGAAGGCAGAGAAGTTTGACTTTGTACGATACATTGAATTTGAAGATGATCTACATGCGCTCATTGTCCTTCGTGCACGCGAACGGAATCGGAAGATCATGAACCGAGTCCGAGCCGGCGATGAGGATGCCAAGTCGCAGTTACTGCCTCGCTCATTCCTTCCTAAGCAGGCGGCGAGCTCGTCTGCACAATGCGTTGCGATCTTTGAGCGCATGGTTCGCAAGTTTCGCTGGGATCTGGATGCATGGGACCGATACATCGCATGGGCGAAGAAGCGCAAGATGCGTGTTGTCGCTGGGCGTGTATTTGCAAGAGCACTTGCTCTGCATCCTATGCAACCGTCATTGTGGATCTCCGCCGCCGACTATGAGCTCAACACACAGGCTGACACGACGGCAGCGCGCGCGCTTCTCCAGCGCGGTATACGGACAAACAAGCTGACTGACTCAGCCGCCCTGTCCGCACACGAGACCAGTAAGCTGCGAAAGACGCAGAACGGCGCGCGGGCGTCACGAGAGCCAGGTGCCTTACGGTGGACACTGACTGAGTACGAGAGTGACGTACTTCGACTATGGGTAGAGTACTTCCGTATGGAGCTTGTATTTATTGAGCGCCTGCGTCGTCGATGGCGGATTCTTGGACTGGACAGCGGCGACACTTTGGTAACGTCGGAACCAAGCGCTGATACTACTGCAATGCCGTGGTCTCAGCGGGAAGGCGATGCAATGGACGAGGCCACGCATGCAGCGCAGTCAGTCGCCCTCGACCCCAATAATACTCGCAACAATGAGCACAAAGAACACAGTAGCGACGACTATCTCGATGAAGAAGACGAACAAGTTGCAGCTGCTGAGGCTGCAGTAGATGAACAAGTACCAGATGGTGAGGACAACGAGGTTGGCAGCGGCAAATTCGAGTCATCGCACGCAGCTCATGCTCCCGCTGTGCAAGGCGTGCGGCCAGCAGCGGATATGGCTATTCCTCCGGGACACCATCAAATTATGAACGGCTCGATCCCGCTTGTTCTTTTGGAAAATATAGGCCAGCACATTCCACAAGCGTTGCAATTCTACCTTTACACGGCCCTGCTTCAGCTCGTGAGCTCGTTCCCCTTTTTTGACTCGGTGGTGGTGAAGCGGCACGGCGAAGTTTTGTCTATTCGCACGTCGCAAGGCATTCTCGGATCGGGTGATCGGCTGCGTCGACGGCTTATGCAGGCTTTGTTGAGTGCTTGCATGCGTGCTAGTGACAATGGGGATACTTGCGATGGAGGAAAGCTCGGTGCATGGATGTGGAAGTGCATCCACCCGTTGTATCACCCATTCTCTCATGACGTCGCTGCGAAAATTAGTACTGCTGCACTGCCTGCGTCGCAAGCTGAGCGCGAACTTGATACCAATGCGCTCTTGCATGGCGCGAGTCAGTTGCACGCAGTGTACTCGCCTGCCATCGACGCATTGTACACCTACGCGCAGGTACCAGCGGATCTGCGTCAAGAACGCACCGTCGCTGGCACGTATGATCCATGGCAAGCATGCCAGCCGGTCTTGTTCCTGCTCGAACTATTGAGTCGCCGGCTTGTAAGTGCGACGCACACCGAAATTAGCAGAGGCCACGACGGAGTCAAGTCTCCATATACCAAGACGGACGTGTCTCTGCAGGAGACAACCGCCCAGAGTGGCAGTGGCAACGACCACGATGATGACGAAGAGGCCAGAGAGCATGATCAGAGCCACGCGGACGCCGAACTTGACGACGAAGAATCCATTCATTCAGCGGAGGCAAGCGACTTTGCTGTTGTGCCTGAGGCAACGCCTTTCATGCGCATGCTCACAACACATGGTGACTTGCCGAAGGTGATCCAGTGTGCGGTCAGTTTGTTCCGTGCGCACCAAGGTGAACAGGAGCAAGTGCCACTGGCCTTTCTTGCGACACTGCGGTTCTTGTCGAACCCCCTACGCAGTGCGGTGGACGAGTCACACCTGCTCACGTACATTGCCCAAGTCGACGCGAAACTTGTCGAGGCCCTAGAGCCGCATGTGCCATGGCTTACTGTGGAAAAGTTATCCCGTGAGCTGCGGGCCCATGGCAAGGCTGCTTGGGACCAAATACAATCGCTTGTTTCGGTGCAGCGGACAAATCCATGTGCATGGGTCTTGTATGTCAATGCAGCACCAATGTGGTCGTCGGACAAGGCCTGGACATTCAAATGGGACGGTCAAGCCGACTCATCCATACGAGACGCACAGCGCGTCTGGATTCCGATTCTCGATGCTTGTACGGGGGCAACACATTTTGCCAATGATGCACACGCATCTGTATGGGCTCTGCTTACGTTGTGGCTCGGCTCGTCCGTGGTCGAAGACACGTCGCTTGTGTCACCTGAATTTGCACGCCAAACACTGTGGCTCAGATATCTCGACTGGGTGCGGGATGCAGCGACGGTAAGTCCTAATGCTAAGCGCGCGAAACGTGCCTCTGTTTGGGCGTGGTCGTTGTACAAGCAGGCAGTCCAAAAGACAGGCGCTGTCCTTGCATCGTCTATGCTTGTAGGAACTGCGCGCGAAAGTGCTCAGGCTTTGCATGACAAGGTCGTGTGCCGGATGTCGGCCTTTTCACTCTCAACAGCAGCAGCCGCAGCAGCCGCAAAGGCCGCAACACCAACCGGTGCAGAGGCCCTTGTTTCTTCTGAGAAAACGAATGATCATGCAAAAGATGATACAACAGCTGAACTTGACACACATCATGCACAGGACCTGGCCCTCTCGTTCTTGTTGGCTAATAGCTCTGCGAGCACGCGTTGTTGGCTTGAAATCGCGCACATCGAGACGATGCGTGTCGTGATAGGTGTACAGGATCTTGATGAACCGTGCAAGAAGCGGATCACAAGCATCTTCCAGCGAGCCATGGCCCAGGCTGAGCGCGAGGCACAGGTTCCTCACACTGTGGATGCATGGCTGGCTTACCTGTCGTTCCTCGCTCATACGCAGCGTGACATGCCCCAGGCTCTTGCCGAGCTAGCTCGCGCTCAGTCATGCATACGTAGGATTGGCGGCGCTGAAGCAGCTGTGGCTTTCGAGCACCAGTGGCAGCAGAACGTGGCGGCGCGCCGTTCGTAGGGGATCATTTGTTCATCAGGTAGATATGTGCGTGAGTTGGGTCATTCTCACGTGGCACGTGCATGTGCGTGCAGACAAAGAAGGCGTGACGACTGAATAAGTGTGGCCAAGTAAGGACGACGTGACGCGTCAGGCGTCGCGCTGGCCTAGGACCGCGTTAGGTGTCGCGCCGTGTTTGCCATATCCGATCTGTAATATATTTCTTTTGTCTGACACGCTTTCGAACGAGCCGCTTTCCCGTAGCAAGTGAGCGCGAGCATTTGTGTATCCGTGTCCGACATTATCACCATGTTTCGCACAGCACCACCGTCGCTGGGTGCCGAGCATGGAAAGTCTGCACAGGTGGCGCACCATCCCTCTAAGGCTTCAGGCCTCTCAGCGTATCCGTATCGGCTGAATATGTACGCGGTGCCACCTGTCCAGGACATTACCGTGGATGAATTTGAGCAATGGGCACTGGACCGGTTGCACATACTCTCAGAGATTGAGAATGCATCGGCACGCAATCAATCTTGGGCAGAGACAAAAATGGCAATTGAAAAAAGGATGAATGAGTACATGCCATTGCGGTCGAACGCAGTAGCACAGTCAGGTTCGATGACGACATCCACAGCAAAGACCAAAGAGCTCTTGGCAGAGAGACGCAAGGATCATATATCACACTTTGTGCTCCGTCTTGCTTTCTCGCGGTCGGAAGAGCTTCGGCGCCGCTTCGTTCATGCCGAGTGCACGCTGTTTCGTTGGAAGTTGGAGACAGAGCACTTGGCAGAGCGAGAGGCTTTCCTCCATTCACAGGACTTTGTGTGGCGTATGGTGCCGCCAGAGGACCAGCACAGGTTTCGCGAACAGCTTGCGGCAGTGCATCCGCGTCTGGGTTCCTCTGTTGAGTCTGAATCATTTGTCCAGGTCCCATGGTATAGGGTGCCGGATCTCGTGGAGAAGCGCAAGGTGTTCGTTCACAAAGGGACCGCATGGATTCCGACAAGAGAGCAGGCGAGTCTCGTACTGGCGGAGTTCCAAGGCCGCCTGCAAACCCAGTTGGAGCTGACTGCACGCGCACTTCCGCGTCTCGATGAGGATGATCGGCTTATGCCAGTTCTCGAGCATCTTAGCATGGGCTCAATGCTCGGCATGTCCAAAGAATATGGGACAAGTGCTCTTGTGAGCACAGATGGGGAGGCACTATCCCTCACGGCCGATATGGTCGTGCCTCTTGTGCGAGAGCATGCTCCATTGTGTATGCGGCACTTGCAGTCGGTCCTCTGGACGACACATCACCTGCGTCATTACTCGCGTCTACAGTACAACCTATTCCTCAAGGAGCTTGGTCTTCCTGTCGAGGAGGCGCTTTTGTTCTGGCGCCGCTCCTTCAGCACGATGTCGGACGACAAGTTTGCCAAGGAGCATCGCTACAACATTCGTCATGGCTACGGTCTCGAGGGTCGCCGCGTCAATTATCCGGCCAAAAGCTGTGCCCGCATCATCACACAGGATCCACCGGGTCCTCAGGACACGCACGGATGTCCATTCCGCCATTTTTCGCAGGAAAACCTGTCTGCAGCACTTACTGCGCATTATGGCCTTGGGCCAAGTGAGCAGGCTGACATTCTGGCTGCAGCAAAAGCTGGGCACTACCATGTGGCATGCACGCGTGTGTTTGAGCTGACGCACAAAGCGCAAGGCGTGACACCAGGCGACGGTCTAGGCCAAGGTGAGAGTGTTTCACATCCAAATCGGTATACGGAGGCTAGTTGGCGCCTGGCTCAAGAGTCATCGGCGCCGCCGAGTTCCGAGGCAGGCCTTGGGTAATGCGAAAGCGCCATATCAGATATCTATGTTTGTTTTCTATTTCCCCATCCCCCATATCCCTCTTTGCCTATCGCCCATCCCCCTTCTTGGTGAGGTCGATCATCCGCTAAACTAAACCGAATTCTCGTAGGCAACGTGCTTGGCGTATCATATATGTATTTATTAGGTTGAAGCAATGTACAAGGAACTATCAAGTAAACGAGGAGGAAGACATGAGAAGCAATATAATCCTAGCTCAACACGCGAACCCGCTCAAGATGCTTATTTCTGCAAAAGAAACTGGATAAATCGTTCGCCATACTCGACAGGAGGTACAGGGCTAATCGCATGGCGATTATGCCACACAGCCTTCCAAACATGTTCAGAACGCTTCCGTGCATCGAAGCGTGTAAACAAGTCAATAATGCCAAAATAGTAGACAACTCCGAGCGGCCGGTCCTGTTCATCGGTAGCTCTGAAGCCACCTTCATCTTGGTAGAAGAGCGAGTGCTGCTGCTCCGCCCGCTTGCCTTGCATGTCCTGGAGCGTTGTCTCCGGCGGATGGTTTCGAGAAAAGTGGAGATGCGCACCTGCACCATCTCTATCGCCACGGGACGATGGCGAATAGGACTTTTCATGGCAAGGCCCATCGACACGCGAGACCAGGATCGAAGGTCGGCGTAGCATGGGCGCTGACTTGTCGATGGGCGACACATTCGGGCGTGCATGGTAGCTGAGGTCGTGAAGCCCAATCAGGAGCGAATAGTCCATGAGCTGGAGCCGTTGAAGAAGCGCAACATCTGAGCGGAGCTGGCGCTCAAAGAGAGCACGCCGCTCGGGTCCTAATTCTAGGAATCGACCGCGCTTGATCCAGTTCATGTCCTTGAGCACGGCGGTCGGCTTTGTCGAAGTTTGCTCACGCGAGATCGTCGAGCCCTTCAGATCATATACCTCATGCACATCGCGGTCAGAGGGGAACAGGTTGTTCATGATGACAAAGTGGATCTTTTTGCGACCGGGCAGTTTGACACGGTGCAGGCCATAAAACTGGCTCAGCAGAGTATGTGGATTTGCACGCACATGCTCATAGTACGCTGGCAGAAATTTGATGAATAGTTTGTGCTCTGTCGGCCTAATTGTCTTGATGATGAAGCGGTAGTCATGAGAAAAGTAGAAGAAGGAACCGCTCTTCCCTGGTGATCCCAGCTCCGTCAGTATGTACTTGGCAGCAAGGGAAAGCAGGTAGTCTCCGGCATCCAGACCAAAATGAACGCGCAGCTCGCGGAATACAGCTGGAGCATAATCTTTGAACTTAAAGTCGTAGTTCGACGAAGGTCGAAGCTCCTTGCCGATAATGTCGAACGTGAACTTGTATTTGGCAACAAAATCTGCCTGTGTCAACGGCATGCGAGGCCGCGACTCATTGCGCGATACTGCGATCCGGATGCCTGTCAACATGTGGTACATGAGTACATAGTTTGCGTGGTCTTCGCCGATCAAGTTTCCTTTCAGGCGCACGGACACATTAGTGTGAGATACATCGGGCGCATGCTGTCCCTTGGCGCGCCAGGACAGACGTAGTGCATTTGCATTGGCAGCCATCTCTTCGTCAAAAGTCCGTTCAGCAGCCGATGCATTGGAGACAGCACTGACCCGATTTTTCTGTCTCGCTTGCATCGACGACGCGCGCGTGGCGCCAGAGGGTATGTGGTCAGCAAACTCAGAGGGCGGTAGCCTTCGGGAGTGGGTCTGGGTGGCAGTTTGAGATGGAGACCTAGACTGGGTCTCTGACCGGGTTTGGCACATCGAGGATGATAACGTCTGGGACTGGGGCTGTATGGGGATAGTGTGAAGTCCAGGGTGATCGAGTGATTGGGTGTGGTCGAGCGCATGCACACTTGATGGTACGGTCGTGCTAATGCTGGGAAGTTCGACTTGTGGTGATGTTGTCGTTGAGCGGGCCGGTACGTTGTCACCTCGGGCCGAGGAGGCAGTGATGTCCTGAGAAGAAAGTGACTGACCGAGCATGCTTTGTATGTTGGAAAGCGGGGGCAAAGGAGTATGTGGGCTGGCAAATTTTGTGTCTGGATGCGGCGACACAGGCATGGGTGCCAACTGCGATGGGGCCGGGACCTGCGACATCTGGTCTGGCCCAGTCGGGATGACCGCCTGGGCCCCGGACGAAGGTAATGCAGATGTATTCTCCGTCCCAGAGAGATGCGTAGGCATGGGCGGCGTGGCCATACTGCCGTCATTAGAGGCAGCTGCAGCGGACGATGGCCCCGACATGACGGGAGAATGCGGCGTCGACGGCTCAACGACGGATGACGGCCCGCTTGTTGCTGGAGATGCCACATGGCCCGACGTGCCACTAGACGGCACTACACCAGGTGAATCCGTGCGCGAATAGCTCCAAGGCGATACATACGAGGCCCAAGGCCGTTGACTCGGCTCCGATGGCGGCGTCTCAGCCGTGATGCGGTTGTCTTCACTCGAGCGCATCCAGCGCAGACGTCGCCGTCGCGTCGGCGGAGGCGTGAGTAACGTTGGCTGTAAGCGTTCCTTTTTCTCATCCAGATGTACAGGCATCACAAGCGGTGATGCATATGGCATCGTTCGCGAAAGGGTTACATCGTACGTCTCATGAGTCTCGCTGTCACTCACACGGATGAGCTGCTCTTCGGCATCCAGTGCCCGACGCACAACGCTCAGTGGATCATTTGTGTCCATAACACGTAAGCTGCTGCCGTGCGCACCGCCCTGAGCCCCTCCAGGTGACGTGGCCGACAGCATGATGAAAATGATCAAAAATTAAGGACGCTGTTGCTGCTGCTGCTGCTAATGGGCCCTGCTGCCTCCCCTGAGGATCTTTTTTTGGATGACGAATAAGCAGACTTCGGCCGGACCGTATCGCATGACGTGCGTCCATCCACCCATTCAACACCAGGCCTCCGCCGAAGCCAAATTGCCTGCACAAGTCGCCAGCCATTGGAGGGTACGGGCTTGGGGCCAAGACCCAGTCCTCCACTCATACGTCGTAGCCAAATCGCTGGAATGCACGTGAATTCGGATCAACAACCACGCCGAGTGACACTCTCGCTCTTGACATTGTTGTGGACGAACATCTCGACCAACCCAGTAGGTAGCTGATACATATACCCAAAAGGACACCCAAGTCCACAGAGCCTCAGCCAGTTCCCCCACCCTTAACATACGAATCGCTGGGCCGCTTGGGCCGCTTGTGACTTGGTCGTCCCGAAACATACATACCGTAGAGACTGTGGCATAGGTGGGGCCCTCGCTTGACAGGCCAACGACGCACTCGATTCTTTCATTTTTATTCTCCAGTGCTGCTGCTGCTGCTGCTTAAGCCCTATCTCTTCCCCTCACCGACGGTCCGCAGCCATCGTACAGCACATGTGCACATAACATCGAGGATGGAAGAGGATGTAGAAGTGCCAGGGAGTTTGACGCCACAGATCCATGCGGTCCGCCAATATCCGAGCTTTTCGTGCTCGCTACGCGATTTCCGTCTGCCAACGGCATCGATGGAGACAGACGTGCCGCGCACACCCGAGACACGCACAGCAGTCCGGCGGCCTGCGGTGCGTCGAATGCCCCCAGTCCTTCGCGACAAAAATAAGATGCGAGTCGCTGAGCTCCTGAGTGAGGAGCAATGCCCGTGCGCATTTGAAGTGGCATCCGAGGCTCGTCTTCAGCGCTACCTGATGGGTCAAACCTCACCACAGGACCATGTATCTCGCCGGGCCCGACGCTCTCGGATGGCCATGGAGTCAGGGTCGACAGCGGCAGCAGCGGCGGCGGCGTCAGCGACAACTGCTGCCACTACTACCGCGATGTCGGAGAGCATTCCCTCGTTGGCTGCCGCTGCCACACAGTCGCGTGATGCTCGAATGGCCAGTGCTTTTGGCACTATCACACATCACATATCACCTATGCGCCCTGACACAGATATGTTGTGCGATATGGACAATTCATTGTCGGCGCCGGCCCCTGTGCCTTGCATGTTTTCGACAGCATCAAATATCGGCACACAGGACATGTATGAGGATGATGACAAGGATTTCGACGACGACGACGATGATGATGATGATGATGATGATGATGACGACGACAACGATGACGATGACGACGACAACGGCGGCGGCGGCGGCGGCGGTGCAACTACCGCCACTAACCAAGAAGGAATCACAAGCGCTGTTGGCCATTTTGCGCTCGAGTCCCATCCTAGGCCTGCGGTTGATGGCATGTTTCCCCAACCCATTGCCTCGGACATGGCCGTGCCTGAGGATTCCATGTTTCCGCCGTCTTCCGTACCCGACAGCCCATGGCCAGTCGTGCCGTCAAGTCCAAGAATTACCGGCATAAAGCGCAAGCACGAAGAGGATCCTGGGTCAACCTATGCACGACGACCCGCACCGTTACCACCGTGGCTCCTTATGAGCAATGCCAACTCACCGCGACGGCCGATATGGACGGCACCGGGGGGTACAGTGTCACCCTCCTCGTCGCCATTGGCATTCGGAATGGGACATTCTCAACGCCGCACACCTACACCTCTTCCAAGCATGCCGCCTTTGTTTTCCTTTCCACCTTTGTCACGCGACGAGCCAATGACGCGCCCGTCGTCACCTACACTATCTGCATGGAAACCACTTGCTCGTTCGCCTGGCACTGGCTCAGGGCCGGGGTACGGCAGTGGCGCTATCGGCTTGCGTCTGGGATCACGCGTCGCGTGGGATGCTTCTCACCTACAAGATCACACCGAAGGTCATGATATGGATGAGGGCGTGCGTATGATGGGACTTTCATAGACGATGCGGTCCGATGTGGTTCGATTCAGCGCTAGGCTCCAGGCTCCTATACCTCACCTTGAACGCTGCCTGGTAGCCACTCCTTCTCCTTACCCGGCCTTCTATCCTAGAAGTTCATCGCGTGCGCACATGACACCGCAAAGTGTTGCTCTACATATATATATATATATGTGTGTGTGTATGTTCCTCACGACATACGTACAGGATACCCAGCATCTGCACATCGCTTCTTGACGTCCATAATGGAAACTTCACGTCGATGAAAGATACCCGCAGCAAGGGCCGCTTCAATAGGCGCCCCACGCGCTGCTGGCCGCGATGCCAATACGTCGCAGAAATGGTCGGCGCATCCTGCACCGCTGCTAGCGATCACAGGAATGTTGACACACCCACGTACGAGGTCAATAAGTTTCTCGTCAAAGCCTGCATAGCTGCCATCGCGGTCAATGCTGTTGATCAGCAACTCCCCGGCACCGAGACGCTCAACACCCCGTGCCAGCTGCACTACATCAATATCACGCGACTCTCGACCACCCTTGACTGTGCACATATACCACCATCGTGCTGATTGGCCAGCTGTCTCGGGACGCTCGTCTTGACCACACACGATACTTGATGCATGCGGATGTGTTCGTGCATCGACGGGACCATCGCCGCTCGAGTGCTCGTCTGACAAGCCATCGATCTCTTGGTCGCTCAGGTACACGCGTTTCGGGTCCACACTCACAACGACCGCCTGTACGCCATATTTGTGTGCAATCTGCTCGATGCCCGTATCGCCGCGAAGGGCCATGGCGGGTGCCGCGCATGGATCGCCGGTACAGTCGCCCAACTCTGTCGCTCGCTGCAATAGCTGCTCTACGGCATACACAGCCTCACTTCCGATGCTCACTTTGTCAGCCCCGGCCCGGAAGTATGCATGTGCAACTTCAAGCGCAGGGTGAAAGGTGCCATCTGGGTCGGTAAAATCACGGATGCCACCGCCCACTGTAAGCGGTACAAAGATGGTCGCAGCTGCGACATTCAGGAGCGACAACATCGGCTGATCACCTAGCGCCCAGTTCCGGAAGGATGTGATGTTCAAAAATGCAATTTCATCGGCACCTTCTTCGTAGTACCGTTGCGCGAGTTCGACAGGCTTTCCCATGTTTCGCACCTGCGCCTTGCCGCCGCTCCGAATGGTACCATCAGCTGTACTTTTCGCTTGTCCCTCTGCGGGCTGCCGCTCACGGACATTGTAGCTTTCGCCCTTCGTCACGACTAGGTCGCCGTCGTCATTGCTGCGCACGTCCAAGCAAGCAACGATCCGACGTGTGGGCATGCGCTCGTGCGTAGCCATGGGGCGCCGGATCCGTGCATCTTTCGTAGCATGCAATGCAGCGTCGTCAAGATGCAGCCATGCCGCAAGCAGGTTCAAGCCTGCCTGGCCGCTTTTTTCAGGGTGGAATTGCGTGGCAAATACATTGCCATGCTGGATAGACGACACAAAGGTCTCACTCCCATACTGCGTGGTTGTGAGTGTCCATGGTGCGATGCTTTCGTCGTATGCCACTCGGAACGAATGGACGAAGTAGAAGTGTGCAGGCTCTGTGACTGGCAGACCGTAGCTCGTCCCCAGCTGCTGTCGAGAGCTTGTCGACTCTGACCCTCTGGACTTGCTATCGATGCTCTCGTCCTTGACGTCAACGACACTGGCAAGGCTCCAGCCCATGTGCGGAACAGCCTTGCGTCCGTGTGCGTCCTCAGGTAAAAAGCTCCCGACGCGTGCTGGCACAACTCCCAGGCCAAGCACACCCGGCGACTCGTCCGAGCCTTGGAACAGGACCTGCATGCCCACACATATGCCCATGATCGGCTTGCCACTGGCAATGTAGGTGCGCAATGGCTCGACGTATCCCTTGGCGTGGAGCGCTTCCATTGCAGTGGCGAATGAGCCCACTCCTGGAAACAGTAGTTTCTTTAAGATTGTGCGTGAGCATGCGTTCACGGAACATCTCTCATGCCCTGTTGTCGTATACGTACATCGGCCTTGGCAATATCATTCGGCTCACGGACCCACGCGAATTCATAGCCCAGCTTCGTTAGTGAGTTCGCGAGGCTCTGGATATCTACAGTGTGAGCGCACTAAACAAACACGATTCACAAAGAGGACACGTGCAAAGGATCCCCCGTCCTGCGCCTCTGACGCTGTATACGTACTTCCTGCACCATAATCTAGCACATACAACATGAGTCAACGCCGGGTGTGCACGTCAAGTGAAGGTGCCCGCCGACCGTTCCTCGCTTGCTTTTAGGTAGCAATTGGGAAATGGGGTCCTTTTTTGGCCATGTGAACTAGCACCGGTGGCCTCTCCACCCCTACTTTGATCATATTCGTGTTGCTTCATGAGCATAGAGTTCTCTGCGCCCACTCATGAGCATCCGCTTCCAACCAGACTCACGTGACTGACCGTGCGCCTTAGGCGATGCGGCAGTCGACATTCACCCGACACACGGACCACGGCTACTCGACCGACTACATCGACCAACGTTAGCGGATACACGGAATTGTGTTTTGCGTCCGCTACCGAACATGGTGTCGTCCGAGTCGGATCATCAAAGTATCGACCCAACAAAGGAACCTATCGAGGGTTCCATCACCGAGGCGATGGCAGCCACCGCCGACAAGGCGGTCGAAGCGACGCAGCATGCCGCCAACGTGACAGAGAAGGTCGCAGAGGATTTGGCTCTGTCTGCGGCGGCGACCATATCCGAGATCCCAGCCCCGCGATCAACATTCATACTAACACTGCAAAGCATCTGCAGCCTCGTATTCCGTCTCATTGCCTATGTATTTTTGCGGGTCATTCCCGGTCGATTTGGATTCTATGCTATCCAGTTCTATCTCGGCTACCTGGCCATCTGGCTGCTTTATGACTTACGATTTGTGCCCAGAATACATCGTGACCGACCATCGCTGATGTCTCTGGTAGGTGGCTACTCAACTCGGCATCGTCCTGGAACATTCTGCAGCTTGCACTGCATTCACTCCTTCTCCTCTTTGTCCTAGATCTATATTACGCACCACAGCTGTTCCCCTCGCACCGTGAGGCTACACTTAAGTTTGCGCGTGTAGGTGCACTGAGTCCAACATCTGCGACGCTTCATGTGCGTTACCCGGAGCCGTTACCGCGTCTGACAGGTTTGTGGGAAACGGGCATCCATGAGCCGGGTGTTCTTACTGATGCATCCGCGCTCAACGAAGCCCCGTTGCGCGTAGTATGGCGTCGCGCGCACGAAGAAACTCCGCTGATTCGTGCGCCTAGCGCCGTGCGGGATCCACGGCGTTGGGAGCGCGGTCCCGTATTGCGCCTTACTAACGAGACGGACTGGACCGCATCAGCCGTAATCCAGGATCTCTGGCCTGCGACCAAGTACGAATGGCGACTTGCATTCGTGCACAATAACACATTTACCCCCATGCCTGCTCGCCCCATCCCATTCGTGACTTGGCCTGATCCACGACTTTCTGCGTACCGCCAGTCGAAGTTTGTCGCAACGAACGAGACAGCCGCATCGTCGTCGGCTTCGTCCTCACGTGCTGCGCCTCTCGATGACCCCAACCATTTTTCATTCGCTTCTATATCATGCGTCAAGCCGGACTTCCCATACGAGCCCGCACAGTTTTGGGGCTGGAACTGGCTCCTTCGCTGGATGGGCATTGGCACCGAGCCTGGTGGCCGGACGCTCAGGAATAGGATTCGCGGCTTTGATATTATGGCTGACCACGTTCTTCGTGGGGCGGGCCAAGCCCCGCGTCTCCGCTTCCTCCTCGAACTGGGTGACATGATTTATGCGGATGTGCCCCGGTATGAGGGCCCCGCGATGGAGTCCTATCGCAAACTGTATCGCAATGTTTTCGCTTCTTCTTCATTCCGCCGCATCTACGAATCGATCCCTGTTATCGGCATGTATGATGATCATGAAATCATTAATAATTGGAGCGGCGAAGGGTATCACAAACATTCGCTTGTCAATGCAAACACAAGCTTGCCGAATGCCACATTTGAGCACAACGAGAATGATACACCTCTTTCGCCTCCAGCTGGCCTCCATGCTGGCTTGCGCGCTTGGTCTGAGTACATCGGCCGTGCGAATCCCCCCCCGGTATCCCGAGATGAGAATTACTTTTCGTTCAGATATGGTGATACCGCGTTTTTCGTGCTTGATACGCGAAAGCATCGGACTCATCCAGACTCCAATATTGAGAATCCCACGATCCTTGGTTCTGAACAACACCATGCACTTATGTCATGGCTAGCTGAAGTGAATCACACTGCCACATTCAAGTTTATCGCCTCTTCAGTCCCATTCACTAGCTTATGGGGCGGTCCTTTGGACCTGGATGGCCGCTACGATGGCTGGTCTTTCTACGTGGATGAACGCAAGCAGCTTCTTGATGTGCTTGAATACGTGCCAAACGTTATTCTTTTGAGTGGTGACCGACATGAATTTGCGGCCGTGTCGTTCCGTGACTCCGTCGTCGAGTTCAGCACAAGCCCATTGTCCATGTTTTACATTCCCATTCGCACTCTTGCACAGGAACACTCAATGGATCCGCCTGGATCGGAGACTCTATTGAAATATCTTCCCGATGGAAATCATAAATGGACCGAGTTCGAAGTGGACACACGTGACCCCAAGAATCCTGCTGTCCATGTCCGTGTCTATGTGGATGGTCTGGAAGCATGGCAACTTCGTGTGGACGGCAGGCCAATAACTAGACCTCAGAGTGCTCTTGGAAAACTTGCTCGAAGCCTTTTAGAACTCTTGGGTTTCCGAAAACGAGAATGGTTCTAATGGACGTCTAATCCCCATGTTGGTGCTAGACATCAAGTCTTGTATTAAAAAAATAAACTTTCCACGTGCGACTTACATTATATATGCCATATAACCTCGGGCTCTCAGTTGCAGTCCCGGCTAGCTCAGTCGGTAGAGCGTCAGACTCTTAAATGAGTCTCCTCGAGTTCGAGGAGGTATCTGAATGTCGTGGGTTCGAGCCCCACGTTGGGAGTGTCTTTTTGGCGTGCGATCAACGCCATATACATGAATTTATCGTAAATATCAAATACCGCCAGGCTTTGGTATGGTCTGATCCCGGCTAGCTCAGTTGGTAGAGCGTCAGACTTTTATAAGAGTCTCCTCGCAGACGAGGGTTTATCTGAATGTCGTGGGTTCGAGCCCCACGTCGGGAGTTTCACTTTTTGTGTCTGAAACAACAGACGTGTAAAAATAAGAGTATACTAATCCTGCGCTGCGCCAATCGAAGTCCCGGCTAGCTCAGTCGGTAGAGCGTCAGACTCTTACATGAGTTTCCTCGAACACGAGGGGTAATCTGAATGTCGTGGGTTCGAGCCCCACGTTGGGAGTTTTTTTTTTACAGGTTTTCACTCAAATTGCGATTTTCATATACGATGTTTGAAACCTGCCGAGCGCAGTAAGTCCCGGCTAGCTCAGTCGGTAGAGCGTCAGACTCTTACATGAGTTTCCTCGAACACGAGGAGGTATCTGAATGTCGTGGGTTCGAGCCCCACGTTGGGAGTTTTTTTTTGAAGAGACTGAATTTTTTTACGCCAGAGCGATGTTATCACCAATACTATTAGTGAAGTGATACCATAGAAAGTACCGATAATATCGTATGTGACTATCATACGAGTACAATTGAAGTATGGGTCGTGACAAGAATTGCTATTCTAGATACGCACACTTGCATTGGCACGGTTATTTGTACCAATTTTATGCTGCTCATCTCTTCGCGAAAGGACAGAGCTGTTGCCTTCAAGGATAGCAAGTACCTCGACGGCCAAGCGGCGGCTGATCGACCGGTCAGAACGTCGATCACTAGCTTGGATAATCCATTTTAGTGCGCGACGCGTACTCTGTCGCGAGTTCAGAGGAATAGGAACTTGGAGAGACTTGCCTCCTTGTTTTCGCGACTGCATACGAAGCAAGGGTTTGGCCAATTCCACGGCCTCATATACCAGTGGGAGTGGATCAGCATTGGTAAGTTTGGCCATCTCCGCTAGCATATCGGCGATGTATCGCTCAGCGGAAGCCTTTTTCCCATCGCGCATGAGCAAATTCACAAAAAAATGAAGCAATGGATCTTGCCGAGGCGGAAGCGCTTTCGGCGAATAAATGTATGTAGGGCTGCTCCCCCCTAGTGGGTCTGCGCTGACAGCTGTTGAGCCCGGCAAAATAACTCGAGCACCATCTGTACTAGATGCTTTTTGATCCGCTTGTGTCGAGTAGTATGCACCGAACGAACGAATAGAATTTCGTGCCACGGATGTAAGCACAGACGAACTCATTCGTGCGACTTGCACGCTACGCGCAGCGCATACACGATTCGGTGGTAACAGTGCGGCTGTCACGGTCATTGACGCTGCCATGGCATAATGCGCACGAATTCCCTGTGATATCGACAAAAACGAACGATTCATCACGATTCCCTGCAGCAGTATGTCCCGGCAACAGGTATTCCCTAGAAAACTATCGTGTCCCAAGTGGCCACCGCTGTTTTTGAATCAGCCGTTTCGTCACGTCTGTTCTTCCAAATTGAGAGACACCAACTTGACCACTCTCTTCCATCCAAGGCAAACAAGTCACGTGACACCACACGCCACTTGCGCACATTTCGTGGATCCTTCTGCGAAGTGGCAGCACAGTGACTGGTCAGCCTGTCGTGTTGGCGTTGTTTGTGCACATAATCTTTTGCGAAAGCATAACTTAGCCAGGGTTCTTGCAGAGCACAAAACTACGAAGCTCATCCACGTAGGATGGGGACATTTCCTCATCATGAACATGCGGACGCTCAAAAGCCACGAGCCTCATCTAGTTCGGGCTCGACTCGATTCATGAAACACACGTCGCCAGTCGGGATTAGTACCATCGGATCGCTGGCAGGATCTTCCGCATCGTCTCGACCGCATAGTCGTTGGGGAATCCCACCACCACCACCGCCATCATCATCTTCTCTTATACCTACAGACTCCCCCAAGTCTATGCGTTCACGTAACAATCACACACGAACATTGTTCACCCCTGATGCGGAAGAGGTACGTTGCAAAGGTCTTTGAGCTAACGACATAAGATTCAGAAAATGCACGCGCATAGGATGAACCATATCAGGTCATACTACCTCGCTTCTAACATTGGAGCTGAAGGGAAAAGCACAACCATATCTCCCCATTTCGCCCTACAAAGTGCCATAATGGAGTTGAGCGATGCTGATGTGGATGTATACGCCACACGCATGCGCACGGAATCTACAGAGGCACAACTGTCTCGAGCACAGGAGGATGCATTCGCCTATACGTCCACGTTATCGGCATCATCGTCCCCTTAATTGGGGCCGGAAACAATCCTAAGGAATGCAAATGGTAATCATAATGGGGTTGAGGGAAGGGTGTCTTCGACTCTAGCTTACATAATTGATAGTTTTATGATTGCATATCATCCAAATAGGTTATCCAGGTCCCTTTTCGTCGCGTGCGAGTAGCGCTTACTGCGTTTAAGACGCGCGCATTAGCATTGTGCCTTCTGGCAGGGTGAGGCGGCACCGAGGTAGGTACATCAAGACGTAGGACAAGCGACAACAGCCTGAAAACTTCAAGCGTATCTGAAATTTGCTTGCGCACATATTGCCAGGGTTTATTTCTGGCGAGTGTTGATGGACAATTCTGCAGCATTTTCATTGCCTAATGACTGGTTGCCTGGTGTGTCTAACTTGAACCTGTCACAGCAGCAACGAAGAGAGACCGGGCCACAGGAGTCTGGGTACGATTGGAATAGATTCGCAGAAGCATATGTGGACGGAAAGTGGGATCCGGCTCGCGTGCCCTTTGAGCCCCCGAGCTCTTCCACCGCATCCTCTGAGCCATTCAAGCGTGAAGCGGACGACTCCCACGACCTTCTTGAAAATCTGGCAACATCCATGCAGCACGTGTATGAAAAAGGCGGGTATCTACCAACGTATGCGCCTGCTACTAATACACTTTACCCGCGCATCGTCTGGTACAGCAAGCAGCTCCAAGAGAGTGATGATACAAGCATGATCCGCCAGGCTCACCGGCTTGCTGCCAAGCTGGGAAAGGTTCCATTTGTGTGCACAAAGCTGATGGCACCAAAGCGAGTGATGCAGGATCCTAATGATGCATGCTGCTCTGCACTATACAGGCAGGGTTGGTGCCCATTTCAGGTTGTCTCTGAGTGGACCGACTCAGTGGAGCCGGACATGCACATGGATGAGACTGGTTTCGATCATAGTTTGTGGTCTCATGCCATGTATCTGGAGCGGAATCAGGTTTTGCTTGTGCCGGATGCGCTGCAGGACTGGCGCTTTGCTCGGCACCCGCGAAGGCAGAACCTACGTTTTTTTGCGTGTACGCCGATCTTTGACATGAATCAAGAGGTCATAGGCATCTTTGGTATTGGCGACAAGTTGCCGCTTGCGTCATTGGATTCTGATCTTGTCGGGATGATTCTCGATGTATCGCATATGTTGGCGAAGGCCATTGAGCTTGCCGCGAGCCATGCGCAAATCCTCCGCCGCGACAGGCTAAAAACATGTACCGAGCTATTTCTTCAGCACTTCCTCAAAGAGCCAGAGCCAGATGCCTGTAAGCCAGCAACTGAGGGTCTCATGCCACTTCAGTCGCATGCACCACAAATCGACATGCACTTATGCAACGGCAACTACATGCATATTTATGACTTTGCTGCAGAGAGCCTGCGTACGTCGATGGATGTCTCAGGTGTGGTCTTCTTCGACTTGTCGAATTTTGTGCTATCGCAGAAACTAAATGCGCTGGACAACACGAAGTACGAAGATGTTGTTGTACATTCGCGCATGATGAATTGGAACTGGCAGCAGAACGATACGGCTAAGACAGATGCGCAGCAGGCACACGTTGCTGCTCTGCAAGTACTCGGCTCTAGCGAAGTCGATGTACATGTGCCCTGCGCACGCAACGATCCCATCGATGTCGATGACATCAGAGACCTGTGCGAGATCATAGCCACAGAGTCTCTTGGGGTCCGGTATCGAAGACACGCACCCTCGGTTATCAGACGCCTTGTGCCACGAGATATGGAGGATTTGTTGGCAGTGCCGTTATCTGGCGCAGAGCGGCAACCGTCGCTGCTGATTCTCGTCTATTCGCGATCTGACAGCTATTCCATCATGCTTGATCAGATGCTGCACACAGCCATGCAACATGTGCGTGCGATTGGTCTCATGGCCATAAATGTTGTCACGAGACAGTCGGTCTTACTCGCCGATCGAGCCAAATCGACGTTTATTTCTAACATGTCGCATGAGCTTCGGACTCCGCTTCATGGGATATTGGCGTCGTCGGACCTGTTGTCAGACACGCGTCTGGACAGGTTGCAGCGCTTCTATCTGGAAACGATCGAGTCGTGTGGACACGGCTTGCTCGAGCTCGTGAATCACGTCCTTGACTTTACGAAGCTGTACAGCGGCGCATCGAACACGTCCAGGCGCAAGAACATTCAGATGACTGATTTCGATCTGAGTCGTCTTGTCCAGGAAGTTTGTGACAGCAGTTTGCTGGGCCAGCAAGTCAATGTGTCTCGGCCCCATGATCCACAAGGCACGATCGGCTCGATGTATGACCCACAGAGCGCTCCCTCGGCGGCCTCGACGTCGTCAGACTCAGCACCGAATGATCTTGTCAAGCGCTGGTCCGCTTTGGAGGTCGTCGTGCTCGTCGAAAAGCGCATGCAGGGCTGGTACGTGCACTCAGACTGTGGTGGTCTACGTCGTGTCTTGATGAATCTCATGGGCAATGCACTCAAATTCACTACAAACGGCTTTGTTGAGGTGTCTTTGCGCGGCACAGACATGGATGAACATATGATGCGCATCAGCTTGCGTGTACGAGACTCTGGCTGTGGTATATCGCGAGCGTTTCTCGACAAACAACTATTCCAGCCATTTTCCCAGGAAAACCCACTTGGTGGTGGAACTGGGCTTGGTCTTTCGATTGTAAATGAGATCGTTGCATCTCTCGACGGGGGCGCTGTGAATGTCGACAGTGCGCAGGGCGTTGGCACAGACATTGTGGTCTCGTGTAATCTGCGCAAAGCGCCTCTGCCTGAAGCGAGGACGTCGCACGTGTATGTCCCACAACTTCAAGTCCAACAGCGCTTTGTTGTGCACTTGATCGGCTTTTCTGGTGGCTCCGAAGGCATGCATATGCTGCGGCAATCGCTCACAAACTACCTCACGACATGGTGGGGTTTCCGTGTAAAGGTGCACACGGAAGACGAAGAAGAAGAAGAAGCCATCGCTTCGTGCACGAGTGTATGGGACCATGGTATCTTGCTGATGAACAACTATTCAGTTTTCATGGAGCGCCTTGTCGAATATTCACACCACTGCCGAGGCAAGCTAGCGCTCCCCCCTCTTGTTCTTCTCGCCGACCTGTACAACAAGCACCTCTTTGCCAAGGCGTGCGAGGATTACGAACGCGCTGGCGGCCTCGCTCACATGCTTCTAAAACCATCTGGCCCTGCACGGATGGAAGATGTCCTTCAGTCGTGTGTGGAGCAATGGCAGCAAGATCCGGTCTTGCAAGAGACACGAACGATGGGTGTGGCTATCAGTGGTGCGGGCAACACAGACGGCCAACCCAAAGACCCAGACACGGTGCGCACGGAGAAGCAGGTGCATCCTACAACGCCTCCTCGGATTACAATTCCTCCCAAATTTCGCCAGAGTGAGCCGTCCACGCCCTGTCGCACACTTTCGCTCTTGCGCTCTGACGAACGACCTTGGGGCCGCCAAGCCGTTCCGACTGCCACCACGTCTCAAGCGCCCATGGATGATGACGAGCTCGTTTCGCCTGACCAGGCTGTGCTGGAGCGCTCGCTTCGCGAAGCCGAGGCATTCGATGTTGAGCAGGCATCTGTCCAAGCTGAAGCCCAGCCACAGGCCGGGCCCCAGGCTACTGAGTCGATGCATTCGAATCATGGCCCATCCATCATACCCAATGTAAATCCCGCAGAACCGTCCGCGTTCCATGTACTTTTTGCTGATGACAACCCTGTAAATCGCCAGGTGCTTGGCGCATATCTCCGCAAGCTCAATGTGCCTTATGTCGAGGCGCGTGATGGCGGCGAAGGTATCGCCGCATTTTCATCCAAGCCAGCTGGCTACTTTGATCTGATCCTCATGGACTATTCGATGCCGAATATTGACGGCTTGTGTGCGACGCTGGTTATCCGACAAATTGAAAAGCAACGGAGCATGGACGCCAGTGCACAAGCCCGTAGCGACTTGGCCTCGGCCCATGCGGGCGCCGGCGCTCAGGCCCCTGTGTCCTCAAGTCGTGCTAATATCTACATTCTATCTGGCGCATCGACGGAAGAAGTTATGCGACAGGGTTTCGGCGCCGGAGCTGATGGCTATTTGGTCAAACCATTGAGCTTTAAAGTCTTTGTGTCCCTCCTGAAATCTGTAGGGCATTCCTCATCATAGAAAATCGACAATTTATCTCCATGCAGATCGCTCCTGTCAAAAGCTGCAAGTTGGCGGCGGCGCCCTTCGTCCGTCGCCCCGAGTTCGGGTCCTTTAGTCAGCATAGAGAGCACCCTGAACCAGTCAGCGAGGGCGAGGATCTAATCTAATAATGCCTAGGATGGGCCCATGTGGGACCCAAAGATGGCAGGTGACGGTCGCTGGGTAAAAAGTGTTTTCGTTGGCCATCTCCAAGTGGCACATTCGCCTCCCCCTCCAGAAATCCACGCGGGATTCTCTTCATATTTTCTTGGGCGGCGTGAGCAGCGAGCGTCTTTTGGATCCCTGCATCAGCCACATTGTTACCCAGTCGTCCGACCAGTCAGTGAACCAGTCACAAGATTTTCCATTGTTCTGGTTCGACGGATAGTATGAACCATGTCGTTCGTATTTCCGGAGCTGCCTTCATGGCTCCTTCACGATATCTCTCCTCCATTTGAATACGTACGTGATACCGACGCGCCGTTGGTCTTAGACTCACACATGCCCTCATGCATTGTCCCTTTCGTTCGTTTAGTCTGCTCATACACGGTCATCTGTACCTGACTTGTCATTCGACTTGCATACGGCAGGATCTGGCTTAGACTTGGGACAGCCCACTGGAGCCTCTCTGCCTCTGGGCACAGGTGCGGTGGATCCCGATTCCAAGATGTTGCTAGCGAATCCGGCATTCTCATCTATGTCGCCGTCTTCGCAATGGCCAGGTGGCCCACCAAACGTGCTGTTGCCATCCTTGTCCTCTGCTGCACCATCATCGTTTCCACTGAGTCCAATGAGCGTACCAGGTATGCCATCGTCTTCCCTGTCCGATTTCGACCGCTCTTTGAATGCATCCTCGCTCATGCACGTGCCAGCACCACCGCCACCGGAACAAGAAAGGTCGACTTCTATCGCAGCACCGACAGCCACATCGTCTCTCTTACCTATTGAATCTGCTGTGTACTCGCAGCCAGCTGATACAACACCTTTGGACGACTATAGCCGTGTGCACCGTGTCATGCCGATGCCTGTGCCTTCTGTTGCTCCATATTCAATGTCTCCGATGTCTACAGGTGGCATGAATGGCGGCACATCTCGACATCCTCATCCCGCTGCTTTTGAGAGCTCAATGACAACAACGACCTCTGCGGTGTCGCCGTCATCGATTCCGTCAACGCATGCACCAGCCATGTCAGGAGCAACGCCAGAGTTTGTACGGATATCCATGTCACCACCAGGGGTATCTGCGCTCGATATGTCCCAGACGTCTGACATGTCAGGCTCTTGGCTGTCTACGCCCAGTCGAGCACATGACAGCCTGCATGTCAGACACGACACTGTTAATGGGAACGGCAGCAACAGCAGCAGCAACGGTAGGTCGTACAGGAGCCCCAAGGCACGTCCGTTTGTCTGTTCTCATTGTTCTCGAGCTTTTTCTCGAAGACATGATTTGGAACGCCATGCTCGGGTGCATTCAGGTGATCGTCCATACGTGTGTCGTGTTTGCCAGAAAGGGTTCCCTCGAAGTGATGCGCTTCGACGGCACATTCGTGTTGAGAGAGACACTCATGAATCATACTTTGTGTCCAAGACGTCTGATGTGCTGGACATGTCAGATCGCGATACTCATGCCCGACATAATTGAATCAACAGGACTAGCTTGCCAGCTTGCCCGCCAGCCTGGCGAATGAACTAGGTTCTTCTACGGACGCGCGAGCAAATGCTTTTGTTCTTATGATGATCCACTCTTTCATGCCGATGTTTGTCCCCTCTCCACGAACTATGAACCATTTTTGCTTTTTTTGTGCAAATGAAATGAACATATGTACTCATCATGATATGGAAATTTTTTTGTCTTTTTTACACACACACACACACACAATTACTCTCTTTTCTTTCACCCGTTCCTCGCGCTTTTCTCATTCATTTGGCGTCAACTCGACTCACATCAATGCGAGCATCTTTTGCAATAATATCGGGTGTGAGCACCTGGTCCAAGACCTTCAGCAGTTCCCTGTAAGAGTGCTTGATGGTCACGTCTGACACACCTGCTGCAACAGAGATACGGCGTGCCGTGCGCTGTTCGTTTACTAGCATGGTTACAAGGTAGATGGTAGCTGCAGCAATAGTAATGGGCGACCTACCAGCTAAACAACCCTGTTCTTGGATGCGCATGGTGATAGCTTCTGTCACTCGTACAATCGACATGTCCAATCCAAGGTGGTTGCAGTAGCGAGCGACCAAATCCGATGCACCGACGGCGAGGCCCAGCTGGGCAGCGCCACCCGTGCCGGCATTCGCAGCGGCCACATTCGCAGAGGTGTCGGCGCCATCGATCGAGCCGCTTCCTGTCGCATTCAGGCCAAACGCGTCCTTCATTTCACGAAAACAGCGTGCCACCTGCGGCTTCCGAGCCGACGTCAGTGCACATACCTCGGGGAAGGTACGTGGCACACGATTCACACGGCATGCCACATAGATGGCCGCCGCAATAATTGCATCTGGATGCCGACCGCGCAGCAGCTTCTCCTGCTCCACTCTTCGGTACGCCTGTTTGGCTGTGTCACACACTGTACGCGGCAAATGAATGCTGTCACACTTATTTTGGATAGAGTCGAAGGCATCGAGAAGGGAACGATCTCTTGGTGCCGCTGCTCGAGATATGGTCTTGAGCAGCTCGCGCGATGTGCCAGTGCCGCCGTCGCGTGCAGCGACGCGACTCTCTAGTTGCTCCGTGATTCCATCGAGAATCGGATTGGCCACACTGCCTACACGCGATGGGTCATCGCCATCCTCATTGGCGAACGTTCGCCACTCGCTTCGTGTATCGACGATTCGGTCTCCCAGCACTAGTCCACAGTCAGCACACACAAGATCACCACTCGCACACTCTTCTGTGATGTTCGTCGGCACAGTCTTGCAGTCTGAGCATACGAGCCGCACACTTAGATCTGGCAAGAATGTTTCTTTCCGGCTCTGATCCTGAGGTCGACTGCTTGGTATGTGTTGTCCCGCAGCTGCTCGTTCTGCAGCAAAGCGCGGTGTAATGGCAAATGCATCCGACAAGGATGGTGGCGTCGTACGTGTTCGCTGGCAGTGGAAGTGGTAAGCGTCCGTGTCTGGATCCCTCACACGCGACAACGTACGTCGGAGTCGACTGACATACTGAATAGTAGCGGCGCCCGTTCCACGCGCGATCTTTAGCACGTATTTGCGCTAGAATATAGAGGAGCCTTCGCTGCCGAGATGGAACTGAAGCCGGCAACGTCCCGAGGTAGCGACTGGGCGTACGTAGGCTCAAGGGTAGGCAGGCGATACAAGACCAGAGGACCTGGACGTGGAGGACTGCTGAGGTGCCGCTCGCTTGCCCCCAGTCCACAAAGTGCATCACGTGACACATCGACCGCCTCGACCTCATTGCCCTCGTCCACACCGCTCGCTACGATATTGGGCCTCCCCTGCTTTGCTGATTCGTTCATCGTTGCGCCTGGTGCGTCAGCGTTGTAGGGTACGCGGAGCAAGAATGGCTGAAATGGAAGACGAGGCCATCCCATCATCGAGCTTCGAGGCATTTGCGCAAGCGTTCCGCACGGCGCGTGATCTTGGCGTGCATGAGCAGCTGGATCCAGTGTCGGGCACGGCACTTGTGTTTGCGGATGTGTGCTCAGAGCGTGTCCATCCATCATTGGCAGCCGCAGTGTCAGGCATGTATAGCTTGGAACATACACTTGACGATGAAGACGCTGCTGCTTGGGCCACAGAAGAGCACACGTGGAAGCTCGTGCATGCCTTGTTCTCGTACGTAACCAGCCAGCTGTGCTGCTGACGACCAGGGAGCGAATTTTGGGGACGAGTGCGCACTCTGACACAATTGTGCCACCCGCTCCGCATGTTTATGAAACCCCGCTAGCGACAGTGCAGCGCATTCTCACGCACAGTGCAGAGCTGACTGAGTTGAAGGTACGTCGTCCTACACGACATTCATCCACAGCCCTGCTTATACACACAAACTCTCCAGATTATCCGCGAGTGGCTACAGGAAGTGCTACCTGTGAAGCATGCCGTTGAAGTTCGCAAGGGATACATGCCATTTACGAAGAGCGCCTTGCGTGCAGAGAAGCGGATGCAAGTGGGTGGCAGCGGAAGTAGCAGCAGCAAAGGGGCTGGGCCATCGATGATGATGCGGCCGAACCGCGAGAAACTCGTCCAGCAGTTGGATCCAGATGCATCTGTGCGCGGCCCTGGCGCTTGGGACATGGAAGACATGCACTATGAAAAGGCGTTGATCCGCAGCCTGTTCGAGTATGTGCGTGCGGGTGAATTGGACATGGCACTTGATCTATGTGTCCAGACGAGCCAGTCGTGGCGTGCAGCGTCGTTGCGCGGGGCGATTTTCTATCACGATCCAGATGTGTCAGCGCCAAGTAATGGCGACTTGGCTGGTCCTCTGGGCAATCGCACACGAAGTATTTGGCGCCGGATTGCTTGGAAAGCTGCACTGAACGTATCATTGGATCCCTATGAGCGTGCCCTGTATGGTGCCCTGTGCGGCGAGCTTTCGTCGGTCCTTGCTGTCAGCGAAACGTGGGAGGAGCGACTCTGGGGCTATATAAATGCACGCTTCGAGCAGCAGCTGGAGCATGGCATGATCCAGACGGCGCCGTTCGCCGATGTTCAGCGTACGGAGGAGACGACTGCTGAAGCAACCGAGAGTCTCGAGTCTATCTTTGAGCAACTTGCTCATGCGTCGCCGCAGGCGACGACGGAGGCACTTGATCCATACCATATCGTGCAGCGTGCCGTCATCACCGACAGTGTACCAGACCTCTTGTCACGAGTGAACGCGCGCCTGCCAGAGATGCAGCTACTCGACGAGCGCGTGTACGCGCGACTTGTACGCTTCTTCGCGCACCTGGCGCTGTTCTGCCATTTGATCCATATTCCATTGCCTGTGCCGCTACGTGCGCCGATATTGAATGCGTATGTGGGCGTGCTCCAGCGCGCGGGCCAGAGTTGTGAGCTTGTCGCTCTCTACGCATCCAGCTTGGAGCTGGAGAATGCGCACGAGGTGTACGCGGACTTTTTATGCACCCTTGATCCTGATACGTCCCTCGAGGACCGCCGGCATGCTCTTGTGCAAGTCAAGCCACATGGGATGGATCCTGCTATCGTTGCACGCAAAACTGTGGACTTGTTATTTGCCGAGCTCGTTCCAGCGATCGTTGATGAAGCTGAGATTCGCGAGTGGAATGCACACTTGAGCATCGATGAGCGAAGGCTAATTTTGTCGATCGATTGGCTTACGTTCTTCGACGCAACGTATGCTGATGCGATCGTGCAGGCGAATACTATCATGCGGGTATTCCTCACGACCGGCCGCTTGCACGCCGCTCACAGTCTGCTTCATCGCCTGCCGACAGAGCTGCTGACGGTCTTGAGCGAAATCACTGTGTCGGAAGACCAACTGGTCGAATTAGACCACTGGCGCATCTACTTTGACGTGCTGAACAAGAGTGTTGCAGTGCGCGGATTGTGGAGCGATGCTGCTCTCGCAGACTCGCACGCCGAATTCCACGACTGGGCTTCGGCGCTACGCTCTGCATGTGACGCTGCACGCCTCGCGACATTGGAGCTGCTCGAACTAGGCTGGCTGCAGTTCCCTGTGTCAGATCCTGCGCGGCAAGAGCAGCTTGCACTCATTCGCCGCAAGTACATTCCAGAGATTGTCGTAAGTTTGCATTTGATGCTCGTCGACACAAGCCACATCGTCACTGAGAATCTCGCGCATGCGCTGGCGCTGCCGAACCTCGTGGCGGATGAGCGTCTTTGCCTGTATATGGAGTTTGCCGTGCCTGCCTCATCCAGCACGCATCCACTCCGCAAGTATCTGGATCATGTGCGAGAAGCGGCTCTGTTGGCTCTGGATCGACGGCAAGACGTGCTTGGGTGCAATGCAGCGCCTGTTTCGTAGAATGTTGGGCCGATAGCTTACATAAATCGCAGCCATACGAGCCAGATGCGTGTAGTCTGACGCGAGGAGCCAACAAGCGCCGTCACAAGCAACAGGCACGCACGCATCGACAGAGCCATCCATCCCATCCAGTTTAGTCCATTACAGGTAAAAGTTGCGTCGAGACACACTCATTTTCGGCTTCCACTTGAACTCCACTCCGTCATTTGTCGAATACTCTGCAGCATCAACGTCCTCGGCGCTGGCTCTCTGTGCGGCGGCTGGTGATTCTTCCAGCTCGTCAACAAATCGGCCATCCCAAGCACCAGCGCCTTTCGGCAGGCCCGATGTAAGGGAATGCAGTTTCAATGTAAAACGCGGGCCAATTTCTTGCAGGGCCGCCTTCTCTGGTGACCGGAACTCGTATCTGTGCCGACGGAAGAAGATAAAATCGCGCTGATTGTGCGCGGTCACGACCTGACGACCCTCTAGTTGTGGCACTAATGGGAATAGGTGCTGCAAGAGCCGACCGACACGGTGGCCAAGAGCTGTGGTGAAGTTGTTCAGAACGAGCTCAGGTGTATGCGGTGTTGGGCGTGCATGTCCGAAGATGTCTTTTCCCAGCGACACTGACGTAAGGCGGAAAAGCGCCGTTGGTCCGAGGGGCAAGGCAACAAGCGTAAGAGAACATGGCTTTTTGTTCGACTCGCCAATGACAAGCACCGCATCATACCGACGTGCACGCGCCCAGCGGCAAATCTTTCCGAGGCCTGCACCTTGTGCCTTGGCACGCGGTCGATACTCAGCACCGGGAAACACATTCAACAGCTCTTTGACGAATTCGCGCACAGCTTCAGCTGGGTGACTTCGTGCGTTCGCTGATAAAAGATGCGGTGACGTCGCATTCGATGGAAGTGATGTGGTGATAAGAATAGCAGGCGGCGCCGTAGGATCATTGTCGACTTCGTACTTGGCAAGTTGAGGATCCTGAACTTCTTCTTGCTCGTCTTCCACTTGCACGACAGGCTCGGTATCATTGCTCTTTTCTTCAGGTCCTTCACCTTCTTCACCCTCTTCCTCGTCAATGTCATCGTCCACATCTTCCTCGTCATTGTCGTCGTCGCCGTCTTCTTCTTCTTCTTCGTCGTCGTTATGCCTATCTGCAGGTTCCGGTCGTTGCTGTGCCTCCATCCAAGCCGGCACCTCGTGCGTGTTAGGGACGTTCAGCACCGTCGGATTAAAGTCTCGCGTGTTTTCAATCGTGCGTGGCTTGCTCGTAGCTAGTCGCTCCTTCCGACGCATCTTCCCTTCCTTGGAAGACCGTTCGTCTTTCGCCAGCTTCAGGCGTCGTTGCAGTTTCCGCTTCGCTTTCTCCTTGCGGTATTTTTGGTACATGTCTTGCCTTTTGTGTTTATTCCCAATGTGCGACACGGATCCAGTCCGCCGAACTCCATCTTCAGCATCGGTACTGATACCCATTTGCGATTCTGTTAGAGGAACAACGCAGTCTCGGCACCAGTATCGCCAGCGATGTAGGATGTATATGTAACACGCGCAGCATTTACAAGCATTTGCACCAAAAAGAGATTTTTTTGTGATGCACGCGTGTGGGACAATGCCACGTGGCTCGGACTCGCCCGGGCACCTGGGCTTTAGGTGGGTACATTTTCAATTCGATTCGGCTGCCTCACAGCTCCTCGTCTTAACCAACCAACAACTGGACGATTTATCATGTCGGCTATTCTTGCTGCTTCGCGTGCCTCATTCCGTGCCACTCGTGCACCAGCCATGATGATGCGCCGCTCAATGCACATTGAAAACACCGTCGAGACCGTACGTATGCAAAGGAATGTTATATGAGTAAGCGGGCTAACGATTTGCTTTGCTTGTGTGTGTATCATGGTGGATCATTGTCTATAATAGTCACGTATGTTGATCGCCGATGTCGAGTTTGGATATTAACGAGATGCAGTCCCCTTCAAGGCCGGTAAGAACAACAAGGTCGGCACAGCCGTTCGCGTGTTTGGTTTCTTCATCACGGGCTTCTCATTGCCTCTCGTCGCCGTCGCCTGGCAACAGTACGTTTTGCTTTCCGCAATCTTGGCATTACTAACATTCAAGACTGAAGTAAATGGGGATTTTTCACCGCTTCGAGTAGCAGATACGTTCACCAATGAATACGTGCGCTTTTCCGATATGGGCTTGTGTGTTTTTGTGTGCCCGAATGTCCATTGTCAGCCGCTTTCTGCCGTATCAACACTCTTGTTAGTGTGGCTCACATGATCCATGCCTCCTTGCACTCATATACCTCGCCATGCGAGTGAGGCACGCATCTCATTCCTACATAAGAAGCACTACAAAGTTGCTTGGGAAGGTATTTGCGCCTGGCATGCGACGTGTTTCATCCAGTAATTCACCTTGCCACCACCCGTCAGGCTCAGTGTGTGTGACAGCGATGATGTCGCCAGCGGTAAAGCTAAATTCCTCTGGCAACGATGCTTGGTAATCGTACAATGCCTTGACATAGAACAGAATCGGCTCGCCACTCTCGCTATACTGTCCAGTAGGTGGACGAGCAAGCCGCGACGCTCCCGTCGGCTCGTTGGAGGGCGGTGGCGGCGCTCCTGCTGCGACTCCTCCGGGGCCCATCTGTGCGGGACCAGGGCCTGCGCCATACCGACCAGCCATTGTGTCTTGTGCCACTTGACCATGCGCATCCAGCGCAATACCCAGAGGCGTTGTTGACCGCCCTGATTGCGCTTGCAAGGCCGGATGGGTCGGCGAGGCCGTACCTGCTCGACGTTCCGTGGGGAAGGCCTGACCGTAGTGACTGTGAATCTGCTCGAAAGGTAAAGGTGACGTGCCACGATTCGGTGGATGCATGAACGCGGCAGCCGGCGATGTTGAACGTGCATTCCGAGGATCTGGCGATACTGCGCGTTGCCAGCGAGGGTCTGTCGACACCGGTTGGCCAGGATGAGATGGTTCATTTGGTGGTGGCGGCACGTTTACATTCGATTGTGAGCTAATCGTACTCGTTGGACGACTGCCTGATGCGGGGCTTTTGCGGCTCTGGCGCATGCGTAAGTTCGCCAGCGCCTTTGCGATGGGATCATCCTCATCAGACGCAGGTGTTGCGCTAATGTGCGACGACACCGGTCGCGATGCTGGCTGTGACGATGCAGGTCCAGGAGCAGGACCGGATGCCGCTGCAGGGATCGATGCGGATGGCGGTGCTGATCCGGGACTCATGGGCGACTGCAGGTGAGGTGTTTGTGACTGAGCCAAGGGTGTGGCTCCCGGAGCAAACATGCTATTCCGATTCGAGGTCGAGGGCGGCGGTGTGCGGGCAGCGGGGGAAATGGTTTGGGGAGGTGGTGTACGACTCATTGCAGCGAGGTAGTTTGGCGCATTCGGGCCCTGCATTGAATGAAGCGCCATAGAGGCGGGTGTCTGAGGCGTGCCGGGGCCCATGACTGATGGTGATATGGGACGCAATCCACCACCGGGTGGTACAGGCGTCATCAGTGACGGTGTCATAGGTCGTGCGGAGGCAGGTGTGCTGAGCTGGGCAGTCGCCGGCGTCTGCGTGGCAAGCAAAGACGCACTGGGCGGATTCATACCTTCTCCAACACGTGTAGAGAGGCGAGAAAAGTGGGCAGAGCCAGTGCCAGACGAGGGCGGTGCAATATTTTGCGCGTAGTTGACATAGTCAGGCGCCGCTGGGATCAGGGAGCCCGTGGCAAACTCCCTCACAAACTCGCGTACATCACGCGCCGCTTCACAGCCCTCGAGAGAAACTCTGACACGTTCACACGCCTCATCGTCCGTCACACAGATACTAGATATGGCATTTGCAAGACCCCAGACATTCGTCTTGAGAAAGTCCTGGCGTTCTTCTTCCACGTCCTGGCAAATGTCCAAAAAGCTCTTGTACTCGGAATTCCATTTCTGTGTCGTTTCCTGCAGCGCACGCACAAAGCTCTCATAGTCGCGGTCGTCGTTGTCTATGTTAGATTGGACACGCTCGAGTTTCGCCATGACTTTGTCGAGGTCACGTCCTTGAACCATATTGCTTTGCGCCGTGTATGCGTTGATCTTCGTACAGTTGGTTTCGTACTTTTCGCGTGCTCGATTCATGTACTGTGTTTGTGATTGCTTGTGCTTGTAGAGCTTCGTCACGGATGTTTGGGCATCGCGCCGAAGACTGTCGACCCGCCGCATAAAGTCAATAAGCGGACCCTCAACTTCTTTCCGGATCGAATTCTCCAGCTGCGAATGTGATTTTGACTGTGCTTCTGTTTCGATGCGCACAGTGTTGAGTGCATGGCGCATGGGACTAGGACATCGCACATAGGGTGTTAGTATGGAGAAACACGGGAATTTTGCCACTGCCTATGCCGCAGGCCAGCATCCTATACCACGTACCCTGTCTCATACTTTCCTAGCGATGTTTTCGCTAATTTTGACAATCGTTTCGCATAGTCTCGCTCGATCTCAGCCCTAGTCATAAGCTTTTCTACACGCACACACACACACGCACCGCTCCTGGTAAAATGTCCGCAGATCTTCCATAGTCCGAGTCGTATTTTTGATAAAACTTTGCATCACATGGTATCCAGCGTCATTCTCGCCCTATGCCATGCGTATAAGTGAACTAATTCTTCGGACATCAAGGACCTACCCAGAACGAGTTGCAGAAAGCATACGCATCAATGTTATCAGCCGCCGCGGCATTGTACGGCGCACTCACTGACATAAGAGAGATCTACTTTTCTGAGGCCGCACAGTCTGTTTGCGTGCAGAAAAAAAATCAGACGGCTCTCGTTGCTTGTGTTGCCACCGCTGCCGCTGCTGTTGCTGCCGCCGTCGTGATGATGATGATGAATTGCATGTGTGTTGCTTGGAGACAACGCATTCGGCCGAAATACCCACACGTGGTGTGGTGCTGCAGCTCTCTTTGCATAAGATCAGACGCACTCGTCAATAACGAGAATATAATATACTGAGAGGATTGTGGGTTCCGGTCAAGCAAGAGAAACCTTATTGCGCTAAGGCTTCATCGTGCAGACGCTTTCGCCGCAGGCATACTGGCTGGGCCAGGCAATTGCTGCATTTGCGCGATTCATACACGTATAGCTGCGTGGATTCTCTTTGCGAAGACGCGCGGAGTATTTTTCTTTCGAGACGATGCGGGAGAAACCCACGCGTAGCTCGTGGCACAGTTGGTGGCCCGCGTCTTGGAGATCGGTACCCAAGCTGCCCCCAGAGCCGAATACATCAGCGTCCAAAAATCCGACAACGAATCCATCAGCCGATGCCACTGCGACATCCACGCAAGAAAAGTTTCCTCATACCACGTTTGCGATGCAGGAAGCGCACGCTTCTCCGTTGACAGAAAAGCAACATGACGACCATCACGCACGTACGACACGCTTAAAATTCGCAGGAACACATATTCGTTTGCATCCGGAGGATTTACCACATGACTATGAGCCTGGCGAAGTGTATCGTGGACTCGATGAATACGTTGCTGCGCGTCGCAGTGCTCGTCGACGAGCGCATCGTTTGCGGCGCACTTCTGGCACTCGTGAATCAGAACGCAACCAAGATTCAGACTCAGATTCAGACTCGGATAGCTCTGACTCTGATTCGAGCAACGGACCGCAGGTGATATCTCGTCTCCTTTCCTTTTTTGGCGACAATTCAGACGACCCATCCTCAGACTCCAGCACCGATGACGATGATAGTGACAGGGACTCAGACTCTTCAACGTCTTCAACGACGTCTCGCGCACGCTCATCTCGGGATGTGGATCCATCTGATCGTATTTCATTGGCCAGTGGTCGCTCACGTCGCGAGATGGCTGGCACTAGCACCCCTGGTGCTTCGTCAGCCTTTGCACCATGGACGCCGCGCCTGAGTGCACTTACCGGCACAAGGCGCCGTCGTAAGCGCCGTCGTCATGCTAATCGTCGGGAGCGTCCAGTGCATATCGTCAAGGCCAGTCGCATGGCGCGTCGCAATGCGCGGCGTCTTCGCGAATTGTCGGGTGGCATCACAGAGTACACTCTGTTTGCTCCTACGGGCGATAGTAGATCCAACGTTGTGGTGTCGCAATCTTGGAGGGCTATATGGGATCGGATGGAGCACTACTTTTCCTATCACCGACAAAATGATGGACTGGCTGGCGATTTGGGTCTGCCGATGCTTTCGTCGCCTCCGGCGCCGACAACAGTGGAGCCAATCATGGGTGATGAAAATTTGGCACTTCCCTCACCCGCACTTGAATTGCATGTGCCTGACCGAGCTGCTGATTCACCGCATGATCCACATGCCGAGGCCTTTGAGCATGAGCTCCAGACTGGCCGGCACATGTCTGACATGCCGCTTACGCCTTTTTTCCGCTCCAATATCTCGGGTGATGTAATACCTTCGCCGATGCCATTCGGCTCACTTTCAACTGGACGGGCAACCTCCCCTCGACAAGAACGTATGTCGCCATTTCCAAACCATGGAAAAGTCAGTCCCATCCCTGAGGAACCTGGCGACTTGCAGCTACCAGAGGCTGCACTCGACATATACGGCTATCCTGAGCCGGCTATAGCGGATTCAGTCAAGAATGAGGATATTACAGAGGCGTCAATTCGCTCCGATCCTTGGTGGCTTGATATTCGCTGTCCGACCTACAAAGATATGCAGCAGCTTGGTCAGCACTTCCCTCTTCATCCACTCACGGTGGAAGACATCTTGAAGCAAGAACAGCGAGAGAAAGTCGAGACATTTGAACGCCTTGGCTACTACTTTGTGGTGCTTCGCGCACTCGATGAGAATTATTTCCGATTCACAAAGCCGGCTGAGAGGACGGACGACACCCGCGAAAAGCACTTGCTTGTGTCGCCAGGACTTGTAGAGGCACAAGTTCCTAGCACGCCTCTCCCCGGCAACATAGAGCCTAAACCCAATGTCGGCAGCGGACGCGTGCACATCGAGACGGTCAAGTCAGAAGACGCAAAAGAAGGTCTCGAGGGTCTTAATGCCGGTGCAGTAACATTATATCTCGTGGTGTTTTCATACGGTGTCTTATCATTCCATTTTGAAGATGTGCATAAACACACCGACAAAGTACGCGACAGGCTGAATTCATCTTTTACTATGATGGAGCGTAGCTCCGACTGGATCGTGCATGCACTGTACGACTCGATCGTCGATGCATTCTTTCCATACGTGTCGTTCCTTCAGCACGAGGTCGAGTATGTCAACTATTTATCGAACGATCTAAGCCTTACGCCGTTCAAGAAGGATGAGCGCGTGTCCAAGCAAGCGAAACGTTTCTTCACAAAGCCTCTCTTCGCTAAAACCCGAAGAAAAAGGGAGACCGCTTTTGTTGCCGAAGAGATCCTGCGTGCCTTGCCAAAAGGCAATGCTGAATACGTGGAGTACCTTACCAAACGTGCAAAGAAACAGAAAGCGTTTTCCACATATGATGCTATGGACCAAAGCCATTTTATACTCCGTCTTGCACGTGTACGTGAGGTAGTAATAGGCCTCACCCGCTTGCTTGTGCCGAAAGCAGACGTCGTCCGAGCTTTGCGCAAGCGTCTGGTCGATATGGACCGGCCTGAACGGAAAAATGGCTTATTGGGGATGTACTTCGACGACATTTTCGATCACATTGCTTCTATGCTGGCACAGCTCCAAGAGCGGGAAACCAGCTTAAAATATACCCATTCGTCTTTCTTTGCGAGGGTGTCTATGATCTCTATCCGATTCCAGATCCATATTGCCACAGTGATAACTTTGGCAACCATGGTGATTGACATTGTGTTTTTTATCACTCTGTTTTGCACGACTTTTAGTATGAACTTGTATATTCCTGCGGACAACCAAAAAGATCCGGACCGTCCGGACGAGCCCATGCACAGTAACTCACGTGCCTTTGCAGGTATTGCCTCTTCTCTCGTCGTGTTTCCTATTTTCTTGTACTCCTACTACAGATACGCCGTTTTTCGTTCCAAAGCACGGTCCAAACGATCGATGGAATCACGATAAGCGCATGCTTGCCCGATTATTTCGGCTACACACCCACGCACTTGTAAGATCACACGCGTGTGTACCATAGAGACGTAACGAAATATAGATGCGCTCACGCTAGATTCGACTTCGAATACATGCACGTGCATTATTAGACCAACGACGATTTGGCGGCCGAGAAAGAAAAAAAATAAAATTATTCGTTTAATGCGTGTTGAGCGCCGCGACACGCGGCGCGTCGCGAAGTCCATCGCCTTTTTCCTCCGTTCCTGCACCCCCAAATCATGCTGGAGGCTAAAATTGAACAGGCTGTTGTGGTATGTGCACTTTTTGGTCGAAGAATTACTCACGCAATTATAGCTGAAGAGAGTCCTCGATGGTATGTACACGTGGATCATGGGAGTCGCCTAACACGGGGTAGCTATCAAGGATCTTGTTGAGCATGCGAATTTCGACTGCAATGAAGAAGGCATTGTGCGTACAAGCTGATTTGTTTTGTCATGTGCTAACCTGTGCAGCGCCTGCAAGCGATGGATAGTTCACATGTGGCTCTTTCTGCCGTGGAACTTCGAGCTGATGGATTTGAAGAATACCGTTGCGATCGCCCCATGAGTATCGGCATGGCAATCACGAGTCTCACAAAAGTGCTACGCAGTGCCAACAACAACGATATCTTGAATATGCGCAAGTCCGACAATGCGGATAGCCTGCATCTTGTATTTGAAGGCACGAGCTCCGATCGGATTGGTGAATTCGACCTCAAGCTCATGGACATTGACACTGAGCATCTTGGTATTCCTGACACTGAATATGACGCTGTTGTCAAATTATCGTCAAATGAGTTTGCACGTATCTGCCGCGACCTTTCGAATGTCGGCGAGAGTGTAAAAATCACCATCACCAAAGAGGGCGTCACGTTTTCGACGGAAGGCGAAATTGGCGACGCCCGTATGACGTTGAAGCAAGGGTCGGGCTCGAACGCCCGTCTGGAGGATGATGATGACATGGATCCATTGGATGACGAAGACGGCGATCGGATGAGCAAGAAACGCAAGATGTCTGGCGCTGGTAGCTCATCAGGAACAGGCGCCATGGTGCCGGTCGAAATTCAGCTCGAAAAGGCCGTGGCGCTCACCTTTAGTGTCCAGTACCTCGTTAACTTTACAAAAGCTGCTCCTCTTGCCTCAGCTGTTACTCTTCATATGGCTGACAAAGTTCCTCTTTTGGTGGAATTTGCCTTTGAGAACGGCCATGTGCGGTACTACTTGGCTCCTAAACTCGCTGAGGTATGTCATGCTCCTCGCGTATGTCGCTGACCAATCCAGACTGATGACGACTGAACATTTTGACAGTCTCCCAATCCAACATTACCGATAGAAGTAGTGATCGACCAAACTTTATATATATATATATATATATGCCTTTCTTTAGTAGCATGAGAAATAAGATATAAACTAATGAAAAGCGATGCAACAAAGGGAAAGAGGGTAGTGTCTTGGCAACGTGGGTAACATAGCATCATCTCTCAACAGTCATGACGGCTCATCGTGACGATGTTTCCTATTCATACATCATCATCATCATCATGCAATGCATTATTTTGCAAGGGGTGCATCAATAAATTTCTCCTCTGGCTCATGTTCCGGGTTTTGAGGTACTTTCTCTTTGTCTTTCTCACTCGTAGACAATGCTCCCTCACCATTAGCTTCAACGTCCTCTGGATTTTCGCGAGACCCTTTGTAGAATGGGCTGTTGACATCCTTTTCAGGATTATACTTCCAACTAAAGTGCTTCGGTAGGTAGCGTGCAGGATTCCAAAAGTTCAAAATAACGCATGCAATGAGCACCAGAGAGGCATCAAAAGAAAACAAACACCATTCTTTGGTGGCGATCGATCCAGTCCAACCTGTTGCCATTTCAATAACACGGTAGATGGAACGAAGTATAATACATAGACTGGAAAAGAAAGTAGCCATCAACAGTGGTTTGTAATGCGCTATACCTGTGGGAGGATCCCGCCTGATTCTTTCAGCGAAAATGAGGAAGCTTAGCATGAATACAATATAACCAGTGAGTTGTACAGCCACACCACCAACTGTCACATGGGACCCTGACGCGGCGTCGTCTTCAGTGTCTGCAGAGCCAGCACTTCCTGCACCGACACCTTGTACAATGAGCGATATAATGTCAACCGAAACAAAAAAAGGCATTACCATAACGGGCGGAACTAGCGAGTACTTCCGCGGAAACAGTGTACAAATCCGGCCTAGAACCGTGAAATGAACAGCAGCAAAAAGACAAGGTGTAATGATTAGAAGCGCCATGGTTGCAACATATGGATCACGTTTCCGCGGATTATCGTGCCCAATGAATCGTGGGATGTAGCCGCCCACTTCAGCTAGCGTCCCCACTGGCATTACAAGCATCCACCATTGTCGATAGTACAAGACCTGGCCAAAATGCGCAATGGTCGTGAGTGCAAATAGGACAAGAAAAAGGATATTGGGACCATAATTCGGCACGTAGCCATACAGATTGTAGTCAGCCTCATCTTCCAAGAAATTTGTCAACGCAGGCCAGGCCACACCTGTCACATTCATGATGGCAGTGGTGTCCTAAGCGCAAAGATACCTGATGTGCAACAATTCTTTCGTGCATTACTAAGCGTGTTGAACAACATCTATGCGGTCGTTTGGCCTATACTTGTAAATGATACTTCACACTGACAAAGCAGACATGGGATATTTGATGCATGAAACTACCTAACAAGTGCAAGTATTCGGGTTCTGAAATCTCTAAGTTCAATAAGATTCTTGTTCTAATGAAGTCTTCAGGGTGGTCCATTACGCTTTCTTGAGTAGCAAGTTGCTCGCTATGGCAAACCTCTTTTATTGTGCACATGAACTCATACATGAATTGTGCTTTATGAACATAGTGACCGCCGAAAAAAGGGGTCTGTATCTAAAAACGAGATACTCTGGACTGCGCAGTTCCGTAGCACTAACAACTGGATCCATGACGCAAAAAAGCCCTTTTCCCACGACCCATATTGTGTTGAGGTTCATTTAGCAATGAATCAAATTGAAGCGCTTGACCAATGACATTTTCTGATGTAACACGATGGAGACGAGGAGGAGAAAAGATGGTGGGATTCACAGCAGATTGTCCTGTGCTAGCAGTGATACATGAGGATTTTACATGTGGCGAAGAAAGTTCAGCTGTCCACTTCATCCACTGTGCATGGTTTACGACAAGGTCATAACGAATCATTTTCAAGAAGACGCGTTCGAGTTGATCAATTTCCTGTGTTCCCAAGCCGGATATCTTGGACCATGTCCGATTGGAATACGTGCGGTCCTGGAGGAACTTGGAAGCTACCACAATGGCAGCAAGAAACATGCGTCGTCCACAAAGCAAAGGCGAAGCAGAACGCATCGGAGCTGCGTGCCCAGATGTCAAGGTGGTGCATTTGACGCCACTCAAAGAAATCAACTCGGCGCATGGGTCTGTCACGGAAGGTAAAGGGACCCGAAAACTTTCTTCTGAGCTTAATGACCATTTGTTGTTTCCTGACTGCACGTTCAACAACCAATGAGAGTCTTTAGCATGACTTGACGGGCTAGTGGCCTTATCAACAAGTTCATGCAGTGAATCTTTGCATCGCGAACAATACAGCAGCGCTGCCTGGAGCGTTGAGCAACTAGTGCGACTCCGGCGAAGAATCTCACGAACGAAAAGCGCAAGAGGGACGGCATTATCCCTACATTCAATGTTGGGATCCAACTGCAGCTGCATGCGACTTTCACGCGAGAATCGTCCCCAGATGGATGAAATGGTGGAAACGGCAACATCTATTGAGACGTTAAATAATGGTGCCTGAAGTGGGATACGTACCGACAAGGTGCTCAACAAACAATCTGCGACTCAACGGAGCTATCAGGCTGCAATCATACTTTGCAGAAGAGGCAGGTTCATCTGACATGAAACAAGAAGATGTGCTTTCATTCGACGAAGGAAGCGATGATGATGAGAATGAATTATATTTGCAACGCTTCGCAGCTGGAATTGGTGCACGGGACCCAAGTAAGTCATCATCAACGTCCACTGCGTCGCTTAAGCGCCTGGTCTTGCTAGAGCCAGTGGATGTAGCAGGAGAAGTTTCTCTGCTGCTCGTGTTACCATTCAGGAAAAGGGGTGAAACGTCAGTACGTGTGACAGTTGTGGAAGTTTCCGAAGCAGAGGACAATACGGATGTGGACACGTGGGTACGATAAGCCTCATGTGCATCATCAAAGGTATAAGAGTCAGGCCACGAGGACCAAGCTTTCATGATCGAATTAGACATGGGTGACATCAAGCGAGTCGATATACCAAGAAGTATTTCGTAAAAAGACAGTGACACTGGGAACAGGAGAAATTCGACAGCTAGAAACACGAACAGATTAAGCCAAGCACATTAGGCAGAGCCTTCCGAGGAATCACTGAAAATCATCTCGGCGTACAGATTGGCTTCCTGTGTGATCAAATGTCAAAGTACTGGAAAAAGATGTGGCGTGTATACTAGAGTTGGTTGTGGCGGTCAATGAGTACGACTTTCTTTGTAGGTAGATGCTGCAAACAGGAGTCAGGACCTGAAGTCTTCACAGCGGTACGGGCTGCTTTGACAGGGGTATCCTTTAACTCCGAATGCAGAACGATCAGTTGCGGACGTGAACAAGATGTATAGACGACTGTTGCCTTTCCCAAGAGAAAAGACCACCGAATCCCACACGAAGTGACTCGTCTTTTGTCGTCACTATTGAAAGCTGTGACAAGGACTCATTGAATTAACGCATGATTTGCCACCGTGCCTGGAAGCACACGTGACCCATTGGTTCGATTGTGCCCCTAGTCATTTCACGAGCAGCAACAATCTTAGTACAGATTTGTCAGGCTTCAGGAAGTGGAGAGATGCGCTTCGAGACATGGAGCCACTCATTCATTTAATTGTCACAGGCCACTGTCCTGATGGAAGAACTATTGCGCTCGCTGCGCAATTTGGAGCTGGCTGAGCCACATGGCGAGCAAATTGTTGCATTAGTAGATCCAGACCCACGCGTAGAAAAGCAGCTTGCACAGCAACTTGCTGTGCCTGCGCGCATCGAACTCCATGAGGATGACGCGAGTGCTTTGATGGACGCGGCTCTCATGAGCGGAGCGACCGAAGCCATGCTCGATAACTACAATGCAGCACTCAAAAAGGAATCAGATATGCTGCAGAAAGAATTTGAGAATCGAAAGAAGCCGTCGCGTGTCAAGCCCGTGCCCCTGAAAGCGTTGCTAGCTGCACAGGAAGCAGCCATTCGTCGCCGGCATGCCGAGCGTGAAGCCGGTTCCACGCATGATGGACACGTATATGTACCGCGCCAAATCATGGATACAGAGCATACGTACGCATCGGAGAAGCCGGTTTCCGCTCTTTCGAGGATGGACATGGACGAGCTGATGGCGCCAAAACGGTACGAGCACAAGTACCTACTTGTTCAAGTCGCGTCGCGCTTGGCTCTGTATGCGAGCTGTTGTTTCGTCGGTGTCACGCCTCAAGGAGGCGCTATTCCCGTTAGCATTGCGCATTTTACACCCAATTTGCATCTATACGGAGATGAGCTCGACGCACTCTTGCCGATCGGTAGCGTGTTGCTAATCCGCGAGCCATATGTCAGCCAGCACTACATGGGCGTAGGTGGTCCTGTCACTGGTGGAAAAGGTATGGTTGGTGTACGTGTCGATACGCCCGCTGATGTGCATGTCCTTGATGCGAGAGATCCGATCCTGCAAGGGGTCGAATGGAAGCACAAGGTCCCTGTGATGGAGGAGCACGCTGTGTCCAACGTGGTGTGGCGTCAAGAAGGACCCCTTACACGAGCATGGCAGCTCCATATAGAGCCGATCGACATGTCTCGGGAAAGTGTGCATGCAACGGTCCGCACGCTCTTGCAGCAAGAGCGGCCTGGCGCAGCCTGGCGCGAGATATGTGCGGCTGAACTGTTTGGTATTTGGTCGGCGGCAAGAAAGACGAGGCGGCGCGAAAACTCTCGATGTCCTGCGCTCGTTCACGATACCCTTCTCAAGGCGGAAGTACTATTCTCATTGCAACTGTATGATCGAGTGTGCGAATGCCTGGACAAGTGTGCAGGTATGTCCTTATCTGAATCAGAGCAAGCGGCAGTGACAGATCGGCGGAGCGCCGCACAATTAGCACTGGAGGTTGGTCGTAAAGGTCCCTCCGATACACAGCTGTATGACATGTTTTTGCGCACGCTTCAAGATCCGACGCCCCGCTACGACTATGCTGAGTACGTGGGACCCGTTTGTGTGGCCGACATACCAGGCGCTGGACGCGGTCTTGTGCTGACACGCGATGTGGAAGAAGGCGAACTTTTGTTGTTCTGTCGTGCCATGGGAAGCAGCTATGCGAAAGACGCGGCGTGCCTGGGCATGCCCCTACTTCGTTGCAACCCAGATACAGGCGTCACAAGCACAACGACGCAAGTGTTGGCGGCCACGAGGTGTATGCACGCGATGATGGACCGGCCAGAATTAGCACTGCCGTTCCTCGGCTTGACGGCGGGGCCTGACACACCGTACTCACACTACGTGCTGGAACCGTACCCACTGCAGACACGCGCCATGTACGAAGTGAAAGATGCGCTGCACATGGTGTCGCCATTGTCCTCAGCGACACCGCTCTGCGTGTCATCGCATTACGTCAACAACGTGCTGCGATTCAATGCGTTTGGACCTGCAGCCGTCCCGGCGGCAGAGGCCGGCAACGACCCTATGTCGCGCTCGACGATGCCACATCCCTTGCCGGCTATTCTGAATCACGCGTGCTTGCCGAACGTGTCGTCGGTGTTCTTCGGCGACTTTGTCACGACGCGTGCCTTACACCCGCTGCCAAAGGGCACACAAATCATGCATCAATACGTCCAGGGCGAAGTACCTTACGATGCAAGGCAGGCACAGCTTGCCAAGCACGGATTTGTGTGTACTTGTGGTCTATGTGAGTTGGACGCAGCCGATGGCGCCGAGCGGCGGAAGCGCCGAGACGAGATTCTTGCGCGTGATTGGCCGCCTCTTCAGGATCGGAGCCGTGCACTCTTGAAAGGCGATACTCACGGGCATGCGGCGGCGGCCGAGGCACACAAAGACATGGCAGAGTCGCTCATAAGCGTGGCAGACGCACTTGCTCAGACGTATGCACCAACGCGCGGAAAACTCCAGCCGGACATGGTCGATGTGTGGCACCGAGCTGCGATGCATGTGCGAGTGTACGACAGGCAGCAGGCAATGGATCTCGCGCATCTCAGTCTCGCGGCAACAGGCGCAGTGCCATGCGCAGACGGTCCACACCAACGCATCTCGCACCTGCCACAGCTGCACTTGGATGGCGCTGTACGCAGCATGCTCATGCTCGCTGGTCTGCACTGGGATACCGATGCACCAGATAGCAGACAACAAGCACTTGGATGGCTCGAGTCGGCCGTTCACTCACACACGTGTATGATTGGAGGCGGCCGTGCACTCTTTCTCCAACGATGGGGCGGCGATCGTGCCGAAGGCGAGTATGAGAAGCCGCTCCATGCATGGCTCAGCACGAACGCATCTTGAGGCAGTCGCAGCGATCGGTGTCATTCCGCTTCTCTCTTCATCAACTACTACGCTCAACACCTGTCCACTTCCGAAGGCCGGAGATCTAAAAAGGCGCAGCGCCTGTGCTCGGCCGACGTAGCCACGCCCACCGAGTCTCATAGTGACGCCATACGTCCCATCGGAGGTGTTCAAGCAACTCACATTGCAAGTCGTGCGCTCGGCGCAGGTCATCGCGAGTGTCGCTCGTGCCGCGGCCGAGGTCGTCAAGCTGCTTCCGCACGCCCTGGAGTGCATAGCCATAGCGTTCATTCCGCTGGTGCCAAGCCGTAAGCAGATTCGTGTGCATCGCCCTGAGCCGAGCATCGCTGTCGTCCACATACTGCCTTGCATGCATGATCGCGTCCGTGCAAACCTGTGACGACGGATCACGCTGTGCGTGGGCCTTGGCCTCGCGGACTAGTGCATTCACAAGCGCAGCTTTGTGCGTTTGCATCGTTTTGGCCGTCGCTTTCTGCTCATGCGTCTGCTCAGCTGTGGGCGGCTGCTTAGCGCCAAGCCACAGGCGCAATGCCGTCTCATCAATGCATTCACGCACACCCTGAGCAGCGCGCAAAGATGCATCAGCGTCCTCAGCATCGCATGCATCCAGAGCAGCCACGCGAACGGACAAGTCGGTCGGGTACTTCTGCACCAGCTGCTCGACAAAGGCAGACTTGTCAGACTCGGGTACCTTGCAGACAAGGCCGGCCAAAAGCGTGGGGAGTGACGCAGGTTCACGCTGGGGGTCATTTGGGGCTGCAGTCGCGGCCGATTTCGATGGTGGTGGAAGACCAACGACCACGTCCAGCGGTACCTTGGCAGCTTTTGCATCGCTACTTCCGCCCAGCGTGAGCGTGCCGCACAACACATCGCCAGTATGGACACTGACGCCATCACTTGGCCAGCGCTCGCCATGAAGTGCTGTGTCGATGCACAAGACTGCTCGCTCGCCCTTGTGCAGCTTGAGTGCTTCTTTCGCCGGACGCACATGGCTTTGTAGGTCGACATGGTCGCGGTATACGTCGAGAGAAATGTCTTTCTTAAGCTTCTGCTCGAGAGAGAGGGGCATTGCATGCAGATGGTCCAACACAGCAGCCGACTCGTGCAATGCTTGCACTCGCAGAGTGTACTCGCCTTTTGCGACGTCTACTGGTTTCGCATATACATCGCCGAATGCCACCTGAGCTTGATTCACATCGAGCAGTTGCGTGAGAAGCGTCACACTTGCATCATACAGATAGCCACTGAGCGGCAAGCGCCACGTCAGCGCGCAAGCATCCTTAACAATGACAGGGTACTCCAGTACGAGTTCATGCAGCTGATGCCCCGACGGCTGACGATCGCGCGGCTCCCGCAGAGGGCGCAGCACATACTTTGACGGCCGCACGTATGTGCGACGTGTGTCGAGCGACGCACTGGGCTTTAAGTCCTCACACCGCACGAGGCTGGTAACGTCGACTTTTGTGTGCGCGTCCCCCGAGTGAGCGACGAGCTTGGGCACCGTGTCGAGGCCATGGAACTCGACGTCCAGCTCCAGCTCAAACCCAGCCTTGCTCGACCAGAACTGTGCTGCGCACACCTCAAGAGTCATGCCACCATACACAGGCACGCGTTTGCTGATGGGTTCATTTTCGTTCAATGCAAGCACAAAGTGTTGCTCAACCTTGCTTAGGCGACGTTGCGGCACAAGCTGCAGCATGTGCAGCCAGAAGCGCACGCTCGTGCCTGGAGCCTCGTGCTTCACACTCCGCACACGCACATCGGCCCATGTGGCGCCCATCGGCACCTGCACAAACTCGCGGTGGATGTCCCCAGATGCGAGTCGCACTCGTGGGTATGCGTACGTTGCCGTCGGCAGCACCACAGGCTTGGCAACGGTGATCGGCACATCAAAGACAACGGCACCATTCCGCTCGGTATCATGAGCAATGACCTGTGCAGTATGCAAACCGGGCGGCAGTGCGTCCGCGGCGATCCGAATCTCGAACGTACGGCCATTGCCGCCAAGGGCAAGAAATTCGGGCACATGTACCCATGGTTGGGTGGCTGAAAGCGAGGTTTTGAGATCCAGCTTATATGCACGTTGCGTCTCGCCAGAGCGGAATGTCGGCTGCACCGTGACGAGGAACTGCGTCGTTCGATGCGTCTCTTCAACCTCGCGCAAGTACACGCCGCGCTGATCGACGACATTCAAAGGCTTGCCTGCACGTGTTACTCGCACACGCATGTCAGCGTCTGCATACGGGTCGTCGCGATGCGCTAGGATATAGTCCCAGGCTTTTTCGACATCGAGGAACTTGATGCCCTGTGGATCACGCACATCGGCGCCTGATTCTTGGATGGCACGGAAGATGCGGAATGGCGTAGGCGTGATGCCTTCTGGCTTGCATGCACCGACGAGGAGAGCCACGGCCCCAGCCGCGTTGGGACTACTCATGGAGGTGCCGTTCATCAGCTGCGTCGACTGCAAAGCATATCGGCAAATGGAGGTGATCGCAGCACCAGGTGCATAGATCGAGACGCCAGCGGCGCCATCGGCTGTAGGGCCGCGACTACACCAAGTTGTGACATTCGAAGGCACACCTCGCTCGACCAGCGCATATTCTGCTTGTTGCATGTCGCCAGCGGTCACGTACGCACCCACACTCAACACACCAGACGTCGTGCCGCCTGGTTGTCCGACGGTTGTGAGCGCAGGGCCATTGTTCCCCGCTGACGAAACAAAACACACGCCGTGCTCACGGATGACCTGGTGCAGCGCATGAGCAAAAGCGCCCTTGTCTTCTACGCCAAATGCGCCATCTTCACCATACGACATATTAGCAACATCGCAGCGTGTATCGATCAGCGCCTGGGCAGCGCGCAAGAGCGCCTGGCCTTGCTCCATGCTGCCAAGACGCGCATCGCCAATACGCAAACTCACGATCTCTGTGCCGGGAGCGACGCCGTCTGTGGCCGGGTCCTGCGTCTGCGCACCGATGATACCCGCGACATGCGTGCCATGCGTTCCAGAGAGCGTAACGATCGAGAGCAGTTGTCCGTCGTTCATGATGTTCACCGAATATGTGAGCAAGTCCATTTCGCCAAAGTACGCCCACTCGCGCTCTAAACGGTAGTCAGTGAGACGCGGCTTTTCGCGAAGATCGAGCACCATCGCATGTTGACTCTCTGGCTCGCCCTTCGATGAATCGATGACGTCGCCTTCCGCTCCGCCGACGACAGCACGCCAGTGCATACCGTCGTGGAAAACGACGGCCTCCAGGACGGGTCCTGGGTCTTTCCATGCCTTGTGCATGTCTTTCAGCACCGATACACGTGCCTGGAGCTCCTCGCAGCGCTGAGCGGCGGCATCTCGGTCCTTTGCATCGCTCGTACTTGACGGAGTCGAAGCGCGTTCCGACGCCAGCTCGTCGAGCGCACGCTGCAGCAGAGCCGCGTGGCTCACATCAAACGCCTTCTTTCGTTCCTTCGTCCGTCTCTCAACGAGCCCTGTCGGCCACAAATCATACGCACGCTTGGTACCGACCTTCCACACACCTGATGGATTCGGCCATGCAGCATCGACAAGGAGCTTGCGTTTTGTCGTGGGCGACTCGAGCTCCAGGATAGCGCTATCATCAGTGCGGGCCTGTGCCTCAACTTGTTGCAACGGAACATCTCCTGCGCCCGAGCAGTCGATAATATCCACGACCTTGTTGGGCCCGTCCAGACCCAATGCCGCAGGGTCGACGCCCGTGTCGAGAACGGCCACACGTACGTTGCGTCCATCATAGTCAGGAAAGCGCTGCCGGGAACGACTCTACATTTGTAGCCTGCTTCGGAAGCAATCCATGCTTCGGAAATGTGTCAGCAACGCCATACGTCGCACTCTTCGTGCACATCGTCGCGATGCGTGTCGATAGAAGTGTTCGTGGTGGACTTGGACGAATCTGCGCACACAAACGGACTGCCCACTAAAGCGATGTCAGTTGGATCTGAAATTCCACTGCGCTGCACGTACCGTGCGCATGCGACGACACACCACACTCACTTACACCTGGTCTCCACGACAGACAAGGAAGGGATGCCCAGGCAATGTAGAGGAAATGGGTCTGTTGGCCTGTGTTCCTCAGCACAGCACAGTGACGAGCCTCAGGCCGCGCGTCTTCTCGATCGCCCTAAAATTCACGTGATCCAACGCTCGCGAGTCTCGCTGTTCAACACGACGCAGGGAGAGAAAGAGAACCACGACGCGTTGTTGCAACCGCCCAAGTTGCGCAGCTTGTTTCACCCCCCCCCCACGACGGCATCGTGCATACACGAGTGCTACATCAGGACACAACGATCTCTGGCGCACGTCTTGTACTTCTACTATCAGGAGCGAGCGATTCATGAGTGATCATTACGATGTTCTTGTGCTTGGCACGGGCGTGAGAGAATCAGTCTTGTCAGCGGCGCTCAGTCGCGCAGGCAAACGCGTCTTACACGTGGACCCTCATACCTACTATGGAAGTGAATGGGCGAGTCTTACGCTCTCAGAATTGTCTCAGTGGGCCAGCACGCATGCAAATGCCGACATATCGTTTCCGCGCGAGCCGTGTGAGCCCGGGGCGATACCTGAGACATACAAGAGTGTTGATCGACACTACTCGATCGCATTGCGTCCGGTTCTGCTACCTGCGCGCGGACCAATGATTGAAGCCCTCATCCGATCGAATGTCGCCTCCTACGCTACGTTCCGCCTGCTTGGCCGCATAGGGGTATGGGACGGTGAGCATCTGGAGCGTGTGCCCAAGAGTAAATCAGACATCTTTCGTGACCGACGTATATCTCTTGCTGACAAGCGGAAGCTTATGCGTTTCTTACAGTCGGCTGTTGAGCCAGACGCGCCGCTGCCTGACTCGTCCGTCAGTGTATCGCGATACCTAACAGAGACGATGGGACTTGGGCAGCAATTAGAGCGCGCCGTGACGTATGGTGTAGCGCTGTGCTGGGATGCGATGGAGTCGTCTGCAAGTGCTATTGACCGCACACGGCGAAGTCTTCGCGGTCTTGGTCGGTATGGCGATGCCGCATTCCTTGTTGGCCAGTTCGGTGGTGCTGGCGAGCTTGCCCAGGGTTTCTGTCGTGCTTCTGCCGTGCATGGCGGCGTGTTCATCCTTGGTCATGAGGTTCTGTCGCTGAAGCACGCATGTGATTCCAATAACGCATGGACATTGCGTGTCGCTGGTATTGAGGAGACATTCACAGCGGATCAAGTTGCTGCGCCGCGTGAGTTTATGTGTGAGAATGCTTCTTGGGAGGATGAACAAGCTATGAAGTCATTGTCAGACACGTCCTCGTTGTCGTCTTCGCCTGTATATGAACATGTCGCTGTCGTGATTACCGACGCGCCCATTGATTGGGCTGCACACATGCCGCTAGATGACGATGAGGTAGCGCCCGAAACGGCCCTTGTCGTCTTTCCACCGGACGCATTTGGGCCATCTTCTAACGAGCATGCCGTGATAGTCCTTGGTCAGGGCGAGGGCACATTTGCGTGCCCTAAGGGACAGTATGTGTACTATCTGAGCACATACGGCCCAACGGGCACGTCGGCGCGTACGTGTCTTCATCGAGCCGTACGGCGTCTACACACGCTGCTGACCACCGAGGCTCCGTTTATCGCGGAATTTTATTGCTCTCATACTCTGTCGGAAACGCAAGAAGCATCGATCCCTGCCTATGTCGATACATCTGCACAGCTGGTCCGCACAGCAGGTGGACCAGCAGGACGCACATCTCTCTGTATCGGTGATGACGCAAGTCAAGTTCGCGCGCAGCAAGCGGTGCCGAATCTCACCGAGACGCTCGATCTCTCGGTCGAGGCTGCAGAGCAGGCCTTCTGGCGGCTCGTGGGCGAGCAGCACAAACAGGCTGCATATCAGGCAGCTCACGATCGCAGTCACCAGCATGACCCATCCGAGTACCAGGGACGTGGGGGTGTCGAGCCAGAAGCGCCTAAGGAGGCTACGGTAGTAGAAGTGGAGTTTTTTGCGCCTCGGCCAACAGAAGATGACGAGGCTGTCTAGAGGGGACGCGATCAGACGGGTGGTGAGCAGTGGAAAGGATAAGGCGGGTCCGGACATGAGACTAAGAGAAGAAATCCAAACGGTGATGCGAGCGCTGCGAGGCCAGGTGCAAGGCATCGCGAGATTCGTCGCTTCAGCACGGCACATACCAAAGTAAGGCCATGTCTGATTCACGTTGCGATGCTTACTGCGAAATTATGATGCCGCATTCATTATCCAAGGCGTTTCGGCACGCATGTGCACAGAAGCATGTTGCAGATCTGCCATGGTATTGTAGGCGAACGTCCTCCAGTACTCCCACATGTCGGTGATGCTCAGGCTCAATGGTCCATCGCCCCACAGACTCTTGTTCTCCAGCAGCTGGCGCCAGAGCGGAACACGTTCCGGCACACGCACCATTGTCCATGCGCTGTCATCCGTCTTGTCTGTCGACGTAGCGCCCGCAGGTGCATCCTCAGTCTCGGGGCTTTCGTCGGCTTGCCTCGCGCGCATACGGTGGAGAGCATAAGCATATCTTGCTGCATCTCGCAAACCACCGATGCCGTCAATAAGGCCACGACCATGGGCAGCCGTTGGCGTGAGGGAGGCCAAATCGTTCTGCAAGTTGGCAGCAGTGTCATCATCGGCTCGCTCGATACGGACGAGCAGATTGCCTGACTCGTTGTCCTCGGCTCTGGTCGTCCATTCCTGAGCGTCTGCTGCTGTTGGCTCACGGCGCAGACTCGATGGCATTAACTCGTCACTTGGCTGGGCCGGGCGACACCGCATGTATGCCGCCAATCCTGTCATGATCCGGCCGCCAGCCAATCCCGCGAGAACGTCTTGCGACATGCCACGGCCTTGCATGACCTTGTGCAGAAAGTCTTTGTACATTTCGTCCACGTGTGTTCGGAGTCGGCTTACGTGCTGGTCATCCAGATCATGTAAGACACTCGCGCCAATGGACCCGGCGAGAATCGTCTGCACGTTGAGCTGCACTTTATCGATGAGTTCGCGTAGGATCGTGGGCCGTGCGAATGCGACGCCGATGCTGCCGGTCATTGTGCTCTCGCATGCAAAGATCGCATCGGCCGCAGACGCCGCATAGTAAGCGCCGCTTGCTGCGACGGAGCCAAACGAAGCCACCACAGGTTTCTGCGTCGACTTGCGCACATGCTGGATAGCGGCCCAGAGCGCCTCGCTAGCAATGACCTCGCCACCGCCCGAATTAATGCGCAGCACAATAGCACGGATGTCCTTGTTCTCGGCAGCCTGCTTCAGTCCGTGAATGGCCTCGCTGACAGAGCACGACTTGCTGTTGCGGTCCATGATACCCTGTAGGAAGATCACAGCGACCTTGTCGGCTGGGTCGTCGGCATGTTCGTTCGCACAAATGCGCACATAGTGCGAGAATGCACGGCGTGTTTCGCTTACATCGAGACTCGGCGTGATGTCATGCCTGTGGCAGATCCCGTCGATCAGCCCAGCTGCCAGTGCCTCCGACGCCGAGTACGGCCCGTGGCGCAACACATGCTCAGCCTTGGCCGTCGCGACGTGCGGTGGTCCCTGCTCACTGAATCGGTTTTGGCCGAGGAGGCGTGCCATGTTATGCTGCAGGCCACCCAGGACATCCGACAAGTTCGCAAGCTGCTCAGGCGGCAGCTCGTCATGCACAAACGCGCTCGTCACAGACTTGTACTCGTTGCGCGTCTCTGACAGCACACGCACGCCGAGCCATTGCAGCATGCGGCGGAAGAATGTCAGCGAGCTGCCGAGACCCACAAGGGGCACTTGGCCACTCGATTGCATGTAGACGCGATCAAAGCCTGTAGCCAAGAGAAACGCTGTTTGCGAATCAAACGTGTCACTCCATGCCACTGTGGCGGGCTGGTCTTTTCCAAACTGATCCTGTTTGGCCGTGCGGAATTCGTGCAATGCCGTAAGCAGTTCTTCGGTCTGAGCAAGACCTAGAGGCTGCCGAAGCACGGCTCGTGGCACATGCATTTGGCTAAAGTCCGCCACAATGCCACGGATTCGTGCGTCGTCCTTTGCGCGCCGGAGCGTTTCGATCACTTGATGTAGCTCAAGAATACGAACGGGCTGGTCTCCAGGCGTCGGCTGTGCGAGGAGCTGGCCAATCGACTGAGCTTGGCGCACTTCTACAATCGATCCATCAAACACGCGCCATGTCAGATACGTGTCAGGATGCACAAAGTCGTTCGCTTGCTGCTGCATAGAGATCAGTGTGCCTCGGGTTATCATCCCGACAACAATTACCGATACGATAATAGGCCGACGATACGCCCATACGCGTGAGGCAGTGCGTTTCATTAGTGACTGTGACATAGCAGACAAACGCTCTCAATGCTACAAGCAGTCTTGAAACAGGTGATGCAGCAATGTGGCTATGTTTTCGTGCACGCGTATGTCCGTGTCTGTGAGTGCGTGTGTGTCAATGCAGACAACGTGGCCTGTGCTTCGTCCGTCCTGCGTCGAATGCAAGTCTTGGGCCAGAGCGTACTCGGCACTGATTGACGGAATGCCTGCCGAGACCCCAGTGGAGTACGAAGAGAGACCGACCCCCTCCACTACTATCTTTAGCTGCCACACGCCCACCGGTGCTAGAGCCACGTTTCCAACTCCCAACGAGGCAGTTCCACGAGAGTATGTCGTGAGCACTTCACTGGATGCCTGAGAGGCAGTGGCAGTGCCTATGGTGCACTGAAAGAGATAAAATAGTCGCAGCAATGTACCATAATGTAACCTCAGACGCTGGGCGCTTTACACACAAGTATGCTCTATGGAAAGATGCCGTTGTCCTTGGTTATGAGCATGGTGATCCTGTCTATATAAAACATTGATGCTACTGCCAATCATGCCACGGAGCCGATATATGCTGTATGCTTCAATGAAGGGCACTTTTAGCGTATTCAAGAAACTACATCAGCTTATTCGCCTGGTCCACATATGGAGAATCATTTCTCGAAAGATGACCCGAACATGAGACCACGGGAAAAAAAAAAATTTCGAGGCCGGTGGAAATTCTGGGGATGGTCTAGGCTCGTAATTGCATTCTGCCCGAACGTCAACCCCAGTCTCGAGTTTTGACCCTAGCAGTGGCTCTCAGGTTGGTCTTGGTCTCGGCACCTACGCTAATCCTGGCCTTGATTCAGACTCCCATCCAAGTTTGGACGTGGCTACAAAAAAAAATAAAAAACACTCTCTCTGCTGCCTGCCTATGGCGATTCATCACCATGTCCAGAACATCGCTGCAAAGATAGCAGGTACCTGCAAGGATTGTGCACCGGCTGATCTGGCTCCTCCGAAGAAACTATTTCATGAGGATGATTTCTCAACACGACAACGGATCCGTCGTATAAGCAGGCACTTGGGCCACTAATTCGTGGAAAACATCGTCGATGTTGTTGTATCAACGACCGGCCTGTGGAAGTCTATTCTCAACAATACCTAAATTTGGCCAAATTCTTCCATTTCTTTTGTTGACTTATTCTGTGTGGACAACTGATAAGAAATATCTTTCACTGGCTCCACACTTAGATGAAAAATATTGTCCGGTTGATACAAAATGGAGAGCGGGTCCCTGCTCAGCGCCGCAAGCTCCGATTCCATTCGTCTCTACGCGTAAACTCAAAGAATCGCGTCGTGACAAAGCGCTTGGATCTTTAAATATAAAAAACAGAGAACAAGAAGAACAAACACACAAAATCTCCAGCATTTTCACGTTGATGTCTATGGAGACCGCACATCCTATACGTGTGTTTCATGTCGCAGTCATAGTGCGTGGATACTAGCAGAGGTCCAAACGTTGCGTCAGTTCATAGATCTAGATGCAAGACACAATTTCATAACCTAGCAATATACAGGGCGTCAGCAAGAACGGTAGCAATAAGAATGCATCCAACCCAAGCAGACGGCGGCCATTGTTGAACCGCACAGCAATGGCTAAATTCCTAAAAAATGTCACTGACGTTTCGCAGAGAACCATAGAATCATATGTACGACCCTTCAGGCCAAGTGGTGGCCGACTGTGCGTGGGATCGCATGTGCTGGACGCCTGACCATACGGTTCTGCCAAAGTTGAGACATCACTGCGAATCTTCTGCGGACTGTGATTCAAGAATCTGCATGACTTGCTTCGTTAGCGGAATGTGTATCCGTAAAGGAGCTACGAGAGTCGTAAGTCAGCGCGCCCAGCACACTCGAATTCAACAAGCGGAGAATTGGGTACGTTTAAAATTTTGATACTCCGCTGAAATGTACGTAGGCGCCCCCTATTTAATACGCCTCGTGGCACTTGCACCAGTGAACACGCTCTCATCACGTGCAAGCATGTAGGGGGCTTCACCGACAAAGTGCCTGGAAATGATCCCTCGCAGCTCGGCATAGCCCTGACCATGCCCCTTGCTACAGCCTCCGATGAGGCGATGCTGGTAGGCAGAAATATATACGCCGCACAATCGAGTTAGAATTGTTTCTTCAGACGCCGAGCGTTTCATAGCTGCTCATCAACTGGAATTCCATCATCAACATGTATGCCCACAAAATATTGACTACACTGGCTGTAATCACAGTGTTGATCGCCCTTGCGACCCCTGTCCATGGACAGGGCCAGATGGCACCACACAAGACGATGATCCGTCGTCGTGGGTTGATATTCCCTGATCCAGTGTCTAGTTCCTCGACGAGTCAAGATGGACCCACCAGCACGGTGTCATCGTCGTCAACTCAATCAAGCTCTGCGCCATCGTCGACAGGCTCCTCGACAAGCTCGTCCTCAGGCTCGTCGTCGGGCTCTGTCCATGTGCGTAATGGTGATGCTACACACTATCAGCCAGGTCTAGGCTCTTGCGGCAAGCAAAGCGACAGCTCAGAGATGGTCGTTGCTCTGCCACACTCGCTCTTCGACTCGAAAATGGGCGGATCCAACCCAAACAACAATCCACTCTGTGGTAAGAAGGTGAAGGCCAGCTTTGATGACAAGTCGATTGAAGTCAAGGTGGTAGACCGGTGCCCAGGCTGTGGTGAGAATGACTTGGACTTGTCGCCTACGGCGTTCCAGAAGCTGGCACCTCTTGGCAAGGGACGCCTGAAAAACATGAAATGGCATTTCCTTGACTAACTTGGGCCTCCAGCGAAGTGCATGTCTATGGGCCAATATGCTCCTTTGTGTTTTATGATTCTGTGATGATTGTTTATGATTCATTTTCTCTTTGCATGTGCTTGTGTGGAAGGTGACCTGCGGTTATCCGTGGATCCGCCTTACACATGGCATCCCATTCACTTTTATGATATCATTTTGACTCAACGATAGTAGTCAGTGAGCCGTAGTTGGCAGGCGCTGGTCGTCTGCCCCGATTCAATGAAGATTTCCATTGTATGCTATCAAAGTATGATCATGTTGGTCTACATATTGCACGCACTTAGTTCGACTGCTAGGGGACACACACACAAATATACGCACGCGGCACGGGCTGGATTGACGAACTTGGCGATAAGGTCGAATGGGTTCAGGGACGGGGATGTGTCTGGTATGCAGAGAAAGGCAAAGGAAATAGGTAAGCGTGTGGGCACACTAATCCGAGTCGTCATCACTCCGAGTATCGACAGCCCCTTGCTGCGTGAGTACACGCACCGCAATGTTGACAATCATGCTGAACCAGATCAAAAGAATTGCTTGCAGAGCAGTGAGCAAGATTAGGAAAAACACATAGGTTGTTCTAGTGAGCATGTGACCTGAGGCGAGGTCTAGCTGGTTTGTGAAGGAAATGAGCGCAGGTGCATCTTTGAAGCACGACCACCAGACGAATGCATAGCCTACATGGCGTGTTATGATCCAGACCAGCATGAAAATGGCAAACAGCACGTCGCAGAAAGTAGAAAAGCCCATGTACTTGAACAGTTTCGCAATGCTCAGACAGATATCGGCGGGGTCCATCAAGAATAGGATGGAAATACCCACATAGTGAAAGCAGCAAGCATACGAGCCCCCAATCAGCAGAAGTGTGACAAAGTGATGGATCAGCATCTGCCAAAAGTCGGAGCGACGTTCTTCCAAGTTGATCACAAACACTTGGTGAATGTAGTTCGATGCCTCCCACAAATACACGGCCTTGGTGAGGGCATCGGTTGTCGTGGCAGGATAGTCAAGCCAAAAGTATTGCGGCTTCCATATCCAGAATGGCTGCCGCTGAATCACACGAACGACAAAAATTAGCGAGACGCTGTACAAAATCAAGATCCACGCCTGTTGACCGAACCGAGCGATTCGTCGCTGCAACTGTGCCTGATAATGCGCCTTGTCTCTTGCCGTTGTCGGCCGTGATACAAGCAAACGTCCAAGCGGGAGGAGGAAGCATTGCATGAGAACAAACCGCACGACAAAAAAGACCATGCCCCATGTTGTAGCAAACAAGACATCCCGCGGATCCCGCCGGTACATGGTCTTGGGCGATGATGGCGATGTCGTCCACAACGATCGCACATGTTCCCAACCATCGGCTACCACGCTCTTGTTCGTTGCACCAGACAAGAAGAAGCACGAACTGGTGAAACTGTGCACCAGGTCGCACCAGCTGTCCCAGGATGTATGCGATGGGCGTCGGGGTACGCTGGCATACTGTTCATAGACATCCCACACGCCCTGGAGCCACTGGAATGTCGCGACGCGCTGACGCACGTCTGTGAACCAGTGCGCGCATGCCATCACAAGCAGCAAGAAACTCACGGCCGTCGTCGCATATATTTCAATCTGGGCGACCCTTGCCTTGGCCTTGTCTCGTGCTGACAGCTCCATTGACGGTGTGCGGGGCCCTGCATGGGACGATGATGCGCCTGGCGCGCTTCCCACGCTCTTTTTCTTTCCCTTGATCCTTTTCACTGGCTTTCGAAAACCCTTACTCATGGCACTGCTTCAGCGCAGCTGCTCGTGCTCTGAAGTGTGATCTATTTCTTTGCACGTCTAAATGACGACGCATTCAACAACACGTCTGAACGGTCTGATTCGCGGAATGCCGGGCGGAAGAGCCTCCCCCCTGTTCTTCACGTGCACGAGGGGCCCAGAAATCAGGGGGGGGGAGGCCCTGGGCTGGCAAGTGTTAGGGCATGAAGGCCCAAAAGGCCAGGGCGGTGGCGTATGCACAAAGACATGCGTCTCTTCTCAGACATGCGAGCGGTGGAGGACCACGTTAACGAGACATGGCCTCCCAGGGGCCAGAGAAAGAAGCGGAGTAGGGAGGCAACGGGGGCGTTGAGAGTCTTTCGGCACGTTGCTTATTGGCTATAGTAACAAGCACATGTGGGTGTCGGTCGATCGTCGAAGAGAACTCGAAGAAGCAGCAACCAACCATGAGCACGCGTGGCGGGGAACGCACATGTTCTGAGGTGGCAAAGCAGGCTCGAGAGGCATTTGACCGTGTGCAGAAACACTTGTCACTTGATGATGCTGCGCATGCGGATGGTGTACGAGCGAAAGCGCTTCATGCCATTTGTGAGACGCTACAAGAGGCGCACGACGAGATCCGCCAAGCGAATGAGACGGATGTCCGTGAAGCGAATGAGCTTGTGCGCCAGGGAAAGCTTTCTGCACAACTTGTAGCACGACTGGATCTGTTCAGCAAGCGTGGGAAGTGGGAGTCAATGATCCAGGGTGTGGCGGATGTCGCATCGCTGCCGTCGCCACTAGACATTTGTACACGAGCGACGCGTCTTGCTGCTGCACACCCAGGTGATGATGAACGCGATGCTACAGGAGCACTGGATCTATACCGTGTGACATGCCCTATTGGTGTGCTGCTGTGCATATTTGAGGCGCGTCCTGAGGTCATTGTGAACATAGCGAGCCTGGCGATCAAGTCGGGCAATGCGGCTATATTGAAAGGCGGGAAGGAGTCGAAACACTCAGCGCATGTACTGTCGCGATGCATATCTCAGGCTCTTGCAAAGAGTGGCATGCCAGCGCATCTGATCCAAATGGTCGAATCGCGCGAGGAAATCCAATCGCTCCTGCACGAGGAAAAGTACATCAACCTGGTGATTCCTCGTGGGTCCAGTGAGCTTGTGCGACATATTCAGCGGGAGGCACGCATGCCGGTGATGGGCCATGCAGATGGCCTGTGTACTGCGTACGTCCACAGCGATGCGCCTGAGAAGCTCGCGATCGAGACGGTCCTGGATGCCAAGCTCGACTATCCGAGTGCATGCAATGCCATCGAGACACTTCTCGTCCACCGCGCGCACTTGTCATCAGCGGGGCTGTGGCCCAAACTCGCGCGCGCATTGATCTGCGCGGGTGTGCGGCTCCATTGTGATGAGGCATCGCGTGCGAGTGTTCTGTCGAGTGGACTCTCGGAAGCTGAGGCGAACTTGGTCCTGTGCGCGACGCCCGCCGACTTTGACACCGAGTTCCTTGACTTGGACCTGGCCGTGCGTGTCGTCGACAGTGTTGACGAGGCCGTGGAACACATCCAACAGCACGGCTCCGGGCACACCGAAACAATTCTTTGTGCGCCGCTCAGCAGCAACGACCATGGTACGAGCGCTTCATCGATGCCTCCTGCAGCCAAGGACGAGGACACGTACGCGCAGCATTCGGCTGCCGAGATCTTCACGCGCTCCTTGTCGTCCTCGAGCGTCTATGTCAATGCATCAACACGCTTCGCTGATGGATTCCGCTATGGCTTTGGCACCGAAGTGGGCATAAGCACAGGTCGGATTCATGCTCGAGGACCTGTGGGCCTCGAGGGCCTCGTTACGTACAAGTATGTGCTGCGATCGTCAGGCGGCGGCGCTCAGACCGCCAGCGCATTCGCACCGGGTGAGCACCAGCGTCGATGGGCGCATGAGCCGATCGAGGCTGTGTACCCGACGCTGTAGCGCTCGGTTTACGGCTCGGTGTCCTCGGCGAGCAGCTCGTACATTTCATCTGTCTCGTTCGGCGCAAGAATCGAGTCAATCAGGTCACTTGCATACGCTGCCGCACATTCCAGCTGCGTTTGCATCCGTGTTCGGCGTGTCTGTGCATGGGTATCATGAGGAACAGGCATGGCGTGAGTGAGCCAGTCCGGCTCCGAGGCAAACGCAATGCGTCCCAGTGCCACTATACATGCGGGTCGGACGCCGTTCAACACGGCCTGCGCTTGTGGCGAATCGAGTTTCTCAGCCAGATGGCGCACAGCGATGCCTTCTGGCATGTACAGGTCATGAAGGAACTGCGTACTTTGGCACACGCGCTCTAGTGCTCTGTATGTGGATGTAAGTAGGACGTTACGAAATGGATACGTACGTTTCGGCATAGGTCGCGGCGGGCGACGCGGGGACCGGCTCGGTGTTCCAGACGAGCGCCACATCCCAACTGAGGCACTGGATCAGGGCCGGCAGGAGCGGGACGCACTCAGCCAGCATGATAGAAGTGTCGGGCCATCGGGCCGCTTGTGTCAGGAAATACAGGATCGACATGTGGATCTCGTGGGCCATCTGTGGAGCACAGTCGCCGCGCCGGTCCACAAGGTGCTTGGCGAGCACATCCAGCACGGGGAATCGCGCTTGGCTCAGTCGCGGTGGAATGCCTGCTTGCCATGTCGTGTCGAACTGCGCCGAAAGACAGATGTGCAATGTCAGTGGATCCGACACAGTCATCACACACAGCTGCAGAGTATGAATGAGGACAGACGATTCGCTCGCTGGCGTATCCAGGAGTGCAAGAACAACGCCAGGACTCTGGAGAAATGGGTGCAAATCTTGAAATCCTTGCGGCGCTACAGTCCATGCTATGACTTTGCATAGACGCAACACACTCAAGAGCACCATGTGCCGTGCTTGCTGTGGTGTAGACAATGGCCCCGCATTGCCCGATACGTGGGCGCTGCTGCAAGTGCGCATGACGCTAGCGTTTAGGCTGCTCAAATCCGTTCTAGTAGATGCTTTGCGCACACATTCAATCATAATCTGCATCATGCTGGTAGGCGTGCTGGCGTCGCTGCGAACGTGCTTTGGCGTCACTGGCACTTGCGCTGTCTGTGATGACGATGCTGCCGGCGGCGTCGTCGCATCACAATATTGCGACGTCGTCACATTGAGCACTTGCGTCGCTGTGACCCATGGAAGGCCACCGACTCGTTTCGTGATGTGCGGCACGAACGCGGTGTGTGCTATGCCTAGAGATGCCATCCATGCGAGCATTCGGCAAATGCTCTCTGTCATAGAGAGGTGCAGGAAAATCCCTGTAATGATCCGAATCGCCACAGCCACTGCCTCGTACAGATGATGCGATAGCTCAGACCAGACTTGTTGCACGATGGAATGGAGCTGTCTCGAAGGATCTGCTCCTTGACACGCACGCATCGCCTGTCGCACGACTGGCTCCCATTCTGAGAAAAAGGCTGCATATGAGCTGCCACGTAGCACACTCTGCCATAACAGGTCTGCCGCACGACGGTATCGAGTGCGAACACCGGGAAGGGTTTGCGTGGGAAGCTCTTCCGTTAGTATATACAACAGCATGGATTCAGGTTGGCGATGAGGAAGCGAAGGGAATGACTGTAGTGGCCTCTGTAGCTTCGATTGCTGTTGAGATGCCGAGTCACTCGGAGCCCCAGGCTCAGACGTTATGATCGGATATATGCAGGACGCTCGACATGGATGGCACAATACATGAGTAATCCAGCGCGTTTGCAGAGTAAAGATAGCCGTCAATATATGGTCACGAGTATCGGGTGCATCGTTCCCATCTTGAGACTCGAGAAGGCGTTCTGCCTCTGGCGATGGCGTCGGCGTGGATGACGACGGAGATGGTGATCGTGCTGGAATCGACGTAGTTGGAGATCCAGGGCGCTCTGTTACTGGTGTTGTTTGTGGAAGCGCAGGGCGTATCAAGGGAACGGCTGACACTGGTACATTCCTGGGAACTCTTTCAGAGACAACACTACCACTGGCAGCCACAGGCTCATTCGTCGTCGGATGAGGTGGCAAGAACGTATTCTCGAATCGTGGAAATGCCCGTGGCGTCATTCTGGCTGCGTTCACAGACCGCGACTTGGATGGGCTGGAAGGCTCTTCATTCACATAGGGTATAGGCCGCTTGCGTCGCGTCAACGATAGCGGCGAGGTTGTCGGTGGCATGTGTTTGACCTGAACACGGCGAGAGCGCGTGGGCGTAGAGAGAAGTGGATCCTGCGTACTGGGGCCTGGTGTCGGTTTGGAAGTATCAAAAAGAATAGGAGCCCGGCGTCTGGCTGTAGATGGCCACGCAGAGCGGCTTGAATCTTGCTCAATCCGGCGAAAAGCTGCCGCTGTCTCCATGCGCTCTAATTGGCGCCGGTTCTCTTGCTGCAAAGATTCGATACGTTCGCGATATTCCTGCTCCATTCGGTTCTGATTTTGCTGAAGCCCTACATGCTGTTGTTGTGTACGATTCAAGTTCGCACGCACAACCGCAACTTCCCCTTGCTTCTGCTGTGCCTCTTGCCGCAGCTGGCGGACCAACTCGGCCTGCTTATCGTACAAGACCCGCAACTCATCGAGCTGCGCTCGAAGCGAAGTAGTTGTCACTTCATCCACTTCCTGATTTTCATGGCTCTTGTCGTGCACCGACGGAGTCCAAGCCGCCTGCGCTTCCAACCCTTGCTGTTGCTGTTGTTGTTGCTCCACAGCTTCCTGCTCAACGGCCAGCAGCTGGGAATCCATCAGCTGATCAATAGCCAGGGACTCCCACCATTCATCATGGAAGTAGTCGTCGCCTTCATCTTCCGACATACCATCCGCGCTTCCTGCGCCCTGTGTTGTCCGTCCGAGCAACGATGTCCTTTCGACATCGCTCTCTACACCCCACAGCAGACCTTCTAGCACGTGGAGGCCGCATGTTCCTCCACATTGGATGTGTGTTCGTTCGAAACAAGTCCACAAGCGCCTTCTGCCTAAAGGGAAAGGAGCTACGCGCGTGTGCGGGGTGTGTCTCGATTGCTCGCAGGGCGTGTCTGTCGCTATGGGAATCAAAGGTGTGTGTGTCGATCATCATAAAGATATGACTCACACACATTTCAGGTCTCACGTCTTTGCTCGCGGATGAAGCCCCTTCTTGTATCAAGCAGTTTGACATCAAGACGCTCTTTGGACGAAAAGTCGCGATCGATGCATCCATGAGCCTGTACCAGTTCCTCATTGCTGTTCGTCAGTCAGACGGCCAGCAAATGATGTCGGAATCTGGCGAGGTGACTAGCCACTTGCTAGGCTTTTTTTACCGAACTTTGCGCATGATTGAATTCGGCATCAAGCCAGCGTACGTGTTTGACGGGAAACCGCCAGATCTCAAGAAAGAAGTCGTACGTTGTACTTAGGCCTTTGTACTTGCTGAAAGTTTTCTAACAAGACGCCTGTATGAAGCTAGTGAAACGGTTCGGCCGCCGTGAAGAGGCTCGCGAACAGGAAGAAGAGAAAAAAGACGTCGGTATGTTGTACTTGTGTCTCAACTCACACGGGCAGCGGATAGTGAAACGCTCGATCAACTTGCTCGGCGGCAAGTGCGTCCAACAAAAGAGCATAATGCAGAGGTGCAACGCTTGCTCACGCTCATGGGGATCCCTTGGATCGTGGTACGTGGGCGCACGTGTTTGGCAACTTTTCTCACAAGACCTATAGTCTCCGTCAGAGGCCGAAGCACAATGTGCTGAACTTGCGCGTGCAGGCAAAGTACGTACTGTGCTTGTGAAGCGTGACACTCATGCCACACATCAGGTCTATGCAGCGGGTTCCGAAGACATGGACACACTTACCTTTGGTGCACCGATCCTGCTAAAAAACCTCACAGCCAGTGAGCAGAAAAAGCTTCCAGTGACAGAAGTTCATCTTGGCAAGGCGCTTGAGGAACTCGATATGCCCATGGAACAGGTACGTGCTGTTGCTTTGTGTGGACGCGTTTGTACGCGCTTCAACACACATGCCTGCATTCCAATCTTTCCCTTTCACGCTTACACACACGTAAGTTTGTCGATTTGTGTATGCTATTAGGGTGTGACTATTTGGATCCTGTGCGCGGTGTTGGCCCCAAAAAGGCGCTCAAGCTGATCCAAGACCACAGGACACTCGAACGTATTCTGGAGCATCTGAAACAGGCTGACGATGCAAAGAAGGCCAAGGCAAGTGACGCACATGGGTCAGATGATGATGAGGCTACGTCCATCAAGAAACGGCCTGGTGGCATCCAAGTTCCAGATTTCTGGCCGTTTCAAGAGGCCCGCGAACTATTCCTCACACCTGAAGTGCAGGATGGGCATACAGTACAAGTTTGTATAGAAGAGATTGGCTGACTGGATGCCATTCTCGCTATATCCTCTGCGCATCATTACTTACACGACCGCCAGCTCAAGTGGGAACAGCCAAAGACCGAGGAGCTTGTATCGTTTCTTTGTGGAGAGAAGGGATTTAGGTACGTGTGCACGAGTTTGGCTTGACGACGCTTATCAACATTGCAGTGAAGAACGCGTTCGCCGCGGCTGTGAGAAACTTTCGCGGGCTGTTGGACAGAAACAGCAAGGTCGATTGGATAACTTTTTCTCGTACGTCGATTCGATCTGCGTCTGGACTCCCCCCACTTCTCCTGCGGACTACATCTAACACACGTGAACAGCGCCGCCCCGAGAAGTCAGAACCCCTCATCTGCACCTGCATCTACTAAGCGCAAAGCTGCATCCAGTTCATCCAGTGGGAAGTCGACCCGTCGTAAGTAGTGGCTCTATCATGTCTACAATTAGGAAAATATTTGTCATTGGTTTTTTATGATTTATGCAACTGAGTCAGCCCTTGCATCTCAAAGCCTGTAGTCAGCAGGTAGGCTATGGGTGTTCCACCACACCTGCAGGTAGAAAGTGAACTACTGGCGTTGTGGGCGATAGGGAAGGCCTGAAACGCTGCGATTCCAGCTTGTGTCTATCACCGTAGCCCCTCGCCTTCGACAACACCGAACTCGTCCACGCTTGATTCGAGCTGGGTCGTAAAACGACAGCATGAGTCATTTGCGGCCTAATTATGATTATCCAGCTGGTGCTCCCATGAGCATCAACATGCTCGATGATCATAGTCAAGAGGAGCTTCATCCAGTGACGACTTCATCGTCGCAACCTTCGCAATCGCTTCCTGCTGACTCGCCCTTCAAGGATGGCTTCGGTGGTATCACCTCACCGCCTAAACAAAGCATTGGCCATATTGATGCATTGACGTCGTCCAGATCCGGCCATGAAAACATCGACATGAATCCGCCTCTGATTGACCACGACCATTTCAATGTGATGTCTTCTTCTCCGGCCAGCCAGGACCCTGGCTTGGGCATAACTGGGTCTTCAACTCATTTTCCTGACGACGGCCACTATAATGCAACGGCCGTCGAAATGTATCCTGATACTTCTGTTTCTCCCATGCACAACTATGGCAACATCGGTCCTGCGGCTGCATCCCCCCTGCTCCATCGTGGGAACTCTGATGCTTCAGCATCCCCCATGTTGAATTATGGCTTCCCAGACTCCGGGACCTCGCCACTTCTCCAGCGCGGTGGCTCCATCACATCTGATTCGCCTATGCTAAACTACGGCAACATGAATGCAACAGCTACGCCCATGCTTAGTCGTGCAAACTCCGATGCTACATCTTACCGGCTGCTGAACAGGGATCACGTCGACCCATATGGGTCTCCCGCTATGAGTCACAGGAATTTGGACTTTCATTCATCCCCCATGCCCAAGTACGATCCTTACGATGTTTCTTCCTCTCCAATGTATCGCAACGACAGCTTCGATCATACGTCCCCCTTGTCACCGATGGATGCGGATCATAGTCATCGTGTGCTTGTTGATGAGAAGGAAGAAGAGGATGTACCCATTGCTTCGCTACTGAACTCCTATCTGAATAAGTCTGGCACGGCTTACAGGGATGCCGATGGCTTTAGTACAAACAACCTGCACGGACGTAATGCTTATCGCGATGAAGACAGTGACATTTCTGACTCCGATAACATGGATCCGTATCCATGGATGACCATGGCGGACGTCAAGGAGCCTGACGATGTCATTCATGATCCTGACATGAAGAGTCCCAGAAGCAGATTTGAGCCCTGGCGCGCAGTTTTCAATGTCGGGACCATCATTTTCTTAATTCTTGCTGTATTGATGTTATTTGCTGGCTATCCCATTCTCCACAATTACACTATGAACCACAACACTGACAAAGTCAAGCAATCCCTGAGTCAAGTCCAGTCCCACGACTTTTCTTATCCTTCAGGCTCATTTCTTTCGCGCTTCAATAACTCGAAGCTTTCCAAGAACTTCGATAAAGACGCTCGAATGTTGATCGACCCTGATACCCCCGAAGATGCATATGAACTAAAGTCGAGCTATTCTAGAGGCAGAAAAAATCGTCGATTTAAGCTTGTTTTCTCTGACGAGTTTAATACAGATGGCCGCAGCTTTTATCCTGGCGAAGATCCATTCTGGGAAGCCGTCGACTTGCATTACTGGGGTACTAACAATCTCGAATGGTATGATCCCTCTGCCGTCACGACCAAGAATGGATCATTGCGTATCCAGCTTGAACAACACCCTGAGCACGAGTTGTACTTCCGTGGTGGTATGATTCAATCTTGGAATAAGCTATGTTATCGGAACGGTATTCTGATCGCGAGTATCCAGCTTCCCGGATTCAAAGATGTAAGTGGTCTCTGGCCGGCCTTTTGGGTTATGGGCAACTTGGGTCGCGCCGGCTTCGGTGCCTCTCTTCAAGGCACCTGGCCTTACTCATACGATCAGTGTGATGTCGGGACTTTGATGAACCAAACTATATGGAATTCGACTCATCCGGAAGGCTGGCCCCCACATTCAACTGATCTCGGTGGTGCCACCATGTTCAACCAGAAGCATAACACAAGTTCGATTTCTTTCCTTGCTGGTCAAAAACTTTCTCGGTGCACTTGTCCTGGAGAAGATCATCCTGGGCCCTTCAATGAAACGTTAGGCGAGTTTACTGGCCGCGCTGCTCCAGAAATTGATGTGTTTGAAGCGCAGATCAAGGACGACAAGTATGTTCAGATGTCCCAGTCGTGCCAAATGGCTCCATACAATTGGCAATACAACATTACTTGGGAACATGGAAAGGCCAATACTTTCCATTTCTTTGATGATGAAGATGGGTCTATATTGAACCCATACACTGGTGAAATTACGCAGCAATCGCTGAGTGGCACACACAGCGCGAGTCAAACCGCTGTTCAGTATGTGGCCAACTCTACGGATACAGATGTTCCGGGTAACTTCGCTACATACTCTATGGAGTATCGCGGAGGTTCTCACAACAAACAGAAAGAAGATGCTTATGAAGACAGCTATGTTGTTTGGACGAGTGATGGGAAACCATCTTGGGAATTATTCCCTGATGCGGTGTTGGCAGATTCTCTTTCGCATGTGGGAGCGCGACAATATCCAAAGGAGCCAATGTACATTATCCTGAATCTTGGCGTGTCTAAGAACTTTGGTGATATTAAATGGGACAAGCTTATGAAAGCGTTTCCCTTTGAGATGGCTGTGGACTGGGTTAGACTATATCAAGATCCCGATGATCCTGACTCTCATTTAGGCTGTGATCCAGACGACATGCCAACAGCAGACTACATCAATCGTCATATGGAAGCCTACACCAATGCGAACTTGACCCTTTGGGGTAATACGCGTGAAGAAGGCGGCTACGGTGCCGATTGGCCGAGGAATCGTTTGTACAGTGATGGTGGAGCCTGTAAGCGCCCTCCCTCCAAGGAGCCAGGCGATCCTGATCCCAAGTTCAAGAGCAAAGCTCCTTACGTTCCATCCGCTTCAGTTACCAAGACTCCTGGCGCTCAGTTTAATTGGGGCGATAGGACTAAAACCTTGCCTATGGCTACTGATGCTATGGTAATTCCATTCCCATAACGCGTATACCATTCCGTCATGTGTCTCCCGTAGAAAATGCATTATTTCATCAAGTCTCACTCCATACCACAATCCCACATCTGGCACGACATGTGGAAAGTGGCATTGGCATTCAAAGTCTGCTTGCCTCGCGCATTAACCACTGCAGTGGACAAAATTCACTGCACAAAACACGTATTCAATTAACGCCCACACATATGATTGGTCTAATCGTTCTTTTTTTTTCAACGCGTTTTTTCCACACAGCCCAAATACGCGCGCCAGTGCTAAGCGTTACAGAGGCGACACCTTTCTGATGCGACATTTCTTATGCATGCTGAGTCAAGATAAAGTCGAGCCTCAGTCTTGAGGGAGGCAAGGTATGATCCGCCTTGGCAGTCTGATCATCATCTACCATGTCGACAGGCGATCCTTCAAGGGAAGCAATTGTACATATTGATTCTAATGGCGATGGACAGCCCGAAAGCTATGCGTTACCGCCGGCTATACACCTTAACCCAGAAGGTGCTATAGAACGTCAGAATTTGTTACCTTCGACAACGAACTATGGTTCTGCATATACGAATGAATTACAGACAACATCCTTTTCATCGCCTGCCAATTATGGTTCTGAAAATGGGCGAGGTTCTCCGACATATTCAATTCCGCCACCCGTGAAATATGGTCCCGAAAATGAGGAAGTGTCACGAACCAATTCCTTCTCGCAACCTGCCAACATTGGATCCAAAGGCGTCGACGAGACAGTGAGGTACTCATCCCCGGCATTCGGACACGCCGAGCTGGAAGACATCAAAGAGTCTGAAAACTATTCTCTCCCACCGCATGCAAACCATGGATTTGAAAACGGCCGGGGAAGTGATGTCCTTTCACTACCCCCACCCGCTCCATTCAGTGACCGGAGCGCACAAGCGGGTTCGATGGGATACGAAGGGGTGTCAAGTCAAATTCCTGGAAGGTCTAGTCCACAAACACCTGTTTCGTTACGGCGTCCACAATCTACAGCTGAGCAGAGCACCGGGTCAGAGCCACAGGCCAACACAGTACCCTATGGGTGGATGTCTGGCATCGATGAACACAATAATGATGACGACCTTCATGATCCTGCGAAACCAATGCGAGGCTCATTCGAGCCAACTCGCGCAGTAGTAAACGTGGGCACGTTGATTTTGCTGGTATTATGTTTACTCATGTTGTTTGCAGGTTACCCTATCCTTCACTATTACACTGAAGACAAGAATGATGATGACCGTCTCAAGTCGTTCAAACAAATCTTTGACGGTGAAAACGTGTACCCAAGCAACGCACCGTTCCTGCGCATGAATGACTCGAAATTGCAGAACAATTTTGATCCAAGTAAAGTTATGTTCATTGACCCCGACACCCCCAAAGAGGCATACACCATGAAAAGTACTTTTACTGGAATGGATGGAAAGGAGTTCAAACTTGTTTTTTCGGACGAGTTCAACACAGATGGTCGTAGCTTCTACCCTGGTGAAGATCCGTTCTGGGAGGCAGTCGACTTGCATTATTGGGCCACCAACAATTACGAATGGTATGATCCAGCTGCAATTTATACGAGCAATGGCTCTTTGCGAATTCGCCTGGAACAGCATCCTGAACATAACCTCAACTTCCGGGCTGGCATGCTACAATCATGGAATAAATTCTGTTTTCGAAATGGCATTTTGATTGGAAGAATCCAGCTTCCTGGCTATCCAAAAGTTGCTGGACTTTGGCCCGCATTCTGGATTATGGGCAACCTGGGTCGTGCAGGCTATGGTGCAACTCTGCAAGGCACGTGGCCGTACTCGTACGATCAATGTGATGTTGGCACCGTGATGAACCAGACACTTTGGAATGCAACATATCCTGATGGATTTCCGGAAGGAACCACTGACTTGGGTGGTGCAACCGTGTTTAACCAAAAGCACAACACACGTGCACTATCTTTCTTGCCCGGTCAGAAATTATCGCGTTGCACTTGCCCAGGTGAAGATCACCCCGGTCCATTCAAAGATGGGCAGTTCACTGGCCGAGCTGCGCCAGAAATTGACGTTTTTGAAGCACAGGTGGGCTATTTCGACCACACAGATATAAAAGGTATGACTGTTTCACAGTCGTGTCAGATGGCACCATACAACTGGCAATATGATATTACCAAGTACAATGAAAGTGACGCTGTTCATCTCTTTGCGAAGTACAGTTTACTTAATTCTTACAACGGTGAAATTACGCAGCAATCTCTTAGTGGCGTGAGCCCGGCTAGCCAAGAAGCGATTCAATATTCTGCTAATACCAAAGATACCGAAAATGATACTGCATTCGCCGAATATGCTTTGGAATACAGGGGCGGTCCATATGGCTACGTATCTTGGCTTTCCAATGGCGCGAAAGCTTGGGAAATTTACAAGGATGCACTTGTTGCTGATAAGAAGTCCCAAGTCGGTAATCGCCAATTTCCGAGGGAGCCCATGTACGTTTTGCTCAACTTGGGAATATCCCGGAACTTCGGTGATTTTGAGTGGGATGACGTGATACCTGGTTTTCCTTTTGAAATGGCCGTCGACTGGGTTCGAATTTATCAGGACCCTGACGACCCGGAATCTGATATCGGTTGCAGTCCTGACGATATGCCTACAGCTGAGTATATCAATCGCCACATGGAAGCTTATACCAATCCTAATCTAACGGTCTGGGGCGGTTCGCGTGATGAGGGTGGGTATGGAGCGTATTGGCCGAAAAACCGTTTGTACAATGATGGCAATGGTTGTAAAACGGATAGGTCAAAGGAACCCGGTGATCCCAACCCTAGCTATCGAAGGAGAGCTCCTTACGTCCCCTCCTCCTCTGTTATTGCTGGTCCTGGTGCACAAACAACTTATCCCCCTAAACGCTCATAGTCATGAAATAGTATAGAGCGCGCCAAATAAACACTACATAATTGCTTGCGACCAAAGCCATTGTGCATGCGAAGCACGTGATGAGCTCGAACCTGGCACTGGAAGATACGATCATTTTTTTGCCAAGCTGTGTTCGCTCGAAGCGAAATTACTTTCCAACACCAGGGCAAATAGCTAGTTGAAAACGACAAAAACCCAGAGGATTCGCTGCTTGTAAAATATCCACCAGTGCGTCGCTTGGTCTTTGTCTGTCTGATTGTGACTTGTAGAATCGGTTATCTGTTGCAGGTACGTAAACCTGATCACACACGGACCTAACCGAATGCAGTCGCGCCGATCTACAAGAATTAGCTTGCATTTTATCCATGGCCAAAACGTATCAGCAATCACATGCGACCTCTAAACCGCATGATGGATTGCCTGTATGGCCATCGTCAGTTGTAGTGCAGGAGTCACAGTCACCGCTTGAGCTGCACGCTATACCAAGAGAGACTCTCACAGCCGTCAACAATGATGATGCCTTGTCACGACCCAGTTTTCCGTCCTCAAGCGATGACGAGTACATCCAAAGCATCATGGCTCCTACAATTACCGACATTGAGTCTGATTCGCACCTTCATGATGCAAGTCATAATCCTGGAATGGGACTGCTCTTGTCATTGTCGGATAGACTACAACCCCCGGTTGATCCGTCTGTGTTTGACTCTGTGTCTCCATCTGCATCCACATTGTCTGCTAGTGACTTTGTCTCGGAAGGTCCCAAGTCGGACTTACTGTGCCATGCGATCTCATCGCCCTCAAGCATGTCTGTGCCCCCCTTATCATCTTCGGATCATGCTATCTTTTCGTCTCAACATTCAGGATTTGATCACAATGCACACCTTGACACAATTGCCTCGGCAGCTTCTGCTGCTGCTGCGACTCAATATGAGGAAGCGGCAGCATTCCAAGCCAAATATTACCACGAACACCCCACAGCACTCCGGTCGTCCGCGTCTGCGTCTCTTTCCTCCTCATCAACTGATACCTATTCGTTTGCTCCGACTGATTCATCGAGTGCGTTCTTGTCATTAATGCGACCAGCATCTCTTGCAATGCACGATCTGGATACGTCACAATGTAATGAAAAAAAGCACGAGGATATGCATGCTTTGAAAGATGCCATAACTGACGCTAGGTGTTCTCCGAATCGTACGACAACATCAAGGGCCCCATCCAGACCAGCATCGTGCTCAATCACATCGTCCGGATCAGTTTCTGCATGCTCCACTATGACAGTGCCCACAACGTCATTTGGCACCTCATTCCTAACACATTTGAATGCTGATGCTGTGCTATCTTTTGACGATGAACGGGACGATGTTGCTTCAACAAATACCCCAACGAATTCGGGTTCTGGTCCTGTTCGCAGTGTCGCTCCCCAAGTACCTGTGCAACGTCAGACAATACCGGAGACGGCACAACAACTTCATACTCACGAACCAAATGTGCGAGACACACCACCATCACTTAGTGTGTCAAACAGTTCACCAGCAAGAACAGTGTCATCGGCCATACTGTCAGCTAATGTATCCCCGTTGAGTGGACAGACCTCCACTGCGAAACAGGCTATACAAAGTCCCTGTGAAGAAGCGAAAAGGCCTAGGACAGACCCTGAGAAGGCAGCGGAGCCACGCACATCGTCGGAGTCGACGCAAAAGCGGTTTCAATGTCCAAAGTGTTCACGAGCATTTGCCCGTGCGTACAACCTTAACACGCATTTATCGACACATGACCCTGACCCGTCACGAGCCAAGCCCTTTCCGTGCCCGTACCGTTCCTGTCGTGCTGAGGGTGGACGCTCTTTCTCGCGGAAGCATGATCTTCAACGACACGTAGCAAGTGTGCACGAATGGGAGCCTGAGCCAGGGATTCACGGCGATTCTGGCGACGTTGGCGAGGGACAGGAGACAGGCGGTCTAGCTAGTTTGGGTCTGGGTGCACCTGGCAAAAAGTTTCGGTGTGATGAATGTGGCCGAGCGTTTGTCCGCCGGGACGCGCTTCGGCGACATCACTGCGAAGGCGCATCTGCTCATGCAATGCTTGCAAGGAAAGCGACCATATTTGAAAAACCGCCGCCAGCTTATGCTATGCGCACGTTCCCCGGCGATGTTGTTCAACGTGTAGCATTGCAGCTTATGAACAAAACTGATCCCAAGGTGCCATATGCTCCCGAAATGGTAAAAACATCAGCGGCCTCGCGCTCAGAGGGCGAACCCCGCTCTGAGCCATCAAGGATCCAGCGAAATCCTTCTCCCAGCTTGGCCACAACCTATGTTACTTAATGCCCTCATACGTTTGTATATCACATGAAAAAGTAGTTTACGCAGGGCTTATGTATTATATTACACACTCATATACATCCCATACTTTCATACAATTTATATTGTCACTAAATTTGGACCTTACATGCGGCGGGCCTTTTTCGTCGAGACATGGTCCGGCTTTGTTCTAGACATGTCGGCATTCGCTTGCGCGCGTGCATGCTCTAGTGCCAACTGAAGTACGACGTTATGCTCCTGCAAAATAGCTTGCTCACCAGCACGAACAACGAGGGCCATGCGACGTCGGTCCTCTGGTGGTGCCATTTCGCATTGCGCCACCAATGCTTTGCTCGTGTCTGGCCACGAAGTAGGATATGCACGCGTGCGAAGAAGCAGAGCATCACTCAAAATGGATGCCACGGCAATCATCGCACCTTGCGGTGGCGAGCCAGGCCAAGTATGGTTATCCAAAGGCTCTACGGCATCGAGTTGCGCCTTGGGGAGAGCCTCTTTCTTCTTTGCGCGTTCAAAGCCTTCTTGCGTCAGGCACAAGAGCCTGACAAATCCAATAAGATCCTCGGAGATATCACTAGCAGCATGACTCAGTGCACGCTTGTTTGCCGACGTCAAGGTACTGTGTGCATCGATCGGTAAGGTCCCTGCGTATGGTGGCAACGCTGTTGGCTTGCTGAGTCGGCATAAAAGGAACACTTCATCAAGACCAAGTTCAGTACATGCCCATTCGAAACGTGGCATTAGGCAAGCACGAACGGCATCACCTGCCGCACCCGTGACTTGGCGCAATTTTGCCGCTGCAGCGTCGACAATGATCTCTGCGGGAAGTTCAAGCAGGTCGCCACGATTCGGCTCATCAACAAAGCCATAGCGGCGGAGCAGGTCGCTATTGGGTGGATTCCCATACGTGTTGAGCAACTGTTCGCCCACAGCAATGGCACGTGTACACCGCATTTCCAGCGCTTCGCGCTTGTAGAAGCAGCGTGTGTTTTCAGATCCGAACTTGGCGTTTAGCATATCGGCCATGGGCACCATTGATATATCACGAACATCCTCCTCATCCTCCTCTTCTTCTTCGTTCTCATCCTCGTCATCATCCTTGTCCTCACCTTCGTTTTCTTCGTGTTCATCGCCTTGTTCATCTTGCTCGTCCTCATCTTCTTCGGCCCCCCTGCCCTCCTCATCCGCAATTCCATCATGAGGCCTTTGCGACTCATCTTGCTGATCGCTTTGTGGCATTGCACGCACAACAGCGACCTCAGCGGGAGCTGACGAGATGTCTGCTTCGTCGGGCTCAGCATGCGTCAGGTCCCGTTTTACGTGGAAGCTGCGACTGAGTATAGACGAGCCCATCCGGTGGTACATGTTCACATGGTACCAGCGATCAATTCCTGCTTGCACATCGGATGATGGCAAAGTGCCAAGAAACACATTCGGATATTGTTGGATATACGGGAGCACACATTCGTGGTAGTCGGATTCAGCCTCAGCACGTCCAATCTTGTCTTCCACATCTGTTCCCTTGAGCTCTTCCAGCTGATCAGAGTTCCAGAACATAGGAGTAGAAAATTCTTTCGGCATGATACCAAAGTATGGACCCCATGATATGGATGCCATATCCTGCTTATTAGTCTGTAATGATGACGCGCGCCAGTGTTCCCACATGAGCATGAGGATAATGGGACACCATCCTCTGTTCATTATATCGAGCCATGAGCACCCAGAACTTGGAGGTTTTGCTTTCTCCGCCGCCTGGCACGTTTTAGCTAAGGCGCTTGTATCTAAATTCATGAGCATGGAGCGAGGAATTGTAAAGAGACGCTCGTTCTCTGCAATTGGTCGTGTCGCCACAAGACCACGCCCCATTCCCGGTATCTTTTCTAACGATAAACTGGGATCGATCCAGCCTCCATTCTCTGTAAACCAAGCGAGGAACGCTCGTTCCTCGTCGTCGACCATATGCGTATGTGAGCACACCCAGAGAGGCTATGCAGGTTCTAAAATTGGAAGAATAAAACAAGCAATGTTGTAACAAAAATTTCTGGCGTTGGGAGACGGCCGAAAGATCAACGACATGAGAGTGGAAGCAACACAACAATTGGCTAGATTCCTCGGCCTCACTCTTTCAGTGATCAGGTTTACCGATCAAGTCATTATATACGTGCCCACAGACCAGGGGCTTGTTCAGACTCATAGGACTTGTTCGCGCAAACCATCATCATGCAACTAAAAATCGAGAGTCGCGGTAACATCAAGGGCGCGTACTTTCCGTTGGAAATCAATCTGCCTGATGATGCTACGCTGGGAACGTTGAAAAATGGCATTGCGAATCTTGTGCCTACGTTGCCAGTTGCCCGTCAGCGACTCGCTAAGGCTGATAAGCAGCCACTCGTTGACGACGAGAAGCGGCTGAGTGATTTAGGTGTAGAGGGAACTGCTGCTCTGACAGTCAAGGATCTCGGTCCTCAGATCAGCTGGCGCACTGTGTTCCTCGTTGAATACGCGGGCCCATTGATCATCCATCCCCTCATCTATTACGGAGCACCTTCGTTCTGGGCTCGATTTGGTTATTCTTACAACACATCATCAATACAGACAATTGCATTCGTGCTTATCATGGCACACTTTGTAAAGCGTGAGCTGGAATCTCTTTTTGTTCATCGCTTTTCAAATGCTACGATGCCCGCCTTCAATATAGTGAAGAACTCGTCGCACTATTGGCTACTCTCAGGACTTGTTCTTGGCGGTGGCTTGTACTCGCCCTCGCTTGGTACTGAGGCTGTAAGCGGAACACTTCGTAATAACCGCGTCTTTCTCGCTATATGCGCATGTGTATGGCTTGTTGCTGAGCTAGGCAACTTGCACTCGCATCTCATACTGATGAGCCTGCGGCCTAAGGGGACACGGGTGCGCCAGATTCCGCGTGGAGGCGCATTTGAACTTGTCAGTTGCCCGAACTACTTTTTCGAGGCTGTTGCTTGGTTCGCGATCACCATTATGACACACTCACTGAGTTCTTTGATCTTCCTTGTGGTCTCGAGTGTGCAAATGACGCTATGGGCGGTCAAGAAGCACAAGAACTACCGTAAAGAGTTTGGCGCACAGTACCCTCGACAGCGCAAGATTATGTACCCCTTCGTGTTTTAATCACGTGACCAGACCGCGTTGGATGCGACGCGTAACCGTTGTTAGTGTGTTGTAGTGAGGTGGGGTGTTGGTCTGTAGTCTTGTAAGTGTCAAGAGGAATTGAGCAACGGACACTCGCACATTTGCCATCTTCATGCGACGCCTGTGGAATGGTGCTGTGAATGTACGTGCAAGAATGTACTTACAAAGCAGATCACCTCTGATGCTGATCTAGACGCCGCCATTGCTCCGCTACTCCCAGTGCTCGAACTGAATGAAACAGAAGAGTCATGGGATCACATTGATCAGGCGCTCGCTCAGCTTCAGGCACTCACAAAAAATGGCGCCACCAAGGTCCCGTCGTACATGATGCGGATTCAGCAGGTGGCACCTTGCATCACAAGATCGGTATGTATGTCGCGTCATCATGCAAATGCTCATATGCGTGGAAAGCTTTTATCGGAACGGACTCGCCTGTCCGGTACAGCGAGTGATTTGTTAAATTCCATGGCGCCTCGCCTAGCTGAGCGTTTCTCTCCATTTGTTAGCGTGTTTATACCGCCACTTTTACAGCTGTGCGGTCGAACAAACAAAGTGGCCTTACGTCGTGCGGAAAAGAGCTTGCACTTGATCTGCCGACACTGCCGGCTACCAAATGTGGTGCCATATTTGATTCAATCACTGATGGACAAGTCTGGCAGCACACGCGCTTCCGCTGCAGAATGTTTGGTCGTTTTACTAGAGTCGTGCGATCCTGAGCGACTTCAGAGACGTGTTAAGGACGTGGAGCACGCGATTCAACTCCTTGCAACCGACGCAAATCCTCAGGCGCGTGCATTGTGCCGCCAAATCTACGGTCTTTATGCAGGCATGTGGCCAGCTCGATGCGCTTCATTTTTTCCAACGTTGTCTCCCACTGCTCGACGCTATTTGGCCGCCGTGCAGCCTGTTGAGAGACTTTATACGCATGACGACGTCCAGCACCAGGAAGATACCCCATCACCCATTGCTACTCACCCTATGATCACACGCGTATCGCGAATAGAGCCTCGGCAAAAGACCAGATCACCGACGCTCGTGTCCAAGACACAAAGCACATCTAACACTCTACAATCCTTGACTATACCACGCACGCCCCCCACGCCACTAGCGTCAAGCGCAGATCCATTTGAACGCACGGGCGTCCCACCCGTGCCACCGCGCGGCTCAAATCCTAGTGATGGCGTTGCTTACCGATTGGCTCTCGCACGCGAGCAGGCAAAGCTTCGTGCGACGCAGCGTCTTGGTGCCACATCTACAGACACCCCTGGCACACGTCTGGCATCGCGGGCCTTGGCGCGCTCATCTGCTTCAATTGGAAGTGCACGCCGTGTTGTTGTCGGACGAAGCGAGCCCACAACACCAACGACACCGCAACCTTACACCGTGGATAAGAAAAACACTAGTCCTTTCACTGCAAGTTCGCAATTCACACCAAAGCGGCGTCCATTCTCGGTGGTGAATCAGGATCGATCGCCACAAGCTCGTATGGGGCTGCGCACGACGCACGCAAACATAGATGAATAGCGGACATGCTAGTAATGAAAATGGACACAAAGTGGATGCCAAGAAAAAAATATTAGTTCTAAAAGGTTCTCATGTTGAAAAATTTAGTAGCGACAAAGTCCACCACCACCATTCAATACGGGTATATCATTTGCAAACTACACTGAAGCTTGTGTCAGTATGTAAAAAGGCGTAGCCTTTCGATAGCGTACACTCAAGAAAATCTGCTGCCATGAGCCTGTTGTGTGAGAAATGGCGCAAAAGACATTCATGGATCTTGCAAAATACTTACAGTTCCAGCGCTAGCTCAGGGGGAATCTTGCGTTCAAATTCTTTGATAGGGTACTGGTCATGCTGAGCATAACGCGCATGCCACTGTAGGTATTCCACGACTTTTTCAAGCACTTGGCCTCTGCTAGTGTCAACGGGAAAAATGTGGACAAACGGACCTGATTTGGAGCTGGCAGATGCCACTCTCAGCTTCGAAGAAGCCTAATACGGTCAGTTCACTCGACCCCGTGCCTTGCTATGACGTACCCCCTTCGTCTGTTGACAACATGGTGCGGATGGTGCCACTCAGCATTGCCCATTCGCGATCGACAATAAAGCGATAGCCGTCCTACGCATACAAGTCAGTCTTTGAAAGACGAAGTTCGTTTCGTACCTCGCTCAAAAGCGTCACCCACTTGTGCGCATTTGACATAGTTAATGTTCCTTCGATCGACACACCGGCGCGCAATGAACGCGTCCAGGACGTGCGGAGTACGTTGATCATCGCACAGCAATAGTTTATTCATCGGCCGAATACGTCGATGGAATTGCGACGACGCAAAAAACCACGGACCCCCGCATCGTCGGAGTCGATGAAAACTTCATTGAAGTCATGGGCACGAGGTTGACTGGGGCCTCTCGCCGAAGAAAGCCTTCGCTAGCATCGTCGAGCGAGGGAAGTTCGGAACATCTGTCATCGACTCAAGGTGAAGATATGGAAGAAGGTCCCAGTCGGTCTTTCACTTGTGACAAATGCGGCAAAACGTTCGCTAGGGGTACGTCCACCATTGCCGCGTGACTCACTCGCGTTGTAGAGGATCTTCTTAGGCGACATCAAATCCGCGAAGCACGCGCAATTTCGAATCCGTCCGTTGGCCGGCAGAAAAGCTGCTACGCTTGCTCACGCAGCAAGGCCCGCTGTGATCTAGGCTATCCATCTTGTGAGCGTTGCCGCAAACGACAGATACCTTGTGTACGTGACATAGTCTGACACCTTTGCAGGTTTATGCGCCTCATACTGGCAATCCGAATGCCCGCCGTGCACGAGAACAGGGCCTGCAGTCACTGCGTTCCGGATCAACTGGCGACGCTTACCATGCCCCGTATCATATGCCGAATCTATCCGCTGCTGGCCAAAGCTTACCAAACTCGCCATTTCACCCTGTCGATCAGCCTGTGTCGTGGAATACAGTACCTGAGCTCGATCTTAACGTCGTTCCTTCACGACATTTCTCAGACACGTCCGGCGACGAAAGTGATGGCGACCAAACGACCGATTCACTTGAGACTAGGTTCGGTAACACTAGCTGGGAGACGTCGACAGCTCCAACCCCACTTCCATCGACATCAGCACCACTATCATACTCGCTTGATACATCACATTGGGGTATTGCGTACAACAATTCCCCCATGCTCGCGTCGCAAGGACCGCCAAACACGCAGCCCTCATTTACAGGAAAGCAGCGCGAAACGGCGCCGACTTCTGATCCTGTTTTTCCAAGCAGCATGTTTCCTTACTCAGCCCCCTCATCCCTTACGCCAACGTCCGCGCCCGAGTCTATGGATGTGGCCAGCACCAAATTGGAACCGCCTCCCATCCGTCTCGATATGCCTCCCATTGGTACTAGTGATCATCTTGCTCCCCGCCGAAAAACACCTCTGAGCTTTCACAGCTATGTACATCGAATCTGATGCCTCTCCCATCAGCTGGGGGTGCATCTCATGTTCCTTTTACGCCCACGCGTCTGGTCAATATGTCATTGTTTTCGCCAGTGCATTTTGGGATCCCGCTTGGATCCAATGACCTAAGCATGTGGCTGGATGAGCCGGTGGTACCATCGCCTATGTATGAAACTGGTGCATGCACTGGATGGACAGGTCTCATTTCCTCGGGCGTCGATACTGGCCGGACACCTACTGTAACCTCGTCACGGATGGGGCTCATCAAAGGACCACGGCATGAAGAAGACTTGGCACATTCTCCGCGCTCGTCTACGTCACTATCACCTGCTCTTATCAGCTCGGTAGACTGGTGGGCCCATGACTACGGAGCACAATCGCGTTTCCATCGATATATGCTTTCATGTGTCTCCCCAACAAACGCCACTCAAGTCTCAAGATTGCCGTTCCACACTCACTGCTTCGCTAGTCTCTCGTTTTCTCACGTACTGTTCATTCTTGTGCCTTCGGGATCCCGGCGCTCCACAGCCTCCATTCATGCATCGGTACATGCTTCTTACTCAACGCGACAAGCTGCCAGCATCTCTGGCGATCGCACGCTCTGCACTTTCTGCATTGGCTATGCGGTTGCCAACGAGCGAAGTATGGGCGTGGCGGCAAGTTGGTGCGGAGCTTAGCGGACTTGTGGATCAAGCTCGCGACCTTGTTTCACAGTACGAGCGTGTGCAGACAGAAGGGACGCCGCTTGAGAGACACCTCTGGTTCCAACAGGGCACGAGCTTTGATGGATGCTGGGAATGCCTCTCATTAGTCCAGGCACTATGGTGCTATGCAGTTGTCGGCGCATTTGATGACAGTATGGGTCCTGCGCACAAGGGTACAGCAGCCAGCATGGCTCAGCGTGTATGGAATCCCTCACTCTTGCCATCAGCCATGACTGTCCTTGAACAGTTACTCTGTGTGCTAGCATCAATCGGCACTACGCTCCAGGCTCAGTCTTGGAAATGCTCTACAGTTTCATCCAATGCAAAATCATCGGATACGTTTGGATTTCTGTGGTGGGGCTTATGTGAGTCCATTCGGCGCTCCGTGCTTGCCACGCACGCACTGCTTGTAGTATGGCAATACACACGCGCTGCGTCGGAAGAGACACATGCACCCGCTCCGCGCTTAGGCTCGCCACTCATATGTCAACACATTCCTTCTAAAGTATGGGATCATATCATGCAGCTGGAACTCCCTGCAATTGCTTCCGTATTTGAGGCGGACAATGTAACACAGTGGCGCCTCAACATGGAGAAGCACGCGACACAGCATGGCGTCAGCGAGCAAAAACTCTCTCTAATGATGTGTATGCAATATCGCCCGTCGTCGGCCAGCGAGGATCGTGCGAATATACCATTTTATCTCACGTCGTACTTCCACCATCACGACGAGTTCACGAACATTTGCCTCTGCGCCCTATTTGGCTTGACAGAGTCATAGTTAAATAAAATTGCACTTTGTTCATCTTGGCACAAAATAACCAGCACCAGCAGCTTGGACAAACTCCGTCGTCTTCTCCACTCACGCACAGACGCTCGTACATACGGACCCAAAGAGCCTCTTGGCTCTTGCGTGGGGGAGAGAGATAGGGGCGTTTCCTCTCCACCCTTGCCCTCCGCCCAATCTCGCTGTTCTTGATGACCATAGTATGATTAGTCAGCACGGGTGCGTTGAGTACTGACTTCTCGCGAGGTGGATCGGCGGTCGCCTACCAGCATGGGTGCGATTGTCTATACCACTTTGGGAACGCTCCTCGCCCTTGCATTGTATGGCGCAGGATACTTGATTTTTACAGGTAAGAAATGATTGCATTTCTTACACCAGGCTCGGGCGACCAGTTTGCCGTAAATACATTTCTTGAGCAAACAAGTCCGTATGTGTGGGCCAACACGGGGATTGGTTTGTGCATTGGTCTCAGCGTAGTGGGTGCCGCATGGTAAGTACATATGACTTTTCCAACAAGCAGGGGTATCTTTATAACCGGATCTTCGATTCTTGGTGCCGGCGTCCGCGCGCCGCGGATCACGACAAAGAATCTGATCAGCATCATCTTTTGTGAAGTTGTGGCCATCTATGGTGTCATTATGGCAATTGTGTTTTCTGCCAAGATTACAGGGCGACTAGAAGACGGAATCAATGGCCTTTGGACACCTGAAAACTACTTTACGGGCTATGCGTTGTTCTGGGCCGGTCTTACTGTCGGCCTGTGTAACGTGGTATGTGGTGTGTCGGTTGGTATCACTGGTGCGAATGCAGCAGTGGCAGATGCGGCCGATCCGCAATTGTTTGTAAAGATTCTTGTGGTTGAGGTATGTCGTATTGCTGATTGTTGGACACATCTTATACCACTCACAGGTGTTTAGCAGTATTCTTGGGTTGTTTGGCCTCATTGGTACGTATGCCGTCCCTGGCTTTTTTTTTCATCTTGGTGACTCCAACCAACTGACACATTTGCTTCACAGTTGGCCTCATTATGGTATGCGATACTTTCATCTTATGGACACTCACGCGTCTTCTTAGACTGGCTCAGCTGAAGAGTTCAAATAGACAGACGAAACACATCATAGCACGACACGGATACTATTGGCCTAAACACTCTTTGATCAAGTCAACTGCACCTGCGCGACAGAGCCTAGAAAGTCTGTCACACGCACATGTTCTAATGGACGTCCATATAAATCGGAGCGCACCTGCTGCGTGGAAAATGTATCGACTTGGTCGACGCTGGAAAACAGGTCTTGCAGTGTCGCTGTCGAGGTGCGAGTGACTTGCTCCATGAACTCCAGCACCGCTCGCGTGTAGCGGTCAATGAGTGGCAAACCAACATCGTAGTCCGTGTTGTACGAGTAAGAACTCTCATCTTTCACACTGCTGCCCACAGCTAGCACATTAGGACTGTACAGACGCGAAGCCATTGTGGATGCCTGGCATGTGTCGATCATAAAGAGTAGCTCATGGTAACGCCGCTTTTCCCACATTTGCTCAATGGCATCAGCCAAGTCATACGCACTCATCTCTTCTGAATCTTGGAACTTGAGAAACTCGTCGCCACCATGGCCTGTCATGTATAAAAATACGTTCGAGTGTTCATCTGAGTCGAGGCGTTTCGAACGCGGTGTATGTGCAGGGACGCGCCCTGTAAGTAGGCGTAATAGGTTCGTCACCGTCACTTCATAACCCCGGTAATCCACTTCAACATCGTCACCGTATAAGTCTAAGTGGCGGTCAGACGAGGCCCAGACTGAGCCAGGATACCGATTACGTGGATTGCAAGCGATGTCATCAGACAGCATCAGAATAATGTGGCTATCAGGCATGCCAAGTCGTTTCACCGTTCGATACATGCCGAGTGTATTGGCTAAATGCTGTGTGTGTAGGCGTAAGATTCACATTTCAAATACACGTACCCTGTAGTTAAACCAGAACTTGGACGTGCCCACGAGAACAGCCCAGTTGTTCGTATGTGTCGTGGCTCTTGCATTTCCTGACGCATTCATGCTAGTAATATTTGGCGCACTTGTGCTTTTGGACTGAAAAAAACGCGTCACTGCATCAAGCTGCTCGCCAGGCACGAACCACTCTGGCTTGGCAACAGGAAGTACACCCATGAGCACGGCCACAAGCGCCGTGGCCACGGCAACGGCGAGCGCTGCACGCTGATACATACTGGCACTGGCCATCTTTCGCAATTTTGAGTGAATATGCGCGTCACTTGCTCGAGCTTTAGCAGCAATGGAACAAGCGCGTGCCAAGACAAGCGACGCGCGTTGTTCTGGTGACGCGCGTTGTTGTGTTGTGACACTTCAAGAGATACGCAAATGTCCACATGCATTAAAAAGGTGGGTCTCCTCCATCTGAGAAATATTTTTTTTCTTGTTTGGCATAGGAAATTTCTGCGTGGCTCTGCCGAGAACGTTACATTGCTATGAAGTTACTTTTGGAAGCTGCTGTGCCCAATATGCGCGCCCAAAGGTCTGCGCAACGATAAATGGGAAAACAATGGTGGCGTCACAAAACACTTTGACGGTATCGCCGCCATTCTCCTTACTCTTAAGCTTGCCCCAGCTAACGGCTTCGTCAGGCCGAGCGCCGCTATCGGAGCCATCGAACTCCTGACCTGTGTTAATATAGACGCCATAGTCAGCACCATTCCGAAAGAGCATGGCATTTGCAATCTGGTGCTTGCAAACGCCGCCACCGAGGATAATGATACCGGCCTTCTTCGCCTTCACACTCATGTCATTGAGCCGGCGGATGTCACGCACGAGATCGATTGTGAGGCCTGGATTTTTGTATGAATGAAAGTAGATCATATCACCAAGTGAGCCATCGGTAAGTGCAGGACAGAATACAGGAATTTGATTCTTTGCTGCCCAGTAATATACACTGCGTTCATCATTGATCTCGTGACCCAAACGCTCAATGACGCGACTTGGCGTCCAAGCGAAGCGTTCTCCATTGGATTCGGGAGGTGCTGAGTCCTGCTCAGCACGCATTCTATCGAGAATCGGCATGACCCAGTCCTCAAACTTGCAATAGTTGTCATTGGGTACAATCAAATTGCCAATTCGGTTGAGGCCGCGTTTCCGGAGTGTCGCACCGTCCAAATGGAAACTGCCCAGATAAGTTGGTCCAAGGCACTTGATAATGTCCTCTTCGACACCGCCCGCGGTAGTCACGATGCCTGACACGAACTTGTTTTTGACAAGGAAATGGATTACTTCACGAAGCCCCGACGAAATAAGGTTGGAAGTATAACCGAGAAGAATCGTGCAGCGAACATTCGTTGGGTGCGCAGGATCGTCCTTGGGGAGTTGAGAATGTTCGTCTTCAGCTGGGTTGTACGAGGGGTCTTCGCTCAAACGCCATGTACGCTACTTGTGAGTAAGTGACAGTACGTACCATTCGCTCAATAATGCGAACAGCTTCGGCAACGGATGTGCCTTGAAAGCCAACCGTTGCCAAGCTGCCCATCAGTGCATTTAGATCGTTGGGATCTTGCTTTTCAAACTGCGGGCCAATGGCCTCTACTGCTTCTGAAGGCAGGGGCTCGGAGCGCATAAGCACTGCAGACTGTGCGCTGCTAGGCACTGCTCCTTCCTTTTCGTTCATGATACCACGCTCTCCGAGAGTGAAGGAAAAGGCGCTAGGCACTTGAGATAAAAAAGGATGCAAATTTTTACATAGATATATAGACTACATCTAGAGGTGCTTCCCCAGTACTAACTGGGCAAAGTGGAGCAGTATAACAGCACTATACGTCAAGGCCTAAAGGCGATCGCGAGCGACATGACAAAGGGCCAGTTAGGATCGGCAACAGTTAAGACGTCATCATGGACCACACCCAAATCAGTCAAGGAGCGATCCAAGTTGGGTCTTGTCGCCCTTTCGAGTGCATGGGGCACAGAGTAATACAAAGGGCCACGAGGACCTGAGATTGTTGGCCGTTTACATTGTCTAGGTCAGTAAATAGCAAAGACGCACATGTCAGGTAAAGTGCTAAGTAGATCAACCAGAGTAGCTAGGGTGTCCTGCGGTGTGAGTGTGAGCGATCTGATATCACCACCGCATACGGGGCAATCAGCGCGCCGTTCGTAGTCGAAAGTGAACGTATACACGCCTTCGTTGCCCGTGTACATCATGTAGTTGTTCAAATAAGGCGCAGTGGACGTGGCTATTTTGAAAGCCTCTTGCGTGCAAGCCGCAGCAATGATGGCATTGGTACTGGCAACGGCAGGAATGATGTTTTTGATCACTCCCTGTGTAAGTGACCAATTGACGCCTGTGATATGGAAACTCTCAGCTCGCCCAAGAGCTGTATCAAGAACCCATTGAACATGCTCAGGGTTGTCATTATCGAGTTTCTTGCCTGGATTCGCACGTGGCCACTCGAGCACACTTGCCCACTCAATGCAATGCTCCGGCAAACGTGGCGTATTAGCGATCGTGCATATAGGGAACGTCGTCCGCTTAGGAAGCATGTCAAGACTGCACTCATAGCAGCTTGTGATGGTCGGCAAAATGACACGCGCTTGGCCCTTCAGACCTTCGGAGCCACCGTCAATCAGCGGTTTTAACGAGGAAGGGTTTTTTTCGTCCACCATATGGACGAGAGTAGCGTTGATCCACCTACGAGCCTCGACCGAGTCGAGACCGCAAATAACCATGTGAAACTGCATATAGAATGTGACATCCATATCCTGGATGCGGCAGACATGAGGGGTGATTTTGACTCCAGGCACTCGTGATTCAACAAAAGCAGCAGCTGTGGTTGCTTTTGGCTGTCCGATGTCCTTTTCGCGGAAGAGGAATTGTCGGTTGAGATTCGACACATCAATGGTATCCATGTCGATGACGTGAACATGTTGGAAGCCTGAAAGCGCGAGATTTGAAAGAATTTCGCAGCCAAGACCACCAGCACCAATGACAAGGATGCGGCATTCTTCACGGAGAAAAGATCTTGCCCTGTTGCGTGGCATATACCGTTAGCAACGACCGAATGAATGGACGACGGAGGAGACGTACTTTAGAGGATCCCATGCGTCGCTACATTTGAGTGGCGTTCGTTCCAACAGCGAATCGACGGAGCGATGTACATACGCACTCATACAATATATAGGTATGTTGTCCTGAAGATGCTCAACACAATCGACTTGATCAGCCCGACGGCACACTCTCCAAAGAGGACGAACTGGACGATGAATGGAAGCACGTCAAGTGGAGGCGGAAGAAGAGAAGCCAAGATGTTAACGAGAACAATAACATTAGGTTTGCTAGTACACTGGACAATCATATTCGAGAAAGAGGGTGTACGTAAACAAGTCGGTACAAATGGATACTATCAAAGCTCACATATCGGGAGAAAGGGAGAGGCGCGGGGGCAAAAGAGACAAGTAGTACATATAGCCGAGGGTTGCTTGGAGTAACAAGGACATGTGCTGGTCGAAGATGACATGGTTCTAGTCATCAGCGAGTCTCGTTGGAAGGAATGGGCGGCACGGGCGGAGGAGGCGATGTGTGCGCAGCATGGAAACGAGAAGACTTGTGCGAAGAAGAAGACTTTGGAGAACGAGTGAATCGCTTCCAGAATGAGCGATGTGTGTCTTCCTCTTCACCCATGGACGTGTCCGCATTCTGATCTGACTGCTTGGCCTTACGAGAGGGCGTGCCGTCCGAATCTTCCGTGCGATGAGTCATCTTGCGGAACAGGCCACGCAGGGACTGCGACTGCGACGTACGTCGACGCACGCCGTCCTGCTCTTCGTCAAGCGACTTGTCGCTGCTAGGCATGACCACAGAGTCGTCCTGACCAGACGAATCAGCATGGGCGGCGGGCATGGACACAGGCGCCGGCGCAGGCATAGGCACAGGTGCAGGCGCAAATACAGGGGCAGGTGCAAGCACATGTGGGGCGGCGGGCGCAGACCCTGGGTCAGCGACGGGCTGAACGGCAGGCGCACGCGGGAATCCCGCGAGTACCTTAGGCCCAGAGGTGGGTGAGAAGTACAACGGCTCTTGTGTATAGACCATCGGTGCTGTAGGGGGCAATGGCACGTGGGATGGCGAGTTGGGTTGTGTTAGCATGACAGGGCGATTGGGGGGAGCGGCGGCACGTAACGCCTCTGCCGCACGCGTTGGCGATGTAGTACGAGGCGGTGGCGTGGCGCGTGTTGTTGGCGACGCAGTCCGGGCCAAAGGAGAAGCAACGACATGCTCGGGAGAAGCGGCTCTTGTTGACGGCGAAGCAGCACGTGAGGGCGACTTGGCATGGGTTGGCGACCTAGCGCGAGTGGGTGTGGCAGATCGGGAGGGCGTCGGTCCAGTCACAGCAGGTTTGGGCGTCACGGGCCTAGGCTCACTTCGAGAGCGAGTGCGGCGTCCTGATGCGGGCGCCTCGGCGGGGAGGGAGGCGCCAGGCATGTGTGGTGAACGGGATGAATGTGCTTTGGACCGAGGTGGCGACGTCGCTGTAGAAGGCGTCTTTGGGCGTGAGGACGTTGCACGGCGCGCAGGTGTGGTGGGTGTCGTGGGATCAGCAGCCGAGCCCGTGGTGACTCCGGCAGCATGAGCGACGGATCGCTTCTTGGGCGAGCGAGTGGATGTCGAGCGATGGGAGCTCCGGCTCGCTGGAGCTCGAGACGACGTCAGTTCCTTTTCTGGCGATGCATGACTAGGCCTGCTTCCTGTGCGTGTGCGTCGGACCCCATCAGTTGATTTGCGGACGCGAACGGAGCGCTCACTGCGTGCATCGCTTGAAGCAGCGAGACTGCGTGTGTCGCTCCGGTCAGCAGCGCGAGACGTGCCGCGCGACGACTTTTGGTCCGACTTGGACGCGACACAGACGCGGGCGCGGGTGCCGAGGGCGGGACAGCAACGCCAGAAGCAACTGCTGGCGGTGCCAACGGGCCGCTAGTCTTGGCTCGTGGCGATGTAGGCGCACTGCTGCTCGTTGTGCACGACGCGAGTGGCTCGTCGTCGTCGATGCCTAGGATGCGGCGCTGCTGCTGCACAAACATGAAGACCGAGCGGGCCTTCGCGGATGGCGACAGCCGTGCGAGTGCCGTATGCTCGCGGAGATTCGCCTGCGAAAGGGTTATGCCATGAGCAATGTTCTGCACTTTGATAGCCGTCAATGACAAGAAAGCAGGCATCTTGGAGATGTCGCCTGCATGCTTGACACGGATCTGTTGTTCCGCTTCGATAGCTTCGTGGAAGTCGGCATCACTGGCCCGTTCCCACACATCAGGCCTGTTGACCGTCACATCGGCCATATCTTCGTCACGCATCATGCACTCAGCACAAAAGCCGCTGCCTGGCTGCCTAGGATCCACACCTGAGGGCAGAACGAGCGCGCGGTTCTGCAGCTCAAATGGAGCGACCATACTGTGCTGTGGGAGAAGACCTGGGTATTGGCTCGGTGAACTTGGCCGCTTCGGCCCTGGAGGGTGCACAGGTCCAGACGGTGGAACTTGGCCCTCTGATGGCGAGTGATAGTGCCGAGTCGCTGGTAATGGTGCAGGAGCGGGGGCAGGGGCTGGTGACTGTGTTTGTGACAGAGGCGGCGTACTTGACTCGGCGCCACCAGGGACCAAAATCAATGGATGCTGTGCCGTGACGCCTGGACGCATCGGAGATCCATTCGTGATACGAGACGAGCCTGGCATCCTCGACGGGGACGCGGGGACTCCTGCCTGGTCGCTGGACATTGGCAAAGACGCATTTCGCTTGCTGCTGCTGGGCGACAAGGACGTCTTGCGAGTGATTGTCGGCTTGGAACGCAGTGGCGACTCGGGCATCTTGAGAGGCGGCGTCTCAATTACCACGTCTGGCGACTCACGTGCCTTCATGTTGGATGATGGCGTGCCGAGCATGGCATGAGGAGATCCGACTGGCTTCGTGGGGGGGTCAATGACATGCACAGAACGTGGTTCCGTCCATGTGCGCTTGGACGTGCTAGGTGTAGATGTCCAGGCTGGGGCTGAAGCAGGACTCGCCATGGGGCCAAGACTCGTGCTTGGTGCACGGCTTGGACTTGGTCCAAAGCTATATGTGGACGCACCTCCATGGCCATAGACAACTTTGAGGGAGGGAGAAGCACCTTGCACAGAACTGTAATCTTGTGTTCGTACGGGAGCAGCCGTGGGCGACTCAGGGAGCCATGATGTGAAGGGAGGTGGAGACGTCGGCGACATGGCGAGTGTGTGGTGTGCATTGGTGGGCGTGCCCAACATGCCAAGCAATGGAGAGCCAGCGATTTGCGTGATAGGTGGACTCAGCTGGCCATGTGAAAGCGAGGTCCACGGCATCGGCGTAGGCGATGTCGGGATAGGTATAGAGAGCTCCGGAGATTTGCCCTTCGCGGTGGGCCGCGATATGGGAATAGGGTCACTGGTCGCAAAGCCGCTAGGTGACTTGGCCTGATGAGACTGTGATGGAGGCAGAGGCTGCGGTGGAGAAGGTTGTGGCATCTGAGAAGACGATCGCTCTGGTGACGAAGACTGCCACGGAGGGGATGCCGGTTGAGATGCTGGTTGTGGCTGGTGTTGGTGTTGGTGCTGCGACCGCGACTGCGATTGCAGCTGCGATGGCCCAGCTCGTTCGTAAGGCTGGTGGTCCGCATGCAACTGTGTCTGCGGCATAGAGGGCGATTGACCAGGCATGGAAAACTCCGGCAATCTCGGTTCGAGGTCGCCGCCGCTATCGATCCTTGGCGATGGCTCTGGAGTGACATCATCCTGCATCGAGTCATCCAGCATGGCCCCCACCCAGGCCGGAGACACAGCTTCACTGTCATTCGGCGCTGGAGCTTTGAGCTCATTGTCTGACGACACGTCGTCCCCTTCATTCAACGGCAGTTGCCCCGGCATGTTCATGTACATGTGGTCGTCCCAAAGGTCATCATCTTCCTGCGTACTTTGTTGCGCAGGAGGCTCATTTGTGTGCGTGACACTTCGTGACGCCGGGTTTTCCTGTGCAGGGCTTTGAATTGCGGTGACCGCCGACATCTGCGCCTCTGACATGGGCGTCTGAGTCATCATCGCCGCACTGAAGCGCTTCTCTTGCACGGGTGTCTGCACCCGCATCTCCCGCGTCGGTGGCGGATCCGGCATGGACGTTGCTGAAGCACCCGGGCCAGAGCCACTAGTTGCGTTCGCAGGCACTTCCGTGCCCGTCATAGTGCCTGCACTGTTTCGCGTGTACGACGACGATGATTCAGTGTCAGGAGTGTGACCGTGATCGCGAAGTGAGCGCAATTGTCGAAATGGATTCGATGTAGGTCGCTCTTGCTTCTTCGGCGATGGAGACACCTGCTCAGGGGACGGCTCACGTATGGATGGCACGCGCTCCGTTGGCCGCAGCACAGACCGAGGTCCTTCCTTTTCAGCCGGCCGCTCGGGCTCCTGTCGCTCCTTTGCTGTTGACGCAGCGCTTGGCGGTTCGACTCGTGTACGTTCAGCGGTGCGTCTAGCACCGTGGCTCTTCGCCAATTGCATTCGTTCAAATGCCTCTGTTGGTGGTTCCATGGCCTGCGTACGCGGAGCCTCGTGGCTAGCTGAGCCTTCTTGATCGTGTGATTCACGAGACGGCTCACGAGCGAATTCGCCCGTACGCTCGAATGCATACGTATCGTCTTGCGTGAGCTCCGACTCGCTTTCGTCGTCTGGTTCGTTGTCCAAGTCCTGGTCTGAGCCTTCGTCAAGACCTTGTTCGACTTCGTCCTCCATCTCATCGTCCAAGTCCTCTTCAAGCTCACCCTCTTCGATCTCATCGTCTTGTGCCTCTCGATCGAGCTCGTCTTCAGGCAAATCTTCGTCCACTTCTCGATCCACGTCTTCGTCCGCATCATCAACTGTATCTTCGTGCGAACCCTTAGCATCCGATTCGTTGCGCTCATGGTCTTCATATGCGTACACACGCGATGACGGCTCTCGAGGCGCGGGGGCCTCCGGCCTGTCGGAAGGCCGTGACGCCTGTCCAGGCGTGGACTGACGCTCCACCCTCGAGCTCGGCACTCCATACGATGGCTCGTGAACAAACGTGCGCCGAGCTTTGTCAGCTGAAGAGTCTGCAAGCGAAGAAGTCGTTGTCGAGGGTATTTGAGTGCTCTGGGCTTTGGGGGTGACACGCCCATGGTGTGATACGGACGATGTAGGCATGTCGGGTGAGCGCTTGGTTATGCTTTGTGCCGCGGAGGCGGGTTCAGCGTTAAGAGCACGTCGTGGTGATGCCATATGTGTGGTAGGATGATTTGATGTCGACCTAGTGGGCGTCTTGGATCCATGCTCTCGTCTGTCATGGGGATAGTGAGATGCCGGCCTTGTCGATGTTGGCGGCGGCATCTCTGTTCGCGCCGCTGTCGCGGTTCGGGACGAGCTCGACGATAGACGATGCCTCGTCTGTGGCGATGACATATCATGTCCATCGTCCTTTGACCTTGGCGGTGTGCCAGACACATCCGCAGTCCTTGGGAATGACGTACGTCTCGGTGGTGGAGTTGCAGAGCCTTGATACTTCCTTCGCGCGTCTACAGGCTCAGACACCTGGTCCTGTGACATTGTCGACGTGTCTGCGGCTGGCCCCTGTGCCTGTGTTGGCGAATGCGATTGTAGTGTCCTAGACGGAGTCGCAGAAAACTGATCCTTCGTCGTCCGCGGTGACGTCTCTGATGCATGACGTACGGTCGGTCTCGGAGGTGTGGCCGACGCTGGATGTGTCATAGATGCATGTGTCGGCCTAGGTGGGGTCGCTAGCACATCGTTTGTCGAGGTATGAGACGGCATCTTTGGCGCATGTTGGGGGATTGTGCGATCTGACATTGTTCGCGCGATGAGATGCCCAGGCCCGGCATCCGTGGCAGGGTGAGACGGCACCTGTGGTGCAGTTACCGTTGTCGGTGACGATCTTCGCGGTGGAGTTTGCAAACCATGCCTCGCGAGCACAGGCGTGTGTCCCTGAGGCTGCTGCGTCTGTGACAAAGGGGGCGTCGGTATCGACGAACGCTCAGGCTGTGAAGATGGGGAATCAACTAACCACATGGAATCTTTGGATGGCAGAGTTGGCGCTTCTGACTCTGTTGTAGGCGACGTCACTGATGCCTGGTCATCCAAGTCGTCCATATTCGCGCCTTTGTCTAAGCCACTCACTCGGTCTTGCGACAAACTGGTTTCATACGCATGCGCAGCGGGCCCTGTCGAACGTCCGTACATTTCGTCCACAACTCTGTTCCAACCAGGTGGCGACGTCGGTGGGTGGTGTGAAGGTATCTCGCGAGCAGATGCGTTGATGCTGCTGGCAAGCTTCACTCTCTCCATCAGTGACAAGTATGAACCTGATCGAGGCACCTGCTCATAGACGATGGGCGATGGCGGCGATGCCACAGCAGGCGCCGCTCCTCTCGAAGAGGCCATGGGAAACGAGGCCGCCGTTGACGGTGAAGAGACATGCGAAGCCACAGCAGGCGAGGTCATGGCGGTTGACGTGCCGGGCAACGTCGAGTCTGAGAACTTGCGCAGCCCACCTGCAGGTGCGGCTGCCATAGAAACGGAGGAGTTGCGCGGGGCAGGGTCAGATGGCATCGACGACAGTGTCGAGGGTCCAGGGGACATGGTCGTGGCCGCGTAAACCGATGAGGGACCATGTCCGAATCCAGGCGCAGATGGCGCAGGAGACGTTGTTGCATTAGGGGCTGGATTCATACGCGCATGTGAGGCTGGCGGCTCCGAGGATGCGACAGCGGCAGGCTGACTGCGTCCTCGGCGCGACGATGCTGAGGTTGTGGAAGAGGAGTCACTTGGACCCTGTGAGGTATTTGCAGGCGCTGATGTGGGTGCACCTTGGGATCTTGGGGCCAGCGAGCCAGGGCCAGGGGTTTGTGATGAAGATGTAGCAGTGGATTTCGGCGTGGCGTGGTGGAATGGGGAAGTGGGTGGCATAGGCGGGGGCGATGATGAAGCAGCTAGAGCTGATGAAGACATCTTATAGGAAGCGGCCTGCTGAGACGACTTGGCTCCAGGCGTCGATGGTGGCATATGTGCTGATGGCGGGCTGAACGCGTGGGATGAACGCCAATCTCGTGGTGTTGCATCCGGGAGTCCTGACGAGCGATTGATCATGGGAGAATTCTCCGACCATCGACTTGAGTCCCGGGACACGGGAAAAGATGAAGCAGGTGATGCGGGTGAGCGGATTATAGTACTGCGTGTTGCACTGGACGAAGGTGATAGGGGAACGGATTCGATCGAGTTGCGCGAGACCAGTCGGATGGACGACTTGTTAGGCTCCTTCGGTGCAGGGAGAGTCTTCAAAGGTGCCTCAAACGCAGACTCGATCGACTCATCATCCTGGGACGCTGGTGTGGATGGCTCATCAGGCTCGCGACGATTCGCTGTTGAAGAAGGCGCACGCGACGGACGCTTCATCTCGCCAAACAAGTCCAACGAACCCGGCTCAAACGCATCCAACGAGTCAAATGTCGTGGACCAATCATCCATCGTAGGTGTTGGGGGCTCTGACTCACGTTCAGGCGGTACGTACACATTGGGTTTTGGGCGTGGTGGCGGAATCGATGGAATCTTGTCGATATCAGGCTTAGATGACGTCTTCCGCACGATCGTCACCGTCGACACCGTGCGGCGCAGCGCCGGAGGCTCGTGGTCCATAAAGTCGTAACTGTCAGGTGTATGGTTCAAGCTGGAGTGGGAATGAGAGCGCGAGTGCGAGTGCGAGTGTGTGTAAGAAGGTGTATTTGACGGGCGCATCCGCCGAACCGACGAGTGACTCGCGCGCGATGGCCGTTCATACGGCGGCGGCAGCTCATCGTCCACAAACTCAGGCGTACGACGTGTAGGCGTTGTTGAGCGCGCCACTCGCTCCTTCGCCATAGCAACATGCAAGGCAGCATCACGAGGAAGCGGCGGCATGCCGGTGCGTGATTGTGAGCGAGGAGAAGACTGTGGCGGTGGTGAGACTGGCGGAAGTCGCCGAATATTATCGAACATGGGTGGGGTAGGATTCGGCAACCGGTGGATCTCAGATACGCTCGGCGGCGATCGTCGAGGAACCAGGCGCACGCTATCATCATCCAACATACTTGACGTAACGGACTCATCTTCATCGAGATCTTCATCTAAACTACCGGGGTCATTTTCTTCCGAGTCAAGATGCATCGACGATGTCGGCGGGCTTTCTTGATACATCCGGCTCTGTGCCTCGCGCACATTTTGTAGTGCGTTTGGCGGCAACGGTGGATCCACATTCATAGGAGGAGAGAGCCACATGGTGCGCTCGAGGCGCTCCGCACGTTCCAGGCGTTCGGGTCGTTCCAGACGCTCCGAACGATCCGAACGCTCCAGACGCTCTAAACGTTCTAGACGCTCAAGACGTTCCAAACGCTCTAAACGCTCGAGACGCTCAACACGCTCGGGGCGCTCCGGACGCTCTATATAATCCCAATCACGCGTGTTGGTGGGGGAAGTTCCGTGGTACCGGATCTTTGATGAGCCGGCACTCCGTGAAGGGGCATCCATACGTCGGACACGATACTAGCAGCAGCGCACGCAAGTTTATGTGTGCACGTATACGATGGCGATCCGCTGACGAAAATTGGCCCAGTCCTGTTGTGTGTACACTTACCTCGACGCCTACTTACACGCACGTGATCACACGCGTCGCGTTGTGCGCGCGTGGCGCTTGCTAGCCCATCAGGCGCTAGCGCATGCTGCCCCCTCTCCCAACGAAGCTGCCTATTAGTCATGTTTATATGAAATGTTTGCTGTTCGTTCGTGTACCAAGAGCATCTTTCGATTCAAGTAGGCAGCTATGTGGGGCGGTTAGCTGCCAAGCAACACAGACAAGAGTTGTTAACTGCATTCTGTCGTACATAATAACAATATGACTTCGATAGACCACGCTGCCAAAGCAACAGCGCAGATAGACACGTCATACAACTTTAGGATCCACCAAACTGTCCCGGTGTTGTATGAGCTAGCACGCAATGGAAGGGTCTGCATCCATGCGAGTCAATGCTCATGCTATCAGCCCTTGACGCTTCACACTGAGGCTGATCCAACTCTTGGTTCGGAGACTCAATGATGCTGCTATTCACATACCCAAGCCGCTACGGGACATTTTTACAGTGGCGAGCACAGGCTCCGTGCGCCCACCATTCTGCCCAATACCCTGTCCTGACAGCCAACCCATAGAGCGCAAGAGCCGGTGGCCGATATTATCCTCACTAATTTGTTTCGCTCCTTTTCCGACATGTGTGCCCTCTTTGTGCTTTTGGCCCATCATCATCATTCTTACGCCTCCACCAGAACTAAGGCCAGGGTGTGCATCTAATTCTCGTTCACCAATACGGAATGGTGTACGAGAAAGCCGTGCAATGCGTGAATAATCCATGTTTGTTCCTGAGCGCGATGTTTTCAATAGTATTGGGAAGCGTTTGTCTCCTTTTCCTTGGCTCTTGGATTTCAGCGAATATGCACCTGCCATATTGTGCACCACAGCGCGTTCGCGCTTGCCCATGGGCGGAAGCGTCAGCGTTGTATGTCCATCATCAGCCATGAACCTGTCGATGTAACCACGAATCTGAGCAAATGTCGTTGGCTTCTCAAACATGACATGTCCTTCATCATGTTCATGGACTGAGTTTTTGAGCTGACTGCGTCGCGCACGATTCTCCTCCCGACGCTGAGCCTTACTTTTTTTCCTGGTATCAACATGCCCATGTGTATTGGGATATGGATCGTAAGTTGCAGCCTGGCGTGCTTCGGCGCGTTTCTTTTTTTTGGACGCTTTGCTTGCACGATCTTTCTCCCACTGCTGTTGAAGCTCGTCGGCCCATAAAGTATCCTCAAATACGGGCTTCTTTTTCGATTCTGCGTTAGTACATCAAAGCGAACGTACTTTTCTTAGGCACTTGACCAATAGTGGATGAAAAACCCACGTCCTCGTCAGGGAACGAGCCTCGAAGAACTTGAAGAAAGTTTTCATCCTCATCGGACTGTTTACTATCCCGAGGAATATCTTTGCCCAATCCACTAAGCAATAAAGCATGCAATTCTTCTTCAAAGATCTCTTCAGAGGCATCATCTTCCTCGAATTCCTCAGCTTCTTCTACGCCATCCACATTTTCTTCCAGTTCGTTATCAGCCATACTGTCGTCTAATCCGTGCTCCAGATCTTGCTCCGTCTCATCCTCAACATTTTCAACATCTTCATCGTCGTCATCTTCATTTTCATCATCACTATCACTTTGCCATGCATCTCTTTCTCGTTCATGTGCATCAATAGCAATGTCCTCTAATGTCGTGTGATCGCCAAATGGATCTGAAATGCCCGCCATCGTAGGTAGGGGAACAAGCTCTGGTCCTGAAAGCATAGCATTTTCCATCCAATCTGCCAGGATCTCATCTTGCTCAGATATGGGCTTGCGGTCAGAGCTACTCTCAAGAATCTGGTCTGCGAGCTTAAATGACAGAAATTCTTCATCATCATTGCTTGTTTGCTTATCCGTGTGAATGGGCTCTTGTTTCGATAGGATTTCTTCCTTTTCATCACGTATGTTGTCGTGTGGTGCTTGAGGATTTTGTGTTCGCCTTTCATTTTGGGATGCCAGAGACTGGGCCTTCGATTGTGATTGAGATCTATCAGACTTTGGAGACCCTGTTTGCGTCTCCATATTTTCGTTTGAGATTAGAGAATCAAAGTTGTTAGGTTCGAGTAATGAAGTCTTGTCGTAGATTCCTGACGCTTTGACGAAAAGGATAGGACGGAGGAGAGGGTTGGCATGTTTCATCATTGCATGCACGTTGTACTCTCTCTTCTGAACGATTTGTTGTAAGTCATTTACAACTAGCCCTTCCAGTTTACGTCGGTGCGGAATGCTCCCTTTATTTCTCTTATGCGGCTCGATAACAATATCGTCGTCTTCCTCTTCGTCTTCTTCCTCATCGTTATTGTCATCATCGTGTTCTGGAACGCTCTTCACCTTCTTGTTCATTCTTTCGCTCTTTATACGCCCAGAATTCGTATTCAGCTTTCCATCGTCTTGTTCATATGAAGCGAAGAGTGTTGCATTTGCTTCTTCCGGTAAGGGAGGCTTGCTCTGCGGCGCACTATAATTAAAGGGAACATGGTTATGTGACGTCACAGCACGGTTTGCCCCACGCTTGCCACCCCTTGAAGCGATGCTTCTTCCAGAGACGCGGTGTTTTGAGCTCGGAGGCTGTTTCGGCTTATCCATTTCTTGGTCTATCTCGAAGAAGGCGGCTGTATCTTTGCCACCAAATATACTCGCCAAGTCAAAGGGTAAACTTGCGCCTCTGCGACGCGAGGTTTTTGAGTCTAGATGTCTATTCCCGAGACCACCACGGCCGCGACTACCACCGCGACCGCGACCGCGACCATGACCACGGCCACGGCCACGCTGGTGAGGATTCGAGCTTTTGCCCATTAAGTACTTGCAGTTTCAAGGGGACGATTTGTGGCAAGACACGCATCAAATTTTGACTTAAGCTTACTCCACATTTTAGCAGTGCCTTTCTGTCCCATGACTGACTCAGAGCAAGATTTGGATGCATTGAGGAAGCTAGCGGCGCTAGATGACGACTTGAACTCGGAGGATCTAGACAATTTAGAAGAGGAAGCAGAGAATGAGCTTATGGAAGAGATGAAGCACGATGAGTCAAATGAAATTAGCGACTCAGGCGCTCTAGAGCAGCCGGAAGACAGTGCAGATGAATCGGCGTCGTCTGACTACGTGTTTGGTCCGCTTGAGCCTGAAAACGTGGCGCTCATTCTATCGGATCTTCGTACGCATGGCATTAGTGAATGCGTGCGGCGGCACGTTTTACCGAATCCAAAATGCATTATTGACATACTACTGTCTTTGGGCGTAATGCTTCCTCGCTCTATGTTGCAAGAGGCGGAGGATGAACCATCTTTGCTATTACCTATCTTGAAGATGGTATTTATTCGCATTCTTCGTCAGCGACAAAAACTCGTCGAGTACAATACAATTGAAGATGCTGTCGACCTCATTAAACGATGCGAACGGATTGTGGTGTTATGCGGTGCAGGAATTTCAGTGTCCTGCGGCATACCAGATTTCCGATCCAAGGATGGCATCTATGCAATTCTTGCACGGGAGAACAGATACGAGCTGGATGATCCTTCCGATATGTTTGACAAAGAAACATTTTTGCGTGATCCCAACATGTTTTATTCGTTTGCTCATTCTATCTATCCAGCAAACTTCGAGCCATCTCCGTCGCATCGTTTTGTGCGGGAAATCGAGAAACGCAACAAGTTGTTACGTATGTACTCGCAAAATATTGATACACTGGAGCAAAAAGCTGGTATTGAGCGGGTTATTCAGTGCCACGGATCCTTCGCTTCAGCCACGTGTACCGATCCTCGATGTGGCTATCGAATGGACGGAAAAGAGATTCGCGATGACATCTTGGCAAAACGAGTTCCAGTCTGTCCCAAGTGTGAGGAGCGCCGTGAAATGAGATTAAGCACTACAAAGCGACAAAAGTTGGCGGTTCGTGACGACGAGAGTGAAGACGACGGTTTTAGCACGTCGTTTGGTATCATGAAACCGGATATTACATTCTTCGGAGAAAAGCTTCCAGACGCCTTCGAAGATTGTGTTTTGGCAGATCGTGGGAAAGTGGATTTGATCTTGGTTATGGGCACATCATTGAAAGTGGCGCCTGTCGCTGATCTCTTGACGCATTTTCCACCCAATGTTCCGACCATTCTGATCAACCGAACTCCTGTATCCCACATAGCTATGGACATCGTGCTACTCGGAGACTCGGATCCAATTGTGTCTTATCTATGCAAACGACTGGGATGGCCTTGTGATGAATCTATTGTACCAGAGATACCTACTCGCGTGGGCAATACCCATGTGTGGTTGTTCCCTGGTGCTGAGGATGGTTCGTATGTGGAAAACTTGACGCAGGAGCGAACTGCGCCTGACTTGAATTAGTCCACAAGTTGGAACGAGATTGTACAGAACACAAGTTCCTCATTGGTCTTGGAACGGAGAGTATAGCGAATAGGCATTTGTTGGAAGAATGGATGAACATTGATGTGAACGGGTCCGATGTTGAGGTCAAATGTATTGAAGTCAAAAAGGTTGGTAAAGAACGACGCTCCATACACAATATCTGGATGATACACAAAGGACTTGCGGTGTGCTTCATCACTGAAGTATTTACGGCGCTTTGGCACAGAAACACTTTCCGTCTTGAAGATGAATGCATTGTCCTCTACCATGTCAGAGCTTGGGTCAGAAAAGCGCCAGGGTCCCAGTTTCTCATTGAGCGACGAATTCTGATGCAGTGAGCTCGCGGGACTTGGCGTCATATACCTGCGCTCCAGCATCTGCGCAGTTCCTGGCCTCATCGGAATTGGCGATTGCTGGACGGGCGACTGGGTCATGCCAGGTGAGCCAAATGTGTCGGTGCTTGAAAGTGAAAGGTTCGACGACAAGAAGACAGGCAAATCAGGTGTATCTGGTCGATCCAAGTGTAAACGGGTCAAAACCACATTGGGCTTTTTGCTGGATCCAAGCGCGGTCATCGTGTGTGTGTCAATGCCTTGCTGGAGTCGACGCGGCATTGGGTTTGCCATGATTGGAATAGGTCGTTGCAGTGACGGAGCTGGAGCCAGCGACGGAACTGGGGCTACCACTGGAGTGGGCACAGCCATGGCTGCCGCGGGGGCAATTGGTATCGTCGTATTCGATCGTTGTACACGGATGTCGGCTGAACCCGGTCGAGATGGCGGATGCTGACGAATGTATGCCTGAACAGCAGGGTCGTCGCTCAGGCCAAGAAAGCGCCAGTACGAATTTGTAACCCTTTCATCCTTGTGCGACCCAAGAATCGACGGAAACCAACGGCTTGATGACTTTTTCTCTGCATCATGCGAATGTGAATAGTCAATACGTTCAACAGGAACTATATCTCCATCGTTACCATGGTCGGCCGCATAGCTCGGGATGTCACCATGGTCGTTGGACACAACGACGGCATCGCCGAGCCTATCGGGCGATGGCCATGCACAAAATGTGTTCATACACGCTGCATAGGGCGACATAATATAAGGCCGACCCGAGGGCGGATGTTCCTCGTAGAAAGTGCACGGATCGATCATCCTGGCCACACGCATACCTGCATTAAATGGTGCGCGAGGAAATGGTACGAACATGTCAAAGTCTGACCCAAACAAGATATCATCTCCGGTCCAATACTTCTTAAAACGGCCTTCAATTTGGATGCAAAATCGACGTGTGCGATCCTGAAAGTATTCACGGCCAGGTTCCCCCACTCTAGCCCCTGGTGCATCGAGGACACGGACCAACACACGGCCGCAGAAATGCTCCGTATCGATTTCGTGTGGATGCTTAGTATCGTTGAGCCTGCATGGCTCCATGTTGAACCGATCAGGCCCAACCTTCACTTCAAGCCGGGGCATGGTTCGAGGTGGCGGACGAGCTGCGAAATTTCCTCAACTGGGGCTGTAATTGTTGTTGCATGTCGGCCGCCGCGTTGTCATCGGTAGTGCGTCATGCAAGATTACGTGGACAGTACATAGCCCGGATACGCGTCGAGAATTGAGAAAAATATATGCGGCAGGCAGGCAGTAAGACCGCCATTCCAAGGGCGTTCTAAGTGGCGCAAGTCATTGAGAAACACGTGGAGGGGGCTCAATCATGATGCGCGTGTCGGACCCGCACAAAGCGTCGGGTCGATGGCATGAATAAGTTCACGCCTGTTGATTGGTCGCGTTAGCTAGCTCAATGTCGTGGACGAATATGAGATCGTGCTAGAACGATCCAAGATGGACGCTACTGGTGTGTTGCAGCAGCAGCACGATGACTAGCATTGTACTGTGACTCCACTAGCTTTTACCAGGTGGGTCGTCTTGCATCTGGTGCGTCTGTGCTTGTCGTGTCCCAAGCATCATCTTCTAGCTCTTCCTCAACGACGTCGTGGGGCATGTCCATGTACTCGAGTTCGTCAGCCACATCTTGGACATCAGACTGCTGCATCACAATTGCCCATACGCTAGCCTTGAAAAGAGTAAGGACAAGGCCCATTTTCCGTTCAATAGCACGTAATTCGTTCAAAACGTTGGTATGTAGTGAACTAGAGGACAGTTGGGTGCTAAGCACAGCAACCTGGAGAGACAAGTCAGCGTTATGAGAGACATACCCTTCGCACTGTGGCTGCAAGACGCGCATATTCACCCAGTACCAATTGTTCGTTGGCTGTCAAGCCTCTATGGCCTTCGTAGGGGTTCTGAAACGCTGGTCGTTCATGCGTCTTGGGGTCGTCCTGGTGTGCTGAACGAAGAGGTGTCTGCATGACTTAGTAGATACCAACTTGCAATGCGTCCAACAATATGGGCACAGACACTGGCAGATTGCCAAGCGTATACACCTGCAGCCAATTTTGATGAGCGAAATGAAACGCTGCGGGCTTGCTCCCAATTTAGTGGATGAGCGCGTTCAAGACGATGTAAATGTGGATACAGTGTAAGTGGGCAACGACACTATACATAATCGGCCGAAAATACAACTAACTATCGTTTCGATGGACGTGAGGACTTATTGCCGCCACCACTGGATGAACCTGATGCCGACTTGCGATGTCCACTAGAGAACGAGCGAGAGCTACCCTCAAAACCTGGGCGTGCTCTGCTAGGTGAACGTACAGACTTGTTAGACTTGCCACTCGTCTTTTTAGCTTCGCGACGAGAGGAGAGATTCTCCATTCTTCGCTTTTGTTTCGCTGCTTGCGCTTCTTGCTCTGCTTTGCGCCTCTCATTCCTTCAGGGTTAGCCAAGATCCTCGAGGAAACAAAAGAAAAAAAAATAAATACATACCAAGACTTGGCACTCTTTTCTTTGGATCGTTCTCGACGCTTCAGTGTTTGTTTCAAAACATGGACATTGTCGCGAATGCGAACGCCTTCTGAGGCTGCCATCGCCTTGCCCCAGCGCTCTGCTTCTTTAGCTGCTTCACGCGCCTGCGAAGCATCTTGGCCACGCTCAATTTGTTTTTGGATCTTGGCTTCTTCTTTCCGTTTGCGTGCTTTCCAGAGCTGCAAGCGCAGCTTTAGGATCACTTGGTAGAGCATATTTGTTTTTCCGGGCTGTGTCAGGCGCATTCCTTGTTTCAAAAGAGACCTGGCTAAATGATAGTTTGCCATCTAGTGGCATTCCAGCATAGTCTGTCGCAGGTGAAGACGTAGATGGATCCTCAACGAGCAGGCCAGCTGAGCGAGAAGACCCTCCAGATGTGGCAGATGACTTAGCATCATTTGATGTTTTCGCATTGGCACTCGCATTCGCCTTGGCCTGCCGACGAGCCTCTTTGCGTTCTCGTCGCCGGTTGTCTCGCATTTCGCCACGCTGGCGTCGCCGTGCTTCGAGCAGTTCCTGTTTCGTACTGGGTTCCTCTGTACCGTCGGTCTTTTGCGATTGTCGCTTGTGGTGCAACATTTGGATTTTGTTGTGCAGCCGCTCGCGGAGCTGGGCAATGCTTGCGCGGCGCGTGGAAGAAAGCTGCGGTGAGTGACTCGATGCGGCTTGTATTTGGTCGTTTGAAGGCTGAACAGATTCTTTGACACCATCCTCCTCGAAGTTGCTCTCGTCGTCATCCGCATCAGCATCATTGCTACCATCCTCATAAGTGTCTTCATCATCGACAGCATCTTCATCTTCAGCTTCATTCTCATGTTCTTGATCGTCGCCACCGTCGTCGTCAAAGTCTACGTCAATGCTGTCTTGTCGCTCGCTTTGCAAGTCCGACACAGTCTTGACATTTTCCGGATCGAGCTGCGTAAGTACATGAATCGACGCACCTTCGCACGCTTAGCCGCTTTGGAAGAAAGTTTGCGCTCCTCCGCATCTTTCTGCTTTTGACTCTTTGTGCGTTTATTTTTTTGGTACTTCGATTCCACCTCAGACTCTTCGACAGGCACGTAAAATTTTGCCGGAATGAGGCGTAGTAGCGTTTGAAAGGCCTCGTCGTGGATGGAGAGGGAAGTCTGGTGTGAGTTTGCTCTATTTTTTCAAGCTTATGCAGCACAGTGCACCTTGCAAGTCGCTTCTCGCACACATACCTTCAAGTGCCCCTCTCGTGCAGCTGTCCCCATCGCAGCCGTCATATGAAGAAGCAATGCATCGAACGAGGCTCTTGCTTGAGATCGAGAACACATCCAAAATTTTTTCATCACGTGGACGCGGAAACTCCACACACACACGCACGCGCATCCACACACGTCCGTGTTCATCACATTACAGTCCAGAAAAAATTGGTGTCCGACTTGTAAGCGTATACCACAGAGCCACAACGAGAGGCCCATGGCTACACAAGTGCCGAAGCCATCGGCAAAAAGGCAACGCCGTGCCGCTGAGGCTGAAAAGCGTGCTAATGAGGAGCTATCCGAGAGCGGGATGCTAAACTCCAACATGTCGAGCGTGTTGGTGCAATTTCGTTCAGGACAAGACGACACTTTTCTGGGTCCTACCATTAGTCTGCCAGCGCAGGTAGGCCAGGCAGAAATGGCGAAACTGGTGAATGAACTTCGCAGGCAAGCACGAAGCCAGAGGGGACGAACAGAAACGGGGGCTGGAGAACAAGATGATGTTGACGAGGACGAAGACATTCCTTACGCATTTCACGTCCTGCTCCGAGAGACAGACACATCGACGTCGGAGCCGACACGTGTTCCCATTCATAACAGCTTGCATGATGATGTGATGAATTCGGCGGTTGCAAAGAAGCTCGGCATCAGCATGGAGGACAGCCTAACGATTGTATTTGAGCCACAGGCTGTGTTTCGTGTGCGCGCCGTGACGCGATGCTCTAGCACACTATCTGGACATGGCTCGCCGATTCTGTGCTGTTCATTCAGTCCGTCAGGTCTTCTTCTGGCTACGGGGGCAGGTGATAAGGTGTGTCGGATTTGGGACATGGATACAGAAATGCCACTTCACACGTTGGAGGGTCACGAAGGATGGGTCCTGTGCGTGGAATGGGAACCTCTGGAGCGCCGACTCGCTACAGGAGGAATGGACGGCCAGGTATGGATATGGGATGCGCTGGTACCGCCGCTCCCGGGACGACGTGGTTGGGGGGCTCGGTCTGGTGAACAGGTCGATGCCGAGCATCAGGCACAGCAGACACAGACGGGTGCAGAGGCTCCACGAAAAATGTCGGTCGTTGAACGACGTGCCGCACGACGGGCTGCACCGCGTGGACAAATGCTTCGCGGTCATACAAAGTGGGTGACAAGCCTGGCTTGGGAGCCGGTTCATCGGAATGCTAGTGCGCCACGGCTCGCAAGTTCGTCGAAGGATGGGACTGTCCGTATTTGGAATGTGGTATCACGACAAGTGGACTTTGTACTTGGCGGGCATACGGCAAGTGTGAATTGTGTTCGTTGGGGTGGCGATGGCGCGATTTACACTGCGTCATCTGACCGGACCATCAAGGTGTGGAATGATCAGGACGGACGACTGATCCGTTCGCTAAATGAGCACTCACACTGGGTGAACTCACTCGCCTTGTCGACGGATTATGTGCTCCGTACGGGAGCATTTGACGTCAAGGGCGCGTATGCCGCGCATCTGTGCAAGCAAGACTACACAGATTTGGATGCATTTACTCAATCGATGGCGCAGAAGCGGTATGAGGAGAGCACCGCGAACGGAGCCCGTCCTGAAATGGTAGTGTCTGCTTCCGACGACCACACACTATTTGTATGGCCACCACAGGTGCATTCAACAGAAGCCACTATGTCACCAAAGAAACCATTGGCTCGCTTGACGGGTCATCAGAAGACTGTGAATCATGTGTGCTTTTCGCCTGATGGACGCTTGATTGCATCGGCTTCGTTTGACAATAGTGTCAAGTTGTGGGATGGGCGCACTGGCAAGTTCATTGCGAATTTGCGCGGTCATGTCGCAAGTGTATATCGGGTGGCATGGAGCAGTGATAGCCGCATGCTAGCCAGCGCGTCGAAGGACTCGACAATCAAGCTGTGGAATCTCAAGACCTTCAAGATTAAGGTCGATTTACCTGGTCATGAAGACGAAGTGTACTGTGTGGACTTTCTCGCAGACAAGCTCGCTAGTGGTGGGCGTGATCGCACACTCAAAATATGGCGCCACTAGAACTATATAGCGCGATATGGGAATTCAAGGTACAAACGCGAACGTACGCTGCGACCGGGGAAGCTCATGTCCTGTGCCTTTTTTTCGAATGGGAGGAACAAGTACATGAAAATTGCAAGGGTTCTGTCCGCTACAGGCCCAGTTGTTCTTGCACCTGTCTGCGGATCGTTTTTTCATACGCATCACGGTCATCACGATACATTTTCTGGTGTACGTGTGAGTAAGCGCATTTATTTATTTTTTTTTTTCAGGAGTTGAAAAGATGATACGTACACAGGCGTCAATGTTGGCACCACTCTCAACATTCGGCTCAGCCAGCATGCTTAGCACGGAGAGCAAGATTTTTTCGATGGATTGCACAGGAGACCAGCGTTCTGCGGACGACTCATACACTGTGTGGAAACGAAGTAAGTCACAGATCTGCCCAACGTACTGTTCGGATCATCACCAGCGGCATGAAGAATGCTGATGCATACGAGGCCATCTGGATATACTGTGGATGTGTAAGGAGAGAGAGAGAGAGAAAAGTTTGGGATTGTGCACACACACGCACCATTTGGGTGGAAAATAGGCGGATCGAATCGCATGGTCGGCGGCTCTAAGGGGTATGTAGGTGCTTTTGTGAGTGATTGTGATGTACATACGAAATGAAAGACGCGCACTGAACACACCTCCTTCGAACGGCGTGTCGTCGGGTCCAGGAAGTAGAGCTTCCCATTCAAGGTAGTTGTCTTCAGAAATAGGCCCTACAGCTGGAAACAGCGTATTTGGATCTGTCGTAAGCTGCTTGTATTCGATTGTCAAGCGCCGGATCGCTGCTGCCGCATTTCGTGTACTTGTCGTCATCACTGCGAGACACGAACACCAACGAAGGAAAAAAAGGTTCTCGACAATGCGAATACCTTCGAAAGTTCAACACTTGCACACAAACAGACACGCACGTACCTGCGCCTGGAGTTTTATATTAGCCTGCTTGGCTCATTCCCATGGGCGAATTCGGAGTCTACCAAGCATGTCGTGCATGCCCGCCTAGGAAGCCATCACGTGAGTTTCTAGTCGCGCCCATGGAGCTCAAAAGTGGCAATGGTAGGTAGGGGACATCACGCGCTGTGTGGCGTCGCAGGTGGAGGCCATGGGGCTAGTCAAGCAAGAACGCAAGGGCGGCGCGGCCCCATTGCGTGGCAGGCAAGGGTCGAGGCTTCAACGGTGCAAGTTATCTATTGTGGCTATTGCTGCAATTTAGCTGGCTAGAAGTCAGAGGAAGACACACAGAGAGAGAGAGAGGGAGAGAGAGAGAGAGAGAGAGAGAGAGGGAAAGTGTGTGTGTGCGTGTTTGTGTGAGGTGGAAGTAGGCGTTGGTTTCGAATTTGTGAAGCATTCGTTACGTTTCCACTGACCTCGCTTGCTTGCACGCTTGGTTTGCGCGCTCCCACCTCTTTAGAAAGTGTGTCGCTCTGCAAGTAGCTCATCAAAGCAACAGCCTTTGCAGCTACCGCGAGTACTGCTGTTGATCCTTTCGTGCGGGGGGCGCTTTCACCGGTTTGCTGTATGCCGTGAAAGATGAAGCAGGATGATGTACATGCACGGATCGATCCAGATGCAGAGTATCAAAAGCATAGACTGCATGTGTGGGCGCATGCTGGTTTCGATGGGTCAATGGTTCCAGATAAGCCTGTTGCTTGGTCAAGACAGAATCTCGTGGCATATGGCACCTCAGATGAACATGGAGCGTGTGTCCTCATTGTACCAAGCGCATGTGCCGTTCATGGCGGCAAAGTGAATGCCTCGCAGGTTGTTGCACGTCTGCATCCACCTCCGCGTGCGCCACCTATGGCAACCAGTACACCGTATGAGTTAGACGCGCCTTCCCTCGTAAGCTTTAGTCCCTGTGGCCACACTCTGCTCGCTTACTTTCCTGTTATGCCTGTGCTAACGACGAATGAACCACCTGTCCCATCCGCATCTCTCGAGCTTTCTACGCCTTTGGTACTGCCTGTCGATCAAAGCGCCGCGGTGTCGCCGAGTGCGAATGCTATGAACGCCAGCATGAGTGCCGCCACGATGAGCGCGGCGATAAACACGGCAGGAGCTAGCACGAATGCAAGTGCGGGCGCAAGCGCATTCACATCTCCGGCTATGACGCCCCTAGCGACGCCGCGTGGTCTTGTGCGCACGCCGCCGGGCCACTCGACAAGTCCTGGGATGGACGCCCTCGGCATGGGAATGGGGTCAGCAACGACGAGCCTCTTACCCTATGATCACGGCGTCTTGTGTATTTGGACGCGGACGTCCCCTTCTATATCAGCCACTGATCAATGGATCTTGCAGCAATGGTTCCCTGTATCTTTGCCTGTGTCCACATTGTCTACGTCGGGAGCATCTCCGGCTGCGGCATCAGCGACCGCAGCGACAGGCACGGCGTCGTCTTTGTCGTCTGTCCCCACCGCAGCCGCAACAGGTGCTTCCGCAACAACGCCCCCAGCCGCCCCTTCAACGGGACCATCATCCTTGTCGAAACTCTCTGGCGACATGATCGATGTGTGTTGGCTCGACTCAGCACGTGCATGGAAGTGCACTGAAACAGACTTTGTACGCGCGCCGTCCAGTGGCCCATCGACCTCCGTGCCTGCGGCTGGCCTGCCACTTGATAAGTCGGCGGATGAGCAAGCGTGTGTTGTCGTGTCGCGGGTTGGTCAGGTCGTGTTTCTACACCGGGTGCATGAAAAGTCCATGTTCCGGATCCATATTGGCTGTCTGCAGGTTCCCGGAGTCTACCCACCGCCTGCGTCCTATGAGCCCACGACATTGGAATCTGTGTTCTCCGCCATGGAGATTCGACACGTGTCTATGGCCACCATGTCGGATGCGCCCATCCTGCTCGTGGCGTACCAATCAAGCATCAGCGGTTCGGCCATGTTTGTCAACATGACTGAGCTAGTATTTGAACTGAATGGCGACCTGTCGTATTTCTTCATCAATCCACAGTCGTCTGTGACTATGCGCTCGCTCGAAGAGGCCCTGAGCGGCACGAAACACCGGTACCAGGTGCTCACGTCCATGTCGTGGTCACGCGATGCTGGCGGCGACCTCGCGCTACTGTTTGCGGTTGCGACGGACGAGGGTGCGTCTGAGCCGGTGTGGTCGAGTCGCTCGCTCCGTGACACGATGCTGTATGTGTGGGATGTGCGTCAGAGTCAGAACAAGCGCGTCGACGAGCTGCGATGCATCTTTGAGTCGTCGCCCAGCCAAGTCGCGTCCGACGAGACTGACAAAGCGTGGCGCATTACGCCGCTCACGCTCCGGCACATTCCTGGCTTGGTTCTGTCCAGCATCATACCAGCATGCTCTCCTGTGCCCCATGCACATAAAATCTATGCGACTGCGTTTGTCATGGACCACATGGACCGCGAAATTTGGGGCACCATCGATACCAAGACCTATGAATGGACGTCTCTTGAAGTGCAAGTACCTCCACACGTTCTCATGCGGTCGTCCCTCGCGCTTTCACCGTGCGGCGTGCTTGCTTGTATGCTTATTCGTCCTGGCAGACAAGTCGGTTGTTTGTGCCTCCCGATACAGTCGCACAGTATCCCTACGCTCGGCCGTCTAGCTGCACTCTCTCTTTTGCGCCACGCCACGCCAATGGACGTCGTGCATTTTCTGCTGCGGCATCACGCGCTTACGCATGACTTTATCATCGCCATGGTACAAGCCACGGCAAATGCTCTCGCCTTCAACGACAATCACAACAACCCATCTGATGCTGCGCTGCTGACACTCACACAAACGAAGCTTGTCTTGCCTCTTGTGCTGGCTCTAACGTCTGAATGCGCTGACACCTCTCAGCGCTTGCTGCATGCAAGCACATGTGTGTTTGTCAGCCTTTTCCACATGTATCAGGAGCTCTCGATTGCGCGCCATGATACCACGAATGCTCGTTTTGCCGATTTGCTTGGCCACCCCGCGTACGCATCGTTCCATCCTTCCGCTGTGTGGACACTTGCCCGCATCCTCCAAACACTCACTGAATGGCTCGAACGTGCGTTGTGCACGGCGATGCAATGCAACATGCCAGGTGCCCGCCCGGCCGATGTACCTGCTGATGCCTTGCTGGAACTTTGTTTGCACACGAATGCGAGACGCCTTTTATGTGAGGTTCTATCGGGTGTATGCGTTTATACGACATGGATACAACAGCTAACAAACGAGTCTTGGCTGTCGCTCCTGGGTGCTGATGTCCGAACGTCCAGCAGTAAATGCGATGCAGCCATTCATCGTTTATGGAATATCCAATCGCACGTCAAAGACATTCTCAATGCGACTCCACTGGTTTTGGAGCATGTATTACCGTTTTTTTCCGTCCTGCCATGGGGCATGGATGATGTTGCCGCATTCTGGGATTCGTGGCTCGGCATCCGCGCATTGCATGCGTCCGACGCAGTATTTGATCATGCTCGGAATGCGTTCGAAGCTTGCGATCGGGCCATTCTCGACCATGTCGCTCTTGTCGAAAGATGCGCTCGACCGGCACAGCACGTGCCACCCCCGTGGCCATATACCTATTGAAAACGGATCCTTTCTGCTTATATCTGGACAGGTCCGCCTGCATGATCTTTATTTCTTGGCATGGATAATCCCTGTCGTACCTCCGCCCCTCTCCCCCACCCCGGAGATACTTGTTTTCTTGTTCTATTTGCCTGTTTCTGACCTGTGCTTGGTAGTTTCGCTTCGCTTCCTTTGGACATCTCGACGAACCTCGATTGCTCTACGCATTTTCTAGGCCATTGTTGTCCGCGAGACGTCGAAGCATGTCGTAGAGTTTGTTATAGAATGCTGTCCCTTCCTCCATATTATGTTGCAATGCTTCCCACGTTGTATATGCTGACTCCACTTGGTCCCAAGCAAGTGCCTGTGCGTCAAGCGCCTGCGCGAGATCGGCAGAGCGGAGCAAGCATGTTTGGTCATGCTGCATTTGTCTGATTCGGTCTTCTTGCAACGATGCGCTTGCTTGTAGCTCCTGCACATACACAGTGTAACGCTGAAAGGCCTCGTCCATCACATCTTGCAGCTCGGCTGGATCGACCATCGACGCTTCCGTTGCGCTGGTCTCGCCCAGATGCCGCTCTCGTGCTGCTTGCATTAGCCTTTCGCCAATGTCGTCACTTTCCGCCTCCGCGCGCGCACGGAGAACGAGTGCCTGGCGTTCCTTCACGGCATCTTCGAGTTGTTCGACTTGTACACGAAGCATACGAATCTCACCGGTATGTGCCGTATATACTTGATCCAATGCATGCAAGACAGGCATTGCCCACTCGTGCAGCGCCATTTGGCCACGTTCCATGGTCTTCAGCAGATCCTCAACCGAGTGCAGCTTTGTTAGTATCTGGGCATCACTTGACGCAGCTTGCATGAGCGTGTGGTCATACTCATCGAGCACATGTGTCCACGTTTCATGAGGATGCTTGGCCGCATATGTCTTTAGTTGATTGAACAATGCATGGCAAGTCTGTGATGTTTCGTCCATCATCTCAAGCCGCTCGTACAGTTCCGATACTTCACAAGTACGGATGTGCGTTACATATTCAAACCATTTTGGCGGGACGCGGTGAGGAGTAGCCAATCGCTGAAGGAGAGAATGAGTGTGCATCGACGCAAGGGCCTTGGAGAGTGCTTCGTTCAATTCCATCACAGAGGCTTCCAGATCATGCTGAAGGAACTGAGTTTTGCGATCCTCGTAAAGACGCACAGCCACATCGATGCCGTACGTGACAAGACGGCCAAACCATATAGGCATGGTGGAGGAGGCTTGCGCCTTCAGATACGCCAAAGGAGCACGCAACTGCGACGGACATAGATCTTTTGCAAGCAACGCACTGCCGATTTCAGGAAGACTGGCTGCATGCGTTGGTGCTTCGAGATATATGAGTTCATTGTCTTTTTCCGCTCGGCGGAGATTTGTCTGAATGACCTGCTGAAGCGACTGCAAGTCCCGGGTAACAGCTGGTAGCATCGTCCGTGACACGCAAGTCTGAGCACGATGAACCGATGTCGACGCAAGCATGAGACGGCCAAGCTCGTCCGCATGTCGGCGGTGGTCAAGGTCGTCGCAGCTTTTTCGATACGATGCAGCAGCAGCAAAGTGCCAGCGCTTGCACTCGATATGACGAGACCAGTCCGAGGGGAGCGAAGCTGATGCAATGTATTGTGCGCAGGTGGCATACAAATCTGAGACACTTTGGGCAAGCTTTGCAATGGTGGTGGCCTTGAGTGAGTCCATCACGGCTTTTTGCCAGAAACACTCTTGCGCCTGAGCAAGCATCAGCTGCGCAAGACATGGCGCCTGTTGATCCAGCGGTGCCGGCGGCGGTGTCGATACCATCCGACTTGTCAGGAATGACAAGCATCCAGCAGCTACTTGAAAAGCGTGTGCGGCACGCTTTAGGCTCTCGTGAGTGTTTCTGGGCTCGGAAGCACCCAGCTGAGAATAGTCCGCAGCGATCCATACAATCACATATGCGCGCTCCGCCTCCAAACTCGGATGCTCATGAAGATGTGCCGTGCTTGAGAAACCTGTGGTCCACGGAAATAATGTGCCAGCCTTGAGATATCGTGTTAGCGCGAACTTCCAACATAATGACGTACGGATGGCCCCAACACGCGTGCAAGAAATGCGAGCTGGGCTGTGTATTGCCATAATGGGGAAGAGTCCTGTAGAAATGATGTTGACGATGACGGAGTCACGATGCATTCTTCGCGTGTGCGATTCCAAGCGTCAATGTCACGCTCAAATCGCTGGGTATCCATGTCTGGGAACTTCTCATACAAGAAAGACCGCACATCTGCGCACAAGTCGATGGACCTAGTGAGCGGGTGCGGTATGCCCAGAACATTTGACATGAAGAGCACGTCCTTTTACCAGGAATCAGTGCTGATCTCCGCCGTTGGAAATGAACAGCCTAGCGAGGTAGCCGTTCTTGCTGTAGGGTCAAGGCCGCTAAGACAGAGACCAACTTGTGATCTCCACCAACTTTACGCTGACCTGATATCTGGGCCGATTCCCTATGTCTACAACTGCACACAGACTTGAGTCGCAATGTGTGTGCTTGTGAAAGAGTTTTAGCGCGTGTGAGCCAAACTCAAACTATGTGGGGAAGTTGCCAGCGTAAGTCCTATATGTGGAACGCAACGTGCATTAATAAAATGTTTTTCGTTGTAATCTTTCGATGACGCCTGCACCGTCGCAATGCATAGCTGATCTCTTCTCTCTCCACTTTCGCTTGTGTACGCATGGCGTCGTCGACCGCGGCTGACAAGCCGGCCAACACGCCATCCAATGAACAAGTTCAGTTCGCTCGCAGTGTCTACATTATCCTGGAGCTCTGGCCAGCTCTTCGCCAAGCCGTGTTAGAACAATGGGGCGGCGAATATTCAGAAGAAAAGCGCGAATTTCTCTTATCTTACGTGTGTGATGAATATGGTAACGGCGGCGCCAATACAAAGCCTGACCTGGACGACCTGACAGAGCTGATCGAAAGTTATGTTATGGAAGAATTTGATTGTGAGCTCGAAGACGATAGCGCTGCACTTGTGGCGGGACACATTTGCCTGGCTCATAAAGGCGTATTTATCGACGGTAAGGGTGACGAGCTATTAAAAGAGCTAGAGGCTACGTTGGTTCGCATAAAGCCAAAGCATGCTCCTAGCGCTGTCAAGAATGATGTGGAAACCCTTGATAATGACGAAGTGGATGAAAGAGATATGCATGAATCCACGAGCTCATCGCATCAGACGCACGCACATGCATCACCACAACCGACTCAACCTATTATCGATGAAGATGGGTTTGAGACTGTGCAACCGCGGCGGCGTCGCTAATTGCCTTGGCCATGTTCCATTCATATATCCGTACTTGCCCCTCTCACGTAGGTCTCATGTTGGAAGGGAAAATAATAAATAAACCGATTGCGCGAAGACTTGCAGCTCAAGTGCTTATGATATTGAAGGATTTCCCAGCCAACAAGTTATGTCCCAGTTGTGTAAGCATGCTTTTGTGTCGCATTGATTGTGCGCAGAAGGACGAATGGCTATCATTATGAATTTTTTTTTTTTTTAGTATTTGACTACACTCTACTACTACGGAACTTATGTTTCGAAAGCTGGTCACCTGTACTTTAATAAATGGACCATGTGACCGCCAAGAATGGTGATCGCATAGCGGCGCAGTTGAGTTGGGACGATTTGTTCACATATTTGGCGCCTTCATTGATTTTGCTTCATTGTGTGCGTGTCATGATGGGCGATTCTTGTGGAGGCCCATTGTCCTGGCACACGCGTCACAAGCGTAGTGTAAAAGCGCGTAGTTTGTTCCAGCGACAAGCATTGCGAGAGGCTGGGGATCGCTCGAAACGTTCATGGGCAGTGCGTTGAATGATGAGAGTCTATCTGCACTCTCATCGTCCATATTTTTCCCATCTAGAATCGTATCTTCGCGTGGCAAAGATCGTGCGGACGATCCCAGAAGACTCGCGCATTTAACGTCGTCGTTTGCATTGCATGAGGCAGAGGTTGCATTTTTTGATACTGTTATATCTGTCCTGCCCCTTGAATCAACAAGCTTTGCAGAACTGAAAAGTGCATACAATGCATGTCGTGAAGATGTGCAGCTTATGAGGCCGGTGATGCAAAGCCTTCGAGCGTCGCACACTGACGAGGCACAGGCCTCTATGGATGCGCGCTTGTGGAATACACTTTTGTCGCTTGTCCAAGTACGTGGAACGACTTGGGCAGAGCGTTGGGATAGTATTCGCGTAAGCCTTGGTCTTGAGCCACTTGACGAGCAAGAGGCATCTATGTCAATGACAGCCATTCATGAGGCCTTGGCATCCCCTCCTCACCCAGGCATTCGTTCGTCGCTATCTGAGCCTAATAGTGACTCTTTCGCACGTCCAGTCAGCAGCACTCCGAAAGAGTCAAAAAATCAACAATACTTGTTCCCAACATTGTCATTATCAGCGCCTTTTTCCTCCTCATTTCCCTCCTCCTCGACTTCTTTCTCATCCAAACTCGAGCGGCGCTGGCACATCTGGTGCCGTCGAACGCAGCGGCAATTTCTTTACTTCTGGCTTGATCGAGTCAAGCTTCTCCAGCAGATGGATGCGCGTGCTACGCAAGCTCGTGAGCAAGTATGTCTCTTGTCGTCCTGGGCTCATTGGCGTCACCGCAGCGAGCAGTGTCGTCTTGCCGAATCATCCGCCAATGCATGGAGCGACAATGCCAGCCTTGCTCGCCATTGGTGCCGATGGATGGAAGTACGTGCTAAAAGATACCAGATCCGTCGCGAAACACAACATCGTGCCTTGCAGCTCGCGTGGAGCTCTTGGTATGCCATTCGTTGCGATCGTTTGCAACGCGTTGCCTGGTCACTATGGCGCCAAGCGTACTTGTTTCGCGCAGCTAAAGCGTTTGATACATATCAAGCCGTACGTCGCATGTGGAAGATGTGGCGCGTGCGTTCTGAACGCATGCGACAGTTGGCAAAAAAGGGCGACGTGTTGGGATCGTATGTGGCAGCAGGACTTTATTCGCGAGCTTGGCTAGCTTGGCGTTTTCGTCTCAGTGAGCGCCGCATCGATGCACATAACATGACGCTGGCAGTGCGCATGGCGGAAAAGCACACAATACAATCTGCTTGGTTGTTGTGGCGTCAACTATGTCTTCGCCGTCAGGTACGTGTCACTGGCCGGACAAGATTCGATGAATTAACCTTATTGTGCAGGAACATGATCATCTGTGCTTGAATTTTGTCTTACGTACAAATCAGCATCGTGTGCGAAGTGCATGGCACATTTGGCACGCGTGTGTACAGCTTAGACGCATCGACACTGTTCGCACAGCGCAAAGCCTCCGGGATGCTTGGAACACGTGGTGGGTGAAGTATGCAGAGCGTGCAGTTGTTCGTCGAGGTAAGTTGGAAAAATCACAAAGCTTCGAGAATGCGAGGCAACTTCGAAAAGGTCCACAGAAATTGTTTGCTGACAATGCAGCTGCGGCGATGACGATCTCCTCGCGGGTAGATTTGCGTGTCATGCGGAATTCATGGGTGCTATGGCGCTCGCGCACGAATGCATGGCTGCATCAATCACATGCTGCGGCAAGTACATGTCACTGGCGACGTATGCATGCAGCATGGCACAAATGGCTTCGACGTAGGGCTGATGTACAGGAAGGGGATGCGCTCGCAATATCATTCTGGCAAAGCCAAAGGCTCCGTCTTGCGCTCCGTACATGGCTGCGTGTGATGGAGCAACGTCGCCTAGCGCGGCAGATATTCAGGCAGCGCCATCGGAAAGTGACGCAAATTTGGGACCGTAAGTGCTATTTGGGATCTTCTCTTTTCTGGTCGGCAGCTAACACGGCACAGAATGGCGTCTTGCTTTTGCACAACGAAGGCATGCCCACGCATGTGAGGCGCTAATAGCATCTCGCGTAGATGACCGCGTAAAACGGAGCTGCTTTAATGGATGGCAGAGACGCTTGCAGTCTGAACGCGAACGCGTGTGGCGAGCACATCTTGCTCGAGATCAAGTGCTACGTCGTTCATGCCTTGTCTCTTGGCAGTCCCGTTTACACGTATGCCTGGAGTTAAATGAACGCGCCATCTCTTGGCATCGCGCCCGACATGGAGCCCAGCAAGTCTTGCTATCCAACGCTTGGATCGCTTGGACCGACGGTGTAAGGAAACGTCGACATCTTCGGTCAAAGGAACAGAGATGGAAGCTGAGACTGGAAAGGCGTGTGTGGAGCGAATGGCGCGACGCGTATGCTCAGGCGAAGCTGCAGCGAGAAGAGGTCGAGACACTTGCATTACGTCGACGCGTAATACTCCGTGCTTCCTGCACGCGCTGGAAAGCAAGATGCTCATGCTTACCTATGCTTCATGCGCGTCGTCAACAGCGGTTGCGCCAGATACTAGCTTATTGGCAGTATCAGACGTACATGGCCCAGCAATTACGAAAGGCTCATGGATTTGCATTGTCGACCGTTGGGCGTGATGCTTGGCATGCATGGTACAGCAAGGCAAAACATCGCCATGATTCTCGTTGGATCTCGTACGTATTTTGGTGCTTGGGCGGCCGAGAGCGGCCAAAGAAATTGTAGAATGGTTTTTCTCACCCTCATGAACAGACGCATGGACCATACACGCCGACGCATGTCATCAGGCGGACCGCGAGTCCCTGCGCGTTTTCGTTCAATGATGCCGACAACTATGCAGAATTTCTAGCTACGTGGTAAGGCCCCGCTTGGTTGACAGGGAGAATGAGTGTCTGTGGTAATGTGTGAGAAAACATGCATGCATGAAATAGAATGGCCACAGCATACGCAGAGCTGATGCGCGCGGGCGTGTGTGTACGTACCTCGGCGATATTTACATGAGCCGGACGACTGGCAGCCCAAACAATTTCTTCAGCGATATCATGCGCGGTGAGAGGCTCTATTCCCATGTACACTTTGTCGGCAGCAGACTGATCACCGTAGAATCGGACTAGGCTGAACTCAGTCTCGACCATGCCCGGCTGAATGTTCGTTACACGAATGGGTGTATCATACAGTTCCTTCATCAGTGCAGACGTGAATGCACGGACGGCGAACTTCGTCGCACAGTACACGGAGCCAGTGGGATATGCTTCATTTCCAGCGACAGAACCCAGGTTGATGATATGTCCCGACTGCCGTTCCTTGAAGCTTCGCACGAACACTTGCGTCATTTCAATCAATCCACGCACATTCGTATCAAGCATCGCTGAGAGGTCTTCATGTCGAATAGCCCCGACCTTGTCGGTCCCTGCCGCAAGTCCAGCGTTATTTACAAGCACATCCACACGTTTAGCCCATTCAGGCATGCGTTGTAGTACTGTCTCAATACTTTGACTGCTTCGCATGTCCAGGAAAATCGATGCATAACGCCCGCCATGGCCCGTGGCTCCATCCGCATTCGCACGCTCACAGGCTGCTTGCACATGTTCGAGCTTCTCCATCCGCCGAGCACCCAGCACTACATTGGCGCCAGCCTGCGCGAACAGCTGTGCCGTGGCAGCACCGATGCCTGACGATGCACCTGTGACAAAGACCACCTTGTCATGCAGTCGCGAGTTCAGAAATACACTCATCGCAATACAGGTACTATTTCCGCAAGAAAACAAACCCGTCCGTGGTTGAATGCAGACGAGAAGTGACTTGGGAGGGTCCACGCAAGCACTTTCGCCACACCTGGCCACATGGGGCCCGTGCACATGAGCCTCCTGGTGTTTCAAGATGATGCCACGCGTACCTCACGTGCGATGAGCTGTGGCAGGTTCAGTTCTTCCATCCGCGGCCTGTCCATTGCCCGACACCCTGAGTGTACCTCCACACCCAAACTCTTGTGTCGCTTGCTTGTAACAGACGCCCTGGCCGTCTCGAGCCATCCTACTAGAGCACATAGCGTGTGGAGATACGCAGGCTCATTAGTCCCACTAGCACGATTGACTTGAGCGCGGAAAACAATGAGCACTTCAGCAGAAGTGCGTTCAGAGCTTGCGGAGCTGGATCGTGCAGAGGAAGCACGCTCTGTGCGCATGAAAGCTTCTCTTCAACAAATTGTGCATGTGCTGCAGAACACACAAGCCTCCGTCAAAGAAGACATGGCACCCTCACTGGATCGGGCGATACAGCGTGTTGGTGCACTCGAGAAACGCTTCCAGACCACTGCCAGTATGGCAGAAAAACTTTATCACGAAATGAATGTACTATATGAAGAGCGGAGACGCGTCGAAGAAGCCATGCATTGGTGTGCTGAAGTAACTCAGCTTCGCACGTCTCTTGGTCTGCTTGCAGATGCTCTTGAGCGCCCTGATTGGGATGCATGCATACGATATTGCCGCGACGCATTAAGCGTGAGCGGTGATGTACTCCACAGCGAATTTGCACGCGCCGTCGTGGTACGTATCCTTTTGTCAAACCAAGAGCCTATCCTAACTGAGTGTCAGCCCACATCCATGCATCCTGAGATGCCAACACAGTTCCTTTCACAATTGCGCACAAGTTTACTACAAAAAATTTCTCAAAATTTTGAACATTACACTAGGGAGCGGAATGAGGAGCAAGCGACGCGGTTCCTTGGGTACTTTGCGGCGATCGATGCCCACGAAGAAGGCCTGGCAGCTTATAGGTACGTGTGCGCTTGTGTACAGGATTTTCTGGCTACTTTTTATGAAATATGTGCTAATGTAACAGTGATTTTGCTTGCTCTATTGTACACACCTATGGTACAGACTTGGAGGAACGTCTTCGTATGCCAGGTACGTCTTTTTCAACCTCGCTTACCCATAGCATCATCGAACTCTGTCTATTATGGTATGCTCTGGACCGCCTTGTTTGAGTATCTGGCCATTTTTATCAACAAACATCAGCCAGTCGTGGATCGACTCTTGCATGCACCAGGTCACAGCAACTTTCTTCAGGGAGTGCTGCCATCTCTCGAGCGAGAATGGACTCGTCTTGGGTTAAGTATTCTCGAGGCCTGGCATGCTGAACGCCAAGTCGACAAGATTGTGGCTCAAGTGAACGGTGCCAAATTTGTAGCACTCGAGAAAGTTCGCGCTGTACCATTTACGCCAGGGCGTATCTTTGGACAAGAAGATCGGTCCAGCAATCCAGCAAACTCTGCCATGAGTACGTCGTCGCCCGCTGTATCAATGAGTGATTCATTGCACGTTGACCCATTGCTCTGCGAGATGGTATCGTTCAGTGCACAATGGACGCTTTTTGAGCAGTTCTTGCGCCGATCTATGCAACCAGCACCAGATGTGCGAATGTTACACACCGGTCTTCAGGACGCTCTTACCAATGTCATGATGCAAGTATATGTACCACTGCAGACGTATGCTCTTCGTGCGAGTGTTGAGCAGGTGCACAACCTCGATACGCCCGATCTGCAATCACGATCGTATTCGAGCTCTCTACCCGATGACATGTTCTTTGCACTGCGTGCCGTGCTCACTCGTGCTCTTTCTACTTCATCGTTGGCCATTGTTGAACGAGTGATTTCTCATGCAATATCGATTGTTGAGAATGACTACGTGGAAATTGTGGTACTTCGCATGGATGGATGCAGACGGGCACTGAACATATCACGATTGGTCGACGGTCCAAGGCGTTCTGCGGCAGTCCGGGAAGTCCGCACAACCATTTGTGTGTATTTGAATGTGCTGGACGTCTCAGCCATGTACACGGATCGTATTCTCGCAGACTTGTCGAGCACGACGTTCCTAGAAGCATACTTTGATGCCGAGTCTGGGTCGGCGACTGAGTTCGACGCCAGTTTAGGTTCAGACCCTAGCACAAACCCACAGTCGGGCAAGAAAGATGCCCCAGCTCCACTTACTCCCCATCTCAGTGCTCTGGCTCTTGCACAAAGTGCAGTTGGGCGTCTTAGTGTGCTCACGCCAAAGCTACGCACGACATTGCATTTTGAGATGGAGGAACTCTTCCGCTTCCTTGTGGAGCCACGAATCCAAGCCCTTGTATCTGACGTGTTGCGAGACATGGAGTATCGACTCGACGAGATTTCGTACGCACGAGTCAAGGAGTCGGATGCCATGGCCGATCGCGTGCGAACTGGGTGGAACTCTTGCATTCTTGGCTTCCGCGACCAGCTGACAGAGTCAAATTATGCCTTGCTTTTTACCATGGCCGTCGACGCGTTGGTTCTGCCGTGGGAACAGGCCGTCATGCAGCTTGCGTTCACAGAACTCGGCGCCTTGCGCTTCGACAAGGATCTGCGCGGCGTCCTTACAGCACTTAGCGATCTTGCGTCGTGGGGTATTCGAGACAAGTTCCTGCGCCTACAGCAGATTTCGTATGTGCTCAACATGGACGAAGATGAGACAGATACCAATGATGTCTTCGAAGCAGGCATCGCTTCAGGAATTTCTTGGCAGCTAACTCCCGCCGAGGTCCAGAGCGTGCGTTCCTTACGTGTCAATACCGCACCACAAGAACGATCGCTCTCATAACTTGAACACATCCGTCGCCCGGTAGCCTAAAGTTGCCAGTATGCCCCCGAGTGGACCTTGTGATACCAGATCTCGACCTTTTGGACCAGCGAGTGCGTGTACAAACCCATCAGGCCCGCACACCAAAAACATACGTCGCCAAGTATCAGAATATGGATGCCATACCTGTAGGTCTTTCTTACCTATGCGCCCACATTGGACTGGCACATGCATACCGTCCAGTGCTAAAACATACTCAGATGGGGCGCTAGCTGTCCAATGACTGATCCAGGAAGGCTTCCTTGTTACTGGGTACAACTGCGCTTGTACGCCCTGACCTTCCGCCGTGTACGTCATGGCGCAAGCATTTGAATGTGCTGTCAATGTAGACTTTGCTGTGGGCGGCATGCTTTCGACCCACAGACGGAGCGATACGTGCTCTGGATATGCTTTGGCGTACCGCACAAACTCAGGCAACATTTGGAGCGAGTCCATGGACCTAGCTGCATACCAAATTGTCATCTTAGGTACCTGATACGGGACGTGCCCTTCCTTTTTTGCGTCAAATACGTTCGACAAAAGCTGGTGCGAGGCCGCAATGCCTGTGCCGCCGACAAGCATGACTATCTCATCGGGACAATTTCGTGCTGGATTCAAGTGCCACGAGAGCTCCGGCCCTCGTATATATACTGGTGCACCCACGCGTAAGCGATGCAAGTACCGCGACAGCTCACCGTCCGTATAGCGTTTAATGAGCATATCCAAGATGCGTGGATCCGAGCGATTTAGTAGCCTCAGCGGAGTGTAAGGGCGCTCAACTTGAATCGACGGCTCTTTGATATAGTATGCATAAAGCGCAAAACACGAGCGTACATCTTGGGTCTCCGATGCGGGGGAAGTTTCTTCGTCAGCACGCTCAAGCTCGTCGACTCTCAGTGGAGTATGAGATGCCATTTGTAAATGACGATGTACTGGTTTTTCGTTTGGATCAAACATATTCGAAGCGTCCGATGGCAGAATATGTGCTGAGCGCAAAAATAGCGGCGCATAGTGGAACAGCGAGGGTCCTTGTTTCTCTTCGCTCTGCGATCGAATCCAAACGGCTGAGCCTGCCCCAACACATAGAGCACCTGCGAATGGTAAAAACAACCTGATCTTAGACGAAGTTCTACCCGACAGACCAGCGGTCATTCGCCATGACATCCGTGATAACGAGCCCTAGTCGCCTCCTTGCTGCAACGCGACCGCGGATGAAACGTTAGAGTGGAGATTGTCTAGTCAGGCATGCTCCACAACGACATGCATGGACCAAATTGCTTAGTCATGGATCCCACGCTAGCCCCCCTCCACCCCGCTATCCCCGCCAACACTTTGGAGTGGCCCTTGCTGGGTGCCGTGAGGAGTGAGTGGACCTGAGCTTGTGCTCCAGTCGCACACATTTTCGGTTGGTGTGTGCTCTGCGCGGTAAAGAGCAAGCAGCTTGGTCCTCTTGCTTTGATGACGATGAAAGCGGATGTGATCGAAGCTGAGAACATCCCATCAGCAAGTGCGGATGAGCTGGCAACAATCCTTCGAGAGCTCCTCGCATGCCCGGAAGACGTTGCTTATACGCTTGGTTCACAGAGTCAAGCTGCAATCATGGAACTACCTCATGATAGTCGTCCTGTGACATACGATGGACTGGTCGATGTTGCCCGCTTTTGTGTAGAAGAAGAACCTGGCTGGTCACAGACTGACTGTGTGAAGCTCATCGCTCAATACCCCCGTCTTGACACATTCGCCCCTGGCGAGCCACGCTTGTCGCAGTTGTGCGATGAGTATGAAACCCGTTTCCCAGGGTTTCGTCTTATAACGAGTGATGAGGTACATGATCCCCAATTGGCACTTGGTGAAATTGAGCATGTAATGCGGAATCAGAAGTCAAAAGAACCATGCTCACAAACAAGCCCTGAGTGGCAGGCTGAGCTAAACCGTTTGATGGAAATGCTATGGGACGTATCTGTAGATCGTGCTGCGCATCTACGACCTGGTTCTGTACCACTAACTGAGCCAACAACGGCTGCGCAATCTACAAGTGCCCAAACGGTCGAAACCCCCCATGTACGCTCGGCCCCGGCCCTAGCGACCGATGCGAATCTTAAACGTAATCAACCACCTGTTTCGTCTCATGAACGAGCGGACGATGAGCCGTTCCTTTCGCTTTCCTCGTTCCGTGCCTTGGCTGTTGCATCGCCCGGACTGGAAAAGTTTTTTGAGCACGACTTGGTACGATCATTCCGTCTCGAAGACGTACAATGGTCAAGTACAGGTGGTGCTTTTGCATGGCACACGGCACCTGTAGTACCACGTATGATAGCGGGACGTCAAGGACCAGAGGAAAAGTCGACAAAGTCTAGCGCAGGGACCACTTCACTAGCCTCGGCGCTCCTGCACGGAAATACTGCGTCTCAAGACACCGAGGCTCCCGTAAGCTATTCAAGAGACATCACGACGGGAACACGAGGCAAAGTAGTTGGATTTCTCGGTGGTCTGCTGGGCGAAGAAGGAAAAACTCGCATGGACGCTCTGGCTGACCAAGTCGCTTTGCGATTACAAACACACTCTGTTCGTGGACCGCTTCCAAGCTTTGTCGAAGACTCTCGAGGTCCCACTTCCGAACAAAAAAACAGCAGCAGTCCGTGGCGCAGTGCATGGATGCGGGGCAGGTCAGCTGCTTCTAATGTGGTATCTGACGCGCGTGCATCGGGTCTCACCGGCCGCCTCGCCGGCGTGTTTGGCATCCAGGGCAACTCTTCTTCTTCTTCTAACAATTCACCCTCCGTTACTACAGCGTTTTCAAGCCAAAACGGCGCTGGTGAGCATGCAGGCCAGCAACAGAATGCCTCTGATAACATACTGACACAATCCGCTCTGCGTGGAAGCGATCTCGCTAGAGACGGTCCTGAAGCTGCTGTGGCAAGTCTACGGGCAGCCAATGAAGCTCTAGTGCAGGAACGAGACACATTTGTGATCGATGAAATGCCTGCATCCGCTGACAACACGATGATAGAAATGGATGACGATGTCGATCATGACGTGGAGGGACTGGATGCCCTCATTGCAGGCGATACTAGTCATGCAAGCCACAACGACGAGACATTGACAGACATGCCCCATGACAGGAATGACAGCTCGTCCCAAGAAAATGCCCCCTAATGGGGAAGAATCGAACTACACCGACACGCTATTATTCAATTGGGATTGTTCAATTGACATGGCTTCTTTTCTGTGCGTGCTTGGCTGTATTCGATCGTCGTAGTGCACGGTAGGAATTATTTACGCATGTACCTGATGAATATAGGGACTTCGCACCGTCTGATGTCTTCGTGGCCAATTAAATGGGCGCACGTGTAAGAACACGGAGCCGTCGTACGATCTGACTAACGTAAATGACAAACTCATGCCAGACAATCTATGGTCATGTCGAATGCTTCGTCACGTGGAACGTGGAAACCTTCCTGTAGCTTGGACCAGCGCAGGAAGTGTGGGACGGTGAAGGCAAAGCCCTATATTCTATTCAAAACCCCAGGCCGCTTCTTGCGCATCTCCTGTGCTGCCTCGACATCCGGTTTTGCCGCCCGCATTTGCTTCGTCTGCCGTAGCTCAGCAGAGGAAGCGAGTGAGTGCAGCACGCAGGAGCTATGTATGCGAGCCCAGCCGCACTTTCATCTCCTGGCTCAATGCCTGATGGTCAACCTCACATGTTCTCGCCTGACAGTACGTTCATTTTCTTTTTATCTGCTTTTTTTCGGCTAGCTCACATTCCTAGGTACCGACTTCGGACTGTCACTGCAAGAGAATTTGGATGATCTGTCGCGGCCCTCAGAGTTTGCTATGAGTCCCGAAGCTGGGGATTTGAGCTCTCTTCAAGGCGTTCGGCTTGATGATCATGCATTTGCCGAGAAACAGGGGCAAGTAAAACCATCACAGTCAGGACTGAGCGACTGGACGCAAAGCATGCGCGACGCGCCTGTTGCGACCATGTGTTCACCGGCAACAGCTCCGACTTCAGTGGATTCTGACTTCGCCCGTGCAGTGTCAGCATCGCCTGCACCTGTGTCGGACCATCTAGACTTGGCGGCTGATATGAAACGACGCAGTACTACCATTGGTTCTACCGGAATGACCCAAATGTCTCGGAATAATCCACACAAAAGATTGAATTGGGCCGAAATGATTTGCTACACTATCTCTGAAAGTCCCACTGGCAAATTAGTTATTCGGGATCTGTTCGAGGGGATGTGTCATAAATACCCTGATGTTGCAGAATGGGCCACCGGAAAGGACTGGGAAGCTCGAGTTAAAAATCGCATCAAGTCTACTCTCTCAATTAAGGGCAATCTTTTTGTGAAAGTACCTAGACCATCACGTGCGGGCGGCAAGGGAAGCTGGTGGACACTAAGCCCCGAAGCCAAGGAAGCCATTCGTCAGGGACGTATTTCGGAAGCAATTCGTGGTACAGGACCTTACGCGCCAGCATCTGGCGGATCTCCGACGTTTGATGGGCCAAACCATGATGTGTTCACGCCAACACGCCACCAAAGAGGTAATCGGCGTGCCAGCTCTGACAAGCATCTGCCGCTCAGCCACCATGGTCGATCAAGATCAACCTCTGAACAGAATTCAACAGCAAGACTGTCTATGCGGTCACAGAACTGGCCGCTTGCGATATCTTCTGCAGATTTTCGACCAGCCTCGGGTAGGAGCATGTCCACGTCATTTTCAAATAATCGGTATGGAGCTGAAACAAAGGTTCGCTGTTCACCCTTGAATTTGATGGGCACATCATTGAATGAGTCTTTTGAAAACAAGGGGAATACTAGTGCTGCTCCGTATACAGCTCCGCTTTCCACAGCTGCGTCTGGATGGAACCAGATGTACGACATGTATCCTACATTGCCATCAACTATGCTTACTATGTCGCCCTTGACAACATCGTTCTCGCCTAGGGCAACAAACACCACCGTTCCGCCCAATACAAATCTATACCCGTCTTCCTTTTACAATGGGCCGATTTCGATACCCCAAACACCACTTGACATTCAATATGCGACATCACCTTGTATGGACGCCATGCAAGCAACAGCCACCGCTTCGCAATTTCCTGCTAACGACTCAGCAATCTTCAATTCAGAATCTATGTACAATGGACCGCCACATTTTCCCATGATGAGACCGCATGATGTACAGCAAACGCCGACGATGCTGAATAATGTGACGGGGTCTCAAGACACGAGATGTATGGAGCTGCCAGAGGCCAATGTTCCCTTGCACCTACAAGCACTGTGCAGCTCATTGCCAAAGTCAATGGGTGAAGATGGGTCTTCGCTTGTGCTTCCAGGATCACAATCGATGAACACTAGTGACATCGCGTCAAAGTCCGTGCCTTTTACATATGCTCCTGGAGTGCTTGGCTTAGACAATACCGCATTTCCTAGCCTGGCAAGTATGAATGATTCACTGCTCTCCAACGGACTAGGATCTAATGCTTCGGACAAGAATGTTGGTATGGACTGCCCTATGACGGCTGCCTCCCATAATACCCAACCCTCTTATTGGGAGTATTAACAGACTTGTGAGCAACGGCTCTGACGTTGCATTGTCACACCATCTTGTTGTTTTACTTTTGTTTTGACTTTACGAATTCATCTTCATAGTGTGGACTTACGATGACGACTTTGTTGGATTGATGCCATGTGTTTTGACGACATGAAAGCACCCCACTTACGTATAAGATAATGGTTTCCAATTGCAGCGACTCTCAACAAAACAAACACGTTGTCTACGTGTCGGCCTGTGATGATGAATTCAACTTATATCAATAGATAGCAAAGTTCAGGCCAAGCGCATGTTTCGGCGTTCATCTTAAAGCGACAGCAAATATATGCACCGCCCATACTTATTTTCGCCTTCCTTCCAATGTACGCGCACCCACATATGAATATGCCTGTCTGCCTATAGTTTTCACATGTATCCTTTCGACAAAAGGTAGTCTACAATGTGCTTGACGCTCTCCTCAATTGAGCATTTGTCGCCCTGGATATGAATTTCCGGATTCTCAGGGGCTTCGTAAGGAGCCGACACGCCAGTAAATTCTTAGATGCGTGAGCATTATGACGAAATGAAAAGAACAGAACATACCCTTGATTTCACCACTCATTGCTTTCTTATACAGGCCTTTGGGGTCTCGCTTTGCACATTCCTCAACACTCGTATCGACAAACACCTCGACAAATGGAAGCTCTGGGTTGTGTTTCTTGTGCAGCTCGCGTGCCATGTCGCGGTCGGCTTTGTAAGGAGAAATGAACGAAGTAATGGCGATCGATGTGGACGAAGCGAAGAGTAGAGCAACCTGATTGAATGTGAGAATAGTTATTGGCATACCTCAGAGATGCGGCGAATATTTTCCTCGCGGTCCTTAGGAGAGAATCCTAGGTCTTTGTTAAGACCAAAACGGATGTTGTCGCCATCCAGACGGAATGCGGATTTCTTCTGATGCAAAAGATGCTGCTCAAGGGCTACGGCAATAGTCGACTTGCCTGATGCTGACAGACCAGTGAACCAAATTGTCATTCCCTTTTGATTCAAAAGCTGTGAGCGTTCATCGTACGTCACATTGCCTGGGTGAAATGTGATGTTAGTCGCCATATTGGTGGTGGTGAAATGCTACAGTAGGGACTTCTTCCAGGTTGTGCCCGTTGCACTCCAAACACACACGCGTGCACACTCAACTAGCATGTATGACTAAACAGATAGGCAATTACACAAGATTAATGTTTCTTCCGCTTGACCCGTGCGCTCAAGTCGTTCACTGGTTGATTTGGTTTGGCGGGAGCCGAAGTTGTGTCTGGGACGGCCGCTGCCGACATGGCAGCACCCAAGAAGGCTTCCTTGATTGCTTGTTCAAGTTGGGGATTAACAGGTTTCCCATCGTCTTTCAATACAGTAGTTGGATTTGTTGCCAATTCATCGAGCTGCACTGTCAGTCACATCATGCTCAGCATGTGCATCGCTTACTTTGACTCTTAAATCCTGAAGCATTTCCTGGACATCTTTTTCCTCACGACGAATCTGATCTTCATCAAGCTGCCATATTGCATCGGCGTCAGAAACATGCTTCTCGGGGGGTGCGTCGCGATGCTCGTTGATATGAGAAATCTGATCGAGACGACGTTGCAACACATCAGCCGCTCGATTGATATAATCCTTGGCAAGTTTACGCCTGCTTTGTTCGGGATGAAACTCGAGTGCCAAACCTAGCCGTAGATGTGCATCGGAAAGCCGGCGAGCATATGGCGGGATCAAAGGTGCCAGCAGGTTGAGAGAGGCTTCATAGTCGACAGATGCTTGCTCAAAGTTTTCTTTGGTCAGTCTGTGCATGTACGCACCAGTTTCCAGACCTATATCACCCAAATCATTTCGTACTTCAGCCAACTCAATTTGCAATTCAGTTTCGCCCCAAACCTCGCCAGTTATAAGTTTCAGTTCAGGTTTTGCAGGATGCTTCCCTTTTGATAGGCTTTCTGGGCTCTGAGTCACCGATCCGTGTAAGATTTTTTCAAAAATCACGCGTGACAAGTCTAGCACTGTAAATGCGACGCCCATATCATCATCTTCTTCCTGCTCTTGTTCATTTTCAGACTCTTCTTCTTGTCCCGGGTCATCAGGCTGTTGTGGCTCACTTTCTTCTTCAGAAGCATTAGCTTTTCTTTTTCCCAGCGCAACAGGATTTGATGCGCTGTCAGAGTCTTCTTCGCTCACGTCATTACGAAACTCGAAACATGAATCTTTGTTTTTTGGCAAGGAGATCGATTCTGCGGGCTCAGCATTTGGCACAGGCCCACCACCAAGCGCACCCGAAGTAGCAATGATATGCTCTAGTAATGCGCGACCATAGCTATGCAATATTGGAGCTAGCTCTGGAGCATCATCCCCGTACCTATTACGCCTGGACATGTTAGAATGAGCCCAACGATACATACAGTGATTCTAAGGCCGATGCTAGAAGATCGGATGCTGACTCAAACTTTTTGAGCGCTAACAAGCGGTTCGCCTCATCAAGATCTTGTTTGATTTGCGTCAAGTCTAAGCTTGGTGCTCCCATGCCGTGTCGCTCACAAACGAAACGCGTATTTACCGCGTAAGAGTATGCCTTTAAATGATTCGGGGGGTTACACACCTGCATCTTAATCTGCATACACGCGCGTTGCAACGCGTCCGAAATGTGGCTTTGACTAGATACCGCAGCGCACTGGTCGCTATTTGGGTTAATATATACATGCTGAGTAATATGAGTGGAGAGAATCAATCGACCCGCGCCCCATTCTAAGTTGAAATCCATGTACAATAACAAGTCTACGGTGCCAAGATTTGATCTGAATGGACATACCGTGTTGAAATGTAGCTAGTCGACATGAACCACAGAAAAGTAAATTAGCAAGACACAGATACGGAAATACACAATACTCAAATCAAATGGGAACTCTATCACAAAACAAAAAGAACACAAAGGTTTACTTGGACTTTTTAAACAGCGAGCCGAGCTTTTGGAACAAGGTCTTCTTCTTCTTCACTGAATCACGGTTTGGAACCTCTTCACCGACGATCTCCGGCCCTGTCTGAGCATCTTGCCCGATTTCTGGCACTGGAGCACCATTTTCATCGGCTAGTTCAGGTGCGACGACAGCTGGTTGATCGCGTGTCAAGTCCGGGCTTTTCGAGACTTCCTTTGATGACATGGGCCCCACAGTAATATGCTGATGATGAGTAAGGTCAAATGACGTACATTCCGAATTTTTTTACGAGATGCATCATTTACATTCTCGAGATGTGGTACATTTTGTGTGGGTTGGGACGTCATGGTGCAAGGTCGGGAACGACTGCGCTCCGTGACACAGCATTATTCCCCTATTTGAAACCCGATCCGGATCGAGATTTGCAAAATCATGTGGAGGCAAGATGATACGCATAAAGGCTCCCAAACATCACTGAGGACCGAACCTGGTAGACATGGATCGATCACATAGCGAATTTTTTACATGGTTACAAGACAAAAATGCATATGTAAATCCTAGTTTGTACTTCAGTTTTGGTACGTATTGAATTTTTTTTGTCTTAGATCGTAACTAACGATAGAAGATGACGCTTGTGGTTGGGGTCTTTACACTCGCGAACCACTCGATGTGGGCACTCAGGCATTCCGAATTCCTCGAGCACTGATAATCCACCCTTTTCTGTGTCAGAAAACTATATGCGGTGCCTTTGAAGTGAATTCAGATACTGCCGTTAACTTGTCACCAAGAGAATGGGTCCTGCTTTACTTGGTACTTCAGCGTATGCTTGACTTGCGCCCATGCAATGGCGCGTGGGCTGACAAGCTCGGCCTCCACAGAGCATATGTGCGACTGATGCCCAACGACCTATTGACGGCATTGCACTACACGAATGCGGAGCTTGCCTTGTTAGAGGGGACATCTCTCTTTCACGGCACAATGCAGCGCCAGGAACGAGCGCATGCATCGTCAGAGCGAGCAAAACTGTGGCTTTTAACAGTTCGTGCATCAACGAGAAACTATGAAATGCAACAATGGCTTGATTGGATTGAGTCAATTTCATGGCTTGATGCCTGGACATGGGCAGAGGACTCATATGCTAGTCGCAGTTTCCCGCCCCAAGTGGGAGGGTGGACAAGCGACGATGAACCGATCCTTATTCCTGGGTTTGACCTGTTAAATCACCGACGAGGGGAGCCTGTCACATGGTCATATGAACTTGAGAAAGGAAAATGTCAAAATGCAAACACTGGGTATGCGGTCTTCACGTGGCGAACTGCGTACGCTGAAGGAGACCAAGTCTTCAACAATTATGGTGCCAAAACTAATGAGGAACTGTGTGGCTCCTATGGCTTTGTCGAGCCTGGAGGACCTGACGACGTGCTTGTCTTGGCACTGAAAAAGTCCAGCGAACAATCTCCACGACTGTTTTATTGGCCACGAGTAGACCCGGACCCACCAGTCGCTTTGATGGAAGCGCTTCGAGAAAACGCCAAAGTAACACCGTTTTGTAGCCAAAATGATAACGGTGGCGATGTGGCTCGGCTGCTCGGCCAGGTTGACATAATTGAAACGTTCGAGCGCATGCTTCGCCAACGACGCAAGATGTTTCGCAGCGTTCAAAAAGAAGTGGATGATGCTGTGGCATTTGAGGTAGGACCAGACCGTGTACGAGCGCGTGTGCTCCACATGATTCGCGAGTATCGCATGGGACAAGCGGCCATGCTGGATAAAGGCATTGCGTGGACTGAAACACAACTTGACAAGATGTTGGACGAGCTGGAGAAGGCCGGATGGACTCCTCCTTCTTAAACCCTCGTGTTACTCTAGCCGTTGGTTGTTTTGTGTAAAGGCTCTGCGGACAAAACAAAAGACTTCCAGCCATTCCGGCGGCGAACCTTTGTGCAAGTTTCGTTTAGCTCCAGAGCTTGACTCCATACTAGAGCAGAGCAAAGTAAGCTTTTTTGTCGTTCGTCCGTCAACAAATTATCTCCTTGAGTGGCTTTAGAAGCGTTTTGAAGCAAGGCACGCAGTCGCTTGAAACTGAGCAACGTTTCTAATGCCACAAAGCCTTTTTTATCCATTTGCTGCCGCAAGAAGAAATCTGATACCAAGTTGGCTTCAGAAAAGTAGAATTCCACTTGAGAACGCAAATGCTGAAGTAACGCCACAGAATCAAGTGTCAATGGGCCACCCCCGATATTGCTGTTCATTTGTCCCGACGCTGCGTGCATAGACATGTTTGTCTGTGCAGCAGGATCCATTAGCATATACGAAAACATCGGCATTGAGTAAGGCATCAATTGTGAGCCACGTTGATGCATAGGGGAAATCATAAATGGCATGGCGGCAGCAGGCATTCGCAATGCGGATGAAGGCGTAGGTGTCGAGGTAGTAGAAGAAGCAGTCGCTGGAGCAGTAGAGATCCGTGCGCTAGCGTCAGGTTCTGAGCGGATCGATTCGTCTTCACTTTCTTCAGTCCCATTATTTTGTCTTACAGATGTCAGGACCGGAGAGGTTGGCGAGGTTGCATCCCCCGGTAATGAAGAGGGCCGATTTGATTTTACTGCTGCATAGGAAAAATGGTTGCCATTTTGAACAGGAGCCGTCGGTGGAATGGCACGAGAAGAACCCCCGCCACGACCACGACCAGCGCGGCCACGACGAGACCACAACGCACCATCAGACATGTCGTGCGTGGAAACGTATGGCGCGTATCCCATTGGCATGTGACTGGCTTGTCGTGCATTTTGTTGCACGTAAGAGTCGGATGAACGGCGTGGCGAAAAAGATCCATCCGTGTTGGTCACGGGAGCCATGGTATGCGAGGGATAAAATCCATAGGGGGTCATCACATACATGGGCATGGTGTTTGCCTGATACACCCAGGGCTGCCATGTCTTGGGTGTTTGCACCAGCTGTGGCCAACCTGTACATATGGGCGATTCACGATTAGGTGCTGATGATGATGCCGACGGCGTACCTGGGAAGTTGGCTTGGGTATCACTGGTTGTTTGTGAAGTTGGAGGACTCGGTACATGCGTTGGTACTCCAGTTTGATTCTTCACGAATCGAGGCGAAGTTTTACCCCCATTCAGCATAAAGATGCGCTGGATCCAAGCGTCGTCATCTGCACCTTCCAGAGATCGATCTGGCTCCGTGGGCCGCTGTTCTGTTATGTCAAGTAAATGTCGTGAAGAATTGCCTGATGATGTAACCGATGCCGAAGATGCTTTGCTCCCTGCTGTCGCTGTCGAGGTGGTAGGCGGCGTTGTAGTTACCGCTGGTTTGGTTGACGCGGATTGATGAATAGAAGTTTGAGTCTTGCCAGTTTTGAAGCTATTTTGATGTGATGTTTCAAACAAATCTGATGCCCTGTTGGTATCTCGATTGCTTCGTCGGCGCATGCGGAGTTCCCATACATTTTGACTTGATGACTCAGGTGGTTCCTCGGTGTGAGCAGAGTACGTGTCCGAGGTCTTCGCGGTATTTGAGACATGCGTGCCTTTTGAATTTGGTGACTTAATTGAACGGATGTTATTTTTCGATGACATGCCAGTCGAAGACTGCGGCGGCGAAGAGGATGCGAGCTTCGGATCAGCCCTCTTGGTCGTCTGAGGCTGCGCCGACGTACTTGAGCGCGTCTTAGACCCCGCGGACTGAGAACGAGCTTGGCGCAGACGTTCTGCATATGATACATTGGGCTCGGATCCTGTGCTTAAATTTGTAGTCCATGCAGAAGAAGACATGTTGCTGACAGACATCTTTCGCTTCAGACTCCAACCAGCCACAGTGACGTTTGAATAGATTAAACAGCAAGACGAAAATCAATGTCAGCGAGTTTCGTCGTCCAACTACTTCCTCAGCTCTTTAAATACACCTGCAACGCAGAAAGAAAAGACTAGGATGACGAAAATCGTCCCAATGACCTGTCCGACAGACACAATCGAGTAAGTCTACGGACAAGTGTTACGACACCCAACTATGGTGGGGTGGAACAGTAAGCATAATTCCCCATCTGCGTCTTTCTGATCTTAAGTCGTCACCACTAGCGCGAATCGAGATTACGTTAGTCTAGCAGCGCATTTGGTGACAAAGACCCTATGGGCTTTGATGGGGGGGAAGAGCTAAATTCAAGCGTGTAAGAACTTGAGTCAAGATTACGATCTAGGGAATCACACCTGCACGCCCCGTAATAAACGTGAATCTGATCGCCGTTAGAGTCATGTTATCGCTCGAAAAGAGCCAGCTTTGGTTGATACGTACTCGTTCAATCCAATGCGCGGTGCCTCAGCTGGAGCTCGTGAGCGGGTTTGTGTAGAGTTAGACGCCAAAGCCTGTGCCTCGTACAACATGTCGGCAAGCTCGCTTGTACTGCGTGATTCTCCCAAGCTTCGGGTGGCGTACCGAAGTTCGTCAATGCCAATCTGCCGAGACTCAATCTCTTCGTCTGTCACGTCTTCGCGTATACCAATACTAGGGTAGTTTGCCAGCATTGTTGGTGCCACAAGGGGTATTCTTTCTAGTAATAAGCGATAAAGGAGACGACCTTGTTCCTTTTTAGCCTTGGAAATGTTTGTATTTTTGTCATGTTTAGACACTTGAGCGGACGACATTGACGATGCAGCACGGTCGTTCTCATCTCGAGCTCCGGTATCATCTTCATCAGAACTGAAAGCAGGCTCTTTATCTGGAGGCGCATATTCATCTTGACTCGCTGTACCCCCATCGGAATTTGATGAGGCTTCTTCGCCATTCTGGCGACGCACGAGACGTCTTCGTTTCGAACGCCGTATCCCACCCATGACGGCCTCCACAGCTTCAAGAAAGTATGTGCGCGGCACGACCGGTTCAGCATGCATCTCATCATATCCAGAATGTGCCTCTAATAGTTCCTGCACGTCACGACGCTTCGCGCCCTCTAGCTCCAATGTATCAAGCGCATAAGGAAGCGCGGACACTGGTAGAACGGGAGAAGCATTACTGTTTGAAAAGCACGACGTCTCTCGAACGAATCCGCCCGCAGTTTCGTCATTGACGTCTACTATGAATCCTCCAGCTGTGCTAGTGTCAGATTCGGCCACGCCAGGCGTGGCGGCACGCACACACGCAGCGTCATACGCTGTTGCGATGCGTGTGGCAAGGTCCATGGATACAGAAGTGGAGAACAGGAACGATGCTTCGGCCGATGTGAGCTAGGACGACTCGCTGCACGGGCGCCTTGAGCTGAAATGTGGGCCGAAACGCCAGTCCGTAACGATCATAGATATAAGAATCTTGGCATTGGTCACAACATGGTACGTCTGCTGGGTCGTATGGGCGTCTATTCTCATGCAATTACCAGGCGCTGTCGGACAGGGTAATTGGAGGAACATGTCTGCTCGTGGCCGTGTTTGTATTTTCATACTACACGCTTTGGGCGCTTGTAACAGTAAGTACTGAGTGCGTGGTAAGAATCGTGCGGCACTCACGCACTGTAGCCACTTTTTCCGTCGGACTCGCCAATCCAGGCTTACTTTCCTCCGCGTGAATGGGCCGTGCGTCTCCCTGCCATTCTACTCATGGTGGCTCTCTCGTTCATCACGCTATTTATTGTGAATGTGCTACGGAAGCAGGCAATTGCTAAGCGAGAAAAGGAACTCCAAAAGAGCGCCTAAGACTGCGCTAAGATGCTAAGCCTTTTTCTTACCACCATGTGTTTGTCGTTGCCTCTGTCGCTGCCCATCTGATGGGTTGGGGACAATCACATCACCCCCGGCGATTCCCAATGTGTCGTCGGTTTGTTGTTCAATCTTGTCGCGGGCGGAGACAAAGAACGTCATGTCACGTAATTGTTCTGTCACGTCATCCATCTGCCTTTGAAGTGAGTCTTGTCCACGCATGAGTTTTTGCACCTGGTCACATAGGGCTTTTGACAGCGACTTCTCTTGTTCAAGTTCGTTACGCGTAGTCCGCAGATTTTCGATCGATCGACGCAGCTGAGTATCTTGTTTCTTGATAGTCGACTGCGCCGACGACAATGCTTGCGTCATAGATCCCAATTCAACCTGAAGCTTATCCCGCTCATCGCACACCTGCTTGAACGTCGATGTAGATACGCTCTCCTCTTGCATCTTGGTCATTTTAGCTTCGTAGTGGACACGTTGTGAATCAAGTTGAGAAAGAATAAGACTTGAATACTCAGCATCGAGTGCCTCGAGCTTGTTTTGCAGCTGCATCTCATCGATGCTGGCGGGCATTTGAGAATTGGTGGCATCAGCAGAACCACCGGTACTTGGGGACAACGCTTGCCACGTTTGCCCACGGCCTGCTCCGATCGGATAGCGTGCATTCCACAGTCGTTGCGGCATAGATGCTGCCATCGTCGATGCCGAAGGAAGTTCTACAAGTTTCCCACCTGCCTTAGTTTGGATCAGTCGGTGGACATAATTATCACCCGCATAGTCCCAAACGCGTTGCGTGTCGACTTCCAAACTGTATAGATGGCCTGTTTCCTCGTAATGCTCACGCGCGTGACCATGCACATACCGGCCACATCCAATGTTCGCGCATATAAGACTAAAGGGTCAGACTGAGGGGAGGGGAAGACATATATACGTACCACATCCACAGATTCGTTTGATTGCCACATGCGCTGCAGTTTGAAAAGACAGTAGAGAAAGCATCACCTCTTTGTGATGCAGATTCTGTCCCCCTAAAATGACGTACATAAGAATGACGACATACAGGACACCGACTGTCCGACCAGCGCTGTAGACATGTGCAATGGAACGTATGCTGGCACATCACGGTAATGATGCCAGAGAGACGTGCATCAAGACGATCTAGGCAAACTGGACATGTAGGTAGCTCAAAAGCATTTTCACGCAGACCAGAACCAGACCGATATGGACGCAAGGCACGCAAAGACGCATCTGGTTCATTGCTCGATGCGTGGATGATTGGCCACGGCTCAAGATTTGATGACATAGGGTATGGCACAGGTGGCGTCGTGCTGCCTGATGCCGTAAATCCTGTTACATACACGAGTTCACAAGTCTCCTCAGCTTGCATCCCATCGAATGGGAGACCATTGTACATTTTGAAGAATTGTTCAGCATCAAGCGCGTCACGGAATTTAAGCAGAAGCATAAGGTAGCCGTGTTGTTCATGCTCAATTACACGCACCTGCTCGATCGCCTCAAGAGCAGTTTCAAAAAATTCCAGAATATTTGATACTGTTACTGATGCAGGAATATTCAACATCGCAAGTACAGTCCCAAGATGATCATCTCCAACGTCTTGTTCATCACCTTCGGCTAGTGCACAAAGAGATTTGTCTGTGTCGCTTTTCGCTGGATCATCAAGCATACGGAACAGGTGCACTATTCCGAATGGCACATGAACAACCCCGTCTTGCGCCGTTTGTGGCGACGCCTTCGATGGTACTTCAAACGTGCTGACTTGCTCAAAACGAGAATAGATAGAACTTCTCTCGTTGGGCTGACGACCATTCATACTCTTGAACCGCAGAAAGTGGACTTTAAGAGCTCCGAAACGAGCGTCGAAACTTGTTTGTTCAGTCGAAGTGTCGTGTGGCGACGGCTCCGCTAAAGAAATCGCTTTACGTGTTGTCGGTTGCTCGAACACGTATCGGGGCAATCGTGTTTCTTCACCGTCTGCAGTAATTAATTCGGTGATATGAATATGGTAGCAAGGAAGTAGAATCATCACTTCTTCACACGCCACTGCACATCGCGAATACCACGACTACTCCAGACTATGTAGCACGAATGGTGTGTAACGAATTGCGCGCAATACCGTACACATTCATTTCCACATGACGCCCCCGAATTCTCACTTGTTACACAGCAGACACCCACCCCGGATTTCCCCAGAATGTGTCTCCACCTCCACGACTACGAATTTGTACCAGAGCAGGGACAGCTCCACCAGACCGACAGCTGCCCTGCGAGAGACTAAGCATGCTAGCACGATGGAACTGATCCCATCGAGACGAGTAAATGACGATCTACAGCTTGTACTTCGTACGAAGCAGCACCTTGTTGTGTATGATGCGTTATCTCGAGAAGTGGCTGTCCGACCTAACGAGGCTGGACCACATCGTGCGGCTATTCCTGACTCGAAATGCCTAGCTGTCAAGCAAGAGGGTGCTTCCTTCCAAACAGCATCACAACCGCTACAATCTTGTCCATTTTGTCGACGCCCTTGGAATGCGAGCATTCCACAGCAAACTCCACTCTATTCGCACTCGGACTGGATGCATGAGAGCAATGAGGACGTAATCGTGGCACCACACTATTTCCGACTCTTATCTCAAGCTTCTACAAGGACCGATGACATGTCAAACGGCGAAAGTATTGGACAAGAGACAAACGAGGGGTACTACGAACGCTTTTTCATTGAAATTCGTCAGCTAGGTCGTGGCTCTCGCGGCACTGTGTTTCTCTGCCAACACGTCCTTCATGGCCATGCTCTAGGGACATATGCTGTGAAGAAGATCCCCGTGGGTGACCGATGCGATGTTTTGTCACAATCTCTTGGAGAAGTTCATTTAATGGAAGAGCTTATCCACCCAAATGTTATTCACTATAAGCATGCTTGGGTCGAAATGGCACAGCTCTCACTTTTTGCACCTCGTGTCCCTACTCTTCATGTCTTGATGATGGCAGCTAATGGCGGGAGCTTGTCTGATTGGATCGCGGCGCGTTCTGGCACTATTTCATCAAATGAAGAGCTTCTTTCGACGCCGCGCACCTATGTTGAGAGGCTTAAGGCTGAGTTTCGTGAGCGTCGCCATTCGACAGAGAAAAACAATTTAGGTACGCCATCTTCTCGCACAGGCATGCATTTTCTGCGTGAGGACGAAGTTGTACAACTTATGAAAGATATCACCTACGGTTTAGACTTCTTGCATGATCGTGGGATCCTTCATTTAGACCTCAAGCCCGGTAATGTTCTCCTTCACTGGGACGAAGATGCACTATTCCCGAAGGCACTGCTCAGTGACTTTGGTTCCTCCCTTCCTTTGCATGAAAACTGGGTTCGGAAGCGTACAGGAAACACTGGTACAATGGAATACATGGCACCTGAAGCAGTTGTCTCGCACGAAGGCCAACTCGCAGAGCTCTCTAGCAAAGCTGACATTTGGTCATTGGGCATCTTATTGTACATGCTCATTTTCTTCGACCTTCCCTATACACAAGTGGATGATATCGATCAGCTTCGAGAAGAAATAAGTGCTTACACCACACTACAAGCGGCAATCCAAAACCGTGGACTCTCGCGCCGATTTGCTCTCGTTCACCCTGCCCTTACATTGTTGCTTGCCCAGATGCTTCAGATCCAACCGGAAAAACGCCCATCATGCCGCAATATCTTGAATGTTCTTGAGAGGTATCCAGACATCAGTGGCGCTTCCGCTGCACCGTCGGCCAATGCTACCTCTGCACTATCTCCTCATGTCTACACTCCGCACACGTCGTCTGCTTTGAGCAACTCGACAGCATCCTCTTCACAAACGCTCGCATCCTCATTACAAGCGCCATCTTCACGATCCTTAACAGTGAATGCTCTCTCTTCATCGTTTCCTAAACCAAGATCTTATGCGATGACAGACCCACAGACCACTACCAGCTCGCGTAAAGTTGGATATGCAATGCAAACGACGCTTCTCGTTCCTCTTGTTGTTGTTATTGCTTATGCACAGACTGTTGTCGTTGATCGTATATGCACATGGCATGGATCTTACCATGCCTGGATCCGATACTTGTGCACTTTCTTAGCACTACTTCAAGTGGCTTTCTGGTACGTTCACATCGAGAATTCACACTTCAGTACATCATCCAGACCTATTATCTGGCACGCCGTCGACATGCGTCTGGTATTGCCTTGTGCATTTCTTGCACTTATCCTTCTCATGCCAGCATGCTCGTTGACGACACAGTTCCAAAATTAAGAAAACGTAGGAGAGTAAGATATATATATATTTATATTTATACGCTTTTATTGTTTTGGACTGCCTATGTCGAAAAATCACCCACGTTCTTCATGCACGTCATGCATACAAGTCATCATCAGCTTCGTCATTTCCAAACGCAGCAGGCGCTGGTGCTCCGCCACCAGTCTCTGATGGCTGGTTTCCACCAGAGGTAGGAGCACCACCGTCGATGCCGCCCTCGGGGAATCGGAACGAAGCACCCATCGTGCCGCGGCTCTGCTGCATAGTGGAAGCGAACATTTCATACCGGCGAATATCGGCATCCGTCACGGAGCGGCGAGCGAAGCGCATCGATTCCTCGAAATGTGCCGGAGTGATCTCAGGCACAGGATCATCTTCGAGTTCAAGAGCGACATCTTCCTCCATCTTAACATCCTCACCACGGTCCTTGCGCTCACTCTCACGGCGGCGATCAGCTTCGATTGATTCTCGAATCGCAAGCTTGGCGGCTCGTTGACACACTTCAGCTAGGTCGGCACCAGAGAAACCATGCGTGTGCTTGGCAAGGAAGCCCAAGTCGACCTTTGATGAGACAGGCGAGTTCTTCAGCGTCGCATTCAAGATGTCGAGACGCGACGCCTCGTTCGGCAATGGGATGTAGATGAGCTGGTCAAGACGACCTGGACGAAGGATAGCGGGATCGATTTGTTCCGGACGATTCGTAGCACCAATAACAAATACATTCTTTTTGGCATTCATACCATCCATCTCAGTCAGGATTTGGTTGATCACGCGATCACTTGCACCACCAGCATCGCCCGAGGATCCACCTCGTGATTTGGCAATCGAGTCAAGCTCATCGAAGAACATGACACAAGGGGCAGCAGCACGTGCTTTGTCGAACACATCACGCACGTTCGCCTCGGACTCACCGAACCACATCGTCAACAGCTCAGGACCCTTGATCGAGATGAAGTTCGCTTGGCATTCATGAGCAATAGCCTTGGCCAGAAGCGTCTTACCCGTACCAGGAGGACCATAGAAAAGCACACCCTTCGAAGGAGACATGCCGTACTTGAGGAACTTTTCCGGATGTTCCACTGGGTAAGATACAGTTTCCTGAAGTTCTTGCTTGACCTTGTCCAGACCACCGATGTCGGCCCACGTCGTCGTGGGCACCTCCACAACAGTCTCGCGCAGGGCCGATGGGTTCGACACACCCAGGGCAAAACGGAAGTTTTCCATAGTAACACCCAGCGAGTCGAGAACTTCGGCATCGATCGAGTCTTCGTCCAAATCAATCAAGTCCATCTTCTCACGAATCTGCTGCATGGCAGCCTCAGAACACAAGGATGCGATATCAGAGCCGACATAGCCGTGCGTTTCAGATGCAATTTGCTCAAGGTCGACATCCTCCGCAAGTTTCATGTTCTTGGTGTGTATGCGCAGAATTTCGAGACGGCCCGTAGGATCAGGAATACCGATATCAACTTCGCGATCAAAGCGGCCGAAACGGCGAAGTGCCGGATCAATCGAGTTTGGACGGTTCGTTGCAGCCATCACCACAATGTTTGAACGAGCTTTGAGCCCGTCCATCAGTGTGAGAAGCTGGGACACCACACGACGCTCCACTTCGCCGTTCGTCTTCTCACGCTTGGGAGCAATCGAGTCAATTTCGTCGATAAAGATGATTGCTGGAGAGTTCTTCTCCGCCTCTTCAAACGCCTTACGCAGATTCGACTCACTCTCACCGGCCATCTTACTCATGATTTCTGGACCATTGATCAGGAAAAAGAAAGCACCCGTTTCATTTGCCACAGCACGAGCCATAAGCGTCTTACCCGTTCCTGGTGGTCCGAACATGAGAACACCACGAGGCGGCTTGATACCTATACTCTTGAATAGTTGTGGGTGACGTAGAGGCAACTCGACCATTTCACGAATCTGTGCCATCTGCTTACGACATCCACCGATGTCATCATATCCGACATCAGCGAGGTTGGCCTCTTCATCTTCGCGACGCACGGGGTCGCCTTCCGTGTGAATGACGGTGTCTTGGGCGACAATGCAAAACTCTGCGGGATCCGTCTCGATCACCTTGAATTCCACAGCTCGCATGCCACCACGCACGATAAATGTATCGCCCTTGCGCACAGGTCTGTACGCCTCTAGGAAATACGGCTTCAAGTACACATCAAACAGATTGCCTTGCAGACCCTCGACACTGTCATCAAATGGCAGGACATGAATCCGCTTGCCATACTTGATGTCATGACAAGCATGCACATTCACAAGGTCACCAAGCTTCACACGCAGATTGTTCCGCGCCACTCGGTTCAGACGAATCTTCGAGTCTTCCGTGTCCTCGTCTGTGAGGACTATAAGAACTGTGTCACGACGCTTCTTTCCGCGGATCAAAATGGTATCTCCGCGAAACAAGCCCAGTTCTTCCATCTTTGCAGGCGATAGACACGCCACGGAGTTGTCGTCTGTAGTAGCATCTTCAACAAATAGACGATTTGGGGCTATGTCACACGTGTGTTAGTCTCTTCAGAATCAAGCTGGACACACGTACATTTCTTTCCTCGGAGGATAGCGAGGGACGTATCCTTCATGTCCTCCTGAGGTTCCAACTTATGGCCATCAACCATATTATAATCTAAACGCAAGGGTGGTCGTCTCTCACAAGTCTGTCCACGCGGATCAAGTGGCAACGTGGAAGACGCTCGGATAACTGTTAAGACCTCCAGCCACACAGACCTGACCCGTCTGCCGCGTCATCGGAGATTTATTGCTCGATCACCCCGCAGCTCTTGTTACGTCATACCCACACATCCACCAGCGTGGTCCTCATCCTCCACTTTCCAGATTAACCGTGCACGCGAGGCAAGAAAGACGCCAGCGTCCAGCATGGCGCACGACAATGAGAAACCTGAAGACAAGGTACCCAAATTTTCTTCATTCCATCCGCGGAAAAAGGAAGAAAATGTAGATGAAAGTACTCAATTTGAGGCGAAAGAACCATTCTCTAGACACGAAAGACACATACATCGCCGCAAGCGCAAAAATCGCGAACATGAACGAAACAGAGACGATCAACCCGAGTCGCAGCGAGACGATGTGCCTCATCTTTTTGTTATAGACCGACATGGAGACGTTCCTTCTGCTAAGTTCGGTCCGAGTCGACATGGAGTTCCGAAATATGCATCTTGTGATGGTACGTCTCGCGCCACCACTTACCGTTGCACAAGTGCGAGAGAAACACGCGCGTCAAAGTCTGAGCCTACGACATTTATCTGGCAGTGTAGCAAAAGAAAAAATAGACACTTCCAGCTCAAAAAGACGCGCCCCAATAGATGGGGACTTTGTACCAGTGGCAGATGAGAACGAATCGTGTTCGTATGGGCCGAATGGAGATCCAAACGAACTTGCGCGGCCCCCATTGACTTCGCAAACTGACAAAGATTCAGTGTTCACGCCTACATCCCCTCAAGAAAAAATCCGAAAACTACATGCATTGATTGAGAAGAGCCCAGATGATGTTGATGCATGGCTAAAACTTGTCCGTGCTCAAAGAGATTTACTTGGGGATACGAATTTTCTACAACATCCGTCTATGGAGAACACACTAGCTCAAATGGAGCTTAGCGTTATCCAGCGTGCACTAGATGCCTCAAGAAGCAACGCTAAGTCAATGCCACTCTTGCTCACCAAGTTGAGGATTCTAGCTGATCGCGGGCTATGGCCGGACGAGAAGATCCAGCAAGAATGGCAGACACTTTTGACACATTCAGCATGGGATACTGATGAATTGATTCAGCTGTGGCTTGGATATGTTGCATTTCGCAGGTCGAGTGCAACGCAATTTCGGCTAGATGATGTGGCTAGGGTGTACGCGGACGCCGTGCAAGCCATCACGCAGCGATTGCGCACATGTCCTACAAGTGACACAGTGAGCTTAGAAAAGTGCCGTTTGGATTTAATATTTGACATGTGCCAAATGTTGCAAAGTGCTGGTACGCCCCGATCAGTGCTAACATGACAGGATATTTTGAATGGGCGCATGCTATCCTCCAGGGACTATTAGAGTTGCATATGTGTATTTGGAAAGAAGGAAGCTCAGACGTTATGTCAGAAGAAGACATACTTGACCTTTTCTGCGCCTGGTGGGATCGTGAGTATCCCCGGATCTCTGATCAAGCCGTTCTCTATCGAGGATTTTCGATTAGGAACCCAGCGGCACCGAACGTGACTGTGTCACCATATATTAGACCCCTGAATGAAGACCCGTCTATCTGTTCAATTGATTCTGAGGGAGCGCAAGATATGCGAGCATCTTGGAGAGTAAACGAACTACTTTCTGCTTCATGCACGCAACCCAGATATATTCGTGAGACCGCTTCATCTGGATCAAATCCGGACCCTTTTTCTTATGTCATTGCTTCAGACATACGACCTTACATGTATTTACCTGTGTCAGACTCATTTATGGTTATGATGATGACACTGGATGCATTTTTATCTCTTTGTGGTCTGCCACGATCATGGATCTCACAGGCACTATATCTGGGAAGACCCATTCCATCTATGTGGGCACCGACCAAGACAATTCAAAGTATACCCCGTATCTTACCTCGGTGGTGCCAAGCTAGGATGCCAAATGCTTTTTGGGACGGAATGTCACCTGCTAATCCATATAACTGTTCAGTTCAAAATCTATCTCTTTTACCTGACACTCTTTTTCCTCACACTAACAGAGACCCTCGAGGGCCATGGTTTGTTTCCCTTCCATCGTGCATCTCAAGGTCAGCAGTTTGCCGGATTGAGCGGTGTCTCTTGCAGTTTGCTTCTGTTTTATCTGATAGTGGTGAAACCTGCTTTGCAGCACAAATGGCGCTTCCACTCGCCATACTTTGTGCAGCTGTCAATGAATTCAAGAGGTACGTGGTTTCCACTTTTGACTTAGCAGTGCGAAACAGATTTTGCGAGATCAACTCAAGAAGACGCCCCAAAGTGTTTGTTTGTGGTATACATACGCAGAACTTGAACTCTGCGTGTGGGGTAATGTGGCCGCAGCAAACAGAGTTTGGACGGAAGTATTATTCTCGCCTACTCAAGATCATCAAGACCCATCTACTAAGTACTTCTTGGCAATGACTTGGACCATGTGGGTTGAGTTGCTTTGGGTGCTGGGAGATTGGACATCTTGCTTGCAAGTGGCTAAAGCTGCAGTAGCGTGTGACTTTTCTTCTTCTTCAAAACGAATTGAGCTTAACGATGCCCGGTTAATGACTACTACAGAAAAACTGCAACTGCTGCGGTCATTGCGTTCGTCAGTCCAGAAAGAGCAGGCCGTGCCGAACTGCAGTGTACTGGCAATTGCGGAGCACATTCTCCAAGATACCTCTGTTGGTGATGAACTAATAAAAAGCCTGCAAATTTACCTGGATGCGATCAAGAGCTGCGAGAACCAGTGGCATTTGCCGCTTGTGCTCATGTGTCAAAAGTTTCTTACCATGTCGTTGCGGGCACGGCGGAAATCTGTGCTGCGGCATAGAGAAATACGAGCATTAACTACGAGACTTTTGAATGAATTTCCGAATAACACCATTCTTCTCCATCTCTTGGTATCGCAAGAGCAATATGCTCGCTTGGAACAGCACGTGCGTCACATCATGGAGGAGCTGGTGCTGTTCGACACACACACTGATTCAGAGGTCTGTTGGCAACATGCATTGGCGGTCGAACTAGCCCATGCGCGTACAAGCTCTGTGCGGAATCTAATAGACCGTGCTTTGCATGCATCGCCACATTCGCAAAGTGTATGGCACGCTGCACTTGACTTTGAAATTCGCCTTGCACAAAGTGCCACGTCAACAAGAGTATCATCCTCAACATCATCATCGTTGCCCACTTCGAGAATCAAAGCGCTCGTATATCAGGCCCTCCGATTTTTTCCTTTTGACAAAGGTACGTATAGTAACATTCTGATGAACTCTTCTATCAGCGATTCTACTGCTTGCTATGCACCCTGCATTGCTCCCCGCGTTCACAATGGAAGAAGCGCAAACCCTCACGAAATCAGCAGAAGAGTGTCAGTTGCGCATGTTCTCAGACATGTCAGATGACCAAGAAACTGACTTGGCCGAACAAGCCCAGATCCCACAACTGAATGTGAAAGATGCACAGCCCTCTTCCGTGATGGACCAAATTGATGCATTTCTGCATGAGGTGAGTGGCGGTGCATAATACACACACACACACGCACACCCCGATTGGCGGTAACTCCAGAATCATAGACGCAGCTAGATCCAACCAATTAAAATGAAGAATAAGTAGCGTGCTTAATACATTAGAATGACACTTGATGGCTGAACGCTTGCTTCTAGAGTTTAAACTATAGCCACCACGATGTGGATTCAATATGCATCATGGGCACTGCTCCTTTTCACTGTAGGAGTGTCAGCTCTGCCTGACGCGCGTCTAGTGGTAAAAAGAGATACCAAATGCAATGGATATTCAGAGTTCTGCAACCGCAAGTATTCGAATATCACATACATGGGCACGCATGACTCGTTTGCAATCGGCAAGCTGGGTTCATTAGGGTCGAACCAAGCGGCGAGCTTGACAGACCAAATGGAAGATGGGATCCGACTACTTCAAGTACAAACGCATAAGAGCGATAACTCTGACAGTTCGAATCCATCGGGACTGAATCTGTGTCACACCTCCTGTACTCTCAAGAACGGGGGGACACTTGAATCCTACTTGAAGAAAGTGGGTAAATTTTTGAACAATAACAAAAACGAAGTGATCACGCTGGTCATGACGAATCCTGATAAGAGGCCTGTGACCGACTTTGCCAAAGCGTTTGAAAATGCGAATGTAAAGGATTTAACGTACAAGCCGAACTCTCAAAAGATTTCGAAGAAAGACTGGCCGACCTTGCAGCAGATGATTAACAAGAACCAGCGCCTGGTCGTTTTTCTCGATGATAAGGCTGATTTTGATCAGGTCAACTACATCTTACCGGAATTCAGAAACATTTGGGAAAACGATTTTGATCAAACAACGTCGAAGTTTAACTGTACGCCGAGTCGCTACGTTGGTGATACAAGCACAATGATGTACATGATCAACCACTTCCTCGACAAGACAATCTTCACCGACAAGATCACGTCGCCTGACACTAACAAAATCGATCAGACTAACTCGGTGAAATCCATCCTAGGTGACGCAAACAATTGTGCAAAAAGGCACGACAGCTACCCTACGTTTGTGCTGGTAGACTATTATTCATCGGGAAATGGCAGTGTTTTTGAAGCAGCTGCGCAAATAAACAATGTCGATTACAAGAATAAGCCCCTGGCTGCGAGCAAGGACGAGTCCAACAATAATTCAGCTGCCATGGCTTTTCCTGACGCCAATTGGCTGGGTATCGCACTAGTCTTCGTATCAACCATTACCTGGCTATCTTGAACAAGTGCATGTTTAACGTATTCGTACTCACTTGCTCATCGTTTGCAACTGGCACGAACGCCTAATTTCTAGAGCATCTAAGTACAGCCGGCAACCTCGGCCTGTAATCCTCTATAGACATTTCCTTCTGAACAGTAGCCCTTCGAGTAAGATATAGCCCCCAAACTATTTATATATTCTTGACATGTCTATGAAGTTCGCGTTTAGTCGACGTCCATCTCACCCTGCTTCTGGTTCTCATTACTCTGCTGCTGCTGCTGCTCAGACTGCGGAGCCCCTTCGCGATTGCCTTCAGGCTTCGGTGTGTCCACCGGCACACGAGGCTTGGGCTTCGTGAGGATCGGCGTGCAGACATAAATAACATCGTCTTTCTTCCTCAAGATTTCATCCGACGTCAACTTCGGCTCCACATTCTTAGGCAGTTCGCTTTGCTTGTACATATAGTCATCAAGCCACTTGCCGACAGTGGCAGCTTTCTCAATGACTTTCATCTTGTCATCATCAGACAAGTGGTCGTACTTCTCGGGTTCATTCTCAAACACAGACATGTACTTGTTTACCACTTCACGTAATTGCGCCGCAGCACGAGGACGCTCATCGTGTTCCTTCCAGCGGAAGTGCACAGGAGCAGCAGCCTTCTGCAATGTTTCAAGACGCGACACATACGCAGACTTTGAAGCATCCTCGCCCTCTTCGGTGTATAGCCAGTCCTCAGACTCGCCAAGCATCGAGAAAAGCTGCTCCTTTTCCTGGGGCTGGACGAACTGAGAGTACCGTTCGTCTAGCTTAGAACGTGTGTCGTAAACAAACTCCTCCAAAGCGTTCTTGCGGTCCTCCGTGTCAGCCACGAGCTTGTCTGCAGCATACATCTTGCCCTCCTGCTCCTTCAAGTCTGCGATCATGCTCTGGTCAAGAAGACCAATACCAGAGACGATCGGCAGGTCATCTTTGCGCTGCAGCTTCTTCACCATGCGCTTCTCAGTCTTTGGCTCAGTGCCTTCAGGGGCTGCTGGGTCGACCACAGGCACTTCCTCTTCCTTCTCAATTTCATCGACAGTGTAAGCACTTTCCACATTCAGAACGCCATGCAGATTCAGACGCGCCTTTACTTTGACGATCGAGTGCTCGCCCTGTGCATTCGGCGCAACATTCTTCACCGTGACACGACCGAGCCATGGGTTCGTGCCCTTGGGCAACGTCTCCGGGTTGCAGTATGCAGCGTCCAGCGTGAAGGGCTCCTTGCGGTAGAACGTAAGGATCTTCGTTGACGGCACAGGGTTGTTTGTGTTGAACACGACAAGTTCGTTCTCTTCGTCCGGCACATCTGGTGCCGGCTCCCACGACACCTTAATCGGGTACGACGAAATGTCATGCACGGAAAATTCACGCACGCGGAACACTGGGGAGAGCGTAGCGCAGGCCAACGTGCAACCACGCACGTTAGCTTCATCCTGATTCAGTGTATACGACAGAGGCCTGCCGAACCATTGTGAAATACGTTCCTTCAAAGCAGGGACACGTGAGCTACCACCCACTAGCTCGATGCTGAAAATCTCATCCTTCGTCAATCCGGACTGAGACAGAGCAGCATCGAGGGGTTCGTGCACACGCTCGAGGTATGGTGCAATAAGGTTTTCGAACTCCTCACGTTTGAGCTGCGAGGCAGCATCGATGTCACTCATTAGACTTTCAACATTGAGTTGAGCAAACGTGTTGGCTGACAGGACCTTCTTGAGACGCTCACATCCGGCCGCCAAGCGGAACGTCGATTTAGGGTTCGATAATACATCAATCTTGTACTTATCGTTGAATTCTTTAGCAAAGTGCTCCATCAAAGCACGGTCAAAGTTGCGGCCACCAAAGTTCGGGTCGGCCCACGCACCAAGCACAGTAAGCTGTCCTTTGCAGAATGCCACAACTGAGACCTGGTAGCTCGAATGACCAATGTCAACAAAGATGACATTGCGCGGGTTTTCAGGCTCTGGCAAGTCTGTCTTTGTGATACCATAGCCCAAGGCCGCAGCTGTAGGCTCGTTCATCACACGCAGAGGGTTCAAGTTGGCGATCTCAGCGGCGTTGAGCATAGCACGACGTTGCGCGTCGGTGAACCAAATTGGCACGGAGAGCACAACATCGCTGACGCCTGAACCGCCAAGCTCACGCTGTGTGGTGTCACGCAGCTTGCCGAGGTACATGCCCAGCAACTGTGTGGCAGAGAAAATATGCTCCTCACCTTGGAAGCGCACCTTCACACCCACCTCGCCCTTGGCATCCACAAGCTCGGCATTCACAAAAGGCTTTTCAAATTGCTGAATGGACTCATCCTGGAACGTGCGACCAATCAGTCGCTTAAGCGAGCCAACCGTGTTCTTGAAGTTGGATGTCTGTGCGTTGGCAGCGCCTTCACCGAGCGCACGAGCCTTCTGACCAAACGAGACTAGAGATGGAGTGCTGCGATTGCTAACTTCATTCGTTACAATGTCGACGCCACGCGCACGCGCGACACCGATTTTACTGCTGATATTTCCGATATCCAGACCCACGACACTTGACATGATGGGTTTAAGATGAACGTAATAGAATGACAACAGCCTACTTTTATTCCGCTTGCTATGTGGCCGCCGCCCACGAGGCAGCCTTCGAGAAACAGGGCGCACTAACCAATCGTGTCATGACATTGATTGTGTTGCACCTAATAGGGACTTGGGTATATTCTATAGGATTCTGTATGCTTCGATTCACTTCGACGTGTTTGCCGCAGAGGATGACAAATCACCATGCGTTATGTTCACGTCACACTAGTGACAAGGATACGAAACAAAGGTCCCCACTCGCACATGGACAATCGCATGTGGGCTCGCCTAGGATCGATAGAGTTATCAAATTGCCGCAGCACGACAATCCTCATCTTAGCGCACCGAGTTCTCGACAATCTAAGCGGGAGTCTTTTTTTTGATGGTACAACCTCTACAGGATTTTGGGCCACAGAGCCGTACCTACCGCAGGTACTACCTACCTAGGCAGTTTTGAATACATGACATGGAAGGAGCACTCTGAAGGCTCTATCATCATCATGGGGAAGATAGAGAGAGGGAAAACTAGATCAGGAACATAGACAAACATCCAATAAAGCAGCTTAGTTCATGCGACGAACAAGACGGTTGATGTCCGACTCACGGTCACCGTATTCACCACCCTCAATGTAGTGGTTGAACTTCCGCTTCTGGAAGCCGCCCGTCGGACTAGAGAGTTGGAAGGGCCACAGGAAACGGTTCGCCACCTTAAAGTTAGGACCGACCGTCGCAATCTCGTGAACAAGGTCTTCCACCGAAATGATGCCGTACTTGCCGAGGTGAGCCTCGATGACGCTGTTGTCCGAGATAGGAATGCGCTGCTTGTCCACCTTGACGTAACCTCGCTTGTAAATGAGCTCGCGAATCGACTTGAGGTTCGGCTCGCCCCATGTCACGTATGGCGAGATCAACTGAAGCATCTGTTGAGTGGCCGCCGTCAGCTTCACGAAGACACCGTTGTTAATCTGACGAAGGCGCAACAGCTGCATGATCTTACGTGGCTTGGGTGGAATGTTGCTGACACCACGCAGACGGATCACGAAAGCCACACGAGGCTGGGATGGCACGAAGAAGTCGCCCTGCGACTTGGCCAGGCGACGCAAGCGGATCTGCTCACGCTCCGCAGCCTTGTACTCCTTCACGTATTGTTCAGCGCGCTTAAAGATAACCTGACGCTTCTGCTTGCGGGCCTGTATTATGTTAGTTTGTGGATCTTTGCAACAGTTTAGGCGTCACAGACAGGCGCCTGACAAACTCGCTCTCTCTACCCGCATGAAAGGCACCCTACGCCATCGCGCAAAAACGACGTCTCCGTCTTTGTGATCAGCCCCGAAAGATGGTATATTAGAGACATCATCGACGTAACAAGCAGTCTAGTCCAAAAGAGGATAGTTATGCATCACGTAGACAGAGGGCACCTTCACCAAGCACCAAGCAAGTAGTCTCAAGGAGCCATCTGACCTAGTACATACCTTACGGAGCTCAAGGGCCTTGGCCTGGTTCTCCTCACGGAGCTTAGCATCGGCCTTACGCTTCTTCAAGAGCGTCTCCGGGATGAGCACATCGTTAGCGCTTGGCACAGAACTGCGGTGCCTGTTAGCAAACATATCCAAATCATGCCTCGCAGACCCATAGTACACATGCACTCTGTAACACTCGATACATTAGGGACGCGCGCGCGCAGTCAGCACAGGAAAGAGTACCGTTCGAGCTAACAGACACGTCACCTTGCCTCACTCAGCAAGGCTCTTCTGAAAGCATTTAGGCTTTCTACGCGCGCGAGATCCACAAATAGTGCACATAACACACGTAGCACAATACATCTGCGTAATTAGTACGTACGTCTTGACCGGGGCGGCAGCAGACATCTTGACGAAAGGTGAAAGCGTCGGTGCAACCGGTGGAAGGTTGGAGTGGAAAACTTTTGCCCGTACAGACACACCTTACGGTGCATCGACCCAGTCGTACACACATGGTGATCACGTGTTCCATTGTAGTTCTGTGGTTTGCACGTGATATGAGATTGATCTAATCTCACTTGTCTGCCGTCGTACGAAGGGTCATTTGTTCAGGGACGTTCATGGTAAATTAAAGGCATCCATCAGGATCGTTTTACTTTTAGGTAGCATTGGTACTTGTAAACTATATGATTACCTGCGAACGCATATGCATATTAGAGAGTCGACACTTTATTGACGTCGCTCGTAGCGCCGTACGGGAAGGCAATGTGCCAACGTTGTGCCTCGACAAGTTGTGATACTACCTTAGGGCACGTAGATATATGCAGCCATCCTGCTTCAGTTGCATGCGAGGCTCGTATCCTTGTGAGTGCTATAGGATCATACGGGTCAGAGCTGGTAATTATGCATAAACCAAGCAGTTGCTGTTAGCTTGGTAAGCAGGCTGCTACTGCTGATGTGCCTTAATTCCTCGATTTAGATGCTCTTCATCCACATTGACGCGCGTGTCAAGCCGGCTTGTGCGTGTGTGTACGTGTGTATTGTTCATTTATCTTGCTGCTGCCAAGTACGTGTATGCTTACGGAGCACAGAGATGTCGCTCTTCTTTGCAGACAATACAGGGCTAGAAGATAATCCACTTACATCGTCAAGTGCGGAGGTATGGGGTGGGACGGCGCCATCCACGGAGCCAGCCCTGCCAAGTGCGGGCTTGTCACAGCCACAAAGCATCTTGAATGATGATGACGACATTGATGAAGAGCACCCATGGGGTCGTCCCCTGGAACTGCCAACAAGCACGGCGAAGCAAGAGTCGCACGCGAATGCGTGGGACACCGCCACGGATATGATGAGTGATGAGAGTGCTATTCGTGGCGGCTTTGTTCACGACGCTGTAAACTCACATGCTGAAACATCCGAACACCGAGAGAGTTTGTTAAGTGCGAATGATGTCGCTCCTCAACCCCCTCCAAAGGATGCGGAAACGCAAGCCAAGCGAACGCGGAGTAACAACGCTGCGTCAATAAAAAACACCTCTGTATACCCAACTAGTTATTCGCCATTCGCGCGCGTTGAAAGTCTAGGACCGCACCCTGCAACGGCCGAAGATATATACGGTGTGCCAGAGAACTTTTGGAAGTTGAAGTCCGAAATCCAAGAACTCATGGGCACGGGCGCAAAATGTACACTGACTACGAAGTGGTCACAAGGACCAATATCCCGGCGTTTAAGTTGCGATACTCCTCTGTCTGGCGAAGATACTCAGACTTTGACTATTTCCGCGAACTGCTCGAGCGTGAGTCAACGCGAGTTAATATTCCACCTTTGCCGGGCAAGGTGTTTACGAACCGATTCTCTGAAGAGGTCATAGAGCACCGCCGTGAAGGACTCGAACGCTTTTTGCAGATCGTGGCGGGACACCCGTTGCTACAAGTACGTTCAAAGTCAAAATAACTCACAGTACAGACAGGCAGCAAGCACCTCGCTGCCTTCCTACAAGATAGTCACTGGAAACGTCCATAATAGGTTCGTTTGTATAAATGTCTTTTTTTGTTATATATCCACACACGCGCGCCATTGGGGGGAGGGTGTTGCAACTAAAAACGTGACATCAAAGACTAGTAGAGCGGGCCGAGGTGTCTATGCAACTGCTCACAATAGCACAAGTGAGTCAAGTGAGATTGATAGAACACAATAAAATAACATATCAAAGACAAACGATTCCTGAATATCGTTTTTGTTTACATAGAACGAGTGGCAAAGGCTCGCACCCATACACGGTGTAATTAATCAGACTTTGTCGGCTTCGCGCGCTGGGGCCGTGGAACTCCATTAGCTTCAAGTAGAGGATCATCCTCCGCTTGAGGCTCGCGGAAGCTACCGCACAACCGGTCACATGTAGTAAAGTATTGACCGTAGTTGCAAGTGAAGTAAAGATGGTGAAGAGTATGGTGAGCCGGTCCATTGATGTATTTCTCCAGCCCTGTGTTGTTGATCATGTCTGAGTCATGGATCATAATACTCCATATATTGACAAAGCCGAAGAGAGCGAGGAACAAGAGTTTGTTAAGGGGGAAGATCCAAGGGAAAATATGGTATGGGAGACTTTGCGCATAGCCATCAAGTGGATGAAAGGCATGCGAAGCAAACGGTGTGGGTACAACCCACTTGTGATGCGGCTTGTGGATATACTTGTATATGCGTGGATGGTGTTCTGAACGGTGCACCCAGTAAATGCAAGCGTCAGTAAACACCAGAAAGAGTGGCACACTCAGTATCAAGTACCACAATCCATACTCGTCCCAACGATCGTATGCGAGCGAATAACCACGTACTTCCAGCACGAACCAAGGAAGGGTAAGCAAATCAAGCATCGGGAATGCGCGTAAGGATGACTGAATCTCGAGCTTCACTTGGTTCTTTAGATACAGTGGATGTTTCTTCAGATCCTTGTTGAAAAGAAAATAGTATGAGAAACCGGCGCAGGAGAAATATAGTAAAATGATGCCAATGTATGTGATCACATAGAGCGATATGATTTGACGAATTATGTTGTCGCGCGGAAGCCACGACACCTCTTGACCAGGTGCGCCACACGCCATAAGCCGATCAGCCTCAGTGATAGTCTGATTCAAAGCCATGGCATGCGTTGCAGAGCAGATCGGTGAGTAGCGTGAGGCAGGAAGCATCTTTGCCCAGACATTGTCGAGCAAGAACTCGTCTGCCAGGTGAAGAACAAGGTCCATCTGCACAGCTAAGTCCGTGTCAGGTTATTGGCAGACAAGTAGGGCAGGTGGAAAAAGTACTAGAGTACGTGCGGTCTCAGGCTACTTTTATGACACTCGTATCAAAGTGGCGTGACTCTCATAACACGTGGTTTCTCCACCTGTCAAAACCTTGAGAAACAACCTACACGCGTGGATAGTGTGGAACAAAATCTTGTGCTATCCAAATCCCCTGAAATCGCCATTTCTACATTAGACCAGGGACGTACGCGCACCATTCACCCTGATTGGACGGTATAGGTGACACGACTTGACACCACTTCCAAACTATGCATTGTTCTCGATCCAAAGTTGCATTCCAGTCAAGCGTGCCATATGTGAGGCGAGATATGATAGGCGCCACGCTTGGAGCAGGGACAGGCAACGGATCATATAAGGTGCGCAGTCCAGCCACATGCAAAAGAGTGTGTGCAAGTGCAACCAGACCATGCCCGTATGAACGCTGGTGCGATAACGCATATACGAGTAAATGATTGCTTATGTCTCCATAAAACATGAAGCGCGATGGAAGTAGGGCGCTCGAGGAGCTTTGGATATGAGGGTATTCACTAAGCGAGCACATGCTCATGCTCATGATGTTCAGTTCGTTATTCTGAAGCTGCAGCTCAATCGATACCAAGCCCACATCGCGCAGCTCAACGAATACAGTACCACTCTTTGACGACCATAGCGATACACGGGCACGAACGCGCTGAGGCGGTAATGTACGATTGCCCTGACTGTTCGTCAAAGTAGACGACTCCTCTAGGCACCTATCTTTCATGTACAGGTGGAACTCATGAACCAAGTCCTCGACTGAAGAAAGTAAAGACACGTCTCGGCTCCGTTCCGTTACCCGTTCAATCCATGCTGTCGTCGCTTGAAAGGTGAGGGAGGACGGGATCGGCTGCAGAGGCGCACGCACCGACTGGGTCGCACTCGTCGAATGCTTTTGCCTAGAATCTTGACAGGGAGGAGAATCGGTAGAAATGCGTCGTTTCTTGCGCATCCGGAGAATGATGTCTCGCTTATCATTAGGCTCGAGTGGCCTGCGCTGTTGCTCTTGTTCAAGAACTTCTAGCGCGTTTACCGATGGTTCCATCCCAGTCAGTGGACTTCGAAGCATGGAAACAACTTGATTAGAGATATGAAGCATACTCGTAGCATTTTGCAAAAATGTATGAAGACCTTGGGTAGGCGTGGGTGCCGCCGTTGAGCTCTGATCCGCGCCTATTGCAGCTGCAAGCCCTTGGTGCACCTGAGCGACGCATCTGCAAGACGCCATCCATGGGGTATATAAGATCATTCAGTCCATATAGAAGACCATCATGCATGGATGGATGTGCTGGGAGGGGCTGCCCTGACGACAACGGGGTATTAAGGAGGGTTTGTGCTTGCTGGACACGCGACAGCGCTGCTTTCCAACATGTCACATCAGCAACATTAGATTCCTGACTCGATTTTCTGCCTGCATTTGATTCAACTCCGGCTCTTGATCCTGAAGAGAATCCAGATATGTCAGCGGCCCCTCCCTCTTCAGGTGTCATCAACGTTGACAAGGGGCCAGAATCACTCGCACACGCCAAGAACCAGCAATTTTAACACTTCGATAGTTGGACACGTCGAGACAGATGATGATGGTTTGGCACGTGACCTGTGCCCATGGTTGCACGCGTCATTGGCGCACCTTGATTTATCGCCTGCGCACGAGCCTAGTATAGTGACTGTGGCTCACGACGACCTGCTTGCTGTTTGTACCGCAGGCATTTGCTTGCCTATGGGGATGACAAAGTCCAAAGAAGAGCTGAATATTACCTCTGAAGTTGCCCGAGTTGCAGAATTGCTGAAAGACAAGAAGAGTAGGTCTTGAATCGTTCCACTAGACTTACAGTCCAGCAACTCGTGTTGTTGTGATGGCGGGCGCAGGTATTTCAACAAGTGCAGGCATTCCTGATTTCCGCTCTCCTGTAACAGGACTTTATTCCCGTCTAGAAAAATATAAGTTGCCCTATCCCGAGGCGCTATTTGATATTCAGTATTTCCGTCGAGATCCCCAGCCCTTCTACACCCTATTCGAAGAGTTGTATCCAGATGGAACGAAATATCGCCCTACACTGACGCATACTTTTATTCGCCTTTTGGAAAAGAAAGGGAAACTCCTTCGTTTATTCACACAGAATAGTATGTGATTCTGTTTCTGCCTACTTCGAACTTACAATCAGTCGACACGTTAGAGCACCTGTCTGGACTAAATGAAGACAAGATTGTCGAAGCGCATGGATCATTTTCAAAGGCCCGTTGCATCAATTGCAAGACACCTGTCTCCAGGGAATGGTTAAAAAAGAAGGTGAAAGGTGGTCATGTCGCTCGTTGCGAGCAATCCAAGTGTCAATATGAGACAACACTAGCGCCACCGATCAAGCCAGATATTACTTTCTTTGGAGAGAGCTTGCCCGAAAGGTTCTTTGAAAGACTCTATGATCTTCGAAGAGCCAATTTACTCCTTGTAATGGGGACATCGTTGGTCGTGCAACCATTTGCGTCGCTCATTGACGAAGTGCCATTGGACTGCCCGCGCGCCCTTCTAAATCTAGAGCGCGTTGGTGAGACTGGGCGGGGTAGTATGTTTTCGAAATTTGGTCTGGATTTCAGCGAAGGGTTTGATTTTGATTCAGAAGACTCGCGCGACATATTTTGCCCTGGTGCCGTCGATAAAACGGTGCGTCTCATAGCCCAAAAGTGTGGTTGGGAGGTACGTGTCTCAAAAAAAAAAAAAAAATGCAATCACAGGATTCACATCTATGATAGAACGAATTGGACGAAATGCACCAACAGATGCACCGAAAATTGGACCGCATACATGGCTTGACGGTGCAATTTGATGAGAGGAAACAACTCTCGACGAAAAGCACGTCAGCTACACTCGCCGATTCACTAGCAGATCAGCTTCGAACCACGTCATTGGAAGACGACAATGACGCTAAAGACGAGTTGTGTGATAATATTGCTGATGAGAAAAATGGTGCCAAGGAAAAACTGTAGGTCATCATGATTTGACATTTGACCCAAATGGGTATATCCTCGATGTGATCCGGAGTCTCATGACAAAATCCGTCCTTTTTTATCTCAGGCGCTTGGGCTCCACTTAACCAGGTCATAGCATGAATGAGGCAGATAGAATAGCCGAAACGTGCATACAAGTGTATTCATCTCTCCCCCATGGTGGTGCAAAGCCACAGAAGCGATCAAATGGTCGGTGTGTATGCACAAAGGTCGCACACATTATCTAACCTAGGCATGAGTGGACAATTCTTGCAGGTGCTGTATTGCATATCAAGGAGGGTAACCTTGTCCCTATTGCTGTGGCGACAGGTGCCAAGTGCATGCCATATGATCGGCTTTCTGAACATGGTGACGTATTGCACGACTATCATGCCGAAGTGCTTGTTCGACGAGGTGTCCGTTCGTGGCTTCTTGAGCGGCTCATCAAAGAGCAACAGGCACCGATCGATTGCGGCGTAGTGGATGAACTTCCGCGCCTCCTTGTCCCCACAGAATGGCATGAAAACAAGCCTTCTCGCTGGAAACTTGCATCAGACTTTCGTTTGTCTTGGTATGTGTCTATGCTACCATGTGGTGAAGCATCGTCCTCGGCTCTTCGCGCGCGCCATACAATGGAAGATGGACATGCACCAGAGCCTGTGCGGTACTCATCTTCTGCATCTGCAGTTCTACGCGGGCGCACTATGTCGCAACTGTCAACTTCAGCTTGCATACTTAGGACTAAGCCTGGACGTCCAGATGCACCCCCGAGCATAAGTATGTCATGCTCCGACAAGCTCATGCTCTGGAGCGCCCTAGGCATCCAAGGAGCTTTGTTGTCGCGGTGGATCGAGCCTGTTTTTATCAATCAAATCGTTGTGAGCTTTGACCCGTTTCTCTGTCCGGGTCTCACTGCATCCGAATGTTGCGCATCCTGTTTGTCTGCTATATCTGAGCGACTTGAGAATGAGGTAGTGCATCGTCCGAACGTGTTGACTTCATCGCTCATGTTTCCCCATGCGCGAGAATGCGTTGAAAGACAGGTTCTAAAGGAAACTCACCTATCTAAAGGCACTTCTGCATGGCAAGATATCGAACCAGTACCCAGTGCCGCCTCCGTGCTTTGGATTCGCGGACGGCCGTTGGAGAAACTATTAGGCGGTATCAAAATGGGTGCATCTCTGCGAAGACGTGGAAATACGCCCCTTCCTTTATCCACCTTGTCTTCAGTATGCCAGCGTGCTTGGTACATGCAATATCTTAACGCGTGTAAAGTCCTATCAAATGATGATACTTGCTCTTACCTCGCGTATTACGACCAAAAGCATGCATCCAACAACGCATCAACAGTTGCGTATTCAGAGCGTAAAAATATGCTTTTGGGATACAGCTCCTCTTCTGCGAAGCTTTATCGGTTCCTTGACATGCGCTATTCGATGGATGATCCTGTTTTACCTCCGTCGTCTTCGGCGCCCTTGTCGGCTTGGATTCGAACGCCTCGAGCCTTGCAAGACTTCAGGGTGGAGAAAGGCTGACGGTCAAATTCTGTTTGGCGCCTTTTCAAAAATGCGCACGCACGAACTTTTTTTCAGTGCCAAGCGAGGCACGGACACCGCGATTTGAATAATTTTTTCATATATTTCCTTCTTTCGGTTGACTATGACACGATATACGAAACTAGATGGTCGTAGGTCCATTTCGCATGGACCGAGTGGACAGACTGAAATACACGGACCGAGTGATGAAGTGACAACTAAGGAGAATGGATTGGATCAAAAAATTCATACGAATGACCCTAAAGCACTCTTGAAACGAGCAAAACTCTTACGGCTTAAGGCCAAGAAAGCCAAGTCAGAAGAGATCCAATCGAGGCATCTACAGCAGGCAAAAGCGTTGGAACGCGAAGCCTCTGCTGAAAACGGATCACGAGGAATACTAGGGAAGCGTAAAGGTCATAATCGCGACACTAGTGTGACGAGTGATTCTCGTCGTCGAATAGGTACGAACTTTCATTATACTTCTTGCATATGTGACGAGCTTATATTAACCACACATGCACTCGCCAGATCCTGACCAGCGCTCGGAATTTCGTCGGGCGAAACGAGCAGAGGAACGAAAAAACAAAATGCGCTGCTTTGTTTGCCGTGCATTCTCACATGCAGCCAAAGACTGTCCACATAATGTTTCGGGGGACACGCAAGGTAAAGATACTGTTGGCATTTGCTTCCGATGTGGAAGCACAGAACATTCACTCGCGCAATGCCGGCGTCCAAGATCAGAGCAAGCTGATGAGCTGCCATTTGCCACTTGTTACATTTGCTCAGAAAAGGTACGTTGTCCGAGGTCTGCGGTCTTGACTCACGCTTATGTAGGGCCATTTGGCATCAAAGTGTCCTCAGAACAAGGGAAAGAGCGTTTATCCTGATGGAGGCGAATGCAAGGTCTGTGGCTCTGTTGAGCATCTTGCGAGAGATTGTCCTCGGGATCCCCGTCGCATCACACATGCTTCGCACGTTGAGGCTGGCGGTGTGGGTCTTCTAGACAACGTGTCCAGCGGTGGCGCAGATGAAGATGAGTTCCATGTTGTTGCGCAGCATCGTCTGAATCAGCAGAAGGATGCTCAGCGGGAATGGAAGAAGCTGCATACGTCATCATCAACACCAACTGGAGCCGCATCCGCCAAAGTCGTTCGTTTCTAGGTATATTTGTAACATACATAGGGTATATGGAAACATGATCTAAACACGAGGATAATGAAACTCTGGATGTCCGCGAAGAACCATTAACCGAGCCACCGGTAGATGAAATAAAAGGCTGTAAGGGTGAGCACGGCGCCACCGAAGAACAATATCGTGTCTTGTGTACTCATGCGATCAATTACACCGATCAGTTCACGACTCAATCCAACAGTATTTGCTGCGTCTAACAAGCGCTTGCGAGTCTGCTTCAAGATACCCCGCTGCTCAGTGAGATTGCCGAGCACGGAACGGCCTTGTGTAATAAATGCGTCCAGCTGGCTCTCAGTATTTTGAATAAATGAGTGCTCCCGCAATGCGTGCGACTCGCGCATGCTGTAGGTACGTTCGTCAGGGGGGGCATAAGTGGCCGAGTGTATACGATATGCAGCGAGTGGATCTTGTTGTGGAGTTGGCATGGCCGGAGTCGAGTATGATGGCTGGCCTGTAGTCACAGAGACCGTTGGAATGCCAGACATATGATGCGTGGACGTCGAGGGCGTGGAATATCCCATAGGCTGGTACGGAGCATAAGTCGAAGAACTTTGTGTAAGTTCTGTGCTGTAGACGCCTCCTTGCCCGATAGATGGTTGCATATCTACGACGCGCGCTCGTGTTGCAGTAGTGTTAGGATTGGCTCCCGCGTGAAAAGACAAGGCGGACGAAGCATTAGTAGGTGGACGTGCTTGTACATGCGCGAGCTCTTCACGGAATTGCCTCACCTCAGCATGGAAGTTGGCTGCGCGGTTAAGGGCCTTTTCTCGCTTAGAAATGACAAGCTCCCGCTTAGCTATGGCCTCGTAGTCCTCGATGGTCTTGACAAATGCCGAGAGAGACGTCATGATTTGTGAGCGGAGGGAAGCATGTGCCAAGGGATCGCGCGAATACGCATCAATATCTGCTCGGATCGCAGCACTTTGACGACCCGCGAGATTATATAGGGAGTTCATTAGCTATGAGGCACGGAAACCGAAACGGACGACGGAGCACACCCATGTTTTGTTGCCATGGCTCGAGGCGCCCCGCTTTGCCCACCGCCGACGCCCAGGCTTGACACGCAACTTGGAAGCGTGGTTTGATCACGTGGAGCCTCTAGGAGCGTCGGGCCCACCTACTAGGCTCACGGTCTCAGACATTCTGCTACCAAACAGGCAAGTATGTGCGTGTATGCGAGTGCAGGTAGTGTCGAGAGACGAGAGTGGACTTGAACGGGGCAATAGGTGTTGCTGCAAACTGTCGTTGAAACGTCAGGCACCATGTCGGACGAGGCAGCCCCTCAGCCTGGCGCTATGACGTCGATGGACTAGTAAGTGGCGGAACTTGGGAGTTTGCATACATGCAAGCAAGCGAGTGTGTAGGTGCAAATCTAACGCAGTGTTCAGCTACGCGGATTCGTATGCGCATTTCGGAATTCATGAAGAGATGCTAAAGGACGAAGTACGGACGTTGTCGTACCGACAAGCGATCCAAAACAACCCGCACCTTTTCAAAGGTAAGACAGTCTTGGATGTTGGCTGCGGCACAGGAATCTTGTGCATGTTCGCAGCCAAAGCAGGAGCGAAAAAGGTCGTGGGTGTGGACATGAGCAACATCATTGACCAGGCGAAGGTCATTGTGAAAGCGAACAAGCTGGACCACATCATCACGCTAGTTAAGGGCAAGATGGAGGATGTCGATCTTGGTCTAGGTCCTGATGGGAAGGTTGATGTAATTGTGAGTGAATGGATGGGCTACTTCTTGCTGTACGAAAGTATGCTGGACACTGTGCTTCTGGCTCGTGATAAATACCTAGCGCCAGGAGGCGTCATGATGCCGGACCACGCGACGCTGTACTTGTCGGCCATTGAAGACCAAGAGTACAAGGAAGAGAAAATTGATTTTTGGGACGATGTGTACGGCTTTGACTACTCATGCATCAAAGAGATTGCTCTGCGCGAGCCGCTTGTCGATACCGTTGAGCTACGAAGCGTGGTATGCGACCCTGCGCCTCTGATGCATTTGAATCTTATGACTGTAAAGAAGGAAGACCTGTCGTTCAAGACTCCCTTCCGCCTCCATGTAACGCGCAACGACTATGTACACGCGTTCCTCGGCTGGTTCGATATTGGGTTTGAAGCATGCCACAAACCCGTGCGCTTTTCCACTGGCCCTCACTCTCGCTATACGCACTGGAAGCAGACTGTGTTTTATACGCCCAGCAATTTGACTGTGAGCCAGGGCGATGTGATTGAAGGCACGCTGTCTTGCATGCCGAATGCGCGGAACAATCGTGATCTGGACATTTCGATCACGTACAAACTGGAAGGCGCGAATCCAGCGGAAGGCTCGATGGACTACAAAATGTACGTTTAGTTACCTGGCATGCACGCAGGTCAAGTTCTGTTTCGAGGTCGACGCGAGCACTAACGCATTGGTTATTCAGGTCTTAATCCCCTTTCACATGATGCCTCTTCCTCCTCCTCTCCTCGAACCCGGCTTGCCGGTCGCCTGACCCCGTCTGTGGAATTGGGAGGCAGGGCGCAGTGCTACACGAACGAATGGGATGTACAAAGATGATACCCCATGTGCTTACAGAAGTCGTAGCGACATACACATGTCGAACCAACATATCATTCATCTACTTGCGATACCACAGGACAGCTTGGCGAGACCGGCGGATCTTGCGCTGCAGTTGCAGGATACCGTACAAAAGCGCCTCAGCACTTGGGGGGCAGCCTGGCACATACAGGTCAACAGGAACGATCCGATCGCATCCACGCACGACACTGTAGCTATAGTGGTAGTAACCACCGCCATTTGCACAAGAGCCCATAGAGATCACCCAGCGTGGCTCTGGCATTTGGTCATACACTTTGCGGAGGGCTGGCGCCATTTTGTTTGTGAGTGTGCCAGCCACAATCATGATATCACTCTGACGCGGAGTCGCACGGAACACAATACCGAGACGATCCTGATCGTAGCGAGGGCCCGATGCATGCATCATCTCGACGGCGCAGCAAGCCAAACCGAACGTCATAGGCCACGCCGAGCTCTGGCGCGCCCAGTTGACGATTTTGTCGAGCGTCGAGAGAGTGTATTCTATTGGTAGTTAGCGCGAAGGGGAGGTCCCAAAACATCCTGCATACATACCAACAGTATTCCGAGGGGTCTCAAGACTCAGCTGATTGCCACCGACTTGGGCCACTTGACGAGACGGAGCGGCTTCACGCTTCGGCGCCACCGACTGGTGCAGCGCACGAGTCGCAGCAGCGCGTGCAAAGCACGATACACCTAGCAGAGTGTGAGTATGCGGTACTTTTTTTGCAGTTACACACATACCGAATGGAGCTGACAGCAGAGACTTGGCAGGAGCTGTAAGCAACATGGTCGCTGCTATATGATCGCCGAGGAATGAATAGAAGACGCCGACACAATTCGCTTTCGCACTTACTCGTAAGGCCGGTTTAATGCTACCTATGTGATTGGCCACGACGGGACATCTATTTCTATGGCCCACGTGTTGGATGTTGGTGGAGGGCACGCGTGGGAGGATGTAGCACTTCGTCGAGCCCAGCGGCGAGCGCGTCGAGCCACGTACATAAATCCTCGACAGTCCGGCTCATCTCGGCCTGGAGCTCTTGGCGGCTAAGCAACGCAGCATAATCAAGCGTGCGGAGCACGGGACCTTCGAAGGGCGCCACGGACGAGCCTTTCGATGGCACATGGAATACATCTTGCGTGGTTGCGGATAAATCGGATGTTGCGTCAGCGACATTCGGAGCTGCGGGTATCGTCCAGTTGCGCATGTCCCGAGGATCCGGTCTCTTCGCTTGATCGGAATACTCACGCACATGCCTTTTCGAATTTGTAGGATCATGTCGCAATCTTGCCGTCCCCATCATGGTCGGGTCAGACCCGCCATGATGCTGCCGTCGATGTGCGCTCGTGGCCCTGGCATTCGCAGCAGGCGGCACGCTCGTATTCGCGACAGATGTGGAGTATGGGTCCAGCGATGTCAAAGACACGGAGGATGGCAGTGTCGCCAAGTTCGTGGTCGAAGAGTCCGTAGGCTCAGGTGAGCCGTCCTGATCCGCTTCTTTCTGTTTGGATAAGAAGCGTGCGAGACGATTCCCGGGGACAGAGCGGCTGCGTGGTAGCTCACTGACCGTCGATGCGGGTGCACAAGTCATAGCAGCCGTGTTGGCATGTCCACGACTGCGTGTTCGGCTGAGCGTGCCTTGTGGTCGAGACCCAGCAGTGTACGGTTCCTCAAGAAACGATGGCGTAGAATCACGGCCTTCATCAACGCTTCGTTTCGCGCTTTGTGTTTCCCACACAAGCGAAGAGGACGACGACACAAGACGTAGTGTTCGGAGGGGCGTTTGCCGCATCGCGCGGTTCGGTATGTGGCCGACTCTTCGAAGCGCTGGGGATGAACGAGTTGATTCGACAGGATCCTCAACGATAGGTGACGTGGGCACAGAGTGGCTCGACTGCGACTCGGGCAGTTGTGGTGATGTGCTCACGGACGAGGATGACGTCGCCATCACGTCCAGTGCACTAGGTGGTTCTAAGGGGCTTATGACCGACTTAGCCGACTCGTCCATCGACCCTTTTCGCGACACGGGAATTGATATGGACGTGGGCGCGGACGCGGCCTCCGGCACGGACATGGATAAGCCGGAGATGGGTGGAGTAGATGTAGTTGATGATGAGGCGGGATGCCCTGAGGATGCATTCGCTGTCGAGAATGATGACGGCGGCTTCGCTTGTTCTGTCATGCGACTGCCAAGGCCGAATCGGAAAGGCGTACTGCCGGAGCCCGAAAAGCCTGCGCCGGCAGGTCGTGCGTTGGTCCGCGGAGGTGACGATACAGACACTGACGATGATGATAATGATGGTAGTGGTGGCTGCGACTGCGACTGCGACTGCATCTGAGATGGGGATGGTGGATGTGACGTTGGATATGGATGCAGATGTGACGGCAACGGCAACTGCGTGAGCTGTGGATACGACTGCGACTCCGGCACAGAAAGAGGTTGCGACAGTGGCGGCGGATGTTTCACAGCCTTGACAGTGGCGAGCGCATTCTTCGGTGTGGATGTGATTGTGTTGACTGTACGAGATGTAGAGCGTGTCGTAGGATCGTCGGAGTCGTGCGTGGCCTCAAAGAGTCGGTACAGTGGATGGTCGGTAGGAGTTTCTGTGGGTGTCTCGGCTTCAGGAAGCGATGGCGCCGTGTCAGAGGGCGTTTCAGAATCGAACTGCCACTCTGGTTGGGGTGACTCGTCAACATTCGGGCGCACATCCGTCTGGATAGGAGGAAGTAGACTTTGGCGAATGCCACCAGCTTGTGTCCATTTATTGTACTGGACCAGAAGCTCTGTGAGAACACTAACAGGTACTTTAGCATGGGCTTTCATCCAACGCATACGTGCGAGTTCATCAGCGGAAAGTCGATCACGGGGCTCTGCATCTAGGCAGGCGGCCACAAACTCTTGCAGCAGGGGTGAGTACTGCCCATTGTCAGGCAGGCGCGGGGGCTGGTTCTTGGGAATCAGCGTGATGGCTTGGTGCAGGTCATGCTGAGAGTATGGCGGATTGCCGGTGACCATTTCGTACACAGTGATGCCAAGACTCCATATGTCAGCTTTATAGTCGTACGACTTGCCCTCTAGGATAACTTCAGGTGCCATCCAGTACGGCGTGCCAACAAACGTTGACCGTTTTCCCCGAGCACTGCCTTGCACAAACGATGCAGCAACACCAAAGTCACACAGCATCACTTGGCCAGTTCGTGTCACCAATAGATTTGCCGCCTTCAGGTCGCGGTGAATGATGCCGACCGAATGAATGTAGCTCAGTGCCACAAGTACTTCACGCGTCACCACAGCCGCAAACCGCTCCGCGATGGGTCCTGCCTTCATGAGTGTCCGGATACTGCCTCCTTCGTAATAATCCATTGCAATGCACAGTGTCGGCCCATTCAGCCAGCAGCCCCAATACTGTACAATGTTCTTGGGCTGCGTATGTCGAATTTGACTCAGTAGGGCTACTTCATGCCATATCTCGGATACATCAAAGTCGGGCGTGTCAAGATCAATGACTTTGAGTGCCACGACTTTGTTGCTCGGCACATGCAAGCCACGGTACACGGCGCCGTACGAGCCACGTCCGATCATTTCATACCGGCGAAACTGTGCATCGGGCGACGCCTGTGCTCGGATTGACGTGTTCCCACTAGGACTTGAAGGCATCCATGGCGGTATTCGATCTGCCCCGTCACGCGACGTGTATCTGCGAGGCACTTCCTTTCCCTCGAGTGCAAGTGGCTGCGAGTTATGAATATGATCGGCAGTATCAGTGGCAACAGCAGGCCGTGTGCTTGCCTCTACGTCAGGCGGTACTCGTGGTTGTTGCCGATTTCGCAGGCGTGTAAGACGAGAAATGGTCCCCGCGACGCGATTCGCCGCTACGCTGAATGGCTTCGACGTCGACGTTGCAGGCACCGAACGCATAGAATCCATCGACTCATTTGTTGTGACACCACGCTGCGGTACGCGGATAATGCGCGAACCAGGTGACTCTAGCTTTGTGGACCCGTCCGCAGACCACATGGGTATCAATGAATCCATTCCTCGCATCGAACGAGTGGATGACGATGGCGTCAAGGTTGGAAAAGCCATATCGGCATCTGCCGCATTTTCGTCTGATGCGTGAATGCGCAAGTGTGGTATCTTGGAGGGCGAAGAAGCTTTGTGCATGTCGTGAGGATCGTCTGATGCCCACCTCTGCGAAGTTCCTGTGGATGACAACATTCCTGTCATTTCTGCGCTAGCCGCTGGTGTCATCATAGATGCCGGCACTGGTGATGTGGGAGTGCTCGGTAACTCGGAGTGCCTGTACAAATCTGAGAATGCCATGGATTCAGACGTCGGCATCTTACCTGCGAGAGACGAGATGTTTGATGTGGACGCCACTGAAGGCATCATATGTGTATCACTCGCAGCGTTGGCAGAGCTCTGCATGTAAGAAAGAGCTGCAGGAATAGCTGGCGCCGGCGCTGAAGCCGCTGATGGCGCTGATCCAGCCACCGATGACGAAGGCGACGATGGGGTGGACAACGCCACTCGTTCGTCGACGGATCTGTGGCTTTTCGCATAGCGACGAGGAACGCGCTCCGCATCACTCGTCGGTGTGCGTATGTACACGACGCCGTCATGGAACGGCATGGGCATATCCCTCACCGCCGCCAAGGTGTCGCGGCCTCACACTCGGATGTAGACTGCCAATGGAGAGCGTGGCTCAAGCACACGAATAGAAATTAGGTAGGATTTATGTTCGCTGCTTATTGGAGCAACCAGTCACTACTCGAAAGTGTAGACGGACGGATGGCGTGTGGAGAGAGTGAAAAATTGGGCCCAAATTGCTCAGCATGTTTCTCGTCGAGTTGGAGCGGGCTGTGTACATGAGAGTGGAAGTCGTGCGACACCTATGGCGCGGGCGAAGCTACATTGTTTCTCGAACGAGTACACCATCGCAAACGTTGCGAGGCACGCCCGAAAGATATGCTGAGGAATGGCAAAGTTTATTATGAGAGTACACAGATTTCTAGTAACAAGATCCAAACAAGTATCTATAGCTGGCCCTGGTCAACCAAGTACGAACTAAGATGCTGAAGCAGCTGTTTCTGGTCTGCAATGGGGAGTTGGGTAGTGATGATTTGCATGACCAGCTGTACACTCATGCGTGAATCGCGGATAAGAGAGGAATAATAGACGTAGCTAAAAAGACCCATGAGGAACTGGCAGTCAAATCGGTCAGTCAAACCACCATGTCCAGGAATGCTGTGACCAAAGTCCTTGATTTTGAATGCACGCTTGAATCCACTTGCAAAGAAACCGCCAAATGGCGCCACAAGGCTGGCAAAAGCCGCCATCACGAGGGCATGACACTGGAACGGCGTCCATGAGAATGTGGTTATGGAGCGGCCAACCAAATGGCTGAGTATGTCGGCGATCCATGATGGTAACGCTGTAGTACGGACCAAAAACACAGAGTTTACCTCACAATCCGGTGGGTTAAACATGCTCATGCCAAGGCTCATCGCCGGACACACCATGTAGTCAAACTGCTGGAAGAAGCCGGCCCAGAACCAAGAGAAAGCGAGGGTGATTAACAGTGCGCCGATGAATCCCTCGACGGTCTTTTTCGGGCTTAAGCTAATCAGGGGGGTACGACCGAACATCATACCGCACACATAGGCGAAGACATCATTGCAAATGACCAGACTCGATGGTACCCAGAACCAGATGATTCCCTCCAGAATGTTGTCGACTAAGAAGTGACTCGAGAGCACAATGAGCATGAGCGACATATGCACCCAGCAGAACAGCGCAAACTGATGCTTCAAGTTCCGCCGTTTCAAATTCGACACGAACGCCATGAAACCAAACATATAAAGCATAAAAGAGATGAAGCGGTGATGACGTGCAAAGTGAAGGAACAGTGAGTCAGTCATGACAACATGCTTAAAGTAGTAGACCAGCGTCTCGCCGTACAGGAAAAAGTTGCACACGGCGAAGAAATACCAACTGAGTGACTTGCTCCAGAGCTCTTCAGCTTGTCTCTCGCGCTGGCTCTCTCCCTCATCGTCATCTTCAACCTCATTTTGTACCTGCTGCGATAATATGGTATGTCCTGGAACATTAAATAGTGCTGTCACTTCTCGGTAGACAAGCGTTTCAAGCACAAGCACGAGAAGAATCATGTATGACGGGCCCATTACTAGGATGAACATGAACCCTGCAATCATGAGGAGCGAAAAGACCACACGCTCCTGGATCTTTTTCCAGTAAGCCTTACGATCTGCGTTGCAACCCGGCTCCTGCATGGCGACACTTTTCTGCCCGCTCGTACGCATTGCTTGGTCCGGATGCTTGTTGTATGTCGTTGCTGTGTTTACCGCGCTGTTTGGACTTTGTGTTGTTGTTATGGGAATGGTGCGTCCAATGACCCCGGCGTCATCATTGCTATGCGCGTTGGCGTAGAGATCACCAGTCAATGTCATGGTGCGCCCTGCGCCAAGGGTGCCTTCACCTGCATTCTTCCGCCCATGCAATGTGTTGTTCGTCTCATCAGGTATAGCTGGCAGCTCACGCTCAGCTGCTGGCACTGGTAAAGATGTAACATCAGCCTCTCGCATGGACCGACCTTGCGCAGCAGACCTCGTCTTTGAGCGTGTCATCATCGGTGAAATCGACGAATCCCGCCCGTGTGCCGCACGGTCATCAATCAATGTACTCTGGCCTGATGCTTTCCCGGCTGCCGACACCGTCGGTCTTGTGCGTGCATCCGATTGTCCACGGCCTGGCGTGCCATCGAGGGCACTTGATCGGGCCGACATCGCGTGCGCAAACAAAATTGATCGAAATTGACGACGCGGTTCAAAGGGCGGAGCGGAGGGGAAGGGCAATTCATGTTGCCACGCCGCGTGGTGACCGTGCGTGCCACTGGGGCCACCGCCTTGACTCCTATGACTCATCACGTGATATACATTGCGCACAGACTATACAAACGTCGAGGAGGTTGTGATGGAGGCGGATTGAATCGGACACAAGGCTAAGAGCCCAAGCGTTTCAATGCCAGCGATAACGATGAAAAATGCACCAGGGTTCGTTGCCAGAGTCCTTGTGTAAATTTCATTGCGAAGGCATAGGCCGAGCAAGAGACATGGAAGCATAAGGGTTGACGAGATCACCAAATAGCTGTCGGACCCGCTTGGAAGTGGTTTCGGTCTCGACGTAGCCGAGGAGGCAACTGGACCAGTCGGTGATAGCGTCGGTGAATGGGCATCAGTGTGCGTGTTCGATGTGGGAAGATGCAATTGGAGCGACTCAGCCCGTTTGTCGACAATGGAATCGCAAATCGTACAGGCAGCGCTGCGGAGAAGAAACTGCGCTCCGCAGCCAAATGCAAGGGCAGTCGCACCAGCCATCAGGAGCCACTGCTTTGTGAGATAGACACCAGCGAAGATAGTCATCCAAGAGGTTGCATTGATGAAGAACGAAATACGCGATGCATGCAGGTCAACTTGAGCGCGCCACAAGCGCGCCAGTTCATACTGCTCCGATGACACATGGTCCAGGATGTGTTGAAGACTTGCGATGCTGTCGAAAGAGTCACGGCGTCGGCGTGGACGATCGAATGCTTCTTTTGTGACCGAAAAACATGCATCAAGTTGCTTGGGCGTGAGCTCTGAGATAGGTGCTGGCTTCGAACCCTGCCACACGATACGATGAAGCACGATGGGCAGGAGAATGGCCATGTGAACAAGACGAAGAGAATTAAATACAGCAAGTCCCACGGAAAGTGCATCGCGACTCCAACGAAAAACAAAGCCTAGAACGAAAATGAGCGCGACGGGGCCTTCTTGTGTCAGAGCAATACACATATCAGCCGCAGTGAACTGTAGGATACGTGTATCATATGACCAACGTGACATTCGAACAGGAAGGAGGCGCTGGAAAGCACCGAGCGATGCACCCCATTCGGCTGTATCACGACGCGTGGGTCGGTTCCGTGAAGCTCGTGTGCTTGAATCAACACTGGTCGAGTCCGCAAGCGACGACGTTTCATCAAGATCATCGCGACCAAGGCCGTCGCCGGTGCCAGAGCTCGCCAGAGCAAACCACACCCAGGTCCAACCTAGGAGCGAGATTCCAAATGCAAGCCAGTAAGGTGCGTTATTGAACAAGACAGCCCGTCCAAACACGAGCCTATTTTTTTGACATGTACGGTAGCCGATGCAGGCATTGTGTGCATTAGGAAAGATCCACGTCGACATAGATCCAAGTAAAGGCCCAAGACTAGCGCCAAGCAGCGTTGCAACTTGTGCGTATCGGAGGAGTTGTGATCGCACCTCCGGACTCGACGAGTCGGTGATAAACGATTCGACAGTCAGGCTAACAAGCTCATTTGTCCCACTAAGTCCACCCAGGACTGCGCATGCCCAGAATACAAGAAGCATAGTGCTGGGCGATAGCGAAAGAACATTGGGTGGTGCTAAGAATGGGAACTGATACAAAGGCAGGACGAGAAACGGTACACGCGCTAGCGCTGATCCACACATACCTTTAGCGGCCATTGAACGTCTTCGTTTTGGGTCGAAGCGGCGAACCCAGATTAGCATGCCTACAAAGTTGGCCAACACCACTGAGAATGTGACAAAGGTGGCGATTTTGCTAAAATGCTGTTCCACCTCTGGTCGCAAGCAGCTCGTGGCATCGATAGCATTATCATCTTCTTGATTCTTTTGTTCAGGATTCAAATAATAGTAGTGTGCACAGCTCAGGGAGCGGATCGCATCCATTTCAGCGGGGATCTGGACGGCTTGAATCAGGCCCAGCAGGTGAGGGATCACCAGCAGTGCGAGTGTCGGCATACACTTCCTTAATCCATGACGGATGTACGAGGTGTTTCTTGATATATGCGCACCTAGAGAATCATGCCGCTGCAGTAAGGGCCGTGCCTCTTCGTTCGCTCTCATGAAGGAGCCCAGTTATGCTGTGAGAATGAGTACTATTGTTAGTCTTAACATTCTGTGCAGACTGTTCATTTTCTCCACAACGTTTCCGCCTCTCGAAGGATACTGGCACATTTCGCCCAACGAATGTGTGTTTTAGGCACGCTATCAGCGCCTCGGTCGTCCGATTGGGGAGGGATCAGCGGGGGACGAGTGAGGGTGTGAAGATGAATTGATACCTGGAATGGCAAGTCAGCCAGTCATTAGCAATGAAATACAATTACATTCGTAGATGCCTGCCTTTAGTAGCAGGGAAATACATGCGTGTCTATAGGAAGAGTCCGTACTCGGACTGGACGAAAGAGAGAGAGGAGAGGGGACATGAATTTCCAGCTGAGCTATAACGCCAGCTGAGCCAAGGCAATAGGCGTTGCCTCGTCAATCGTGGTGGCTGCAACGGGTGCAGATGACTCCTGGTGGAGTGAAGACAACAGTGATGCTATAGTTGCAGGCGATGAGGGCAGCTGCAAGACCGCATCAAACACACTGCCAGCCACATCAATTTGAGTATCGCCCGTAACGACGGCGACAATCGGTGTGCTCGCATTGACATTCCGTGTACACTTGATCATGCGAGCACCGTCCTGAGCGTCAACGCCATGCATACCCAATTTGATAAAGACAGCATCAAAAACCGTGTCTCCCATAGCAAGCTGCACCAAATCTGCGCCGTCCATCGCCAGCGTCGTTTGCGCATCAATGCTTGTGAGAATATGTTGGAGCACATGGCGCGAGACAGGGTTGATGTCTGCCAGAAGAACGTGCCGCTGAGTATTCTTGCCGTCAGACCGTGTCGACATGGACGACGATGTACGCGTGCGAGAACGACTCATTCGTTCTGACCAAGAACGGCGGTACGATGGGATTGACGGTGTTGTAGGTATTGGATTCGAACCGGTGGACGACACACTAGCTGCAGGCGACGACGGCGAGTTCTGGGCACATTCCATGCGAATCCGGCGCAACATTTCATCGTTTGCCTGCTTGAGCACGGGAAGATTCTTGTAGCTGAACGAGCCAAACTCATTTGGTGTGCCTGAGCCACTCGATGTCGACCGGGCTGAGCCAGGTGGCTCTGCAGATTGGGGGCGATCGTCGTCCTGCCATAACTGGGGCACCGCGCCACGTGCATCAAAGTAGTCCGTGGACGCAGCGTCATCGAGCTGCGGCACAAATGGCCCCGGCTGGTCTGTTAAATGGTCCCAATCGATGCCGTCAAAGTACGCATGTGCCTTGATTTCAGCCACGCCATTTGCACCGAGGCGATGCTTTCGATTCATGCAAAGCAGACGATCAATCAAGTCGTGCGCATCAGGTGGGATCCCGATGTCGGCATCCCAAGCAATCTGGCGCGACAAAATCCGATCAAACACGTCAGAAGGGGTACTGGCATGGAACGGCGGGTAGCCATGTAGGAACTCAAAGAGGATTACTCCCACAGCCCACCAGTCGACGCCAAAGTCGTCCATTCCCACACCCAGGATGCTCTCTGGCGCGAGGTAGTCCGGTGTGCCGACGATCCGCCTGTTTGTCTCACACTGGGACATACTGTGGAAAAATGTCTCGGTGTTGGTGGATGAATCGGTGTTTGCTGGTGACATGAATGCAGACTCCGACACATTGGCTAGCGGCACGGGCAACGAGCGCTTCGAGCCTGGTTGTGCCCACGTTGTCGGCATCGGCGCGTGTTCTTCGGTAGTAACATGGGGCGTGGGGCGGTGCCTTCCGAGCAGGCCAAGTTTCGAAAGTCCAAAGTCAGTGAGTTTCAGATGGCCTTGCCTATCGATCAGCAGGTTGTCGGGTTTCATGTCTCGATGCACGACGCCAGTGCTATGCAGGTAGTCGAGCCCTTGGACCATTTCGGCCAAGTACTGCTGTGCCCACTCTTCTGGCAAGGCGCCAAACGTCTTGACAAGCGACCCACAGTCGCCGCCGGGCAAGTACTCCATCACCAAATACAGGTACTCGGGGCTTTGGAATGTGAAAAACAGCTTCACGACGAACGGGGACTGTGTGCGGTTCATCAAGATCATGCGCTCCGCACGCACATTGGTGATTTGGTTCTTAGCAATCATGTCGGACTTTTTGAGAATCTTGATGGCATACAGGTCACCTGTCGCACGCTTCCGTGCGAGAAACACAGAGCCGTATGCGCCCTTGCTGATGGGCTTCAGTAATTCAAAGTCGCGAATCGAGCTCGCCGTTGTGCGTGCCTGGACAGGGGGAAGCACATGCGGCGAATTCGGCGTGACGCCGAAGCGTGGACTTTTTGCGAGACTGCGGCCGTGGCCGTCGTGCGATGATGATGATGACACGTGTGGCGAGAGTGGCGGCGTCGAAAGCAAGTCCTTGCGAGTGCTTGGCGCGCCGGGAATGGGGATCGGTGGGCGTCGTGGACGAGACCAAGCCGCATCGTCATCTGATGCGTCATCCACCGGATCCAGCAGCATGTGCCCTACTCCCGCCAGCGTGTCTTCGACCTCCTCGGATGGTGTATCGACAATCACAGGCGGATTGGGCAGATCATCATGCATGTGCAGCGTTGCATCGTGGCTGTCATCGAGGAGCATCGTCACGTACTCTTCGCTCTCACGCCGCACCGTCTCCACATACACAATGGTGTTGCACATGCGCTTGACGGCACGGATCTTGTTCCGCACCGCCTCCGTCGCATCTTCGCACAGCAAGCGCGTCGTTGGATCATCCGTGCCAGCGTCTGCTTGCCAGGTCTTGAGCATGAGCACGTTGGCATTGCTAGGTGGCGAGAGCAGACGCATGCCAGCAACTTCTTCCATGTTGTCCGGCAGCTCCGGCGTAGAAATCGACATGGCTGTTCTAAGTGTGCGGGACAGATCATCTAACAGACGCAACGTATGGCCCGCATCGTCCGTCTTGATGTGTCCATCACGATACATTGCTGGCTCATTCTGCAGCAGCGCGGAGCGCAGCGCTGCGACAGACTCGATCAATGCCCATAGCGTCTCATTGCATGTACCCATTGTCAATTCGAGACGGTGGATTTCGTGGCAGATTTCAGAGTGCTTGGCGAAAAACCACGCCGGCACGTCACTCTCACAGATCCGGCACAGCACCAAGTCTGTCGAAATGGCTGACGCGTCATCTGGCAAGCCGCCAATTGCGCCACCAAAACGCATCTCGCCTGTCGATGGTTCATACTGCTGACGCGCATGCAACACCCACATTGTGTGCGATGGCACGCGCGTGGCATGGTGGTGCGCGAGCATGCCCTGTGCGGTCATTTCCATAGGCTGATGGGCCGATGATGTGCCAGCCACCGCGACGTCCAGCGCCACTTCCACCGTGTGCCCGGCGCTTTCTAACAGCTTGTGCGTGGCTTCCTCGAGCAGTGCCGCGTCTCCATTTGCTAGGACACAGGACACCGGGGCGCCCATGACATTTGACGGGTCTGTACCGAAAATGCGGTGCCAGGCTGTGCTGACAAACTGGATGTGCAAGTCGAGAGTAAGTTCAAGCAGAATTGACGATGTCGGCGGTGGCGGTGGCGTTGGCGAAGGTGACTCTGGCCGCACGTACGCCAGGTGCGATGGCGAGTGCGGCGATTGCGATAGGGAGCCTGAGAGCGATCGACGCATCGGTGGCGGCGCATCCGAAGACGTCGAAAGCTCCATGGGCTGCGACAAAGGCGACGGCACTGGTGCATCGGACAAAATGGGACTTTGCTCGGCAGATGCATGGTCAGATGTGAGCGAGCGCGACAACAATGATCCCACGTGTGAGGATCTCGGCGATGGCCGTTGGGTCGGGCGAGGCGACTTGGTAACACAGGCATGATCTTCTGTCCAAAAGCAATGCTCCGCATTCCACCACTCCAGCACGCGACTTAAAGCGGCAAGCGTCAAGAGAAGCTCGACGTACCAGCCGCGGCCGGGCCAGTCGGGGTGTGCCTCCCACAGAGTGCCGAGCGACTGGACATTCGAAATGGCCGAGCTGCAGATGTCAGTGCGCTCCAATAGCGTATGGAGGCTTGTCGTGCGTATTTCCGCTGCGATCGATGCAAATTGTTCAATAGGCGCGAGCGGCATAGGCGCATCCAATGGCATCACGACACTCGTTGTATCGGGATCCACAGGGTCCAGAAGCTCGTCAGACAAGTGGAAAAGACCCGTCAGTGTCTTATCGAGCTCCGTGTCGCACAGCGCCTTGGCCTGGACAAGCTCATTCCACAGCCGGCGCCGCTGTGCAGCCGATGAATCATCAATAGACAATGTGTTCGGCGGACGTGCCGCTTGCGCTGACGACGACACTTTCTCCGACACGATGCGCTGTCGGTCGTAGCGAACAGCCGGCTTCTGTGAAAATACATCGTCCTTGCGTTTGGGTATCGAGTAAGGTGGGCGCAAGGAGATGAGGCACGGCATAGAGCTGGTAACTCGAATCCCATCATTTAGACGAGAATACAGCGGAGACGTGGTGTCGATTTCGAGCAGCGAGCGCTGTACAGCCTCCCAGTGATCACACGCCTTCTTTGCTGTAGGCGTCGAGACCAATACGCCGCGATGCCATGTGTCATGCCACGTAAGTGGCGCTCGGCGCCAGCGGCGTGTTTTATGCGCACGTGACACACTTAGAATCCGCGCCTCCTGCAGTGCCTCAGTCTGGTTCGCCGGCACGACGCCAGGCGGTGGTGTATCTGCAGGAAGCGCCAGCGCGAGACCCAGAATCGTTGGCCTACTCATGGCACTTGCATTGCCCGTGGGTGACGGCAGTGGTGATGTGATCCGTGTGAGGTCACGCACATGCGATGGAGGAATGATGAGATCATTTGCGAGAGCAACGGACCGTGGCATGCGTTGGAGTCGGATGCCATCACGGCCTACCGTTACAGGACTACCCATCGGCGAGTCCAAGGGAAATGAAGTATCGACAGGAGGCGAGTTTGGCATGCAGCGAAGTGGAGCGGCAGAAAGACTCCTGCGCGACGGCGCAGATCCCGCCGACGTCGAGTCTCGGCGAATCGCAGCGATAAGTGCAGGATCAATGCCCTCAGGTCCGCCCACGGGCGATCCACAGAGCACCATGTCACTTGGTGGCGCATATGCTGAATGTGAGCGGCGATGCAATGCGTGTCTTGGCGTTAGTAAGTTCGACGTAGACATAGATGATAGACCCGCCGTGGTTGGTGGCGTCTTTCTAGGCGCCATGCTGCCAGATTCTAACTGTTTTAGATGCGCGCGATATGAAGTGGCTGGAAAATATGAGTTGGGTATCGAGCCAGGGGATGTATGGGGCGAAGAATGTGTTGAATTTGACTCCAACGCTACCCCCGACGGCTTGGCTGGCATCTCAGGGTTGCCCGCGGCCGCTGTCATCGTATCAGGCGCAGAAGGATTGTCAATTTCCTGCGGAAGAACAGGTGCGAGGGCCAACGGGCTGGAAAACGACGGCACTGTGCGGTATGGGTGCGATTGAAACGAAAAGGGCGAGCTCTGTGACGAGCCCCACGAGCTGGGACTGCCACCACTGGATCGGTGCCAAGGTGAGATAGGCATACCTGATGCATGTGAGACATGGCGGACATAGCCAGACGGTGGACGCGACCATGGACGCAACCGATTAATACGCCTAGGGCGTGTGAGTTTGGGCGCTATCCAAGGCTCTTCATTGTCGGAGCTCGACATCTGTGTGTCTGTGTCAAGTTCAAAAATACCCGAAGAAGATGAGGGCTCATCGCGCGACGTATCGACACGCATATCACTGGGACTAAAAAGATCGTTCGAGTGCGATCGATCCTGCGGGTGGAAGGTTGAGCCATTCCGGAGCCGCCGACGCCACAAAGCGTCAGATTGTAGGTGTGAAGAGCTTGGTGATGGTGCCACTTCAGATTCCTTTATCCGTATACGGGTCGACGCGTGAGGCATGGAAACACCTCGCCGCCGTGAAGTCGACTGTGGGCATGGTCTTGTGTCTCGGTGATTCATCAGAAGCGGAGCAGCGGATGACCGTGAGCGATCTAACGTGTAGCTTTCTCACAAACACACACACACGCTTTCACTCCGCAGGTCTGTTCTCTTTTAAGCACTTGAGAAAGAAAGTGTATACGTGAGGAAAAAGGATGGATCTTAACGATGCAATGGACCTGGGATATTTGATCACGCGCCTATTTGTGGATCGGGATCTTCTGGGCCATTCAGATGATCGGGCCCACAAAAAATCGGTTTACCCTGCTGTTCTGACAGGCAAGACGCGCCCGACCAGTAACAACAAATCATATCGTGCGTTGAACGAACAACTCAATCCCGACGACCCCTCTAGTGTCTTGGGTGGCTTGCTGCGAATACTACGACACCATCGCGCAATGTCAACTGAACAACATATTACACTTAATTTATACGCAAGCTAATACAATGCACGAATGGGTAATCGAAAACAGCCGTACACACTGCATTATGTGATGGTATATGTATATATATGTATATATATTTACTCCTCGGCATTTTCGCGTCGCCGCGAAGAAACATGTTTTGGTGGCGCATGTCCAGGCAGGGGTTTTTCCTCAATAAAGAACTGACACACAAATGACATCCCAGCTGTCAGCAGGATCCACACAAACACGGCATGCATCGAGTTTTCATAAGCCCAGAGTGCGCGTTTGTGAAGCTTGCCCGTTAACTGTGTGAGTGTACCGACATCTTCACGTATAGCTTCGATAATTTCAGACGGAATGGATGCCTTGCGCAAGTGATATTTGAGTGCATTCTGAAGCAGTGAGTTCGACAAGGAAATACCCAAAACGGAGCCAACTGCACGGAACAGGTATGTGACACCTGTGGCGGGCGCCATATCTCTCGGGTCGACAGAGGCGATCAGGGCTACCAATGTGATGGTCAATGTACTGCCGAAGCCGGCTCCGCCCCATGGCATGGTAATCCAGTATGTGAACTTGGATGTCGTGCGTCCATTCCAGAAGCACATCATCAGAGGTCCCACCACAGCACACAGGCCACCCAACAGCATGATGTGGCGGTACTTGCCTGAGCGACCCATTATGATGCCACTGCCGAGCGAGCAAAACGATGCCGCAATGGCATTTGGGATCAAGTGCATGCCTGCTGAGGCAACGCTCGTGTTCTTGATCGCAATGAAGTACAGCGGCACATTGAAAAGAATACCAAATTGGCTTATGCTAATAAACCAGCACGCCAGCGACACAAAGCCTGGCGTCCGTCGAAACAGGACCGACATGGGCATCAATGGTTCACGAGCCACATGCGCCTCCACGTACACAAACAGGCACAGCAACACACAGGCAACTAGAAGCGAGAGCAGGACAAGAGGATGCAACCAGGGCAGCTCATTTCCGCCCAGATTTAGACCGATCAGGAGCGCCGTTACGGCAAGCACAAGCGACAGAGCGCCCCACACATCAACACGGCGCAGCTTTTCCATCATGCTGCCCGGTCCAGCTGGGATGTTTACTTTGATCGATACCACGGTAAAGTGCACGACGCACAGTGGCACTTGCAGAAGAAATGCCCAACGCCAACCGATTCCACCGTCAGCAAGCGCACCACCCAAAGGACCGCCCAGCGCAGCACCAGTGGCAAATACGAGATTTCCTAGTCCTTGCCATGTGCCACGCGCTTTCAGACTCACAAGATCCGACGTTACGATCGTGGCCATGGACGTGAGGCCACCGCCACCTATACCAGCAATCGCTCGCGCTACGCAGAGCTGAGTGAATGTACGCGAGAGCCCACACAGTAGTGACCCAACGAGAAACACGGATGAAGCAAACAGAGTAGCTGTCCTGCGTCCAAAAATATCTGATAGACGCCCATAGAGTGGTTGGAATGCGGTCTGTGTCAAAAGGTAGGATGTGCCAAGCCAACCCACTGTTTTTGACACCTGAAATTCGGAGCCGACTGTGCTAAGAATCGTGGCAACAATCGTCCCGTCAAGCGCTGCTAGGAATGTGCCTACCCACATAGCACCCATGATAAGCAGCAATTCACTAAGAGAATGAGTTGGTGCCGAGGTATTTTGACCGTGCACATTCAGTTGAGACAGGTCACCAGGCGGCATGAACGAGGACGAATTGGGGTCTACCCCATGTGTCGCACCACATACAGCGCTGAATGCACTCTCTTGAGCAAGGAGTGCCTCATCGTCAGCTGTGTTTGTCTGTGTATAGTTCTGCTGTTGGTAGTGCGGCGTATCAAGAAGGGGAGTTCTCTCTGATGATGTCGCAGTCATAGTATCTAGCCAAGAAGAGGAACGTGCGAGCGGGAAACTCCACACGCTCTTTAAGGCGCCCTCTCGGCTCAATAAAGTCCATGTGGGGTTAGCCTCCATCAGAGTCCAAGGGCTTCCGCTTCTCCGCATGGATCACAACCATCACGTAAATTCTCGAGGTAGCCCTAAGCCTTTTCGTTTCCGATTCTTGTGTACACATGGTCGTTCGTCCCCAGCGTGTATAGATCATCCTCATTATGCAGCACCAACGGATTTTTTTTATCCGAGTAGTGAGTCTTTTACAGTTCCAACCCTCGTGTCAGCCGATATTCCCGCAACTTTCCCATGGGCTTGCCCTGTATGGACTTCGTGTTGGCACAGTCGCCCCACTACTTACATATCTACCCAGGCCTTTTTTCTTTGTTCTTTTTACACTGTTTGTTGCCAGTACTTACTTTGCCACATACAGTCAGCATGATACGGAAGTGGAGAAGACATATTACACGATAGGAGTAAAATACAGCCAACAATTGTGCTCACAAGTCATCATCCATGTTGGCGGGAATCTCCACTTTTTGCCCAGGTTCGAATGCCGGGAGGCCCAAGTAAGGGCACGAACTGCAGCGAAAAGCATCTCCGAGGAAGCAGCTTCCGCAGCTGCTGGTGGCTCCGCGCGTATCAACTTGAATCCGCCTCACAGTATGCTCCTCTCCATTAGGGCCTTTGACAGTCGTTGTCACCTCTGTTCGCTTTCCACCTGTTCCACCGACTTCGCTAGGATCTAGCTGCACAAGATTGCTGTTGCGCTCATCCTCCTCTTCTAGTTCTCGCAGACCGCACGTACATCCTTTGCATGCGCGTTTCCGGCGCGTTCGAGGCGCAGAGAAGTCCACTGTGCAGTCTTCGCGCCTCGACGCTGGTGAAACCGTGCGCGCGTGTTCCTGGAGCTTTGCTTCGGTATCCATATGCGTTTCAGGCTGCGTAGCCCAGAGCAGAGCCTTTTTCTGCTGGTGACCTCCATTTTCGTTGGGCTTACGGCGCAGTTTTACTGCCCCCATCCCTGACGACGCAGTCGAATCCTTTTCAGCGACACTTGACGATGCTGGCCGTCGTGACTCAATCGAAGCATTTTCATACGTCTGGATGTCTGTAAATCCAGCAATGGTAAGTTCAGCTCGCACCTGCGAGAGAAAAGACGAAGGATCATTTTCGTTTACCACCGACACGCGGAGCTTGGCTCCAGGAATCATGCTCGCGCGCAACTTCGGCAGCGCTGCAGCCCATTCAACTCCTTCACTCGGAAGCATCATGTATACAGCATCAAAGTAGTCAGCTGGCGGCGCATATGCGAGGTCTGTGATGCGGTCGATCATGTGTGTCTCGAGGAGGCCACTTTCAGCTTGCAGCCCTTTCACTGCTTGTTGATATTGTCCATACCTCGCGGCTTCCAAAGACGCAACTAGCAAAACCTTTTCCGACATTGAATGTGCAGTGTTATTCATTGTGGGGGGTGTGATAGATGGTATCAGGCCTTGATTGTACAACGAGAGTAGGTATGGAAGGCGTTTGCCACACTTGGCCAAAGGTATACAATATGCAGCTGTGCGAGAAAAAAAATTGTGCAATAAGTAGCTTGCGAATTAAATTGGCTTAGTGAAACCGAAATACGGCATGGAACGATATCTCATCCACTTGCTTAGTCAGATTGCGCCCATGTTGCTAAAGATCCGGACGAGTCTCTCTTGTCTACAAAATGACACGCGTGCGCCGTTGGACACCAGATTTTTTTCGGCGCAGCTCCAGCCACATAAATTTTGTTTCAGAACGTCACACGCGCGTCTGGGGCACGGACGGCATTGCGTGCATTTGTGCATATTAACGAACTCTTTCGCACCAAAGTTATGGCTCCCTCGTCATCACTCGTCGCGGCATACTCATCTGACTCTGAAGATGATGAACGTGACGTTACGAAAGAGTCGGAAGCTGAAGCCAAACCCAACGAAAAGCCCGTTTCTTTCACCTCGCCCGGGTTGGCTCTTGGCTTGCCGCCCCATAAAAGACAGTCGAATACATCGCAAGCGAAGCGGCATATAGTCATCGAAGCTTCGTCAACGACTGGATATGCACCAGATGTGCGTGTTTCAGCCCATGCGAAGAAAGCTCGACACGATATGAAGCCATCGTCAGATCAACACTCGCTTCTGTCGATGCTTCCTGCACCTCAAGGAACAGGTGCGAAGCCATCTACAAAGCTAAAACATGAAGATCATGTATCGAAAAATGATACAGTATTGGATGAAGATATGAGATTGGTTGTACATGTGGCCCACGAAGATGCCGATGAGAATAATGCGCACCCCAAGAAAAAAGGGAATGAAGATTTTCGCGCCATGCTTGGCCTCGCACCAAAAGCCAGGCCGACAGCACATGGAAAAACACCTTTGGTTCTATCCGAGACAGACAAGCGATCGCGTGCATCGATCGAACGCGCTCACGAGCCGGAGCTTAATACGGACTCCAAGCGTGTAGAGCGTCCAGACATGATGAAAGATTCTGCGGCCTTTTCCACCGCTCCCGACGTTGGCGAACCAGAAGCAAATGACCATGTCACTGGTTTTCAGAATGCAGATACAAGCCAAGAGGCTGTGCCTGAGCATTTTCCAGGCTGGAGACGTGATCCAGACGGGTCTTGGTTCCCAGTGACACCAGAGGCTCATGCCGTATACGCTGCGTGGGCTCAGCAGCAAGCTCAACAGAGTACACAGGCTCTGCCTCACCATTACATGTCCCAGGGATCGCAAGCAGCAGCATTTGATGTGTCTGCAGAACTTGAACATGTACCACGCATACTACCAAATGACACGGCATCACCTGCAAATCGATCGACGCGTGAGAACCTCGTATCTGAAAAATTGCGCACCGACAAGTTTACAAATATGCGCGCTCGTACACGGGGCCAGCTTACTTCGTTGTTAGCGATGGCACATGAAAATAGGCCAATGCTTGAAGAGCGCTGGGCCCAAGGCAAGAGCAAGATGCGGGATAACAAGAAACGCTATGGGTTTTAAGAGGGAAGAGAGAAAAGAGAAGGAGAAAGACCGAAGAATCGTAGCCAGCACAATGATACCATTTGTACAGATAATGAAGCGAGATTGTCGTTGTTAAATAGTGCGGCGCACTTCGAATTGCCTTGGCCGGTCAGATTGAAACGAGTTGGCAGAACAAACCTTTTGACAAAGTACACTTGGAAAGCACAGACTGACACCACCAGAATCGTTTGGAAAATAGACCACCATTTAATACGCGAATTCGTGCTTTCAGCGGCTTGCCTATGTCAGTTTCATGCTGATTTCGACGTCGTATCCACGTACTGTTACGATGAACGCGCTCCCGCATTGTCAGGTATTCTTGTTCATCTTTGAACATCTGTACATTGTTTGCCAAGTCACGGAGTTCACGTTCAGCGGGGGATCAAACCCTCTTCTTCTGTTAAATACAGCACACCATGGACGTTAAAGCTAACAGACGCGCGTGTAAGTCGGGCAATTGGCATGGTACTGACCCAGACGTACCTGAGTGTCTTGTCTGTCACAGCGGAAAACTTGTTGCTGAAGCAATACTTATAGCGTCCATCCGCATCAGCAGTGAAATCGTATGTGCCGGTGTCTTTATGTCGCTGTTCAAACAGCAAATTACCAGATGGATTAAACAGCATCGTATCAACGTCCAGATGACCACCACCCGACACTTGATATGTCAATGTCATTTCATCGCCCACATGCATGTCCTCATAGAAGCAATACTCCGAATGGGGCTGTAAGTCGATCGTGTGTGCGCACACAAACTGCACCACGGCAACCAATAACACCGCAACGATTCCTACCCACATGGTCTTTACAGTCCGGAATGACTCGCTGCCGAGACAAAAAGTGCGGATCCGTTCGTCTCTCTCGTGCTTCAGCAGCAGCGGCAGCAGCAGCAACAACAACAGCTGTGGGCACGCAGCTGCTGCCACAAGCCCTCAGCAAGGATCAATAGGCACGCCCCCACTCGCTTCACGTGTGAAGCACGTGACGTTCAAGAAGTGCGAGCTGTGCGACGGTTGGGTGTCGTGTGTGGCGCGTGGAACCTGTGTCGCTGGCTCGAGCTACGTTTTTCTCCTTGGGACACAACCAACATGTCGGAACACGAGACAAAAGAGCCTGTGGAAGCTGTAAGTAATGTCATGTGTGACGAAACTTGAACGTCCACAAGATGGTCTAGGATCTAACACATCTTATAGGGAGCTGAAGCTGAACATGACCCCCAATTCGACCCGGTGATCAAACTGGAGCACAAAGTCGAAGTAAAGACAAACGAGGAGGATGAAGATGTGCAGTTCAAGATGTACGTGTTGCTTTTTTTTTGTCTCCATGATGATTTTTTTCCGGCTAACTCATGTATAGTCGTGCGAAACTCTTCCGTTTCGATAAAGAGTCGAAGGAATGGAAGGAACGTGGCACGGGCGATGTGCGTCTCCTGAAGCACAAAGAGACAAAGAAAGTCCGCCTTGTCATGCGTCGTGACAAGACGCTCAAGGTGTGCGCCAACCACTTTTGTACGTCATTCTTAAACTTGTGCAAATGTTAAAAGCACATACACTAACCTCAATGCAGTGTCACCTGAGATTAAGCTGCAGCCCAATGTCGGCTCGGACCGCTCTTGGGTGTACAATGTGACAGCAGATGTCTCCGATGGAGAGCCCGCTGCAGAGACATTGGCTATTCGCTTCGCCAACTCGGAGAGTACGTTATATATGTCGTGATAGCTTGGAAGCTAACTACGATCAGACGCGGACCTGTTCAAGAAGGAGTTCGAGAGCGCTCAGGAAGCGAACAAGAATGCATCGAACGAAAATGTCCCAGCGCCCGAGACAACGCCTGCCAAGTCGGAAGACCAGACCAAGAAAGACCAAGAGACAAGCGCTCACGGTGCTGATGGTGCAGCTACATCGGACGACAAGAAGGAAGCGTAGATTATGCGTGTGACGATGAAGATATCTCGTCCTCATACCCCATGTAGAAGAACTTGATTTCGTGGGCATTCACCCAGTCATGCTTGTGCATGCATCTATATTGCGATGTATGTATTGATGCTGAGCTACTATGTGTCAACGTCGACGACGTCGTTGACGTCATCGTCGTCGTCGTCACTGCTGCTGCTATAGTTGTCGTCGTCGCTTGCCCCGTCGCTTGTCGGCTCGTTTTCGTGTTCTTCCAGCTGTGTCGATGACACTGCGCCAGAGTCAGCGTCAGCTGCATTCAGCAAAGCATGGAATGTCGATGAGATTTTTGTGCGAATGGCTTCCCACGCCTGAGGTGTGTACCACCCCGTAGAAATCTGGGTGCATGTTAGCAAAAACCCTGTTCGTGAGGCATGTCATGAACGTACGTCGGGACTCAGGAGCAAATTCGACGGGCCGTCAGCGTGGATCAGTGGCACGATCGACAGCACGGTGATATCACATAACTGGAAAGTGCTAGTATGGAGTGTTGTTGTTTTGCCATGGAAGACGTGCGTCGGCGGACGCTTTGAACTAAAGCCGACGTTACCACCGCCACGGCTGCTTCTGGCGCTCGTGGCTGTATCGCCATACTCTGCTTTCAGAGAGCCACGCGTCGTCGGCGCGCGCGGTGCTTTACCCCGCATGTGAATGCGTTGGTAGAAGCGGCTTTGGCGGTCTGTGCGTGGGTCATAGCCAAAACGCACAAGAGCATCGCGCCAAGGACCATCCGCGAAGGTATAGGCAACGAGAGCGAATAGCTCCTTCACTTGCATGATGGCACGAGCGTCTGCTTCCGAGAACTGGTTCAGAAGCGCCAGGCGCGACCAGATGGGTCGTTTCTGCCACTGTTCCTGCAGCATGGCAAGTTGTGCCTTTTGCTTCTCAGACAAAGGCATGGTGGCAAGCGATGCATCTGGCATCGTAGGAACAGGAGCGGGATCCGAGAACTTGATGGCAATGGGCGCCAAGTTTCGCCACCGTGCACGGTTGATGTATCGTGTGATCGTAGTCTGTCCACGGTCATCGCCGTGCTTCGGCTCCGTATCAGCTTCACCTTTCCGTGCTGTGCGACGACTTCGTTTGGATGTGGTTGCGTGTGACAAGGTCTGCAGACTTGATGTGGGATTCTGCCTGTATCCGAACGGAAATGGAAGCTCTTGTCGACTAAAGAATGGCGGCGGCAGCATAGCTAGATTACTGCGCATTCTCGTCGAACCATCCTTCGTCGTTTCTGGCACTTCGTACGTCTCAGACTCTGGCGGATACCGATATGTACGCATGGCATCTACATCCAGCTGCATAAGTGCTCGATGAAGAGCCATTGTTGGATGCTCCTCACAGCCTGCTGGAGGATCTGGCCGAAATGCAAAGTCGGCCATGCGCCTGAATCGAACGGTCTTAGCACATGCACCAATCAATTCAAGTTTGTATTGCTTTCGATACATGTCGCTCTTTTGGTTTCTCCAAACTCGGCGGTGAATCCGTACAACAAGACTGTCACCAGGTACCACGTCTCCTAAAATTGGGTGTCGATACATATCTGCAGCTTCCTTTTCATACCATGGAAGCAAATGACATTCCAAGATGCGTCCGCCCTTTTCGAGAAGGGAGGATATATGTTGTAATGCGTACGATACGCTGCATCCGTTGGTGATGGGTCCAGGCCTGGGTGATAAAGTCGTCAGTGCACGATCCAGTGATTCGGCTGATTCGTGGATAAAGCCCGGGTACTCGATTGTTACAATGTGCGTAGACGGCATGGTCCATATCGGTGCAGCTTTTGATGAAGAAGCTGCATTCATCATTCTCTTGCTTGTTCCAACACCTGTCCCATCATCGCCACTCTCAGTGCCGCCATTCGTGACAAGAGCCATGGGTTGGTAGGTGTGTGTGTGAAACATTCGCAGGGTGGAGGTGGGTCGTGACCGCTGCCTAGGCGGACGTAAGACGCATGCATTGAAACACGCGCGTCGAGCTTACTTGGTACGCGGTCTGTACATTCACGCGTTCTTTCCTTCATTGAGTGTTGTTTTGGAGGCACCATGGATGATTTGTCGAGTCTGTTAGGCGCTTCTCCGAGCCAAGGAGGAAATGAAACTTCCTGGAATGAAACTGGGCATGAGGAACGAACATGGAAGACAAACTTGTCCGTGGCAGAGACATACCATGAACAGATGCCATCTACATGGACGCCTGCGTACTGGCAGGGCCGGACACCGCCAACTGCGCCACGCGTTGCACTTGCGGTGAGCACAGATTTAAAGCAGTGGAACTACCGGTATATGTTTGAAAAAAAGGGAGAACGGAGTCTTGAGTTAGATACACGTCTTGGTGAGATGGGCGACGTGATTCAGCAGGCATTTGGTCTATCGAAGGACTGGGATGATCCGACAATCCCTAGTCAAGAGAGCGTGTATACAGTAGGGCGTATCTGCGCGCGATTAGATCCACCATCAATGCGAGGCAAATCGAGCGTGGATGCCGATGGGCCATCGTCATTGAAGCTCACAATGTCGAACCTCATGCTCGAAACCAGCCGAATGGTCGGTAATGGACAACGCGTACCACTGGTTATCGATGCCAAATGTCGCATCCACTATGCTTGGACAGATGCGACTGCACAGGCATCAAATGTGCTGGGTCTCTTTCCTGGTATGATTGTAGGGATGAAGGGACGCAACGGCTCCGGACACCGCTTTGTCGCAGAGGAATTGTTCATCGTACGTCGGCACTCGTATCTCTCAGAGCCTACTTACGCCAGCCACCTGCACTTCCACACCCAGCGACACAACGTAGTGAACTTTTGACGCACCATCACGAGGCGACTCGTCTGAATGGATCGCATCTGCGGATCATGATGGCCAGCGGCCCATTCACCCCATCGTCAGACCTATCGTTCACGCCATGGCATGCCTTTATGTCACACGTTGAACAAGCAAGACCAGATGTCCTTATCCTCGTACGTATCTGGCACCAGGCCGCGCCTGTTTCCGCGCTAAGAAGCTCAGCACAGCTCACATGCTAGATGGGCCCATTTCTCAGTGCCAACCACCCACGCATTCTTGACGGCGATATGGATGCTCTTCCCACGGACATATTCAAAAAGCACATCTCACAGCGTCTAATTCGATTGCAAGAGTGCTCACCGTCAACTGTGGCGATCCTTGTGCCAAGCACGGATGACGTTTTCCACGCGCATCATGCCTATCCCCAGCCGTTCCTCGACAAAACGGATCCCGCGTTGGGACTCCCGAAGGTACGTACACGGATCATCACCAGAGGCTGGCCATCATTCTAACAAGCAACCAAGCGTACTCGATGTCTCCCCAATCCATGTGTTTGCTACGTCAATGAGCTGGCGATTGGCGTTAGCACAGCCGATGTCCTCGGCGATTTGCGCCGCGAAGAACTCGTTCAGCGTGTCCAGTCATCGGCAGCCACAACAGCGCCTGAATCGGGACCTAGTCATGACTGCAAACCATACACACCACCGGCCAAGGTCACAGCAGATCCCATGGTTCGTCTTTCCCGCCATGTGCTTGGCCAGCGAAGGTATGTCCAGATTCAAAGTCTACGGTCGCTCATACAGCACAGCTTCTATCCCCTGTTTCCACCTTCGTCCGCATCACAGCTTCCCCTGGACTTGTCACATTCTCGACTGTGCATGCTAGAGCAAGTGACGCCTGACTTGATGTTGTTGCCTTCAAATGGCATGAAACCATTTGTGCGCATGGTCGATTCAACTATGATTGTCAATCCAGGTGTACTTGTTCGGAGTGACAAGCAGGCACAGCCATCGGCGTTTGCGCAAATGCAAGTTGAGCCCATGCCACTCGACGAACTACGTGTGTCCAGCGACATCGATGCGAACGAACTCGTGACTCATAAGCTCTATCAGCGAGCGCGGATGGATCTCGTATATACATAGGTAAAGTGCAACGTTGTATGGCATCGTGTAGGATTACGGAATACAATACGATTATGGACAGACAAGAGTTTGTTTACTCACTCGACTTTTTCTTCTTCTTCCTGGCTTCTGTGCTGTCGTCGGCATCTGATGCAGGCCGCTTCGACTTCTTCTCCTCTTTCTTGGCCTTCTTTTCCTTCTTCTCCTTCTTCTCCTCCTTCTCCTTCTTCTTCTCTTTCTTGTCCTTCTTGTCCTTCTTGCTCTTTTCCTTCGGTTCGTCATCTTCTTCACCTTGCTCTTCCTCCTCTTTCTCTTCCTCATCGTCGTCATCGTCCGCCACGCCAGTCACAACAGGCGGTGCATCGGCACCAACATTGTAGCCACGACCACCAGCCTCCATCGAGAAGCTCTTTTGCTTGGAACCAGCATCAGCGCCCCGATTCGCCCGAATCCCTGCCATGGTTTGGACGTAATCCAGCCCACGAGCACGGGCCTCAAGCTTCGCACGCGATTCAGAACCAATGGTGGGCGCTGAAAGATCAGACTTCGAGTCGGCATCGGCCAAAGCATCAAGACGTGTAGAAAGTGCCGCCTTGGTTGCTACCATGCGGGCCATCTTGCCTTTCATCTTCGGGGGCGCCATACCAACGAGACTAGAGTGGTACAGCAGGCCGTATTTGGGCGTATCGTGTTTCGTTTTCAAAGCACGGAAAAGTGCTTTCTCAGCGCCAAGAATCTGGATCGTGCTGGCAGGTTGCTTGGCCAAGTTCATAATAGAGCCTGCATGCGAGATCAGTCGTGCACCGACGAGCTCGCCGACGAGCGCCGTCAAATTAGGTGCAATGGCCGCCATGCGGTTACAAAGATACGAGTACAATTGCGCGCGGTATTCACTGATAGAGACCACCTGTTCACACAAGCTCCAAATGTGCTCCATATCCGAGTCACTTACTTCCGTACCCATGGAGATTTCAGCTGCTGCTTTCAGTGTCTGCTCAACTTCCTCCGGCAAGATCTCCGACAGATCGCAAGACGATGCATTCGTTCGGAATCCCACTGCGCGAACAACCTTGGCATAAGCAATGTTGTCGGTGATGATCTTACCCATTTCTGGAAAGTGCCACCCATACCATTCCTTGACACGCATGGCATAAATATTCAGCTCCTTATCGAGATCATCAAGCAATGCAATAGCCTGTACAACCATGGTATCAACTTTATCAGGACTGAACTTGAGCTTATACCGACTCAAGCTGTGCGACAAACCAAGGCTCATGGTGTTGAGGTCTCGAGGATCCAAAGCGCCAGCCTCAGGCGAGCCTGACGAGAGTAGTGACGCCAGGTTCTCGCGGATGCCGCGGTAAAGGTCCATAAGACTCGACTCGGATGTGACCTGGATGCCCAGCTTCTTGTTAATAGCAGAAGCGAGCTTAGGCTCGGATACAATCAACTTCTCTGCCGAGGCACCCTTTGCGCCTGTGGATCCGCCTTTCTCTAGGATCTCTGACGTCAAGAATTGCTTCAAACCCTTGCTAAGTTTCCCCTCATTGGTTGCAGTCACTCCCTCAACAGCCTCGACCGTGCTCTGGAATCGATGGATGGCCGACAGCTGCAGGAGACGATTTGCCTCTGTTTCATTTTCAAAGTGCTTATACAGATTCGGAGAATTGACCTTTGCCTCATCCGAGAGTGAGAACAGGCAGAAGCCTACGGCCGTCTCAAAAAGGACCAACACCATCCTTTGAAACGATCGCTGTGCTGCTTGTCAGTTCACAGCAGTTGTGTGTGCTTCTTCACTGGGCTAAACAAAAAAACGTCTTTGCTAACGAGCCGATCAAGAACGAAATTTTGTCTCGAGACCCGCACGTCGTTTCGGCCGGGACATCACGTGGACCGTAGGACACCCGGCATGGCGAGCGCCGCCTGCCTGTGGAGTTTGTTGAATCGGCTGCTATCAGTCTCAAGAAATCACAGGACAAGGTTGTGCCTGCGAATCCAAGTGGCTTGACGCACCTCCACACCAATTGGGACGTCGGCTGCGTGGCTATAGCTCAGATAACCAACGGGGACCCGAAGAACAATCGCACGATTCGTTTTACGCCCCAATTGCAGCAACACCATCTGTAAAATGAGTCTCTTCGGTGCTCTTCCTCGTGCAGTACGCTTGAGTCCGTCTCGGATTGCGATTCCACGCATCTCTCTGGGTTCACGAATGCTCTCCTTTTCATCTGCTGTGATGAACAGGGACGAGTCGTGGGTGAAACGCGGACCTGTGACGTACCATGAGCTGAAGCCGTATACAGAGGCGCCATCGGGTAAAATCACTCTGATAGATGTGCGTGAGCCGAATGAGGTTTCCCAAGGCATGATTCCGGCGGCTGTGAACGTGCCACTGTCGGAATTTGCCGCTGCCTTTAACCCGGAAAGCACGGCGCCTGCATCTAGTGACTTTGAACGCAAGTTTTCATTCCCGCGCCCGAACTTTGATGATCCTATTATCTTTTACTGCCGCAGTGGAAAGCGCAGTGGACAGGCACTTGAGACGGCTCAGCAGCGCGGCTGGTGGAAGTACGTATGATCATTTGCATGTGCATGACGGCTAACCGCGTGTGCAGCACACGCAACTACACAGGCTCGTGGCTCAATTGGGTCAAAGAAGAGGAAATGCAAAAGAAAAAAGAGGAAGATGAAGACTAGATCATGTATTTTTCTACCTGTGCATTCCATGTTGATCGTTTCATTGTTTCCGATTGAAATCATATATATATATATATATTTACCGTAACGCTAAATCTACCTTTTTTATTTTACACATTTTGCTCAGATCCACAGACGGAAACCATCTTCATCCAGCTCCGCTCGCAGATGGCTTGCGTCTTTCGGTGATGGGAGGCTGATAACAACAGATTCTTGGAATGATATTGTTGGTTCGCCGCTCTCAGATTCAGAATCGGTATCTTCGGCAAGCAGAATTTCATCGCCATTCTCGTCTACATCACGGACGCGTGCAGAACGTGGCGAGCTGGGTCGGCTGGTCGACTTCGTTGGTGCCGTCTTGCTCCAAAGACCGCCAATCTTGATGCTTCCCTCATTCAGAGAGTTTGTTTGGACACTGATGTTATCGGCATTGACGAGCCGACGGACCTCACGACCATACGCCGTATTGGCGTCAGGGAAATCGTAGGAAAAGACAAGTTGCGGAGTGTTGGTAGCCCTCGTTTCTTGTTCCTCTTCAGTCGACGGTTTCTCCGTATGCTCAGTGTCGTGTGATGCCGACTCCTTCCTAGGGTCCAGCGTCTGGTCCAGCGTCTGGTCCATCGTCTCGTTAACGTCGGACTCCTTTGAAGCAGGCTCAGTCGATTCCTCTTCCCGACCCTCGGCGACTTCTTCCTTTTCTTCGGCATTGAAAGTAAGTGGCACAAGATTCTCGTATTCGCTGTCATCGGCGCATGCTGATGGTGTGTTCTTGGATGTCGCAACCTGTTCGGGTGTCATTGTTGTTTTCGCTTCAGACGCGGACTTTGCTTGAGCATCAGTTTTCTCGTCGTTGAAATCAGATTGAGGCGCGAGACGGAAGAGCAAATTGCCAAAGCGGATGTAAACTGCAGACTCGTCATCTTCATTTGTTGACGATGTTGCAGAAGGCAGCTCGGGTTGCTTGACGACATCGGAGCTCTTGCGCCTAGTTTCAACGGACTTCCGCCAAGCTTCTGCTTGAGAGTCGCGTTTTGTTTCAGCTTCGGCGCGCAACTGTGCAAGCCGCTTTGCTTTCATTAAAGACCGCTGCCAAACGTATTCACGCTCAGCCCATTCCTCCATCGCTGCATCAACAGCCATTCGTTGCATCATAGCCTCGATACGTTGTTGCTGCACACGACGGCGCCTGCGCTCTTCGATCTCCCGCTGCATAGCCACACGGCGACGGTACTCACGAAGCTCTTGCTCGTAGAGTGCTTCTTGAAGATCGTACATGTCCATAGATCTGGAGACATAACTGGGCCCACAGCCATACAGTGATGTTGAATACGACTGTGGAGTCCAAGGCGCTGTTGAAATGTAGAATGCCATAGAGAAATTGGAATCTAGTGATGAAGTGATAGTCTGCGGGCAATCATGCACCACATCTTATACCTTTCGGACTACATGCCACAACATGGTAGATCTTTCTCGACGCACACGCCACCTCGAGATCTAGAAGCCACGCGAAGATTCTTGTATCACGTGATTCGAATGACAGGTCGTTTTGTGGACACATGCTTGATGGAGTGGAGGTCAAACGACATCGCGACATGGGCGGTCTGACGGCGGTAGCACGAGTGGAGAATGAGTCGCCGACTTGGACGCGGAGATAGAGATCCATGAAAAGAGAGTGGGTGTGTTTCGCAGAAAAGTGGGGGGGTGGCGGAAAATGCACCCGTCCAAGTCGTGAGTTTGGCAGCTCTTGGATACAGCTTTCATGCTGCTAGTCCGAGGGCGAGCGCGACTAACTTTTGTCCCATGGTGCATACGTACATATGTGCGTGATCCACAGCAGGCGATTGAAGCAGCCAGCACAGTTCGAGGCCAGCGGCTTGAACGGCAGCGACTTGAGCAGCTATCAAGTGAGGCATCACGACGATCAACATCACGTACGTCGACATGGCGACGCGCATGGAAAACATGGCGCGATACGCCACTTAAATGGTCACCGCTACCAATTGCTGTAGGCGCTAGCGTGCTAGTCGCTGTCCAGGCGCATCGAGTTTACGTTGAGCAATGCCGGCGCGAAGCCGATGACTCGTCGCCAGTGATAGATGGAGCGAAGAAGCCAGTGCGCACGTCAGGTCCGTGGTCGCTCTACATTTTGGGCGCGCTTCCGCTGAATTCCATCAGTCGCACATGGGGTTGGCTCAATAGTTTGCCACTGCCTATATGGTTCCGGCCGTACGGATTCCGCCTATATGCCTGGTTCTTTGGCTGTCATTTGGACGAGATGCGCGAGACAGACCTGACAAAGTATGCAAGCCTAGCTGAGTTCTTCGCGCGCGAACTCAAGCCAGGTGCAAGGCCTATTGACACTGATGCGGCGCTTGTCTCGCCAGCTGATGGGAAAATTTTGCACCTGGGCATTGTTGAGGGCGATCGCGTAGAGCAAGTAAAGGGCTTAACGTACTCACTGCGGTCTTTGCTTGGCCAAGACTCGACGGCGCAAGCAGAGCATGATATTCATCCTCATATGTCACCGAACATGAGCATCGCAGCTGAGCAGCAATTCGCTCGGCTCAATGGGATTGACTATAGTCTCGAAGAGCTTTTGGGCAGCGAGTCCAGTAGTGGACTTCATCGTGCTGGTACTTATGCTATGGGCTGGATTCGTAGCCCGTGGCGATGGTTGAAGCATATGCTGACAGGCACGCCATCTCGCGCACAAGAAACACTTCCCATTCACCAAGTGACGCAAGCAGAACTAGCCGCAGATAACCAAGAGCAAGAGACTCGCGATGCAGAGGAGCAAGACGTGGGTATCCCTACGTCTGATACGCCGAAAAACCTTGGGCATTATGCCAACATTGCCTATGAAATGGGAACACAGGCCATTCCGCCCTTTCAGCAGCAGCAGGGCTGGAGTCCTGCTCCGGGGCACCATCTATATTTTTGCGTGATTTACCTGGCACCCGGTGACTATCACCGCTTCCACAGCCCTGTGCCGTGGGTCGTGGAGATGCGGCGACACTTCCGCGGCGAGCTGTACTCGGTGTCTCCGTATGTGGCAACGCGCCTGCCGAATCTCTTTTTGTTAAATGAACGTGTCGCATTGCTCGGCCGCTGGCGTCATGGCGTCTTTAGCATGACGCCGATCGGAGCGACGAATGTGGGTTCCATCCAAATCCACTTCGACCGGCTCTTGCGCACCAACTTGCACGATGAGCGCAAGTTCACCGGCACCTATGCTCAAGCGACATACAATGCGGCAAGTCGCATCCTGGGCGGTCAGCCCTTGGCCACCGGCGATGAAATGGGCTCGTTCCTCCTTGGTAGCACAATTGTTCTGGTATTTGAGGCTCCAGAGCAATTCCACTTTGTCCGCAGGTCTGGTGAACACATCAAGGTCGGCGAGGCATTGGGGCGTGTGGTCTCAGAGTAGCCATACATGCTTCTGCATTGAGCACCGAACGGTCTCGTCAGCATCGTTGTCCAGCTGGCAAACACATGCTTCAACATCGCTCGACCGCCCACTCGACAATGCCTTGCGTGGCAACGTCAAATGCAACAGGTCCAAGTCACTTTGTACACCGGCTCCGCTGACGCAGGCATTGACATGCCGCAGGTATGAGCAAAGCATGCACAAAATGCGCACATGCGCTAGGATCGCTGTCCGAGGCTCACGTTCACTGGGCGCCACATGACCGCCGTCACTCCACGCTTGTCAATGTACATGATCACGTCGTAAAGGATCTTCCGACTAACAAGTGCTATGGTCTTGCTTGCGTTGCCCTCTTCTTCGTCATGAGTGGATACTACACGAGCACAGACAAGATTCAAAGCTCCCTCATGGCACGACTGGGTCGTGGACACGGAGTCATGAGTCCATACAGCACCGACCGAGCAGCAGTATGAGATGGCTCTTGACCGCCAACGAACTGCGGCATGCCAGATGTATGAGTGCCGACAGAGCCATTGGCACCAGAACGCCCATTCCCTGCTTTGTATAGTATGCCATGTGAAAGAAAGATTTCAAGTTCGATGAGGCCATGGCCTTATTGAGCAGCAGCAAACAAAGAAGTCGCAGTTGAGAGCGAGGGCCTCCGTCGACATTTGTACATGCTTATGCGCAAGAAGGAGCTAGATTGGGGCTATCATGTCTTTATCATGTAGCCTCGTTCGCAGGACATTCCTAGTGCGAGTCGGCTCATGCAGGACTGGGCAACCATCCGTGAGTCTGTCCACCAGCTGTCGGTCTGTCGTGGATTATACAAAGAGCTACCGTAGTGCGTCTGTCGATGTGAAAGAGGACGCACAAGACTCGCACAGAGTTGCCACACCCTCCATGTCGCTGGTATATTTCCAGATGCATGCATCAATTAGCACAGACAGTAGAAAAGTTCATGTGAGAATAGTTGTGCGCTCTTTGATGATTCCTGTAGAAGCCAACGCCACGCGCGCGTCAAGCCAAACTGGATACTTGTTAGCCCAGACCACTGTCTGCGCGTTGTTTATAAATAACCGAATTGTACAAAGTCATAGCCACAGAACCGCTTGTCTCCTGAACAACATTCAAGATGTCGGGTTCAAGAGCCGACATTGTCATGTAGACTCGACATGACAATTCGACTGAGTAAGTGTATTTATAACCATGCATTCTCAGTTGAGGAAACAGAATAGGTCAGGGGTGAATTCCGTGCTACGTTGGGCTTCGGAAAGAAGGACTTGCAGCACGCCACGAACGATTCCACGCAAGACAAAAGCGCTTCTCGTAGGAAGAGAAATGCGCGTTATGCGCAGCTAAACTAGGCAGTGTACTGCTGCTGCTCCTACTCCTCCTCCAAAGTCCCCATCACCTGGCCAAGAAAAAAGGAATCACCACTAAGTATGCAGGCAGCATTGACACTCGAGTGTATATGCCAGGATGATAGCGGGATGGTACGAGCAAAGAACAACCATAAAAAAAGCGAGAAGCGCCTTGGTTACGGCATCTTATGCCTTTTCGTCACGACGCTCCTTGCCGTAACACGTCTATGAGCCCACGTGCCGCGTCAGTATACGGAGTTGTAAAAATGGCATGGATGGCCATGTACATAAAGCAATGCAGCCAGCAATACGAGCGTCCGATAAAAAATCGGCGCTCTATACCAGATTGAATTCATACCACCCACACAGTTCCTTGCAAACTGCCTTGCTCAGAGACAAGTGCCTTGATAGCGCGACGCCAAGCCACACTGCCGAGGTGCTCGCGACACTGTTTTTTGTCCTAGGACATGCTCGCAAACTCAGCGAAATACACGCGCACGAATCGTCATGGGTTCTGAGTAACTTCGGCAAGCAAGTCCCAAACTCTTGGCACCATAGACCACACCCACTTGCCCAACGACCAGAGTACGTGCTAGGTACGCACCATCCATCTACGATACCAGTGCATGCCCACTCGCTGATGAAGCTACGTGATCACGTGAGATGCATGGTGTAGGTACCCTTCTCCTGACCTGGGGCCACGCGTGTCGGCTGGAAATGGAGGCCCTCCAGGCCATTCTCATGCACGAGTCGAATTAGTGCACGTCCTACAGCTCCGTTCATGATGCGCTCGTGGCAGGAAGCTCTTTCTGACCACCCGATTCTTGCAGAGAGGCAGGATACGCGCGCCTTTGAGCGTGAAAAAAATGGCACTGCTCCTGTTTGTACGGCAGATACGACGCGGCGAACATCGCTACTAGCCATGCGCGGAACAGACTGGCTTTTGGTAGTGCAGAATGAACTTCGCATGACAAGCATGGCGCATGCGAAGCGCGCTATCGAGGAGGACGCGACGAAAAGTGACCGCGATCGCACGGCTCTGCTGTCGTACAAGGTGCTTACGAGCGAGCTGCTCGACTTTCCCATTCAATCTATCCATGTGAATCCCACCGGCAAACTCCTGGCTGTGGTGGGTATCTATTCACTAGTGATTGTGATTCTTCCTCGGCGTGGCTACATGAAGCAGGTCGGGGTGAAATGCCCAGTCAACGCCATACGTGTTGGTTCGTATTTCCATGCGCCGCATGGCTCTTCGCCCATTGCTCAGTGTCGCTGGCACCCTTATGGACTGGACGGCGCGAGCTTGGTGGTATTAACAGAAGATGCTATGGTGCGTGAGTACAATGTGGTGAAGGACATAGACGAGCCGCAACAAACCATGGCTGTATTGGGGCAGGCAACGACATTGAAGTCAACGTCGTCGTCATCGTCATCATCGGCATTCCTACTGTCCGCTGAAGACGAAGACGAGAAAACAGCCGTGTCTCTTTCTTTTGGCTGCGACTCACCGTCATGGATCTCGTCGTCGCCGGTGCGCGAAGACTCGCAAAGGGATGATGCCGACACTGCTTACAAGACTGGGCCTGGCTGGCTTCTTTTTTCTCTTTTCGTGCTTATGCAAAGTGGTGATGTGTATGTGGTGTGTCCATTCATGCCAAAGCACGCTGCACTTCCGCGCTCGCAAGTGGAATGGCTGGCTGCCCATGAGGCTCGCAAGGCACAAAGCATCACTCTGGCATTGCGGTTCCTTGGCGACCTTGTTCATCAGATGAGAGAGGCTCGCACATCTTTGACAGAGACGGACGCTGTGCTAGAACCGATGGACCAGATGAGTGAAGGACTTGTTCCTGCGATGCTGCCAAGATCGGTGCCACACCGCGCCGCGACACAGGGCCCGTGCCTAATGCGACCCACGCCCATTGAGTTTGATGAAGAGGTGGCTCCGTCTGCTTGTGACTTGCTCGTCACTTGTGTGCGCTCTGATGATGCCAAGACGGCTTTGGACATTGTTGGGATCGCAACACGAGAAGGCACCCTTTCTTGGGGTCTGCTGGCCACTCCTTTAGAGCCGCAATGGGTGGGACGAGCCCCTGCATCGATGCCGATCATCGCAATATGCGAATGCATGGATCTCGAGCTCAAAAATGCACGGTCGTTCAATGTCATTCAATTCCTCAAGGACCCTCTATACCCTGACATGGTGTTTCTCACGCACGCAGATGGCATGCAAGCTGTGTCACTTCGGCCTTGGACTGATCCACTTCTCGATGCTATGGCATCGAACGATCCACAAGCAGTGAAAAGAACCATGAGTGAGCCCACACATACAGCCATCAAGCAGCTGGTACGCCTCGACACACCGACTCCATCAAATAATGATCAGGTCACACCCTCGATCACCGGCGCTCTCGCGATCAACGATGTGTATCTGTCGTATGCATTTTTCGTGCTCACCAGCGATACACAGCTTGTGGCCAGGGAGCTAGGTCTGCGTCCCGTAACAGACATGGCCACCATACCCCATGACGTGCGCGAGTACAAACCCCTTATGTCGGAGCCGTTCGTCCCGCCACCCGTACTCACGCAGCCACGGCCTGTGATTGCAGCGGCCCGTGGCGAACTGCAAGTAACACCCGAGACGCTGCGTGCGTTTGGACAAGCGACCGAAAAACTTCATAAACGACTCGAGGACGTCGCACATGCCGGACATGCAGTGCAACTGCGCGTGGCACAGCAAATGCGCGAGATGCAACGTCAAATCACTGAGCTTGCGCATGCCTCTGATCGGATCAAGAAGATCCACGCAGATGTGCTCGCCGCAAGGCTCACACGCATCGAAGATACTCAGCGTAGTACCGTCCGCCGTCTTGACACACTTTTGCAACAGCTGATGGATGAGCATGCACCTCAACTTTCTGTGTATGAACGCCGTTGGTTCGATGAGCTTCAGCGTATGTCTCGCGAGTTTGGCGATGGGAAAGCGAGCGCAAGAGAACAGCTCCTCAAGGTATGTAGACCTGCTTTGCGCTGCCAAGATGCCGTATTGTACCATCTACTGACACATCAACTCAGCTGGAACATCAGTGGACCCTTCTGCGTCCTACACTCTCCACCCAGACAGATTCCACGAAGCCCAGGCATGAGCAACTCGGCTCTCGACAGAGAGAACGCATGGAACAAATCCTTGCACATGAGTACGTTTCGCGAACTGAACGTCCTACCTGTCAGTCATCTATCTATCCAGAGATGATGATAGTGATGATGGCGTTGGGTATGATTGAATCAACAAACTAACAACAATACAGAGCTAAGCTGCTGGCACAAGCGCGAGGGAAGATTCAGCACGTGCACGCAGTCATGGGTATGCATAAATAGACGAATGACGAGACAGTGCAAGAGAGAGAGCGAGTCAGTACGTGTGAGCAGGGGAATAGAGCGACTCGTGTTCACGCATCGTGTTTACGCATCGTCCGAAACGTTCGCATGCACAGGGCATGCATGGCCCTTTTCCATCCAGTGACGAATACAATCGGCGTGAAAGTAACACAAACATGCAAGGCGTGCAATGCGATCGTTTGACGTAAAGTCATCCATACAGATGATACATTCCTTGCCGATAAGAGCAGAATCATTTGTCAGGCTCGACACGAGAAAATTTGTGCGACGTGCCCAGTTCGACCGGGGACCATGCTCAAGGCAGTCTGCTACATGCCGCTCGCGTTCCTCGGTCGATGAGAGAGACATTAGATCAAGATCACATACAGGGCACTCGGTAAGGACGCTCGTTGATGCATTCAGACCTGACTCATTCGAAGACGAGGCGGGAGAATTAGCCGTGCTAGTGAATGGGGAAAGACGAATAATTCGAGATAGGAACGGACGCTTCACGTCAGAAGAGGGTGTGGATCCAGACTCAGTCACGATGTCGTACTCGTCGACACACCAGTCACAGACACGTACAAAGTACCCGCTTTCCAGCTCCAACATATCTGGGCTTGAAGGATCGGTTACATGCACGTCCTCTGGTAATTGCGCCCTTTGAGACGTGCAAGCATCACAAAAAATTCGACCGCACCGTCGGCAATGGTGCTTGCGGAAGAACAGTGTAAACTTTCGCTGACACTTTCTGCACGCATCCACATCCATATCATCTTCCCACCGTGCAGAAAGTGGCGGTGGCATACGTTCCACAGGCATGTCTTCATACGAGAGACCATCAGCGTCACAATCATTCCTTGGGGAGATGCTGACGTCGCACGGTGGGATTTCGCCTACATCGCCGAGGAATGCCCGATCCTCGTCCGCATGCACACGTTGTGACAGGGACATGAGTGCGCACACGCACACGCGGCGAGCGTATCGCAGGCTAAAAAGCACGGATTAATGATGCGCTGAGACAGTGATGGATGCGTCTTACATGCACAACTCACAGCCTAATGACCAAGACGGAATCCGGCAGCCTTTATGTCTGTCTCCACATGGGCCCGATGATAGCGCGACTGACGATCGTACTCCCCGTAGAGGAAACAGGCAAAGAAGCAACGACCGAGAGACCATATCATCGCTGCATCTACAACTTTGATCCAACATCGCACCCTCGATCACTAGACAAAGGCTACTTCTATACGCAGTCAAATTACACATGAGCGCTGCAACAGACAAAAACAACACGCTTCAACCTCTAGCTTGTGCAGGCCAAGTCCCAACTCACTCTAGTTTGTAGTATGTATGCATAACAGCCATACATAGTTGATTTGTCAAGTACAGAGCGTGGCTACCAGCTCAATTTTGGGGTGCATGTAGGGACCTAGATGAGACGAGGCCCATCGTGTACCCTACGCTTGTATATAGAAGCTATCGTGTACACGACAATCTTTATGCAGACTGCGCAGCGGCGCGAGCCTCACGCAGAGCCCTTTCAGAGCCGTGCTTAGCGTAACGCTGGTTGCGCATGAATTTGGGGTCCACCTGCTCGTTAGACATGCTCGAAATACGAAGACATAGGGTAGAACGAAACATCGTGGTCAAGCGAGGAAACCACTACAAATAGAAAAAAAAAAAAGAGTAGAAAGCGACAAACTCCGTAGTGCAGAAGGCCCGTGACATTTCCCTTGGCGCACGCTGCACCACCTGTAATGAGCAGCGATTTCCTCATGATTGAGAGGCGCAGACAACAGGAAGAGCAGCGGGCCGCGGCAGTGGTTCAATCCGCATACACATTACATTAGGTACAGAGTGCGAGCCACTTATTACCTTCCTTTGCAGGTCCCTCGCTGGATCCACTCTTATTCACCCTGCCGTCTCATCAAATACGTACACCGCGCGTGCTGGGGTAACGGTGGGTCTTAGGCTTCTTGATACCGTTGCGGTGAGCCTTCCGCGACATTGTGTGGTTGGTGTGATTCTTCGACTTCGCCCTACCATATTAGCACTCACACTTCAGCATACTCACATGGTGATCGACCGGTGGTACGAAACAGAAGAGCGACGACGACAGAGTAAGAACCCTGGGAATTTGCCGCAGTTTAGCACGTGACTTTCCTCCAGTCCGTCCCAGGACGTTGTGAGCACAGCACAAATGTGTAAAGCAACGCGGTTCGAATGCAGGTGTGTATGAATGTCGGACATGGCGTGTCGCCCTTACGAAATAGCACGCGTGGAGCGCGCGTGGCCACTGCATCATAGTGAGCAGATCACCCAAGAGAAAAGCATGGCGGCGGCAGCGCCCAACGGCAGCCCTGAACGGCTCGACCGAATGCGCGCTGCGCTTGAGAAATTTTTGGGGCTCATCGATCATAAAGCAACGTATGTACACTGTGAACGCATGACGTGCTAATCCTTCTCCCTGCTTAGAGCCAAGAATTTCGCTCGTGCACTACCGCAGTTAGAGCCTGTGGCCGCCGAAAAGGCTCGCTTGCAGTTCCTCCAGGAACTAAAAACAGACATTCGCGTACGTATTTCTGCACTTTCCCATCCAGTTCTCATGACAAGAATGATTTAGAGGCGCTTATTGTCAAGTATGATTTATCACATCGCCTTGCCGAGTTGGAAGAGCTCACGAACGAAGCTGATGAGCGACATCGTCAGAAAGGCGCATCTACTGGCGTGGACGCTAATGAAAGTACTGCATTGAAAGATGTGTGGCGACCAGACTTGGACATTCGCACAGCCATTCGCGCACGCATTAGTGCAGATCAAGCGCCGCGTATCGCAGCACTGGAGGCTGAGCTTGCAGAACTACAGGAGCAAAATCGTGCTTCGGAGGAACGCGTGAATGCGACTGAAGCTCAAACGGCAGCATCGCGTGCAAGAGTGGTGAGTGCCCTTGAACTCCTTGGCAAGGTACGTGGAGTAGACATACACTCTCTATGACTTGTCTGACCGATTAGCTGCTGGACAGTGTGTCAATGAAGGCACCGGAGGATGAACAGGCATTGCGATCGACATTAGATGCGCTACTGACAGAGCTTGGTCCTGTGTAAAGATAGGGGCTGGATGATAGAATTTCTGTAGTGTGCATGCGAATTTGTGTGTGGAAACATGTTACGGTGGGCCAGAGACGCATCGGCTCTAACGCAAGACATCAGCGCCATTCATGCAAGAACAATGCTCGAAGGGACGAACCCAAAAGCACGGCCTGTGGTGGAACCAGTTTCATTGTCTCCACATTTCAACCTGCGTGTGGAGCATGGCCACTCGTACATGTCCAAATAGCGAACTCGTTTTGGGAACCGTGCTGCGAGGAAACGTAAGGTTTGCCTAGGCCGTGGCCATGTCCATTGAATTGGACTGGACAGGACTTGAAAAGTCGTTTGCTGATTCACTTTGTGAGAGGCTCAATGCGGCGTTGGCAGATATGGACATGCCGACGTTCCTAGGACCTACGCGGGTTCAAGCTATAGAGCTCGGCTCTGAAGGTCCGGACGTGCAAGTCATTCACATTGGCCACGTATGGCGTGAGTTTCGGGAGGCAGCTGTGCATGCATCCTCTGCAAGTGATAAATACAACGCGCGCGCAACGACACCGCCCCGCATGCCGATGCGACTGCGCACGTTTCGGCAGTACGACGACAACGACTTGCCTACGTCTGTACATGGCGGTGCTGATGCCGACAGCATAGCTAGCGAGCATGAAGAATCACTATCCCGCTGGAGTGACACAGAGTCGGAGACTGGCACATGTGATTCATCATCGTTATGGGAAGAGCAAACGCGTTTGAGCGATATCCCATCGCTTCAAATGCACCTGAGTGTGCAATGGCTCACGTCGACGATGCGCCTTTCACTCACGACATCGCTGAAGATCGCCTATAATAACGACACTATAATGAGCTTGCCGATTAGCCTCGTGGTGACCGGCATGGAACTGTTTGCCCAAGCTATTGTAGCTCTAGACGGCGTGCATCGCTGTGTCTACCTGAGTTTGTCAGAAGACTCGACAGAAGAATGCGCGCCTGATGGTCTTCGTGCTGTGCATGACGCTCGTATCCGCACACGGCACCAGGGGCAGCGGATCTTGCCATTTCTCGCGCTAGAAAGTAAGGTTGGCGAGTCGGCGAAGCATGTGCTGGAAAATGTTGGGAAAGTTGAGCGTTTCGTTGGCGATATGCTCCGCCAATGGCTCGAAGATGAGCTTGTATATCCCCATTTTTACACATTGTATCTCTAGACACCCACATTTCCTCTCCTCTCTTCTTTCTCTCACTCTCTTACTCTCTCTTTTTACTTGCCTTTGGTCCTAGCCAATAATGTAGATGAATATGAAATCGGCCATCATGCAGGCATTCAATCCTCTCGAAATCTTACCGTGTTCGCGCCGTTCGAGAGAATAGACTACGACGTTGCGTCGATTCATCCTGCGCATGGTCCGCCATGTATTCTGACTGCAGAACATGTAAGCATACACACAGCCACGCATGTGGAATAAAGTTGTCTTTTATACGTACAATGGCTCGAACATCATCGCCCTGACTTCGTAGAAGGTAATTTTTTGCTGTTGCTTCGTCAATATCGGGGAGCGCGTCGCGCATTCGTATGAGAGCTGCATTCGATGTTGACTCACGAGCCGACATTGAGAAAGGCGCAGGAACATCTGCTGACGTAGCATGGCTAGAGGCACGCTGCATGATGCCCAGACCCATTGGCAGGGCTGCGCTACGCAACGATGACTTGGACCGACTCATATCTGCAGGTGCCGTGAAAGTATGCGTGGACTGCGCTGGTGTGCGAGATAATGGCCGCGTTACGTTCGAGTGGGGAGTGGCAGCAGCCGAGCTCGTGAGAAAATCCTTGCCGCGCTCAAAACGATTCATCAAGAACGCTGTCGATGACTGCACCAGCGTCGAGGATGGTGCCTGTGACTTGCGCGGAGAATATCGCGGCTGGTGAGCTAGCGAAATCCCTGGATTTGGATGTGCAGCACTTTGTGCTTTTGCAAGGAGAGGGTATGGGATGTTCGTTGGGAGAGGAAGTTCATGTCTCGTGGTGCCACCAGCGACATTGGCCGTACCATCAGGTTCATCGAGCCTCGGTGTCAACGCAGCTTCCAGCTCCCGTAATTGATCCTGTATGACGAGTCTCGATAAGGCGTCTGGCTGATTAGGTCGCTGAGACTTGACGTGGTGGACCCACATGCCCATGTGGGACGGACGCGACAACAGATCATTCGCGGCATCCGCAAAGAGACGCGAGCGCTGCAATGGCGCGACGGAGTCATAGTTCAGGTTTGTCGACACATCAAACGAGTGAGGCCACCACACATTGTGGCCATACACGAGCACTTTTTCGGGTTGTGTACCTGTGGTCTCTGTGGCTGCTGCGTCAGAGTCTTTCGATGCGAGAGACGGCTGCGCTGCTTGTGAAGGACCAGAGATATTCGGTGTTGTGAGATGCTGCACACTAGGGGCTGGCGACTTGGACTCGGTAGGCACATGCTGTATTGAACCTGCATTGGGAGCACTCTTGTGGTCCGCCGATGAGAGACCCGTAGGTGGCAGCATAGATTCCAGCGTCGATGGCATGCTTGGCATGCCTTCAGAGCCGCCAGGGTACTGATCGTCGCGATAGGATACAGACACGTCCTCTAGACCTTGCATAGGCTCAGGTTGATCAAGCCCCAAGTCTGAGAGCGCAGAAGCGAATGCATCGAACAACTCGTCCACGGGGCTGCTGAACATGCGCGACGTGTCTGACTGGGGACTCGTCAGGAATTGTGATTTTGGTGTTGGGAGCGAGGATGGCGATGGATGAGTAGATCCAAGAGCTGCTTCTCCTTGATCCACGTGCAGCCCATTCTCATCCGTTGTGGAAACAGGTTGTGCAAGAGATGTCGTGGACGGTGCAGATGTGATGAGCTTGGGTGCGGCAAAAAGATCTGACGCTTCTGACGACGAAAGTGCCAAGCCTTCCTCACTGCGCTGCGTGCGTACATGATGAGTCTCATCGTCAGTGCCATCCCTGCTTCCCTTGGGAGACGCATGCTGGCCACTGGCTTCGCCCTGATTCTCGCGCTCATGCTCGCTGGCATGCCAGTCCTCCTTGTCATAGATACTTGCGCTGCCGGGATCGTTCAATGGTACTTGCTCAGCATCCTCGGAATATTCGGACGACACGGATCCGCTGCGTGATAATGAAGACGCTGGTGACGATGATGATGATACCGACGACGACACGGTGGATGGAATCGCAGTTCGGTTCTCCTCTGCTACACTGCCAGGCAATTGAGACGACGCCTCGACCGACGTATCTCGCTCCGTCGCATCTTCCATCAAAGTGTCAATAGACTGCGAGTGTAGGCGGCGTTCAGGCGTGCGTGGCGATGACATGGTGCTGGGAGCGTCGCGCTCCATTGGTGGGGCTGTCTGAGAAGGCATGGGCGAAGAAACAGAGCGCTGTGTGATCGGAAGTGCTCGCGAAAGCAAGGAAAATTCTGTCGGCACAGACGTTGGCAATCTCGGCTTCCCATCGATGTTAAGAGGCGACAACGATGCCGCATGGCCTCGAGCCCCCGCATTAGCCGTTATGTCCATCGATGGCGATGAGACAGCCGCTCGCATGCTAGCATCATGAAAGCCACCAGCACTTCTCACTCGCATGATGGGCGGAGGCGTATGGACCGGTCCTACGCGCAGAGAATGGGTGCTGCGCACAGAGCCTGTTCTTGATGGTGGCGATGACTCATGTGCACTTCGATGCACGGAAGCATCAGGTGAGAGCGGCAGCTCAGCTGCCCTTGTGTCGAGTACATGAGCATCGTTGCTGCTTGAAGTGTCACTTGTCATACTCTCCTGCCTGGTCTGTGCATAAGCGTGAGCAGATGGGTACGACGGACGCTGCGTGCGAGACTGATACGACGAGTCAGACGCATTGGATGCAGCACGTCCGCGAACAATGGCTGGATTTCGCTGTAGTCGGTTTTGCGAGCGTGCAGGACGCAGTTCATGTGGCTTGTCGAATGGCGACGACACCCGCGCAGGGAGCGGTGGTGGATTCTGTGATATCGTGCGCCGCTCGTGCATCGCTGTAGAGGGTGTATTCGATACAGGCGAAGTCATGGGTGAGGCTGATGACACAGGAGATGAGGCAGCTGTCGTCGCAGGCGCACTTGAAGTGACCGCACTGGTTGCTTGAGGCACGGACGGAATTGACCGTTGAGCTGGTGGTGACCATGCTGAGTTGTCGATGACCGGCGTGTGCGTGGTAGTAGTTCCCGCTGTGCCAGGCGACGACACTTGGTATGGTGAGCCGTGCGAGGCAGGAGGCATGGAGGTTGAGATACTTTCACCAGTGCTCGAAGCGACGGGAGTGCCTGTAATGCCAGTGACAAATGGAGCCTCAAACTCAGTTGTGTCCATATAAGCAGACAGATTTGTATCAAAATCATCCCTTCCATCATCGAGAATGGACGATGACGACATGATTCGACGCACGACAGCGAAATGTATCACGAATTACTCAGTCGGAGTCGAAGATGCCCGGGGGCTGCACAGCTGCGAGGGTGAGTTACGACGTGCTTGAAAATGGACAGGTTTTCCAGCTCCCCCCCCCCCACTTTGGGCGCCGAGCAACGAGCAGCTAGGCCCAAGCGCATGTGGAGAGCTATTATGAAAACCATAGGGTGAGGTGATGGGATTGACACAGACACTTGACTAAACGCGTATCCTGGATTGAGTGCCAGGTCGTGGAGGAAATTGGGCCGTAATTTCAGGCGAATCGACCATCATTGCTGACGCCGAACGTTTGCACCGTTGTGTTTTGAGAGATGCGCCGAGCCGCGCAGATCAAAGAAGCACGCGCATGGCCTACAGGCCATCTAGTCCAATTAGGGCTTATCATGTTCATTTTGCAGCCGGTCTTGCTGATCTTCACCCTCATTGATTTCGCTCGCACACTCGATGAGCGTGCGCCCTTCCTTTGGCGATGCTTTGCGCACATGTCGCGCATACTTCGGCCTGGTGCTCGCTCCGCACACACGGATGGACAGACGCTTGTGTGGGAAGCCATGCTGGGCCTCTTTGGTATATTTCTGACGCAGGCTTGGTATTGTACACGTATGCAAAGCTGGCTCCACGTAGCCGAAGGGCACGAACTAGGCGAAGATGCCGCCGCTCTGAAGAAGCGCCAGAGGTCTGCGCATGCACAAGTCGAGGTATGTCTGTTTCTTATCTTGCTCATACATGTGTAAACAGTCGATTGTCATGTCATCTTTCTCCGTACCATTGTTATGGCTACTGTGTGTATGCGTGCTGTTGTCTATGGGTGCCCCGTTCAATACGTATGTGTAAATGCACGCATGTAATGATGATGTTTTGGTGCTCACGCTTATTTGCAGCGCTTATCTTGGCACAGCGATTCTGGCCGCGTATGTCACACTTCTCGGCTTGTGGCCAATCTCTCATATTCTGGGCCTGCCACCTTCGCCTATGTGGTCGCGGATCTTGACGATGCCCTCGGCGACATCGAATCGTGAGATTCTCGTACTTGTGCCCAGTATCTGCGCATGCACTGGTGCGGCACTCGCTGCCCTAACGCAGGCGCTCGACTGGGGCAGAGTGTGGCAGACATGGCCGTTGCCCAGCCTATACGGTGCAGCTATAGGCGTCGTTGTGGGCAATGTCTTTGCATGCGCGCTTTGTGCCTTGCGAAGAAACTATGTTCCTTCACCCTCTATGTAACTAGCTGCATCTTTAATTGTCACGCCACCATGCCACACGACACGACATTTGGGACCAGACAGAGCCAGATCGCGGCAACAAGCCCGTTTCCTGTTTTGTTTCCTTCTACTTTGTCTATGTCATCTCATGCTGTTCGTACAAATGCTTCGGGGGGAATTGTGCCGGCCGCTTGTAACGACGTAAACACGCTCAGCGCCCGTGTCATGTTCCAGTCATTCTCGCCCAGGCACTGCACAGCGAACGGATATGAAAGGCTCGTTTGCGCCGACAACTGGAGTGACATGGCGTGCTGCTCAGGCGTGAGGCCAGGGAGCGGTTCAGGTGCGATGGGTAGCGAGTTTGGCTGGAAGGCGGTCTCGCGCGAATAGTGCCGTAGAGTGAGCATGTCGCTCACAATCAAGCACGGCCAGCCGAGCTGCCGGGCTTGTGAGTCGGGCATGGCTGGTGCGACCATGAATACTCGATCAAACGAACGGATCCCCTGCGAAGGTGCCTCAGTAAATTCACCATGCACGTTGATGAACAGAAGAGCATCAGGCCGCTCCATCGCATTGGTCTGCGCCTGGACATCGACGTTCGGAAGGAGCCACGCATCTACCACAAACTTGCTCGAGTCATGCAATGGGTGCGCGGTCACAGGTAAGCGGCGCAGGAAAGCGACAATCGCCTCGCTGCCATGGTGCATGCTTCGGAGGAGCGGCTTGACGCTGTGTGTGCGCATCAAATTCCGCGAGCCTAGTTCAACGTACTTGTCGAATGTGAGCTGCTTTTGATGCGGCATCGTGTGTAGAAGACGCTCGGCACGTGCACGTGGTGGTGGACTCGTGTTGAGGCTAAAAGTGAAGCGCGCATTAGCACTGTACACGGGAGCCAGTCGAGTGCGATCCTGGTCATACGCTGAGAAGAACAGCGACAGAAATTCAGGCACGACCTGCGCGGCATCTCCGTCGACGAAGCCAGCTTTTGTTTGCAGCGCGAAAGGCCGCAATGGGACCTGTGCAGCCTCTGGTCCTGCCCGCTTATCACTGCGTCCCTTGAACAACTGAGAAAAGCCTCGCTCGACATCCTGCACTGGCTTCATATCGAGGATGCGCAATGTCGGGAACTTGGCCAATACATCACGTCGGTATCCCTCTTCATTTCCACCTTCCATCGCTGTCTGCTGGATTGGGTTGCCAAGCAGGACGAGTTCTTGCAGTTCATGTAAGCCGTGCCGCTTCGTCGTGAGTACATCCAAATCACGAGCCCAGCGGAGCTCATTTCGCTCCAGAGATAGGTTGGCAAGCTTCGGCAGGTACTGGCCCAGCATCGAAAGTGGCTGGAGAGTCGTTAGGGTATTGCCTGCGAAGGAGAGTGTCGTTAGATTGGGGAACATTTCGGCACTGAGCTTCCATAAGGCTGTGCCAAGATCACGGTGTGATCCTTTTACACCCGGCGGAAGAATGTTCGCTTCAGAGAGGATTGGGTCCTGCTGCAGGTGATCCATATTTAATAGGTTCAATGATGCGTTCCAGCGTGAGGTCAAGAAACGACGCAACGTGTCGACGACACTGGTTTTCGGCCCGACGTCCATGGCTTGTGAGCCTTGCCCTACCGATGCAGCTGCAGCTGCGGCTGCGGCTGCAGCCACGCCCAAGCCGCCGCCAGCATCGCTTGGCTTTCGCGCGTTGGCCGGGCGTACTCCGCTATTTAGTTTCATAGCTCCTGCGCCTGACTTGTTCCCTCCCGGGCGCCTGCCGCTACTACTTCCCATAGGATTCGCAGCTGCACGGGCTAGTTTCCGCCGCTGCGCACGACTGGGCGCCTCACCTTCATCATCGACCCGCATCGATACCTGTGCTGTGTTAGTGTGTTCAGATAGTTGCGCTGACTATGTTTTTCGCCTACCACCTACATCTTCCGTAAGACCAGTCGCGCGATCGCGCAACCGAGCAGCGAGTGTACGATGCCCGCGCTTTGGCATCGTTCTTCGTCGATCTTGCCACACGAATGCACCTGTTGCGGACAGGCCACACTCCGCGATGACGATGACGACAGTGGCGGTGGTTAAAGATTATGTGTGTGGATGTGTCGATGGGAATTTATTTTTTTTTGTAGGAATTGAATTTGTTCGACGATCGGGCGCGCGCGCGTATCACCGGCCGGGCGATAGACTAGGTGTGGACCAAGAAATTCACAGGAACAAGCAGACTCGCGCTCGCACACTTCACATTTTCTCGCCTGGCCAATTACTTCTGCGTCGGTTCACTTTGGGTTGGGCCCACGCCACTTTTGACGTGGGGAAAATAAGGGTGGGTGACACGACGCGCGTGCTCGATGACTAAGCACACCTGCACGCATTGGCCGTGCACCTTGAGGTAGGAGCGGAGGAGGGGCTTGAGGAGAGAAAGAGCGAGAGGGTGAAAGAGGGAGAGAATGACGTAGTGCTGCTCACTTGGCTCAAGCCCTGCTTGACGTCGAACGGGAGGCGTGAGTGAGCATCGTCCTGGTGCCTGTTATTTTTCTGTCATAGCCTGCCTCCGTCATGGAGGGCGTGGAGGATGTTCAGGTTGTCATTCCCGACTTGGAGGAAGATGACGGACCGTTTCAGGGTCTTGACATCCCACTATCGCATGGGTTTCACAGCCCTAGCGGCTCACAGGCTGAGCCTGCATGGCCAGGGTCCTCAGACGAACCACTACTACTGGGACCTGCGTCTGGAGCAGGAGGCGCTCCTGCCACGGCACCTTCCAAATCGCGCGCTGGTCGTTTGCGCCACTTTCGGTCAGGCTCACTCTCCACAGATGAAGTAGCCTCCATCTCGACCAAGAGCTCGTTTAGGTTTGGCTCGTCACTGACGAATGCATTCTCGGGCATTGACTACTTTCAAACGCCGAATCGTAACAGTGACCGCTCTGATGGTCTGCACAACTTTTCGTTCCCTGTAAAGAAATCGTCGTTTGCGAGTCTGCGTGCAGCTATCAAGGGACAGTCATCAGCACCCTCTACGAAGGATTCCAGCGATTTGATTTCGTCACCAAATGGACCGCTGCTCGATGCAGATGCACAGTCGCTGGGGTCGAAGCGTATGGGTCGTTCGTTCCCTCTAGCGAGCGACATATCTGCTGTTTCCTCAGGTCTTGCGAATGTTACGGGCATGCAGCGGCCATCGCGATGGCATTTCAAGTCGAACAGCCAAGCGTCAACATCGCAGGATAGCGGCAGTATACCTATGTCTCACAGTCCGAGTCGTGTAATGCGTGCAAAACACGCTCATTGTGGTTCACAGCTCTCGGAGAACTCCGTTGATGGCGTGCTTGCTTCGCCGTCAGAAGGCAGCGTCGTCGCTACTGGCAACGATGGTCTTTCGTCGCCTGTGGGGCTCGGTCCCATGGATGATGTAGATCCACTCAGCAGGCTCTCCCCCATCTGCGACATCCCTCCCACTGTATCGCCGGTGGCATTTGCGATGCGTCAGATCCTGCACCGGTTTCAGGCGCTTGCCGATGATGCGTTGCATTTGGTTCTGACGACGCCTCTTGACTGTGATGCGCTTTTGATCATGTTCCCTTCTGCTGCCCACCATGCAGCTTGGGATGATGTGTGGAACTCACTCGCGTCCATGGCCCAGCATGACCGGCAGTTGACGACAAACTCACTTCTCGCTTGGCGTTTAGATGCACTGGATCAGCCGCTAATGCTGCGTCCGGCGCGCCGTCGCCCAAGCGATACACTCTCGGTGTCGTCGAGCTCCAGTAATAGTCATGCAGGTGACTTGCTTCGTCGGCGCCGTGCGTTAGCGGCGACCTATTTGACATGTCGCGCACTTCTTGGCACCATACCGCCAGGGACAAACGACCGCATGGGTGCTGACATGGATGAAGATGATCCGGCTATGGACGAATTCGTCACGACCGTGTTTCAATTCCTGCATCTATGCTCGCTCGATCGCGAGAGCGAGCGAGGCGCCCAGGTCAAGTTGCACGTGTCGCTGCAGCAGCAGTGCTTCGATATGGTCGCTCGTTTGATCGGCGAGCTCTCCCGACAGTGTCTGCCTGCGCTTGGCGACCAGTTCGTGTCCATCTTGCATCAGTCCAGTGCCGTCGCCGTATCGCGAGACAATGAGCTACTGACCGAGGCCGCTGTGCTTGGGATGCGGTACTTGCGCATCACCATATACCCTATGGACGTGTTTGAAGCTGGCGCCCAATTCGTGGGCATCCTAGCGCGCTTCTTTGCACATTCGCACGGCTACCGAATCAAACGCGCCTTTGCACGTGTCTTGCACACCATCATCGAGCCCGTTGCCCGGACCGCATCGGCAGAGCTCCACCACCCCGCATGGGTTCAAGCTATGAGCACACTTATGCCCAAGGCTCAGGCCATGGCATGCCGCTCGCGGTACTGCAGTGTTGCATTCCCGCTTTGGACGGCAGCTTTGTGTGCGTCGCCCCCAGATGTGCTTTTGGAGCGCTGGTATGCGTGCATCGAGGCTGGATGGTCGCGACTAAAAGAGCGGCCGAAAGATGCCGAGCTGCGCCTGATCATTTACACATGTGCATCGCAGCTGTTTTGGGCGTATCTGTTTCGCTGCCATGAGGGGACAAATCCAACGCATCGTCGTCTTGATGCCTTCTTCCATCTTTGCCTTCCCGCCGTACGCTCGTCCGTGTCGCCCCTGGATGTCTGTATGGAGCCATGTGTCGACATTCTCAGCGCTGCGCTTTTGCGCCAGTTCGAATACACACACTCCATCGTGTTGGACTTGCTCCGTCATACGCAGCAGCTGGATCGCAAGACAGGATCCGCAACGGCGTTGGTCGTCGGGTCTTCTTCGTCGTCTACATCCTCCTCCTCCGCCACTGCAGCAGCAGCGGCAGCCGCGAACAACTTCTTCCAGCCTGATGTACTACAGCCGACGCGAATGTGCATGGCCATTCGCGCTATTGCTCTGTCCTTGCATGTCTACGTGTCTGGCGAGGCGTCGGCGCTCCCCGGTGGGGAGCGGCCTTCCATTGAAGACATGGCATCGGAGCCGTTGAAAACAATTCCCTATCCTAGTGCCGATGTCGAGCGTGCATATACACAGTTTTTCTCGGTCTCTACGCAGATTGCCCTGCACTGTGACTATCTTGTCAAGGACTTGACGGTACTGGACGACCAAGTGCCTTTAGCCCGTGGTACCAATGTGCCCATACTGCATGGCGAGCGAGCGCTTCAAGACGCCGAGAACTACGAAGTTCGAGCGCACGCAAATGGCGCATTCACCGTTGCCTATGCTCGTGAGCACCAGCCACATCTCGAGCTTTTGCGCACATGTATCGAGACGTGGCCTCGTTGCATGTCCAGCACCGCCAGCAAGTCGACGTGCCAGGCGCTCTTGTTCCGTGGCCTTTTTAGCGTTGAGCCCAGCGTACAGCGAGCGAGTGCCGCGGCACTCATGCGTTTTGCTAGGGGCCAAGATGGGGCACAAGTCATACTTCGTGCGTTCTTGCAGTGGTTCTTCCGCAAGGACGGCGTTGTATGGGAGCTGCAGTCGCATGCAGACGTTCTAGTATCCCAATTTGCTCATGTGACAGACCTTGTTGCCGACTTGTTGGCTCTGTTCTTATCCCAAAGTGAGGATGCGCTGTCTCATGATACATTCCGCGAGTTTACCGCTGGCGCTTTGCTTTTTCTGTGTCTTCCCAGCGCAGCACTTCGACGACATGTGATCGAGCTCCTGCTGCAGGCGAGTCTCTCGTCTGTAAGCACCGCTACGCCCGCAGCCGAATCTCGTGCAACTGCGAAATTCCCCGATACCGCGCCACCGCCGGACGCAGCAGCTGTGCTCACATGCGGTGAGCTCTTCGCGCGCCCTTGTACATGTTTCCTGCACGAAGACCATCCCGAGCTGTCGGCGTCGCAGCGAGCGCGGATTGCGAAATGGCGCAGCACGGGCGATGCTTACCCGCTTAGCCGCCTGGCAAGCTCCGGTGAGCATTGTTCGTTGTGGCGTATGGCTTTGCCCAACGTGCTTCGAGAGATTGTAAGCACGGCGCCTCGTTTGGCCATGCAATTGTATCATCTCTTACTTGGCGCTGTCCAGTGCCTCGAACCGAGTATCGCGACGATCGCACATTTGCGCAAAAGCGCTGCGCGTGTCCCCCCGACGCTTACGTTTGTCCGCAGCACATGGCGCATGTACATTCTTACGCTGTGTACAGTCGGCATCCAAAGTACTAAGCATGTGGCACTTCTTGTGCCGTACCTGGGGTGTGAGGATGTCGACTTGCAAGATGCCGCTGCCGATGCACTGAGCCACGTGCACGAACATGCATACTCGAGTCTTGTAACAGCCCTAGCGCCGCTTTTCGACAATCCATTGTGGCCAGTGCGCCTCAGCATTGGCCGCATTCTCGCGAGTACAGCCTCTATGCTCCCGTGCCCCTCCGTCGAGCCGATTTTGCTGTCATGGCTTCATCAGACACTCCACGTGCTCCAATTAGACTTGGCACCCGACGTTCATGTGTATCAGTTACGGCGCTTCTTTTGTGTACTCCTTGCCTCGTTCTACCAGTCTCTTGGGGTCGAGTCATCGCAGCACGCATTCCCCCTCGAGCTGCGCATGCGCTTGCTCGTTGTCTTGCACGACTGGCACTCATTGCAAGATGCATCACGACTCGCTGCGCAGCTATCCGCGGCTGTCGAGCGGTCCGCGGCTGGGCCGAAAGATAAGGTTATCGTCTCGTTGCGCCACGAACTCCATCTACTCGCGCGACACGCCGAGCTCGCGATGGCCGCTTTGTGTGCTGGTCCCATTGATGACACACCTTCCATGCACGGCCCTACTATCCTGGGGTGGTTGTGTGACATGCTAGCGGCCCCATCCGCATCGTCCCGCGAGACAGCTCAACGCGGGTTGCATGCGCTCCTCGAGCATAACCTGACGCATGTCCCGCTGCTCCGCGCTCTAGTAACGCAATGCTACCGGGACTTGGCGCACACACAAGCCTCACGCACAGTGTTTCTCGTGCTCGTTGATGCATGGTTGAAGCTTCAACCTCTCGAGTCCCAGACGCACCTCGCTGAAGCTCAGATCATGTGCGTCGCTCTGTGCATGCTAGCCCATCGAGATGTGCAGATCCGCGTTGGTGCACTGCGTATTCTTGAGGCATATGCAGAGCGTCAGCACGTGTCTGTGTCGTTCGCATCGATGGCGCCACGTGTCCGCTCGTCGCAGGCAGCCTCATACCTCGAGGCACAGCGCTGGATTAGCTACCACCTCTCTTTGGGCCACGTCTCGTCAAGCACGAGCGCTTGCGTTCTTGCTGAGCTGACGCAGCACATGGAACACATTCCTCAGGCGTTTCATCAGCAAGTTCTCTCGCTTCTTCCTGCTTGGCTATCTGCGATTCAATTCGAGCCTGAAAGCATCGAACATGTGCATCTCGTGTCGCTCACGCATATGTTTGGCGTGACGCATCCTCTGGCCGTTCGCGCATTGTGGCAAGCTGTGGATATTACACCCTCCGGCGCGCGAATGCTTCTGCACTTTCTGCAGTCACGCGCTCTTTACTACCGCAGTGTCGAGTTCATCGAGCTTGCTCGCATGATCATATCGAGTCTTGCTTCGTCGGCAGCGCAGAGCCTGCAATATGCGTTGTATGAGACACTTAGTCCACATGCCATGATCCCCTTTGTGCCTGAACCGGCTACTATGCTGCCATTCTCACTTGATGCGTGGTTGCCACCACCTGGGACGGACCTCATGCCCCTCCCGCGTGCGCTCACGACGCTCCTGTTTCTCAGTGAGTGTGTGTCCGCCACTTTGCTTCGTCGCGAGCATTTGCCTGTCGTGCTTCATGCGCTATGCATGTACACGGACGGATTGCCACCTTCGCTGCATACTAGCGTTGTGCGAGCGGCTGAGCAGATCTTGTGTGTGCTCGCAACCCAAGGCCTCGACTCCGCCGCGCCGCCCCCCGCCTACCTTCGAGCTATGCATGCCGCCTTCTCGATGAAGCGGGCGGACCACGTTGCATTGGACGACATGCAAGTGCCGAAAAAAATGACGGCTCTCGTCGATGCTCTGGCCAAGTTGGCCGCTCCGCATGTGCCGGCGATTCGCGATCTCTGGAGCGAAGTAGCCTTGCAATGGTCAACCAATGCACCAAACAGGCGTATGGCATGTCGATCTTTGCAGATTATGCGAGCCTTGCGCCCAACGTATCCAGCGCTGACGGTACCAAATCTTGTGGCACGTCTTGCTGACACTCTTGCGCTGTCGGACGCCATACCATACACGCTCGAGGTGCTTAACACGTTGGAAGCTCTGCTGGCAACAGCCACTGCGGACGTGCTCCCGCCCATCTACTGGACAGTCGTCGCATGTGCCGGGACAGCGTTGGAGCCGGTTTTTTCTGCGAGTCTGTCGCTCTTGCACACATGGTTTGATCAAGTCAACATGGACGCCGAAACGTGCGATGCACTTTGGACGTCGCGCCCCTCATCCTGGGACTTGGACGCTCCCACTCTGCAGTGCATGGTCGTGCGTGGTTTGCGGATTGCACGCACTGACACCACTGTGCTGCATCTGCTCGTTCGCCTTGCACACGTGCCGTGGTGCGAACTGATCGATTCGTCGCCTGAAGACCGTGTTCTTACCTTGCTCACGGCCGCGCTGCCATGGTGCATGCAGACGTGTGATGCTGGAAAAAGCCCCGCACACGGCGCAGTTGTCACACAGCTGGCTGATGCATTGACACTCCTGGCAAACGATGCTCAGCGATCCGACATAGCACGGATCACAACGTCCATCGCTCGAGCGCGCTTCCGCCGTGCTGACGATCTTGTACGACAGGCGGCGACGTCACTTGCGCTTGGGTGCACGAAGCCACGTGCAGTGCACATCGTCTCGATGCTTATTCTGACGCTATACCATGAATCGGTAGATGTATGTCGTGCAACGCTGCTTGCTCTCGTGCCGTGTCTCCAAGCCTTGCACGCACAGGGAAGCATTTCTACGTTGATGCCTGACATTCCGCTGGAGCCTCTCGTGCGCTTGTTGCGCACGCCGCTCGCTTCACTGGCTCTGGAGGTGCTTCATTCTCCATTGCTTGTTGATGAAGCGCCGAGGTCTATGCTCCAAGCATGCGGCTGGGCTGGCCCCTTAGCATCACTCGATACCAAGTACGCATGTACGAACATACGGGCTGTGTCTCGTGCATGGGAAGCACCAGAGACAGAACGCGGGCTTGCATTTATGCTGGACGAAGGAGACCTGCCAGAGACAGAGCTCGATGCGCTTACAAGTCAGCTGGACGATCTAGCCAGCTTTTTTGTACAGGATAGCACGGATATTCCACCACCCGATCCCCCGTCTCCGCAATCCTTTCAAGTGGCGCAGATCCTCTCTCGGTCCACTTACTCGCAACGCGACTCTTTCTCGCCTGTGCCGCCGGCAAACTTGACTACTCCTCCCGCTGCCGCGGCTTGGGACGACGCCTCATGGGACATGACTTCTAGACGTCGGAGTCTTGGCAGTGACACGTCGCGCGTATTTACTCCGTCTACTTCAGCAACGTCCAGAGTGCCTTCACCCCCATCCACTCCGCCTATTGGCATGGGCGTTGACTCTGTTCCTGACGCTGGAGAGCCATTTTTTTCTTCTACGACAGACACCATGTCATCGGTACGAATGCAGGATCACATCTACGAATACGGGCACAATTCGGAGGACGAACAAACACCTAGTTCATAAATACGTACATACATCCATCCCCCCCTTCCTCGCTGCTTTACATGGCGGCTGATCCACGACCCATAGCTTGAAGCACAGAACCTTGTGGAAGAGACGGCAGTGGAAGCAAAGGCGAATTGGCCGTGGATGGCGCTGATGCTTCATTAACCGAGCGTGTGCCAGTAGCTGGGGGTGGCGCGAGGAAGCCCACTGCCACAAGCCACGATAGATACAGACCCACCAGAGGCTGGCTGACGCCCCGCACAACATCCAGCTCATGTGCGCGAGACAACAGCTTGGTGGTATGGGAGTCGTCCAGCTCTGCCGACTTGGTTGACGTCGGCAAGTCGTCAAGCACAAAGTGCAACAGCGGGAAGAGTGCGTTGGATTCAGTGTCAGAGCCTGGCGCATGCGTCGTTGACGCCATCACGTGGTTCTCCAATGCCGTGCGCCACTCGACGTACTCAACACGCTGCACAGGCCATCCATACTTCGCAAGGGCACCGAGGAACTCATTGTAGCGGATCTTAGGATGTGACGTCACATGGAATACTGTCGCATGAGTCGTCTCCTGCTCAGGCCAGGCCACGGCATTCAGAGCCGCCAATGACGTCACTCGTGCTACGTGGTCCACAGGCACCATGTTGATCGTGTTGTCCATGTCTGGAATCAGCCCCAGCTGTGCACTGCCTTTGACAAGGCGGAAGAGGAAGTCGTCTGTGTTTGTTACAGCTGTCGTGCTATCGCCCACGACGTAGCCTGGTCGCACAATCGCCGCAGCTAAGCCACGCGCACTGGCTACCATCAACAGGCGCTCAGCCACCCACTTTGTCTGGCCATAGCCACTCTTCAGCTGTTGCGCACTTCCCTCAAGCATGTCGCTCTCAGGCACGCCCCGCGTCGAGTCTGCAAGCTCGATGTAGTGGTTGGTGTCCAACGCCGACGTCGAAGAGACAAATGCCACACTTTTCGCACGGCCCTCGGCAGCCATGTGCATGACGGCTATCGTCGACAGCACATTCACTGCACGCAGCTTGCTGTAAGGATACACCCAATGTACCATGGCTCCGTTGTGCACGATGATATCTACACTTGTCACCATGTGATGCCAGTCGCTCTCAGAGAGTCCAAGTCGTGGACGTGCAAGATCGCCGACCACTGCCTCGACACGGCCGCTCATTTCCCACTCATCGCGCCAGAGACCACGTCCCGCGAGGGCATCGCGCATCCGCTGCCGAGCCTCGTCGGCATTCTTCGCTCGCACATGCACATACACCTTTTCGACCTCGTTTGCTCTTTTCGTCAGCAAGTCAGCGAGAATGTATGCACCCAAGAACCCCGTGGCGCCAGTCAAAAACACCCGGCGGGCAGCGCTCGTGCAAGGTGCGCGTGTGAACGATGCAGGCAGCTCATTTTCGAGCTCCTGCGCGTCGCGGGCGTAGGGCACATCCGCCGATGTGCCTGTTGAAGTAGCAGCCGTTTCTGTACCGCGAGCCGACGCACTGCCTATGGCCCTGGTGTGGCACCTCCTGCAGGCGTCATGGCCAGATCCGACTCGTGGGAGCGAAGCTGGTCCAGTGCCGAAGCAAGCTGAGCGATGGTTGGCGCGTCAAACACGAGGCCAAGCGGTACATGAATACCCAACTTCTGCCGCAGTTGGAACACGAGACGCGTGGCAAGGATCGAGTGCCCGCCCAAGTCGAAGAAGGACTCGTCAAGGGGCACAGGCTCAGCAACGCCAGGGAGCAGCTGCCTCCAGACGTCGGCGATGGCTCGCTCGGTGTGAGAGCGCTCGCGACTCTCACTCTGCACACTAGAGACTTGCGCCATGCGCTGGGCCAGCACCGTATCGGGGAATGGCAGCGCCGGCTTGTCGATCTTACCGTTTGGATTCAGAGGCATTCTGGTCATCGGCACAAAGAGGGTGGGGACGGAATACGACGGCAGCTTTCCTTTGAGATAATCGCGAATATCCTTAATGAGCCGGTTGTACTGCCGGATGCGCCAAAGCGAGTCGCGGCCGGGGCCGTCAGGAATGTCAGCTTCCTTCACGTCCTGCACGGCCTCTGACTCTGATTGGACATCGTCCGTCGGCACAAAGTACGACACCAGCACCTTCTCCTCGTCCTTGTCACGCCGCACTAGTGTCACATTTTCTCGGACACGCGGATGCCGGGACAGGTGCGTATCGATTTCGCCCAGCTCGATACGGAAGCCACGGATCTTGATCTGGTCGTCGGCTCGCCCCGTACACTCGACTGTGCCGTCTGGCAGGTAGCGACCCAAGTCGCCCGTGCGGTACATTCGATCGCGTGGTCCCTTCCAGAATTGGCCTTCGCACGTGCCTTGCAGGGTATCGGCTATCTCGAGATCAGGCGCGAGCCAATTGAAGAGGAACTTTTCTGCTGTCACCTCAGGTGGTCCGAGATATCCCTCCGACAGGCCACCGGAGCGGACGTAAATCTCGCCCACCTCTCCCACTGCACATGTCTCCTGCCGGGCATTCCGGTTCACAACCAATAGCTGCACATCGATCATGCCCTGCCCGGCTGGCATAATGTCCTTCTGTGTCTGCAAAAATGCAGGCTCCACACTCGCAGGGGGAATGGCAAAGTACGACACGGCACGCTGCGTCTCAGTCGTGCCATACATGTTGATGATGCGCACGTTCTGGGCGAGAGACTGGAGCCGAGTACAATCGCGTTTCGTCAAGATATCCCCAACGAAAAAGGCATTCCGCAGTGTTGGGATCGGGGTCGTGGCCTGTGCGGACAACAGCTGGCCCATAGCCGGCGTCAGATGCGTCACAGTCGCCCCTGACGACGCCATCCACGATGCCAGCCGGCCGGGAGTGCCAATGTCCTCCGACGTCGGAATGTGCAGCTCAGCACCAAAGAAAATGGGCGTAAATATATCGCGTTGAATGGGATCATGCGCAATGCCGCTAAGCATCGTAAAGCGATCGTTTTCTCCAAGCTCAAACCGCTCACCCATCCACGGGAAAAAGTGCGTCAAGCTGTAATGCCGGCNCTGGACACCTTTGGGAATTCCCGTCGATCCAGACGTGAACGACAGTGTTGCAATGCTGTCAGGACCAAGCACGACGCGTGTCGGTTGTCCTGCGAATGCTTGAGCCTCCTTTAGCACATCGCCAGCGCCAACGTTGCCACCGCGCAATACACCATCAGCTCCCAGCTCGAGAGCCGGGATTTCCGTACGCAACTCGAGCTCCTCTTGGATACATGCACGCACCTGCTGATGAATCGAGCCTGCTTTCGCCAGCACAATCAGCGCGCGGGGTTTCGCCACTTGCAGGTAGATGTTTTGGCGACTCGATGGGTACGTCGGATCAATCACACTGAATGTGGCGCCAGCCTTCAATACACCCAACACTGCCACGACCAAGTCGACCCCGCGATGCGCATACACTGTCACAACTTCGCCGCGTTGCACGCCCGAGTGAAGCAGATGGTGCGCAACAACATTGCTTGCGCGATCCAGTTCACCATAGCTGACTGTTCGCACTTGTGACGCTGGTGCAGGAAGCTTTCCATCTGGGGCAGCGCTCATCACACTCTCAACCAAGCAACGTCGCTCCGGGAATGTCTGAGCGTGGCGCTCCAAGTAGCTTGTGATGCTTCCTCGGTAGCCACACCAATCGAGGTCTTTGCGCGGGTCAGGTAGCATGTGCGACTCGGCCTTTGTGCGGATAAGAATCTGGCCCACCGGCGTCATAGGATGTTTCGCTGCTGAGCAGATAAGCTGGTCGAACTGGCTCAGAATGCTTTCGATACGGTGCGCAGAGAACAGCAGCGCATTGTACGAGATATGGACAGCCACCGGCGCATGGGCCGGTGCTCTGAACGCTGACACGCCATCTCTCGACGGCTTGACGGAACTTTGCGCGGCTGTGGTGTGCGCAGGCCCCACTTCAGCGTCAACACTCGCTTCAGGTGGCGTGACAAACATCGACAAATCTGTCGTTGCGTTTGTGCGTTGCATGAACCACTGCATCGAAGCCGTCTCATCAAAAAAGCGCACGCGGAAAGGCGCATGACTCGTACCCGAAGGAGCAGGGCCCTCCGTGGCAACACGGTCTGACTCAAGCCGCCTTGCAATATCGTCGTATGGCGCAAGGTGTCGAATGGCCTCTGCTTCCACAGCTTGCACACACTTGGCAACCTGCAAGAACGCGTCGCCCGGCTCAACTCGAATTCGCAAGATAAGCGCCTCGCCTGTGTCAGGGTGGTTGCTCGCGACCACAATGTCTGTGTCGCCTGTGTACCTGTGGATGAGAACAACGAGTGCAGCAAGCAGAAAATGACATGCCCGCGGCTGTTCTTCCTCCTCCATTGTCTCCGAAAACCGCGATGGCACCTCATTTTCGTCCTCGTACAGCGATAGGCGCGCAAGTGCGCGGCATGTGGCGGGGGGCAGCACACACGATTTCAAGGCATGAACGACTCTTGTGGTCGCTGGACGCGGGTAGTCTAAGGGCAGCGCAAGTCGCGGTAGGTTGCGGAGCTGCTGCGACCAGTAATCAAGATTCTTTTCTGAAGAAGTACCTGACGCAGGTGGATGCGTCATGGTTGGTCAATGGTCAGGTGGGGGAATAACCCGAATTGTCGAGATGGTCTGTGATTCCGGTTGGCTTACGCGGCGAGACAATTTGTTCACCAGTCAGTAGTCGTCGCCCTTTGTGCTTTCGGCGCCAAGTGTCGTGCGGCACATGTAAATCACGTGGTACTTGACATCGATCCTAATCGCCGCGTCGGTCTCCACACACGAGAGCCTCCACCTATGCGTCTGGCTTTGTCGAAGGCCTCATACCTCCCATCCCTCTCATAGAGCTACTCGGTGCGGCCAGCCTCGCTACCGTCGTTCGGTTTGCCACACGTGCCGTATTCGGCCCCTGCGAACGGGCGCAAGAACATTCGAAATGGGGTGGTGGACTACGAAGTCATCGCCTCAGGTGGCTGAACCCTCCGGTGCAGGAAACATTGCAGGGAATGATGACCAGTTCCAAAGGTCTCTTGATGTACCTGACGAGGAGCCAGATCCTACGCAGAATCGCATCATTGTACCATTCAGCACGCTTCTTGTTGTTTCCGCGATGAGTCTTGGCTTTGCGTCTGGTATGATGAATGGTGCGCGACACACAGCCCTTGTATATTTGGCTGAAAATGCACACAAGCGTCCTACGACGGTACAAGGTTGGTACTTTTACAACAAAACCAAGTATTACCGCATGATTCTGGGTGGATTTCGCCATGGAGGAAGCACGAGTCTTCGCTTAGCCGGCTGGGTTGCTGGCTGGTCCTTGCTGGACGTTCTTGCTGAGGATGCACGTTCTTATTTGGCAGCGCGCAGCGATGGATCGTTCGCGAATTCGTTCGAGTCACGGGTCCTGCAAAAACTGGGTCATTGGTCAGATGGGGCATTGGCCGGCTTTTTAACAGGCCTAGTCGGAGCTATTTCATGTACGTCGTGACCATGCACGAATCAGACTAATATCTATACAGATCGAATATCGACACCTACCATTCCGCGCATGTTGCTCCTGGGCGCGGCCGCTGGTGGAACAACCGGGGCACTACGAGATCTTCGAGAGTCTCTCTTGCATGGCCTGGATCCCTTCCGTCAGCCAAGACTTGTATAGTTACCATCCAAATGCGATCTTCTCACATAGCTTGGCGCTTTGCTGCATTAGCTTCAGCCATGGCGTAGAAGGCTTTCTGGCGCTCTTCTAGCACGCGTCGCTTGTTGAAGTATTCAATCTTAGTGTGTTAGCGTGGGACCAGTCTCCAAGACTTGTGTTTTATTTTTTTTCACATACCCAACTCTGCGCACAGCTACCCTCGTACACGTTTCGCAGCTCAGCACAAGGATCAGCATCACGCTCTGCCATTGTGATTCGCATACGCTCATCTTCCGATCTTCGAGGCTCAGCAAACGCGCCAGAACCAAGGGGGCCTTTCGTGCCTGTCATGTCAGTGCCGGGGGGAACTTGGATCGAATGCTTCGTAAGACAGGCATAATATGCATCGCGCGAGTCCCAGCATTGCTGCCGATTGCTCCGTGTGGGTGCGCCTGTACTTGACATGATGGTCCAAGCGAGGTGTTCAAGAAATCCTGTCTCAAGTTTTTATTGTCGGCCGATCTAGGCTCTGCTGCAAACTTGTGTGATGTGGCGTTCTCCACATAGCGTTTGTAGTTCGAAGGTACGGTCTCACTGAATTGCATCTGCCTAGCCTGTTCAAGTGCGTCTTCAGGCTTCCGCTTCTTTACATGTCGGCGGAAAATACATGTCTTACGAATGCTGACAAGGTCGGGCCTAGTCGTTTCGTTGCTCGTCGGGAATCGGTCGACCACAGCTCTGAGCTTCGTCCCGCGGGCCTCGTGCAACCTGACAAGTTACAGCAGCAGCGACGCGAGTCAACCGGCACGGCGGAACAGGACAATGAACGAACGAACTGCAACGTGGCTAATAACAAGGCGAAAAATAAGACAAATAAAACTATCAAGCGTAAAAGAGCCTTCAATAGACTTTCATTCGATTTTGAGGAGCAGGGGCCTCATGACGAGAAACCTATGATAAAGCGGGCAATGCACGAAAAGCCACTGAAAAACCCTCATGTAGATACATCTTTCTTACCCGACAGAGAGCGGGAAGCAAGTGAACATCAAATGCGAGAGAAAATCAAAAACGTTTGGCATGCTGAACAAGACAAGATCAAAGCAGAGGAAATTGAAGTTGTCTATTCCTATTGGGACGGTCGTGGTCACAGGCGCCATGTGACGTGCCAGAAAGGTACAACGATTTTTTCGTTTCTGGAGTTGTGCAGGAAACAAGTTCCAGAGCTACGCAGCGTTACTTCCGAGCGTCTCATGTATATCAAGGTGCGTTGGCTTTCTTGTTCGGAGGACAACGCGCATCCTAATAGCAGGAGGATATTATCATTCCACACCATTACACATTTTATGACCTTTTGGTGACAAGAGCTCGCGGAAAATCAGGTCCTCTATTTCATTTCGATGTGCATGAAGATGTGCGCCTCCGCAATGATGCATCTCGCGAGAAGGATGAGGTACGTCGAAAAGACTAACTTGAAAAGTCGCACGCGGGCAAAGTCGTCGTACGTGTTTAGAACTGATTCACTCACTCTAGAAACGCGATTGGTACGAAAAACATCGTGACATATTTCCTGCTAATCGTACGTACATGGTTACTCATGGTAGGCTGGGAGGTGTATGACCCAACCAAAGAATATGGTTCCTATGGCATCAAAGATGTATGACACGCGCTCATGCCCATTCTCGACGCGCCTATTTATTTGCGACAAATTTTCCTGTAGTTTATTCGCATCCACCTCCACAAACTCGTGGGACGGCCACTCTTCCAGTCGAAACCGACCAAGTTCTGTGCAAAACGCACGCACATCTTTCGTAGCAGAGGCCACATCAGGTCTCGGTGTATGCGACGTGTGTGGCAAGAACTCCTCCGTCAGGCGTACCGTACCATGTCGCATATCGAAACACAGGTACTCCCTGTAGCTCATACGTGGCATGCGTCCAAGCCGACCGATTTTGGTCTAGTATTCGCGGACGCTACTGCTGCTTCGTCTCAGGAGCCGTACGAATCGCTTGCTGTTTCCTTTACATCTGATGTCACCCGCTCAAGTTTGGAAAAAGCTGCCAGCCATCTTCGGTCTGGACAACTAGTTGCTTTTCCCACAGAGACTGTGTACGGACTGGGTGCGTGTGCTCTGCGCACCGACGCAGCTGAGCGAATTTACCATGCTAAAAATCGACCCGCCGACAACCCCTTGATCGTGCATGTCAGCGACCGACGAATGTTATCGAAGCTGCTTCCCAGCAAATATCCATACAATGCGGCATGTGAGGCGCTTATGAAGGCGTTTTGGCCAGGCCCTTTGACGCTACTTTTTCCTGTAGGCCTTGACGACCAAGGCCTTCCGCGGATCCCATCGACAGTGACATGTGGACAATCTACTGTCGGTCTTCGTATGCCATCGCATCCTATTGCCCGTGCGCTCATCTCTCTTGCTGGGGTGCCCGTAGCCGCGCCATCAGCCAACGCGTCAGGGCGCCCTTCTCCCACAACAGCCGGCCATGTCTTCACCGACTTGGGCCCCCGGCATGTACTTTCTTACATTGTAGATGGTGGTGAGTGCAGTATTGGGTTGGAAAGCACGGTCGTGGATGCGACGACGACACCTGGTGAAGTGCGTGTGCTCCGCCCAGGCGGTATTTCTGTTGAACAAATCGCTCAGGCCCTTGAGCAAGCAGGTCTTTCTTCGCTATCGCTGCGTGTGTACGGCCGAGATCTTGCGAGGAGTGCGCAGCAAGAAGCTGCACCTACAACTCCAGGAATGAAGTATCGCCACTACTCTCCCGAAGCACGTGTCCTATTAGTGCGTATCGACGACGGTGAGCATCCCACCGTGCACGAATTGCTTCGCGATGTGGCAGCGTCTCGAGCCCAAGCTGAGCAGGAGGCACGCATCGGCTTGCTATGTGCACATGACTCGCCACTCATTCTTAGTCTGCCCGATTCAGCTTTGACTCGCTGGGCAGCCGATGCGACGCACGCTTCGTCGTCGTCATTCACTGACAAGGCCGAGTCACGCCTGTCGCCTGTGGTCCATGTAAATGGCATGAAGCTATGTCTTTACTCCCTGGGGCGCCGAGACACACCTTCCGCCGCTGCGCAGCGCCTCTTTGATGGCCTTCGGACACTTGATGCTTGTGTTCCATGGTGTGATGGCAAGCCAGGCGCGTGTGATGCCATTATTACTGATGTGGTGGATGAGAGCGGCGTCGGCCTCGCCATCATGAACCGGCTGCGCAAGGCAGCTAGTGCGACACTCTTCGCTCGTGCTGATGCCGTTAGACCCATTCATATTCCTATGTAGATGTACAATAAAATGAAAGCTAAGCTCCTAAGCAGACCGGCATGTGGTCCGGCTTCTCGAATTCAGAGTTGGGAGGTTTGCGCATGTGCTTGCGTCGCTGAAGAATGGTTGCACCGTCCATGGAAAGTCGGAAATCGTCTTGATTCGAAGGCGCAGTAGGGAAGGAGGGGGCCTTTTGTTTCGCATGTGAGTTGTGCTTATCAAGGATAATTTTGGCAGCCAAACTTCCATACCGGGCATCCGCTGATGCCACATCATGCGCAGTCGAATTCACGCCTGTGCCTGTGGGTGGCTGCAGCGATCGATACCGTTTCGACTGGCGCATTTCTTCCTCAATCCGATGAACAGCAAACGACACATCAAAGGCCTCGCGCAGATGGTTCTTGCTGACAGGCGTGCTTACGCCTTCTTGGTACCCGTCATTGCCATGCAACGACGCAAGGAGGGGCGAGTCGACGGATTCCATATTTGATAATGGCCACATCCGCTTGCGCGTCTGTTGCTGAACCAGTGCACTTGCGCCATTCGTGGACTCCGAGCCACTCTTGACCCACGGGTGCTCAAAGAACTCGCTGATGGTCATTCGGGCGTCCACATCCACACATAACAGTTTCGCAACTAGATCCTTCGCTCCATCGCTAATGTCGTCCCACCAAGGGCTTAGGAATGCATAGTGTCCATTCGACACCTTCTCTGAGAGATCTTTTATCGACTCATCATAAAAGGGAGGAAAGCCACAAAGCAGCGTGTATAATACACAGCCCAATGCCCACATGTCTACACTAAGCGAATACTGTTCGTTGCGTACGATCTCAGGTGCCGCGTAGCCTACCGTACCACACGGCGTCTTGGTCGAATGTTCCCACACAATCTTGCTAAGGCCAAAGTCGGCTATTTTGACGCGGCCAATTTCGCCTCCGCCTACCCCAGGAACGAACTTGCCTTCGTCAATCTTGGTCTCCTCATCGTATGGCTTGCGCTGGAACGACTCGGATGGCTCCGTGTCGATATGCTCAAAAAGAAGATTCTCTGGCTTGATGTCACGATGTACTATGCCGCATTCGTTGTGCATGAACCGAATGCCTTCCGCCACTTGACAAATCACATGCCGCGCGAGCGGCTCGCTCATGTACGTTAGCTTGATGATCTGATCAAACAATTCGCCCCCATTAACGATTTCCATTACCAAATAGCAATATTCATCCGCATCAATAAAGTCAAGCAGCTGAACAATGTTTTCGTGCCGCAATCGGCGCATAATCTGCACTTCTTGCAGGATGGATGCGCGCTCTGTTGACCGGTCATGCTCGCGAATATTGGGATTTAACGCTCGGTTTTGTTCCTTGTCGCCTACGCGCACGACTTTGATAGCCACAGGGGTATTCGTTTTCCGGTCATATGCTCTGTATACAGTAGAAAATGTGCCATTTCCTAGCATTGCGACAAGCTCGTAACGCTCAGGGAGGCCTTCGTACAGCGGAAACGACTGCCCAGATGCCATTTTTTGTGCGGTAATATCCTCCGTCTGGGCATGGAGCAGACGATCACTAGCTAAGGGAGCAATCGACGTCGGCTCGCTTGCCAAATCCTGCATGGACTTCTCAGGTGTGTAAGAAAACGTTGGCTCATGGGAATGGTTAAGCAAGGTTGGAATAGCTGTTGCACTAGCCACTGTTGCTGGCACTGCCCGGCCCATCAGTAACGAGGCAGGTGTTGGTATGTCCCCAGCCAGCATAGCAACAGCAGCACGCAAGCGACTTGTGTGGAAAGCAAAGGGACTAGGAAATAAAAAAAAAGGGGGCCGGTCCTAGAAGTGTGGACAAATCCCAGGAAAAGTGAATCAATGGAAAGATCCCCTGTCAGGGTCAAGAGGGCTTCAATTTCGCGGGTGTATCCAATCACCCCGCGTTCTTGAGCGAGAAAATTCGAATTTTTTTTTTCGTGTATTCAACTGCAAATGCTGGGGGAGAAGAGAGAGCTGATGTGTGGATTCGTCAGTCGTCGGGGCGAGAGAATTTGCCGCCCACAACAAAGCCTAATTGCTAAGCCCTACATTGACACGTGGGTAACGCAACACTGTCTAGCGTGGCCTGCTACAGTGTTTCGCTCATTCAATCGGGTGGGGGGGGCAATTACTTTGAGGACCCTCGGACATTGAAGAAGTAAAATAAGCGTACCTCCTGTCTCAAGACGCAAGCTCAATGGGGTCAATTTTCCAGACCTTGTTATGCGTACTAATTGTATACTGGGCATGCATACTGTATCGCAGATGGTCAGTGTATTCACGAACACGACAGTTTGTCTTGGATCAGCGACGCAAGGCCGGTATCCCGGACACAGACCATCGCCCCTTAGCTGTCGCCGCGGCTGATGCTGCCGCTCGTCGCCGAGCTGCCATGGAGCAACGATTGCGTGAATCTGACGATGTATTCCGACCAACGGCCCTTACTGCGCAAAATGCTCGACATCGTGAGAACCCGTCGTCACCAGCGACATTTCGTCCGATTCCTGTTCCAGAGCCTGTTGCAGTATCTTCCATACCATCTGTTACTCGTCATTTGCATCAATCAAAGCCACATCGTCGGGTGTGGCCCGAACCCGAGACTTTCTATGGACCTACTGTCCCCAGTCGAACAACAAGCTCATCACACGTCTCGAGTACACTCAAGCCACGCAAACGCGATGCCGATGAGATCACAGATGCAGGCGATCATGATCAGGCGCGACCGGTTTCTTCTCGACGTGTTCGCCGAAAAATGTCGCTGGAAGGACCGTGCCGCCCCGAGAACCATCAGAGTGTGGTTGTCTCTGACGACGATGAAGGTGATCTCGAGGCTATGGATGAAGACGATGTCGCGGATACTTCGACGACCTCCTACGATGAAGAAAGTGATCTGCGTGAAGACATGAAGGAGGAAGAAATGTCGAGCGGGTCAGCCTCACTCAGCTCCAGTAGTATGGAGGAGGACGACCTGGACAATCGCGATGAGGTCGATGTGAGCGAGAGCGACGAGGTCATGGCACCTCCCGCAGGTTTCAACAAGCGCTCGTCATCTGCGCTTAAGCGTCCCGCTGACACATCAGATGATCATGGTCCTGGCGATGAATGGACAGATGCAAATGGTCTGAGATGGCGCATTGGCGATGACGGTATACCCCGACGAGCTGTCATGCTAATCGAAATGAAACCCAAATATGCGATGCCTCGTGATACTGTGCATCCAGATGCACGGGCTCGTGTGCCGATGCAAATCGAAAGGTTTCTTTCTCATGATGAATATGAAGAGGCGAAGCGCAAGAAACAACTCAGCTGGCAGCATGAATTATCGCATGCTAAAGGGTCAGTGTCAACTTCTTCGTCTCCGCCAAGCTTTCGCAGTGACGACGTCGAAGACAGCATGGCTAGTATAGTTGCTCGCCGTTCACGAGGTCAGGCGCGTCGTCGAGGTGCGAATGACTTGCTGTTTAGCGACTTGACGCGCTCAAGTCGCTCGTCACTCTCTGGCGGTGACGATTCGATGTCGAATGTCTCAATGGGTGATGCAAGTGCAGATGACAGCGCTTCGTTTTCATCGTCCTTGCTTGGTGACCAGGCCGACATGTCACGTCGCTTGCGTCTTTCACGCGCCTCTGCTTCTCCAGCTAGACGCACAGCCTCGCCAGCACGGGCCGTACCGCTTATGAGACAACGATATGCACGGATATATGGCGCATCTCCGCACTCTCAGTCCCCGGTGCGAACTTCTTTGGATCAGGAGGCCAAGCGGAAACGTGAAAAGCGACTCATGTCACGGCTCCATGCTGAGCGTGATGAAGCAGCGAATCATACTAGTTCTGGCACAACTTCGTAAGAAGTGCACATACGGGCTCGTAAATTGTTGATACCATTCTGTTCGGTGATAATACGTAGACATTTCGATCATATATACCTGGCTTTTTTGGTTGATTTTTCCCGCCTCTCAATGTAGCTCGTGAACAAGACAGCGAATAAATTTTCATTGAGCAAATGTATGTATCTAGGTCTTGCGACTATGGTCTTGTAGTTACTTCTCTGCTGATAATAGCTCGACGACACTGCTTTTACGTATCGCGGCTCAACATTGTTCCAAGCCTTCCACTTTTGTCATCGTCTGGATCGGAGTGGGCGGTCTAGCTGGACTTTCTTTCCAGGGTGGAGGCGGCTATCTAGTGGCAATGTACCCCCACAGCCCAGAGGAGGGCTTGCTCTTAAGTTGGGATACAGGCGTGGAGGATGTCATCTTCTGACACAAAACGGGCCAGACCATGATGCTGATAAAAAAACAAGCGCTGGGACAAGCCCAGGGCGTCCATGCAACTCACAGACTTTTTACAATGACACGTTCAAGCACCGCAAGTAGTCTTTCCATTCCTGCACCATCTACTGCCTCTGCGAGCGACCAAGATGCCGCGGCTCTTGGCCGCTTCTTCTACCGGAACAGCATGATCAATGAGTGGGCCAATCATCCAGCCCATCGTACGACATTACAGCAACTGATCATGTTTGGTAGATCAGCGCGGAGAAATCGAACTCTGCTGATGCAAAGTGCAGACTATCTCCGCAGAGAGCTGACGATCCGCATTGCGCACCGCCTGCGTGACATGCAAACGATTCCGTTCGTCGCCATGTCCAACGAGCAACTAGACTCAATCTACCAATTTTACTGGCGTACATTCGAGACTTTACGCCGAATGAGCAAGATTGAATCGGATGAGCAGAATCAGCACCTCATTGATGTTGTGACGCACTTGCTCTCCGAGCGTAAGAGTAAACTTGATCTCACCGCGGGCATCTGCCGTGAGTGTATATATTACATGGAGCCTGAGGCGGTGAATCTATTTTTGGCCCGCATGTTGCGCTCGCAAATCTCGCGGGAAGTGCTGGCGAAGCAGCATATTGCACTTTCACTCATGCAGGTCGCTCCTGAGGCGAAACGTACGCCCAACGTCGTTGGCATGATCGATACGCAAATCCTTGTTGCACGCTCAGTCCAACAGAGCTTTGAGTTTGCTAAATCGAGCTTAGCACGCACGTATGGCTGGGATGAGTCAGATGCGCGCATGCCCTCTGTTGAGATTTTCGGCGATCTCCAAGCGCAGATCGCCTATTTGCCGGCACACTTGGAGTTTATCGTGCTTGAACTATGTAAAGTGTCGATGCAAGCGACTATGAATCACCATACAAAGACAGGGCAGGTACCTCCGATTCGGATCCTCATCGTCGACAGCGCATCGAAAGATGAGGTAATCATTCGTATTTCCGATCTTGGCGGTGGCTTGCGTTCTGTGCAGTCGACGGAGGCAGACAGCAAACCACGGTTTCCAACGAACGTGACTCGCGCTCGAGGACCTTCGCTCTTGCCTGGCATATCATCTTTGCCACCCGTCAATGAGGCAGAAGACACCTTGCTTTGGTCTTTCCATAACCTTGGCAAAGAGCTTGAACGAATGAACATTCAACTCGATACCACCGCCACTCTCGACCACAGCCAACTACATGCTGACGGCGCAGAGACACCTGATCCGACGTCTTCGTACCCTGGAGGCGATGGTCTCATGCGTCTTTCGGTGCTCAATATGGACTCGCGCTCTGGCCTGCCTATCGTGAAACTATATGCAGAACTGTTCGGCGGGAAGCTCGAGTTCCGCGCGATGGATGGCTATGGAACCGACATCTATCTCCGCCTGCCGAAGAATGGCACGACCAAAGAGCTTCATGAATAATGCATATACCCACGTGTTTCTGGTCTTTACTCTTCCTCTCCCTACCCCCAACGTAGCAATCATGTGTTAGTCGATGTCTGCGGTCGGTTAGTCACATGTCATGCTTCCTAGTCCTGCGGTGACGCACAGTGCATAAGTAAGAGAAGTAGCCCACTAAGAACAAAGAACAGCGACAATAAACGATTTGCCTGTCGATTGCGCTCTTTTGCTCGGCGCAACTGCTGATTGCCCCGCGTGACCTGCTCTCCGTGTGTGCCAGCGTCGGAGAGAAGTGTATCGACGTGTTCATTCTGTTCCTCCAAATGTTGTACGATCTTGGTCTGGAGAGAGGAAATGTCCTGCAACTGCTGCTCCGCATGCTGGACAGCTGCAAGATCAGCTTGCAATGATTGGACAAGAGCTGAGGCTTCTTCTTCAAAGACTTGCCGCTGCTCAGTGCTCAGTTGATCAACCACGTCCACACCTTGCTGTCCCATCGCACCAATACTTCCTTGGAGCGCTTCCGCCGGTAACGCTGACCCTGTTTGTGTTGATATGGATTGTGGTGTATTATCAGACAGTTTTTCATACCTCTGGCGCTGCATGTCAACGCGCTTCTGTTGGAGTGATGCTTGGATCGATGAGGCTCGTGCTAGCTGCTCAGACAGGTACTGCGTCACGGCCATGTGATGCACTCCTAACAAATTTGAGGCTTCCCTCTGTTGAATCATCGCACGGCTTTGAAACAGGCCTAGCCGTCCAAGGCCCGTAGCACCTACTTTCTCGAATGCACGCGACATGGCTTGAGAACGCACTGCAACATCACACGTGTAAGACCAGACTAGAACGTACACTTTTCTCCGCGCTCTAGCTCCTGAACCCGAGCAAGGCATTGCTTAATTACAAGCTTAACCTGGAAGTCAACTTCGTCTCTTTCCGACTCCGTTAGCGCCGTCACACCGAGCCACCGAGAAAACGCATCTTGCTGTTGTTGTTGATGCTGTGGCTGGTCGCGATCTTCTTGGTGATTTATAGCGCATCTTCTTCCCTTCGCAGATAGATCCAAGTATGCACGACGAATTAGGCCTAGAAATGTGTACAGCGAAGCAATGTGACGCTTCTAAGCATATGCGTGAGTGTGTGAGCGGATGCATCTAGAGACACGTACTATCGCGTACGCCTCGTGCGTCCATGTTGCTGCAGCATCTAGCTGCTTTTTTGCAACGGGATCTATCCTTTTTGGGGTCAGCTGCACATCTGGCACCTGTGCGTTGAGCAGTTCAGCAAACACCGGCGTCTCATCGACCACTGGCGGTCCGTGCCGCATGACGACGTGAGAGACAGAGTCGTAGAAACCTCCACAGGCGCCATGCCTCCGCGCCTCTTGGGCCGAAACCTAATTCTATGCATATATAGTGTACAAGGTGACGGGGAGTCGAAGTCGATCCTACACGAAAGCAATGTGCGAACAAATGAAGCGAGAAAAAAAAAAAAAAGACTACTTGTGCCGACGCCGACGGCCTGAATACTTGGAGTCATTTGGCACATCCTTAAGGTCAGTAATCAGGCAGGGAGCACGTACAGACTTTCCACGTGAGCGATTGAGATCCTTTTTACGTTGAATGTATGCTTTAGATGACTCAATCTTCTTGTTTTTACGATGTCGGTCTTTTCTAACATCCTGCATCTTGCGGGTTTCATGACGTACGGTGGAGTCGTTCTCGTCAAAGTCCAGAGCATCAGGAAGCCGTTGCTTCACACCTTGACCTTCACCATTAGGACCCACGAGCATTTCACCGCCGACCCACAGAACCAAGTAAATCTTCTTGGCCTTGACAGAGTTGGGGTAGTCAACGACGAGACCGCCACCAAATCCTGCCCGCGTGGCTTGCGACATGATGAATGTGACTTGATCATCGCTTTCTGGATAGAACTGAAAGACGCATCGCGCACCGCGAGAAAGAGAAGCGTAAAGCGTAGAGAAGAACGTGCTGAGACGAGCTGCGGGAGAGTTGTAACTCGTGTCTGCATTGCAGAGCCACTGAAGCACCGAGATACTGATAGCCCCATCGAAACTACCTGCGCGAAACATGCATCCATGTCCAGCATCGGCCAAGATCATATCTCCTTCTACATCTCTTTCGAGGCCGACACTCAGCATGCTCGGACTGATATCGAATCCGACCCATTCATGCCCCAGTTCAGTTAATATTTCGCCTGACAGGCCTGAGCCGCATCCAATATCGAGTACAAGAGCTGGATGTCGGTGTGGAGGAAGAGCAAGTAGTTCGATAGCGCGCAATGTCATTTCTGCCTGGATCTCCTGGTTTCGTGTGCTAATGATGTTAACCCTTTTGCGCCGCACCCCACGATACATACTTGGCGGTGTATTTGCGTGCTTCTGTGTCTCCGTAGTAGATTTCAGGTGGCGCCTGATGCTCTGGCCTGCTCATGATTGATATTTGGTTCTACTCTCAAGTGCGGCAGCACAGGCAATGGGTAATTTCCGTCGTCCCGGTGCCGTACAAAAGCTGCGATGTTGATGGAAGTTCTTAAACCTTGGATTCTGTCATGTCAAAATATGAAATCGTGTTTCGTAGTGCCCAAACGAATGTGGAGGTCTGTCGCGAAAAGTTCGAGATGGTGAGAATCTCGGTCATGCTGACCCGAGATGCGGCGATGAAGCATGCTCATTCGTGCAGTATTGAATGTACGACTGGATTTACTTCAAACTATTTAGGTGCTTTTCCATGATTTCTAGAGCCTTTTCCACCACCAGCAGCGGGACCGGCCTTCACGCGTCCTTGCTGAACATGTGCAGCTGATCCGTTGTCTTTTTCAGGCTCAGGCGCCGGCTCAGCAGCCGGCATTACGAACAAAACCAGCAACGGCAACAGGTAAATCCAGTAGCGCTGCAGAAACTCGACAAGGTTCTTCGGAGCCTCTTTGGTCTTCTTGTCATCGCTCTTCTTACTGTTGGTCGTCGTTTCGTTGCGCTTTGGCAATTCGATCGTCGTAGTCATCGTCTCCGGGAGCATAAGGCGCAGCTCTGTGGCAAAAGTAACTGGATAGAATGCTGGCATATCTTTCTCCGCATAGTTCGGACATGCATCAGGACCCAAGTTCCATTCTTGCTCAACAGCGTACACAATGCCGGCAATGCGAAGTTGTGTCCCCTCGTCCGTAGCGACAGGGGTCAGATGAAGCTTGATAGCATCAGGTAGTACGTCACCATCTTTGCAGACACGAATTTGACACTGCAAAATTAGTGACTCATACCCTAAATCCACGCACCAGTTTCGTGTATGTCATAAATCCTTCGTCGTTGTCCACCAAATCTGAGCTTTCGCTCGAAGACAAATCGCGCATATCACCAGGAACGACCTTGATTTGATAAATGCTCTGTTCAGTTTGTTCTGGAAAGCTAGGCATCGCATCGATGCCTTTATATTGCGCATGCGGACCAGCCTCCAACGTGTTGGGAATCGTGACCAATGCTCGCGGGTGCCAAGGCGTCATGGACACAGTGCCACGTCCCAGTTCGATAATTCTGTGCATGACTGTGTATTCTGACATCTGTGATTGCGCTGCGCGTGCGCATGCAGCTACCACGGCCAGCACACACGTAACTGCGGGCCACCTCATCGTATAGATCGTACGCACGCGTGCACAGCTGGGTTTGACGAGTGAGCGTGGAGGGAGGAAGCCCAAGCCACGCACAATCTGGGCCGCCTTGGTCGTCACGTGCATTCACTCATGCTCACGCTTACGTGGATCTAAATTTACACTGCGAGCCAAGTTCTATATAACTGGCGCGCCAAGTCTGGAGAGCCAGATTGGTTGTAGATCATGGCAAGATTGAACGCTGTCTCTCGTATCATGTCGAACCCACGCAATGGTGCTGACGATGCTTGTTGTGCTCTCTGAAGTACGCGTTCATATCGAGGCACTGCGATGTGGACTAGACCTGCAGCGTTAAAAGTATTTGTCCAGCATTTATATGATGTTGATATACGTACCAAGATGCTGGTAGGCGCGTCCAAAATTGTAATCAACTTCAAGCGATTGTCCGCGCAGTTCAGCGTAGTTTGCAAGCATCGACATGCCTTGAATGACTGTGTGGTTTCGATTGTCCACTTGCCGATTCGTAGCACGTCCGAGAGTCGCAGCACAGCATAGTAGACAAAGCAAAGGGTCGTTTTGCTGAAGCGCCAGCGCTCGATACAGGTAACCCATAGCTGGTTGAAAACTGTTTGCACACAGCATCAGGTACCCATAAAATATCTCACCAATTGGTGACGACTTGGTAGGCGGCACTTGGGCCTTGGTCGTGTTGCTATATTCATCCGTGCCAGCCGCGCCTTTCTCGTCATCATCGTCGACCCCTACCATTGTCCATCGGCCTGTACGTGGATTGACTTTCGCTGGGCGACCCATAATTATAGCTTCGTGAGTCCTCATACGCCGCTGATATTGTTTTGTATTGGTCGAGCTAACGAAAGCGTCGACACCATAAAATCCCAAGCTGTTCGCCAACGACGTGATCAAACGTAAAGGCTCGTTATGAAATTGGTATGTTGTGGGAAGCCAACGCGCAATTTCGAAAGCCCGTGCAAAATCGCGTGAATACAATGCGCATGCTAAATATATTGTAAGAACGGTGTGTGTTAGTGAAAGTAACGCTGTCGTCGAATACGCGCGGAGGCTATACGTACCCAGCCAGCACAGGTGCAGCGATAACTTACGCTCTTCTGATGGCCAGACGGTATTCGATACCATAACATGACGAAACATATCGTTAACAGCCTCATCTTCATTTCCCACCTTAGCAAGAGCGATTCCGTACTTCATAAAGAGGGTGACCCAATCGTCAAAATGAATCGTGCGGAACGTCGTTTGTTCCTGCTCATTATGATCCCGAGCGAAGTTCTCAGCAGCATTTGTACTTGTTTGTGTTCCTGCAGCTTCGTCAGACATGGCTTCATCCACCATTTGATCACGGAGACGATTCAGAAGCTCTTCAGCTTGAGTATCCAGATCTAATGCTTTCGATTGTCGTGAGCGTCTCGGTCGTACAACACCTCGGTATTTGGTATGGCGTTCCTTAGGGAACAAAAGGGACATGGATCGAAACGAGTCGATCAAGCGACCAGCCACCTGGATCCACTTTCTCGTCGCTGTAAATCGCTGCTTCGTGGCTGCATCAACGGGTCCTGATATCGAGGATGAAGATGGCTCATTGTCAAGTCCATCCAGGAAGACAAAGTCATGTCGCCAGAATCCATCCACGAAGACCTCCGGCTCGAGTGCACACAGTTGAATCCATGCAAGTCGTGTCTCTTCTTCACGCTGTTGCTCGAGACGCTGTCGCTCAGCATACGTGATACCTGAGCGAGAAACGCGCTGCTGCGTCGAGGCTTGAGCCGATCCAGGTGGTAGCTCTGATTCATTGAAAAATGACAAGGACGAAGGTGGCTCAATTGGACGTTGATTTGGCCCTGGAGCCGCTTCATGCGTATGGTCGTTATTTTTGTTTTCATGTCGAGCAGCAAGCACTTCGTTCACGAGATCTAATGCTTTGTTGCGCTCACCAAGCTCTTCATAAATTTCTGCGAGACTCAGCTTCACATCAGACTGATGGGCCTGCTCGGCCAAGATCATTTCGAACACTTGAGCGGCTTCTTCCAGCATATTCAGGTTTTGGTAGCACATGCCCATATGAATCCAAACTTGGACATCATCTACAAGGCCTTCTTCAAGCAAAGGGCGATATGTTTCGAGTGCCTCGGCGTAAAGCTGATATTCAAAATACGTGTCGGCCATCTCGAGGAATAGCAATGGAAACTCCATAGGATCCGTCTCATCAATAAGCAAGCTGAAATGGCGCTTTCCCTCTTCAAAATCGCGCAGCATAAAACGGGCCTTGCCAAGTCGAAGCCGGACTTCTCGATCTAATTCATATGCCTGAAGGTGGGCACTAGTATCCCCAGCATTTGCAGCAGGAACTTCATCAAGCTCAAGGTCATTTTGTGCGTCGTCTAACCTGTCTTCACGAATCTGGCCACGCATCCATCGGATAGTCTGCTTGACGACCAGGATGACTTGCAGCGGTCTTTTCAAGAGAAGAAGCAAGTCAGCAAGCGTTACAAGTTCATTCAGCGAAAAAATGACATTTGCTCCGGTCGTAGACTCCATGTCAGCCAGGGCTGGGTCAATGTTGGGGTCCTGAGCACCTCGCATACTAGTACGTCGCATATCCTCGAGAATATCGGCACCGATTTCATAGTCGCCCAGAGATACTAAAAGTGGGATAAGTTCTTGCAAAATTTCGGCATCATATGGGCGCAGCTTAAGAATTCCATGAAATGCATCAGCTGCAACACGAAGGCGGCCAGAATCTTTCAGCATCATCGCCCGATCCCATAGTGCATCAATATCAAATCTATTCGCCTTGATGACCTGCTGAAGACAGTAAATCGATTGTTGCAGAAGCCCACGCTCCCGACTTCGGCGCGCAAGTGATCTCCATTCCTCTGATGCATTCGATGTCAGGTGGGCACCCACAATCCGGCATTGAATAGACTTTTCTTCTTCACCAAGCTCTTCAAAGCACATTCCAAGAGTATACCAAGCACTTTTTACAGTTGGCTCAATTCGGATAACCTCCTCAAGCTGCTGAATTGCTGCTGGCAAATTCGCTTCGACGTACGAGATGTTCGCCTGCGCGATTAGTGCTTTGACTTCAGGCGACAGAGCCTGTTCTCGGATTCGAGTGGATTTGTTTTTCCTCGTGTAGCCATTAACGTCCCTTAACTCATGATGAAAAGACTCCATATCCGCTTCCATCGATTGCTTCCATGCATTCCCCTTCCCACGCTGGCTAAGTATTTCTTCTTCGTGCGTTATGGGCTCATCTTGAAATGCGCTAATGAGCCTACTAAAGTCTTCCTGTCCAATATCCGTAAGAATTTCTTCTTCATCATTTCGCTCTTGACGAGCAGCAGTCGTACTGTTTTCTATATTTTCGTCGTCTTCCGCGTCATCTTCACTCGGCTCGTATTCATCAAATGCTGAGGAATCACTAGCGTCCCAATCGCTTCCTTCGGCATCCGAATACTCTTGCATAGAGTCTAGTAAATTTAGATTGCCACCGCTGCCGGCATTGATACTGCGTCTTGACGTCACCATCGCAGATTGGCCCACGAAGTGGGTCCAGTCCGATCAAACGTCTCACGCGCGCCAGTCGTGGAGTTGGGGTAATACAAGTGTTGAATGTGGGAGTGACACACGGTCCTCCACATATCGGCCGAACTTCCCATCAACAGTATCCTCGACTCACTCTCCTCCGCGTCAGTGCTGTGAGACACAGTTGTCGTCGACGGACTCACGCGCGAGATGGTTGAGCCGGCGCCAAACTTCCGACCGTCGCGCTCGAAAGTCGCATATTACTATGACAGTGCGTCAACATAAGATTGAGGACTGACAGCAGATGATGTAGGGAACTTCTCGTACGGGTTTGGACATCCGATGAAACCGCATCGAATGCGCATGGCGCACAACCTAATCCTAAATTACGGCCTCGATAAGCACATGGAAATTCTTCGACCGCCTCGTGCTACGCGGCAACAGATGACCAAGTTTCACACTGACGAGTATATTGACTTCCTCAGTCGCGTCACGCCTGAATCAGCACCGAAGCTAACAGGAGATGGGACACGCTACCTGATTGGCGAGGATTGTCCTGCCTTTGATGGGTTGTTTGAATTCTGCACAATATCCTGCGGTGGCTCTATTGCCGGTGCAAACCGAATCAACGACGGCCTCGCTGACATTGTGGTCAATTGGTCAGGTGGGCTCCATCATGCTAAGAAACGTGAGGCCAGTGGATTTTGCTACACAAATGATATTGTGCTCGCAATTCTTGAGCTCTTGCGCACGCATTCACGTGTTTTGTATATCGACATCGATGTGCACCATGGTGATGGGGTTGAGGAAGCCTTCTACGTGACAGATCGTGTCATGACCTGCTCATTTCACAAGTTCGGCGACTTTTTCCCAGGGACAGGCGATGTGCGAGATATCGGAATGAAAAAAGGCAAGGCATACGCAGTAAATGTTCCGTTACGAGACGGAATTGACGCTGACACTTTTGGCTCGATCTTTCGTCCTGTGATTCAGCACATCATGGACTGGTTTCGCCCGGGTGCAGTTGTCTTGCAATGCGGCGCTGACTCACTTGCAGGCGACAAGCTAGGCTGCTTCAACCTCAGTATGCGCGGACATGCAAACTGTGTTGAGTTTGTCAAGTCGTTTGGCGTACCCATGATGTGTGTGGGCGGTGGTGGATACACCGTACGGAATGTCGCTCGGACATGGACGTTCGAGACAGGTCTTTTGCTGGGCAAGGAACTACCTGTGGATCTGCCATTTAATGACTACATTCAGTACTTCGGCCCTGAGTACAAACTGGATGTGCCATCAACAGGTATGGACAACTTGAATACACCGCAGTATCTTGATGGACTTCGGACCCGTATTATTGACAACCTACGATCTATGCCATTTGCACCTAGCGTTCAGATGCAAGAAACGCCGCGCACATCGCTATTATCAGCAGCAGGTGCAGATCCGGATCTGTCCGAGGATGAAGACTCGGACTTGGACGAGCGCATCTCTCAGAGATTACGCGACCGTCACACTCAGGCGTTTGGCGACGTGCTTAGTGACGATGAAGACGAACCAAACAGCATGACAGCCTACGAAGCTGACATGGCAATGATGCAAGCGGCGGCGCGACCTCCGGCTGGTCCTTGGGCGCCGCCCATGCCCATGCCCCTCGGCGGAGCTGCTGGCCCGTCGCTCATGACATATCCTCGTGAATAGGGCGTGGGGACCTGCAAGTAAGTAAATAAAAACAGTAATTTGGTAGCATACTCAAAGTTTCCCTGTCAGCGAGACTTGATCCATTCTTGAATGCCTCTGTTGAACGTAGCTCGGTTCAGGCCTTGGGGACCTACATGGACAAATTTCACGCCCAATTTCGAATGTACTTCAGCTGATGGCGAGATTTTAGTGTTAGAAAAGATAAGTTATTTTTTTTCCGAAAAAAAAAATAATAAATAAAACAAACAGAACAAAGGTGTAAGGAGCGGACGTCAAGATGACAAGTGCATACCGTTTCGATGTTCATCGTCGAAAAACACTACCGCATGTTAGTCGGCCCAAACAGGAGCAGATACTTCACGCATCAAAGTCGCAAAGCCAATACTCATAACTCCAGAATCACGTACACATGTCCCTGAAATCGATGCCTGTGACTTCAGCCAAGCGTCGAAAATGAGTCGTTTTGGAGCCAGGATAGATCTCCAAGTAATCAAAGAGGGCTTTGCTCGTTAGCACAGCATGTTTCATAGTGTATACATACACATAGCCGAGACTGGCGGCTCTTCACCAGCGCTCCTAGATATCATGAGACCCTGAAGTGCCTGCCTCGCAACTCGTGGTGCGGCAGTGCGAGAGGCAGCAGCTATAAGAACTCCGTTCTGCCGAAGAAAAAAGAGGATGCCTCTGTAGAGGTAAGATCGCATTCAATTGAGAAAACGCACGGTACATCATCATAAAATGATAGTCGCTCACCTGAGCTGACAATATGTCAATCAATCAAGGAACGTCACGATCATAGATCACGTACGCGTCGATAACTTCATTTTGCTTTCGACTGCGACGTAGCGGCGGATCTACATGCGTATCGACCCAGAGCTTTGTGTTACACAAGATTGATTCAACGTACTGGCCAGAGTGTATAATCCAAGTCGAATACAACCAGCCTTGGTAACTGAGCCCTCTCCGCCGGACGTGTCATGGCAATGACTGTGTTGCTCCACCTAGAGGGAAAGAGAATTCATGTATTCTGCGCGGGTCATGAGATTTTCTATCTATCCTCCACGATCCTTAACCAGACAGTGGTGGGCGTATGGACAGGCCGCACATGAGCCGTGTGTCCGAGACTGCCACACTGCCCTTTTATGAGGGTGCATTCGTCCAGGCTTCGCCTGAGATTGAACGCATTCGCAAAGATCTTCCCAACTTTTCATCGCCGGAGCTGCGTGTTCAACGAGTTGGTCAACTAGACTCACATCTTCTTGATCAGGAACTGGCGGACTTGTTAACGCAGCCTGTAAAAAATGCATTGCGCAAGGTATCGCCTAAATTTGAGCAGCGCTATAACTCTGAGATTCTCGTCGCGTTACGTTTGATCTTGTACAAATTTAGTATCTATGACCGCGGCGCAACATATGGCGCGATGCTTCAAAACCTAAAATACCGAAACGAGTGGGCACATCGTGCACATTGTACGTACAGAGAGAATTTGACTGACTTTATTTTTACAGTACACTCAACGGCTCGGGATGCGCCACTATCTTCCGTTCAACTTGCCCTGCATCCGTTGCTCACGATTATTTTGCCATATATGTACAGCAAAGCCAAATCGTTCATGTCAAGCCGCCAGTACGATCTCGCGCCAACCGAGAGTCTGCAATTTATTGCATATTCGCTGTCAGAGCACTGGCAAAGGTTGTGGAGCTTGATTGGTTTGGTCAATTTCAGTCTCTTTCTCTGGAATGGCAAATACCGTACCGTGGCTGATAGGCTTCTCGGGATGCGCCTCACTTATGCGAACCGTGCGCTGCACCACAACGTCTCGTTCGAGTTTTTGAACAGACAACTTGTGTGGAATGCAGTTATGGAGTTTCTTCTGTTTATTGTGCCGCTTGTGCGGCCTAAGCATTTATTCCACCTGTTGACGCTGTTGCCAAAACATCAGAATGTACTCAAAACACTTCTCAAGATAATGCCCACAAAAATCACTGACAAGTTAAGCTTGCGCCTTGATATGTACAACAACGTTGAGTACTACGGGTACGACATGTTTGAGCCGCGGGGCAAGTACTGGTACCTCCCGGTCGAGTGTTGTCCCCTCTGCTTCGAAAGGCTCGAGCGTGAAGCTGGTGTGAATGTTCACCAAGTTCCTATTCCCATGTCAATCAAAGACGAAGTATCGATTCCGACTCCGGATCCATTGCATCCATGCAAAGGACTCGCAGCTCGTCACAAAAAGAAAGCTGACAAGTCGGACTCCTTCAATGAGAATGAAAGCAAGAAGATTGCTGTGCGCGCGGCGAAAATGGCCGAGCGCCGTGCTGCACGAAAAGGCGCTTCATCGATGACGATTGATCGAAACTATTGTCCTACCGTCCACGACACCTCTCCGAATGGCATACGATTTCTGGATGCATTGGCATTTATCCCATATGCGACGCAAGGCAAAAAAGTCATTTGTAATTGCAGATACTGCTATTCATGCATTGGTCGCAAGTTCAAGGAGGAGTTAACTAGTGTGGATTTGCGTGAGCTAGGCGGTTGGCCTTGTCTTCGATGTGGCGACATTATCTTTACAGCCGAGCGACTAAGATAGTCCGGGTATATGTAGTTGTATAAAGTATGCGAGGAGCTCAGTGCTTATTCTGTCTCAACCTCATCATCTGAGGCATCTGCGTCGAGTAGGGGCAAAGCGTCGTCGTCATCGTCGTCGTCATCATGATTGCCAGCGGCAGTGATGTCCGATGGAAATGCTGCTTTCTTGCCTGACTGCACTTGCACAGAGTGGTCGTGTGTCTCATTTATGTGATCCGACTCCATGGGCCGCTCACCAAACGATTGGAAAGAAGACGTAGCCACGCCTGGACCATGTGGCATCCCATCCCGCGAGCGACACCTCTGAGCGTGGTCGTCGGCGTCTGTCCCGGAGAAAGAATCCAAAGCTGTCCTGACTTGCTCATGTTTTTCTGGAGAAACAAAGTTGGGACGTGTAACTTCGGAACGAATCGGACGATGAAGTTCATTTACTGATGAGCGCGCGATAGAAGTGGTAGGCGCAGGCACAGAGTGCGGGGTTTCGAGATCAATGTGTGCGTCTGACATACTCGCGATGGCTTCCGACATACCAGCGACGCCTTTGTGCACGCGAGGAGCTACTTCATCGATTGTGGCAAACGAAGTTGACACCGACTCAGGTCCCTGCCAGCCAGCCACAGGCAATGGCACTTGGTCCTGTGTTTCCGTCGCAGCCACTTGCTCCTCCAACGCACTTGAGTCGATATGATCGGTAAGAGGTGGGACGCGCGGCCGAATTACGACGAGAAGGCGCGATACGCCAACAGCACACGCGATGCGCACCCTCGATATACTAGACTGCGTGCCCCGAACGAGTATGGCATGCACACGCGCCAAGACATAAGCTACTAGAGCGCCTGCATGAGATACAACCAAAGATGTGAGGACATCCACACACCGTTCACACATGGTTAGCATAGCATCATTTGACGCATCCAGCACACGAGCATCGATGAGGACTTCTGTCAAACCGACAAGAGCAAGCGCGCCGGTGCGTGCAAGATCTCGGTGCCCTGGCGCAGCGCTCGAGTTTAGCAGACCAAACAAAGCAACAAGAACAGACGCTGCATGGCAGACCATGTCCATCTCTGTGCACGTTTTGGACATGATCGCATCTTGAAGAACGCGTGTTGAGGCAACGATCGCATCGCTTTCGAACGTGCGTGTGCGTTTCAAAGGTGGCATGCACGACCATGACATAGGCTCTTGAACGACGAATGCGCTGAGCGTTTGAATACAGATTCGCGCGATGCGTTGGACCACTGTGCTCGCAGGATCCAATGGTATGCCTGCGCCACCAGCGAAACCATTTGGAGCCAACACGCTATCACGCGCCAGCAAAAGATCAAGCGCACACAATGCGAGGGATCGCTCCGCTGTCCCATGCGTGTATTCGGCCATGGCACTGAGCTTGGAGATTGCCTCACTTGCATATACAAAAGGCCAGGCTTGCTGCTGAAACGCCATTACCACTTGAACAAGGAATCGCGCACCCAGTTGACGTATTTGTGGAAGATACATGTGTTCGAACCGGAGCTGATCAATGGGTGCCCGATGACCTGGCGGAATATGCGCTTGGATCATTGCTGTAGCGATCTGGACACATCGGGCAATGGGCACGGGCACAGCGCGCAGAGTCGGCGTGCTAAGAAAGTAGGGCAATACGCCCACAGCATCGGGACACGATGTGCTGCCGAGAAGCAGTTCACAACGACCAAAGCAGGCAGGGATGCTTTGTGCAAAGTCAGCTGCAGACGGGGACATCCATGCTAAAGGATCGGTATTTGGTGCGGAAAGTCCTGATGCATGCCATGACACAGATGGGGCACTCCCACAAACGCACACGATAAGGGCGTCCAAGATTTCAGCGACTGTAGCAGCCCATAATTGTGCCTGCGTAAGCTTTGAGGAGCCAGAAAAGGTGCGAGCATCGAGATCTGGCTGCAAAGAGGATGATGCAGCGCCTGTTACATGAATGGCCGACAAAAGACGCGTCGCACTAGCCGTCAGGTATACGCAGCGCGGCGGGATATCGGTTTGTAGTGTTGCATAAGGACCAAATAGTATTTGCATACACAATGCATGGATCCGAGCAACGAATGTCCGATACGTCGTTGCATGCCTGACAACTTGGTCCTGGATCACATCGAGGCATTTCGACAGGGGTATACTTGCATGGGAGTACACCGACCCCCAAACCTGTGATGCAACTTCGCATACACTCACTAGAGCATGCCCAATCTTGGGCACGTTGGGCGTCACAATAGTACGGTGGAACTCTGGATGCGACTCGCCTTCGCTGCCCATAACTTCGTATCCAACCAGCTGTGTCAGTGATACCACAGACGCAAGAATTAGCTCTGCGCCTGAATCGATCGGATTTGATCCAACGTCCACACATGCACCAAGATACTTCGCGACTTGCTCGAGATGTGCATGGGCATGTTGAATCCAGACTTGTCCGTGCAACTCGACAACGGTCCAGCCACACTCTTCCACAAACGTGCGTGCAACGTCTGCACCAATTTCCCAACAAGGTTCTTTCTTGTTCTGCGCAAGTGATGTGCTCAACAAAGAATTGATGCGCTTCTCTAACACATGCAGGCCATCAGTGTCACGCGTATCTGACGCTTTGCGAATGGCATTGGTCATGCTAGCGGACATCCATGCCTCTTGCACATGTGTACGAGACTCAAGTGCCGCTGCTAGAGGTTCCAGCGGCAAGATTGGCAATGACATGGCGCGTCTTCGAGCGTATGAAATGACTCGCACTTCGTGCTGCAGACGGACAAGATCGTAAGTCGACGTGTAGTGTCTCGGCATACCTGGAGCTCACGAGCAGGCACAAAAAAATTGGCGTGCTCTGGTAGATCCTTAGTCAGCATGAGAAATGACACACACGCCTCAGGGCGAGGGATGGTGGATGGGCCTTCCCCCAGACCTGTGAAACAAAGCCGAGAGGAGCGAAACAGACGCTGGTGCACACGTTCACGCCGGACTGACGTACGTGTGAAACGCGATTTAGCGGGTTATGACAAGTCTCGCAGGGCCAGGTGGCAGTACTGGTCCACGACGCGCACCGCGGAACAGACCGGTACCGCGTGTGCCGTCGAGAACGATGCGCAAAATAGAGCTCGATATGGACAAGCCTCCAGTTGAGCGTCTGTGCACACTCACGGCATTTCAGGGTGCCTTCAATGCAACGGACTTCGTATCTGCACTATCAGAAGACCACATGCAACAGGCGCGAAAGCAGCCTGTGTTTGATGCACGCCCACTTACAGACACATTTGCGCAGGCGATCCGCGAACTACAGAGCATCAAGGGCAAAATGCTCGAGCGAAGCACTGCGCTCAATTCGGCTGTGCAAGTGTCGCAGTCTGTGTATACCAAGAAGTTGCGGCAGCTAACGAACAATTTTGATGCAACACAGTCGTCGTTTGACTCGCTGCAGGCGCGCATCTCTGAAGTAGGGCGCACGGCTATCCGAATCGGGGAGCAACTGGAGGCCTTGGACCGCCAACGTACTCGAGCAAATGAGACACAAGACCTGATTGAATTTTACTACATGTTCGCGCGAGGCAGCTCGGACAGGCTTGACAAGCTGAGGAAGGAAGGCGGGCGTGAGGGGCGACTGAAAGCCGCGACGATCCTGCGTCGACTTGCCGTCATCAGCCGCGAGGTGGACATTGAGGGCAGCAATGAAACGCGTGGGTTTATTGAGCGATACTGTGAGCAATTTGAACGCGATATGCTCAGACTCTTTGACAAGTACTACCGGCGCTCTGACCCAAAGATGATGAGCCACATTGCACATGTGCTACAGCGCTTCAATGGCGGCATGTCATGCATTAATATCTATGTGAACCAGCACGACTTTTTCATCTCCAAACACCGGATCGTGGAAGCTGAGAAAATCGGCGCGTCACCGGAGTGGAGCCAGATTGCCGATCCGAACTCGGTGCCACCACGGTCGGAGCCGTCGCTCGATGCCCTCTACACGGAAATTAAACGCACTGTGGAACTCGAGGCGCAGATCATTGCAGCTGTTTTTCCGACGCCTTTGCTTGTGATGCAGCTTTTTCTGCGACGTGTGTTTGCGCAGAGTGTCCAGACGTACGTCGAGACTATCATGCAACGAGCGCTCGATGCAGATGCCAAGGTTCTCGGTACGACGCGACACGATACCTCTATTGATGTCGCTGGCCTTGCCTTCCTCCGGATGCTTCACGTCACACGAAGTGCGACACTGATGCTCGTAGCCGATCTCAAGACGATTGACCTTCGAAGCGCCGGCATCACCATCACGTCTACGCCTTATTCAAGTAGCAGTTTGGATGGTCTCTTTTCGATGGGAAACCACGAAGCAGATGGACTAGTTACCTCTGATGGGTACTCGTCAAAGCAGCTCGCTGCTGCGGGTGGCTCCGTGCTAGGAGCTATGTTGGACCAGCATGTCGAAGAGCTCTTCTTTCAGTTCCTCGAGCAAGTCCGCTACATGGACCGTGAATGCCATGTGCTAAGTGGTCTTTACGCGCAGGCGCTGCATCGTTTCTTTACCTGGCACCAAAACACGATCAAGGCATCGCGAGCCAATGCGACGATCTTCAGCCGAGTGCGTGAGCAGTTTACAGGCGGCACTGGCTCGTTCGGCAGTTCTGTGGCTTTTTCAACTCTGTCTGAGAGTGCAGGATACGGCAGTGGTACAACGCCTCAAGTGTCGTCATTTAAGCGGCTCGTCGACCGAGCACGTGGCCTTAGCATCCCTGATGAAAACACGGCCGTGCCTTTGGGCCATGATCCTGATGAACACGGCGAGTTATCGCTGGAGTTGGCTGAGCGCCTGTTGCGCTGGCACGCAGAAGCTCTCGGTCGATGTGTGGATTTGTGCGCATCGTCAGACGTGCCGAAAAACACCTTCAATCTGCTCCGCGTGCTCACGGATGCTTACCTGAAGGCATATGTGGAGGCGGCGCTGGAGACTGCTACCGTCCAAATGTTCGGCTACGACGTGCGCGGGGCAGCGCCGCCAGATCTGCGTGTGCTCTCGCTTGTGCAGCGGGTCGAGGAGCTATCAGAACTCTGGCAACACTACGTGCAGACAGCGGTATTGCCACTCACCGCATCTAGTGTCACGATCCGCCGTGAAACCAACATATACAACAACCACAACATGCTACGTGTGGAGGGTAAATGCGAAGCCCTTCTTCAGAAGTACACAGATAACTTGCTGGGCTTTATGGCAGCTCGTTTGGCAACGCAAAAAAGGACAGACTACTGCCCACGAAACGACGATGTCGCACTTACACAGCTCAATACGGAGCCTTGCCTCGCTATCGTTGATGCGCTCGAATCGCTCGATCAAGAGGCACGTAGGACGCTTTCGGAGCGCACGCGCGAATCCCTTTACACCGAAGTGGGCATCGGATTTCACGCCCTGCTATGTGAGCACTTGAAAAGATACACGGTAAATGCTACGGGTGGCCTGATGCTCACAAAAGATCTGGCGATGTACCAGGATATATGTGGCCGTTTTGGCGTTCCCATTGTCAACGACCGATTCGAGATGCTCCGACAGCTCGGTGCCCTGTTCATTGTGCAGCCCGGTGTGCTGAAGTCGTACATGCGTGAGGGCCACCTGAGCAACTTGGACGAGACCCTCCTGCGCCCATACCTGCTCCGTCGTCAAGACTATTCTCGTGATGTTCGTACACTTGATGACGCCAGCGATGCATCTACGGACGATGCTACCGGGCGCACAGCAACGCTCCTCGCTTCGTTCAACCAGCATTCGATCCTCTCTGGTCCATGGGCGTCGGAGAAGAAGAGCGACTTTTCACGAGATGTGCCGTCGTTCGTGACGGATGTGCCGGATCTGCCCAACGTGATCGAGCAACTTGTGCACCCACCGCAAGAACGGCCTGGCTCAGCTCGTAGTTCTCGTGGTGACAGTTCGCCTGCGCGCAGCAATACACCGCAGTCAGTGCCCCTCTCGATGCAAGACTCGCCAAGAGCTAGCGGACATGCTGGACAAGAAAGTCGCACGGATCGCTTTGAGCGCGCTTCTTCGCCCATGAAAGACTCTTCATCAGGATCAACGGGAGGGCTAATGAATCGCGATCGACTTTCGAACCTGCATAACCTTGTGCAAGATCTGGATCTGAGCTAGCTTAGTTAGGCGAGATATTCTTGCATGGTTCGTCCCGCCGTTTGACACGCAGCTAGCACTACGCACGTGGCGTCAGTAGAGATGCATATGGCAACAACATGCATGTATGGATGGATGTATAACGTACAGGCTGCTTCACTTTCATCTAGCCCTTGAAAGAATTCTTGCATTTCCACAGTGAGTCCACCTGCTTCTTGCATGTGGACAGCAGAAAGTGCATCGCCCTTCGACGGCGAGCGTCCCAGCAATACACTGAGCTCAAAAATCCTCGGCAGTCGTTCCATGTAGGTCTATGAGAACAACGTGTGTAAGCGCATGCGCAGGAATGGGGAGGAAGAGAGGGGGGCGGGGCTCCAGAGCGTCGATGTCACGTACCTGGCCAATCCAGTGCTGCATGTCATCCGAATCCAAACTGTCATCAGTCCACACGTGCTCACGTACAGTTGCGCAAGACGTATTGCCATCGCGTACCAATACGGCACCAAGTCACGAAGCCGCACAGAAAAGGCACTGGCATCCAATGCTGCACGAACCCGAGAGCCAAACGCTCGTGGTTGCTGGATCGTCACGATATCACTGTGGTTAGTGCACGCGCATACCCACTAGACGGCAAGCATGTGCGCGATCCAGTATGGAAGCTCCAGACGAGAATGCTTGTGAATCTAGCACGATGTGAGTTTCGACCACCTTTTGTGTGCATGCATACATACATCATCATCCCCAGAGCCCTCAAGGTATCCGAGCCCTGGCACATCGACGTGGAATACACATGGGATGTGCTAAAGTAAGACACCAAGCTGTTCGAAAACATACCTGACTCTCTGCGAGAATATCGTCTACACCCCAGTAGTCCTGGTCCATGCCCACGTTGTTGAAAGTGCGCAAAAGCCAACTGTCTTTTACACCGCCCAGCGAAGACGACGCGTCGATATATACGGACGCGTCTGACGAGCCAGTTGTGCCTGCAGCATAATTCCCATGCGAGTGCTGATATACATATGCACCTCGCGCATGCACGTAGTGGAGGAATTCATTTAGTGGCAAGTTGTCCTCTTCTGAATCTGACACAGACATATGCTATGGTGAAGCGAACGTGAGCCGGTCTTTGTACAACTCAAGGCAAGCGGGATCAAACGATGCAACTTCATCAAGAAGCGCTGGTATAAATGATCCAGGTCCGCGCACCGACGGGAGAGCAGCTGCACGTTCAGCAGCAATAGTATAAGTAAGGAGTCCAGCCAGCGCACCAATCATGAGCTCATGATGCAGCCGTGGTGGAGACTGCCGCTGCTCGACTTGGTTTCCAAGCTGGATGCCATACTTGCTCTGAGCAGCTGCCATACCAGCAGCGACGACGCATCCAAGCGAGCATCCGGATGCCGTGATGCGGCCCAGCATCGGCGTGCCACAACGTGATTCGAGTACCACATTGCCATCCGTGAGATAGTCGACCTCGCCGGTCAGCAGGACAAAAGCGCCCTCTTGACGCGCAAGACGCCGGGCCAGTACGGGTGCTGAAGTAAGCTCTCCCACACTATCGACGCCTTGTGTTTGCGCATCATTCGAATTACACAGCGTCGCGATCTCAGCTGCGTTACCCTTGATGAGAGTGACCTGAGTTTCGTTCAGAATACTTTGCACTGTCCGGTGACGAAAAGGCGTAGCACCCACACCTACAGGGTCTAGGACAACAGGCTTTCCACGATTGTTTGCGGCAGGACCTGCGCGTGCCATGCCTTTACGCGAGTCGGGTGAAATTGTGCCGATATTGAGAACCAGTGACCCATACACATGACTAAGTGGCTCAACTTCCTCGTACTCATGACTCATAATTGGACTTGCTGAAAAAGCCAGCGTCATGTTCGCGCTGAAATTCGATGATACATGTGATGTGATGGTATGCACGAGAGGGCGCGGCAAAGAGACGCAAGATGCATCGTCTTTTCGTGTTACGCTCTCGTATCGTGTATGATACGCCCTAAGAAGCTCTTGAACAGACTGGATGAGCACTTTGGATTCCGTTGGGAATGTCGGGCTGGATGGGGCTGTATCTTGTCGCACACGCCGAAAAGCCGTCACAATACTGTGCAATTCTTTCGCAGCAACGTCAGGGTCTCGACGCGACACGATAGCTGAGATGACAGCAATACCATCTGGCTCTGCATGCTCTGATGATGCACCGAATAGGGTTCGGAAGGCCGTGCGTACATTGATGCCACCGATCAAGACACTCGGCACATGCGTCCGCTTGCCCGGAGGAGTGGTCGCGGGGTCACGTCGCAGACTCGCTAGAATATCAGCAGCACCGCGAAGCATCAAAGCATCGTCATCCGAGACTCCTTCCTTCGACTTCGTTGGCCAGCAAGGGCCCACACCAACATAGTCTGCATCACTATCCAGCGCGGCACGAGCCTCGTCTACGCTGTGCACGGACAGGCCAATTATGCGATGGGGACCAAGTCGTTGCCGGGCGTATTCAAGCTTGGCATCTTCCTGGCCAATATGTAGACCCACACGCTCAGGTAATAGAGCTGCTACGTCCACATTGTCGTTGATCATCATGCGAACATGATACTATTGCATAAGCGCACTGAGTCATCGATACCGACCACAAATGCCTCTGTACACACACCTTATCACATATAGCAAGCGATGCTTGCGCTACTGCCAAAAATTCCTCGAAAGAAACATGCTTCTCACTCACCATTAGCTGATCATCACGTACCGAATTTGTACGATCGACACATATCCATCGCGCAATGACTCGTCCAGGCTCTGCAAATAGTCTTTCCCCGGTGGCAGCAGTTCACGACCTGTAACGAGATACACCGATAAATCGAAGGACATGGTAGATCAGGACTATGAGTGGACGTTCTCAATAGCAGGTCCCTGACTCGTCCTCAAACCAACGCACTCTCTAGACGCAGGCGTGCGAGCCAACTCGACAGACTACCAGCGCCCGGCGCCACGGCCCCTGGCTCTCACAGCTGCGCCCCCCCATTATGCGTGATATGTGGAGATGTGCAACTCAGTGCGTCAGGCGATGGCGCATACTTAGGTCACGTGAAATGCACTCGAGCTCTCGCATTGTCGAGAGACGCTCAGGCAGCCATTGGCTCTTGCTTGGATTTGCAAGCAGACCAAGAAGAAAGGGCACTGCTGCAGCCGTTGCTGACGACGACGACGACGAGAGCTGTCGCGTGTATTCACTACCGTACCATGTTGTTGACGCGTGGATCGTTCGCACTCGTTCCAGGTGTGCGTGCGAAAGCGCGTGTGTTTGCCCAAACTCCCTATTTAGTGGGGACAATTCGTGCAAACTCGAATGGCGACCGGAACAATAGCTTGGACGACTCATCAGCTCAGAAAAAACTCGATGAGCTTGCTGATTTTCTCGAGAGTCGACCCCAGGAGGCTCAGCGATCTTCACGATCACAACGGCCGAAACCAAGCCAGGCGCAAAGCGACCAAGTGCGCACGCCCACTAAGGTGTTCCAAAACGGTCACGTACGTATCCTGCGTGAAAGACTGGTTGCTGACGCGCTGCTTTTTTATGATGCTCTTGTTAGTATTATGACCCACAAACACTCAGTCCACGTAACATGACATTCATACCCCGACGCACTAGCACGCCCCTACTAGGACCGTCAAAGCGAGATGCAATGAAGACCGATCCATTCCATTTGCTTGGTCTCAACCCTGCGAAGCCTTCGCTTGCGGATGATTCCTACAAAAATGGTGCAATTCTGTCGCAGTTTACTACAGAGATGGGTCGTATTCAACCCCGAAACGTCACCGGCTTGACGCGCAAGAGCCAGCGCCAGGTGGGCAAGGCGATCCGTCGCGCGCGAGCTATGGGTATTTTGCCGGTACTGAGCCGTGGCCAAGGTCGTGGTGGAGCCGGCTGGAGGTGAAGTCGTTGCATGTCTGCTTTCCATCCATCGAGTATACAGGCCACCAGAGACTGCGCCAACGCTCTGGTCTACAAGATCAAATTCAGTCGTCTTCACCACCGTCTTGATCCATTCCAGCACCTGGTTCTTCGTGCTCAAATTCCTCCTCAGGAAAAGCGTCTTCTGCTGCTTCCATCTCTGCTTCATTCATAGTCATGTCTTCGTCAATGGCATGTGACTCTTCTTCCATTTGATGTGATGCGGCGCCAGCACCAGTATCGGCATCGGTCTCTGTCACTGCAGAATCAGCCATAGTGACTGCTGCGTCGGTGATTGGAAGATTTGTCGTCACGCATTGCAGGATCTCTGCGATCTGGTCATCATTCATCCGCTGACCGAGCTCTTCCACGAGCGTATGTAGCTCTACCACACTGGAGGGAGCATGATTCACCAGCTGTAGTCGCTCAGTTTTCGTCAGTCCAGGCTCGCCTGCCAGAACTCGGTCGTCAGGAATCACGTAGCCACGCGCATTTAAATCGTCGAGGAACGCACGGATTTGCTCGGCACGTTGGAATGCACACGGCCTATATGGTTGTGAGAGGGCAGAAATCATCTCAAATTGCATCGTACGCAAATTCGACGGCACGTCCATATCAGTGTCTAACTGCTCTTTCCGATTTCGCGCATCATTGCGCTGCTCAGCCTCGTTCTCGCGTATGAGCTGCAGGACTTCATAGTCAGATAGAAGCGCTGCACGGGCTTTCAGAACACGCATCTAGGCACTAAAATGTGTTGAGAGAAGTTTTGATGCCAAGCTTAGCAAGCTGGGCCTTGATTTTTCACACACTTTCTCCCCGCAAATCGATAGAGCAGATCACACTTGCGGCTTGCTTGCCAAGGAAATTATTGATAACAACGAATGTGTCAATCAAACATGTGCCAGAAAAAAAAATCTGATTCTGACCCCAGTCAGTGGGGCGCATCTGATGCATGTGTTTTTGTGTCGGATATATGTGAATCGTGCGCATACTCATTTCGCTCTGCTCAGAACAACAACACACCTGCAAGCCTCGCGATACTTGCATGAGTGCGCATAGCGCATGGACTTCCAGCAGAGGCCCACATGTGGATGAAAATGTCGTTCTGAGGCATGCTGAACCAGGCGAACTAGCTGAGGAGAAACCTTTCACAGATGCTAGGGGCGTGAACGCAGAGCTCAATGACAACAAAAACTCAGAAGATCGGCAGGCATGGCATGAAACCCCATGGTCACAACGCTCATGGCTCTATGAGCTGCGTCCTTTCCGCGGAATGTGGTCAGATGTACGGAGACGTGCGCCTTATTACGCGTCCGACTGGACTGATGCACTCAAGCCATCGAATGTACTTACCGTGGCAACAAGCGTTGTGCGAATTTTTTTCATCAATCTCATGCCTGCATTGGCATACGTGTTAGACATGTATGAGCGTACAGATCACAGCTATGGTGTCAATGAAGTGATCCTAGCCTCGGCTCTTGCGGCAATCGTGTTTTCTGTGTTCAGCGTGCAACCACTGACGTTTGTGGGGGTGACAGGCCTAACAGATCTCATGAATTACACCATTTATAACATATTCCACGATCACTACGGATTTGATCAGATCAAGTATCTTCGGCTGCAGGCATGGGTGCTTATTTGGGCGGCTGGGTTTCATTTCCTCATTGCAATGTTTAATTTGTGCGATTTGACGCGCTTCATCACGGAAATGACTAGCGACACATTTGGACTGTATGTCGGTGTAATTTATGTTGAAAAGGGTATCGAGCAGCTGATTCTCGAGTTTTCGCTGCCAGATCACGACAATGCCACGGGATGGCTGTCGGTGACGATAGCAGTGTTGTTTTGCGTGTCCGTATACTACTTGACACTCGTGGGCTCGTCGACGTACCTTACATTCCAGCTCCGCCGGCTTGTCGGTTCGCTGGCTTTTGTAGCAGGCTGCCTGTTCTGGACAGGGTTCTCGCATTTTCCCAAGCATTCGTTGAACGAAGTGCCGGTCTCGCAGTTGCCTATCACCCGCAGCTTTTTTCCGACATTGGACCGAGGATGGATTGTCGATTTTTGGCACATCGAGGTCCGTTGGGTATTTATTGCTGCACCACTAGGTCTGATGGTTATGCTCTTGTTTTTCTTTGACCATAATGTGTCGAGTGTAATGGCTCAAGCACGCAAGTTTCCGATCCGGAAACCAGCCGGCTTTCATTGGGACTTTTTTCTTCTGGGCATCACGACGCTTGTCTCAGGTCTTATGGGCTTGCCCGTACCGAACGGACTGGTACCGCAAGCGCCTGATCATACAGACTCACTGTCGCTGTATGAACAAGTCATACTCCATGACGTTGAAAAGGAGAAACAGCAATTTGGTGAACACACTACGGAGCCTATGCATCATACGAGCGGAGATGCATCGATCTTGCACGTCACTTACTTTCCTCGTGTGCGCACTTTACGTGTCGTTGAACAACGTTTGAGCCATCTCGTTATAGGGCTTCTGACGCTTGGCGCAATGTCGCGTCCTGTCCTTGTCGCTTTAGGGACGATGCCCCGTGCAGTATTTGCTGGAGTGTTCTTGCTAGTCGGATGGGCATCTATCGAATCTAATCCGATTGTGACTCGGACACTCTCGTTGCTGCGAGATACGTCAGCGCTTGCACCAACGCTCCGACCCCAAGTCAGGCGAGTGACACTTGCCCTGTTTGTCGGCATTCAGTGGGCGTTTTTTGGCCTCACTATGGCAATCTCACAAACTATAGCGGCTATCGGCTTTCCTATCATCATCCTTCTAATGATTCCATGCCGTGTATATGTGGTACCGAAACTATTCTCTGGGAAAGATTTGGCCTTGCTGGATGCCCCCACTGCAAATGCACCTGCCGTCATGGTTTCGTTAGGGCCGAACGAAGCTGAGATCGACACAGAGTCGGACGACAAGCCGAAACCAGCTCCCTCGAAACACCAAGGCATAGCTTGATAACATATTTGTACAAATGTAATCTACTGCATTCTATACCCTTTCAATCTGTTCGTGATCTGCCGCTACAAGTAGGTTCGTGTAAAACTGCGTCGCTTTCACGACGGAGTCGATGGACACGTGCTCGTTGACCGTATGGACGTTTAAATAAGGTGACATACCCGTCAGATCTGGATGAACCGATGTTGCGCCAAAGCGGAAGATGTTGTTCGTTAAGTCGTGGAACCAACGCGTATCTGTGTTGGCAAACATGATGGAAGGAGCCACACGCACAGGCTCGTTATATTTACGCTGCTCAGGCACCGACTCGTCGTCCATGGAGCGCAGCTCAATTCGCGGCTCGTCCGTGTGCCAGGTCTGACGAATGACACTGGACAAAAGACGCCATGCCTCGGCCTTTTCCCCTTCAAAAGGCGACGGAGGATGCGAGTCGTACCCGAGTCCCGTCTTGCTAATGTTCACAGACACTGTGCTCTTATCGAGTGATAAGTTCAAATCGTCCCGATCCACAACAAGAGAAAAGCCATACTCCTTCGCTAAAGGTACGAGCAAGTCCTTGTAATGCTGTATGACCGTACGCACAGATGCATAAGGAGCAATACGGTGGTTGACAAAAGCTTCGGAAATCTCGGGAAGTGCATTCACTTTGATGCCACCATAAGCCACATCTACAGCTTGTGTAGTTTTGAGCAGCATGCGCGACGCATAGTCGAGACTTTGCATCAATTCATTTCTAGCAGCATCAAGACGCCTTTGTCTCGATAGCATGCCGATGTGCTTCCACCAATGTTGCCAGCACGGCTTGCGGCACTCTTTCCGTGTGCGTTCCGCTGACTCCACGCGTCGCAGAGCACGGCGCAGCGCAGCAGGCATCTTTGGGGCATCGCGGAGACACTGCAGCTGGAGGACCGATGCTCGCGATTCCTCTCCAAGCACATCGGGGAATGGATTCGCCTCTAGCTTCGCAATAATTAGAGCCAAAATGCCGATGCCCGTGTGAGGAGGAGGCATAGACGAATGACCACCACGAGCATGCACAGTAATCCGCATGGACAATTCACCACGCTCGGCCACGGCAGGCCCTGCGACAGGCAAGCCAAAGCTGCCAGGGTCAATGGCTGAAAGAACAGGTGAACCCTCGTCGACGATCATAGCCACACTATTCGGACCGTAACGATGGAACAGAGTCGACGCTAGATGCGCTGCGCCATATTTTCCGTCCGTTTCTTCATCAAACCCATAGCTTAAGATGATCGTGCGCTTTGGTTGGAAGTGAGCTTGGACGAGTGTTTCGACGGCTGAGAGCGATGCCACCAGCCAAAGCTTGCAGTCAAGAGAACCTCGGCCCCACACAGTCTGATTTTCTAGATCAATATATCCCGAAAATGGCGGATGGATCCATCGATCGCGCGTATATATGTTAACTGGTACCGTGTCTTGATGCGCCATGAGAACCACGGGTTTGAGCGAGGGATCGGTGCCTTCCCATGTGTATAAGAGACCGTGCTTGTTCACAAACTCTCGTCTCACAGGTGAGTCGGGAGCATGAATGAAAGGAAAAGACTTTTCAATCCAGTCAGAAAATGGCGAGAACGTAGAGTTCCTTGTCACTGACTCCAACTCTTCATCATCTGACAAAATCTCATCCATGGCCTCAGTAGAGAGCTGTACAGCCTCACTCAAGAGCTTGACAGAATGCAGGACGGATGGAGGCCGAATCGTTAGCTTCTGAAGAGCCTCTGTTGGATCATATGCGGGTTGCTGAGGGCAAATACGTTCCATCGAAGAGAGGGACTCCGACTCGACAGTGTAAAATCTACCAGTCGATATCCAGAGACCTGCGATGCATGCTAAGAGCAAGCAAAGGAGTCTTGGGAAGATTCGAACTCGATCATCAGGCTGTAGCGTATGGACCGGTAGTCCCATTGCTCCTTTGGTCATGCTTGGCTTAGTCGCTCCAGACCTGATCTCAACTTTGATGAAAGCCAGGTTCCCCTGGTTTCAGACATACTTACGCCGAATCGATTAAGAATGGCGCTCCACCTACATTGACCACGCAACTTCAAAGAGTTCGAAGTGTTGCGTCTGCCGTGTCTACTTTCCAGGAAACGCACACAGGCCGTCTTAACCTAGGTAGAGTGTGGCTCCTCGAGAACTCAGCGCTCTGTAAGGTCTGCTCAGCATTGAAATGCTTTCCCACAAACCTGTCACAAAGCAACATTTTCCATCAATTCATTGCCCCTTACTATGTGTATGCATATAAATATGTATATATATATCGATAAAATCATCTAAATCGTAAAAGAGGGTGCTGCGTTTGGTACATCTGTCGTTCGTTCAAAGTTCAATAGCCAAATGGGGGTGGGAACTGGGATCCTCGTGAGTGGATTGTGCTTAATAAGACGCATATGACCAGGCGCAACAGGAGAGCGAGCATCGTACCCAGGACTCCTTGGAATAGGCGTGCTAGGAGCTGGAATCGACGGAGCCAGGTGGGAGTCAACCGGCACCGGTGTCGAGATGCTAGAAAAAACGGGCGACGCCACATCATACGACTGGACATCAGGATAGCTTTCCTCTTCAATACAAGTTTCGGGCGTCCTTGCAGACACCCACCCAGACAACATTTGGGACACAAGTTGCGCCGTGCCACCGCCGTTGTTAGGAGTAACTGAATCAGAACTTGTTTTCTCCTCCTTACCATAGGAAATTGGTTGTTGCTGCTGTTGAGATGCTTGTCCACGACTCTTAGGACTCTGCCATGGCTCATCAAGCAGAGGTGCACGCGTGATGCCACCAAACTTCGACCCATCTGACACCGCTGCCGTAGTATGGGGGGAGCTCAACACGCTTGGCTGGTATTCAAATGCCGGTGCAAGCTTATTGAGATCAACCGGCGGCATGTCGAGTGCATAATCAGGCATGGGAAGGGGCTTCACAGAGTCCGAACGTACGTCGAGGACACCAAAAAAGTCTTCAACGGGAGTCTTGCGGACTCGCCGTGCACCTCGACGCGCATACCGATTCTGTGGATGACAGCCAGACTCTTTGTACGACCTTACATCCCGGTTCGCCTCAAACATCGCTTGATCAAAACTCCATTCTGGAATAAATTCAGGCCGAGGCGTAGGAGGACTTGACTTGTCGTCTGTATCCACCTCAGATGCCTGTTCGTCTTCATCTTCGCTCACCCACGCGCTATCGTCGCCACCACACTCTAAATCCAGATCAAGCGATTGGACTTTTGTATGATGGGGATCTGTATCGGTAGAAAAGCTCGCTTCAACCTCTGGCCATGCAGGCTCATTGGTCGTCACAAAGGGTGCGGGATTCAACTGGTTCGTTTCGCTCTCCAAAGTGCCAGACTCGGACAAAGGTAGCGCGTCGCCTGACTCTTGCAACGACGCTGCAACAGCATGATCAGACGTATACATGGGCTTATTGGCCGATCGGTCGAAGCTCCCTTCGGTCGCAGCACGGTAACTCGAGTCCAAACAAGACGACGGTTCGTTCGAGTATAATTGGGGCATAGAAGAATCTGGCACCGATGAGAAGCCTAAACCAATCAAGGCTTGCTCATCTTGTGACGCATTCGGCAAATCTGATGGTGGCGGAAAAAGAATGTCTGCTGTAGTGTCATGGTTTGTTGGGACATGCGATCCTTCTTCGACATGTGTCACAATTGGTGTTGACATATCGAGTGTCACAGAGTCGCTCGGCTGGGGCAAAGGTAGCTCTGGCATAGATGGTTCCGACTTTGGCATGCGATTAGACATCTCTGACTCAACCAAAGCGGACCGTTCTTTCGCCTCATGAAGCTGTTCACGAGTTAGTGCATGATTTGACTCCTCTAGTCTTAGGGCTGAATACAAAGCCAAGATCTGTTCGCGCATATCTGATAAGAGTTTGATCGTTTCGGGGGCCAATTCAGGCGCATTGCTCGAGTTCGGCGCATGCTTCGAGAGCTGCCTTGCAACGCGCTGGGTCCAAAGGCCCGCCTCATCCTCTGACGGGAGTTCAGGCAACTCTGGGAGATCAGGCATGGAGGGCAGGGCCGACGAATGAGAAGTGTCAGTAGAGGCCGTGCTCACGTCAGAGCCGGTAGCGGTGCCTGCACGTAGACGAGTGCTCATAGCTTGCATCCGCTTCATGGCCACACGCCGCCAAGTCCGCTCTTGATTCAGACGCAACTGCTGCGACTGGATGGTGTGTTCCAGATCACTGCATCGTGAGCGCCAATCAACGATATCTTCTTTGTACATGTCGCGTTCCCCTGAGGTATCTTCCAGTTGCATCTGCATATCATGAATCTGTGCTTCGAGCTTTGACGCTTGTTTCTGTGCGGATTCCTTAGCATTTCTCAGGGAAATGAGTTGAGAGCCCATGACTTCACGCACTTCCTCAAGCTCGCGCTGCAAGCTTATCACTTCCTGCTGATGCCGCTCACGCTCTTCATCAAGCTGAGAGTGCAGTGTTGTCAACTGGTGCTGTAAAGAGTCCGACAAAGACTCATCCATACGGAATCCGCGTTTTCGTACAGTATGGTCAGTAGAGTCAATGCTTGTAGCCCCGGGAGACCCAGAAACATTCGAGTCAGGACTGAACAAGCTTTGAGTCTGATCAGATGCCGTCCATGAGGTGACAGTCGAGTAAGCATCCCGCGAGCTATTTGGCATGTGTTTTCGCAATGATTCGCTCCATGAGCGTGTAGGTGTAGTGACCTTCTCCAAGCTAGAGTCAGGATCATGCGATGCTTTGTATGTGATGCTGGATACTCTCTTAGGCGACTTAGAGGCCGGTGACGCCCGCATCGTTGGCCTTCGCACTGGTGAAAGAGTTCCTAACTTCAGTGGACGCAAAGGACTTTTTCTCGATTCTGGAGATATACCAAATACGTCCGGGTCTGAGGGCCGCGGAGTGGACTCGTCCCTCACGACAGGCTCTAACGAGGACGACCCAACATTGACCTCTTCCACGAGTGGCTCGATAAAAGTCTCTCGCTTGGAAGCTGTACTCATTTTGGACAAATTTTTCGAAGGAGACGACGAATCACCAAGACTGAGCCATGACGGGATGATGGGTCGACTCAAAGATGGAGATGCAGTGGTTGACGTCGGCGACTCATTCGGCGTGATTAACATGCTTGGACGGTGTCGACCCTCAAGTTTCTCCAGCGCCGTGGTCCGGTCCTCCTCTTCCACTGGGGAGTCAGTATCTCGCAAGCCTGCTTTCCAATCAGAGGGAATCGGTGGAAGAGGCTTCTGTACTGAAGGATTTCCAAACAGAATACTCGCCGGCTCAAGTGAAGAAAAGCGCACAGATACTCTAGAAGCCCGGCGGTGAATAGATGCACGCCGTACCGGCTGGTCGGGCTCAACTGATTTTACTGGCTGACCGCTCATGACTTCAAACCCCTCACCGCGGGTTCCGATGCTGAACTGTCGCGAGTGTCGGCTCCTCCTTCGCGAAGGACTGCAATGATTTAGCGATGGTGAGGAAACCAATGAATTCCGCTGTTGATCAATGAGCGACTGCCGCGCCAAGCTCAAGCGGTGGCCAGCTGTCATAGTAGGAAGCCTAGAAGACGAAATAGATGACTGCTTCCGACTGTGACATGGCCCATTTGCACCCCCCATATTCGGGAAGCAAGTCTGCGATGACTGACGACTTCCTGGGGCGGAGTTGTTATCGAAGTATATGACACTAGGGCGAGAGCGACGACGCCTGGACTTGTCCGTAGCCCGCGCAGCAGACTCTCGCGCTATCGATTCAGGTGCATTTGATGCAGTAAAACATTGTGTCAGTAGAGTTGGCGTGTCGGCGCCTTTGACCAGCAATGACGCCCGTAATGTACGAGAGGCACGTTTGCTTTGCTCCTGGGCACGGCGACGCTGGAACTGCCGCAAGGCGCGTTTGGCCGAGCGAATCTGTTCCTGGCGACCTCGCTGCGCTTCAACTTCCATCGCTGGCTACGACGGTAGGGCGAAACAAGTTGCACGCGGCAACGCCAAGATGAGGAGCGCACAAGAAAAACTTAAAGACGCCACTTGAGTACAAGACCGTCGGACGTTACTTGAAGCGACTGGTACCAAGCGTGTGTATGGGTTTGAGTGTGTGTACGTGTGTACCACCAACAGACGCATGTCTCATTTCATCGAAGTTACACAGCCACCCGTTTATTGGACCAATTGTGAGAATTAATAATTGATTGGATTGTAACAAAAATGTTTGCAAAACTACATGCATAATGTGTGACACGACCCACGCAGCGTGTCCCATCCTGCGGCATTTGCACGCAAGGGGCGGGCGCCCACGCTCAGCGCAAGTCGTGCTCTGGCTTTAACAGTGCCAGTGAAAATGTCCGTCCTTGCCAGTGGAGTGATCCTCCGAGCCCATGTTCGACGTCGATGTGGAGACCTTCCGCCAAGTGCTGCAGCACAACGTGGGATGCCACGAGACTGTAAGCACCCCAAGGAAGTTGAGGTGAATCAGTGGTCTTTATGGATTTGGGCGATAGCACTGAAGTCGATTTACTTTGGATTTCGCGCCTGGGTGGCGCCGGAGACGGATGGTACAGGTAGCCCGTGTTAGGATGAACCCGAAGCTTTGATGCGTCAAATGGTTCCTTGAAATCACCGCCCCATGATAGCATGCCTAAGTAATGGGCGAATAGGTAGGGGAAAAAATATGGTTAGTCCTCCAGAGTCCAGACAAAGGTTTCAAGAACGAACCATCAGAAGACAGGTGGTGAAATACAATGGGTGTATCAACGGCATGAATAACGTTCCACTCACCCTGGCATTTGCTAAACCAAGACATGCCCTCGGACTGAAGCTTGGTCCATATTATGTCCCACCCTTGCTCCTGATCGAGAATGCTTTTTAGTGTTGACGTATCCTCTGTCCAGTGAGGTGAATTACATAGAGGAATAGGCTTACCAGGCGGCGTAAGGGCAGGATTTCGCTTGATACGCGCAAAGAAGAAATTCAAAAACGGCACGGATTTAAAGCCTGTATACCCAAAGAAAATGCATCAATGCAAAGAGACGAAGCTAGGATATACTTACATGACGTCAAGTTCTTGGGCACTGTATCATACATAAATAGCTGACCATGAACATCGATCCAGTAGCGATAGATACGCGGAGTCATGCGTGCGCGCTGGGTCGAAGTATGCAGCGCCCGCACGCCATGCCGACAGCTAAGCGACATGGAGGACCAAAGTGGGAAAGCCTTGACGCACGGACGATACTGATTTCTCCACATGATGAGAAATTGATGATGATATACTTTCTCCCTCCCAGAACCTGCATCATAAACTCTGAGTACAACAGCAGCTTTGCTTCCCAGGCTGCTGCCAAGCGATGCGAGACTTTTCTGTGCGCAATGTTTACTACCTACGTATTTCTGCACTTACCATCTTGACTATGGTGCTATACCTAGATCAACGACATGTGGAATGGATGAATGAGAACCCTGGGATCCTGGATTATGTCGTGCACAGTGTGGTACGACCGCGACTTCCGGATCTATTTCGAGAAGCGTCTTCTGGTGATTCAAAGAAAATGCAAGTCGTTGAGCTTGGTGTGTTTCTGTGATACTTCTTGGACTAACGAGAGATCAATATCATGTGCTCTGCTACTTTCAAGAAACGCAAAGGACGCCAGCCGTTTTACTCAAGGTATGTGCATGTGAATGAGGCACGCTCGTGTGTTGGCTAATGCTGGAAACAAAAAGTCACGTACATTGGTGTTTCCAGCAAACGAAAGCACGTCAGGCGCGTCAGTTCCGCTCGACGACACTAACGAGCCGTGTGCTCTTGCACCCATTGAGGCTCAGGCTACACCAGCGGGGACAACAGCTGGAGTACCGATCAAGACGGAAGAAGACGATATTGCTCCTGATAGTGATGAAGACGCATTCTCACCATCTCAGACTCATGGATCTGGCGAGGAAGAATCCATTGGGACTAAGCCACATGTCCGTGTGAGCGTACGTAAATTCACAAGATAGCGAGAGCTGACCAGATCACGAAGTACGATGGATTTCGAATGTATGCATTATGAGCGTCGTAATGCCGTTTCTCACAACTCCGCAGCTACTCGAAAGAGCTCGTGCTGGTCATTGAGCCGAGTGCATCAACGATTGCAGCGAACCCGAACCTATTCCAAGTGGAAGACGATGATGAAAGCAGAAAAGAGAAACGTCAACTGGACCATTCGGCAAAGATTCGATTCGAGTCTGCCAAGTCGACGCCATCAGCCCAATATGGCCGCGCCTCTCGTCGTGATGAGCGTACAGGTACCCCACTTTTCCGTGGCATGACACCAGATGTCTAAACTAATGAGTATTTTGAACATCCAGACGTAAAAGGAGACGTAAACGGTTCATGACGGACGATGTATACGATGCGGTCGTTCTTCTCAATGCGTACGTGCGACTTCGCCCGGTTGTGAAACCACAACTTGCCAGTATCGCAATTATACAGACTCTTCTTCTTCAACCATATCGAGATCAAGAGGATATGATAGCTTAGCAGCGACACCGCCTAGCCCATTGAGCTGACGGCCACTCTCGTGCAAAGAGCTGAAAATGCATACCTCACCGCCAAAGCCTTTTACTTTGTCACACAATTCGATCCATTGCTTGCGAATATTGGGATGTGTGTTTCGTAAGAATGCATCTGACAACAACAGAGTTTTAATTGCACCACGCTCAGCTGCCAGTACAACAGGACGCTCACCGTACCAAGCATAGTTTTCCGATCTTGCAAGATCACGCAAGAATTGATCAAGAACCTGGGTCTCTCTCGTGAATTTCGTATTTTGCAGCTGTGACGTAACTTCCGGGCTCTGGAGCACTTCCATGAGCGAATGTACATGTGGCGTCGCACAATAGACCTTCAGCAGTTTGCGTTTACCCTCGCTTCCCATAAGGAGCTTTTCTGACCGCCTCGTCGCCTCGGCAAGCAAGTATTCGTACATATTTTCGCGATAAAAGGCGGGTGAGGCGAGTAGCACGACGCGCATTTCTGGAAGTGAAAGTAGTTTAATAACAGCGTCGTACACTTGCGCTTGAAAGCGATCAGTTATTTTCACTGTGCCACTGGACGTCTGTGCATTTCCGTAACCAGCTCCTGCGCGTTTTCGAGGAAGTGCAACTTGGATGCGTTGCTTGATGATAGTCATATGGCTGGTGAGAAGACAAACAATGGCACGGCCTTCGCCCAGGATCACAGCGCCAACTTCAGCTGACTTGCCAGCATCACCACTTTCTTCCAAAATATCAAGATGGTACTGGTCCCATTGCTCTTTGGTGATGGACATTTTGCGGTTCAGCTCAATGTCGAGCGTGTGGAAGGAACCGTTGCGGACGTGCTTATTCTCCTCCGCGACTCTTCCAGAAATGTGCAACGTTGGTTGCCCCTGGCTTGCCCCGCTGAGCGAAGGAGTGCTGCCCGCTTCGCCGAGCACAAGTGAGCTCATAGGTGTAGATACACTGGAATTAGGTTCGCTGTCTGACGAGACTGGCTCATGGGGAGCGCCAATCACGGCCGTCGAGCTCGCAGCGCTCGACATGCCAGATCCTGCGGCCATTTCGAAATCAATCTTGGTGACAGACAAAGTCAACTGTAGTCGCATTCTCTGCGACTCAATGGAGCCTGTACTAGACTCGCTCTGGATTCGTCGCACAGTCGAGGCGGAGACGCGGTCCTCAGGCTGGATCAAATTGTACAGATGGTAGAGATCCTCGCTTATCAAGTCAGTTTCAAACCTTAGTTACATACTCGCACTCTGGCATGAGAGAGACGGTGCCACTCCCATTGCGCTCTAAGTGGCGTGCAAAAATTTTCATGGTGAGTAGCTGTCCGAAATCTCGGTCAGTCGAATGCCGGGGTTCTGCGTCAGTGGAAAGATGGTCTTTCCGCTTAACAAATGTGAGCTTGTGGGTTAGCTGAAAATGTTAGCCATTCGTTTGATCATCCTGCGCATTGAGAATTTCGTGGATTTGTAAGCGCGACACAATTACTCAAGCCTGAGAGTGCGACTCAGGCAGAAGGGGGGTACTGTGTTTGATGATTGAGTGCGAGCGTTTGTTCGACAGCAAGATGTGCGTATGACGTGTAGCAATCAAAGTGCCACTCACCGCATCGACACACCTATGTGATTGAGAAGGTACACTACACTTCATGTAGAAGCACTTGAAGTACAATTGATGGCATAGAGATGTTTCATCGTACAGTAGTAGCTACAAAAGAAAAATCAGAGGCATTGATGTGCATAGTAGCAGCAGCAAGCCCGGCAAGCCATCATTTCATCCTATCAACCGTAGCAAGCATGTGAGAACTATGTCATAAGATCCAACAACTTCCGGGCAATAGCCTCAGAGCCTAGGTTACTGAGCTCAGCATTCCTCTCAGTGCCGCGCTCTACGACTGCGTCAGAACCTGAAGAGGCAGGGACTCGAACCCATACATACCAAGTCGAACAAAAAGGCGCGCTGGAACACCCTGGGCCTCTCGCACGAGAAACGGAAGGTTAGGGTTCGATGCCTTGATGGACTTGTAGTGTGAGGCCAAAAATTGGCTGTACACAGTAAGTAAAGCACACTCGTGATCGAAGTAACATACCGCGCACCGGTGCTCGATGCACTGTTTGGTGAAAAGTGCAAACGCACTTCCTTCACAGCCGAAGGAAACGCTTTCGAGAGCATGGAGGCCATGATCACAAGCAATGAAGTGCAGCTGGAACAAGAGGAAAAGCCGTACGTTGCCGCTCATCGACGGGGCGCACCAGAACAAAGCCTAGTCGCGGCAGAGAGGATGCCACGTGGAGAACACGTGCGTTCTATTTTGTACGGACGATGGCTACTCTACCAAGGCGAATTTCGTGTGGATACCGTCGAGCTGACAAGGTGAGCCAACGAGCATAGTACATACCACTTTTGTGACGCGCAGCCAGGTGCGTGCTTTATCTTTTGCGCGTTCTACATGCGAGGCAATCTGGACAGCATCAACGTCGTCGTCGTTCAACAGACGCTCGAGCTGGTTTCGTGACAAGCTGGGCACATAGGTAGCTGAGACACTGTACGAAGGACCCGACTGAAATAGATGTAAGTATGAGAATGAATACAAAGACAGTGTGGACAAACGTACAATCACGACTTCGTCCAGAACAATGATGTGCGATTCATGCCAACGGCACGGAAGTCTGAGAACGCGTCAGCCCCGCTGTGAACGCAGTCACGTACGTCTTATTCACGGCATCAAAGACAATTTGCCCGATATCGCTAGCTTCCGAGGGTGCTAGTTGCATCGAACGCTCTTGGCATTTTTTCGTAGCAGCTGCCTCGCGCACTTCCATAGCAGCGACCGGCACCGCGCTTATGTGCGTGAGCTGAGAAGGACCATGAGGCATAAGCTTCTCGTACTGGGCCTCATTTAGCACTTTCAACTGTTTGATACTCGATGCACGAACAATCTTAAAGCCTGTAACTAAGCCTGAAGACGGTCCACGAGTCGATCCAGCTTCATACACAGCCGAAGCTGCAGCACGCCGCATCGCAGGTGGAAGTGCACTAGAATTGCCCGTCTCCAAGACGACCAGATTTGAAACAGTGTCAAATGCCCATATGCGGCCAACGACTGAGTCTGTACCAGTTGAATAGTCTGGTGCCTGGAAACTCGGGTACATCACTGTCAGCTGAACTGGCATAGAGATATTTGTCTGCAGTGCATTTTGCACATCTGCAGGAATCGATTCTAGGGACATGGGGAGGGATCGACGAGCGTCGTCTTCTTTTCAAGCACACGGGCGCACTCTTAAGCAAACACACACAGAGAGAGAGAGAGGGACGCTCGCTCACGCGCACACTCACTCACTCACACACTCTCTCTTCCTTTCCCTCGACACGCACGCACGTACGTCGAACCCCAGTGTCTTTATCGGAACGGTCAGCCCCACCTTCCGCCCGATATGTGCGTGATTCGCCCCTCCCTGTCACACGATCAAGTTGACATGCACGCCTCTCAAAATCTCCACATGCTGTAACACGTGATACACGATGTCCTAGTAGGCAGCTGCGTTGATGAAAATGGTTCGATGGCACGCCATAGTCGGCGTAATTCCGTGCATGATGAATGGGAGTGTCTGTAGACGGAAGAGTGGTATGAACACCGTGTCAACTCACTCGTTATCACACTGCCTGTTTGGTAAGACGTGTGTGCTTGCGTGTGCACGCACTATCGATAGGCGTCCGTACGCTGCTCGTCTAGTGTAGCTGCAGAGCCTGAATGACACAAGGGTCCACGACTGGAAGCAGCAGCAGCCGTCGCATACAGAATGGAGGACGAGACGAGCACGAACTGCCATCGGCCAAGCGTGCGCGTACAGATGAAGTGCTGAGTGAGTCATGCGATACAGGAGCGGGCGAAAAGTTTCGATGGAAAAAGAAAGAGGTGCAAGAACAGCGCGCAGGGCTCTCGCGAGAAGAAGCTGAGCGACGCGACGCTGAGCGGCGTGCTGAGGCTGAGCGAGAGGTGGAGCGACTCGCCGCGCGTCGCGAGCAGCGCGAGCGTGCAAGGCAGCAGCGCGAAGAGGAGGAGCTTCTCCGTGCGCGGCAGGCGGAAGCGAGTGTCATGGCAGACTGGGTTGCGAAAGAGGACGAGTTTGTGTTGGAACAAAACAAGGCACGTGCTGTGATCCGTGTGCGCGATCATCGAGCGCGACCAATCGACTGGTTTGTGGTGCAACTTCTGTGGACAGAGGTGCCCACCCCAGTGTCGGCTGATGAAGAGAATAGTGATGATGAGGGTGATGAACTTGACGACACGTTGGACATACACATGGACGAGCCAGTTGCGTTTATTCGCTCGTTACTTCCGGGTGAATTACGTGAGCTTCATTCAGATGTACTGACGCTTGTTCGGCTTGACAAGGATGCGAAGAGAGCCGCTTACTGGAAGGATGTGTTGCTTGTTTGCGATGAGCAATTGAGACATTGTGACGCAGTACAGAATGATGCACAGCCTGAGCGCATCGATGCCTCCATAGTAGCTGATGTCGATGCCATGCTCGCAGACAAGTCAGCAGATCAGCTGTTGGATCTACAGACATCCGTGCGCGCGAAGCTGCGCTCTGGCGAGCCACTAGACGTCGAATACTGGGAAGCAATGCTAAAGCGGATTGTCGTGTGGCGTAGTGCCGCAAAGCTGCGCGCCTTACATGCGACTGTAACACAGAACCGTATCGCCAAACTGCGGCTGCAGCAGCGGCGTGAAGCACGTCGGCAACAAGCATTTGTGGCAGAACAGGCGCACATGCAAATGCACACGCATAAAGGTCTGGAAGACGTCTGGGACGCGAACGAAATGGAACCGGCTGGCCGAGATATCAGCGAATTGCTATATGAAGAGCAGCACCTTCCCCGTTATACCCTAGAAGCGCTACGTGACAAATTGCGTGATGCGCGGAAACAAGTCCTCCAGCAGGCATTCGTGTCACACGTGCCTGCGGCCTGGTCAATGACGCCAACCGTCGGAATAGGAGCTTCAGCGGGTGCAAGAGCCGCTGAAGATGGGAAGACCGAATCTGTCGAAGATATGCTATTACGAAAAGAAGCATCGCGTGCGATGGGTGTGGATGAAGAAGTGTTCGATGACGACGTCCGTCTTGTCGAACAGGCATACCACTGGGAAAGCAAGTATGAAGCACGCAAGCCACGCTACTTCAACCGAGTGCACACGGGTTATGAGTGGAATCGGTACAATCAAACACATTATGATGCCAATAACCCGCCGCCGAAAGTCGTGCAGGGCTACAAATTTCATATATTTTATCCAGATTTGATTGATCCATTCAAAGCACCGACGTACCGCGTGCAGCCTGATCCTGATGGACCTGGAGAAACGGTCCTTTTACGCTTTAGCGCTGGCCCCCCCTATGAAGATGTGGCTTTTCGTATTGTGCAGCGAGAATGGGACTATTCGTTCAAACGTGGCTTTCGCAGCAGCTTTGATCGTGGCATTCTACAATTACATTGTACGTGTACATACAGAGAGAGAAGGAGAGCACCTAAGGACTAATTTGGCAGTTAACTTTAAGCGGTTCAAGTACCGCAAATAATCATCACAATCAAAGAGAAAGCCGAGGAGGGAATTTGGAAGGAGGGTTGGGAGAACAGAGCTGAGAGAATAATAGAGCTGTTCTGCGCGACATGCTAGCCGGAGATCCGACCTGCTCCGCCACACACAGGGCATTCGTCGTCGCCAAAGAACAGTGACATCAGGTCTTCAATACTGCCGGACCCACCGCACCTGTAACATAGTACGCCACCGATGCGAGGATCGCCAGGCGCCACGGTCACAGCGCCAGGAGGCGGCATATATCCGTACCAGTTGATAGTAGGACCAACGGTCCGTGACACAGGCGGCTGTGGTGGCATCGGCATCATGGGGTGATAGGGCTGCGCTGGCTGCATAGGTGGCACAGTTGGCTGTGCGTAAGACGGATAGTTCTGTTGAGCGAGAGGCTTTTCACTTGACGTCTGCGAGGCCAAATCATATCGAGGTGGTGCTGAGTTGTGCTTGTCCTCCGGAAATACTTCTGACTGTTGCGAAGTGCCGCCATGAGATGTACTTGCAGAGGCAGGATGCACAGCAAAGGGATGCGAGTACGATTGTTGGTATGGCGGCCGGTATGTTTGAGTATACGGTTGGGAATACGGCTGAGTAGGTGTAGGTCCTGCCGAAATAGACGAATTGATAAACCAAAGGTTGCTGAAGCACTTTGTCGTCCAAGTAGTGATGTGCTCCTCTCTGTTCGTACGCGTCTTTGATCTTGCCTTTGTATTCGTAGCCATAATTTCTCCAACAGCGTTTGCATGGTTTTAATACATTATTGTCACAGTAACCTGTGCGATGACATCGATTGCAAGAAGATACAGTGCGCGGGTATAACAAAACCTTGCCTCGATGCATGAATGGGTGACCATTAGTTGGTACACTGCGTGGGAATGGGCCAAGCGCACCACTTTGAGTCGATGGGCTCTGCGGCGTCTGCATCATAGGGATTCGAGCGACTCCAGTCCCTACTTCGACATTGGATGTCATAGGATAGCTACTACTGGGCCCATATGCTGATGGATGCGACGTCGTCGCGACCGGCGGTGCTGGCACGGCCGTACAAGTAGATACAGCAGGGCGTGGCGGCAAGCTTGGCGCTTGTGCTTGTGAAGAAGATGCTTCGTGAATTGTACTGGATATAACATCCTCGTAGGATGGTGGAGCATCACTCACACCGCTCATAGCGTTCTTCCTGAATAAGGTGGCCGATCGTGGCGAAAAGATTCATCTTTCGTGAACCCATTGTCTTGACGTCTTTCCCCACTCGACTTGGTTCGTGCGGCGGCCGCTAAAGAGGACCTCCTAGTTCGGCCGATCTATTGGCAGGCAAGTCGAAACCGATGGGCCAATGCGGCTTACCTATATTTCTTCCGAGTACATTAAGTTAATGTTTCGCGTGTCAAGCGCGTGACAAGACAGATCAACTAAAAGTGGATCCACGAGACCCACCCACCCAAAACCTACTACTCGTCCTGACCCCACCGTTGATCTTGTCCGCGACTTGCCCTTCATCGCCATGGATGCTAACACGCTTACCGTCCCTTCGCCGGCAGATTTCCACGTACACCTCCGGCAAGGACCTATGAGTGAGCTGGTGACGCCCCATGTGGCACTGGGCGGCATGCATCTCGCCTATGTGATGCCGAATGTGACTCCCCCGCTCACATCGGCGGAGCAGACTGTCGAGTACATCGCGCAGCTTCAAAAGCATGCACCCCATACCCGCTTTCTTGGAACGATGTATTTGTCACCGAGCATCACGCCAGACGAAATCCGACGCGCTGCAGCGGCAGGCGTGCGTGGCGTCAAGAGTTATCCACGGGGCGTAACGACCAATAGTGATGGCGGGATTGAAAATTACGAAGTGTACTATCCGGTATTTGAGGCTATGCAAGAGTGCCATATGGTGCTCAACTTGCACGGCGAGATCCCCAGTGATCCAGAGTCAGGCGTCTGTGTGTTGAATGCAGAACCATTGTTTTTGGCCCACCTGGAAAAAATTCATGCAAACTTTCCCAAGCTACGTATCGTACTGGAGCACGCTACGACGCGCGCTGCCGTCGAGTGCGTAAAAAGATGCGGTGATACTGTCGCATGCACCATTACGCCGCACCACTTGCAGTTGATCGTAGACGATTGGGCTGGGAAGCCCCTGCATTTCTGCAAACCTGTTGCGAAGACGCCAGATGATCGCGCAGCGCTCCGTGACGTCATCCGCGAAGGGCACCCACGCTTTTTCCTCGGCTCGGATTCTGCACCGCACCCGATTGCTTCCAAGTACCCATCGCCAGCGAGTCGCAACAACTCGACAGCTGAATTTGTGCACCAATGCGGATGTGCAGCCGGTGTGTACACGTCGGCGGTCCTTCTTCCATTGTGTGCGACTCTCCTAGAATCATTTGGTGCATTGGACAAGCTTGCTGGCTATGTAAGTGAGCATGGCCGTCGCTTCTACAACGAGCCTGCTGAGCCAGGTCGAGTCGTTAAGCTGCGCCGTACCACACCCGATGACAAGCCTGTACCGGCCTCGTACGTCCATGCATCATGCCTAGGGAAGGACGACGGCGACCCTACGAAACTGCAGGTGTCACCATTCTATGGAGGCCAACGGCTTGCATGGGCCATTGTAGAGTAACACAACTGATAGATATACAGACACGCGTGCTTACAGCTCGAAGACACGACAGGATACGACGGGAGACGGAGCCGAACGTCAACGGAGCGCAGTGACGAATTGGTAGAATTCGGTGTCTAGAACAAAGGATCGACCAATGTGGTTAGTCTCGCGTTAGCTTGACTCTCACCATTGGTCCAATGAGGATGATGAATGGGTCTAGACATTTGACAGAGATTCTTGTTCACGACCTCCCTGCCCCGCATCTGGCACGTGGCGTGCATATTACTAGGCTGTTCTTTGTCTCTCACATATATTTCTTGTTGGATGCTTGGTAAGAGCGATTTCATTCGCTCGTGCACACCGCACGGCTGGCGAGGGCAACAGGCGAACGACAACGGTCGCTCAGCGCTGCTACTTTGTTAATAGACCGTCTGCGTGAGTGCGTTGACGTGCTAGCGAGAAGACAGTGTGAAAGGAAGAGACAGAATGGCCTGGCAGTCATGGTTCTATGCCAAGCACCCTGTTGTGATTCCTACGCACCTAGCAGGCAGTGTCGGAACCATCGCGATTACCGCATTTGTTCTAGGAACGCTGGTGGGTGGGTGTTTGCCAGGTGTGCTTGTACTGGTGCGACATCTGCTAGAACAAAGCCAGTATGTGGCATGGCTTGCTCCGTTGCAGATGTATCTGCTTGTGTGGTCTTGTTTCCACCTTCTCGAGTTCGTAGTGACGGCCTACTGGAATCCTATTCACCTACAATCTGACTGTACGTACGCCGTTGGTCCGTCACGAGTCATGCTCACATTGGCACGCGCGGTACCCAGCGTTCCTGCTACAAAACGGATTTGAATATGTGGCTGCCCATATATTTGGCGTTTTGGAATATATGCTGGAGTGTGCATGCACGCGACCAGCATGGAAACACACCCAATTCATCCAATGCGTGGGACTGGCACTCATTCTGACAGGCCAATTACTCCGCTCGTTTGCAATGATCCATGCATCAACGAACTTTAGTCACGCTCTCGCACACACAAAACGAGAAGACCATACACTTGTGACAACGGGCGTATACGCATTAGCGCGGCACCCATCCTATGCAGGCTTTTTCTGGTGGGCTCTGGGCACACAGATTTTTCTTGGCAACCCAGTAGCAACGGTGGGCTTTGCTGTTCTACTGACGCGTTTCTTTGCGCACCGCATCCAAAGTACGTGGATCCATGGGCCGAGACGCTTGGTTGGGCATAGGTGGGGGGTGATAGCGTGCGAGACAAGAATGGCTTTAGTATCGCCCGAACCCAATCCAAAGACTGCTCTTGGTCCATCCCCGAGATACTTGCTAACACTTTAGTCGAGGAGCATACATTACGCGCCTTTTTTGGCGAGGCGTATCGTGCATATGAAGTTCGCGTGCCACGCGGCGTACCGCTGGTAGGATGGTTCACGTGATTCGACGCGTGCGTGTGTGTGTGCGTGTGTGTGTGTGTGTTTCACATATACAAACGGCAGGCAGGACGACGACCCTTGGGGGCGCCTGGGACACAGGCCGGGAGAGAGGCGAGAGCCGTACAAGTTCGATCCCGTCGACGGGTCGAGCGGTAATTATCGTTAGCTAGTGGCTTGTGGATTGTGGACTGTAGGGGAAACAAAGAGACAGAAAGAGAGAAAGAGGGACGAGCCGTCGCACCACGAGCAAGATGACTGACTCATCGATCCAGGTGGTCGTGCGCGTGCGGCCACTGAATGCAAAAGAGGCTTCTTCACTTGCCCCTATAGATACAAGCAAGGCATTCCAAGGAGATGGTGGGCTGGCAGCATCGCCTAGCCGGACGCAAAGTACTATTGCCGCGATGCGAAGTAACTATATTCGGAATATTATTGCGCCCGTGGACGACCGCGTTCTGGTGTTTGACCCAGTGGAGCCAGATATGGTGCGAGGAAGTGGCGCCATCACCGCCGGTAGCGGTAGCAGCCATAGCATCGGGCATGGCACAGGAGATGCAGCGAGTCGATGTCGGAGTGGGACGTTTTCGTCACACATGCAGTTCCATGGGAATAGTCGACGTCCCCGGGATGTACGATATGCCTTTGACCGCGTGTTTCCGCCATCCACGACGCAGCGCGAAGTGTATCGCGGCACGATTGAGCCCATGTTTGCTGGTCTGCTAAGTGGTTTTAATGCGAGTGTTTTTGCATATGGAGCAACCGGATGCGGGAAAACCCATACGATTAGCGGCACGTCGGACGACCTGGTCTGATTTTCCTGACGATGCAAGGCCTCTATGAACGAATTGCAGCAGAAAGTCACGAGTATGAAACGGATTTGCGACTTTCGTATCTGGAGATTTACAACGAGACGATCCGTGACCTTCTGTCTGAGACACCCACGCCAGCCGGTCGCGGCTTGGCCCTGCGAGAGGATGCAGCTAGGAAGATCTCGGTCGTTGGCATTACCGAGCATATTCCCGAGTCGCCCGAGCAGGTCCTCGACATGATTACTGAAGGGAACAAGCGGCGAACACAAAGTCCGACCGAGGCGAACGCTGTGAGTAGCCGGAGTCATGCGGTACTGCAAGTGAATGTGACTCGACGCCCCCGCACGGCCGACACCGTCGAGGAAATGTGCAGTGCATCGCTGAATATCATTGATCTCGCAGGCTCGGAGCGTGCGTCTGCGACGACGAATCACGGCATGCGGATGAAGGAAGGCGCCAATATCAACCGATCGCTCCTTGCGCTGGGCAGCTGCATCAATGCACTGTGTCAGTCGAACGTGAACCAGCGCGGAGGCACACGGAGCCGACACATCCCGTACCGGAACAGCAAGCTGACCCGCTTGCTCAAGTTTTCCCTCGGTGGCAATTGCAAGACTGTTATGATCGCATGTGTGAGTCCGTCTAGTGCGCATTACGACGAGACACACAACACACTCAAGTATGCCAACCAGGCCAAGAACATTCAGACCAAGGTGTCTCGCAACTTGCTGCACATCGACCGGCATGTAGCGCAGTATGTGCAGGCGATTGCCTCCCTCCGCTCGGAGATTGCCGAGCTGAAAGAGAAGCTCGCTCGCGCACCACATGCAACGACTTACGATACGGAGCGGGCTGCGCAGTTGGAGCAAGCGCACGCGCAGCTGATCGCCGCCGCAGCACGTGCCAAAGACGGTGTGCCCCCGGGGTATGCAACGTCGTATGCGGCGCACGCTACGCTGCGTGCTGCAAAAACGGTGTTAGCCTCGTGTTCGTCTGACGCGGAAGTGTCAGTTCTGCGCGGCCTCATCGAGCGTTGCGGTCAAGCTGATACGGCAGGTGCGCTGGACGTGCCTGCGGTGCCGCATGAAGCACCTCCGCTCGTTGCGCAGCATGACGAAAGCGAGGCACTGTATGATGCTATGCACGCGCATCATGCGGCGGAGGTTCGTGCGTATACGCATGAACGAGCGCGTGAGGCGTTTGAGTGCGTGCTAACCGATGTGCTAGCACCACGCATGGTGTCTTTGCTGACGTATGCAGCGCGAGCGACGTCGGCTTTGCAACAGGCTTGTGGTGCGGTGGCCGCTATCGGCGAGAAAGGAGGTGATGACAATGCCGGTGCATCCACGTATACGAGTGCGGCTGTGCAGCAGGCATGGCAACAAACACTAGCTGAGGGCTCAGCCCTGCTTCAGGACATGACGGGCGTCCGTGTCTCGGACACGAAGCCGGCTGTGCCCGTGATGCCTACGGTGCCTACGGTGCCTGCCATGCCCGCTGCGCCAAAAATAAACATGCGTCGTCTATCGAAAGTCAGCGCCATATCGTCGTCGCCAGCGCGCATCTCGCGCAAGAGCCCACGACGACGTGTGCTTCGACCCAGCACACAGCGCCATGGCACAGGCCCAGGTCCTGGACCTAGCATATCCTCAGCAGCTGGCCCAGTCGCATCTCGTGCAGCAGGTCCGCGGCTGTCGAAGGTGCGGCCCCGTACTTCATCAACAGAAGCAGCCTCCGCACCGACGGCTTCAACCGCGGCCTCCTCAGCAACCTCGTCGACAATCACGCACAAATCGCATGCTCCTCGGCTCAGTGTGTCATTGCGCGCAAGCACCACGGGTCCTCCAGCGCCGCGCATCGCACCGGCAGCTTCGCGAACGCACGGACCGCGATCCAGTGTGACTGCACGTGCTCCTAGCGTAGAGACCAGCAGCGTTGGAAATGGAGCAGGTATGTCGTCGATATCGGCGCCTCTAGAGCCACCTGCTGAGCCCGACAATGCCGCAATGCGTGCCCCGCCCCCGGGCCGCCTCGCGCGTATGCCGGTTCATGTCGTTCGGCGTGCACCTCGTGAGAGCCTGGCAGTGTCGAAAAGCACGCAGGATCAGACGGCAGCGTCAGGACGTGAGCAGCATGGGCGTGTGCCACGCGTGTCGACGGAATCGGTGCGTCCGTCTGCTGCGCCCAAGACAGAGGCGGCCAATGTGCAGGCCGGTGCTGAACAGCAAGATGTTCCAGAGACATGCGCGCTGCCAGCTGCGACTGCATTGTCAGGATCGCCGCCCTCGCCACGTCATGTGACGCAAAAGCCGGCGAAAAAGCGCGGGCTTTTCCAGCGGCAGTTCCTTACACGCCCTGTGCCGCAAGACGACGATGCTGATCTGGAAGAAGCATCGGATGGTCTTCTTGAATTCCCCGACGACGACTTTATCAGGCAGCGTAGTGATACCTCATACCCATCACTACCTGATTTCGTGTCATGACTGAACGCTGCCTCTGCGCATACAGTTACATACATAGTGTGTTCTATACACATATACCACATGCATACACATGCGCGCAGGCCTATGATAGAGGAGGGTATCATGTTCCTGCACTCCTCACACATGGAGCAGGGGCGAGCTTACATACACTGGGGAAGAGGGGCGGACGGATGCCCTCCCTTTACGTATGGCAGGCACATGGAGACGGGCGTGGAGCACTCGAACAGGGACTGTTTGTTGTGTGTGTGAAAATTCATGTACGAACATCCGCGCTGTGCGGTGCAAATGCCTCGTGTCACGCGTGCCGTCGTTATGCACCACATGCGTAATTCCTCTGCATGTGAAGACGTGGAAGTATGCATGTGTGCGTCAGCTAGCCAGTGGCCAAAATGACATAGAGAGATAGAGAGAGAGCGCAGCTCGAGAAAGCGTTTCGTTCGTCGATCGCCCCAAGGCTGACGAAGCACGTCGTCCTTGACCCGGCGACGAAGAAACAGCTAGACCCCTAAGGAAGCCGCCACGCACCTGCGCATATCGAGCACGACTCGCCTTCCACACCTCGTCCGCCTGTCTATCTGCCTGCCTTGATGCTGCCTCAAGGCATTGCGTCCGTGCCTCTGGATGTGCTCCATCCACGCACACTTACGCCACATGCACGCAGCTCCTACACGGTCCCGAGTTCACGGCGCGCAGCATGGCGGGATGTGTCGTCGACGTCTCCCTCACTCGGCGGCGACGCTGCCGCGCCTCATACTGTCGCATCGCATGCCTCCCATGCAGCCACTTGCCATGTCAGCGTGCTTGGCGCGCACGTCATGGCACTCGCCCGCGTGTTGGTGTCGACGCGCGAGCTCGAAGTGCAGATTGTCGGCCCGCAGCTTCATGCGCCACCCATGTCCTTCATATTTCCAGCCCCGATCCTCGCGCATGTGGGCATTGTCGAAGACGCTGCGTCCAGTGACATCCATGTGCTGGCCATCACACAAACCGGCTTCCTGTATCGGCTGCGCCTACCACTCGCGAGTTTCTTACGTGGGCAACCACTACCACACGCTTGGGCGCATGAGCACCAGATCTTGCACTTGAGCAGCCACGCGTCCGCATCGTCGACATCGTCGGCGTCCGCATCCACGTCGCAGCCATCGCGCTCGCCATCGACATCCACGTCGCTCGCCGACACAGCCGTAGCGACGAGCGTGCATGTGATTGATATTGCCCTAATTCTCGTGTCGTGCGCGGATGGCGCGCTCCTGCGCATCAACAGCGAACTCGACGATCGCGGCGCATTCACAGGCGCCTGGCTCGAAAGTGTGCTTCGGCCGTCCACGTTCCTGTTCTCGCGTCTGTTTTCTCGCTCTCATAGCGAGCATGTCGCTCCCACACAAACGCTCGCGTTGGCCACACACATTCGTGATACGGACACGCCGCTCGCATTCAGTGTGTGTCGTGATCGCAAGCTGCGTGTGTGGAATATTGCTACCGACACCCTTGTCCGCACGCTCGATCTGCCAGGCTCGTCCGACACGGTGTGGGAAGAGCGCACGACCCAGCCTCTTGTCCAGCTGTTCTATCCTGCTGACCGCTCCTTCTCGTTCTATGTGCTGGTGTATGTGCCAATGCAGGCCGCCGCGTGCCTTGCAGCGTATGGTGTCGAGCTCGAGGAGAGCAGCAGCTGGTCTGGCGGCGTCGGCGACATGGCCCTCGTGTGGTCACGAGCTTGTGATGCCCGCACGAATGCGCCCGATATCGAACTGCGCGACATGGCCGTCGTGTATACGGGGCAGGTGTGGCGCGTTTGGCTCCTGTGGCATGCTGCGGGTGCGCCTTTGCTGCAAACGACGCTCGTCGATGGCCTTCGTGCGCCTGCTGTGAACCAGGCGCCGCTGGTCCTGGGCGACACCGATGACCCTTGGGCGACCGTCCATCCCCTCTCTCCGTACACACCGCTGCATGGACCAGACATGGATGCGGCCCTCGAGTCACAGGCCAGCGCGGTCGCGACCGTTTTCGTATCTCGCCTGTGCGAGCCCGCGCGCTTCAGTGCGACGACGCTTGCAGCTGCGCTCGAGGCTGAGGGCGTGCACGTGATGGGTGAGCCTCTTCCTCGCATCGTCGCAGCGATCGCAGCAACAGTCGGCGCCGGCTCCCTCGAGGCGTGGCTCCGCTTCACACGCCGGGTCGAGCTGATTGATCGCGCTGCTCGCTGGCCACTCCGGCTCTGCATGCTCGACGACGTGCCGTGCATCATCGCTCGGCACGCACTCGGCATCGCGTGTGCGCGCGATGCTGGCGCTTGGCTCGCGAGTCTGGCAGCGCGCCTCGCAGCAGCAGCGCCGCATCCGGATCGTCCAAGCGCACGCCTCGCTGGCGAGGCGGCGAGCGCTGAGTACGCGTACGTGGTCAACTCGTTGGCTCAGCTGCCGCATAGCGACGGCACACATGACCTCAAAGACTATGCCCGCATCCATGATGGCAGCACACATCTGCTGCGCGTCGCGACGCTCGCTGCAGAATTGTACGACTCGCTGGGACCACGGGCCCCACGATTGGTCGATGCTTACATCGCAGAGGCGCAGCGCACAACAAGTCCGATGCGGGTGCGAATTCCGACCTCTCTCCACGGCCGTCTGTCGGCGCTGATCGAGCAGATGGGTGGCGACGGCCTAGTTCGTGAGGCCGAGCGCCTCGTCACGCTGTACCAGCACGATTCCTGGCCGTCGTTCGCGTGGCTCGATGCACTCACTGCGTACGCGCACATGGCAGGCGTTCATGCGCGCTTGCATGGCACACGTGCATTGTTGGTCTTGCTCTCCCTCGTGACACACACGCATGTGCCGCAGATCCAGCGAATTCGCTCGATCGCCACCGATGTTTGGCATACGGCCCGTGCCATGTACGTGCTTGCCAGCTCAATAGATGACGAGCCGACTGTGGGCCTTGTGCACCGTGCTCTGCAGCGCGGCGTGCCGCAGGGCGCCTCCGTCGATGCCTTCTGCAATGCCGTACTGACGGATGCGCCTGACGTCGTGCGCACTTGTCTGTTGACGGCAGCAAGCAGCTGTTCCTCCTCCACCGGTAGCAACGACTCGGTCTTGGTGCATGACACGGCCTGCACGCCCTCGACGACGTATCTCATTGCCAAGGCAGACGCTTGCCGCGGACGTGTGCATGAAGCGTACCAGGGCTTTGTGTGTGTCAACGCCGCGCTGACAGCCGCCGCCAAGACACATCCCGTTTGGGAACGCGTGCTGCCAGCGGACGTGCTCGAAGCAAGCGATCATCCTACAACGCAGTTCCGGTTCTGGTGCCATGCAGCCACCCTGGTGGAAGGCGATGTCCGTACGTCCTATGAGTGCTATCGCCACGCCATGCATGCGCTTGAGGCTGGTGCCAAGGATGTGCTCGAATCAGACGCCCGCAAAGTGTGGACACTCGTATTCCGCTCTCAGCTTGCCTTGCACATGTATGAAGCCGCCGGTGCTACGATCCTGAGCCTGCCCTTTGATGATCTGCGCACAACCTGCATCACGTCCCTCGTCACCACGCTGTGCGAAGCGCAGGAAACTCGCACGCTCCTGCGACTCGATCTGCTTGAATGGCAGCCACACATCGAGCGCACACTCAGCTTCCAAGCCAGGCACGCCTCGCCCCTCGCACACCCGTCGTACTTCCACATCCTGTATGCATACCATGTATCCCGCGGCGACTACAAAAGCGCTGCCGCCTCCATGTACCAACACGCCCACCGACTAGGTGTCCTCACACGTGATGCGCCGTCGCTAGAGTCCATGCAGGCCTATGCTGTCCAGCAGGCGCAGAGCTTCCTGGTCTGCATCAATGCGCTTGTCCTGCTCCCTGCTACTCTTGCATGGTTCGCGCATGACAACACCGACTCGCTGGCCGCCACCGGTTGCCCGACGGATCGGCATGCGCTTCGTGGTCGAGTCACACACTATGTGCCGCAGCCTGCAGGGCCAGCATCACTTGCCATTGTGCAACTGGCCGACGTGCGCCGCGAGTACCATGAGCTCCTCACCCGTTTGCAGCTTATGCAGACGTATCCGGAACTCGCTCATGGCGCGACGCCTTGGCGTGCAGACGATGCACTCCCCCTGTTTGTGGCCAACGACGACTACGACGCCGCTTGGTCTACGGCAGAACAGCTCCAACTGCCCATGGACAGCTTCTTCGATGCACTTACACTCAAGTGCGTCCTGCTAGAGCGTGCTTTCCACAAGCGTGCCGCGCATTACGAACACGAGGACGAAGCACTCAAGTCACTGTACATGGGCGACGAGGAAGAGGCTGACCCAAACGCAGCCTTTCTCCGTCGATCAGCTCGCACCGCAAGCTGGCCTGGTCATGCGCATGAGCGCGCATGGAAGTATTTGCGCGTGCATCTAGAAGCGACAGAGCATGGCGTCCAATACAGGCGGATCATTGCCGAGCGTCTCATCGCTCTCCGAGCGTGGGATCTCTCGCCTGAATGGCTCATTGACTGGTTCCGTCAGCATGCTCCCGACGTACTCATACGTGTATGGATGCAGTACGGTATGCTTGAGCATGCTCTTGCCTACTGCATTCAGCTTGTCGATGCCTCCTTGAGTGAATTGCGCACGAGCAATGCACAGCCAAAGGCCTGCCTCCCCTACACGCTCATGGACAGTCTCTTGGTCGCTGCCGATAAGAGAGGGCTTCATGAACCATCCACCACGCTGAGAAAAAGCTTGGACGCGCGCATGAATGCATTAAAAAAGAAACATCCCATTCCCCATGCACCGTCGTCCACCGCCATTGCCACATCCATGTAGCCAGATAAGTCGCACCGGCGCCTTTTTTTCTTAGACATAAAAAAATTGTAGGCATCCCATAATGACTATATCGCAAAGAAGTACGAGACGTTTTGCCACATGACACACCGACGCCCACGATGTGCTCGCGCCCGCATGCACACGGCCGCGGTTCCCCTCGTCGTGGCGTCAATCGCTATATCGCTTGGAGAACGCACTGCGCGTACTACCGTGGAGGAGGTGCATGAACGTACGTGTGACATATGCTGACTAAATGTACGCGTTGCTTTTGTCACGGCCGCTGTGATCGACTCGATCGTCGTAAGCACTCCGTAGACGACGACTACATCGCTGCGTTAACCGTCGCCACCATGGACTTGCAATCACTCATGGGTCAGCCGCACATGAGCTCAATGGGCGTCGCAAATGGAGACGTGCCTCAGCAGGATAATGCAGAAACCGTATACATTAGCAGCTTGGCGCTGCTCAAGATGCTCAAGCACGGACGTGCTGGCGTGCCAATGGAGGTGATGGGTCTTTTACTGGGCACCATTGTCGACGACTATACTGTATCTGTGGTGGACGTATTTGCCATGCCCCAATCAGGCACTGGTGTAAGCGTGGAGGCTGTGGACCCCGTTTTCCAAACCAAGATGCTTGATATGCTCAAACAGACAGGCCGCTCAGAAGTTGTCGTCGGCTGGTACCATTCACATCCAGGTTTCGGCTGCTGGCTCTCAAGCGTCGATATCAATACGCAGCAGTCCTTCGAGCAGCTGAACCCGCGTGCTGTGGCGATTGTCGTCGACCCCATCGAGTCCGTCAAAGGCAAGGTCGTCATTGATGCCTTCCGCCTCATTAACCCATCCACCGTCATGCTCGGCCAAGAACCTCGTCAGACGACATCAAATATCGGCCATCTCAACAAGCCGTCAATCCAGTCACTTATCCACGGCGTAAACCGCCACTACTACTCTATGGCCATTGGTTATCGAAAGACACAGCTCGAGCAAAGCATGCTGGGCAACCTACACAAGCGCAACTGGACAGACGGGCTCAAACTCGCCGATTTCCAGGAACATCAGCATTCCAACCAGGCAGCGGTCAAGCGCATGCTCTCCCTCGCAGAGGACTACCAAAAATCCGTCAAGGAAGAAGCCAAGCTCACACCTGAGCAAATCAAGACCCACTATGTCGGCAAGCAAGATCCAAAAAGACACCTGGAAGATGCCGTCGAAACCTCTATGGGCGATCAAATTGTACAGAGTTTGGGTACTATGATTCTCGCCGAGCTTTAGATACCTGTAGTCGTCATATAGTACAGACGGCTTCATCTTGGACATGACGTAGCCGTACATAATAGAATGAATGGAAGCTGGAGTTCGTAGCGAGGTGAGGCGTCTGTAGGTCATCAATGCATGCATTGCGAGTAAGGATTTTTTTCATCACTTCGGGTAGGCGCTGGTTCGTCTCGACGCGCGACGTGTGCGCTTCGCTAGTGGCTCATCAGACACCGAACTGGACCCAGTCGCCGCGCCAGCACCCGTGTCGGTGGCCCGCTTCCTTGAGCCGCCACGACGCCGTGACGGCACCTCGCTCGCCTTGCTGACAGCGGCACGCTCTTTTGGCGGCAACGATTCCAGCGCATCCGTCGAGTCGCTCGCTGGCGCACTTGTCCGCTGAAGCTCACCCATCAACTTGAAAACAAAAGCTCGCAGAGTCATAACTTCTGAACGCACACCCACACCATGCTTAGACATACACGCATCCAGATACTCATTCAAGGCTTCAGCAAATTGTTGAAGCGGCTTCTCTTCAGAGAGAGCACGCTTCGCGACACATAGGCCTAAGCCTGACGACAATCCCGTGCGTCGTGCACAAAATTCCTGCGGAATCTTGCAATGCACATTTCGCGCATGCTCTCGCAACGCCAAAAGGACCTGTGTCATAATGTCGTACGCAGCGGTTCCCGACACATAGAGGTCAGAGGGCGTGAGAGTAGCGCCAGGCATCGGAGCTAGTACCGGTGTGGGAGCCGACGTAGACGCTGTCGCGACAGGCATCGACGAGGCCGTGGATGAAGAAGAAGCAGCCGTCGTTGATGGCGACGGTGCCGTCTTTCCCGCTGTGTCTTCTGGAGATTCAGAATCTGGAGTTACATCTGAAGAGGTATTTTGGGTCGTAGCAGAAGAGGACGGCTCCAAGTTTTGCCTGCAAGGCTCGGGACTCGACCTTCGAGTAGACCCTTCATCATCAGAGCGTGCAAAAGGGTTCAATCGGGCACACCACGCACCGAAGCTGCTTTTTCGTGACTCGTGTTTCCTGCGCCGCGTAGGTTCGATCTGTGATTCGTCATCGCTATCGGGACTCGAATCCCACTGCAATGGAGTGGCATTATTGGGCCCACGGTGGGGTGTGGGAGAACTGGGCGGTGACGCGCGAACTGGCTCGTGAGATGGCGAAGCGGTCGGTGAGCTAGGTGGGGGTGACATGGGCATGGAATACGGTAATACAGATGGCTTCTTGGAAGGTGATTCAGGTGCCTGTTCAGAGGCTTGTTCAAGTGTCTGATGCGATACCTCCTTTGATGCCCGCGCTAATACCTCCTCTGATGTCTGCTCTAGCACGTGCCCCGGTGCCTGCTGCGACGCTTGTTCGGTACGTTGGTTCGACTGGTCTGATGTGTGCTCAAATGCGCGCGTAGATGGCGAATCGAACGAATTTTCGGATGATGGCTCGGATGTCAACACTAGTTTAGTGGGATAGAAGTCCGAACGAGCAAGAGGCTTGCGAGGAAGATCGTCTTGAGACGACGGCACGTTCGTCCGCTCACGCTCCAAAACGCGAGCAACATGCATTGCACGAGCCTGTGGACCACGCCACAAGGGCATTGGCTGAGGACGGACATGCGAGGCCATAGTCAAAGGGCGGGTATCATCAAGACGAGGATCCCATTGCACATGACCCTCCTTCTCTCGGCGGAATGAATCAGAGGGGACCCATCGCAGTGTAATAAGCTCGCGATCACGGAGGAAGGGCATAGCATCAGCAAGAAGCAATGCACCGCGCTGTTCACTGTGCATTGTGCCGACCGAGGCCTGACATGCCACGTACAATTGTGGCGTGTGGTCAGCTGGTACTTTGAAAAGCTCACACGCTTTCGAAACCAAGTCTTCATGACGCTCTGGCATTGCAGTCATAAAGACCTTGGAATTCAGTGTGGGGCCCTTGAGCAGGACTGCTCGAGGCGTCGTTCCCATTTCTTTCGTGGTGGCTGGAACAACGACAACGATAGTAGGTAGGATAGGTTTTCGTGTGGGACGCGTTAAAATGCCGCGTCGAAAACCGCACACGCGTACATCGTCTCTATCTCTGCTCGGCAAGGCACCCAAGTAAGGTGAAATGCATGCAGCCAGCGCCGTGTGGAGGATTCATACTATTGGCCAAAGTGCCACTTCTTCGATCTGCCCTACTGCGATTTGATGACTACACGACACGCTACGCGTCGCGCCATATATGAGAACCAGTCGCACGTACTACAAAGCCAAAGAGTGTGAAAAGCTGCCCTCGTCCAAAATGTGCCTAGGTGACGTAGAACGCATAGTATTTCATAACAAGCAAGAATGTGAGAATAAAAGTGTGGATCTCGCTGTGGCTGTGGGTATTCATTTATGCAAGGCCTTCGGCACGAAGCATGACAAGATGAACATAGGCCATGCGCCGGCGCATCTCAACACCAGACCATCCAATAGAGTCAGTATTGACCTCATCTTCCCAAGGATCAAATCCAGGCGCTCCAGGCGTGAAAGAAGCCGAAGATGAAGTGCCACTCGCGGGCACGATTTCGGCGAGCTGGGTGGGCGATATCATAGTGGGCAAGGCCATTGTAGGGAGGGAGAGGGGCATAGGTGGCGCAGATGGAGGGACTAGTAAGTGAACAATGTCTGGTGGAAGCAGCATAGTAAGGATAGATCCCAGAAGAGTAGAATCGGGGGCAAGTCTTGTCAGTGGAAGGTATTGTATCTCGACAATGCCGCCAGCAATCCGGTCAGATCCGACAATCACATTCCCAATGCTAAGAATGCACTCCTCCTGCTCACCCACAGCATCGAGAGCACCGCGACGCATCTGTGAATGTGCGCCTAGCTTGACACGGAATGAGAATCCGTCCAGCAGGACTTGCGCACCTCGCTGGATCCATGCACCAGGGCCTGGTGTACCAGCGGGCGATCCCAGCGGCCCAGGTAGACTCGATTGGCGCAGCAACGTATGAATTTCAGCACTGAGTACGTGGGCATGCCAGCGGCGCAGCCCTGGCGTCGCAGATGCAGCTTCTGCAGGGGCGTCTGCACCAGCACGTGTGGGCTTCGACGTATCTTCAAAGACAACAAACACATGGTTTGGCCACGCAGAATCAGTTACATGCCACATCATACACCGATGCCGCTGCATATCTTGGGATGATCGCGCACTCCGCAAGCACTGGAACGGGCGAAATTGGATTCGCCAAGACCCTGCTGGTTGTGCACCATGTTGCGTCTGGAGATGCGTAGCCACGGCAGAGAGAGAATTGGGAGGAAGTGCCGGAATCCTCGCTGTCCCTGTCACCGCCATGGCGCTCGACACTTGCGTTGTCGTCGTGCACCCTTGCACAACACCCACGCCGGTAGATCGAAGTCAACGAGCGACGGTTCTAGCAAGTGGAGCGAACTCGTACATGAATCAAGGGTGAGGAGATTCGCAAACCATTTATTTGGTCGAGGAAGCCAGTTGCTCCACACAGCCCTACGTGTGGCGTCAACTTCCTTCCGTCCGTCCTCTCGCTGAACGCCACCGACGTGGCTCGAAACGCCTTTCCGGATCCATGCTGTATATTCGTGCGCATGCCACCCAAACGTGAAGCTACACCAGCTGAACGTGCACAGCAACTATTGAAGCGGGCGCGCTCGTCACCGAGAAGCAGTGGCTCTGATGGTGGCAACGTAACATCGTCTAGCTGGGACGATGTGCTTGTGCCATTGCCTCGGCTCATCCACGCACTACATACTGTTGCAGGTATATCTGTCGTGGATTCGATTGGCATCGTTCGTGTTTTAGCGGACAAGAAAAGACAGAGCATCGCACACCTGCGTCGAATTTCAGCGCCAGAGCTAGAAGAAATCGGTGCGCCATGCACAGGGTCAACACGCGATCGAGTTGTGCAGACGCTGCAGCGTCTCGCGCACGACGATACGATGAGTCGTGGAATCAACGCACTCACTGACTTGGAACGTACATCAAAGCAGCAGCGTATGCGTGAAGAACAACGGCTGAGGCGTGATTGGGGCGACGTTCGTGCATCAGAGCCTGCACTTGACGAAAAGTCTTTCGCTTTCGATCATGTACTGGCAGAGACAGCTCTGAAAGGACGCCGCGTCGTCGTGAATCGTGCGCCAGTCATGACAGCATGGGCTGTCGTGGTACTTGAAGCGATGGGCTTCGCTACGAATGAAGCATTAAGTTTGGCTCATTGCTATGTAAGCCAAACGGCTGAAGCGCGTGCGCGCAATATTGGAATCGCAGGACCTAAGAGACCTGCTTCTGAACAGCATCTAATGAGCGAGAATCAACCGCACATTGAGTTCCTGCGCGTCAGGATCCCCGTCTTTCGCCTGCGGAACGGAGAATATCGCGGACTGCATGCCGGCGAAGTCATGCCACCATCGCGTGCGTATGACTACTTGCATCGCTCCATGTTTCAAATGCTACCGCATGTGATGGGGGCGCTGACCTTGCTTGCCAACTCGTACTTGGGACCTGATGGAAATGCTGATAGGCTGCATGCAGCCGCATATGAACTTTATACCGGTTTCCGTCCAGAGACGCATGGCGAGTGGGGGAAGCGAGCGAGCCTCTCGCTCGATACCATTCTTGCATTGCGTGCCACGGCTGAGAAGGAAGAAGTGCCGCAAGATTTGAAGCGAGAGGAAAAGCACGGACTGCCCTTTTTGACAGAGGCAGAGTGTGATGTGAAGCGAGACAATCACATAAAAGAAGAGGATCACAAACGGCCCAATAATGCCACACAGTCACATATAATGGATACACAGTTCAAGAATGAAACATGAATGGGGTCGTGCGAAGCTACTGTCACGCATAAGAGAGTGTGTGGTCCCCCCTCCCTCCTTCCCCCCTTTCGCCCCCACTCGCACTCCATTCTACTTCGCAAGCTGATAAAAAAGTGCATTGTTCGTTTTTTGTCATTGTCTTCGCTTGTACGCTGGCGGGGCGGGTATGCAGTATGATGGCCATAGATTGTGGATTTATGAGCTGGTTGACAGCATGGAATCTATGTTGGGCAGGCATTGAACTAGCGTCTCCATGGGACATGGCGAGTGCGCCCGTTGGACGGTGCCTAGGCGCTTCCCTGACGAAGCTTGTTCATTCCACGCAAAGTACGGGTGTGTTGGTGGGCAGATTACACGAGCATGCTTCAAGTACCAGGACTTGAGTTCACGTTGGGCCTTGGGAACAAGTGGAATAGAGTTCATTCCCATCACCTGAACCATGCCGTGCACACGAGACTGGATGGCACGCGTCGTAATGAGATGCATCAAGACTTCACAGCCGGTACCCAGGCCGACGAGAAACACCTTTGGCACTGGTGAAATCGCGCAATATACATCCCAAATATGTTGGATCTGTTCATTCAACGCACTGGGAGTGGGATCATCAGGATACGCCAGGGCTTTTCCGTGCGAATGATTGCGAACTGTTTGCAGAGGCAAAGGCACCATTGTGCAGAGATCCATCAAGGCATAGTTGCGTTCCATAGCCCATTGGACGAGTGCATCCGCTGAGTCGGCCACATATGGTGCGCCTTGAACGTCTTTATGTAGATTTGCAAGGTCATGAACAAATATCACGAGTGTCTGCGTTGTCGGCAGCATAAGCGATGAGGAACACAGTGCCTGATTCCGCTGGAGCCCCGCATGCGTAGGTATCGGCAGCAGCTGGTGTCGTTTCCAAAGCCGAGCAGCACGTGCATCTAACAAGAGCTCCGGCGTCGGTATGCAGGCCACAGAAGCTGCAGAAGGAGTGGTGGAGATCTGAGCAGCGGCGGCATCAGTGGTCGAGTCAGTAACATGAGTAAGTGCCGCACCGTGCACGGCATCGGTTGTTGCTGCATTCAAAGTGGATGCAGTAAGAGAGTTCGGCACTGCGCTCGGGCCATATTCGAGCGCAGTGCGCAGAGAGACCCAGTAGGGGGCCTGTGCACGGATCACTCGCCGGACAGTATCAGCTGCAGCAAGACTACATGCAGTACCCCGAGGGAGCGGTGGGAGGGGATCGCCGAGCAATGTTCGGACGACAGCGAGTGCGGAGCGCGATATAGCGTCCAGGGTATAACCGCCCTCGAGAGCGACAACCAGGTTGCCCTGTGCAAGTGCCATGAGCTGGTGCGTCATGTGTGCATAGCCAGCGGGCGACACGAGACAGCCGCCAAGCATGTCATCCTGAGCGGCATCGAAGCCCGCACTTACAATGACGAGATCTGGCGCAAACTCGTATGCGATCGGCATGATGCAGTGCTGGAAGGCGTGCAGGTAGTCACCATCGTCCATGCCACTGCATGGCCAGGGCACATTCACCGAGGTCCCACGCGCCGACTCACCGCCGACTTGGTCGTAGTTGCCGAACGAGGTCCCAGGGTAGAACGTACCATTTTCATATCGATGCAGAGATATGTACAGCACTTGCTTGTTGTCCCAGAATGCACGCTGTGTACCATTTCCATGATGCACGTCCCAGTCCAGAATCATCACGCGCTCAACCCGGTCTGGCGCACCCAGTGGTCGATCGAGCAAGACACGTGTAGACACCGCCACATTATTATACAAGCAGAATCCAAATCCAGCTCCAGGCTCAGCATGATGTCCTGGCGGTCTCACAATGGCGAAACCATTATGTACCCTGCCTGATGCCACAGCCGAGCACATCTCGACGACACTTCCGCACGAGAGCCGTGCACAGAACGTAGATGCATGGTTCAGATACAGCGATGAGCTCAACTCTAGATCATGGCTCAATGTTTTGAGCTGCGCAAGCGGAAGTGTCATGTTTGCCTCATACTGGTCCCACAGGGCAGAGTCGTGGATCAGCTCAATTTCTGCACGAGTAGCTTCTCGTGAGTAGATCTGATGCATCCGCGGAATGCAGGCATGTGCTACAAGCGTTTGAAAGATCGAGGAAATCCGATCCGGCTTCTCTGGATGCTCTTCTTCGGCCAGCGTTGAATGCGCTTTCATACGCGCATCATACACATACCCCGTCCTGCGTACAGGATACACGTGATTCACAGCATGTCCAGCATCATCGTGCTCGGATATGTGGGCCACGTAGGATGTTTCTATTTCCATAGCGCTTAAACGCCAAACAGTTGCCTCTTCTTAGCGTGTGCAGGTAACGTATCCTGTCCAACTGATGGCCTGCGTCTCAGCACCACTGATTCTTCCCCTTACTCCCACAATCGATGGTTGCCTCACACTGACCTGCTCGTGAGCTCTCCACTCACGTTCGTCCAGGACTCGTCAGACTAATGGAGGTGTGTGTCCTGCTCGCACAAGACGCGTTTTATTGAAACATGCGTGTATATATCCATGGTTCCAACTCCAGCGCTGACCAACCGACCGAAATACAATGACATAGTGACTTGCGTCAAACATCCCGCACACACATGTTCCATGAGGATCGGCCGCCTATATGAGTGTCTACGTGCTCGTATGTGTAAATCAAAGAATGTGTCGTTCTCTCATCATGACCCTTTCCATAAGCGCGAGCAAACGAATGTCAGCTTACAGCCGGTCCCAATCACCATTATCCATTGCATCATAGTACTGTGACAGGGTGCTTTGGCTTAGCCGCTTCATGATCTCTTTCTGCGCTGCAGCACAATGGACCAAGAGATTCGCCAGAACTTTCTCAACCTTACGCGTGGCATCATGGCTTGACACGGAGCTGCCACCGTCACGACCCTGCTCGGCTGTTGGACTTGGCATTTTGACATATGCATCCAGCGCTGAAGCGAGAGAGTCTCGTGTGGCGCTTGATATGTGCTCGTCAAGAGCATGTGATTCAAGGAGATTGCCCATGCGTAGCTGGGCACTTCGAGATAAAACAGGTTGCTGGATGGCACGCATCTTAGGTCCTGGCATCCCGTCCGTTCCTGGTTTTGTGTGTTGAGAGCGATCCATATCAGAAGGCAACACATCCACAACATCGACATCAGGCAAGTCCGCTAGCGTGCCAGACGTAGCGAGACGACAATCGGAGCGAAACCACTCAACACCACACCAGAACCGCACTGGCGCTGCTTCATGCTGCGGGACTTCGTCACCTCTCATACTCTTCAAGAAAGCATAAAATGAGCGTCGCACGTGAGCACGACGCAGTACCTCTGTTATGGGGATACGCACAACTGGATCTAATGGCGGACTAGCGATCCGTTGTGGTTCTGGGATTGGTGAGCGAGAAGGGACTGAACCTGAGTCCAAATTTGGCCCCGGAGCCGGAGATGGGACGGAGGTGGCCGATGGTGCTGTAGCTGATGTGGCGCCCTTGGCCGTGTCTCGGGGCTCGGCCTCCGTCGGGCTTGCATGCACATAGGAGCCGTACACTTCGAAGCCCTCGAGACGTGGCGATACAGAGCGCATCTCATTTGACCGATCACCAAAGAAGAAGGACGTCGGTGGACGTTCATCGGCGGGCATCGACGCTGGCTGCTCAACCCAGTCAACTTTCCATGCGATAGTGACACCGAGCTCCGTTAGGTGGTATACTTCGCCTTCAATAAATGTACCTTCACACGCCGCATGGTCAGCGCGCAATGATTCATCGACGCGCACCGTGGCCACATTGTTAGAAAGAGCTGGCTCCATAAGGGCTTCTGCCTCAATCCAACCCAGGCGAACCATATGGGCGGCAAGTACAATAGCCTCGTCCACAGAGACAAGCGTGGTGTACTGGACAAGCCATTGGAGTGCATCAAAGGATGAAAAACTCGCAGTCTCATACATTTGACCTGCGCTGTCTTTCGCATAGCTCGTCGTAAGTGCCATGCCCATTGCACTCGGCTCTGAGCGCCGTGGTGACGAGCCTACCATTCGGTGAAACACAATCCGCACAACTGCATCACTGAGTAGTACGTCATCCTGTTCATCACGTTCCATGAACAACAACTTGTCACAAATGGGGTGCACGTTTAACAGGTTGCTCACGCTGCGCGTCGCAATGCCATGCCGAATCACGAAGCGGTCAATTAAGTGCACACCTTTTGGCGAAGGTGTGTAAACTTCGTCTTCCTGGCCTGCCATGCGCTCCAGAAGCCCTGCTCGGATGAATGCCTGGCAAATGTGGGAGGCTGTGTCACTGTTCATAGTGAATGACGTCTTGGTTTGACTAAGTGATAGCATATTTTGCATATTGTTGGCCGAGTCACGGACAATTTGAACAAACTGCAATGCTTGCATTCGCTGAATTGCTGCAGGCAAAACGAATGCGAGGGGGAAGCGCCAGTCTGGCCATCGATCACTGAGTGAAATGACCACCGTGGTGAAAAGACCGTGCAGATCTCGACATATTGGAAGACCCTGCCTATTTACTCGCATTAGCCACTGTTCATTTGATTGTAGCGCGATCGGTTTTGGCACCCCATTCCCCGGGCTTGTTGGTCGTGTTGGGCCTGCATCAGCTGCAGCCTGAGGATCTGGCGATTGGTTCCAGGGACTCGATGCGCGCATTGAGGAAGATTCACCTGCATTCTTTGCTTCATTCTCTTTGTTTTGTGCGTTCTCTGCACTATCCGGCGACTTGGTTTGTGCGCGTCTCATCCGCGTAAAAGGCGGCTTGAATCAACACACTTCACGACGGGGAACGGAGGAATGGTGTTGATGATGATAGTGTTTTTGTGGAGGTCGTTCAGTGGAGGAAGGACCTGGACTTTCGTTTGTTCCAACACGAAACGCTCGAGCGAGACGCGATTCTGACACGTCGGTGCAAGTCTGAAGCCGGACATTATGTCCTAGCGTGGAGAAGAGGTGCACATAAAAATTCGTCTCGAACCTACTCGAGGTACACACCTACCTATGAACGAAATAACAGCTGCTGCGCGCGCAGAATGAAGTCCATAAATTGGTCGCAATTTTCAGCATCCACAATTTTCCGACAGAAATTCGTCAGTGTGAATTGCTTAATCAGATGAACAGCAGCCACGACAACCTTTTTGATACGTCAGTGGACTCGCGTGAACGTACCACAGTGCACACATTCGACAAATGTACCAGGACGCAGCTGCGCTTTAGGAACACGGCAAATGCATGTAGACCCTTCATAGTTCATATCCTAAGTGCATGTGTCAGCGAAGGAAGGAGCTAGTGGATTGAGCGACGTACGCGAGCCTGGATGCACCTCACACAGCACAGTTTTTCATAACCTGTGCGCTTCCATTTTGCGATGAGTCTGAATTAGCATGTCATTCAAGACGTACGCAGCATCTGCATATCCTTGTTCAAGCAACCAGTCGTAAAGTTCACGACTTATAGCCTCACGCTTGTAATAGAGGTCGTAGATGTACCGTGACCGGATATGAGTGATACGCATAATTCCCCAGACGCCCTCGGCTTTGCGTTTGCCATCCTGCGACTCGTTTTCTGCATCGCGCATTTTCGTCTCGTACTCTTCCAGAATTGGCTCGATGTCTTCAAAGCCATCAGGCGGCGGCCTTGTCCGACTCGTCCGAATTCTCGGCATGATGATGGACAAGTGCACAAGATGGTGAGTGGATATCCACGTGATATGTCCGTCGTGTTGATTTCCGCATCTCTCAACATTTGAGAGCAAGTGGAGTTAGCAAGTGAGCACCGACGTGCGACCGACGCGCGTACGTCCATTCGAAAAAGCGCCCACATCATCCATCTTTACTCGTCGTAACGAAACAACATGTTTACTGGATTAGGTACGCTGCGCGTCTCCTGGAAGAGATGTACTTATATTTTCAAAGTCGAATGCGTGGCGCGCATTGTCGATGTCGCGCAAGTCGATGCACAGAGCGGATCGTATGCGCTGACGATCGGCGATTGTGCATTGATTCTGGGCGACTGCCACGTGGGCGATAGCATTGCTGTAAATGGTACGTGCCTGGGAGCGACAACTCGCCAAGAGGGCAGGATATTGCGAGCATGTCTTGTTTCTGCATGGACCTAAACTGATCGAAATGTCAATGTGACAAAGGCTAACCATCTTTCGACGCAGGCGTATGCCTCACTGTCACACAATTCAGTCTTGAGGCGCATGGCGGCTCGTTCCGTGTGGACGTTGCGCCAGAAACCTTGTTCCGCTCCAATCTTGGGCGTCTTCAGGTGGGAGATCGCGTCAACTGTGAGCGAGCCATGGCGCCCACCACACGCTTCGGTGGGCACATTGTGCAAGGCCATGTCGACACAGTCGCGACGCTTCAGGCGGTCGAACCGAATGAGTCGGCGCTCACGCTGACATTACGCCTCTTCCATGACACACGAGCTGGTGTGGATGCGCATCTTCCGCTCCCATCAACACTTGCGCCTTACCTAGTTCCAAAGGGCTTCATCACGCTTGATGGCACGTCTTTAACACTGATTGATGTATCGCCGCCGCAAGGAGGCGCACTTCAACGTCGTACGGAAGACGATGTAACGACGCCTGCATCAGAAACTATTGAATTTACCGTCATGCTCATCCCTCACACCCAAGATCACATTGCTTTGCCGCAAAAGCCCGTTGGCTCCCTTATCAATGTCGAATTTGACATGGTCGGCAAGTACGTGTACAGGTCCTTGCTAGGCCAGTTTGAGCGCCTCGATGCCGAGCATGGAAGCGATGCATCGGCTCTATCCATGTCGATGTTGGAACGTGTTGTGGAGCGGGCAATGCAGAATGTGAGCGAGCGCCATCGCTCACCTAACTAAGCTGTCATTCAACAACTTTCAGTTGAGCCCGCTGATGTTCTTTCGTCTTTTTTTCTTTCTCTTTTTCTTTCTCTTTCTCTTTCTCTTTCTCTTTCTCTTTCTCTTTCTCTTTCTCTTTCTCTTTCTCTTTCTCTTTCTCTTTCTCTTTCTCTTTCTCTTTCTCTTTCTCTTTCTCTTTCTCTTTCTCTCTCTCTACCTACCTACCTACCTATCTAACAACTTTAACTGGCGCTCTGCACGATGAACATCGGCATCACTGATTTCTAGACCATCGAGCCATGTCAGTGGCGCACAGGCCATACCACATAGTCCCCGATACACCTGTCGTTTCTGGAGCACGTGCATAGGCAGCGTACATTGGAATCTTTCATCGATCGCACGGAACAATGCTGCTGTGCGTGCACTATCCATGGCGTGTTCCGGCTCGATAAAGGCAGCTTCAGCGGCTGGCTCTGGTGGCAAGAGCATCGTGCGCTTGTGGAACTGAGAGCGTTCAGCTAGAGCTTGCGCTGCACGAAGGCGTGTCTGGGCTTGCTGCTCGACAGCTTTCGCTGCATCTGGCTGTACAATAGCAGGGTGTGGGACAGGGGGGCCATTCATACGGTCCGGCGCATGTAGAGGAAGAACCATGGGTGGGTATAGACTGAGTGTGCAAGGATTTGAGCGTGTATCGACAACGCAGAGCTCAGAGAGGCCACGTATACCTTGAACAATACACTCGAGCGTGCTTATGCGACAGGCAACAAGACTAAGACGCTTCAGTCGGTGCCAATGCGCTAAAGACGGGATTGTTGAAAGCCAGTTGTGGTCCAGGTTGAGCGAGCGTAATGCCGGTGTCTGCAGTTGCAGCTCCGTGGACACCTGATCTAGCTGACATCCAGCAAGTTCCAAGTACACCATGTCCGGCATGTGTGCATGAAACACAGGTTTTGACCTGATCGCATTACCTGCAAAGTATAAGCGCTCTAGTTGTGTTGGCGCAGGCAACGGCAGGCACACACGCACGCTCTGCTGGCGGAGCGAGAGGTGCCGTAGTGTATGTGCTGAGCCAAGTGCGCCGATTGATGCTAGTGAGCATCGGTCAGCATACAGTGTTCGAATGCATGGCATTCTGCCGACGTCTAACTCGGTAAAGTCGTTGTTGTCGGAGAGCCGTAGAACGCGAAGCTGAGGCATTCTGTGTTCGATGCTGATGTCTGTCAGCTCATTTGCTTCTGCATGCAGTTCCTGCAGCGCGTCTAGATGTCCAAGGCCCACGAGCGACGAGATACGGTTGTGTGAGACCACCAGCGATTGTATTGCGGGCCAGCACATCCGGCTAAGATCCACACGCCCCGAGAGCTCGTTGTGAGCGATGCTAAAATGCTTTAGGGACGTGCACTGCTCGAGCCCACGAAGGTCTGTGATCTTATTGTGGTCCACACGAAGCTCGCGCAGACGTGGAAGATGGGAAAAAGGCATGAGTGAAGCAAATTCGTTGAAACACACATCTAAGAACTGGAGTTGCTTCAGGTGCTCGAACGATGTAAGCTCCGACATTCTGTTCGTCAGCATGTTGATACAGAGAAGGCTGATAGCGGCAGAGATACGTACAGGTTATGCGAGGCTGTGAGCACACGAACACAGGATGGTACACCCATGGTAAACGACACTTGGTTGTGGTCTATCCATACTTCCTCGACTTGTGGCAAATGTTCACTCAGCCCGATGCACGATTCAAGATGCCGTGCGCGCAAATCGATCCTTTTCAGCGACTGCCAATCCGGCGCCCAAGGCGCAGCATCCGTAAGAATTTCGACCAGCTTGTCGCGGGTGATGCGGAAGGACGCTGTGCTGTGGTGCTGTGAGGGCTCGTCCGAGATCAAAGCAGACAGCGATCGTGAAGGCTGCAATGACTTTGTTCGCACGGGAATGGGCTCCGTCGGCGATCGTAAAGATGCTTGCACAGGCACACGTGAAGATGCAGTGTCTGGTTTGGACTCTGGTGCTGGCCCAGGCACGTAGGTAGAGAGTGAGCGTGTCAAATTCATGTGCTCGAGCTCTTCGAGCATGCGATCAAGGCGCGCTGCTTGCGCCGATGAGTACGACGCCTCAGTGCTTCGTGGATGTTTTTGATCGACAAAACTTATCGAACGCGATGCGTGTGTACGAGGCGTCTCGCCAATAGAGCCAGCACCTTTGAGGATAGAGCGAGGGAACGAGCCACTCGCGGGTCGTGCCGGTGTGGGCTGAATGTTCTCACTCTTGTACGAAAGTGGAAAACGGGCAAGTCTTTGTCCGCTGCTGGTCTCATGTGACGCAACTCTGAGGCGCTTGTTTTGTCGCAAATCTTGCAACGACGAAGACGAGCCTGACGCAGAGAGCGTCGGTGAGGATGATCCTTCTTCGTCGTCGCGAGAGGCCTCTCTGCTACATTCCTCTGCAAGCTGTTCAAGCCCTGAACGTACATAAGAATCAAAAGGTACGTGGATGAAACGTAGTGGCACATGCGGTCCGCCTGGCGTTGATGGCGTTGTGCGCGATGTACCTTTGGATGAGCTGCGTGATGGCATTGGTGTGGACGATGGTAACTGTCTTGCGCGGAAGGTGAACTCTTTCCTGGTAGGTGGCGCTGCATCTAGCTCATCGCCACCATATGTATGCAGTGGGCTACTCTCTTCCTTCTCTTTTTCTCGCGCAGAAGACAGACTTGGTGTGAGAAACATCTGCTGGAGCTTCATAGGCGAAAACATATCACCTCCGATCGCATTGAGACGATCCTGACCACGTGCAGGCGTGGCCTTCCAAGCAGGCTGAAACATGGGCGGTAGCGTCGATACATCTGAGCGATGTACGACAGTGCCATTGTCCGATGCCACATCAGACATGTCGTCAATTACCAATGGATCGGGAGGGGGAAGTGGTCAGTGGACAGCTTCGCGTTCGCAGAACGTCTAGACAGTAGCAAGCAATATTTTCTTGGCCAAGCTTTGTCTACGTTGATGCCGGTTCCTCACTCGTTTAACGTCCTCTGTCAGTCTACACGAACACCGGGCAAGACGTGCTGATCTTTTTTTTTCTGGGTGTGTGTTAGTGTTGCTGGTTGGTGTTGGTTGGCTGGTCCACAAATCAGAAATGCATGCGCACATATACACACACGCCTTATGGAGGCAAGCAACCGAGGGGAAGGGTGAGGTGGGGCATTTGCGCGCCCTTACCACCTCGTCACACGCACACACGTTCTCCATCGAGACGCGATCACGTGAACGACCGCGACGCGTCAGTACCACGTGCCAAGGCACATCGACCGCCAACACCATCATCCACCGTCCAACACAACCCGTATCGACGCAGGATTGGGGCGGAAGTGCGCACGCCGTGATGGATGCGTCCACGCTCAGTGCGCTCATAGATTCATCGAGTATCGAACTCGAGAAGCTTCACAAGAAGCTAGGATGTCCAGCGGAGGAGCTTGAGCGTGCAATTGCGGCGCTTAAAACATGCATTCACGATGCAATCCACGCGCAGATCCGCCATGTTGAGGCGCAGGTCGCAGAAGTCCAAGCATCTTGCGACAAACACAAGCGTAAGATATGCTTGTTATGTGAAGCCATTGGCACAAGTGCGCATGTGCCACCGGGCTCTTCGTTAACGGGACAACCACAGCAAGAATCGTCGTTGCCGCTCCTTGCGCAGCAGGAGGCGCTTGTCGCCGAGCAAGCACGTCTTGAAGCAATGTACAAAGCGCAGTGTGAACAATGTGATCTGGTTATTAGTCAAATTGATACACTCAATGGATGCATGTCAGACGCAGGCGGAGCACCGTCTATGCCGACTCAGACGGAGACTGTGTCGACACTGCGTGATGTCACACCCAGCACAGTACAACATCTAGAAGCGCATCTTATCCATGTACAACAAGTCTACAAGGAAAGAAAGATGCAGATGGAATCCCATTTGACTGAGATTCTCCAGCTGTGGTCCGAACTGCACATCATGCCTCATGTCGCAGTGCACGCGGGTCGTGTGTCTGTGCATGAAGATGGATCCGAAGAAAGCCGTTTCCACATGAGCATTCTTCAATACACACAGCAAGTCCCTACCATGGAGCTGGACGGACAGTTCTACGGGCAATTCCAGACATCGTCGCCATCACAGGCATCCTCGTCATCATATGCGACATCACGCCTTCCTGCCGCCTTGTCAGCTGACGAGGACAGCGCCATGCTAGCTACACCAACACGCGCTCAGGGGGCACCCATGCTCGTCTTACACGAGTCTCATACCGAGTGTGATGCTCCTACAGCAGTGCCTGACCTACTTCAGCCCACAGATACCGTTATGGCGCAGAGTGTTCAGCTGCGTGAAGCGCTGGAGCGCGAGAAGGCTGAGCGAGAGTCAAGCATCCAGGCATACTATGATGAACTATGTGAGCTATGGATGCGATTCGACGTGCCCGAGACAGAAATGGACGCGTTCGTGCTGGATCATCGTGGAAGTACGTTGCAAGTCGTCCAGGCATACCGCATCGAGCTTGACAAGATGCGTTCTCTCAAGTCCCAGCACATGGCCCTTTTCATCACAAAGACACGCGAGCAGATATGGGAGCAGTGGGATGCTCTTTACATGAGCGACAAAGAACGACAAGAGTCTTTTCCTGCGTACTTTCTGGCGCTGCCAGGTGAAGAAGACATGCTTGCATCCACATTCGACTGGGACGAGCTCCTAGCCGAGCATGAACACATGTATGCCAAATTGACCGAGATGCTTGAACAACGCGCGCCGATCCTTAGCCTTATTGGGCGATACCATGCTATATGCAACGAGGCTCGTGCGTTGGAGGAAAGTGCACAAGACGGTGCTCGATTGCTGGGCCGCGGAAATCGAGGAGATCCCGGACGCCTTTTGCGCGAAGAAAAAATGCGCAAGCGTGTCAAAATCCAGAAACCCAAGCTGGAGCAGGAACTTTTGAAAGTTTTGCCTGCGTGGGAGGAGACACACCACATGCCGTTCATGATGGATGGTGTTCGCTTCGTTGATCATTTGCGAGACCAGCTTGGTGGCGCTCCCAAGGAGAATCCTCGCGTGCAGCGACGTGTTCCTGGCACTTCGGCCACCTCAGCCACAGGCAATGCAGCGCCAGCTCCTGCGGAGAGCCTCCGCGCATCTCGCTCAGCCAATGGTGTGCCAGCAACACCACGGAATGGCACTTTGACGATGAAGAGGCCTGCCCATGCTTTTCCAGGCGCACCTCCCACACAATCACGCCGTGCAGGCGGACCCGGAGCAACGACGCGTTCGCGTGTAGCGTCGCAGTCGCGCATGACTCCATATGGTCCGGTAGGAGCGACGCCTAGCGCACGCATGCACGATGCCAAGGCACGTCGCTTCGAATCAACATCAAGTGCGGCGACAGTGGTGCAGCGCATGACATCATCATCAAATTCCAGTCAGGACGAGTCCTTCGCAGCTGCGCAGCGCACGCCGAGTACGCATCTGGCCTCTTCTCTCGCTCATGCACAGACGCCATTTGTCTCTCGGTAAAAATGTACCCATGTTTCTTTGAAGCCTGTACTTGTGCGTCGCGTTGATAATGCGTGGACTTTCCATCCTCGCACGTATATGTGCATAGATACATACAGACAGATAGATACCCCTTCTCCAGGACCTCTTCCACAGATGCAACACACCTCCATTCACAATCCGCGCTCGCAGCGCCTGACCTGGGCAGGTCTGAGCGATCGACGACAACGTCGACGCACGCAGCGGCGGACGAACCACCTTGCTTTCGCCAACATTACAGCGCTCATCAAAGCGCGTACCTATTCACTCCATGGAAACAACCGCTGCACTTGCGCCGGCGCTCGCGGAAGCAACACGCACGTCAGGTAAGGGCATTGCAGAGACGTGCAGCGATGCGATCCAGCGCATGGATCATGGACAGGACGCCGTCATGCAGGCACGCATGCCCGAGCTTTATGCACTGGCGGAGCAAGTGACTTCTTCTCGTGCAAGCCTTGCCAAGATTCGGACCGACATCGAACGGTTTCACACACAGTTACATACAGCGTCTGAGCATATCGGGAAACTGCAGGACCGCTCCAATACTCTGAATGAACATTTGTCGGAACAGGAGACAAACGCATCCACACTGACAAAATGGATCGAAGGCGCTGTGATTGCTCCGTCGACCGTGCGCCTCTTGCGCGATACAAATGTTGACGACAACTTTCACGGCTGGGTCAAGGCGGTCCATATGATTGAACATACGCTGCGAACGCTCAATGAATACGAAGCGACACAGGATAGCACGGCTACGCCCGGTTCCGCTCGCGCACAGGCGCGCGATGTGGCAGAACAGTGCAAAAACTTGGTACGTTTCGACGGCTCGTTGGAGCTTTGTTATTGTTCTTTTTATCCCATCGAACCCGTGTCGGTGGCCTTGCTTTCCACTAACACCCGTTTCGCAGGCGATTGGGAAAATCTACCCGTACTTGGTTCGTCTGTTCGAGCCGATTCGCACTTCCGTCACGACAACGCTGCCGATCCTCCAGTCATCTGTTCTGTTGCCCCACAATCAACCGCTGTATCAGTTTCTCGCTATGCACGCGCCACGTGTTGCGATTGAAGTGCAACTCGCATACATCAATGCAGCTCGTTTGTACTATGAGACAGCCTTCCGCCGCTATGTGCGTGAGTTGCGTCGTATCTTGCAGCGGTGGATTGAGCCAGCGTCGCTCGTCGCTTCTGCACACAAGCATCCCGACGCGCAGTACGCAGCAGAAAGGCAGCAGTATGCGCGTCCACTCACAGACGTAGCTGCAGTGCTTGCATGCCAAAGTGAGGATGTCAATTTCAGAGCAAGTCCCGAGCACCTGTTCCACACACTGGCGCTTGTGTTTCTTGATACGGCCTGCACAGAATACGCATTTCTTGCACGCTTCTTTGCCGGCACAGAAATGCGCCATGACGTGTATGACGCATCGGGTGTACCGACGTACAATTTACTGAGCCTTTCTCCTGAGGAAGAACGTCTGCATGAGTCAATAGTGACCCGTGAGTCGTGGCTTCAAGTGATGGAACCTGCTATATCCTACTTTTCCGAATTCCATGATGCAGTGCTCATGATGCCCAGTGCACCTGTACTTCAACACTTGACTATTTCAAACCTCACACAGTCGCTTCTCCGTGTGGCACAGTCTCGGCGGTGTCTCATTCCAGAGCTGGAGTCAGTCTTGATGCGCCATGTGCTAGAGACATGGCCGCTTGTTGCCAAGGGACTCGATGCAGAAGTCGATGCGCTCAAAGCCGTTGCTGTTGGCGCGCGACTTAGCGCAGCGCCGCGGTCGTCCGGCGCTGCTGGTTTCTTCGACCGCTGGAGTACTCTTGCTATGACGACAGACTTGTCTCGTATCAATGCAAGTGATGCTTTGCATAAGGTAGGTATACTTGTGCATGATTACGTTGGATGTCAGCTCACACGCGCCGCTCCAGATCCTTTCTGCTTTCACACATTTTTTCACGCTAGTGGTCGCCGTAACTCATGCTGAACACCAAGGCATGCTTCTCAGCGGGTACGTTCGCCAGGACCCTCGCATATTGCCTTGCTTACCTGCCGACAGACTTGCTCGAATGCACACGGAACTAGCTCGGCTTTTGCGCGAGTATGCAAAGAACGTGTACCCGACCCACCACGAATGGCAATCGCCGCGTGCTTTGTGCTTATCGACGCATGCCATGCTTGCCGTACGTATTATTCACCATACTAACCTTGCTCACATCCACACAGGCCACGCCCATTGATACCCATGCACAAGAAGCAGCGAAATGGGCGCAGCTGGCTGATGAGCTTTCAAGCAATGAGCCGGCTTCCTAGTTCATATAGTGTTTCAAGGCCCAGTAAAACCCCATCATCCGGTGCCTCAGCCCATCGAGAGTGCGCAAAATCAATGATACGCACATCGAGCACGCGCTCGCCGCGTGCAAGCAGCGCCTGTAGACGTGCGTCATCGCCCTCCATAATGACAAGCACACTTGCACTGCGTATTTTGACAGGCACGTGGGCTAATGTATCGCGGAGGGCTTCAATCCTCGGCAGGAGGTGTGTGTGAATCACACGTTCACGCACAGGACTAGATACAACCCATGCATCGTACAAGAGGCGCTGAAGATCCTCCTTCGTGCGTGCAGCCTTCCCAGGAGCCTTCCCGCTTTGAACGAACGCCTGCTTCGAAGCGTCCCATGTACAGAAGCCTGTGATTCGGATCCCAAATGTCCCACTTGTTGTGTCGAACGCCTTTTGGTGCATACGTTCCCGCTTTTCGCTCGAAAGTTCGGTGTTCTGGTCATTGTACAAGATGGTACCGAGCTTAATGTCGCACACATTCGCATACACGAATGGACGTACGAGATTCTCTAGTACAAGTGTGTGCGAGCCGATACTGAGCTGTGGCAGCTGCACGTCATCAAGGGGAATCCGTGGCCATCCTGGAAGCCAGTGGCCCTGGGCGTCTGCAATGCCATAACAAAGCGGCATCCATGCACGGAACATAGCTTTCTTTGCATCTGACCCTCCAGATGTCTTGTACGTCGTTTCGTAAAACATTGTTTCAGTGTTTAGGGCACTCTTGAGCACGTACTGTCCGCATTCTTGCACAATCCCGGGATGCCCACCGACCTGAATCAGCATGCTGCCAAGAGCGGATTCAAACGCCTGCTATTATATCTTTTCCTTGACTATGCACTCGCTCTCACACTCCCACACACCAGACACAGACACAGGCTTGTTTTGATGCTCTTGACTTGCCCTCTCACAGTCTCTCTTACGGAACTACCTTTTACAATGGACGGTAAAGGCACGTCGCCATCCTGCATGACGCAAACGCTCCACACCTCTTCGCTCGACTAGGGCATCAAAACAGGTGGAGTGGGTGTGGGGATGTTTCGTGCACGTGGCGCAGAAAGTGATTTGTCATGTACTTTACGGTGACGAGTAAGCTGGTCAGGACGTGTGAAGCGACGAAGGCATTCAGGGCACTGGAAAGGCTTGTCGCCACGATGCACGCGGATATGCTTGTTGAGATTGCTGCTTTCTGAAAATTGCTTGTCGCAGTTTGGATAAGGGCATTTGAACGGGCGATCTCCCGTATGTGTGCGCTTATGGATCGTCAGACTGCCGACAACACTAAACGTCTTGTTGCATCCGGGAAAGTCGCATTTGTACGGACGCTCTTGCGTATGCGTTCGCATATGCTGTGTGAGCGTGCTGGCTTCACTGAAGCGCTTGTGGCATGATGGACATTCATACGGGCGATCGCCTGTATGTGTTTGGATGTGTCGGAGTACTTTTTGTTTCTGCGTGAATTTACGGCCTTGCATCGCTCGTTCACAGCCTACCCAGCCACACTCGTATTCGGTTTTTCCAGAGCCAACATGCACCTGTGCAATGTGTGCAGTCAATTCGGCATGTGTGTCGAAGCTGCATGAACAATTGATCCAACCACAAGGATGCCGCTTCCGTTGCCCGTCTTGGGCTGGAGGACAAAAGCACGCCGTCGCCATGTCGTCGAGCGCCTTCTCTTCCTCGCCTAACATACATTGTCCCCGCACTGCATGGTCACACCACGCAGCCGTGTCAGCGTCAATGTCTGTATCGGTACCAGTGTCAGTGCTGGGGTCTAGTTCCCGATCTGCAGGTGCAATGGTAGTGATGCATGTATCATTCTCTTTTTCTCGCGAGCTTCCAAGCGGTATCGGGGTCGACAAGTACTCTTGAAGTAGTTTGGTATCATGATCAGGCACATGTGCTTGCTGCATTTGACTAGTAAACTCTTCCATCGTCGGCAGTTGAAAACTACAGCCGGACCATTCACATGGTAAAACTTCGGCAGAGCCATAGCTCGAAAGCATGTCATGGTTGTTGGAGTACGGAAACAGATGCTGGTGACCCGCCCTTGACAGTGTGTGGTCGGTGCCGGCACTCACCTGAAGGTGAGCACTCTTGCTGTCATGGTTTTGGTTGCTCGTGTGCCCCAAGCAGGCAAGCCCCTGATCATAGTTGCAACAGCAACAACAGCCCTGGCTTTCGCCCTTAGCCCTACATGAGCCACTGCAATCGATCCAGTTTGTGCCATTTCCTCCACGATTGTTGCCAAACGCGCACAACTCTTTGGACTCCAAGGGTATAAGGGGAAGGTCTGGTGATTTTAGATACCGATTTGAGGACGAGGGCGTTGAGCACGCAGTACCAGCGACGCTTGAAGACTCAGACGAGCGAAGGGCAGGCGTCGATGGTTGGGGGGTGGATGATAGTATTGAAAATGGCACATCCAAGCATGTATCGTGGCAGGGTACTGGGTTCAAATGTGCGCATGAGGCACAACAATGGTCGAGCAGTTGTTGTGCATAGGATAAATCCATTTCACTCGGTCCCAACGACGAGCAAGCTTGCGTCGGTTCCAAAAACCCATCGCACACACTCAAACAATTGCTATATGGATTAGCTTGTGGGTGTTGTGACCATATGGAAGAATAATCCATTACTGTGCTCGTGCAGAACGGACTTTCTTGCTTTGCACACAAGTCATAGGAACATGTGTGGGGCGAAATACATGACAAAGAAGCATTATGCTTTGATGTATGTGCGATTGTGGGATTCATTGAAATACCGTCTGGACAGCATGCAGGCACCGGTGCTGTCAGTGTGCTTGGGCATGAGCATGAAAGAACCCTCCATGCATGGTTTTGGTTTCCGTGCTCATGTTCACAGGGAGGCTCTGAGCAGTGTGGATCAAAACAAATGGTTGATTCTGTTTCAGAACAGCTTGGAATCGAGCTGCAATCTCTGCACGTAGATGTGTGCTCATCGCAACATGAGGTGTGATGCATGCTGGAATACATGCTATGCCAATTCTGCATGACCGCGTGAGCGTGGAGCCAATTCGCAACGCACTCGACGGCAAAGGCGGGGTGGGGGAGGCGTAAGGCAAGGCTAGACAATGAGTGCCAACCTTGTGTGGCAATCCCTCTTTCTGCCGGATCGTTTTCCTCGTTCGTAAAACACGATCCAAGGAGCTGTGCTAATTGAGTACCCTACAGGTTCTGTAACACAAAACGGCGGCCTGCGTCGCAAATTTTTATTCCTTTTTGGATTTGCCCTATGCACATGTCTCTGCACGAATATGAACTCATGCACACGCTGATTGGGCCAGTCTGTTGTGCCTACTTGAGGGCCAAGATAGCCTCTTCGTACGCCGCAGGGAAATGATCCGCGAACATAGAAAAGTGTAATACGGGCAGACTGAAGAATGCTAATGGATTTGTAATGTCATACAATTCTCCATTTGAGAGCCACAGATTGCGCCCTGCTGGCACAAGCACACCACCTTGTACCGTCTCGCTCTTGAGAGTGGCATAGTCTAGACGCTGTCGCCGCGCTGATAATGTATGCAGAGGCGCGTCGTAACGCTCAGCGCGGACCCACGGCGAGAGCGGTACGGATGAAGCGAGCATGTGCTGCGCCAGAGCTTGCTCGAAGCGATTCTTCGCCTGGACATACAGGTCCTTCTCGACCTCACAGCGCAAGCGCCAAAATAGATCCTCCAGTCGCTTCTTTCTGTCGAGCATGACAGCGTCTGGTTTTTCTGTACGGCAAATCGAGAGCCAATCCCAGAATCGGCGTACAATATGCACAGAAAATTCTTGATCCTCCTGCATGTGTTTGGGATTGCTGCTAATCGTCGTCGCGACCATGTCTCGACGCCGACGCACTCGTGTAAGCGCGCCTAACACTCGCCGAAGCTCACGAAGTTGGCCATGTCCAAAACGTGGGATAATATCGCTGCCGAGAATGACGTTGACAACCAATGGGACAGATCCGTACGTTGTGCGTTTATTGAGCGTGTGCGAGAGCGTTGATGGATGTGCAAAAGTAATGGCCCGAATCGGCCTCCCACCAGGAAAGCCGTCTTGAGACGTCGTCCGCCAAATACCTTTGCGAGGATCGGTACCCGGAGCGTCGATATGGTACTCTGACAAAAGGATAGTCGCTGCACTCGCAATGGCTCCGCCGAGCGAATGCCCGACAAACACCAGACCAAAGTCTTTGTGTTCATGGAGTGTTTCACAGAGCTTTCTAAACAGGGTCGAGCCCGGCGACACCAGCGTCTTGGCGGCGCGCCATATGCCAGCATGATATAAGTATCGCTCGGTATTTTCATCAACGGGGATACCGCGCCATTCTGCCAAAGAAGAAGTGATGTCCTCCGTCTTCATGTCCAAGTCCACAACGATATCTGCAAAGCTTTGTGTGCCCCGCACAGCGACGCATACAACCTTGCGACGCATGTCGCGCACCACGTAAAATGTCGGTGCATACGTTGCTTCCAGATCAAGGGTCTGAATATCGGCATGCAGAACATCATCCGCTTTGAGACGCGACAAATGTGCAAATGTTTGTCTTGGAAGCTGTTTTCCCGACGGCGTGAAGACAGGAGGTAAGTCTACAATCAACACGCGAAGTCCATACGCGGACATGGCCAACTGTGACGCCCATTTGATGTTACGGACGAGCATCGAGTTGTCTTCATCCCACAGGACGCGAGAATAGTCTCTCGAGTATGAAGGAGCATCGCCGCCTCCTGTGCTTGCATGCTGAGAACGAGACAGTTCCAAGATGTCCACAGACTGACTTGTTACAACCAAGTCATCGTTATCATCATCATCATCATAGTCTTCTTGATTATCGTATTCCTCGCCGCCGTATCTGATGTTCATAACTTTACATTTGTTTCCATGCTCATAAGCTTGGCGGCTAGAGACATGTTCTTCACAGCGTGCTGGTGTATTTTCGCCTGAAGCAACACTGACAGGTGTATGCTTTACACTTGCTGCGGGCGAGCAGAAAGAAGCCGTTTCTGGTTTGTGCCAGTATTCCAGTCGCACCAAACCTGCACCCTCCCGCTGATATTGCTCGCGAGTGACGCTCTGTATACAGGCAAGCTCGATAAAGCCACGAAGTACCTGAAAAGTACTGATACCACGCGGTCGGAACGAAAGAGGGATGCCAAAGACGAGTCTCATTCGATTCGCGCTTTCTTCATGATCTTCCCGAATCACATGCTCCCATTCGTTCTGGAACATGAAATACGCTTCAATGCAGATGCGACCAAGGACCGTCTCGCCCATGACATTCCGCCATACCCAACGAATGAACCACACTGCATAAGATAGGAACTCGAACGAATCCATGACCAGGTCCAGCGTGTGTGCGAGAAAAAACACCACAAAATCCGGAACAAATGCCACACTTACAAACACATAAGACCACAGAATCCACATCACGCCTAATGTGGTGGTATCAGCCGCGACTGACGATCGGCTCTCTCGAAGTAGCGACGACACGCCGCTGGTCATCGACGCTGTATCTTGTTGCATGAGCATACTCTTTGGCGTGATTCGTTGGCAAAAAGAATGTCCGGCGAGATGGTTTTCTCGTTCCTGTTCATGCGACATCGCAAGATCCAGCGACTCGAGAGACATGCGCCTCGATGCACGCCATGTTTCGGATCTGTGAAATGACAACGTCTGATCATCCTTCGTTTTCGTATGTGGACGAGCACATAAAGCATCATCGCAGGCAGCTTGGCCATGCATCTGTACTTCTGACAATGGTTGCGACGCTGAGAACGTGGTAGTTGACGAAGCCCCCTTACGCGATCCATGAGGCCACAGCCAGCCAAGATTTTTGTACTTGTCTGGCACATCGAGCGAACGACGTCGTGCCTGGGCCGACGCAGCCCTTGCTTCTGAAGCTTTGGCAGAACGAACAAAGTTTGTAAACGCTGTCCAAGCATCCACGCGATGTGCAGGACGATTGCGCTTGGACATTGCATCAAGGTATTGCTTGCGCTGCAGCTGCTCACGCATACGCCGAACACCTAACAGGCCTTCAAAACTCCAAGCATCATTACTTTGGTCATCTAGCAATGGTGGTGGAAGCATAAGCGAGTCAGAGTCATCCCGTACAAATCCACCAGGCATTAGAAGCGGTGTCTCGGGCAGGTCATCGTCGTCTGTGAACCAAGGCTGGATCGGAGTAGGCTTCTTGTTCTGCTCGGTCTGCGTCATTTGTCTGAACCAATTCGCAATGCGGCTTCCTGTATGTTGAGCAAAAAGAATCAAAGGACCGGCTTCAATGTGCCTAATCCATAATGGCAGGTCCATTTGCGAGACTGATGCACGTTTTGCATTTTTGCTTCGGTTCAAACTGAGCTGATCAAGTCGTCCAGCACTGTCTTCCCGCAAGAATAAAGCACCAATTGCCTCCAAGGCACTTCCGGTGTGGTACTTCCCCGCCCGCTGGCTCCGCGATGCGCCCCCGCTCTCGCCTTCATTTTTATTCGACAAAAAATGCTCTGTTCCTTGACGCCATAAGTCGCGAAAAATAGAGGGCATCATGGACATAAGATCGTCTGCTTGATTTTGCTTTTTTTTTGGGTCAAAAGGAAATTCCTCAAGGGTTTGGGTTTCAGAGACCGATTGTGAGGATGAAGTAGAAAATCGCTTTCGCAATGTATTTGTACTTTCGTTCAGACTATTTTGGCGCGATGGCAGTGCATGTACCTGCCCCGAGCGCGAAAGAACAGCCGAAACGGTCAGGGCCTTTGGCACCAACGCTGGAGATGGCATATCAATAAAGTCGGGAGCCTGTGGCTGCTGGTATTTTGTCCCGTCTGGCGGTGTTGAGGTGAGAACGTGGGCTGTTGAGCTTAGTGTTAAAGGAGATGGGTTAGTCTTTTGCTTTTTGTTGTAGACAGTGTTCTTAGAGGGACTCATTTTGCGAGGAAGAGATAGCGGCTCGACGTCGAACGTATCCACAAGTGCCCCTGAAGGCTCGTCACAGCACGTCGTGCAGCGCAAATCTGCGCACACGTCATGCGGGTGTGACATGCTGCATCCGATCTTATATCATGCGTTCTCAGAACGCACTTGTTTTTCCTTTCTTGTATATCACAATGTCCGGCACCTTTAGACCTTGTGGCTTGGCGTGTGCTGAAACAGGTCAGTATTCAACCACCTAAACGGCCAGGGTCGTCCTGGGGCCCAGAGTGACAAATAATTAGAAAATGAAATTCCCCGCACATTGACTAGCTCTACGCGCGCCGCCTAGGGACTAACTGACGTAGCTTTTTTGGTCCACAACTCGTGCGGCACCAACCTCCACTACGAAGTTGCCTGAGAGTACGAACCACTAGACTGATGTGCGATATCCGTACCCTGAGACTAGTATCAGTTTTGTGGAGTTTTATCGCACTAGCACTTTTCAACCGGTTGGTTCCGGCGGCGAGAGGTATTTACAGTACAACTTGTCGTGTTCTGATACCTATGCTCTCTCGTTCAGCATACATACTTTTTCCCTTGTTAGAATTCCTCTGTGGACGAGTTCTAGGTACAGATCATGACTTATTCTGCATGGTTCAACGCGTATTGAGTTAGTGACTTTCACTGTGGTTTTGCGATCTGGGTGCGCGTGTAAATAGTGCCAGTCTTCAACAAAAAGCATGGCGCAACCGCTCCAATTAGTCTATTGTCTTAAGTTGCAACTACTCTTTCGATTGCGCTCTGTGTATCTAGACTCATTCCGCGAACAAGTGAGACAACATCATGATACGGTCGAATCTCCATTACTCACATGCTATGCACCATGTCCAAAATACTTAGTCGTAAATTTTGTTGAGTAGATGCAACATATCTTTGATGCAATTGGGGAAGCTCGTCAAGTGGGGACTGCTCGTACCCACCTTCGCAAAGGACCTCCTCTAGTTCAAAAAATGTCAATGATCAACATCACACAGACCTTGACATAGACATGTGGGTGATCCAGTAGGAGTGGTCATACTGACGTATAGAGTAATATATCCAACACTATCTCACTTGAATATGTCATGAGCGAGACTATCATGTCTGATCTGAAGAGCTGATCAGCTGTCACTCGATATATGAAATGATCGCGTCGGAAGAACCACTCATCATTGTTCTAGTATGTTTTTCTCTAATCATTCATCCTTTTCGCATTAGCCCACTGGTATGACAATGGAAGTTAAAGATATCAACGGCAAGGAAGACTGTGGCTGAAGTTAGCATGTACATTCTCGTCTGAAAATACCAATTCATCTATGGATGAGAGCCGAGATGGTAGCACTTTCAGGCCGATGATAAACACTGCTGGTGCGAGAAAATGGGATCTGGACACAAAGCAACAATCTCCCCCATAGCAGCTTAAATAGCGACCGAATTTGGACAGGACAACCTCAACATCTGTCGTCAGTTCTATGTTGAAAGCGTGACGAAAAAACTCAAATGTTATTTATATTTGCTGCTATTACTGGGGTGTACTCCCGTTGCGATAACGATCAATCTTCAGGATTGCGAGCAATGTCGGAAACATAAATGCTTGAACAAAACTTTCGACGATCAAGCAAAGCGATGAGCCCATGTTGTGACGCAAAACAGTGGTCTCGGTTGGATTTCTGCTCTGATACCGAAAGATATTCTGCTTTTTTTTTTTCTCTAGCGCAATCACGAATTACGATAATTTTTATACACTTCTTGCACAACGCACCGTTGAGAAACGTTATTACAAGCAATCAACCTTGCTCGCGATGGAACGGCGGAGCCATCATTACTGCTGTTCCAACGCCAAGCAATCTATACATCCATTCTCGTTCTAAACCACTTACACACTACGACAGAATGCCAGGATGATATTTTTTCATTACTGCACTCAAATCCAACTATGTGCAGTAGCCTAACGCATAGGCACTTGTGCAAGCGTGTCCATTAGCCTTGGCTTCCATGAGCAAGGCCGAGTCACAAAGACATAGGATACAATGCCGCCCTGGAAAACAGACACAAGGACATTTTCATAGGGAATCATCAGATTAGGCCACAAGAGTCGAGGCCGTCGACGACTCATACTTGAAGGATGGAGGAATGGCACCCGTAGTCTTGTAGTAACGGGACAGACGGTGGATACGCGACTCAATAAGAATGAGACGGAACTTGCTGTCCATATCCTTACGGTTGCGCTCAAGGTGCTTGCGCACAGAAACAGCGCGCTTGATGAGGTGGTAAAGGTCCTCAGGAATCTCAGGAGCAAGACCCTCGCTCTTGAGGATACGCAGGATCTTGCTACCGGTGACATAACGCACCTGAGCGATACCTTGGCTGTCACGAAGCTGAGAGCCGATCTGTGAAGGCGTCACACCCTTACGGGCGAGCTTCACGATCTGCTGCACGACCTCTTCAGGTGAGGTCTTCAGCCACGAGGGTGGCGTACGGCTATACGGCAAAGCCGACTTGGAGATACCCTTACCCTTCGAATGCATACGACCCATGGTGACTGAAAGACGTTAGCACTCCATCAGCTTCTTCTAAGTTTGTCGATGACGGATGAACGCTCCATCGAGAGTCATGACACGAATACCGCATTCCCAGCTCGCAAATGCATCACAGCAACATCGTGCAGTCTCGACAAAGCACACATCTAGATCGCAAGCATACATACCAGATTCTTATGAGTACTTGAAGACCTGAGCGTCGTGAGGTGTAGAGCAGTAGACGGTCTCACCATCAGGGAGTCACCCTCACGTGGGTCCTTACAATATCACGTGCTCCTGACAGAAACTATAGTTGCACGTGATGCACACTCTGCGGCTCGAGGTTTTCGGTAGTCGTATCGCGAGCCTCTCTGTACATCACACTTCGAGTGGAACCTTCGCAAGGTGAGTTGATCAGGCCATCCTTTTACGCTGAACATCGTTCTAACACACACAACAGATGAAGCTCAACGTCGCTAACCCTGCTACGGGCGCACAGAAGTCGTTCGAATTTATGGACGAGCGTCCCGTGCGCTGCTTCTACGACAAGCGTATGTCTCAGGACGTTGAGGTCGACTCCCTCGGTGATGAGTGGAAGGGCTACGTTCTCCGCATCGGCGGTGGTAACGACAAGCAGGGTTTCCCTATGAAGCAGGGTGTGCTTCTGCCATCGCGTGTTCGTTTGCTCCTCGGTAAGGGCGACTCATGCTACCGTCCTCGCCGCACCGGCCAGCGCCGTCGGAAGTCAGTTCGCGGCTGCATTGTTGGCCCGGACATTCAGGCTTTGCACTGCATTATTGTTAAGCAGGGCGAGCAGGATATTCCTGGCTTGACGGACCCCGAGAGTGCTGTGCCCAAGCGTCTCGGTCCTAAGCGTGCTAACCACATTCGCAAGTTCTTCAACCTCACCAAGGAAGACGATGTGCGTCAGTACGTCATTCGCCGTGAGATTCAGCCGAAGAAGGAGGGTGCCAAGCCTTACACGAAGGCTCCTAGGATTCAGCGTCTCATCACGCCTCAGCGTCTTCAGCGTAAGCGTGACGCTAGGCGCCTGAAGAAGGAGTTCATTGCCAAGAAGCACGCCCAGAAGGCTGCTTACGACGCTCTTGTGGCCCAGCGCGTCGCTGAGAAGAAGCAGCGTCTCGCCCACCACAAGGCATAAGGTTCACTCGGGATACCTATTCTGTCCAAAATATTACCGCAGCTGCTTTGCGCTGCTGATGCATGTCTGTTGGAGCATAGTCCAATGTTCGGGTCTAAGGACGATATCACTCTTGCGGTCAAGCACCGCGCATTCTTCCTGTAGACTACTATGCGCTGCTTGAATGCGACGCCTGTCTCCGTGTCTTGTTGGCTGTGATTGTTTATGTATGGTAGCATTTTTTGTGATGCATTGCGCGCGTTAAGCTGTTATGAGAAGTAAGATCTAAGGCTGAGAGGTGAAACAGCTGAAGCCACTCTCGGTACAAGTCGCAGGAAAATCTCGCGTAGTGCAATTGTACCATGGACGTCTGGACGAAGCACTATTGTTCAGTTGGCCAAATCATACATGTTGTAAGAATATAGCATACTATGTGGACAGTCCAGATGCGGCATCGACATAGACCGCGGATGAGTTCTTGCAAGCATGTCGCTCGATGTCATACACAGAGAAGGCTAAAACAGGCCATATGTCGTGGATATCATGGTACCAAGTCTCAAAAAAATCTAGGCTTGACGACGTTCAACAAGCTGTTCCTGCTTTTTGTGTAGAAGCTGCTCTTGAGACTGCTTTACGCCATGGGCCCAGTAGCCGATCAAGCCGAAACCACCAGCGAACAAAAGGTGGCCGGCAAAATCTTCGGTAAGTTCGTCAGTTACAATTGTCCCAATACATACTGTCGAAAATATTGCGTTTTTGGATACCAAGCGCATAGCAACGAGCAAGAAAGCCGAACCCGGCGTAACCGAGAGCACTCAGAGCGGCCGTCGTCATTGTAGAATGCGTTTCTTTGTATCGGCAATGTGAATGCGACAGTTCAGTGAGCGGGCCGCCGTTTGTGGGATGTGTAATTCGGCCGACATGGATTGGTCGTGAGCACATTGGACCTCCTCCACGTTGCAAACTTCTCATCCACACGAACTGGAACCAACATCTGAGTGCTTGAAAAACAATCAGCGTTTCAACATTTTCAGAACATTCCAAACTCTTGGTTTGTGAAGCTTCAATCAGATGTAACTTCAGGTATCAATAGATTTGTTTCTACGCGAAAACGCATACAGCCTTATGTTGAAACAGTGCCATATTGTACGCACAGGAATGAAAACGACATTAGCTAGACCCGCAGAACTAAACCAATTCTTTCACAGGTTCTGCAAAAATGAATGTTATACGAAGGACCGAGTTGATCGCATAATCTCAGCAAATGTTCGATGATTTGGCCAGATTTTCTTCCCACTATTGGATAACATATGGTTTTTGACGCCACAGATCTTATAAATTGCATACTACAGTACAAAACTCGTGCGTTATATACTTGAATATAATCAGTTAATGCAATAGAGGATCCAAAAAAGTCGAAATGAAACGAAAAGAAATTTGTATGAAACAATGTGGCACGATTCTCGATTTGGGTGGCTATTAAAATTTGCTTCATAAAGGAAAACACTGTTAACATCGTTTTGAAAGTGAGAATTTGTTTCTTACTCGTTTTACCATTGAAGGCGCTTCCGATAGAACGTGTTTGTTGAATACAACAGAACAAAAAATCTTTAAGCACCTTAAAATTCGATCCAAATATTTTGGCTTTAAGCTTCGAGCTATACACACTGTCTGCTCTAAATTAATTGATGTGAAGAAAGAGCATAGGAGAATCTATCGGGTCTATGGTCTCAAGTCTTAAAATTATCGTCATGCCAGTCGGTGACGACTGAATATGAACAGGGTGAATTTGCCGGATTTTAGGCATCTACACGAAAGCGGGAGGTGGAACCAATCCTGGCTTCATTTCATTTAATATGCAGCAGACAGGGAAAATCACCCCGCACCATGCCCATAAATAAGGCTTAAAGAAACGGGGTGCTAAAATGACTAAAAAGTTTCTGTTCCAGGTGTTCGAACTGATTGTGCCCTCGAAAACATGGATCTTTCGAGTGCTTAGAGTGTTTGGTTTTCGAGATGTATTTTATGAGAAGTGTATATATAAGCACTATGAAAAATTGTAGTTATTTGCACGTTGCATGTGTTTTAATATTCATCCCCCAAGCAAGAGCTCACCGTGTTAATGCGATCACACTGCCAGGGAAGAAAAAGCACGTTACAAAACACACTTTCATATTCGGAATGTGGTCCACTGCATTTTTACGTCGAACATAAGCAGTTGTAAGTGTTGCATGGGCCAGACATCAAGATGCTATTACGCTATAGATTGTTGAGGTGAATCGAACAACAACAAACGCCTTTTATTTACGAACTTGAACTTTAGCGCAAAATACTCTGACCCAATCGATCCATAACACTGACTGTTGAGGTTGAAAAAAAAAGATACGCGGAAATCATATGTAAAGCTTGACCAGGGCATTTGTAGCTTTGTATGTAGGCGCATTTGAGCCCCATTGCAGATTAAAGTTGCTGAACTTTCAGCTGTTTGTGCATGTTTAGATATGAGGTGACAAACGAAAAACCTGAAGTGATCTCGAATCAGTAAGATGCAGGTAGAAGTGAAGCTGCAAAAATTCCCAGTTCAAGTATGGCATTCCGGTTGTTAGAAGGGTGTGGGGGATTCTACATGGATCTCTTTGGCTTTACTGTCGATTTTGAGATTGTGCATACGAAATAGATAAAGCTTGCATCCTAGATTGTGCGGATTTTTAGATATCTTGCTGATCTTAAACAGGGATCTTTACCAATTCATTCGCCTTATGTGCTCGGGGCCACGCGTCGACTTGAACACATCGCATCATACATACAGTCGGCATTATAATGCGTTGGTGACATGGATGGATCGATTTACTTTTCTGCTTCAGTGATGGAGATAATCCATCATATCAAGGTGCAATCGCATTGAACCAGTATTGGAACGATGTAACGAGATGCGACATGTCACAAGGTTTGCGTGTCAGGGATTGGACTCCGACTTAAAATTGATTCAAATTTCACGAAACACATGACAGACACGCTTCAATGTAGTCTGATTCCATGCGAAATTTTTAGCCTACGAATTTACTCCGCTCATCTGAAGTGTGTTTCGATGGTACTTCAAAACAAGTACAAGGCACGAGCTTCAAGGCGCTACCGCGCAGCGAAAGGTATCCCCCCTAGGCATACTGTCAATGAAGAAAACGAATCTACTGGTGTGTGCTCAGAAATAGTCAAGCATCATCCTCGCTCAGACACAAGTTTACGGAGCAATGACTGGCGGTATGCACAACCTGAATCGGATGATGAAGAAGCGGAGCCAGAACCCGAAGTGGACTTGACAAAACTGAATGCCAAAGTTGCCTCTATGGATATGAATTCTTCTACACAGGCGCAAATTTTGTCGTCTGACTCGGACTCGGAAGATTCGGAGTCTAATGCTAAATCTGAACAGCTAAGAGCACTGGACGCTGTGGATTGGATTGCACTTCGTCGCGAGAAGGAAGATGCGGAGGCGGCTCGTGCACTACGCGATAGATTCAAGAATAAAGAGAAAGCACGTCCAAATGCTGCTAATTGGCGTAGGGATGGCGGGATTCAGAGGCCATCTGAAAAGTTGACGCGTCTACCGCTGTCTAGGACAGCGTCTGAACGGAGGCCTGCACATGAAAAACTTACTGAGGGACCACTCCGATCTTCTGAAGTCATACCGAAGGCTACATCGAAACCCGCTATGTCTGTTCGTCTCGCCACCGAGTCGACAATGAATCACCATGGACCAATGGCTCAGGACATGGACGATTTTCTTGCCTCCATTGATGCACATACCATTAAACCGAAAGCTGAAGAGAGAACGGTGCAAACTGTTCGGCGTGCGCCTCCCCCCAAGGAAATGCAAGATTTGATTGATGATATTTTGGGCTAATGGATCAGTTGGTGAACCAGCTCTGGCACCAAGAGATAGCTCTTTGAAAGAGCGTGCGCGACACGAAGGGGGTGGGGGGAGAACTAGGGATGTCAATCGGCTTACCGTGTTGCTCAAAAGCCATCAAGAAGAGCTTGAGTGTGCGATGTATTGTATCGAGGAACAGTTCCGTACGAGCCTTGGAAATGTGTGGTGTGTGCACAACGGACAGATTCAGCTGCTGACGGAACGTCCACATATGCATTGAAAACTGTAGACTTGAAAGATGGCGAGACATGATGACGCCAACACCCCAATCGTCAACAGTGATCGGCTCCGTGTACGAAGGCATGTGGAAGTTACAGGGAAGCAATGTGTCGATCGCACCCACGGAGCTAAATCCTTCAGGCGCTAGATTGTCGAATGGATACAAAGGAGAAAATACACCGGCCATGACGAACGTCGGGGTTTCTGACACGATGCGCTCCATACCCAAAGGCTTTTCTTCGTAGTACTGCTCCGCAAGTTTCTGTGTCACATAGGCAAGTGTCCGAACCTGACTAAGCTCATGTAGAGGTTTTTCAGATGTCATCAACTCGTCCTGTGCTGAGACAAAGTACGGATCCATGAGTGGGAGAACAGTCGTAAAGCCTTCGGTAGCATTCCCCACAAAAGTCTGTTGTAAGTGTTTGTAGGTTTCGCTGATCAAACAGCGTGCGTTGGCAGGGACGAGGAAGTTGACGTGCAGCTTTTCTGGTATTGGGTTCCAGTGCCAGCTTTCTAGGTATGACCGGCGCAGTTCCATGTACGCCATGTGTCGAGCCGCATCGACGATGTGTGTGACAGACCAACCGTGAGCACGTGCCGCCTTGTGAATAGCTGCTGTTTCTTCTGCTGTGAATTGGATCCTATCATGCAGCGTGTCTGTTAAATTGGAACCATCCTTTGGCCTCCCAAGGTCCAAGCGTAAGAATGGATGCGCAAGCACTCGGCGTACGCGCCTGAGAGCCGTCTCGTCGCTGAAGGAATCGAGTGGTACGCCTACCAGTTCGAGGAGTGAAGGGGTCAAGCGAGTCACTTCTGTGCCCCAAGCTAATGTTGCAGGATGAAGTGAATGCGCTTCAGGGAGAGGAAAAGGTGCCTCGAGTGCACTGGTGACGTATTCGAGCTGCTCCTTCATCAGAATCAACTCAGAATGAGCGTCTGACACGGCGTGAGCACTGTATACAAAGAGGGCCACATGCGACTGATCCTCAGCGCGACCGAAAAGGACCCAATGCCATTCTTTTACGTGCTGCGTCAATGGCAGTGGTCGAAGGCCAATTTTGTTTCGCATAAACTCCAAGCGTTCTTCTCTGGACTGGGCGCGCTCCTCATCCGTTTCACACCTGTGGATGAACATAACAGTGTCGGACCAAGATTGGACTTGCTCAAATGTGTGTAATTCCTCATACACGAGACAAGGCATTAGCGGGATTTGAAGCACGTTCGTCTCGATTGTACCGGCAAGAATAGGATGTATGAACCGTGCATGCATACAAGACAGTTTGAACAGCTCGAAAAACTTCGTAATGTCTAGTGCTGGTGGCAATGTGAGAGACAGCATGGTGACCATATCATCTGAGCGACCGGTGCTCGAGGAGCGCCGTTCCTGATACAATTCATTACCCCACAATGCACGGATCCATTTGCCACACAAGCGACCTTCTGACGCCTTGCGCCATGGGAGATCTTCGGGATGCAGTTGGTACTGACCCCAACTCTCCGAAAAGGGTGATGTGACTGCGAGCTCGATGTTGGAAGAATTCATGCGGCCAGCACACGATAATGCAGCAGTCTTGCAAGTTCAAGGGCTATGTCAGAGAGAAAGCGAGACAAAGACGAAATAAGTCTGGGGTAGGCTTGAAGGCTGCAGCCGTGGGATCTAGGACTGTGGTGCTTTGGGCTGTTATGCCTCTTTGATATGACGCTTAAATCTATCCCCAGCGTGGTGTGATGGCGAACACAAAATGAATTCCAAAGTTTGTCTTTCATATTTCATGCATATTGATTTTACAGGTACGCTGACATATCGCCTACACGTTGGGGCTGCTGGACAACCACCTTACGTGTGTGGAGTGTATGCTCGAATCATGACACGCATGAGCGCTTCGTTCGCGATGGATTGACGCGACCAATCCAACACGGTTTCTCGACTGAATATCACGTGACAAGAACTGCACGCACCCACCCACCGACATACACACACGCACGGTACGCGACGCCGCGTTTTACGCCACGAGACAAGTCGCTTGGCTTCATTGCGACGTGCCACGTCCTGTTGCGTGTGCAACAAGCTGTCCGCTATGGACGACGAACGGACGACATCGCCGCGTCGCGATGTAGTGTGTATGAATGAGCATGGAGAACATGCGTCAACACTCACACCCAACATGTCCACGACGTATCGGAATGTACGACCTTTGCAGACCGCGTTCATGTCAAGTGGTCTCGTGTCGAAGCGGCGACGAAGTTTCTTGCCTGAACTTCAAACATATTCAAGAGAGAGTATGCACACAGGTGATGAGTCTTCGCAATGCATGGAGTCAATGCGATCTGCGCCCTCTCTTGCCTCCCTTAGTATGGACTCTCATCAGTCGCACCTTCCGCGCCATACTCACGCGTTCCACCACGCCTCACATCAACCGCGTCCTTTACGTGAGGTTGTAGAGGCCGCTATGGCGGACCGATCATTTAATGTGTCGCGCAGGCCTGCCGCTGCTGTGATGCCTGACACGCCAATGAAGCCATCAGCTGGGATGACGGAAGTAGCAAAGTCAGCACGCATGCATCGTCGTGGCTGCTCGATGGGCGGTGCGATCCCGTCTATGTCGCCACTGTTTGCCACAATGCCGAAATCACCTCCAGCACCGTTTAGCGGGTTTACCAGCACTACCGCAAGCAAAGCAACCACGTCGAACACTCGGCATCTAGGGCGGCGCGCGGGTCACATGCGGTCTGCGAGTGAACGAATCCCTGGCACACGGAACCATTTGTATTTCAACGACATACCCGTTCGTCCCGCTGTCGCAGATCCTGATGATGTGTTCGAGTCGCCCAGTGAATCTCCGATCCGGCCTTCAATAAGGCAAGGGCCAGCAGTGGCGGAGTCACTGTCGGATTCGCTCCCAGCGATCCGCCGCGACCATTCACATACACGCGCGCCTAGTGCGCGAACCTCGCGCGTGCTTCCTGTGTGTCCTTTGAATATACCAAGCGACCGGTCTAATGACAAGCTGATACCACGACCAGCCTCACCGCTCGAAGATGCGCCTATGCAGGACAGTGCACCTTCCTCGATGGACTCACCGAACAATGTGTTTGCCCGAAGACAGCCGCTTCTTTCAGCGGCTCGTACGAGGCCTAGCATACATGTCGCTATGCATGACGATGGATCAGATCCTGATTCTAACTCGGTGGGTGATTCGCCGTATCGGCACGAGGACACATGGATTGAGAGTACACCCACAATGGCGCGTGTTGCTATGCCTCGCTGTGGAACTTCGGACGTGCCCTTATTGTGTACGCAGCCGGACCTGTTGAACTCGCCCAACACACCGACACGCGATGGTTTCAAATGGTACGAAGCGACGCGATCGCCTGAAGCGCAGCCCGTGCCCAAAGGCACTGGCGCTGGAAAGATGCGCCCACGACACTCGCAGCCCACGTACATGCACACGCCGCCGACTCGTGCGGAGAGTACAAAGCCTGTGCATAGTGCGCCCGCAGGACGCTATCGCCCGTCTCGTACGAGCCAGTTTGAAGAGCACTTTGCTGTCGAGGGCGTGCTAGGCACGGGTGAGTTTAGTGAAGTTATCAAAGTTCGCGAGAAGGCAACGGGGTATCTGTCAGCTGTGAAACGAATGAAGCGGCCATTCCTGGGCCCCAAGGACCGTGTCCGGCGATTAGAAGAAGTTGATGCATTGCGTCTTCTCAAGGAACAGCGAGCAAGCTGGCGCGATCCTTGGTTCGGAGCTGAAGGTGTTATGGATCTACTTGATGCGTGGGAGGAAGACGGCTACTTGTATCTGCAGACAGAACTATGTCCATTGGGCTCGCTAGCCTTTGTGTTGGCCGAGTATGGGCGGCAGGTCGGTGCGCTTGATGAGGCACGGTTATGGAAGATCCTCGCCGAGCTTTCGGCCGGCGTGTATTTTATACATCAGTGTGGTGTGCTGCACCTGGATTTAAAGCCTGCGAATATCCTCATCACTGAGGTCGGCACACTCAAAATTTCTGACTTTGGCATGGCTACGCGATGGCCTCGGTGTACAGCGCAGGAAATTCTCGCTGGCTCGCATCTCGCGACTCATAACAATGCATCCGGACCATCAATGAACGATGCATCAGACACATCTTTCTCGCCCATTCAGAGCCATGGTCCTTTTGCTTTGTCCGGCGCGACAGTCACCGACTCACCGGCATTTAGCCAGACCAATATTCATGCAACGGTACATCGCCCACGCCGCCGGCCAACACGAATTCAGCGTCGACCAAGTCCTGTGCTTGTGCTGGAGCGAGAAGGCGATCGCGAGTACATTGCCCCTGAGGTGATTTTCGATTCCAAGTATGGCAAACCTGCCGATATTTTTAGCCTGGGCTTGGTTCTTCTCGAGGCAGCGTGTAGCGTCGAGATACCGGATAACGGAGCGCCCTGGCACAAACTGCGATGTAACGACTTTTCAGACGTGAGCTTTGATGCTATCAGTCCGGCTCTGCAGGGCATCATTACGTCCATGCTTTGCGCAGAGCCGTCAGCTCGTCCGACAGCCGCTGAGCTTGTCGACATGCCCGTCCTTGAGACTGTGCGTCAGCTGATGCGTCGAGGATTGAGTGCAGATGAGCTAGATCAACTTCCATCGCATTCGTCCAGACCATCCGCGCCTGCTCCATACCCATTGCCGCCGTCCAAGTATTACGAGGCACCACACACAGGCTCTCTCGATGCTAATCGAATGGTCGTCAAGATCCGTGGCGCTCTGATCCAGGAAAATGAGTCGACCTTTCTCGCAGAAGTGTTGCAAGTTGCTGATGCTCGCGATACGTCCTCGCCCGACACATCCACCTCGCTGATGACAGAAGACTCTCATTATCAACATCCGTCGTCTTCGCAGAATCTACATGCGGCGCATCATCCTTCCTCTTCTTGTACACACATGTCCCCCAGAGTCGTTCCTGTCTGTTCCTCGACCATTTTAGACCCAGCAACCTGCTTCCAAGATCACGTCGCATCCAGTATGGACATTGACAAGCCCTTTTCCGTGAATTCATGATCGATCCACCTGCTTCACTTATTTCTTGTGTCCCCTTCTTGTCCTTTTCTTGTTGTTATCTTTGTTTCTCCCCCCTTCTTCCTCGATATCTTAGCTTGGTGGATGTCCTTCTTTTATTATTATTCTTATTATTCTTGCCATTCATGTCGCACTATGAATATATAGTTTAAATACGAGGAGCGCATTATACGTATCATGGGTCTTGGCCGTGACTAGGGTTCTCTCTCCACAAGCAACAATCCTTCCCGCATTCGACGTGTGATGTTTCTTAGCTTCTACACGATAAACTAGTGGACGGAGCCATGTCCGAAACGCTTGCGCCGTACTATGTGTCGGTGCCACCATCGCATGGCTACACAACTCTTCAGGCAGAATGGAAGGGAGGTTTTTACTACATCCCCGACTTCGTGTCCGAGGCAGAAGAAGCATGTCTCTTGAATAAAATCGACTCTGCGCCGCGTGGACGCTGGAAACAGTTAATGAACCGGCGACTCCAGCTATGGGGTGGCGAGCTTGTAGGGAACACGCTGATCAGTGAGCCACTGCCATCCTATGTCACGACGTTTCCTGACTTGGTGCCGCGCTTGGAGCGCACCGGTGCATTTTCTTATAGTCAGCACCAAAAACCCAATCACTGCGTAAGTGTTGCTGTTGGTCGTACTGGCCATGTTTCTGCTACTCCTGCTATGAAATCGCATGACTAACTCGTTCAGCTTGTAAATGAATACTTGCCTGGTCAGGGTATCATGCCACACACAGATGGACCTGCGTACTTCCCTGCCGTGGCGACAGTCAGTTTAGGCAGTTACACACTCTTGGATCTGTATGACCCTAAACCATCTGGCGGGTACGAGCCTGAGCCGGTATTCTCTCTCTTCCAAGAGCCGCGCAGTTTGCTTATCACGCTTGGCGATGCATACACGCGTTACTTGCATGGCATTGCAGAACGTGCCAACGATGCTCCCAACGACTTGGCACGTATAGCGAACTTGGAGGCACTTTCGCCGGCATGGCGTGTATGTTGTGCGAATGCATCTGCGCCTCTGTCGCGCTCACGGCGTGTCAGTCTCACATTCCGGGACATCGAGCGTGTACACAAGGGCCTAAAACTACCCCGTTCGTTACGATAGAAGTAAGCGCAGATCTTCTGTCCGCTGCTGCTTTGCATCATGGTCTGTGCGGCGGTCTGTGCGGCGGCCAACCTGACTCGCTAGTTCCAGCTTGCGTTTCTGAAGCTCAAGAAGCTTTTCCTCAATGCTTCTTTGCATGATGAATTTTGTCATGACAATGGGCCGCTTCTGTCCAAGGCGGTGGATACGATCCAAGCCTTGCTGCTCAACGGCTGGATTCCAGTATGGGTCTAGCAGGTATGCACGACATCCGGCAACGAGATTCAAGCCAAAGCCACCTGCGCGCAGGCTCACGAGGAACACTTCAATCTTCGGATCCTGCTGAAATTCTGACATGGCCCCTTCTCGGTGCTCACGCTTCATTGTGCCATCCAGCTGCCGGAACCCTATTCCTGCGTGTAGCAGCGCCTCCTTTACTTTCGCAAGCATGCGTGTCCACTGTGAAAAGATCACAGACTTGATAGGGTTTGGCCGTGGCTCATGCCGTCTGCAAACACGGACTTCTACAGACGTCGTCTGAGACTCGAAGTCCTCCTTCACACAATGGTCTAGGATCGGTGCACTTGGGTCAAAAAGCTCGGACGATGGATTGCACCGAGAAAATGGCAGCAGATCCGAGATGAGCGCACGAAGTTTCGTGCTCCAGGATGCAGGCCAAGTTTCTGGCTTGAGCGGTAGAAACGGTCCCGTCTCTCCCGTGTCCTGAGGCGTGACGTGTGCCTCAATGCCTTCTCCAGCGACGTCAGATTGGTGTGGCGAGATTTCAGACTCGACATCCAACGGGCGTTCACATACGGGACAAATCCTCACTGCATGAATGGCGCCTGTTGAGGGCCATGCCATATCAAGATGCTCTTGTGCACACGCACCACAAAGCAGGTGCTGGCACTTGGTCATCACAGGTCTTCGCATGACATCTTCGTCGATTTGCACACAGTCGCTCTGGCACAGCGCGCAGTACATCAAGTCACCCTGCCCAATCGTGGAGCGAATCTTGGTGTGATGTTGTCGGTCTAGAGTAACGCTTTGTTTGGGATATGAGTTCATGGACAACATTGCATGCTGCTTCTGCTGCTGATCATCGAGCTCATGATTCTCTGCCTGTTCTAGCGATTGGTTTTTGATGCTGTCGTCTACCAGTGCCGCATGATCGCACATCATACGCAAGATGAGAATCTCATGCAGAATCGTAGTATAATTCAAGCCGACCGTTCCTTCCGACACATACCCAATAAACTCTTCGCGGAATCGAGAGTGAAGGCGCTCGTACTTTGCCCGTTCAGACTCGTTAAACTCGAGAGTGACGATCCGCGTACTTTTGGGCGGAAGCTTCAGTAAGGGTTGGCCATCTGCTTTGGTGTCGGACTTCATACGGCGCAAAGTAAGGAATTTCATGATTGTTTGCACACGCTTGAGCGAGTCGGGGTCCAGCTTGACACCCGATGACGCCGAATTCAAGCGAATGTGCACTCGGTCGCCGCAGAATCGGCTCCAGACGGCGCGGTCCACGAAGGGATCAAGGCGCAAAAATACCAGCAGCGCATACAAGTCGTCGATGCGGTTCTGGATTGGCGTACCAGTCAAGCAAATGCGTCGCGTCGCTGAAAGATTACATACGGCTTTAGACTGCCAGGTACGTGCCTCTTTCACAATGTGAGCCTCATCAAGCACGATGCGGAACCATTCAACACGCTGGCATGTGTTGGGCGACTCGAGGCGGTTGGCTTTGGGCGTCGAGCTGATGTCTTCGTCTGAGCGGCCAGCCGCCGCTGACCAAGTCGTTTGGTTCGAAAACTCGTTTCCGAGCGTCGAATACGTCGTGATGACAATGTCGTAATCTGCAAGCACATGTGGATTTGTTGTGCGGCCCGACCCGTGATACACATAAACGGTAGGTTGCTTGTCAGGGTGCCAGTGCTCGCGGATCTGTGACTCCCAATTTGATACGACAGTTAGTGGACACACCAGGAGCGTCGCACGACTCCGACAACGAAGCTCCTCCATACGTGCTTGTTCCGCCGTGCGCTTGTTTCGTGAGTCGCCGATCAAAAGTGGCTCGTCATCATCGTCTTCACCATCCCCTTTCAATTCGCTTTGCCCAAAGGTACACGCTTCATCATAGGTATGTGCGATGAGAGAAATCGTCGTCAGCGTTTTTCCAAGGCCCATATCATCTGCCAATATGGCACCGCGACAAACACTTGGGCGGCCTCGTCGAGTCAGGCCGGTCACTGTGTTCTTGTACTTGTCGATGGTTGAATCAGCTCGTTTCAATATAGTCCAAAGCGAAATATGGTTGGGAGGATTGTCTTTTCTCAATAGCTCGAGAAAATCTCTTTGTCGCTCTCGTTCCAGTAAAAACGTAAGCGCCTGCTTCTGGTGCGAAAAAAGCGACGTCACAATCAAAGGGCCAGCCTCTGTCTCGTCCAGCTTTTCTGTCTGCTCCAAAGCAGCATAAATAGCATTGATTTGTGCATGCGGGTCATCTTGTTGAATCCTGGTTTGCGATGATAGCATCGGGGTCATGTACAAAGGCTCTATTTGTTCAGGCAATGTCTCCTCGACCTGCGGCTGCAAAGGTACGCGCAAGGTCGGTGCTCCAGGATAATCTTGCGCTCGGTACGTCGTGGGCACTTCAAGAGTGATCCCTGCCAGCCTAAGCGCTTGCAGCACCGCCAGTTCATTTGATCCTCTTGTGAATATGAGTGTCTCGATCTGTTGCGCAAAGGCTCGTGCTTTGAGCGGCGAGACGAGGCTTGCACGCGACACGCAATGCACAACACCATGTTGCAATAGGGGCTGTAGCATCTTGCTTACTTTCTCAGAAACTCGCCCGTATTCATTTAGGGCGACCGGTTGGGACGCGGTATGCGTCGATGGCTTCAGTGTTGATACCGCAAGGTCATAGGACGTGGCGGGTGTGCGCAAAAAACTAGAGTACATATTATGCGAAAACGATGATGAACCACTTTGATGGATGCACACAGGATGGTATCCTGGTTCTGCCCAAAACGAAATCCCATTGCTTGCACGGTTGACGAGTGCGTTGGCATCAGGGGTGTCATTGCGCAATTCCGGTGGCAAACCATACATACACAAAACCGATGGCCGAAACATGCCGAGACATACCCAAGACGTCATAGTGTACACAGGATTTGGCGCGAATGACTCCCAAGTTCTAGTTTCGACCTCTGATGAATCTGCACGCGCACGTTTCCGGGGCGAGGACGAGGATACTTCAAGAACTTCCAGTTCATCAAGATCATCAGAATTTGCAAGCGCTTTCGGCATATCGTGTTTTGGTGGTAAGATAGTCTTGTGGTTTGATGTAGGCGTTCGAGGCACATCAAAGCTTTTGCTCGTTGCAGGATGTCTGCTCATCATAGACTCACGGAGAGAGCTGGTCTTACTGGAGACATTCGGACCATGAGGCGAACTTGTCTCCCAAGGTACTAGTGATGTGCTGAGCATTTCAGAATTGTTCTTTTCTTCTGGGAGTATCGACAAGGTAGAATTCGTTTTCATTCCATGTTCATGCTGACGCTGTTTTCGTGCATCGTGTCTTCCGTGCTCGTCAGATCCTTTCGAGTCGCTCGTCGCTACATTTTGCCCGAATTTCTTCCACTCTTCGACATCATCAGGTATGCTGATCCCTTGGTTGTCCTCTAACTCTTTATACATGTGGCGCTTGTTTGACTCTGCAGAATCGTGGGGCGCTTCAATTCCCTCGGACATAGTAGGCTTGAGTGCTTGGAGAGGTTTGTTCCATTCCGGTTCTTCATTAGGTCTTGAAGAGCCGGGTCTTGGGGTCAAAACGGGGTCGCCGACAATCAAAGCATCACTATGGCCCAAGCCACTGTCATCGTCATCATCTTCTATTGTGAGATCAATGACTAGCGGAGTTCGCTCGTCTTGTTCATTTCCTGGTGGTCTGCGTACTCCATACAGAATAGAAGAACGATCTCCATTGCGTTCCCCCATCCCTTACAACCACTCGCCCGTCTAGCTCTCCCACGCACGCACGCACGCTAGCAAGCACACGCGCTCGCTCGTTCGCACTTTTTTACCCCAGTTCTCGCACGATCCTGTACTCAACACACAAACACTTGCGCACGCACACATTTGAGGGCGCCGGATTACTGTGGCATAACGCCCCCTCCCCCTCCACACCCTTTAGAAGCAATCACGTGATAAAAGCTGCCTCATGCGGCGGTGGAGAACGCGTAAGCATTGACTTGTCGATGCGTGCTTGGTCCAGTTGCACTTGTGGCAATATTGGCGTTCGACCACGAGTAGCGACGATGGCACGGATCAGTGTCGTTCTGTGCCTCTTGGCATTCTGTGCCTATGTGCATGCCCAATTTGCGCTCATGGATTCGGCCCTGAGTCGCTTCATGTCAGTAACAAGTCAGATTTTTCACACTCTGAAGAAGCCATCATCGGCGATACCGCTGGCCAGTTGGAATCCATGGACGTCGAATTCGAGGATTCAAGCCGGCAATTTGTCTGCATGGTTGGGTGTTCGTATTGAGAGCATAGGCGGAATCAAGTATCAGAGGCTTTTTCTTCCATTATTCCCCGACTACCAACTGCGTGTCGCCATGGACGAGAATGATGATGAAGAAAATAATGATGAAACGCCATTTTGCGATCCAAAGGTGAAACAGATCAAGGGATACCTCGATATCCGAGAGGATGCACACCTCTGGTTTACCATGTTTGAGAGCCGGTCGGATCCTTCCAAAGACCCTCTTGTGCTGTGGCTCAATGGTGGTCCAGGCTGCTCGTCTAGTACAGGTATGCTCTTCGAACTAGGACCCTGTTGGGTAAGTCAGCAGGGAGAAGGCACCACTTATAACGAACACTCTTGGAACTCGCAGGCGAACCTGCTCTTCCTTGATCAGCCATTGCAAGTGGGCTATTCTTATTCTGATTCAGGCGAGTTTGTCGACACGTCCAACAAATCGGCTGAGGATGTGTATGCTTTCCTGCAGTTGTTCTTTGCGCGCTTCCCCAAATATGCTGATTTACCATTCACTGTGGCCGCCGAGTCTTATGGAGGACATTATGCACCGCACATTGGAGCGGAGATTCACCGGCGAAACAAAGAACTGGCAAATTTGCCCGACAATTACCTTGCGACAGCCAAGCCGATCCGTCTGGACTCGCTGATGATTGGAAATGGATTGACGGATCCGCCCGTTCAGTTCCCTAGTGTCGTCGAGTATGCATGCTCGCCTGAGAACAAGTACCATCTGTTCGATCGTGAGAGCGAAACGTGCAAGACGCTGGAAGCCAAGTCGGAAGTATGCACCAAGCTGATGAACCTGTGTGAGAAGATGGATTCGCGATTGTCATGTGTGCCGGCAGCGCTGTACTGCTGGGGCAGTTTGTATGGGCCTGCGCAAGATACCGGCGTCAACCTGTATGATGTACGTCGGAAGTGCGATCATGAAAAGGACGGCGACCTGTGTTACCCTGAGATGGAGCACATCGAGACTCTTCTAAACAAGCCTCGTATTAAGAAGATGCTGGGTGTACCGGCCACTGTTGATTTCCAGAGCTGCAACATGCAAGTCAATGCACGCTTTATGATGCAGGGCGATTCAATGCAGAACAGTGCAACACTACTTGCTCCCTTGCTTGCTGATGGTATTCGTGTACTCGCCTATGCTGGAGAGGCGGACTTTATGTGCAACGCCATTGGTATCCACGAATGGATTCTTGACTTCCAGAACGTGTATCGCGAAGCCATCAACAATGCCACAGAGACGCCTATGTTTACGCACAGTGTTAATGGTGCAAAGCCACGCCAGGCTGGTTTCGTCATCAAGGCTGGCAAGGGTGCTGGCAATTTAGCCTTTGCGTGGATCCAGCGCGCTGGGCACATGGTGCCGCACGATCAGCCGGCGGTAGCGCTCACGATGCTCAACCGCTGGCTGGCGAATGAAGACTTGACCGTGTGATGCGTAGGTACTTGTACATAGTTTGTATTACAATAGCGGCATAGTCTGGGATTGACCAGGTCCGTGTCGACCAAATGATTGACGTATGGGTCCGAGGCAAGCTAGGTGGATTTGGCGGGAGCTGAGACATACTACATGTGGCGTAGGAGATGTGGGGGGACGTTTTTGGTGGAGTGATGACAGATTTTCGAGGGTAGGTCGCCCGGTGTCGATCAGCTCCTGAGTCCATAACGCCCGGAGAGCGTGTGTGGGATTTGCGCTTGCGACCACACGGCTCGGACGATTGTCGTCGACATTCAGCGATGGCGTACACTGCCTCCTTTACGGAAAGTGCGTTACAAGACGTACTCGCCGCAGCAGTGCAACCATCCGATCCATCTGTCTTGCTACAAGTGGATGCGCAGCTTAGTGAATGGGAGACTGAGGCTGCGTATTGGGAAGCACTGCTTGATGCTGCCTTGTCGCAGAGGACAGACACAGCGCATGCAGCTGCACATGTAGCCACACAAACGACAAGCTTAATGCGCCAATTCGCGATGATACGCTTTAAAAATGGGATCAGCAAGTTCTGGCGCACACGCGTCGTTAACCGAAAATCCGTTGTCATTGATAACGAACGGAAGGACCGGATCCGCAAGCGCCTTCTTGACGTACTTCACGAGCCAGATCGCTCAGTTGCTGTCCAGGGCGCCGTAGCCATTGCACGCATCGCACGCACAGACTGCCCGAATGATTGGCCATCGCTCATGCCCACGCTGCAGGCAACCATCCAGTCCGCAGCGACGACCATCCACGAGGCTGCTCTGCGTGGCACACTTGCTGAAACAGCGCGTGAAACCATGATTCTTCTGCATGCGACAGATACGCTACGGCAATGTTTGAAAGAGTTCGAGAGGGTGCGCGTGCTTGCGGGCAAAATGCGAATGACTGAACTGGCTAGCGTGCTGATGCCGACTCTCCAGCCAGTGCTGGAGCAATTCTTCGCAGATACCATGGTGGCATCGACGGTGCCAGATATAACTGCTTGGGCGCACACGCCTGGTGCAGCAGAGCGTGTGAGAGCGAGCCATCTGCTTCTCAAAGTGCTGCATCGGCTCGCCATGTGTGACACAGGCATCCTGGCATCGCGTGTGTCTGAGGTGACACGACCGAACTTGGCCTACACATTCTTCTCTTGCACACCGCGGCAGGTATCTTGCCTTGCAGAGCGACGCGCAGCTATGCTTGGTGTTGTGCATGATGTGCCTCTACTGTCGCATGCGCTAACGAAACACATGATGGCGTACGCGAAGCTGCACCTAGCACTCGTCGCCAGGCTTCACAGCCATGTGTCTTCGTGGCCCGTGTGGTCGGAGGTCATGATGTGGTACTGGGGCGTCCTGTCAGATGCCGCACAAAATGGCGGGGCAAGAGCTGCATTGAGCCGTGACGATGACGACGAACTTGCTGTGTACCCATATCGGTGGCTCGTGCTCACACTGTCCCTATTGCAAACGACGCTAGGACATTGGAAACGCGAGCGGCCTGCTGGGACCATGTTCGTGGGTGACTCGGGCGCGCAGTTTGAATTACAGCTGGCGGACGTGCTCATAAAGACGTACTTGCGCATGACACCAGCCGATCTCGAGCGCTGGCAGGCCTCTCCCGAGCTTTTTGCTGTGGAAGAGGATCAAGCTGACTCGGAGCTCGACATCCGGCCAGCAGCCGAATGTCTGCTTGCGGCACTTGCTCGCTGGTCCTACCGATCAGGCAAGTCGGCCGCGTCGAGTTTGCCAACTGTGGCGGAATATGTCTGGGCGCAATTTGAAGCATCGGCCTCGTGGCCGTCAACGCTCGACGGCATCATTGCACGCGATGCTGTCTACACAGCCGTAGCGCGCTGCCGGGACCAGCTGGATCCCTCCATGCTCGAGGCAGCCGACGAGGACGCACAACAAAATACCTGCATGACAGTAGCGATTCATGAGCGTTTGATTCCAGAAGCGGCCACACGTGATGCTGGGCCTGCGTGGCTCATTCTCCGACGGCGCATTGCCTGGATGCTATGGGAATGGAGCGAATACGTTACGAAGCCTGTGCGGTCTGGAGCATACGCGTTGCTCGTACAGTTGCTCCAGCAGGCGCCAGGGTATTCCGATGCGGCAGTGCATCTAGCGGCAGCACGCACGGTCGCTGCACTGGCTGACACGCTGGATTTCGATGAGATGGAGTTCCTGCCGTTTCTGCAGGATGCCCTCGCAGCGCTTGTATATGCGTTGTCGCATGAACTTGAGGAAATCGACTCGATCCGCACGATGGCCAATGCACTCACTGTGGTCATTGAGCGCATGGGCCTTCATATCCAGCCATATGCAGCGATGCTCGCCGAATTGGTCACGACTCTCTGGGCGCGAGACGACCCGGAGGCGCGAGCTAAGCCGAGTCTGCTCGAGTTCCTAAGCAAGCTTGTCGACACATGTGCGCCTGGTATGGACGGAGACCTGCTTGTGCGGATGCATGCACTTATTGCGCATGTCGTGCAAGCGAGTTTGGCGCCTGCGTACGCGCCATTGCTGGGCCAGGATGCCTTGCTTCTTTGGGCACACACGATGCAGGCGACACCGCGAATGACGCCTGCTTTGATGAAGCTGCTGTGCATGGCACCGGAGCTTGTCGCACAGCCCGACTTTGGCTCGCTCATGTGCCGAACTTGGGAAGACTACGTGCTCCTCGTACCCAACGAGATACTGCACCACTTTGGTCTTGCTTTCTACGGTGCATTGGCACCGATTGTAGCTGATCCGACCAGCTCCATCATCCTTGCTCCATTGTGTGCCGTGCGGACTCACATACGTACGCTGGATGCCGCTGGCCTGTGTACGCTGGCCGAACAGCTACATGTGACGGGCCTCGGCAGAGCTATCATCGATACTCTCTACCGCGATGAGACGTCCGCGGTGGTCCAGGCTTGTATCTTGCTCATTTCGCAGTTGGCTATCAAGATGCCAGCGCCTCACTTCCACGAGCTGGTCCGTGCATGTGCACCGAAGGAGCCACCTGTTTGGCCGACGGTCTGCACGTGTATGATCAAAAAAGGCCAGGATATGGCGCTTACGAGGTATCGAAAACTCGTGGCATTGGGTCTCGCCAGCATGCTAAAGGGCAGCAGCAGCAGCAGCATCAGCGCTGATGGGAGTATGGCGCCCCACCCAGATGCCTCCTTGCTCACATGTATCCCACGCATCATTGGCTTGTGGACTGAAGTGCTGGGAGAGGTCGTCGAAGACGATAGCGGCAACTCGACTGTGTACAAACGTGAGCCTTCTCCTGACCGGCCTCTTGATGCGATGCAAGACGACTTTATCCACATGGATCAATGCGTGGGAGAAGCCACGTGGCAAGAGTCCATGTCCCCTGGTGCAGAACGGCTGGAGGCCTTCCGTACCCAGGACCCTGCGTTCACTGTACCGATCCGAGCATTCTTGGCCGACACTCTGAACAAGGTGCTGCAAGCGAATCCAGCGAATACGCCTCAGGGGCTCGAACTCCATCAGCAACTACAGCAGATGGATCCACTCGTGCTTGATATGCTGCAGCGAGACCTGAATCAGCCGGCAGCAAATACACAGAACCCAGCCTAGTACATGGGAAACTCGGGATGCATCGCAGCATAGCGACGGAGTCCGCCTCGCACATTCTTGCATTCCGGCATGGCCAGGAGTCGTACCGCTGTGCGCGAGTCATTCCCGCGTCGACACACCACCAGCACATCGCGGCCTTGTGCCGCTTCACGCACGGCCAACCGCGCACGGGATGTGTCTCGTTGGATCGTCTCCAAGGCCATATGCATAGATCCTCGTAGCGCCGTTATACCATACTCCTGTGCGGAACGCACATCCACAACATGCACATCTTGTCGCTGCAATGCATCAGCATCCACACTTGGGACGCTGTCATCCTGCGCATCCAACGCATCAAGCCCACAGAACGATGCATAATCTTCTTCCTCCAAACTCGTCAACTTGCCACGCACGTCCGAATCACTGCATGCACGACATGTGCGCGCCTGGCGGGCACGAACGCGCACTGAGCGCACGGCTGGCAGCGACAAAGGCGTGAGGAATAGCATGGACGGTGTGCGCTCACCAAGTCCCGTAAGCACCTTGACAGTTTCGAGTGCCTGCCATGTGCCGACAATTCCGGTTACACAGCCCAGCACACCCCCATCGTCACAGCTTTGAGTATGTTCAGGGCGGGGTGACTGCGGAAAGAGACTACCATAGCAAGGACCCCGCTGTCCGTCGCCAAGATCACGGTGAAGCACCACCAGCTGCCCTTCATACCCGTGAGCTGCTCCACTAACGATAGGCTTTCTAGCCAGCACGCCTGCGTCGGATACCAAGTAGCGTGTCATGACGCGATCCGTGCAATCCAAAATGACATCATGTGCTTCCGCAAGTGCAAGTGCATTCGCAGGGCAAAAAGCCTCGCGCACCACATTCACACGCACATATGGATTCAATCTGTTCACGCGCGTGTAAGATGTCGTCTCGTTCGTGCTCGCTCATACGCACAGTGACACAGCTTCCGCAATCGAGTCAGCTTTGTTCATACCGACGCGGGCATCAGTATGAAGCACTTGGCGCGCCAGATTACTTCGCTCAATCTTGTCATGATCAACAACGGTTATGGTCCCTGTTCGATTACCATGTAAGTACGAGCTGACAACAACAGTAAAAAGAAAAAAGGATCAAACGCACCTACGCCTGCTGTGGCAAGGTACTGCACCGCAGGACATCCTAGTGCACCTGCCCCAATCACCAGCACACGAGCACTTTTAAGTCGCAATTGTGCAGGTGCCCCAAACTCTGGTAGTATGAGCTGCCGACTGTACCGCGCCAGGTCTTGTGGACTTAGCGCGGAAGACGTCGTCGTTCCTATAGCCTCGTCAAACGATAATGACATGTGGAGTGTGTGTGCACAAGGACATAGGTGTGTTGCGATATGACAAGAACCTGGTTCTTGCCAAAATCAATTTACCGTCTGACAAGTCGAGTGTCGAACGCGCGTCACCACTTAGCGGAAGAAATGCCACTCATGCACGTGTGCCACGTGGACTCTGCACCACGACCCCCTTCCCTTGCCCCAACAGCTTGGCTACACTCCAAGCCGCGTAGCACATACACAAGCACGCACGTCCACCAGCACCTTGCCAAGACGGACTTATCTTCCTCCCGTCCACTTTGACCTATGTCTCTTAGAATGGACGCTGAAAGACTGTATCCACTTGTTTGGAAGTCGCTCACACATGAATATACCATATGGTTTCTGAAGTCATGTCTTCTGGTCCAATGTGTCTACCATCTGCTGGCGTGCACGCTTGTGTCAGGCAAAAGCGAGGAACAGCAACGGAAACGTTCATGGATCATTACGACTTTCTCAGCCTTTTTTTCTTCGTCAGTATCGGTTCCGTTCGTGTTCGACTTTTTCTGGTGCCATCTAGACTGGACGAAAATGACGCCGCATCAAAACTCAATCGCCAACCCGTTGTCTATATTTTTTATCGCGTACTTGGTGTGTGATCTTGTCACAGGTGCAATCTGCTATCGAAAACACGTGAATTTTTCAAGTGGATGGGTGCATCATACCTTGTATGCCCTGTTCGCTATATTCTGGATCCACCGTGGCTGGTCACACAGCTTTGCTGTCGCTCTAATCATGGAAGTTCCTACTTGGATCATGGGTGTGGGTGCTTTGAATCAGAAACTTCGCTCCTATTGGGCTTTTACTACGTCTTTCTTAGCTACACGTGTCTTGTTCCATTTTGTCTTTGTTTACTCGCTTCTCATCCCCTCGGGCCGTTACGTCAACAAGCAAAGGCCTAGTATACTCCCTCTGGCCTTTGGATTATTGGCTCTCCCGATGCATCTCGTTTGGGCTTACAAGAGCGTGCGTGGCCTTCGTCGTCGCATGAGGAAACTTGCTGAAGAGGCCAAGATGCGGGAACAGGCACGTCTCGATGCGATCGACGAAGCCACTCGCTTGCTCGATAGCGCCGACGAGCTCGAACTAGAGGAAGAAGGCACTGGGAAAGAAAATTCAGGAGCACCACCCACAAGGATGCTCCGTCAAAACTCTGATACTCGTGCGCGGGCGCGTCATCTTGTATTGAATGCCGCGTATGTGCTTTGGCACAGTGCGCCTGAGGCCTGGCGCCGTGCGTACCTGGAAGAGTTGGAGTTTAACAAGAAGCAAGGTATTGATCCAAAGGACTTGCGCCGCAGTACTCTGGTCCGTCGCGCATTAGCGCGGCATTTGCTCCATGGGAACAAGCGCGGGCATAATGTGCCGTTGATCAATGAAGACGATGAAGACGATCTTGAAGATTGGATGTCTATCACGTCACTCAACAGCTATCAGCAGGAGCGCAAGCCGAGCAACGAGCGCAAAGTACCTATCGGTAAAGGCATAAAAATCAGTATGCCCCGTGAACTTGATCCCATTTTGAATGGCCAAAAGTATGTGGTCAGTGAATACCCTGTCGACAGAGAGGCCAGCGGGTCACGTCGACAGCGTATTGTAGGCCAAATGCGCCGCCGGTTCGAAGTGGCTCGTCGTGATATGGTTGTATTTTAATTTTTTTTTTTGGTTGGCTGATGCATCACGATCTTTAGCCTTAGTTCAAGCTCTTCTAAGTACTCATGGTGTTGGATAACGATCTTGCTTTATTTTTTGCATTGTTCTTGACTATGAATTCCAATGAATTCCAATGTGAGCATTTCAACCTACATCCGAATCTGAATTTATCGCCATTTTAACTCAGTCAAATCCTATGTGGATCCCATTTCATGCATAGAATGGAACCCTTTCGTTTTTTCACTTTTCCATTCTCATTGTTCCCTCACCAAGCTGATCAGTTGGTAGACATGTAAGGAAAAGGAATCTTTGTAAAGATTGTATACATATGTGAACAACATTTCTTCATTCCTTCGACACATGTGTGAATGCATATGCTCCCATGACGTGGGATGGCAAAATGGCCCACGCCAAGGATGGATCCACTCATGTGAATATATATATATATATATGTATATCCATCATAGTGCATTCTTAATGGATGGACTCAGACCATCCAACCCTGTCGCTCGTTCCTCAATACATTCACTACAGGTGCTTCATAGTATCCCAGAGATGTTACTGTCTATCACAGTTTCGTGAATTGTGCAACCCACGAGGAAGGTGCGAGATATACTCGTCTGCAAATTCCCTTGTCTGCAAGGTTCAAGAGCGGCTCTGAAGCTAAGTTCCATGCTACATGCGAATTCCAATGTAACCGCAAATTTGGATCAATACAAAAATTCAAATCTAAATTACAAAACTATGAAACAAAATAGCGACAATGTACCATTTCAAAGGCACGAGAAGTATATCGAGAATCATTTTGAGCTCATGGGTATATCCAAGTACAAGCATCGCTGGCACCTTTGTTGCGTGGTGTCAACGGTGAACGGCCCTGAGAGGTTGAAACCCACGATCTGTCCGGCGCTGCCAATAATAATAGAAGACCTCCACAAGCCTAGAGATACAAAGTCGAAAGGGCAGCCAAAGAGGGAGAAAGCGTTGGTAGACCATAATACTCATGTGTCGTATGAACCGCCATGACAGTACGAATTGATAATGGACCAACCAGCTCGGGCACACGTTTCCCAATTCAGAATATAAAATGGTGTCAGACCAAGTCTATTATGGTCAAAGTATCCAAACTTGAGAGAATGATGCTCCGGGAAATGATTCCGCAAAACACTAAGTGCGATCATGTAAAGGAACAAAAAGACAATCGTCAGATGTGCCAGAGTTGTTCGATCAGATGTGGTTATAGGAGAAGGGTCTCAGTTAGAATATCGCAAATACAAAATGACCCATGAAAAAAATCAAGTCAGTTCACTAAACAGAGAAACAGGTGTCGTCCTTTTAAGAGACGAACACCATCATTAGTGAAGGAAAATAGGTTCAAAATTCTCATTACCAAGTGCACCATTCAACATCATCATCACTTCGTCTAGTCGGTCGCATGAAGCTTGAAATGCAAGATACGGTACTGATAGTTTACTAATCGTGATGTTGCCCTCCTGTTCTCTTCAGACTTGAGGCGAAAGCAATTCGAGGGGCTCCGAATTGGCGCTTGGATGTGCCGTAATTTGGTCCACTTTATCAAAGGGATTCAACAGTACGTGCTTGAATATGTTGATGGCTAATGCTCCACAGATATGAAATTCAAACTCGCTCGTGAAGGGATTACAGAAAAACAGGAACTGTACAAGCAAGAGCTAATGCCAACCACGTGTAGATGCAAATAACATCACGGGTAGAAACAGCGGCACCCGACCCGCCGAAGTCCAAAACAGGACCCTTGGACGGAGACGCGGTTTCTGCAACCATGTTTGTTGACGTTGTTGATGAAAGTTTTGGGGAAACTGGCGAGGTCCTCGATGAGGAACGCGAGCTACTCATGCTAGGTTTCATAGCACTAGAGCCATTGAAGGCTTGGCCCGATGAAGTGGCTGCAGGTGAAAAGAAACCAGCCGATAATGAAGATGATATTGAACTGGAAGAAGACGACGTTTTATGATGGTTTTCATGGCTGAAAACTGCCATGCCAGCGTTCGCGAAGGGCTGTGTCAGAGAGCCCTGTAGCATAGTTGAAGGAAATTTCGTGCATTGTGAGACCGCAGGCGGCGGTTTGGCAGGAGGAGCAGGAGATCCATTTAGTGTCTGGCTTTGATAAAACGTAGAAGGACTGCCATTATTCGTGTAAACTCCCACAACTTCTGCGTCTTGGCCCTCACACGACTCGAAGATACCCTGCTGGTCTGGAGTCGTCGGCATATTATATACGCAGCCCATTTCATCATAAATATGCTTACAATATGTTGTAGCCAAGTCTCCGTCATTGCAAACACGGAGACAAAAGGAGCTATCGTCGATGAAACTTGTCCATTCATGTGCCTGTACCATGTGTTTGCCAAACGCACTTGTGAATACCAAGCCACCGATAGGATTTCCACGACCATCTTGACCGTGAGGGTCGAGCTCACCACCACCAGCTTGGGGTGATATGTTCAAGTTTGAAAGCTTTCCTAAGCCAGAAATTTGAATGTAATGGGGCGTCTTCACGAAATGAACGCTTTGTAATGTGCCAGGTGGTATGAGGCGCGTGCCACGTCCATCCTTGGTGCAATAGCTCACTACTTCACGCTCAGACGCACCTACTCCCTGTAAACCCGGACCCTTAGGACCCCAAAGGCAAAAATCGGTAGCAGAGTTCACGTACAGATTCTGGCACATGGACAACGCACTGGAGTGGGTGCCACACTCATTAGTGCCAACCTGCCCATTCTCGGACGTTTTTGGTAGGGAATTGATACCTGGATAATATGTTGCACTATATTGAGACTGAGCAAACGTAATAAAACATGCGATGTAGCAGCAGAGAAACACTGCGTAGCCTCGCATGCTCAATGGCATGTTGAGTCAAGCTCGAGAAATTCGATGCAAATGATTTTCTGGGAGCTGAGCGGGGTGGAGAGGCGTTCTCAACATGTGGGCATGTTTTTGTTTGCCCCACTTTGCCACGTGAAGTCCAATTGCGGCCAGGGAGCTGCGCGACCATTTGTCCTATAGGATCCCCAGAACTCATGCAAAATTATCAAGGAATGAATTGCTTTTGATTGGAGTGCAATGTTTTTCATACATGACGCAAATAAAACACATATCACCATACAATCAAATGTAGTGTGTATGCAGAATAAGCCGTTGTCGAAACACAAGACTCGCAATGAAAAATCATACATTTAAGTGTAACGTGTTTCAGTAGTCGAGAAAATACTTAAGCCTATCCTTAGCCAGACGCAATATCGCACAATACCTTTTGCGATCACATTATCATTTTCGCTAGATTGTAGAACTTGGAATCTCCCTTGACCATGGAATGCATCCTCATCGCACCTCCTCTCTGCTCTCAACCAATCTAGCCGGGACAGTTCACATACATTTCGCACTCCCCTGAAGTCCTTGGTTAGACCCACACATCCTCGAGAGCTCAGAGGAGTCCGTGCGTTCGTCATTGAAAGGAGAGACGGTTGTGGAGGTTCTCGCCGAAGAACGTATGAAGTAATTCCACCACCCATCAAGGCTAATTGTTGGCTTTGATAAAAAGCAGTGTTAGCAGCCATGAGTAGCCGTGGTTCTGCCGTGAAACGAATCATGTCTGAAATGAAAGAAATGAGCAGTCAAGAGAATATTGAATTTTCTGCTGCTCCTACAGAGGTGTGTAGATAACATGTGTTTGACATGGTCTAGGATAATTTATTTGAATGGCATTTCACGCTGAGAGGCCCACAAGATACTGTGTTTGAGAAAGGAATGTACCATGGGAAAATTATCCTGCCTTCTGAGTATCCATTTAAAGCGCCGCATGTTATATTTCTTACACCAAATGGGCGTTGGGCACTTGACACGAAGGTAAGTTGATGAAATGGTATTAACACCAAGGTCTGTATTTCATTTACCGGCTTTCACGAAGAATCCTGGCAACCAGCATGGGGTATTCGGACAGCGTTGCTTGGAGTTCAAGCACTCATGTCTTCAAAAGATGACGAAGCTGGTTACGGTGCCGAGAGTATGAATGATGAAGGACGAAAAATGCTTGCTGAAAAGTACGTTCTCAACTCGCATGGCGCGAAGTTCTGATACTAATTGATAGATCTATGGCATGGACTTGCGCTATATGTCAAAAGACCAATGCTGAAATGCTTCCAGGAGAGCGCGCGATTCAGTCAACAACAACAAATGAACTCCCGGGCACCCCTAACATGACAAAGATGGATCGGACAAGTTTACCAGCAAAGGAGCCTTCAAGTGAGACAAAATCCGACGCAAAAACGGCTCAAAAAGATGAAAAACACACGACGTATCGAAATCAATGTTTCATGGACGAGAAGGAAGAAGAACATGGGCCATCTACTCAGGTATCTGAGCCGACCCCACATCAATCAAAGCCAGCACCGTCAGACCCATCGGCAGCTTTTCAAACATCTTCAAATCTACCAACTAGTATATCCGAAGTGTTACAAACGCGCGTGGAATCCTATCGCCGTACGATAGGTATGATTGACACACTTATGGGACTCATTTGCGCGATGCTTTTTCTTATCGTCTTAAAAAATCTATGAACAGCGGCGCCAGCGCCAACGGATGTAACAGGGATAGTAGAAATTGATCGTTTCCAACAAAAACGAACTATTTCTTATTTCTCCGGCTTGTAGGCACCTTTTTGCGGGTACTGGTGGTGGTCGGAGGTAGCCAGTCATTGTTTTCCGGCTCGTGTGGCAGTGGTTTTAGCACCCGTTCCTGAGCAGCCGTAATTTCATCGGCGCTAACCGACTCGCCCGCGCGAATTCGCGCAACAAGTTCCGCAGGAAGTGCCACGCGCTTTACATTGGTTTCTAAAGGATGTGAGTTAGGTTGAGAGTAACGTACGGAATCCAGGTGCACCACGCCCGATACCTGTCTTAGGATCGTACTTGCCCGTGCGCTTCGACGAGTGGCGTGGCCAGAACACCCACGTAGATATAGCCAATATAACGCAAGCAGCTACGCCGATCGGTCTGTGGGTCAGTGTACCACCAACTTGTAGACGTACAAAGCCTGCTGGAGATCCATTCGTGGTTGACTGGAGGTAAATGTGGCGGTACGCCAAAAGCATTCGAATAAATTGGTTGGTCAGGTGTCGACATGTCGGTGTGGAGATGGGCACGCCGCTGCAAGTGAATCAGGGAATGAGATAAGTTGTTTCCCAATCAAATAAACTCGGATGACGCGTAACTTTGTCGCTGAATTATGGCTACGCAAGGGTTTTTTTCATCGACAGCTATACAAAAAGCGATGAGTTCAGCGACGACAGAGGTGGCTACATTCGCAAACGGGTGCTTTTGGGGAACGGAACATTTGTACAGGAAGTATTTTGGTGGTAAAGGGCTCTTGGACGCGAAAGTTGGATACATTGGTGGCAACAAGCCGAATCCGACCTACCGAGAAGTTTGCACCGGCAAAACAGGCCATGCTGAGGCTGCTCAGCTCTCGTTCGACACGGTATGCTCAGAAGAGTTTCTCTAACAATTTCTACAGTCCAAAGTATCGTACGCAGAACTCGTTGAGTTTTTCTACCGTACGCACGATCCCACGCAATGGGAGGGTCAGGGTCCCGACATTGGACCGCAGTACCGCAGTGCGCTTTTCCCTCATACAGCCGAACAAGAAGCTACAGCACGTAGGGTGACAGAACAGGTCCAAGCGAAGCACTTTGATCCTAAGGGAATGCGGATCGTAACGACGATTGAGCGGGCACCAGTTAGTGATTTGTACGTGTGCGGGTTGTTATTGTGTCTACTAACCTGTGACTCAGCTTTGAGGCGGAGCCCTACCATCAAGAATACATTATCAATAATCCTAATGGCTACCATTGCCCTACGCACCGGCTCTGGTGGTAAAGCAGATACAAGTAACAGTACCTGCCGGTCGTAGCTGATTGATGGGTTCAGCGCACAGACGCGCCTGTTGTCATGCACACAGGTTTTCGCGCCAATTCGTTTGATGACAGGTGGAGCCGTGACACTACGCAGGCCAGGTCTGTCACGTGATATTAACGGTCCGGGCGGCGGGGGGATCTCGGTGCTCGGCGGATATGTACGTACATAGCTTAGAAGCGCCTGTAGCAGCGAATTCGGTTCGACGACAGACCGGGGAACAAGGCAAGGAGATGGCTTCCGTGGCAAACAAGCCTGTAGTAGGAACTGGCCTTGGTACGTATGGTTTGGGTCTTTCCAGCCAATTGACTTGGCAGCGTCATGCTGTACGATTGTATCAATGGCAGGTGTCATTGTCCTGTCGGTATTTGGCTGGGGGTTCTCGCACAATTGGGAAACGTTTATGGGCTCAACAGAGGATCCGACAGATGGCGTGGCCGTCGGTATGACGTGCTATGGAGCGGCATTTATATATCTGTTGTTTATTATCTTCTGCTCTTGTCAACTAGGCGTGAATCGACGATACCAGCGCATTCAGATCTAGCAATATCGCGAACATCGATGCTGTGAAGGCCGACCGCCCCCCCCTCCGCTAAAAGATGACGCCTGTGCAGCATGTCCTGTTCGTGGTACTTTATTTTCCCAATGCCAGTATGACTTTAGAAAATTTTCATGTTCGAATGGTACTATGACTATGTTTGCGTATTAAGAGAGGGAGAAGTGGATGTACTGTTGCACATCGAGTGACTGGGAACGGGCGAGATTGGCGATAGTTGTGCAGACAGACTAGGTCTTTGGGCCGGGTCAAGGAATGACACACGAGGTGAAAACGCCCCATGCGTCAAGATGCCGCGGCGCAGTCGTTCAATGCGGTCTTGTGATGCGTCGTCTGTACCTAGACTGTTCATAATGTTTACAAGGTGCATGAGCTGTGGCCGAAGGCCCATAATGGGTGAGCTGGCCGGATGGTCCAGATTGTTTGTGTACTCCATCTGAGAGCTTGCCATGTACAACCAGTCGCATATCGGGAGTACGATATGGTCGCGAAACATGATTAAAAGGATGCGTCTTATATTCATCCGCTCTGGCACATCGCTTGACAAAACGGGGACAGGCGAAGGGCGTGGGTAAGACCGATGAGTTTGAAGCGAGTGAGAATGTACAGAAGATCCAGATACAGAAGATCGGATGAGCCCAGAGGGCGACGCTTGGAGAGCAGGCGAAGGTGAATCAAGTGCGTCAGACTCGCGACGTCGTAAAATCTGCGTACTCGATGCTTTCAGTGCGCTTGTATCAACTGATCTGTCCGATGCATTCGACATGTGTGGCATGTTTGATGCGTCCGAACGGTGCAACGATGTGGCATAAAGTAAATCCAAGCTCCATAACTTGGACTCAAGCGGCAAGAAAGAGGCATGCAGGAATGGGATCACTGTGCCATAGTAGTGCTTCCACGTGCGCAAAAACTCACTAAGCAAGTGTAGGCCATCATTTTGTTGAAGCTGAACTGCCATGCCATGCAGGCCTGTCGACACAAGTTTCTCAAAATGATCATGTAAAATAGCACGCGCATGCTTGGCATCTCGCTCATGAACGAGCCGTACATATGTTTCAACTGAATCGCCCAGTGCTTCGACAGAAAAGCCACTCGTGCCCGAAGAAAATACAGGCAAGGTCCGTATGCATACACGCTGCCAGAGAGCTGGTAGATTCGGGCTCTCAGCGGTGTGAGTCGTCTGAGAACTGTGACTGGTCATCACGGCTGGAGATGGCAAGTAACTGAACAGACTGTGTGCAAATGCGCTGACATTCCCACCAAGCGACGACGACGATGTTGATGATGACAATGGCGCATTACTACTGTTGGTGAGCACGGAGGAAGATGCTGTGGTTGGACCGAGGTTCACACGCAGTGAAGGGACAAGACTTGTTGACGAAGCATGAGAGTCGCGAAAGCTACTACCAATAGTGGTTCCGCTAGTCCCGGTTACACCGAATCCGCTGCCTCCGCCGCTGCCGCTACTGCAGCTGCCATGGCCGCCGCCACCACCGCCACTTCCACGTACATGTAAAGAGGGCGTGGGAATACTTCGGACTGACGACGAGAGCGAGCGAGATGAATGGGATAATAGAGGGAAGGTATCTGAAGATCGGGCAGTGAGACTCATTGGTGAGGGGACAACGTCAGGCACATCTGGTGGCAACGACATGACGGGGAGATCCACGATGGGATCCCACTTCTCAATAGAGCGCTTCATTGTCGACATGTCGTAAGAGTGCAGGTTCTTGGAAGATTGCGAAGACGAAGTGATGGATCCATATGATGTACTCTCGCGTGTGTTTAGACTGGTGGTAGAAGCCATGAAGCCGTCGACAGGACGAAGGCGTCGAGGACTCAACGAGTGAGGCGGGCCCCGTTGAGAAGTTATCGATGGCAATAATGGGGATGGTAATGTGAATGGGAGTGAATCATGCCTAACCGACGATGGTCCTACTGCATCGCGTGTTGGAGAGACTTCATGGATGCTGGTGACAGTGATAGGTGGCTGGGGTGTCGGTAATGGAGAAATGGAGCCCTGTATGGAGTCCCAAGGAGCAGATATGTTGATGGGGGAGATGACAGTTGGCAGATCCACAGATGCAAGGCTTGGAGTGGGTTGCAGGTGAGCTGACTCGCATAGAGTACATATTTTCACAGTCACCTGGTCGGCGGAGCCGGGAGTTTCGGACGGCAAAGATAAGAGGACCCGATGAAAGGCACCTGGGAGTAAAGGCGACGTGTAGATTCCAATAGGGCGATCTCGTGGACTTGATATCTTTCCAAGAGGGCTTCCATCCATGCTTAATAAGCATTTGAGAATCTGTTAAGAGCATGGACATATTTGCGCAAACATAACTGTGTGAGTATGTATGTGTGCTGATATATGTAGTGGTAACTTACGCGATCGGCCATGCGTCCATTTAGTACGATAGCCAAATGTACAGGTTGTTCAGACGATTTTTGTAAATACGGGACGATAAGTGAATGAACAGCCCACGTTGAGCGAACATCGAGAGCATCGAACCCTTTCGTTGCTGCGTAAGTGCGAAGATGCGATGCAAGGTCCATGTCTGCCGCATTCCCACTAACATCCAAAGCAGCAGCGCCCTTAAAAATCGGTGCATCTTGAAGTACGTTACTGCCAATGGGCAAGGTTTTGGACTCGTGTCGATTTTGCTACAAACGCAAGATGGGTTAGTTTGATCATCCTGTTTCTGGTACTCGAGACATGCACGAATATATAACGAGTCGGAACGTACTTCGGCTATTTTTTCTGCCGTATTTACAGAGTCAGGATCCGGCGCGCAATAGATGGCAGTGAACGGCGTCAATTCTAGAGCGGATCCTGTTGCCCCGAACGACTGCGACAGTGTCAGATGTGTATATTGAACAAATTTGGAGACGCACCTTGAGTGAGCCAGGTGCAGCATTGGGTTGTGCTGTGCGAGAAAAATGAGCCAAAAATGTTCTTTACGTACGTGATACGTTGCACGCATGTCGCACAAGCGTCACATAGACACCTGTCATGTCTCTGTGTTCTCCTCGTTTTATTCAATCAATGGTGCATTTGCGGCCAACACCCACACATACACGCAGTAGTGGGCACGTTCTTTCCACAATCTTACGAACAGACGCGCGCACTTCAACGCGACACGTATTGCCTTGTGTGCGTGTGTGTGTTGGTGAAATTCCAAAATGGAAATGCTAGTGGATTCAGTGTGCTCATTTACTACGAGTCGACACGTGGGATGCATAATTCAGCCACACGCCACCGGAGCAAGAAGGGCAAGTGCCCCAAGCTTGGGGTCAAGAAAAAAAATTACAAGCAACAAATAAGCTATAACCCTCACTTACGCTTTGCTGCTGGTGACCACGCAAGCCTTCATTTGGTGGCTTTGCCCAGAAGCCACAGGCTGAAGCACGAGCAAGTGATGTTCGGTAGAGCGCATAGTAACCATGAGCATCGTCGGCAACCGGAGTCTTTTGACACATCAAACTCACGGGACGTGTCGAAAATAACGAGTTGTGACAAATCCACTGAAGCAGATACGCATGGGCAGCGCACGCTGCAGCCCACATCGCGAGCCAACCATGTTCATCACAAGCCCTCGTCATCCTTGAGCTCATCTATAGACTTTATATTCAAGTTTCCTGGTGGTCAAGAGAATACGCTAAAAGAGTTGACCAATTCTGCATGGCAACGCTCTGCGACAACGATCAAGCGCCGTGTGTCGTCACGACGAGCACCCCCGCCTCGCCGAGTAGACGGATTTTCTTCGCAGGAAGAACTGAAAAAACTTCAGCCTATGTCGCCACACACCACATCAGCGCCGCAGCTACACACGCACCAAGGCGGTCCATTCTCAAATCTCGTGCCTGTAGCAGGACGAGTACCCGTATCCCGCAGTCGAAGTTTCAAGTCGTATTTTCAAAGCAACAGCCGGAATGTGCCACCGTCATCGACAAAGCCAGCTGCGCCTGTCTCTCACGCAGGCGAGGATCTGAGTGAAGTCTTGCGACAGGGCTGCCGTGCTGTTCAACGGCGTCAAGTGATGACCGCAGCGCCAAATGCAAAAGAGCCGGCTACAGCGTTTTCCACCTCGGCTAGAAATGCTGCACAGAATTATACTGATAAAAAGGACGTGCTACCATCAAGACCTACACGTGCAGCACTCATACCGTCAACAGACCCCGAAACGATGCACCATTACAGTCCGTTGCAGACACACATGCGAACCAAGGGACTCGGAGAGCCTGAGTCGCGTCCCAATCGCATACAGCATATACCGAACGACTCGAGGCATGCCCCGCTCGGTTCTAGCTCAACTTCCGACCAATATCATGCGCCAGCTACGACGGAGCCGTGCGATAATCTTGAGTTGAAATTGAACAGGCTTCAGCTGGACCTTGAGAAGGAAATGCATGTGTTTTCACACACCTCGCCTGTTGATGTGTCAAGGGCAGCGCCACCAACGCCACGACCTGCTCTTTCTCCACCAAGACGTCCAACGCTGTCAGCAAAGCCTCCGTTTCAAATCATGTCGCCTGAGAAATATCCGTCGCTGTTGTTGCAAAGCTTGATGCTGAGAAACGACCTGAGCTTCGGCACACAGACTCTAGTCACGGTGCACATTTTCTTCAAAGCAAGCAAGCAGTGATTTGCACGACTTCTGATGACTCGTAACGACCTATGTAGAGTATAAATCCTATGCATGCGCACCTGTCATAGGATGGGACGGTGCCATGCATATCTATGCTGCGCCGGCGTCTAGCGGGTTTATAGCGAGCCTATGACTTGGAGCGCGCCAAAATGAAGACAACAAGGGAAGTAAGAAACGACTAAGCTTGTTTCGATGCTACTTCCGTTTCGCTTTTCAGACCATCTTGTCGCTCGAGGACTGCGTCTGTTCGCCCTTGATTTTATTGGCTTCTTTCCACCGGTCCACGAGACGGCCGACCTGAATGTGAGTACATCTACACAGGCACATACCACCACAGTTAGAGAGTCTCGATCGGGACTACCGTACGGAATCTGCTGTCAACTTTGATCACCAGGCGTTACATACTCTCTCTGTATGACCAACGCGGCTTACGTAGACGGCTCCCGTGAGCCAGACACCCCATCCCTTGATGCATTAGATACATGCTCCCGCGCATAAACACACGTACCGTCAGTCCGAGCAATGCAATGACAGTAAATCTGTGCACATAGTCTGCAATGGGTCGCCGCACCATGGTGCAAGACGTAATTAGTTGGTCGTTGTGAAGACTCAGCAGCAATGCCGCTCTCGCTGCTGAGGATGTCTCGGTTTTTGTTGCTCCACTTTGCCACACTCACACGCACATGCGAAAAGGTGGGGAGTGGGCAGAGGTAGTTTCGTTACGGCCAAGTGTTTCCAGGTTCCCTCTGCGAAACAGTAGCAGCAGCTGTAGCGAGCAACCAACTCCGGCTAGCCAGAAATGTCGTGATCCCACCCCAAACGAAGCAACGAGACAGTCCTCGATACCTGTGAACGAGATTCATCCTGTAGTATGCATGCCATGAATGGCTATAGAGCGAACAGCATTACAGAGACCCCACACATGCCCATTAGAAAAGACTCACAGGCGCATTGCCCGAAACACTATGAAATGAAGACAAATTGTAGATGCCCTCCTGCATCATGAGCGCGTCCGGGTCCTGGTTTTGCTGACGTCGTACGAACAAGAGCTGTGATGGCTTGAGAGCCGTAGCAATAAGGTCCAATCGAGGAGTGTCAACGCCCATACGGCGTGCGCGACGAAGTATGTTGACAAAAATCGGTTCAAGCTCCATGGGTCGTTCGCGATCTAAGTCTACTAAGATACTAGGCTTGAAGTTGGAAGGAAAATTGTGGGAGCGCTTGACATGTAGCTTCATATCAGGTGACGTTGGTAGGCGGAATTGTGCAGGAGAATTGGTCATCGTTTGGCGCATGGTTTGGTCTATTATGCTCGCAGGCAAGCGGTCTTGACCAAGGCCTGAAGCACGTGCCACAGCCAACATTTCAAGCATGATGCCACGCACAGACCCTATGGTGTATGGCAGCATCTCGACCTGGAGCATTTCCAGAAGCGGGCGCCGGGCAAGCACTGTGACACCACCCCAACTGATATTCCACAGCACTTTGCGCCATCTCTCCGCCGTAATATCATTGGTGATCGAAGCAGAAGACCCACCGCGCAGCGCGATCTGCAAAAGAAGTTCGAGCGAGGCCTGTGTCTCAGCTGGCACAGGTGCGTCCAACGGCGCTGGATATACGCCCATACTCAGAACTTCTAACAAGCCGTGCTCCATACGACTACCGCCTTCACGAAGTGTTGCAGGGACCCACGTATTTGCACTCACTATGCTGCTTGCTAGCGGTGGATCAGACTTGACGAGCCGTTCGTAAGATTCATGCTCAATATCGATACCATTCTGCAGTAGAAGAACGGTGGGAAGATGCGTCGGTTTTCGTGCAAGATTCTTCGTCAAGAACGGTCGCATCACCTCACTGTTCGGTACGACATCAGGCAAGCACTTGCAGCTGCACACCACATAATCCAAAGTGATGGACGAATCCAGGTCGTCTGCCGTGCGAATAACGCGTGTAGGACGCCATGCGGTCTCTTCGCCAAACTTGTCAGATACCACATGCATACCATGCTTCCTCACAACATCATAGTTGCTCCGACATACGGCCGTGACATTCGCACCGCCTTTCTGGAATATGTAGGCGTACAAAGTACCGACTGCACCAAAGCCAAGCACTAACACTTCAGGTCTTGCATTCCCATTGAGTGATGACGTCATGGTGTCAAGACAGGATGACAGTGGGTATGTGGAGTGCTGTCGTTTGGCGGCCATGTTGCACGCATTGACTCATTCGGCCACCAAGCCTATTCTGTCCTTGCACTCTTTCATATACCTGCACGCATACACGCTCTCTCTCTCTCTCTCTCTCTCTCTCTCTCTCTCTTTCTACATTCGTAACTTAGAAACAAGTCTTTGACACTGACTCAAAGACAGCTAGAGTTTGGAAAGCGCGAGTCATAGTCTTGACGAACTCCATTGCACGGTTCTCATGGCCATTAGCAAAACACAGCGGAAGCAGCTCCAAGCTACAGCAGATGCATTCAATACACACTTTTCCAAAGCTTACGGAGCTGAACGTTGGGAGCACCTACGTGCACGACTTGTTGAACCCACAGAACATGCTGCTTTGATTAATGCCTATGTGCCATCAGCTGAGATCGATCGAGCTTTGCTTGCTGATGCACCCGAGCCCAATATGTACGAACTGCTGCGGCTTCCACCCGTGCCCACCTCTGCGTCATCAGCCAAGAACCAAGTACCCACGCGACTTTTGTGTTTGAAGCGACGCACAGACCACTCACAAGCATACCACAGCGGACGTCCGTTCCCCCCACCACGTCCTGCGGCCGCGTCAGATCCACAGCAACGCTTATACACTCACTGGAACTTGGACGGTGCATCCGTCCTAGCTGCGCAGTGCTTGGATGTCCAACCAGGACATGCGGTGCTAGACCTGTGCGCCGCACCGGGTGGAAAAAGCATTACATTAGCACAAAAGCTTTGGCCTGAGCTGTATGCAGACCACCCGAGTCGCACATCGACGACGCATGCATCAATCTTACATTCCAACGAAGTTGATCCAGCGCGGTTGCGGCGACTTTATGCGAACTTGAAAAGTTACTTGCCAAATACACTAATGGACCAAGGACTTGTTGAGATCTCGCGCATCGATGCGACATCGCCTCGGGCCGTGCAGTTATTTCCTCTTGGTGAAGAGGGCTATGACCGTATCCTTCTTGATGCGCCATGCTCTTCAGAACGGCATATATTGCATGCCTACATGCGGGCACAGCAATCTGGGACTGCTGCACCTGAGATGCTCGCATGGAAACCGACCATGTCGCGAAGCATGTCGAAGACGCAACTTGCCCTACTGCGTACGGCATGGGCCGCACTGCGCCCAGGCGGAAGACTCGTCTATGCTACATGCTCTCTGAGTGAGCAAGAAAATGACCATGTCGTTCGAGCATTTCTGACATCTACACCCGAAGCGCACGTCCTAAGAACAGACAGTTTAGTTCACTTTTGCCAGCAAACTGAGTATGGGTATTTTGCATTGCCTGACTACGTGATCCCAGGGACCGAGCAGAGATCTCCTTGGGGTCCCTTGTACTTTTGCATGCTCGAAAAGCCATAAGCATCGCGTCAACAAAAATGCAAAGGACCTAAGAAATTCAAGCGTAGCACGAGAAATGAGTTAGTTATAATGCCGGCCCAATATTGTAAAGCGTATGAAAACGCCTCCCACTCCACTTAGGATGTTCTGTGCGCCTCAAACCACTGCAGATGTCAGGCTTCTTTGTAGCAGTGGATGCGGGTGGGACATCGACAGAGGCTGCATTGACTGACGAGCATGATCATGTTGTAGCACGCGGATCGGCTGGCCCAGGTAGCTATGCGGCGATGCCCCTGAATGTATGGACAAGAGTGATTCAATCTGCCGTGCAAGATGCGTGCAGCAGCATTGCATCCGTGTCGCAACCTCTTGTGTTGCGGCACATTTGGATCGGTTCTGCTGGTATCGATACACCCACCAGTGTGCATGATGCTACAAATGCCCTGAGACAGATATTTGGTCCGACGACGGCACTGACAGTTACCAATGATGCGGCCCTCCTGTGCACACACAATGAGGGCAAAGCCAGCGTCGTAGCTATTGCCGGCACAGGTAGTGTCGTCCTTGCATTTGATGTGCAACGCACACTCATCAAGCGTGTTGGCGGTCTAGGTTGGATTCTAGGTGATGATGGCAGTGCCTATGCATTGGGACGTGCTGTCCTACGCGCAGTCGTAGATGCATATCCGCTGCCATCGACGACACTAGCGAGCGCCTGCCTCACAGCATGGCACATGCCATCGGCTTCATGTGTGACAGATCTTTTGAAAACTTTGTATTCCAATGACAATGCAAAAGCGCGCATTGCCAGTCTTGCACCAGTTGTCGTGCAAGCTGCCATGAGCGGCGACGCCTTAGCGAAGCACATCGTTCACACGCAGGCCAAGCTTATGGCCCAGCAAATAATGCGCGCAGCACATTCGCTAGAGCAAACGTGCATAGCTTCTAGGCCTGCACTACGCTTGGGTGGCTCGCTTTTCCACGTCGATGCATACAGGGATTATGTGATGCAAGAAATACAAGAGAAGAATTACTCGAGCGTAGCTGTGGTTCACGACATATGCGGCACAGCCGCTGCAGCACTACGAACAATGCCTTATCAATGATTAATGGGACGTGGATGAAAATGATGAGGAGGATAGTTCTGGCAATGGCAATGACATTAGTTGATGGATGAGAAGCGATTTCGCTGGAGGAAGCGCTGTGCCAGGCGCCGACGTGGGCTCAGGGAGCGAGACGCATTGGGCGACGTCGTCGTCGGAGTGCTGTCGTTGCTGTTAGAACGAAATGGGAGAGAAGACAAAGAGGAAGATGAACGACGATGAGTCGTTTTAGAAGACGTTCTGTCCATGGATGAACAGCGAGAGCGATGATGTCTCATGCTCATTTCAGACGAGGCCGACCCAGATATTGTAGACAAGGATGATGATCCAGATCCAGCCGACGAGGCGGAGGACGACAGCGGAATGAAGGACGTCGCTGGCATGGACGACGTCGATGAGGTCGATGAGGATAACGAGGGAGCGCTAGGAGCCACTGCTGAAGCCGGTCCCATGGACGCAGCTGAGCCCAGAGGCGTTGGCGATCCAGACAAATCGAGTGACGAGCTTCGCTTCAACTTGGAGCCCGACGACAATGACACAGGAGCGGATGCTGACGACGATGCTGACGAGGGCGTGAAGGCGTCCATAAGCGCCTTCGTCAAGTCTTCTGCTTTCGCAGGGACAGATAGCGATGTAGGTGCAAGAAGTTCCTGCAGCGTGCGTCCCAACATTGACTGGGATCGAGGCATGACTTGTCGCGTCGGAGCCTCCGGTGAGCGCGAACGAACGGGATCAGTCTCAGATCGTGATGGTCTGGAAGCCTTATGATCAGCCGAATCGAGCCCTTTGCTGCTCTGTGGTGAGGACAGCGACTGTGGCCTCGATGAATCGAGAGGCGACTCGGTCGTCAGAACGCTAGTACTGTCTTGGGATGACGTCAGAGCGCTGGTTGATGGCGGCAAGTCGTTCGTTGAAAGCCGCAAAGAAAGCGTTTCATTTCCACTTAACCGGTGCAATCCCACACGCGAGCCAACAAGCATGCCACGTGAACGTGTAGAGTCGATGTCGATAGAAGAACGTGCTGAGATACACGCGTCAGAAAATACCATGACCTTGTCTTTCGCAGCGCGGCGCGGTGGGGACTTGAGGCGCATAAGGACTTCGGTCGACGGCTGCGATGCGCACGATCTTCCATCACTGCCATCGTTCAGAGTACACGTTCCTAAGTACCGAGCGAGAGGATCAACGGCAGACGGAGTGACCGACGATGATGATGACGAGACAGACGTTGAAGTCGAGGACGACGCACTCGGGGGGACCGGCTCAAGATTGCAAGGAAATGGTACATCCATACCATGCAGACGCCGTTGAGGGGCGGGGCCTTCGGAGATGGCCTTCGCGAATGCATCGAGCCACAAGTCACGCTCTTTCTCAGTAGTCGCAATCATCTCAAAGTGATGGCCATGAATGGTCAGACGGAACGAAAGCGGAAGCTTCACGGTTGGATCAGTGCTTGGCGTAAGCTTGACATCGGCCAGTGGGAACCAGTAGCGGGGCTGATACGTGTATGTTTTGCGTGCTTTGAACATGAGGACAAAATCGGCGTAAAGCACGCAGCCATAGTACTTGGTCGCAAGAGGGGTTGTGAGAGGAGCCAACTCAGGGTGGTGATATAGTACATCAAGATTGCCGGTCATCTTGCAGTCGCCTAGCGATGGCAGAAACGATGATGACAAAGAAAGACTCGGCTCCATGCGGGAGATGATCATTTCTGACAGCAACCGCGCCTGTCGTTTCGCGCTCGCCTCATTTACATCTGCTGTTACTTGGCGCATGTGTCTCAATGCATCATCAAGGAGAGCCTGGTGCGCGGGAGTCGAGTATGCGCGGATTGTCTGAAGAATAATGGGGTATAGGCACACGCGTTGGATCGGCTTGATGAAAAAGTCACGGAATAGCAGTCGCTGCCGCGATTTAGCGCGCATCGCAGCTTGGCTCGCAGAGTCCTGGATGTCCTCACACGAGCCAAGTGAACGCACAGTATCAGACGCACGATACTGGTACAAATCCCACTCTGGGCGCTGCTCGACAGTGTCGATCAAAGAGAGCGCTTCTTTTTGCCGACTGCAAAATTCACAGTACACGCGGCTAAACTCCGGTGCCAATTCAATGAACAATTTGGCATACAGCGACACAGCCTCATCACAGTCGGGACTGTGAGCACGTTCCATTTCTGTGCGTTCCGAATCAGATGACGCAAGGCGCTTGCAAGACACAATGTCCGTGAGCCGTGAGCTCATGTTACGATGCAGCTTAAGCAGAGCTGGTCCATTCCGTACAACTGTGTTGAGGCGAGAGGAAGAGTCGGCAAAATACGGCACACCTGGCAAGAGCTTGAAGAACACGTTGATTAGCACGTCCAAATCCTTGACGTAATTCGCTTCAGTCTCGGCGAGCTCCAAAAGGGAATGCAAACGCTTCAGCCGATGACGGGTATCTGTTGAGTCGACTTCTGCGGTAACTTCACCCTCGTCATTAGCATGGTCCGATTCGGTGTCGGCCTTGATAATCTCCGCGGACTTGGCGGATTCAGCCGTACTTGACTGGGATCCCGAGTGCGCCGTGTGAACAGATTCTGAAGAGCTCTTCGGAGACCCAGCCATCGCAACAGAGTTCTTGGTCGATGTTGAGGATGTGCGACTGATATCCGTATCCAATTCGGGGGATGATACCCGCTGTAATGCGCTGCCATCAATCAGCCATGGAGAGTGGATGGACTCAAGATCATGACTGTTACTCACAGAGGATTTCGACGAAGGAAGCAGCAAAGACGTACGTGGAGGATGGAGCACCATCGGACTTGGCGTCGGTGCGGAAGAAATCATCATGACCATCTCAGGGGCACCATCAGATCTGGACATCGACGAAGTGGATGGAACTGTGCGAATCGGTGCGGCTGGCTTCACGACTCCTGACTGCAGCGAAAGTGGTGGCGACGGCGCACGCGAAGACACTTGTGACGGCGGCTGCGAGGAAGGCATGGAGACATCGCTAGACCCACCGTACGATGACGGCATAATTTGGCCTTGGCTATTGGTAGAAGTAGTCTCGACTTGCAGTACCATGATCGTGAGCAGAGTAAGCCAAGATTTCACGCAGCGCACGAATTACACGTTACGTTGTCAATGGAAACCAACAGTTGAGGGGACGGGGGAATTCGAGATGAAGAACGAGCGATTCGATGAATCAGAGAAGAGGGTGAGGCAACAGTTCAGCGCGTCCCTATGTGTTTAACAAGAGAGATAGTAGCAGGTGCCTGTGTGTGTGTGTATGTATGTATGTGTGAAGTTCGTACTGATGGAAAATAGTTTCTTGCTTCACTTCTTTGACCTGTCAAGACTATACAAAATATGCCCGACGCCACAGCCGCGATTACGACTGACACCAGCTAAACCCAATTTGTGTGTTAAGCGCCCAGCCAAACAAAGATGAGTTGAGTCAACTCGACCTGGGATTCGCTGGTTCGCACGTAATGGCAATCGCATCCAGAAATATTACGCCCAATTAGGATTGGTGCATGCATAGCCTTGATATTTTTGGCATTGTGTTCTCCACATGCAGTCCAGGTTCTTGCGCAAAAACATCGAGCGTATTTCCTAAGGGACAATTTTTTGGGTGACCTTTCATGATCACACAATTTTCCCCTGCGATGCGCCTGAACGCCGCAGCGATTACACCTCCACGTATTTTTCGCCTCCACTTCCACATTCCGAGTTTGGACAGTTGCGTGCGGTGTGGTTTCATTCTTGGCCACTTGTAGCGGCCAGTGGGAACTGAGCCAATTTACCCGATTGATGGCCGTAACATCGACTATAAGGCGGCTCCTGACTTAAATCAGCCCCATGGGGATCTAGTCGGTCCCTCTGTACATACAAGTTCTATATGAATGCCGCTAGCAACGCAATCTAAAAGCTGTGTTACCATCTACCTGACTGTGCACACGTCCGTTTAGTGACCAGACTCGCCTCTCTCTCTCTCTCTCGCTCTGTCTCCCCCCGCCTTTGGCACTGTGCTTATGTCGTGAAGTGTGCGAGGTTTGCGGAATTTTTTTCACTCTGTGTACGCAAATCATATTCGCCATTTTGTGTGATATAGCGCACCCAAGGCAATGCCTGATACCCTGATTTTTCAACAATCTTGAGGTAGCGCACTTGAATACCAGAGACGGTAAAGTAGGGTATTTCGAACTTGACATTGATGGGCGTGCGACGTACAATGCTTTCTTCATCCTGGACACTTGGAAGGCCAAAATGGGCCCGCATGAGATATTCTTTGCCACCGCTGAGTTGCTTGATCTTCCAGACCATCGCCGATAATTCAGGTGCGTACGATACTGAGCCGATCGCTGCCCGGAATTTGGGCGAGTCTGCATCATCCGGCACGTTGATAAGAATTTCAACATTGTTGGCCGTCGAGCGACGCTTAAACTGGGCCTTGACCTTCACCATGAATTCAATGCGGCTTCCTTCGTGCCGCTCTACGACGGCCTCGGCCCAAATGAGAGGCTTGATTTGCGTGTTGAGACGATAGCTCATGAGCTCGAACTCACCATCAGGAGGGATAAACGAGATCGTACGGTCATTTTCGAAACGGGAGAGACGCACACACTGGTGAAACTTGACATCCTCCATTTCAATGGACTTACCACGGGTCGAGCGCCCCATACTCTCGAACATCACCTTGTCATTTAGGCCGAGCCTTAATTCTGGCATGCCTGAAAGATAGCATTTCATCTTGATAGTGCCGACAATCTCGCTGCGAACCACATGACCGTTCGCATTCACGAGCAGGTTCACACTCTCGACCACGTCCAGAAACACTTCATTCTTGCGATATCTGATTCCTTCTGAGCGCCAAGACACGGCATTTGTCACAGCCATCGGTGGACGAACTTGCACTTCTAGTTTGTATGACTCTTGCGTGATGTACTCCTGTAAAATCTTGCTCTCAGTCGTCTGGGGGTATCCAAAATCCATCATCTCATCTAGCAGCTCGTACAGAATCACAAAGTTATCACGGATCGACTCTTCCTCTAGCTGTTTAAAGTATTCCTCCAGTACAGAAGCCAGCTTGTGCAGGAAAAGTAATATTTCAGCCGCGTTTGTATTTCTTCGCGACAACGCAAGCACTGTCTGTTAGGTCCGATATTCTCGTCTATTTCGACGTACGATATAAGTTACTGTGCCGCACATGCATATAATTCACACCTTGTGAGCTCAGACACGGCTGAATCGCACCTGCCCCGCGCTCTTCTTCAATCTCCGTCAACAGGGGAAGAAACCGCTCCAGAGCAGCTGGATCCACGTCGTCTCTGTAAGATCGCTGGATCAAAGGCTTTCCTTTCAAGTCCAAGATCGCTACGACACTAGCCATGTTCACTCCGTGCGCGCCTTAACAAAGGAGCCCAACAAGCACAGGAAAACGCGCACGCTCTCGCCTCACTTGTCTCGCTAAGCAGCAGTCAACGACTGCTACCGCGCTATCGGCCCACGCGCAAAGCCAGTCAGTCTTCCACGTGGGTATCACGTGACACAACGTTTTTCGTGTGTCGAGCCTGCAGTGCCTAATGAATTCGTGGAAGAAAATTGTTTGTGCTTCGTGACACGGTGGGGGGAGTCAGATGGGGGGATGGGCTTGAACTGGCGGTAAAAAGACCACCCACTTTCAGGGGAAGCCACCGACACTCCATACCGTAGGAATTCTCGTAGTTCGCACTTGGCGGCACAGATTTTACCGACATGACGTACGCCTTGTTACGAACAAGCTTTCGCATTCTATGGAGTGTATATGATGGTTTGTAGCAGCTGACGTAGATCGTTCAACCCCGACCAGTTAGGATCCACACACGTTCATTTTAGCTTAATATGGACCAGGACATCCAAACTCGCACGCGCGCTGATATTCGCGAAAATAGGGCTCAACTCCAAGTCTTAAATTTTTATTGCAAGAATCCCACAACTTTCTGGTCGCGTTCTTTTCGAGGACGGGAAATACATCGTACCTTGCACATCGCGTGAACGATTCTGCCACATACGCGCCGCAAGGTAGTGGGTTCTTTGATCCCAACGCTCCGCAAGTTGCTCGAAGTGGTGCTCTGTAAATGAACCTCTCTTATTAGTGTACATTATTTCTCGGAATTGGCACGAATACATCGGACTCGTTCTCGAAACAACTTCTATCGCGTCTGTCGGTAACTTCAGAACTCACATAAACTTCCATCTACACGCTCTCTTCTCTGAACGGGCTTTTTATTTCCTTTATAAGCGCTTGCTTATTCGTGCGACTTGGTTCGGCACGAAACTGAATGTCTGCCAAGGAAGAAGCTGACGTGGACAACGCTGTGGGATCATCGCCGTCGCAAGGCAATGAAGCCTCGTCTGCTACCGCAACGCATGCATCGACGCCAACGACCACAAAGCATACGGATTCCCTGAATTCGACTGCAGAGACTTCAAAAGACGCCACTAATACGACCGATGCTGGGAATGCAACAGACCTGACCGAAGCCACATATATGGCTGGCAGCACGAAACCTCCATCATTCTCGTTGGAAGCAAGGGATTCAGAGCATAATGCGGATCTAGGAAGTGCAAAAACAGCTGCTCCATCGATGCCCATGGGACCAGAACCAGCAGCACATACAGCGGCTGCGCCAAGGCTATCAAATGAAGACCCGCCACATAGTTCGACAACTCCATCGGAGGTGAACGACACACGGAAGCGCGCTGGATCTCCGCTTAAAGATGCACACATGCCGGACAAGCGGCACAGAATGGATGAAGTGCCATCTTCTGAGACAGATCACGCGGGAGAAGCTCATACCAACGTTCATCAACCCGAGGCCGAGCAGGAGGCCACCAAGGAGACGGTACTAGATGCCCTTAATGCTGCCACCACAGCCCCAGAGTCTGTAACCAGCGCAGCCAGGCCCAGGGCAATGCCAACAGGAGATGTTACGTCAGTGTCCGAAGATGGCCCCAAAGCTGATACACCACATCCTGTTCGTCCCTTGCCCACCAGTATTACGGGTCTCAGTGGCAGTGGAAATGCAGCCCAAATGCATGAGGACATTGTCCGAAATGAGCACTCACACAAGCTTGATTTGTATGTGTGGGAGTACCTGCATTACCGCAAGTTGCACAAGACCGCAGCGGCTTTCGTCGAAGAAACAGACTTGCCTGAGAACCCCGAAATCCCCATCCGTCTGCCTCGCGGCTTCTTGTATGAGTATTGGAGTGTGTTCTGGGAACTATTTAATGCACGTTCCAGCTACAACCACAAGCAAGCGAATTTATTTACCGAATTTCTCGAGTCACGGCGACATCAGCGCTGGAAAGAGGCAACAAAACCCAAATCGTATGATGCCGCCATGTTCTCAGATCCTGGATCTACCGCTGCGGCTACGGCCGCTACGGCCGCTGTCACGGCAGGTGTGCTTCCTGCGCCCGCCACTTCATCGACAGCTGCAGCTTCTGCGGCACCTGTTCCTCCTGCTGTCTCGGACGTTCCACCAGGCTCAGTTCCACCACCCCCATTCGTCATGCCTGGTCATGAGACTGCGAATGCACTTGCGCCGCCTGTGCAGATTCTTATGATGGGTCATGGCGCATCAAATACTCAATCACAGTTACCAGCAACTATCTCACAGACAAAAGCACCTACATCCACACAGGTGCCACCGTCGGCGTCTTCTACCCAGCAGTACCAGCCTTCGACGCCGCAACAGCTGCCGGGCTCTGATTGTCAGACGCCAACCGCGCAGTCCCAAGCTGCAATGCAACCCGCCTCTGCGCCGCCCACGCCTAGTTCGAATGCAACAATGTCGACAGGATCTGCACCAGCTATACCTTCAGCTGTGCAGCCATCTGCCCAAAACCAGGCGCCAACGTTTCATACACAGCATGTTGGTGCGATGCGTGGCCAGCCCATGTCGGCCACCCAGCCAAATGCTGCCACAGGTCCCCCGACACCTGTGCTATCGTCATTGCCCACCACGTTCAAAGTAGGACAGCAAACGTCAGCACTGGTGCTCTAAATGCATTGACGATGGCACAATCGCAAGGGCAAGCGCAAAGTCTCAACCAGGCAGCGCTATCGCAGCAGCAGCAGCAACAACAACAACAACAACAACAGCCCCAGAATCAGCAGAACCCATCCCAGCAGCAGCTCCAGCAGTCTCAACAGCCGTCTCAGCAACTCCAGGCTCAGTCTCAGCAGACACCTCACCATCCACAATCGCAGCAGCAACATCAAATGCAACAAGCGTTGGCACGAATGCAAATGGGACATGGCATCAATCTAGCATCGTTAACGCCCCAGCAACACCAGCAGCTGCTTGTGACTGCTGCGTTTCGGCAGGGTATACCCATGGATGAAATCAAGAACATGACGCCCTCGTCACGACTCGCTCTTTTGCACTCCGTGACGCAAGGCATGCCCTTGCCAAATACACCGACAAACCGCTCCGCAGATCCGCAATTACATGCACGCTTGTTGCTCCAGCAGCAGCAGCAGCAGCAGAATATGCTTTTCATGCAACAAATGCAGTCTCAAGCAGCTGGTCAAGTCAAAATGCCTCAAAGTGGAAATGCCACGCTCCAGGCACTGCTCCAGCGGCAACCACAGCGTATGCCGCCAGGTACACCGTTGGCTGGCTCAAAAGCGCCAGTCAATGGGGCAGAAATGGGCACAGGGGGGAACATGGGCGTGATGGATGCTAGCATGGCAGGTGCAACTGCTGCTGCACATGCGGCCATGGCATCTAGACCGATGTTGCCATTTTCTCGTGGCGATACGCAGTCGCCTAGTATGCAGCCACACGGGTCTGCATCGTTTGCTGGGGGTGCGAGCGGCGGTGGTATGCAGACCCCTGAACAGTTCACACTGCAACAGCGCCAAATGTTAATGATTCAATATCAAACACTGCAAGCGGCTATCAAGAACGAGTGGATGAAGGCACAGAGTGCTACAGTGCCCGGCATGGCACAGCTAAGCCTCGCAACGGCGCAGCAATTGCAGGCCAAGGCACAGTCGATTCTTTCATTTCTGCATACGGACCCATCTCAACCAGCCTCATTTGCTGGAGATCCGTCAATGCAGGTTCAGATGTTCCAACACCTACAGCAGCAACAACAACAGCAACAACAACAGCAACAACAACAACAACAACAAAATGCGCTGCCACAACAGCAACAGCAGCAACAACCACAAGCACAGCTCCCTCAGCCGCCGCAACAACAGCAGCAGCAGCAACAACAACAACAACAACAACAACAACAAGTTCAGCAACCACCAGCGCCATCGCAGACATCGCAGCTCCATTCGCAACCAATGCTGGCATCAACGCAGCTCCCGGGTGGACAGGCAGCCATGAATACAGCACTACTGGGACAGACACAAATGGCGCAAAAAATGGGTCCTGTGCTGCCAGGTCAGAACTTACCTGCAGGTGCACGGATGCACGAGCTTGATTTTTCCTCTGTTCCCAGTGTGAATGGCAGTAACATGACGCCGTACTTCCCTCCGTCCATGGGCATGAATGGAATGGCGCCCTCACTCAGCACTTCTCAACACCCAACACCGACACAGCCGCAAACTCAAGCGATGATGAATGGATTCATGTCGCCAGGCATGCCCAATGCGAATGGAACTGCACCATCAACGCCTCTCACTTCACACGCTACTCCACAAGCAGCTGCTTCCAACACCAAGGGGCGCATGAACACGGCACGAGCGAGCGTGGGACCGTCACAGGGGCGTGCCGTCACAGATATGCCTATGAGCCCGTGGCAGACCCATCCGCCCACACCTCATGCACACGAGTCGCCATCGGCCCCGATGCCCAAGAAAGAGAGGACTCGCAAACACGCCCGCAGCTCATCGACAAAGACACCATCAGCAAGCCACGCGTCCACACATGGCGCCGGCGCCGCAGCAGACAGGTCCGAAGACGTCCCGCCGAAAGATGAGCCACAGGATTGGGACTCAAGCACGAAAAGCGATGGTGCATTAGCGCCGGCACCACCGTCGAAGTCACTTGTGTCGGGCTCGACGTCTTCGACATCCGGCGCGCAGCCCATGCTAAGTATGCCTTCCATGATGGACGACATGGTCACAGGATCTCTGTCTTCGGCGTCAGGCACAGGAAACAATGCGGATGACTTTTCAGTCATGTTTGGCGTGTCGGATATATTCGACTTTGACGGTGGCGATACCACATCAAACTCGGGTGGTGGATTCTTGGGTAACTCAACCTTCTCTGGAGAAGGTGATGGGGGCGACAAGACGGAGACAAAGACGTCGGAATCAAATTCAGATCGAGCTTGAAAGACGCATTCATGTTTAGCGCGAGAGTGTGACTTGAGACACCGGTTTTGCTCTGCCTTGGCTCTGTGTCTTATCCCTACCTACGACATGTGCGCAAAACGGTTGTCTCCTCATAATGCAAGGCCAACTTTCCGCATGTCTACCTACCACAATCCCCCCTAGCCCCCCCCCTCTTCTCGCTCTCCTTTTCGTCGCATGGTTGTATATTTGTTTGCCTGTCTAGAGCGCTTGCCTCCATGCGTGCCACTACTGAAGACGTGTTGAAAAGTCATCCCACCATCGTCGGCGCACGCATCGGCTGCTGCGTGCTTATGGAATATAAATGAAGGGGAGGGTGTAGTTGTTGTTTCACGTATGAGAGCATCCTATTCTTTGATTCTAATACGAAACGCCCATTTTGAGTAGGCAAGCGCTCGCTGCACACAAAATAGTAGTAGTCAGAAATGAGCTCATGAAAACACAACGATTGATGCTGTATTGCCCATTTTTGCTACTACCGGCTTGTAATGCTGCAGAGGGGCCTACAGCTATGTAGCCATACAAATACGAGAGATAAGCCCATCTCCGCGTTCTTCTCCCTTGCTTCATACCATAAGGAAGAGAGATAGAGACAGCAGAAGAAAAAGCCATTTTAGACGTGGAAGGCACGCGACTTTCTGCGACCACGGGCCTTCTGGAACTTGGGACCCTTGGAGCGCACGAATGGCTTCTTGTGCTTGTGTGGACCGAAACCAAAGTGCCTGACCGCCTCACGAGCATTCTTAGGACCACGCAGGAGAATCGTGTTGCTACCGGTTGGAGCGCGCATCGCAAGCTGGTCAAGCGTGAGGCACTCGCCGCCAGCGGCCTCAATGCGCGCACGAGCAGTGTTAGTGAAGCGAAGGGCAGCCACGCTCAGCTTCGGCACCTCCAACACACGGTTGTCGTCCGTAATCGTGCCGACGACCACCACAGTCTTTGGCGACTCCGAGGCATCCTTGGCAATACCTCCCTGGTTACGCGAGAGGTACATGACGCGCGACACTGACACGGGAGGACGGTTGATCTTAGACATAAACAGGCGACGCAGCACCACCTTGTTGAAGCGCGAGTCCGTACGGCGCGCGAGGAATCGATACAGTTTCACCAGCAAAAGCAGGTATGGGTCCTCGCTCTTGGGCGCGGAACGGCGGCCCGTCTTGACATGGTGCTTCTTGATGTCAACACCCTGGCTGTGTTAGCGGCTTCTGCTCTTTCTTGTACCATGCGCACACGTCGCGACAACTGTCGTTACGTACCATCTTGACTACTAGCTCGTAGGATGGATAGAAGAAAGTTGCCGCCCCCGACAGGTCTTACTCTCTCAACGAGCGCCGGAATCTCTCCCACAGGGGCCCTTGTCGATAACACAGTTCCAGGTGCCTCATAGGCCCTATTTTACTTCAAAACTATATCTCGTCACGTGAATCATGAGTCGCACCCAGAGCTCCGTACCCCCCTACCTTCGACACTCGGCGCGGGTGTCTCAGCGGTGGATCTCTGACACGTTCGACGCCTCGACCCGCGTGGCCAGTTATACCTCCACAAATCCACACACGACCTGCCATGTGGTATACACGTGTACGCTTGGCAGGGGGGTTTATGGAGCTGAGAGCGAGAGTGCAGGTGCAGGTGCAGCCGTGTTTGTGTAGTTGGACCGGTCCAACCAAAGCCTTGCGCCAAAAAAGCCTTGTAGTATACAACATTCATAACGCCAGCTTTCTGTGAGCATGGTACGTACGATGATGCTTTCGCATGCGCTTGGTAATACGTGCCCGCCATTCTAACATGTCAGGCTGACGTGGATCCGATGTCGAGTCCTGTGGCATCCAATCGGGAAGAGCTCGCCGAAGGTATGTGTCGCCATCGCTGCCGCTTTTGCGACTTTGATCCTACCGCCCCCTCCCCTCGTTTCCCTTTGCGTCAAGCATCGTTACTTACACAAATGCACGTGCGCGCGCGATTACCAACACCCTGTCTTTTCTTGTCTCTTAGTGGAACCGATGGACGCACCGGCTGAACGTGAATGGCAAAATGCCGAGAACGATGACTTTGATCGTCGCGAAGCCCGTGAAAACGAACATGACAGTGAACGTCAACGCTCACCGCCTGCCCCACCGCGTTCATCTTCTCGCGAAACGTATGAGCGCCGTCGTTCACGCGACTATGACCACCGGTCGTCCCCACCCCCTAGGGATGCATATGACCGGGGCTCATCTCCACCCCCGCCTTCACGTCGATATGAAGATCACGATCGTGAGCGCGAGCGCGATCGTGGACGACGAGGCTATGGTCATGGACATGCATATGGACGCGATGACCGATATGCCGGACCTCCGCCTTCGTCGTTCGCACGAAGTCGTGAACCACCGGTGCGACCGTCGCCGCCACCATCCAACATCGTGGGTGCCTTTGGTCTGAGTATTCGCACGACGGAGCGCGACTTGGAGGATGAGTTTGCCCGCGCAGGAGAGGTGGAAAAAGTTGTCATTGTTTACGACGCACGCACTGGCCGATCGCGTGGCTTTGGCTTTATCACGATGAAAGATATCGAAACGGCCACACGCGCGATTGAACAACTCAACAACGTCGAGCTTCACGGCCGCCGTATCCGCGTGGACTATTCCAGCACCACACGTGCTCATGATCCAACGCCTGGCGAGTACAGGGGAAACCCTCGGCCTGTGGGTGGCGACCGCTTCTCCCGCCCACAAGTAGCTCGTACCGTGGGAGTGCATTTGGCCGAGAGCGCGGATGGGGCGAGCGTGGGCGTGGACGTGATCGCGATCGTGAATTTAGTCGATACCACGACTCATACTATGACAGGCCTCCTCGCGATCGTGGTGGAAGTCGCTACGATGATTATCCGCGACCAAGCGGTGGCTGGTCACGCCGTGATGACCGTGGTGGACCACCACCCCCACGGTACCGTCCTGGATCAGGCCCTGATTCAGATAATTGGCGTCGCCGTGCGAGTCCGCCCCCGCGCATGCGCTCACGTAGCCCGCCGCCACGTTACCGTGACTACGATGACGGGGCATACGACGATCGCAGGCGGCCACCGGCGCCTCCCTCGGACTATGGTCGTGAGCGTGAGCGTTCCGAGTACTCTGAACGTTCAGATCGTCCTGCCGACTATGAAGACTCATTTAGCCGATATGAGGATGAGCCGCCTAAGCGATACGACTAAAGAGAACAAGCCACAAAATAAATGCAACGCCATGGCTACATTGTAGCAAACCCCCCCCCCTGTAGGCAAGCGGACGTTGTATGGCAATTTGAATCGCGCGACTGAATGTTACATGTGCAAAATTTCTATTGCGCACGTATAACGTACGAAGTCACCAGCACGTTTTTTGTTGTTTTCTTCGCTCGATGGTATCAAGTCCAAAGAAACACATAAGGATGTCTTGAGAGGTTGAATCCAAGACTAACTATGATGATAGAGATGGTTCGGTATGCTAAGCATTCGTTTCAATGTTTTTTTTTTTCTTCGTACAGTTTCATCTGTGTCAATGTACATGCCGCTCGGCTCAAGATACAAGACAGACCATGTATACATCCAGGCGAATGAGTGTTAGACTGGATGCAAATTCAGAGCGAGAGGAGCATAAAAGAAGGAAGAGAAGGCGAAACAGATTGGAAATTTACGATCCCATGGACTCTCATTCCATATGCTTAGTTGCTGGCAACATGTAATCATATATATATAATGAAAACGGCATGGGTTCCATGAATGACGTGGCCCGTTGGATGTTGTGGTCTGGGCTCTGCATTGTTGTTGCACCTCCACATGGCCGATCGGCGCTGCCGAGCTAGACAAATTCTTGCGTGCCTGATGAAGTGCGTGTTCGTTATGGTTGGGCCGCTAACCTTCTCCCACGACAGATGAACTCAGACTATGTGCCCCCGTGATTGTTCATTCTATTGGCGCGCAGTGAGACTTGGACGGGACAGACACCTCGTCCAGGCATGAGGCTGTCGCCAATGAACGCTAGACGTTCTTTGTATGCTCTTGCACTAAGAGTTGAATATCCATACCTATGTATGCACGCTACATAGCCTTAAAGGCGCGAGATGATGCGCTCCGTGAATGCCCTCGTTCCAAGGTCACCACCTAGATCTCCCGTACGCTCGCCTGCAGCGATGGTGTCAAAGATGGCCTTCTCAATCTTGTCGGCATGTTCAAAGAGGTTCATATGACGCAGCATCATGATAGACGAAAGGAGCAGGGCCGTTGGGTTAGCCTTGTCCTTGCCAGCAATGTCAGGAGCTGAGCCGTGCACAGCTTCAAAGATCGAGGCGTCACGACCAATGTTACCGGAGGGAGTGAGACCAAGACCACCAATCAGACCGGCACACATGTCAGATAGGATATCCCCGTACAGGTTGGGCATCACCATGACACGGTCAGAGTACGGCGTTGGGTCGCGCACGATGCTCAAGCACGCACGGTCCAGCAGGTCTTCATCGTACTCAACATCCGGGTACTCCTTCGCAACGTTGCGGCAAGCATTCAGGAACATGCCGTCAGACATCTTCATGATCGGAGCCTTGTGCACAGCTGTCACGCGCGAACGACCGTTCTGCTTCGCGTGGTGGAATGCGTACCGAGCAACGCGCTCCGAGGCACCGTACGTAATCAGCTTGATACTCTGGACGACACCATCAACGACCTCGTGTTCAATACCAGAGTACTCGCCCTCTGTGTTTTCGCGGATCAACACCGTGTTCACATCATCGTACGGCGTCTTGAAACCCTTGAGCGACACACAAGGACGCACATTTGCGAACAGGTTAAAGGTACGGCGCAGCGTCAGGTTCAGCGAGACATGACCCTTGCCGACCGGCGTGGCAAGAGGTCCTTTGAGAGCGACAGTGTTGCGACGAACTGACTTGACAGTCTCTTCGGGGATCACCTGCTTTCCCTGACTGTTGATCGAGGGCGTCACATCTGCCTCTTCCCACTTGATAGGAACGTTTGCCGCACGGTAGATCTCCTGGACTGCCCCTGACACTTCGGGGCCAATACCATCGCCAGAAAACAGTGTGACAGTGTACTTTCCATCTGCATCCTTCTCCTTGTTGTAGGCAGACGTCGGTGCATCTGCTTCAGCGGCGAAGCCACGGCATAGCACGCTAGAGCGAGCGACACGAGCCAAGGGACGCGAAGCAGCTGGGCGCACAGCACGCGTTGCGGCAGCGGCGAAAAACATGGTTGTAGCAGCGAGCCAAGTTGCGTGCATGCACTTTTCGTTAGGCCCAAGCCACTTGTACTTTGCTTGGCTGGCGCCCACTCGCTGGGTTTCGGGAGTTGTTCTCGGCCGAATGCCGTTGGCGCGCTGCAGGGCGCTGTACCCAATGGGTTTAGTCACGCGCCAGGCCATGTGCGTATGCCTGTGTCGGTCGCCCCGACCGAGACTGGGCGGCAAGGAACCACTAGATGAATACGGTTCGCTTGCTTTTTTCCCACCAACCTCGGGTTTTGTTCACAATAACAAACATGAGTGTGCTCTCTGTCGTTCTCCCTCGCACAGCTCGTCCCAGCACATCGAAGCAGGTACGTCGGGCAGTGACATGAGCATGGTGCTGCGTACATGCACAGGCATGCATGTGTTTGTAGATGTGAGAGAACAAGTGCTGACACACGTGTATGCAGCTCCTGAGGTCGGTGTCGACGCTCACGGCTCAGACTCCACGTCTGACAAGCGGCCCGAAGAAGTATGGTGGTGTTTACACGGCTACGCTGATTCCCGGTGATGGTGTCGGAAAAGAGATCACCGACTCAGTGAAGGAGATTTTCGACAAGCTGAACGTGCCTGTGGAATGGGAGCAGTACGACCTGTCTGGTGAGATGCAGGGTAATGATTCGCTCTTCCAGCAGGCCATGGACAGCCTGCGGCGCAACAAGGTGGGTCTGAAGGGCACACTCTTGACGCCTACAGGCGCTGGCTCGCACAACAGCTGGAACGTTGCAATGCGTCAGCAGCTCGACATTTACGCATCGATGGTGTTCTGCAAGTCCCTCGAAGGCTTCCCAACGCGCCACAAAAACGTTGACTTTACGATCATCCGTGAGAACACCGAGGGTGAGTACAGTGGCCTGGAACACAGTCCGTCACCAGGTATTGTGGAATCCCTCAAGGTGTCGACGCGCTTCAAGGCTGAGCGTATTGTGCGCTTCGCTTTCGACTTTGCGTTGAAGAACGACCGTAAGCAGGTGACCTGTGTGCACAAGGCGAACATCATGAAGCTCGGTGATGGTCTGTTCCTCAACACGTTCCGTCGCGTCGCGGAAGAGTACAAGAGTGCCGGCATCAAGGCGAATGACATGATCGTCGACAACACATCGATGCAGCTTGTTGGCCGCCCAGACCAGTTTGATGTCATGGTCATGCCCAACCTGTACGGTAACATTGTATCGAACATTGGCGCTGCCCTTGTTGGCGGTCCGGGCATTGTGCCTGGCGCCAACATTGGCCGTGAGTTTGCCCTGTACGAGCCTGGATGCCGTCACGCTGCCAAGGACATCATGGGCACGAACAAGGCGAACCCGACGGCTATGATTCTCAGTGCTACGATGATGCTCCGTCACTTTGGTCTTGACTACCAGGCCAACCAGATCGCCTCAAGCGTGTACCGTGTTATTGCCGAGCGCAAGGTCCGTACTGCTGACATGGGCGGCAACTCGACGACGCAGCAATTCACACAGGCCGTTCTCGACAACCTCTAAGCCTGTGTTTGCGAATGATCGAATGCCGCGCGTGTGTGTGTGCGTGTGTATATGTACGTGATGGTGTCGTGGCTTAGTCCCATCATAGCATCTTTCTCGGTTTTCGGATATGTGAGTGAGTGTGTATGTGTGGTGTGGATGAAGTTCATACAGATGTTTGGTGATGTTAGTCAACGTCGACATCATCACTGCCTCGTCGTCACATGGAATGCATGCTTCTCTCGCATGCGTGCGTCTTTAGAACCAGAATGACACGGAAAAACTCTATCCTGTTCGTTTCTGTCGTAGTGCCACTCACTATACGTACCTTGCTTGTGCTTTGAAGTGCGTGCCACCATAAGGGTGGCATAAACAACATATCACCTGGATGCAGTTCAGCATGCTGTGCATGTGGCACGACATTTTGTACAAAGCCAGTCGGAAGCGGTGTCGAGCTGAATACGTCAACCTGTGAGGTGTTATTCATCAGCTGTGTGAACATGTCCATGTCGTCGGAATCTGTGGATTCTCCGTCCTCCGACGTTGTCGCAGTTGTTTGTGTCCTCTCTTTGCTCATGAGCACATGCTTCTTCCCGTCACTAGCCGCCGCATACACCTGCATCTCGTCTGTCATGTTCGGCGGCGCTACCCACACATGCTTGTGACCCACGACTTGCACGTAGCAATTGTAATAAGGGTCTGTATGCGCCGGTGATACCGTCGATTCTGGGCCAAGCCACACACTGATAATCGGGTCCATATCGTCACTGGCTCTTTCAGGCATGTATAGTGGTACTGGCGGGCAGGTATACACGTAGTCGGGCACCAAGATATCGTGTAAAAGCCATGGGAATTGCGTGTGAAGACTATGCTGCGCAAGGTATAGTCGCTCGTTTGGTGAGTGATCGCCGCAGTCGTCCATCCACCCAATTCGCCGAAGAAATTCGCGCCATGGCACGATTAGTTGGCCCCAGTCACTATCCGTATACTTGTCGCCTCGTTCAACTGGTACAACACGCCCCGGTCCAGCTCGTCGGCATAAATCCTCTCCATCACGCCAGCGCGTTATAGCTGGCCAGTCCTTTGCAAATCCACGCACAATGAACGGATGGCCATAGGGGTAGGATGTCGATTTGCCACTAGGACAAAACGAAAGGAACTCTGAACGGGATGGAAGCCGTTCGCATTCGTGGATACACTGTTTGGCTGCTGCGTCGAACATTGGCTTGCGCACACTGTCAACGACTGTGTTGTATTTGCGACTCTTCCCGTGTCGCTGGTTGTCTGGAATTAGTAGGTGCTGTTGGAGCTCTGCGATTAGACTATGGACCCATCCTTCACGTTCATGCCCAGGTGTGCCTGACATGATGAGGGCCAAGTCTAAATCTCGAACGCGAGCCTCAAGAAAACGCCGTGTGCATGCAGATTCGCACTGTGTCAAAAGAACTGTGGCTGCACTGCTAATCAGAATCGCATCTGTGTGTAGAGCACGCCACGCCACCGGTACATCCGTATACCGATAGATGAGAAATCGTTCTTCACATTGCGGGCGAATCACACTTGAGCACACCTCAACCACATACATCAGGTTAGTTCGTGCTTCCGATCTCTCTATGCTGTCTCCCTTGCTCGCGTGTTGTACAACGTTGGCACATGTCTGTAATGAGGAGACTAAGGGATGCCATTCTTCTTGTTTTAATACACATTCAACGACGTCATCAACGAGATGATGTTGCATGTCATCGGTGCACGCGGCGGACAAAGCGCGTGCTGAGAGTGACGCGCAAAACAAAAAATGTCCAAATTTACGCGTAATTCATTCTATTGCAGCACCCTCGCCACACCGGCGCACTGCGCCTGCACACACAAATTACACAAACCGAAACAAACGATATAGTTAGAAGTACAGCAAAGGGATCCTACATGTCAAGTGCAACAAAGACGCACACATGACCGACCTACATAAACATCACCGACAACAACTGCCCCAACATCAACGATATCAAAACATGGTATGTGACACTTAAATCTCCTGCGAGCCCATGGCTTTCTTTGACTTGCCGCTCTTTGCAGGAAGGAGTTCGCTCTGGATGAACGGCAAAACACCACCCTGACTGATCGTTACACCGCCAAGGAGCTTGTTCAGTTCCTCATCGTTACGAATTGCGAGCTGCAAGTGACGAGGAATGATACGCGACTTCTTGTTGTCACGAGCAGCGTTACCAGCCAACTCGAGAATTTCAGCAGTTAGATACTCGAGCACGGCAGCCAGGTACACTGGCGCACCAGCACCGATACGTTGCGCGTAGTTGCCCTTACGAAGGAGACGGTGAATACGACCCACTGGGAACTGAAGACCGGCCTTGGCCGAGCGCGATTGAGTCTTGACCGACGAGGCGTCACCGGCCTTACCACCAGACTTGCCACCAGACATGTGTATATATGATGTGGTTGAAGGAAAGAATCAAACGAGGCGTCCTTAAGAATAGTAAGCCGAGAGTGTTGGCGGTGATTGCAGGTCCCTTTTTATTCGCAAGCAGAGAGCGAGGCTGTCGTCCGTACGCGCCCGTGTTAGCTGCATGATCCTGCTGGCCTCACGCGTTTGTCAGATGAGCCTTAGTATGCAATTGCGTGGACATAAATTGCATCATCAAGTGCCGCACAGATTTCGTCCACCTGAATTGTGCGGACACTGTATTTCAATTGGCCCATTTCGATTTTTGTCCACCTAGTTGACTTGTTCACACATAAGCAGCCCGAATAATATTCCATGTCTCGTGGTCATTAAGTCACTTTTAGTGGACATAAATTGATCTCACAGAAAATGCACGCGCACATGCCGGCCGTGCAGCTGATCGCACAGCACGGGGTGGCGACTCGCGTAACTCCCGCGACGCGGTCCTGCATCCGTGGAAACGTATATAGACCATATTGCAACAGCCTGTGGCTAGGCTTGTCTCGTTCGTCACACCCTATTTCGTATATCCAACGCCATGCCACCTAAGCCTGCTGAGAAGAAGCCACCATCAACGGCCGGCAAGGCACCTGCCTCAGCTGGTAAGGCACCGACGGAAGGAGCTAAGAAGACGTCAAAGGCCCCTACAAAGTCGTCCGAGAAGAAGAAATCTAGCAGCAAGGTTCGAAAGGAGACTTACTCGACCTACATCTACCGTGTGTTGAAGCAGGTCCACCCTGACACGGGTATCTCAAACAAGGCCATGGCCATTCTTAACTCGTTTGTGCAAGATATCTTTGAGCGTATTGCCTCAGAGGCGTCGAAGCTCGCTAGTTACAACAAGAAGAGCACAATTTCTTCGCGTGAGATCCAGACAGCTGTGCGCCTGATTCTTCCCGGCGAACTATCGAAACACGCCATTGCTGAGGCCACGCGCTCTGTCACCAAGTTCTCGTCGACATAAGCGTGTCTTGTTTCGGGCACGGCAGTGTTTGGGGAAGAACGAGTTCGTATAGATTGTTATTTTGTTTCTCTTGTATTTTACTAGTTGGAATCGAACCAAGTCCATGAGCTTACTGACCGAAGGCCCGTGTCGGAAACTACTCTCGTCGGCTGGGCATGATCATGCATATGACTGGCTCGGCGTGAATATCTGTATTGTTATGGCGTTTATTGGCCTTGAAGCAGGCCCTGTAGCGCTGCGTGCATCTGCTCCATGTCCTCTTGACGTATGTCACTTGTAGAAATGGGCTCGTTCTCGATGTGCGGAAGTGCCGCCGTGGAGCTTGTTTGGCCGAGCTTCCCGTCTGTGAGCTCATATAGCACATGATCAACTTCCGCTTGTGCCTCTTCTTCCATCTCTTCTGGCTCTTCTCCCAGTACACTCGACTCTAGGGTATCCTGCATCATTTCCTCGAGAATACCGGCCTTTTGAAAATGTCAGGCATGCCTCCCTTTGTGCAGACATCTTTGTCGCTAGAAACGTACCTTCATAAGTTCGCTACTCATCTCTCGCATAGACTGCGTCATTTGGGGTATCCTTATGAGTGAGTTTGATAACTTCATGATTTCTGTAGACTTTTGAAGATGTCCCGTAACTTTGAACATAGCTGCATGTGAAATTCGTCAATGTCAGCACCGATGTTATGTGCATTTATTTGCGCGCACATGCACCTGGATACGTACATAGTTGTTGTTGTAATTGCAGTGATATACTGTTCAGTTGCGACTTACTGGTGACGAGTCGTGTCCTGTGTTTGGTTGAGCGCACAACTTCTTTGGCAAGAACCGTGGCATTGCGCACGTCCCCTTTTCGTGCAAGTCGCTTCACGTCGGCCTTGACCTTCATCACGGCCTGATCGATTTGCCGAATTTCTCGATCCAGGGATCGCTGCTCTTGTCGGAGCCGACGTTGTACTTCTCTCACGCGCTCCTCTTTGCCTGGCCCATAGAAGAAGCGGGATATAGATTGCATCATTCCGCCGGGCTTTTTACGAGAGTGGCGTGTGTGTTTATGTGTTCGTTGCTCTGCTTCTTCTAGCAAAAAGTCTACGTCCGTGTTAGCGATCAGGTGTCACTACAAGTACATGCACGATGAATGTCTTGTTGCAGTCGCTCCTCGTGCGCGTTAGTCAGCAGTGCGCCGTGCCAAGATTGAATCGCCTGTCGGAAATTGGCTCATGTGGGTGGGCGAGACATCTATTCATATTTCATTGTTTGCCTTCATTCTCGTTTACGCTTAGCCGTGCGACACATGTTCTTTGGTTCGATACATAGCTTGATAGTTTTATTCAATTCATTTATACGCGCACTATATCGTACCAGCGCATGTTTGCATCGTGATGCAAATAACTGAAAAAAAATATATAAAACGACTTTTATCTTGTTGCATAACGAGTTGCCTGTCGCACGACAACCTAAGGCGACATTCACTGTGCGCATGTCCACGTGGCATGCCGACTAATGAAAATACGGCACATTTTCTTATACACATGTATATCAAGCAGCACTCCATGAATGCAGCCAGTCAATCGGCTCGCTACAGACGAGCAGATTCATTGCACCCCATCCAAGCGCGATGGCATACCAACAGACGTTGAGGAGGAGGTACGCGTGTATGCATGCAGGCAAATTCAGCAAGCAGGGATCCTATTACGACTTCCCCAAGTTGCTATGGCCACCGCACAAGTAATACTGCACCGGTTTTGGTTTGTGTCATCTATGAAGCAATTCGATGTACGTCATGTCGCAATGGGCGCACTCTTGCTTGCGACCAAGCAAGTTGAAGTGCCAGTGCGCCTGCGCGAACTGCTTCTAGTTTTCGACTTTCTGTATCAGCGCGGGCTTCATTATGCCAAAAGTTCGCCTGGTGTAAGGACGAAGGAGTCGCATGCCGGGGTACACGCTGTAGAGGCGAACCAAGAAAAGAAAGCTGCGCCAATATTTAAATACCAGGCATGTGACAGCCATTCAACGACGATGTATGACGCTAAAGACGCCGTCATGGTGGCTGAGATGCAGATCCTCAAGCGACTCGGATTTCATGTGCAAGTCGAACTGCCATATGCACTCATGATCAACTACATGCAGGTAATGGGTATACTCGAAGTTCAACTGACAAGCACACGCGACCCAGATACCAAGCTCCATGCGCCACAAATAGCTTGGAACTATCTAACGGATGCGCTCCAGACACCAGTGTACTGCTTATTTCCAACACATGTAATCGCATGTGCCTCGATTTATCTTATGACGCTGCACCCGAACACACTCCATGAACCACTCCCACTGCCGCTTCAACCGCGGCCTTGGTGGGAAGTACTAGACTGCACACGCAACGAACTTCGTACGGTTGCTGCCTATATCTTCCGACTGTACGACACATCCACAGGCGGGACATCGCGAGCTGGGCATGGATTCGCTGTGCGTGTGCGTGAGGACGAAGGCGGCCTGGTGGACATTGCTAGTCGCACGGGAATCCGCGCATGGCTCGAGCATACAGAAAAGAATGCATAACCACAAACTATGCAGATCTAAGGACGGACGCAATACGCTGCTCCTCACGCAGCCTGTGCAACGTATTCACGGGAAAAGCTGCGCGGCATATCAAACAGGTATCACGCGGGGCACAGAAAACTACGTTTGAAATGCAATGGTACAGTTGGAGCGGCGCTGGTTAGCATGAACAAAAAAAAAGGCAGATAAAGAGCATGGGGAACACGTACTGCTGAGACAAACAGAGCACACATATCCGATGTCAACGTTATGCCGGTGACAGAAACAGGCGGCACGGAAATCAACATCATCGAGCGTGGGAAACATGAGCGAGCCTTCAATAGAGCGAGAAGGCAAGAACGTCGTCATTAACACCTGCAACAACCCTTGCAGGTTCGGTACATGGAAGTAGCGACCGCCTGTCAAGTGGCACGCTTGGCGCAGAAATACAGTTTCGTCCCCCAACAGCTTACATACATCGACTTGAATGCCTTGTTTCTGAGCGCTAAAGATGCAGTTCATCATAGGCACATACTGCGCACTTACATCTGGCGTAGCACTCAAAACTAGGATTCTCTGGAGAAATGACGTGTTTCTCCCGCGTCTTGTGCGAGCGCCTAGAGCGCCCGAATGCGGGTCTGTTGTGGTCGATTCGCTCAGCACAGTTGAGAGTCGGTGCATGTGACACAGCGCAAGCGCTAGTGCACGCACCATGCCAACAGGTCCTCGTGCGCCATCGCGGGCATCATCAAAGAGGGCACGCATACCATGGAACACGGCGTCATCCATTTGCTTGAAAGGTAAGCAAGCACTTACGTGGGTATCTTGTGGTGTGCGCCGCGAATGCGTGTCAGGGTGGACGTGAGGACTGGACGAATACAGGAGGCGTGCTGTGCCCGTTGCTGCTCCATAAACTACCAGGCCATTGCCATGTTGCATGGCAGTATAAGCATTAAGAAAGACCAATACAGATAAAATAGTATCTTTTAGAGTAGAGAATGCCACATCTGCCTGTTGTGAAGGTGTGCTAGAGGGTTCACTTTCCTTAGCCGTCTCTGAGACGTGTTGCCAGGCATATGCATTTAAATCCAGGATCACGACGAGAAAGTCGGGCGTCGCTCGGTCGACGGGTCCTTGCTCGTGTGTGGACATTGGCATCCCCCCCCTGGCCATGTGATCGAACGATGGACCATCACCCCTAGTGCTTCTACTCATCAACACAGCTGAGCAGGCCGAACAAATACGCGCTTTCAGTCAAGGATCAATAGGAAATGGAGATTGCCAATTGGCAACTGCAATTTGCTGGAGAGACTCATTTCGACCCGGCCTGAGTTGATTAGACTACGAGTGTGTCCCTGAATGGCACGTGGCCTCACTCATTTGAAATGAAAAATTCGCATGGATGCTGTCATGTGACAGCGGGGGGTTTGCTTCATCGCCACAGTGGCGGACCCCGTGAGTGCGTGACACTAGCGTATTTACTCGCGTGGCTTCTGTTTGCAGGTGGAGAGTGCGAAGTTGGTTCTATTTTAAGAAACAGACGGATCTTGGAAGATATCGTGGCACTCGTCCCAATTGGCCACAGGCTAACGTTACTACTATTTTTTTGTCTACAGCATTTTTACACGCACTGCAGCAGACCCCCCGGCTATCTGTAATGCGGTGAATTAAAATCCATTCGTGTGAAGGATGCAGGGGAATGTGCCAAAATTGCGCTAATTCGTGAATTTCTTATCGCTGACTCATTCATATGCAGGAAAAGGCGACCATGCGGGAAAACCTATGTGAAAAACGTTGGGGAAATACCTAGCCAGGGCGCTACTCAGCCCAAGAAGCCGGTGGAGCCCAACGAGTGCGGTTCAGAGTAATAACCAATTGTCCGCTGGCAAACGAAACACTTTTCCTGAGGAAGGATTTTGCGAAGTACATTTCGTAAAAACGCGTTTACAGTGATCTAACCAGGTCGGTCGATAGTGACTTCTTCCGTGTGCGTGTGTGTAAAGTCTTCTTCAGATTCACACATGCACCACCTCAACGTCACCGAGCCTAGGCTTTTAACGATACATTGAATTCGATCTTAGGTTCCGTCTGGGGTTGTGTGAATCAGGTCAAGCGCCCTTGATCAGTGAAGATCCATCATCTATTTTCCAGGTCCCTGTCGCTGCGTCGTCCTCGCGCCTATCGTTTGTATTTGTGAAGGTTGCAGGGCACACGCGTTGGCCTGACCTATATTCAAGCAGACGAGTAGAGCGAAAAAGTGAATCCGTTCTACGCTTTCGTTTATGGAACTCGGGAAACCAGCAGCCCCCATCGGCCAATCGAGCGACTCTGCGCGCCCCTGTTGCTCTAGTCGCTTCCATACTGCAGATGATGTGCACGCGTGCATGACAGATTCTAACAAAACATCTGCTCATACTCTGCACTTTGATTCGGCAGACATCCGCCCATCTCTTCAGCGAAGCAGCAGTACGCCTACGTCCAGTGGTCCTGCTCTCCGCTCGACATACCGATCCAGACTCTCCCTTTGCAATCAAATGCACCACCAGTATATCCAGACGGACCACGCGTCTCCTTCGGATTTACGGCATAGTCCTAGGGCGCACTCATTTCAGCTCGAATCCAATTCTTCGCTGTCTCACGGACGGAACCGACGCATCTACGGCGCACCGCAGACGCTGTCTTCTTCGCGGCCGATCAAGCGTCCATCTCATCTGCAGCGAGAAAAACTTGTCCGTGCCGCGGACGATTGGGCCTTTTGTCCGTCAGACAGCTTACCAAGTCTCCCAGCCTCCCCAAGCCGGGTGCGTGCAGAGCATCATGCCAAAGATGTGAGCCATCGGCCTGAAATCTTGCCCCATGGACCTTTCAAAGGCTCGTTTCCAGGCACACATGTGTCAAACCATATTGCACCACAGTCGCCCTCGTTCTTGATCCAACGCTTCAATTTCAAGCTTGATTCGACTCCTCCCATGCAACCTAGTATTTTCTCATTTCAGGGTGACACTACACAACCACACACCACTAGCTCTCTTGCTTCTGTTGATTCTGATTGTCCCAGGCAAGTCCAAGCACTGTCGCCGAGTAGGATACCTCCAACAATGCGTCCCTTGTCACCTTTCACCATGGACCAGCCGTGTCATCCCGGCCGCATGTCACACCACAGTGATGGGCCTCTGTTGCCCGTTCAAAATACGGACTGTGATGCGTGTGTGCAGTGCTATCAACCTCAAAATAATAGCCCATGTACACTAGAGCATGGCGCGCCTATCGCTCCGTTCCGTGTGGGTGATCGAATAGGGCCTGGACTTGTCCATGACAATGAAATTGTCCGCAAGGCACAGGCGAATGCTGGTGTTGATGGCAGGGAGCTCTCTGAATTCACAAAACCACTGGAAATCGTCAAGCTATTAGGACACGGGAGCTATGCTGTTGTGTATCTCGTTCGTGAAGTGATTTCAAGTTACGACACTTCAACTTTGTTCCCTTTGCCTTGTGTACCGTCAGTCACTTCGTCTGGTTCGTCGCCCTCACTTCCAACTAATTTAGACAAAGCAATGACAACAGCAGCAAATGCTCACCAAGCACAACATGTCGATACTGCTGCATTAGATTCGTGTATTGATGCCTATGCATCTGTCCAGTCATATGTTGCGCCTCCATCCAATCAGGCTAACGATTCACCGAAGGAGTATGCGCTGAAGTGCCTATCGAAAAGGAATCTGACACCGGATCAGCTGTCTTTTCAACGCCTTGAGGCCATGATTCATCGGTCAATCCCATCGAATCCGAACATTGTAACACTGTACAACGTATACGAGACAGACAACTGGCTATTTCTTGTGCTTGAATATTGTCCGGGAAAAGACCTTTACTTTTGGTTGCAAGAGGCGAATGACTCGATCGGTAAGCCTGGTTGGTGCCACAATTCCTCCCCTAGCTCGTCTTTTCAACCATCGCCAAATGGAGATGCAAGAATGTCTCCATCGAGTCGGCGGGATGCAACTCGTTCAGCGTGGCTACTAATGTCGCGATCCCCGAACTCGCTTCTGTCGAAGTCGCGGCTCCAGCTTATCAGCACCATGTTTGGGCAGATGTGTGACGCCGTACAATTCTGCCATGATCACGGCGTTAGTCACCGCGACATTAAGCCAGAAAACTTTATCATCCAAGACTGTTCACAACAAGGCATTAACGACGATCGCGTCGTCGTGAAACTAACCGACTTTGGTCTAGCTACGGTGAACGAGCGATCAAGTGAATTCAACTGTGGTTCTAAGCCCTACATGGCGTTTGAGTGCCGACACGATTTAACGTCGACGTATGATCCAAAGCAAGCGGACACATGGTCGTTGGGAATTGTGTTGTTGAATCTGATTTTCTTACGCAGCCCATTCAAGGAACCATCTGTTCAACACTGCGCATCATTCTCCGCATTTTGCTTGAAGCCCGTGACATTTTTGATGCAAGCCTTTGACGGGCTCACGGAAGAAGTGGCCCATTTCCTCTGCGATCATGTCTTTTGTGATGTTACGCACGGTCAGCGTAGGCGGATTGCACCTGGCGCTCTCGGCAATTGGGCCGCCGGCCTTCCTTATATGTTAGGCGTCCATCATACAACGTCGCAAGGTGCGCATCACAAGATCGATGCACGCACGAACAATACATCTCTATTGAGTGTATCAGAACAAAATATTGGCTCTCTTTCCTCCCTGGGATCGAAGGCAGCGCATGGAATGTCGTGATGAGAACAATCTTAGATTGTTGCGATCAACAGCCGGATTTCTTCATAAACTCCAAAGAGTCTGTTGTCGCGCTGCGATCCTTGTCAGTGGGCGGCTCTTGTTACCGCGGATATATGGATTCACCATAGTGGATGCGCACAGCATACTTCACGATTTTTTTTTCATTTGACCTGGAGTTGCACTTTTCTTGTCGCGTCCAGCTAATGTAACCTTTCTTTGACAACTGCACTGGTTTGTTGGTGTCTAGAAAAAAAAGAAACCATTTCATGACTCCCTAATGTTCTGCTTTGGTTTTACCGATTGAGCTGTCGAGGTGCTGATGCTCGTGGTCGTTGTTTTATAGAATGTGTAATTTTTGAAAGTTTTTGTATAATTTGCAACTTTCAATTCATTAATAAATTCATAATTTACTGGCGCGGCGCAATCTCTACGACTTAGTTATGAGAAAATTGTGTACACTTGATTCCTGGTCGATATCGCCTGATTTTTACATGTTTTGTAAAGGAGCCTTTTAGGCAGGAATTTTATTCAACTAAATCTAACGTTGTTGATCCAAGTGTAACGCCAAATACGTTCCTGCCCTTCATCCACCCGATTTGGGAGTCGCCATGTCGCACGGTCAGTCTCAGCAAGTATGGGACACTGCCATGACGGGAAATGAAACCATCCCGCAGCACACGTTGAATACTGCTACAGCTCAAGAGGGATTCACGGCTGTGCAAGTGGCATTCGCTGTGCTGACAGTGATTGTAAGCCTACTAGCACTCGAACAAATGGTATACCGTATGAAGAAAGGCGGCCTTCCTGGCTCAAAATGGACCATCCCTATTATTGGAAAGTTTAAAGACTCGCTGAACCCGACGCTGGAAAAATACCAGGAAAGCTGGAATAGTGGTGCTTTGAGTGTCGCGAGCGTGTTTAACATATTTATCGTCATTGCGTCGTCCACGGACTACACGCGGAAAATTTTAAACAGTCCCACTTATGCGGAACCTTGTCTTGTCGCTTCGGCAAAGAAGGTACTCTGCCATGACAACTGGGTATTCTTGAATGGCAAGACACACGTCGACTATCGAAAAGGTCTGAATACGCTGTTTACGAGCCGCGCGCTTAGCATCTATCTGAATATTCAAGAAAACATTTACAAGAAACACTTCGCTAAATGGGTAGCCTTGGGTAGCAAGGACGCCGAGGCTTTCATGCTTCCGCTGCGAAATTTGAATTTGGAGACTTCTCTCCGCGTGTTCTGCGGCAACTACATTTCAGACGAGGGTGCACAGCAAATTTCAGATGAGTACTGGCTCATTACCATGGCTTTGGAGCTTGTCAACTTCCCATTTGCTTTCCCGGGAACCAAGGTATACCGTGCTATCCAAGCGCGTAAGAATGCGATGAAGTGGTTTGAACACACTGCTGCAGAAAGCAAGAAGCGCATGGCTCTGGGTGAGGAAGTGACATGCCTAACAGACGCGTGGGTTAAAGCCATGCTGGATGCGCGTGAGGATCGTCAAAATGATGATCTTGGTGCTGAGCAGCGCCGTATTCTTGTACGCGACTTTTCTGACCGTGAGATTGGTATGGTATTGCTTAGCTTCTTGTTCGCCTCTCAAGATGCTATGTCCAGTGGCTTGACATACCTATTCCAGCACCTTGCCGACCATCCAGATGTGCTCCGTAAAGTCCGTGAGGAACAGTATGCCATTCGCAATAACGACATTGACGCTCCACTCACCATTGACATGATCGAAAAGATGACTTATACTCGTGCGGTCGTGAAGGAGAGCCTTCGTCTGAAACCGCCTGTTATAATGGTGCCATACATGGCCCGTCAACCCTTCCCTATCAGTGAGACGTACACCGCACCCAAAGGCAGCATGGTCATTCCAAGCTTTTGGAACAGTTTGCACGACCCGACGGCATATCCGTCACCTGATGAATTCCGTCCTGAGCGCTGGCTGGAGGGTGCTGAGTCCCCAGCTGCGAAGCATCCCAAGAACTACTTGGTGTTTGGTAGTGGACCACATAACTGCATTGGTAAGGAATACGCCATGCAGCACCTTATTGCTGTAATGGGCGATGCATCTGTTCTGCTCAACTGGGAGCATAAACGCACTGAATTGAGTGAAAAGGTGATGGTGATTGCTACGATATATCCTAAGGACGGCGCTTACCTCAAATTTACCCAACGTCCTGCTCCTCCGATGGATGCCCCCGCTGCTGTTGCGGCGGCTATGTAGGAGATATTGCCTACTGTAATGCGTGCCAGACAATCACCTATCGTTTTTGTTTCTTTTTAGTGGCTTTGTAGCGGACAAGAATGTTTTTTCGTGCACGGACGACTTTGTATTTCTGAATGAATGAATAGTTTTCTGGGCGGCTCTCCGGCTTTCAAGCTCGTGTGCACTTTACGTACAGGTTCGAAATTTCCTAGCCAACTGAACGTTATGACGGACAAGGGGTATTTTCAAACACAGGTTGGGGGTCTGGCAAATGCTTAACCCTCCCTCAATTCCTGCGCGTGCCGTACAATCGGCCATGTGCTTGAGCACACACCATCAGTGCATGTATATGCAGCAATGACACACGCCCTTGCGGCTGTGCCGTGCATGCACGTGGCAAATTCACAATCCTGCATAAGACATGCAGACAGTGGCCGCTTAGTTGGATGTTAATGTAGCTTGCAAGGCTCGTGCATGTGTCGTTCATTCATGCGTGGCGCGTAGGGTGTCGAGGACACGGCTTGAATTCTATCATCTGTCTACCAACCGACTATCTCATCCTACGACACTTTACGGCGCGCTTTTGGTGCGTTCGGTTCCCAACGACCTTAAGTGCTTTGCTGTTCTAGGTTTCATACGAACGGCATCTGTATTTGTGTGCGGTGTCTAGTGCCATCACTCGGACTCGTCGTTCAGCTCATTGACTGGGTGACTTTGTGGCAAGTGCCCAATTTCTACTGCCATGGATCCCCGAATGCAAGGTGGCGCTGCAACGCAGCCAGTCCACCAGAACCCTTTCTACTCTTCTGGCCCTTCCTCGCCTCAAGGACAGGATCCTGCCATTGATGGGCATGGAAGTCCGTTCAGTCCCAGCTCTCCCAATGGCGGTGGCATGCCCATGAGTCAGTCAGGCTATGCCGCCCAGCTTTCTTCTTTTGCCTACCAAGAAGCTGCTGCATCTGGTGTGCGCCAGCGCGAACCATATCCGGCTTGGACCGTCGACAAGCAGATCCCGCTTTCAAAAGAAGAGATTGAAGATATTTTCATTGACTTGGCAAATAAATTTGGTTTTCAGCGGGACAACATGCGCAACATGTACGATCATCTAATGATTCTGCTAGACTCGCGTGCGAGTCGTATGAGCCCACAACAGGCCCTCCTTACTCTACACGCTGACTATATTGGAGGCGAGCATGCGAATTACCGCAAGTGGTATTTCGCTGCACAGCTCGATTTGGACGATGCGATCGGTAAGATCCAAAACCCTGGGTTGGCCCGAGCTGCGAGTATGGCGCAGCGCTCTGGTGCACCAAAGCGCGGCTCAGCCTTTCTAGGAACCAAGTCGCTTGAGAACGCGCGTGCCCGTTGGCGTGATGCCATGTACCGCATGAGTGACTACGATCGCATTCGCCAGCTGGCCTTGTACCTCATGTGCTGGGGTGAAGGCAGTCAGGTCCGTTTTGTACCCGAATGTCTGTGTTTCATCTTCAAATGTGCGGACGATTACTATCGCTCGCCAGAGTGTCAGAACCGATTGGATCCAGTTCCGGAAGGCCTTTATCTGCATTCCGTGGTGAAGCCACTGTACACATTCCTTCGTGACCAGGTCTTTGAAATCATTGATGGAAAGTTCGTGAAAAAGGAACGCGACCATGATCGGATCATTGGCTATGACGATGTGAACCAACTGTTTTGGTATCCAGAGGGAATTAGTCGGATCAAGCTCACGAATGGCATGCGTCTTGTGGATGTGCCGCCTCAGCAGCGTTACATGAAGTTTGACAAGATCGACTGGCGGAAGGCCTTTTTTAAAACATACCGGGAGTCACGCTCTTTCCTGCATCTTCTTGTGAATTTTAACAGAATTTGGATTTTCCATGTCGCTCTGTATTGGTACTTTATGGCATACAATGCACCCAAGGCCTATGAGCCCCACAGGTCTCCTACCGATGCTCAAATGCTAAGTGCTTCCGCTCTCGGTGGCGCCGTTTCTACATTTTTCATGATTTGCGCTACTGTCGTTGAAGTGATATACATTCCGACTACTTGGAACAATACCAACCACCTCATCGGTCGCCTGATTGTGCTAGGCATTTGCATGGCACTTATGATTGCACCATCCGTCTATATCTTTGGTTTCAACCGAGATAACCATATTGCTTATGCTCTCTCTGTTGCCCAGATGGTAGTGTCGTCTATCTTGACCACCATCTTTGCAATCTTGCCTACGGGATATCTTTTTGGTGACCGTGTCTCTTGGCGAAGACGGAAATACATGGCCAGTCAGACATTTACAGCTTCGTACGCACGGCTACCCTGGACGCGTCGCTTCTTCTCGATTCTTCTTTGGGTTCTCGTGTTTGGATGTAAGCTGACTGAAAGTTACTTCTTCCTTTCACTTTCGTTCAAGGATCCATTCGGTGTCTTGGTGACTATGCGTGTGAAACCATGCCATGACCGGTACTTTGGTACAGTGCTTTGCTCGCTGCAACCAACCTTTGCTCTTTCGGCTATGATGGTAATGGATTTGTGCTTGTTCTTCCTGGATACGTTCCTTTGGTATGTTGTATGGAGCACAGTGTTCAGTCTGGGATGGGCGTTTTATCTTGGCTTGTCTGTCTGGACGCCTTGGTCAGACATTTTCCAGCGTCTGCCTAAGCGTATCTACTCGAAGTTGCTGGCCACGGCTGATATGGAAATCAAGTACAAGCCCAAGGTGCTGGTTTCACAAGTATGGAATGCTATTATCATCTCAATGTACCGTGAGCATTTACTTTCTATTGACCATGTGCAACGTCTCTTGTATCATCAAGCCCCTGCAGAGAATTCCCCTCATAAGCGCACACTTCGCGCGCCACCTTTCTTCTTGAATCAGCTCGAGTCTGGATCCAAACCTGAGTTCTTCCCCAAGGGTTCGGAAGCTGAGCGTAGAATCAGCTTCTTTGCTCAATCATTGATGACATCGATTCCCGAACCTTTACCCGTGGATGCAATGCCGACATTCTCTGTGCTTACGCCTCATTACAGCGAGAAGATCCTTTTGTCTTTGCGAGAAATTATTCGTGAGGAAGATCAAAACACGCGTGTGACACTGCTGGAGTATTTGAAGCAATTGCATCCTGTGGAGTGGGATAACTTCGTAAAGGACACTAAGATATTGGCTGAGGAATCTGGTAATTTTGCTGGTGGAGCACCGTTTGGCTTCGAGGACGAGAAGTCGAATCTGAAGGGCGGTAAGTCAGACGATTTGCCATTTTATTGCATTGGTTTCAAGTCTGCAGCGCCTGAGTATACTCTTCGTACGCGTATTTGGTCGTCCCTACGAGCACAGACGCTGTATCGTACGGTCAGTGGCTTCATGAACTATAATAAAGCCATTAAGTTGCTTTATCGTGTGGAAAATCCTGAGATTGTTCAATTGTTCGGTGGTAACACTGAACGTCTTGAGCGCGAGTTGGAACGCATGAGCCGCCGCAAGTTCAAGTTTGTTATTTCAATGCAGCGCTACTCACGGTTCAACAAAGAGGAAATTGAAAACACGGAATTCCTGCTTCGTGCGTATCCAGACCTTCTAATTGCGTATTTGGATGAAGAGCCCCCATCCAAAGAGGGCGGTGAGTCACGTTGGTTCTCTGCTCTTGTGGACGGACACTGTGAGCCATTGCCAAATGGACGTCGTCGCCCCAAGTTCCGCATCGAGTTGCCCGGTAATCCAATTCTCGGTGATGGAAAGTCCGACAACCAGAACCACGCGATTATTTTCCACCGCGGCGAATTTCTTCAACTGATTGATGCCAACCAGGACAATTACTTGGAAGAGTGCTTGAAGATCCGCAATGTTTTATCTGAGTTTGAGACGATTGACATGCCGACGGAAAACCCCTACGGTCCGGGTTACCATGTCTTTGACGAGGCACCGGTAGCTATCGTTGGTTCCAAGGAATATATTTTCTCAGAAAACATTGGTATTCTCGGTGACGTGGCTGCTGGAAAGGAACAAACTTTCGGCACGCTTGCTGCTCGTGGTATGGCACAAATCGGTGGTAAATTCCATTATGGTCATCCGGACTTTTTGAACTCAGTCTATATGACAACACGAGGTGGTGTGTCTAAGGCGCAAAAGGGTCTCCACCTAAATGAAGATATCTATGCGGGTATGATGGTTTTCCAGCGTGGCGGTCGAATCAAACACTCTGAGTATTACCAGTGCGGTAAAGGGCGTGATCTTGGTTTCGGAACAATTTTGAACTTTATTACCAAGCTGGGCAACGGTATGGGTGAACAAATTTTGTCGCGTGAATACTACTATTTGGGCACTCAACTGCCGGTTGATCGCTTCTTGACATTCTATTACGGACACCCTGGATTCCATATCAACAACATTATGGTGATTTTGGCTGTACAGCTTTTCATGTTTGCGCTCATGTTTATTGGATCTTTGTATTCGACCGTTGACGTTTGTCCAGATACGGATGGAATTCCTTTTGTCCTCGGCTCAGGTCAATGCTACTACCTCAACCCTGTCGTGTACTGGGTCCAGCGGACGGTCATTAGTATTCTTCTTGTGTTCATGATTGCCTTCTTGCCTCTGTTTTTGCAAGAGTTATCGGAGCGTGGTGGCTATCTCTGCGTTTGTCCGTCTCTTGAAGCAGTTTGTGTCGATGAGTCCTCTGTTTGAAATCTTTACCACACAGATATACTCAAATTCGATCATCACTAACTTGACTTTTGGTGGCGCTCGCTATATTGCCACTGGCCGTGGTTTCGCCACGACACGTCTCAGCTTCGCGCTACTGTACTCTCGTTTCGCTGGTCCCTCGATTTACTCTGGTATTCGTTACCTACTCATGCTTTTCTACGCAACTCTTACTGTGTGGATGCCCCACCTCATCTACTTCTGGGTTAGTCTGGTAGCACTCTGTGTTGCGCCGTTCTTATTCAATCCACACCAGTTTGCATTCTCCGACTTCATCATTGACTACCGTGAATTCCTACGCTGGATGGGTCGTGGCAACAGTCGCAGTCATGCTAACTCTTGGATCGGGTACTGCCGGCTTAGCCGCACCCGTATCACAGGTTACAAAAAGAAGCGTTTGGGTCATCCTAGTGAAAAGCTAGTTGCTGATCTTCCGCGTGCAAGCTTGAGGACCATTATTTTTCATGAAATCTTGGCTCCCATCATGTTGGCCGTCATTTTTGCCGTGGCATATGCCTATGTGAAGAGTTTCCCTGCTCCGGGACTCACATTTGAAGATGATCAATTCCAGGGTGGTATTTCTCGTCTTGCTATCATTGTCTTGGTGCCAATTGCATGGAATGCTGTGGTTCTCTTGACACTCTTCTTTGTTTCTCTTTTCTTCGGTCCATCGCTACACAACTGCTGTGCGAAGTTTGGCAGTGTGATAGCTGGTGTTGCACACGCTCTGGCTGTTGCCGGTCTGATTGCCACGCTAGAGTTCTTCTGGTATATTGAATACTGGAACACGGCTAATACGGTACTTGGGATCATTGCGATGATTGCTATCCAGCGAGCCATTTTCAAGGTCCTTACGTCTGTTGTCATTTCACGTGAATTCAAGCATGATGAGACAAACCGTGCATGGTGGACGGGTCGTTGGTATGGGCGTGGTCTTGGTGGTCATGCGTTTAGCCAACCGTTGCGAGAATTTATCGTGAAGATTATTGAGATGAGCATGTTTACGGCCGACTTCATTACAGCCCATTTGCTGATGTTCGCTCTTTCTATTCCTCTTGTTGTGCCGTTCATTGACATGATTCACTCAATTTCTCTGTTTTGGCTCCGCCCATCGAAGCAGATCCATGCACCTATCTATTCCCTTCGCCAGCGTGCACAGCGTCGCTCGATTGTTCTTCGATATTCGATGGTGTTCTTGTTCGCTTGGATTGTATTCCTTGCTTTGATCCTCGTGCCTGTCATTGTTCAGGCAACAGCTTACAGCAATGGGGACAAGAAGGATTTGTGCCACTTCTGTCGCACGTTGTAATAAATTGTGTTTAAAAGAATTTTAAGTCTTGATGAGCTCACGCATCTATAGGTAGATTGTCTCATGAATAGAAAAAAGCGTCTTGCTAAATTATGATACTCTTGTGGAAGAATTCGAGGACTACACGCCAAACAAATCCGTGGATTAGGACGGTCGATCATTAAATGCAACGGTTCGAATAGAGTGTTGTTGGTTTTTACGTTAATATAGATGGGTAGTAAATTCCGAACTGTTAGTACACGTTGTTTCACACCGCACGATCCGCAAACTTGATGTGGCTGAGCAAGCATAAGATCCCTTTGTGTGACCATAACCGTCAAACTACATGGGTGGAGGTGTTACCCCCTCCAGGTATTGAATGCCGTGCTCAATTAGATTGGGGATACAGGTTAGGTGAACTTGCATTCGAAGAAGGTGCGGACTGAGGAAAATTTGGTAGCTGCTGTAGTTGCAACCATTCACTGCATTGATCTTGTGTGGCTGGTGCCAAAGCACAGCATGTTGCCAGCATTTGCTCAAGTTCTGTATATGCCACAGAAACTCCACCGTTTTTTATGTTCGGTTTGGTCCTGACGCATCGCATCCATGTTCGAACGGCATCTTCCAGGACGCGCAAACTTGTGCGCATGGTTCGAAGATCAGTTCTTTCACTTCTGTTCCTGGTAGGAGTAATATAACACTGGCTTTCTTTTCTAGAAGATTTTGGGTCTAAAGGCCAGGCATATAGCGTTGTGGTAGGCCAATGCATTAACGTCACCGTATATTTCGATTGCATGTTTTCTCTCTCTATGCCAATAAGTGCCCACTCCGAGGGGTTGTAATCACGGGATTCTGTAGATGAAGAGCGAGTACGCCGGCTGTGAGATGCTCCGTATTGTGCGGGTGGTAGCAAAATGCCTCTTCCTCTGGGCGAAGGTGGTGCCAGATTATCTAAAGGAACCACAATGGATTCAGAACTTGGACTCCTACTTTTCGATGAAGGTAATGCATATGTATGTCGCGTTCTTTGCTCCATGACGATCCCACCGTGCTTAAAGCCTTCCTATACGTGTTTGAACAGAATTTAGCCCGTAAGGCACAAAAAACGGAAACTCCGTGCGCAGTTGCATGACTGCGCAAGGGCGGTGCAGACGGTTGGGTTTATATTTGAAATCCACCCAAACCATCAGTGGTAACTGGGCCGTTAGTTCAGTTGGTAGAATGCGTCTCTCCTACTGCTTTCGAGGAGACTCAAGATGAGGTCCTGGGTTCGAGCCCCAGGCGGCCCTTCCATTTTGGAATCATCATCCAGAGATGCCGAAGACTCTTCGATCCATGAGAGTTTCTCTAACGATTTACTTCTTTGTACCCATTTGCGTGTGTCAATCCTTACAAAGAACTTCGCACACGTCAAAGCTACACATTTTTTGTTTACTCTCACACTAAGGCGAGAGAAGTCTAAGCAAATCGCTATATTAAAAAAAAAAGCAAGATTAAATTATCGTTATAGGTCATAGCATCGTGATTCGCATGCTGAAAGTGGCTTAACGTAGGAGGCTGAATGTAGAAAAAAACTACGCGCTAATTCCTCACGTAAGCTGAAAAGATTCGGTAGCCTCACATGGCAAGTCGTAGGCAAAATTTCAAGATTTGGAAGCGATGTGCACGCGACTGTTAATATTGATGTTATTATAGCGGTTGCTCCGACATAGCATTGTAAGGGTTCTGCGTAGTTTAGTGGTTATGACGGGGCCTTGTCATTAGCATGCGGCCCAGACCCGGGTTCAATTCCCGGCGCGGAAGCTTTTTGTCATTTTCTCATTCATTACTAAATGAACTAAATAGTACTAGGGAAGCCTTGTGATCAGGTTCTGCGTAGTTTAGTGGTTATGACGGGGCCTTGTCATTAGCATGCGGCCCAGACCCGGGTTCAATTCCCGGCGCGGAAGCGCTTTTATTTTGTTTCTATTTCCGAAAATCATGAGAAGAGTGGAAATAATCTCAACTGTTGCACAATGAACTATCAAGGCATGCCAGATTTAGGTGCTCATTATTTTTGAAGTGCATTATGTTTGAGCTCAATTTCAATTCCGACGAGTGTATGGGCTATTTATGGCGAGGAAGAAATCCAATGTGAAAGTGACCTATGCTCGAGTCGAACGCTTTTTCCCCCGACTTCGGTTCGACGTCGATGCCCAGTCACCACCCCTTGAAGTTTCATTCGGTATACTCGGGGTACGACCACTGATTGATGCCTCAGTGTTGTCAACCGCTTCATCTTGTGAATTTTCATCAGTTACATCGGGGACACCAGTTTGATTACGTTTTTTACCCATGTTTGCTCGATAGTCTTGATTTTCGCGTTTAAGAGCCCAGCGCCTTAACATATCCCACACATGCTTTCTGTCGCGCCGCACTTCTGCAAGCATCATGCGGACTTCACCAAGTCGCTCCATATACTCACAACTGTCAGCGTAAAGTTCGTTAAGACACTTCAAACTTGCATAAACAATATCACGCTGCTCTTCTGGTGATATAACGTATGAAGATGCAGATACAGAGCTGTTTTCAGGGACAGAAGGATCTTGCACAGTGGTTGGGACTGTGAGGCCCTCTTTCGTAACAAAAAGGTTGTTGATGTGTGCGAGTGGGGGGATGCAGTCCATTGGATCCGACAGTATATTCTCGGGTTTGTGAATGTTCTGGGGCACAGGTCCCTCTCTCCCAGTCATACGTTCCATAACACCAAAACAACGGCCTAGCGCACAGCTCATGACGTGCTCATTCTCGAGAAGGTTAAGTGCCGTGCGATTTAATGCTGTCAGATGAGGGTTTCGAAAAATTTGTTTCAGTAGCTTACTTTCCAATAAGCCTCGGGCGCTCAGCACAGGTACGAGTAATGGAACGGCCATTGTTGACGCTTGAAGCGCATTGTAGCCTCCGTCTTCATCATCACTGTCATTTAGGAGCTCGTTTTGTTGCTCGGGGTTCCATGCACACATTCTCACACGTTTTGACAAAGGCTGACGGATACTACTGCCACCACTTCTTTGGCGCATGCGCTTATTGTTGCTACTGCTGGAAACCCGTGTACGCCAAATTCCTCCCATTCCACCCGGTGCCGAGGCTTCTGCTTCTAACAAAGCCTCAACACTGGCATGTTGCAGAGCATCAACTCTGCGTTCCTCACGTTCGCGAAGCTCATTCTCATAGCGTCTCTCAGTCCAGGCTCCTAGTTTGCCTCGGTATACCCAACGCATTCCATCTTGAGTGCGCAGCTTCTGGCCTCTGTTAGTGTAGTCAGAGGGACCAGGCTCGCTAAGATCGAGCCAGTCATCTGCAGTTTCATTTTCTAAGTGGTAATGCAATTGGTCATTCTCGGGTAGGGAGCTAGAGTTTGTCAGTATGTCAAAATTTGTGTACATACAGCCAAAGCAAACGTTCCATCTCTTGCTGCTGTATCAAAGACGCATGCATTTCTGATTCGCCTAATGAGACAGGTGCCGTGGGGATGACACGGTGGTGTGTGTCATAGACCGCAGGTGCGGACACATTGTGCAAACTGGTTTGTACAGATTCATTTGAAATAGGTTCTGTTGCTTCTTCAGTGAATGCATGCTCACGCAAGGCGACTACATCAGGAGGGTGAACACCATACCGCCCGTCCTCCAGCCTTGGCTCTTTCACGTGAGCAATGTCATTGGCACGATGACCCGGCGGATACCAATGCGCCGGTGGTGTTGCCATCGGTACTTCCGTGATACTAGTTGAAGCTTCAGGAACACAACCCCGCATGGAAGCACGCTCGTACTCAGTCACTTGTCTTGCGCGTAATGGTGCCTCTTCGTTCATGCTTGTGGTGACACTACGAATCTTTGCGTTGCGGCGCGCTGCGTCCAGGTGCATTATCTGACTGAGATCGGGGCGCACACTGACAAAGTGAGACTCGCTGACGTAATGCGTTGAATACTTGTGTTTGAACTCTGTCACTTACGAAATATTTGCAGACCATGTGGCGACAGCATCATCGAGTCACGTGATATTATGTGAGAAAGCTAACTATACTGCTGGCATGCACGGCATGTATGTGATTGGTGCAGGCCGCAGCCCGGTGGCCAAGTTTGCAAGGCAGCTGCAAGTGCAAGTGAGTCTCTGCACCGGTGGCCCGCATCGCATCCTCTCTACATACAGATTCTCCTCTCGCTGGAAGAAAGGCTACGCGCGAACAATACGTACATTTTGAGTGTTCGGAGCCGCGCACCCCACAATAAATTGCATACGTCTAGAATCCAGCACATCCGTCTTGTTCCTTGCTTTGGCAGTGTTTCATTCGTGTTATTGACAGGACTGGCGTGAAAATGTCCACAGCTAGCCCATCGGTGCCTACTACTTCGGCGACCCAATATGGCGCGTCGTCTGTGCACACTGCACAGCCTCAAGCGAATCACGGAGGCACTCCGTCTATGCATAGCCATGCGGGCACAACTTTGACGGCCTCTGATCCTCATGTTGGCCATGGGCCTGGCACCGCGGGTCTGTATCAAGACAGTGTAGGCCAAGGTCCTCATCACATCGCTGGCTCGTTCGCAGGCACGCAGTTAACGCCTATGACTTCACCATATGGCACAGCTGCGTATGGAACCGCACAGCATCCTATGTACAGCACATCATATACGGGACACCCATATGCGCCTTATCCAAACTACTTTGGTCATATTTCTCATTATGGGGCCCATCCTCCGCATTATGCTAGTGCTGGATCCAGCCCTGCGTATCACACGCCAATCATGAGCAGCATGATACCTCACAGTGCCTATAACCCACATGCAGCAGGTCATATGCCCTCGCATCATGCTCCAACCACGGCTGTACCAATTCCCATGGCTAGTTCATCCGCTGGCACGGCGACGCCTGCTGGACCGAGCATGGCGTCGAATGCTATGATGCCTACTTCCACTTATGGCTCAGCATCTCAATACAGTGCACCCGTTCCGTGGACTGGCCGGCATCGTGTAACGACCACGTTGTGGGAAGATGAAGGCACGCTCTGTTTCCAGGTGGATGTCAAAGGAGTTTGTGTAGCACGTCGTCACGACAATAACATGGTGAATGGCACTAAGCTATTGAATGTTTGTGGCATGTCTCGTGGAAAGCGCGACGGCATTCTAAAGAATGAGAAGGAGCGTATCGTTGTCAAGGTTGGAGCGATGCATCTCAAGGGGGTGTGGATTGCGTTTAGCCGTGGCAAGCAACTGGCAGAGCAACATGGAATTGCCGATATCTTGTATCCACTCTTTGAACCGAACATCCAGTCTTTTTTATATCATCCAGACAATTATCCTCGCACAGCCGCTGTTATGGCTGCGGCACAAGAGCGCCAAGCTCATCGTCATTATGGCATGGCGGGCGGGACGAGCGCCCCCGTCAAAGATGTTAACGGCAATGATATAAGTGCGAATATTCCCTTGCATTCTGGCTTGCCACATGGTCATTGGTCTGGCTCGCAGCTGGCGCATGATACATCTGCGGCTAGTCCTGCTGGGACTGATGCATCGATGCAGTATCCTTATGCGCAACATCATCCTCATTACCACCACCAAGCACAAGCGATACCTCCTCAGGCTCACACTTCAGCGTCTCAAGCGCAGACTTCTACGTCTGGATCGGCCGCAGCGCCGCCTGGCAACGTGTTCAGCCCACCTAACCCGGCCTATTCTGCCCAGGCAATGCAGCCAGCTGTCCGCCCAGCCCCAACGAACATGATGATGGACCGCCGGCTTGATCAACCCTCAGACGCATGTGGCATTCAACCACCTGGTTTATCGGGCGCAATACAAGCACCCGGTAATGCAGCCAATACACGCCGCATGCCGAGCCTGAAGCGGTCCGCAAGTGAACATGGCGCCCAGCTGGGTGACGTATCCCATCATGATGAGTTTGACCAGTGCGCAGGCAGTGCAGCGGCTCCCAGCAGTGTTGTGTCTGGGAACGGTCCTCGACCTTCCACTGACTCTTTCGCCACGAATGCGCTAGCAACGCCCAACTTTTCACTTGACGACATGAAATTGGAAAAGCGTCAGAAAATTGAGTCGCCATCGGTTCAACCATCTTCGCTGGACATGGTATACCCGGGAGAATCGCGTGCATCTGAACCTGATTCACGCCCACAAGTTCAAGAAGAATAAGACAAAAAGCATGCAGTACTTCACTTAGTTTACAAAGTAACAAGTGATATGAGCAACTGCACAAAAAAAGATATTTGCGGGGAGTCGTAATTGGGTGATCTGCGATGACCCTAAACAAAATCTAAATAAATCAGAGATTCTAGAGAGACGTGGACTTGAACATTATCGATGGTGATGCATATCTGATGCTATGTATGAATAATTTTGTTTGCATATGTATCATAATCTGATGTCTTGTTGAAAACCTCGAGTGCGACGAAACTGCCCGCCCAACCTAAGCGCATGTCATTTCGATTGTTCAATCCCTCATATGATCTGATAGATGTATTTCTGCAATCATATTAAGATCCATGTTCCTTTGAACTTGTATCTTACGCGCCCGCGCATTTTTGACCCTATAGTGTTGCGAATAATTGGTGGCCTAGTTCTTCCTTTCGCGCAATCCGCGTTGGAGGGGAAGGGGGAGGATGGGCGTCATTATACTTGAGTTTACATCAATGTGCACCTATAGAAACCACGAATGTGATTATATAAGCGCATTTACGTTAAACCATCTGCAAGGGAGCACTCAACTGTCAGCTCCATGCGCATTGGGACGTATGTCGGCTGCGACACAGAAATTAGGGCGACGCGGTCGTGACAGATGGCTCCCTCGTGTCAGCGAACCTAGTGTCTTGGGGACGGCTCACCAGTGAATGATGAAATCCTCATTGTCTGAGTGGGATCGTCCCAATCTCGCTGGCGTCGGCGTTAGTCGTTTTCACCAGACTTTCCCGCAGCATCGTCAGTTCGGCCCCCTTTTTCAAGGCCCGAACAGTGTGTTGTGCATGCAGCGAACTCCGCAACCTGAATTCGTCGTTGCGACTGGCGTCGAGAATCAGCTAGCTGCCACACAGTCCCGATTAAGCTGCGGTCGTTTCCCCCATTTCGCGCAAGCGTCTCGTCAAGCGCGTGTCTTTACACCCACATCCATTTTACCTGCTCACTCTCTTACACAGGCGTCACATCATGGACCGGTTTTTAAATCGATGCATGCCGACATGCCGAGCAAATCTTGTCAAACAACAGGTCATTTCCGCGTCAAGAAACAGCCGCCATTGCCGCCATTGCCGCACTCTGATCCGACACCTGATCATGTTTCTCCAATATCGCAAGCGTATCCCGTGACACCGCTCCATTCAAAAAAGAGCAGCTTCCTAAGACAAGATGTAACAATCAATGACGTAACCACGACTTCGCAGTACAGTCCGGCATCACAGGTGAGTCTTTCCTCGAATGGAACGAACTCAGAGAACACATCTATGCCAATGACACCTGGGTATCCGGGCTCTTTCGATGACAAAAGGAAATCAACGTTTTCGACCACATCACAAGATTCGCTGATCAGAACTTCGAAGGTGTCCAAAAGCAGAGATCTCGAACTAAAACGCATTTACAGGCAGTCAGGACTGGATGCACTTGACATGGCCTTTTGGACTGGCGATGGATTTTACAGCGATGACGATGACGATGTCAATAGTGGCGAATACACTGACCGGTTAGCTACTATCTCGCGCCCAACTATACATCTGCCTAACTTGTCGGACCAGAATATGGACGATGGGCGCAACATGAAAAATGTGTTCGCCCCTATGCTGGACAAGCCGCTTCCTCCATCGACAACAGAAGCCAGTTACAAACACGATGAACATATCGAAGAAGCTTTTATTGATGAATATCTGCACTTATTCGATTCAGAGCCGGAAGAAAGCTGTGACGTGGCTAGTCTTGCTGTCACTAGTGAACGATCACATTATGAAGATGACGAAATGCTTCGAGCGTCCAAGCGCAAATCGCATTTGCTATCCATCTATTCGCGGAAAAGTGGCTCCTACGAAAAACGTCGGCTTTCGCCGCTGCACCAAGCACCCAACGAAGACCGGTTATGCTCCCGTTGTGACCAAGCAGTGCTTGGTCCTGCGATGCGCAGCTCAAATGGCGCTTTCTCTGGACTATACCATCCCGACTGTATTCGCTGCGCGTCCTGTCATCAAAAGCTCCCAGACTCAGATATCTTCGTCTACAAAGACGAAGTGTATTGTCGCCAACACTATCATCTGCAAAGTGGTTCGATATGTAAGGGATGTGGCCGAGGTATCACTGGCGTGTATCGCAAAACAAGTGGAAATGCTGTTTTTCACCCCTCATGTTTGGTCTGTGCATTTTCAAGTCATTTGGGTCGTTGTGGAGTATTGCTGGACGATTACTATCTCATCGACCATCGCATGTATTGTGAAGGTCATGCGCGCAGCATTATAAAGGACCATGGTGTGCGTCGACTTTTTTGAACCAAAACGGTTTTTTCTTCAAATTCACTGTCATACTCTGTGCACTTGTTATTTTTACCATTCATTCATAGAACTACGCTAATTTACTTCCACGTTCTTTCTAGAAATGTATTCAAAACCATTTGCGGGTATGAGTTTATCTATTAATTTTGTTCGTTGTCATTTCTAGGTTCTTAATTTTCTAACACAACGTTTGGCGGAGTAGTGATGCTATATTTCGGTCACCTCTTGAAATAGATGGAGTGGAGTGTTGGAAGTGTGGAGGAGATTACAATACACGATTGCACGCGCTGATTGTCCGTGGCCCGAACCAATGTGATTGTGGAAGTGACTTTAGAGTCGGATTTCATGGTCCCTCGTGATCTGGTGGAAGAATCAGTCGCAACGGCTTCGTCAAATCCTATGTCCGAGCCCTGGGAGGCTTTTCTGCGAAATGACAACATGTTTGGAAGTTCAGCGGCTCCATCGGACCTCTTCGAACAAATGCAGCTCCCTCAGCAATCCACCCGAGACAATCTGATCCCTTTGTACGACTATGATGACATGCAAGAAACGAGGACAAAACTATCAGAGGATACCGTCGAGTCAATTCTGGCATCGAATGAAAGTTTAAAAAATACGATGTATGGCATTTCTGAGCCAATGATTGATCTAACACCGACAACGAGTGTTTCCGATATGTCCTTATTTGGTTTGTCTGCTTTGCCACTTGCGCCAACTACAGACAGCATCTCTCAGGATTTCCTAGTGTCGTCACCCTCCAGCTCGAGTGGGACGTATCCTTATGAACTCTTCAATATACCCTCGCCGCTTCCGGGAACTGTATATCCTCGTTCTCCTACTATCAACCATGCTATGAGTGATGAAGACTCACCTAGAAATACTTTTGGCATTATGAATAGTGCTCCTTTTGATTTGCACAGCTTAATATCGGACACAGTTCCTATCACGCAAATGGAACTGGGCCTTTCAAAGGCTGATGTACACTCGGATACCCAGCACTTGTCCTCGCTTCCATGTCTGTTGCCATTTTCGACATCATCTCAGACCGGCGCGTCATCATCTGGACAGCCTGATTGTCAAGAAATAAAACCTTTATACGTGGCAGCAGATTCAAATTTTGCCGCTCCGCAATGTATGAATAACATTGGAGCGGTTGTATCGCCGGTTGTCAGCAAACAAACTGCAGCTGAAACGAGTCTCGGAACTGTATCCAGAGCCCTGGCTTCTGTTCCTAAGAACTCCTCAACATCTATGTCCGTTACTGCGTTCCCTGATTTAGGTTTGCTCAAGCTTCCAAAAGCGCAAAAATTGTATGAATGCCCTACTTGCTGTAAGGTATTTGTCCGTGCGTACAACCGGAAGAAGCACATGGAGACGCACGAAGCTCTGGAAAATCGATTGCGTCCTTTCATATGCTCATATGCTGGTTGTGGTAAGTCGTTCTCACGAAAACATGACATGAACCGGCATTACATGGGCGTCCATTTTGGTATACGGAAGACGCCCACGGACTCAGCGCAAAATAAGCGCAGCAATAATACAATCTTAGATGTGAAGCCCACGATTGCGTCTTAACTGTACATAGAGCAAAATGCATGTGTCTGCTCTTGTAACAGATATACCCATATATTATCTTTCATTTGCTAGAAATCAATGCTACTGTCGCTTTGAGCGTCCCATTCGTCTTGATCCGGATATTCATTACCATAATAATCTTCGTTATTACTGTCTTCATCTTCCATATCGCCATCTCCCGAATCGATCTCCTCAAGTAAGAGGTCATCTTCCGTGAGGCCTTGAGCTCCAATCGGTACCGCTACCATAGACATGTGCCCATGTTTGTCCATGGTAGTGCGCATATGCATGGGGAAAAACGATGCATCATGAATCCAGTCCATGTCATGGTCATCATCTGGGGTATGTAGGTGCTCAAACCCTGGTGCGGACGTTGTGGATTCTGTGCCATATCCCTTCGGTCTCAATGGGACAGGGGAAAATTTATCGAAAGGTCGTGAACCACTGGACGCACGCTCTACTGTGGGAACACGGCATTCAGCTTTGATTGATGAAGGTCCACGTCTAGCCTCACTCTTGAGGGCCTCGGGATAGTAAATATCATACACATATTCATTCGTGCGTTCCGAAAATGGAGTCTCTTCCTGTAACGTAAGAGATACATCATTGACTTTATAAGCGCATCACCATGAAGTCACGTACACTTCAAGTAATCTTTGAGAAGGTCTGAAAACTTGCTCATATTCTCATTTGAATCTGGACTTTCTTTTCGAGGACGCTGCAATGGTACACCTTCATTTTCATTTTCTTCTTCTGTCTCGGACCCGTCTTGATTGTGTTTACGCTTCCATTTCATTCGACGGTTGGTGCTATCCCATTCTGCCTCAATCACGCGAGTCTCGTGGACTTCCCTCGGAAGCTCGGTTGATCTGACTGTTTCTTTTCTTCGAAAAAAGCCTGTTCACTGTTAATTGAGCCATTGAAAATGTAAAAAAAAAGAAAAGGAATTGGACATACCCTGATTTTGTGAGGTCTCTTCATACTGTGTTTCTCTTCGTTTGACTTGCTGCCAAGGTGCATTGAGCTGGAACATGAACGCATCCACTGGGTCTTCTGTTCTTTTTCTCTTAACACGAAGCACTGCAGTTATATTACTTCCCAGCTTCATCTCGGCAATGCTATTTCTCTTCGAATGCATAACTCGCCCTGCTAGAGATGGGCTGCAAGGCCCGAGCTTTTCAACAAAATTGCGTGTACAACAAAATTTGCTTCGTGTGGCGCGTCCCTGACAAATATTACATAATCTGAGACCGACACTTAGCCACGAGTGTTGTGTGTTGTTCCGCGAGTTCACAGGCCGCTAGTTTTGGCCATCTCCGCTCAAAGCACAAGGTACAAGGGGACGTGTTTATTAGGAGAGTGCAATGAGTATGGTTGCTAATTCTGATATATACGCGAGTATACAGGAGCACCTAGAACGCGGTCGCTTAAATTCAACGGCCAATCACGGACCAGTCAGTGTGCTTCCGCCGACGACATACACGAAAAACACGCACGATCAACTTGTGACACATCAGTCAAGCAGTGGTGCACACAAAGCTGACATGGATGAGGATTTCGAAAGGAACAGTGCGTACAATTTTCCGGATGCTCCAGGACATTCTTCGGCTCAATCACTTCATGAACCAGAGTACTTGCTGCCTTCCACAACAGAGCCAAGATTCACCGTGAATGGCGACGGTTGGGGAATGAGTGACGTAGATCTTCCTCTTAAGCATGATCCCATGATCATAAGAACAGAAAAGGATGAAGAAGCTGATGTATCGATGAATTATGATCCTATATACCCTAAGGCGTTTGGATCATCTCGTATACATTTGATGGACGGAGACAATGATACGCTTGCTCGAGAAAGTCAACGAGGCAGATTCACATGGTCCAATCGCGACAAACTCAATCAAAGAGTGCATGATCGTGAGCATGGAGTGGGTCGTCAGGCTTATCCTTACCTTACATGGCTTATGTCCTTTGGTATAGTCGCCGTATTTGTGGCGGGAGCTCATCTTGTCGAAGGAACGCACAGGCGAAGCGATCCAGATTCACCCAAGTGTCCAGCCAATGCTTGGACCTCCAGCCGAGTTTCTCATTTCTTTTGGTGCGCGCTTTGTTCCTTGCATGCGCTCTGTTCCGGGTCTGCCGCCGACCAACATGATTCCTTGCTTGAAAGAATCGACGTCATCACAACAAAAGTTTATGAAGGACCAAATGTGTTCCCTTGCACATATTTGTGGGCTTGATGATCCGAAAAATCCTGATCAAGGTTATCGCTTTGTCTCGGCCATCTTTGTACACGCTGGTATCGTGCACATTCTTTTCAACCTTATAGTGCTCTTAACGCTATGCTGCCAGATTGAAAAGCTTATTGGGACTATTGCATATGCGATTGTGTTTATGGCCGGTGGTATTGGTGGAAATCTTTTGGGCGGCAACTTCGGCTTGATTGGGCAACCAGCGCTCGGTGCCTCTGGTGCAGTCTATACATGCATCAGTTTCGAGATGATCGATCTGATTTACAATTGGAAGTATGAGATAAAGCCCAAGACTCGACTAACAGTGTCAATCATTTTTGCGGTTCTTGGCCTGGCCCTAGGACTACTGCCAGGGCTCGACAACTTCTCCCACATCGGTGGATTCTGTGTGGGAATTCTTGGTGGCATGGTGTTCGCACCGTCAATCCACTCAACAAAAACACATATGTTTATCAACTGGCTATGCCGCTTGATCGGCATGGGTTTGTTAATTGCTTTCATTGTGGCGCTAGTGTTGAACTTTTACCGCAATGATGACCCGGCTACTGCATGCAAATGGTGTCGATATCTGTCATGCTTGCCGATGTTTGACGCCTGTCGTGGCTATGGTACGTATTATGAATTGGGGACGTACGCTTACTCACACCTCAGGTATATCAACTACGACTTCAGATGGCGATTCTACAACGAATTAGCCACGAAGAAACGCTTACCATCATCACACTACCTTTCTACATCTCCGTTTCTCTCTCCCTTGTTTTGTGACCTTCTGGGTATCTTGTCTGTATGAAAATTGCATATGTTTACTTTCGCCACCACCATAGAAACACAAAAATCCAAATGACCAGGATAATGAACAACATCATATTGCAGAACCATCCACGCTGCCGTCGCGCCATGACCATCATCTTGCTAAACGTCGTTCCCAATAGTGCGCCCGTATTAGAGAAGACGTCATTCTTTCATTCTTTAGTTTCAACTCGCCTCAAAAGTGCAACACATACTAGTGAGTTCATTTCCATAGTCGACTCTCGCACCTCGTTACCGATGCCGGTGGAGATCTATCGGATCGTTAGTCACGACTTGTTCCACTTGCGATACATACATCCTTTAAAAGCTTGATGCGCTCACTGAGGCCTGACAGGCGTGCGTCGTTCTGCTCTTCCAAATCGGCCGCGGAATTTTGTTGGCCAGCCGTACCGGAAAATAGGCTAACCAAGTTACTGCGTGTACTAGGTGGATGATCTTTTTTAGAAGCACCCTTTTCTCCGGAGAGAATCTCGCTTGAGCCATATGGATTCTCAAATGGCGAGTCAGAGCGCCAAGGCGTCTTCGTCGCTGCCACTTGTGGCATGGTATTTGTCGAAGTCGAAGTCGGGTACGCATATGCTTGTCCTGTTAGCAATGCGTGCCTATCAGGCACGGCTGCATGACGCCTATTCATAGTATCACCACCCTGTTGCTCGTCGAGTAATTCTTTCGCGTAATACGGTCGCGCAGTTCAGCGTCTCTTCACGCCGACCAGGGGGACGTGTCGTGTTGATGCTGTTACCGGCCCACTCCTACTAGGTAGACATGAGTTTGATGCACTTGGACCGCGCAGGTGTATGCGTTTGCGTGCACCCACGTGACTCTTATGAAGCCTGACATCTGTGCGTTCTCCCCAACACCTAATCTCAAACAGAAAACACTCTCCTCCCAAACTATTCTTTCTATTCCTCCACTAGTCGACGGGTGTGGACGCCCAGGTCTATAGACATTTTGACTCTAGGGAATTTGAGTTTTGCTAACCAGCAGCCCAACGTGCAACCGATTTCTCTTTTTTTTTGGCGCAGCAACTTTTGGTTCGTGTCTGGCCCCCAAAGTGCGTGGTGAGTGGAGTAGGTGTGAAATATACAGACCAAACCGGCCAGGTAGCTTGTGAACTTTGGTTCTCCTGTCGGTAGAAGTAACCGGTCAAGAAGTCTTGCCAGCAGCAAGTTATAAAGTGATACCCAGTATGATGTTGGGGTTGTCGCGCGAATCAATATCAAATGTGACTGGTACAGCCAGTCTGCTAGTTTGGATTTTCGCGCAATCACCGTGCGTATGACTTTATCTGACTGACATCTCTAGACAAATCTACAAGAACTTCCGCACGAAAAGTGTGGATGGTCTATCATTTGTTTTTCTGTTTCAGTGGACGATGGGAGATCTTACAAACTTAGTTGGAGCATTCCTTACTCGCCAACTTCCTATTCAAATTGTAATTGCCGCTTACATGCTCGTGATTGACGTGTCTCTATGTATTCAATATGGCTTATACTACCAGAGACCGGAGAAAATACAGCGCGTGTCAGGATTCTCTGCAGAACGCTCGCCATTGATCTCAGGACCCTCTCGACATGCTCGTGCAATGTCTAGAGTCCACTACAAATCACGCGGGCACTCCCTTGATCCCTGGCTCGTTTATCGAGTAAAGCCACACCGTACAGCGAAACGGTCTTATGGTTATGGATCTACTCATCTTCAACCAGAAAATTTGCCGATCGACACGAACTCTCGAAAAGCTGCCACATCGCTTGATCGCGGGCGCAACCGAGCCACACGACACATTCGCGGGTACATGTCTCGCTCCAACACGTTGCAGGCGCCTAGCAGGGTCGGTTTAGATGCTGGATCACTAGATATTTCAGGCAAAATGCGGCGAGAGCATGGGCGCTCCACTAATGGCTTGCGTCGTGGTTCTGTAATGGCTATGCTTAGTGTCGGCATGCTGGTATCCTTGGGACCCATCAACATGCACCTGCGTCAAAACGCTCCGCCTTTCGTCTCGTCAACGTCGCTGATGGCAGCGCCCACGGTCGTGGCTGCACAAAAAGGGATACCACCGCCTTGGGACTTGTTCTCGGGTGCTGTGAACATATCTTCGTCGCCTATATCAGCAGCTCCTACCACTGCTACGACTGCTGTACCATTGCCCGCACCTCGCTATCCAATTCTTCTGTACATGCCAGACATGATGCTATTTAGACGAAGACGCCGACAACCACATGAGCCACCTCTTCCGCTCAGCGTTGTGATAGGCCGCATTTCTGCATGGCTTTGCACCTTACTGTACATGACGTCACGTTTGCCTCAGATTTGGACAAATTTTCGACGCAAGTCTGTTCGTGGTTTGTCCATGCTCTTGTTTCTTCTCGCCTTTATCGCGAATCTGCTGTATTCCATTAGCATTGTTTCAAATCCAAAAGCTGTGGGACCGGGCAGCTACGACTACTTGTTGGAAAGCTTACCATTCCTGCTGGGCAGTAGCGGCACCCTGATATTCGATGTTGTCATCCTTGCACAGTATGCAATGTGGTACGAACGTCCTGTACCCAAGGCGCGTTCAACCATGCCGGCCTAGCAGAGTCAATGTATAAGTGTATTCATGTATGCAAATATGGGTTGAGTACTGCTTTTTTAGCGGCGTGTATCGCATTATCACATTAGATGGTCGCCGTGATGCAACTTCGTAATGCGTCGGGGGTCGGCCGTGCAGCTATAGCATGCGGTTCGAACCCGAGGTTCTGGCGCACCCATTGGGCCGTTGTTGCACCAATGCATGCCACTTTGGAGCCCGTTTCTCTCTCAAACGGCACAATCCACCGGCGCTGTGTCAACTCAGGCAGGGCATAGTTTCCACCACTCGGCGAAAAAAATACAATCCAATTTGGCTGTGCTGGCTGAGGTGGCTGGAATGACTCCATTGATTGAATGGGTGGCCGTAACCAAAGGTCTGTCTCTAGTTCATGTTCGGCTGCAACGGGCTCGTATCCAGTCATGACGAGTCCCTCACGACGGAGTTGCGATGAGAAACTCGAGGGACGGCTAGAAGATGCAGTTGACATGTGCTCTGGCAAGTCGCGTTCAAGGAGAGCGCAATTTGCTTCGAAGCGAGGATGTTTGCTTGTTTCATAAACGAGCAGCTCATGTAACGCGGCAGGAGCATGGTGGGCCCGTAGGGTGTCGAGCAAGCTGCTGGATCGCTTGTCACCGACTAGATACAAAAATTCACATGGCTTTCCAAGTGTATGAATGTCTTTAAGAATAACATCACGGGCAAGAGATTCGGCATTCCCTGCTTGTTCGCCGCGCACATGACTGGGCTTGAATGCAGCAGGCACGGCCATCTCACGCACATACTTGGCCGTCGCAGGTCCTACGACGTAGAATGGCATGCTGCTCCATGCACTAGAAGTATTGCTAAGATTATTATGATTTCCTTGAGATGCCATTTGTTGATACACACGTATACACGTGTCATGATAGGCCTGTGCGGCTCTTTGGCTCGGAAGAACGATGCCATCAAATGATGTGGAGCGCTCATGCACACGATGTATGATGCCTTCTAGTTCGTTGATATGCACGGTTTGATGTGTGAGGATCGGGAAGCTTGTAATACAAAATTCACGCTGGTTCGACTCTGTGCTGTACATGTGATGCGTCATAAGGTAGTCGTGTTTGCTTGTAGACTCGGGCCCTGTACGTGCAGAATTCAACTCTTCTTTGGCAGAATTATCAAGCCCCTTTTCATTACCACTGGCAGTGCGATAGCAAATGTCTCCCCAAGCAGATTGCTGTTGTGGTTCGGATCGCGGTGAACCTGGCGTCGAGCTGCGTGTGTCCAGGGCGGATAGTTCAAACGATGGTAGACAAAAAGGGCCAAACGTATCATGATAAGGATCTGTGCCCTGCAGGACGGACACTGGCTGTCTCAGGAGCAAAACGCTAACCGGCTTTGATCGATGTGGCATGTGAGCAACCGTCCGGACAATAGTGGGGAATATTGCCCTTAGGTGTGCTGGTGTTTGGCTGACCAAGCGAGCCGCCAAAGACGTCCGTGCATCTCACTACAAGTCCGTCAAATGAGTTCGATCACATATACCCACGTGGCATAGTTTTGGGCGCAAGCGAGGAACGGTCGAGAACGTGGGCGTGCAAGAGAAATGCCTTACGTCCTAGTCGGAGTGGAGGTGAATGTGGGCTCGGGGCGTGTGTTCGCTCGACTCCCACTGATTATCGCGCTCATGTGACCGAAGGTGTGAGAAGCTGCAGCGCGGCGCTGAGTGGCGGGGCTCATCGGCTATTTCGGCCGGCGGCATGCCCGAACCGCAGGCCGGTGATGCTGTGGTATAAAACGGACCGAGAGCGTTGCGCAGGTTAACATTTTTGTTTCCTTCATCCAAACGGGCGAGAGTCACTTAATCATATCTACCCGTTATGTTGACACTCACCATTCCTCGTGTTGCCCTTCGTTCGGCCACAGCCCCACGTCAGTTTGCTGCCGCAGCCGCTGCAGCTTCAACAGTTCGATTTGCGTCAACGAAGACGCTTACTGAGGCTGTGAGCGAGACAGTGCCGGCCAAGCGTGAGCAGCTCGCTAAGCTGAAGGCCGAACACGCGGAGACGAAGCTTGGTGATAGCACGGTGGGCCACCTGCTGGGTGGTATGCGTGGCCTTAAGTGCATGCTGTGGGAAGGCTCTGTGCTTGACGCCGAGAGCGGTATTACGTTCCACGGAAAGAGCATTCCCCAGTGCCAGAAGGAACTGCCAAGTGCGAAGGACATTGGCCGTCCTGGTAAGGAGATGTTGCCTGAGTCGATGCTTTGGCTCCTGCTGACAGGCAAGGTTCCGACGGTTGAAGAAGCGAAGGGTCTGTCGCAGGATCTTGTCTCGCGCGCTAAGTTGCCGAACTACATCGAGAAGCTGATTGACACGTTCCCCAAGTCCCTTCACCCTATGACCCAATTTTCGACTGCTGTCGCGGCGCTCAACCACGACAGCAAGTTCGCTGCCGCTTACAACGCCGGTGTGAAGAAGACGGAATTCTGGCAACCAACCCTCGAAGACTCGCTTGACCTTATTGCTCGTCTCCCAGCTGTTGCTGCCCGCATTTACTACAATGTGTTTGGCAAGGGTGACGGCAAGCAGAACGTGGACCCAAGCATGGATCTGGCGGAAAACTTCACTCACATGCTTGGCTATGGTGACAAGGAAGGTCTCGTAGACTACATGCGTCTGTACATCTCAGTGCATGGTGACCACGAAGGTGGCAATGTGTCGGCCCACACGGCTCACCTGGTTGGCAGTGCCTTGTCGGACCCATACCTTGCGTATTCTGCTGCGTTGAACGGTCTCGCCGGCCCTCTGCACGGTCTTGCTAACCAGGAAGTGCTGAACTGGATTCTCGAGCTCGAGAAGGAGGTTGGCTCTGACCCAAGCGACCAGCAGATCATTGACTCGCTCTGGTCGACGCTCAAGAGTGGCCGTGTCGTTCCTGGTTACGGCCACGCTGTCCTGCGTCAGCCAGACCCACGTTTCACGGCTTTGTCGGGCTACTGTGACACTCGACCTGAGCTTCAGAAGTCGCCAACTGTCAAGCTTGTTCAGCGCCTCTCGCACCTTGCTCCACCAGTGTTGACGGAACACGGCAAGACGAAGAACCCCTTCCCTAACGTGGACGCTGGCTCGGGTGCGCCTCTGTACACCTACGGTCTTGACGAGTTCAAGTTCTACACGGTGCTCTTCGGTGTGTCTCGTGCCTTTGGTGCATTGCCTCAGCTTGTCTACGACCGTATGCTTGGTCTCCCCATTGAGCGTCCCAAGTCGCTTTCGATGGATGCTCTCGAAGCTCTCTTGAAGAAGTAAGAGGTGCCCAGCATGTCAAATTGCGACGTATCATAGCGCCATATGGCGTTTCTATGATAGTGTGATAGTCCTTCATTGTTATTGCAGGCTCCACGGTTGCTTGTAATTTACTTGGACGTACTTAAAGTTGAGGTCTTTAATGGGCTCATGTCACTCACCACCTTGTATGTACATGTGAGCAAAAGCAGGTGGATCTTCAGGAGGTTTTATGCGAGACACCGTTCAGAGTTTGGACATTGTGCTTCGAGCGTCAATGAAAGATAGAACAGCGATGCTGAACCATTTTTGAGTTACCCAATGGATTTATATTATACATACTTGTATCTCTTTCCCTATGCATATAGTTCTTGTTTATTTTGCTTTACCCTTTCCTTCCTTCCCCTCTCATACGTCGTTGACATGTTAGTCAAAGACAATGACGGGATTAATATGATCCATCGGAAATAAGTAATTACCTGCAGCTGCTTCGCGCTCCAAAAACTCTGTCGGATGCTCAATGAGGGTACCACAACACATCGTCAGGCGATCAATCAATGCAGCTGCCTCTTCTGATGTAAGTCCCCCAGGTCCTGAACTTGTCACATGCTCATAATGTTGTATTGCTGTCTTGTAAGCAGCCCAAGTCTTGATCTCATCGTCAGGCACGCAATGAAACACATCGCGGAAAATGCTTGTATTATGAGCAGCAACCATTTTCCACACAGAGTCGTAGCAGGCGAGCGGATCCAGCAAGCTGTTTGGAAAGAAAGAAGGCTTCGTAGATCCATGCAGATCTGCTGTGCTTGGGTCGACCGTGGACATGATTCGGGTAGCCTTTGTCGCCGAAACAGTCGTTTCATCAACCATTTCTGAGCTGGTGGTGTGTTGCAACACAGGCGACGTAGCAGACAAGTGTTCAAGCACACCAACCTCAATCTGGTCGACATCAAGTCCCACATGTTCTCGCATCAGACGGACACGAAGTGTATGAGGAAAGCGACCGACCTTGTACGGTCGGCCAGCCATACTTGAAGGGATCATGTCTTCGTCACGTACAATGCAAGCAAGTTCGGAGTCACGGTCGCCCCGCTGACTGCGTTCATTGATATTGGCACTCCCAATAATGGCAAGTCGATCGTCCGCGATAAGTACTTTGTCATGCAAATATACTTGCTCGGTTGTGAGCTGGCCATGTCGCATGCGGCCCCAAGCACGCAAAGAAAAGAAGCCAATGTACGCATGGGGATCGATGCCAACTGACCGTAGGCGCGCGAAGATCGAATGGGGGCCACGTGCAATCGACAGGTACTGCAGCGATGAGATGAGCCGCACAGAGCCGCTTTCAGCATGATCGTACGCCATTGGGAAGCCGGGTGTGGCGGGTATCACGATAATCGCACGCCACGGTGTTTTATCGCGGTGTGCTCGAACAATTCTCTCAACGAGTGCAAGGCCAATGCTATTCTCGATTTCTGTGCTGTCCATGATCGTGGATGATACAAAGAATTGGTTCTCCACATAAACAAAGTGATCACTTTGCTCGATGGCCTTCAGGTAAGCGGTCTGGATCGAATGCTCAATCATCTTGGGCGTGCCAAGACTCCAAGGACCTGCAGAACGGCAGATTTGCACCTCACAGGTGCCCCGCAATCCGTAGTGATCAAGATCTTCTGGCTTCAGGTCAGACGGTGGAAGCAAAAAATCCATGCGGCGCGTGTGTTTTTTGGTGCGAAGTAGCATGTTCCACCGCTGGCAAAAGTGCCGACACAGATCTCGCGCGGGTTGACCCATGATCTGCACACCTGTGTCATGCCAAGGCATACGAGGCACCTTGTCGCGTGGAATCAAGTCCATTTCTGGCTTCGAAAGCGTCTGCCACTCTACAACACGCTCATTAGCATAATCCTGCCCAGGCCATATGTGTGCTTCGGCGCCGTTTCGCACAGGGCCGAGAAAGTTTGGATCTGCGCCTGAATGCCCTTCAATCTCGGCATCATCGACGAGCGCATGTGATGGTGTATCGTAGCGACCAAAGCACAAGTCAAAGCCGCCCATAAATGCGAGCATTTCGTCAATGACGCATAGCTTCTCATGGTGCGCCCAGTAAAACGTGCCAGTTTTTAAATGGCTCGGCGAGCGCTGCACGACAATGTTGGGATGCAGAGACATCAGGCGTGTTTTTGCATAGCCGGAATCCGTGGGCGTGAACTGATTTGACACCTCGTTGTACAAGATCACATAAATACGCACACCTTCTTGCGCCTTTTTCAAGAGCAAATTATCTAGACGCCATTCAGGTGTCCCGGGTCGCCGCAGGTACAGCTCAGGCGAGAGCCACCAATCGTGAATGTAGATTCGCTCATGTGCATGGAGGATTGCTTCGGACAGGTTCCAATAGTAGTCGCGCCCATCAACAAGCCACTGGGCGACGACATGCCTGCGGATAGGTGCGAAGCTGCCGAAGCGATTCCGCTTGCCGAAAGGATTGTAATGAGCCGCATACTTGAGGCTCAGCAAAAACTGCTCCATCTCCCGCTCCGAGCGAGCAACAAGTTTCAGCTTACGCTCGGCATTGGAAATATCGAAGCGGTGCCGCTTCACGTAGTCACTGACTGTGCCCGTAGAATGCTGCTCGTGCTCGCCGACGATCTGCTCGTCTTTCTCATCGGGAGCATGCTTAAGCGACGAGCTTCGAAGCGTATGTTTTCTCACCACTTCAAACTCCTGGTCCATCAAAAAAACATCGAGCACCCTCAGGCTTTGTATGTCGCTTACAATTACAATATAACTCTCACGCACAATGAACCACCTTGGGTGATGGCGGTGCGGAAGCTTCATGAAGGCTTGCGTATCGCGCCAAGAACTTTTGGATTTGATTTGCAGGTAGCCCTGCTTTCCTAGATGTCCACTCAGAGATGCGATCTGAAGACCCATGGCACTGAGCTCTAAGAACCGGCACAGCCGGTTCGCCTCCGGACGAAACATGACAAACTTGATCAACTTCGTCAAGTACTCCGTTAGTGCAGCTCTGTATGCGCGATCTTGTGTTTCCTGCCGTTCCTTGCTGTCGTGTTGCCACTGTCGAGTCAGCCGACTCGTGAAGCTGCCTTTCGGGAAACTAGGAACTACCCTGTCCGACTCGGAGTCAAGCGTGAGTCGCCTCGAAAGTGTTGCCGCAACATCTTGTGTACGATAGTATGCATGAAGAGAAAAAAAGTCGCGCATCTCACGATATATGACCCAGGCTAGCATGCCCGAGCCATACCTGAGCTCAATGCGGTACACGACATGGCCGGAACTCGGCATGTGCACCGAATCAGTGACTAGGACTTGCAAGTATTGTAAAAGCACAGGAATACGCGGAATATCTTGTTCATCGCGCTCAATTTTCATCTTGAGCAAGGCGGCCGAGAACAGTCCCAGTTGTAACTCTGCGACGATATTAGCTGGACGTTCTTCGTTTTCTGGCGGTGACACACGTGGGGATTCTTGTTTACCGCGCCATAGATGCGCAAGTTGCGAACGAATAGGGTGTGGTGATATTGGTGTGTTCGTGTCAGAGAACGATGAATCTTGCCTCTGGGGGCGGAACCAACGAGGATATTGTTGGTGGACGGTTGATGCTGATACTACTGAGCCAGGCGCTGTAGTCGCGGTTTCGTTAGGGACAGCAGACATCTTTACAGGCTGTTCCCTAGACTCTTCGGGGGGATGTAGACCTGGCGTAGCTAATGCGACCTCTGTATCATGACTCCTCCATCCAGACTCCGGCGGTCTTAAAGCATGCTGATTAGACATGCTTGCGTGATGAGTCGCACCAAGCATCAAGAGAGTCGAAATGCTTTCGTATTGAGTTGCTTCTCACTCACTCTCTTTAGCAGCAAGAAGTGTGTAAGAGAGAGGTGACCGACGTGACCCGATCGCACGCACGAAAGGGGGCGACGCCGTAGTAAAGCTGGAGTGGATCGCGTACACTTACACTCGGTAGTTTGCTTTGTCCTCCACTACATCACACCATTCACCATTCGCTCACCAAACCCACCCCACGCTTTCGTCAGCGGCCAACCCAGTGGTTGACGCCTGACTGTTGAACACCTCCACAACACTAATTCTCCCACTGAGGCCCACCGCTGGACAGGCTGGGGGCTACTTCGTTGTGAAAAACGATCTTTGATGTGCGTGTGGAAGTTCTGCCAAGATGGATGAGAAGAGGCCAAGAGCTAGAAGTGCTAACGATACAGGGCGCAAACTGACTTTCTAAACGTATGTGTACATGAATGATGCATGAGAAAATAGACTCACACGTTGGTGAAAGCGTGCGATTGATATCGTGCAGAGAGCCATTGACGAAGATGTGAAGCACAATTACCAAGAAGCATATGTCCAATATCAAAACAGTCTGGATTATTTCATGATGTCCATCAAATGTAAGTAAGACTAGCGCTGTGTCCCATTGGGCATGCCAACACCTGTGCCAGACGAAAAGAATGACAAGTTGAAGCAACTGATTCGTGCCAAGTTTGTCGAGTACTTGGATCGAGCGGAAAAGCTGAAAGAACATCTGGGGAAAGTTGCTCAAGTTGAGAATGCCGATGGTGGTGGCGGGTCGGGAAAGAGCACGATTGGTGCTTCCAGCAGCAAAGGCGACACTGATGACATGGATGCTGAGACACGCAAGTTGCGCTCCGGCCTGTCGAGTACGTACGATGCACACGCACAAATTCATGTGCTTATATGAACAGATGTGATTTTGACGGAGCGGCCGAATGTGAGCTGGGATGACGTCGCTGGTCTATCGAGTGCGAAAGATGCGCTGAAAGAAGCGGTGATTTTACCGATCAAGTTTCCTCAGCTCTTTACAGGCAAGCGGAAGCCATGGAGTGGCATTCTTCTGTACGGTCCACCAGGTACGGGAAAATCGTTTCTTGCAAAGGCCGTCGCGACACAGTCGAACAGCACGTTCTTTAGCGTGTCAAGCTCTGACCTTGTGTCGAAGTGGATGGGAGAGAGTGAGCGGCTGGTTAAGCAGCTGTTTGCTATGGCCCGTGAAGCACGACCATCGATTATCTTTATTGACGAGGTCGATTCGTTGTGCGGTACGCGCAACGAAGCTGAGAGCGAGGCAAGCCGGCGTATTAAGACCGAGTTTCTTGTTCAGATGAACGGCGTCAACAACGACGACCAAACGGATGTATTGGTTCTGGGCGCAACAAACATCCCATGGGCCCTTGACTCGGCGATCAAGCGACGCTTTGAAAAGCGTGTATACATACCGCTACCCGAGCTGGATGCGCGCCGCCGCATGTTCGAACTGAACATTGGTGCTACGCCATGCAATCTGACACATAAAGATCTTCGGACGCTGGCCGCCGAAACGGAAGGGTACTCAGGTGCTGACGTGGCTGTCGTCGTTCGTGAAGCTCTGATGCAGCCAGTGCGTCGTGTTATGAATGCTACTCACTTCAAGCTGGTGCTAGAGACTGCTGACGATGGCTCCATGCAGGAGAAATACACGCCCTGCTCACCGGGTGATCCAGACGCGCGTGAAATGACATGGATGGATATTGCTTCGAACGAGCTCAAAGAGCCTGTCCTTGTTATGAATGACTTTCTCAGGGCACTTCATGCTGTGCGACCATCTGTCTCGGCGGCCGATATCCAAAAGCATCTCAACTTCATGCAAGAATCTGGAGCAGAATAACGAGACTCAATCCATGGAACCCCAATGTCTATACTATGATCGTAGCGAGCGCAACAGTAAATCATGTACACCATTGACAGAGCTGAGTACGCGCGTGGCACTAGATTTGTAAGAGATGTACGTTTTTCGGCTGCGAGTCGTGCGCAACAGTACCAAGTCAGTGGCATCACGTAACTGTTGCTAGTAATAAGGGGAAGGAAGGGAGGGAGAGGGGGTTCGCTCGCCAAATAGTATGTTGCTTGGATGCGGCATGGACAGGCTGCGAAGTAAAGGCACTTCTCATGGTGCTTTGTCTAGTTGCGCTGCTGGTCAGTTGAAGAAAAAAAGAGAAAATAAAAAAAGGCGGAGGAAAGTGGGGTGCTTGGGTCACACCCAGGATGCATATAAGGTCTACGTACCTCTCTCGCGAGATTTGCGTGACGCTCCGTACAAACGCACTAGACTAGGCTTGATTGTCTCTTCAAGTGGCGCTGTGGTTTGCACATGCTCGATAAACTTGGTCCGATCCGCATCAGGAACCGCTTCCAAAGGAAGCATCTGTGCAGCTGAAATAGTCCAGGTTGTCAGCTCGTGAGGGTAGTCGAGTGCTAATGCACGCATAATGGCCACTACGACGGGCATGTTCTCCGGTGGGAAATGGGTGACCAGGCCAAGCAGGATCGTACGCACAGTGTCAGAGCCGCGCTCGCCAACGACCACGCGGATGGTCTGGACAAGTGTGTGGTCAGGAGCAGGAGCCTCGCGCGCATACTCAACAATGGCACGTACGACATCGGTAGCAATTCCAACGAGGCTTGGTGAAAGTGCACACAGTGCTTGGACAGCGATCGCATATGAATGAGAGAAAGATGCTGAGCCGAAGAGGAGTGCCGGAGCCGTCTGGATGGTCACGAGACACGAGTGCAGGTAGTCATCCAGGACGTCTGAGATTGCATCGGGCGCAGGCGCCGCAGCCAGAAGGCTCATGACTTTGTGTGTTGTACGATCCATCGCATGACCCAGCTGTGCACGAAGAATGTCATTCGCTTGTGCGCCATATTGATCCATGGACTTGCCAATGATCCATACATAGCCAGAGAAACCCGTGGCTTCCAGGCACGAAGCAAAGCGGTCAAGCAAGGCTGGCAGCGTCGGCTCGGCGCGATCGCCAAAGAAGATGAGCGCACGACGGATCAAAGCAGACGTACGCTCAGAGATGAAAAAGACGTCTCCATACCGCTCGAGCAGCCGGTCGAGGATCGCATACGCTTGCGAACACGTAGATGCACACGCTTCTGGCAGCGTACTTGCGAGCGAGACGCCCATGACCTGTAAGATCCGGGCAAGTTGCTCCATGCGATCAGCCGCGCGCATCAGGTCGGGTTTTGTCGCATTTGGCAGTGCACTTACGTCATGCACGCTCTGGAGAAGAGGCTCAGCCAGGCGGAGAAGCGCATCTGACGCAGCCGCAGCGGAAGACATCGCTGTGATGACGTGCGTGAGTGCTTCAGAAACGGCAAGTAGGTCGTCAACGGCGAGATGATCATACACTGTGCGGAAGAATTCCAGGAGCTGCGGATAGTATGGCACGAGATGTTCGCGACAGTCCTGGCACAGGAAGTTCATCGCCTGCGCGGCAGCAGCGGCAATGTCTTTGTCAGAGCCATCGAAGCCTGTCGTGATAAATGACAGCACTTCGTGAAGATGCTCGGGATGCTCTGCGACCCACTCAGTGAAGCGGGAAATTACCAGCAGGCCCGCGTACCGAAGCCGTGGGTGCGGGGGCAAGCGAGGCACAAGCGCAAATACACTCGGGACGACGTCGCTGGTCTGAATATCGATTTGGCCACCCATGGAGCGCATAGAAAACAGTGGCGCTTCCATATCCTGCCAATGCAGCTCTGGCGACGCTTGGGCCAACGCCGACTCAATGAGATGCAGCGAGCGTGCAATACATGCCTCTGCACCCAGGACATAGCAGCAGTCTTTGAGCGTGTCGCCCATGTAGTGGCGGAAGCTGCGGAAGTCATCGCGCTCCTGGCCGGTGAGTGTGTCTTCGTCATCATTAGGGAATCGAAGATGCCGTAGAATGACAGCAAACAGCTGCTCATACACACCACGGAACGGCAACGCAGACGACTCGCCCTGCTCCAGTGCCTTGTGCACGTCGGACGCCAGCAGGTACCAGAAGCGGAACGTGATCTGCACAATGTCCAGGTCGTGGTACGACGCACAGTCCAAGACCGTTTGGACAATCGGCAGGAGCGCGGCCGTGTGTTGTAAGATGAGCGCGTGATACGTCTCGCCGGCCTGGACAAAGATGCGGCAGAGGCCACGCACACGGTCCTCGTCATCACCAGCCGCCGCAAGTGCAGGACGCAGCTCCTCAAGACGCGGTAAAATCTGTTCAATGACAGACTGATTCTCGTGAATTTCCTGCGTCTCGTTGATCAGGTCACACACGACATCGACAGCGGTGTCGAAGAGCTCCTCGTTCTGGAGTGCATCAAATGCACACGCAAGCAGCGGCGTTTCTGCGAGCTGCAGCGCGGATACCTCACCTGCCTTGAGCCAGCTCCGAAGGCAAGCCAGAATCATCGCCTGAATCGGCGTCGTCACGCCATCTGCACGGATGTACATGTAAAGCACCTGGAGCACGGTCGGTGCATGCTGCGTAAGCAGCCGGGGAACACGCTCATGGTACGCGGCATTGTCGATAGGGATCCTGTGGTTCATCGACACTTCTTCAGGAAGCACCGTGAGAAACTCGAGAAGCACTCCCACAGTCGTGGGCGCGCTGCCAAAGCGTTCGATCATCTGTGGGATCACGGCGCCCCAGCGTGATTCAGGCATTTGCAGTGCAAGAGCCGCTAGCGCCAAACAAAGTTGTGTCTGGATTACACGTGGCCCAGAAGCATACATGTCCAATGCATGTAAGAGTGTATCGCGCAGCTGTTCCTGCGACGCTCCTTCCAGCTGCTCCAAGTCAAAGGTGACTTTGGAGCGGAAAGTCTGCGCAGAAAAAAGTCGCGACTCCAATGGCAGATCCTGCGACAGCAACAGAGTATTCGCCGTGTTCCATGCCTGCGGCGTTTTTTGGAACTGCAGCAAGGCAAGGTTCGCTTCCTGCTTAGCGCTAGAATTGGGATCATGATAAAGTGCCTGCAGCGCCGCAAGGACAGACGACACGTCTGGATGGGAAGCTGCGGTTGCTGCCACCGCCGCTGCTTCACTGCTACTCATGAACGACCACGATTGCAGACGCAATTAGGGAATCCGCCTGTCGCTAATCCACAAAAAAAGAAAGGTGAGAGTAAAGACTCGGTGTGGGTGCGTGCGTGTGTGTATCTGTAGATTGATGACGTCAGGCGCGTGCGTGTGGGTGAGTGTGTGTTTGTGTGCGTGTCTGCACATAAATCCACACACATTCTTGACCATCTGGTGTTGCACAAAAGAAGAATTACGTAAGTGCAAACGCCCAGCGCCTCCATTCGGTGTACACAAGGATGGCGTCAGGGGTGGGGCGGCGCGTGGAAAAAAAAATACGGGGCACAATCGATGGGAGAGACTAAGAAGAAAAAATACAAGTGACGCCTGTAGAACGATTCAGCAAGTCATTAGGCTGAGCATAATATCACACAATCTACCATCAGACCGAAGCAAGCATCAAGAGCGGGACGTGGGGAATCCATATGCCAGAAAAACAAAGCCGAGAAGCTATGAGTGAGAGGCGGGTGGTGGCTTCGACTGGCACAGAAGCTTGTAAAGGCCACTGTCTTCAAAGCACCAGTTAGGCGACGGCCACGCAAACACATGCTCAAGCAGACGCGCAGCTGTGGGCCGACGATCCGGGTCAATTTCAAAGCAATTTCGCAAGAAGTGGGCTGCAGGTTTCGAGAGCTTGACGTCGGGAGGCACAGGCGGAGCACGTCTTTGTGCACCAATTTTGAACATAGCCTGGATGGCTTCTTCGTCCGACCAAGGGCGTCGTCCAGCAAGCATTTCAAGAACGACACAGCCCAGACTCCAAATATCCACCTTCGCGCTGTAACCCTTGCGTGAGAGGCTCACGACCTCAGGCGCCATCCAGAAAATCGTACCCTGCAAGGACATGTTCTCGACATTCGCATAAATGTCCTCACTTCGACGCACTGTGCCGAAATCAGAAATCTTGCATGTACCTTGATAATCGACAAGCAGATTGTCTGCCTTCAAATCACGATGCAAAATACCTTGCTTGTGCAAGTAGGCAAGACCCTGGAGCGTCTGGTTCAGAAACGAGCTCGTCATGTCCTCTTCAAACTTTCCATAACGGCGCAGGCAACTGCCGATCGAGCCACCTGGTACATACTCAAGAAAGATACTTAGTGTGTCGAGCGTCTCTTCGAAGCCGAGGCACGTGACCACATTTGGATGATCCAAGTCCTTCAGTGTCTCGATCTCGGACTTGAGGGCTGACACTATGCTCCGCTGCCGCGACGAGTCACGGTCGGCCGCTGTGCGCGGGAGCTCAACCTGCTTGACAGCAATCATCTCGCCAGTTGTTGCATTCAGTGCGAGATACACGCGACCGTACGTGCCCTTGCCGATAAGTTCACCCTTTACCCATTTGAATACAGGCCGGTTCTCCGGATCCGACTCAGTCAGGCCATTCGGCACAATGCCCACAGAATTGGCACCATTCGTCCGCATCTCAACCATGCGCCCACCCCACAGTTTCGTGCTGCGCCGTCTATTCAGGAGCTCATCGTTCCTGTGCATTTGTCGTCGTTCCTCTTGCTTTGTCTTTTCCAGCAGCTGTCGTCGGTTTTGTGCAATGACACGGATCGAGTGATGTTGATGTCGCGAGAGCCCACGCGGGGCACGACGTGTCTTGGGCGCTGATCCAGACGACGTAGTGCCACCTGTGTTCAGATTCGCTCCGCCGCCGTTTACCACTCCACTCCCGTTAGCTGCTCCTGACTCGCCGCCCACAAGAGCAGTGCCGGCAGCACCTCGCTCGTCCTTATGCGCAGACGGAGGCGTTTCACTTTTGGGCTGCGGTGAAAGACCCATATCATTTAGTGGCTTGTCCAGGTCATGTCGCGGAAACAGGTTATCAAGTTGTTCGTACAGTTCCTCCGCAGGTGGACGCAGCGCCCAGCTTGTGCCGCTCTTCTCCCGTGCATGCATCGTCGCTTGAGGGGGAGCTACTTGAGCTGACGATTCCACTCGCTCAGGCGGTGGCGAAATCGACAGCGACAGCACAGGGCGCGATCCATCACGTGGCGTTGTTGCCTGTGGCGACGCATGGACAATATCTGACTCGAGTGGGTGAGATGTAAGCGTGGCCGCATCCAGCGGTTGCGCAAACGTGCCACCCAGCGTGTCGTCGGCAAACGAGTCAAACTCGCATGCAGCGCTCTTTCGATCTTGCGACACTCGAAGATGTGCAAGCAAGCGTTGCATTGAGCCGTCCGTACTGTCATGGTCTGAAAGCGGCGTCGATACGGCTGATGGCGTGTCACGCGCAGAATGGTCGTTGGAGTCAACATGCTCCTCAGAGCGCCACGGCGAAATTTGCGAGGACATAGGCGAAGAGCTGTTGGGGGATGGCAATGGCAGCGGACGAGCAGCAGAACTGTATTCCGAGCCTCGATAGGAAGTTGGGTATATGTGGTCGTCAAGAAGTGGCCGAGCATCGCTCGAGTTGGACGTGGTTCGAGCTTTCGGCCGCTCTCGTGCGAAGCCGGGAATCATCGATGGAGGGAGCGCCGGCGTAGGTGCCGGCGCAGACGAGGAGGCAGAACCAGATAAAGAAGTGGGAGAGGACGCTGGGGCTGAGGAAGGATTTGTCATGGTAATTGATGCGGGAATTGAACCATGCTCTTGACCAAGAGCATGCCCAGGGACAAGACTAAGGCTTGGAACATGAGGCGCACGACGCGCCCCGCCCACGGCTGCAGGCGGTTCATCCATGCAAGGGGAAGAACTCAGGTTTGGCGTTTCGTACGCAGATGACGCAGGACGGCCATTAGGCGAGGGATGCACAGCAGGCACAGGCATCGACGAGGATGGGTGCCATGCTGGTGGGTACATGGGAGGGACAAGATGCGGTGATGTAGACAAACGAAGGTCTTCGGTTTTCTTCGACATTGGTATAACCATGCCGGGCTGCAAAGACGGGAAACTTGACGAGATAGGCATTATGGCGGCGTTCGGTGACATGTGTCGGTTCGTGTAGGGTGTCAAGAAAGCATCATTTAGAGGAATCGTGGAAGGACCAGGAATGATCGATGAATTGGGCATCGACCAAGACGGTGGTCGGCGCTTCACGCCTGGTACGTGTCGCACACCTGTACCCGTCGGTGCATCGAGTGGCGACATATTCAACGCGAACGGGGCAGACAATGGTGGCGCGTGTTTCGATGACGGTATGTGAGGTCTCTGTGACTGTGAGGGCTGTAGCGGGGGTACTGGCAATGTCTGGGGTGGAAGTGAAGGAGGCCGCACTTGAGCAAAAGTCCTGTCAGGAGACGACCACGCATAAGGAACTTTGGATGGGCTAGCATACACAGGTGGTTGATTTACACGGTCTCGTACATCGTCAGTAGATGGAAGCATACTCAAAACACGAAATTTGATCGTGCCCTTGTCATCGCCGAGCTGTAGGCACAAAGCAAGGAGGGTATCGTCGTCAATGAGTGGCGAGTGAGTCAGATCGGATTCGCCAATTTCTGTGCGGAACAGACCCCATTGGTGCAAATCAGTCCATGGAAGCTTGAGTTTGCGCAAGATCATCTCGCGGATTGTGGGCGCGGAGTCAAGGCCCGTGACGTTAACAACGGAAAAATGCTCATTGTCGAGGGTGGCCTGGATGATGACTCGATCTGCCGACTCACTCGAAGGCGTCGTAGAGCCGCGGCTCTGCATGTTGGATGACGGGTACGCCCGATTCGCATACGAAACTGCCATCTGGGCCTGTTGTCGATGTGGTGAACTAATCCAAGCGTCTTCACTGCCGTTATATGAGTGGCGAATGGGCCGGTGGCTTAGTCGACCCGTGTGTTCGTCTCTACCAGACGGGCCAGCGCGTGGCGGCATTTGCATGGTGTTTGCATGCGGTGGATGCACCACTGCACGCTCACTCCATGGATGCATGCCGTACGGCTGCATGAGCCCGCGACGTTAGGTGATGGGAAGGCGGCGTCTGGCAGTTAACTAGGCCGATGTTACAGAGAAGGGATACGAAAATATTATCTGTTTTCCCGCTCTCTTGAGGAGTTGAATTTGCGGCGACAACAATCTCCCTTATCAAATTTGAAAAATAAGTAGGGTTTCGCCATGTGGAAACAACCCACGCTGTTTTCTGCCTTTAAGGTGTCAAATCACTAATGGAGGTGGGTTTTAGACACAGCAAACCCCACGAATGAAGCCTGTCTGCGTACGCGTTCGCAACTAGCAAGACCTACCGTGGGATTTCACCATCGTAAAGCTTCGCACAATACTCTTGGCTCCCTGCATCCCCCACCGCAGCATTAATTTCGAACACTCAGCAAATATACTTTTGTAGAGGAATGAATCGAGATGATACAGGAGGAAGCGGTTCTGCTGCTACCGGGTCCATGCGCCGCCTAGCGCATGAGCGCAAGGCAGCTGAGCAGCTCGATGATGAGCACGTGCTAGATCTTCGACCCATAAATGACGATGACTTGCGGTCTTGGCGCGCTATATTGCATGCACCGGTTGATGGCATGTACAAAGGCGGATACTTTGAAGTGCATATCCAAGTGCCGGAGACTTATCCAATGAAGCCTCCGACAATGCACTTTCGCACACGGATTTTTCATCCCAATGTACACTGGAAGACAGGGGAAATCTGTCTGGACGTGCTCAAGACGCAGTGGTCTCCTGCATGGTCACTTCATAGCGCATGCACGGCCGTTGTAGCGCTGCTGGACAGCCCTGAGGCCGACAGCCCGCTAAACGTCGATGCTGCGAACCTATTGCGCACAGGCGACCATATCGCGTATCGCTCAATGTGTGCGATGTACACTCGGTTGTATGCGGGAACCACAGGTCCATAGTTAGGCTACGCGCTCCGAGCCTTATTGCGGCGTTAGGCATATCTCGCGCTTCCCGAGCGTATATCCAACTATATGTATCTACTCATGCATACAACGTTAACAGCAGCCACCTTTCTTGGTCTGGCCGCCATCATCAGTCGATGGCTGCACAGAAATGGTCTCACCGCCACTGGGTTTGATGACATCGTCCGAAGACTGAAGTGCCTTGTTCGACACAATATGGTAAATTTCCGTCAGAATGTTTTGGAACGCCTGCTCGACATTAGATGCATCCAAAGCGGACGTCTCGATAAACGACAAGTTGTTTTCTGCAGCGAACGCCTTGGCCTCTTCGGTTGGTACTGCACGCAGGTGCCTCAGATCACTTTTGTTGCCAACAAGCATGACAACAATGTTGCTGTCAGCATGATCGCGCAGTTCTTTGAGCCAACGCGACACATTCACGTAGGTTGAGTGCTTTGCAATATCATATACGAGAAGCGCACCTACTGCACCACGGTAGTATGCAGACGTAATAGCACGATAGCGCTCCTGACCTGCTGTATCCCAAATCTGCGCCTTGATTGTCTTGCCGTCGACGTTGATGCTTCGAGTCGCGAATTCCACACCAATCGTGCTGCGACTGTCCAGACTAAACTCGTTTCGCGTGAATCGTGACAGCAGGTTCGATTTACCTGTGCCCGAGTCACCAATCAGCACGACTTTGAATAAATAGTCATAGTTCGACTCCGCCGCCATTCTCGTCTGATGGATGCTCGTCGTTCTAGGCGCAAACGTTCACGGTCATGTCACGCGGGCCCTGAGCGGCTTTCGACACACACTCCTCGGCCGAACGTGATACACCTGCACTCAGCCCCTCGCGCATTTGACACCTCTGCTCGCTCTATGCGTGCGCGTTGGCACGCGCTGCGCGCGCGGCATTTTGGCTTGCACCGCGCGACACATGCAGCGAGCAGCGCCAGGCGCGTCATGGACCAGTTGATTTGTATGGGAATTATGTACCCGTCGCCCTTAATGCAATCTTCCGCATAGCGATGTAAGTTGGGATTACGACGCGTAATGACTATCAAATCTTGTACACAATATCTGGGATTCGTCAGCAACGTCCTGCACATGAACACGCACCTTCTGCAAGCATTACTTGGTTCTCTTCACTCATCGCCTCAAGAGCTACACGTGCATCTTCCTCACTGATGGGCGGGCCAGCCGCATTCACAGCATGCAATAATGTAGCCAAGTCCACAAACTCATCTTCAGCAAACGTGCTTGACAACGCGTTAGCTGCTCGCGCACGGAAAGACTTCCACGCAGCTTCGTTTCGACTCGGTTTTGGCACGGCACGCGACCTAAGCTGTTCTGAAGATGTCGGTGGTTGCGGTGTTCGTGATGCCGGTGACGACGCGGACACAGTTGAGGTGGCAGCAGATGTCTCTGTTGTTACGGCTGCCGCCGCTGCACGAGTGGATGCTCGGGTCCCATACACGTTCTGACCAGAAAAACTCTGCGTCTGCATCGCGGATTTTCCGCCCAGCTGTCGATCGGTCTCATCTTGGTCCATGTCATCTGAATCAAACGCAGCATTCTCATCATCATCGTCCTCGTCGTCGCCCGCACTTTGATCGCGTTTTGTTTTGCGCCGCTTGCTTGTTGTGCGCGAATGCATCACCTCTTTGAACAGCGCATACCGCAAAATAGCCTCTGCTGCCTCGGCATCCTGCTCCTCGATCGACTGGCTTAGACGTGCCTTGGCATACGCGGTTGCCAGACGAATCAATGTCTCGAGTGTCCGCGCCGTGAGAGGCGCAGTTCGACGCACATTGCCACTTTGTTCATCATTTCGAAGATTCGCATACACATTCGAGATCCAGGCAGCGGCACTGGGCGTCAGTACAGGAGCAATCCGTGACTTGGCATACTGCAGATATTTCTTGACAAATGCGATCGAAAGCACCTGCTGACGGCGATCCCCTTGAAGGCCCATGTGAAGGAGCGGGTTATACTTTTCGAACGGTAGTTCGTCATCCGGTTCACGCTGGTGCCGTTCATCGTCGTTCCCGCTGTCGCCGACTTCTAACACCTGGTCGAGATTGTCTTTCGCTGGTACACCAGCAGGCTGCCCAGGCTGGACATACCTGTGCATTCGAAGAACGTGCTCAGAAATCAAGCGATCCCGTTTCTCGTCAATGTCGTCTGTGATTACAAAGAGCAAGTCAAATCGCGATAGCAACGAATCTGGAAGCGCAATGTTGCGTCCAGGCTCCTTGTGAACATCGTACTGGCCATAGATCGGATTAGCGGCGGCAATAACTGAACAACGAGCATTCAGTGTGGTGTGGATCCCCGCCTTGGCAATGGTCACGGTTTGCTGTTCCATGACTTCGTGGATTGCAACGCGGTCGACGTCTGACATCTTGTCAAACTCGTCAATACATACGACACCACGATCAGCAAGAACCATGGCGCCAGCCTCGAGACGCCGTTCGCCAGTCTCGCGGTCTGTTGTGACGGCCGCTGTCAAACCAACGCCACTACTGCCACGACCAGTCGTCGCAATAGCCAAAGGCGCCGTGTTCAGAACAAACCGCAGCATTTGGCTTTTTGCCGTCGATGGATCACCAACCATGAGAATATTGATATCACCACGAATATGTGTGCCATTAGCCAGGTTCTTTTCTTGGCCGCCTAAGAGCATAAGCAGCACGGCTTTTTTGAGGTACTCGTGCCCGAAAATCGAAGGAGCAAGAGACTGTGCGAGCAAATCAAACACTTCATCACGTCGTGCAATCTTATTGATGTGCCGGATATCCAGATCGGTGAGTGGCAGTTGGGAGATGCCACCACCAGCCTTATTTGATAGCACATACACGTAGTTGCCGATCATGAGTGTACGAAACGTGGATGTGTTGCTTTGGCCCACACGATTACCCAGTGACTTGTACATGCCAACCAACTGGATGCGATCACCAGGTTTCACTTGGTCCACGAGATCGTCGTCCATCACAACGTCGACACTACGAGGCAATTGGCCTGGCGGCGCTCGCTCGGGCATTTCCTGGATACTAATCATCTGATGATCACGGTAAGTACTAAGGCCAAACTCGGTCGTGAGCCGATTCCCACTTTCATCCGTTGTGGGGTACGTGCTAGTGGTGGGCGGTCCTGAACCATACATGGTAGCATCGCGGTATTCGCGCATATGAAAGCGCGACGTTGCATCACAATAATGCACAGACTTGACGATTTTGGGTCGCACCAAAGAACATCGAGTCACGATGCCCTCCAAGCTCATCATCTTGCCAAGATGCACACTCCGGAGCATGCGGGTGCTAATATGGTTATCACCAAAGCTCCCCCGCAACCCAATGTGATACAACTTGCCCTGTATATCATCCTTAAGCGGATCATGAAGCTGTTCTACAAGCACTTGCAAAGCATGCTCGAATGGCGGTAAATAACCATTGGGCTCATCCAGCAGTCCATGCGAGTATGCACGGTTGTATGTGCGCAGGTCATCAATATTCACAATCAATCGGCGCTCATCAGCCGCAAGCATGCGCCTGATAGCACTGCGGTAGTCTGTGACACCGCTCTGGTCGTCGAGAAACTCGACAAAAGTTCGTGCGCGATCCTTGAACAAGTCATCATCCAGGATGGGAATATCAATATCAATACCATCGCTCATGGCTTGCAGATCATAGGCGATGCTTGTTTAGTAGATGCAAGTATTTTCTTCGTGTTTTAAGAAATGAACAAGAAATGGCGTTGGCGAGCACCGCTTGACGACGGCAGTGACAATGACTGAGAGTGGGGTTGACGAGGAGCAATGTCAATGCCAGCGACAAGTATGATGATAGTCGTCACCACCCTTGCTGCGCACGTGGTATCCACGTGTTTGTGTCCACCTATGTCTGGGGTATATATACGCACATATACTTACATGTTTGGCCATGCAGCTGGATGCGAGCGGAGCTGGCCCGTCGCTGGCGATGTGCCTGAAGATGCAAAAGCGTGCAGCTCCGACATCTGATATATTTGGGTAGTGGTTGGAACAAAAACAGAAATAGAAACGTACCTCGTTCAGAGCATGTAGATTGTTCGTAAGCGCGGCAAGGTAGGAGCTGAACATGGCGTCGGATGATTTCTGCTGCAGCAAACATGGGACGCTTGCTGCGTGATCGTTACTATTATCAGGTAATGGGCCACGATGTACGACGGAAGATGAAATGTGCGATAGGATGGCTGCATCGTAGGGGCGTGTCCCGTTCTGTACGCCAATGACATACTCGTAAGCAAGCGAGATACGATCATGAAGCATTTGCACCGCCCGGCGCTCGGACTGCAAAGATGCAAGAAGCTGGCTTGTAGCACCTAGATCAGAATGCGTAGAAGAATCGTCGTTGAAATGTGCTAATTGACTGGCATCTTCCAAGACCAACCGTTCATCAGGAGCGGAACAAAGAGACAATGGCACTGGCTTGTAAGATGACGACTCATTCACGAAGCAATGCCATGCTGCGGACGATGCATTCTTTTCATGCAAGAGTAAAAGGGATGGAAATGTGCTCATGCGAGTACATTCCATTATCTGGGTTGTGTAAGTGCACGTTTCTTTCGAAAAGCAAGCAACGACCGGCCAGGATCGTGCGTGAACGAATTCATGTAAGAAACCAACCTTGGTATGGAAGCTAGCATGATGTACTTTTGGATTGGATCCCAAGGCGTAACAGCCAAGGATGCAGCGTTCTGGCCATACTTGACGGTCTGGTGTTGTAATTAGTACTTGCTAATGTCGCATAGATGACATACACATATCCCAAGCCTGAGAGAGCGCGCTTTCATCGATCTGTTCCTCTGAAAGCATATTGATAGCAAATGAATCGATGATTTTATAGTGTTCGTTATCGGCAGCATCGCCGACTACGACGCCGCACACACGGCTGCTCGCGTACACAGCTGAGTCATACAACGACACACGAGTCTCGTGTTCTGATATGCTGAGTGCCGGGAGCGCATGCCTACATAGTTAGTGATTTTTGTACTCTTTGAAAACGTACAGCTCCATGCATACACGTCTTGACGTCATGATGCTGCGCTATTCACCAGCTCACCTGGGTGATGGTGATCCACTTGGTGCCACTCCGGCTTATAGGCGCCCATATCTCCCACGAATGGACTAAAACCTCCACAACAGGAATGGGGGCTTCAAGAGGATTAGGCCCCTCCCCTTCCCTTCCAAGTGCGTGAGATGCACGGTGGATCTGACGTAATCGTGTCAAGGAACTCCCTCACACACGCACAAATGCACATGGTCAGGGGCACATGGGGCGAGAAGGGTCTTTTTTCTTCCTAGGTGGGCGAGAGGGGGAAATGCGAATTTGAGTGGCGTTCGATCGACAACGACGCATGGCTGAATCTGAGACGCCAAGACATGATGATCATGTTTCGCAGTCAGAAGCGAAGCCAGCAGCATCGGAAGGATATCGGCATGATGCGCATGTAACGACGACGACAAATTCGTCGTCGAGCACGGGTGCAAACGCCGGCGAGGGTGCCTATGGCAGTGGTGGTCCATCGGCGAGTGCGACTACGACCCATCACCATCACAAGCCGCGGTTTTCAGCATTGAACATTAACCAGCGATTTTTGCAGAGTGCAACTGCCGCGACAGCACCGAAGCCAGCGCTAGCGAGTGCACCCCCCCCACCGGCAGATGAGTCACGGACAGGACCCAGTCCGCGTCTTGTTACGGCGATGCCGGGCCGGATGTCGGCAGCGCAATATCATCATCATCATCATCATCACCCAGTCACGGATGCATCACGACACAAGGAGGCTCCCCGCGATGCGCCAGCCGCGCCACGCATGCCATGGGCGAATGTGAACAAGCGTGCGCCTATGATGCCGACCGTGTCATCACAGGACTTTCCCACTGCAAAGGAGGTGATGGAGGCGGAGCGCAAGGCAGAAGAACGAGCAGCCGCTCACGCAGCGGAAGAACATGCGCGGCAGCAAGCCATGAAAGAAGAGCTGGAGCGCTTCCGCGGCACGGAGCTTATGTCGCATGATCATTGGGACGAGTTGGAGGAGGAAAGTGAGGATGAGATGGATGATGTCGTCGAGTTTGGCGATGGCACACAGTACAAGATTTCTGAGGTTGAAGAAGAACAAGCCAAACACGCACCGCCTGTGCAAGAGCCTTCGCCGCCGCCTGCTCCTCGCGTGCCTGCCTGGGGCCCAACACACCGACCTGCGTCACTGCTTCGGCGTCCTGAGCCACCAGCCTCAAGTGTCACCGCACATGCTTCGTCTCAGCCTTTGCCTCATTCACATCCACGCGCGCCATTACACGCGCATCATCACCTGCATGCACAGCCTCATCACCCGCCATCGACGGTGGCGGCGCCGCCACCACCACCGCCTGTCTCAACCTGGGGCCCACTGGCTCAGCGACACTCGACACTCACAGGCAAACCAATGCCAAAGCTCGAGCCAACACCACCTCCACCACCCAAAGAAGATCCTAAGGCCATCGAGGCCGAGCAGCAAAATGAGATGCTGACGGCCGCTGAACGTGCACGCAGACGGCGTGAAGAAGACGAGCGGGCGCGCGAGGCTGAGCGGGAGCGTGCACGGCACAAGGCAGCTCAAATCGAAGAACAGATGCTTGCTGCTGAGCGTGCCAAGGAGGAGGAGCGCGAACAAGAACGCCGGCGTGAGCAACAGGCACGTGAAGAACAGACACGTCTGCGTATGGAGCGCGAGCAAAAAGCAAAACAAGAGGCAGAACGCTCCGAAGCGTCCGAGACTGGTACGTGGCGTCGAACGACGCCCCTACCGAAGAGCTTGTGCACGCCACCTGCACTGGCTCACGACGCGCCAACGGCAACGGTTACAGCAACAGAAGCAGGTGAAGGAGGCAAGCGCACGGTTGCGACTAAACATGCAACAGCCCACAAACACAGTCCAGCTGCTGGATCACCGCGCACTCGTGAAGGGCGGGAGCTGTGGCATCAGCCTCCAGAGGCACACTCGCATCCTGAGACGCCTCCACCACCTGAGCCAGTCACGACCCGAGCTGAGCTGTTGTTCGATGATGCGCCGGTCTGGCACAAATTCCCTGTGCGCTGTCCTTCAAGGCCCCACAAGTCGCGACCGCCGTCAGCGGCTGCAAAGCAGAGACGCATGCCGAATGACTCATACGCGCTGATTCAATGTATCGAGCCACCTGCTGACGTTCTAGCAGGCACTTATACCTGCTGGACCTCCGTTGATACGCTCTTTGAGCCTGTAACAAAAACAAGGGCATCGAGAGGCAAGCCACATGTGCATTTGCGTAGACCGCCCGCACCACCAGCATCTACATCGTTTTTCAGCTCCGAACGTCAGACATTTCCAGCCGTTCATCCGATAGATGAGACGGCTTTTTTTCAAAAGCACATGCGTGCAATCGACTCGCTTCCAGTCGATGAGCTTTTTGCACAAGAGAATGACTGCTTAAAAGATGCACAGCATGAGCCGAGGTGTCATGAGCCTGCATCGCTATTGCCACGTTGTTCGTGCAAGCTTCGTGTGAATCTGCCAAAGGCACGCTCATGGCATGCATCCACATCTACATTAACTCCATTACCTTCTTCGTCGTCCGCTTCTGCCGTGCCAATGCTAGGCCTTACATATGGTGGCAGACTCCTTGGACAAGATACATTCTCACCCCATTTCTCGACAGACCGACTCGACATTCATGCACCCGGCACTTGGGGCACATCGTCGCTATCGTTTCCAATCGTTGGAAGCACGGCGCACGAATCGACTTGGCACCATCCGCTCAAACGCATGTGGTCGCAAGCATCACCAGCTTCGATGCCAGTTCGCGGCACGAAAAACTCTCTTCGTGACATTGCCGATGACCCAGTGCCGATGCCTTTGAGCTCGCATCTTGCCGATTGGGATGACCATGCTGAAGGCACCATTGCTGCTAGCGCTAGTTCTTGGGCACCGACATACCGGCCCTCGTACCTGGTGGCACCGCCATCGAGTCTCACAGCCATGGCAACATCGTCGCCACCGTCACATCCACTGCCACTGCCACATACGCAAGCGCGTCCGCAACCGCAACCACAGCCGCAGACGCTGTCACTAGCGACCGATTCAGACCCTGGTGGTCTTCTTCCTGGCGACTACACGGACTTTGTGCTATCTGATACATGGTAAGTGAGCAAATGAGCGAGCGAACGAGTATTCGGAAAATTATGTGTGCCGCGTGCGTGCAAACACTGTTGCAGGTCCCAACGTTTTTCGAGTTGATAGAGGAACTGCTGCGTTAGAAGAGAACATAGAAAAGTGCGAGCAGGAGAATTCAAGCAAAAGCTGGCTGGCTTCCAGGTAGTCCAACGAGCGTGTAAAACACCGTGTGACTTGCCGTGGTCGTATCGTCGCTCGTAGGTACACCGGCTGCCGGCAGCTGCCCATCCTCCCACTTTGCATACGTACCTTGCACACGGCCACCAGCCCCGCGCTCACGAATAGCGAGGTCGTGCCCGATGCGTTGGCCCGCTCGTTGTCGCTTACTCGTTGGTCGGCCGGTCAGATGGAAAAATTCGCCACCTGGCATAAAGGCTGGATCTTGCAAGCCTAGTGGATCGTCGGGATCGGTGGTCTTGGATTTCGCCTTCGTCCGTCTCGGCCGCCGTGGCTTTTCGATAGGATTTGCTCGGACATCTTTGGACCGTAGACCCAACTTGCGCTTCTTATATCCACGTTCTCGTGCACTTGGCATCGAGTGATGTGGATCCAAAGGTGTATGTTGTAATGGAGCATCTGTCAAGTCTTCATGCTCAGGTTCATCGTTCCAAGTACGCAAAACTGTGCGTTCCCCAGGCAGACGAATGGAAGACTCGCTTGATCGTGCTTTACGCGGCCGCCTACCCACCTTGTGCTTGGTTAGTACGTCGCGAGCAGCTGCATCGCCCGTTCGTGCAAAAGCAGCGGCAAACAGCGCAGGATCCAAGGCCTCTGGTTCGTCTGCCTTTTCGTTCTCCTCACCACCACCGTCGTCATCTCCATCAGCTTCGTCCTTTTCTTGCCTTTGGACACGATTGCTCTGTGTCATTTTGCGCGTGCGCCGTGATGGCTTCGGTTGTGCCGTACGACGTCGTTCGAGGGCCACTTGCCGCTCGGCTTTTTGTCTAACGTGAGCAGCGTAGCATTCACTTACGTTTCACGTCTTGACTTTGCCTGTTCAAGCTGCTTCCTCGCTTTCGCCCGAGCCTCTGACGTGCTGATTTCTTCCACTTCAGACGAAGACGAATCGCCGTCATCTTCGTGGTTATCGTCGCCGGTCACGTCGTCCTCGTCGTCACGATCATCCATATCGTCACTCATCTCACTCATTCCATCATATCTGTCGTCCTCATCATTAAATACCATATGTTTGGACGGCTGCATCTCTTCGCGAGCCGTCCGTTTGGGACCTGATGTCATGGTGCCTGTCGCAACAGAATTCGACGGCCCCTTGCGGCGTCATTTTTTTTGTCCAAATTTTGTGATTCTCCACATACATCGAAGCGGCTCTCCTGGTACCAAGGAAGCCCTAGAGGGCCTCAGTACCACGCACGCGCTCACTCAATGACCGCCACGTTCGATAGCGAGTCTGAGCTTCAGCAGGCATTTCTACAGTTCCGCGACGAAATCGATGCGTATCATGATCGACGCGACCGGCTCATCAAGACATCGCGAGACATCACGTCTTTATCGAAAAAGGTGATCTTCCACTTACATCGCTTCTCGATGGAACACGCTTGGCCCACGTACGACGAGAACGGCCAACTGACACAAACACCTGCAAACGGACGGCTTCTTGTCTCTGCAAACGCAAAGCTACATGAGATATATGATGTAATACGCACATGCGCCATGAAGGAAGAGTTGGCAAGTGAGACACACAAGCCTAGTGCGTCGATGTTGCGTTACGAGCGGTGCATCGGCATGTCGCTGGAAGAACTCGTGGAAGCAGCGTCATTTCTGCACTTTCTGGAGCACAATTCACTGATCCACCATGAGGATATCCAACAACATCTGCGCACGCCTGATGGTCATCTTATCATGTATGTGAGTCCCATGCGGTACTTGCTTGGACTTTGCGATCTCAATGGAGAACTTATGCGCCTTGCCATCAATGCGGCTGCTTGTCCAGACCCGATGCATGTGATAGAACGCGTACTCAGTATGCAGCGAGCGATTTACGACGGTACGTTGAAAAGCTTTGGGAGGGAAGGGAAGATGTGGTTACTCTCAATGAGCATTCTCACACACGCAACTGATACTTTGCAGCCTTGGAGCCACTAGCACCATACTCTTACGAAATCCGCAAGAAGCAGCAGATCACACTTGCATCGCTTCGAAAGGTCGAAGATGGTATGTTTGGCTTGTACGAGCTATCTGACTTTTAGCTGCCTATACCATCCATGTGCGAACTGCAGAATATGCTCATAACCCTGCCATGATGCAAGAAATGGTGCGAAGAGCACTAGCCCCGTCAAGCACCGACAACGATACATAATATTATGTAGGTAGGTAGGTAGACGAGAGAGCCATCTGCAAGCACCACTGTCCTGTTTTGAAAGGCCGTAAAAAAAAAAGATGAACCCATTCATGACATTGGGGTGCGGTTTACACCAATAGTTGTTTCACAGACTTGCTCGTACTCAGAATGTGGGTGAGAGCAAGAATCCGGCCTTGCGTACGAAGAGAACACCGAGAGCAAAAAAGCTCACGCTCCATGCAAGCGACATGTTACCCCAAAACTTGGTCGGGTGCATAATTTCCTCTGCCCAGAAGCGCTGAATCCACGATGGCTGCACCGCTGCACGACGGCTCACCGACGAGTTCAAGAATCCTGGCTGCGCCGACCTATTCCTATTAGTACACGTTGCTTGTGCTTTTGGCAGAAGCATACGTACAGATACGAGCCACCCTTGCTTGTCATGATTTGGGTCGATGGAAAATGTGGAAAGTATGTTGTAGTTGATTCGTGGCGCCAAAACCCGCTGCGTTTTCCAACCTCCGCCCACAGATAGGAAGACACAGACACACCCTTCTCCCACTGCACCTGAGCGCCCCTGGCCCATCACGTGACTCGATGCACTCGCGCATGAGTGGCCTTGTAACGCTACAGTCCGTGCTGAGTACCCCAAGGGAAATTATCTGTACGGGGATGCCTGTCATAACAGGTGGTGGTGGTGGCGTGGACGATGCAGTGCCTACATACACACCGGCTGATCTTGAGCAGGATGCAAGTAGAATGATGGAATACATCCAGCCGCCCTTGCCAGCGGAAACAAAGCGTATGGCCAGCACAGACGCTGATTTACGGCTGATGTCTGTGCTGCTTCCGGACGTGGCTGCAGACCGGGTCGCCGCTTTGGTCCGCACTGCCGAAGCAGAAAATGAGCAAGCTATGATGCAGCTCCAAGACGCCGAAAATAAGCTACGTGAATGTATCAACGAAGCCTTCATCTTGCAAGGCGAGCCTACGGACGACAACGACGACGTCTCGTTGTCCTTGGAGCGCCTCGCGACCCTTGCAAACACGAAGACTGCTGCTTTGTCGCGATCTAGTTCATCTAAAAATGAAACACAGCAACAACATTCTACTGAGCTCGCAGAGCTGTATGCCGCACGTGCATGCACTCAACTTCTTGCTGATGCAGAAGAAGCTATGGCGCTAGCCCATACATCGTCTCATACACAACAGCAGCTCGTTGCGCTTGTTCGTCTCGCAACGCTTGTAGAAGATGCACAGCACCGCGGCCCAAGTGCGAGTCCAATGCTATCACGCACGATTGCCATACTCACTGCTCGCCGTGATGAGCTGAACGAGCGTCTACGAATTTCTTGCACAGATGCACTTCGTTCCGCTATGCGCGCAGCTGCATGGCCACCAGTCGCATACGAGAGCCCAGAGAAGTTTTCTTCAAATACCCCACGGTTCCAATTGCTGGGGCATCCTGCGTTGGAGCGCGCTTGGACTGATGTGTGTGAATGGCAATTTACCGCTGCATCTGTTGGTTTGACCAAGCCACCTACATGCATCCAGGCACCGGCCACTATTTCTGGTGTTGACAGACTACACGCCATGCCGGCCGCACCCGGTTCTGATGCCTACGTGCCGCTTGTTGCCGTGCAGGTCATGATGGAGCCAATTCTCCTCCGTTTTCGCTATCATTTCGACGGTGCACGACCCACGAATCGTCTCGATAAGCCGGAGTGGTTCCTTGCGCATGTAGTCGGTCTTATACAGGTGCACCGTCACTTGTTTGAGCCATCGCCTGATCCATGGACCCATGGCGGCGATGTCGCAGAGCTCACGAGGAAACGCAGCGGCGCCATGCACGATGCTCCACTTCGCCAGCGGTATGTCGCTGTAGATGCGCCATCGGAACTCTTACATACACTGTTGCATCCATTGCGGCAGAAGATCCAAGCCTCCATGGAGCGACTCGTACATGAACGCGCGCTGCTCGCACACAACATTCTCCAGCTCATTACATTTGACATTGATCTGCGCGATACATATGCACCTGCTCGGCTCGTTGCCAATGGCCACGGTGCCGTGCGCCTGGCTGACGAGATCTTAGGAAACGAAGCTTGGTTCCAGGCCTGGGTCAATAGTGAGCGTACTTTCGCAGAGCGACGCTTCGACACGCTATTACAGGCCCCCGGCGCTTGGACGCTCGTACAGTCAGATACCATGGACGATGAAGAGGAATTACCAGAGAATGCTTCAGACGATACTGCTGAAATCGATGCCGACACAACCACGCGCTGTGCGTGTTCTCTTATGAATATGCTCGCGGGCGTCACCGAGCGATACCGCCCATTGCAATTGTTGCCCCAACGTTGTGCCTTTATCATCAAGGTTCAACGGCCCCTGCTCGATGTCTTGCACAACCGTCTTGTGCGTCATCTTGACGCATTTGAAAACATGAGCACGGCTTTTTCCCGCGCCCTACCTGGGGACATCGCTTCCTTCTCCGCCGGTCCTGGTAGTGACTTGGTTCGTGGTGAACATGGTGTGACGCGCGTTGCCAAAGCACTCCTATCTGCCGAATATGTGAAAAAACAGTTGCAGGAATGGTCTGAATCGACGTTCTTCCTCAGTATGGCACATGATGTTGCAGGACTCGAGAAATCGTCGCCTCTTTTTCGTATTATGACGTTGAAAATCTCGAAAGATGACATTGATTCCGCCAGCTTGGTGTCTGTTTTACAGCGTGGGCTCCAGCGCGGTGCTTCGGCTGCTACTCATTTGCGCCCTTTGGCGCCTTCATCCCAAGCGTCAACCAAAGGAGAGTCTCCATATTCGTACGAATCTCCAGACACTGCTTCATCAAATGTCCCCGGCATTTGGGACTATCATATCAGCAAATTTGACAGTATTGCAACTCGCTCGGCCCATGCTTTAGAGCGATTAACTGTGACGGAAGTATTGGAGTTGCTCAAGCCCTATATTTTACGCCGTTGGGATCGTGATGAGTTAGGCGCTGGTCCTGACGGCGTAGACTCTGTATCTAACTTAGATGAACAAGCCATGCGCCAAGAAGTTCCTTCGCGCGAACTCGTCCCTGCACTGTCGAAACTGACCAAAATGCTTCAGCTTATGGTACAAGTCCTTCCCCCGAACCTTCTCTTACCTGTCTATCGACACATCGCTTCATCGCTTAGTCACGCTATTGTTGAACGGATACTCATGCCAAGTACGTATCTTTCGTTCATGTATCTCAATTCTCTAACATGTTCAAGATGCCCGTTTTTCACAACAATTCACAGCCGCACAAGCGGTGCGCTTTTGTCTTGACGTCGATCAAGGCTGGCTCCATGTCGTCAGAGAAATCGATAATCACCCCAAGGTGGCTGCAAGACGCAGTAAAAATGCACCAACGGGCCTTGGGCGCAATCCAGAGTTAGCATGGCGCCTGCTCATAGATGCTAGCAAGGAATTGCGACAGAAGTAAATATGACAAGCGCTTTCATACGTTTTCGGATAGGCCGCGTTCCCAAAAAGCCCCAAAAAAAGATTCATTCAAAATGAAAAAATGAGCTTCCGCGCCGGGAATCGAACCCGGGTCTGGGCCGTATGCACGATGACAAGGCCCCGTCATGACCGCTAAACTACGCAGAACGACTTATGAAAGCCCGTTTTCGAGCTGCATCCTTTAGTGTTTTTGTGTGCACCACTTCGATAAGTCTTTCTTGTGACCCCCGCTGTGTTTCATTGAAAGAAGTGGATGCATCCCAGTCATATTGAATTTCGATTACCAAGTTTAAACTTTGGCTGAACCTTGAATCATATAAGCTGACCATTTTCAAGAACAATATATTTCGTTGTTCCATTCAAGATTCTAATTTGGTATATTTTTATATGGCTACCTACATTCGCTACGTGTAAGAAGCAGCTCGGTGGTGCAGTGGCTAGCATGTGGGGCTCATACAGTTATGTGGCACCCCAAGGTCGACGGATCGAGACCGTCCTGAGCTATGATTTTTGCAGATTTGTTTTATTTTTTGGAATTATTGCACTTCTTATGTCATCAGTCCGCGATCGAGGTGCACCGTTTGTAAAGGTAATTTACTATGCTTGTATACAAGGGTATCTATAATCTCCAAATGGTAGCTTTCGGCTTAATTGATACAGAATTTCTTCCTCCTGCGTTAATTTTGGAAAATGCACATCTGCTAATTCATCGCACTCGTTGTTGATCGAAAGGTAGTGCGTTTGCGAAGCGATTCGTAATGGGGTTCCTTCATCTCCATGAGCCGTTGCATTGCCGTTGATCCAGTACTTGGTGCGACCATCGTCGGTGTACCGCAAGCCAGCACGACTCCGACCCTTGAATGCGTATAAATGATGTCGAACATCCTCACTTGGTTCCCATGATCGATATGTGTAGTTCGTGCCGTGAACTGTGGCCAATGTGTCAGCGACAACGTCCCCTGTTCCAAAACTATCGCGTAAAGCGAACAAAAATGGCATGCGGCCAACAAGCCCGCTAGTTCGTGGAATATAATCTAGATGCGAGAATGCATACATGTGCGCTAGCGCAAATAGAGGCATTTCTAGGCAAATCAGAAAGTCTTGAAGTGCCGTTGACATGTATGTATCCCCATAAATACCACCAACTGGAAATGTGAGAAAGTAGCCAAAAAAATGAAAGCATGCGTACTGTGTCGGATCAAGCCTGTTGACACGATGACGGAAATGAGTAGACTTTGCCAAAAACTGAAAAAAATCACTCCCTTGACGCACAAGAATTTCGGTGCGACGCGAAAAGGAGCCAGCTCCGTATGCAGACAGATCCAAAACACTGTAAGCGCATACAGTGCCACGAACACGGAAAAATCTGGCGACTGTTACCAAGAAAGCGGAAATCTTCTCACATACTGTAGACAATGGCGATCCACGTGTAGCCATTCTTGAGGTGTAAGTGCCCGTCCTCATATTTGCCATAGATTTTGAGAAAAACTGTGGCTATGGCCAGGATCGGTTTAATTTGCACATATTCTAAAATTCGTGAGCTCAAGTGTAAACATACGCAAAATACCACGCTTTATTGCCAGGAATGTGTATGGATCACTCATGTCCATCGGATAAAAGAACATGTTCAGCGGAAACAGATGAGGCATGGGCGGACGACCATGAAGGTACGTCAACATAGCGCGCTCTCCCGACAAGTATTCCACGAGCAAGCTGAAGAAACAATAGATAACAAATGCCTGCGTCGTATGATTAGTTTGGTTATATGGTATACGCACTTCATATAAATCTCTCATAAGGTCAATCATCTCAGCTAGCTGCAACGAAAATAGCGAAATTGTTGATGCCACTGCATACAACATAGGCCTGAAACATTAGTGGGGACATCCGGTACCTGTAAGGTCACGTACATGACCAGGATTCGCACCACATAACGTTGAAGACTCGGTTTGTAATAATGTTTGAGCTGAAGGATAACAGAATACACGGAGAGCCATGTCGTGCACAAAGTGGCCATCGTGCATAGTGTTAGAAAAGAACTCGGCAGAGATTTTCCTGTCCCGCTGTCTTGTGGTGGTACCTGTACCGCAATCCAAGGTGGTCCTGCATCTGTCATAAGCGCACCTAAGGCAAGGCTGATCGCTTCTGTTCCCACTTAAAGGCTGAAACAAGATAAAATGTCCATTTTTACGACAGGCGCGCCATGCGTGCATTCGCCTGACTCCACTCCATCGAAAAATGCAACCGAATCCACCATTAACCACGTTGAAGTTCAGGTCGAAAGGCAGCATGCGTACCGGCACCGTCTTCCATTCATACAAAAAGATCGGATAAACACCACAAGCAGGTGAGTGACAGAAGACTCATGTCCCATATGTTCTGGCGATCTACAAGCACAGTTCTCACAAGCATCACTATGTAAGCAACAAGAATAGAGGGGGAACTGACCACAAAGCGTGGCGCCTAGTGCTTGATTGCCTGAACCTTCATCGTATCAAATGCAAGGCGCTCATCATCAGCAGCCTGAACTTCCTCAAGGAGCGGCGTCACATAGCGAACGTCCTTTTTGTCGTTAACATTTTATTCTCTGGTGCCACAACACAGTCATACGTACATCTTCTGGCTTGGTCCACTGATCCTTGGGAAGATCGTGCTGCAGAATCGAGCACTGAACAGCCCGTCGCATGCGGTAGACGCGGTCATATTGTTCCAGAGGAGGCACGCGAGAGAGAGCCTGATGTATACATGTGAGCGCCAGTTCCAAAGACAAGCAATGCCTTCCTCGCAACGCAGAAAAGCGACATCTGATCTTAACGTACCTTCTGCATCTGGTGGTTTTCTTCCACAATCAGGTCATCGTAGCGGAGACCCATTTGACGGTAGCCAGCAGCGTGTGCGTACGCATTGGCAACCGGCTGTACGAGTTTAAGCAGAGTCGGGGACGACTTGATAAACTTTGCGAGCGAGATCGACTTCTGAAAATGAGGTAAGTATATTGCCTATACGACTAGCAGTAGTCCATACGTACCGACGCCATGGTGCCTTCTCCGCCAACAATCAATGGATTATAGGAAGATTCAAATTTGATAGCCATCTCCGCCAATCCGTTCCGTCCCGCGCCGGTGATTTCCAATAACACATCACGTGAAACATCATCTCCACATGTGTGCACAGAGGTGTTGTGGCGGCGTTGCCTAGCCACTCCTCAGGCACAAGCGACAGCCGCCCGCTGATGTGGAGGCGCTTCATTTGTTGTTATACACGAAGTGGCTAGCTTAGTTCGAACAGCAAGCTGTCATTGAGTGAGAGAATAGACCATTGTGATGCCTGAGCCCCGCGCGCAAACAATCGCTGTTCTGGGAGGCGGAATATCGGGTCTCACAGCTGCATTCACTTTATCCAGAAGACTCCCGCGTGATCAGTATCGCATCATTGTGGCTGAAGCGAGCTCTCGTCTCGGTGGGCATGTTCAGAGTGAGCGCATATCAGTACTCGGCGAAGATGGGCCAAGAGCATTGTACGAGTGGGGACCTCGAAGTATTCGACCTGTTGGGTACAAAGGTCGTCGTACAATCGAGCTTGTACGTTCGGATGACTAACGTAGCTTCATCAACTCTCTTTGGCAGACCGGATGGTGTTAGTGCCACGAACGTCTGCGTCTGCTCAAAACCGTTTCTTGTACCATAATGGAAAAATACAGAAAATCCCATCAACACTTTTTTCGGCCATGAAAGCCATGTACAAGCTGCCAATCTTTGAAGGTGTCCTTTCTGATCTCGTGAATGAATGGCGCGTCCCACGCTCCAAGTCTCTGGCATATTTCCATGGAGACGAATCCGTGCATGATTTCTTTTCTCGTCGTGTAGGTCCTCGGATAGCCGACACGTTCGTTTCGGCTATAATTCATGGCATTTACGCAGGGGATTCGCGTCACCTCAGTGTGAAAGCTCTAATGCCATCGCTAGTTGAACTGGAACAGACACACGGGGGAATTCTTCGTTCCTTTTTGCCAAAGCTGTTGAATAGCCAGTACCGAGCTCCTCAAAGTACTGTGATGCCCACTGACCAGGCAAAAATGGCCGATGTAGAGTCACGATTGAACCCTGCATTAGTCAAGCAGCTACCTTCGACAAGCATTTACTCCTTTCCTCAGGGTCTCGGTGAGATTGTTCAGGCGCTCGAGAACGAGTTGATTGCAGCTCCCAATGTGGAAATATGGAAAGACTCAGCCTGTGAACACATTGCTGCTGAGTATCCATTCAGACTAACTTTGCGGCATATGAAGGAACCTCTTTATGCTGACCGTATCATTGCCGGTGTTCCATCCCATCATCTTGCCCGACTTCTTCCCGATCTTCCACACTTGGCACACAATCCTGCGGCCCACCTAGCCGTTGTAGATGTAGTGCTAGCCCGGCATGACCGCGCAGCTTCATATGAGCTACCAGTCCATGGTTTTGGCTATTTGGTTCCTCGTTCCGCGAAGCCGAATCCTCATGACATTCTTGGTGTTATTTTCGACAGCGATGCAATGCCTAACCAGCTCGAAATATTGCGCTCCGAGACATGTTCGCTTTCTAGCCAACCTTTCACAAAACTGACAGTAATGATGGGCGGTCCATACTGGCGTGAGCGAGCATCATTGCCTTCGGAAGAGGAGGCTGAAGAACGAGCACTTCGCGCGCTGCACACTCAACTTGGTATTCCATTGACGGTGCTCTCAAGACAAGTAAGGCATGTTCGGTCGCGTGTCCTCACCGATACAATTCCTCAATATCTCGTGGGTCATCCACAACGAATGCAGGAATTGCACACGATCATATCTACGCAGGCGCCATGGCAACACCGTCTGTCGCTCCTTGGATACAGCTACGGTGGTGTCGGAGTCAATGATTGCATAGCCACTGCTATGGACACATGTGAGGCCATATCCGACTATGAGCTGGGCCTCGATGCTCAACCCTATCAACGGGACATGACAGGTCTAAAAGAAGCTGCTCGGTGCGCCTGATGCAAAGTTTGGCTCTCATTATCCGTTTCGCACACATACACCCGGATCTTTCTTTTAATTCCTTACTCTATAGCATATTTACTTACGGTAGAAGGACAACAGGTCTTGCACATCATCCTTTGAGCCCAGGAACACGGGCACGCGCTCGTGAATTTTTGTCGGTTCGACATCGAGCACACGCTTCTCGCCTGTCGTGGCAACGCCACCAGCCTGTTCAATCAAGAAAGCCATAGGGAATCCCTCGTACAGAAGACGCAGCTTACCGCTCGACGACTTCTTGTCTGCTGGGTAGCCAAAAATTCCACCGTATAGCAATGTGCGATGCACATCAGCAACCATTGAGCCAATGTAGCGGGCCGAATATGGCTTTTTACCCTCACCAGGGAATTTGATCGATTCAAGGTACTTGAGCACTGGCTCATGGAAGTACATAGAATTGCCCTCATTGAACGAGTAGATGTTGCCTCGCGTAGGGATCTCAATGTTCGGGTGTGTAAGAACGAACTCACCAACGTCATTGTTAAGTGTAAAGCCATTCACACCCGAACCAGTGGACAGCACAATATTGGCAGATGAGCCGTACATGCAGTAACCAGCGGCGACCATCTCACGTCCAGGGCGTAAGACATCTTGCAACGTGCCTTCCGAGCCCTCCCGGACTCTGTAGATACCAAAAATTGTTCCAATATTGACACCCGCATCAATGTTGCTGGATCCATCAAGTGGATCGAATACAACACAGTACTTGCCGGCGTGACCACCATGATCCTTGACGATGATAACCTGCTCTTCTTCTTCCGAAACAAGCACGGCCGACTGGCCCGACGCTATTAGTAGTTTAACCATAACCTCATTTGAAAGCACATCAAGCTTCTTTTGGTCCTCTCCCTGCACGTTTTGGTTGCCTGCAATACCCACCATGTTGTTGACGCGGGCTTTGCGTACCATGTTTTCAATTACTTTGCAGATGGTTTGCAAGGACGTAAGGAGGAGCGTCATCTCGCCTGTGACAGCATCATTTTGTGTACGAGCACGAATGCCCTCAGAAAGCACATGGCGCGAAAGAGTGATAATGTCTGTCTGGTGTTGCTGGTTCTCCATAACGAAGTTGAGAAGATAGACGGGTGGATGACTAGTGCTTCAGGGTCTGCAGCCCTTTACGGCCCCCGGGTCTTAACGTGCCACGTGGAGGTGGCAACCGCGCACAAGTCCAACTTGTGCTTTCAAAAACGATTTGAGCGCGTGGCACGTACACCATGTCCCTAAGTAAGCCCGACACATGCACGCACGGTCCATTTGTCCACAAATCATGCAACTAACACTCGAATTAAACCGTGTTGTGATTATTAAATAAGCCTACAAGAATCAGGGAAAGAGCACGATCAACTACTTATGGCGCATAAGTGTTCGACGCATAGCACGAATGGCCACGCAGTCCGCATCACCCAGTATAAAGGTACCTAGTCAGACTTTTTGTCCGACTTGAGCGCAGTTGAAATAACATTCTGCAGCTCCGGGAGAGTGTTATTCTGCAGGTATGAGGCGGCTTTGTTGAGACGCTCACGAATCGGCACCTTGTTGTCAACTGCCTCTTTCGAGAGATCCTTGTACGTCGAGCTCAGAACATTCACATAGGGTTCAAGGCGTTTCTGAGCCTCGGCTGGAAGCGTCGTGGCAAACTTCTCGAGACCTTCGATCTCCGAAAGCAGGCCATTGACCATGCCTGAAGCTTTCTTTTCGCCCTCGGCCACTTCCTGCGATGTCTTGTCTGACATTTCCTTCGACAGACCGAGGAACTTCTCGTGCAAAGCAGCAATAGTCGAGCCTGTCTTCTGAACATACGCATTCTCGTTCTGCTGTAGCTGCTCCACGGCCTTGCCAGTCTGTTCGTAGATTGACTTGGCTGGTGCCTTGATATGGCTCTCGTAGATGTCCTGTGACATCTGATGAGCCTGGTTAATATTACCCTTGCCCCTGGCATACAGATCGCTCCATGAAGCCTCAAAGGGGTACGGAACTTTGCCCTTGACAAACTTTAGCGTCTGGACGGCATAGTCGTCAGCCTGCTTGAGAGGCTTGTTGACCCTATTCAAAAGCGGCATAGCAAACGCAAGGATGCGAATGAAGAGGCATTCATACAGATCTACCACACGCTGAAGAATCGGGTGATTGTTCAAGATGTTCTGCACAAAGCCGAGCGCCTGAGCCACAAGCGGAACATCCAGAACGAACTGCAGAGTCTGGCTCCTGATTACCGGACGGTTGTTGAAGTCGATTTCACGCATCGTATCAGTGGTGACTGGAAACGTTTGATGCGTACTCCCGTTTTTTGTATATGCTGTGCAATATAATAATGCGTATGTAACTTCCGACTAACTTAATCCGTCAACGAGCACTTGATAAGTTGCGCTTCTGATTGGCTCAGTACCTCCATTCTGGTTTTGAACCACATCGTGCATACTTATACCTGAAACTCTGTGGCGAACACGGACCAATGAGCAAACAGTGTGCATTTGTACTTGTCTACTGATCATGTCAACTACGCATGGTGTACATGACGCAGCTCGTGCCCGATCCATCAGCCCGCCAGCGAGCGACGACAATTCAAATTTGAGCGTGTAACTTCATTAATTTTTGAGACAGCGCACGACCCAGTCATGGATCGTCAGCGAGCCTCTTCCCACATGTCCTCTCCAATACGGAAGGGCGAAACCAACGCACTAGGGTCATTCATATCTTCCTCCGGCTCGCTTGGGTTTTCTAGATCGAGAGGAGCATATAGTTGCTGCAACTCAGCATATTCGCGGTGTCGTTGTTCCATGTGATACGCTGCATATAGCCCCAAAAATCCACCTACCAAGTTAGCCACAACGTCGCCGAGCTGGAAGGTTTTGTACTTTGAGTTTGGTCAATATACCGTCACCTATCCTTCAGAACATACCGGTAGAGTGCTTTGGATAAACTCTGAGCCGACGCAACCGACTACAAGACTTGTGAAAACAGTTACAATGAGAGGCACTAGCCGCCACCATAGTATGTGGTGTGCGAACTGCACGCATCAGGTCAGTGTCATATGCGACAGCATTCATTTACCTGTTCTACCTCCCACATGCGATAGCATAGATAGGTTGCCTTTCGTATGAGTAAGAAAGTCGCACGGATCCTGTATTCTACCGGTACGTACAAGCATGAATCCAAAAAAGTGCATAACTTTGTCATTTAGATAGACATAATCTTGAGCTGAGGGATGGAATCTTTATATTAGCATCTTAATAAGTAAGTGTATGCCACGAACCCTAGAAGCCCCATAATCGCCAAGACTACGACCAGGATGGTAAACATCACAGGTCTGACACGAAGAGGCGGATCCCATTGGTTCCATGTCCGACCTCCAGATAGCTTTACGGGCACAGACCATAGCAGCGAGTTTCTTACAGATTCAACTGATGAGAGGTGTTTAGAGACAAAGCCCACGGCCGTGCTCGAAATGCTACTCATTTCACGGCAAGTCAGTCCAGTAACGTCGACGGCCAAAAATTTGGCTCTGCGCGTTGGGAACAATCTCTTGGAGTATAAGCAGTGGAGTAGGCAAGATTTCCAAGCGCGTGACGATTGCTGCATTCAAGCATTGAACTTCGAAATCCAAAGCGCCGCTTCCATATTGGCTTGATAGATATCTGTTCATATTAGTTCCTATTTCCTGGCATTGAGGTTCTCAAATTCCACAGCTTTCCAAATAATTGAGTAAATCACATCTACGGAGACTCCTGATCTACAGGTATACCAAAGTAAATATAATAGGGGAATAGGTGTCGTCCTGGAGGAAAGTGTGTCTGTATTCTGGGGCCTGCCCAGAATAGTGGGGTTGTCGTTTCGAAAAAGCAAATATAAGTCAATGTCGAATGCTGGCATGCAACTGATAATCATCCCAGTGCGCATACACGCAACGACACGTAGATGAAGACAGAGTGGGTCGATTCGTGCATAATATGAAAGAGAATATTGCGAACAGCGTCCACAAGCCCAGCCAAGGAGCTTTCCATCTCATGCATACGTATTTGAGCGAAGGGTCATGCGAGAGTTTGATCGACGAATCCCACTAGGAATGACATTCGTCAGATAACGCTGCATCCCATCTGAAGCCACTTGTATCGCACGTGCCGTCTTGCCATTGCGCGCAGGCGTACTTTCAACAGATCGTGGATCTTGACATGTGTTGCTCTTATCGGAAGGGTAAGGGTAAGATGCAGCCATGCCTTGTGATGAACGCATGGATGTGTACATCTGCCGTTGCTCCATGGATGCCATCATTGCAGTTGAGCTCGATCGAGGAAGGCTTGTGGTAACACGCGCTTGATCATAATGGCGGACTGCAGCAAAGGTGGGCTCCTCTTCATCATGAGCCTCATCCGGAGATGAAGTGGCTGAACCATTGTCATCTGTAAGCTCTGCCTCAGAGATGGACGAGGCTGATCTTGTTGTCTCCGAGTTCCGTACATGAAGCGACATCGCCTTGAGTGTTGCCGTGGGTGTGAGCAATCCCTTGGAAGGACGTGCTGCCTGAGCGCGAGGCGGCGAAACACGTTTGGGCGTGGAGGGCTGGCTCTTTGGATGGTTATTCCAGCATGGAACCTGTGACGCAGGGAGATTCCGCAACGCTACTCGGCGTTCAGACGCACGGGCGTATCTATCACATTCGCGGCCCGCATCGCATCCCCGCAGGAACATTTCGCGACGTCCAGCGTCAGCGCGGGTCTCGAATCGACGGAAGAAGGGACTAAAATGAAACATGATCTCATCCTCCTCAATGCGAAGGTCGTAGTCAAGTAGGTAGAGCAGTTGCTTCTCCATCAAATTGACCTCAGCTTGGGAGAAAAACACACAATATCTCATCCAATGCTTGTTTTTCGGCGAGGAGTCGTTCAAATACTTCGCAGCCACAATAAGTGAAGCAAGAAACACACGATGACGCGTGCATGGCATACCTTTAGCAATGCGAGGCAGACGGTTCTTCAGACGGTCCAAGTATACCAGTGTACTTAGCAGCGTTGGGACCTGCACATTGCTTTTTTCCACTAGCATCATAATAAATGCCTCCAAGCTCGGCAAGTTCTGAGTTCGAACTGCATTTGTGCCATCGCTCGACTCTGGTGAGCATTGGATTACATTGGACGCTTGCTTGGCGATGTAAGCGACCATGTCCCGCGTGACTGGGTAGCGGATAAGATCTGTCAAGGAAGGATTATGCACGATGCGCGGCAAAAGGCTCGCAGGATGCCGGCGCAATGCGCTGCTAGAAAACATTGCAACGCTAGAAGCTGACATGATTAAGGTTAAACAAAACAGGCGTGTGGGAAAGGGTCAGACAAAGTGATCGTGAAATGAGTAGATGCCGCGCTCAACGCTGAATGAAAATATCTTTCCCAATGCGAACCAGCGTCAGAGGGTGGGGGAGGGAATATGCGTAATGTTAGGGAGGTGGAAGTGATACGAGGTTCTCGTAGAGGCCTGGAAAGATTCGATGTTAGCTGGTCCGTTTCTACGAGCTAGCCAGCCCAAAGCTCTAGCTAGTTTTAGACCGCGCTGACGTACTCGGTGTATTACTGGCTCCGTTAGTACATGATCAGTCTGACATCTTCCTCGTGCTTTCAACGTACCTAAGCGTCCACGCGGCAGGGTCTGGATCTGCCAGGGGTACGATGCTGTGTGTGCGCGAGTGTGTCTTTACGCAGCACGACAGGGGGGATTGAGGGTGAAAAGGAGATTTGGCCCTGGACCATTGACATTATGACTGGCTTCTGACATTCGCCTCTGTAAGGAATCCGCGCCCATACAGACTCCACGAACGTGCATATGATCAATGACAGCATCGCCAGGCTGGTCACAAGTCAATTTAAACTACATGTGCTTCTACACCTTGCATGTCCCTACATGTATGAACATCCAATTCGCCGTGGATCACGTGAAGATTCATCCCCTGACGACGAGGTCTGTGCGTCGTGGAATTTCTCCTTGCACATCAGAGGAACGGAAGGGAAATGGAGGTGGGTCCTTCAGCGCTTCGACATAGGTTCGATATTGCGCCAATTCGGCGCACAAAAAATCATGTCTTCTGCGCCAATTGTCCAGCGCCTTGTGTCTGGCTCGTCTATCGCTGCGCCACAGAATGAGCATGGATTCTTTGATACGCTCGTGTTCGTAAAGTTCGCTTTTCACATAGGCGATGTATTGATGTAGATTTTCTGTCTGCTCGGGGAGGGGAAGCATGGTGCGGCTCACAGTCGAGTCGGGCGGCAACCAAGTTTGCAACGTGTGCACTGACGAACTGAGCTTCGTCTTTCCACGAAAAAGTTTGGTCCAAAAGTTTACCGCAGCATTCGCGGTTGTCTTCGGAGCCGGGCTCACAGTGTTGCATAGTGCCTCCATGCCAGATGTGATATGAAGCCATCCGTAATCAATGTTCGAGCACCCGCCGTGGAATGGGACATGGCTGATTCGCCCGCCGATATATTGGCACATTCTAGCCCACTTTTCCATAACCGTAAGTGAGGCAAAAAAGTGGTGAATACTACCATCTTGAAGAGCGATAGACATGTAAGGCATATCTGCTCGTGCACCTGGCTCCAGTTTCGCGACCGACTGGGCAAGGGGCAAAACGCGCTCTAGTTTCTTGGCTATACCCTGCGGCGTGCTAAACAGTCTCAGAGAGTCACAACAAAGCTCAACATGAAATAGTGTGCGCGATTTCCGTCCATGCCATTGTTGTTTTGGATCATGCACGATGGCACAATCCATGTCGCTTGTCAAGAAACACTCAGTGTCCGTAAATTTTCCACAATTTGAATCGGGCAGTTTCACTTCTGACATTTCTTCAGGCTTGCTCAGGGCTTGTAAATTGCCGCGCATCTGATGCCCATTGCTTCGGACTCGGTTCAGTTTGATGAGAGAGCCACGGCCCCGTGAGAGCGCACGCTTCATAGCGCCGCCTTCTGATTTTGAGACAGGGAAATTTTCTTTGAGGGCTTCAGGGAGCTCTAAAGGGCTGGTACGGATAGATGTGTACATATATGTCAAAGCTTCTAGGATGGTTTCTGGCACATCTTCGAACGCACATGTTTCTTCCAATGCCCATTTGGTATTTTGAACAAAGTCCTGCATGTTCATGTGGCGCTCCAGATCGGCGAGATGCCAGTCTGTGTTTAGAAGGAGCAAGGAGTAGGTGACACTGTGCACAGCTACTGCGTTACGGAATGGTGTTGCTGGATTACACTTGATGTATCGCATGCTAAGTGTTTTGAGGATCTCGTCCATTTTGTTGGTTTCGGCAAGTAAATACAGACGCAAGCATAATTCTCGCAGAGCTTCAAGCACAGTCGATCCAGTCCAGTCAAATTTCTCGAAAAAATATTCCCTGGCTTGCGTTTGTACGAGCCCTGAGCCAGAGAGCCAGCTTGCCATTTCTTCCAACGGCATCCATGAGCTGTCAGCAGTCCAACAATAATCTGCTGCCTGTGCTGCTTGGTGGTTGGTCCAACACGAGCTGTCTGTAATGCATGAATGGACGAGTCGATCTTGTTTTTCAGCTGGAATCTGCTGATTCACCAGCGGAATCTTACTGTATTTCCATAAATTCGGGTCATGCTCTGGCGGTTCTCGCTCCACAGCGGGTGTCGTGGCTTGGTAAATGCCAGCCAAACTAGGTATACGCGTTACAACAGGCACATGGGGATGTGTGTCTAATGCAGACATCATGCTAAACGGATCAAGCTCATGAGTCTCCGAACATGTGGGCACATCATGCCACACTATTTCAGAGCTCGGCGTGCGCGACAAGTCTGTATCGCTGGCCAATCCAAGCGCTTCTTTATTTGGGGGTTCATGGGAGTGCAAACAACTCTGATCTTTCGAGTTTGATTCAATCAAGTCGGATTGAAAAGAGTGAGCTAGGGCGAAGGAACGTGGGCGAGAGCCCGCACTCCAGGAAAAAATTCTCGATATACCTGATTCAAAGAGTGGTGTCAACGTCCAACTGAAGGATCTTCGTCCAGTGTGAGTGGTATCAAGTGCATGGTCAGTTTGTGTATGTTCCACCTTTCGCTCGTTGTCTTTCTGGAAGGCAGGCGTGAGCGAAAAGCGGCGTGTCCCATTAGGTGCAGGAGCCTCATCTGATGTTGAGGCAGATATGATTCGTGTTTTCGATGCCGGCAGCATCGTGAATGTAGTCGATTAGGGCCTTTGACATAAATGTTTGTCACATTGAATTGACGCCCTCAGTTGGCAGGGCTAAATTGGTCGTGGCCTTTGGTCAGGTTTTCGCTGCTCTTGTGTGTCACGACAGCATCACGACTCTCAACATGTTTATGTGGAGACAAGTGAATGGAGGGCCATCGCTGACTCATCAGGCTCAAAAATTGTCAACAGCCCAGCAGATTTTTTCTACACTATAGTGGGCTCCGTGAGGAACAGCTTAGGACGATGAAGTCTTCGTTCCGCTTCGCGAACGTATGCGGCACGGTATACCAGCAGGGGAACATACAATTCACGGGAAATGGAGACTGCCTGTATTCGCCCGTGGGGAACCGTTTGTCTGTGTTTGATCTTGTGCGGAATGTGTCGTTTACGCTTCCCTTCGAAACTCGAAAACCTATTGCGCGCGTCGCCATTTCACCGGCAAACACTAGCCTAGTGCTTGTAGCAGATGAAGATGGACATGCTCTTCTGATAAACGTACACCGACGTGCCCTTCTTGCACACATGAATTTCAAGCTCCCTGTGCGCGACGCGCAATTCTCGCCAGATGGCCAATATCTGGGGGTTACACACGGCACACAAGTCCAAGTATGGCGCACACCCAGTGTATTGGTCCGGGAATTTGCGCCATTCGTGCTTCACCGCACATATGTTGGTCACTTTGATGACGTCTTGAGCATTACCTGGTCACGCACAGGTCGTTTCTTTTTGACAACTTCCAAGGATATGAGTGCACGTTTGTTTAGTTTGGACCCTGTACCCGGATTCCGCCCTAAAACATTCTCTGGGCATCGTGATGCTGTGATCCGCGCATTCTTTTCGCTTGATGAACAGACTATTTATACTGTGTCGCGCGATGGTGCCGTCCTGGTCTGGCAAGACAAAGATGAGATGGGCGAGCTTGAAAGTGCTGAACAGGCTGAGGGTTCATCGAGTGATCCAGAGCATGCAGTAGGTCTCACACGGTGGGGTGTTGCCTCGCGTCACTATTTCTACCAAACACAGACGCAAGTGACGTGTGCCGACTTTCACGCCGGCACATCTCGACTGGTCGTAGGGTTTTCGTCGGGCCTTTTCTCATTGCGAGACATGCCGGACTTCACGGAGATTCATGCTTTGAGTATTAGCCAGGAAAAAATCACGAGTGTGGCCATCAACAGTACTGGCGAGTGGCTCGCATTCGGCGCGCAGCGTCTGGGCCAGTTGCTTGTATGGGAATGGGCAAGTGAGTCGTACATTCTTAAGCAGCAAGGCCACTTTTTCGACATGAACACGGTTGCTTACGCACAAGATGGACAGATTGCTGTTACTGGTGGCGATGATGGCAAAGTAAAGGTTTGGAACACACTCTCGGGCTTCTGCACTGTGACTTTCTCCGACCACTCTGCGCCTGTATCGTGCGTCGAGTTCGCAAAACAAGGCCAGGTTCTCTTTAGTGCGAGTTTGGATGGAACAGTTCGCGCATACGATCTGATTCGCTATCGAAACTTCCGTACGTTCACGAGTCCGACACCTGTGCAGTTCGTGAGCCTGGCCGTTGAGCCTAGCGGTGAAGTTGTCTGTGCTGGAAGCTCCGATGCATTTGATACTTATATGTGGAGTGTTCAGACTGGCAAGTTGCTCGAGATTCTCTCGGGTCACGAGGCGCCGGTGACGGGTCTTGCGTTCGATCCAAGCGGCAGTGGCCTGCTTGCGAGCACGAGCTGGGATCGCTCTGTGCGGCTATGGGAGGTGTTCAGACGCAGCCAGCATACCGAATCGATGTCGTTGTCGTCCGAGGGCCTTGCCCTTGCGTTCCGCCCAGATGGCTTGCAAGTGTGCGTCGCATCATTAGACGGCCAACTAAACTTTTTCGATGCCAAGTCGGGCGCACATATGGCTGTGATTGATGGGCGACGCGACATCGCGGGAGGACGGCGTCTCGATGACAAGATCCAGCAGCGGAACAATGCAGCCGGCTCTGCATTTACAAGTGTGTGCTATAGTGCGGACGGATCATGTGTTCTTGCAGGTGGAAACGCCAACTATGTGTGCCTGTACGATGTTCGTGAGCATGTCTTGTTAAAGCGCTGGACACTTAGCTTGAATTTAGCACTCGATGGCACACAAGACCGTTTGGACTCTCGTCAGATGACTGAGGCAGGAAACATTGCCTTGATCCATGACCTCTCAGACGAAGACGAACTTACATTGGAAGAGCGAACCGATCGAAGCCTTCCGGGAGTTCAACGCGGTGATCTCAGCAAGCGGTCTACCCGGCTTCAGGCACGGACAAAGTGCGTACGCTTCTCGCCGACCGGCCGAAGCTGGGCCGCAGCATCTACCAGTGGTCTGCTTATTTACAGCCTAGATGAACTGGCTACGTTCGATCCTACTGATCTGGATATGGACCTTACACCACAAGCTGTACGTGCCGCCTCTTTACAGGGGCATGCACTTGTCGCCCTCTTGGGTGCACTGCGACTAAACGACCCTATACTGGAAGCGGAGGTGTACGAACGGACCAAGCCACATGAAATTTCACTCGTTGCTCAGCAGCTTCCTACTGTCTACCTAGCGCGAGTACTTGCGCTTGTCGCTTCGCGTATGAATCCAGTGAGTCAAAGTCCACATGTGGAATTCCACCTCTCTTGGCTGACGGCTCTGTTCCAACGCCATGGCGAAGAGATCCGCGCTCACAGCACCACGGTATATGCGCCGGTTTTGCGGGCCGTTCAAATGGCCCTGAATGAGCTGCGTTCAAATGTGAAGACGACAGCCGACCGAAATATGGCCACTATCCTGTACATATGGAATGTGTTTTCCTCACGGGCAACAAGCATGGAGAGTGCTGGCACGAACGGCATTTCTACTAACACAGCACAATAGACCCTTGGCCGTGTACTTGATTTTAGTTGTTTCATATACTACACGAAAGAGAATTCAGCACTATCGACTCCATTGGGTACCGTTGGCACTTGCAGGTGTTTGGTTCCGGTATCTTGCTGCCTTTTCATCGCGCGCACCATAAGAGCGGCGATCCACTCGTTGCCGCTTGCCACGCCGCTCATCGTTGTCTTCATCGTCCGGATGATTGTGCTCACGGTCCTTTTTCACTTTCAAGCCTGTGCCGATCGTTACATTCACTTTTGGCGGCACAGCAAAGCCAAAAGCCTTGGCAACTTTCGCAAGGTCTAGCTGATGGATATCGTAGATTCTCTTCAATGAATACGAGCCATATGCCTGAATGTACGACCGATAGCCCTCTTTCGCAGATTGATGCAGATAATAGTTCTTCGAAATCAGCTTCTCGAGCTGGTTTTGTACATTTGCAATCTTGTTGGGTGGGAACGTGTACTCGTTCAGCGGCACTTTCGCCACTTTGAGAAACCGCAAGAACCCGAGCTCACTTGGCAGAAGAAAGAGGAGCGAACGGCCATGTTTTCCACCACGCGCGGTTCGACCTACACGATGGATGTAGTCACGCGGATCGTCCGGCGGGTCATACTGGATGATCCAGTCCACGGCCGGAATGTCCAGACCACGCGCCGCTACGTCGGTGCACAGAAGCGTGCCACTCTCGGCGTTGCAGAACTCGAAAAATGTGTTGCTACGCTTCTGCTGCTTCTGCTTTCCATGGAGATCCAGTACGGGTACATCGATGTAGTTCAGCAGCTCGCCGTGAAATTTAACACTGTTGCAACTGTTCATAAACACGATGATCTTCTTGCCGGCATTGCGCTTAAGGAAAGTGAATAGGAGCAGGAAGCGCTTGTCGCTGTCGCACACAACGTAACCTTGCTCCAGCTTCGACACGGTTGATGCTGCCATCTGTTCATGTACATTGATGTAGAGCGGCCCTGGTCGCAATGAGATACGCGCCAAATCCTGAACTTTCGTCGTTTGTGTCGCTGAAAACAACATGGTCTGCCGGTGTTCCTGTGGCAGGATCTTGACAATTTGACGCATTTCGTCTTCAAATCCAATCTCGAGGATTCGGTCAGCTTCATCAATAATGAGAGTCTTTAAATTTGTAAACACGAAACCTTTCGTGTTTTGCAAGTGGTCCAGAAGACGGCCAGGCGTAGCAATAATCAGATTCACACCTTTCTGAAGCTTGTCAGCTTCAGCTTTGCGGTTCGCCCCACCCATGATGATTCCTAACGTTTGGCTTTGATGTGCCATAAGCTCTTTCGCAACGCCAAAGATCTGGAGTGCTAGCTCTCGAGTGGGAGAGATTACTATGGCGCCCGTGCCGTTGCGGGGCTTGAACTTGAGTCGCTGCAGCATCTCAATAGCAGGGATCAAAAAGGCAAGTGTCTTACCACTACCTGTCTGCGCAGCACCTAGCACATCTTTACCAGCCAGCAAAGGGGGAATGCATCGCTCTTGGACTTCCGTCATGGTTTTGAATCCCATCGCGTCGAGTGCTTTAGATGTTGCAGGCGTCAAGTCCAACGCCGTGAACGGCTTACGATCTGGCAGCTTTTCAGATGATGCTTCTGCTTTCTTAGCATCTTGCTGAAGCTCACGCTCCAGTCGTGCTTCTTCAGCGTCTGGAGCCGCATGTTTCGCCATTATCGTCTCAAAACGGATGTCTGGAAAGGAGCCATGCATTCAAAGGAAAAAAAAAATTTGTGTGCATTGTCGGTATTTTTAGTCAGCCGATTCACCTGAACTCCATTTGCAAGATCTTTGAGAGACAAATTTTGTAGCTTCCATTGAACGACGTCGAGACAAGCAGCACTTGCAGCACACGCATTCGTAGCACACACCAACCTGCATCGAAAACTTAGACATGCAGCCACGAGAAAAACGTGTGCGTGCGCAAGAAAAGTCGGCTGCAAACATCGCTCCTTCTAAGTCGACACCCACGTTGCGCGACGCCTTGTATGCACCATTTCGCGCCCTGGGCTATGTGACGAACGGTGTACCATTTGTACTTCAGGTTCGGTTTGGTGGAAAGGATGCACAGACACCAGATGTCAATGTCGTTACTTGTATCGGCGATACCTGGGAAATGTGGAATGCCGACCGTATGACGCTCTTATTCGTGGGTCCTGTCTTGCCAGATGCTATTTCTGCCATGGCGCATGCCACGTCGCCTGACAGTCTTCTGGTTGCTGCAGGTATGTCTGTGTATCGCTTTGCTCGCGGCCATGAAGTAGCCCGGTACGTTACAGCTGTAGAAGACGAGGGCATGATGGGATGCATGCTATCGTCCTTGTTGGTATTTGGTGACTACGTGTGCTCGTTGGCAGCTGATGGAACCAAGCTTTTTGTTTGGTCGCTATCTACAACAGAGCTACTCCAGATGGTGGAGCTGCATACCTCATGCATAGCCAGCTGCTTGGTTCATCCTGCTACCTACTTGAATAAAGTGGTTATTGGAAACACTGACGGTTCTCTCCAGCTCTGGAACGTGCGCACAGCATCACTCATTCATGCATTCCACGCAAAAGATGTCCGTGGTGGAAGAGATTCGTCTTCTGGTATCGTACATCTCACTCAATCTCCAGCGATTGACGTCCTGGCTGTGGCATACGCCGATGGTCTCGTCTCCTTGTACGATGTGCGCTTGGGAGAAGCGCTCTTCTCTGTGCATGTGGAAGGTGGACTAGCTCCTGGATGCCTTGCGTTCCGTACAGATAACGTCGCCCATACTCTCGCTGTAGGGACGCGGGCTGGATCAATTGTGCTCTTTGACCTGGATGCTGTGAATAATAATGATGTAATGGGAGGATCGCCACGTCTCTTACATTCTATGCAGCATGCTCATGACGGTGCTATTGGATCCATTGAGTTTGTGCCAGGCCAACCACTGCTCATATCATCAGGCGCTGACAATGCATTGAAGCAATGGTTCTTCGAATCACCTACCTTACCGCCCCGCATTCTCAAGTCACGCAGCGGTCACGCAGTACCGCCTCACCTTATTCGGTACTATGGTGATGATGGACGTGCTATGCTCTCTGCCTCGCGTGATCGAAGTGTGCGATGTCTGAGTGTGGTTCGTGACAGCCGGTCGTTTGAGTTGAGCCAAGGCTCTGTCGAGAGCCAATCACACAAATTGGCTGTGGAGGCTTCGTCTTTAAAATTGACGCCAGCGACGTCTATGTCCTTTAGCACTCTTCGCTCGCGCGACTGGGACGATGTACTCACGACGCATGCTGGTGATTGGAATGCTCACACGTGGACTGTTAGAAACAAGCGCATGAACACGGCAGTCTTGAATGTTGCGCGCAGCAAAAAGAGCAATGCCGTGGCGACGGCTAGCTGCATGACGGCATGTGGCAACTTTGCTCTTGTTGGCACGAGTGATGGCCGCATTGAAATGTACAATGTTCAGAGCCATATGCACCGTCGCACATTTCTCACTGAAAGCACAGTGCCTGTGTCGGATGTATGCTGTGACGCCCTGAATCAAGTGTGTCTTGCCAGTACACAAGATGGGTTATTGCACTACTTCGACTTTTTTACGGCGCGCAAGATAGCCACGGAGCGCATGCCGGCTGGCTGCTCCGCCCTTTGCTTGAATCGCGAGTCGAATCTCGTTGCGGCACTCGGTGACGACCTTGTGCTGAGCATTATCGATCTTGAAACGCGACGTGTGGTTCGTCGCTTCACTGGCTTCCGTGGACGAATTCTCGACGCTACGTTCTCCGCCGATGGCCGTTGGATTGTGTCATGTAGTACGGACAGTGTTGTCCGGACCTTCGACATTGCCACGGCACAACTCATCGATGCGTTTCACACACCAAGCATGGCCACAAGTGTCACGTTCTCACCCGCTGGCGACTTTTTGGCCACAGCGCACGTTGATAGTGTCGGTGTGCATTTGTGGGTAAACCGAGCGCAGTTTGCATCTGTGGCGCTGCGTGCGTTGGACATGGGCAATGTACTTGAAGAGCGTGAAGCGGCACTACCAACCGCACAAGGCGAAAGCTTGGACAATACGTCGCCTCATGATGCAGATGTCACAGGTCTGGATGTGGGCGAACCAGAACTTCAGCGCACATACACAAGTCCTCCGCAGTTGGGCGAGCCAGACAATCCACTTATCACACTCAGCACGATGCCGCGAGCACGGTGGATGACGCTCCTCCACCTCGACACGATTCATCGTCGCAATAAGCCCAAAGATCCGCCAAAGAAGCCGGAGAAAATGCCCTTCTTCTTAGACGCTGCTCCTACATCTACATCAACAACAACGCCACAGGTGCCGCAGGAGCGAGCGCCTTTCGAGTCGGCACGCAAGACAGATCTGATTTTCGAGTCTGACTTGGAGCGCCGTATGCGTGTGGCCGTGCAGGCCAATGACGTTGGTCCATTATTCACCTACTTGAACACCCTCTCTGTACCACAATTGGATCTGGAAATTCGCAGTCTCGAATCTGTGGAGCAACAAACGCTGTTTTTGCAAGCCATGGCTATGCGTATGAGAGCCAAGCTGGACTTTGAGGCCGTGCAATCTATGCTGCAGGCCTTCTTCACTTGTCACAGCGATGTGTTACAAGCCCATGGCGTGCATCCTGAGCAGGCCAGAGAGAACTTAGACGCTGCTTCTTCGGACGATGAAGAGCCTGGTATTCAGCTGGCCATGGCTCTTCGCGCAGTTCTCGTTGAACAGCGTAAGGAAGGCTCGCGGCTCATGGATGAACTGGATTACTGTCTTGGCACGCTGTCATTTCTCCGTCACGTGCCACTTTCGTTTGTGTGAACTTGCGTGTAGAGAGGAACGAGCTGGAGGCGCGCGCGCCTTTTGTAGATCATGTATGAAAGGTATAACATTGAAACTAGTTGAACAAAGAGCTACAGATGAAAGAACTTTCCTGGGTCAATTATGCATCACGGATGCGCTCAGCCCACTGACAAAGCGTTGTTGCAAGCACCTGAGGCAGGGACTGCACGTCCCTTACAATCACATAGTAATCGAAGGGGAATGTGTCCATGTAGTGTTTCATATTTAGTTGTAGCCTGCCAGCAGCGTCAGTATGGTAGCTGACCTGATTCATCGAGAGGATCGAACTACGCTGTCCCTCGTTAGCGCTAGCAGACGCAACATCGCCAGCCGCATCCACCACAACAAATACTAGCATGATTCGCTCTTCTGTGGCACGACGTAAGAGCGCCTTGAGACGCTCATGATCCTGGCACACGCCATCTGAAATGATGATTTCCAATTGCCACAAATCAGCAGCCGAGGCCGACGTGTGCTGCTGACGCGCTTGTCGCAATACACGCATACTTTGCTCTAGCAATGCATACATGTCAGTCCGTGTTTGATCAAAGCGAAGATGACTTAGAATTTGTCCACCATGTCGGTCGGTAAAGGTCGTAGATCCAAAGTCGTGAAGCATGTTCATTTCTGTGCCAAAGCGGCAAATTCCCACATCACCAATCTCAAGACGCGTCAATGCACCTGCGACAAGGGCTAGAGTCTGGTAGGCCAGATGAATGTTACGACTTTCTGCCATACTTTTACTGTCGTCAATAGCCAACAAAACCTGGTATTCACGGGCGGACGGCTTCGTGCGACGTAGCCAGATCTTGTCCTTCGCAAAATCACTAGCAATGAATGGAATAATCTTGCGCATGTTGAGCCGCTTGCCTGTGCGGTAGTCACCGCTCAGCCGTGTCGCAAGTGTAGGTGCCAAGATCAGACGCAATTGCTCGCAGAGTGAAAAGGCCAAGTCGGTTGTGAGCGCCGTGTATGAGCGCCACAACTCCGAGGCTTGGTCAATGTCTGTGTCGGATGCGCGGAACGACTCAAGCACTTTCGCCACGTGCTTGTCAGCTTCGAGACGCTCGTCGTCAGCGAGCGGATCCATATGCTCCTCTTCCTCTTGGATGTCGGGTAAGTCGCTCTCAGTCTCTTTGTCCTGCACACCCTGCACATCAGATGCCAACATTGCCCCTTCACGAGCACCATGTGGTTGTGAGCCTGTTTCCTCGGCATCCGGTAGGTCATCATTAGTAGCCCGCGTTGGGTCAGACATCTCAGTGTCGGGCTCTTCAGGAAGCGCCACATTCGATGAATCGGCCTGATCGGCGTCATCCATGCTCAGATTCTTCATCGCGTGTGCTTGTTGCTCATCTGCAGTGCCTAGTGCCTGTGCATCTGCGTCTTGGTCTGGTGCAATGTGTTCCATGTCCTGAGCTTCGGGGATCGCACCATCGCGATGAAGGGGCTCGTCATCTTGTGCATGATCCGTCGCTTCGCGGATTGAATCCACGTCGCGACGGAACTGTTCAAGCGAGTCACCCAGACTCTGAATAGGATTAGGCTGAGATGTAGACTCAGACTCATCTTTGCCTTCGGCACGAGCATCGCTGCTTTCTTGACGAGCGCCTTGATCCTGCGCAGATGAAGAGCCATCGGTCCGTCCAGTATCGCCACTGGCTCGGTCTTGCTGGCCGGCCGCACCGCCAGAATCCTGGCCACCACCTTCGTGCGTGGCGTTATACTCCTCAGCAACTTCAGAAGGCAGATCGTTGGCTAGATCTACTTGTCTTTCAAGATTGTTGTGAACCTCTTGTTGATTTGATCGTGAGGCAGGCGTTTCATTATGATTCGCTTTCTTTGCATCATTGCCATTTGCATCTTCATCTCCATCCTCGTCGTCATCTGAGGTTGATTGACCCTTATCTTGTGCATCTTCTGCGCCGGGAGGTGATGTACTATCATCTGAGTCATTCACATCATCGTCCTGGGCCTGTTGCACCTCGCCGTCCTGCTCCATGTCTTGGTCATCAGGTATATCATCGTTTTCTTGTTCACGCTGTTGGGTATCCTGCTCATGTGACGATGTCATGCGCTCTTCAACATCATCGTCCATGGCACCGTCTGAAAGATCTTGATCAAGATCATCTTGGTCGTCTTCATTGTTTTCACCATCGTCTCCCTCATCACCCATGTCAATGTCGCCGAGCTGCATGTCTTCTTCGGCTGCTTCTTTGTCAAGCTCACGACCGAGCCCCTCATTCAGTTCCGGCATGTCTTCTACTTCGGCTTCGTCCTGCTCATCTTCGTCGTTTGGTTTGTTTTCATCGCCATCGTCGCCATCCTGACCAGCTTCGTTCGACTCATCTTGCTGCCCATCCTGGGGCTCATTTCGTTCGCTTGCTTGTTCGCGATCATCTTGCGTTTCGCCCTGGACCTCTGAGTCACCTTGCTTCGGCTTTTCAGGCTCATCAGCCCACATCTTCTCGTCGACGGCATCGGGATCAAGCGGATCCAGATCTCCTACCTCATCCTCCACATCCTGCTCTTGCTCGTCCTCGTCCTCGGCAGCTTCCTGATCATCTTGTTGCTGATCCCCATCGACGCTGTGCACATCGCCATCCATATCATCCATTTCACGGGCTTTGTCCTCGCCTTTCGATGGCTCATTCTCGTCCTGATCATCGTTGGGCGGCTCTTCTTCATTCTTCAGCTCCTCCATCGTCTCATCGTCCTTCAATGTGTCTGACACGTCCTTTGCACCTGAACCTTCACCAAGACCTGTGCCACCCTCCAACTGTTCACCGCCTTCGGCATCATTGTCATCTTCAGCTTCGGTTTCTTCGGGCGGCTGGCAGAAGCCCTTTGTAGCAAGTGACGTCATGATCACACTTAAAATAAGAGTTAAACGCATTATCGCCCGACTCCAGAGCGACACGGATGATACCTGAACCCACAACCACTCAGTATAGGGCCGAAGGAACTTGCTTAAGTCTTGAATGCATGCCTGCGTCACTTCGCCTGAGCCTGCACCACTGAGCGCATCACGAATTGCTTGTGCCACAGCTTGGGGACGCAGGATGCGATCGACTTGTTGTAAACGAGCCGTCTCATTTACGACAAGCCTTTCAGCCAGATTTTCACTCTGCTCCGGTGGCGGAATACGTGCAAGTTCCTGGGCAATGACCAAAATGGACGAGCAGACCTTGTCAGAAAGTGTTTGGACGGTATCCGCCTCCTCGTCCGACTCTGCCGTGGTAGATCCACACCCGTCGGTACAGTAAGACTCTAGCCATTCGCTCGTTGGCACCGTAACAAGCGACAAGGCAGGCGTTGCATGTGTCAAGTTGTTTAGACATGTGAGTGTGTTTTGTAAGACGGATGTACTGTCATCCACTAAATCAAGCTCTTTCTTTGTGCACAAATAAAGACGCGTGGTCTGCAGCACATGCGCCAATGGCGTCAATCTCGCAAGAGTCTGCTGAACGTGGCAGTTCTGAGACTGGATGCCCGAGAGATCGGGCGCACCCATCATCGGAGAAACCTCGACAAGCATGGGAGTCGTAGCAACGATTTCATCTAGAGCCTGGGAGACCCGAGCGAGCTGATTGACTCGTTCACAAATCTGGGCAAGACACGAGGCTGAAATGCGGGTCAGGGGTCCATGAAGATGGGCGAGACGTTCGGTCAATGCCCATACATCTTTCGCATCTTCGAATACAGACGACATGCGATAACGCAGTCGCATGGCCGTGTATACACTATGCTCCACAAGTGCTAAGCCTCGCACAAGGTCGGGCACATCGCCGACTGGCGTTTGAGATGCATGGCGCAGGCGCTCAGCTTGCGCGAGCATAGCGGCGTAGTACTTCGAAAGAGAGTCCGTGCCAAGATGTTCATGTGTCTCAAGTCGCGGCACACCATATGCCTGTGAAGGACTGCGATTATGGCTAAGCAATTCAGCCGTTACAAATGGTGATAGGCCAATATGCCGAAGTGTTTTCAGCAAATCAGTCCATGCGCGCCGCTTCTGCGATGCAAGGCTCTTGATGGCTTTGATGTTTTTCTCATTGGCAACTGCGGGCGTCTGCTGTGCAAGGGCGTCTGCCGTCTCAAGCACAGTCGTACCCAGGTTAACAAGATCCGCATAGGCATGCGACTGTAAGCCGGGGACTACGAAATGTGCGCTGCGTTCATGCAAGTGCGCTACAGTTCGCTTCATGTCCTGAAGATGCGGCGCTCGGGTGGTGTCCGACGGTCTTGGTACCTGAGGAACACCCTGAGCATGAGAATCAGATGTGACGGGGCTAAACTGAATATGTCCCGGACCCATCAAGGGGCGCACGGCCAAGGAAGGCCGGGCATCTGCTTTGAATGTGAGAAGCGGATCCGCTGGCTGTCTCAAAATCTCACGGAACTTGCGCAGTGATTTGTGAAGGTATGTATGCGTTTTCTGTGCACTTTGCTTGAGTGCGAAAACATTTACATCTTTCCACGTTGCTAGCTTCACATAGTCGGCGATCTCACGGTCGAGCGTCTCACGCTGCTGAGCGATGTGTGCATCAATTGCAGGCATAAACTGGGCGTAATATGCAGCAGCATTGTGCAACAACTGACTTAGTGAGGGTTTGTCATGTTGAAGGAAGGTGCTGAACGTATCAAGCAAGTCGAGGCGCGCACCAATCTGACCGGCCGTGCTACCCCGTATGAAAGAGTCAAGCAGGTCCACAAGCTCAGCAGACAAAGACGCGTCAGATGCAGCGGAACGCGTAATGGCTTCGTACAGGGAAAAGAACCACGTTGCCACAGTCGCCTCTTCGCGTGCCGCTTCGTCGTCGAGAAGCGTCCTCCAGCTATGAAGCTCAAGTCGACGCCATTCCACAACGAGGTTGGTCAGCTCGGATGCATGCACTTGCAGAGACAAGTCTCGACTAGCGTATGTCTCCCAATCATCGACATGGGTGAGCAGGAGCTCAATGGCAGCAAGTCCTTTGGCGACTGGGCTCGAGACGTCTAGCTGAGTCGTACGTTCACTACGCTCCATCAGCTGCTGGAGCTGGACCTGCTCTGGCAATGAGCGGAGCAACTCGGCCACTCGCTCTTGCAGCCGGCTCAAGATAGGCACAATACGCGCGATTTCATGTGGCTGAGGATCGTGGTAAAAGTTCTTTAAGCGCTTCGGTGGCGCGCGACGCCGAGCAATGCGGGTAAGTTGATAGGCTGCGAAACGGTCTGAATCCATCGGCAAACGTGATATGAAAGATGCTGAGTGACGAAGAAGCGAATCACACTGCTCAACAAGCATATCAGCCACATCTGGTACGCGCCTCTTGCCAGGCAGAGAAAGCGCGCTCGGGTACAACGTTCGATGCAGGTCGTAAACGCGGATCACAGTGTCAGGATCCAGGCGAGATGCATCAGACTTGCTTGGGTCAACATTGTTGTTCTTATTTTCTAGCACATCCTCATACACTGGAAACAGGGCCTTGATTTCCGCGTGAATACGCTCCTGTTCTTCTGACGCGTCCTCGTCTTTGAAAGTAAACAGTTTGGCATCGGCTTCGGCCTTTTCACGCTCAGCATCACGCTGCTTTGCCCACAGAACAAAGAGCTGCTCGTAGACAATCTGGACAGTCGCTAGAGGCACCCTTGTAGCCCGTAACGTCTGTGCTTCAAATGCCGCTGCTGCCAAAGCAGCCAATAGCTCGGTCACCGCTGTGGCCACGGACCGCGGCTCTGTCGCGCGGCACAACATGGTGTGGGCTGCTTGTGATGTCGGGAACTGCATGGCCGCATCCAAGACGCGCTGCTTCTTTACCGAGGCGGATTCACTTGGCAAGCATAAGCGCAAACCAAGGCGAAGCTGCTCAATTGCCATGTGTACAGGCGCTGTCAGGTCGTGAAGCGATGAGTATTGCCGCAAGAGACGCTGCTCGAATGCATAGAGCGAAGCCTGTAACGATGCTTCTTCAGCCACCGCTGAGGGCGACTCAGCCGCCATAGATGTGAGTACGCGTTCAAGTCGGGCCGGTGTCGCGACTTGTCGGGCGAAGCCAATCAATTCGGCATGGAGTCTTTCGAGTCGGGCCGTCTCTGGGGCTCGTTGGACTCGTGTGCGAGTATCACATGTAAGACGTTGGGCGATATCAGTCAGAGCCTCTTGTAGTTTCTCCACCACGACATTTGTTTTGCTGCCGGTGCGGAAAGACTCGGCCGCTTTCTCGACGTGCTCGCGGCGGGCCAGGCGTGTTTGGATCGATTCGTTATAAGCATGCTGAGCATGTGCTTCCGCGACTGGATCCAATGGCACATCTGGGATGTATATCTGCAATGTCAAAAGGGCAAGACGAACCCAAGCGACTCCGATTTCAAACGGTGATCTGACCTGGGATGAGAGACAATGCTGCGTAGTCCGGAGCCAAGACAGCCACGACTGTAGTGCTGTGTGCATGATCGTGGATGAGCCTAGCGTAGTAACGACGCTGGACAGGGCATGCACAATGGACTGTTCATTCTGCGCATCGATGGCGTCCTTCCAAGCATGAAGACGGGTCTGTGTTTCGGGAGTCGCAACGCTTTCGACCGCCGTGTATAAAGCTCTCGATATCTGGGCCATGAACACCCGCAGCATATGAGCTGCCATCGACATGCGTGGTGGCTGTGCTGGAACGAGAGCTGTCGCGACGCAGACTGCGAGATCATAGAGATGTGAATCGTACGAAGGCCAAAGCGAGAGCGAGACGCGATCCATGTGCACGGCATCAAGCACGGCCGGAAGTATCGTAGCACGGTGCAGAACAAGTGAGCCGGGTGCCTCGATCGAGAACGACCCATCGGCATACCATAACGCATGCGCATACCGCATCTGGAGCATGGGAGGGATAGGCTGTGTAAGTGACCACGCACGGAGCTGTATGCTGACCATGAGAGATGCAGGGATACAAGGGTGCTGCGCCCACAAGTGGATGAGTTGTGAGAGTCGAGTCCTAGTGTCCCATGCGCCAGAATCAGCAGCTAGAGTCCACAGGACGGCAGGCAGCACTCGTGCGACAAACGGAAGCGACTCTGCGGATCGCTCGTGGCGAATGGCCAAGAGCGACTGAGCCAGTTGGCTCAATTCTGCGCACTGGGCCTCATTCCAAGACGTATTGCTCAAATACAACGTCGAGAGTACCTGGAGCACCGTCTTGGCATGAGCGACTGACAAGGCATCTGGAAAGTGCAATTCCAGTTCGGCAAGCAAACTAAGCAGGCGTGGAGGAGCATCAGGAAGCAATTGGGCCCAAAGAGCTTGCATAGCCACACCCGTATGTTGACTCTGAGGTGCATGCATATCGCGCAAGAGCTTTGGAAGCGCCGTTGGAATGTCCATGCCGAGCTGAGCAAGCTCTGAAACAGTCGAGCGCACATTGTTTAAAATCAAGTAGACCAACGAGTAGTCTAACTCATCTGCCTGTAGTGCATGTTGAAGAAAATACACACTGTCCAGAAGTCCAGCAAATCTGTCAGCCATTTCGAGACTCGTTGGCTTTACCTGCGCGAGTGAAACGCACGTAGCGAGGAATGTTGGCATGTGCTGAAGAACTGCCGGCACCTGATGCACGTCGTCAGTCATCTTGGCGAGCCATGAGGTCTCGGGCGGGGGCTTTTGCAGTGCTTGCACTTGAAGCGCTGAGCGAACGTGGAGCTCGAGTGTCCTTGCATAGAGCTCGTCAGCACGTGGCTCTGCATCTGGCAGTCGACGCAGGTCTGCGGGAAGCAGGGAGGACAGCACATGAGGCGATGCCGCAGTGACACCAGAGTTCGAATACGGTACAGGGAGGTTCGAAACTGTTCGCACCACAAGAGCGAGCTCGCTGGGCACGAGTGCTTGCACTGCGTAGATACAAGCTGCTTCGTGCAGCGTATGATCTTTCATGCATGTGGTCACGAAAGCGGCGCCTGGTAAGCCAGCGTCTTTCAGCGCAGGTTGATTGGACGCAGCGCGCACGGCCTTGGGCTCAGATGGTGGCTGGACGTCAACGTTCAGGCCGCGCCGTATCGCGTGGGAGTAAACGGCACGATCGACAAGAGAACCGCGTCCACCGAACGCGCGCGCAAAGGGAGCGAGGAAAGCAGGATCGACAGGATCAAGCCATAGCTCCATACCTCGATTGCGCATTGCTCGACTTAGCTCACCATGTCGAGGATCGACTGTCATGAACACTCGGAACTTGGCATCTGGCACAATGTGCGGCACAGCGCCCTCGACCATGCCACGCTCACTTAAAACAAGCGAGCCTGACGGTTCAAAGAGTGAATTCAGACGATCCAATACAGATGCCGCACAAAGATTCGCATTGTCCAACAAAAGCCAGTGTCCACGTTTAGCGGCGCGGATAAGTGGGCCATCGATCCACTCAAACTGGCCGCCAGCGGATGTAGGTACGTCAAGACGATCAAGCTGCGCACTAATTGCTTCATGCTCATCATGCAGTGCATAGGGAAGTACGTGCTCTGTCGAACGTGGGTCGCCGCCATGCTCTAGTGCAGTAAGACATGTCTCGATAGCGTCAAGAGCAGATCCATCTGACAAGTGAGAGCGAGCCTGCATGCGTCGCAGGACAGAATATAGCGACTTTGAGACATCATGGTAGACATGTGAAGGATCACGCTGCTCAAAAGATCCAAGGACGTCCATCGTGTCACTTGCCGCACTAAGCCTCACTTCTTCCAACGGCATACCGACCAGGTCGGCCATAGTACGCACAATACAAGACTTGCCCGCGCCAGTGTATCCGGTGATGATGGTCAGCAAACCCAGACGAACACTGGCAGCCATCCCTTCTAGACAAGCTAATTGCGACGGCACAAGAGCGAGCTGCCGCTGCATGGAGGCTTCGGACGTCGAGGATAGGCGTTCCATGAATACGTGCCCGAGCAACGCAGATGATGGTGAAAGCAACGGTGGCGGCATGCGCAATGTCCGTCGTGCATCACAGCCAAAGTGCTGGGCGAACAGGTCAGCAACCGCGTCCCGGTCATGCTGTGTGCGGAAACGTGCGATGTACAGAAAACGAAGCGCCTCGATGGGTTCGGCCGTGTTGCATCCCAAGTCTGCGTGCATGATTTGCATCCAGCGGAGCTGGTCACGTAGATTAAGTTCCCAAGGCGAGCCGTGCCTACCAATTGATCCATTCTGTGTGGCTCGGTGAAGGTCCGCGTGGAACGACACCATCGCGTCCAGGTAGGGCGACAGGTCAGGGTAAAGCCGCTCGCAAATCACACGAATATCGTCGTCTTGTAGTTCAGACACATACACTTTGATAAAGCGATTGAGTAGCGATTTCGGCAAGCCCTTACGAGCCCCGCCCTGGTGCTGAGGATTCTGTGCAGCAAAGAGCCGAAAGTCGGCGTGTTTAGTGAATGTACGTCCAATCTCGGCGACATATACCGAGCCACGATGGTCTAGACATGAATTCAGCCCTTCCAACACGGTTTGAGACGCCAAATTCATTTCGTCCAGCAGGACCCAAGCGCCTCGCTGCATTGCATCAAGGAAAGCGGCCGGACGCCACGCGAATTCCCCTGGCCGCCCATTTTCCACAGGCAGCTCGGCACCGAACAGGTCAACGAGCTCAGTCTGCTCCGACAGATTGATCCGCACAAGCTCATGTCCTGTCATGGCAGCGATGCTAGTGATAAGCGAAGTCTTTCCTGCACCGGGGCTGCCTTCCAACAGCACGCTACGTCCGCGAATCGAGCAAGCACGCAGCACACGCATCGCATTGTCAGCCGCCGTGCCCGCCTGCAATTGGAACGGCGGCGTGGTCTTGGGAAGGGGCCCTTTGTCCATCGAAAATGGTCCCACAAACAGGGTATCCGGGGTTTCTCGCACGGCGCGGCACGATGGATCGAACGGATCAAAATGCACCGGCGCGATGATCGCATTCACTTTCTGGTAGCATTTGATACGTAATGAGTGCAAACTCGCTTGCGTCATGGCCGCTGTCGCCGGCAACGCGCCTACAGCATCGACAATTGTCAGTGCTGCACCATGAGCAAACGCCAGCGCAGGTGGCAGGATGTCGCGAGCGCATACCTCGCGCAGGAAAGTCGCCCATCCCACAAGATCACGCACACCCAAGCCCGTTTGGTCATGGCCACCCACTTGGTGGGCAAACCAATGCACAAAAGTCAGCATATGCTGCGTCCATTCGTACAAGGACTCGGGCAGAAGAGCCTGAACGATCGCAGCTTGATCATCGGCACGCTCTACAGGCGGGACAAAGATCTCGGTGAAGCGGTTTCGGAGGGCGGGGCTTAGTTCCTTTTTGCCGTAATCGCCCCCGGGATTCATCGTAGCGATGATTTGGAAGCCTGGTGCTGCTGTCACTACCACGTCCGTGCCTGCCTTTTCTGCAAGAACAAGCGTGCGCTCGCGCTCCAGCACGGAGTTGAGCCGCTCAAGTACACTGTCGTCTGCGAGAGAAATCTCATCCAACAGCATAAAGTCGCCCTGCCGCATAGCTTCAACTAAGGGTCCATCGCACCATGTAAACAACGCCAAGGCTCGCTGTGTGAGGAACAGCGCCTGCTCTAGATCCTGTGAAGGCGTTTTCTGCTTCGCGGCTTGCAGCCTAGCAGCCAGCTGTTCGAGCGGCATGTCCTGCACAGATTCGAGCAAAACGCGCTCCGCCGCTAAGCGCGCCTCTGCTGCGAGACTCGCACGATTCCGTAGGGGTCGCTGGCTTCCCAGAAGGTCAGCGCTATCTGTGTTCTGATGACAGTTGAATGAATACAGAGAGCGACCAAAAGCTGCAGCCAAGATATCACACACAGATGTCTTTCCTGCCCCCGTCTCGCCAACGAGCAAGACTGGTTCATTCTGCTGTAAAGCTGCCGCCGTCAAGCATACCAGGCGGCGCATTGACGACGTCCAAACGATTCTCTGTTCGTCTGCTGCGGTCCTAAGACGCGCGAGGCGCTCGGGACCAAGTTGCGCCTCCAGCGTCTCGGCTTTATCGTAAAGGGCTTCCGGGTCGATTCGCACTCGCATAATCTGCTGCAACACATCCTGAACGGTGGCGGCATCTCTCGGATGGCGGGTGCGCTCGGCCAGAAGCATATAGCCTGTATCGGCCAGTTGTTGATAGCCATCCGCGCCACGCATGCCCCATCGGAACAGATCACGGAGTGTGGCAAATGCGTGCTTTTCAAACACACGACCAGATTGACGCCGGCGCTGCAGCTCCGTGAACACAGCCACAATCTTCTCAGCCCAGGACGGCGGGATAACACAGCGCGTGGTTAATATAGCAGCAAGCTCCGTTTCCGGCACATCATCAAAGTGTAGTTCAACAAAACGGTTGCGGAACGCGCGGCTTAGCACTTTACGACCAGCGTAGGCGCCCGGAGGGTTCTGGGTAGCAAATAGCATGAAATGTGGGTGTGGACGGACGATCTCGCCCGTCTCCGGGATCATGAGCTCGCGATTGTCATCCAACAAGCGATTCAACGCTTCCAGCACGTCGGTCGGTGCTAGATTGAGCTCATCCAGAACAAGCCAGTCACCACGGCGCAGTGCTGTGACTAACAGGCCTTCCGAGAAGACCAATTGTCCCTCGGCATTTGAGGCATATGCACCAAGATATTCCTGCACATCTGTGTGCTCGTGGTTGTTGATGCGAACAAAACGGTGCCCAGTGCGCCGAGCGAGGTATTCGACAGCACTCGTTTTGCCTGCGCTTGTAGGACCTTGAATCAGCACAGGACTCTGCCGAGTCACCAAAGCACGCGCAAGTGCGTTAATTTTCGCCTCCACGCTGGCTGTCAGGACATACTCAGGGGCAGGATCGGGCGGGACCGGTCCGGCCTCAAGCCAAAAGGCTCCCACACGGACATGATCTGGACCTGGTGATGATGGCACAAAGGTGCGCTGAGTGCGCCGGTCTTTCGCACGAACGAGAAGATGACGATCAAGCATGTTTTGGAATGCTAGAGCACTTGGTGCATCCAGCAACATGCCAAACGACATGGTCATGCCTTCCATAAGCGCACGTCGGAGGCCATAGGCGGGAGCAAGTGCCGCAGCAAAGGTGAGGGCACGCGCCAGTGTACGAACAGAGTAATGGGGGCGTTGATTCGCTCCATCGGCCAGCTCGTGATGGGCAGCCGCGTGGCGCACGTCCATGTACAAATCAGCCACGTCCATGACAGCGGCTTTGTCACTTGCAGCCTCCTGGCCAATGTACTGCGCCACAATGTTCATCAGGGCCTCCTTATCTGCGTCGGGACTCGGTACATAAATCTCTGTAAAGCGGGCACGGAACGAAGGCGGTAAATCACGCTTGCCAACGTCAGTAGCCGGATTCATACAGGCAAACAAGCGGAACCGTTCATGACGCGGGATTGGAGCTAGATCCCCGCGTTCCGTCAACACGATGCTGCCGCTTTTCGACTGGAGAAGCGGAGCGAGGCAGTCGAGAGTCTCTGGTGACGCAAGATTGATTTCGTCCAGCAAAATCCAATGTCCTTCCTGCACGGCACGCACCAGAGGACCCTCGACAAACGAGAATGCAAAGTGCCGCTGCCCCTTGGCAAACAACGCCGAGAACGAAGCCACTCGCGTCGCTAGCACGCTCCAGTCAGACTCCAGAGACCCATCCGTGCGTCGCTTCTTGCGAGTATCATTCTGCGCCAATTCACGCTGAGCCATTTTGCACGACTCGTACCATAGCTTCGCAAGACGAGCCCATTTGCCACTGAAGAAAGCTTTCCGTTCCGCATCGACGTATGCCGCATTCCGTTTGAGCGAGAAGGTCCGCTCAAACACACGCGTCCATGCATTGTGCAGGTCTGCAGCTTGTGACTTGGGATCCAGTGGCTTGAAGGCGCCAAGCAGGTCGCCACTCTCGGTCTGCTGGCTCAGGTTCACCACAGTGATGGGCTGTCCAATCAGCGATGCAAGCGTCTGCACCATGGTTGTTTTGCCAGTGCCCGTTTCACCCACAAGAAGAGCAGGCTCAGCATGCGCAATGCACGAGGCCACGCGTTCCATAGAGGCAAGCGTCGTCCGCGTCAGCGCATATCGCTGCAAAGTTGGAGCGCCTGGTTTCCGACGTTCTAACTGCATACGACCTATTCGCACGTACCCAGCATGTCCCAGCGCCAAATTTGGCACACGATCTTGAAGTGTATACTTTGCGCGTTCCGAGGAGATCTGAAGAGTATTGCTTAATGCATGCGCAATGCTGCGTGCGACAGGAGTCAGCTCAGAGAACGATGCAAGGAAAACGTCGCATGCATCCAGAAACACTGCATCCTGCACGACGGGATTGTCCAACAAGCTTGGTGCTCTCATCGAATCGACTCTTCCACACCATTGCACAAGCTCACGCAGTGTTGGCTTCCGAACAGAAGCTGGTGCACGTTGGGAAGCGTCCACTGCACCATACCACGCATTGATAAGGCATGCGCACTCGTGCATGGGCAATGCAGACATAGACGGAAAGCGCCCATTCAGAATTGCAGCTATATCTTCAGCCTGAGGTGGCGAAAGACGAACGTCACCCCAGTGCTCGCTGGACAAGAACATAGCACGCGGCGCTTCAGGTCGAACACAACGTGTCCCCAGTAATGCAAAACCAGGCGCAGCAACAACTTTTCCGCGTGGACCAAGGTCTAAGATCGGCCGGGCGCCAATTGTTTTCGTGGGACCCAAGGCCTCTACAAGTGGTGCCAAGACACTTAGTACATCTGTCGAGGCCTTGTCGAGGTCCTCCAAAATAACCCATACACCCGCGCGTACAGCGCGCGTCAGCGCACCCTCAACGAACTCAAAAGTACCAGGCTTGGTGCTACTTGATACATATGAGCCAAGTAGAGCCTTTGCATCTACGCCGGACTGGTCACCAAGCGGAATCGACAAAAATGGCGGCATACCCTCTTTTGGGTGCGATAGCCGCGTAGCCAAGTAGGTGAGAAGGTGGGTCTTTCCACAAGCTGCAGGGCCAGAGAGAAGAACAGGAAGACGTAGAGACACATGCAAAAGGATCTGTCGCATTGTGTCTTGTGCACTTGGTGTGGCAACAAAGGTATCGTTCATGCTCGCTCCGTTCGACGGCATGATCATGGACGCTAAGCAAGTGAGTGAGGGCGACAAGTGCTCGGGCGTGACATACACTGCGGACGTATCGGATACGGGCGTTGTAAGAGGCGTTACCTCTTCACATGCACGCCAAAGAGCCTCGATTCGCTCTTGCTCGTACACGGGAAACAAGCGCACATCGATGGTATGTGCATGCAATACGTGAAGCGGTGCAGGGGCATCCCCAACCCACGCTTGTCGCAGAGCATCCCGTGCTGCATTCGAGAGATGCTCCTGGATAGCATAACACTCGACGGCCAAAAGGCGCAACGTCGCAGGCGTCCCATGTTTCGAAGCAAAAACCTTGTACAAATAAGAGGAGCGCCAACCGAGTCTATGCGCGATATGTGGAGCCGCACGAACGATGCGCAAAAGCGAGGTGAGGTGCAGCTCGTCATCAACAGGCAAACCATGAGGAAAGTGTCGTTGCAGAAATGACTCCAGCTGCGTATAGCATTCTTCAAATGCACCGATTAGGAAGGCGAGAGCATGCACAGCCTCAGCACGGTGTGATCGACGAGCGACAAGCTCTAGGAGTAATGGACGGAACGCTACTGCGGTGTTTGCACACACGTCAGGATCTGGGTTTTCGAGCAGAGCTGACGCAGCGTCTAGCACGGCATCCACATGGACGTGGCTGAACGAGTGATGTGCGCACTCTTCAAGCACAGGTGCCGCTGCATATACCTTTTCATTGCAAGCGGCTGCGCAGGCTCGGAGATTGATGCCCACAGTCGATGCCATCAGCACGTACCGCACAAGGATATCGCCCACTGCTAGCTAGCTGCTAATTTGCGAGAAAACAAAATGTGTGTTCTAGTAACTTTCTGCACGCATGCACTCGATCATGCAGCAAGGACCAGCGCCCAAAAAAAAAATAAAAAAGTTTCCCCCTGCTGACACACACGTTGGGCGGCGGAGGTCGTATAAGCACGTGACACTCGAAATGATGCGGTCAGGCGTTCGAAAGCAGCGCCAATTCTAAGAACAGGTTCAACTGGCTGGCCAGCGAACGAGCTCTAGCAATCAGGGGGAAAAAGTTGTGGTGTCGGTCCGTGCGTGACTCATAGGTGTTTCATTCACGCGTTGTGTGTGCTGTTGAGTCTGAAGATTGGGCAGCTCATTCGTTCATTGACGACATCTTGAGTGAGAGCGTGTCCACGAAATAGAGGTATCTGTGGACAAGCGCTTGCAGGTGAGCAAACGGTTGGGTCATGAACGCATATCCACCTGAGCTCGTCGTCCACTTACAACCATGCGTGCATGTAAGTGGCCTCGTTCCCAGAAAACAATGCATGGCACGACGTACTACCACACCCAACGCAAGGTGTACGCGGAGCTTTGCGACTCTATAGTCAAGCAACTCTCACAGTGCTCGTCCGTGCAACAAGCGTGGGTCTCACCAGGGGTCCTCATACCGCTTTCGGGCCGTATTTGTCGACTACGGGCACAGGATTCCACCTGCACGTATGCGTGCTGGGCTCAAGTTGGAAAATGAAACTGCTCGACAGGTTGTATCTGCACTACCGCCACGTTCACCCCTCTCGCCATTATACCCGAGCGGACCACTGTTTCCAGATGGCATTATATCACCGTCGTGGATCCGTAAGCATACCGAATATGTGCCAGGTGTACACTTGTCCTTCTTCTGCATGCCGCCTCACGACGCCGCATCGCTCACGATGGATGCGGCATTGATCGAGGTAATTTCTGCCCTTCGCGCCTCGCTTGCGCCTCGTGGCATTAAGCTCATGGTCGTTTTGCTATGTGATCCGATCATGTTCGCTCAAGGCATCGATGCTCGCGTCGCACATCTGCGGCGAGCATCAGGCCTCGACGCGCGTGGAGCTCTATTTGTGCTCAGTTCTGGTGCCAAATCAGAGCTGTCGTCCTTCGTAACGAGTCTAGTGAAAGCGTCTGAAGTGCTGACAAGCGACTACTACCGCGAGCATGCCCGACATGTGCGCCGAAACCGAGCTCGGTATCCGCCGCCGCCTTCTGTTGCTCAGCCAATCCTTCAGGTGGCCATGAAGGCTGGCCTTTGCAGTGCACAATCAACCATGCTCAATGCCGCTGGCTGGCACATACGCACGCATTACAAGCTCGGCGCGCTTGCTGAGCTCCAGGGAGACATGGCCGAATCTCACTCGATGTATGCAGAGGCCTACAAGACCCTAATGCAGCAGTACCTGCCATACCCGACGGTGGTTCTTCCTCGCACGCGGCGCTGGGCAGAGGCGAAGGTCCTTGCTGATACCCTGTCGTTCAAGCTCATCAAACTTTTCCTGTACGATATGAAAAAATTGGCAGCGCGCGTGCAATTCCGACAACACAACCTACATATCACGCGCTTATGCACGCGGTGGGGCATCACAGATCAGACGCACGAATACTGGGCATGGCTAGCGAAGCAGTACACATTTATGGCAGACTTACTCGATGAAAAGAAACTTGTGCCAGCGCGTCATGGGTTCGATGTACCACTTGTTCGGTACCAAGCGGCTGTATGTCAGATGGAACGTGCTCGATGCACAACTCGGCTGGATTCCTCAAGCCGCGAGGCCCGCGTTGATCATACAGCGCTGATTGTGCCGGAGCTTGATCGTGCATACAAAGTTCTTTTCCAGCAGCGACGTTTGCGTTTGGCGCACTTGGTTGCCGTTCGCCTGGCGTTGACCTTGGCTGAGACACAGCCCAAACGAGCGCTTAATTACCTTACGCGGACGTTGCAGTGGTACCGGCGAGATCCGTGGCACGAACTGTCGTATGCGCTCGTACTGGAAGCGCTTGCGTGTGCGATTCGATGCAAAGACGTTAACTTGATAACACGCATGGAACATGAATGCCGCATTCCCGTTCCTCCATGTCTTGTCTCCAAAAGAACGCACATGTTGAAGGATGTCCCATCTGATTCATCCTGGTGGTCAGCGCACAGCGATTCATCTACCAACATCCAACTGGGTACAGAAGTTGGTTCACGAACCATATATGCACGTGCTGCATTCGCTCGCTCTTTGGCCACAGCACCTGCCGCTGACATGCCATGCCAGGTAGTCATATGCCTGCCCTTTGACTCACCCGTCGACGAGCTGCACCCTCTTTCGGTCCAAGTGTATCTTGCGGGACAAGATGCGCCGACCGCTGAAAAGCTGGTGTCTGTGGCTCAGGCTGAGGCGGACAGCGGCAACAGTAATGTGCGTGCGCTTGATCTTGGTGAACAAAAAGCAACGATGTGCGTGGACGCAGGCCATTCTAACTTCCCGCATCAGGCTGCAAGTTCTGTCGCATGCTTTTCACTCCGACGTGCGCAGCCACTTATCGTGAATCTACGCTTTTCTACTGACGTGCCTGGCATGTATGAAGTGCATCGCGTGGAGTGCGTATTTATGGAGCATGGGCAAAACGTGCATCTCCTCTGCGATATCGATCGACGTTCGCCTAGTGTGTGGACCTTGCCCAATGGCTCGTGTATCCCACTGCCTGCGACACAGAAGCCACATGCACTTCGTGTGCGTGCCCCAACATATGACGTGCATGTGCCCCCGATCATGGCTTGTGGACAGATAGCTCCACTTTCTTTGATATCGCCGAACGATGCAATACTGCCGCCTGGTATTAGACTTAGCGTCTCGCCTTACAAGGGCGACAATGATGCGGCAATTATCGATGTCTGTGGCAATGCACATGCTGAACTCGAGTTGACAAGTGCTGCAAGCGGCGGTGACGTCGTGGAAGATGGTCATGAGAGCGGTTGGGATGGCCTTCATGCCAGCACCAGCGGCCAACCCAAGACTCATGATTCGTCGAGAACTACATGCGCTTCGACCAGCGCTCCATCACCAATATGGCTTCGTGCGCCGCAAGAACCTTGTGCTGCGATGGAGGTTCTTCTTCTGCAGCCCACTGGAGCTTCACGGCGTACCGAGCGCATCCACCGCGTGGTCAAGGTTGTGCCTTCGTTTTTATGCAAAGCTCAAATCCGCTGGGGTGGTGCAGCACAGCAAGACGGAGTGCTCTTGCTCAACATGACGTATGAAGGCCCTCTGACCGTGCAGGTGAAGCGAGTTCACGTGGAAACTGCTCCGTCGCTCGGCGTGAGCGTGGATCCGATTCTGGGATACATGCCGAACGAAACTTGGTATACTGGTGACAGAGCCGCATGGGCCGCACGGCTGTGTGCACAGGCACCTCAAGGGACAGGCGCAGCGAACCTTGTGATTACATGGCGGAGCATCGGTGAGCCCAATTCACCCGAACACGTGACGCGCCGTCCGCTCCCTGAACTAGGCTCGCCAGCGCTCCAGCATGTCGATGTCAGAGTATCGGCGCCATCATGCTCAATGCTTGCAGCTGCATTGCCTGTGCAAGTGTCCTTCATCAACACAAGTGACGAGCATATCGCTGATGTACAGTTCACCATTGAATCAACACCTGATTGGATTGTGTCGGGGATGATGCGCCACTCGGTGTCGATGCTTTTACCTTGTGAAGAGCGCCTTGTTTCGCTAGAATTATGGCCTCAACGTGCGGGAATATGGAAACTTCCCAACATGAATGCTACTCAGATACAAGCTAGTAATTCTGCATTGTCTCTGCACGTGCACAAAGTGCCCAACGATATCGAGATCACACCAAGATGATCAGATGGTCTATCGCTGGATTGCCCGGTGTCGGTTATATCAAATGCCTTAGTAAATCAAACAACTCGTCAACTTTCGTTTGGGCTTGAAAGTACTATTTAGGTCAGGCCATCTTGTGCAAGCAGAGCAATCATGGCCTGAACCACATGCTGGTTGTGTGCAGCGCTGAGCGCTTGCACGTCTAGTACACCCTCCTCCAACACTCGATCAAGAAGCTGTCGAAGCTGCCGGCACAGTACACCGATCCGCGTGCTTGCGCGGAGGCGGACCCATGCATCCTTACTCGCCTCTATGCCGGTGGAAATCGTAATGCCTCCTACTTCATGATCCACGTACAACGGCCCGCCCAGCAGTAGAAGAGCGTACAAAGGCACTTCTGTCGCATCACGCAGATATGTCCGTGCTTGTCCGGCAGCACCACTGGCACTCTTTGCGAATGTGACCACATAGTTCGTCTTGTACTTAGTAGCATGGAAGAGCATGGAGCTAGGATGCAGAAAGACCCGGCCGTCCGACTCATCATAGTAGTGGAGCTCTTTCGCTTGAGCTTCCTTTAGCACAGCGCCTGATGTAGATGCATTGTACTTTGCCGTCGGCTGGTCGACACGTGCGATTGACGGCCAAAGCGATGCAAGAAGAAGTGCCCTCAGCAAATTGATGTTGCCACTGTTTGTGTCCAAGGGCAACATCGATATCTTGCTTGGCCATGCAGGGCCTTGAGACCTGTACGAAATCACATAGTCGCGGCCTATTAGGCCAAGCTCCTCCAGTTGACGCAGCAGCGTTATACGCGTCATATCAACGTCTTGCAGGGCCTGCATCGATAGGCCATGTGCATCACAGAACGTGCGAACTTCCTTCATGGGCCGTCTCTCATGCCGCATCGCAAGCCATGTCGCAAACAAATTGGCGTAAGACAGCAAATCACTCTGGCCATACAAGAAAGCTGAGCGAGCCTTCGCCTTGGTTTCATCGCGCTGTGACGAGCTCGCTACAATCGAACGACATGATAACAGAGACACAACATGCAACATTGGCTCCACACAGCCAAACAAACAACTGAGCACAAGGAGCTTGGCCTGGCGCACTTCCAATGGAAGCTGCGCGAGGTGACGGCCTAGCGGCGTCAACTTTGCTGCATAGCCGCCCTCAGCATGCAAGGCACCGGCGATGATGAGTCTTTTGTGAGTAGCCTCAAGCGCATCCAGAGGAGGCGGATCTAGGGCTTTCTGCAGGAAGGCTTTGACATCACCCGTTGGTTGGATGGCTTTCACCTGCAAGACAACGCCTTCCAACGGAGTTCGCTGCATCTCTGGAATGGACTGAGGACGTTGTAGATGTTCTTCCATACCTTTTGTGTACAAACGGAAACACTCACCAGACATAGTACGTCCTGCTCTCCCTGCTCGCTGCTTACAAGCTGCACGCGACGCCCATGCATCAAGCAGGCGAGAAACACCTGCCTGCGCATCGTATTGAGCCTCACGTACACGGCCCGTATCGACGACATAACAGACTTCTGGTATCGTAATGGACGTCTCAGCAACGTTGGTTGCAACAATGACTTTGCGTTCCGTCTTATGAACGGCTTGAAAAACTTTGCGCTGCTCGCTTGGAGCTAGATTCGCATGCAAAGGTAGGAGAACCACCCCGTCTGTGCACAAAGCGCTAATCGCGTCCATAGCCTGTCGGATTTCTCCCACACCTGGACAAAAAACCAAGATGGCCGCGCGACCTGTGAGGCTGCCCGTGAAATCAACTTTTTCAGCACGTTTCATCGCATATGCAACAGTGTGTGCGAGCAGATCATAGTCTGTGTGATTGGAGGCACATAATGCGCGCACCGTGGAAATATCCGCATCTGACAGCATGCTGCCATCCACAAGCTTGTTAAGGCGTTCGTCTTCACGCGTGAAAGGAACAGGCACCCGATACGACGTAAGCCGCACAATATCTTCCAAATAGTGCTCTTGTACAGGAAATGTCCGACCGGGTATAAAAAGATAGGGCGCACCGTCAAAGTATGAGGTGAAAGTCTCTGCTTGAATCGTTGCACTCATCAGCACAATATGTAGAGAGGGATTCCTCGCGAGCACTTCGCGAAGAAGAAGAAGCAAAAAGTCCGAATCCGTGCTCCTTTCATGCACTTCATCCACAATCACATGCGATACAGACTCAAGGTTGGGATCAGTGCCTGTCGCGAGCCGACGTAGAAGCACACCCGTCGTCGTGAACAGCAAGCGACATGACTTGCTTGCACGTCGCTCACCACGAATGGCATACCCAACTTGTGCTTCATCCGGTATATCAGATGTATCGAGCGATTCACCTCGTTCCGTCGCTACACGCGCTGCAACACCCATTGCAGACACACGTCGCGGTTGTGTCACGACAATGCTACAGAGACTCCCGCAGCCGCGCTGGATGGCATCGTCCAGGATAAATTGCGGCACTTGTGTCGTCTTACCACAACCCGTCTCACCGGCGATTAACACGACACGTTGTTCTCGAAGTGTCTTCAACAACATGTCCTGTGATGCGTATGCCGGTAGCGACTCGCGGATCGGCCCTACACTCTCCACGTATTTAAGTGAGCTATGCCACTTTGTGTGTGCTTCGTGCATCGCTGTGTCGACGTGTCCATTGCGCTCAAGTTTCCGTGCTTTGCGGGTTCTCTGCGGAGACAAGGAGTGCGACTGAGATGATATCGTCGACTTTTGCTGTTGCTTATGACGCCGTGTTGCTTCAGTTTCCTGAATTGCGCGTGCAGCCGCATTTGGTGCAGCTTCTACCAGTGATTCCATTACCTCATCTAGGGGTGGCGGGTCTCGCACATAGGCTGGAATGCACTCTCTAAGCTCTTCACACAAGAGGAACAACACGCCACCCTCACATAAATCAAGTGCTTCTTTGATATCAGAGCGCTGGCCCTGTAAACATTGCAGCGCATGTCGTGTAAGAGCTAGACGTAAGAAAGATGGCAGTGTGGGACTCGTTACATAGACACTAGGCCATGCTTCACTGTTTGCGAGATAACGTGATGCAGGATGCGAGGGCGAAACGCGTAAGAATACTTTATCCTTTTCGAATGTGCCTAGGCAGATATCATAGTCATCCGACGTAATGGCATCCTGCTCAGGCACAGGCTGCAGCATATCGTCACCCAAACAAGCTGCAAGCATGACTCGTTCATCGTGCCGCTTTTGTGTCAAATCATCATCAGGTCGAGGATCGCACGTGACAAGGGACGATACCGGCGCATGCTGGCCTAGGAGCTTGCGAAGCAGTAAATCGAGCACGACACCTTCCCGTGCAGTATTAGATAGCTGTTGATCCGATTCGCGCACAGCCTCGATAGCTTGGGCAACATTCTCACGGGGAAATCCGGCACTTTTAGAAAACTTGTCGATGGTCCAACGATCCACTAAAGCATCCTGGCCACCACCACTCGCAGCACTTTTGATGAACGACTCGGAGGTGGCGGTGGGGCGAAGCTTTACGGGCAAATCTTGCTCGGGAGTGTACAAGACAAGATATTCGACAGCAGCCTCCTTGTTAGGCAGTGCGAGAATCGAGGCTAACAAAGGATGGGACAACCGAAGCTGCTGCCAAGCTGCAGGTGTGGCATACTTGGCTCTGGCATCCTGAAGCCAAGAAACAATCCTACGAATGTACCCTGGTCGGACGCCAAGTGATGCCAGCTCATGCTCAAGTTCCCTTGCATCAACATCAATACTCATTCCCTGCATAGAAGAGTCTAGTCCATCCACCTCCACAGCTGGCACGTCGGTCATACGAGCGCGGATCGTTGCTTCCACGAAATCACGAAGCTCGGGCGCCATACGGACTTCCATAGCACGCTGCCAAGCCTTGCTGAGTGGCTTCTTTGTGGGATCATTTCGTGCTGCTTCGCGAGCTGCGCGCTCCTTTTCGCGAACTTCACGCTCAGCATCGCGTTTTGCAATAGCATCAAATGGATCCGCAGCCCATTTCCAGCTATCGTGGTCTGGTGATTGCGCTTTCACCTCCTCAAGCTGCATCCAGTACTCACGAGGACCTGGCGGCAATACACGATGCAAGCCGAGATTATTGAAGAGGCGGAATAAGACATACGTAGCACCCCAGTGTTTTGCATGCAGACTGGTTTCACACCTAAGTCGAGCTCCGGGCTCTTTCGGCTCCATACGAATGGTGAAAGGGTTAGACTTTTCCTGCTTGTTCTCTTTACGCAAAGTTATGGCGCATGTATATCCGTCCTTACGATGGAGTGGCTCAACTTCAGGCTTGAGCCAGCCTGGCATCTTTTGGATCCGCTCATACATAATGTTTAGAGGTGTTTTGTACCGCGGGGGAAATAGCTGTGCTGTTCCATCACGGTTCGTACCTGTCGGTGGCGGTGGTTTGGCACCGCCGCCCTTGACCCAGTCCGGCAGTGGCGCCGCTTTTGAAGACATGGCGCCACTCGATTTGATGGCTGCATTCTTCTTGCGAGGCGCCATCGTAAAAGGTGGAGGGAAAGTGAGCAGAAAATCACAATTTTGCTTACTCGTAGGCGTTCCGCCGAAAGACACGCTAAAGGAAAGTTTTGAACACATATCATTTTCGTTGCATTGACATCCGATGGCGTCGTGAAGCACACTACCACTCACATCTATACAATGTCCAGACTCTCAAGATCTACGCCCACACGAACCTTCCACAAAAGCTCCTTGTACCGTAGCACCTCCATCCATAGACTGTCTTCCCATGATAAACCACTTCGATCAGGGTCAGCTTGGAACGAGACCCGCGACAACGTAGCTGTCGGAAATATGGGTGCCGGCGATGCTGAGGACGTCGTTCGAGAAAGTATCTTTGGTGGAGGCGGTGGCTTCAACTCACCATCGTCGGGTTTCGATCTTTCACCCTTTCCAGAACCATTAGACTCGCCAGATTTGTCAGAAACCTGGGATTCATTACGGGGTTTTGGCTTGCTGTCAGAAGACACAGCGTTATCGGGATCAATCCGGTCTTCTGACGGTTGAACATCTGTCCCGTTTGAATTAGTGTCCATTATGGGCTCAGGCGCAGTCATAGTCCCTGCCTCAGAGGCTGGAGGTGCATGTGATTCTGGGGTTCCTCGCTCATCCTTCGAGGTCTCAGAAACCTCCTCGACTTTTTTAGACGGGCGTATGCCTGTCGCATTCACTGTGTCGGATGATTCAAGCAGTTTTGATGCTTCAGAATCGTCCTTCTTCTTGGCTTCGGAGGCTTCTCCCGCCTCAGAAGCCTCCTTAGCACCATCCATATTCTGGTGAGTCTCATAATCATCTGGATCCATGTCTGGTGGCACCTCAGCCGGTACTCCTCGTCGCGCTGTAGGTTGAGCAAGTGGCTGAGTCTCAGAGTGGCTTGCCTCGTTTGGCGCATTGACCACGCAACTTGATCGAGATGCTGACGAAGAGGACGCACGGGAACGATCCGCAGGAATTTGACCCACCATGTCTGGTTCGTATTTGCCCTCAAGCACGATTGATCGCTCAAGTGTCCGCACGAAGGCCCAAACGGCACATATCGCACGAAGCCGATAGAGACAGTTGTGCGCACACAGCAAATACCGATTCGTGGCCTGATCTGAGAGACGGAAATAGTGGGTAGGGATAGGCAGTGAGTCCGCATGCCAAGAGGCAGATCCACGAGAAGACGAATCACTTTGCTCCTTGTCCTTCCCTTCGGGCTCGATAGGCGGCGTCCACGAGCGCTCTGTATGACTCCGACGAAGCGTCTGAAACAACGATGGGAAGCCGCGACGACCAGATGAATTGGACCAGCTGATCGAGTTCGACCGGCTTGGATTTGCATCGGATGTAGATGAGGAACTTGTCCCATCCATGACAGGGGTGACATTCAGCAATGGTGTCGAGCAAATAGCACAGGGAACGGGCGGAAGAGCACCGTATTCATCCCTTATGGCCCTTTCGTCAGGAACAATACCACCTGCAAAAATCGGCTCAATCATAACGTCACCATCCAATACAGCAGCAGATGCTTGTCTGCGAGCGAGCCAGTTTAGACCAGGCGCTTGGGCCAGCCGAAGACAAGGATCTGTATCTTCTTCGAGCATGCGGCGGATAAATGGCAGTGATGTTTGGGATGAAACATGTACTAATTGTTCAGCAGACATGGGCAAATGAGGGTAATCACGATGACGAGTAGCAGATAGCGAGTTTGTGCTTGAAGAAGCCATAACACTGCCCATGAACGGTGCCGGCGACGAGGGCGGCGCTGTCGTCCAGTCAACACCATTTCGCGACATCATAAAGTAGGGCTCTAGCTGCATTTGCAAGCTGCGCAAATACGCAAGGAAAGCCAGAAATTCCTGATACGGAGGCACGTTCACAAAAATATGGAGAGTAGGCTTGGCAAGTTCGGAAGGTGCCTGAGATAAAAAAGTTGGAGTGATAGGCTGTCTTCGTAGCACTTCGATCTCTGATTGCAGAGACTTTAGCATGTCTTGGTGATCGGCCATGATGCGTTCGGTATCATGAAGTGTTGCTTCAAGCTCACGGCTTCGTTCTTCCACACGTGTACGCTGTAGGCGCTCAACGGCAACCATCTTGTTCGCTTCGTTGAAGAGCGACGCGCTGAGCTCCTCCAGTTCAGCTTCAATGCGAGTCCGATCATTCTCGGCTTTGCCTCTCTGTGCCGTTTCGTCAACGACGCGCTCCATCATGCGCTGCATTTCTGACGTCACATGTGATTTTTCCACCAACAAACCAGTGTCCAAAGCCGAAATATACTGGTCGCGTTCCTTGCTAAGCTCATCGAGCCGCGATGACTTAACCGCCAATGTATTTTGCGTAACGCTCAATTCATCTTCCAAGTCAGACATGCGATTGATCGCGGATACCAGCTTCGTGTTGAGGCTCGTGACTTGACTCCGGAGCTCTGCTTCGCGCTCCTCTGGCGACATACTTGCCAGTGCGTCGACTTGCGCGGCAGTGTGTGAATCAACAATCGTTTCTTCAGTAGGCTCGGTTTTCCCACTATTTTCTTTCGCAGTATCAGATATTGTTTCCACTGTTTTCCGAGCTTCTGATTCTTTCGATGAGAGCTGCGCTATTCCGCTAGCTGTCGAGGCAGTAGTATCGAGGGCTGGTTTCCCAGCATCTAGCCCCTTTTCACCATTAGATGACACTATACTTTTTTCAGGAGTTCTCTTTTGGTCGTTAGGCAAAGATTGACCATCGTTTTGGGCGACAGCGTTGACACCTGCATCTTTAGTCTCGTTTGCTTCAGGCACAGCTGGCTCCAATTCAGACGTGGTCTCGGAGCTTTTTGCGGCCCTCGAGTCTTTCTCAGTTCCTTGAGCTTCGCTAATTTTCGATTTGTCTGCAGCTCCCTTGGATGCAGACTTGTCCTTGTTTCCTCGAGCCATAAGCAACACGAAACAAGGAGCTGGCTGGATCAAGCGAGAAACAAGCCTTCCAGATCGCCAAAATCATCACGTCTGTTTCGTTCTCCAACAAACACTGCGTGCATTTGATCGGCATATGCTTAGTCATCTCTACACATCACGACACACAGGGCGTGCGACGCTCGTATGCGGCGTTGGTTCGACCTTCAGCGACAGCACCTGAGAAGCGGCGTTGAATGCGCAACCATTCGACGGACGTGATCCGTCAGTAAGGCATGCAGGATTACGAACTAGCTTCTAAGGAGACAGGTGAACTTGCGTTTCAGAGCTTCGTTGCTTTATGCGGATAGATCAGGCGCTCGGAAAGCACTGAAGGCAACCAGTATGCTGGTACTTGGCGCGGAAGTCATGATTTCAAATGTGCTTGCTTCATAGCTCCCTTGCACTTAGTCGCATGTATACCCTGCGGAAACATCATATGAGTACAATATATGACAGAGACCATCAAATATGAAAGAGGCACATGCTGCTAAAATGTTTCCATCGTGGCGCATTGCCATCATTTGGATGGCGCGAAGGTACACAATAGAAAGTATGTACGTAGGCCAGTCTGTTCAACACGTACCTAACAGCAAAGAAATGATAGAAAAAAATCGTCTCTGTCTATTCAGGAAACGCTCGAGAAATGCATCGCTCCCAAATTATGGAGGGGGGAAATCGAGATTCGGACGGGTTGCCACTGTATGCTAGCACTGGTCTTGGAAGAGGACGAATCCAATGCATTGCATGAAGATCAAGATTGGCTCGACAGGCGTATCGGAGCGGCATACCGGCCATACGAAGATGGCTGGGAAAAGGTGCATTGGACCAAAGTGATTCCAGCAACCGTTTGTCATTCATCTGTTGGGCAGTAAGCCGCTTAGCTGGAGGCCGACCACGCTTGCGACGAAGCTGGACATCAAATTTAATACCTTCGCGCACAGCAGGAATGCCAAGGGATAGTAAGCGTAAATGAGATGGATCAGCTGTGCTGGATGGTGGCGTTGAAGGAGTTCTTAGCTGCTTCGGCACATTGGGTACAGATGGCTTTGGCATTGGCATTTGCGCATGAAAAGATTGTACTGATTGTGCTGCTTGATATGTGTGCACATCTCGTTGATTCTGCGACTTTTCTCCCAAAGATGGACGTTTTGACGGTCTTGATGCGATTAGGACGGAGGCTTCTGGCGCCGGTCTTTTGAGAGGTGGTGGCGAGACAACATCTTGTTCACCAGTTGACAAGGGCACATTGGCAAGCGCATATTTCTGGATTTGCTTCGCACTTTCAACAAGCGACTTTTTGTCACGAGCTTGATTTGAAGCTTGCTGGATAGCTACTTTAGCTTGAGTGCTGCTGGATTGGCGCCGACGAAGGCGCGGTTCGTCCGAGGGTAAAACAACAGAGCGAAGCATATTCTCGGCACGACTAAATTGTGAGGGCGCAAGTCCTGACGCTTTTTCTAATTCTTTCCTTTGAATTTCAGTCACATTTAAACTTTGATTTGTTTCTTGTTAGTGTCAATGGCGCTTGTATTACGAACCTCTCTGCAGCGAGCCACACGCAAATTGCCGGTACGCTTGCGTTGATATCCTGCGTACTTCGAGCGTTTCCCTGCATTTCCCAGATTTTTACGCGATCAACAAACAACCGTGCCTTGTCACGCACTGACCGGTTGCCTTTGCACAGCGCTGTCAGTGCGGCAGACATGGCTTCACGCCCGTTGGAACGCTGTCTTGGGAACGGAGGAACAAAACGGTGTGGAGAAGCACGGTGGATTTTCGCGCGACACCACCATCAAGGCCTATCGACGTAGCGTTGCACATACACAGACACACAGCCCTTCCTTGGCCGCCACCCAATCAATGACCCATGCATGCGTGTGGCGCCACGCGAGTGCACATGGACCAACCCATCCAGTCCGCTCTTCTCGCGTAAGTTGAAATGCAACACCTCCACAATTTGGTATCTCCCCCAGCAGTCTCATGATGATTTATATGTGCATCTGCCCAACCATTGCCCTAACGCAGCGGACGCCACTCGAGACGCGTTAAGCGCGTACGTGGCGAAGAGAAAGAACCTTCAAAGCCATGAAGTTTTATATTGATGATCTCCCTGTTCTTTTCCCATACCCCAAGATCTACCCTGAGCAGTACTCCTACATGGTGGATTTGAAGAGAACGCTGGATGTTAAGGGACATGGTGTGCTAGAAATGCCTTCAGGCACAGGAAAAACAGTATCTCTTCTCAGTTTAATTATAAGCTACCAACGTTTTTATCCGGGATCGCGAAAACTCGTTTACTGCTCGCGAACAGTGTCAGAGATTGAAAAGGCACTAGCGGAACTGAAGCGACTTATGGCGTACCGCGCGAAGTATAATACGAAAAAGCAGCTTTCAGACGGAATCGAGCCTATGGATGTTGATTCAGAAGATATACAAGGCCAGATGGAAGACATTCTGGCGCTGGGATTGAGCAGTCGGAAGAATATGTGTGTTCATCCCACGGTAAGTCAAGAACGAAAGGGAAAAGTTGTGGATGCCCGATGTCGTGATATGACGAGTGCATGGGCATGTGAAAAAGGAAGACAAGATCCTGGTTCCGTAGAGCTATGTGATTTTCACGAGGAGCTGGGGAAACTGGAGCCGGGTCACTTAGTCCCGCCTGGCGTATGGACAATCGAGGAGCTGATCGAATACTCAAAGGACAAGGGAATATGCCCGTACTTTGCCGTTCGTCGTATGATGCCTTTTTGTGATATTATCATTTACAGTTTCCACTATCTATTGGACCCAAAAGTTGCTGAGCAAGTCAGCAAAGAGATCAGTAAAGATGCTATCGTCGTGTTTGATGAGGCGCACAATATCGATAATGTGTGTATCGAGTCGCTGAGTATCGACTTGACGCGACCCATCCTGGACAATGCATATCGGTGTGTCAACCAGCTTGCAGACAAAGTTGATGAAGTGAAGAAGGTCGACTCTGCCCGACTTCAGGACGAGTACGTCCGTCTCGTCGAAGGTCTACAGCAGCAAAGTGATGACAGAGAAGCCGAATCATTTATGGCCAATCCTGTTTTGCCAGACGACCTGTTACAGGAGGCAATTCCAGGAAATATTCGGCGTGCCGAGCACTTTGTGGCATTTCTGCGCCGCTTCGTCGAGTACCTTAAGACTCGTATGCGTGTGCTGCACGTAGTAGCCGAGACGCCAGCGAGTTTCTTACAACATTTAAAAGAAATCACATTCATCGAGCGGAAACCGTTGCGTTTCTGTGCAGAGCGACTTCGGATGCTCGTCCAGACGCTCGAACTTACCCGCCTCGATGAATACTCGGCATTGCAAACCGTTGCATTCTTTGCTACGCTCGTCTCTACTTACGACAAGGGATTTTTGCTAATTCTTGAGCCGTTCGAGACCGAGCAGGCAACTGTTCCAAATCCGATTTTTCACTTCACATGCCTGGATGCGAGTTTGGCAATAGCACCAGTCTTTGAGCGATTCAGCAGCGTAATTATCACAAGTGGTACGATCAGTCCTTTGGACATGTATCCGAAGATGCTTCGGTTCGACACAGTCGTTCAAGAAAGTTATACAATGACGCTGACGCGACAATGTTTCTTGCCGCTCGTTATTACGCGTGGCAGCGATCAAGTAGCGATCAGCTCGCGATTCGAAGTGCGGAATGACCCCTCTGTGGTTCGGAATTACGGGAATATCTTGATTGAGTATTCGCGGTGTATTCCTGACGGCATCGTCGCATTCTTCCCCTCCTACTTGTATATGGAGAGTATAGTCGCTGCATGGCATGATATGGGAATTCTGGACGAAGTATGGCGGCACAAACTGGTGTTCATTGAAACACCTGACGCGCCAGAGACTAGCATCGCTTTAGAGAACTATCGGCGAGCATGTGACAACGGACGTGGTGCAATTCTTCTGTCTGTCGCTCGAGGCAAAGTATCGGAGGGTATCGACTTTGACCACAATTATGGCCGCGCTGTGATCATGTTTGGTGTGCCATACCAGTATACGGAGTCGCGTATTTTGAAAGCGCGGCTTGAGTTTCTTCGGGATAACTTCCGCATCAAAGAGAACGACTTTCTCACGTTCGACGCAATGCGACATGCTGCACAATGTGTAGGTCGTGTATTGCGAGGCAAGTCAGACTATGGGTTGATGATCTTTGCCGACAAGCGATTTGCTCGATCAGACAAGCGCGCCAAGCTGCCGAAGTGGATTGCCCAGTACATTGAGCCAGTTTTTAGCAATCTGTCAACGGACATGGCGATTGTGGAGAGCAAACGGTTTATGCGCACCATGGGGCAGCCGTATCCTGCGGGAAAAAACGGGATTAGTCTATGGGACTTAGAAGACATTGAGCGTCGACAGCAAAAGGAACGGGATGCCTTTGAACGACTGCTCCAACAAGACTCGGACGATTGGGTCGCTAAGCATCAGCACGAAGTGCGTATGACATCTGACCAAGACTACGACGGCAGTATTCCAGCGGCAAATGCTGCAGCATCCGTACATGAGCTAGCGGATGACTTTGATGCGGAATTTGGCACGGGCGCCGAGCTCACGCAAGTGTCCGTTCCATGAAGTTGACGATGATGGAAGAGCGCATAAGTAGTGGAATTGTGCGTCAGGGTGAAGGCACAATACTATCTGAGTAAAGAATGGAACACTCGCAAGGCACAAGTCTAAGGAGAATCTGCGTTGTCTTCGCAGTCACGATCCACGGTGCCGCCTACCGACCTTCGCCGCTCTAGGATGTCTGACACGGAAGTCACGCAACAGACTTGGAGCTAAAAAACGCAGTGTATGTACGTTTATGCAGACCACACATAATGCAGCTGTGTTAGTCATCATTTATCTCAGAACGTGCGTAGAAAAAAAAAAGGACAAAAAAAAAAGGGCCCAGCCGTATAAAGAGGAAAAGGTGGGTATGTATTTTCACCGTTAGCCCGAACAGTTTTTTTCTCACGGCAGCCGAGAGAGCCATTTGTACGGGTTTCCACCACCATGCCGCCGAAGTTTGTTGAAGGAACGGCGCATATTTCTGCGAGTGATATCAAAGACTCGGCTGCTGCTGAGGCGGCTGCCGCTGGTCCCGAACAGGAGATGAAGGCTGCCCTCTTTGACGAGGCGCAGCTCCTGTCAACCGGTGACAAGAAGGCTGCGGTCGAACTTACGAACCTCGTCAAGATCGAAGGCCCCTCGGCCTTGCGTAATCTCGGTATTGAGGACGTAATTAAGAAGGGCCTCAGTGACAAGAAGAACGTGCACGGCCGCGAAGGTGCGTGTATGCTCGTCATGACCCTCTTTGACGAGGGTGTTGGTCACGAGGTCGAGCCATTCATTATGAACGGTGTATTCGAGACGTTGGCTGAAGCTATGGGTGACAAGGAAAAGACGGTCCGTCAGCGTGCAGAGGATGCACTGCTCTTGGTCATCCGCAACATGTCGACATGGGGTGTGCCCCAGGTGCTGCGTGCGCTGCTGCACCAGATGCGCACAGCCGGCAAGTGGCAGGTGAAGACGGGTTGCATTCGCTTGCTCGAAGAGCTGATTCAGATCTCGCCTGAGATTGTTGCTCGTCTGATGACCGACATTATTCCTGTGATGGCCGAAGTCATCTGGGACACGAAGAGTGATGTGCAGAAGGCGTCGCGTGCTGCTTTGGAGAAGCTCTGTGCGCTCGTGTCAAACAAGGATATTGAGCGATTCATTCCTGCGCTGATCCAGTCGCTGATTCATCCTGTTGAGGAGGTGCCAAAGACGATCCAGCTCCTCTCTGCGACGACGTTCGTGCAAGAGGTCGACTCGCCGACACTGGCTCTCATGACGCCACTGCTTTCGCGTGGTCTCACAGAGCGCCCAACTGCTACGAAGCGTAAGGTTGCTGTCATTATTGACAACATGTCGAAGCTTGTCGACAACGAGCGCACTGTGCGACCATTCCTGCCAAAACTGCTGCCCGGCTTGATCAAGATTGAGACAACTGTGTCAGACCCAGAGGCACGCAGTGTCGTTCAGCGTGCGATCAATACGCTCCGCCAGGTCGGCAAGGTCACGGGTGATGGCTCGGACGTGAAGCCGATCGAGGACGTCGATTTGTCCAAGACCATTGAGCTCGTGAACGAACAGCTGAAGAAGAACGGCCTTTCTGGCCCTGATACGCTTGTGCACTACGTGGCACAGCTCGTCACAAACCTTGCCAACTTCCGCATGTTTGAGCCAGATGAGTGGGAGGGCACGCTCTCGCGGTACCTGAGCCTCTTCCGTCCTTCAAGCCAGGAGAAGTCGCACACTATTGTGCATGAATTGCTCCGCATGCTCGCCAAGAGCACCGGCGAGGAGGTTGAAGTGTTTGACGACGAGGAAGAGGGCGAGGACTTGTGTAACTGTCAGTTCTCGTTGGCCTATGGTGCCAAGATTTTGCTGAACACGGCAACGCTGCGTCTCAAGCGAGGCCACCGTTACGGTCTGTGTGGACGTAACGGTTCGGGTAAGTCGACGCTTATGCGTGCTATCCAGAATGGTCAGGTCGAAGGTTTCCCATCGCCTGAGGAGGTGCGTACGTGGTACGTGGAGCATGACCTTGATGGCTCCGAGGGCGACATTTCGATCATCGACTTCATCCAGTCTGACAAGCGCCTGAACGTTGACCGCGAGACTGCTGCCGCTACCCTCAAGGAGATGGGCTTCGATGAGCAACGTCAGGCCGGCCCTATCACAGCCCTGTCGGGTGGTTGGAAGATGAAGCTCGCCCTTGCGCGTGCCGTGCTGTTCAAGGCTGACATCCTGTTGTTGGATGAGCCGACGAACCACTTGGATGTAATTAACGTGGCGTGGATCACAAACTACCTGAAGCAGACAAGTGCTACGTCGATCATTGTGTCTCACGATTCCAAGTTCCTCAATGACGTATGTACGGACATTCTGCACCTGAACCGCTTCAAGATCAAGCGATACCCAGGCAACCTGGATGCCTTCGTGAAGCGTGTGCCGGAAGCACGTGCATACGTGGAGCTGAACTCGGGCGAGGACTACTCGTTCAAGCTGCCAAACCCGCCGCTGCTGGATGGTGTGAAGACGAAGGAGAAGTCGCTCGTGAAGATGAGGGACGTCGTGTTCCAATACCCGAACACCCCGGCTCCTCAGCTGCGTGGTGTCTCGATGCAGCTGTCGCTGTCGTCGCGTGTGGCTGTGCTGGGTCCTAACGGTTCTGGCAAGTCGACTCTGGTCAAGCTCGTTGTTGGTGACACGGAGCCGAACGAGGGCGAACTGTGGAAGCACCCGAACTTGGTCATTGGTTACGTTGCGCAGCACGCGTTCCATCATATTGACCAGCACCTTGACAAGACGCCGCTAGAGTACATGCTCTGGCGTTACCAGACTGGTGAGGACCTCGAGGAGCACATGAAGGCGACCCGTCAGCTCACGCCTGAGGAAGAGGAGGCAATGAAGCACGGTGCCATCTACGAGCACGAGGGTGTGAAGCGTGTGATTGAAGACATTGTCGGCCGTAAGAAGTTGAAGAACTCGTTCCAGTACGAGGTGTCATTCAAGAACATGAGTTCGGCCGACAACCTGTGGCTGAGCCGTGACGAGCTGATGCGCCGCGGTTTCGAAAAGAAGATCATGCAGGTCGACTCGCGTGAGGCGCAGAAGGCTGGTATGCTTCGTCCTCTTGTGCGTCGCGAGATTGAGAAGCACTTTGAAGACTTTGGTCTCGAGCGCGAGTTTACCTCGCACAACACCATGCGTGGCCTTTCGGGTGGTCAGAAGGTCAAGGTTGTGCTGGGTGCTGCCACCTGGCGTATGCCGCACATCATTGTGCTGGATGAGCCGACGAACTTCTTGGACCGTGAGTCGCTCGCTGCGCTGATTGCCGCCATCCAGAGCTTCGAAGGTGGTGTTGCGATCATTACGCACTCGCAGGAGTTCTCGGAGGGTACCTGCAAGGAAATCTGGCGTATGCAGGACGGTACGCTGCACGCCTCAGGCCACAACTGGGTCGAAGGCCAGGGCTCTGGTGAGCGTATCGACAAGAAGAAGAACGACGAGGAAGAAGTCAAGTACGATGCTCTCGGTAACAAGATCGTTGAGGAGAAGAAGAAGAAGAAGCTGACCTCGTCTGAGGCCCGTAAGGCCAAGAAGGACCGTATGGCTCGCCGCAAGCGTGGTGAGGAAGTGTTCTCTGACGAGGAGCTTTAAAACTGCCGTCGGCTAGAGCGTGACGTGCTTGCGTTTGCTACTTTATGCTCCTCTCCCTGTTAGGTTGGCGTACATGCCCAACCTGACTAGGATTGGGGGAACGATCGATGAGTTGGTCTTCTGACGCGAATATGCCTTGCTTCTTTGGCGTGCTTCGCTTCGGTCGACCTTGTGTAGCTGCATGACGTGGTATCATTCCTAAATAGATATTATCAATAATGCATGCACATGCCCCTTGTTTCTCTCCGTCCATCATTTACACTAGGGCCAGGTACAGCACGTAGGATAGCACGCTGCCGACCATGACGCCGGTTGTCGTGGCCGCCAAATGTGTGATCGCACCCTGCTCCGTGTGGAATGGAATCATGTTCGCCCAAGCCGTGGCCATGTACACACGACACATATGAAGGTAGTGCATCACTTGCGAAACCCATGCGAAGCTGGCGCCGCGTTTCATAATATCACGGGCACGTTGGATCGAGGCCGATACTCCTCGTCCTGTGCCAGCACCTGCATCGCTGGCTACAGGTGCATCTGTAGCTCTTACGCCGGCCGCAGTAGGCGGTGGACACACAGACGACTCAATGTCCGCTAACCTCTCGTCAACAGACATCATGGTAGCATGCATACGATGTCTCGCGGCCTCTTCGCCAGAGAGAAGTCGCGACTCAAGTGTTTGTGCGAGACGTCGGCGTTTGTATGGCTCTACGATGAACAGTGCAAGAATAAACACCAATACGTTCAGAGCACCCAAGCCAACGCTGACATATGTGCTGATACTTCGAACACGGTCGCTCCAAATATGTTCTTCATGGTACCGGCGCATAACACTACGCATTAGATCATCAAACCCCCTTTGCATATTGTCTTCTGCACGCTCATACTCCAATTGACTTTGTTCTTCGGCTTTAGCATGACTGTGCTCCGAGTGTAGCAGCGACGTATATTCCATCAAGTCCGAGTCTCTCCACGTCGACTTGCGAGATAAAAGGTCATTGACTCGACGCTGTGATACGGATCGATCTGACACCGCTTGGATATAGACTTCTTTGGCAGCGTCCTTTTCTTGCTGAAGTGTTTTGAGCCGTTCAGCTTTGACTTCCACTTGCTCTTTCAATGCATTGATGTCTGCATACCCGCTGAAATCATTCCAGCGATGCCCTAGTTCGCTAATTTTGTTCTTTGCCAATGGCTTGTTCCTATCGAGCCAATGTTGCAGCTTGATACGGATAGGATCAAACATATTGTACGATGTCGCTGTGCTCGTGAACGTGCGAGCGCGGCATCCTCGACGTATGCATGCAAATGCTGATTCAGGGAGAGCGAACGCGCGTAGTGCACATGGCCGAAAAGCTACGTGCCATGGACGATACATGAACCCAGCCCTTCTCTCCTGCGATGAGAAGTCCTGCCAGGATTGGCCCCGTCGCGCACGAAGCTCGACATCGTACGTCGAGGTGAGTGCGCATCATGACACTGCACGTGGAGCCACGTGGAACGTCACAGACGTAGCACAAGCAGTGACGAACCGATCTGTGGCGGCGGGCGCACACGCGTAAACAACACGCGTTTGGTGCACGCGACGTTACAGGGTGACTCGAGAGCATGTCACAAGCAATCCCATTGATAAACTCGGTACAACTGCCACAGCGTACAAGCGAAGAAGTGCGAATTATTGGAAAAGTGCTAAGGGTGCGTTGCAGGGCATAATTTTGTCACGAAGCATGTGCTAAGACTCGTAGGTGTCTGGAGACATTTTGCTTTTGCAGGCGTCAGACAATGGCACTGTCGAGGTGCGACTCCAGATGGTGCGTATATTTCCATATCTCATAGCGGAATTGCTCGAATCGTGCTCACATGCTGCAGGACGAATCACCTACGTCACAATATGTTGAGGTTATCGGGCGCGTCTCTCGCACGGGCGACTCTATCACCCAACACGCGCTTCTTTCTTTAGGCGATGAACTTGGTACGTTTCTTCGGCACATGTTACCTCTTTTTCTAATACGTGCCAAAGATCTCGGTCTCGTTGAACATCTGGTTAAATTGACGCCTCAATACCCTACCCTGTTTGCTGAGTAGGGAAGGACTGTGCATCGCTCTGTCTTTGCGATGTGCACAAACCTCTACCCTTAGTTTCTAACTGCCACATACGCATGTATGTGTTCTCACAGTCACCAAGTTCTAAACTTGCGGGCAACGCGTGGCACAGCGCGCAAACGTACTTGCCGGCATGCAACCAGCTGTGATACCGAGTGATGAGCGGCATCATGAACATGCATTTCTTATGCAAGGTTCTTTCCTTCGTGTGTATTCTTTGGTGTATCGCCTATCAGCTACATATACATATACGAAAGTAGGTAGTGAACAGATCTTCGGCACTGCAACGAATAGTTCCTGGATCACGACGCCTAAAAGCATTGGCACTCGCTCTGTGAGCGAAGGCCTTGTGGCCATTATGCAAGCTCACCAGATTTCAGATCTGTGCGAAATAGGTACCATAACAGACTGCGATCCTGATACGCCAGAATTCAAAATCCCGGCCCAGTAACCTGCCCACCCACATAGGATTTTCGCATTCGTGAGTGCGTTCATGGCCCTTTCCCAACGTGGTCCATCCGAATGGCGTCCGCACATATTTGTCAGCAATCACAAATCCAATAGCTTGGGTTGGTGCACAATCGACAGCGACTTTCAACGTAGCGAAGGTTCGAATTACAAGTGGCGAACGTAATTCGACCAGCCCGATAAAGTGACGTGACTTGATCTTGCCTGGATGAAAGTGGAAAGGGCGAAACTGGGCCCCTAAATCGCGAGATTCCTCGAGCCATCCCCAGGAATCTACTTGTGGTTCGACCTTGCCCTTCGTTTGAGTTTGACCTCGGATCTCATTGCTGCTCCCATATATCCTGCATAGGACAGGTTCGATTCGGCTGGATAATCGTACAGAATTCAAGTGCGCCATTGCTCACTATGTCAGAGAATGAGTTTATCAACATCCCTTCACGTGTGAATGGCAGCGATAAGACTCGCCCCCGAGCACATATTGATGAGACTATGTACAATCAAATGCACCACCGCTCGATCCATGAGAATGATCAATTTTGGGCCGAAGAGGCGAATCGGATGATTTCATGGTATGTCCCCTTCAAGACGGTCCAGTATGGAGACTTTGGGCGCGGCAACATTGGCTGGTTCCTGGAAGGTCAGCTGAATGCCTCGTACAATCTTGTGGACCGCTGGGCATTTGAGCGCCCCGATGACATTGCGCTCATTTGGGAGGCAGATGAGCCTGGCAGTCACATTTATATCTCGTTTAGCGAGCTCCTAGACCGCGTGTGCCAAGTAGCGGGTGTGCTTCACTCGCTAGGCGTGCGAAAGGGTGACATTGTCATTATCTACATGCCCATGATCCCTGAGGCTGTTATTAGCATGCTTGCGTGTGCACGGATCGGTGCTGTACATTCAGTGGTGTTTGCCGGCTTCAGTTCGGACTCATTGCGTGATCGTGTACAAGACAGTCGTACACGCGTAGTTATGACGTCTGATGAAGGCCGACGTGGTGGCCGGACGATTGCGACCAAGTCGATTGTCGATGCCGCACTAAAAGAATGCAGCAGTGTTGAGCATGTCTTGGTCGCAAAGCGCACGGGGGCTGTTGATGTGCCATGGGTGGACGGACGTGACAAGTGGCTAAGCGAGCTTGCAGCTCAACAGCGCACATACTTCCCACCAGTCTCGATGAACAGTGAGGATCCATTATTTGTCCTCTACACGTCAGGTTCTACAGGTAAGCCCAAGGGCATTGTCCATACAACAGCAGGCTACCTGCTAGGAGCGGGCCTCTCTGTGAAACACGTGTTTGACGTGCACCCAGGCGACCGCTTTGGCTGCATGGCCGATATCGGCTGGATTACGGGACACACATACATTGTGTATGGTCCGTTGATGAATGGCACCGCTACTTTGATCTTCGAGTCGACACCAATGTACCCGACACCCTCACGGTACTGGGAGGTCGTCGACACCCACAAACTGACGCAGTTCTATACGGCTCCGACGTCCATCCGTATGCTGCGCCGCATGGGTCCTGAGCATGTGCAGAACTACGATTTAAGCACGCTGCGTGTGCTTGGAACGGTCGGCGAACCCATTAATCCTGAGGCATGGCACTGGTACAATGAAGTAGTGGGCCGTGGCCACTGTGCTATTGTCGACACATACTGGATGACGGAAGGTGGCTCACACATGATCACATCGTTGCCAGGCGCGATCAAGAGCAAGCCGGGTGCAGCATCGAAACCGTTCTGGGGCTTGAAGCCTGTTTTGCTCGATTCTCAGACGGGACAAGAATTGCAGGGCGTAGATACCGAAGGTGTGTTGGCCATGAGTAGGCCGTGGCCATCACTCGCCCGCACGATCCTTAACGACCACAGTCGCTTCCTTGACACGTACATGCGTCCATACCCTGGTTACTTCTTTACAGGTGACAGTGCGTACCGAGACAAGGATGGCTACATTTGGATCCGCGGCCGTGTCGACGATGTGATCAATGTGTCTGGACACCGCTTGTCGACGTCGGAAATCGAGTCGGCCTTGGCTGAGCACCCTGGCGTGGCAGAATCCGCCGCCGTTGGTGCGCCTGACGAACTGACTGGCCAGACCATTGCGGTCTTTGTCGCTCTAAAGCCTGACTATGTGTATGACTCACTCGAGGACCTGACAAAAGAATTGAGTATCCAAGTGCGTCGAGCGATCGGCCCCTTCGCTACACCAAAACGCATTCTGTGTGTAAGGGACTTGCCCAAAACCCGCAGTGGCAAAATCGTGCGCCGCGTTTTGCGCAAGATTGTATGCAATGAAGCTGATCAGCTAGGCGACTTGTCGACACTAAGCGATCCATCCGTTCTGGACCATTTGTTGGTACGTGCAGACATAGGTGCTACAGCACCATGCATGACATCTCGATATTGTGACTGACACTCTTTTTTAGGCAGTATACAACGAGTTCATGGCGAATACAACAAATAAGAAGTAGACCCAACTGCTCGTATAATCACATAATCTTTGCCTCTCACGAGCGCCTCCCATATCTCCCTTCTCACATGGTCTCTCATCTGTAGGGGTCACACATGTCTGGTATCATTCCACAGCACCTATCGTTGCCCCTTTTAACGAATCCTCACACACGCACAAAGAAACAAACAAACAATGAATCACGTTGCTCAGTGCCACACCAAATAGAAATACACTTCATCCAAAATGCAGTTCTTACACGATACCTAAAGCTTTTCTTCCCAGTACTTAAGAAGCTTTTCTAGATCAAAGTTCGGGTCCTCCGGGTTCGTCACAATCGCTGCAATTCCAGTTAGCATGATGCCCTGGAAACGCCGAGAAGAGCAAGTGCAGATAGATTTAAACAACATACCATTAGGAGTTGGAGGAGCCGATTTAGCCGCACGAATCTTAGCATATTCCTCCTTGGCCTGCTTCACGAGGTCTTCCTGGCGCTTGATGGCCATCTTCTGGACATGCTCGTCGTACTTGGCCTGCAGGGTTTGACGGTGCACAATACCATACCCAATACCAGCGACGAGAGCGGAATACCGGACAACCTGTCATACTGTCAGCACATACTCTCAGCCATGATACATACGTTTACGACAGATGTGGGCGTCATGATCTGCAAGCTGTACGAGAGAAAAACAAAGCGGAGAAGGAGAAAAACAGAATGCGTTCCCAAGTTCACTCGTGAACAGCGGGCAGTCACGCAGGCAGTTCGAGTAAACCGTTTAGATTTCGCGTTGCTAGAGCAGCGACTCTCTACCGAAACCAAAGTCCACTTCCATCCCCCATTCGGTTGCACCCGGCACGGATATGTCACGTGACTATAGGCTCCGCAGCTGCTATTCTGCTGTTAAGTTTGCCTTGTAGGCCTAGCGTGGAGGATACGAGAAGGAAGACACACGAAGGCAGCGAAGCGAGGATGAGGCGCGCTGTCAATGCCAGGCAAGCACAGAGAGAATTCATCTTTCTTGTTCCAACGAACGATCGCTGGTCGTTATTATGGTTGTTGATCAAGAAAAGCTCGCGAAGCTGCAAAGCGCTGTGCGCACAGGTGGTAAGGGTGCTCCACGCCGCAAGGTGGTGAAGAAGCCTAAGGGCGCTGTCGCCGGTGGCGAAGACCCGAAGCTGCAGGCTGCTCTGAAGAAGCTGGCCGTTCAGCCTCTCACTGGTATTGAGGAAGTCAACATGTTCAAGGCAGACGGCAATGTCCTTCACATCGAAGCCCCCAAAGGTACGTACAAGTATCACAGAGATAAACCGACGCTGACACTATCTTTTAACAGTGCACGGAGCTGTGGCATCCAACACAGTTGTTGTACACGGCAAGGCACAGAGCAAGGAGCTCACGGAGCTTGTACCTGGCATCCTGAGCCAGCTTGGTCCAGAGTCGCTTGCAAGCCTGCGCAAGCTTGCTGAAAGCTACCAAGCCCTTAGCCAGCAGCAAGAGTCCGCGCAGAAGGGTGCTGACGCTGAGGGTGTGCCAGAAGTGAGCGGTAACTTTGACGAGGTCGAGCAGCAGGAGAAGGCACCCGCGTCGACAGAAGTGGACCAGCTCGACTAATTGATCACTTACTAGGAAGTACTTCACTTAAGTCGCTTCGTAGAGGGACTATTCCTGCGTAAAAAAAAAAAATGAACGTCGTTAGCGAAATCCAGCAATACAGCTTGGTTGCTTGCTCTGCTCCTCCGATTGCTATGAAACAATATCGACATAGTACATGTGCGTAAGCAGACGAATTGACGTTTCACCCTGTGACTCTCTTCACTCTTAGATTACGATGACTCGATTCGCGGGTTCTTTGCATCACCAGCGTCTAAGTGGCGTTCGCCCGTTTCGCCGGCCTGTTCATCGGGATCATCGTCCCGCTGACGCTTCGTTGCGCCGGAATCGCGCGTCATTTCATCAGTCGCATGTCCAGCACGCTCTGCATGCTCTGTTTCGTAGTACTCAGCGTCGGCGCCTACAGGTGCCTTGTGTGCATCAGCCGTGCCTTGAGCTTCCTGATATACTTCTTCGCGACGCTCATGACGCTCGCGCTCACGTTGTTGTGCGTCTTCTTGCCGCTTCTTCTCTTCTTCCTCGCGCAGGCGGTTGTGACCCCAGCCACCACGTCCAGCATCGTACTCCTGGCGGTACTCATCACGTACCTGACCACCTGAACGGCCACGTCCGTATTGTCGGCCATCTCTGTATCCAGGATCTAAATCGCATCGAATCACACGTTCATCTAGCTTCGTCCCAGAGACAAATCGCATGCAGTCAACAGCCTCTTCGTGTGTATAAAATCTGTGCAAAGTAGAAGAGTAAGTCCCAATTTTTTGTGCTGAAATTCTATCTTGACACGCATACGTACTCGACAAAGGCGAATCCACACGGCGTCTTTGTGTTTCGATCAAGGCCCATGATGATGCGCTTGATTCCGCCACCACCTGGAACGTTCGTGACTCGTGCAAACAATTCATACATTTGCTCCTCGGTTGTGTAGAACGAAAGGTTACCAATATACAATGTCGCGCTGTCGGCCAAAGCTAAGTGTTGTTCATGTGCAGAGCTCCGCGCACGAGAGTCACGGTCTCAAAAAATTAGTACGAATCTGCACACGAATTTGTTCTTCCTGTCTCGATACGTACATGAAGATGGTGCATTCAAATGTTCGACGATGTGTGACATGGGAACGCACGGAGAACAGGTAACTGGGAGTTGATGGACGACGTGCTTAGTACGAGAGGGGGAAGTAGGACTCGAGTTGGCGTGTGGAGAATGTGTTTGTCCACTCAACAAGAGAAAACAAAAATGGCCGCAATTGGATCCCAACGCGATCCTTTCACATTGATCGCATAGCGATTCATGAACGATGCCTACTATGTCTGCGAAGGTGGACGAATGCATAGCACTGGAACCACAAACTGATGCAACCTCGTCTTTACTCGCGACACAATATGGCTCTTGGTACCCCCAACATAAATCGTACACACTCAAGTCCAAGATATTGAATATCGAGGCCATAGAGCCAGGGTTTCTCGAATGGCTCGATCAAGACGGCCTGGTTTTGTCTGATGCGAATGATGTGAATCCTGAGGATGGTGATGCGCGTCCACAGATCAAGCGCACACTACCGCTTGACTCGGATGCCGAGATCATGAGCGACCCAAGCGACGATGAGGGCAACGACACCGACGACGGTGCTTATTTTCCAGCATTAAATGCAGAGATCCGGCGCGTCTTGCTTGAGTACGACGGTGCCGTTTTCCCAAAATTCAACTGGAGTGCTCCTCAAGACGCAGCGTGGATTATGCCTGGACATACTTTGCGGTGTCAAACGCCCAATGACGTGTATTTACTACTCAAATCGTCTGACTTTGCAATGAAAGATCTCTCCCAGGTGCGCGAGCTATCCAAGGCATGCGAGAATGAGGCACGTCCTGAGCGACCACATTTACAGCTTGTGCTAAAAAAATGGTTTGAATTACCCCGCTCACACGAGTTCCGCTGCTTCGTACGTGATGGGCACATTGTTGGGGCGTGCCAACGGGATATGACGTTTTACGAGCATCTGCAGGACGCAGCGACGCAGGAACGCATCCAGTCGTTGCTATTCACATTTTACAGAGACCATCTTGCGCATATTGTGCCGCGCCGTATAGTCTTTGATGTATATTTGACGCGGCATCTTGATACTTGTTTCTTAATGGACTTGAATCCATGGCTTGATCGCACTGATACTCTGCTATGGACGGGCGATGAGCTAGAACATGTAGCACCATCCGTTGGCGATCATGGTAGTGCAAGCGGACGGCTTGTCCCGCTACGGGTGCTCGCATCGCAGGCTGAGGCATCGCAGGCGCTGCCCACGTATTCGGCACATATGGTACCGGCCGATGTTGTTGAGTTAAGTCATGGGCAAAATGTGGCCGAATTTGCACAGCAATGGACCTCTCATGTGCAAAATGCGATGCAACCATCATCCGAGGATGAGTGCGAGTAAACAACAAAGACGTCAATGCGCCCGCTGACGAAGAAACAGGTTGGTGTGGCTGACTCGAGCGCGATACAAGCTCTTCGCTATGGCTAAGATTATGCGCGCGACTAGTATCGAAGAGGACCCTTTACACGTGGGAACCCGACCAAATCTCGCACATGGAACGTATGTGTGACCCAGCTCAAAAAGCGCTCCATGCCGAGACCAAACCCGCCATGCGGCGCTCCGCCGTACCGACGTAGGTCATCTGTGTACCAGGTCAAGGAGGATGCTTGCAATCCTGATGTGCGCAGTCGCTGCATTAGCACGCCATGTCGCTCTTCACGCACACTTCCTCCCACAAGCTCACCGACCTGCGGCACAAGCAAGTCGAAGCAGGCGACAGTCTTCCTGGCTGAGCCGCTCTCTGTTGGATGCACGTCATCACTCAGTATTACAGGCTCAGGATCCTCGCGCATGTAGAACGGCTTTATCTCTGTCGGGAAGTTTGTCACAAACACCGGCTGGCCCATGTGCGACGCGAGCCAGCGCTCATGCTCCGACTTCAGTGACTCACCCCAAACGGGCGGAGCCTTTGTATGTGCTCGCAAAAGACGCACAGCGTCGGTATATGTGAGGCGGGGCCACGGCGAGTTGATCAGTGCTGCATCGTACGTAGCTCCTAAAAATGCCATATCCTCTTTCGCACGCTCGTCATGCCAAGCGGCTTGCAGTGCACTCTTCAACACACTTTCTGTGACATCCAGCACCATTCGGAGAGCTTGTTCGCCATCAGGTAGCCAGCACAACTCAGCCTCGAGCATCCAGAACTCAGCTAGGTGCCGATTCGTTGCTGAGCCTTCAGCACGAAACACTGGACATAGTGACCATACACGAGAGAGGCCTAGAGCATACGCCTCGAGGTGCAGCTGTGCCGACACGGTGAGGTATGCCGGCTGACCGGACCAAAAAGCGGCTAGGGAGCCGTTGCGAGACGACGTCAAAGACATAGTCTCCTGAGAGTTTTGAGGCACGTCAGCATCTGCCACGACCTGGAAAATCTCGCCGCCTCCTTCACAGTCTGATGACGTTATAATCGGCGGATGTACCTTGCAAAAGTCGTTGGCGGCCATCCACGCGCCCATGGCGTGCTCCATGCGCGCGCGTGTGCGCTGAAGAGCAGCAAATTGTGGTGTACGTGCCTTGAAATGTGATTCACGACGGACGATATCAGTGGCTGTGGTGTGAGTCAGAGCGTCGGCTGCAGCACTGGCTGCGTGATTGCCTTGCATCATATTCGCAAGCGGGTATGTAGCGAGATCTGTGGGTGCAAGGACAGCCACATGATCAGCCTGGATCTCCACGCGCTGACTTGCTGAGCGGCCACGTCCTGCTTTCATTTGACCATGCAGCTGTATGGCCTGTCCTGGTGTCAACTCACGAATATCACCTGACAGGACGACCTGCATCGTGGCTCCGCCACCCATGGTACCGTCTGTGAGTTCGAGAAATGTGCGCGTCTTGTGCCGACGCACAGATACGATCCAGCCGTATGCTGTCACGTCAGAGGCAAGCGACTTGTTCGAAGCTAATGCAAGTTCTGCATCACGCCGTAGGACATGCAAAGTAGGCGGAAGGCGCGCACTAGCGAATGCTCGAGTCTGGTATGGGCGGACGTGCGAGGCCAAAGTACCAAGACGCGCACGCGAAATAAGAGAGGCGCGCGATAACATACTATGCCCGTTGAAGCCAGGGAATCAAGGCGGGCCACCCACGTAAGGAACAAGAATCTACCAGACTTTTACGCGTGCTGCATGTCAAGATCAGCCTTTGACAATTTAGAATTTGTGGAGGTACAGCTTAGACCAATAAACCAACTGATATGTCGTAGCCAGCTGTGGGAAGACAACAGTCCATGTGCGAGGTTGTGGGAAAAGGAGGGGGGGGGGGGGGTACGTGAACCGAAGGCAACATGCTGAGTCAAAGGCATACATACACGAGGTTGTACATGATCTAGGATCCCTCGCGTCTCGCAAGAATGATGGGTGTTCGTCCAACTACCTTCCGCACTAAATCGACGCACCTTGTCACTCGGGGCGCATGTATGGGGAAATCACATAGCTGCTGCGGAAAAGGGAAGAGGACGAAAAAAAAAGAAAAGAGAAAAGGAAGAAACCAACTACGGCGAAGCTTGTTGTAAGCGAGCGCGACGGTCTAGCCAGTCTTGCACCTTGAGTCGCAGCCCAGGCTTGTTATTATGGTAACGGGCAATAGTCTCGAGCAGTTCAGCCGGCTCCAGCACGTAACTGCCTGAGGCTGGGTGGCTCCCTTCATGTAGCGCGGCGAGCTCAGCCTCGCTTGGGAGTGCGTACTTATTCCACTTCGAATTCCAGCGCAATGGACCAACGCCACGCATTTCTTGCTCGCGCGCTTTACGAGACTCGCGGTCTTTGCCGGTTACAGGCACCAAGTGGAGTTTCGGCACTTTCAGCTGCATCCCAGCTTTGCGGGCCTTTTCTTCGGTGCTAAAAAAGAAGGTCTGCAGGTACTCGTCACTCACATCCTGCAAGCGCGATGGCTCCCACTTCGGGATGCCTGCATTACGTTTGCCAGTCTTGGGGTCCTTGCCAAGCACATGCATCACACCAGTGTGAAAATCGCGGCCAAGCGACAGGTCACAGAAAGCCGTGGCGATGCGAATGTTCGCATGCATGTTTTCGGCCAATGTCTGATCGCGTGCTTCGCGAATCGCGCGGAATGTCACTTTCAGCGAGCGTGGGGAACGCGCTAGCAGCGTCGCATGCGTTTGCGACGCCCATGCCGCAACATCTTCTGTGATGGCAGGCAGGCCGCGCTTCGCGAGCTCCTCGCCCGTGTACGAATCCTGACGGCGTTGCGCAATGTCATCAAGCACGGCAATCACCTGTTCGATCGTATCGCGCGTGAAAGCAAAGTCAAGCGCCACGCGCTTGTCGCCCAGGAACACGCAGTTCTTTGCAAGGTTCTCGTCGTCATCGAAAGGATTGACGGTAAACTCATCCAGCGCACGCACAACGTTTTCCTCGTGCGTAGCCGTGGACATTGGGAGTGAGCTAATGCGACGGAGCATCTCATCCACGGCGTGCGAATGCATATAGTGGGTGGCAAACCCCGTCAGGTATGCATCTGCGCCATTTAGGCGCCCGCCTGTGAGGCCGACGTACATGCCAATCCCGCCATCCATGCGCGAGAACGTGTGGGTCAAACCAACATCAGGAAAGTAACCGATGGCTGTCTCGGGCATCGCAAAGAGGGTGCGTTCCGTAGCGATCCGGATCGGGCCATGCACAGTCATCCCAACACCGCCGCCCATAATGATACCATCCCACAAACCCAAATATGTCTTGGGATGACCCAGCTCTGTCGAATGCTCGCGCATCGTGTGCACACGGTAGTTCTGTACGATCTCGCGCTCGAAGAACCTCGAGCTGTGCATGCGTTTATGAAAGTCGCTATTATCCGCGGCCTTGACGATCGACATAACATCACCGCCTGCACACATAGAGCGTGCTAACCCGCGGAACAGGACAGTTGCGGCATTGGGAGACGGCTCAATTTCATTAAACGCATGGTCGATCAAAGAAATCATGTGGTGATCCAGCGCGTTCAGAGCTCGTTCGCGATTCAGTTGCACTATACGCATAGTTCCCTCGCTCCTGAGTTGGACGGGCGAGTCGATTTCTTGCAGGTGATGGCTTTCTGCACCTGGGTGGATCGGAGTTGACGATCTATGCCGCGTTGATAAATGCTTCTGCTTCTGCTGCTGCTCCGGCGTCGGCGGCGGCGATTTTGGTGATGATGACAGATGACGGGCCATGAGTGCTACGCGCGCCGATGCGCGAGTGGACGAGTTGCTGCCTAGGAGAACCGCGCTTGGGAAACGTGTTGGACGCCACATGAAACTGCTTCACACACAATCGCACCTACACGTTCTATTGACGTCGTGGCCCAAGCGATCGGTCGAAGGAGAGTGCGTTTTCGTGTGCAGCCGTGTGCAAAATCCTGGGGGATGTGGGCGTGTGCAGCCATTGGATGATGCTCGGCCGAGGAGTGTGGAGAGACATGTGGCTCAGGGAAGAAAGGGGCTCGGACACGCCAAATCTTTGAGCGGCGCTGGAAGGGCCTGGCGTGGATTTGTGTCACATTTGGGTCGGTCTGGAAAGATCATCTAGCAGCCGCTGACTTGGCACGTGCATTCCTCAACGCAGGCCCTCGTAGCAGCAAACCGCCTCACTATTCCGCTCTAGCCTACTCATTGCATTTATCGGTTCATACCCAACATGTTCACGTCCGTCAAAGGCCCTGCTCCTGCGCCGTCATCGTTCCCTGGCGCAGAGCATCTGCGTATCGGCATCGTGCATGCACGCTGGAACAAGGAGGTGGTTGACGAACTTGTCAAAGGCACACTGGAGTCGTTGAAGAAGGCCGGCGCTGACATTGAGCGCGTGCTCATCCAGTCAGTTCCTGGAAGCTGGGAACTGCCGGTGGCTACGCAGCATATGATCAAGCGGCACAGGCTTGATGCCATCATTTCCATCGGCTGCGTAATCAAGGGTTCGACCATGCACTTTGAGTACATTTGCGATAATTGTCTAAAGGGGCTCATGCGTGTGAGTCTCGACGAACAAGTGCCTGTGATTTTAGGCGTTCTGACCGCTCTGAATGAAGACCAAGCTCTCGAGCGCGCTGGCATCGGTCGAACAAAGCCTGGTCATAACCACGGCCTTGAATGGGGCTCTGCCGCTGTGGAAATGGCACTCATGGCGCGCAAGGATCCAGCTCTCTCCCACAGCTGAGGGTTTTTTTTTTTATTATTATTTTTTGCTTTCCATCTACGTTCGTGTGTATGCTCGTGCGCTCCTACATATAGCACTTTGTCCCGTCCCCACACTGTCCATACACTACTGCGGAGAAAGTAGGTTTTTGATGTTGTTCAACATTTGGATATCGCGTTGCACATTGCTGGGGGCCTCGCGTTGTCGCTTCTGCATGCGCTGGCGTTTTGTGCCTTGCCGGGGCATCTGCGCTGACCGACCATGGCGAGCGAGTGAACCGAAAAGTGAGCCTGCCTCCGGGCTCGATGCGCCACGAAGCGAACCGCCCAAGGACGAGGGCACTGCGTCTGGATCGTCAATCCAGCGTGGCGAGCCCGGCGTGGGTGGTGCTTCATACACACTCCCATGCTCGCCAGGCCGACGAAGTGCCATGACTTGCGTGCGAACGGCGCCAAGCATCGGGTCACTGTCGGTGCGCGGTGGTGCACGGCGCGCATTAGCGACAGTCGGTGCCATATCAATCCAAGCATGCAGGACACGGAAGTACGACTCACCACGCTTCGGCCTCGTGCGTGTATAATCGATAGGGTCTAGGCCATGTCGGTGCTGTAATGGCAAGTGGCCTACATGCCCGCCAACTGCCACGGCCAACGCAGCGTCGGAACCCATGAAGAAACGGTTCCGTCGAGAATCTTCAACGCGATGCATCGCGCGTCCATGCACAGGCTCATTGAGCACAAACGAGTACACACTGTCTGGCTGCGAGTACTGCAATCCACGCAACGGATGTGCAGCCTTGGCGTGCGCAGGCGACATGATGGTGCTGCTGTTGGGTGCATCATAACGATCGCGCGCACTCTGCTTCAGGTAGTCAGCCGCACTCTGCGGCGCATGTGGGAGTCGCGCCTCCGTCCACATGTCGACGTCGACACCATTCTTTGGCGGCTGCGCGGCCTCGTCCCACTCAGCCTGTGTAACTGATCGCTGGGCAGCAGCCTGCGCAAGCTGGTCCATTTGTGAGGCGATGGCTGCCTCATTGCGCTGCTGCTTCAGAGCAGCGCGGAATTTGGTCCGCTGACGTCGTAGATTTTGGAGGAAGCGCTGGAATGTACGCTCGTCCATGGCATGATAGTTCGGCAGCACGTCGCCGGTGTCGGCAAATCGCTCGTGATGTGTGCCCCAGACGACGTTGGATGGAAGTGACTTGGTATCTGACATCGTCGCCGGGTCGTATGCAATGCGTGGATGTGGTCCCAAGGACGTGTTCACGTCGTCGTCGCCCATCACGCTCACACCAAGCACGTCACGCCATGGCTTGTCCGAGAGCCGCGCTCCTGCTTCGTGCCAGCGCTTACGGAACAGCGGCTCACGCTCCGACTCATTCCAGTCAGTCATCCCATGTTTATTATCAATATCGTGGATCGTCAGATACCGCAATGCACCCGCGTAGGGCATCGGCGCTGGCGCATCTGCCATGGCCTGCCATGACGACGGCAATGGTCGCTTTCCACCCCAGTCGCCACGCACGGAATGTGCCAGGGGCGTGTGGTACACTTGCTGGATCGCTGGATCGAATGTACTAACGCGCGTACGCTGCAGAATGCGCGATAGCACGTTGCTGGCCATGCGTGGGTGAATGATCCTCCAGACAGGTGTCGGACGCAACGACTTGTTTCGTTTGTCGCTTACGAATAAACGCCGCCTCGTTTCAAGTCCAACGCAGCCCAGCCTTTGCTTGCCCTGGTGCACGGAGTTTGGGTCGCTTCGGCTTCTGCCGCTTTGCACATTCAGCCTGCAGCGGCTTTGTGTGCCTCACAGCCCTGGAACCTGTTCGGCCGAGATATCACATGATATTCACGCCGCACGCTGGGCATGCGTCTCTTCAAAGTGTCGTGGAGCTGACGCCGTCTTTTGTTTTTCTTCGTCCGTCATGCTGGCGGTCTTCGGGCCGTGAACTGCGTCGCTGGATTGTGCGTTGTGGGCCTGGCATGGCGGGCAGACCAATGTATGGGCTGTAAAACCATCGTCAGGAGGGCGCGCCATGCAGCAGCTGCCCCATGATCCGAGGATGACCTAGTGTCCATACAGGCATGCGCGAGCTTCTCGCGTATAGATAGGTAAGTTAGCAGTACAAAAAGACATGTACAAACGAAGGAATGTTGGGCCGTGGACGTGCGTGCAGAACCATGGAGGATGAAAGATGCTGGTTCGCGAATCTTGCGGCTACATGGATCGCACGAGCGGGGGAAAGACCGGCGTATAAGGCGCTCGGGACTTGCGCGGTGCACATGAAAGCGAACAACAAGTAAAAGGCGCGTCGGACATTAGGGTATGCAGTCTGGTGTATCCGGGAAACAGGTTACATTGCACACACTTCTCATACATGTCTCACACTCGCGGACTTTCCTTACGCCCTCGTACAAGCATGCTAATAGTCATCGACAGGACAGTTCTACGAACCATACATAGATAAATAGATAGACAGACAGATCCAAGGGGCATCGTGGTGATGCTGGTAATGATATTGATCATGATAACGGTGACGACAACGTAGCACGGCGCTTCAAGCGTGCACACAATTTAAGCCAAATTGCGCAGACCTGTGGCGAAGCGACCGACTTCGCTGATCCCACTCACCTTGCACAGAGTGCCGCGGAATTCAGGCAGGTACTTGGCTCCTGTCAACGGGTCGAGCACTGCATTGGCACCGCCAGCGGGAATCAGTGTATGGCTGCCAGCACATACGACATAGTCCGTCTCATGCACTGAATACGAAGGCACAGGCACAACATCACGTGGCTGCCGATCAGACAGCGATACGATTTGTTGCGCTACTTGCACCACTTTCGCCGGTGGTTGTAGCTCAATCAGCCGCCGAGCAAAATGGCCGGCCATCGCTAGATTGCCTACACGACGCGCCTCCATCATAGCAATGCGCAATGCAAGCATCTGGTGCTGCGGCTGCATTTGCACATGCGTAAACAAAGCGGCCAACTCAAGGATCCGTGCGACCTGGTCCGGCTCACTGGTTGCGAGCGCACCTCGTTCCAGCTCGATCGAAATGCCAATGAGATACTCGCGACACTCGCCCATCAGCTCCGAAATCCGTTGTGCTTCCGTGTCGTCGACCGCCGGCGTCAGCACGAGCATGTGTAGGAGTGAGCGGAATTCGTGCTCTGCATCCTGCAGCTTGTTGGCGCTCACAGCACGATACGCCGACGCAAGTGTGTGTGACTCCAAGTAGGCTAGACGCAATGGACTTGCCGGCAGGACCTTGCCAAGGTCTCCTTCACTCGCTTCGTTGTTCCGCCGCATGTGTACGACGAGTGGCGGCATACCTGGCGCTCCCGGCACAACCGCACGTGCCGCGACGAACGCACGCCACAGCCAAGGCACGAGCGGCTCATATGCCACAATGCCTGCTTGACGCTGCAGTAGCTGCAAAGCGGTATCGAAGGCGCCGGCGGCGGCAAGGTCGGCAGCAACCGGCGAATTTCGCAGCCAGTGCTCGTCCTCAGCGCTGCCTGGGGCCAGGCCTTCGAGCGATGCCACGTCGGCCAGGGGCGCAATCTGTTGTCCGAGCTCTTCTTCAGCTGGCGCCACAACACCCTCATCCAGGTCCCACGCTTCTTCTGCCGCATTCATGTCGATCGGTGGAGCACCCATAGCGCCAGAGCGGTCGCCGTATTCATCGTCGATGTCATCGCCTTCCTCTGCAAAGGCATCGCCTTCCAGCCACGAGTCAATGTCGTGCGTCGGCGCATTGACCGCATTGTCTTCAAAAATGACACCGCCATCTGTGCCAGCGAGCAACTCTTTGTCGAAGTAGTTCTCCTTTGGCTCCGCTAGCGGCCAGTCTTGTTGACTCGTCGCAAACCGGACAGGTGGCAGACCAGCCGCGGTGGGTGCACACTCACCCAGCGCAGCATGCGCCTCCTCGGCTTCAATGCCTGCTTCCTGAGCAATTTCAGCGGCCCAAGCGTCATCGCCCGCACGCTGTGCCGTCAAGTATGCGAGTACGCCCATGCCAGCGCCTTGCAGCACGCGGGCCTGGGTTGTCGCATCGTTGTTCAGCACGGCATTGTGGTACAGACTCTGAACATTACCACGGCGTTCCGCAATATTCGTCATTTTCCCCAGCTTGTCAGCGTTGCCTGTAATCAGGTACAGGAACGAAAGCTGGTCAAAGTCCTTGGTCTTTTGGTACGCGCGTTCAACAATGTGGTGAGCGCCGAGACGCAGTGCAGCCTGTCCGAGTCGCGACCAGATCTCTGGCACATTAATGGCCTCGGCCGTCTCGAGAGCGACATCGAGGTTCCCACATTCGACGGCAAGATCAAAGCGCGTTGTCTTGTCCTGTACAAAGTGCAGTGCAATTTCCGGGAAGCCCTTTTTCTGCAGATACGCAATGATAGACTGACCCACAAGGCGGGACGTGCGGATGATGCTAAGCACCTCATCATAGCGACCCTGCAAGAGGGCGAGCTTGAACTTGTACTCGGTAGGATCAATAGCCACCGTCCGCGGGCATGCCTGACGATCCAGGCTGTACACGGTCGAACCCTTCACACGCGTCAAGTAAAGTGGTTGCTCCAGTGTTTTTATGATGCCGACATCGCCTTGTGGCAAAGCATACTTTATATGGTTCAACGTGCTATACAGCAACACGCCATTCGTGTCCCAGGCAGCGCTCTTGATCCGGATCGTCTCGTGAATCAAATGTGACTTGGCAAAATTCTTGTCCGTCAGGGTAATCGTATGCTTCGACAGCAACGCCACATGCGAGCCATCGGGGCTCCATACGGCGTACTTGACAGCAGGACTAGCTATCTCGCCAGTCACATTCTGCTGCTGTGTATCGAACAACAAGACATTTGTCGGCGTGCTCAACAGGAGATGCGACGGGCCACCGTAGAAGATCTCATTTGTCGGCTGCGGCAGGGCGAGTGTCTTGACGTTCTGATTCAACAGGTCACGAATCTCGACTTTCTGCTGGCTCTTTTGCAGCACGGCCAGTCGGTTTCGTGCGATGAAGAGTGCTGTCGAGCCCTGCCCACGTTTGCCGACCGACCCACTTTCTGACAGCTCTGTGGGCGGTGTGTGTGGCAGCGGCGCAATGTCGTACACACCCACATCGCCGTTCAGCGACGTGACAATGACGGATCGCTCAGCAGGATTGAAGCTCAGCGAGCGCGGCTGAACATACTGGTTGCCCAAGCGCCGAATGCTCAAAAGAGCTTGGTCTTTGCCTGTGTTGTAGTCGAGCAGGCGCACCTGCTTGTTACGCACATAGTACAGCGACTGGTTGTGCAGCGCGAATGGCGGACGCTCGCGCTCCAGCTTAAACACAATCAACCCGCTGTCGTGCCCAGCGGCAAACAAATTGAGGTGCGAGTGGGCTGTAAGCACCCAGAAGCGATCGTGCTCACGCCGAAATGTCTGCACAGCTGTCCGCTTGCCCATGTCCCACACACGAATGGTCTTGTCCTCCGAGACGGAGAGGATCAACTCTGCATGTGGATGGAAGAGGGCTGCCGACACATTGTTGTAATGGCCGCGGCAAGTGTCAACTTCCCACGCCTTCGTGTCGGACATGCGCCAGAGCTTAATTTGACGATCGTCACTCGCCGAGACAATGAGCGGCAGAGCGGGATGAAAGGCTGCCCAGTTCACTCCACGATCGTGTCCCTCAAGTACATACTTGACAACCACATCCATGTTAGCAAACAGATCCATCTGCGCGCTACTAGCCCGAATCATCTGCTCTTCGAGGCCCATGGGTTGCGCAGTCGTTGATTTTTGCTTCAACGTTGTGAAGTCCCACACTCGCACAGTCTGGTCCATGGAGGCAGACACAATAAGGTCTTCATACGGATGGAACTGTGCGCACATGACATAATGGTTGTGTCCTGTTAGCACGGCAATGCAAGTGCGACTTTGCCAGTTCCAAATTCGGATCGTTTGGTCATCAGAAGCACTGATGATCCACGGGTGCTCGTGATGGAAAAAGACCGATCGCACATAGTCCAGATGTCCCTGCGTACACATAAATAAACCGTGTTAGCCGCGCGGCGATAGACCCTTGCCCGCTCGTACGTACATGCAAAGTAAACAGGACCTTGCCAGTCTTATGGTTCCACACCTTGACCTTGTAGTCGTCACCACCACTCACAAGGAGCGGCTGCGTGGGATGGAAAGAAACTCCACGAACAGGCCCCTCATGGTCCTCGAGGCGCTCATAGATCGTACCGGTTTGATAGTTCCACAGCTGGATCGAGCCATTGTGCAGTGACGCAGCAAGGAGCGGGAGCTTTTGGTGAAAAGCAATGCCTTTCACTCGATTTGACTTTGATTCAAACTGGAGAGTCAGCATGCAAGGATTGTCTTTTTTGTACGCACCTTCGTGAGCATCTGCATCTTCGCAGACAACTCGGCGCCGGATCCCGTCGAAGAGCGCGGCCCTTGCGCTGTAACCACGTACGTCGTCCCACGTCGTCGTTCGGACAGATGGCGCCCGTCACGGCTGCGCTGGCCGTAGGCATCACGTGTGATTAGTCATCTCGCGTCAAGTCAAGTTCAGGCTCCTGACACACCTTGTGAAGCACGGCGTCCACAACACGCTTTTGTTGGCTCGTGTGTGCGAGTGCGCGTACAAGTGCGTCAGGTCGTTATTGTAGCGCACCCCCTTTATGAGCGTAGGAGCAAGCGGTCTGGAGTAAAAGATATCTCCTTCCGCGTTACCACGCTGCGCTTATCAGAATTGACGCGATTCGCTAGATTTACGCAGCGTGTATAACAAAGTGCAAAGCCGTGTTTCCACGAGACCATGCCTGTTTCGTTGACAGACAATCATGATGAATCTGTTCATCTACTCGACATGTCTTCCCTCTTGCAAGCACAGTTTCACCATGAATTTTTCGCCGAGAATACACGTCAAGCACAATCACATGGGCATACAACGAAACTGGTCTCTCTCCTCATTGTCGCTGTGTTTCGACACATCCTATGGACAAAAGCACAGATTCCACAGCCGACACCATTACTGGAGCGTCTTCTAGCATTACATATCGGCGACACTTCGCACGTGCAAATATCGTATGACACAGCCTTGCGCGACATGCCTGTACAACGTCCTCGGCGCCGCCGACTACCTGCACCTATTCAACGTGCTGAGCACGTCCTACAGACATGTACGAGGTTGGAGGCACAACTTTATGTGCTGCTCACCGCTCTTGCCTCTACCACGCACAGCACATTTGACATTGCTATTGTCACTGGACAGTCGCTTCAATTTCCTCAACATGTGGTCCTCCTGCAATGCAAAAACATGCTCTCAGACTCTCACGATGCCGAAAATGCATTACAACCTCATGATTCTTTCGAGTGCACGAGTCGTCGGCGCAAAGTTAGTGCTCTCATGGAGCGCAAATTTGTACGGTTCTGCATGGATGAGTCTCTGTGCCCTGTTGAGACGCAGGCACGCTTGTCACGCACAAGGCTTCTCATCCTCGCGCCTGCGAATTTGCGTGTGCATGGATGGCATCCACGTCCACACTGGCGTCCGCCCCAAGCTGACTGTCATCCTGGCGTTACATCGTCGGCATCGGCATCAATGCCCGCGTCTCTGCCAAGGGCAACGTTAGCCTCTGATGCTGCCGGTTCATCACCCTCAACGCTCTTGCCGTCCTCAGATACAATACCAAGACGCGTTTCTCACATGAGCTCGGCGGCGCATGAACTTCTGATGCGACGTGCAATTTCTAAGCCCTCGTCCACCGTATCGTCCTTGCGGCGCACGCGCCAAGACGTGCGTCCTGTGCGAATATGCATGGACGGCGGACTTCCGCCCGGGGATCGTGGGTCGCCAACGCAGGTCACGTGGTTCGAGTCTGATGCGGCTGTGACAGGTTTCCACGACGCGTCCTGATCTGTCGTGTGATTGGCTACACAAGAGTTGGTATTTACAACGCCACGTACCCTTTGGGCACGTTGTGCTTTTCGTGCGGCTTTGTTGAGCTAGCGCAGTAAACCGAACACACTTATCACCACGTCCTAGTGTCGTGTTGAGGCGGCTCGTTCTCCATTGTCGACGTGCAGATACTCGAAGAGGAGCGTGAAGCAGGAACCCAACGTTCCTACACATTGCGCGCTCGTTATTACTACGTGACATCTGCTTCTTTGTCGGTTGACTCGACGCAAGGATGTTGCAGCATAGCGTGTGGTTATTTTTGCCACTGTTTGTTATGACCAAAGTTTTTGCATTGCCATCTGCGATGGATACGAGTCTTAATGGTACATGGACTAGTGGAAATGGTGACGTGGTCACCGGTCAGGACTTTTACAATCTCGTTAATAAAACATTCAATGTACCAAAAACGACCGGGATTTCGTACAGCTTCCTATCTACAAATGAAACGTCTGGGTTCTGGGAGCAGGCTTTGTATCAATATTCCCGGAATGATGGCCCAGACTGCTATACCCTCCAGCTCGTTTGGCAACATGGAAACTACACGATTCACCCTAACAACTCCATTACACTCGATCCGTTCAAAGCTGATGGATTGCAGCAATTTACCAATACATGTAACCATGATAAAGATCGGGTTGAATACTATGCGCAACAGGAATTTATGCAAGGTTTCGATATCACGACATACAAGCACCTTCTCGCAGACGACGCACAATGGTCCTACAAACTCCAACTGTACAACTACGATGGTTCACTTAAGACACCCATGTATCTAGCGTACCGTCCGGCTCTCATGTTTCCACCCTCACCCTTGCATATGACTATGATCGGATTCAATGATGAATGAAAATCCTTCTTTCCCTTACCCACCCTCTCCTTCCATGTCTCGTAGTAATGTATGTGTTCGTATAGATATTTATTTTTTCGAGGACTTTTAGAATATACCCCATTCACCCACACTCTTTTATTTCTAATCAAAGCCTCTTGTTGGTCTGCTCGCCTTGCTACTCAATCATTGGTGTTGAGGGGGCACGTAGCGAGTCCTGGTCCGGATGCTACAAAATCCGTCCGTAGGGATTGCTCGCCGATTGTTATGGCTATTATTATTACTGCTGCTGTCATGCCTTGCAGGAGCTGCTGCGCCGAATGAGTCTTTTCACGAGTCACTATCTTTGCGGCCTCTCATCGGTGGCCGTGTACATGCTGCATTTTCTTTTAAGCTCAAGAGCGACGACGTATCGTCGATTCATCACTTTCATATACTTCCACGCGCTCTGTTGCAACCAGTAGCATCGCTAGGTGTGGACGAACTACGTCTTTCGCTCAACAAAGGTCGATGGGTGTATGAAGATTGGGGCTCGCCTATGCCGGGCACAGGCGGGGACGATGCAGTTGCCAGTGGCGCAGAAATCTGGGCTCTCATGTCCAATGTGACTGATATGTGGCCGCGCTGGCGCGTTCTTACTTCTGCGTTGGCCAGTGTTTCGTGTGCGTCGTTGGATGGTATCGATGATACCACAACAATTGTGCCGAAGCATTCGTACTTTGACACTCAGGCGACTATGTTGCATGCTTACCTACCATCAGAGAGTATGTGCACAGAAAACATGACGCCTCTACTAAAGCTGCTTCCGTGCAAGGGTGGTGCAGGGCTTGCCAGCTTGATCAAGCCTCACGCGATACTGAGTGCGGAGTTTCATGGCGTCTCGCTGCATGTGCGTCGCACCCGAGACCGTGCATGGGATGTATCTGTTCGCTTTCAGGCAGTGATGCGGCCTGCATTGCTGGGTGATACGCGTTGGACACTTGACAAGCTATTCAGGGCACACCTTGAGACTACATGCCCAGTGGCTAGGTCCAGCGAGATTCACGTCCAGAGTGAATCAGTACCTGAACCGCCAGTGGGGGCAGCTGGCTCCATGAAGAGTCTTAGCGAGTCTCACAGTGGTAGAAGCTCGTCTAGTAACGATGATTTTGATACCACCTATGGTGCCGACAATGTGGACGACGGCTTCAGCGACCTCGGCGAGGAAGATGATGACGACGAAGTAGTCAAGCCTTTGGTTTACACGGTGCCGATGCATACGTATATGTACGATGCGCGCTCGCTTGATGCGTATGGAGGAGTTCTGAACATCTCGTTCCTATCGAAGGCCTCAAGTCCTTTGGTTCGTCCGCCGCCCCTTCGCGCGTCTCGGCAGCTGTTGGGCTACGGACAAGAGCGGAATTCCGTGCGTCTCACGCTACGGAATGACTTGACAACAGAGACCGTGCATATGTTGTACTACGAGCATATACCTTGGACTGTGCTTCCCTTGTTGCACACGTTGCGAGCAGATGTCGAAGTGGATGAATATGATGATGCGGATGGGACGGTGCGGTTCACTGATGATGTGAGTCGGCCGTTTGTTGTGAATGCAACGTACAAGCCATCGAAAGTACGTAAGACGATGGGGTCTCTTGAGCTTGTGCTGCGTGTACCTTCTTCCAGCACACTCACGGTATCGTACGTGCTGCGGAAACACATGCTACATTACGATGAACACATTCCTGATCCACATCGCGGAATGGATTTGCCGCCTGCGCTGTTTATGCCGCTCGGTGCTCGCGGTCGTGCGTGGTCTGAGACACACAAGCACTGGCCGGTGTCCTACGTGCAGGCGCCGCGTCTGTACTCGACGCCAGGCTTGCTGGATATGATCTTGCCAGACTTTTCCATGCCATACAATGTAATTCTTTTCTACTCTACATTTGCTGCAATGTTTTTCGGAACGGTGCTAAATCAAATGCTCAGAAGGTACAGAGATGTGTATCGCTTGAAATAACCTACCTTACTACCCAACATACCAATAGAATGGTGAGAACGTGCTTTCCTTTCTCGTCCCAACCATAGGGCCAATATATGACATTCCCAAAAGCTGATCATGTTTCATACGACTCAGTGAAAACATTCGCGTGCCCAGAGACATCGCCACTCCACGCTTTGCGCAGTTCCAAATGCTCCGACACAGCCGTGCGCAATAGAGCCATCAAGCCTGCAGGACCACATCCTGCAGCAATTGTACGGCCCTCGGCTGAGCGCATCTCTTCGCCGACAATATCAGAGAGTCTGGGATAGCCTGCACGGGTGAGTTCAGACAGGACTGCGAAGTCCTGAAGCTCGAAGGGATCGATATTCATGTACTTGTCCTTCGTATGAACAGACAGGTCAATGGGCGGTGGTGACTTGACGTCTTGTCCCATGGGCATGAGTGAGTACGACTCGATGCCTTCTTCGTCATCGACCTTGGACACCGACGCAATAGACGAGGTACCTGCATCACCACCAACATCCATAGCGAAAGTGACTGATGGCGAGCTTCTTGATGGTACATCCACCTGCTTATTCTGCAAGTGCGCCCTCTCACGCATAATGCGCAGCTCCTCATCTGCCTGTCGGTTGACATGTTGCACTGTCAAAGGCATGGGACGAATGGACCACACGGCGTCGTTTCGCTCAGTCGACCGCCTTGTACGCGTGCGTGCGCGGAGCAGCTGGCCTTGCCGACGAATCTGCTCATTCATCGACAGCTCCTGTGCGTTCAGTGGCTGGTCTTCATCTTCCTCGAACTGTGTCAGGTCGGCAGCTTGAAGCCCCATGTCATGCAGGGCCTGCTCTGGCCTTTCCTGCTGTGTAACGTCCATGTCTGATTCGTCCTCGGGAATAGACATCTGTGGCGCTAGCGCATCGTGCGACGGTGTCTGTTTCGTTATGGCTGATGGCGGGTGCACACGCGTCGCATACATCTCAATTGTGAGGTTCTCGGGCGGAAGCATTTCAAGACAGAGTCGAAGGGCACTAGCGGCCCACTGCAGGTGTGCATAGTCGCGCATAATCCACACAAAGCGGATGCGTCGCGTATGAAAGGGCCGGCCCCACATGCTGGTGACTTTGTGACCCTGACGGATGAGCGCAATCTTTCCACATAGGTCCTCGAGAATCGACAGACCAAACGTGACGCCAGAGCCACCACACACAATCACACACGTAGCGTACGCACCCCAGTCGATGCGGGACGTACCACCAAAAGGCCCATCAACCAGTGTTCGCATATACACACCTTGGACATGGGTCTTGACAGCCGCACCATATACGTTCGGGAACACGGAATGGGCCGAGGAGCCAGCCTCGTTCGCGAGAGCAAACTGACCGCGGCATCGCGCTTCGACATGATTCCATATGCGGCGTGTAAGGCCATTCCGCACGCGAATCAAGAGGACAATCAATGGGTCTGCTGAGCGTGTTCCACGAAATGATGTGCCGTCCAGCGTGTCTCGCATGCGCTCCCATTCATGACTCGATGAACATGCAATGGTAAAGGGGTGTGTCTGGATCCAGCTCATCTGCGGAAAGTTCACATACAACCACTGCCCAGGTTTCCACGACATCGGCTTGGCTGTACGAAGCACGACACGCATCATGTGACCAGCAAGGGGCTGAACGAAAGCGAATCCCGGGTACAGCTGCTCTTGAAGGTCTGGCGCGACGGCTTCGCGAAATGGCTCGCGCGGTGTCGTTGGGGGGAGTGACGTCGATGAGCCTATGTTGAGCGAGAAATACGAGTCCGGCTCCTCGCCGAGGTTGCCTTCTGACTTGGGTGTCGGGGTGATGAGATTGACAGTCGAGCGTGAAGCCGATGCCTTTTCGTACGACTGCATGCTGCGTTTCAGCTCCTTGGGCCGTTCACTGTAGTTGAAGTACAGCACGCGCACTAGACGCCAAGCGCGCTCAAGACCCCAGACTAGAAAGCCTGCGAGCATCCAGCCACCCAGTTGCGGATGATGTGCCCACGTGGCAACCATGAAACCTATTACACAAACAAGGTGCGTGATGTAAAAGCATTCGTAATGGTAACGGCGGATAGGTGGGATTGACAGAACGATCAAAAGAGTGAGAAAGATGAAGGCGCATATAGCCCAGCGAAACCGTGGCACATTCAGCACGAGCGTCCACATATCCGGCTGGACACGCGCGTCGCGTGCGACTTGCACGATCCACAGCAGCGTGTGTAAGAGTGCATAAATCCAGAGCAAGTAACCACCCCATTTGTGCAGAAATTGAAGCGTATTGGAAGCAAAGTGGCCGAAGACCGGCAAGTATAAAAGGGCGAAGGGTGCCTGTTTGAGTGCAAAAAGAATAACAAGGGGCGTGAGAGCATTGCAAAAGTCGCCAAAGCGGCTACCGACCGTCCAGAATGTATGATAGGGAAGTGTCGTGGTTGGTTTCGAGGTCATAACACGTTCGTGTGTCCCAAGTCCCCACTGTACATCCACGTGTTTGTATGAGCCAAAGACTGAGACGGAGGGGTCAATGTAATCAGGACCAACGAATGTCAGGAGCAGAACCGGCAGAAAAAGAAGTATGGCAAAAAGCACATGTCTAATCTGCAGCGCGAAAAAAGCCACACGATGGACTGGACGCGGGATGTACTGCATCGTCGCCCATTTCGACCACACAGCACCAAGGAACGTTCGTTGCGTAAGACTCAACATATACTCGAAGCCTAACATCACCACGATCCCAGCGATGAGAATCCATAGTATGTAAACATAGCGTTCAGACGATGGTGGGAGTTCATGTGCATCCAGGTACGACATGGCTAGCTTGAGCTGCTCACTCGATCGCTTGTCATATTGATGGACATGCTCAATGCCAGGAACGGCAGCAGCAGTCTCATATGTGCGCATAGTTCATTTAAGTACAATGAACTCGGAGGTTCACAGGAATGCTACACCTTGTCCAAAACTGAGAGTGTGTGTGGGGAAGGGGGGAAGGTGTTCGGTGATGAGAACCTGATCAACCAAAACAAAACGCTCGCCAAGCCTCGAATGCTTGAAAATTACGCGCGTCTGCGACGCATCTACAAACAACGTACTGGAATGTGCCTCGACCTCTATCAGGCCATTTGGGGTGCAAAATCGGGCGGCCATGGGCTGGCTGTGAAGTGGAGAACCACCGATCCGCAGAATGGTTTACTCTCACAGGCTCGTGCCTTATTTTCCCCTTGCTTTCTTCGCTTTGTAATGAGCGTGCATTTACCCTCCACCTCCACTCTTTCGACCCCACCGACTATTCGAAAAATAGCCCCGACCAATACCTGTGTGGAGAGTGTATGCAATTTTTTTTTTAAGAGAACATTGCTGGGGACGTTTTTTTTTCTACTGTTAATCGGCACTGCAGGTTGCGACCGCTGAGACGCCATCGACGTCATGAACACAGCGGACGTCGTGTCCGTGTCAAATGCACAGGAGCAAAGAGAAGCACTTATGAATGCACTTGAACGGATTCGTCATTTAAAAGATTCTAAACTTGAGAACCAACGAGCACCTGCACAACTTCTTGTCGCCATTGAAGCCACTCTTGCCGAAAGAGCCAATACACAGCCACAGGAACCACAGCAAGAGCGTCAAACAGAGCCTGCAGGGCCGACACAATACCTTCTGGCGCTTGAGAGCTTGTTGAGTGCTGAAAATACGAGTGCGGATGTCCATGCCTCATCCGTCTACTTGCTCTCAATTGTGCTTCCCCATGTCGCTCCCGGTGTTGTACGGGCGAAAAGCCATGCATTACTAGGTGCTGTAGCAGCGCCACTCGCTGATCCACACGGTGGTGCGGCCGAAAACATGAATGCACGCCTACGTGCTTCTTTAGGTGTCGTGGAATCACTCCTTCATATTGTTCCTGTGCGCGAGCGCAACATACTGGAGCGCGAGCGAACTTGGCTTGCTGTATGGGATCTAGTGCTAGGCCTATGTATTGATGCGCGGCCCAAAGTGCGGCGACGTGCGCACGAACTTGTCACACACATCCTTAGTGAACCTGCGTGGGAACACGCACACCCTTATGCAGACCGCACAATGATGTGGGCTGCTCGTCTCCTGCATGGTGTTGCAGCTGCACGCGGCGTTTCTCATTCAAAAGGGGGTCATCCGCATTTGCGAGCGCCTACGGTCGAGTACGATAAGCACCGTGGCAAGGCGAAGCATGCTATGAGTGCCGCAGCGGAGCGGCAAAAACAGGCGGTAGACGGTGCTGCGAGCACTGGTATCTGGATATGTGCGCTATTGCAGACGATTGTGCCTGCTGTTCCTGTTGCGAGTACGATGCCACTTGTGCATGAGCTCTTGGCATTGCCTGCCCTGCAAAATCCATTTTTAACCGTGGCAGTGTATGACGTATTTTCCGCTCTGTTCCGGACGCCGCGTGTGGAGCGGAGTTTGGATATGGCCGTTGCGCCAGTGGAGCGACACACGCGCGATGTGTCTCTACTTCGTCACACGCTCGATGAACTGTGCAAGACGACGAATGTGCCTGCGCATACCGATGTCCAGACCCTTCCCGCGTACCTAGGAGTGCTAGAAGCTTGTATGGTCGCATACTCCGCCGCGGATCTCGACTCGGCCTGGTCATTGGTCCCTACGCTGTGGCATAGCTCGATGACCCTGGCTTTATCGGCTCAGTCGGATGCATCTCGCGCGTCTTCCGATGTTCGCAGCGCGGGCCGAAGGTTCCTTCAGGCTCTCGCGCACTATTGTGTGCCGGACCATGCAGTTGCGGATGCACTAAAAGCACATAACGCTGACGAAGTGCCACTTTCACGAATGATTTCTTCCTTGCGTGAGGCGCTCGGTAAGCATGCTCTTCGGTACACACACACACGCAGTGATATTCTGCACATCCTTGCGAGTATGCTGAGTCGCTTACGGTATCCACTCGAAGTGGGTGGACCTCCACCAGCCGAACCGTTGCTCATGCAAGCGGTCGTGGATGTGGCGGCTCTGCGTGCGCATCGGCACTTTGATGCACGGCCAGATGCGGATGCTGTGCTGGGCTCGGCGATTTCGGCGTGTGGTCCACGTGTCTTTTTGTCGTACCTGCCGCTGGATTTGTTGGATGCCAAGACGGGGCGACCCAATACACAGGGTGGCGTCCGTGGACGTGCATGGCTGTTGCCCCTATTGCGTGAGCATATTTCGAATACAGAACTTGCTCACTTTGTCGAGGAGCTCGTACCACTAAGTGAAGCGCTCTTCGAAGTCCGCGTACAGGCTGAGCAGCCATCCGATGGGAGTGCACCGCGGCCTGTAGAAGCCAAGGTCATGGAGGCGCTTATTGAGCAGATTTGGGTGTGCTTCCCAGGCTACTGCGACCTTTGTCGCGATGTCGATACAAGTCTTACACCGCACGTTCTGGAACTGCTGATCAACGTGCTTCGAACGCAGACAAATTTGCGTCCTGCTGTGCTGAAAGGACTCGAACTGCTTGTCCAGCGGAATGAGTCCCTTATTTCGTCGCAAGTTGATGCTGCTCAGCTGCAGCGCCAGTTCGGCGTCGACCAGGCAGCTGGCCGGCGGTTCCTCGAGCACCTGCGTGCGATGTCTGGTGTACTCCTTGCGGCGCTCTTCCAATTGCTAACGGAGCTGCCATCACAGTCGCGTGGCTTCGTGATGGACTGCATCGCGACGTACCTGGCGATCCTCGACTCCCGCAGCGTCGCAGCTACGTTCGAAAAGGTCGCTGCGATGCTGAAGCAGTCACTTGCGACGTATGTGCCGAGTGCGCCTGCGCCAGGCATGCCAGAGGCGAACAGTCCGCGGTACGTGCCGCCTGTTCCTCATACAATGCTCGACCTGTTCATCGCGCTTGTGCCGTATGTCAAGCGCGAGAATGCAGCGGCGCTCTTTGATGCATGCATGCAGGTGCTCACAGTGGATGACAGCGGCTTGCAGAAGAAGGCGTACCGTGCGCTGTCGCGCTTACTGAGCACGTCCGAGGCGCCGGCTTTGCGTGCTCGCAAGGGATCACCAGCGGCTCTTGTGACGCAACTTCTCGAGCAGGACGTGCCGTTGGGTGCGGTGCGGGATCGACTTGCGCTCTTTCGTGCGCTTGTGCCATACATGCCCGACGCAGACTTGGGCTCCTTGGCGGCCCTTGTGCCTGAGGCCGTGCTGGGAACGAAGGAGGCGAACCAAGGCGCACGGAGAAGAAGCTTACTGCCTGCTCGTCGAGATCGGCCACCGCATGGCGCGTGGCGGCCGCATTGACCGCTCCCAGGCAGGTACAGACATGCAAGATACCGTCGCTGCAAGTGTGCCGGAGTATGTGATGATGGTGGCTGCTGGCTTGGCTGGTGCGAGTCCGCGAATGATGGGTGCGTCGATCACGGCTCTGGCGCGCCTACTGTACGAGTTCCACACTTCGTTGCCCACCGAGATGCTGTCGGAGCTCCTGGCCACCATGCTTGTGTACTTGGAGAGCACGAACCGCGAGATCGCCAAAGGCGCACTTGGGTTCTGCAAGGTTGCAGCCGTCGTTCTCCCCGCACAGCACTTGGAGCCGAGCTTGCCAGAGCTTGTGCCTGCGTTGCTGCATATGCGTACTGTGCACAAGAACCACTTTAAAACACAAGTGCGACACCTGATTGAGCGCTTGCTTCGCCGCTTCGGCTTTGATGCCATTCAAGCACACGTTGACATCGAGAATCAGCGTCTCATATCCAACATCCGTAAGCGCAAGGAACGTGCGAAGCGCCGGCGCTCGCAAACGTCGTCATCCAATCCAGAGGATGAAGAACTGGATGGAAATGTCGCGATGGCTTCTTTTGGCAGTCTCGGTGTACACGGACGCCCTGCGCGTGGACGCGGCACAGACGGCATGGATGCGTTTGAAGACGCGCTGTATGGCAGTGATTCTGACGACGACGATGACTCGGGCGATGACGACTCAGACTACGACGAGAAAGATCGACGTCGCCAGCCCCAAGCGCAAGGACGTGGCAATAATAAGAAGAAGCAGCCCACGGCCGAGACCGCATCACGACGCACGCGGCACCGGGAAGATGATGCATTCCTCTTGGAGGATGACGATGCACCGATGGATCTTCTCGATGAGGCCGCGGTTGGTGCCATTCGCACGAACGTGCGACAAAAGACTCGCCGGCAGCCAGGCCAAGAGGCCCGCACTTTCGAGACGGATGACGCTGGGCGTCTGCGCATTACTGATGAGGACGACGCAAGGATGGACGACGACGCCACCGCTGCCGCTGCCGCTGCTTCTGCAGAGGATGAAGCCGCGCGTAGGTACGAAGGCACTGCCTTTATGGAAAAGAGTATGGGGGTAGATGGCTTTACACATCGCGGGCGCGGTGGCGCTGTCAAGTTCAACAAGAACAACAAGCGGACCCGTGCAAACGAACGTATGGACGACGAGTTGGACGATGTCGATGCGAACAACGAGGCAAACCATGGACGAGCATCTGTGCCTCCTGCACGTCGAGGCAAGAAGCGCGGCAAGGAGGCAATCGGCTCCGAATTTAGGGCGAAGCGGGCACAAGGCGACGTGCAGAAAGGCGGCATGAGTCCGTACGCATATGTGCCACTGTCTTCTGTGTCCGGCAAGAAAGCGAAAGATGCATCGAAGCTCGCTATCACGGGCAAGCGACGCAAGATGTAAGTGTCATGGAGAACAGTCAGTATCTGGACACATGCACATATGTGAGTAGATTGTTAGTTGCCATGTACGATCACACACACGTGTATACATGTACCCAAATCCATTCTGAAAGACTCGCTGCATCGACACACACGGCTTGTCATGGGCGATCTAGGTATCACAGGATGCCAGCTCCTGTTGCATAATTCATTTCACCATGGGACCCATAATCTATCGTGGTCGTTATGTTATCTACTTGTTCTCGTCTACAATGTCTCTTTTTTGTGGTTCTTCGAGCGCAGCTTCTGGCTTTCCTTCTTGATGTCACCCACCTGGCCATCGTTTGCCAACGCACTGTCTTTCCCAGCGAGCTCGAGTACATCATTCAGCGGCACAAGGCCATCATGATCTACATCGAGCTTGTCGACAAGCTTGTGCATGACCTCCTCGTCAGGACGGTGCTTGATCAGGCGCAGTGCTTGCTCGAGATCATCTACACTGATCTTGCCAGTTGAACTCGCTTCGATCAGATGCATACGTCCGCCGACATCTTTGTCAAACTCCTCCAATTGCTGGTCGATGCGCTTGAGCATCGAGCGGATGCGGCGGTACAGGCTCTTGGCTTTTGGCGAAGACGACGTGCCGTCCGGTTCCGACACCTCGACTGTCTCGTCAGGCGGTAGATCCTTCATCAGCTCGGACAGTTCGCGGCGCTCCCGCAGAACAGACGACTTGGCACTGAGGATTGAAAGGGCTTCTCCCAGCTCGCACAGTTGTTCCTCCGTCATGCGTGCATCGTCGATGTTCTGCTTTGAAGATGCATTCGGGATGATTTTCGAAGCCTCGACCGTCTCTGCATCCTTGCGTGACTTCTCTGCGTTGCGCGCGGCTTGCACTTCCTCCTCCTGTTCAGCCTCGTCTTCAATCAACTCTTCCTGTTCCTGCAGCACATCCAGACGCTGCTTGTTTGTCGCTGCCTCTTTGCTGAAGTGGAGTTCGGCCTCATTGAGCAGTTTGTCGGGCAGTGAGCTCATCGTCAGTTCCAGGCCCTTGATCTGCATATCCTTGTACGTCGTGCTTGCATCCTCAGGCTCGCCAACGAAGTAGAAAGCACGGCTCAGGATCAGGAGCGTGCCACTGATTTTTTCGCGGATGTGCAAATTGATCCACACGTCCAGGCCTTCCTTCAGCTGCTCACGCGTGCGGTTGTGCGTCCATACGCCACGGCTCTGGCATGCAGAGAGCAGCTCCTGGTACGACATGGAGTCCGTGCCCTCGTCGCTGATGACGACGTCATCTTGCCTGATGCGTGTGAGCGCATGGCGCACCTGAAAACGAAGGTAGTTGTCGGTGCCAAAAGCGGTCATTTGCATGTAGCGGCAAATCGAGACGAGCTGCGGACGCGACAGGTTGTCGAGCGTGAGATCGTCGTCAAAAAGCTTCGCAACCTTGATGACATCTTCGGGCGTCGGATGCATGCCGATGCGCACTTTGTGGTAGAACTCCTTGAACACGTCCGAATCCATGACCGAGTCGCTCACTTGTAGACCACCTGCCTTGATTGACTCTTGCAGAAACTTGGCCATTTCAATACGCAGTTTCAGAAGACGCCGGCGTTTTTCCTCCATAGCAAACTTGCTCTCGAAAGTGCTAGGCAGCATATTCGGAAAGATCCGCAGCGCCACAGGAAGCAGCAGCTCGGCTGCAGGAATGAGAATAAACGGAATAAATGGGATAAGACGAAGCAAATCTCCCATGGTCCGTCGCAGCTGACGGTGTTCACGGCGCGTCAGTGTGTATCCCATGATCATGCGCCGCAAAAGGCGTGTTGAAATGGAAATCTCCTTGCCAAGCAGCTTCGTTCCGTGCCAATAGTGCAGCACTTCTTCCTTCACCTTGTTCCATGCACGCACAGGCATCGACTGCTTCGGATTGTCTGATGAGGATGACGTTGTTGCGGTAACATCCTTGTCCTTAGACGAGGAGTGGCGCACGGCAGACGTCGATACACCGCGAGACGCTGGCGTCGCCGGCATACCTCCTCCGCGCGGGATGCGATGAGCTGCAGAAGTCATGCGCTGTTGTGCGTAAATGGTCCACATCCCACCTATGCGCAGTGTCAGCGCACTCTGGCGCTCAGCGCGCGCTGCGACCAAGCGCACTAGTGGGGCAGACATGTCGTCCTGCGTTACGAACGAATCCAGGCAATGATCACGGATTGAACCGCGTGCGTGACGTAAGCCCTTGTCGTAATGAGCACTCACGTGCGCATGCACAGGCCGACGAATTGGGGAGCCCTTGAGCGGGGTAACGAGCGACACAACAGCACACCGCGGCCGAGTGCCAAACGAGCGCATGGGCCCAAGGGGCGTCAACTCATACGTGCAATTGCGCTTCCTCGATTGCAAGCCTCTGCGCGGGTTTCGAATCTTGGCTGAGAAAGGACAATTTCGTGCAAGTGCGTTTTCGTTATCGATCATACTCGCACGCTACCTTGCCGATCTCAGCACGTGGCATTTTCGACAAGAATGTCCACACATCCAATTTTTTTTTTCTCAATCGAGCGCGCCTGCCATATATCACCAATTTCCTTAAGCACACACGTTTATTGACTCCATGTCTGACAGGCCAGACAGGGTGCACGATCAGGCTGCCAGCAGTAGCCGAGACAGCATGACATCTACCCCATCGATATCATCTTCAAATGCACCTGCTACCGTACCCATTCGTTTGCGAACCTCTCTGCCTGGCTGTTCCATTCCTTATGTGCCGTACATGGTGCCTGTGACATGGCGTCGCAGTCAGCTGTCGACCCTCGTGAACAAGGTGCTTGCTACCGCGCAAGGAGCGGGACATGAAGAAGCATCATACAAGGCTGTACCCTTTGACTTTATTGTCGATGGCAGCTTGCTTCGTTGCTCTCTGGATGAGTACCTCGAACAGCGCGGCCAGAGTGCTGAGACGACGCTGGAGCTTGAGTATATTCGAAGTACACTGCCCCCTGCATTCAAGGATGCTGCGCGCCAAGATGATTGGGTCTCGTCAGTGGACGCGAGACATGCGCACCGTATACTAACGGCGTCATATGATGGCATTGTGCGCATCTTTGACAGCGAGTCGCTTGCGACTTCGCCACCCCAGTCGTACACGCCTGCATATGCCTCAAATGTCTCGCTTACGAGTGCAAAGTGGCTTCGGAATACAGCTGATGCCATTGTCACTGGCAGCATGTCTGGCACGGTAGCTGTGTGGCGTGTGCCTGGCACAGAGACGAAGAGTGTGCCAGTGCTTCAAGCAGCTGAGCTCGAGCATCACACGTCGCCAGTATCGTCTATCGACGTGGCTGTGGCCGCCACAAATGCATCTGCTGAGCGAGCGACAATCGTGAGTGCTGGATGGGATGGGTCCATTGCTTTGTGGGATGTGCCGGCCGACGCTCGCTTCGAAACACAGGAAGAGACAGGTGGAGCACCAGGTAAAAAGCGGCGGAAACAGCATGGGTCAGATGCACGGCCTATATCGTCTGCGATCATAACGCCACCGCCGCTCATGGTGCTGCACCACGTGACACCGTCGCTGGGCGCAACAGCGGCACGCGCACTAAACACGGCGCCCACGCCAGGGCCCAATGCACGAACCATTGCTGCGTTAGGTGATGGTGATCAGCGAATATGGAGTGCCGCTTGGGATGGCACCGTCAAATACTGGGATGTGGTTGCCGGTGGCGGACTTGCGGGGCGAAAGCAGACCGACAAAGTGCCTCTTTGTTTGGACCCGTTGCAGTCTTTGTCTTTATCGTCGTTCACGACGCCACAGCTTGTTTGCGGTCACATGGATCATTCACTGGCTCTGTACGACTTCCGCGATGCTGTGTCCAATGCGGCGCTAGCTATGTCAGGCGCCCATGCGGCACCAGTAAGTGCTGTGAAAGTTCACCCAGTATCGGCACATCTGTTTGCCTCGGGTGCGTACGACGGCCGGATCAAAGTGTGGGATGTGCGCTCGCCAAAGCAAGCACTTTTTGCTCTCTCGGAGCCCGTGAGTACTTCGTCGAAGTCGTCGCACATGGCTTCGTCCAAGCAACCACGCACAAAGGTGCTAGGCCTCGATTGGACTCCAGATGGCAACGCACTTGTATCAGGGGGTGAAGATTGTCGCGTCTGTCTATATCAGGGCCAAGCTATTGGCATCGAGCATGTGTAGTGTGTGTGTGTGTGTGCGTGTAAGAAAAGGATGGGATAGGGAAAGGACGTTAGCTTGCAACTACCAAATGTCACAGCGATTGCGCCCAGATCGTACCATAGGATGATGCCGCGGCTTGCACCCAAAAGCCTCGGCAAAAGAGGGCATGTTGCTCAATGCACCATTCACACGGAAACGGGCAGGCGAGTGTGGATCAGTGCGGATTCGACGCACTTGCTCTGCTGGACGCACAAGACTCGCCCAAAGGTGTGCAAACGCCACGAAAAACAATTGCTCTTGCGTGTAGTGGGCTAGACCAGGCAGAAGCTGGTTCTGCTCAAAGATCCGAATGCCGCCGTTATCGAGGATATGCTTCCATGCGCGGAAACTCTGAGCGATGCCAGCAGCGTCGGCTACGTCCTCGCCGACCGTGAACCGGCTGTCGACGTACTCACGGTGACCATGGCCATCGTCCACCCAGTACTCGGCATACTGCCGCTCGATGCACTTTTGCTGTTCGACGAAAGCATGTGCAGTGGCATTGGTCCACCAATCGCTCAGTAGGCCTTGGCTATTGTACAAGCGGCCATGTGGGTCAAACGCATGCGATAGCTCATGACCAGCAATCGAGCCAATCGCGCCGAACTTGAGGTACATTGGCCAGTTTGCGTCGAAGAATGGCGGCTGCAAGATGCCTGCAGCCAAGTCCATTTCGTTAAACGCAGGCACATACTCGGCCTTGACGTCTGTCGGCACCAAGTTGCCCAATGCGCCGCGATTCAGCTCGCCACCAACATACGAATAGGCTTTGTGGACCCGCCAAGCTTGTGCACGCCATTCATTGTCAAAGAGGGAGTGTGTCACGTTGAGATCTGAATACCATGCAGCAATGTCTGAAGCCTGCAAGAGGTCTGGCGTCTGGGGCTGCGCGATCCGGAAGGAAATCGCAGACGCTTTGGCGACGGCCGCTCGTTTTGTTTTGGCATCGAGCCATGGCAGATCAAAGAGCCGTCGAAGAAACGCAGACCGAATAGCTTCAGCAATGCGCGCCACCTGAGGCACACTCGGCGTCGGGAGCGCCTCTTGGACATAGTAGCGACCCACAAGATGGCCAAGCGATGCACTCGCACTGGCTGCACACAGAGGTTCGCGCTTTTCACGCACCTTCGATGCAACGCCATGCACCATGTGATACAGCCGCTCGGCTGGCTGACGGAGCGGGACGTGCGGACCAAGGGACAGGCCCATCGTGCGCACGAGTGTCCAAGCTGCATATGCGAGCCGCACATGCTCCGACGTCGAAGACAGGAGCGCATCAACAGCGCGCATGTACGAGGGACTCGCGAGGATGACTCGGCTTGGGTGCACGGGACTGAGGGTTGCCCAGTATGTAGGCCAGTCGATCGAAGGCACTTGCAGCGCAAGCTCTTCAGGCGCCATGGGATGGTACGTCGCAATGGGATCATTGCTCTCGGCAGCCGATGGTGCAGCGTTCGCGAGCGCTGTCTCGAGCTCGACGACGTGCGATGCTTGCACGCCACGCAACGACGAAATACCCGCATCAACAAGGCGCTGTAGACCTGCATCGACAAGCTCTGTATATTTCTTCGCTGTCTTGTTGTTCGCATAGTACGACTTGTCAGGTAAACCAAGTGAAGCAGATGCGAAGAACGGTGTGGCTGAGCGTGGAGCCGAGCCAGGATCGCCACTGATCGAGACCTGGAACCAGGTGTCAAGCGCATGTGCGTGCATCCAAGCAAGTTGTGATGTATGGGTTGGAAGGCGCATCAGTTCATGCACCACTGCCACAAGTGGTTGCTCCCCTTGTGTGTTCTGTGCATCAACATCCAAGCATGCCGTGTACCATGTGTGAAGCTTCGCGAGATTGTCCTGGTCACCGCTTGGCAGCTTCGGGTCGATGGGACGCGTGGCAAGGTCATGCACGACCCTCTCGACTTCCAGCGACACATCGTCAAATACGCTTACTTCGCTCTTGTTCGTCGGGATCGTGTGGGACTTTTGCCAGCCGCCTGTGGCAAACGCATAAAAGTCATCACATGGGTCCACAGACTCGTCGAGTGCACTCAACAGGCGCGAGGCCGTCTTGACGCAGTCGCGAGTAATACATATTTCTTGCAGGATCCGACGATCATCATACTTGATCAGTATGCACAGTCCCAAAATCACCAGGGCCAAGCAAGCAAGCATGAGGACAATGTCACGGATCGACAACGACGATGCATGCTCAATTTGCGAGAGTCTTGCACGCGCCCGCGATAGTGTACCTCTTTGTGTGTGTGATTCATCTACTTCGCCCAGCAAGGGGGTCCGATCCGACGAGTTCGGCGGCATGACCCAGGCTCAAGTGGGAGAGGGAGAGGAACGAGAATCAAATTAGGCGCGGGGTGAGGGGAAGAGCAGTTCGGCAGCAACGGTGGCGGGAGGTAGTCTAAGTAGACAAACTTGTGGAGAGACAAGTGCGCCAAGCACTCCACAATAGGGTCCATTTCTTCCACACTGGATTCATAAATACAACACTGAGTATGCACGTAAATTCTTACTGTCTGTATGCCATTGACACCTATGTGGGAAGGAAGCATGCTTGCCTTTACTGCAGGATCCTCAAACGCCATTTGATGTGCAAATAAAACAACATACACTGTCTCTCTGCGCCGATTCATTCTTGCTAAAGGAGGCAGCGTAGATCCATGTTGGCTGCATCTGCTTGACCCCGCTCCCCCTTTGGGCCGATGTGCCTATGCTCGCATTCCGTTCCATGTACGCTACACGATACACTCGATTCGATTCGATGTCATGTCATGGCAGGCAGAACTACCCAACATCGCAGCGTTCTTCTGTTCGACGTGCCATCGCGTGCTTATCAGGGCTGCAGTGGAAGGCATCTGCAAATGGAGCAAAATTCACCAGCGCAGCATTCACACGCGCCTTAACAGCAGCAGGTGCGTGTGCATCTGTCTGATGCCGGTATCCTGGCTGTGCCGATGCTCGACCTGACAGCACACTGCGTGCCCACGTAGAACCAAAGGCGATGAAAAAGAGCTGCTTGTGCGTGTAGTCTTGCAGGCCAGGGAGTCGCAAGTTGCGATAATACACGGCGAGATCGCCTTTTTGAAGCTGATCAAGCCATGCCTCGTAGCTTCGTGCAAGGCTATGTACATCAGCCACAGTCTCGGCAGCCGATGCGTTTCGCAGCATGCGTGGCACGCTGGTGGAACGAAGAGTGGAAGGTGAGGCATGGACGACATACGGCTGCTGCAGAGAGATTGATTGACGGTGCACATCATCGCGAATCTTTCGCTTCTCCTCGTTCCTCTCCTGATGTCTCTGCTGCTTCTGCTGGCGCTTGCGCTCCTTCCGGAGTCGTTTCTGCTCTTTCCGATCCTGCTTTGCTTGGGTCTCGACGCAGCGCACGTATTCTTCATATGCATGAGCTGTTTGAGGCGTCCACCAGTCAAACAAGATGCCATTGCGATCATAAAAGCGGCCAGGTGGACCGAAGGCATGCGAAAGTGTATGACTTACTTTGGTGCCAGCTGCTCCATACTGCAGGTACATGGGCCACTCACGGTCAAAGTACGGCGGCTGTAACAAGCCAGCGGGAAACACAGCCTCGTGCCTTATAGGGTGGTACTCGGCCTCGGCATCCGTCGTTACCAGACTGCCGAAGCCACCAGAGTTCACTTGACCACCCAAGCGCATCCATGCAAGGCGCGTGCGATACATGCGGGATGCCATCTCATTCAGGAAGTAGGACGAAGCCACAGGCAAGTCCTCATACCATTTCTTGACAGCTTCAGCATCGTTTGAGTCCGGCTGCCTCTTCGGATACCCAATGTTCAATGCCAAGTTCTGCACTTTCGCTTGCGCACGTTCGCGTGTCTTTGCATCGAGCCAGCTGATGCGAGACAGGCTATGATGCCAAGCAGAACGGATCGACGTCACCAGCTCCATCGCTGCATTTTGACTCTGCGCGTCCCAAGCCTGTTCGACGAAGAAGCGCCCAGCCATGTAGCCGAGTGCCGCCGTCACGGACGCAACACAGGTCGATACCTGCGGGTGCGTCGCGTCGTAAGCGAGTCCTGCATTGAAGTTGTGCAATTGACGTGCAGGAGACCCAAGTGGCACGTGCGGACCCAGATACCTCCCAGCATCGCGGATGACGCTCCAGTACATGTAGGTGTGAAGTGTCAAAGTAGGCGTCGACTGCACTAGCTCACTGAGCTGCACCATGTACCTCGTATTCGCAACGATGACTTTGTGGGGAAGCATGCTGGGACTCAATTCGTGCATGTATGTTTGCCAACGAATGCCTGGTGCCATAAACTCGAGCTCTCGCGTTGTCATAGCATGGTACGTCGACAGTGGATCGGCCAACGACGCAGGTATCGCTGGGTGGATGTGAGCAAGCCTTGTCTCGAAATCCAGGACTTGCTCAACCAGCCGCTCTCTGTCGCCTGAAGAGACTGGCGCAATTGTGGGCATATGCCACCTGTGCAATGGAGGCAGCGCCTGTAGCGCATCAGACAAAATGCGGCGGTAAAACGCCATGGCATCGTTGTCTTTGTACATATGTGGCGACGACAAACCAAGCCCACCTGGCGCCACATGCGGTGTGGCAAAATGAGGCGACAGGCCAGCATCTTCTTCGATTGTGGTTGAAAAAAGTGCGTCGATGCCATGTGCATGTAGCCAAGCGAGGGCCGCCGACGTGTTGTTTCCGTGGTCCATGCGTAGAATCTGAGCAAGTTCACCCATCAGGCTCATGAGCGGCTCAGCACCCTGTTGATCCTGTGCGCTTGTATCTATGCATGCGTCAAAATAGGTCCTCAACTTTCGTAAGTTCTCTTGGTCTGCTCGAGACGTGCTCGAGTCTATCTCATGCGAATGAAGGATGCTGAGAAGCACATGTTCATTCTTTTCTTGCATATACTGCTGGATGCCGTACACAGACACATTCACATCACGCGGAAAATGTGCAGCAGACCATCCGCCCGTGGCAAAGTCATAAAAGTCGTCGCACGGGTCTACTGACTCATTCAGGAAACTCATTAGTTCGTATGATGCAAGAAGGCATGTTCGCGAGGTACACACACGATGCATGAGCCGCTCATTATCGTGTCTGACGGAATGCAACAAGCCAATCGAAAGACAGACCAGGAATCCGAGGATCATCACAGCTTTGGTTATATGATACGAACAAACTCGGTCCCAGACTCGTGCGAGTCGCGAAGGCTCAATGGTGGAACGCTGATCAGGCACCTCCTGCTCTTCCTCATCCACAAAGCGCACATGTGACCGCACATGTCGCCTGACCCTCTCATGACTTTCCATGAGGCAGTCTGTCTCATTTGCCGAGGCCTGGTCGTTCCGCTCGGCCATACGCGCTCCAGCGACAGTGTCAGGCAAAAAATGCTGGGGAAGGAAAGATGGGGATGGTGTGGAGATCACGTCCGACGAGATCGAGACACCCACACGCACGCACACCACTCACTTTCTATCGCGCAGGAAAATACGCCCGCCCGCCGCCTGTCTCGACAGACACATAGATCTTTCACGCGCTCGAGCCAACGAGCGCCGCGGCACAAAGCGCATGGACGCCCTCCATTTAGCTTCAAGGCTGTCCGCCGCCACTTCTGCTGCTCTTGCTGCCGCTACGGCCGAATTCTCCACATCCATTTTTCCTGACACGCGTGGGTGGCCTGGCACGACATCAACGCATTCGAAAGCTGACAAAGCGTGCGCAGGTCCCACACATACTCTGCGACAACCGTGCGGCTCATTATCACGAAGCTGTTCCTGCACCTATCTTGGCACTCCAGCTCGACCGTCCGATCCTTCTTACGCAGGAAGGCAAGGCTCATGCTCGCGCGTCACGGACACCGTGGCATTACGACCAAGCATGCAGTGCGGACGTTTGTCGCGGCCTCGGCCGTACGACACGCACGCGGGCCATCCTCAGCCATGCCGTCATCGTCGCGAAAACCATCCTCGTCCTCCCCTGCGAGAGGCGACAAGCCACGCAAGTCTGTTCTGCGCCACTTTCTTGAAAGTGGCGGTATCTTGCACCAGAACGATGCACCGAAATTCGACTTTGTGTCACTCAAGTCCAGCATGCCATCCTCGCACACGTTCCGGCGCACGCGTCTGCCCATGTCGAAAGCAAAGGCACTGGCGCAGGAAAGTCGTGCTCTGCGTGAACAGGTAGCATCGTCGGCATCAGCTACGCAGGGCAATGTTTCCCTGGCGTCATCAGCTGCTATGCTGGCGGATGCGTCACCATCGGCTAGCGACGGACTGTCGAAAACGCAAACCAGCGCGCCGTGGACGGAAGCAGAGCCACGGCCAACATTGCCACTTACATCTACGCATATCACGTCGAGTGAACTGCCTGAAGTTGCGGCGTTTGCTACGGCAAAGTCATACAATTTTGATGTTCTCTTGAGCAGTGGCCGTCTACCGGCGAATTGGATTTGGCTTGAAGACCGGGAGGTCATCTACATTCCATCCTGGCCACCAACGCCGGCCAAAGCTTCCACCACACAGCGAGGAAGCGTTTTTATCTTTCGCTCCGGTTGCTATGTGACATGGGGTATGAGCACAGAGCAGAACTCAGCTTTCTACCGCGATGTGATCCGGGATGGCAGTGTGCCACCTGTCGAAGAATCACGCTACGATGTGGCTGGTGACGAAGCTATGGAGTATGTGCACATTCCTAACGAAGTGACGCGCGTCGTGGGCGACTTGATCGTCATTGGGCACCAGCGCGATGAGAAGGAACGCCATGCACGCTCGTCACGAGCACCATCTACACCCTCGCTGACGTTGCAAGCGCGCCTTGCCTTTTCGCAAGGACTTGCCGCTTCAGCACGGTTGTCGGTGCAGGAGTCTGTGCTTCTTGACTATCTAGAGAGCGTCGCGCCGATTCCATCCCGTCTTGAATCGAGTGGCAAGGTGCCATTACCGCGGAAGGAAGTGATTCGAAAGCTTGGCACCCTCCTACGGATCCGGCAGCGCTTAAATCTTGACCGAGATAATTTCATTGATGATCCGGAACTATATTGGGAAAACAGCCACATGGAAGCCCTGTATCGCAGCATATGCTCGGCCCTCGATATGAAGCCGCGCTTCGAGGCACTCAATGCGAAACTCAACCACTGCGAAAACTTGCTGGAGGTTCTGCGTGCCCTCTTGACAGAGCAGTCAAGCCACCATATGGAGCTGATTATTATCTATTTGATTGCGTTTGAGGTGGGCATGGCCCTTGTGAGCCATGAGTACGTCCCGACGCCGCAGACATTCTGGCAGTGGCTCTGGTCATCCGCAACAGCATCATAGCTCGTAATTTTTTTTTTCTTTTGGTCTTTCTGGCTGTTTCTCTGCGAGCACGTCTTGGTCGGTCGGTCACTCAGTCGGTCAGTAGGCTGCATGTCCTGGGACGTGGTGAACGCTGATGTGCTTAGTAATGCCAAAGCTGTTGGTGGGCGTTGGCGTTGAAGCCGAAACCGTTCTCTCCATGTCGAAGCCCAGGCTAAGTTTCTCCCTCAAGAAGGGTGCGACAGCTAACAACGCACCGGGTGCATCCACGAGCAGTGCCTCTGGCCAAGCTGGTATCCCAACGCAAGTGCAGCGAGCATTCTCAGAGGCCAATGAGCCACAGAACCCACTCATCCCTACACGAGCTGGCAAGGCACCAGCACCCGTATCGAAACAAGTACGACAACAACAGGAAGAGGCGCAGCAGCTGGATGAAAGTGCATTTGACTACGATGGCGTCTACGATCAAATGAAGCAGGTGGAGCGCGATTTACGGCAAGCGAAAAAGGAGCAGGACTCGACACGCAAGCCAAAGTACATGAACCAGTTCTTCAAGGCGGCTGAGCTTCGTGAACGCGACCGAATGCGGGCTGAATCCAAGATGATTCAGCGCGAGCGTGCTGCTGAAGGGGATGCTTTTGGTGATAAAGAGGCATTTGTCACCTCGGCGTACAAGGAGCAGCAAGAAGAGTGGAGACGTGCCGAGGAGGAGGAGCGGGTCCGAGAGGCTCGCGAGCGGAGTCGGTCACGGGGCGTCGCGGCATTTCATCAAAAGATCCTTGATGAAGAATGCCGGCATCGCCAAGCTACTGTGGAAGCACTCACGCATCGTAAGCTAGACACCACGTCTCAATGCTCGAATACTACGACGTCTGAGCCGTCTGTCTCAGACAGGGCTCGAGCTGAGCAAGCTCAAGCTCAAGGCTTGCATGTAGAGCTCAATGACGATCAGCAGATTGTTGATCGGCGAGACTTGCTGAAACGTGGCCTGAATTATGTGCGCAAACGCAAGGCGCCTGAAGACGCCCATGACAACAAAGACGACACGGCGATCGCCGAGACTAGTTCACGTTCGAAGCGTAGTCAAATGATGGAAGAAGAGCTTCTATCTCGCATGGCTGGTAGTGAAGACAGTGACGACGACAGTTGCGATGAATGACGAGTGGTTCTATATGTGAAGCCCAACGTGCCCCGAGTCCCCACCAAAACGGACCGATCGTTCAACTCCGCGGCACGTCAGGGCCGCTCCCCAGGCACACGCCGTCACGTGTGGAGCAGGAATGCGTTCATTTAGCCATGTGTCTCGTTTCCTTGGCGTGGCAGGCTTTTCTGGGCCAAATCCACTGGGTGTCCAGCTTACGTAGCCATCCATCTGTTGGGCGAACAAACGGCAAGCACGGTGCCTGCATGGGCTTGAGACCTGGAAATGGAAAGCAGGGTATACGTGTGGGCAGTGGACGTATCAGCATGGAATCGTGAACCATACACGCGTGTAGATGCAAAGACCGCGCCGCGTCCCAGCGTGCCACAGTTTGATCGCGACACATGTACGATGATCGAGGCGTACGATGCGAGCTTGGCACTCAAAGTGCAGCGATACATGCGGGCTATTGACCGCGTAAGATCACTCGTGGGATGCCTGTTGCCGCGCGTTATGCTTGTTGATACTGGCATGGTGCGATCCTGGAATGATGTGTGCATTCGCACGGCGCGTGGTGGGCGGCCGTATGTGGAAAGGAATTCGTCTGGTGCTCATGTGGACTTTAATATCTCCCACGATGGCGACTGGGTCGTCATGGCATTCTCTACTTGCGACAAGGTGGGTGTCGATGTGATGGAGACAACGCTCCCGCACTTTGAGGAGAGTAGCACGTCGTTCTGTGACACGATGAAGCAGGCCATGACAGCGGATGAATATGCTTGGGTAAGGCAGGGAGCATCAGATGCAGAAGTTCTATCTCGCCTCTACGATGTGTGGACATACAAGGAAGCTTTGACGAAGAACATGGGCTTGGGCTTGGGCTTTGACTTTGCGCGAATCCAAGTGGAATTTTGGCATAGCAAAGAGATGCCTTCGTTACGCATGGATGACCACGAAGAGTCCCAGTACCGCTTTCTTGAGGTACGCTTACCATCCGGCATATGCTATCAAGACGCGTCGCCTGCCACCAACCTGCCTCCAAATGGCGCTAGACAGACTTTTACGACGACATGCAAGAACAGAGATGCAGTCGGTGGAAGGGGCTCACAAGTAGCCATAGCGGTGGGGCCACGTGCTTGCACAGAGCAAGACGCTGCATGGAATTGCTGTGTGTCGGCAGAGCAAGCGTCTGCCGACGGCTGGCTTCGAATATGGACATACGAAGCATTCATGGAATTCGCGCGGCATGTGCACGAAATGACATCGTAACAGTTCACGGGCTGCAAGGGTGGGTGAAGGGAAAAGCGAGAAGGTAAAGCAGCAGGCAGTGGCAGCGAGCGTGACTGTGCCAGCCGTGCACGAGCACTTTGTTGAGAACAAGTACGATGGAATGAACTCATGATCGTGTTCTACAAGTCGTCCGGGGTATGAAAGAAAGCTGCGTACGTTATCACTGATAGGGTCAGTCAAAGAAACGCGCACACATACTGGTGCCATACACAAGGGCGCCGCCGAGCAGCGACATGATAGCAGCGGCGCCCGTGACGATGCCGGTGTGTGCAAGAACCATGGGAAGAGCAATGCCCGTCATCAGCAAAATACCCGTAAGGAAGTAGCCAAAGTCCAGGTATGCACTACGTGAAGGGTCAGCAGCCTGAGCAACAGGTTCACGTACTTGTGATAGTCAGAAAAGCTATCAGCGCCGGCAAGACCACCAAAGAAGGCATTGGGAGTCGGTGCGAGAGCAAATGACAGGGCTGGCAGATGCGTGTCAGCAACGACATATGCGTGAATCCGACGAGAGACAAGACGTGCGTGGCGGCCACGGCGAATAAATCGACGTGCCAAGGTACACGGAGCCTGTGATGTACTCTCTTTCTCTCTCTCTCTTTTTTTTTTCCAATCGATTCATGATCACGTACCTGACCAGAAAGGCATCCAATTGGACCATAGAGCGCATGACAAAATGACAAGGAGAAAGCCAAGGGCAAGTGCAAAAGACAAGAAAATCACAGCTTTGCAGACATGTAAGCCCACACTTATTCTCCGCAAGGCCACGTACTGTGAATCCCGTTCGACATGGTCGTTCGTCACGTCGTGCGTGCGGTGCACGGACAGTCAGAGAGACTCGTGATGGTTGGGCTCCTTCTCTTTCGCACTTGGCGGCGGCGTACTCTCAAAGCGCCACGACACTTTGGGAGACGTGGGTGCGCTGGGGGAAAGGGTCTCCTCCACTCGCCACGTGCTCACCCTGCCTTTCACATTTTCTTTCAGTCGCCTCTCGCACACACTCGTACGTACGCGAACACACTGCTCCCTCGGCCGAATATGTGTTTTCTGTTTCAGAATGCCGCACGCTGGATTCATTGTAACGACGTTGTTGGCCCACGCAGGTCTCGACCTTCCGGGTGCGTGAGCGTGATGGCAAGGCGATCCAGTACCACATCCGCGGGTATGCCTACGTACGGAAGTACATCGAGTAGCTCGTTGAGTGGAGATCATGGCGGTAAGTTGGGTGGGAGTGTGCGCAAGGTGTGAGATCCTGGAGCTGACACAGGGTGGCAGCATCCAACACGAAGGGATCGGCGCAAGATCTCTACTTGTCGGATGAGACGGTATGTGTCCATGCTACGCTTGCGCCACAGGTTCATGCATACTAACGAGCAGGATGACATGGAGTGTCCGCTCTGTCTAGAAGAGATTGATATCTCCGACGCCAACTTCAAACCATGCCCCTGTGGATACCAAATCTGTCGATTCTGCTGGCACCACATTAAGCAGAATCTCAATGGCCGATGTCCTGCGTGCCGGAGAAAGTACTCGGATCAGGCGATCGAGTTCAAGGCCATGTCGACCGAAGAGTACGTGCAGGCTCCGAGTCATCTTCCTGCTCGAACCGATGCTAACGTCGCAGAATCATGCGTCTTACCAACGCGAAAAAGAACAAGGAACGTGAAAAGCGTGAAATGGAGGCCACGAACCGCAAGCACTTGGCCAACATGCGGGTGGTGCAAAAGAACCTCGTATATGTGGTGGGTCTGAGCCCCAAATTTGCGCGCGAAGAATTTATTCCCACGCTCAAAGGACCAGACTACTTCGGCCAATACGGCCGCGTTGCCAAGATCCTCATCAGCAAACGGATGACATCACACAAGTATGGGCACGGCTCGCACGACCCCTCAATAGGCGTGTATGTGACATATCAAAGCAAAGAAGATGCAGCACGCGCGATCGTTGCGATCGATGGCAGCAAAGAGCCTGGCGGGCGGATGATCCGGGCAAGTTACGGCACGACCAAGTACTGTACGTCGTATCTTCGCAATATGCCATGCGCAAACCCTGGCTGCACGTATCTGCACGAGCCTGGCGAGGAAGCTGACTCGTTCACGAAAGAGGACCTGGCCACTCTTCGACACGCGGCGAAAGATACAGAACACAAAATCAAGCCCGCCTCTATGCATTTAATGCCCATTACCAAGAAAGCTACGGAGTCGTCCATGTCGATGACGGGGTCACCAGCATCGACACACGTCACGGCTGCGACGTCGTCTTCAGCCACCACGGCGCCTACCTCGCATTCTGACACAGGTGCTGAAGGCTCGGCGCTCCCTCGCACGGCATCGTGGGCAACAGCTGGCAAACTGTACTCGACGCCAGAACAAACGCATGCTCAGCCCGTTAGTGCATCAGCGACGCAGTCGCCGCCACTATTGACGCAGGATCCTCATGCTTTCCCTGGCTTGGCCGCAGCGATGAAAGAAGTCGCCAAGCCGATGCCGTCGCCCAAAGCGCGACCAAAGTCCATGGCCAAACCTGCGGTGGCAGCAGCCTCGTCTGCTCCAGCCGGCAAGACAAACAAAAGCTTGGCGACCGACTCAGTGCCGAGCTCACCAACGACATCATTCCATGCGCGTGACGATGAGCCTTTCAAGGCATCCTCGCGCGACACTCCAGGTGCAACGCATGAGCGGCATCATCCAAGTCTGGATGCTGTGGAGCCACCGTCGCTGTTCTCGACAGTTGACTGGACTCTGTCGAGTCTGAGTGATGGTGATTTTAGTTTCCACCTGCCCTCGCTGCCGCCAGCATCTACGATGGCTAGCACGACGTCTAGCAACCTCCTTGCACCCTCGACGGCGATGGATGCGCAGGCATCTGACTCGGTCGATGATCACGACACTGGCATGTACACGTCGTACAATGGCACATTCAATCCATTTGACGAGCATAGTCCGGATGTGAGCTGGGCATCTATCCGAGCGCCTCCCACCGCTGACACATCCACACCATCATCGGGTGTGCCGCCACCAGGCCTCTTTTATGAACAGCGGCGCACTCCCTTGACGTCCTACCATGGTGCAGCTGATGTTCCATGGTTTGCGCAGCCGCAGCCGCAGACACAGTCACAGTCACAGACACAGCGTCCTCAAGCGCCATTGCCGCAGCTGCAACCGCAGTCGTCATTGGCGGAGCACCAGTCGCTTCATGCGTACCAACAGCATGCCATGCAACGTGCAGCGGTCGCAGTGGCTATGCCGCCCATGCCATCCGTGATGGATAGCGTTCGCGCGCCGGAGGAGCAGCGTTCAGCAGCCGCCGCCATGCTTGCAGCTCGTGCAAGGCAGTTGCAGGAGGCTGGGGAAAATGTTGCAGCGCATTCGATGAGCGACGTGCGAACGAATCTGGCCCGTCAGCAAGCGCAGGCCAAGAATGGCGACTCACAATCGCTGCTGGCACTGCTTCGTCGGATCCAGGATGTGCCTCCGGAGCATGCATCGGGCACGCCGCCATCAGAGTCCGTGCCAGCTGTGACGCCGCCGCCAGGCCTGCGTCCGTCTGCAGCGCCGCAGCCGAACATGGCGACTGGCCTGCTGCTGGCACAGCTGCTAGGTACGCCACCAGCAAAGCATCCGGCGGAAGGGTATGCTGGAGTGCCGATACTGAAGCAGACGTGAGTGTGTGTGGAGTGCTGCAGTGAAGGGAGATGTAACATCAAGGACGTTGGCGACCGGCGACGGCTGCGACGAACACAAAGACGAATTCTACGAAGCGCCTGTGCGTATACTTCCCGGGCGTATTTTTTTTTTTACATATATTCATCATAGCACAAATTGATCTAACTGAAATCGAAGATAGATGAGAGTGGGGGTGGCCGTTGTTGAGGGAGAGAGCGCGGGCATGCACACCTCCATACCATAGGCGGGCGTGGAGGCTGCGTTGTTAGCACCACAGTTGTGGTCTTGCTTATGCTAGTGGGGTGAGGTGTGGGTGTGGTGAAGTGGAGTGGAGTGGAGTGCTGGAAGTGCTTTCACATCACGACACTCACTGACGTTGGTAGAAAGGGCGTGCAAAGCTTAGCTGGTGATAACTGCGCGTGGAACTTTAGCCGTTGTTTTTCTTCTTCCAACTTAGACCAGCCCTGTGAACTCTTCTTTGCCACACACATATTGTGCGGCTTCGAGAGATCGCCTGAGCTATGGCGACGTCCGCGCCGACGTTCTCAGCGGCAGGAACACCATCGTTCTGTGCGCCAGCGAAGCTGAAAATCCTGCTGGTACCAGCAGCGCCACTTGAGCAGGCTGAATTTGAGCGTTGGAGTAGCTATGTGCGTGTCTGGGAGCATGTGAAGTTGACAGATGTGCCACGCACGTCGCGTCCAGTGCCGAGCAAGCCATTGTATGAACAGGGTGAGGTACACTTGTCGTTTGTGACGTCCAATGATCCAGCACATGTCTACTTGGCACCATTTCAGCTGCATCACAATGTACAAGGAGTGCTAGGACTTACAACGTATCCAGCGAAGTCGGCGAGTGACTTGGAGCGAGTGCCTGGACTGCTGCGCTCGCAATACCCACATGCACTCCTTCACCGCGTGTTGGCTTTTGATGTGCATGCGCGAGGCCAGACATCCAAGCCCGAGCGCGATGGAGATATGGCGGACGTATCGGCGGCACGTAGCGGGCACAGTGAGGCAGAGACGGAGGATGATGACGTGGGTGACATGGGCGCCGGGGCCGATTCTGGCGCTGGCGTCGGTGCTGCTGCGACTGCGGCAGGCGAGGCAGAGTTTGTACCAACAGCAGGGTCCCGTGGGCAACGAGAGAGCGGGCTTGTTGTGTTCCCAGCCGTGCGGCGTGATGCCAAAGATGTGCGGTTTTATGTTCGCACATACATCGCTGAATTCGTCGGCACACTGCTCGATCACCTCGATACACTAGTGGCGCAGCTGGATGAAAGCTCACTTGAGACACCACGAGAAACACTCACGGGCGCGCCCATGTTCAAACTGGTAACAGAGCGCCGCTTAGCTCCGCCACTCGAGCGCCGCATGTCGGCAGCGAGTGCTGCATCCAAAATGTTCGGACTGAAACGGAGCAAATCACCAGCGCAGCCGCCCCCTGCGTCGCTTCGACTGGTCAAAGTCAAAGCCGATGTCGCTATGCTCAATGGGTACCTATGGGATGCGCTCGAGCTGTACGACAGCATCTTGACGCTGCCAGGAAAAGAGCGCGCACTCGCCGGCGGACATGATGCGGTGTGGTTTGCTGGTGCGTTGGAAGGCTGGGCCGTCACGCGTTTACTGGTTGCGCGCTTGGGTGCCGATGCCGCCGAGCTTGCGCCATGCCTGTTGTATCCCCTGACGCCTGGAAAGGACAAAGAAGTACACGAGCCGACGCCGCCCGCACTTGCATGGCGCGACATCGCTGAAGCGTACTCGCTGGCGATGGCCATCTATAGCAAATGCCTTGCGCCACCGCAGGTCCAGCTCGAGGCGTTGCGTTCGATGACGAACGAGACGTCGCGTGACTATACGCCGCCGTATGTGTATGCGTGCGCATGCCTAAACTATGCGCGCTTCCTGCTCGCGCTCTTTGCATCGGGCGGCTGGAACAGCGAGGCATTTGACCAGCTCGTGTATGGCGGTGTGCCACCGACCCTCGATACGGGTGTCCCACTCACATTCGCTGAGCAGGCGCATCTCGCTGCTGTCTCTGGCATCTACCGGCACGAAGTGGCTGCAGCTGCCAATGCAGCCTTGACGCCGTCTCTGCCGCTGCTTCTCCCCTCCGATCAGCTGCGTGTGCTGAGCTCATTGCACCGCATCCTCAGCCTGCTGGGCTACACACGCCAAGTTGCTCACGTGTCGCGCACACTCGGCACGGTCGTGTGCAGTATGCTTGTGCGGACCATGCGCGTGCGTGCGAGCCAAGGCACGTCATCGAGCTCGTCGTCGAGCTCGTCGTCGGTCATCGAATTGTCGTGGGACAGCTTGGGCGATGCTCTTCGCTGGCACACGCCTCCAGGACCCATTCCTATCGCGGAACGAATCGACAGCGGTGTGTTTGCGTGTGCAAATCCAGCTCTCGTTCTGGGCCTTGTCGCATGTGACGCATACGGCATCGATCTACTGACATCGCCGCTTCTTCACGTTCCTACGACGCACATCCTTGAGCAGGCGCGTCGTCGTGTCTGCTCTCACGCTTACATGGACATACTCGCGTCCGCACTGGGGGAGAAGGAGGCGAAAGCTTGGCTGCCAACTCTGAGTGCGTGTGCTGCAACCGCTTGGCGCTCACGCACCTGCTTCGGCTGGCATGCTTTGCAGGTTCAGCTACTCAAGGATCTCATTGTGCAGTGCGAAGCGCTGGACGACCACCTCAGCCAGGTATTTTTCGCTGCGCTCCTTCTCCGCGACTTTGAGCTGGACGAAGCTGACCAAGTTGGGGGGGGCGAAGGGCTCAAACATGCATTGCCGCGTGCTCAGTGGCATGGCGCTCCGGGCTTGACACTCCGATACTGGGGACCCAGATCCCTCTTGCGTGCTATACAGCTCGAGCCCATGCCCGCGAGTCTCATGCCGGTCACGCGCGCGCGGCGCGACTTTGAGCCACGGCCACAGACAGATGCTTCAGACGATGGGCCACCCGGCCTCAACAACCCTTTTATCATGCGCACGTCCTTTCGTCAGGCTGCCAGCGCATCGAAAGAGTCGCAGTTTGTGATGAACGAGGTCCTGACGGTTCACGTGACACTGGTAAACCCATGGGCCATTCCACTACCGCTGTACGATGTGTACGTGCGCACAGAGGGTGTCCCTGTAAAGGCAGCGAACGGCGATTCAATCTCGGACGGTTTGCGTGCGCGATCCGACGCGACGCGTGCAGCCGCCGCCAACAGCCCTTCTTCACGTCCCCCAGCATCGATCCATGTGCTGGTGCCACCACGCGCCGTCCACACGCTTCGTCTTCCGCTGGTCCCGCTCGACACTGGTACACTGCAGATTCTCGGCCTGCATGTACGTCTATGGGGTGCTGAGCCGTGCGACTTGTTCGTGCCGCCAAGCATCGCTGCCATAAAAGACAACCTTCCCCGCCAAGTGGGTCTGGCAGCCCGCCCCGCCGCCGTACTCGTCCAGCACGTTGTCCATACACGTCCCGCAAACGAGGCGGAACTTGTCAAGACACTTGAACCACATCGTGCCGAGCCACTGACGTGCCGAATCCTGCCACAACTGCCGCGCATTCGTGCGTCGTTTCCAGAGCTTGGGCCGTCGGCACTTGTGCTCCAACATGGCCAGGAAACACGTGTGCGCGTCCGCTTGTGCAACACAAGTGCGGTGCCTGTGAATTTTGTGCGCTTCGAGTTCGAAGACAGTTGGCAACCTTCTGCTCGTGATGCTATTCTGCAACGTGGTCTCTTGCCTGCTGACGTGCATGAGCTTGAATGGCAGCTTTTGCATGCGCCTGTCATTTCAATCGACAACGACCCAGAACACCCAGAATCTTCCTTGGCCATTCCTCCGCACGCCTCCAAGGACGCTCGCTTCCTAATTCGCGCACGCTGCGACTGCCAATGGGCTCGTATCCGTGTATGGTACGGCAACACAGATGGCAATATGCCTTCAAAAGCAACATTACGCCTGCGCTCCGTCACACTGACGCTCCCACTCTCTGTCGAGCCTAGTATCGATCTAAGTTCTTTGGATGTCCAGCCTATTGAGCGCGATGTGGCTGAACGTCTTGCAGCTCTGATGTTGCGACGCAGCGACAGCAACGAACGACAGCCTTCTTCAGCCCCCGAGGCATATGGCATGACATCCTCGTGCGCGTTGGTCGCCATGGACTTGTACAATCACTCAGCATGGCCTCTGAGCGTCTGCTTGGACGTGCAAGCGGCCGAACATGTCTCATTACGAACTCATCACACACTCACGCCCGGCACAACCAGCCGTATTACCTTCCCATTCTCACAGCGCCACTTGACTCAGGAGGCGCTTTCTGCGCCGATTCCTCAGCTGTCGCCGCGCCAGTTCGTGGTGTCCCAAACGCCCCATTCAGAAACCCAAGTGGTACAGAACAAGGCGCAGTTCTGGGTCCGTGAAGCACTGCTCCGTTCTCTGGATGCCACATGGACAAACATGGAGACAGGAGTGCAAGGTCAAGTCACTTCACTTCGTGCTCTGTGGCCGATGCCGGTACATGTGCCCCTTCTTGTCGAGCCTAGCGTCAATGTTGACGTGACGGTCGAAGAGTGTGCTCCTGCCGATTCGACTCTACAAGTGTGCGTGCACGTTCGCGGAGCACGCTCGGCACACCGTGTACGCGTGTTCTTGGATTCGTGTTTGGCCAAAGAAAAAGCCAGTACACACGTGCTTGTAGCTGACGGCTCTTGGGATATCACCTATTCGGCCTATGATGTACAGCGAACAGGAGGCACGTTCACTTGGACACCAACCCTTTGTTTCTTGTCGCATGGCACTTGGACAGTCGCTGCGTACGCGCAAGTCACTTGGGATGCTTCCTCTGAGCCATTTACGTACACGAGTACGTCCCGATGCGTCACGATCGTGTAGCGCACACGCGTGGATGGCTCGTCACTCGTGATATCGCTCGGAGTATATATATACATATATACATTTATATTTATATATATATTTCTAGCTATGTCTATATGTATATTTCCTTGAAGGACGCCTTCGGATGAGAAACGAAAAAGACTCGTGGCATGTGGACCCGGACTCGTGCCACAAACCATTCATTTTCTTGTGTCCTGCCCTCATCACGATGGCAGAACGCTGGCGCCGTACGCTCAATCCCCTCGAGCATGGAGCAAGACCCTCACTTCAGTATTTGACCCTGCATCGTCCTCATGGACGACGCACCAACTTGACTGTTGTGGCTGCAGAAACAGAACACCAAGGGGGGCCGCGCGCGCCGTCTGTTCCACCCGACCGATCCAGTAGCAGCGATACCATTCATTCCAAACCAACAAGTTCTTCCTCGCCACGCTCGCCGCCACTGAAGCGGCTAACTTCAGAATCAGACGAAGAAACTTCTTCCATAAAGCGCGCACGCCTGTCGACCGCATCGAACACGCCCAAGTATCCCATCCCTCGACGCCGCGCTCGCCAACAACATCTAGTCCCTCAAAGCCCCTCGTCACCCTTTCTTGCCATAGGAGCGCCACACGCTGGCATCCACAGGTATCCGATCCCACGCAAGCCAGGCGCTGCTTGGATGCACACGCCACCTTGGCTAGTATCACCACCGTCGTCCTCTTCCACGCCTCTTTCGTCACCACTCCAATCATCCTCGCCACCCTCAACGACGGCAGCACGATCCTCACGCCCACCTCCTCTTCGACCTCCGCTGCAGTCACCAACTTTTCAACGAGCTCAATTTCCCATCCTGAGTGCTTCAAAACCTTACCAATCGCCGCCGACCATTCTGGTATCGCCCCCTGAGAATGACATCTCCATCATTCTTGCCAAATGCGCACATCCAGCGCATGCCATCCCCGTCGGTCCCGAATGGCAATTTGCTTTCGCGAGCAGTCTTCTTGCTCGAGATCAGATGGCATTTGAGAAACTCACTTGGCACATCGACATGACCTTTGCGCACTTCGCTACTTCCCACATGGAACATAGTCATCACCACCACGCTGACTTCGACGTGGCGACCCTTGCAAAGCACACGGCAAGGCAACTCGTCGCCCTCTTGACGCGTGCCTGGAAACCTACATGCACCGATGATTACACATATTCGCCACCAAGTTTCCGTTTATCGTCCACTGCGCGCGAATGGGCAGACGGTAAATGTATGAAGAATGCGCCATCGCATTACGTCCATTCTCTTTGGTGTCAACGGCTCTCTGCAGTCCTTGGTGCAGATATGACCGAAAAAATTAGTGAGCATATTTCTCAAACCATCTGGTACACGACAGTACGGGATGTTCGGCGACCGTATACGAGGCCTTTGCTCATGGCACACTTTTGCGCATATGTGCTGACTTACTTGAGCCGCTGGGAAGCTCACGAGGTTCATTATCACACTCGTCTCCTCCCAGTCAAACATTTAAGTTCACTTTCTCTGAAAACGCGCATCCGGGGTTTTGCACAGCATCAGCACGAGTCACATCTGTGCACGTCGACTATTTTGAGACTTGTCTTGCAGTCTACGCTTCAGACTAAACTGACAGCGATCGAGGTAAGAACACATGCATCGAAACAATCGACAGGCTTTCTTCAAGTACCAGGTATGCCTCCCTCTTCCTTTCATACAAGTGGTGGCAGCACATGGCCAAAGATTCCTGGTCTGCTTGCCGACGTCGAGGGTCCCGCGGTGATTGACGCTGCTCGCTTTGTTGGAGAGCTTGCAAGGTTGCACGTCATAGCAACGGAAGAAATAGTAAATCGCTGGCTTCAAGCAATTTTCCTTCATGAAATTCCATGGATTCAGGTGCCGATGCACGAGCTTGAAGCAGGATGTGCGTTGCTGCTCCTAACAGGAAGCCGGGAAACTGGCCTCGAGCAAGATGTTTTGAAGATGCAGGCTTGCTCGTTGCATGATCACCCAAGCGTTCTTCAACAAGACTTGAAATCTTCTTCACCATGCCGGTCTGTGCATGAAAAGTGCTTGTGTAAGCTAGAGGAGTTGCTTCATTCGCACTGGGTTCCTTGTACCTCGAAAAGTTGGTTGAAGGTGCGTGCTAGAATGTCGCAAGTGGAGAATTGACCCAATTTTCAGGACGTCGTGGCTATCGGTCGAAAGGGTTGGGCGTAGTGTTTCATTTTTCTTGGTCCCTTGAACGTTACTAGACCATCTCTCACCAGTTTAACCCAACTAACAACAAATTACAACCTGAAATGAAAGCTGGCATCAATGATCAAGCATACACGTTGGAATAGTGCCCAGAGTCAGATTTCGTCCCATCTCGTTATCATGATGTAGACCTGATAATGAATTTCGTCATAACTGATGAAATACCAGCTGTCCTAGTTAGTACAACGGTTAGTATATGTCGCTCTCACAAGGTAACTGTGTGGCGCCGACAAGACCCGGGTTCGACTCCCGGATTGGGAACTCTTTTTAATTCAACTCCTCTACTCTACTATAGAGTTAATATGTCTTCTTCTACAAGTATCTTCAACAGTTCCTCCTAATTAGTACAGCGGCTAGTATATGTCGTTTTCATCTCTATGAAAGCGCCGACAAGACCCGGGTTCGATTCCCGGATTGGGAACATTTTTGTCCATTTACTTTCTAACATTAATGGAATATATACATTACTCTCCATCTGGAGTGCAAGTTCCTCCTAGTTAGTACAACGGTTAGTATATGTCGCTCTCACAAGGCAACTGTGTGGCGCCGACAAGACCCGGGTTCGACTCCCGGATTGGGAATCCTTTTTTAGTTCATAAATTTTGGTGAAAGAGAAGAGTTTTTGGTCGGGTTGGGATTAATAAGGCGTATTGGCAATCTCTTCAGGCTGCTCTCTGTGGGTTTCAGAAGTGCAAGATCGCTTGCGTAGCCGGTGGAGTGCTCGAGCACGTGGGTTTGTCAAGGTCTGTGCATATTCGTGGTTCTCGACATAGGAATATGTTCACGAGTAAGAGACAAGAATGGCATAATTGTCGCTCTTTAATTATTTGAAAACGTGATGCTGTCATCTCTGTTGGATCGACTCTACGCTTTAACTCAGAACAAGCACAAAAGTGTATGGACGTTAGGGTTTCTAATAGGCCTAGCCACAGGTCTAGGTGCATTAGCCTTTTCCAAAATGCACAAGGCATTTGTGTACGCATACGTTCGACGGAAAGTACTCCGGGTCTCGCCCAAACATGCTGCAAAAGCTTGCCCATATCAGGATGAGTTTCAGCCCATTGAGTTAGTGCGAGGAGGCTCGATTGTGTCAGGTGTTGAAGGACTGATAGGCAACACACCTCTAGTGCGAATTCAGAGTCTCTCTGACTTGACAGGCTGCGACATTTTGGGAAAGGCCGAGTTCCTCAATCCAGGTGGCAGTCCAAAGGACCGTGTTGCATTACAGATCATCAAGGAAGCCGAAGACAGTAATGAACTCGTCCCCAACGTTGGCTCATGGATCTTTGAAGGAACTGTGGGTTCTACCGGGATCTCATTGGCCACATTGGCGTGCGCGAAGGGCTACAATTGTTGCATTATCGTACCAGATGATGTTGCAGAGGAAAAGGCTACTCTTCTTCGTCGGCTTGGGGCCAAGGTGGAATGTGTACGTCCACGCGGCATAGTCGATCCTCGGCATGTACGTTATTATGTTGTGAAGAAGAATTTTTGTGTTGACGCATCTTTTCGTACAGTTTGTGAATGAGGCTCGTTTCCGCGCACAGCAATGGATGCCCAGTGATAACGAACCTTATGCTCGTGCTTACTTTGCTGATCAGTTCGAGACCAATGCTAACTTTTACGCACATTACGATCACACAGGGCCAGAGATTTGGTCCCAAACCCATGGGCGAATTGATGCCTTTGTCGCTGGTACAGGGACTGGTGGCACATTGTCTGGTGTATCGGCGTATTTGAAAGAGATGTGCGCCGCGCATGATGATCAAAGCATGTTAGCCTCATCGATCTTGACGGTTGCAGCAGATCCACCAGGCTCAGGTGTGTACAATCGAATCAAATACGGCGTCATGTACAGTGAGACGGAAGCAGAGGGCACGCGCCGACGGCACCAAGTCGACTCGGTTGTCGAAGGAATCGGCTTGAATCGTTTGACACGCAATTTAGAGATGGGACTCCCTTTCATTGACACGGCGGAGCGCGTGTCTGATGATGAAGCCGTTCGCATGTCCCGTTGGCTTGCTAAGCATGATGGTCTGTTCCTGGGCTCGTCGTCAGCAGTGCATTGTGTGGCTGCTGTACGAACGGCGTTGCGACTGAAACAGACCATGGCCCAATCACACCCAGGTGTCAGACCAGTCATTGTCACCATCCTGTACGTATGCAGTTGGTCCACGCGAGAACCTTTCTAACAAAGCCGATGCAGTGCTGATTCTGGTGCCCGACACTTGTCCAAGTTCCAGAATGATGATGCTATGCAACAGCGCGGCCTTCGCATTGACTGCGACATTTCCGATATACTTTCTCTACAGGATGCGACCTAACGGGCTTCGTAATGGGCGAGTATTTGATGCTGTAATTGATTTTTGTGAGCGAGCAAACGATGGTGTTCTTGTAGACGACGCTGTAAGTGCTCCGCAGCTGTTGAATCAGTATCCGGAATTCGAGCGGGGTGGTCGGGATTGGAGAGCGGGTAGAAAAGGAGAGAGAAAGAGATGCGAGTAGAAATGACAAACACTAGTTCTCAACAACATACCTTCCAATAACACAGCAATTTCACTATAGGCGGCGGACCGATTCTCACCACCCATTTCGTCCGCCGAAACCCTCGATTCCTCGATTGTGGATCTTTCTAGACTCGGAAGGACCGATGCAAGCATGTCATAACCTTTACGAATATTTGCACGTCGCTTTTGCTCTGACGCAATATGGTTCGCCTTTTTCTCAGCATCACTCAGCAAGCCCTGATTCGAGGACTTGCGTCTATACTTTGCCTCCTGGATGATCATCGGTGCATCTTCAGATAGGCTCAAGTCGCCCGACGCAAATGCTTCTTCCAGCTTGCGTTTCCGCTCGCGTAAATGATCAAGGTGTGGCTGATCGCGTGTTCCTTCAGGTTCAAAAAGCGAGTGCAAGGAGCGAGGCACACGATCGATGACCTGCTCCGTCTGTATAGGGGGAAGACTTGTTGGATCCAAGTCTTCCAGCAATTCAGGCGCGACAGAAAAAGATGACTCCGGCAACACACGCATCGGTGCATGCAGAGGTTTTGAGGAAGACCCTGACGATGCTGATGAAAAGCAATGCGCTGGTATATAAACAGACGAGGTGCTGGGCAAATGTGTTGGCTGGAATCCTGGCACAGGGGCAGGCAAAGGGACGTGTCCAGGACCTGGAATAGGTGTTGTCTCCATGGATGACCACTCCTGCATACCTCGTTGTTCCGCTGGGGGCGTCTGCCTGAGAGGAGGCGGCACAATTTGTGCGCGGTGTGCATAGTCAAATGGTCGGCGTGCATAGCGCTGTGACGAATATGGATGTGGCATAGACCGAAGTGGTGTTCCTGGAGCCAAACGTTCGCGCTGATACCAGTGGAAATGTCGTGGGTTGCCCTGTTCATACAGGCGCCATGCCCACGGCGCCATATGGATCTGACTTACTCGAGGAGCCAAATCGAGCTTTTTGGGTGGAATGTAAGTATGAAATTTGCTGCGAACGCCAGTTAAGATCTTTGTACAAGCTACCTTGCGCCCGTAGAGGCACGCCTCGACTTGACTTTGGCGTCCACATGGGGCTGGAGAGTGGCCGCGTCTCACTGCCAGGCGAGGAAAGGAAGGACGGCTTTTGCCGTAAGATTGTATCTTTCTCGAGGCTGCGAAGATATCAAATATGGCAGCAACGACTGGCTCTGTGGATGGGAGAGCACATCGTACTGATCCATATGGGAAGTCCAATGCATATTCACCTTGTCCAAAGCTGCCTGTACCGGCTGTGGCGGCTCGCTCAGATTTGGACGTACTCGAGGCATCTCGACGCTTTTAGAGCACTCGCCTTGTTGTTCTAGCACGCCCATTTGTACAAAAAACTAAAATTTTGACAATTTGGGAGCACTCACTTTGACATGGCAACAATGCAAGGCACCTTTTTCGCACTCAATCTCTCGCCTGCTCTCTTTCTGGCCTCCTGTTCTTCCTCCGATGGTTGATAAGTCTTCTGTCTTCTGGACTCGTGCCACTGTAATTCATTCCCTCCGGCCGCGCGTCTCCGACCGGTGGAAAGGCAACTGCGAGGAAAACCCAATTAGCATTAGTCATCCTATGGACCCCATTACTATCCACACACAGTTGACTACACCAGCACGTACTACTACTACTACTCATAACTATGTAGGTGCATTAAAATGTTCATTGATACGTTCATTTGTTTATTCAGCAGCCATCCTTGTAGTCGTTTTTGGGCCACATCATATGGTGCGAAGAATTCAGGAACGATGTCAAGTTGTTGTTGTAATACAAGTCTTGATTCCGCTTGATATAATCGGCAGTCGGGTGGTCGCTTGGATCACATGAAACACGCTTCGAGCCAGGCTTCTGGTACACACGCACATGTTCGACAGCCAAATGTGCAGGAAATTGGATGTCGTCCCAATCGATATCCTGGAAACCACTTGAAATACCCAAGTTGATGATAATTGACATAGGTTCCTTCGGGAAGGTTCGCCAGGAAATTTGGGTCTTCTCATCGGGCGAAAGAGCACCTTGATACAATGTCCATGAAGGCTTGCCGTCCATGTACCAAGTGATATAACCGTTTCCTTGGTTATCGAAATCCGGATCGTATTCGACCCCGATGATTGTTGGTTTAGCGTCCGTGCCGAAGAAGGCCGAGTCAGGCACTCGCGTCACACACGACAAGGCTTCTTGAGTTTCCCCGCCCGACCAAGGATTCCTCTTCGTAATGTCTGAATCGTAGATGTGGTAAGAAGAACTGTTCCCATACCACTTGTAGTTGGCATCAAAGGGGGCAACTTGGTATGACTGTGATGCTTGTGAACGCCCGTCGCTCACTTGGATCTCATAAATGTCTAGCTCAGGCGCGGATCGTGCTGTTTTGCGGTCTGGGCCCGGATGGTCTTGGTCTGCACATGTACAGGATGGGAAGCGCATACCCGGCAAACTAGAGATGTTGTGAGTCTTGCCGAAGGTTTTCGCGTGCAAAGCAGCTTTAGGACCGTCGCGATCCGAATTTTGTTGGTACGGTAAGATACCAAGATCGCATGATTCATATGCATATGGCCACAAACCTTCAGTCGAAGCCAGGAAGCCAGGTCGGCCCAGGTTTCCCATGAGCCAGAAGCCCGGCCAGTATCCCTGCGTGGACGGCTTCGCTGGAAGAATAACGCTCGCTTCGATATACCCGCCCTGAAAACAAAATTTGTTCCACGACTGGAGCATGCCTGAGCGAAAATGGGTATTGTGCTCATTGTACTGGTCCATTGTGATGAACAGCTTGCCATCTTTTGTGACCATAGCTTCTGGCGTGTACCATTCATAATCAAAGGTAGCCTTGTAGTAGAAGTTTCCGCCTTCCCAAAAAGGGTCATCACCTGGCCAAAATGTGCGTCCCTCCTTTTCGAATTCATCGCTGAACACGAGTTCCCAATCTGTGCCGTCTGTGGCCACCTTCTTAGTATATGCCTCCTTCGGAGTATCAGGATCAATGAGGCCTCGAATAGGAAGCGGTTGTGGTTTGACGTCGGTAAGGTAAGAGTTTTTTCCTTTGTTGAATGTCCCGCTGAAGTTGGCGATGATCGGATAGCCGACAAACAACATCAATAGTGCGAGCGCAATGATGGCAATGGTCATGACGTTCACACATCCACGCCAGGTAGGCCGGTAAGAGTGCGCATCCACATTTTTGTCCGGGATATGCAAATAATCATCAGGTTCAGCTTGCATAGGATGTAAAACGACCATCCCGCGGCTCCGCGGCTGGTAAGTTTGTGTGCTAATGGGTCGTTTTTTCACGCTTGAGTGATCCAGGAACGATGAATTCTCTGCACTCTGTGATAGAGTTTTCCTCCTAGACGCAGGCGTCGACCCAACCGTCACACCTGCCTCCAAGTCCTGTGACATGTTATGTTGCATCGAGGGAGGCACTGTCGAAATATACGCATGCGAATCTGTCAAATCCTCAGCTGATTCCCATGCGCCGTCATCAGAAAAGCTGTTTCGCCACTCTTGACTAAGTTCTGTAGTAGCTTCATCGCGCAAATCGCCATATGATCGCATATGCTGACGTGTTCGTCGAGATTGTGGTCGTCCAGTAATTTCATGATCGGCCAACATACTGTAATCTTGTAGGCGATTACGAGATCGCTTGCGACCTGGAGCCATTGCTTCATATCGCTGTGCCATATCTGCCTAGTTGAGGGCAGTTAGGGTTTGTGCTACTATAGCTGCTGATGGTGTTGATGCCGACGCAGTGTTTGGGCCTTCCTCAACGCCGAGCACAGAATACGACAAAAAGAGTAATTTTGTGGTGAGACGCAGCGCGCGTGCTGTTGTGGCAATGCGTTGTGGTGGAGGCATGCGGCGCCCACTATGTTATGCATACAATCAGTCCAATTAAATAATTCACACGTTGTGGGCCCCAAGGAAGTCCGGGACTCCTATTGCAGGGGAAATTTATTTCACACGCCTCCGGTCAATAACAACACTTACGCAGGGCGAGCACTAAATTAATTGTCCTACGGCCACAGGCGGCGTCCAAGGACGTTGAGTAACAACAGCGGCACTCGCCGCTGCCGCAGTTGTATTCATAGATCCCGATGCAGAGGATGGAGCAGGTGCCGTTGTAGCTGTCGCAGGTGCACCAAGCCTTTGTTGCTCCGTGTCATGATTAATAACCCCGTCGGGGCTCCGTGAAACGTCAAGTGTGTCACTCTGAGGCAACAGCAGCGCACTTGCATCGGTCATGGTGTAATATTGCGGGGGCGCACGGTGCATGTGGGTACTCGCATGAGAACGAGAAGCTTCCTCCAATGCAGGTGAATCCGGCATGTATCTTGGCTTCACATTCTGCATCCAAATAGACGGCTGCTGATGAAAGACAGTGACGAGGCTCGATCCATGCAGAAGGAGTTGATCGAGTAAGTGGTTCTCCATGCGATCGAATGCACCCTCAAACGGTACAATTTCTGCAAAGACGACTGACGAAGCCAAATCAGCCTCAAGTGTAAGCAAACGGGTATAGAAGAAGCCTCGGTCGCGACAGTCTGGGTTCGTCGCTTGCTCTGTAGCCCATCGAAGTACTTTTTGCACGGGATCTGCACCAGCTTTTGGCTTGCGGAGAAATAACTTCACTGTCGCAGTCATCAAAGCGAGCTGTACTTCAGCTGGCTCGTCGAGAAATGTGGGAATATAGTGGCCCAGCAGCTGCTCACACCGGTCTATGCGATGCACGTAGTGACCCAGAATCCATATCATCGACACCTTCGCTTGCGGCTCATCTAACTGAGGAATGTGCTCACATAGTACGGATACAATGTAACCGTATCGATCAGGATACTTGCGCAGAATGTCCTTGATAACGATGATAGATTCCTGCAGCGCATACTGCACGTTATTCTGCAAGATGTTTTCCAACGCGGCCATACATGCATCGGCAATCGAGTCCCATTTTAGAGCCAGGCGACCAAGGACGTTGATTGCTTTACGCGAGACATCCACGCTGATGTCACTTGCACACTCTTGCAGCTCATCAACGACTTGCGCGGCATTCTCACACGTCGTTAGGCGATATATGATGTCCAGTTTCACTAACTTGACGTACTCGGGATCATTGTATGTACAGAAAAAGTGCGCAAGCTCCGATGCTAGGATAAGTGGTCGTCGTTGGACGATGAGTTGGACATTCTTCAGAATCGTGAACAAAATCTCGGGCGGCTCCTGCATGTGCTGCACAAGAATACGGCTGATCCATCGACATAGCGCATTTTTGCGTTCGGGATCGTGAATATAGTTCAGCAAATATAGAGCGACTTTGGTGGCCGTCATGGCTAGTGTCGGACTGCGTAGCTGCAGGTGTCGCGATATCGTATCAACCAGCATATGGGCCTCTTGCGCTGTCTGTGGAATGTAAAACATAAGTACCTCCAAAATATATGTTTGTCCCCATTCCGAGCACTCGAGTAGACGGCCCGCGAGGTTATTTGCCTGCTTAAAATTCAGGTTTAATTGGATCGTGGTGCTTCTCTCGGAGATATCAAACAGGGCAGCAACAGCACTAGTCAGTACCTCTTTATGGGAGTCCATCATCATCGCATTCAATTTTTCAATAAACCCGCTTCGCTCCATTAGCGGAGCGTCAAACTTGTGCATTTTTGCCACACACATGGCTGCTGTCTTCCGCACATACGCATTTTTATCGAACAATCCTCTCCGCACAGGATCAAGAAGCGCTTGGACCATATCAGGAGTCAGTAACGACGACATGGTGCGCAGTGCTAATGCACGTATCATGGCGTCCTGGCTGAGTGCATCTTGGACAAACTTGTCGATACACATTGGCAAGGGTTCTTTCTTCGCCATCCCGTAATTCGACAAGTACAGATACACCATCTTCTTCATACCCAACTCTTGAATGTCTAGGCAATCTATGACGCTGCTGAAAAGCGAGCTCATGTCGTTGCCCATAGATGCATTCGCAATAATGCGTTTCATGACTGCCATTTTCCGAGATACTGCCTTTTTGTCGCCGACCAAGTCCATCCGCAATTCATCAGGACTACTATATTGGAAGTACTTGTCATGCCGGTTCAAATCCGTCATGAGGCTCTACGATGCGTTGCATTCACAAGAGGCCCAGTTCGTGTCGTCACGATCAATCCACGCCCAACCCCATCCCTCAACCATTGGCGGAGATATAAGCTGATCCCTCCACTCACCGACATAAGGGCTTGTCTCTGCGCCCCTCCGCTATGAATTTCGAGCACCAAGATGGTCCCAATTCTGCCTCGTCGGCTCGCGTTGGCAGGCACACACATGCATCACGTGCATCTTTCCAAAAAGTTTTCCTCGCCCTTGATGGATTGTGACGGCTACGGCCACTAGGCGGCAGTAGTGAACTCGCCGACATTTTTTTATTTTCTGCTGTCGACAGCCAGGCTGCCGTTGGTCTGTGTCGACGACAGCGATGGAGTATCAACCATTGAGGGCGCCGCCAACGGCTGTTGCTGCCCCATCGTTCCAGTCGCATTCCGAGTCGTCATACTGGAGAAATCAGTTCCAGTCACCAATTTTTCTCAAGGAATTTGCGCCAGTGACTTGCATCCATTTCGTACCACACACTCATGCATCGGGCGATGAGCTAAGTATGAATGGCGCTTCTGCGTCCGTTGCTGGGTCTCGTGGCCGTTTTGCAGTAACGACAGGAACACGCGTTCAGATATACAGTATGCGCACGAGCCGCGTCGTGAAAACGATCACCCGGTTCAAAGATGTGGCTCGCAGTGCCCATTTCCGCTCGGACGCTCGTCTGCTCGTGGCCGGTGAAAATACTGGTAACGTTCAAGTGTTTGATACCAACTCGCGCACGATCCTTCGTTCGTTTCAAGGCCATCAGATGCCTGTTCATGTTTCGAAATTCTCGCCTGATGTGACACAAGTGCTCACTGCGTCTGATGACCGCACCGTGCGTATGTGGGACATGCCGGAGCAGAAAGAGACGTGCAGATTCGATGCACACTCAGATTACGTACGTGCGGGCGTTGTATCGCCCGAAAATCCGAGTGTCATAATGTCCGGTTCGTACGACGGAACCGTGCGTCTATGGGACATGCGTATGAGTGAGCAGAACGGACAGGCAATGCGCATGGACCATGGCGCTCCGGTTGAAGATGTGCTTGTTTATCCAACAGGGGGTAGCGGGATAGCTGTGAGTGCTGGCGGGCCGTTCCTTCGGGTGTGGGACTTGCTGAGCGGCGGGCGATGCATGCACACGATATCGAACCACCAGAAGACCATCACCAAGCTAGCACTGTCAGTTGACTCAGGTGCGGGCTTTACAGCCGACGGAAGCAGCGGAGGCATGCGCTTGCTGAGTGGCGGTCTCGACCACCTGGTCAAGGTGTATGATCCAGCACAGGACTATCGCGTCACACATACCATGCGGTATCCGGCGCCGATTTTGAGTCTAGCGGTCAGTCCTGACGAAAGTCATATCGCCGTGGGAATGTCCGACGGTACTTTATGCATTCGGAAGCGTGAACTCAAGGCTAGCGAGCTTGAGAGCCGGCAGCGTCGGCATGCCGCATTCCGCACGGGTGCATATCAACATTTTGCCGATACGAATAGTACTGCCCCTGTGCGAGCCAGTGCTGCGACGAAAGTCGATGAGCTTTCAGTGGAGTCAACTCGTCGACAACGTCTTAAGCGATATGATCAGCTTCTTAAGGCATTTCGGTACCGCGACGCATTGGATGCAAGCTTACAACAAGGTGTACCGGCTAGCGTGACATTTGCACTCATCATGGAACTTATTCGCCGCTCGCCTAGCGGACAAGCTGACGGTCTTCGACGTGCCGTTTCTGGTCGCGACGATATAACGTTGGAACCATTACTTCGTTTCTTGCTACGGCATGTGACGAACCCGCAATACACAAACCTTGTCTGTGATACCCTAAACATGATTATCGATACATATGCATCGGTACTTGGCCAATCGCCCATTATTGACGATCTGTTCGGTCGGATCTGGGCTAAGCTCGGTGAGGAAATGCGCCTTCGAACGCAACTCTTCCAGGTAAATGGTGCATTGGAGATGCTTCTTGCTCGTTCTGCTCTTAGTGCTGCCATGTCGTAGGTATAAGTGTAAGTTGTAGGAGATAAAAAGAAAGAAAGGGACAGAAAGAGAGAGAGAGAGAGAGAGAGAGAGACAGGTCATTGAATTGTTAATTACCTAGGCCACTACTTTGGATCCGAGGACTTCCTTGCCGGTGTTCTTGATTTTTTCCAGAACTGTATCAAACGGTACGAAGCCTTCGACATCAACTGACTGTTTCTCCAGGCTCACGGAGTATGAAGTAACACCTGTCGTTAATCCCCTCTTGCAATGCCACAAAACACCCGTACCATCGAGTTTACCGAGCACACGGTCAATAGCTCGGGAGCATGCCTCGCAGCTCATCTTCACATCAAAGTGATACTTGTGCATCTATTCAGCAAGCATGAGCTATTGCGCATTATCCCATATGTGTGCATACCTCTGTCATGATGCGTGGTGGTGGGATGTCCTGTTCAACGAAATAGAACTGTCGGTCCCAATCTCGTGTGTGTGCACCTTGAGTACACACTGACGTTCATGCCAGAAATTGTCCGTTCATGGGTGGCTCGTGTGCCTGTGGGCGTTGAGCACTTGCATATTCGTGCATAATTGTGTATGACGTAACACACACCCACATCTCGTAACAACTATACTCATTCACGTGACTTTGAGACAAGGTCCGCGAGTCTCACCCAGGAAAGCCACAAGGTTCCTCTAGTTGCGTGTATCGTTTGGACTTGCCCTACCGATACCTAACCCGATATGGAGAACGACCACGTATGTGTGCCAGTACATGCGAGAAAAGCCAGGACAATGGATACTAATACAGTGTAGGGTGAGCTTGTTGATCTTTACGTGCCTAGGAAGTGCGCTGCCTCCGGCCGTCTGATCGAAGCTAAGGACCACTCGTCGGTTCAGATCGCCGTGTGCGACGTGGACGAAAACGGCAAGATGATCCCGGGCTCGACCACCAACATTCCTATCTCTGGTGCTATTCGTCACCATGGCGAGAGCGATGACTCGCTGAACCGTATCGCGCAACAGATGGGCTGTATGTATTTTAGCGCGCTGTGAATACCAAACAGTCATTTGGTGTCGATAACAACGTGGTTCCCGTTATTATCGTGACCAATCTTTGCATCTCGTATTGGAATCGCGCGTTGACATCCCTGCCTCTCTCACCTGTCCTCTTGTTTTTGAAGCCAGCACCGCTTATTGTAACATGGTTTGCGCATCAAGAGCATGGATAACACTAATGACCCGCTTCAGACAGTCTGCGCTTAGCCGCGGGATCATTCTCCCTCATCTACAACGGCAAGGGCAGGATTCCATGAAGTAACGAAGCGAAGATTATGTTTGCTGGCAGCGGAATAAGAGCTCGCTTGCTCGTTCTTGGTGAGCTTGTCGAGTGTCAGACCTCTGCTACATATGGCTCTATGTGTTATCCGTGCTGATGGATTGCAACACTATGATATGTCAGGCGGTGCAAAAGATCAAACGGTTGGCACAGGTTGAGGAAAGATGGGCGTGTCTATGTGCATTCTTTTGGGGAAACTTGTGAAGGTGATCTGCTTGGATATTCTCTCAGCGTGTTAAGAATATGACAAGGAGTGTAACAGTACTAACATGAACAGTGATTAAGAATGTGTGGTCGTACCAGCAGCAGTAAATCATGCCATACAAAACTAAAAGAAATGTGATTCTGTCTGCAAAAGAGTGACAATGTGTCACCTTTTAGCGTAGAAAGGGATTGATAGTGTTCTATTCCCGTGTGCATATGTATGCAAGTATCATGATTGCTATATGTATGTACGAAGCAAAATGCCACATTAGGGGACCTCATTTTACCAACCGTATACCATGCAACAGCTGCATTTGCTGTGTGAGGCGTTTGTCCTATGTAGATGTGTGCAGTGCACTAGCACTGGTCATTAAGTGGCCAGGCGACGACCTCGAAGATTTACTACAAGATTGTGTTTGGTCTCAACAAATGCAAACCGATTAGAGCAGCAAGCCATTTCCATTGGACATCGTCGCACAAGTTACTGGCAGTAGGACAGAAATTCTTAAAGGCCCTCTTGTTGTAGTAAACATGTGTCAGCGAAGATGACACTAGTGCGCTGTGTGGATTTTCGGTGGCTGGACGGCCATGAGGTAGGCGAAACTAAATTTGTCCATCTGCACACAACTTCGGATACAACTGCAAACACCAAAGGGGAAAAAGAGGAAAAAAAAAAGCTTGGGACTGACGGCCCATTGAACTTATTGCCTTGCTTGTAAAATATATGTACCGCTAGACAGAATGCAAGAGAGTACAGGCACGGATCCAATGACGGGCCTTCCGCCGTCGATGTATCACCCGTCATCATCAGGCCGTATTTCTCGTGGTCACTCACTAGACCGCGGTAGACTATTAGGCGACCAAGCTCTTGTCCAGCGAGCACCACCTGAACTCCATCGTGCGGGCTCGTGGTCGATCCATGGTGCATCTGTCCCCCAAGTGGGTTCAGGTACGCCATGGGATACAGACACCCCGATAGCATCACCACCGACGCTATCGAGTGGTCGCCGTCGTCCGCGCCGAACATTGACTGACAATGCGACCGAGTTTTTGCATGCTGTCGACGATCTCCTAGGCTCAAATGTCCCCAGGCATGCACCTCCAGTGTCGCATATCATGAGTCCCGCTGATGGTGTGCGATCACCAGCGTCCCCGTTTGGTCCGCCTCCCATTGGCATGTCTGAACATCCCTTTGCTGCTGCCGGCCTTGATGCGCCATCATTGCGTCTTGGCGCCTCTAAATTTGGCTTCTCTATGCCAAATAGTGCTGTTGGCTCACCCCGCATTCGACCTCAAGAGGATCGCTTCCTCAACAATCCGTCGTCATCGTCTTTGTCCGCGGACTGGCCCGCACCCACCACAACCGACCCAGAGTATACCCGTTCTATGTGGTCATCTGTTCGTCTGCCGGGCCAGGTGCCTGATCCTTTACTGTATGGTGCGCCCAGTGGATCTGTGTTGTCGTCGTCGCCGGACGAGACGACAGCGCCGCTGCATGCGGAGACGTCTGTAGCGATTGCGCTTGGCGATGACGAACCACACCCAAACGCAACGCAATCGCCTCCCTTTGCTGTACATTCTCGGCCTGAGGTTTTTGAACGCACGCCAACCTTTTCTTCCATTGATCATGACCTCGCAAGCAGGATGCGCTCCATGACCCTTCCCGTGGATTTGTCTATTCCTCCGCTGCTGAGAGATCGAGCTGGCTCTATGAATCGCTTACATGAATCTCCGCCTCCAGGTCACCGAGTAGCGCCACGAAATGCATCGAAGACAGGTGCCCATGCCATGTATTCGCCGTACGTACCATCACCACCACCACCACTTTCATTCTCATCAGCTGCTGCTTTTGCCTCGCCATCGTCCGTGACGTCACCGAACATTCCAGACTCACCCGAGGCCGTGTCATTTGAACATGCCATGTCTCCACGAAGCATGAAACGACGCGAAGATGGCAAATGGTTTGGTCGCCCTGGCACACTGCGCCTTGGCGACACAGTGCAGGTGGGTCCTTCGTCATCGTCATCATCTACGCCGACTCCTGCTGCTGCCTCGTCTACATCGGCGCCGGCAGTCTCAGGGGCTCCGGCAGCGTCTGTGGAGGAAGACGCAATGGGCCCCATCAACAATCCCGGCATGACCGCCCCCTCTCAGTTAGGCAGGGCTAAGCCTAATGTTGCACATGATGTGCATGGTGTGGCCGAGTCGTTTGATGCATCGATGCGGCGCCGGAACTCGGCGCGAAGCCGCACTGTAGCGCATGCTGCCGCGGCTTACGAGGGCGCTGTGAATGGCGGGCGTTTCCACCGACGCGAAGACGGATCTTCGGGACCTTTGCGTACCGTTCCGCCTCCGTTGCAGGAAGGCGCTGGACACTGGGACTTTGGTGACGTGCGCGGCCAGCTTGCAGAAATTAGCATGGATCAGCATGGAAGCCGGCTGGTTCAAGAAAAGCTGGACCACTGCACGCCTGAAGAACGGACCCTTGTGTTTGAAGAACTGTTCCCCTGAATCACGGCGGCTCATGGCGGACGTATTCGGCAATTACGTGATTCAAAAACTGCTCGAGTATGGCACGCGTGAGCAAGTGCACATGCTAGGCGAGCAGTTGGAAGGCCATGTACTGCCATTATCACTGGGGACATACGGCTGTCGAGTCGTTCAGAAAGCATTCGAACGTGTGGATGAAAAGCAGAAAATTCGCTTGGGACAAGAACTTCATCCATATGTCCTGGATTGTGTGCGAGACCAAAATGCGAATCATGTCATTCAAAAGATTCTCGAGCAAGTGCCCAGCACCCACCTGGATTTCATTGCGGCAGCCTTCCGCGGGCATGTACAGATTTTGGCGTCACATTGTTATTCGTGCCGTGTGCTGCAGAGGATTTTTGCATATTGCAGTGAGGATCAGCGTCGGCCCTTGCTGGATGAGATGCATCGCGACACGCTGCGCCTCATGCAGGATCAGTATGGCAATTACGTTGTGCAGTGGGTGCTTCAACATGGCGACGAGCGCGATCGTCTTGCCATTGTGCGTGTGACGAAGACTCATCTTCCGCTGTCGCGCCACAAGTTTGCGTCGAATGTCGTTGAGCATGTGATTCAAGTGGCACCACCGACGGATCTGACGGATTTGCTTGAAGAGCTTCTGGCGCCTCTAAGCCCGTCGGACGCTGAAGGCCTGCCACTCCTTCTTGAAGGCACGTCACCCCTGTGCATTGCCACGATCATGATGCAGGATCAGTATGCGAACTATGTCCTTCAGCGTTTTCTTCAGACGCTTCATGGACACAATCGCGAGCGTCTTGTCCAGACAATCCGTCCCGTTCTGTATGCACTACGCCAGCGACAAGCCATCCTTGCTGCGCAGACCAACGCGGCGTCGCCCTATACCGCAAGCATCCGAATTCCTGGTGGGGGACACATTGGGAATAAGCCACTGCAGGCCATTGAACGACTTATTGAGCAAGGTCCCTGATTTTTTTTGTCCCTTTTTACTCTCGTTGAGCATTGCGGTCCTTGTCATGTTGCGACTCTGTCGTACGGAATGCACTCTTTTCCTATTCGCCTTTGGTCTTTGATCAGTTCCTTACTTACAAGCTTTTCCTCACTCTCGCACTCTTGTTCGATACATATGTTGTTGATAGATAAGCACGGACGATTCCAACGGTTGTGAAAGTAAATTCTCCGCAGTTTAGTTAGGGCGTAGATAGAAACAGGTGGAAAAAAAATTAACGTTACGTGTGTACGATCCGTAGACTGGCGTTGCGAGAAACCGCAAGACGCATAGTTTTGCAAGAGTGTTTCTCGAGGATTTATGCCTGTTATTCCTCTCCACCACGCTGTGCCATCGTGCCACGAATGTCTTTACTCGTCCGTGGTGACGACGACTTATGGACGTGCACCATGCTTGCGTGTCTATGCACCCCACGGCCTATACTTGTGACAATGTATATGGCTATGTGTACGTGAGCTCAGAGGATGCGACCATGCATGCCAAGCACATGGCTCTAGGCTTTCGTGTGCCTGATCAACCAGCACATCCGTTTGCTTTCCATATACCCCTAGCTGAATTGCAAAGCATTCGGGAGCACGCTCCATCAGCGATGCGCCCGATTGGCTACGTTGAAATAGTATCGTCTTCCCACAAGCCACAAACGCTCTTTTATCATAAAGATCCTTTCGACGATCAACGCAGTCCCAACGATTGGGCAGGGCACCGTCTCATTGACGCTCTTGTCCCATTTGTCGACGTTCTTGCCAGTCGCGAAACTCCTCATTTATTTTTGCTGGACCCCTCTCCAGAAGATCGAGCAAGGCATCAAACGCCGCACTTTGCCGATGATGCCATCGACGCCGTGCTTTCTCGCCGGTCGCCGCTGCCACCGCAGAAGTCTCGTCCCGACACTTTAACTTCATGGGCCAAATCCACCCACATGTCAGTCCTAACGCAACTTTCGCATGTGGTGCGAGGTGCACGCGATAGTCGCGATGCCATTCTTGCTCACCCACTTGTACGCCGTGCCAAACCACATGTTTCGACGGCGCAAGCCGGTCCTTATATGGTTAGTGCACAGTCTTCAACTCCCCTATTGTCACCTGATCATCCATCGCTGGAGTTTGATGCTGCACGTGTATATCTTGCCAAGTGGGCAAGCCAAGTTGCCAAAGAGGGCGAGCTGAATCGTATTGCCGAGCATGCGATGGACGACGGTCCTGAGAGAGACGCCGAGTCTCTGCTGGGTGCATCCAATCTGCCGATTCTCCCTGCTTCAGACGACAAGATTCCTCCGCTCTCGTATGACGTTTGCACTGAGCTGTTGAACACTGGTGCTCCAGCTCATGCGGTCGCTCAGCAAATATTTCGGTTTGGCCTCGCGTCTAACGCTCGCGCGTTGATGTGGCCATATTTGATGGGTGCATTACCACTAGAAAGTGATGTTGAAAAGCGGCGATGTGCTGATGGCGAGCTTGCATCTTCTTACAAGGCATGGATGTCCCGCTGGTTCGGTCATGCTGTCACATCCGACACCCTCGAGGCATCTCGGCACCGAATTTGGATCGACTGTCTTCGTGCAGATACGAAGCATGCCTTCTTTCAAACCGACGCATGCAACAAGAGTATTATGCTCCAAGTCAATCAGAGTGGCTGGAGCCGCCCAAGCCCACAGGGCTCGTCTGACACGCAAGTCAATCCTCATTTATACGTCTTGAGCAACATCCTCTGGACTTTCGAGGTTTACGCCGAACATGCTCATGATCTGCTTCTTCCTCATGTCGAAGGTTACGTCCAAGGCATGAGTGACCTGTGCTCTGTATGCTATGTGGCTTGCGAAGGCGACGAACCCCGCACTTTCTGGACCTTTGTTGCCGTGATGCGACAATGGGGTTGTCATTATGTCGCGGATCAGTCGGGCATGCGTCATGAGCTCCTGCTTCTTCAGCGCTTGGTAGCGGAGCTGTGCCCCCGGCTTTATGAGTACTTGCAGCAGATCGATGGACTGAATTTGTTTTTCTGTTTCCGCTGGCTTCTCGTCTGCTTCAAGCGAGAATTTGAGTTGCACGACGTGTTTCGTATTTGGGAGGCTATCTGGTCAGCAGGATGGAGTCGCACAGAGCACAGGGGCTGGCCTCTTTGCTCACATCTGCATCTGTTCGTGGCACTCGCAATTCTCGAAAGCCACGAGCGCCTGCTGATTCGTCACCTGCGCTCATTTGATGAAGTGCTCATGTTCATTCATTCCCTTGCATTCCACATGGACGCAACATCTGTTCTGCGGCGTGCCGAGGCACTTGTGTACCGCCTGCGCAGTCGTGTTGTACAGGGCAATGATGTGGATAGCGAGCTTCGGTCCATGGTGCTATGCTAATATATACATACTAATACAAGAGGTGCGCATCGACGACATACCGATCGCCCGTTTGCGCCATAGTGAACTTTTGCGGTAGATATCTTGTCCGGTGCCATGAGCGCACGAGTCTCATGGCCTCGGACATGTTCTGCAGACACACAAGGAACCATGCAGACGTACTGTCCGGATGCATAGACGGTAGTTTAAGCACGTGGGGGATAGAATGAAGTGGTGTGAATCCCATCGTTCGTACAACGTGCCAGTCCACACTTGACGGAACACCCAGTGCGTAACTTCGCTCCAGCTTCTTCGCCAACTTGCTGGCGGTCGTTTGCAAGGGTAGGTTCCGCAAAATCACTGCATGCATAGGATAAGACGATCCAATGTCCACAGCTGCTAGTGTTTCAGCCGGCCAATGCGCATACTGTTCCTGCACAAAAGCATCACGCTGCTCGTCACTTATCCATTCAACATTCACTACTTCGCCTCCGATGCAAAGGTCCTGAAGAGGCTCAGGCTTTAGTGATGCCTGTGGGCCCGCATGTGCTCCGCTTGCATATTCAAGAAGTACAGACCCAGTAGGCAAAAGCGCTGGATTGCGAATAAAGTTGATCCGTCGCACCTCACCTGCTACGCGAAGAATGTCTACTGTCCACGCCGTGTAAGGGACATTACGTAGTAAAACGTGTCGAGCCTCAAGAGGCACACGCATCGGACGAGGCAGTCACACGCTCTTGTTTTACAGTACAGCGGTTTTGGCTAGAAACCAGCTAAGACAATAGGGGTGTCAAATTCAGGTGCGTGATGCATCGTCGCCGCTGTGTGGGCGCAACAAGTGTGGAGGGCCCGATAGCTCGGCCGCCGCTGCTTGAAATGCTGAACGATGGATGTAATGGATGAGGATTGTCGCCTACGAATCTGAGATACCTGGATTGGCCTAATGCGATAGCTCGCCTCTGGTCGTAGGAGTTCCGAAGGAAATAAACTATCTGCACGTCATTCAACTTGTTTAGATCATTCGAACTCGGATTAGCGCCCAATCTCCTGACACCAAATAAATGAGTATGCCCGCCCGTAACTGTGATTTGTGTGATTTGATATGCGGATTACAGGTCCGCTACTTGGCATGCAAATCTCACTCTCATTGGTTGGTAAGCCATTGAAAAGATAATGATGGATGTGCATGCCCCATTCTTACTTTCCGGTTTGTCATGAACAGGTTCAAAACCATGTCTACTCCAAGCCCACCTTAAACGTGTTTAGAAGCAATCTTGTCATTTGTGTGTGTGTGTGTGTGTGTGTGTGTAGTCTACACCATGTGGTGCGAAAAAGTAGCTGCTAATAAGATCGAATATGTTACATCACTCTCGTGGCAATGGATTTTCGCACGCACAATCCGGTCGAAAATGTTTGGGGAGCCCAAGTGGAGGTCACTGGCCCACCGGCCCTCACGGGCCCTAGTCCTCAATCTATCAAGCGAGTGAAATGTTGGCGTGCTTGTACATATTTGGGCCCGTGGTCCAATCACATGATTGGGTAGTCCAGGGGGGGGGGGCGCTGACATATAAGTGTCGCCGAGGTTGGGCAGCTCGTCTTTTTTAGTCTTGCCATTTTGATCATGTTGGGTGTCCTGCGAACTGCACTTCGTCCCAATGCTCGCGCAAGCCAACGCTGCTTTTCTACTCTTTCAGTACGATTCCAGGATGCTTCGCGTAGCAAGATCATGACCCCGGCAGCCGCCGTGGCTGATATTAAGCCTGGTGCCAAGGTCATGGTCGGTGGTTTTGGTCTGTGTGGTGTGCCGCGCACACTCGTTGACGAATGTGCGAAACGCCCCGACCTTAAGGACCTTCATGTTTTCACGAATAACCTTGGCACTCCCAACCATGGTGTCGGTGTTTTCGGTACGCGTAGGATGATGAAGTCCGTCACAGGATCGTTCTTGGGTGGCAACCGGGAAGTCGGTGACCAGTTCTTCAACGGCGAGGTTCAACTGAACCTTGTGCCGCAGGGTACATTCGCCGAGCGCATTCGTGCCGGCGCTGCTGGTATTGCAGCATTCTTCACGCCTACCGGCTATGGTACAGCCGTGCAGAAGGGTGAGCTTGTTCTTAAGTATGAAAAGAAGGACGGTAAGGCTGTGCCAGTCATGACGTCCAAGCCGCGTGAAGTGCGCTCGTTTGACGGCCGTGACTATATCCTCGAAGAGGCTATTCATGCTGAATACGCTCTCGTGCACGCGCGCAAGGCCGATGAGTCTGGTAACCTTGTTTTCCACTCCACGGCACGCAACTTCAACGACCCGATGGCACGGAACGCACGCATTACCATCGTTGAGGCTGAAGAAATCGTGCCTGTAGGTGCGCTGTCGTCGGATGAAATCCACTTGCCGTCTATCTATGTGGACCGGATCGTGAAGGCTGAGCTGCCACTCGAAGTTGAAAAGGTTTGCCTCTCGAAGGCTGAAGATGAGCCTCGTAAGTTCACAAGTCGCGAGGTGATTGCGTCGCGCGCTGCGAAGGAGCTGTCCGATGGTATGTTTGTCAACTTGGGTGTTGGCATGCCAAACCTGGTTCCGTCGTTCTTGCCGAAGGACGTCAGGGTGCATGTTCATACTGAGAATGGTCTGCTCGGCGTCGGTCCTTACCCGGCCAAGGAAGAAGATGTTCACACGGATATCATCAATGCTGGCAAGGAATCGATTACAGAGCTCCCTGGAGCTGCTGCCTTTGATTCCGTCGCGAGTTTCGACATTGTGCGTGGCGGTCACCTTGACGTGACCATGTTGGGCGCTCTGCAGGTCACGGCGAACGGTGACTTGGCTAACTACATGATCCCTGGCAAGTTTGTGTCGGGCATGGGTGGCGCAATGGACCTTGTGTCGAGCCCCGACAGTACTCGCGTCATTGTGCTGACGGACCACACTGACAAGTACGGCAAGCCAAAGGTTGTTGCCAACACGGAGCTTCCACTTACCGGTGTGCGTTGCGTCAGTATGATTATTACGGATCTCGCTGTGTTCGAGGTTGACCGCAAGAACGGTGGCCTGACCCTCGTTGAGCTGCAACCTGGTGCCACGATCGAGCAGGTCCGTGAAAAGACGGGTGCTCCATTCAAGGAGGCTTTGTAAACTAATATGGTTCGCCCTCCAACTACCTGTCCTCAGTCATTACGTTAGTTGACTCTTCCGTACAACAGTGGTAAAATCAGACGACTGTATTTTTTTTTTTTGGGTTGTTGCTAGGTACATACAAAACCCTTCTAAGTACGTAGGTGGCTAGGTGTGCCTTTACCGTCCGGCGCTATAGCTGGCTTTGTCAGTTGAATAGGGTCATTAACAGCGGCGTCATGCATTTGGAACGATGTCGGCGTGTAGGCGGCCTTGGGAGACTTGACACACACAAGCGGTGATGGCTGCTGGTCGTCAGTCATCACACTCTCGCGATCCATGTCCGATGGTCCCTCGATCTTTTCGCTCGCGTCGAATTCCCATGTTGACATGGAGTCATCCTCGCCTTCAGAGTCGTATTCGTCAAGAATTTCCTCCCCAATCAACTCCTCCAACACATCCTCCAATGTGATGATACCTAACGGGGCATTCGGCACCAGGTTTTGCTCAACAACTGTAGCTGGTGGAAGTGTTCCACTTGCGCTCATCGGGTGGTCGGGGTCATCGAAATCGCTCTCCTTGCCTCCACGCATGCGATGAAGTAGACGCTGAAGACGGGAAGAACGCAGACTTTTCGTCCTTGGCTCTGTTGATGGAGCAGACCCTTGCTCCAGTTCTGACGATGCATTCAGAGTCGCGGGAATCTTCGTTTTGGGCGGGACAGTAGCCTTGGTTGCGTGTGAGGAATGTGGCGATACAATGGCCATGTGCGACCGACCTTCTTGGAAAACATTTAGCACATTAAGAAGCGGTTCATCCCATGGCACTGTCGGTAATGCATTGATCAGCATTTCACTCACAGGCACAGCATCTTCAGGATCTAGCAAAACGCACTGTTTCACGAGCAGGGCACCGACAATTTTGCGATGCACTTTGCGTGGAACTGGTGGCTCCGAGTACAGCGCTTTTGAGTCGTCGGTGAGGGGATTCCTCTCCAGTTCTGCGCTTTCTGTCGTCAGCGCTGGCTCGAAGTGCGACACGGGTGGCTTGAGTCCAAACGATTGGCCTAGACGAGATATGGTGCCCTTGCGACTTGCTGATGGAGTCCATGCACCAGAAGCATGCACTGACGCATTAATGTCTTGGTATACAGGGATGCGTGAATGTCCCGAACGCACGATTCGCTCAAGCGTTGGATAATCTAGACGTGCAGTCAGTGGGATCATGTTGACCCGATCAATGGGCGTCATGGCCTGCTTGGCAACCTTTTCCTGCATGTCCAGCGCACCGCCGACAATGGTGACGGTGTCGTGCTTGAGATCGCCACCACGCCCCCCTGCAACCTCATGCATCGTCACAAGTTCTTTAAGTTCAACGCGACGATACATGGTACCGTGGTGTGGTCCCAGCACATAATGAAGAATGCGCGATACGGGCCAAGCAATAGGGTACAAAATAATCATGACGATGCGAGTAAAAAGTGCCATGTGCGCTCCGATAAACAAGCCATACCTGGAGCACACACTCTGAGGAATCAATTCGGCAAAAATCACCACCAACACAATCGACACGATGACGGCTTGAATGCCACCACCAAGCACCGGATCTGCAATAATTGGTAGTGTTTCGTTTGTAATCATATTGGCAATGAGCAGCGTCGTTAAAAGCAAATGGCCATCTTGGCGTACTGGTGCAATTTTTCGAGCATATTTTCGTTCTTTTTGACTACCTTGGGCCATCAGCACTTGCAATTGTGTCTCGTCGAGCGACATGTATCCCAATGTGAGGCCAGCAAATATGCCAGATAAAATTACTAACACAGGAATGAGGATAGCGAATATCACTTTCCTGCTAGTAGAAAGTGATCCATCATCCCCTCCAACTGATATTCCCTCTTCTCGTTTCGCCAGCATATGGTATGAAAAATCCGTTGAACTGGACTGTACAAAGTCAACAGACATGGGCGAAGTGGCCATAGAAGCATCCCAATGCACGGTTCCATTCACTGAGGCTAACTTGATTCCCGCAAATAGCCCCGCTACCAACAAGCTCACTGCCAGAATGAGGAGAGTCAGCAAGGAAAAAACAAAAGGTGGTTTTCTCGGATATGTTCCCTCCGGCTTAGTGTGTGCGGAAGATGATTGCAACGATACAGTGTTTTGCCATGGCGAATGAAAGAGGTGATTCACACGTTGGTCAAAAGCACGCGGTTTCTTTTGTATGCCGGTTAGTGCACGACCTGTTTCCAGAGATATGCGTATGTCAGGGTCAGACATTCACGTCAGGAAGGAAAATTCGTGTACTGCGAGTAGTCTGTCTGCACCAGTTCAGATCGAACCCCACATGTGCCTGTGTGCTAATTAGTCTGACTGATGTGGAGAAATGACGCTCACAGCCACGCTACGCTGAGACGTTGTCGTAAACGCTACGTATTCGCTACTCAGACGCAATTGTGTGATCGACACATCACATCTCTCCATGGCTTAGCGCGGCTAGATGCTTGAGAATGGAATCACGACCTGGATGTGTGAATGCAAAATGTTGGTGAAGAAAATCAACAACCATCATCTTTCTACGTAAGCCGTACGACTAAAGCATGTTGAAAAGGCGTTCTGCAGCGAGCGTCGTAAAATGTCGTCTGGCGACATAACTCTCGTCCCGCGCTCCATGTGAACGAGCTCAGCTCCGTGAGTTATGCGCTTGGTATATTTTACACCCCCCACTCTTACTTGAAGGGGGGCGCTAGGCAGGGATTATCACGTGATTATGTTTTCTTCCATGTGTGGGTGGTATGCTCTTGCATGGAAAGCACTAGAACAATCGATTTGCGGTGCTGAAGGCGGCGGCTGTCGAGAAGTTAGAGAAAATGACAAAATCCATTGGAATACAGTGGGGCGTGAAGATCCACTTGCGTGTCATAAAAACGAGTCAAGGCGCAAGTGAGCTTCTTTGGATCGACTCAACCCACCATGGTCAAGTACGTAAGAAACTGCGTCCTTCAGACGTAAGAAAAGTGAGCATTCGTATACTAACAAGACAGGGAGACAAAGGTTTGTATTATTGCACCGCCGTCAAATACATTGGAATTTATGGATTCGTGCTAACTAGCAGCTTTATGATCTCTTGGGCGTGTCGCCTGACGCCTCTGAGGCCGAGCTGAAGAAGTCATACCGAAAGAAGGCATTGTCTCTTCATCCTGATAAAGGCGGTGATCCGGAACTGTTCAAGGAAGTGACATCTGCATATGAAGTGCTCTCAGACTCGAGTAAGCGCGAAATGTATGACCGCTTTGGAGCTGAAGGTCTCAGCGAAGGCGGCATGGGTGGCGGTATGGACCCCCAGGACCTGTTCTCTCAGCTTTTCGGAGGCGCTGGAGGCTTCTTTGGCGGTGGTGGACGCCCTCGTGGTCCGAGGAAGGGCAAGGACCTGGTCCATCGCGTCAAGGCGACGCTGGAGGACCTGTATAACGGCAAGCTGACGAAGCTTGCCCTGCAAAAGCATGTGTTGTGCGCCAAGTGTCAAGGACGTGGAGGAAAAGAAGGCGCAGTCAAGACATGCAACACATGTAATGGTCAGGGTGTGAAGGTTGTATTGCGTCAGCTCGGTCCTATGGTGCAGCAAATGCAGCAGACGTGTCCTGACTGCCATGGTCAAGGTGAACAAATCAATCCAAAGGACCGCTGCACGCAATGCAATGGCAAGAAGATTACGCAGGAGCGCAAGGTACTCGAGGTCCGCATCGACAAGGGCATGGAAGATGGTCAACAGATCACATTCAAAGAAGAGGCTGACCAGGCGCCCAATACGATTCCTGGTGATGTGATTATTGTGGTGGACGAACAACCACACCCTCGCTTCAAGCGTAAGATGAATGATTTGTTTGTGAATGTCGAGGTTGATCTGCTTACGGCGCTCGCTGGCGGTCGTGTGAGCATCCCACATCTTGACGACCACGCTCTCTCGGTTGAGATTCCCCGCGGCGAGATTGTCCACCCTGGTGACATGAAGGTACTTCGTGGCCAGGGCATGCCGTCCTACCGCCATCATGAGTTGGGCGATCTGTATGTGAATCTTTCAGTCAAGTTCCCCGATAGCTTGAACGAGGATCAGCTGCAGCTGCTCGAAAAGGCATTGCCACCACGTCCTGCACCTGCCTCGTTGCCCAAGGATGTGGATGTCGAGGATGTCGTCATGGACGCGATCGACGAACATGAAGCTCATCGCGCACGTACAGGTCCCGCGACGACGGGAGAAATGGAGGACGATGATGCGGCTGGTGGTCCGCAAGTGCAGTGCGCACAGGGCTAAGGGTATGGATAGCCCTGTTGGAGTGAAGATGAGCGAGTCCAGGTCGCCCAGAGGTGTTGATCGGTTGTTCGATTCTCTCCGCCGAGTGTATGAATCTAGAAGTCGATCCGTCGTCGGTTTGTGCTAGTTTGTGTATGTATGATGATGACAAGTGCAAGCACACGCCCTCGATCTCTCATGTAGTACAAGCAGGATGCATAATATATATCTATATCTATATATATATATATCCATTTAGGACATGCCACCGTGAGACGGCCCTGTCGTTGTTGAAGCCCGAGACACGAGCTCCATCTGTCTACGCTCTGTCTCTTCAAGCATACGGTCCAGCTCTTCGAGCTCGTTGGTCTGTGACTTTAAGGAGGCCTGGCTGCACAAGAAAAGAAGTCAGTGGGAGATTGAACGTACATTTGCTTGACTCTCGCTTCCATGGTCGAGAGGTTTTGAGTACCTGAGACGACCTTCTCGCCGTTCCAGTCACCCTTTTCAATTACTTCCACATGAACGATGGGGCACGCATCGGTTGCCACAGAGCTTGGAGCAAATTGGAATGCACGCACCTCGGCATTTCCCCAGTAGGACATTGGGTCGTCAGTTAGACGGCGCAGAAAGTCGCCATGCGCCACGACAGCAATGTGCTGCTCTGGTCGCTCGCGTAAGAACTGGCGCACCCACTGCGCACGCGCATCGAGGGACACAGGGTCAGCCGCGTAAAATCCACGCTTGCTTGTCCAGTCAGGCGTCAAGGAACTCAGATCATATTTTGCAAAATCCGGCTGAGACTCAAGAACATGGCGTGCTGAACCCGTATCACAAGGCACATCATTGCACTCTGTCAAAAGAAAAAAACGAAAGGAGAGAAAGAGAAAGAGTTAGTAAATTCATTAAGTACTCATGCGAGATAGGCCAGAGGGCGTGCAATGACGCAGCCTAGAGGCGCTTGCATGCGCGACATACCTTGAAGTTGGGGAAGGCATATCACTTTCGTGTGCCCACCGAGTCGCGCAATAGCAGGCTTGTAACCTGCCTCGGTCGTCTGCAGTGTACGCCTGAGCGGTGAGGTCACGATCAATTCGACCCGTTCTTGCAGATCAGGCGTCATATACGCGAGACGCTCCGCTTGCTGCTGGCCCTTTGGCGTGAGCAAAGCGTCAGCTATGAGTGAGTCGCCCGTCGCATTCTGCATCAGAATTAACTTTCACAAGAACACAAGATTATCAATCTGTCAACGTACGTGCTCAGCTTCAGCATGTCGCGTTAGGTAAATCCGACTCGTTGGGGCCATATCGTGATGGAGGAACGAACTAGTGTCATTGCCTTACGTCTGGCAACAAATGCACACACTTGACGCACGCACGCACACGCGTCAGGCGCCGCACCCACACACAGACAAACACACACTCACTTGCGCTTCCAGTCATGTTCGCAGGGACCTCATCTGACTTTTTACTAAGAAAAACGACATATCATGTGATACAAGCTTGGTGGTTGGCTGGTCGCACAGTGGTAATGGTGGTGGTAGTGGTTCCAAGGCCTAGCTAATTGACTTGCTTTGACTGGCGCTTATGGGCGCGGCCGATGGACTTTTCGCGCGGCAAACAGCTATACCCTTCTCTGTCGGTGGAGACGTCATCTAGAAAAGGATCGTAGGGAGATGTTGGGGCTCAAGTCGACGATGGCTGTATGTATACATGTGTGCAGGGGAGTTGCATAGATGTGCAGGTTTACTGACATTTTGTGGCAAAGATCATCGACAACTCAGGTGGGCTTGTGGCTGAATGCATCAACGTCTTGCGGTACAAAAGCTCGATGGGCTTGGGCCGTGTAGGTGATGAAGTCGTGGTAGTAGTGCAAAAAGCGAAGCCCATTCCTGCGAACCAAGTCTCAAGCGGTAGTTCCAATGCACTCAAGGTCCGTCGCGGTGATGTGCGACATGCCGTTATTGTACGCACAAAAAAAGAAGCGCAGAGGCCTGATGGACGTGTCGTGAAGTTTGATGACAACGCATGCGTTCTGCTGAACAACCGAAAGGAGCCGCTCGGATCGCGTGTTAACGGTGTTGTGTCGAGCGAGCTGCGTGACCGTGGCTGGGGCAAGATTCTCAGTCTTGCATCAAAAGTCGTGTAGCTAGCGACCTGTATAGATCTACCTATATACCTCGGAGGATGCCAAGTACACTTTGCCAAGGAGTGAGGAAAACAATGAAACAAGGTCGGCATGAGCCTTCAAAAAAGGGCATCAATGCAAGCAACATCGCTGTGGTGTTCATGAAGACTAAGAGCATACCGAATCTATATAAGGCTCGAGTGAGAGGGAGAGGGAGAGGGAGAGGGAGAGAGAATGAGAGAGGAAGAGAGAGTACGCATGAGGTTATGAAAACATTCACAACCACTACTAAGGCTCCGTGGAGGGGGCAGGTGGTTGCTCGTAGCCTTCCTGAGGCGCTTCTCGCTGCTTGCGCCAGGCTTCCGTCCGTCGAGCCGTCTCCTCCGGTGCGAGACTCCGATGTGTGCGCTTCCGATGACCTTTCGCCGCTGTACCGGGACCCCAATTGGCCTGCGGATTCATTTGGTAGCGAACTGCCTTGTTCTCAGAGCGGGTACCTGTGATGATGGCTTGCGTATCGGGATGCTCGGTTTCCAGATCAAAGTCGCAATGCAACGTAGCAGGCGAGCCATCGTCTCGCACATGTGCGAGCAAACCTTTGGCAGCCGACCCGTCTTTCAGACGCTCAGGGTTGACGGGATTTGTTCGAATCCATGTTCTGTAGAGATCGTACACTTGACCCCTGCTTGCATTCGTCTTTACAGAGCCCGGAATACAGTGCGAACGCGACACTTTGTAGCCAGCATTGAGCAGCGCATGGACGACCGGAGCAAAAGCAGGACTGGCGCAGTGGAATAGACCGGCTACTTTCGCGGGGTGGAAGTAAAAGAGAGCGTCATCGAGCTCATCGCGGGCCGTCGATACCATACCGCGGATCCGCGCTTCTGTATGCACAGGATGACGACCGGAATCGAGAGTGCTTAGCAGTTCATCACAGAACATTGCATTGTGAAGAGGACCCAGCCACATTGGCCCACCTACATGAAAGGTACCGCCACATTCGGCACAACGGGTATCTGTGGGTGGGCCAGACGCTGAGCCAAACTTGTACATGGTGAGCCCAGTCTTGGCATTTTCGGTTGCTGTGCATTTACCCATGTGCTGAATATGATAGTTGCTGCACTTGGAGCATGTGTACACCAAACCGGTTTTCGATGCGTTCTGTTTCACCGTTTCAGGCCGCGACCAAACACGGACAAACACACGCAAATAAAAATCAATGGAGAGTGAGAGCATGGGTTCTACGAAGCGGACATACCTTCCTGCTGCCATAGAGATGGCATGCAAAACAAGACGGAGCGCCACTTCATGACTGTATTCGGCCTTGATGCTGACACCGCCGTACAAAGAGAAACATTTTTCCGGGTAGTTGTGCCCGGCCAGCACCGCTAGATCCGTGCATGTGACGCAAAGAAGGCCACCATCCGTGACCGCCTGGACAGCAGCGTCAAGAAATGGTGCAGCAGTACCGTACGGGTCGAGATCCACGAGGTCAAAGCGTTTAGGCAGCTCCCTGTGCTGGTACATGAGACTGATAGCATCTGCTTCGTTCGCATGTACTTTGCAATCGGGATGGATTTGCATCGTAGCACTGCTGCTTGGTGCTGTGGCATTTTGTGACGAGGTTGATTCACCTGGGTTCTGCACTTTATTGTCGCATTTGTGGCCATTGCTGCCATCACGGTTGCTCTCAGCGTCAGTGTCAGCCTCTTCGAGTTGCTGCACATCCATGTGCATCCATTCGTCCACAGGACGATCAGGTGGAAAGTTCAGTGCCAAGTTCCGACGAAGCGCTTTAACTGCACTAGCCGACAAGTCGTTGGCCACAACTGACCCGAGGAGGGGGATTTCCTTTGCATATCGAATGCTGCGGAGCCCCTGTAGCACTGAGTGCCTCGAGTGCTTTGAATTTGTATGATTGGTACGTGTGCTTCGCATCCTTGGTATCTGGAAGGGAGGGGGTTCGTGTCAGTACATGTGATCATGCTTCCTACATTTGGGGGGGGGGTCTTGTGCGTCCAGTCCCCCTCCCGCCAATCGGCGGGGCGACGTACCTGTCTTGATGCGCTTGGTATCAGGCTCAGAAGTATCTCTTGCACGCATCTCACGTGCCCTTTGCCGCGCTTCGTAGCGCTGGCGTTTCTCGCAGTCAAAGATCTGGCTCCATGTGATGATCGCGAGTGTACTGAGATCGCGGTTGAATTCCTGCACTGGGTTGAGAAATGCTGCCTCTTTCGATGGCATTACGATTGTCGCGCTATTCTCACGAAAAGCAGATTCATGCGCACGAATATGGATGCCATACTTGGCAACCACGTTGGGACTTAGCAGAATGGGTTGCGGTGCCATGAGCGTACGCGATGCAAGACGCACAAGGCCCATATAGAAAGTGGCACGCACGAGATTATTTCATCTTTTTTTTCGGGGTCTCGTTCGAGCTTGGTTGTCTGGCTGTCTGTTCCCAAGCTTCGCGCCATTCAGTGTGGATGTGGTCACGTGAATGACTGGCCGGCTAGGTCGCTGCATTGCGCACTACTGCGCTTATGTGGGCAACGACAGATTCAAGCGTCAGACAGTGGAGGCTTGGATCGTCTCTGGGTGCTAGGTTGGTTGCCAGGCAGGCGTGGGGATGGGGTCTCTTCAGGCACGAGACTAGCCACGAGGGAAGAAGCAGCGTGCATTTTTTTCGGGTCCTACAAAGTTTTACGTAGACTGCGAGTGATAGGGTAGACCAAAGTCATACGACTTGAACCACCATGTCCGGCGACGTTCGTGCACGGTTTGGCGAGCACATCCTCCAAGATGACTACGTAGCGAAGAAGCGTGCTGAGTACGATGCAAGTGGGCCATACCACCACTCGGTGGTGCATGGACTAGTGAATGAAGACCTGCTGAAGCGTGCGAGAAACGAGATCGTCGAGGAGCTGCACTTCACCGAGAAGGAGACTGACATATATAAGGTCAATCAGACAGGTGACCTGGCGAATCTCGATGGCCTGTCAGAGGAAGAGGCAGGGCGACTCAAGTCGTTGATGGAGCTTCGCAACGCCATTTACTCGGACGAATTCCGTGATTGGATCCGTCGCGTTACGGGATGCGGGCCATTGAGTGCGAAGAAAAAGGATATGAGCATCAACGACTATCGGCACGGGTGCCATCTTTTGAATCACGATGATGTGATCTCGACACGCCGCGTGTCGTACATTTTGTACTTGCCAGACCCTGCTGAGCCGTGGCAGCCAGAATGGGGTGGTGCCTTGGAGCTGTATCCAGTGAAAGAGGCACATGTGCCGGATGATGTGCCATCGCACATTGTGCCACCGCATTGGAATCAGTTCAGTTTCTTCGAAGTACAACCCGGCCACTCGTTCCACAGTGTCGAAGAAGTGGTGCACCCAACCATGTCGCGCTTGAGTTTGTCAGGCTGGTTCCATCGCCTGCAGCCGGATGAGCCTGGCTTCTCGCCAGAAGAAGAAGAGCGTGAGCTGCGAGCAGAGAAGGAATTCAGCTCTGTCGGCAGCTTGACGTCGAAGAAATTCATGAGCACGTTTGATGAGTACGCTGAAGACAAGTATGGCACACCTCCGCTCCCGGGCACAGGTCTGTCATCTGAACACACGCGCTTCCTTGCGCACTTCCTGAATCCGGCATATTTGACGGCGAAAATCCAAGCGACTCTCTTCGAGAAGTTTGGCGACGACTCGCATCTGCTACTCTCGGACTTTTTGCGCAAGGATATCGCCGAGAACATTGAGCGTGTGCTCCGAACGAAGGACGAAGACGATGGCTTTGTTTGGTGGCACGGCGAGAAGGAGCAACGTGTTGGCTTTGATGCGGTGCGAATCCAGCCGCATGGCGTCGGCACGAATCGCGCGCGGACCCCCAGTGACGAGGACCGCCGCTGGATCCTTGCTGGGCCACCGCATCGTGAACGCTTTGCCACTTTGCAGTCCGCCTGCACGCCGTCAGATGCTCCCGTAATCGACTACGCGGCGAATCCACCGTCACCATTTGTCCCCATGCCAACGAGTCCTGCGGATCTGCTCCATGTGTTGACACATCAGCTGTTCCCGTCGGCGGCGTTCCGCCACATCATTGCGAACATGACGCAATTGATTCCCATTGCTGCGCGGCCTATCCGTGCACGCCGCTTCCGACCTGGTCTTGATTACACACTTGCACGCTCGGATGACGAGACGGTGCTGGACTTGACGCTCACACTAACGCCAGACGTGTTGGGCAGCGCTGAACAGGCGGTTAAGCATACGGCGCGGCCCCAAAGGGCTTGCTGGTAAGCGAAAGGCGTCTGGCACGAGTCAGGTCGTGTCCAAAGGAGTCATGAGCAAGAAGGATCGCGATATGTTGCAGGGCATGTGGGATCGCGGTGACATTGGCGGCTGGGAGTGCTACTTAGCACCGCACGAGGGCGAAGAGGATCCTGCCGTATACCAGAGTGCAGCGTCGCGACGTGCGCAGCGGGAGATGAACGAAGGCGCGAAAGCGTCTGATGAGACTCTCGCGTCAGAGAAGAAGGCCGACGAGGATGTTGTGCAAGAGGACGACCAGGATGAAGAGTTTGAAGACATGGATGAAGACGATGATGATGATGACGACGACGACTTTGATGGCGTACTTCTGAATGTGACTCCGTCGTTCAACTCGCTGAACATTGTGCTCCGTGATGAGGGCGTGATGCGATTTGTCAAGTACTTGGGTGCGAGTGCCGGCGGAAGCCGCTGGGATATTGCCGCTGAGTATACGGTGGGAGCAGCTGAAATGGAAGAGGATGAACAGGGTAGCAAAGGAGGCGAATCATCGAAGCAGGAGGGAGCATAATTGATGGTCCATGTCCAGGGGTAGTCATTGTTCATGAGATCGATGATGCCGACAAGGTGATGGTACGACGGGAGGGTGCGGAAGCAAGAACGAAGAGGACGGCGTATAAGAGAAGACGAAAAAATAATAATAATAATAATGTTGCTGGTGCGACGATGATGCATGATGGACGACTCGCACCAAGTATAAGGTTCCAGCAAGAAGAGAGGATATGTATGCATGGCACGTCCATTGTCTTTTTTTTTCTTATTACTATTATTCTATGTTTCTATTTTGCGCATAGCATTCGGTATATACAGCCACCACTACTACATAAGACTTGTATGAGAGCCAATGGCATCCATATTGGCAGCATCGAGGCCTTTGCCATCTCGCTCGCCAGTGAACTGAGCATAGATGCGACGAAGCCGAGCCACCTCTGCAGCAGGCACGCTAGGACGCGTTTGCTGGAACGACGACTCCATGAACTTGTTAGTAACGAGATATTTCTGCCGCGGACGGTCGTTGGCGGAGGAGGAAGTGGTGGTGGTAGCGGCGTTCGAATGAGACGATGACGCTGATGCTGATGAGGACGATGTAGATGTAGATGCAGGTGTGGCTGTGCGTGAATCGGGATCTTGTGAAGAGCGCAGGATACACTCAAGGCGAGAGCTCAGCGCAGCCTTGTCAGCGTTACTTAGGGCGACATGTGAGTCATCGTCGGCTTCCTTGGTCGGTGCAATGGACAAGTAAGCGAGCTGTGATGCATGCTTTTGGTTATGATCAGACGACGCGTCATTACCTGCAGACGAAGTTGCATGAAGCGTAGCATGGATCGCATCGAGCTGCGCGTTGTATAGGAGTGCCTGCAGATCAGCGCCAGAGAACCCTTCGGTGCGACGCGCCCACACGTCCAAGTCAACGTCCGAATCAATCGGGACTTTGCGCGCGACCACACGCAGGATGTCGAGGCGGTCCTCCCACTTGGGCATGTCACACAACAGAGCTTTGTCGAGACGTCCAGGGCGGAGAAGCGCTGCATCAATCAGATCCGGTCGCGATGTCGCTGCCAGAACATACACGCCATCGAGTCCCTCGGCACCATCCATCTGGGTGAGAAGCTGATTGACCACACGATCTGTCACGCCATTGCTGTCTTGTCCACGCTTGGGAGCCACCGACTCGAACTCGTCAAAGAACAGCACACACGGCTTGGCAGACTGCGCGCGCTCAAACAGGTCTCGCACCGACTTTTCACTAGCACCGACGTACTTTTGCAGCACCTCGGGGCCCTTGACACTAATAAAGTTGAGGCCACACTCCTTGGCGACGGCACTAGCCAGTAGCGTCTTGCCGCAGCCAGGAAAGCCATACAAAAGCAAGCCTGAGCGCAGACGAAGCGGGCAATTGGCAAAGATGGCCGCATACTTCGTAGGCCACTCGAGCGTCTCACGAAGCACGTGCCGTGTCTCAGCCAGTCCGCCAATGTCCGCCCATTCCGTCGACGACCGCTCGAGCTTGATGCCACGCAGAGCAATGGGTGTGTACCCCTCGCGAGCGCGTTCAAAGTCGCGCATCGTGAGGGAGATGCGGCGCGACTCGAGCAAGCACCGAATGGTCGCTTCTTGTAGCGCACGCTCTGTGAGCATGTGCAGATCGGCTACATGGTAGCCGTCCGTGTGCGACGTCAGCGCGACAAAGTCTAGGTCGTCACACAAGTCGTCGCGCGCTGCGCGAGACATGACGTTGTGTACCATCGCACGCAGAAGTTCTGCCCGCACATCTTTCTCCGGAGATTGCAGCGACACCGTCTGGGTCCAGATGCGTGCATTGCGCACAAATTCATGCAAATTCGCCACGCTCTGCACTGTCGCAACCAGAAACACATGGTGCTCACGTACAACCTCCTCAGCCAACTCGACGAAAGAGCGTGCGAGCTGCGTGATGCGAAAATTGTCAGCTGGTTGCTGCTGCGGCGATGAGTCCTGAGCGGAGATGAGCGTGTCCAGGCCGTCAAACACGAGCACCATGGGTGCGTGCCACGAGGCCTCGTCCATACTCTCCTTGAAACGGCTGCGCACGATCGTTAGCCGATTCTCAATATGCTGCGTGCAGTCGATGGTCTTGATCCCGTACGCAAGCGTCGGGTCAAGAGCTAGGTGCTCGCCAACAGCACGCATGAGCGTCGACTTGCCGGAGCCAGCAGCGCCGCTGAGCAGCAGGCCGCTTGTGCCGGGGAATTGGCGCCGAGGCACGACCGGCAGCGATGCAGACGCATTCAAAAGATCCGTCCGACCCTGCTTGGAGGCCAACAGCTCACGTAGACGATGAACGCCTCGAATAACACCTATACACTCTTGCAAAGGTGCATCAAAGCCGACAAGCTTCGCTGGCATAGGCGGTGTCAGACAGACTTGCGATGCCTGCGTGTCGATGTTGGGTTCGCGCAGGGCACCAGGCGATGGCTTCGTAAACCGCACAAGGTCAAAGTCAACTGCCTTTATATTGGAGCGAACTTGCTTGCCGATCCACACATGTCGCTCCGGCCACGCCACACTGTTTGGCACGGCGTCGACGTTTGGCATGGCTCCCGGCCGATACGATGCCGTCGTTGTGATGAGTGGAGGCACAAAGTGCGGCTCATACAACGGATTGGTAGGACACGAGATTTTGGTGATTGTTAGCTTGCCCTGCGGGAACGCAAGAGCCACTAGCTCGTACGAGGGGCGCCGCCAATTCGGTGCCGTCATAGACATGGGAATCACGACGGAAGAGGCCAGCTTGTCTTCCTTGTCAGGGACGTACGAGTCGGGGAGTACGCGCCATGCATAGTCAGTCAGCAGGAGCGCTGCACCGTCGCTCGATACAGATGAACTTGACTCGAGGACATGCGGCGGCAATGATGGTGCCGGTGGCGGCGCGAGTTGCTCACGCTGTTCGGGTGTGTCCTTCTCGTCCTCATCGGCACGCCGAGGACGAGGCGCGATGGCCACCTCCGTATCAGTAGAGAGTCGCACAGCTACGCTTATTTGGTCGTGTTGATCGTTGGTATCGATATCTTCCTTCACCGATCGCGTAGGAGGAACGGTCCGATCAACAAGAAACTTGATCACAGTCGCAGAACTGCGCCCCACCGACACTCCCAGCACCTGCCCTTGCTTTGCAGCACGAACCTGACTGAGCATGCTGGACTCGACTTCATCAGCATGCACACTGAGGATTTCCCAATCGTCCGCAGATTGCGGCGTCACAAACACCTTGCGCGCAACGGGTATCGGGGGCGAGCGGAAGAGACGCAGGCTCACTTCCTGGCCATTCGAGAGCGCCGGTGCGAACATGTCAGCGAGCGATGGACTCATGACAATGCACTCGCCTGCATTGGGATCACTCAGTACCGACGCACTTGGAGCCAAGCCTGTCCATCCACAATAGTATGACTCCATGTCTGTCCCGATCTCGACAACAACGGTTTGCGCGACAATGTCCCGAGCAAGGAGAGTCGAGCATAATGATGTGGGCAAGTGCACAAGACTTACACGCAAGCTTGGGTCAATAAGCACGCGCGCGCGTGAACTGCGCGCGCGTGATGACGTCGACGACGCCATGGTTCTGAATCTGAAACGAGGTTAAGAAAGAGAGAGAGAGAGAGAGAGGGTGTGTGTGTAAATGTGTATATGGGATAGGTAAGAAACTCTTGCTAGTTGATGGTGTAATGAAGCGATTTGGATTTCAAAAGGCGCGGACGCGCGTCAATTTGGTGGTATGGATCGCTTAAGATTCGAATAGCTGACACACAAACACACTTACACCCATCCACTCTCCACACATCGCACAAGCGCTACCAGAATAGAAATGCTAAGCGCACCCAGATCTTGCTCACTCTGAACCTGCACACGCACCCGAACGACGCTGGTATGAGTATCTCCACATGCACCCGCACTGCCTGCTTGCCTGCCAAGCAGCTTGCTAGTTTCTGTTTGGCTCATGCAGCTTGCGGCGCGTGGAGCAGTGTGAGCCTGCAGGTACATCACGTGCCTTATGCACTGTGTGTATGCGATAGAACGAGAGGGGCGTGGCAGGGAAGTAGTGTGTGTGTGTAGTGTGTGTGTGTGTGTGCGCGAGAGGCGGTAAGACAGGAGAGATTGCAGAAACACTAGTGGCGATAGCATCGTTCCTGCCGTCAAGAGAGAGTGTACTTCAAGCGTGAGGCCCATTTATACCCTCTATATCGGTCGCGACAATGGCGATCGTGTCGCGGCGCGCATCAACTGTGCTCCTGCGCTTGTTCGCTTTGTTCCTCGTGGGCACGGTGATTGTGTTGATGCTTGTGCGGTCGCACTTTCGTGTGGATCGCAGTGCGTATGTTCTCGAGACGGAGCTAGGCACGTGGGACGAGATCCGAGCATCCAAGCGGCCTGCTGTGCTGGACCATGAACATGTTATGGCATCTTCCCCACCTGATTTGCTGCCGCCAGAAAAAGTGCCTCGAATCATCCACCAGACGTGGAAGACCGATATGCTGCCGGCTAAGTGGGCAAGTGTGCGAGAGGAGTGTGCGAAAATGATGCCAGACTATGAGTATATGTTGTGGACCGACCAAAGCTCGCGAGAATTCATCGAGCGGGAGTATTCGTGGTTCCTGCCAACTTTTGACTCGTATCCATACAACATACAACGTGCGGATGCCATCCGCTACTTTGTCTTGCACAAGTTCGGCGGCGTGTATATGGATCTTGATATTGGCTGTCGTCGCCGTCTTGATCCGCTTCTGCGCTTCGATGTCATTGTACCCAAGACGATTCCCGTGGGCGTAAGCAACGACCTCATGTTTGCGGTGCCTGGGCACCCGTATTTGGATCTTCTGATTCACTCCCTCAGCACATTCAATCACTACTTCTTCACGCACTATGCGACAGTGATGTTTTCTACAGGGCCCATGTTTGTCTCAGCCATGTATCGTGTATTCGTGCAGCGGAATGGGATCGTCCAGCCGTCGTCGCCGTCCGCGCTTGATCGCGGCTTCGAAGGCGTTCGGGTGCTGCCAAAGAGCCTGTATGGCAAGAACCTCAGCCCCAGTGATGCGCCAGACTCGTTCTTTATTCACATGTATGGCAGCTCCTGGCACGCGAACGATGCAGGTCCTTTGATTTTCCTCCGCAAGTACGGCTACTTGCTTCTTTTCATTGGCATGCTTATTGTTGTAATTGGCATGCGCCGCGCTTGCTTAGTTGCTTTAGCTCACGTCCTCAAGCTCGTCACTTCATTTGCTTCCAGCCTGGGCTCACATGCCGGCTTCAGGGCTGACTCAAACCGAGGTTCTTCCTATATATCCCTATCAACCACTGCTTCGTCTTCAACACCTATGGGCTCCAAGAGGCGGGAACTGCCTCCTAGCTCACATTTCGCACCGATTCCGTCGACGGATTGGTTTGTCTCGTCAAGGCCCAGTGATGTTGAGGCCAAGATTGCCCCCTCGCCCGTTCATGGCACCACACCTCCCGTGCCGACTTTCTCCATGAATGACTCCCCAAGCGTATATGAGCCTTCTGGCATGCTTCATCTACCGTCTGAGCCAGTGATAAAATCGGCCTCCCAGATCTCGAGGTCATCGTCGCCCCTGCCCCAACCGCCGCTAGCCACAAGCGCGAATGTAAATGCACGTGAAAATGTCGACGCTCTTGGCCATGCGTCCACCCACATGAATTCGTCTGATGCGACGGTTGAGCCCTCTTTCCAACGGCGCAACTCGGATACCAATGCGCCGCTGCCGACATATTATGTGGGTAACAGCGTACCTTCGTCGAATCGGTTCTCACTATCAGATGGGGGCGCACGCTCGCCATCCATGCCGTCAACCGGACGCTCAAATCCACTGAAGCGGTTGAGTAGCTCAACAATGCAGACACTCTCGACGCTTCTACCGCCACCCATGCGTCGCTCAGCTCGTTCATCACATTCTGATCCTGATGAGGCCTCAGAGTCGTTACTCAGTCTGGGCGTCGACAGTGCCGATGGACTCACTCGCACCATCTCCAGGCAAAGCGAAGATTACCGATCAGAATGGGACAGTCTTGTGCAGGACATGTCCGAGTCGACGCTGCGTTCGCCAACATTAGGCCCAGCTGTGTCACCGACGCCTCAATTGATTGAAATGCCTGATGCTGCTTCTTCCAACTCAAAGATGAATGTCTCAGGTTTACTGCGACGCCCCCATCCTGCGGATCCGTTTCGTACAGCGACGCCTGGTGTGTCAGCTGGGCCTACTGACGCAGACCTAAATCCTTCCCAGTATCCATATTCATCTCACCCTTCCTACTTGCACAATTAAGCCGGTAGCAGGACGGTTCACTCTATACCTACTTATGTCTATCTCAATATTGTTCTCATATCTGTCGTCTGCATATTATATATATAGAATTTTTCTTTTTTTTCTTGACATAGCCGCAAGCTGATTTGATCGACAAAAGTCGTCAGTGAGGAATCACGTTGAAACAAGACCTGCCTCACGAGCCATGCTGTAAAATAGACCGTCCTTATTCTTCAGTAGCGTGCTTGGAGCATCAAATTCAGCCACTTTGCCTTCCCGCATCACAATCACTCGGTCCGAGTCCATGATCGTATTCAGACGGTGCGCGATCGTGATGGTTGTGCCAGAAAACTCGCTGCGCACAATCTTTTGGATAAGTGCATCCGTGTCGAGATCGATGTTGCTTGTGGCCTCATCTAGCACGAGGATACTTGACCTACGCACAAGTGCACGAGCGATGCACATGAGTTGTCGTTGCCCTGACGAGAAGTTCGAGCCACCTTCTGATACAGGTTGCAAAAGACCTGCACTGTGACCATCGACAATCGATTGCAGTCTCGCTTGTTCAAGCACTCGGTATAGATCTTCGTCACTGTACTGATGCAGAGGATCAAGATTTTGTCGTAAAGTGCCCTGCCAAAGCTGCGCATCTTGAGGAATGATGGCCATCGACTGCCGCAACTCATGCAGACCGAGCGTCGCGATGTCGATGCCGTCGATAAGAACACTGCCTCCTGTCGCTTCGAGAATACGGAAGAGTGCTAGAGTCAGTGTCGACTTGCCCGCTCCCGTACGACCAACCACACCGATGCGTTCGCTCGGCCGTGTCTTGAACGAGACGCCTCGCAGGACGGGCTCTAGACCCTCGCGATACCGCGTCGTGTAATTGCGGAATTCGACCACGCCCTGCGATGGCCATTTGCTCGTCGGGGCTGTCTCTTCCACATGATACGCACGCTCCATGGGCAGTTGCGAATACGAAAGAACACGCTCCACACTCACGATGTTCTGCTCGACCTCCGATGCCGAACGAACAGCCCAGTTCAGTGTCTGTGTCGTGCCTAGTACCTGTGATAGCATCAGACCAAGCAGGCCTGCACTCATGCGGCCACCTGTCGTTACCATGAGGATGGCCATCATCGAGGTAAAAAGAATGACAGTCGATCCCAGAAACTCGATGCGCACAGCAAGCCATCGGTTGCACGTCACGGCGGGGAAGTAGCACATCTGATTCCGATCGACACGCGCCTCGAATGAGTCCGTGAATGCATCAGCTTGACCAAATGCACGAATTGTCGAGAGTCCACCCAGTGCTTCTTGGAACCATGTGAAAATAGGCGACTTTGACACGGCATCAATCCGCTTCAGCTCACGACTCGAGGCGAGATAATACCGCATCACTCCACGGTAGGCCAACCCAAGCGGCACAACAGCCAAGAGGAACACCGGAACACTGTAAGCAACCACACATATCACACCGAGCACGATAACAGACGAGCGAGCAAGTCCCTGGATCACACGCGGAAGAACCTCGTCAATTACACTGATGTCGCGGCTGAACAGGTTGAGCAGACGGCCGGTCGGCGTCGTCTCGAACCATTGCAGCGGGTACCGCAGTATATTGAGAAAAAGGCTGTCGTGGAAGCGCCGCGCACTGCTCAGTACGAGCCACACATACAGAATCATGGGCGCCACGCATACACCAACGGACGTTGAAATTCCCATCAAGCCATATAGCGTCAGATAGTATCGAGCTGCGCGCGAGGTATCAACATTGGGACGCGCATTTTCGCCGCTCCATTGCTTCAGCACAACATCACGAGCGATAGTGCATGCTTGTGTGAGAACGTGTGCCACACAAAATAGCACCACGCCCACAGTTGACGCACTCTGAGCATATTCGCGGTACACAGACCATTTCACAGACCCAGTCTCCTGGAGCTCTTGCGGCGCTTGCGACTCGCGCAAATGACGCAGCGTCGAGACCTTCAGCTCATCTTTGTTCAGCTGCCGGGGTCGATGACAGTGGTCTGTAGGTTCTAGCGACCGCTTCCATGCTGGGAGCGTTTCGTGCTGATCACTCTCGATGGGCGACTCTGTGTCCGCCTTCTCAACGCTCGTTTCTTTTTTCTTCAGACTCGATATCACCCGATAAACATCACCCCTCATGGCCATGACCTCATCGAACGTGCCGCGTTCCTCCAATAATGAGCCTTCTCGCAGCGTCACGATCTTATCACATTGCGGCAAGTACGACACAGCATTGAGCGTCAGAATGCGCGTCTTGTGTCGAAGCATACCACGCGGGCCAATCACATGTTCCCAAATGTGTGCGCCGACATTGGCATCAACGGCAGCGAGCGGATCGTCCAGTAGATAAATGTCCGCCATGGCGTAGCACGCGCGAGCCAAGGCTACTCGTGCTCGTTGGCCACCACTCAGACTCACACCACGCTCACCAATCTCAGTCTGGTCGCCAAGTTGCAACATCTCAAGGTCCGGCTCTAGTGCACATGCAGAAAGGCACTGCCGATACAGTGCCTCATCGTATGCGCGACCAAAAAGAATGTTGTCTCGAACCGTTGCGCCCATGCACCAGCCTCCCTGAACAAAGTACGCAAGCTGACCATGCACAGAGATACGCCCCTGGAGCCTGACCATATCACCCAAAATGGCCGAGAGTAGCGACGACTTGCCATCGCCAACGCGGCCCAGGACGGCAAGAAGCTCTCCACCGTGGACTGTGAGATCCAGGTCGCAAAGCGTTGGCGACTCTTGTTCATTACTCCAGGCAAAGGAGGCCTTGCGGAACCGTACAGCGTCACTACCCACACTCGCAGGTGCCTTGAGCATCCTGCGCGCATTTTCATCGAGCTCTTCGCTGTCGAAAAATGATGCCATGCGACCTGCCGACACCTGTGTTTGTAAGAACATTGAAACAATGCCAGCAAGCATAGACAAGGGAAAGTTCAGCAGCTGATAAAGTGACAAAGCCGGAAACACAATGTCAGCAGTAAGTGGCTGTGTATTCACCATAGAGTACGCGATAAAGGTGCCTAGTGACACGAAGAACGGAATGGCCTGCCAGAAAAAGTTGAAGCCAGCGCTAGCTACGCCGATGTTGCGGAGCAAAGGAAGTTCTTCATCGTTGCGAACGCCCAACAAACGCTTTGTAAAGGCTTCTTCCCATGCGAACAGTTTGATCGATTTGATGTTTAGAATAATCTCATTCATCAACCCTGTGCGGCGATCACGCACCTTCATCTGCACGGCACTTAGGCGTCGCAGGTACGTCGCAAGCATCGTGTTGACCGGTACGCTGATCATCATAATAGCGACACCAATAAATGCTGACCAGCCAAGCAGATTGAATAGCGATACGAACGCAATAGTGATCTGGAACACGGCCGACCACAAAATGTGCGCATACATAAGAAAGTCAGGCAGGCGATTGGCGTCGACGCTCATAAGGTTGACGACATCGCCTGTGGATCGTTCGCCTCGCGACTTGTTCGATAGGCGCAAACTCTTGCGGAAAAGCGCCGTGACGACGCCTGCGCGTGCCCGCATACCAGCAATGCTAACAAGCTGGAAGTACTGATGCAAACTGAGAGTCTGAATGGCTGCTGTGAGAAAAAGCAAAGCAGCTATGACAAAGCCTCGGAGAGGCGTGCCTCTTAGAGCCTCTGTCGGTGCCCATTCCCAGTTTTGCACGAATGCGAGAAGCATGCGCAAAAGCTGCGGCTGCACAAATGCAAGAATATCCTGCACGACCTTGAAACCAGCTGCGATGACAAACGGACGGCCGTACGAAGCAAAGAGAGTACGCCAAAATCGCGTCTTACCAGTGGATTCGAGGTCCAGGCCAGCGTCCTGAGCCTCATGCGAAAACTTGATCCAGTGATACTGGAAGGCGTTGCCAAGCTGCTCAGTGTCTTCACCGGCAGGCAAAGCCCACATATCTGACTCCTTCAGAAATTTGCGAGAGCCAAGCGACATGAGAGGCTGCATCCAGTGAAAAAATAAGCGACTAAACAGGTGCGCTGTCTCCATCGGCGACTCTTTGGGCTGTAACTCATTGATCATCTCGCGCTCAGCAGCGAGCTCGGGTGTCAGCTCCGGTTCATGCTCGGCCTCCGCTTCAACGTCCTCGTCAGCATCTTCGGGAAGCGCAATGTTGTCGCCCATCTCGACGTCTGCACACTCAAGGAACAGAGCAGCGAGCACAAACAGTAGTCGCATACACAGTGGGACGACCAGCATCATGTGAATGAGCGTGGACGTAGGTGTAATCTGGATTATTGTCCGCACACGCACGGGGCCCGCGAGCAGGTGCAGCGTCCAAAGTAAGAGCGTTTCATCTGAGCCATGCCGAGCCTTCATGTGCATAGTGTGCTGAAGCATGAACGCCAAGATGTATGATAGAAACATTGCCCCGGAGGCAAGAATTTGAACACCACCTGTGAGAGAGGCCTCAGCAGGGCCCAGGTTTCCACGCATGCCAATGAGCACGACAAATTCAAGAAAACCCAAGAGCGTCACGGCCGACATGATGCCATCCTTCTCATGGAGGATGTGCATCGAATTTTCTGAGCGCACCTGTACTTCACATCTAGACCACTTGCGTAGTGCGTGCACCGACATGATAATAAACGCGAGCGCAGGAGCAAACCACAGCACAAGGGCCTGGAAGCAAGGCGTCAAGTCAAAATCACGCGTGGGCGACATGGGGCCCCAGCCTTCTGCGCCGTCGCAGATGAGAGAACCAAAGCCTGTCACTTTTGCGAGAGGATCAGCAACCGCGTCGTATATGTGCGGCGGTACATCTTGCCACAGCGAAGCCCCAAAGCCTGGGACCCAATTTCCAAGGTCCGTCATGGGCGAGGAAAGGCAAGAGACATGAAGTGAGTGCGACCCACGTGACATTGACAACGGCTCCAGTTGCGTTCAGTCAGCGTCGACCCGTAACCAAGCCTAGCAGGCAAGCAAGTTGAAAAATCCCCCACCCAGCCCCCTCCCCCCTCTTTGCTCGTCAAAATGTGGCAGATGAACCACTAACGTAAGCAAAAGCAGCAGACTCCGTCGATCGAAACGCTCATTGTCTTTCCACCATGCATCGTTTCGCTGGGCGCGGAAGGCTTGCCGCAAACACTCTGCGCAAGAGTGGTCGTGCAGGCTCCGCAGGCTTCGCGACGCAGGCAGCCGAGGCACATGTACATCCTTCGCGTATGCCGCGGTATGCAGAACTGCTGGAGAAGCTCCAGAGCGTACGAACACTTCTGCAAGGGCGCCCCTTGGACGCTGGCTGAAAAAATTCTGTATACGCACCTGCTCAACCCAGCCGTCGACTTGGCAGGGGCAGGAGCAGATCCTTCCAAGGTTCGTGGCGCACGATACCTTCGACTCGGAGTGGATCGCCTCGCTATGCAGGACGCGTCGGCTCAGATGGCCCTCCTCCAGTTCATGACGTGCGGCATGTCCCAGTCAGCCGTGCCTGCGAGTGTGCACTGCGACCACTTGATTCAAGCGTATGAGGGCGCACAGGCGGACTTGCAACGTTCGCTCGAGACTCAGCATGAAGTGTTTGCGTTTTTGGAATCGGCTTGCCGCAAGTATGGGATTGAGTTCTGGCGCCCCGGCAGTGGGATTATCCACCAGATTGTTCTTGAAAATTATGCCGCCCCGGGTCTTTTGATGCTCGGCACGGACTCCCACACGCCGAATGCATCTGGTTTGGGCTGCCTGGCGATTGGAGTGGGTGGCGCTGACGCCGTCGATGCACTGACCGCAACGCCCCTGGGAGTTGCTTGCGCCGAAAGCCTTGGGCGTGCATCTGCATGGAAAGCTGTCGCCGTGGTGCTCGGCCAAGGATGTGATTCTGCACCTGACGGGCGAGCTTACCGTGCGTGGCGGCACAGGCTACATTGTTGAGTACTTTGGCCCAGGCTTGCAGACATTGCCAGCAACGGGTCTTGCAACCATGTCCAATATGGGTGCTGAAATTGGCGCGACAACGAGTGCCTTCCCCTATACACCGGCCATGGGCCGCTACCTGGAAGCGACAGGACGTGCTGCTGTGGCGCGTGCAGCGTCGCAGGCATCGGACTCGGGACTATTGTCGGCAGACGCAGGCGCCGAGTATGACAAGATCATCGACATTGATCTTTCGAAGCTTGAGCCGAGTTTGAATGGTCCATTCACACCTGACCTAAACGTCAAGCTCAGCGACTTTGTTGAGCGTGCACGCCGTGAGGACCGTTCGCATCCGCGTGAACTGAGTGCTGCGCTTATCGGCAGCTGCACGAACAGCAGTTATGCTGATATGAGTCGATGTGCGGATCTTGCACGGCAGGCAGGCAAGCGAGGAATGAAGGTCAAGGTGCCGTTCGATGTGACGCCAGGCTCTGAGCAGGTGCGCGCCACAGTGGAGCGCGACGGAATCGAAGAGACGCTAACGAATGCAGGCGCACGCGTGCTTGCCAATGCATGTGGACCCTGCATTGGTCAGTGGAAGCGCACTGACAAGCAAGGCGAGACGAACGTTATCTTGACTTCATTCAATCGGAACTTCCGCGGTCGAAATGACGGCAATGCAAACACGCTCAACTTCCTCGCAGCACCAGAGATTGTGACGGCATTTGCGTTTGCAGGACGGCTCGACTTCAATCCCATGACTGACTCGTTGGAGGCGCCTGACGGCAGCACCTTCCGCTTTGAGCCGCCAGCCGAGAAGGAGCTGCCGGAGAATGGGTATGCGCTGGGCGATAAGACGTATATGCCAGAACCGATGCCGATGCCGCAGCCGGATGTGCAGGTGATGATCAACCTTGAGAGTGAGCGACTCGAGACGCTACAGCCATTTGACAGCTACTTTGCGGCGGAGGATGTTGCGCGAGGTTCGTTCGAGCTGCCGCCGATGCGCTGCCTGCTACGTATCCGCGGCAAGTGCACGACAGACCACATCTCGGCAGCAGGGCCCTGGCTCAAGTACAAGGGTCACCTGAGCAACATTGCCGAGAATACACTGATCGGTGCAACGAACGACGAGACAGGCACAGTGAACGAAGCACGTGACTATGTGCGTCCTTCGTCGGCGTCGGAGTCACCAAACGATACCATCCCTGCGATTGCGAAGCGCTTCAAGGCACGCGGTCAGCCATGGATTCTTGTGGCTGATCACAACTACGGTGAGGGCAGTGCGCGAGAACATGCTGCTTTGCAGCTCCGCTTGTTCGGTTGTGCCGTCGTGCTGGCACGCAGCATTGCGCGCATTGCTGAGACCAACTTGCGGAAGCAAGGCGTGCTGACGCTACTGTTTGAGAATGAACATGATTATGAAAAGATCGGCAGTGGTGATCTCGTCGAGACGCTCAATCTCACGGAGCTGATGCGTCCAGGTGCGGATATTGCCGCCGTCCAAGTGCGCGTCCTGGTGACCAAATTCCATGACGATGGCAGTGTGCGTGAACAGTTTGAACTCCCTACACGCCATTCGCTCAGCAAGACGCACCTTGACTGGATCCGTGCGGGTTCTGCTTTGAACAACATCCGCGCAAACGCAACGGTTGCACAGGCGGCTGCGTCGGGTGCGCCGTTCTCGACCTCCTCATCCCAGAGGACCCCGTCTCCGTTATCATCATCGTCCACGTCGACGGACATCCCGTCTGGTGCACGGCGTTTCTCGACGGCGGCGCTCCGTCGAGCTTCAGCGCCGGCCGCCTCGTCTTCAGGCAACGATCCTCGGTACGAACAGTTGCGGCAGCTCCTGTTCCCTGCGCCCGCCACCAACAAGAAACAGACTGGGCCCAAGACATTAGCAGATGCGATCGGACATGGCAAGGCATCAGCGGAAGTGTACGAGACTATCTCACGTGCATGGCACTTGCATGAAAGGCGACAGAAAGCAGCCTTTGCTGCTTCTCTAGCTACGAAACGCGCCCGGTTTGACGAGGCACTAGCTGATCTGCGCAAAACCGACACAGCCCTGTGGAAGCGTGCCAATGAGTATGTCGGACCAACGAAACGCAACATGGAAGAGCTGCACCGCTTGCGGCGCATGGGCCTTGCTCAGCAAGGTGCCGGGGCCGGCGGTGCCAGTGCCGATGGCGAGGCGCCGGGCAGCCGCATGCTGGCGAAAAGGCGAGCGCGTCTCATGGCGCGCACGCGACTAGCGACTCTTTTCCCACGCGAGCTGCGTGCACCCACAATGACGCCGCCTGCCAAAGGATGGCCTGCGTATCGACCAGACGAAGAGTAGGAACAAAAAAAAAAAAGAGCGATATGAACGCTTATGCGTTCTCGCCATCGTACATATGCAGGAGACCGATCTGATAGATCATAGTTCGAAACCGGAGGAGATCCGATCGATCAACAAGCGACTTGTTGGCGTTAGATACACACACACAAGACGCGGACATCTAAGATGTCGGTCGTTACTGCTCGAATTTGCGAGCTACCATGCCATCGGGAGCACGAACTTCCATGGTTTGTTTCGACACGTCTTCCCAATTTGTGCTGAGTGCTGTGCCGCCCGATTCCTGGAAACTCTTGATCATGGCACGGCGGGTATCTGGATCAGCGTCTGCATATAGTTTCTGGAAAAACGCATTTAATTCAGCATCTCCAGACCCCGCCGGTGGTGCATCGTCTGCATCCGACAGGTCCAACGTGTCCCATTTCGACGATGGACGTGCGGATGATGATGAATGTGCCTCTGCTGAAGCGGCCTGCGAGGCTACTGTTGATGAAGAGGCGGGTGACTGAGTCGCATCGCGTGTCAACGCAACCCAAGTGACACTCGGCTCTTTTTTCTTCAACACAATCTCGATCTTCGGCGCCAGCACACGGACAGTGAAGTTTGGCGTCACTTGCCCCCACAGAGGAATGACGAGTGGCTCTGAGAAGCATGGCGAGGAGATTAGCATGACGGCGTCACGCTCAAGTTGGACTTTTACGTCCTTCTCGGGCTGATTGCGTGCGTAGATATTTACCACCACATCTGCTGTTGTTTGATAAAAGTCATATCGACAGGAACTCGAAAGTGCACCACTCATCCCCGCACAATCAATCTGCGGCAGGCAACGAGGCGGAAAATCGATCTGGGAACTTCTAGCGACACGAAAAGCCTGGTTCGTAAGCTCACGAGCTGGCTGGAAGATACGTGCTCCACATGTCTCCACGCACTACATGAATGCGAAAGGGGGTGTGGAGGAACCGCGTACACATACATATACACACACACGCATATATACATATATATATATTCTCGTACGAACGCCGCGTACCTGTCTGATCGGCGTGTGGCCTACACTCTCGCTCATTCGAGCCCCGAATTGATTGATCGTTTTTCTTCATATCAGAGAATTTCTCAAGTCATCCTAGTATCAAGATAGCTTGAATTTGACCACACAGTAAATCGGCGACAGAATAGCGCCATGACATCGTGGCGGTCTTTGGAGGTGCCTGGCGCTGTAGCTGTGGCGCTGAGCACGGCTATGAAAGTTCTCCTATGGCCTGCGTACCACTCGACGGACATGGAAGTACATCGAAACTGGCTTGCTGTTACATATTCACTGCCTCTTCGTGAGTGGTACATTGACGCGACATCACCATGGACACTCGACTACCCCCCCTTCTTTGCCTATTTATCTTGGATACTAGCACAGCCTGCGGCTTGGATCGACGCCCGCATTGTCGACGTAAAACTTGGGCTCAATTATGACGCATGGTCTTGTGTAGCTTACATGCGATCCACTGTGCTCCTCACGGAAAGTGTGTTGGCGTATGCGCTCTATCTGCTGTCACAGTGCACCCTGGGTGAAGAGACACAACAGATTCTCCTACTCAGCGTATTTTTGCACCCGGGATTACTGATGGTGGACCACATACACTTCCAGTACAACGGCTTCCTTTTCGGCATTCTCTTCTTGTCGCTGTGGGCCGCACGCACACAACGCCCTCTCGTATGTGCCCTACTATTCTCTTCGCTCCTGCAGTTCAAGCATATCTTCATGTATATGGCACCGGCGTACTTTGTTTACCTATTGCGTGTGTACATGCTGCCTAGTTTACCTGACAATGTCTCGGCCATGAGTGCAGCGCTCGATCGCACTATTAAACTGGGTTTCGTGACTCTCACACCGTTTTTCGCGAGCATCGTGCCTTTTGTTTGGGATGCCATGCATGAAATGTCTTCACCAAGCCAGGTCTTGTATGCTATGTACTCGCGTCTTTTTCCCTTCCACCGTGGGCTTATGCATGCATACTGGGCGCCTAATGTCTGGGCATTGTATGCAGCAGTGGATCGTGTGTTGCTTCGCATCCATGGGAAAGAGCTCGCGTCAACGTCCCGTGGCATGGTCGGCGATACAGTGCTGGGCATCTTGCCGAACATTTCGCCCACCACGTGCTTTGTTCTTGCCCTTACATTCTCGCTCGTGTATGTCGTGCCGCTGTGGCGACGACCAACCTACTCGACACTTGTCTCCTGCGTAACTCTCTGTGCGATGACGTCCTTTGCGATCGGCTGGCATGTACATGAAAAGGCGATCCTCATGGCCGCACTGCCATTCAGTCTCATCGCACATCGCAAATACTCTGACTGGCGAACGTTCCAACTTCTCAGTGCTGTGGCTATCGTGAGCTTGTTTCCCCTGCTGCATACACACAAAGAAACACCTATCAAGCTCATGTACGCAGCCTTATGGTACATACTTGTGTGCCAGACCATGATGCGCCGCGTGCTTAGGCCCATGCCCTCGAACATGGGCATCTTCCTGCACGCTCTAGAAACTGCGTACTTGTACGGACTAAGCATCCTGGCTCTCGTTACGCAGATCGTTTGGCCGATCTCCGCCAATCTTGCTCCAGAGTCGCGCCTCTGGCAAATGGAGTTCCTTCCCCTTATGCTCACAAGTGTGTACTGTGCGGCTGGTTTCGTGTACTGCTGGGCACGCCTTTCTGTAACATATTTATCGGAACTACCAACCATGTAGGTCATCTTGGCGCCGACCCAGCAATGCAGAGGCTGACGCTGAGGGCGATGTGGGCGCGCGTGGTCGCTGTACTTGGACAACTTGCACCACGCCAGATGGAGCCTGTGCAGATGGCGGCGGAGATGACGGCGGAGATGACGGCGGTGGCCGTGCCGCCGTTGCCGCTGCCGTCTTGTCTTTTTGACTTTCAACCAAAGGCGAAGCGCGCTCTCGTACTTCTTTGGCCGGATTTAACAAGACTTCACTGCGTGTCGGTGCAGTGTCCATGTCCATTTCAATCTTCTTCGTACTCTTCTTGCGCCGAGTCTTTTTGTGTCGGATCGCTGGTGCTTCATCAGATGCCGATAGCTTCGCAGACTGGAATCGTTGATTGTTATCGTCACCGCGCATGGAGTCTGCGTTAGATGGCAGCACCTCAGCAGGCACGGATTCCATTGCATGCTCGCGCATTTTGACATCACGTTTCTTTGGGCCACGTCCGCTGCGCTTGCGGACCTTTTTGGGCACATGCGAGCCGTCATCTGGCACGGTGCTTAGGGGTGAAGATGAGGCATTCACTTCTGTTGCCGCTGCTTTTCGCTTCGGTGTGCGCTGCGAAACAGAATGCTTTGAATGCGACGCCGAGTCCATGATGTTGGAGTCTGTGTTTGACTTGCCTGGATTTCGCGATCGTGGCAGTGACGGTGTTGATGATGGCGGAGTTGACGATGTTTCTGAGACCTTCTTCGGCGGCTGAACTTCTAGTGCTGGGGACGTGGCTGTCTTAGGCACATCAAGACGGACATTGTCCAAGATACGTAGGGATGGGATCCATTCTCGCAAACGTTCGTGATATGCATCCTCTGGACTTGAAATGCCATTGCCTTTTGCACACAGATTCACAAGGCCGTGTCGCTCCGTATTTGCAGTCGAGTCTTCTTTACATAAGGGACGCATGCCGTCCCAATGATCAATACCACATTCGCTCACGTCCAATAGCACAAGGCCAGGCGCTCCGCCATCAACGCCGCGCCCCCATTGTGACACGTGTGTAGGAAGATGGTGAATGGACGTATTGCCGCTTAGACGCACTTCGCGCAGATGCGAGCATACGCTAAAATCTGGCAGACCGTCGCACGTTAGTCGATTGTGTCCGAGACTGAGTTTCTTGAGACGCGGGAGGGATGTGGGAAGTGTCGCTGGTAATGAACGCAACTGATTGTGTGAAAGAACGAGTGTGTTGAGTTCTGGCAAATGGGGGAAGGACGAGCCTAGATCGGCAATGTCGTTGTGTGAAAGAACAAGCGCTTTGAGTGCGTGCAAGGCACTCAGACCTGAAGGCACCGCGGGTAATGTACAGTGAGATGCATTGAGTACTGTGTGTGTGTGTGAATATGTGTGAGCGGAGACGCAACATTGTTTTATTCACGTACCAAAAAGTGAGGCCAATACCTCGATACCTTGCAATGGATCGGATTGTTGGCCGAGTGCTGGGTTCTTCGAGACATTGAGCCATGTGAGCCGCTCGTCAAGAGCTTGTTCGTCTCGGCGTGCTTTTTGGCTATGGCGCACGGCCTTCACAAGCCAGTCCAAATCGCGTAGACCGTCAGGCCAGGATTCAGACACTTGGATGTCCGACACATCGAGCCGGCGGACTTGCTTGAACTGGGCCAAAGTCTTCGCTACGGCTTTCGGCGGTGGAAGCGCATGTCCAGCCAGCGACAAAGATGTGCTTTCACCGAGGACATTCGAACCAGTATTGTCCAACCCTATTGGACTTGAGGATCCAGATGAGGCGGATTGTTCTGGCAGCTTGGACGCGGCCTTGGCATGCTGTGTCTTGCGGGATTCTCGAACGCCAGCCGATGGCATGACGTGGTGCTGAGATGAATTGAACCAAAAAATTTCTATACCAGCAGGAATACGACCTTCATGTGAGTTAACGTAATTAGGGACAAATTAAACACACGCGTGGCCCTCACCATAGTGGACTGTGCGACTCGCACCTACTTGTCTAAAGTACAAAGGAAACCGACTCGGACAAGTTAGAGCAAAGGTCTACTTTCACCATTCGAGAGCCTTGTCTTTTCGAGCAGCTTCAATAGCAGCATCAGTTGGATTCTCATGCGTTTTCTGGTCATCAACAGGTACGCGGCCGTCGCCACGATCGACGGTTCCATCCACATAGTAAACTGGCACTCGTTTGCCCACTGTCTTAGGATCCACTCTTCTGTACGATGGACACAGCTTTGCTTGACCAATATAACATAGACTGTGGCGTACGTTTGTGTTTGTCAGCTCAAACTGGAGAGAGAAAAAAAAAAGAAGAGAGCAAAGCGAATGGAATAAACGTACTCGCAACGTGGGCTTACCGGCAGGCAAATCACCTGGCCAAAGCCTACCATTTGTTTGTTAATCACACCATGTAACTGGGGAAGCGTAAGTGTGACTCGTGATCTTTTGGTACAAATACCAAACGTACATCTCTAGGAAGCCAGCTCTGAAGCGCAAGGCGTGTCTGCTCGGGTGTCTTGGTCTTGCACCAACCAAGCCGGTTCGATATTCGGTGCACATGTGTATCGACGCCGATTCCTACATTCAAGCCCATACTCTGCATTTGAAGAAATGCCATTTTTGGGCCGACACCTGGGATCTCGCACAGCTCATCGACTGTCTGAGGTACGTCACCATGGTGCTTCTCTTCGAGTATACGAGTCATCGTCTTTAAATAGTCGGTCTTGCGCCGATAAAAGCTCACTTTCGCGATGCAGTCGGTGATTTGCTCAGGAGGTGCATCCCGTAACGATACTAGCGTCAAGCCGTCAGGCAATCGCGTCTGCAGTTTATACACGGCATCGGCTGTGACAGGGTCTTTCGTCTGCGAGCTGAGCATCAGACTTACGAGGGTCGTAAAGCGCAAACGACGTGCCTTGTCATCGTCACTTTCTTCTGTGCCATCTGCACGACGTCGTCCACGATCCGCACGTCGATCTTCCTGACCATTCTCTTCACATCCCATGGTGTCAACGGGCGTGATGATATGCTGCCGCTCCTTCGAAAGAAGCGCATACACCTCCTGCCAGCGCCGAGGCACTTGAATCTTTTGTGCCTCATCCTCAGTAAGTTCCATTTTGATCTTTTTCACCGGCGATGATCGCGTCTGGGAAAGAGGTAGCATTGGTGGTGTGGCTTCCCGTTTCACACTCAGCATGTCTGGCGTACTGGATTGGTGGTCTTGAGCCCGAGACGCCGTCGCCGCGACTACTGTGGCTGTATTTGTATGAAGGGGTCGAATGCCACGACGTGAACGACGTAAGTGCTGTGCTGCACCATGTTAGACAGCTACCGTCTACGTACTGTTGCGCGGCTGCACACGCTCCAAGTACGCCTGCCATCCGGCCTCACGGTAGCGCTGAGCCTGTGCTTTGACTTGCTCGATCGCCTCAGAACGAGGCGCATCAGAATTCAAAAGTGCGCCGTAAATGCCACGACCCACAATCATGACATCACATCCACTTTCCTTGATGACTTGCTGCGGTGTGCGGTACTGCTGTCCTTTGCCATCGCCTTGAACATCCATACCCACACCAGGCGTTAGGATTAGCAGGTCTTTCGCACGCTGCTCAGGCGTGGCGTCGGGTGGTATGTGGGCAGGGTCTTCATGCACCCGGTGCATAGCAATAAAGCCAAACACGAACTGCGACTCGTCCTGCATCGCAGCCTGAACATTGGCAGTTGTATAGGCACCTGTTGTCAGACTACCCTTTGTGCTCATCTCTGCTAGCAGCAGGAGACCTCGCTGCCAAGGAAGGCCGACGGAAGCCAGTCCAGAAATGACGCCAGGGCCAGAAATGAGGTGCGCATTGGTCATATGCGACCAGCGCACAATGCGATGCACACCAGCCGCGTACTGAAGGCTCACTGTATTTCCGATATCGGCAAACTTGCGGTCTTCAAAGATCAAAAAGTTGTCGCGCACACTTAGCTGTGCGAGCTTTTCAATCAGGTCCTCGTCAAAATCTTCAAGAATATCAATGTGTGTCTAGCATGGATGTGAGTAGTAAGTAAGAGTCCCATTTTCACGAGCTGAAACGGCAAGAAAATAAGATCGACGTACCTTGATCAGAGCCACAAACGGGCCAACTGCGTCGACGACGGCCAAAAAGTCTTCTTTCGTCGTCACGTCCACACTCACACACAAGTTCGACTGCTTCCGAGCAATGGTCTCAAGCAGACTCTTCGCACAAGCATTCGTATGCTTCACGGCACGTTCTTCGTATGTTTGCGTAGCAGCCGACATGTCAAAGTCTAGACGGCACAAACGATGTGCTTCGAGGGCCTACGCGTTGGGTGGATCGGGGAAACCAACAAGGTAAGTGTGTGTGTGTGCCCTGGACTCCAGTCATGCGTCGTGTTGATGGCAGTCCTCGATGGGGTATTACATAAGCTTCGTTGCTCAGCTCCCCTAACATTTGGAGCGGCTTCGTAGCGACAACGTTCCTGGAGAAAAGGGCGGCAGAAAGAACGTGCGTTGTACAGGGCTATGGCAGCGCATGTCAAGGTCGTAGCTCGTTTTCGGCCAGCACATGCACCCGGAGATAGGATCCAGTCTGGTGACGATGCCGTCATTGTTGAGCACAAAGACTCGCAGTCTGTGAGCCTTTCTCGTGGCTCCGATGCGACATTTACATTTGATCATGTGTTTCCTATGGAGACCACTCAGGCACATGTTTTTGAACACAGTATTAAGGGGACTGTGGATGATGTACTTCAAGGGTACAATGGGACGATTTTTGCATATGGTCAAACAGGCTCCGGAAAGACGTATACAATGATGGTATGTGGATTCATGCTTGGACGATGTGGGAAAGCGTGAGGACGTTGTGTGACTGGGCAACTTGTGCTTATACTGACTCTCTTACCAGGGCTCAGATATTTATGATGCAAATACGCGCGGGATTATTCCGCGCCTGACCGACCAGATCTTTGATGGGATCCTGCATAGTCCACCGTCGATCGAGTACATGGTCAAGGTATCGTTTATGGAGATCTATATGGAAAGAATTCGCGATTTGTTAGAACGTGCGTACGCGATTGGAGAAAGCATGGGCGTACTGACATGTGGCCTTGTAGCTGAACGAGTAAACTTGCCTGTCCATGAAGATAGGAGCAAAGGTGTACGAGTCAAGGGACTTTCAGAACATTATGTGAGCAGCCCTGAGGAAGTGTATGAGACGATTCGGCGGGGCACAGCCATGCGTGCTGTATCCTCGACGCGTATGAATACCGAGTCGTCTCGCTCACACAGCATCTTTATGTTCACTGTGCAACAGCGGAATACTGAGAATGGTGCTAGCAAGTCTGGTTGTTTGTACATGGTTGATCTGGCCGGCTCGGAAAAGGTCGGTAAGACAGGCGCCAGTGGCCAGACGTTGGAGGAAGCGAAAAAGATCAACAAGAGCTTGAGTGCGCTGGGCATGGTGATCAATGCATTGACAGATGGAAAGTCGTCGCATGTGCCATATCGTGACTCCAAGCTCACACGAATTCTTCAAGAGTCACTGGGTGGCAACTCGCGTACGACTCTCATTGTCAACTGCTCACCCATTGCGTACAATGCTGAAGAGACACTCTCGACACTCCGTTTCGGTGTGCGTGCCAAGTCGATCAAAAATAATGCAAGAATCAATGCTGAATTATCGCCCATCGAGCTTCGAGCTCTCGTGCGCAAGGCCAATGCAGAACTCAGTATGTACAAAGCCTATGTTGGAGGCTTGGAGACAGAAATTGATGCTTGGCGCCATGGCCGTGCTGTACCACAAGAAGAATGGGCACCCCTCATTGGTGCCCCAGCGAGCCTAAAAGAAGATACGACAGGCGCCGCGACTCGTACTATTGAGCGAGCCGCGATCGAAGAGCCGATGAATCGGGAGCCTATTGCGGGTGGGTATGTGCAAGAGCAGCAGCTCTTGCAGCAGAACCGCGCGCTCGAGACAGCAATGATGGAGCTTCGCTGGAAGGTCGATGAACTGCAGCAGGAGAATCGCGATTTGAAGGAACAGACCCAGATACCCATGCGTTCTCATGCACTCTCGGAACCGCTACATACAGACGATCATGGTCATCGTGCTCATCCACAAGTCCGTTCCACTCGTGAGCAGCGGATCCAGGACATGCTTCGTGCTTTGGAAGGGCAGCACGTAGCACTAGCGCCCATGATGCAATCGATTGAGACGCTCCTCACAGCATGCCAACAGCAGGCCGACTTTCCGTTGCGTCTCGACCAGATTCATGCGTTGGAAGAGGGTCTTCTTCAGACCTATGTACAATTATCTGAGCAAGTGTTATCGGCACGGATTGCGGCGCAAGAAGTGTCGGTACTGCAACAACAGAAGCTGACGTTGGAAAAGCGGAATGCCGCTATTCAGCAGCGGTATGACCTGATTACGAATCAGATCGGTGCCTTGGAGCATAGTTTGCGTGTCGGTGATGAGGGCGCTATTCAGCTTGCAGAGCTGCGCTCCATGCTGGAGGAGCAGTCGTCAACGAGTCTGGCCAACTCGAGTTCGGAGGCATTGCATTTGGAACAGCTGCTGGCGATACGGAGTGAAGAAACGGCGGGACTAACGCGGTCGCTTGATGATCTGCGTGCGAGTCACGAGGAACAGCGGCATGCGCTCCAGCTTCTGAGCGCTTCAATAGTACAAGGAGAAAAGGCGGGACCCGATCCAGCTACCGTCCAGCGATTGGTCGATGCGTCGCAGCAGATGGAAAAGGCGCGCGAACTCGTGACATTGCGTCTGCGTGAGTACGAACGGCTCAAGGAGAAGCTCATGCAGGGACTGCGTGAACGCAGCGAGCGTGTTGTAGACCTGGAGATGGAGCTGGAGGATATGCATGACCAGTATGCTGTATTGCTGCAAAATCTTCAGATGGGCACGCAAAAGCGCAAGATGGGTTTGATTGAGCGCCGACTCGAGCAGCTGACGCATGTGCAGCAGCGCCTCATTGAGCAGAATACGGTACTCAAACGGGATGTGGCTCTCGCTGAGAAACGATTGCTCTCAAGGGCCGAGACGATCGAGGAGCTCGAGTCGCGTCTCGAGGACAAGCAGATCGATGAGTGGGAGGAAGCGGCCGATGCTCATGCGCGCATTGCTAAGCCCTTGCGCGGTGGTGGTGCTGCCGTATCGTCCCATGAGAGTGAAGAGCATCAGTCCGGTCCACAGGCGCGGCGCTGGTTCTTTGCTGCCTCTTAGTTCTATGAAAGCCGGGGTTGTGGAGAAATGAAAAACACGAAGGTCTCGTGTGTTTGGGCGAGAGGTGCGGTCATTTTGGTTTTTTCTGGTTTGCTGGTACACGCTTCTTATGCGCCTGTCGTTCTTACTCCACATGTTACACACATAGCTTCGCTCCATGTTGCCTAGATCACACCCTAATATATATTCCCGATTTCACACACACACACACACACACACACACACACATACATATACATATTCATTCTGTTCTTGTGAGGAGCATTGTGCCCAGACGCGATGGCTGACTCGATCAATTTTCACAACGCGACAGTGGAAGACATCCTGTCGCTCGATAATATCCGTGCGACGCTTCAGCGGATGGAAGAGTCCATCGTGTTCCGACTCATTGAACGCGCGCAATTCGGACACAATTCGTGTGTTTACCGGGACGGAGCATTTCCAGAGCTCGTCGAAAAGGAGAATTGGACTGGATCGTGGCTTGCTTGGTCGATCAAAGAGACCGAAAAGTGGCATGCCAAGCTGGGGAGGTGGCTTGCGCCTGATGAACACGCATTCACCCCCATTGAGCAGCTGCCGCGGCCTGTTCTAAAACCGAACGACTATCCAGATATTTTGCATCCCCACCATGTAAATGTAACAGAGGAGATTCTGGCCTTTTACACACAAGACATAGTCCCAAAGATTACGCAGCAGGAAGGCAAGCCTGAAGATGACCGGCAGTACGGCTCGTCGGTCGTGTGTGATATCGAGGCACTCGGTGCCATTGCACGGCGTATCCACTTTGGCATGTTTGTGTCAGAGTCCAAGTTTCGCTCAGATCCAGCCGCCTTTGTGCCTCATATCCGTTCGCGCAACATTGATGCATTGTCTGGCCTTATTACGAAGCCGGCTGTTGAAGAAGTGCTTCTTGCTCGTGTGCGACAGAAGGCTGATGTGTATGGGCAGAATCTGGACCAGACGTCCACGCACCACCCAGGAACTGAGCGTCGAAAGATCCAATCTGAGGATATTGTGCTACTCTACCAAAAGTTTATTATCCCATTGACGAAGAAGGTGGAAATCGATTATCTGCTTGAAAGGTACGTACGCGTATGTGTGTGTGTGTGTGTGTGGAGAGAGAGAAGCAGGGGCAGCGACAACGAGGGGCTGGTTGGATGAAAGCATGAAATGAGACTTACTCTTCAGGCTAGAAGGCGTGTCAGAGAAACAACTTGCTGAGCTCACGTCGACAACGCAGCAATCTCCTCGCTAGAGAATCGAGCGACACAATGGACATGTAGATGCACCACTTGTGCTCACCCACTTGTACAGACAGCTTCCGTGGAACTTGTGTTTGCATGTCCTGCACGGCTTGTTGGGCAGCGACTGATCTGTTGGGCTGATGATCGAATAACAAATCGCACACTCTGCGCCTTCATATCCCTGGAACTTGGCTTCGGCATTTCTCTTGAAGAGCATGAGTGCATCGAGGATAAGCCCGTTTTTCCCACTAAGCAACTGCTGCACAGCAAGGAGCCACGCGCGCCACTGGGCCTCACTCACACCCACACGCTTGATATCGCGGATTTCCACACCATGCAGAGGGTAGTCAGGGGGCAGACGAACGCCAATTTCCATCGGGTGTTCGTCGACCGTGTATGTAGCGACGACTTCGTTCGAGGATAGCACTTTGATCGACATGGCCTCATCCTGAATACGCGAGAGCGACGTCGGATCACGGAGGTGACTGAGCTCTCGCTCAGCGAGCAAGGGTGTACAGAACTTGGACGTGAAATGGTTGACAAAGATGGAGAGTTGCCGGTCACGGATACTCATCCACCAGTCGCGCACCTGTGTGGGAAGATGCACCAAGGCTCGATAGTATACATGCGCTGCCAGCGCCTGCAATCCTTTAGGCGACGTGAGTGGCAGCTGCGTCAGGTCGACATGATCGACAGCCCAACGCGATGCATCAAACGCCGGAATATCGCCCATGGCACGTGGCATGCCAGCAATGAGAGCAAACAAGCTGGGGAGAAGCTGCGTGTGCGTCAGATGGTCTGTCTGGAGCGCACCAGCAAAAATTGTGCGCACAGGAAGCGATGCCTCATCAAAGTGGTCTAGCACAGCGAGCCACTGAAGCAGGAACGAAAACACCGTTGAGCGGTCATCTTCCACCTCTTCCCAGAGTGCCGGGGTGAGAGCTATCGCTTTCTTCAGCGACGATACCAGTGGCGCATTCAGCTCGGGCGCACTAGATGTCGACAGTGATCCGAGCGAAATCTCGACGACTTGCTCGCGTACGCGCTCGTGAGTAGCAGCGCCAAGCATCCGAAGTGCAGCAACTTGGAGTTGCCGGTTCGTCGAAGGAGTGCACACGGGTTTCGTCAATACCTCTTGGTCTTCAGGGCTCGCGAAGCGGCTGGACGGCACATGCATATCGACAAGCTCCGTCAGAAGCACCATACTCGCATCTTGCACGTCATTTGGGGTACCGCGGGAAGCCGAGGCGTGTATACACGCGCCAAGGAAGGCATCACGCAATGCGTCCTGAAGGGCATGGCCGTGTTGCTCGATAGTATCGCGCACATGCTCGTGCGTGCGCAGGTCGTAAAGTGTGTTGAGCAAGCCTAGCGTCAGGTACAGCGTCGGCCAGCCAGTGTCTTCGTCCAGATCAACTGCATGCATGTTCTCTTCGACAACATCGAGCATGAGGTCAAGATGCCGCCCTGGCACGCTCTGAACGACAGGCGCAAACTCTGTCAACACCGAAGCAAGCAAAGCGAAGACCGTCTCACTCAGGTCGTCATCGCTAGTGATCCACCGCTGAAGACCCTGTAGAACAAACACGGCACGTTGTGTGGGGATCAGCGCGCGTCCTGCGCTCCATGGCGCAGCAGCGCAGCGGAGCATTTGCAAGCCATTCACACCATCAGTATTGGCACGCGCAGGAGGCACACCACTGAGGTTCGCAGCGATCTCGTTTCGCCAGCGCTCATGGCTCGGTGAATCGTATGCATGCGTTCGTGTCGCACTGAGTATCGCGCACGCGAGAGGCGTGTGTGGTGGTCTCATTCGCATGCCTGTCCGGACCCACATCTCTGCATCTGTCGTTGACGCGGAGCTGAGGGAGAGAATACCTGCGAGGAGTCGCGCAAAAAGCCGGGCGAAGCCCACAGACTCCGAATCCATAGCATGCGTCCACACTGAATGCATTAGGGTCGTAAGTGCATCAGACGGGCTGCCATTCAGCATAGCCTGTGCGGCTGATTCATGCCAGCTAGCGGGCAAGTCGGACGCCAGCATAGACAGACGTCGCGTGACGGTGTGTACGAGGCGAACAAGGAATGACTCCGCGATGCCTCGGTCCATTACCGTGGTGGTTTTCGATGAGTAGTACACCTGCAGCCAAATCTTGGTGTCGCCAGCGATCAAAGCATCTTCTAACACGAGCGCGGTCAATGCAAGTAGAGGAAGCACATCAATCGACGACATCGCATCTTCACTCATTTCCATGCAAGCATCCGCATACCGGGCGAGGCGTTGGAATTCGGACGGCGACACAGTGCTGACTCTAGAATGTATCGGAACCATTGGATCGTGAATGACAAGAAACGGACTTGCCGCACTTGAAGCCACAGATTGCATAGCCTCTTCCCAGTGCGACGGCTGTAAGCGGACTTGGTCTGAGTACGGCGCGGGTAGTGCACGTGAAGCTTTCAAGATGCGACGTGGCGGCATAGACCCGCCAACAAGTTCTTCCTGCAGAAACAACGTTGCCTGGGCATATAGGGCTGATGAACGGTCGGCCAGTTGGTTCGTTAGCTGCATCCACATATGGCGTGCAGCTTGTGTCGCGACCTGATCATGCAGATAGCCTACCTGCCACAAGAGCGGCACAACATGTCTTTTGACCTCCTCATCTTCATACAGCTGTGCAGCATGCGAAGGGTCGATTGCCACCCAAGAGCCAAGGATCTGCAAGAGACCTGCCTGTTCCGCAAGCTCGGCATGCGCAGCAGACTGAACGAGTGCACGGATCAGCCGGAGCTCGATGTCTCGAGACTGGAGCCACGCAGGCGCATCGAGCAATGGGAGCCAAGCGCGCGGCTCGGATTCTAGTTGGCCAAGCGTAGACAACCGCCATTCTTCCAGTACCTGCGCCCCTGGCAGCCGATGCCCCGCTGCCTGCGCGACTCGGACCAACATGGGTAGGGTCGACAAGGGAGTCTCTAACGTAGCACGAAACAGAGCCTGCCATACCTCATCCAGCGCAGGCATTGCTTGCATATATGCTGTGTAGAAAGAAACAGCATCATTCTCCGACACTCCCTCGTTTCCCAGATGACTGGGAATCACATCCGTGGCTATAAGTGTCAAACGCTCCGATACGTGCGTGTCACTAGCGAGTGCATCATGCGCAGGAGATTGGAGCACAGATGCAAAGTGCGGCAAGAAAGTCGGCTGGAAAGCATCTAACATTCGCTCGACAGTGGCGTGAATCATGCGCTGCACGTCGCCACGGAGCGTGTCGCTCACGCCTGTTGAAGAACACACATAGACAAGCAGTTCCACAACAGCAGCCAGGTCATCCTCTAGGTCAATGGTTGAGAGCATACTGGATACTTTCTCAAGCGTGTGTGCCAGCAGTCTTGTCTCGCAAACAGTCACATCAAGCGTGGGCAAACATTTGCCGAACTCGCGTGCTGACTTGAGGCGCAAGCGAGGAGGCAATGATTTAGACTCGGAGTGAAGGATAAAGTGATCGAAGATGTAAGTGAGTTCCTCTGTCATCAATGACGCCGTTACTTGCACTTGATCAGCTGATACAGATGGCTGTCGAATAACACGCATGACCAGGTAGCGCAGACACTCACACAGCATTGTCATATAAGCATCCCAAGCATGGGGATCTGACATGCCTTGAATCAAGCCATCAGATATACTTAAAAGAGGTTCCATCATCAACGACACTGACTCTGGCGTGTGCGGCAGGATGTCGGCTGGCATTGTTGAGAGAAACACAAGAATGGTAGGGAAGCATGTGACCGGTGCCGAGGGCGCAATCGTCTGCATCCACGCCACAAACTGTGCATATGGCGTCATGGATGCTTGTTCTTCATCGTCGCTGTCTTCATGCTCGTCGTTATCGAAATCGTTGGTCCAGGCGCCTGGATACTTCCGGAGAAGTGGTAAGCACACCGCGAGCATGTCGAGAATGACGGGCGCGTCCCGTTCAGCAAATGCTGCATGCAAGACCATCGGCAAAATCACTTCTTTGTTGCGATCAAGCATCGCACCGTCAAGACGGAAAAGCAACGACAGCACATTCCATGCGCGCTGTCGAGCAGCAGGCGACCCAATACCAAGGGCATGAAAGTCCGTTTCCCCGGGCCACTCTACAGGCAAAAGAGCTGTCCACATTTGTGTCGATTCGAGGAAACCTTCAAGATCCGGTAAGAGGTCCTGCGACATGTCCATCAATGCATGCATGATCCCAAGGGCACCTGCTACCAATCTGCTGTTCATTTCATCAGCATTTTCCTCTAAATTCGTATCGCTGCGCGTCTTGGCGATCATATCAGTTCCTTCTTTTGGCGCCGTGTTTTGGAGCGACGGCGTTACCTGCGTCAGCGCTGCGACAGGGGCATCTGTCAGCAGAATCGGGCGCAAATGCTCAAGCACAAGCGGTACATATTCTTGCAGACACAATTTTGTAGGTTGTGCGTTTGGCTCATTCCATGTTACGTATCTCTTCCAAAGCTGTAGACCAAGCCGACCGACGGTGCGACTGGTGTCGTAGCTCAGCACAGCCCAGAAACCAATGATCGAGTCCATGTAAGTAGACGATAGCAGTTCATCACGGATACAAGACGAGTCTGGACTGGGCGTGGGAAACTCAAGCAATGCGGCGTGAACTTGGAGTGTCAATAGTCGCACACGTTGTGAAGGCGATAGCGCGAGGCGCGGAAATAAATGTGACCAGCACGGAAGCATAAGCGCAAGTGCCTCACAGCGCTCCTCAACCGAAAGCAATTCATACGGAGCGCCGTCATCCATCTGAGGCGGAGCGCCCTGGATCCAGGCGAGAAGGGATTCCATTGTACGCACACGCGTTACTATGTCCCTTTTCAGTGCCTTTCTAAGAAGAACAACAAGGTCAGCAGGGAGCAAACTAGCCAATCCCATAGAATCCAAGGGGAACGGCGGTGGCTTGGGTGGCTTAGGGGGAGGCACATATGCTTTTTTCTTGGCAAGCTGCTTCCGCTCTTTCTTGGACAACTTTTTTCTCTCGCTGCTCTTGCCTGTCTTTAGCGTCAAAGTAGGCTCAGATTCGCCTCGTTTCGCAGCAGCAGCAGCGGCATGCTTTTTGCGCGTACCGGGCGTGGCAGACGATTTGCCACGAGATCCCTTGGGCATGGTTGTCGTTCTGACACTGTCATTCAAGCATGGGTGTCACGATTTTGCTCCACGTCAAGCGCCTGCAATCTTTACAGACTATGACTCAACATGACTAACCATGTAATGACGCACGGTGCAGGAGGTGGATGACAAACGAGCGAATTTTGTGAAGCCGAGCAAGTCAGAGCCATAAACGTTGGTCATCCTCGCAAGGCACAAAATCAATCATCCATCATGGCGGGCCCAGGGATGGAGGTGTTTCGTTTCGGAATGTACGCTTAATAGCTGACATTTAGGTATTTGATGTTTCCTCTTGGGTTCATGTTATACTTTGGCGATCCGAACTGGTATGAGAAATATGTGCTACCGGTATGTGGTGTCTTTGATACGTAAAACATCGGAATGAGAGAAAGCTGACCGTGTCCAGTCGCGTAGCCGCTTCGTTCCGCCAGAAACAGATTTTGTATGTGTGCACGAAACACAAATACGGGTAATGGAAAAATGCTAACATGTTATAGAAAGTGCCTCATTCCAAGGAGGAGCTCCAAACGATTATTCACGAGAAGCGAGAACAAGCATCGGTCACTAGGGACCCGCAAGTCAAGAGTCTTTTGTCGGCGTGGAAGCATGTCGACAGGGAGCGCATGATTTAGTTGAGATAGTTTACAAAACAAAATACTATAGGAGCTGTGACGCATCGCCACGCAGTGCTAAATACATGTTATCGACGCCAGGAGCCTGTTGAAAGGTGTGTAAGTCAGCGAAAGGAACCTCTACACATACAAAGCTTTTCACAATTTGGTACACTTCCGCGTTATGATAGCGAAGGCGCGTCTTTGGATCTGTATAATAACCCTGCCGCACACATGTGAGCATAGATAGTCATAGACATACGATGAGTCCAGTGATATCGCAGTATTTTTTTGAAGGAAGAAGGCTCGGTGGCGCTTGAACACTCGTGTCTGAATTAGCAAGGCCCTTAGGAACGTACATGTCGGAACTTCGCGCGCGGGTGCAGCGGCTGTTGAGGAGGTCGCAGGGACTGACTCTTCATTCTCTTCTTGAACCTGCGCTTGAGGATCTTCCGCCTTTTCATGCACCATCTTGCGTCGCTTCGGTGTGCTTTCTCCGGATCCGCGCTTCTTACCTGGCTCGACAAGCCCTCGTTTTTGCAGATACGCGTCGCGTTCTTGGTTTAGGATCTGCTTCAATGTCTTGTTGCGTCGTGTAGGCACAGGCGCGCCATTCGCTCCCATTTTGCTAAGATACGCTGCAGATTTGAAAGGTCTTTGGTCCACATAGACGGAGAGGTCCTCCGCCGTGAGCGTCGAATCAGACATGATAGCAAACTAAGTGGAGCCTAAACTGTGAAACGCACTGCCTAAGCAACAGGCTAGTTATGCCATGTTGGGGGAAACCCATCGTCGTCCCCCCCCCCGAAAGAGAAATAGAATCACGTGCATGTCAGGGTCCAGCTTGACGGGAGCAGCCCATACAGAGCATACGTGACGCCCATCTAGCTTGCATGTAACATCTGTGCTCGCTCACATGATGCCCGTGTTCCTGAGTCAATTCCCAGAAGAGTCAAGATAAAAAAAGGAAGCTTTGAGACATGATCATCAAATTCCTATAGCAGCACTAAAAATTACAGGTCGGTGATCGGATCGAGCGCCGAGCGCCTGAACACCGTCATCATCAATCGTGTGGTAGTTGAGTACCTTTACCCTACCTTTCGTAGGAGTCAAAACATCATCGTGGAGAATAGATTCCATAAGCGAATTGTTCTTATTTGATTCGGCAATAGCATGAATCCAGTCAAGTGGGGCATGAACGAGGATATGGTGACTCGATTCCGAGCCGGCGTGCGATTTTGAAACATCATGCTCATTAGCATGTTGATGGCGATGGATGTGTTTGTTAATCCAAGGCATAAAGCCACTTTTGTTCTGTCTGGCTGCAATGTCCGCCCGCGCAGTATGTTTTTTTGCGGATGCATTGCTTCGCCACAATACACGATCACACCATGATGGCACACGCTGCTTCGCGCTCGAGTCATACAATACAGAGCGCACAGAGGGTGCTTTGTCTTCCAAACTGGTCAGCGAGAGTTTGTGGGAAAGTGCGTCAGTGGTCGGCAAAGGAGTCGAAGAGATACTCGAGCTTGAAGGCGCTGGATCCAAGTTTTCCGTGACAGATGAGCTTGTAGACACGACTGAAAGTGTAGAGGAAGACGCCACAGAACCCAGGGTTGCTAGATTGTTTTCTTGTCGTTGTGCAGCTTGTTGCTTGATGGTCTCCTCAGAGCGGTCGAGTTTCCGCAGAAACCGACGCCATAGAGGCCGTGGCTTCTCAGATACTGATTCTTCGTCAAGTGATTTTGCGCTGGATTTCCGCGAGACAGAGCCTCCAGGCGGGCGGGCCTGCTGTAGCATGATGCTTGGCTGGTGTCGAAGCTTGTGCTTTTGCGCTTTTTCCAGGTCGTACTTGTATGTGGGAGGAAAATCAATGGGTGCCTCTCGGAAACCTTCAAGCGCATTTCCAGTCCGTAATAGTTTGCGAAGCTGATCAAATTCGAGTGCATCGTCATAGGACTGTTGCTGAAGGAGCCAGTCGGCATGCTTCCGAGTGATGTCAACACGGAAGTTGAGGTCTCCGCACCAAAAGCAATGATCAAAGCATTTCGTAATGTCATTCGACTTGAGTAGCGGATGGTTCGGCGGGAGAAACGTGTCGACTTTGAGCTCCGATTTAATTTTTTCGATGTTTGCAACGCGTGCATCCAGGCGATTTGCGTGCGCAGCCAAATGAGCATTGATAAAAAGTAAACGGGTTTCGCCGAGCTTGAGACTTATGCCAATGCCACCCTTATTGCCCATGCGGCCGGCCAAAATACCGCTCTTAACTGCGTGCGCACTTGCGCCACGAACGCGATCCATGCATCCGCGCCACACGTAAACAGCGGTGTAGCAGCCCATCATGCGCTCCTTTATCAGTAAGCAATAAGGACCCAACTGTTCAGGAGGATTTCGCATGGACCTAGGTGAAAAAAGAGGACGAGATATGTGTGATTCAACACTCGCTGGTGTCGTACCCGGAGTGTCGGAGTCACTTAGACTCGTTTCACCCTCATTTGTATCTGAAAACATGGCCCGTGAGAGCAATTCATTTCCAGACCGCTGAATACCGTTACAAAACCAATCCTGACAGATCTTGGACCAGGCACGAGATGTGACAGTGACGCGCCGTCCATCACTATTAATTACCTCTTCTTTTTCATCCGAAGGAGAGAAACTGTTGACGCCTGAGACCGGCGATGGTATCGACACGGAGAGAGGGGGGCGTTTCATCGAGGATGCATCAGTCCCGAATTCCGGCGTTGATGAAATCGTAGGCGAAGTCGTGGCCATGGCAGCTTGGATTTCTGACGGAGTCAAGTCGCGCTTCGTACGCGTCAAGCGATACGCATCGCCAAATTCACCGGCAGTGTGGATTTTGTGCATTAACTGACTTCCCTCGCCCCACGGACATTCCTGGCAAGACACCACCACAACATGATACGGATGGACATCTGACAAGGGCAGTTGAGGGATGCGATCCTCTTTGGGCACATGTAATTGACCTTTGGCCTTGACACCTTTATATGCATCATTAAGAATGGTGTTATCTTCGTCCCAGTCCGGTGAAGCCGGCTCGTATACACCCACACGTCCAAATAAGATAGCCAGGTCCCCTAGGGGAACGTGGCCATGCATGTTCCAGGTCATGATACGGACCTTGATGGTAGGATGCTCTGGAGACGAAATCGCATCGACATAGCGCTCAAATGCGCTTTTGACATGCGAGGATGTTGTGGACGAGCGCGATGCGGATGTGTGGATCTCATCGGGCATCGTGTCGAGACAACAGTCCGTTGGCTAGCCGTTTATTGATCTCCCTCCATTTCTGGGTGAACGCGTAAATAATCAATTCGGGCTTGCCATGTGGGACAATTACGAAAGCACAGAAATAAGCATGCCTGGACTCATGCGACCAATGTGTTCGGAAAACAAGCTCGGTTATATGAGCGGCTCCAATCAGACCTTGTCCTCCATCTGTGACAAGCCTGCTAGTTCGGTAATTCCCATGGGCAGTCAATGTCCTGCAAGTTCAATTTGGATTTATGCTTTCCTAATATGCCGCCAATTTCCATTTGCATGTCAATCTGTAAACTGATGCCTGCAACCGTGGGGAAAAGCGGAAAGGGTCCGTGTAAGTGGGGGAGGGTGAGTAAAAAACACCAGTCGTACTCACTTGGACGCTGAACTCCGCGGTCTAAGAGCTTGTTAGCATGTGAGGGATGCGTTATGGTTGGTACATACAAAGATGTGCGCAGGCTTTCTGCATGGTTTGCTGGGTATCATCTCCAGTGACATTGAGGCTTTTGTGCGAAAAGGAGATAGGGACTTGCACTTGAGTCACTTTGCGACCAGGGATCCATTGTGAATGCACATCACCCGAGCCAATCTTCACATTTGTGGAGCTGAGTGTGACATCTGTGTGAAGTGAAAGCAAGTGTGAAGGAACCCATCCATCGTTGTTGTCTAGACGCACATTCATAGTGCCATTCATTCTGTCAATGTGTTAGAGGTTTGTCAAATGACAAGAACAAAAAAAAAAAAAAAACGTACTTGAAGCCTGTAGGCGCACCAGAAAGAACCATATCAGACTTTTTCGAAGCAGGTGTAAGTGCGTTACGCGTGACGAGATGAACAGCTGTTTTGCAAGTGTTAGTATGCTTTCTTTCCATGTGTGTCCCCCTGCCCCATTTCCATTACCCGAAATGTTCTTTCTTGCTTCATACTTACTAGGTACACGAGGTATCACAAAGTACAAAATTAGAATCAGCATGATGAAAAACACAAACAAAATCATGAGAGCAGTACCTCGACCCAACCAGCCACACATAAGGTGCTGTCCATGTAGCCAGTGATCGAATGTGCGAGCTTGCTTCTGGCGCCATACTTTGCGCCGATGCGACCGTGTCATTTCAGCAAGCTCCGTTGTCGAGTATTCTGCACCAGGCGGCGCTATATCAGCCAACTCGAAAGACGAGTTGCTGTGCCCAAGCAGTGTGCCATAGGGTTTTGTGTCGTTGCCTACGACAAGCGAGTCATTAGCGTATCGTGTGTCGAACAAGGCCGCTGACGAGGTATCTTGAAGATGCGTGGGGATCTGAAGAAGGGGTTGTGACTTGGGTCTTGAAGCTAGCGGTGGTACCGAACCAAAGTGAGATGACCGATTCGATGTTACTTGCTGGTTGTCCATATTGTCATAGAGTGGCAGCGCGTCGCCTGATTGACCATAATTTAAAAAGTCACGATATACATCGAAATCTAGAGCGGTCAGAAACTTGTCCTTCGCTGATAGAAGGTTTCCCATGGCTGCTTTTACTCACCCTCATCGCTTTGGGATTCATCATCGGAGTCGTCCTGACTTCTCATGTCCCACTCATGGTGAGGCGGTGCTTCAAGATCATGATCTGCATCGAGAGCTGTTCTTGTGTGCTTTGACTGCCTATTGTGAAGGAGAGATGATTCTTTGTCTTCGAGCAAAGATGTGCGCGATTCATGCGCGTCAATGTGAGGCATAGGTGCACGAGATCCTGCTTCTATCGCTCTTGAATGTGAGGTCCGCTCCTAAATGATGATGAGGCGCGAGTGGAAGTGTTGGTTTTGTCGAATAACAAATTGACCTATTAGGTAAAGCATGGGTCATGAAATCTATCAACTGGGTATCAGGAAACTTTGGTATGGGTGTTGAAACAAGCAGGATTGCATAGCCGCACATACGTGGATGAGAGCATGACGCAGACCGTCGCTGCGTTGGTCTTTTGGTCAAACAGGTACTAGGGCTCGGAGGTCCACGCGTATGTACATGTTGATATGACAGCTGAAGTGATGAGGACACCTCAGGACAATGGGACTAGGAGTGTGCTTTGTAAAGCGGTCGGTTAATTCGATGCGGCCTGTTTGCAGAAAGCTTTCGATCGCTGCCAGCGAACCAAGGAATTGTCATGACAAGTAGTAGCATTCCAAGGATTACACTGACCATGACAAGAAGCCCGCGAAGAGGCGAGAACCTTGACGAGTGTGTGAAAGCACGCATGCTGGAGTTCCGTCGAGGATGGTCATGCTCATGAGACAATGTGTCTAGAGGCACACTCTCGATATCCTGCTCAGCGATCCATTCATCAGTAAGGAGTCTAGAAGCATCTTCGTCATCATCAAGTGTTGGATCAGAGGCCGTCGATACACTATCTTGGGACAATCGGGCACCTGGGTCCGGAGGCATGCCGTTTAATCCGAGTGGAGGTAAGACCCAACCAGTTCCGCGCTGGCGCACCAGTGTCGATCAGTGAGTAGGAATGTGTTTGCGTGCGTATATTTTAGGTGCAACAATCAACCGCCCGACGTTGGATTCACACCCACCTGCGAGGAATCCAAGAGTGGAGTCAACGAGCGTGCGGAGTTGTGGAATTCCGACAAACTCTATTTGTGCAAGCCCCAAAGCGACTGTGGTAAACGCTGGGGACGGCGGAAGTGGGCTGGAAGAAACACGAGTACGTCGGTATGCGATGGCTCTTCTTGCTCAGTGTGTGCGTTATGTGCATTGTCGCACAAAACCCGCCTTCATCAAGTGGCTCTTCTTCGGCAAGCTCTAGCAGTGCATCTACGCCATCCTCCGACACAGGCGCATCGAATAGTAAGTAGCTGGTGCAACCACAAGATTTTAACCATAACTAACTCCCAAAGGTACTTCATCTGCATCGATCACAGCAACGGCGTCTAACGTAAAAGAGGGACCGCTTGCTGGGACTGCAAAGGCACCTTTGCCGAATCACTCAGGCAAGACAGGGCCAGACGATCACTATTTCGTCGATGGGGCCATGTCATATTCCAAACCTGCTTGGATTCTCGCCATAACAGCCAGCAGTTTCCTTGTCTATTTCGTGTCTGATGTACATATGGGATGAGAATGTGTATGTGCCCAGTCTGTAACTACAGGGTGCACGTGCTTCGGAGCAGTAACAGATGCGTTGCCGAAAGAAAGGCGTGGATCTTCCATAATATAGGTGGGCGCCATGCGGCGCACGTCATCGTATGCTTGAGTGTGAAGTACGACATGCAGATGATGGACGCCTTTGCGCCTTTGGGTAGGAGGTGGTGCATAAGTTTTGCCGGGGATTTCGATGGCAAGAATCGTTGCGATCGTAGCTACGATAGCCGGCGCCTCATACGCAAGTGTACTTCTGTGCATAGACCATACGACGCTCTCTAGGTTCGGCAATGCGCCATGCGCGCCACCCAATGCCTGGGCCTCCGATGCGAGAAGCATACAACCAGTGATGCACAAACGTCTCACGCGGGAGAATGTGCGATGATGCTCGTCGCCCCAAACGAGTGTATGTGCCCAAAACATGGGTGGCGGACCGAGAGACAGTCTTGTGAGATGAGGCAGTTCTACAGGCTGACGAAAGCCAGCGACAGCTCGCTCCAAAACGCCAGAGAGACCCAGGTTCTCGACGCGAGGAAGCATACCTAGAAGCGAATGAACACTCTGAAGCAGCGAGCCGAGAGTGTGCATTGGTAGGGGCTCGGAGCCAAGCTGGAGCTCCGAGTCAAGCTGTGGCAGCGTCTCTTTCAAAGGTACTTTCCAATCACGCAGGGCAATGCCAAAGGGACGGCGCTCCCAAGTGCACATGAGGGACGTGCCGATTTGCTGAGTGGCGCCCCACAAATCTGCCTCTTCAGACCTTGGGTCGGACACGTCGTTGGGGACATCTCCCATACCGATCATATGCAGTGCACCTGATCGTGCAAACAGATACGGGTCATCGAAGCGGTCGTGCTGGAAAAAGGCTGCGCCATGTCGAAGTGGTATCGGCGTAAAGACAGGCTCAGCGCGATATGAACGATCGCATATGCTGCACAACGCCAGCCAGCGGCCGTAGGCTAGCGCCTTGGCTATCAGCACACACAACCAGCGGGGTAGGTTCGATGGGTCAAACTCTTGCAACACACGCCAAACCAGCGCAGTGTGCACGTCGTCGTCCGATGGAGACAGTGCGTAAAGCATGTCACCCGCGTCTTCCCAGTCAAGAGGATCATGCCGACTACCTGCTGGGCGCGAATGCAGAGGACGAGGTTCAAATACATCATGCTCGATCTCATGGACGCCTTCATATTTTTCGATTTGTAGGACCGCATGAGGATGTTCCGCGCGTAATGTATACTTGTGCGCTTCGACGTTGTATGGGCTTGCGAGCCATCGGCGAATGTGATTCCCCCGCTCTTCATGCACAAGAAACCGAAGCCAAAGTAAGAGCGAGCGAGCTTCAAATGCTCTCATGACCCACTCAGACCGAGGTATGATGTGGCCAAAATAATCAAGGCCCGGCTGCTGAATCGTGATGCCGCCTGTGCGTGTGCCATTTGGGGCCTCGGAACCCACGTGCATGGCGCATACTTCAGCTATATCTCGCTCAAGCGTATGTGAGAGCAGTGAGCCATGTGGTGTGCATGGGTGATCGCTGGGGCGTCGTTGGATCTCGGGCACAATTGAAAATGCCTCTTCGTATGAATGAAAACCGTGACTCAGACCCAGCACTGGACGCTCGGCATAGATCGATGTCGACCCAATATAGATGTGCTGGACGAGCTGACCCAGCATGGGGCGGTGTACAAGAGCCTGCAAGAACGCACACAATTGAGAAGGTCTGCACAAAATGACGGACTTGTAGAGCCTTTGAACACCCAGGGCGTAATGGGCACGACTCAACTGCATAACACACAGTAACATTTCGATGTCATAAGGCGCTGAGTCTATGTGAAACACGGGTCGCTCTGGTAAGCTACTCGCGTCGAGGACATCGGACAAGGTCGGTTTCTTAGCACAGGAGACATTGGGCTCGCATGCGAGTTGGAGAATGCGATCACAAAGCTCTGAAGGCAGTTTTCTTTGTGGTGGATGCGTCAAGAAGGTCATTGCCCGCGCTAAGCACAGGGAAAGAAAGAATCAACACGAGTTGTATTCTGGCCACCGACTCGAACGGACCAGCAATCCCACAAGCAGCCAAGCTCGTAATGGCGAACGCTGCGAGATCTGATCCAATTTGCCCCACTCAGAAAAGTACGCTTTGTTCGACCTCGAATGCAGCCGGACACCCCACTTCCCCCCCCCCCCACTTTTCTCCCTCCTTTCCCGATCGAGATCTTGGCGCACGCACATACCGACCCAACTGATTGGGTAGAGCCAATGTGCTTAAATTTTGATGGGCACAATGAGCAAGTCCGAAGAGAAACTCTGTCACGTCTTGCCATAATCCATCAGAGCACGTGGAGAGTGTGCACGGGCTACACTTTTGTGCACAAGGAGTCATGTCAGACCTACTACCTATCGTGGGCGAATTTTCACATGGCTTTGATACCGAAGATGAACGGATGCGTATACACGTCGCCCTTGCACAAGTGCAGCCGAACGAGGCGGCACATGGGAACGTCTACGACGTTCTTCCACGCATGAAGCAACTGTTGTGTAGCGCGAGTGAACTCGGCGCAGATGTAGTAGTGTTTCCTGAGTATTTTTTGACTGGCTCTTCACATGAAGCTTGGCGCCAGTCTCACACGCATGATCCGTTAGACTCCTTCAGTGATGTGCCTGTGTGGCTAGAGGATATCCGGTGCATGGCACGCGAATTTGGCACGGCCATAGTGACAGGTTCGGCAGTTCTACGACATGCGAATAAGCGGGCCAGTCCGCTCTACAATACTACATACTTTCTCGATGCAAGGGGCGACATCAAGGGTGCATATACGAAGCGGAACTTATGGCATGCTGAGAGGGCCGTGTTAACGCCAGCAACGGATGTGTCGCATCCGAAAGACGAGTATCCTCCTGTGTTCATGTTTGAGACGCGGCGTGGTCTTCGAGTGCGTGCGTCTATGCTCATGTGTTGGGACCTCATGTTTCCTGAGTCGTTTCGCCGGCTCTTCGTGCCCCCCGGCTGCGACCAACAGCTGTCGGAATTGGATAAGCCGAACGAATGGACTGGACCTGATATCGTGTTTGCGCCCACTTGCTGGTACGCCGACGACTCAGGCACTGAGGCACAGGTATGGAACAAAGATTGTGAGGCAGCATGTCTCGATGCAATTTGCGTTGCGCGCGCAATGGAGAACGAGTGCTTTGTTTGTATGTGCAACGCAGCAGGATCATCGAATACCTCGCCCCGTGGATTGGGTAGGACAAGTGTGAATGCACCATTGCTCGGGTGCAGTGCTCGAGTGTCGCACGCCCATGAAGCATGGCTCCTACAGACGTTGCAAATGCCTGTGCTTTCAACGGCACGACGCACATTCAAGATACGACAAGACATAGGCTACTATGTAATGACTAGGGAAGTAAGCGAGTGATGATCATGGAAGCTTCTCATGTGTGAACTTGACAAGCATGTCGGGAGCATCGCCACGACGCAGGAAGAGCTCCACAAGGTGGATACCATCAACATTCTGGAACGAACTGTCGTTAAAGAGGGCGTCAAGGTCCTTGCGCGTTTCGACCTTGTGGTAATACTTCTTGAAAGACTCCAAGTCATTCCTGTGACTATGCTGCGCCTCATCGCGCACTTCTTTTGACTCAACTGCCTTCATTGGCGCACGCACATCCTTCGAGCAGTACATGTAATCAAGGAGAAGGCTGTAGTCCAGAGGCGGAATGTTGTTGTACGAGCGATTTGGGCCATGAATCTTGCGTTCCACCTCGTAACCATCATTGTTCAACACGAAAATGATAGGCTTGAGTCCATACTTCATCATTGTTGAGATCTCTTGCATGGTCAACATCAAACTGCCATCTCCCACAAACAAGATCACTCGACCCTTGCCCTTGGCTTCAGCACCACACAAGACACCAAGAGTAGAACCTACACTCCAACCAATCGAACCATAAAGAATCTGCTGATAATAGTGGGCGCCTTCTGGTAGAGTCGTGTGAACCGAGCCGAAACAGGAGGTGCCCATGTCAGCTACGATGTGGTCATCAGGACGGAGGAACGAGCTCAATCGCGTCCATAGGTAGTCTTGCGACACGAACGTCGCATCTGGCAACTCGACTCGGTGCTCAACGGACGACTTGAGCTCTTTGGTTAGGCTCAAACGTTGGTCACGCTCGCCCTTGAGTTGCTCAGACAGCGCAGGAAGCACATCTTCGAAACCAATGCCTGAAAATTCGCCATAGCCGACAACGCAGCATCGGCTGTGGATGGCAATCGTATGGCACATAGGAGTCCTATAGGTGAACTTGCCTGTATTCATGTCAGAGTCAAAGCTGCCAAGCGTGATAAGCAAGTCAACCTTGTCCATGGCGTCCATAAGTTCCTTGAATGATCCATGACCAGCATACTCACCAAGATACTGTGGATCATCTTCAGGGAACAGACTCTTGCCCATGGGTGCAACGACGACTGGGAAGCCAGTGCTCTTGACAAAGTCATACGCAAGCTTCGTAACACCATGTCGGGAAACACAGCCGTCAATCAAAACCATAGGACACGAAGCCGCTTGGACATGGCGCATAATCTCTTGCACGGTATAGTCACGCTTCTCATCAGAGACCTCAGGACGTTGCACCTCAATGGGCGTGCTTAGGTTCGCGTCTGACACTTCCATCTCGAATACATCAAGAGGGACACCCAGGTACACAGGTAACTTCTCCCTTAGCATCGACACCAACAAACGGTCGATAACATACGGAGCGTTATCGAGGTCACGCTGAGTCCATCCGATAATATCACTGTCGCAAGTAATATTTTGCGACATCTCGAAATATGCTTTATACTTGTTGCCACCGAGAGTGTGGTGCATCCACACATGGTGGGCTTGGGAGGATGAAGTCGGCATACCAACGATGTGAATCACCGGCAGCTTTTCGGTGTAAGCACCTGCGATGCCATTCAATGCCGACAATTCACCCACGCCAAACGTTGTGACAAGAGCACCTGGAAGACCCGTTGAACGAGCATATCCGTCGACAGCATAGGACGCGTTCAGCTCATTGGCACAGCCCACCCACTTGAGCTTGTTTTCGTCCTCAATCATATCAAGGAACTGCATGTTATAATCGCCAGGAAGTCCAAATACATGCTTGACACCAAGCTGTGCCAAGCGCTGGACGATGTATTGACCCACGAGCATGTTTGCGCAAAAATCACTATATGTGCCAGGAACAGCACAGATGCTTTTATATTTATCTGGTTGATGTGCCGCACAGATATGTGCCCGATTCGGGACATTTCTATGGGGTCTTGTGCGATCACGTGGATTCTACTCGGGCAGTGTAGGCGTGGTTATCCGTTGCAATGTCCAATAAAATGTAAGATGAAATAGGACTGAGCGATATTGGCCGTGGCTAGATGTGGATGCACATGGAGTGGGTCAGGGTGAATAAAGCTCGTAGAGCGTCGTATCGGTGTTGCCTAGCCAAATGGGTGGCAAAAACGATGTGTTGGTCGAACACAGGAGAAGAAATCCAAACAGAACGCTTGCTTCACTCCCATGAATAGGACTTGAAACCGCATAGTTGCACTTCAAGAATGTGATTGGTGAGAGTAGCTTATCGCACAAGGAACATAGTTAAACTAAAAAAATAAAAATGTAGACGAGTCCACGAGGGCGGATAGAGAAGGCCAGACCAAGGCTGTTGAAGTCGACGAACGAAGTTTATCACGTGGCTGGTCCTCATGCGCATCGCGATGAAATACTAGCGTCACTTCAGGCCCAGCGTAGTGGAGTGGAGACGCCTTGCGACAAGGTGCGCCTAAGCTGGAATGGCTCGGAGTGGTTCAAAGAGGAGCCGCAAGAAGCACGAGACGCCGCGTGACACTGACTCGGCAGAGCCCAGCTTCGTGCTCGATACTAATAGTGAAAATGTTCGTCCAGAAGCAAGTATAACACGGAACGAGGCGCATGAGGTGCCACGAAACGCGACAGATCTAGATCTGCCTGAGCATGTGGCCATAGTGTCGGATCGGTCACGCCCGGTAGACGTGTATCAGGCTGCGGATACTGGTTCTGTTGAATCTGCAACTGGTCAAGATGCGGATGGTGCTTATGAACAGCTTGATGCTGATGGGACACGCTATTACGAAGCGGAGGCGAACAATGAGCGCAAGCGCAAAGGCGTGTGCCCTGTGTGTGGCGAAGCTGGACATGAGAAGAAGCGGTGCCCCTATCAACAGGTGCGTGAGAATGTGCGAAAGGAGAAGAATGAAAGCTGATCTGGAAAAGTGCCTTGCCTGTGGTGCGGTGAATGAACATTCGACACGCGACTGTCCATTAGGTACTAGCTGTTTTCGATGTGGTGGCGTGGGACATCGCAGTAAGGTATGTGTGTGTGTGTGTGGACTCACGCTTGTAGGACTGCCCTGTACCTCGAATTGGAGGACGAAGTCGGACGTGTGAACGATGTGGAAGCTCGTCACATCCTGAAACAACATGCCACACATGGTGGCGGCTTTATGCGTACAATACGCCAGAAAAGCATGCATATGCCCGTGCTAAGAAGTATCGGCACGAACTTCGGCGGCAGGAGCGCGAGCACGCGCGGGAAAAGAAGCAGCAGAAACCCAAACCTGGCTGGGCCGCATCCCTGGTGATGATGCCGGAGGATGTGGATGACGATGCAGGGCCCAGTGACGACAGCAGCGATAGCAGCTCTAACAGCAGCGGTGACGCTGACACGAATGACGCTGCTCGAAAGCGAATGACATCGTCGAGGAACACTGTTCCACTACCACCGAGTGATTGGGATCCAGCGCTAAAAGTATGCTATAATTGTGCATCTGTGGGACACCACTGGGGTGATGACTGCTTTTTACGCCGAACTAATCCAACGCGGCCAACAGGGGATCCCTCGCCCTTTAGCGAGGTGATTGCCAATGCCGGGCCATACAGCCAGGCATATGCAGTACGCGACGGCTCTGTGCGCTCGCATGCGCCTGATCTTACGATTCCACCGCCGCCACGACGCAAACGTTCACGACATAGCTTCTCCGGGCGTACGTCATCTTTACTGGAGGATTTACAGAATTCTGGGTCTACGAACAAGGATGATGATGATGACGATGATGATGACGACGACTGGTTTGCAAGGCATCAAAAACTACGTGAACAAGAAAGTTTCCTGTCTGACACAGATGACACAAATTCACATATGCGACGGCCCAAGCGGCAGCCATCGCGACCACGGGGGTCCAGATCCTCTTCCACCGTGCCGCCGACGACTCCTACCGCCCACCAACATCGACGGGGGAGTCGCGGACGCGGAGACCACTTTGGTCACAGGCGCGGACGAGGCCATGTTGATCGGGTGCCACATCATCGGCCTGGTCGACCGACATTCCATCCGCGCTATCGTGGCGGGTACACGTGAGGTTAGATGTAGTGTGCGTAGAATGGAAGCTGTCCTTTCGCAGTGTGGTGGTTCTGCCTTTGTACGCGCGTTGCCCCAAGTCGTGCGTGTCGGACGCGTGACGCAGCAACGGCCAACGGGCGCTGCGTCATGACCAAGATTTTTTTTTGTCAGCGCGTGAGGTTGGTTCTCCTTTTTCTAGTTTCTCACAGTTTCGGCCCTCCATACATAGAATTTGGATCTCGCGCTCGTCGCAGAGAAAATTCATAGGCTCGGCACGCGATATGCCGCATTATCACGTGCACATGGACCAGTCCCTCGCCGCGCAAGTGCATGTCATTTACGCGTCATGCATCGACCAACTACGCGAGGGCGAGAGGAGCTAGACGCGCGAAAAAAGGCGGTAGGAGGCTGGACTGGGCGGCACAGACACGCAGCTCGACGTTCTTAACGGACCATTCCCTCGCGCTCTGTCCCCCTTCCATCTCCATCCTGATCGTAGCACGTTGTCATGAGAGCCGTGCATGCTGGATCGCAGCTGAGTCCCCTGTCGAACAGGAATCAGCCAGTCGCTGTGAGTGGCTCATCAATGGGACACGAACAGCATGCACATATACCCGGCAAAGCGATGGCCGCTGCTACGTCCACGCCCATGACTACACGTGCAGGACCCACGACGCAGACTTCTTGCCACAGAGTCGAGTTGTCAAAAGCCCGTGTCAACATGCAACGCTGCCTCGCAAGCTGAGTTGGTTTGCACCGCGTCTGGCGACGGTGAACCACCATCCAACATGCCGGCATCACAGCCGACGAACGAAGCGCGACCTGATGAGAACAAAGAGAATATCGCACCTATCCGGCACGTCACTCCGACTGTCCTCGTCGAAGAGGCTCAGACATACCAGGCGAATGAGGCTATCGCTATGCGCACACGACGCCGCATGGCCCATGCTCAGCATGCCAGGCCAATGACTCCTATACCAACGACGCCACGGAAGCGACGGATCCTGTCGCCGCCTACGTCATCGTCATCATCGCCTTCTTCTTCAGAGCAAGCCCATACCCCTTCGCGAAAGCGGACCAAGACGGAACACGAATCCGGGTCGGTTCGTGATGCTCCACCGGCGCCCGTTCAGCCGACGCCTCCTGCTACGCCGACACGAATGCCCAATGTGTATGCACAGGCGCGAGCATTGCTCCGGACAGAGGTCCTTGTTGGTCGTGACATGGAGCGAGCGAGGTTGCATGCGTTTCTCGACGCAAGTCTCTCGTCTTCTGACACACACGTGCGTGAGCAAGTGTCTGGATGCTTGCACATATCAGGCATGCCTGGAACGGGCAAGACAGCACTCGTGCGTGATGTGCTTCGCGAACGCATGGATGCAACGCATATCTACATCAACTGCATCGGAATAGCGCATCCGCAGGAAGCTGCACAGCGTATCGCTGCAGCCCTCGACGTGCCAGATCTAACAGCGATTGGCCGTGCGCCAGCGCAGTCGCGGCCACTGATTGTCGTTTTGGATGAAATGGACCACTGGCTCCATGTGTATGCACACCAAGATATCCTGCAACGGATCTTTTGCCTTCCGAAGCAACTGGCCGGCAAAGTGCCCATGGCGCTGGTCGGCATTGCAAACTCGCTCGACCTCACAGAAAGGTTTGTTCCTGTCGTGCGAAGCAAGGGCGTGAAGCCTGACGTGCTGCATTTCGCACCGATGCAGGCTGATCAAGTGCTGGCTTTGCTAGAAGCACGTCTCGCTGACATGCCTGGGCTGTTTGGACGTGCTGCATTGCAGCTCCTGGCTCGGAAGCTGACGGCGTCGTCTGGCGACATTCGCCGCGCTCTTGATACCTGTCGCCAGGCGCTCGACCTAGCAGAGAACGAGTTTTTCCAGCAACAGCAGCAGCGACAGCACAACTCTCAGCCCGCGTCGACGACGCAGCCGACGCCTGTAAGTGTCACGCCCACCCACATTCTTCGTGTGCTTGCTCACATGGCGGGGCATGCACAATCGGCGCGTGTCCGCTCTTTGGGCGTGCACGCCAAGCTTCTCCTACTCACATGGGTCGTTCTGCAAGAGCATGCTGAGGCTGGCTTGTTCAAGTCAGGGGGCACGACTCGCGGCGACGGCGGTGTGTGTTTGAGTGACTTGGAGGCCGCGTATGCACGTATGCTGGAGCAGGATGCGGCGTTCGTGACACCACTAGGTGGCTCAGAGCTCCTGGATGTGCTTGAGCGTCTCGAGGTCCAAGGCCTCGTTCGTATCTGGTCTGATGTCGGTGGGGGAAGCATGCAGCAGACATTTGCCAGATCGTCCAACGTCTCACGCACAGCAAGCAGCAGCAGCAGCAGCAGCAGTAGCGCTGGCCATGCTTGCGGCAGCGGTAACAGTCATGCGGCTAAACGCTTTTCGCCCAGCGGCAAACGCGCTGCTGCCCGTCAGATGCTATCGACCAACCGACGTATGGCACCAACGCTCGAGCGCGAGTGCATCGTGCGTGCGCTTACGGCAGGCGCTGTGACCGGCGCGGAAAGTACACACACACCTACTGTCGTGGATGCTATGAGTCGGCTGCTTCAACGAGCTGAGCTGGATATTGCTAGGCAGACCAAATGGCGCTCAGAAAGCGAAGAACGCGACCGAACGCGACGTGAAGAGCTCGGTGGTGGCCGGCGTGCGATAGCCGGCATGCCCTGAATCCACCTACGTGTAGACCAGCGAGGTGTTTGCCAAACTTGGGCGTGATGACTCTGAGTCTTTCTCGTTCGCGCTCACCCTGATTACGCTCTCTTTTTTTTTTCTTTCCTTCTTCCCTTCTGTGTCGAAATACGTCACAAAAGAACACCTTCCTTTGTCTTGTCAATTTGTAACATAGCAACTACCCATCTAGATTAAAAAAACGTGTGTCCGTATGATGATGACGACGATGTACGCTAGTCAGTGAATTGAGCCATGGTCAAGAGCTCTCGCAGTATGTCAGACGTGGACTTTTCTCCAAAGACAATCGTGCGTGTCGGCATATTGGCTGAACATGAGCACTATCCGCACGTACAGAAATGCACAAGCATACTTGATGCCTCATTTTCAGGGTGATTCACCAGGACCTGGAGGGACGGATTCGCATACACAAGCCGTGGCAAGTCATGACGAAGAAACGCCCTGCGAGTGTAAGACCTTGTCACACCTTCTTGTTCTACACGCACCAATCGCGCTTGTTATTGAACCGCTTAGGGACACGCAGCTCGAGACTTTTGATGGATACTGGCAGTTTTCGCGCGCCTGGGCCTGACTCGAGGCCAGCCACCACGCTCTGTAGCGCCGCGATGCGTCGTGATGGAGGCATGCAGCTACTAAGGTAGAGGCGAGCCACGATCGAGAGTGTGAGCATCACGTGAGGAAGCGTCGTTCGTGCATCTGCACGTACGTGTCGAAGCAACACCCTCCACAGTGTCCCTGGGACTGGTTGGCTGGCTGAGAACGAGAGGGAGAGCTGCGGGTCCTCTGCTGGTGGAGCCAGGCGAACCTGCCAGCCACTCGCACAGCTGTACACACCTCCATGCATGAGGCCGGCCAGCCCCAGTTGTGGAGAAGAGAGTAGGAGGGACAGGGGAAATTGGAAGGGTGGGAAAGGGGCAAGCCAGGCTTGGCTTGACTAGGCTGGACTGGACTGGACTGGACTGGACTGGGCCAAGGCCAATCCGAGGAGCAAGTGGCGCTCGAGCGAACAGTGGTCGTCGACGACCACGGCGACGGCAACCCTGCTTATCTCGACATTGAGCAGCGATGGGATCGTCGTCGGCAAACAAAAAGCATGCATCGACCTCGTCAGCACCTTCCAACGACGTGCGTGCACCGCATGCAGATACCAACCGTCTCCTGAATGACATGGCGCCGCAGCTTATGACGCCGGCGATGATGAATGCCATGGCTCGCATAAGTCTGCAGTCGACTCCGATCGCGACGACGCGCGATCCCTTTCCACTGCAGCGAGCGACGCTTCTCCTAGCGCCGCGGTTCTCGATGGAGAATCCCGCTCGCTCTCTCGCCCGCATCAGTAGCTCCCTCCTTCAATTCTCGGGCCTAAGTAAACACAGCAAGTCAGGACGCGAGCAGCAACGCACTCCCATCACGTCCATGGATGTCGGTGTGCTTGAGGAAAGCCAGCGCATTCTCGCGACGGCCGACGCCGATTTAGACGCCTCTCTCGACACGTCGTTGCTTGATGACGACAATGACACGAGCGACGTCGCTGCCGCAGCTGATGCACCGGTGTCCCTATTTCGCGGCTACAAAGCAACAGTGCCACAGGTGTCTACAAGCAAAACACGCCGGCGTCAGCTCCAAGCGTCGGAAAATATTCGGCGAAGCAAGCACGAGCCCCACTTGCTCTCACTGCAAGAGCTCGAGGTCCAAGACAGAGACATGCTGGCAGAGCGGCGCAATTTGGAAATTCGTCGCGCACTTTACCATGCGGAAATCGTGCACGTAGATGCCAAGATTGCCGCGCTGGAGGCAACGAAAGCTTCCCTCCAACAAAAGCTCCTGCACGTCCGAGAAGAAGAGCTGGAACTGGACGACGAGCGACAAGGCGTGTCGGAGCTCTTGGAGCTCCAAAGGCACCGGCGTGCAATGCCTGGCGGCCGCGGCCTAGATGCTGGCACTGTCCTGCCCATCGGTGCTGGTAGCAGTCGCTGGCGAAAGACGCCCGTGTTCCTGCCGAGCGAGCATGACGACTTGCCGCATGGCATTGCGTTCATGAGTCTCAATCTCGAGACCGGTCCCATTACCGCCTTGGACTTTTCCGAGCCGTATGGCACACTCATATCTGCCGCTTTGGAAGACACAGTGCGTGTGTGGGACCTGTCTACAGGTGAGGATGTAGGCCGTCTTCGAGGACACACAGACACAGTCAAGTGCCTACAGGTGGAAGATGAGCTGTGCGTGAGTGGCTCTCTCGACAGTACGTTGCGTGTGTGGGATCTGCGGCGTGTCGATGCGTTTGAGACTGCATGCCGTGCACGGATGGAAGGTGATGGTCAAGACGTGCCCGAGGCAGATGACCCGTGCATTCGCACACTTGCAGGCCACAGCCGAGGGATCACCGCACTGGCATTTGACCACGAAACTCTTGTATCGGGTGCTGCTGACAAGACACTCCGTCAATGGGACCTCGAGACCAGTCAGTGTGTGCTGACGATGGACATCCTGTGGGCCATGTCCAACCCTAGCACGTCAGTGGATTTGCGCGTGCCACTTGAGTCATCTGCGCCACTCTTAGACCCATTGCATGGGGCAAATCAGTTTGCTGGTCCCTTCTCGTACCCGCAGCCGCCCTATGAAGACGGCAGCTGGGAGATGTACACGGACTTTGTGGGCAGTGTCCAGTTCTGGGGCTTCGCCCTCGCGAGTGGCTCCGGCGACGGTGGCGTGCGCCTATGGGATCTGCGGACAGGCCAGGCTCATCGCACTCTGCTTGGCCACACGGCGCCCATTACGTGTCTGCAGTTCGACGACACTCACCTCATCTCCGGCTCGCTAGACAAGACCATTCGCGTGTGGGATCTTCGGAGTGGTCACGTGCTTGAGACCCTTCATTACGACTACCCAGTGACCGCATTGCAGTTTGACTCGCGCAAAATTATCGCAGCGGCTGGAGCATGTGCTGTGGACGTGTACAACCGGACAAGTGAGAAGCATAGCTCTCTCATAAAACACGGGCATACGGCGCCGGTGGAACGTCTCCGGTACATGGACCGCTACGCGGTCACAGGTGGCCGGGACAGCTGCATCAAAGTGTGGAGTTTGTAGAACGGCGGGGGCCCAAACGTGTGAAATGCAGCAGTTTTGGGCCTAGATTCCTTCGTGGCCACCTGAAGCCACAGCCTCGACGCAAAGTTCATCACGCCTTCACGATGCCCATTCCTACGCACCCATATGCTTCTCTGTTGCCCCTTTCTCCCTGCCTCCTCCCTTCTATTTCTTTCCTCCGTTCTATCTTTACGACATGTCTGTCCGTACATGACAAAAAAGCACACCTGTGCCAATAGCAAACAGTAGAATGCACAGATCATCGACAAGTGAACTGGCCAATGACAGTAGAGTCAGGGCAGGTGTTAGTAGTCGCTGAATGCCTGGTGCATATACCGATATAACCGACTTGAGACCACCTGGTAGCGAAACAGGCATGCGCTGCAGCATGGCAAGCCGCACACCTTGCAGGCCCATTTCCATAGATACAAACACCCAAAAGATCGGCCACGATGGCAGCTCTTTGCCTAGAGTTTCATGGCCAATATAAGGCCGGAGTGAATCCAACGGTGTGCGCAATGCACCCCAAGGGAACACTGACGGATCATCCTTACTAAGCCACGCACTTATGGGCGTGTACTCCCATGCAAGTGAGGCCCATTGTTTCTGGAACGACTCGCGCGAGAACTCAGACATGGACTCGGTCGGAATGGATCGACCCGTCAGACCTGTGTCATGTGCATGCGAAAAGATCGATGAGAACACGATATAGAACGCAAAGAGGAACACGAGTGTCGCTTGCAAGAGTTTGACTCGCCGAACTGACCGCTCTATGCGCCGTGCCTCTTTCACTTGCATCATAGTGTGTGGGTTAGATGCATCCCCTGCTCCGTTATTCATCGCACCCGGCTGCTGCATACCACTCCCACTTAGTAGCTGCTGCATCAGAGCCATCGGGTCTGAAGGCATGTTGCTGTCGTTGCTACCGTCAGCACCACGACTAGCACCGGATCCTTGTTCCTGTGCGCCCATGCGTGACTGCATCGCGGCCATCATGGAGGTAAATGGATCACTAGCATCATGTGCAGGCGGCTCTTCATTCTTCAAAGCGGCTGAAGGCGTCGGGCCCGTCAAAGCATCCGCCGTGTCACTGATGCCACGTGAAGGCATACCGGGGATCGGTTTGGTATCAAGACCCTCATAATCTTTGCCGCGTCCCGTATTAGTGATTCGCGACAAGCGGTCGCCACTCTTCTCAAGAATCCTTCGCTTGCGTGCCTCGCGCTTCGCAGCTGCGTCGTCACTCATAGCCGTGGCGATTCGAGAGTAACGGAAGGCGAGTGTCGGTCGGTGTGATTCGCTCTGACGTAGTGCCGAATGAGACACGCGCACAGCTTTTGATTGGGCGAAGGCCAAGCCATCTACGCAGAAATCGGGCAGGGCTAGTTCAGCGTAGAGTGGAGACCCATATGAGTAGGGAGCGAGTGGGTGGCTGAGTGGGCGATGGACCCAGGCACCCCATACATAGCCCAAAGGGCATCGCCGCGCCTTGCGTCACGTGCATGGCACTCCGCACGCGCGAGGACTTGCCACGCGCCTGACAGAATGTGACGAGGTGTTTATGATGATATGCGTGTGTTGTCAGATTGGCAAATTCATAGGCTGCTGCATCATGCATGGCGTGGCGAACGATCACGACTCGCTCTTATTTGTGCACCACGACTACGACCACAGCCACCACGGATCTTGGCCTCGCGCTTGGTCCCTGTGGTTCAGCAGCACATGACGACATCGACAGAAGCAGGGGTGGCCTCGCCGGCACCTACCTCTCGACCGGCGCCCAAGTCCGCCTCTGACACGTACCAGAAGTTGAGTCAGTTAGAACATGTACTAAGGCGTCCTGATACCTATATCGGTAGCGTCGAGAGGCGCACCGAGACGATGTGGGTGTATGATGTGGCGAAAGAGCAAATGGCATACCGGGACACAAGCTACGTGCCTGGCTTCTACAAGATCTTTGACGAGATTCTTGTCAATGCTGCCGACAACAAAGTGCGTGATCCATCCATGGATACGATGAAAGTCACCATCGATAAGGATGCCGGCACGATCTCTGTTTGGAACAACGGGCAAGGGATCCCTGTCGAGATTCACGAAAAAGAACAGGTTTATATACCCGAGCTCATCTTTGGGAATCTGTTGACATCGTCAAACTACGACGATGACGAGGCGAAGGTGACAGGTGGTCGGAATGGATTCGGTGCGAAGCTCACGAATATCTACTCGACCGAGTTCATCGTCGAGACAGCGGACAAGCAGCGAGAACTCAAGTACAAACAGGTCTTTAGCAACCACATGCACGACAAAGACAAGCCGAAAATTACCAAAAATACCCGCAAGGAAGAATATACCTGCATCACCTTTAAGCCTGATCTGTCTCTCTTTCACATGGATTCCATTCACCCAGACACAGAAGCACTCTTGATGAAGCGTGTGTTTGATATGGCTGGCACTGTGCGTGGGATCAAAGTGATGCTGAATGGCCGAGCGTCTAAAAATTCGCACCTTTAAGCAGTACATGGAGATGTATGCGCAGGCGATCCAGGAAATTAGTGGTGCGCCGAACACAGAGAGTGATCCGTCCGCACGGAGGAAACCCCGTGCCACGCCCGACCATCGTGTATGATGCGTCCGAGGATCACGGTCGATTGTGGGAGGTCGGTTTTGCTGTGTCCGATGGCACTGCGCGCCAGGTGTCGTTTGTGAACAACATCGCTACCATCAAAGGTGGAAAGCATGTGGATCATGTCGAGTCCCAGATCGTCGAGCGGATCATGGAACATTTGAAGAAGGGCAAGAAAGATGCGCCCATCAAGGCGAACCACATCCGGCAGCAGCTGTGGATCTTTGTCAATTGTCAGATTGTGAATCCAACATTCGATAGTCAAACGAAGGAAACACTCACGCTCAAGCCGTCGGCCTTTGGATCGAAGTGGGTCATGCCCGACGACTTTGCCAAGAAGGTGCTCAAGTCTGGCGTCATCGATAATGTGCAGTCGATTGTGCAGTACCACCAAGATCGACAGCTTCAAGCGACAGATGGCCGGAAGCGCTCACGCGTGTCTGTGACCAAGCTCGAAGATGCGAACTGGGCTGGCACGAAACGGAGTGCAGAGTGCACACTCATTCTCACCGAAGGTGACTCAGCCAAAGGTCTTGCCGTGTCGGGACTAAGCGAGGTTGGCCGTGATGCGTATGGTGTGTTTCCCTTGCGAGGTAAGCTGCTGAATGTGCGTGAAGCTACGTACGACCAAATCAAGAAGAACACCGAGATCAAGAACATCAAGGAGATCCTCGGCTTGCAGCATGGCAAATCGTACTCGACCGTCGATGGCTTGCGGTACGGTAGTCTCATGATCATGACAGATCAAGACTTTGACGGTTCCCACATCAAAGGTCTCATCATCAACTACCTTGACCACTTTTATCCATCACTGCTCAAAATTCCGAATTTCCTTGTGGAGTTTATTACGCCGATCATCAAAGCAACGAAAGGCCAAGAAGTCAGGTCTTTCTTCACGATACCCGAATTTGAGCAATGGAAGGCGACTGGTGATGGCGGTCGAGGATGGACGACGAAATACTACAAGGGTCTGGGTACGTCGAAACCGTACGAAATGAAAGAGTACTTCCGTGATATGGACAGGCACATGCTTTCATTCGATACGATTCGGCCTGAGGATCATGATTTGTTGGATCTTGCATTTAACAAGAAAAAGGCCGACGATCGAAAGGAGTGGCTGCGCCAGTTTGTCCCTGGCACGTACCTGGACCATCGAATCAGAAACATACCGATCTCGGACTTTATTAACAAGGAGTTGATCTTATTCTCGATGGCAGACAATATCCGCTCCATCCCCAGTGTTGTCGATGGACTCAAGCCAGGACAGCGGAAGGTGATCTTCAGTTGTTTTAAGCGCAAGCTCAAGACAGAAATCAAGGTCCATCAACTCCAGGGCTATGTGTCCGAGCATTCGGCGTATCACCATGGCGATCAGGCTCTGACCATGACGATCGTCGGTCTCGCGCAAGACTTTTGCGGCAGTAACAATGTGAATTTGCTCATGCCGAACGGACAATTTGGCTCTCGAAGCATGGGTGGCAAGGATGCGGCCAGTGCTCGTTACATCTTCACTGCTGTGCCACGGATCACGCGTCTCATGTTCCACGCGGACGATGAACCACTGCTAAACTATCTCGAGGATGACGGACAGAGTATTGAGCCAGAATGGTATGCACCTGTAGTACCACAGGTGCTGCTGAATGGGGCGGAGGGTATCGGTACGGGATGGAGCACGTTTGTGCCCAATTACAATCCCCGGGAAGTTGTCGACAACTTGCGTCGTCGCATGGCCGGCGAAGAGTATGTGCCGATGAACCCATGGTACCGAGGCTTTGTTGGCGGCATTGAGCCGGCAGGCCCAGAACGGTTCCGTGTGACAGGCATAGCTAGGCAGCTGGATGAGCGCACGTGGGAAATCACAGAGCTGCCCGTTCGTGTGTGGACGATGACGTACAAGGAGTGGCTTGAAGAGCGAGTCGTCGGCAGCGATAAGACGCCCGCGGTGCTGCGTGAGTACAAGGAGTACCATACAGATACATCTGTGCACTTTGTGGTGGAGCTGAACCCGCGTGGAATGGAAGAGATCGAGAGAGTTGGACCGGACACATTCTTCAAGCTCTCGACGATGCTCAGTACAAGCAACATGGTGCTGTTCAATCCAGAGGGCAAAATCAAGAAATATGCAACGCCGCAGGAGATCCTAGAAGACTTTTACTTTGTGCGGCTCGGCTTTTACCAGCGGCGCAAAGAGCATCTTGTCGATCAGCTCAAGCTTGTGTACGACAGACTATCGAACCAGGCGCGCTTCGTCAGTATGATCATTGCCAGGGAGCTGAGTGTGTCGAACAAGAAGAAGGCAGCGATCGTCGAAGAGCTGCGTCAGCTCAAGTTCCAGGCCTTCCCGAAGGTCGAGGCTAAGGCGAAGAGCGTGACAGAGGAGGCAGTAGAAGACCAAGAAGAGCCAGACGAGCCTGCGAACAGCAACACAGATTATGATTACCTGCTCAGTATGGCGATCTACTCGCTCACGCAGGAACGTGTAGAACGCCTACTGAAAGAGCGCGATCATACGGAGACAGAGCTGAAGATCCTACTGGGTCGCTCGCCTCAAAACCTGTGGGATGAAGACTTGACAGCTTTCCTCGAAGAATGGGATGAGAAGCTGGCTGAAGATGCACGCAACGCCTCCATGACCACAACGCATGTCGTCAAGGACCTCAAGAAGCGCCGTGCTCCAGCCAAACGGCCCAAAAAGGAAGAGGGAAGTGTCTCGCCAGTGAAGCGGCAGCCTGCTACATCAAAGACAGTAGCAGCAAGTCCAGCGGATGAAACGTCGGCTCACACGTCAGCACCAGATGCAACGCAGCCGACCACGGCAACGACAACACCCTTCACCACGACGACGATGCCTGAGCCTGTTCCTGAGACGAAGCCCACCACATTCCATCAGGTTCCCTTGCCACAGGCCGCCCCTGCTTCACCCCTCAAGCATGACCGTGTGGACGACGACGAAGATGAACTGGCACTTCCCACGCCCAAGACGACTGCCAGGCCTCGCTCGACGACGACCAAGGCGCCGAGCAAAACAGGCTCAGCAAGAGCGACTACAAAAACGTCTACAAGAGGTGCAGCCAAGGCCCCGGCGCGAGCGACGACTAGAGCATCTGCTAAGAGATCTGGTAAAGAGTCCTCGCCAGAGGAGCCAACGCAGCCTACGCAGCCAGCATCAGCAGCAGCAGCACCACCACCACCACGGCGTGCCACGAGCAGCCGGGCAGCAGCAAAAGCCAGGCCCACTTATACACTAGACTCGGACGAAGAAGGTGCCCATGAGGATCCAAACGACGATAGCGTCGCACTCGACGATATGGACGAAGATGATAGCGATGACGATTACTATCGCTAAGATGGGAAAAAGACAATCTACTCGTTCTTAAAGACTGGCTTGCGCTTCTCGGTGAATGCCGTCATACCCTCCTTTTGGTCATGCGTCGAGAAGAGTGCCTGGAACAGACGGCGCTCGAGACGGATGCCCTCCGCAAGCGTGAGTTCGTAGGCTGGTGATCATAGTCAGTGACAGTCTCGAATACGTACCAGCATTGACGCCCTCCTTAGCAGCCTGCACCGCGATCTGGCTCTTTTTGGCGATCTTGCTTGCGACGTTCACAGCCTCGTCGACGACGCTACCTTCACGCACAACACGAGCCACAAGACCAGCCGCCTCAGCCTCATCGGCCGTCATATTGCGGCCAGTCAGTACGATTTCCATCGTGCGGCTCTTGCCAATAGCGCGAGTCAGGCGCTGCGTGCCGCCAGCGCCGGGAATCACACCCAGATTGATTTCAGGCTGGCCAAACACGGCGCTCGGCGACGCCAGCACAATGTCTGTCATCATCGCTAGCTCACAGCCTCCGCCCAACGCATATCCATTCACAGCAGAGATAATGGGCTTGCGAACCTGAGTCAGCTTCGACCAATGGCCAAGGAAGTTGGTCTTGTATGCTTGGCCGTAGCTCATGTCGCGCATCTCCTTAATGTCAGCGCCGGCCGCAAAAGCCTTCTCGCTGCCGGTGACGACGATGGCTCCGATACTCGCGTCAGCATCAGCCTTCTCAGCCGCGTCATTCAGCTCATGGAACAGCTGCGAGTTCAGCGCGTTCAACGCCTTGGGCCGGTTCAACGTCACAAGACGCACGCCCTCCTTCGGTGTGCTGACCTGAATGCATGTGTACTCAGCAGCCGAGTCAGCCACAGGCATGAGGCGTGGCACAGACGTCGACAGCATCGCACGCGATGACAATGGCGCAGCGGCGCGCGGCGTAATCGCACGGAGTCCCGAACGCAGAGCAAACATCATCCTTCTATACAAAGACGTGGATTGACCGTTGTACTGTTCGCCAGGGCCCCCACTACTAACCACTAAGGCACATCGGACCGGCAGCGGCCCGTGCAGGGCGAAAGATTCGTATTCGGCCGAAAGGACTCACGCTCAGACATGCCTACAAAGCTCGGGGCTCGTCCACACCGACACACATTGGCTTGGCATTGATCCAATGATCGGCTTATGCGGATGAAGGATCCTGTAAAACGCCTCGAATCGGAGCTGACCCACCATGTTCTGCACCGGCGGCGCGCGAGCCAGCTACGCGACGCCTCCGTTTCTTGATAGCATCGCGATGCATGCTCCGATACGTCTGCGTGAGCTCGGAACGTTTCGCAAGCCAATTCTCACGAATGGCCTCGTCGGAATCGACTTGCCAGAAAGGTGTCGAGCCAAGCTGGAAAAGCGTCGGCAAAAGGCTGGGAATTTGCTGTGAAAGCGTAAAAGGTGTGGTGAAAGGCGGGATATGTGTCGTCGCCGCTGCTGTGGTCGTCGAAGACGTGGGAGGCCGTGATAACCTTTGATCTGCATGGTCTGACTCGGTGCGAGCAGACGCATGGCCAAGGATCCCAGCCACGGCATCGTCGTCCATAGACATGTTCTCTTCGTCTATGTCCCCGAACAAAGTGAAAGCCCCAGACTCTTCTGTAGGCTGGAACATGTCCTTGAGACGATCCAAGCGGATGGGATTCGCTGTGGCATCACCATCAGCATCACCATCAGCAGTATGTGAGGCGGCGGGAGCGTCGTGAGCCGTAGCTTGTTGCTGTTGAAGAGAACGAGCCGGTAACACTGTGGACGATGACGGAGCGGATGCTGTTGTGGGCCCTTTGATTTGGTCCGCATGCAAAGTGGCATGGACTGAGCTGTTGCCCTCCCCAGCAAGTGGCCTGCCTTCTACAGCTGCATGTACCTCGCTCCGACCCTCGTCTGGCATGAGAATAGAAGACGACTCGGCAGGCTCCGGTGCTTCAGAGTCTTGAGAGCCAAACATGGACTGGAGCATGCCAAGAGCTCGCTCACGCTCATTCGTTGAGGACGCTGGCGCATGTTCAGTTTCTTCATACCCATCGGAAAAGTCAGAGTCGTTCCAAGGCTCAGCCGTAGAGTAAGTCGCTTCTCGGTCGTGCATTGAGTCAAGATGTTGACCGCTTGCATTTGATGGGCGTTCTGGTGTGGGTGAGCGACTCGGCGCCGGCTTTGGCTCCAACTTCCATTCCGGTTCTGGCTCATCCCACCAACTCGTCGACTTGGTCTGCGGCGGTGTATCGAACAGCTCCTCCGATACCTCGCTCTTATCAAAGAGTGCATCAGGCACATCGTGGCTAGGAGATGTCGGTTCGAGGGATTCTTCTTCCCTATCCGAATCCATGCGGTGGACGCCCCATGATGCGCAACTGTCGCCGCTGGGACCCAATGGAAGTTGAACAGGTCGAGTACGTCGTGCCGGCCCTGCCTCTTGGCCGACACAATGGCCTTTCTCATTATAGGCGAGCCATTCATGCGCATCGCTATCCCAAACCCAGTGGAGATGTGTGTCGTCATGATCAGTCATAGCATCGAACATGCGTTCAGACAAATGTTCGCGGTGATAGCGAGTTGGATCAATCGTCACACGCGGTGCGCGAGAAAGCGCATGCCGCCCGTGAAGGTTTGCGCGCATTTCGTGATCTGCTGGTTTGGGTATAGGATGAGATGGCCGCATATGCATGGGCCGAATAAGATGACCAGCTGGTGTCGACTTCCAGCCCCATGCATGGGTCTCATTGACACGCTCGAGAGTCATAGGACGCATATCATGCGCTTCCATGCCGATCCATGGTCGCTTGCGAAGCTGTTTCTTTCGCTTCTCAAGAGCGGTACACTGCTCATCTGCTGGAGTATGCTTCGTCCGCTCAGCAGCCAGGCGTTCATGCCATGGTGGCTTGGCCTCCCCAACACGGAGTTTGGCGCCTTTCCACACGGCTCCGCTGAGTGTGTTCATGCACTTGGCAAGTTGCTGTGGTGTTGTGCGCAGGGTCACGAATGCGTACGGGCGTCTTTCGCCTACGGCATTGACGTAAGAGTCATCGGATCCCTCTAGATCCAGGACTGTGCCGAAGGACGACAGGCGTTCACTCAGTGCTGCCCGGTTGAACTGGCTCGTGAGCCCGGATATGTGCAAGCGCTTTGTAATGAGCGTCGAAGCATCGCCGGCCATGACTGACGCAGAGGTACCAGGACCAATACCTACCCGAACGGTGAGAGGGACGCACGACCAGCCGACGAAGATGAAGACGATTTGCCATGAATTGTCGCCATTTTTTTCGACACGACGCACGACTGAGAAGCCTCCACCCAATGCTCTCCCTCTTCCCTGTGTCCCCCCCCCCCCTATCGTGCCGTTCTGGCATGGGACGTACATTCCGCCGGTAAGAAAAAAAGACGCGCGCCATCACAGCGACAAGTTCCCCTGCACGACTGGATGGAAAGGCCGCCAGCAGGGTTGACGTGAGTATCGTCGCAGGCAGGTTATGTAGCTATGAGTACAACGTGCCAAAGGCTCGGGATGTATGAGAAGCAATGCACCATGCGGTTAGCACGGCGCCTAGCAGCGCCACGTCTGTCACCAAGAGACCCAGACCAGCTGTCATGTATCGAGGGACCCAGATTTTGAACAGCATAAGATGCCGGCGGAAGAACCAAGCCCACGTCGCTGCACTGAGCGTCAATGTACCGGCGTACAACAAGAGCGCAAGAGCCGAGCGCAGGATGTCGCATGGCAATCGCATTGGCGGCGGCCGCTCTTCGTCTGGGCGTTCGCGAGTGGGCGCTAGGTTCCAGAGCGTGAGAAGAACGACGCCAAACGCCGGCAGGACACACAGTGGCCCAAAGGCATTCAAAATGACAAAGAGCGGCGACCAGGGATACGTAACGGTCGAAAAGCCAACAAAGGCCACCCGCCACTGGATGGACGAAAAGGTCGCTTGGTGCCCGGTACCGAAGAAAGCCACAAAGCCCAGCAAAGCGACACACACCACATCGAGGAACGAGGGACCATGTCGCGTGGAGGTGACCTCTTTGGTTTTGGTGGCCTCAGCGAGTTTGGATGCAGCCAGTAAGCGGGCATCGCGCTCGTGGTCGCCCAGCTCGGCCAGGAGAAGCAGAGCGACAAAGCATGCTGTTAGGGCCAGTTGCCCCATAGGCTGTGACAACAGGAACAGGTACGCAAAGATGAGCGACATGGCCAAGAGGAATGCAGCGCCGAACGTATTGCCGAATCCCAGAAGCAAGACGCGTGCCTGTGCGCCGGGGGCGGGACGCTCGTGAAGAACCGAGAGACTCAGGGGCGACAAGTACCAATACACCGAGCCACACAGCAAGACGACAAGCACGACTCTGGCCACCCACATTTTGACGACAAAGAACGTGGCGCGCGTCGGCTCGTCCCAGCGATCCAGGCCATGCACCCAGTCAGCGAGCCAGAAACCCGCAGCGCCAAGCATCGCAGGACGAATGACCCATGTCAGCAAGGTCGATGCTGTGCTCAAATGCGCCCGACTCGGCATGAGAGCCTGACGCAAAACATCGGCGATGCCGAATGCCACTACGTAGGCAGCGAGCAATGCGTACGGGCTGTTGGTCGCCGGGCCTGAGAGTGCGTACGCAGGGTTGTCGGCAAAGTCGGTCGTCGCATGGTACGCATAGAACGATGGCGTGCAGTACGGCGCTTGTTCCTCGCGGCAGACGCGGCTCATGCTGGCCACACGGACAAGGACAAGTGCGATGACGGCCATGATAGGGATCCGCAGCTGCCAACGAGTGAGAGGCGCAACGAGCCCCGCCCAGGCTCGAGCAAGGAGAATGGCCGTGAGCATGCCGAGCGTAATGCGGTCTTCCCACATCGTGAAGCTGTTGCTTGCATACAGCATCGCGTGGCAGCCCAGGATGACTCCTGCAGCGACATGAGACACGAACGACTTGGATCGCAGCACGGGGAACGCATCGATCGCCATATGGCCGGGGCGCAAGTGCCAAGTGAGTGTGCACGCGGTGCCAAGAGCCATGCCAGCCAGCTGGCCCTCCAGTGTGCTGATGCGCAGGGTGAGAGAGAGGAGCAGGCCTGCTACGCCTCCGTACACACAACCAAGCCATGAAGCTTGCCACGTCATACGAGCAAGGGCTGCTGTTGTGCTGGAGAAAGCGCGGTGCCAGAGGAGCCATGTGACGACGAGGGATGACGCCAGCACGGCGATACCCAGGCCCATTCGCACGTACTCGAACTGTGCCCAGACGCTCTGTGCACGAGCGAGTGCAAGGCGCGTAAATGCCATGTACGCTTGAGCTGTTTTACGGGCATGGTCATGTGTCGCATGCTCGGCAAAGACAGCGTCGGCCTGCAGCGCAGTGAGCCACGCATGGCGGAGCTCGGCAGAAAATGGCTTGAGATCCGCCGAGTGCTTTGCGTATGCATCCAGGTATGTCTTGATCTGGCGTGCGTTGATGCGCAGTGCACGCAAAAGACGCGACGATGCCGACTGCAGAGGCTGTGTATCGGATGCGAAGAGTTCTGGCATGACCGTGCCGAGGTTGTTGAAGGGGATCGGAACACCCATCAGGAGTGCCAGCGTAGGCACAAGATCGATCTGTGGAAGCGATCGGTGGCCCTGCTCAAACGGAGCGATCGGCAGAAGGGAAAAGGGCTGGAACGAGGGTGTGGACGTTGGCGTGTCACGCAGGAGCGCCGTGACATCTGGATGCTCGGTGAGGGACGTGGTCGATGGCGAAGACGCGCTGCCGAACAGGGAGCGAGCAGCTGGATCAAAGGGTGTGTTGGCATACATCCACAGGCCACTGCCGATTTCAAGCTCCGAGTCGCCGCCATGATCGCCTGTCGCGTCCATGCCATGGTCGCCAAGGAGCACGAAGAGGGTATCGTCGCGGAGCTTGTGCAAGACGTCCTGGATCAAGCGCTCCATCTGCTCGAGCTTGGGCGGCATACGGGCATGTGCGGGACCGAAGCGATGGCCGACGTGATCAACACCAAGTGAGTGTGCGACAATGAGGGTCCAGTCGTCCTGGTCCATCGCACGCAGCATGTGGGACTCGACGCCGGCATCGACGGTGTCCAAATCCTCGACATTGAACGATGAGTACGGATGCGCCTCGTCAAACAGGTTGGCAAACACCATCTGCCACGTATCGTCGCCGACGAAGCTCAGGCGCTCTTGTGGCGCTTTCCGTGCACGCAGTTGTGCGATCCATGTGTCTTCGAGGACGCGGCCTGAGCCACCAAAGTTCGCTCCTGCCTCAATGAAGGTCGGCAAGGAGCCGGTCGTGAGCCCCTTGAGCCGCTGAAGCGTCGTTGTGGGCGGATCAGCGACAAAATGTGCGAGAAACGACGAGCGCGGCGTCGTGTTCGTGTACGTGGCAGGCGTGCGAATCCAGTTGTGTATAAACGGATTGGGCATCGCTAGGGGCGGCGAGTCGGGTGCGTCGGCGATAAAGTCGTAGCGCAGTGCATCGATGATCCACAGCACCGTACGGCGGAAGCGCGGCGGTAACGAGCACTCTGCATGTGCGTCAAGCACGGCATCCCAGGCATCGAGCGCCGTCTCATTGCCATGTGCGGCCCAAGGCGGTGGCGAGGGTGCTTGCCACGTAGCACTGGGCGCCTTGGTGCATGTATTGATGGCATTCAGCTCAACACGCTGGAGTAAAAAACCACTCGTGAACAAGACGAGGCCTGCAAGATGCAGAAGCAGCACTAGGCCCAGTATAGCGAGCACAGCTACGAAGGGCGCACGCGCCGCTAGTGCCTTGCCTACGCGTGGGGACGCCATCGCCCAGCAGCTGGAAATGTCGCGGAACGTTGCAGGAAGAAAGTAGCGCACGTGCCGTGGGTGTGGTAGAGCTGCTGCCCACCTCTTTTCCACACCACCTTGACGTCGTGATGGTTTGAAGGCGCTGCTGACGCACGCGTGGCGCTAGGGTTCTTCGGCCGAATATGGAATCGTGCGTCTCATGCCGCAGGTCTTGTATGGGTGGATGGGCGTCATGGAGGAACGAACGACGGCAGCGGTGGAGAAGGCGACTTGTGTGGAAAGCGCAGCGCGGCATTGGCGAGTGCGCCTGTAGCTACGTACAGCTTGACAGGCGGTTGATATTGGTTGTGATTGATGCACGCCGTCGGAGAGCTGGGCCGCCAGGTGGCCCGAGGGGATCGCACACAAAGATGGCTCTGCGATAGCACGAGTGTTTTCCCTCCAAGCCAGCTCGACGCGACGCGCCGTGGCAACTGTGGCAGACCCAAGTGTGTCGGTGATACAAGCGATGCTGTATGCATCGCGGATCCCACATGCGTGGAATGACGTATGCATACAATATGTGCGGTGTGGGGCCATGCTCTTTGGGCCTAGCGCTCGCACGCGCAAGCCAGCCGACTCTTGGCATTTGGCTGCAGAAGCGATTCAAAGTGCCGTAGGCATATTCCTGCGCGTGTTTTCTTCGCTAGCGCCAGGCCGATGGGCCATTCCCGTCCTTCGTGCGCTATTAGCCGATCTACGGTGGGTATCGCGGTGCGCGGACGACGCAGCGAATGCAGCCTCGCGAGAATCACGCACATCACACGCACATCTCGAGGAATGTGCGCGACTGCTGAACAAGGCATTCACGGCGTGCATCGCTGACCGGCATCCCGTCTTAGAGCAGAGTAAAAAATGGGGCACGTACGCGATGGTCGGCATTGTATTCGCGACCTATTTCCAGCTCAAGTCCATTGCCCTGTGCAAGAACATCGTACGCGCCCTGGGTGCCGGCGACTTGCCGCCCCTCGATGCATTTCCTCGCGCACAAGCTGTTACATTCCGCTATTACATGGGGCGTCTCGCGTTCATGGACGAGGACTATGCTCGTGCCGAGGCCGAGCTGTCGCGTGCATTGGCCGATACGCCGCGCAGTGCCAAGGCGCATGTGGAACGCATCCTCGTATACTTGATCCCGGTGCGTCTCTTGCACGCACAACATCCCACTGCGGCATTCCTGGACGAGTACCCGCGGATTCGTGCGGCCTATGCGCCGCTCATATCGGCCTGCAAGCGAGGCAATGTTCGCGCCTTTGATGCGGCACTGCAAGATCCCACACTTGAGCGGAGTCTTGTGCGACTGGGTGTGTACTTGGCGATGGAACGAGCACGAGACGTATGCATAACGCGGCTCGTCCGGCGCGTGTGGCGGCAACAAGGCGGCGGCACACGTGTGCGACTGGCGCCCGTGGGCACGGCTCTGCAGTGGCTCAACTGTGCGTCAGATGCGCATGGAGCAGAGTGGCTTGTTGCGACGCAAATTGCGCGCGGGCGCATCAAGGGGTATATAGCGCATGAACGCCAGATGATGGTGCTGAGTGCGACGGAACCATTCCCCCATGCGTCATTGACGATGCTGTGAGGGCAAGGTCACGGTAGCACATAGGGGTGCATAGAGGCAGGCATCTGCGGAGGCTTTGACAAGCATGTGACCGGGCGACGCAGGCCGTGGTGGATCGGAACACAATGGACGGCAGATCCATCCGCTCGTCAACGCCTGCTACGATGTGTGGAAGGACATGATGTGCGGTTCGAGCGTCTCGGTGTCGAGAACGACCACCTGATGTGTGCTCGCAAAAGTCGGCACGAGAATGACGCGAACTTGGTGCGTTGGCGACGCTTGGAATGTGGTCGTCGCAAATGCCGCCTGGTTTCCGATCACATATACATCGGGAGTAGCGCGGATGACAAATGCATCGGCGGCCTTGAATGGATAGCACCAGAGAGTATCGGGGGCCGTTGGCGCCATGTGCGACCAACGCAGCGTGGCGACAGCCATATCTAGTGCAGCTGAAGAGTCGCGCTTCGCATCGTCGGGCATGTACTTGAGAAGATCGTCGAGGTTCTGCCCACTTGTCGCAAGGATGGCGCGGCCATTCAAGCTGAACCACGTGGGGTTCGTACTCAGATGCAGCGATGTACGCTGCGATGCTCGTGGAAGTAGCGTGCGAAGAAGCGGCTGCTGTGGAAGTGTCAAGGTGCATGGATCATGCATGCCCGGCATGACCACGACGGCATCCAGCGTCTCACACAGCTGGTCGATGTAAGGATCCAGGAACGCAAAGGGATTCGATTCCATCGACTTGGTCTCAGACACTTGCTTCCATGCTGCTTGCTGCACGCAGTCGCCTGCCAGCACCAGACTTGATATCCGTGCGACGCGTGCGCGCTCGTCGGTCGACGAGCACAGTTCGCCCGAAAGCCATTCCATCAGCAGGTCCCGAGCGAGATCACTGCGTGGATCCGGCTCTCCCACGTGCAGACCACTTGCAAGAACGATGAAGTTGTGATTGTTCGCGGGCGTGGCAGCTGCTTCGCTGCCAAGTACGACACGGCGGCTGTGGGCGGTAGTCCTGGGAAAAACACGTGGTGCACTTCCAAGTCGCCATCGGGTGTCTCGATGCCAATCACACAAGCCACGACGCCGGTAACACATGTCTGTGCAAGCTGCGTACCAGGCCGAAGAAGATCGCCAACAACACGCACGCGGCCACTCTGATCCTCCAAGAATAGTTCGTCATGCTCTGTATCGACATAACTCGTGCGTGGTGGTGGCGCTGGGAGTGACAGATCACGAGCAATGTCCTGGAGGACGTCAGGCTTGAGTTGCATCGCTGAGTAGAATGTGCCGACAACCATGCACATTTGGCGCGGTGGAATATCGAGGAGTCGCTCAATGTACGTCGCATTAACACAAGTATCCGGGCGCTGGGCCATGGCAGCCTCTCGCGCGCGCCGACGAAGCACCGCAAGACGGTAGTCGTACATCTGCGCGAACTGTCGACCGTATGTGCGTTCTGACGCTGGCACGCGCAGTGGATCCGAGAGGGACGCCAATGCATCGAACGATGCACGCGCACGTTCCATCGCTCCGTGTGACGCCGTATGGAAATGTTTTTGCACCAACGCGCAGACGACAACGACAACGACAAGCACACGACGCGCGTCGCGCGGCGATGCACAAACAGGCGGGCATCGGCCCAATAGGCGGGCGAGAAGAGAGTCCGTCTGGTTGACTATGTGCGAGGACGAAGGCACACACGCCTGAGGCACCGATGATGCTCACGTGACGTACGTCCAAGGCGGCTGCTCGCTGACGTGTGTGGAGGAAGCATCCTCGCACAGCGTAAGCACACCGAAGACGCGTCATGCTGAGCGGGGCTTGGATCGGCGAGCCACGAGGCAGGCACATGGGGGCTTGGGTATCATGATAGGCATGCACTACGGGAAGATGGCCGTCACTAGGCAAGCATCTTGTGCGACCTACTTAAGGATGAGACTTACCCTTGCTGCTCATATGCATTGGAGCGGTGCTTTGGTGTAAAGTGCCAGTCAGGTGGCGCAGGACCAAGGAACATGTCAGAAATACGCACCCAGTCGTGCGCACTTGGACTGCTCAGCAACGACTCCAAAGGATCGCGGCCATGGAATGGTGGTGGCCGATCGTTCATTCGCACGGGAATGTGGTCCAGCAGACCCAGTGGGACGTACCTGTGCGTGAACGAGAGCATTTCACACAAGAAGCGTCGCGTCGTATTGACGCCCTGTGTATCGGAGCCCCAGTGCGTGAGTCCATACGACGCATACTGGCGGATCATGTCGAGGCGTTCGCGACTGCTGATATCCCAATCGCGACGCTCCTTGATCTCGGTAAAGATCCACGGCTTGATCAGAGCGCCACGCGCAATCATAGTGCCGTCCACATGGGCATGCTCCAAGTGGTCGTAATAGTCGCGCCAGCCATACACGTCTCCGTTGCCATACACAGGCACAGGCACCATGTCGGGCTCGTCCGCATGCTGTGGCTCCTCATTCCACGTACGCACAGCGTCATGCAGCGTGTCGACGCAGGTGCGTATGTACGCCCAGTCGGCATCGTTCTTGTACCGTTGCTTGCGTGAGCGGCCATGGAGCGACAGGCCACCGACGCCCCACTCGGTCTGTGCACGTGCAAAGATCTTGTGGGTCGTTGGCTTCGACGTCGTTCCAGTGCGTAGCTTGATGGTAAGCGGGATCTCACCCAGCGCTTCCGACATGCCGCGTACAATCCGACCCAACTTGTTCGCGTGGTCCAGAAGCGCCGATCCTGCGCCCTTGTTGTACACAAGATCAATGGGACACCCGCAGTTCACGTCCACAAAGTCCAGGCCACGCCCGACTTCTCTGGCAAGCACTTCCGCCGTCGGGACTAGCAGCTCTGGCTTTGCGCCGCACACTTGAGTGCCAAAGATCCGCTCGCCCTCCCAACGACGCACGAGACTCCATTCTGACGCATGTCCCTGCAAGAACGACTCGGCCATGCCCATTTCACCACAATGAATATCGGAGCCGAACGACGCACACAGCCTGCGAAACGGCAGATTGCCCGTGGTCGTCAGCGGAGCGAGGTACAAGTCGCCCTTCCACTGTAGACGCCGCTTCTCACATGGTCGCACTCGAGCCGTATCTGCTGCAGCATCGTCATTGCCACCATTCCGCAGCGCATCTTCACACGCCTCGAGTGTTGCGGACGGGTCTGCAACGAGACGCTCATGCTCGTAGTTGACTCGTAGTGGTCCTTTGCCCACTTCTGTGCTGGCCGCCTCAGCTGGCGTCATCGCAGATAGCATGTCGACTTCTTTCCGGAGCGCCGACGTGATGGCAGGTGCCTTGTCGAACGTGTACTTGCGTGAACGGAGGCGCCGTGCCACATCGGATGCAAGCCAGTTCACTTGGTCCGATTCAGGCTGTGCCTCATTTCGCATATAGGGAGACCGATGTAGCCAAGCGTGCTTCTTCGCCTCATCCTCCACCAGCTCGAGACCTGTGCCGAGCATGCCTTGTGCCTCTGCGCCCAAGACGCGGCATGATGCACTGAGCCGGCGCACATGAGCCCCGAGAAAACGGCATTTCCATCCCATGGGACATGTACCACGCTCTTGAAAATACGGACAGGTCGTGCCCAATACGACAGAAGCCTGGACCGTGTCGTGGGTCGTCGGTGCCGTCGGTGCCGACGGTGTCGTTGAGCCGCTCGCCGGATGCGCATCAGCAGTTACATCGGTATTCTTCTTGATCCTTTTTGTATCTTGCATCACTGCGTGTTCATACAACGTTGCAAGGTAGACGTCGCGCTCATCGGCGGGGACGAAACGCACACATTCGTGCGATGAGACCGGATGCGGCGGCGTTTCGATGTCGCGCGGTTTCTGTTCAAGATAGGTGCAAAGATCGTGTGTGAATTTGCAAGAGTCGCCGAACTTGCACGCGTCACGACCTGTGGCAATCTGGGTACACAAAGCAATATTGTCTTCGGTGCGTGTAAATGTGCGGCCCTTGTTCTGGCCACGCGCTCGTTTCCGTGGCTTGTCTTGCTCGCCATCCTGTGCACGATTTGCCCCGCTTGAGGTTGTGGGAGCAGCGGCATCAGTCGGATTCTCTTGCTCAGGCTTGCCATCAGGCTCGTCGTCTGGCACAAATGCTGTTGGTTCCGAATCTGCGCCTGTTTCGGTACTCCCGTCGAGCGCCTCGCTCCTCGCTGGCCAAGCGGTGCGCAGGAACTGTGCCTTGATCGGAGCTATCCCTGGCTTGTACACACTCATTTACAGCACAAGCACAAGCACAAGCACGCGCGCACACACAACACAAGGAACAAGCAAGCCTGCCGACGACAAATGCTACTTCGAGACGCCTTCGCACAACCGACGAGCGCGCCATGCTGCTGGGCGTACTCCACGTGACTTTTCGCGCCTATGTGCCGTGACATGCTGCAAGCCAGATTTTTTCTCTCACTGTGGCAGCCGTACCTCCGCCAAATCACCACACCACCCGCCGCGCAAAAAAAAAAAAAAAATCTGGGCTGGTGAGGACTTGGTGTGGAGGTGGATCTGTCGTGAGACACATGCATTTTGTAAGCTGGCTGCAGCGATGTCGCCACAGAATTTCTTCTACTTGGATCTCGTCCTCGATCTCCAAAGCGAGAGAATAGCTCGGCGAACGCATTCTAGCACAAGGCACTGCTTGCTTGATGGCGTCGCCGTTTCCGCGTGTACCTGCGCCCATTGAAGGGCATGTGCGCGAATTGAATGATCGTGTGCTGATGAAAGTGACATCGGACAAACATCCAGCAACGATCTTGCCGCAGGATGACGAAGAAAATGTACTTGTGACGTCGGCTCTTCCGTACGTCAACAACGTGCCGCATCTCGGCAACATTATCGGCTCGACACTCTCAGCCGATGTGTTTGCCCGTTATGCGCGGACACAAAACAAAAACACACTGTACATTTGTGGTACCGACGAGTACGGTACAGCCACGGAGACCAAGGCACTGGAAGATGGCGTCTCGCCACAGGCTTTGTGTGACAAGTACCATGCACTGCATGCGCAAGTATACGAGTGGTTCCAAATTGGCTTTGACTACTTCGGCCGCACAACGACACCCCGCCAGACCGAGATTGCTCAGGACGTGTTCCGGAAGCTGTACGAAAACGGGTACTTTGAGGAGCGTGTGATGCGGCAGCTGTACTGTGCATCGTGTGAGAGGTTTCTTGCGGACCGGTACGTGAATGGAATCTGCCCTAAGTGCGACTATGATGATGCACGTGGCGATCAGTGCGACAAGTGTGGCCAGCTTCTCGATGCTGTTGAGCTCAAGGAGCCCAAATGCAAGCTGTGCAAGGGAACGCCACAGGAGCGCGACTCCAAGCACATGTTCCTTCGCATCGATGCGCTTCAGCCACAGACAGAGGCATGGGCTTCGGAGATGTCAAAGAAAGGCAAATGGTCGTCGAATGGAACATTCATCACTGAGTCCTGGTTCAAGGAAGGTCTGCGTCCATTCTCGGTGAGTCGTGACCTAAAGTGGGGGGTCCCCGTGCCACTGCAAGGGTATGAGGACAAGGTGCTGTATGTTTGGTTCGACGCTCCGATCGGATACCCAAGCATCACAGCGAACTACACAAGCGAATGGGAAAAGTGGTGGAAGAATCCAGAACATGTGCGCCTGTACCAGTTCATGGGCAAGGACAATGTCCGCTTCCACACGGTCATATTCCCATCGTGCTTGATCGGCACGAAAGATCCGTGGACAATGCTGTATCACATCAACACAGCCGAGTATCTACAGTACGAGGGCGGCAAGTTTTCCAAGTCGCGCAATATTGGTGTGTTTGGCGACCGTGCGAAGGACATCGGCGTTTCGCCCAGCGTGTGGCGCTACTATCTGCTGTCGACACGCCCGGAGTCGTCAGACAGCCAGTTTGTGTGGCATGACTTTGTGACGCGGAACAACTCGGAGCTGTTGAAGAACCTCGGCAACTTTGTGAATCGTATTTTGACGTTCATGAAAAAGTACGAAGGCCGCCTTCCAGAAGCACCCCAAGGCCTGCGTCTTGGCACAGACGGTCCTCTGTCGACCACGGGCGATGGTACAGTGTGGGGCGATCTTGTGGCCAAGTTTGTCGCTGACGTGAATGCCATCCTGGCCAAGTATGTTGACTTTATGGACGTCGGCAAGCTTCGTGCAGGTCTGAACACGATGATGGAGCTGTCGGCGCGTGGGAACCTGCTGCTGACGGAGGCCGGTCTCGATAACACGCTTTTCGCCGAGCAGCGAGCCAAGTGCGACGCTGTCATCTTGCTTGCGACCAACCTGATCTGGGTGCTCACCGCCCTGGTACACCCGTTCATGCCACTGACGAGCGATCAAATGCTGGAGCAGTTGAATGCCCCGCCGCGTGCCTTGCCGAAGGAGCAAGCATTTGCACTGGATCTGTTGCCTGGCCACATGGTCGGCAAGGCTGCACACCTGTTCAAGAACATTGACGAGAAGCAGGCAGCCGCGTGGAAAGCCAAGTTTGGCGGCGACAGCTCGGCTGCGGACGAGAAGCCCGCGATGAGCAAGAAGCAGGCCGCGAAGGCGCGCAAAGCCGCTGAGAAAGAGAAGGCTGCGTCACTTCCACAGACGCCTGCAGTGCTAGACCTTGATGCACGCGTCAAGACACAAGGTGACAAGGTCCGCACGCTAAAATCCAGCCCCAACACACCACAGGGCGAGATTGACGCGGCTGTGCAGTCGCTGCTTTCACTGAAGCAGGACATGCAGGCAGCCGTCGATGCAGCTCTCGCCGAACAAGCGCAGTCGTCATTGCAGACGTCGTCCTAACTAGATGCACGCATAGCTACAAAGAATAAACCCCCTTCGCACTTGGAAACCAGCAGGCCAAGGAGCCAGCCAACCGGTGGAATCGGTTCGCTCCCCCATGGGCCAACGGACGCACGGATGTGTGGAGTTCGGACGGATGGGACCAAGTACCCCACCCCACCACCCCTTTCTACTCCCTTCCTTACTTGACTCGCACGCACGGTGCGGTGTGTGTAATTCCCCAACGCTGAGTTTTTGGAAAAATACCGCATCCGTGGGTGTTGCAATACACAAAAAGTGACGTCGTCATTTGTGCTACTGCGACGAGCGAGTGCTCCTTTTGAGTGAAGGAGTTTGTGTTTGCGCGAGCCATGACACAACTTCGTGAGCCAGTGCCGACCGCCACGGCGCCCAAGCCACGGGGCATTCTCAAAAATGCCGGCAAGCCAGGAGGCGCGAGTGAAAATCAGTGCGTATCGGCGCAGAGGATCCGCGCCCTGCAGTGTCTAACGCTAGTCTACAATGGGATGAGCACAACCTGCAGGAAAACCAAGACGAGCGCGATAACACGGCTGAGCGAATGAAAATTGACGAGCCCAAGACACCATTCGTCCATACAACGTCGGCGCCGCCCATGGACGAAGAAAGTATGTGTACACGTACCAGGGAAAGTCACTCACACGCATCCCCCTCCCACACACACAGCCTTTGATTTGGACGATCGCGCCCCACCCGTCTCAGCCACATCGATGGGTGCCTCGCATCCCATGCCCGCGGTGTCTTCCAGCACGGACCATGCAGATGCGACTCATGCCAACACGCTAGCCAACGCTCGCAGTGCACAGCGCACAGAGGAACTGGTCCATGCCGTCCGGCCTATGCCGACGTCTGACGCTGCACCCATGCAGGCACCAATTGATCTCAACAAGATCAATGAGGAGTTGGAAGATGAACGTGCACGACATTCTGCCTTCTCCGAGAAACGACACCAACATTATGGGAACGAAGCCGCTGCGCTCAAGATGGCGGCTATGCTGCCGGATGAAGACGAAGACGAAAGCTAGCATGCTTGGGAATATGCACCACGAACGGGATGCCGCACATTTGCATGCAGCAAAGTTCTCGTCCACTAATAGACGCACTGTATATGCCGTCATGCATGGCGACTCACCCGCACTGTCCCTCTGAAAGCACCACCTACAGCCTCTCGTAAAGATGAAAGAACATGTATAGAGACCGAGTCATTCGATATTGTTGATGTTTCACTCATGGCTCACAGAAGCGCCCGTCATCGGCCTGCATAAACCAACGACAATGTTGTTTGCTGTCGCATTCTTCCTATGGCGGTATCATTTATTTCCATGGCGCGCAAAGTCACTCATCCTCTGCATTGAATGAAGGAGCGAACGGCGAGTCTGCCCGATACTGAGTGCCGAGTCTGTATGGAGCTAGGATCCCATATACATACAGCTATGCTCCATGTTCGTGAGAGCGCTTCGACAGGGAGCATCCACATGCTGCATGCGGCTGTATGGGCGCAGTTGACGTTATCAAGCTGAAGCAAGGAGCGACGAACTGCGGGCCCATTTGAATCAGCAGTCTATCGCAGGAGCGTACGGCCCTATGGCTTTCGTCCAAGCACCCAGTCCCCATGAAGTCTGGCTGGTCTCGAGATTCGCGCAAGATCGTGTACTTCGATCAAGCGACAGGGATGAGCTGTGGTGCAGGCGACATGGCATGGAATTAACAATGTCTGTACGCATCTCAAGCCCAAGCCTTAGCTAAAAACCAACGGTAGCTGCACATCAGCCAAGACATGTTCAAGTGCGAGTCCCACAAGCATGCATATCAAGACTCGCTGACTCTATTCGGCTGGCGAGTCACTGTCGTGATCTCCTCCGATCAGCTGTGCATGCTCACGAAGGGCACTCGCATGCAATGCATACACATGCCTTGTTTGTTCATCTTCCTCGCGGTCACGAAGTGTTTCAAGTCGATCAGCCTCAGCCCGGACAGCCTCGATGAGCTCCATGTCCACGCTGGGATCGGGTTGGGAGCTTGCCTCACCAGATTCGCTGTCGACGGCCTCCATGTCAAGAGCCTCGGCATTCTCAGAGTCTACCACGTCTTGATCCACGGCATGCAGGCGCTCTCCATCCACAAGAAACGGGACCCAGCGGTCATCATTCTCAGGATCCGGCACGTGCGAGAGCTCGTCAATCAACGAATCCAAAGCTTCCTCAACAACGCGTCTGGAGATGTAGCGGAAAGCCGGTTTCGATGCTGAATCAAAGCGGAACGCCGTGACCATACTTGCGTCTTTGGCGTTGCACGTCTCCTGATACTCGTCGGAGAGACGTGTGTGGTCGACGTCAAGCTCCATGTCGAGACACTGTCGAGCCACGCAGTAGATGCCTGACTGATCCATTTGTACACAGCTGCAATTGACAAATGGATTGATTTCGCCTTCCACCGGCACATCCGACCACTGGAACACCGAAAAGGATGGAGGCTCGTTGTGCGAGTCAAAGCTCGGCTTGTCTCGACGGAAAGCAAGTGACGACGGAACACGCAGATCCAGCATAGTGACGATACCGTGCACCACTACGGCGCGGCCATTGTGAACGGTGAGCTGAGGAGGCATGTCAGCGGAAAGTTCCTCACACCAGTTCTTGCCCATAGCCCAACGGACACTCGCTTGGTTGAGGCGCTCCGACACGAGCGGCAGAGGCGGGAAAGAATAATACACAAGCTTTGGTGTCGCATCATGAAGCAAATGCGCTTGATATCCAATCAAGAGCAAGATCGCATCGTAGGCCAGCACGACAAGGGTATCGGTGTCTTTGTCAGGATGCACAGCCAGCCATCGATCAGACTGAACACCAATCACATTCGGCATGTGCTCATGCGGAGGTTGCAGCAGGGCAGGAGCGGGCATAGGATAAAGTCGCCGTTGCTGAAATCGTGGTACTGTCGGGTATGGAAGCAGCTCAGGGACATAGCATGTTGGGGCACCGTATAGACGAAGATGCTTGTTGATCGTCCATACGACATGATGTGTTCGGCGGTCAATGACGCTGATGGCGCAGTGGCCGTCGCCCACAACGAACCAGAAATGATCGTCCATGTCGATATAATTGACGTTTCCGCCATCGTTGACTGTGCCCTCCAAGCTTGTAGCTTGGACCAACGTCCGGCTCGGAAGATCAAACTCTTGCAAGAGTCCATCGTTCGTAGCACAGAGCAACGTCGGATACACAAGGCGGAAAGCAATTGTTGGGTGATCCGATTGGATTAGCATGTGTCTGCATACATGTAAGTATGAGCGAGTACGAAAGTGGGCTGTGGACAAGGTGCCACCGTCAAGCATCAAGTACGCACCTTCGATATGCGCCGCGCCGTGGTGGCTCACCTTCTCTGGAAGTAAGGCGCTCGCTTTGCCACACCTCCAAGCGCCCCCATGCTTGCTGATCAAAGATCATCCAGCCGTCTTGGCATTCGAGATGAGGGCAATCACGTGTTTCCGTAGATGGGATCGACCATAAAAGCTCGCCTGTATCAATGTCGATGGTACGAATCCCACCATGCCGCCCTGTTACAATAAAATAATTCCCGACAGGGTCCAGCTTGAGACGCCATACGTCTTCATTTTCTAGCGCTGGGCGGAAGTACTTGCGGGAAGGAAACAGTTCGAGAGTCCGACGGCTCGTGCTCGCTGTATTGCACGCACTGTATCGGCCCCAACAACTGTCCAAGGCCCAGCGTTTCCGACATAAATCATAAAATGACGTCACATCATCATAGTATCTAGACGCACACGATTGTGTCAGGTCATACTTTTGTCGATGTTGGACGGCAGCTATGTCATCCTCATGCAAGCAGAATCCATTTTCTAGTGCCTTTTGGCGCCATATAGGTTCATAAATTGACACATCATGCCATTCTGAGTCATTAGAGGATATGGTCAGATGATGGGGAGGAAAGGGAGGCACGCGGCGTCGTTGTTCCTAGCACCTACGCGATGTTGGGCCATTTCGACGCACAGCTGGCATCATTCGTACGTACGTTTGCATACTGAAGAGGCTGATACGAGTGTACGCAAGTCCAGGTACCAAAATATATGCTGGAGGATTTCTCCCGGTATGTTTTGCATGCCTTGCGACAAATTCAGATCGCTTTTTTTACCGGGCGCGGCTGGCCGATGCGACAGGGGCTAGATTGAATCAATCGAATTGGGGTACAAGATGAGGCCTGGTAATTGCGTGTCACACCTAATCTGACTGAGGAATACTCTAGGTTCGGCCGAATATCTATGACCTGATTCAGGGCAGCCTACATTGCCTATGCGGCATAGGATGTGTAAGCCGTACGACCCATCCTCGTAGGCAGGAGTTTGCATTGCATCCGAAAGAAAGCTGCCGGGTCAAAAAAAAAAAAATTGCCGCTTCGTCGTGGCGGGTGACTTGGCTATCCTAGCCCGGTGCTTGCCTGATGTGTGCAAATTTGCACGGGAATGAGTCTGATAATATGGAGCACGTTATACATGCAGAGCTTGTCAACACAAAGTATTGAGGCATGAGTCTCCCGTCTGAGCGGGTTTCATCATGCCCTCGATGCCGTTGGCGAGGTCCCATGATGCGCACGGACCAGATCGTTCTTTCTCGGCCGAATATATGGCTACATTTTGCCCTGGACGCGCAGATGGGCACAGACAAGACATTACACTAGGCTTGCCTGAGGTTGCTCATTCCCCCTACAAGCTACACGATCCGTTTGAGACAGAGAAACTGGGTGTATACCTCGGGCAAGCTTTTGCAGCAGGTTTTGTTAGCAATTTGTGCGGATCAACGTAGTTTTGAGCTTTCTGAACAAGGCGCCTTCACCCAGCATTCGTTTTGAGGCTCATTCGTTGACAGTTTGTGAGACCCATCTTATCACATACTCTGACAGTACCCCTTCTTCGAGTCTGTAGTCGACCGCTGGCAAGAATGGCTGCTACAGGAGAACCTACTACGATACAAGCAGCGTCTGGACATACCTCATCTGAACATGTGGACACTCACGACGCAGACGATACCGAGAAGGAAAAGGACATCAAGCCAGAGGTCGCGGACCGAGAGTCAGAGCGAGCACCTATGCGAAGGTCACGTCGCACAAACGCACAAGAAGTGTCTGAACAGCCAGCACATAAGGATGAAGAACGCGCGCAAGAAGATATGGATGTCGTTAGAGACGAAGAACTGGCATCTGCGGGTCAGATGGATAGTCATGATGGCGGTGATGAGGGAGTGACGCGGTGTGTGTGTGGAAGCACGGACGAGAATCTGGGGCTTATGATTCAATGTGAAACGTGCAAATCGTGGCAACATTGTGCGTGCATGGGCATGCACACGGAAGAAGATTGTCCCGACGTCTACTATTGCGAACAATGCCGACCGGAAAACCACATTGATTTGCTCCGCTCCCTTGGATTTCTTTCATCGAACAAGATTGTGAAGCGTGGCGCATCGCGCGGTGGGGGGCGGCACGTGTTTTCCAAAGAGTCGGCACAAGAGCTCCGTGAAGCGCGCGACGCGATTCGGGCGATGGCTCTGGACAATGCAGCTCGGTTACGCGGAGATGCTGTGCCTGCGCGGGAGCGACGATCTGGAGCAATAGGTCGCTCTTCGCCAGAATGGCGCACTACACCGAAAAGGCGTACCATGAATAGTCGTGATTTTGGCGAAGATGGGTGGGAGCCCATTCCGCCAGAGCTCTTACGTGACGAGGCGGTCGGCATGGATGATGAGTCGGAAGACTCACGAAAACGGAAGCGCCACATGGAGCAAAGCGAAGAGACGTCTGAGTCATTGTCCGCGAATAGCCACCCGTCCGAGCTGTCGAAGCGCCGCCGTATGCAACAACTTCCTGAGTCTCCGAGAAAGGATCGTCGGTCGGACGAGGCGAAGCGCGAGCCTGTTGGAACGGAGCGAACTCGTAAGGAGCGCGGTGGGGTGGCGTCTCGCGATGCAGACATCAAGCCGAAACACCCGAACCAATATACCTACCGGAACAGACAAGAGGCGGCCTCGGCCACCGATGTAGAGTCTGCAAAGGGATCTGCAGCGATCGTATCAACTGAACCGGCTGGACCGGCAACAGCAGCATCTGGGCCATGGGGAACCAACGGAGCAACGGCCGGCGTCTCATCTGCAAGAGGCATGAGCCCAAATCGCGCGAACGGCTCGACATCGTCTTCTACAAATGGCGCGTCATCGTCGGCATCCACTTCATCAACCTCATCCGCTACAAATTCGCAAATGCCCCTGAGTGCAGTGCCATCTCGTACAAGAGAAGGACGACGTGCTGCTACTCGTGCGGAGAATGCTAGTCGATCTGGCACTCCATCACAAGAAAACGCCGGTCGTGGAACCGCACAAAACAATACACTCCCAGAGCATCTTGCGCATCTGGCGTATCTATTACCACCAAGTGCCGACGACGACACTGATGCAGAGCGGCCACAGCTTCCATGTGCGCCGAAAAAAGGGATGCCCGAGCCGTTCCAGTATGTGACGGCCGTTGATCCAGCTATAAGAATCCGTTTCCCGCAAAAACGCATGACCATGGGTGAGATGCGGAAACGTGTTCGGACGACTGGTGAGTATGTGACGCGTATTCAGCTTGAGGCCGTAGAGCGTGAGAAACGCGTCGGGTTTCTTGCCTCTGTGGGACTGTCATCGTCGACATCGACATCGACTCCCGAACAAAGGGATGACCACATTTCAGAGCTTCCTTTAAGCATGCAACTAGTTGATCAGCTCACGCGCGATTTGACATCGTTCCAACGTCGATTTGGTCATAATGCCATGATCTCTCGGTCTGACGAGGTATCCGACATTTAATAGATAGGATCAATAATTGTTATGCAGGATTCAAACCATAGAGTGATTCTCGGCCAGTTCTGTTCAGCGGCCCTACCTATATTGATGGATCTATCAAAATCGTCTATTGCGTGGTAAGTAAGAATGATGGCTAGCCTTCACGCGGTTGGTTTTTGTATCAATGTAGTGCTGTATTTGATTCTTTCAAGCTCGTCTAAGAAGGCAAAGGGGAAGTAGGGGAGCATGTCAAGTTCCGCGTACGTGTCTCATCAGTTTCGATGGCTCTATGGGTGGCGGCTACCTATCTTTGTACGAACAAGAGCCGAAGTGCATGTATTCCCTCATACTCTGAAATGGACAAGGTCTGCCAGGCATCAATCAGGCCACGTGGATGGACACCTACATTTTTTTTACTCAGTTATGTAATGCACTGAAAAAAAAAATCAAAATTGTTCTAAGAAGTAGCTCTTACCAACAGATCAGGCGTATTTCCGGGCGAAGAGTCATACGTCATGTCGAGCTCGCTGGCCTCGCAGCTAGCTGGGATCCGCTCGCACAATGCAGCGCGTCTCGCTAGCTCCAGCGCGTTAACAGCAAGAGACTCGTACTTGTTTACGCCACGTGCAGCGGCCGAGCAGGACCATCTTACCGTCCATGCTCTAGGCGTGACTGGCTGGGAACAGCTTCTGGATGAAGACGCCGTGCTTGCTTCCTGGCCACATGGGGATCTGCTTTTTGGAGAACGCAGCATTCATACAGATCGTACTACACTGCCGAAGCAGGACAATGATGAGATTGATGAGGCTGTGCGAGAGCTGCTGTATCTGCTGGGACCTGTGCTTCTTTCGCGGAGTGCGGCTAAATGCTTGGAGTGGCTTATCAGGCGATTCCGGATCCACGAGTATACCTCGCGCGAGCTACTGCGCGCATTTATGCCGTACCATCACACACCGCAATTTGCCCGTATGCTCCAAGTGATTCCCATCGAGAAGTACGCGGAATGGCAATTTCTCGTGCCTGTCAAAAAGGCACAGTCTTCACTCCCAACATCTCTGCTAGTACAAGCTCTTGGAAGTAACCTGGATGTGCTCCGATGGATAGCTTCTAACCAAGCGCCAGTCCATGTGTCTGTGCGGCGAGCGCACATTCCGTTCTGGACATCTACGCTCGTTCAATTCTGCTTGCTACACCGCCGTGCAAACAAGAGACGTCACCGAGCAGATGCACAGGCTATTTTGACAGTTCTTGTCCCTGAGGTTCTGCTCTTATTGGATGGCACGTTTGACGAGGAGGCTGTGGTCGGTGCACTTATGGTGTTGTGCACGCTGAGTGTCGCATTCCCTCTGAGTGCGAAGGCTGTGCGGGGCCTGATTGATGCGGTGTCGCAGCTGGCCGCATCATCAGCAAAGCCTGCTGTGGCTAGGGCCATAGTGGCAGCGTGCATTTCTATGTGTGCGAGTCCCGATGACGTCGACGATCCGCTGAGTTATGTTGCTACGGGTCGTGGTGTGGAAGAATCCCACCGCTTATTGTCGGAATCGACTGTGCGAGCGCTTGTGCAGCTCCCTGAATTTGGCGCACAAATCGCTCGCGCACTTCGCACGCACGACATTGAACCATTCATATCGCAGTTGCTCGGCTCTCTGGCCTCAGATGTTTCATTCGCACCAGCGCGCTCGATGCTGGAGTCAGTGCTAGATGATGATGCATTACCACGAGTGCTGTCGCTGCGTACGTGTGTGAGTCTGATGCTAGCACCACATGACGATGCTTGGGATGCACGAATTGCCCTTCTTGCTCGCCTACGCGAGCGTCACCCAAGCATCTTGGATGAGGCGTTGTCAGTGGCACGTAATTCTGACGAGGCACGTGCCTGGCAAGTCATCCAAGCTGTGCTGCACATGCAAGCGACCGGCAAGGTCCCGACGGCGTCAGACTCGCAAGATACCGCGCTCTGGTTGGGCGTGCAGAGTGCTGACGCGCATGCACAAGAGCTGGCCCTAGACCATCTTTTGCAGGCTGTGGGTCGTGGGCATGTTTGTGGCAATGATTCGCTTGTCCGTGATGCCGCCGAGACTGGCTTTGCTCGTGGCCTTGTGGACGTCTTGTACCGACACGCAGCCATACTTGTGGATGCCATTGGGCCGTCGTGCCTGCTCGATACCATCACCACTCGCCTACATGATGAGTCGATCTCTGCTCACGAACGGGATTTGCACTTGAAATTTGTCACAGAGACACTTGCTCCTCGTGCGCCTGCACTCAGCCAGCGTGTGTGGCGTGAGCTGCTGTGGTCCCAGCTTCTCCGTTGCGGAGACGGCGATAGCGATACGAGTGCTCGACGTTATCGCCGTCTCATTGGCGGTTTCGTATCATGTTTGGAGCATGTGAAAGAGCCAATGGCTCAGATAGCAAGTACCACTGCGGCACGCATGTCGGCCTCGAAGGAGGCTTCTCCTCTCACTTGGACCCTTGCACTCTCAGACGCTTTGGTAAGGCACCTAGCGACTTGCGATGAGCCAACGTTTTTGGATGAAGCAGACTTTCTGTGCAATGCTGTCATTCGATCGCCTATATCGCCGGGTGGTGCGTTGGCTCTCCTGGTCATAGGCCAGCTGTTGGCGCGCGCCCTGCCACCTCGTGTGTGGGTAACACTGGCCTATCAGGCGACCTCGATCGTGCACACGCAACAACTACTCGCTGGTCAGTTAGACGATGTGGTCATGGGCGACAAAGCGGACGAAGCTATCATGCAACAGGTCTTGGACAAACTCTCGCGACGCAGCGTACGGCTGTTAGGTGTGCAGCTCATGCACACCGTCTTGCAGCACTTCCCAACGTCATCCATGGATGCGTCGTTGTTTATGGACATCCAGCAGCGTACAAAGCCGCTGGCCCAGCTGATTCTTCATATGTACCAGACACTACACGCACCAGGTGTTGGTCTTACCGCCTCGGTTAAGCTCGTGCCTGTGTTGTTTGAACGCCTCGATTTGAGCACATTTGCTTTGTTGGCCGGTTTGTGGACGACTCCTGGTGGACATGGACAGCGGTCGCTGCCTAGGCAGTCGCTTTCTCTGGCATCGCTAGCCTGTGCGCTGGAAGAAGGATCGCTAGTGCCCCCCAGCTCTGTTTCTGTGCGCTTGATGGCGATGCGGCATGCGACACTGCTGGCTCGTGCAGCCTCATCGAAGAAGCGTGCACTTGATCTGCAGACGCTCCTGCCCAGCCTGCTTGTCGTGCTTCAGGACAGTGTGCCTGTACTCCGTAATGCAGCTGCTCAGTTGCTCGGCGCGCTCGATGCATGGAATGCGGCGTGTGGCAAGGATGACCGCGAAGTATACGGTTTCGAGCAAGTGTATGGTGTGCACAGTGCACCGCTGCAGTATCTCGATACGCCGACGTATGCGAAGTACACGTCCCTCTTAGCAAAAGAGGCAGGTGCGTTCGTCAATGACGCGTCATTCCTGGCAACTACACATACATCCATTCTCCGTGGAAGTGGCAAGAAAGAGGTCTTGTTCCGCACGAAGGTGTTGTGCTATCTCATGAGTCACGCATTGTGCTTGCCGGATCTGAGTATGCGTATGGCTTTGTTTGGCATGGTACGCGATGTGCACGCACCATGCAAGCTTTCGACGGCACTGCCTCTAGTGGCTGAGGCTGTCGATGCACAAAAGCCGATGAATCCAACCTACTTGCAACTGCTGTATGAAACGTACGATGCAAGTGCCGTGCCTGTGTTGGAAGACCGCAAGACGCATGCGTTCTCACTCTTTCTTCGGTCGCTGCGCAGCGATGCTCCTTCGGGGCTCCAGCAGGTGTCTCTGGATGCGCTGCAGCATGGTCTGTTCGTCGCATTGCGCACGGACGACAAGCAGAAGGTGTATCTGACCATGGCGGAGACGCTCGCCGACCCTCATGTCGCAAGTGTGCCAAATGCAGGTGCGGTGCTTCGGTCATTCCCACTCTCAGATGCTGTGCTTGTGTCTGTGCTGCGCACGCTGTGCGACTCGCTTGCCACAGACGATGACGAGCCATCTAGCAAGCGAGCTCGATCTTCCTCGTCCTCGACATCGCTTGATGAACATGTGCAGAAGACGGCGATTGTGCTTATTACTGTGCTGGAGAGTATACAGAGCCGCACGCTCGGCATGGAGGCGGCTCTGGTGGCAGCGCTCTTCGATGTGGTGCGCACGGCCATTTCACTGAGCTCGACACACCTATTCAATGCCGAGTATTTGCTGCAGCTTGCGATGCAGAGCCTGTGCAACCTCTTTGACCATGTGACGGAATTGCCCACGGATGTTGCCCAGGTTGTACGCGCTGACACGATCGTGAGCGCGATCAAAGTGTCGACAAACACACAGAGTATCAACCACGCCATCCTGCTTCTTGCACGATTTGCGCGTCTTGACGCCGAGCTCGTCCTCCACAATATCATGCCGATCTTTACGTTTGTCGGCCTGAACGTACTGCAGCGCGATGACCGATTCACTCTTTCCGTGGTGGAGCAAACGCTGCGGAGCATCATGCCGGCGTTTGTGAATGCAGTGCGGCCGCAGGTGATCAACGACAAGGATGCGCGACTGGCGCTGTGGTGCGAGACCCGCAGCCTACTACGCATTTTCAGCGATGCGTCCACGCACATCCCGCGGCATCGCCGGCATGTGTTTTTCCGTCTCCTTGTCGATGTGCTCGGTGCTGATGACTTCCTGGCGCCTGTGTGCATGTTGCTTGCCGACCGTGTGGCACACCGCGTGTCCAAGGCACCAAGCAACAGCAGTGCACTTATGCAGCTGCCGCTAGGTCTTATGCGCGCCGAGTCATTCCCCGTACGAGTGCATGCGCTAAATCAGATTTGGGCGGAAGTCATGCGCTTGCTCCATGGATCGGACGACGTGTTTTTGGCCCCCGTGCCTCGGCGTGAGTACTCAGATGAGCACCTGTCAACCTTGCATCAAGTGCATGCGCTCCTGCTCTTCCTACAGGATGCGATGTACAATGTCGATCCACGTGAAGCGGAGCAGTGTGCCGATCAACTACAGCAGTATGCTTGGCATACGCTGTGCCTTGCACCACCAGACGAGGTGATTCAGAATGCGCTCGATAAGGCACGCACGCCTGTCTTCCAGATGCTACCGACGCCCACGTTCCTCACACTCGTGCTCGTCCTGCTGCGCGGTCAACATGAGGCGCCAGGCGTGCGTGGCCACATCCCGTCGAGTTTGAGCTCCGTGCAGTTGCAAAAAGCAGGCTTGGCTCTTCTGCAGTCACATGCGCCTCTAACGACAGAGGAGCGCACAGCTCAGGCAGAGACATTGGACGCCGTGCATCAAGCGCTGATGGCCATCTTTGAGTCGCATGCGTCGTCCCAGCTTAGTATGGATGCTCTCGGTGCACTGCACACAAGTATCATGCACTGTGTGCCGGCCGAGCATGCACATGTCGCAGCCCTCATGCCACAGCTCCTTGCCCATGAGGCTCAGCCTATCTTGCTGCGTGCGTTGTCAGACATGGTCGTTCGTGTGGGAGTACGTGCGCTCTCGCACCTATCGAGGCTTGTGCCGTACGCATGCCAAGCTGTAGAGTCGGCGAGCTCCCTGAGTCGTGCAGACGGTGCTCGCGATCGCGACGATGACTTGTGTAGTGCAGGTCTTTCGATGCTCACTGCTTTGTTCAAGACACTCGCCCAATTCATGCACGCTTACGTCGAGCGGGTGGTGCGTCTTCTGTGTCATCCCATTCTGCAACAGCACAAAGATAGCAGCGCGCAAACGCGTAATGCCAAGCGCAAGGTTCAGGACGCCGTCGTCAAACGCATGCCAGCGGCAACAGTGCTAGAGGCTTTGGCTTCTGCATGGCGAGACACTGACGTGTCACGTACGGCGATCTTGCACTTGCTGCAGCTGGCCGTGCGAAACATGGACAAGAGCGCGATTGCCACCCACTACAAGGCCGTTTATCGCTTCGTTCTGCAGGCCATGGACGAGCAACGCCACCACAAGACGGCGCCTGCCGAGCAAGCGCCAAGAAAGGGAGAAGCTGTCTTGCCGTCTGTGTTGCGTTCGGTGGAAGTGTTTGTGACACTTGCGTTGAAACTTAGTGAGACACAATTCCGTCCCCTGTTCTTGCGCACCTACGACTGGGCGCTTGTCGACTTACTCGACCAAGATGCCCCCGGTGTTCAAGCTCGTGCCCTCACGCTATACACGCTTGTCAACTCGCTCTTTGAGCATCTTCATGCCATGATGGCGCCGTTCTATGCGGTTCTTGTCGACAATGCGTTGGAGATCTTGCAGCAGACGCTATCACGAGACACGATAACGGCCACAGCGCTCTGGCACCAAGTCGCCCGCAGTGTGCGACTGTGCGCCGAGTCAGACGAGGGCTTGTTCTGGAATGCAGCGCGTGCAAAGCAGTTCGTACCGCCTCTCGTCGCAGCATTGCAACATGAAACCGATCAAGACACGGATGGAGATGTATTGGTCCCTGCGACACTCTTGGCCTTGGCGAAGGCTGTGCCAGAAGATGAATTCCTGCGTACACTCAACACAAGCTTGATGTCGGCCGCCAGCACGAACGACGTGACAAGCCGCGTGCGGGCCTTGTCTGTGTGTGCATCACTATGGGCTGGGCATGGGATGGCACTCCTGACTTTTGTGCCCGAAACTGTCGCAGCTTTGTCCGAGTTGCTGGATGATTCTGACCCACGCACGTCTGCCGCTGCTTTGCAATTGCGCGTGCACATTGAAGAGGCATTGGGCGAACCACTTGACTCGTACTTGGAATCGACAATTTAGGCCGGGTGCATCGAGATTTGACTAAAATGCTCGTAGTTTCGTGAGTATAGTGCTAGGCTATTGTATGTATTAGCAGCAACATTTTTTTTTCCTGGACTCGAAGCGTGGGACCACAAAGAGCCAAGATTTCCCAGTCCCTGCCGCACGGCTCAAGCCCTACTGTGTGGAGAAAGGGTTTTCTGGTGGAGTCCCATACGACAATACTCCGCATAAACTTCGCGTGGCGCGCTTGTTACACTAATTTTTGACGCATAGCACGATTAGGAACAGCAGACACAAACACTGCAACGCATGGTGCATCCAGTGTTGCCAACGTGCGGAATCCATGGCGCAATGCCATATGTACGCAAATATGCACCTACTTGTTTTCGCAGCATTCAACCACAGGATTTGGCTCATGCACGAATTGCCATGTACGTAAATGTGCCTGCCCTATGCACAAGATACCGAAAAAAACAAAAACAAATTAAATATAAATGACGTTGAGCTAACCGTGCAGAGATGCCACTCTCCTTACTCAAAGGCTGTTTTATCGGGCTAGCTCAGACCCCGCTCGACATATTTCTGGATGCTTTGAAGTACTCCAAGCTCTCCATCGGATCCCATGCACACCTATCATGGTGTTTGATCATCCCGAAGCGCGCCTTCCCCAAAAAGCGCGCGAGAATGCCAAACGCCGCACCGCTCATCATCTTGCAACACAGCGCCATGCGTGGGAGTTGGCCCGATTTGTTCGTCTACAACATCTGCTGGCATGTGTGGACACATATAATACACTTACGTTGCAGGAAAAGAGCATAACAAGTCAGTTGCTCCGGCAGCGGCTGCCAAGGCGTCCACTGCATAAAGATCTTGTTTTTTCACACAAACATTCGTCGCCAAGCAATAGTCAAATCGAGTCACTCGTACAGTATGCGATGGACCCCCAGACCCAGTTTCAAGATGATATCTATGAGCCATACTCTCCAGAACTCTTCACGTGCGTGGACGAATGTGAGGTCATCGATAAATATGCCGACGAAGACACGATGCATCCGATCAAGTGGCACAATGCACCTAGCCGGCTTGCTGATGCAATTCAAGCGATTCAACAGGATTATATGTCGATAACGCAATCGTTCTCAGATATGCGCGAGTCTACAAGCCAACGGCCCATATCCCTTGCCGAAGAGCATTTATATGTGATGCTGACGACAGGTATCTTGGGCGCTGATACAAATCTTGTCACGCACAACATCGATGAGTGGCATATGATGTGTAGTCAGTTGGAGCAAAGTGTCCGTCGCCTAGGCTCCGATGACACGCATGCTTTGAATTGGTTTCCGGCGCAAATGTGTGTGCGAGATATGGTGTCACAACTGTGCATGCTGAGTGACCGTCTTGTTGGTGTGTATCGCCGAGCATCGCGTCTCGTTCCCAAGCAGGCATACCTCGACTTGATGGATCTTTGCCGCCTCATGCACGTACCTGTGCTAGTAACAGGCGATGGATCTCTTGGTGGTGGTCCTATGCACGAAGCTGAGGCCATGGCCAGCTCCCTTGTGTTGCATGGCTATGCAGACATGGTTGCTAGCGAAGACAGCGATGTTCTGTTGTACCAGGTACCGCTACTACGAGGCCTCTCGAATATGACGTTAGAACTAGTCGATTCTCAGCAAGTGTGTCAGCAGCTATTTCCCTCTGCTACCTCGCCCTTTGCCTTATTTATGGAGTTTGCTCTGCTATGTGGTACAGATTTTAACCGGACCGTCCCGGGCATTGCCGCTGTGAGTGCACACCGATGGATTTCGTACGTATGCAACCGACCTAACCCTTCCCTACCCCCCTCTCCAATTTCATGTCTTTGTACTAACCATGCTAGTATACATGCCTCCGTTGAGGCGGTATTAAGGGCCCAGCACGAACGCTATGCTCCACCTGACCAGCTAGGCCTTGATACCTACCTCGCTGAACTGAGCGAAGCACGCGCCATATTCTTACATCCGCCATCTGTGGCACAAGCCGCAGACTTGGCTGGCTTGACTACAGCCACTGCCACAACCAGCAACAACAAGACCAACAATGCCCGCGTAACAGCAGAGCCAGCATGGGCCGCTTTTCTACGCAAGTGTGCACATGTGTCGAGCAATTCCGTACCGACATATGATCCCATTAAATTAGCGCGCTTTCTTCGTGCACACAAAGTCTGGTTCACAGAAAGCGTGCGCGAAGCGTGCGCGGTTCATGATACCGACGTGCCAGCAAGTGAGCGCGTGCCACAGAATTGGGCGACCATGACACCTGCATAACGTGCTTCTGCAAAATGGGGATCGCCTCCGCTTGCAGACCCAAGCACGTATCTATGTGCAAGTGAGTGAGTGCATCGCACGCCGGAGTAACATCACGATCAGGTGCGAAGCTCGAAGTTGCAGTTAATCTTGACACATCGATGCCTTGGTCACTACCGTCTTGTAAAGAAGCGTCAGGCATTGCATACCCTCTGGACAAGAGCGTCCGTGTCCGGACCATATGAATAAGTTCTCTGCCTTTTAAGGATGTATCGTTATGAATACGTAGCGTACGCAAATTTGGACAATGTACATCAGTTTCATAAACACCAGGTGTTAGCAAGGATACGAGAAGTGAAGGTGTGAGAGGTCGTTGCATGGCCGTTTCCATAGTATCGAGTACCGGCGGCAGCATGTCTGGGACATGTTCGTCCACAATGACATGGATCGCCCGTAAGTGCCTGCATAACTTGAGAAAGATATGCGCAAGCCTTGCATCAGCATCACTCGTCAAACGGATAGTCCACGTATCGAGCGTTGCCTTCATAGCCTGAATGAGCTTCAAAAGATCCTGTATATCGTGTCTTTGACGAGAGAGATGGCACTCGAAGGAAGTCAACGCGGGCCACTCCGTGCTAAGTGGTGCCATGCATGTAAGTGGTGCATGCAATACGTGCAGATGCGGAAACGATCGCACAGGCGACTGGACCTGTCCGAACACACCAGTCCACACAGCTGCGCCTTGAATTTCTACATGTTTTAGTGTGGTATGAGCCTGCCGGATCAAGGCCATGGTCGGCACAACACACTTGGCTTGCACATCTTGTAGGGCATGCATGGAATCGCCGGCATCATAGACAAAAGTCTCTAATCGTTCCAAGGCACGCAAAGTGGCTGGATCCGCTGTTAAAGGAGGTGTGTTGATAAGTTTCAGGTTCCGAAGACTTGTGCCTTGGTTAGCCCTCGTAGTCGTCATGGGTAACCGCAAAGGTCGACTGAGCCAAGGGATGAATCTGTTCTTTTCGAGAAACCGCCCGGATACAAAGAGTGTGTACTTTTGTATGTTCGAAAGCCCAATGATACCACATATAGCATGAAGAATGGTCGCATTCCACAGAAAGTGAGGACAATTCTAGGCCTTCAAGCATGCTCCGCACCTTATCATGGTTGGATATTGGTGGCGAAAGAGAAAGTGACTGCACACAAGACTTTCCCCGCTCAATATACGTAGACAAAGAACGAGCTTGACGTGCGATGGTATCTTTCAATACACTTGACGTTGCAGGTTGTGAACGAATGTGAATTGAGTGCCAAAGGGAAGCACATTGGACAATGTAAGCATACCAGTGCTTGCACACGCCCATACATGAGAGCATAGATGAAAATGGCAGATACGAAAATATGAGTACCATAAGCTCAGCGGGCATCTGCAACAGGGCCCTTGAACTAGTCGTATCGTCGGTCGGAGCTCCGCATGGCACAGGTTTGAGACGAGCCGCTGCTTCTAACACACGAGAGGCCTTTTCATACAAACCAACTTTTTCGAGCACTTTGGCCGAGCAAACGAAAACATTGTTATTATATGGCGCAAGTCGTAAACTTTCCCGAACATCCCTTAACGCTCGTTTCGTCTCTGCTGCGTTGACAGCATAGAGAAAAGCGCGCTGAATATGAAGTCGAGCGCGCTCAGTATTATCTTTTGATGCATAGATACGCTTTTTCATTAGTTGCACTGCACACATACCAATGACACACGCTGTAATTGACGTTGCCGTTGTTCTTCACGCGTCATGGAGCATCGTCAGTTAGCATGTCTGTGGAGGTGGTGAGTACTACGAAATCTCATGAAGCAATTGGAGGTGAAATTTTCGGACGTGCCATCACCGCCCGCACCCGGAGAGGAATCCTAACGGAACTAATTCACTAATTGGACATGGGATCAAAACCGACGCCGCGGCAAGTTGTCGTCATCCTGGCTGTGAAGCAAGATACTACGCAGTCAAAGGAGGACAGAATCCTAGTGTGTTTAGTCAAGTCACGAAAGCATGAAAATAAATGGGTGCTGCCGAAGGGCGGTGTCGAGAAGAATGAGACGGTAGAAGAGGCTGCAGTTCGAGAGCTTTGGGAAGAAGCAGGGATACGAACCAAGTCTTTACGTCCTTCATGGACAGAAGCACGCAATAGAGTGTCACATGCTGACCGAAGGCCGCATTCTAAATGCCCCAAAGAGCTGATTGGGACGGACAAAATGGTTCCTAAAACAATGTACGAACTGGAGGAACTTAGTGTGACAGATGATGAGATGATGGACGAATGGCCTGAAATGCATGAGCGAGAGCGCCAATTCTTCCGGTGGGAAGAAGCGAAAGAACTTGTAGCGTGGCGGGAAGGTATGCGTGAGCTCATGGACAAATCCAACATTGAACAAACGGGATTCATTGAGGTAGCAAGGGCGCATTAAAGAAAACTAGGAATATACAAGTGTATAGAAATCATTTATTGAAGCTTGAGGATAGAATCTGCAACGTGAGCTAGCCAACCAACATTGCCGACGTACCTGCACGATGACAGCGATGCAGAAAGCCAACTATCACATCGATTTCCTTGGGCGGAGGTCTTGCTTGGTAGTGTCCAGTGGCTAATGATGCAAGGTATGTATGTTCATCGTCGTGATTATAAAAATGCCACGGGTCGTCCTCCTTCCGCCGATCAGTATTAGATGTGGCAGATCGAGTGCGTCGCGCCGAGTCTTGCACATCATCAGTACCCTCCTGTTCTTTAAATTGCGTTTCCGATCTAGAATCCTGAGATTCTTTCCCTACATCAGGATCTTGAATCATACTTTGTGGTGGATATTGTGGATCTATCCCATGGTGTGTGAGGTACTTGATTGTGGCATCTAAAGGGAAGTCGGCAAAGTTGGCCGATAAATCTGGGAGCGCTTCATCTGAGACTTTTCCGAGTCAAATGATGCATTCTGGAAAATATACGTTACCCTTTTCGCGCTGACTTGAATCTTTATCTCCTTGGACTTGGCTCATCAGTCAGGGTGATCGTGTAGCTCCTGACACAGTCGAAACATCAAATCATGCAGTAGTTCGTGTTCCTACCATGCATTTCTCCACAATCACGTGCCGACCTTGTTGGACGGCTATGCAAAAACGCGCATGACAAGGCCAGAAATAAGCAACATGAGGTTGCGTGAAGGATGTTCGGATGTGTATGAATTTTCATGTTTTACGTGCAAGAATGCTGCTTACGAGTGTAGCAGGGCTGCAAACACTCCGTGCAGCCACACGCTTGAGACCACGAGCCGAGCGCCGGATGGCTAGCCAAAATTTCAAATTCCCTCGTTCGAAACCAAGTCCATCGACTGTTCTCCCGCCTTCTTCATGGACCGAACAAAGGTGGTCGAATCGTACAGTTATAACACTATCGACGATGGTCGGTGTCTTGGTGCGTAGGGCGCTGTCGCTAACGAACACAGGCGTATGCATTTGGATTTTTACAAGGCCACAACAAAGCGCGCCAAAATTCTAATTCTTCATCGCAAGATTCAGCTTAAAAAAGGGAAGAGAGAGCTCATAAAGCTACATGAGTCATAGGCCCTACAAAAGTAGTACACTCTAAACCTCCCAAAAAAAATTGTTCACAGGGTTGGCATCCCCTGTGTCAACGTGAGTAGCTGATCCCCCACGATTTTTTTCAAGTCTGAGTTTCAAATCATACAAATCAAGTACACATTAAATTTAAAGAGAGTCCTTAGCAACGGTGGCTGGGCTGTGACCCGCAGCCTTGGCGCGCTTGCGGAGCTTCTCAACGGACTTGTTGCCACGAATGCCACCACCCCAGTGACGACGTGCCACATCATACTTATCCAGGTAGTTGGCCTTCGCGGCGGACACAAGGTCTGCCAGCTCACGTTCGTCCTCAGAACGAACGTCCTGAATAACAGCAATGGCAGTGCGTTTGAGGTGAACAACAGCACCCAGGCGCGAGCTAGACTTGACAATCACGTATGGGATGCCCATCTTACGGCACAGAGCCGGGATGAACACAACCAACTCAATGGGGTCAACGTCGTCGGCAATCACGACAAGGTTAGCCTTCTTCGCCTCAATCAGGGCAACACAGTGGTTCAGACCATATTTGACAAAGAGAGGCTTCTTGCCATCAGCTTTCGGGTCAACCTTGTTGCCAGCCGCTACCTCCTTAGCGACGGCATCGAGACGCGCCTTCTTCTCCTGCTTCGATTCTGGACGGTACTTGTTCATGAGCTTGAACAAAGCCGTCGCAGTGTTCTTGTCAAGCGTGTTGGAGAATTGAGCGATCGCCGGTGGCACCTTCAGACGCTGCTGGAGAATGACACGCTGGCGCTGCAAACGGACGTACTCCGGCCACTTGACAAAGCGCGTCAGGTCACGCGGAGGCTGAATGTCCTGGCCTGAATTCTCGCGTTAGTCTCTGTGGACCGATGTGTAGCAAGCTAATGTAAACGTACCGATACCGAAGCTGCGAGGGCGCTTCTCAATCAGAGGGTTCGAGTTCGTTTTACTCGAGCTACCCTTTGTCGAGTAGGGCGAAGGAGCAGGCTTCTTACCAGACTTTGCTGCCTTGGGCTGTAGGATCATCGAGTCGAGTCAGCATCATGCCTTGCACACGCTGAGCTCGGAGCTCTAAATTGCAACCCCGCATAGTATCATGCATCCCTACCAAAGAAAAGAAGGACGATGGTTTCCGCGGGAGAAGCAATCAAATTATGTGCGTACCATTATGAAATGACTAGATGAAAGATCAAGTCAAGGATGTCGAGGATAAAGGAAAAGCAGAACTGGAGCGGTATTTCCATTTATCACAGAAAAAAAAAATTGAATCACGTGAATTCTTTGTAATTCCTCACATGACACCCACGTGGTACCGCCATTGCACGCTGCATGGGTCCCCGGGAAATGCACGGACCATGCCGCTTGTCATAGTCTAAATAGGCTCGCGGGGCAAACGTTTGACGGGACACCTCTTGATTTAGACACATGCGTGTTGCTGGCTTACTCACTGTAGCTACATTGGTAGCAAGCCCTTACGTGGCTGAAGCAAATCTCAAAGATGATTCAGTATCGTTGATGGAGAAATGCACAGGACTTGACTTCGGATCATGGAGTGAACAAGGTCTACGATCGTACCTGCTAGAACGTGGTGTCGTATCGCCTGGCTCGACGTTTGAAAAGCTTGTTCAACTTGCAAAGAAAGACTGCAGCTCGCTTGTTGATGAAGTCAATGCAGCTATCGATTCAGGTAAGGATGTGGCGTCGTCGCAATTTGACTCGGTTATGAGTATCGCAAGCTCTGTGCAATCAGAGCTCCCTTCGAAGACATCGGTCGTAAAGGCAAGTGCGCAACAGTTTGCTACAAATGCTGCAAGTGAGGCACCCAAGTCAGCCAAATCAGCTGTTACGATGGCGAGCAAGGCTGGACATGCTGCTTCTACAAGCATAGCAAACCAGTGGGATGATGTAGCGTCATTCATGGACGACACGAAGGATTATGTGTACAGTCATTGGAGTGAGGAAGAGCTGCGCTCCTGGTTGCGGTCGCACGGAATTGATCTGCCCAGTGGATCAACGAAGCAGACGATGCTGGAGAAAATTCGGGAGCCATTTGCGAAAGAGAACTTTGAGGCGCCGTACAAGCGTCTCTCGACCGACTACCTGCGGCGTTGGCTAATTCAGCACGGCTATCTGGCGACTGATTTAGAGAAAACACGAGATGAATACCTGGATCTTGCGAAGCAGTACTACTTCTACTTCCAAGACAATGTGTATGATACGTGGACTCAGGCGGATCTGCGCAGCTGGCTCGTGGATCACAAAATTATTCCCAGTGACTGGAGCGCTACGCGTGACGAGTACCTAAAGCTTGTGAAGGACAAGTACACAACAGTGCTTGACAGTATCTGGGCAGGTTGGAAGGAGAGCGATATGCGACAGTACTTGACCAGGCAGGGCGTGCTAGATTCCCACAAGCAGTATTCGTTTGATGATCTGAAGCGTCTCATGCAAGAACATGCACAAGCTGCTGCATCGTCGGCAATCAAGTATGTAAGCTGGTCCGATGCAAAGCTGCGAGGCTTCCTCAAGGACCATGGTGTCAGCTTGGAGTCGCTTCCAAAGGACCGTCACGAGCTCCTTCGTCTGATGCGGGCCTATTATTCGCCAAGCTGGAGTGCTGAATGGCACGACACTATTCTCAACTTCCTTACACGTGTGAAGTACGGCGTGCGAGATATGTTTGGACGCTCGGCTGAGCAGGTGTATCATCTGAATGCCGACAAGATTGGCGCATATGTATCTACGGCCAAAGCAAGTGCAAGCTCGTTGCTGTATAATCGCGATGAGCTTTGAATTTTTTCATGTAGCTAGAGACGATGCACGACATCACGCTCAATTATAGAATGCTGTGGTAGACAAAATGTAAGTGGATCCAAAAAAATAAGTCCGGTCGGGTCTAGCACGTACGAGGTGTTCATCACGGCTTACTCTCCAGTACTGCTCTAGCGCATCTGACTGTGACAACCTTGTAAGAAAATCTTCGTCATGCGTAATGACGATGAGTTGGAAATTCTGCTGGTGCTGCCGTTCACTTATGAGACTGACAATGCAAGAACGTTAGGAATGCCGACACGCGAGAAACTCTCCGGCATCTCCACTTGGGAGATGCCCTATCACACGTACTCAATGAGACTGGCAGCCAATCCTTCCACATTCTCCCGATCTAGGTTCGCTGTAGGCTCGTCCAGTGCCATGAATCCGCAGGAGCCGCCAAATGAGTCAGCAAGCGCCAAGCGAATCAGAATACATGCTAAGACTTTTTGTCCAGCACTGCATCGGCCACGCATGTCCAGCTCAACGGCATCCTTGACCATGCACACACGGTATTGGTACGAGCGCAATCCGTTGGCCGATACGCGACCCTCCGTGTCGGACCGGATACTTATAGAATCAATGTCGGTACCTTGATAAGTCTTCTTCCACAGGTAGTCGAGCGTTTGGTTCACTTCCTCCATCTTGATCGCATGGTATTGCAGAATCGCTTGTTGGAGTGCGCCGCAGTAAATATCGAGATCGTGGTTCGCCATCCCAGCTACTTTGATGTGAACTAGCTGTCGCATGTACCTGTTTGATATATCTTTATAGTCGTGGCGTAACTCGGCCTCGCGACGTTGAAGTTCTGCCTCGATACCCTGTATTTCACCGCGAATGTGCGCTGCACGCCCACTCAGTTCGTTCTCTTCGCGCCGCGCTGCATCGTACGCTGAGCTCGCTCGTTTATGCCTCATGTGCGCTGCTTCCAAGTCGAGTTTATTGAGTTCGGCCGTCACATGTTCAAGTTCTCGTAGCACCTGGCGATACCGCATGTTGTCTTGTAAGTTGGCTTCACGTGCTCGCACGTCGTGAATCGCCGTCTCAAGCGCGTAAGTATCCTGTGTGGCGCGCTCCGCCTCTTTTTGGGTATGTTGAAGAGCCTGTGCTGCACGATCCAGTTCAATGCTGCATGATACAAGTGTACCACCATCAGCCTCAGCTTCGTCCCATGCAGAGCTAACACGCTGCACCATGCCTGCGAGCTTTGCAAGCTGTTGCTCCAAATCAGATCGTTTTTCTTTATAACGCTCTTCTTGCTCACGGCGCTCGCGGCGCGTGTCTTCGAGGTGTTTTTGCGCTTCAGAAAGCGGCTGGGTGAGTTCGTTGATCGTGAAAGTCAATGTCTCGCGTTGTTTTTCAAGATCTTTTGCGTCCGCCATATATTCTTCGAGACGTTGATGGGCTGTCTGCGTTGCCGCTGCATGCTGTTGTTCAGTCATTAATTGCATTTCTAGGGCATGGACGTGTCGCTCGGCCTCGCGGACTCGGTTACGATGCTGATCGCATTGCTCACGTAGTTCATGGCAGTGAGCTTGCTGAGCATGTATTTCCTGAGAAAGAGCTTTGAGACTCTCGGGCGATGCATTACTGGTGGTTGCCGAAGCTGAGGTAGAAGCAATTGAATCGAGCTGGCGCTTCAGTAGCTGCACATCAAGTCGCAGATCGACGAGACGATACATGGGGACTTGGAGCGAGCGGAGTGTCTTGACACGAGCAACAGCCGATGCAGTGGCACCACTTGAGCGATCGCGCTCACCCTCGGCATCTTGATGACATTTTTTTGCATCTTCCAGTTGTGCCACGAGCCGTGACAGTTCTGGTTCCTGCTGCTCGCGAAGCTGCTTCTCGATAGCTCGCGCAGCGTATAAATTCGACAGCTGCCTGTTCCACGCATCGAGGTCTTGTTCAAGTACCGCGACTTTTTCTGGTTGCTTTCGCTGACGCGTTTCTTCGATATGTGCATCGACACTTTGCAATTGGGAGCTAGAGATATCGCGATTGCAAGCCAAGCACATGTGTCGGGCATGTGCATGGTGCTGGATCCTCTCGAAGAATGCCGATGCGTGCTCCAAAAGAAACAGGGATTCCTGCAGAACTTGGATCTCCTCTTGGACAGTAACCAGGCCTGCATCCACTGATGCAAAGTCACCCAAAAGTGTCTGTTTCGCGACACGAAGACTCGAGCAGAGCTTTTCTGAGCGAGAAAGTACATCTTGGTATACATCGACGGTGGTGGCCCATTGAACAACTTGCTCTGAAGCCTTTAGTAACTGTGCTTGGCTTTGATCCAGTACATGTTCAGCTTGTTCAAGCTCCTCTTCCAGGTTCTTTGGTACATGGCCAAGGCGCTCAACACACATCTGGCGCCAAAGATTTTCTCGTTCGCGTAGCACGGGTAACTTGGATGCCAGTTCCTCCTGTCGCGCAACATGTTTGGTATCTTGTTGTGAGTCGACGAAGGACGTCGCAATTGCATCTCTTTCGGCCTCAAGGGTCGCAAGATGCTCCATAGCTTCCTGTACATCGGGTAACGAAACAGACCCTAGTTCAGCAAGGCGCTCACGCGCCTTGTCTAATTCACAAACGCTGGTTGTTGAAGCTTGCCTTGCAAGCTGATTTTCACAAGACATTATACGTTCATGAAGCCGCTGTAAAGAGGCGCCAGTATGTTCTCTTTGTGACTTCAGATCGCGCAAACGTGTCTCTAGATGCTCATATTCAGTCAGTGCTTGTGACTCGAGCTCGTCAGCTGCTCGTTGATGCTGCTCAGCTTTGATTTCATGCTCTTGGAGCTTTTCACGGAGTGAAGCTTCACACATCGTGGAGCAAGCGTCGAACTGTGCCTTGGTTGGTGCCGATGAGATGTCGCTGCCGAACGTACGGAGCTCTTTTGCAGTTGCTTGGAGCACGCGCTGCCGGGTACGCTCAGCCGTTTCAAGTTCGGCATGACGGCGGACAAGACGTTCATGTTCTTCTGCAGCAGACGACCGCTTATCAACGTATACCTGCATGTTAGAACGCACGTGAGAAAGACGTGCGTGCTGAGTCTCGAGTTGGGTAGGAAGAGCGGTAAGTTCATCCTGCAGCTCGGAGTCTGGCATAGCAAGAAGGGTCATGCGACTAAGAAGCGATGCCTTATGTTCTTCGCACAAGGCAATTTTTTCTTCAAGCATCTCTGCTTGGTTGACCACCTCACGAAAGCGTGTGGCATCATCGTACAGCTGCTGGTTCTCGGTCGTTTTACGCTGGATTGCCGCATCTAAATCGTCGCGCTCATTTTTCTTGGCACTTAGCGAAGCCTCTAGTGTCCGAATGGTAGCTCTGATATTTTCTGCACGCTCCTTTTCATTTTGAAGCGCACGGAGTTCCGCCTCGTCGACACGAGCATCCTGTGCACGTTGTTTCCGGAGGGCACGGATCGAATCGAGAGCCTTTGTATACCGTGAAACCTCGAAAATCTCATCAAACCGCTTTTTGAGGATTGCAGGTTCAGAGAGAGGCCAATTAGACTCTTCCTGGTGGCAAAATAGCACATTTTCAAGGATAGCGTGCGACACGCCAAGCAGCGACGCCATTTCCTGATCGAGTTCCGCGCATCGTGTCGAGATAGAGGCACGCGCTTGCGGATCAGCAGCATCATCATCAATACCTAACACGCCCTCGAGGGTCTTCATTGTGAGGCCACCGCCTTTTTTCTTCGTCACTTGCAAGTTCCGCACGCAGCTCATTCGTGTACCACTTGTATTGCGGAATCTTAGGCGAACTTGCGCTTTCACGGTATCTGTGCCAGCCATCTATAAAGTTAGCTTGTATTTTGGACGTACGTAAGGATCATGAATGAATCCGCCACCCTTAGTATTTGGCGGCAGATCGCCAGCCACCGCGTACTTGAGGCATTCAACTATGGTGGTCTTCCCACTTCCATTATGGCCCACGATCACAGTGAGTGGCTTGAAAAACTGGATGATATTTACTTCATGTGAGTCGAAAGAACGCATGCCACGAATGGCGAGCTTGTCTAACTCAGCCATCGTGGCTCTAAACTACGTCGTGTCGATGATGATGACCGTGCGACACAAATACATACAATGCAGGCAGGGTGCGGCGCGGCGCGGCGTACTCATATCACATACATGTGGAGGTGTTTGATTTCATACACAAGTTCATCTACCACTCTTTGAGCATGGCGCATCTTGATGCTTGCCCACGATGCCGCCGCCACAGCATCGGTGGCGCAGAGCTCTTAGCGGCCTCTTGATTGTAACTCTCTTGACCCATGCATTCTTGACGCTCACAGGTAATGTTATTGTACAATCTTGGCGCCATGATCCATCATGCATGTGGACACGCATTTGCATGACGGTGTTTCTCTGTGGCATGTCGGCCTGGTGCTTTGTCACAGTGGTATCGCGTCCTTCATTTTATGTACATGATGCACTGGTAAACCCAATGTCTGTCACGGTAAAACGATCGAATGGTGGTCCAAGATGGTGCTCGAAATGCGCTGCGCCCAAGCCAGACCGATGCCATCACTGCCGTCAATGCCATCGTTGTATCACACGGATGGATCATCACTGTCCCTGGCTCATGGAAACATGCATCGGCCAACGGAACTACAAAGCATTTGTGTTGTTCCTCTTGTATACGACACTCTTATGTGTCCTTTCCGTGGAAACAATCGTGCGGGCATGTCTACGGAATTGGCCTCTAGTACCTGGGGCAGAATTTGAACTGCCCACTGCTTGGATCTTGTTGCTGGGCATCGGATTTCTTGTACGTATATCAGTTGATGCTGTGGTTTTCTTACGCAGTTTGCCTTGGTCTTGGGGCCTTTTCTGTTGTTCCACATCTATTTGATTGTGCAGAACAAGACGACCCTTGAGTTTATTGAGGGCTCTTCACACGTCAAGCAAAGAGGCACACGCGAATCAAGTGGAACACAAACTCAGCTTAGTCGTTTGCTTACATCCAACAAAAACGCTCGTCATAAGCCGCTTCGTCGCGCGTACAACATATACAACGTCGGCGTGCTTGCCAATATGAAGCAAGCGCTAGGCCCTCGCGTCGTGCTGTGGTGGCTTCCCATCGGGTCCAATTCACCCTATGAGCTCACATACCCATTGAATGAGCAGGAGTTTCGTGCTTTTCAAGACGACCTGGATAGACAGCCAAACTATAGTGCCACTGCAGAAGGAGGGCCGATTGAATGAATATCGGCTGTGCCGCGCGACGCATCAAGAATGCACCAGTTGACAATTGGCTCCTCACGCCGACCCAACGCATTCAGTACGCTCTGTGCAACGATACCACCAAGAATAGCACTTGTAGGGGCAAAGGCTGCGTCGCATTGTCCCTTCACGATAGGGAACGTAGCCCGTGCAAAAGAGGCAAAATAGGCCTGTGCATCCATGCGGCGAAATACCGATGCCGTCTTGACACCGTGTTCATCCATGATGAGTTGAGCGTGCTTTTCGAGCTCCCCTTGAAATGCAGCTTCGTCTTTCAGCTCGTTCGCACACTCTTGGTCCATCGTCGACCAAAGAGCCCATGTAGCTAGGAGGCCGGGACTGGGGTGAAATGACCAGCGCGACTCCAACGATGACCGTAAAGGAACAAAGTCCTGTCGGTATCGAACAGGCACCTTCTCCTTTGCGCCTGCAACAGGTCGTTCTTCGACGTATTCGAGTGCGAGGAGATCGCAGAATATAAACCCGCTCAGGCCATGAGTAGCTGCGGCAAAAAACATGGCTGAATGCTTGCGACAAGCATCATTCCATCGAATAAGTTCATCGCGATTGCCCTGAGTTACAAGTACAACATCAGGCTTGAGACGTTCGAATGCTTCCTCGGAAAGCACGCCCTCATGTGATACACCATCGACGTGTACGTGCGGATTTAGTTGCTTGATCCGTTGAAGTGGCGCGTCGCCAATACGCGGGGTTCCTACATCCTCAGAGCGAAAAAAGAACGAGGCAGATAGGTCCTCAGGTTGAATGGACCTCGCATCAACAATGGTAAGTTTACCAATGCCAGCAAGCACCACATTTTTGATGACTTCTGACGCAACACCTGTGAATGCGTCAATCACAATATGCGCACGCCGCATATTATTTTGGGCCTCTAGACCCCACAATCGGATCTGTCGATCATACAGAGCTGCTTCATCTTCCGGTTAGTGCACAAGGGCTTTTACACGCGCTCGTACCTTCGGTCACGCCTGGCGTGCTTGTAGAAGAGGCCATGATGGTGGCAGCTGAGTCTATGACTAAACATCACTAGGTATTGTTGTACTATACAAATTGTCTTCTACCAAGACACACCGGCCAACAAGCCAGTAATTAGAGTCGCCACAAGGACGAGAGCGACACTCGCATAAGCCCGAGTGCCTGCATTCTGAGGCTTCGATTGGTCCACAATCTGGTATGTCGGCGTATTTCCAGGAGCCGACACCATGTAGGAGGCACCGTATTGCTCGGGTTTCGAGCAGCTGCTGCCAATCTGAGCATCACACGCATTGGTGCAATCTGAACGCTGTCTGAAATTGGTCTCTCGCTTGTTGTTGCACATATCGATGCATTTTTGCAGGCGAATGAGGCAGTCGTGTACCTGCACAGGCCACTCGTATTGATTGAGACGCGACAAGCTCTTTTTGCACGTACACATCGTAGCCATTCCTTTTTGTAGATCACAAAAGTTGTGCTCAATCACGTCCGTGTGCGTTTTTGCAGCCAGCAGTCTGACAATATTGCACTTGGAGATCACATATCACTTTCTTATTATCCGAGCTCAAACTAGAGTTGGCCAAGTTGAAATAAAGTTTAGGAAGATGTTGAATTTCATCTTTGTTGCCACGGTACATATTACTCATGAGAGGTGGCAATTGACCCTCCCATTTCGAAACGTTACCGGCGGTGTCAGCGGTTACATTAGAGGAGAGCGTCAGATTGAGGCTGGATGAAGCAGTTGAAATTTTATTGGGTTTTTCCATGACATCAGTTCCATCGGAAGTCAAGTTCGGTTGAGCGACGGAAACTGCAGGATAAGAAATACCCGGTGGGGGGCCGCTGCCCCCATAGGAGGAAGAGGGAGAGGAGGAGGAGGCGGGGGAAGAAGCAGGAGCTGTTGATGCTGAGGGTGGTCGTACCGATGAATTTGCATTAGATAATTTAGTTTGAGTAGGAGCTAGAGAGGGTTGAACAGGCGCCGGCGCCGGCGCCGACGAGGTAGATGCTGGGGACTTCACTGTATTGCTACTCTGAACGTTGGAGTTAGACGTGGAATCGCTGAAATGAAACGAGAAAAGGCCATCTCGTGCCTCTATGTCTTCTGATCGGACGAAAAATGCAAAGACAAGTACTCCAAGGAGGACGCGCAGCATTATTGCACGCATCCTAGTCAGGAGCCTGTCTGTATGAGGATTTCGTTAAAGTCATTTCCACCATGTGTTGGGAAGCAAGCAAACCCCAGCCGTTTTCTTCGAGCACGTGACATGGAACGCTTGTTGCGGAGAGATCTCGACGTTTTTTTGATCTTGAGATGTCTCGTGCGCGTGTTCATACGTGATTTTTCATCTAGTAGGAGTGATCGTAGACTTACCATGCCGCCAACACGGCGGCGTGTTTGCACTGTCTGCGGAAGTCGGCGATTTCGGCTTATTGCGTCACAGTTGGTGTGCTATGGGGGGCATATTCAACGCGACTTTCGCGTCGAGGCTGCACAGGATGACGATGGTTTTGACTCTCAGATAACAACTCGCTCGCGCACTTACTACAGTCAGTCGCAGCGTGACACAAGGCGGGCTGAGAAGCAACAACGTGCCCGCGAAAAACGCCGCAAAGTACATGGTCGTTCCAACCAAGTATTCCCTGGTTCAACGGAGCATGCATCTTTGCCTGATCCAGAAGCTGCCCTGCTGCAGGGACCACGCGCCATGTTTGCTATGTTGGAGTGTTATCAGCTTGTGCTGCGGAAACAAGTGGAATCATTTCGAAAATACTTCCATGGTGTATGTCCAGATGCGTTCGAGGTATGTTGATATTCTATGTTCTCATCCTAAAGGCCGTTGTGCGAGATTTATGGGCCATGCATGTATCATGTCAAGCTGTGCCAGCCGCGCCGTTAGAAGCCGCGCAAATGGCTGCAGCTCGCCGTTTGAATCGAACCCGTGCACCTTCCCCACAACATACTCCGCGTACAGGTCGGCAAAGGTATCGAGATATAGAAGGGGCACCATGGCGTCTTGAGTCCATTACGCTGAAATCGACGGTGGCGATTCTCTTTTTGGCCTTTGTTATGTGTCGAGTGCCTATCACCATTGGTGATTTGCGGAGGTAAGTTCCCAAGTCGGCTAATGTGCAGGCATATCATATCTCGCACATTGCCTTACCTGAATGCGATTCGCTATTTGCCCACGACACTCACTGGTTCTCTTTCACTCAGCGACATTGAGTTCGGAGTCTTGGACACAAATGTACGCCCAATATGAGGAAACTGGCCCCTAACCTCAGCATATACCCAGTTTGATGGAATTGCATCGACGAGTAGTGGAAATAAGTACAGCACTTCAAATCCATTTCGATGTCGAATTTCCAGAGATGAATGCGACGCCAATATTGAGTCGATTCGTTCATGAACTTATGCTCCCATCGACCTTCTATGTTGGAGTCAAGTCTCTTTTGACCATGCTGCGGATAGACATGCATGTCCGCAGCGTAGCTGCGATGCCGCCAAATTCGGCAGCCCGTGCTCGAGTGCGTCAACAAAATGAGGATGGACAAGGACGAGAGATGCTGACTTCTCCTTATGCATATTCGCGGAATACTGTGATACCTCGATGTGTCATGCTCATGTCTGTTTTGATTCTGTTGATCAAGCTTCGTTACGGACTTGATGGCATACGTCGGTATGAGGCGCGCCGAAAAGACCATCCTCTCTCGCTGCATTCAGGTGCGCCAGAGCAAGAGGCATGGCTTGATGCTATTTGCGAACTCCATGGCCTTCCTGTTGAGAAGCAGCAGCAAGATAATGTCACCAGGCCCGCATTTAAGCCTTGGGATACTGGTTTGTACGTTGACTTTGTATCGGTCTTGACTAATATTTAGTGACTTGCTCTCGCTTGAGGATGACGATGTGGCTACGTATTTGTCGTTTCTCGAAGACTTTTACGCACCAAAAAATGTACCTGCAAGCTTGCCGCTCAGACGGCGTGATGATGTGGATGACTTGATGCCGTGGCCTGCGGAGAGCGAGGAACGCCGCGAGCCGGTAGACTGGATGGCACATGAGCAGCGCGCACAAGCCTTGCATGAAGAGCGGCGCGAACGAATCCAAGAGATGCTGTATGCATGTGTTCAGACGGACGAAACCAGCAGCAGTGACAAGTTTAATAGCAACGCGCTCGCGCCAGGCGAGGCATACGCAATCCATTCGCATGATCCGGGTGGTGCCCTGTCTCGTGATATGCAGCGTGTTCTGGAGGTGGCGACGAGAATAGTGGGTCTCGACACACAAGCGCCACCTCAGCACCAAACAGGAAACTTGGCATCAATAAGACCGCGTGATCAAAATGTTCTGCTGGACTGCGTAATGCAATTAGAAGAGGCTCTGATTTCTACACTACGTAGACGACATGCATGATGACATATGTATATATGGAAAGAGGCAATTACGAAGAGTTTGAGTCAGGAGGATTCTTGTTCTCAGCCCGCGACTTCTTCGTTGAGGTTGGCTTCGCCGCTGGTGGTTTCGTCTCGTTCTCACTCGACGTTGACGCATTCAGTTCACGCTTGCGTTTTGCTCCGCCTGCGACAGCCAATGTACTACCACCTCGTCCGCGCACAGCAGTCCCTCTAGAAGCTGCAGCGCCTCGGATTGAGGTAACGCCGACATCCGCTGTGCGGATCGGCACAGGTTTAGGCGCGCCGCCGCCACGGCCACCACGCGCAGATGTGGCACCACCTCGGACGACGGCCGGACGGTTGCCTATGACTTCTTTCTTCTCGGTAGAAGTTTGGTCTTTCGGAGCAGTCTTTGAGGTGTCTTTGTCGGCTTCTGTTGATGTGTTTTTGGCGGAGTCCTTCTTCGTATCTTTCGAAGCGTTACTCGAAGAATCTGTACCCATCTGTTTCAGAGCAGGCTTGGACGTTTCCTGCTTGGGTGGATCATTGGAGGCAGTCGACTCCTTCGGTATAGATGGATCGAGGCCAAGTTGAGACTTGAGCTGATTGATCTCATTCGAGAGATTCGTAATCTTTTTATCGCGCTGACTGATCATGATCTGGTTGCGTAAAGCCGCTTCACGCTTGCCGTCCTCATAGCGGGATTGGAGAAGCGGCTGGTAATGGGCTTGTAGCTCGGCCTCCTTCGCTGAGATAGCCGCTTCTGGACCAGCACGTAGCGTCTTGAGCTCTTCCTCTTTCGCAGCCAACGCCTTCGCACCCTCGTCCTTGATACGAGCCACTTCTTTCTCGAGTTCAGAAACCTGGGCCTGAGCTTTGGACAAGAGATCTTCAAGTTCGGCAATACGTGCCTGCAAAGATGACGTCGTTGCCGGCTCGCCTGTATCTGATTCTTGTTTTTGCGGTGTATTTGATGATTCAGATTGCGCAGAGGCCAACTGCTCCGACAGGGTCTTGAGTTGCGCTTCAGCAGCTCGCTTCTCCTTCAGGAACGTCCGAGCAAAGTGCTTGTGTTTCTCGCATTCCTCCACTTTTGCCTGCAGTTGCTGCTCCAGCGAAGGTGTGCCGACCGATGATGGGGCTGTGGAGGACTCACCCTGCCTCGTGGGCGCAGGTTGGGAAGCTGACTCCTGCTCGGGCTTCCCGGGCGTGTTGGCGTTGTCCTTGGTTTCTTGAGCAGGAGTTTCGGATGTTGAAGTGGCAGGCGCGGGACCGGATGCAGCCTGTTCTTCCTGCTTTGGAGCTTCTTGGTTGGACGTCGAGTCAGGATGGGCATCTGCACGAGCGACCGGTTGAGGAGTCTCAACGCTAGCGGCAGTGCCAGTCGTGTTGGGTTCAGAGCTAGATGTGGGGTTGGTCGGCACCGTGGCAGGCGCGTCGTCCTTCTGCTGATCTGACTCGGTTTTGATTGGTGCCGACGAAAGTTCATCCAGCTTGGCCTGCAACGCCTTCTTCTCGTCGTCGGCCACTTGTGCCTGAGAGGCCATATCTTTTTCGAGCTGCTTGGCACGCTCCACCGCCTCTGCGACAGCGCGTCGCTCTTGCGTAATGCGCGCGCGCACCTGTTCACGAAGTTGTTCAAAGCGCTTGTTCGCGGCCTGCAGCTCAGTGGACAGTCTCTCCGTCTCGGATGCCAACTCGTTCTTAGCGGCCTGGACCTGCTGCTGGGCCTCCGCACGTTCCTTCTCGACCTTTTTAAGTTCCTCCTCCACGCCACTGGATTGCAGTAAGCCAGAGGCGCGAGTCTTCCAACGAGTTACGTCATCTTGCACAACACGTAGTCGGCTCTGCGAGGTCTCGAGTTCGACCTGCGCCCGCTGCAGCTGCTCGCGGAATGGCTGGACTTCTGTCTGCGCCTGCTTGAGTTGTGCTTCGAGTGTCTGATTGCGGGCTTCGACGGCGAGCTTTGCCTCACCGAGTGTCGTAACGTGTTCGCGCAATGCACTGAGCTGATTGATCTTGTCCAGCAGCTCGGTGTATTGTGCGCTGGGACTTTGCGACGACTCACGCTGCTGTGCAAGATCAGCTCGACATGACTCGAGCGCTTGTTTCGTCGTCTCGAGCATCTGCTCGACACGAGCACGTTCCTGCACGGCCATGTCTCGTTCGAGTTCGCGGACTTCTTTCTCGCGGCGCAAATAGCGGATCACTTGTAGTTCGCCCTTGCTGGGAACAGCAGAAGCGGCGGGGACTTCACCATGAGGTGTGTCAGTGGTTGTATTAGCCTCGTCAGCGGCGTCTGCCTCTTGCATGGCATCTTCGACTTTGCCATTCCATGCATGTGAACCGAGCAAGGCAACCTGTCTGCTAACAGCCTCGAGATGTTCATGGAGCTGGTCATTCTGTTGCTGCACCTCGTCTCGCTCCGTGCGCAGGGTCTCGACACTCTTCTCAAGTGCCAGGACTTTCTCCTGTGCATCAAGCACGGCACGATTGTGCTCTGCAGACAAAATGTCTTTGGCCTTCCGCAGTTTCTCGGCTTCATCACGGACGCGCTGTAGCTCTTCCCGTGCATTCTCGGCCTCTTGCCTGGCGGCAGCGTGTGCCTGTGCTGCTTCGTCCGCACGCAGCGATGCCTCCTTTGCCTGCGCAGAGAACCTGCGTACTTCATCCCAAGCCGACACTTGCTCCGTAGCTGCATTCGTCTCTGCATCATGCAGTCCGGCCATAGCATCCTCCAGCTCGCGTTTCTCGGTTGTATGCGCCGCGGCTTGCTCATGCAGCTGCCTCTCGAGCTCCTCAGAACGTGAAGCAGCGTCCTTCAGCTTGCCCTCCACATCATCAAGCCGGGCCTGCCACTCTGCCGACAGCTTGTCCTTCTCGGCCATAGCAGCTTGCTTCGCAGCCTGTGCATTTGTTAGTTCCTGTTTCAGCTGCTCAAGCTCCGCCGCTGTGCGCGCCTGCGCGCTCTGTGCCTCGGCCAATGCTGCCTTAGCAGCGAGGGTATCAGCTTCAGCAGCCGCGCGTCCACGGCGCACGTCACTCAGCTCCATCTCTAGTTGCCGCTCTGGCGGCAGCTGTGAATCAGAGGCGCAACCCAGCGCTTTGGCCACAGCTGCGCGGCGGCTCTCTTCCGCAGCCGCATGCTGCTTTTCAAGCAGCGACGCCATCTGTCGCGCATGCTCAAGTTGCTGGCTCACGTCTGCGGCACGGCGTTCCTGGTGCTGAGCATCTGACTGAGCCGTTGCCAAGGCCTCGCGAGCAGCTGCATGCTGCTGTGCGAGGGTCTCTAGACGTTCACGCAATTCGCGCGTCTCGATATCGCGGCGCAATGACGCATGTGTCGCCTCAGCTCGCGCCTCGGCGAGTCGCGTCTCATGCGTTGTTGCAGCGACTTGCAGTGTGGCAAGCTCTCGCTGCAGACGCTCAACATGGGCCGCATGCTCAGACGAGTGAGTGACGCCAGCACTGTACGCGCTCCGAGCTGCAGCCTCAGCCTCAGCACGTGCTTCGCCCAGTCGCGTGTTCTCCTGAAGCAGCCCATCCCGTTGCTCAAGTACGAGACGCAGCTCAGCATCACGAGCCGCTAGACGCGTGTGGTAGTCATGCTCAGTGGCACGGCTTGCTGCGAGCGCTTGCTCCATATCGCGCAAAGCGGCATCGCGGCGATCCAACACGGCCTGAACACGCTCGGTGTGTGCCATGGCGTCTGCAAGGCGTGACTCGTGGAACTTGACCGCTTCTTGCAGCATGTGAATACGTTCTTCGGCAGCGGCACGCGCGGCAGCTTCGCGACTCAGGTCTGCCAGCACAGTCGGCGGCACCGGCGGCACCGGTGACGGCGCCGGCCCAGGCTCAGGCGCATGCAACGACCCATTGTCGTGGGCATCCAAACCACGTGCCGTACAGACATTCTTGTAGAGATCGCGTTCTCGCTCGACAGTAGCCAACGCTTGACGCTCAGATCGCAGCTCTTCAGACACACGCTCAAGCATATCAGCTGCGTCTCGCAGTTCGGCGTCGCGTGGATCGCGCGCCTCGAGACGCTGCCCAAGCTCACGAACGGCCTGTAGGAGTCGTTGGTTCTGTGCACACAGCTCAGAAAGCGAGCGGAATGTAACGAGCTCTTCTGTAATAACGTCCTGGATATCACTGGATGCGCGCTGAGACGGGTCACCGCCTGCTCCAGCGATGCCGTCTTCGCTCAGTCGCTCAGCAGCTGATGGATCCTTCAGGAGAATTGTTTCCCGCAGTAATGTACGGACCTGGGACGTGGCGTCTTCCAGCTGCTGCGCTTCCAGCACATGCTCACGGCGCACACGCTCCAGCTCAGCGCTCAGATCCTGTGCCGAGCCCTCAGCTTGCATCCTAGCATCTCGGGCATCCTGCAGCTCACTGAGTGCCGAGTCAAGATCTGCACGTAGCTGCATTGCCTCAGCACGCTGTGCCTTGAGCTGCGGTGCATGAGCATCGAGATCCGCCATGACTTCGGCTAGCACGCCCTCCAGGCGGCCCCGCTCCTCAGACTCGCGGCGTAGCTCCTCCTGCACACGCAGCAAGTCCACATACACGTCACTGAACTTCTTTCCGTCTTGCTGCACCTGCGCAGCAAAGGATGCGGCACGTGACGGAGTGGCAGTCATGGTGCCGGACAGGGCATCATCGACGCCGAGTGCGCCAGCGAGGTGATCCAAGGCGTCTTGAACAGCCGTTTTTTCTTGCTCTAGTGAGTCTAGTTTGGCGAGTGCTTCGTCCGCCTCGAGGCGCACTGCCCGCTCACGCGCCGCACATTCAGACATAATCGCATCGCAGCTGGCCTCGAGCTCCTTCGCTCGGTGTTCGGCGCGACGAACACGCGCCTCGGCGAGGTCAATGGCTTGCTCAGCTGCTGATTGCGACATTTTTGCATCGTTTTCCTGTGTCGCAAGACGCCCACGTAACTCAGCCATGGCATGGACTGCGTCCGTATATCGCGACTGTGTTTCACGGAGGATTTGCTCAGCCTGCGAAAGTTGTGCAGCTGACGATGCTCGCGCCTTCTCTGCAACATCGCGAGATGACTCAGCTTGCACGGCGCGGTTGACGAGCTCTGCTCGAGACTTGGCCGCGCTCTCGCGTTCTCGTGAAAGTTCATTACGTGACCACTCTGCGTTATTTTGTGCAAGCGCTAACTCCTGTTCCAAAGCGCGTGTGCGGAGCTGCTTGTCAGTACATGGGAAACCCACGAACCTTGATAGCATGTTCACCCGCATTGGCTCGTTCCAACGCAAGTGCTGTTGATGCGAGCTCGGCGCGTACCGACTGATGCCGGGCGGCGAGTGCATCAAGCTCATCTGGACATATATTAGATCACAGCGCGCAGTTGGTCCACATACCCTGTTTGCTCGCGCAGTTTTCGCGCTCGCGCTGCCAACTTTCAAGAAGCTTGCGCTTCTCGTTCTCAAGCGATGCAACGCACGCCTCGAGATTGGCCATTCGAGAGCCTCTCTCTCACTCGTGCACTCCCACAAGCAACCTGGCCTGACAATGACGACCGACCCACCGACATCTTCGGATGACGCATGGAGATCACGTGTGCACGTGATGCCGACATGGCCTGGGTGGCCCCAGCGCCCCGCACACAAACCGAGTTGCCCTCCTGCCGGTGGCAGAAGGCGGAGAAGCAATTCTTAGTGGCCGATTGAGTATATATAGGGACACATGCTCCACGTCATGGCGAGCTTGTCCCTAGCTTTCCTTCCAAGTCATGCCCGGTAAAGTGTATGAGCCTCTCGCGAACCACGCGTTGTCGGTGTACCCGAACTTGAATGCGCCTGGATTTGATTCGAGTAAGGTGTTTGCCCTAACGGCTCTGTACATTGCCAATCCGCCTCCAGGCTTCCCTTCCAAAGGATACTTGGAGAAAAACTTGGCGTCCGTTTACGTGTTCGTAATCCATCCCACTCAACGGAAGGGCAGGGAGTCACCCAAAAACCCAGAGATTTTCTATATCAATATCACGCGTCATAAAGTTGAGGTCGGAAGAGGCAAGCCACCGTCCGTCAGCTCTTCGTTCTTCTCGCGCAAGCAACACAAAGTCACAGTGCTTGAATGTGGCGATCGCGAGTTTCTCGATATAGCTACGGGGAAAGCGAGGATTCAACCACTTATTGATGAAAAAAAGATTCGTTTCAAAGGTAAATTAGACTACTTTGAGAAGATCCTCCAGATTCTCCATCATGAGCGTTCGAAGCTGTACAAGGCCGTGGTCACTGAGCCTCAAAAGCACGCGAATGAGAGTTCAGAGCTCGAAGATTCAGACGACTCCCTCACTTTCAGCCATGTCCCTGCTCTTCGCGCACGTCTTTAGAATCCCCGATTTGGTTTCGAGCACTTAGTTTTCAAGTACATGCATAGATCAATCACTACTCTTATTTGCACGGCGCTGCTTCAAGATGCCTTGAGGCTGATCTGCTTCCTTGACTTCCTTACCGAAATCAAATTTTTCGCCAGTCATTGCTGCTGGTTTGTTTGTGCTCAATTTAGATGTAGTCTCCTTGTCACCGGATGACTTCTCAGTCGTCATGGGTGGTTCAGCCACAAGGTATGCATCCTTTACAAAAAGCTCGCGGGCGTATTCACCGACAAGAGCCAGGACACGTCCACAGACAGTTGTCCTGAATGTAAGTTCTTTTTTTTCGTATGACGTACCAAACTGTACTGCTAACAGCACCGGCTGGCGCATTGGGAAAGCTGAATAAGTATCCCATGGGACCAAACCAGTCTCCGGGTGGTAAATAAAACATTGGCACTCTTTTGTAATACCAGTTCAAAACAAATGGAATAGCACTGTTAAGCACGAACATAAACGATTTGAACATGATAGAATAAACAAACTGCGAAGATGCAAGTGACTTGTCTGCTGGTGAGTAATACGAGTCTACGCACTTTGCTCGTCGACTTGGGAAGATAGCTTATCCACCCTGCGACGAAGCTTTGCCCACTTTGAAAACTCGTCTTGCGCACTAGTCATGTTCATTAGTTGCCTTGTTTCGAAAAGTTCCTTTTTCATTGACGACAACTTGGATGATGCCGAAAAGCGCACAATTCGAACGTAGAAAACACGGAACTCATCGTTAGTTATATACATGGTTTTAGGCGTACAATTTCCTGTAAAGTATCACGACCGAACCATGTGATGGCATGGTTCAACAGAGAAACCAGGAAGATTATGAGAGCTGGGTGCATGGTGGTCGTGTCGACTGTTCGACGATCGGCAACAAAAATAAGACACATTTCCTCCACTCGACATTCTTTCAGTACTACAATCACTTCAACATTCTATTCGGTTTGGAGCCCCGACCGACGAGTCAGGGTTGTGCAGGACGACTGAAGGATGAAATCCAGCACGCATAGCAAAATCTGGGTTGCGTGAGAGCGTTCCATAACTATCATTATGGTATTCATCCACAATCGGATACGACAAAACATTCATGTTGGGAGTGATACACACAATGGTATTTGATGGTATCTCCATCCAGTCCGCTAATTCGATCAGTAAGAGCATTGATACTTACCTTGTTCAAAGGTCAGAGGCTCACTTGCAATTACTACAATATTTTGTTGTCTGCCAGCTTTGACCATTCGGTATTCACCCTTTGAGTGTTCGTAAAATGAAGCGCCTGTGGAAAAATACTGTTTGTCAACACAATGCAACATACCAGACTTGCAGCCTCGTCTGTTTTGCTCGATACATAACGTGTGCACACTACACTCTTGCCATCAGTGATGCAAAAGTTCAAGAGACTTGGCTAACAGGTTAAAATGTAACTTGCTCACCTCTTTGATACCAGCCTCTCTGGACCAGAGATTTATATCTTGGATAGTACGCAACATAGCCTCTTTCAGCTCTTGATGTGAGAATACTTCCAAGCTCTCAGGGTCCTTCAAATGGCTTAAATACAATGCAAAGGCATACTCAGAATCCGTCTGCCCTTGAGGCAGCAAGAATAAAGGATCAGGCAAGGCCTCCAATAATCTGCGCTTGATTTTAGGAAATTGTGAAATTTGACCATTATGCATCCTAACGTGTAAGCTGTCTGGTCTAATTGACACGCACCACATAAGACGTCCGTATCTCCACGGATGACAATTGGTTTCACTCAAAGCTCCCGCAGTCGATGCTCTCACATGCCCGCTACTTTGTCAGATGCAATACTCAGACATACAATACGAGAGGACTTTTGATCTTTTCGGACAATCGTTGAAGGTTGATATTATTCCACGCCTGCAAACTGTCAAAAAAAAATCATTTAATATAACTCACCGGTGTGACGCTGGTGAAGATGCAAGGTGCCTGACCTAGCTCTGGATCTTCAGTAGAATCATACCATCCAACCCCAAAACCGTCACCCTTAAGACAAAGTATGTTAGGAAGCAAGCTCTTAAAAGTTTCGTAGGACGCACGTTAATCGGTTGTGCCAAGTCAATTCTCAACCGCGAGTCAAAGGCCTTAAATTATAAGCATAACAAATACTCGCGAAACATATCCAGACATACTTGATTTATAATGCTGTGGGCTGGACGAGTGAAAAGATGTGAGAGGAGAATTGGCTCAGATCCCTTAAAAACTTTGATGCATCAGCAAGATGACACTCGTGCCATCACACACCTAATAGTCTGCACATGGAGGGAGTAGATGTAGTGAGGGATGTGAAAAACAAACTAGAAAACACTATTTATTTAATACAATAAATCAAAACAATTTATTTAATAACCTGACGTGTATTGAATTGCAATAGTAAGCCGAACAATAAATATTACATTTTATATAAATATTTATTCAATATTAATAGATAAATATTATAAATAATACATTTTGCTAGTATACATTAAATATAATACTATAAAATATATGTATTTTGAATTGACTTTTTTGATGTACAAAGGGTTGAATAATTCAATCCTTAACCAAAATTGAACAAATAAATATCGCAAATAAATAATTTATATTCAATTTAATTATTTTATAAAGATGTTGATTTTTGATTAAAGGTTTTTGAGTTCAATGATATAGTCAATTGATTCACGTGTTAGTTCAAGCTACCTGAACTATTTGTGACCGGTAGAGGTTTTCGTTTGGTTGTGGCCAAGACGTTACTGATTCGACCCGCGTTTCGCACAAACCAGTCACCGTATTTACGGCTGATACGCGACTCAGTGATGTTCACCATATCCTTTAGAATAATTAGTATTTGATATGAAACATGAATACGTACCGTGTCAATAACGAATCCAAGGTCGCTAGTGTTGATCACTTCTCCTTCGAGAAGACCACCCGTTGTCCATTTCAAGCTTCGAGTACTGTTCTTTAGAACCATCATCATTTCAACAACTTCTTCCTCATCCACATCAAGGAAGCCTGCCAACTTGTCTGTACCCAAGGACGTGTACACGCGGAGGAATGAACGAATGTGCACATTTGAGAGCTGAGTTTTGACGTCTTGAAGGAAGATCCTAAGCTGATGTTGCATCGAGTCTAACGGTGGTGATTGTGTGTAGTCCTTCAACGCTTCCGGATCATGATACGGTGGACCGTTGCAAGTGATGAACTTAGGACAAGCATATAGGAATAGTTCCTGGTAGGCATTCAAAGCATCTTCGCCGCCCTTGGTCATCTTGGAAAATTGGTCCCCGTATTTGTCTCGCATTGTCGTCTGGACATGTTCATCCAAGCGAGTTGGGCAAAGTGCGCACGATATGGCGAGCAATGCGTACATACGATCGACCATCTTGTTGATTGAGTCGTACTGGTAGCTGCGCGTATGATATTGTCGCAGACGCGTGATAAACACCAGAATGTGGGTGAAAGCGCGAATCGCATCTGGGTACCGACGCATCATCATATACGAGAAACCAACGTAATAATACGCAGTGATGTGGCATGCTGTCACACGGTTGAGGAAGCCACTCTTCTTGTTAATATTGATGTGGTCAAGCGTCTTAAGAGCGAGAGTATAATCACCCATTAGCACGTGAACACGCAACAGGCCTATGATGCTGAAGTAACCGAGCATCTTGTAAAGAGGTCGTACTCCAAATTCACCGGCAACCTCATCTGGATCTTGACCCATGTTGCTCGCCTTCAACTGTTCCATTATGTTTGACTTTTGGATCAGGGAATAAAGAACATTTAGGACAGAGTAACTGTTCCAAACGCTGTTATCCTGAAGAATCTGGATGTCATGCTCTTGTTTATGAGACACTTTGTTGCGCCAGTGAGAATAAGCCTGGTACTGATAAATAAATTCATCGATGATGTCCCATAGCCATTGGACAGGAAGCTCCAAGGAGACAGGACCGTCCGAGTTAAGAACATAGTTGAAAAACTCACAATAGTTGTCATACAAATGAACGCGGTCTTCGCTTTCGGGAATCAAACGAGCATACATATGCCTACCCCAAAGTTCACGGTACAAGAGAAGGAACGTTGGGTCCTCACCAACAAGTGGCGCAATTGTCTCTGCATCTGGCCACTCAGAGCGCTGGTAGAACCGATCGCTCAAACGGTTCCAATGCGTCTCATAAGCACTGTGAATATCTGCTAGAGAGTTTTTCGCAATGGCCATTTGAAAGTGCGTCAAGTACTTGCGAACCTGTTCAGGCACAGTTGAAAGGGAAGCGGCATGTTGTTGCGGCTGCTGGTTAAGCGCCACACCCTGCGCGGTCTCGTGCATTGAGTCAGAGATAGCATATTCATCCTGTTGAGTAGCTGAGTACGGTGTGTACCGTTCGACACCTAAATCGACATCGTCGCCTAGTTCATCGTCGATGAACTCCTCTTCCTCACCGGCAAACACAGGACGCTGAACCTGTGCTGATGTGGGGCGCTCATCGTACGACGACGGCTTTGAATCTTGCTGCATTACGGGAACAGACATCGTGTCAGTTGTGACTTGGGAGAGGAGCGCGCCTGATCCACAACAAAATTCAGGTCCCTTGTCACACGTATCACGTGGCTAACGAAATATGCCGCAGCCATTCCACCTTCACGTCCCATGATCGTAGAGATGAAGCGACTCTTTGTCGAACCAATGTTCTGCGAATGAAGTATTTACAGCCTAGCTAGAAGGTATATTATGATGACTTCCACGCAAATGGAAATCAACATGACGAATACAACAATATGACCTGCAGTCTGAAAATGAGGAAGAAATGTATATGTTTCTGGATTAAGATGAGACGCAGTTGCATCACTCGTTCCCATGTTTCTTGATGCTTTGCGTCGTTCTTCAATCATAGTAAATACCTTTTCCTTATACCTCATCGTCATTCGGTGCCGAAGGACTGCAGTGATGATTAGACCTACGGCCAGTACGCAGTTCATCAGACCAATCCAAAAAAATTCCGGCTGGAAAATCTTGATCACAGTCAACGAGAATGTGAGCTGTGACAATGCCGTGCGCATGTAGGCACCGTCAAAAGTGCGTTGTGCGGCTCTACATGTAAGAGTAATAACAAGGATCATACCTTAGGTCCAGTGCTTCATTAGAACTCAGCAGTTTATGTGGTTCTGGGCGTCGTTCTCGCGGAACTCGCCGAAGCATAGTCGAAAGTCCATGCGGTATCTGATGCACGCGAGCATATCCTGTTGCAGTTATTTCGGCGGATTCAGCCATTGTTATCAGGAGGCACGGCCAGGGGCACGAGCCACGTACGTATAACGAGAGCGTTCGTGTTCTTCACGTGACATGCGAATTCACCGTCGCGTCGTACATGAACACTTTGGATTCACCCCTCGATGATGGCGCGTGTGAAGCCAGTGACATTGCTCTGGCTGGCTGTTTTCCTCCTCACATTAGTGAAACATGTACATCCGCTTTACTTCTACTTCGAGGCTGGCTCCTCCAAGTGCTTTTTCGAACAGCTTCCGGCGGACACGATTGTCGTGGGTCACTACTATTTAGAGGAGTGGGACGACAAACAAGGCCACTTTGATATCCCAACTGATGTTTCGCTTGGTATTCTGGTGAAGCATCTGGATTCAGAACATACACTTGTAAATTCGCGTGGGACACCTGATGGCCGCTTTGCATTCAATTCGCATGAGGCCGGTAACCACGAAATATGTTTCCAGACAGAATTCCAAGGAGCACCTACGCATGCGGGCCGCTTGCCGAACCTGCGGATGCACCTCGACATTATAATTGGTGACACACATCGGTCAAACACAGAAGCAGACAAAGAACATACACAAGACTTGCTTTCTCGCGCACGAGCCCTAAATGCAAAGATGCGAGACTTGCGCAAGGAGCAACAGTATCAACGTGAACGTGAGATGGAATTTCGGAACACAAGTGAGTCTGTGAACTCGCTTGTTGTTTGGTGCATTGTATTCCAAATAATCGTGGTGATTATCTGCTGCATATGGCAATTGTTCAATCTTCGGGTACGTATAACGCGCTTCTCACCTCCAGACCTTTTTCGAAGACAAAAAGTTCCGGTAGGATCCATTGTGAGAAGTTTGCCATATTGTTACTTTTTACAAAGTGCCTGCGCTACTACTCATTTTCGTACAAAGTCGTTACTGTAGTGAGGGGGACAAATTCAGATGCTTGCACGTAGCGCCGCACCCAAGGCATCCGAGACATACACGAACAAAGCCACGTCCACGATGTCTCCAGCAATTGCTCCAACTCACCAGTACCCACTGCAAAGTCTGTGTCACCACGAGTGTCGTTTGCACTCGACATGTTGGGTCCCTCTGCTTCCACACGCTCATTCATTGCAATGTGTCGCAGCAAGTCTTTGACAGTTACGATGCCAATAAGTTGGCCGTTCTGACAAACCAGAATGACCCGTGGGCCCAATCGTTTGAACATGTCGGCCACGACTTCTAGGTCTAACTGTGGCTGCACAATAAGTGGTGCAGGATCAACCCAGTCGCCGAGTTGGAGCGGACCGACCTCAATCTCCATCTCTTCCTCTGAGAGATGGACCGCAGGGGCAAGATTCGTGCCAACAGCCGGGTCTGACTGGATTTGAGCCGTGGTAAGCGCATAAGCCTCAGTGCTTTTGGGCTGAAATAGACAGGTGGTGTCAGAATGTAAAGTACCTTGTGCGTATGCCTTTGAAATGGCATATTGCAAATGATGTCGTTCAATATAGCCAAGAAGGTTATAGTTCGACTCACTTTGAACAACTGGAAAGCCACGGTATGTTGACTTGGCCAAGTATGCTTCCACGTCATGCAAAGGCATGCCGGTAGCGTACAATACATCCGGGACTGACTTGACAAACTCGCCCACTGGCATGTCACGGACATGATCGTCCAAGTTCAAGAATGGGTAGCCATTGAATTTGATGGATTGGTCAGAAATGCCTCCCTTGCTGAACATATCGGCCACAAGCTTGGACGTGCTAACAACAAGCATAATTGGCAAGATGTATGTGAGTGCGCCTGTCAACTCGAACATGATTACAACGACGGCAACAGTGATGCGTGTGACACCGGCAAGCCCAGCAGCGGCTCCCAACATGGCGTATGTGCCGGGAATGATGCATGGCTCATCAGCTGGACAAGAAGCAAAGAGAAACAACGAAGGGAATGTTGACTGTAGAGCTTTGATTAAAATGCCCACCGAGCGACCAAACGTAGCTCCGACGGCCATCGATGGGATAAAGATACCTGCAGGTACTTTGCATCCATATGAGAGTATAACCAAGAAGAATCGTAGACCTGTCGCCAGACACAACGACGTGAACATGCTCCATTGCATACGTGATTGGCACAAGGCATCGTCGTCACTTGCGCCATCGCACTGCTGGAACAGTTCCTCGAGCGTCTTGGTCATGTCGAGCTGCATGAACCGGTTGAAGTAGCTGATCATCGCAGTAATGAGGGCAAGCACTACTGCTTCTTGCACGCCATACTGCGAAAGGAACTTGCGCCGGAAACGCTGCACTTGCAGATTGAAGCGCACGACATACTCACCGTACAGACCACCGAACACACCGATCAGTAGGAAGAACACAATTTCAAAGTAGTACCAATTGTGGTTGTACTCCACCTGGAAAAGTACAAGTTTCCCTGTGCGATACGGGTTCATGAACTAGATAGGGTTAGCACGTGTGTGCCGTCCTGAGGCAGACAGCCCAGGTAACGCACCGACAGAGCCACTGTACTGGCCAATGCACATAGAAAGGTTCGCCACATCGTATGGGGTGGAAAGTGGGACGTCATTTCCTGAGTTGTGAGTTCTGCCAATGGCAATTCTGTGACGCACCTCGAGAGCAAACAAGACACCGCCAACTGGCGAGCCGAAAGCGACAGCCACTCCAGCGGCACTCGACGCCGTCAGTAGTTCCCGCAGCTTCGAGTGACTCGGCACAAGCCAGCGCAAAACTTTTGCAGCCGTGTGTCCGATGCAACACGCGACATGCACGGCAGGGCCCTCCTTGCCTACGCTGAGGCCAGAAGCAATAGCAAGTGGAAGGCCCAAGCTCTTGATCAACAACGTTTTGGCGCTGAGGAATCCACGGATGGAGAAACCTGCGAGCACACACTTGATTTCACTAATACCACTGCCTGCAGCATAGGGCGCATAATGTCGGACAAGGATCGCACAAGCACCAGCCAGGAGTGCGGAGGTTGTGATGTAAGCCAGCCACGCAGGAAGCGTCCACTCTGCCCAGTCGACCCATTCTGGGCAGGTATGAGCCGACTTTGCTGAGGAAGGCAATGTTATGTCCGCACGCAAACCTAGTACTTCATTGTGCATGGGTGACGGCGACGTGCTTGATGAATTCGCGAGACCAGCAGCAGCAGCGGCAGCCACAGCAGCTACACCTTTGGGCAGGTTGGCACCCGGGCCAGCCGGGTCCATCTGTTCCCAACAGCAAAAACTTTTGTTGAGCCACCAGCCAGCAGAGCAATAGCCTCGTTTCAGATCCGATGCCCACTCTGTCACGACGGTGATCAGTGCCATATTGATGCCAATGAGTGCTCCGACCAACACGACCACACCACTCTCGGCTGTGGAGAACAGCGGCGCACGCATCGATCCTAGAAGAGAGCCAAACCAACCAGATAGTGTGTATAGAGACATGGTAATACTCTGACTGAAAGGAAGGCGTTCCGCGAATGTTGTGAGCCCATGCCATGCAAGTGTGCCATGTTCCTGCATTTGCTCAGCAAAGCGCCGCATGTGCGCCTCGTTCTTTTCAATTTTGACTCGTTCACGTCGACCATCGACGACCCAGTCGACCGTCATGAACTGTAGGTGAGAAGGTGGGGCAACATACGCGTGAGTAGTTGGATTCATCGACTTCGGGAGCCGACGGCGGCGACGCGTCGTGCGTCGTCATTGCTGTAGGGAGCGAATGCGGAAGCAAGTAATATGTGGAGGAAATGGCTAGGATCATGCAAAAATATCTTCTAATGTGTGTCGCGGCGTGGCGTGCGGTATGATGTACTGGATGACGAGTCTCGGCTTGGTTCGTATCTATGCATACTTACAAACATAAAAGCAAGATATCTACTCACTAGGAGTACGTAAAAGCGTCGCGGACTGCGCGAGGAGCTGGCGCAGTCGTATGCTCGGCTCGTCATCTCGTATGCGCTTCGACACATGCGTCGGCGGTGGAGTCAATGGACGTTTGAGCGAAGTATGTGCGTCAGCTGATTCCAGCTGGCGGGGGTATGTCGAGGTCGGAAGACGTGACGCCACGTACGTTAGAGCATCGGAAGACATCTGCTGAAAGCGTGCTACGTCATCGGCACGAGCCTTGGGCGTGTGTGCTGATGCATCCCATGTCCACGTGAGGGCCACACTCATGAGCGCCTGCATGTATCGGGCAACATGAAAGACACCGCTTGTGGTATGTTCCATGACACGTGCACGTAGTAATGCAAGTGCACCGGTGTCGATCCACACAAGCATATCGAGCTGGCGTATCGCAAGCATCAGTAGGGTATCGGAGACACTGGTGCCCATGTGTCTCGGCGGATATGGCAGATAACTCGATTCGCCTTGGATAGCATCAGCTTGGATACTGCAAAGAAGAGCATTTGCGAGCGAGGTGAGTGCGCAGAAGGCATCGTATGCGAGCTCACACGACGTTGATGTGTGACGCAGCAATTCTTCCATAGCCTCACACGTTTCCAACCATGCATCCCAGAACGGCTGAATGGCCGTCCGCAGGACCGGTTCTTGCTCCATGGTCGTGACAAGCGAGGGAATGGCCGTCTCGAGTGCCTGGACCAATAGGGTATCAGGACTTATCTGTGGCTGATCCAGCACAAGCACCTGCATCGATGTCCAAGACGCTGATTTGCATGTACGGCGAATCGCCTGTGCCTCGACCTGACTCCAAGCTATCACTATTAGTGCTGCGCCAGGCTCAGTGGCAGACGGCACCTGATCAAACCCGTTGGCCATCACCAGTTGAGGTGAGTGCACATGCACAAGGTGTCCATCGAGAATTCGCACGACGGTGCGACCGTTCTGTAGAACGTATTCGTTCTGTGCATGGTGATCCAGCGCCAATTTGTGCCGCAGCCATCTTGAGCTGGCACTTTCCGAATGCGCATAGATGGCAGCAGTCCATGAGGCGGGGCATTCATGCGATTCGTCACAGAGCCATTCCACTCGTTCGACGATCGCACTCGACATGCTCCCACACTCCCAGAGTCGCGAACTCCTGTCCAGCGCCTTTGAAAACGCAGCCTGGCGCTCCGTATCAGAGAGCCGCTGTGCATACGTGCTTGAGGTCATAGAGCCTTCGATGGCGCTAGGTTCTCGCACTCGCTGTGGCAGCTGTGAGCGGAGGTACATGAGTCGTTGTGCATGCGATTTTCGCTCTATGACCTTCGCATAGATCGCTCGCCAATGAATCCATGCCGTGTGCAGCATCGTACGCTCTCGATGCACACGAGCAACTGCATCCATCGATGCAGCACGGAGCTGCGAGGCCACAGGCTGCGCCTGTAGACGCTGCCAGAGCCGTGTGCTCACTGTATCCAGCAGCGACGCACGCATCAGCTGTCTTCGCCGGGTGCATTCAGCCGTCAGCGCCGAGTGCGCTACTTCTTGCACGGCAGTGCGCATGGCCTTGTCGCATGCGCTTTTGGTTAGACGTTCGATAAGCTGCGCTTGCGGCAGCACTGCTCGTCGTGGCTTGGGCGGCGCTGGCTGCGGCTGTGGTGATAGAGACGTCGACTTCTGAGGCTCATGAGGAATTGAGGCTGATGCGTGTCGTTGCTCAGGGGGAGCGCCACCGGATGTGGGTATAGAAGGTACGCGAATGTCGCTATCTGGACGCGTGCTGCTGGACAACACTGCTGACGACGACATGGCTTGTTCCGGTGTCGGTGTAGCCGGCGGGGCACTCATGGTAGGCATGCTCGGTGATGTGAAGGTAAAGGAGGGAGCTGGCGTGCTTGTGGGTGGAAAGACACGTCGTTGGGGTGTGGTCAGCGAGGGGACGGACGTCGTCGAGAAGAGCGGTTTGGGCCCGTCGGATATACTCGGTGACGCGCCAGCTGCCACTGTGGCTCCTTTTGGTGTAGGCATCGAAAACATCGACAAGCTCGTTGGTGTGCCTGCTCCAAGCGTAGCAGCTGCTTTTGGTGGTGGGGCAGCTGACGTTGATGCAAATGAGTGTAGGCTGTTAAGGTTGGCGGAAGGCAGCTGGACCGGCGGCGGCGGTGGCGGCTGCGGCGGTTGCGACAGAGCCTGCTTTCCATCAATGATAGCCTGGCACGTAGCCATACCACGCTTTGTTTCGACTAGCGTATGGCTGAAGGGCGACGCGAACGACTTGTCCTCATCCAAGACAAGCGCCCGATTCACCTTTGCCACAGCCTCAGCTTCATAGACTTCCACATTCAACATGCGCAATAGTCTCGTTGTGTCTGCGTCACGGTCCATGCCAAGGATCCGGGTCAAAAACTTGATAGGCAGGCCATGGTGCTGGGGCAAGTAGGCACGAGCCAGTGCCTTGATGGCTCCGATGCGAATACCTGTAAAGAGGTTTTCTGCCAAGCATGCCATCAGGTAGCTGACTTGTGGGAGAGCTACGGAGCGGAAAGCACGTGTAAAGAAATTCGGCGTCGCTTCCGTATTGCCAGGCGTGCCACGCTTCTCCAGCAGGTTCGAGCGCTGAATGCAGGAGCGAAATTCAAGCGCCCACTGCAGTGGTTCGGCAAGAAATACAGGTGTGGGGAGCAATTCCACTTCACGCAAAGCTTCAGGATCGCGTGCATGCAGAAGCAGATTGTATGCACGAAACTCTGGCTCGTTCTCATACGTTTGTCCCACGGCACGCTGATCATCATAGTACTCCATCAGGCTGCGAAGAGTCTTGCGCAGTTGCTCGAGCTCTTGCTGCTCACTCCAAGCCTCAGCTCCTTCGCCACCTTTCCAGTGGAGACATAGTATGTGGTATCGAGCAATTCGCTCGTGACACGCAATAGCAATGGAGCCACGGTCGCCCTGCACAATAAAGTCCTGACGGATCGCACGGGTCGTGTTCCACATAAATGGCTGGACCGCTGCAAAGTGTGTATCGCGTGGATCTGAAGGCAGCAGCTCGTTGATCAAGTAGTCCAGCGTGCGTTGCAATACGGCTGGCGGTCGCACATCCTCTGGCAGCGGTAATTCACGTCCAGCGGCTGGACGCCTGTAGATCTTGACGGCCAAGCGCGGGTCCGCTGATGTTGTCCCTGGAGCCATTTCAAATCGATCTAGTTCCTTTTGCACTTCGCGCTCGAGACGCTCATACTCCGGGCACATGTCCATACATGTGCCGACCAACTTGGTGGCATTCTGCAAATGGTCTGGCCGTGCTGGGTCAGGCAGCACGCCTTCCGCCATATACATTTCGCGCTTTTGTGCGTGCAATGTCTTGAGTTTAGCCAACCTGAACGCTGCTGCATCTTCTCGCGGACGGAACCGCTCAATCCGTTCCTCATCTTTCGCACCGTCCATACGGACGACTTCCTACGAGAATGATGTTAGATCTTGTGTGTGGAGAGAGCCGAGTCTGTTCTCTCTGTGAACAAATGGACGCGCTGAACGGCAACCCAGGCAAGAAATTCCCCTATTCTGCTGCCATTGTGCCTAGGCGCACGCGTACATTTCCAGTCGTTTTTGCCCCTATACCCCTCTTCCTCCACTTCACCTGGTTTGAATGTTTTTTTTTTTTTTTTGGGCGACCCTCGCATGTCGATGTGGAGTTGACGACTCCAACGTGTTACTCGAGACCGTGTCGTACTCTCATCAAGCAGCCGTGAGGAATTGCGCCGACACATCTCTCATTGTTCTCTCTGCAAAGCGCGGCTGGTTTATCAACTGCATCGAAAGCCATGGCCCCTGATATATGGGGTGATCTACTTCGCGGTGCCCGTGCACGACATGCGTTCGTTTCCAAAACCATAGTCGTCCTGGGTGAGCCGAGCAGTGGCAAATCAATACTGGTGCGGCAGCTCGTTGGATCAGACCAAGCCCGAGCATCCGGTCCGAAGGAGACATCCGGACCCTTGGGCTTCGGATTCATTGAGCTTTCCGAGAACGATAAAACTGACGAGTCTTTGCGCACCAGCGTTTATACCGTGCACTCGTTTGGCTCGTCGATCGCTGCAACTCTGCCGTATGCATTTCCTCCTGTGCAGACCGCGCCCGATGCCTCGGCGATGGGTGCATTGCATCGCATGCGTGAAACCATTTTCCTTATCATACTTGACTGGTCAAAACCATGGACATTCGCAGCTCAACTCGTTGCGTGGTTCCGCTTGCTCCGCGAACTTATCCAACAAGCCTATGTCGCAGGGCAGGAGCATTCGGCGGACACAGAGCGTGCAACGATGCGTGAAAACCTCGAGACACACCTATTTTCCAATGCTGACGACGTCCGACCACCTGGTATGCTGACCGACAATCTGGGCGTGCATATTGCACTGGTGTGCACGAAAGCCGATTGCCTTGATTCGGCCATCAAAGAACGGCGTCTGTCTGATTCACAGATCGATTCGCTTCAGCAGTTTCTTCGTACGGTCGCTATGTGTTATGGTGCAGCTATTTTCTCAACAACCATCACTAGGGCATCTTCGTACGATGCTCTACGTGCGCATGTTCGACACACGTTGTATCCAGACACAAGCGAGGCCAATGGCACTAGCACCGTCGAAGCAAGCACAGCCGACACACGTCACCTGCTCGTCCCCGCAGGCTGGGACTCGTGGAGCAAGATCGAGGCAATTGACGAATCCTTTTCTTGTCGCACGTGGCACGACGCTTGGATTCATGATATAACGTCTTCATCTCCCCTCGATGCCACCCCACGCATAGCAAGTATGTGTGCAGAGCTTGTGCCGCCCCCACCAATGGATGATGCGAATCATCAGTCGTCTGTGGAAGTGCCCTCTGAGCAGACATTTCTTGCGCAGCTCCAGGCGCATCAGCCTCCTGACGATTCTAACATAACAGCATCCGCTCATGGCGCGTGGAAAACTGCTCAAACTACACCGGCACGCAATGCCATTGGGCCATCCATGCATGCATCAACGCTGGATGTGCCGTCTATTGGCCGTGTCTGGAAGAGCAAACACGAGAAGTGCCTTTGCCATCATCGCCTGCACCGTCGTCGCGATCGGACGATGTGCGCACGCCCAGCATAACTACGCCAAAGCAGACTGAAGTTTTACACAGTTTTTTCCAGAGTCGTACGTGTCTTTCTCATTACGATATATATGTATATGTATATGTGCTTGCGTCATGCTAACAAGTCCAGTATTGAAGAAGCCATCGAGTCCCGCGTCCACACCAGGTACTCCTTCTGCTCGGATGCACCGTGCGCGACGACGCAAAGACGATGGGAGTTTGTAGAATACATGTATCGTATCATGATATGGAGGCTGGTTGATTCTCCTTGTCGTCATGTGTGTATGCTGCTGTCATCGCGCGAGTCTGTCGCCCCATCGGCTCGAACAGACCATGCACTGCACAGGGATCTTCAAAGACGGTAAATTCAGGTTTTGTCGTGCGCTTCGGTGCCACAGTAGAAGCACCATGCATCACTTTGCGCGTGCTCTTAGGGTATGCCGTTCTTCGGCGTGCTGGTGCATGACGCGGCAGGTTCAGTTGCGAAAGCCGCAAGCAAACTTTATCCATGTCATCCAGCACAGATCTTTCGGCAATTTCCTCTGCATCTAGCTCAGCCAGCGGGATGCGCCGCGTACGTCGCCGAGGTGCTGGTGGCTTGTCCATACAGGTTTCAGCTACGCGTCTTGCTGCCTCGCCGACTCGCCGCTGCCTCCAGACGCGTCGCGCTGCACGTGACCTTCAACGCTGCTCTGACTCAGGTACACGCGCGCATGGGCCGTCCGATGAGCATGTGTCGGTTGCATGGTGACTCGCACCCTGCAAGACTCGGAATATACCGTCTTTTCCCCTATCTCCATCGCAAAAACCCTGAACCATGCTTACATCCCCTTTGTACATGTCGGACCGAATTTTTTTTTTTTTTTTTTGACTCAGCTTGTGAGTCAAGTGCCGCCATAAAAGAGAGAGAGAGAGAAGAAATTCTTGGTGTTCGCAGTCGTTTGTGGCAGGAAATGTGATCCGTCACATTGAAATGCACATGAAGTCTTTACCTACATGCTACATAGATACATCATACGGTCGAATTGGAATAGCGATAAAACAGGGGTATCTCATGAAGGTCAACATTCAAGCAAATGCTCGGGGGCAGTACTTCCGGCATTCGTCCAGGCGCTCGGCGGCTCGCGGAAAAAGCGCGAGCCATTCGTCGCGTCTGGAACGATGCTTTTCAAGTGCCTCGGACAGAGTGCGCATGGTGTTCAACGATGCAAACCAGAGTTCACGGCCATGCAATAGGTTCGTATCTTGCAAAATACCGTCTGGCTGTGCATCCACCGAGTCCTGGCACTGTTGGAGATAAGTCGGAGTGAATCGATGCTTGCGTCGATTCGGCGGGCTCACAGGAACTGCAGTGCGTGCATCATTTTGTAATGTCAGACGTGCTTGGTATAATGGGTTCGCAGCATACTCTGTCACGGTTTGCTTGGCGCCCAGATGTGTGATGAAATCGGCCGGCGCAGGATCATCCACATGCTTCAAGGATGGCGGCGACTCATACAACACATGCTGCACGATACTCAAAGCATCGGGCACGCGATCAGCTCGTGCGAGCGCACGACACAGATGGTTGTAGTTTTGTGCATCAAACGCAAAGCCGTCGCGCTTCGCCTGTGTCCATATTTCAGCCACACGGTCATGCAGTCCGGCACGTGATGCGGTATCAATGGTTAGGGAGAGAGGGATACATAGCAAATTGCGTTGGAAGGGTCCAATGCACGGTGAAGCGTCCGCGCTTGGTGTCGTCAATGACATGGCTGCCCCTATCGAGCCCACGAGCGTGTCGGCCGCCGACACGTCTGCCTGTGCACGCAACGTCATCATGGCATACAACTCGTCCCACAGCCGCAGAACGCCCTCCACATCTCCGGCCGATCGGTGTGCATTCATCATGACGGTGAGCGCCTGTGGCGAGAGTGGCTCACTGCCATGCAGTAGCCGTCGGAACAGGTATTGAGCTTCCCATATGTCCCCGCGCTTGCCATGCGCATCGATAAGCGGGACAAGCAGATTTTCTAGCATGGGCCCCTGCTCAAGTGCTGGCACAGTCCATGTGCGTGGCTCCTGTGACAACGATGCTTGGTCAATTAAACGCAGTGCGAGGTCCTGGGCAATCTGTAGACTTGACTCGGTGCCATTGGCATAGCTGTGCAGCAAGACGGCATACGTGATGTACGATGGTTCCATGCCGCGGCGCTCGACTTGCTCAAGCAGCTCCCGTGCACGAATCGTATCGTTCGCCTTGAGGTAGGCATGGATAAGTATCGTGTGCAGCTGCAATGATGCTCCGCCCTGCAAGCTGCGATCAGCGAGTTCAAAGAGCTGCTCCGCCAGGCGCAAGCGCCGTGCATCACATGCACTCTGCACAACGAGAGCATATGTCCGTGCATCGGGCATCAAGCGCTGCCGACGCATATCCAACAAGAACTGCACGACATGTTTCACCGGTGTGCCCTTATGGACGTGCGCTTTCAGCAAGGTGTTGTATGCACTTGTGTCTGGAAGCAGCGACGGATCATGCTGCGTCTGAAGCCATTGAAATATGCCCTGCGCTGCCACATAATGTCCCACACGGATATACGCATCCATCAACGCCGTGTACACACGCAAAGCCGGTCGAGTGCCGCGCTCAAACTGCCGCGCTACCAGCGCTGCTGCACGTTCCGGCAAGTGCGCGCGACCCAGTGCCTGGACAAGGTAGGTGAGTGTCGTGGGTGTGCACACGATTCCGATGCCTTCCAGCTGCGCAGCGATATCCAATGCCTCGTTGGTGTGGCCCATACGAGCGACCATACGCGCCATTTCGCCGTACAGCCGCTCCGACGCATACTCCTGCGTTGCGTCCAGGAATACTTGCCGAGCTCCCGCCATGTCATTGCTCCGCACGTGTGCACGGAGCAGCCAGAACGCATCTTCCTCAGTCTGCAACACAGGGCCTATCCTATGGTGCACCGCAGCAACATCGCCGCGACTGGCCGCACAGACTAGGCGTGCACGCGCACAAAGACTGCCGCTACTGTCCGGGCATCGGATCAGCGCACGTTCCATTCCGTCGACATCACCCAGCTCCGCATAGTACATAGCCAGGACGCTGAACGTAGTGGCGGATCGGGAATATTGCTCAAGCCACTGAATCAGCGGCTGCGCAAGATCGCGATCACGCAGGGGGGCTATGGTGCGAAGGACGCGACGTACAGCCCCTTCATGCGGCATGATCTCGGAGGCCATCACCTCGTTCATAAGCTGCGCACTCATATGCGGCGAGCCTCGATTGGCATACGACAGCACCAGCACACTGGCAAAATGCGCCCGCTCGTCGCTGGGGCGCTGCATTGCAAGGACCCTTTGCAGGTGCGCGTGTGGATCGACCAGCGACGATAGAAGCGTGTAAATGGAATGAACCACTTTTGGAAAGGGAGGCTGCGCCATGGCCAAGATGAGCGGATGCTCCCAGAACCACGCCGCCGCACGGTCAGCCGTCATTCCCGAATAGACACTTTGAGCTTTCTCGTGCATGCAGTTCTCCACCCATGTCGATAGCACAGCCGTCGCAGCTCGGTACACGGCATCCAGTGTTGCATTCTCTCCCCGTTGGCGCGTGTGCATGCCTTGGAGTGACTGGGCTTGCAGGTGCCGAAGCAGCGCCTCATGCTGCGAAAGTAAGGCGGCGAATCGGGAGAGGGCAGCATCAAGATTCCCCTGGAGTGCTAGTAGCTCGATAGCCACAGCCTCTGACGAACATTGGGGCCAGAGTCGCTCGCCCACAAAGCGCCGGAGTTGGGAGCGTGCATCGCGTGTCTTTTCCGTATATACGCAAGATGCAACGAGATCCATGATGCGATGGATCGTCCCCAAACCCAATGGCTGGGTAGGCGGAGGATCGAGCACGGCATGCGCAGCCCGAGACACATGCTCCAAGTAGGATGCTCGCGAAGATCGCCGTAATGGAAACGTGTCAATCGGCGACACAGGCGCCGATGTGTGACGGAACGCACGCCCGTCGGGCAACTTTGCGCGCTGATCTCCCCTTCTGTGATCTACGGGCGCATACACGGTCGGCAAGGTTCGGATACTTCGCCATCGTCTATAGCAAGCGCCACCAGTAGCACGCCCACCGCTTTTCATGCCCTGTTCACACAGCCACCGCGGGTGAAACTCAACCGTGTAGCTCCACAGCCACTGTAGCGCATGGTGTGTGAAGAGTGCAGACGTGAAAAAGCCCACTGTGGGGCTCGTCATTCGTCAACGCTCCTCTCTCTCTTTCTCGCTCGAGATCAACTCGCGTTCGTCACTGATCAACAAGAAATTCCGCCGCCCTTCAGCTTGCCTGCTAGCTAGCTAGCTAGCTTGCCCAGTCCTTCGTGTGGCAAACGCGAAAAAAATGCGATTGCTGACTAATCAACAGACCAGCGTGGTCGGCACCAGAGTATGAAGGAGGGTTGGGTTGGGTTGGATAGGATTGGGTTAGGCGCGAGCTATTGTAGTAGCATTGCCGCTCATCGTGTGCGGGGGAGCGCCTGAACAGCAAGACGAGGGCTCGAACTGTGTGCTCTTGTTTGCCAGTGTGAACAACTTGGAGCTAATCAGAAAAAAAAAAACAATATTTCCCTGTATAGTTCAGGTGTGCGATGTCGAACAAACGCATACGCGTATGTATACTGTCTTTGGCATGCTATCCTCACACGACGCCAGGGACTGTCGATTTCGCGGCCTATCCTCATCGGGTCCACATCAACGCCATTGACGCCAGAAGAAAAACTTAGCGCCCCACCAGATCATACGCACAAATGGACAGTGGCCGTGCGGAGCGCAGCAAGTGCGCCACTTGCGTCCATTTCGACTAACGGATCTGCATCGCGTGAGAGTGAGTCTGGTGGTATGATTGGCACTCGACTGCACGAAAGCGAGCTGGATTTGCATCGTGCGATCGGTGGAAAAGATGACCTATCCTACTTTATCAAGCGAGTGCAATTCAGACTCCATGATACCTATGCACAACCGACACGAAGTACGTCTGTTCATTGCGTTTGACACTGACACACCATAGACGTTGATCGCTCGCCATTCAGTGTGACAGAAACCGGTTGGGGTGAGTTTGAAGTGCAAATCAAAATTTTCTTTGTCCCGGAAGCTGGCGAAAAGCCCCTAACCATCCTACATCACCTCAAGCTGCATCCGTGGTCAAGCTCCGTTGCCACGGTCGGTGCGCAATCCAATGCACCCGTGTCAGATGCATCTGCGCATGCATCGCAAGCGGCATCGTCATTGCCACCATCGTCTCAGTCTGAGCCACACACTCGAAACGACACTCAGCAGCATGCTCAACAAGATGTCTCTTTGCCGGCAGCCATATCGCCGCCACCTGTTGTGCACTCATGGCAGTATGAGGAGATTGTGTTCCCCGAACCACTTGAAGCATTCTATGATATCCTCATTGCCCATCCCCCCACGCCGTGGCCTGCTACATCGGCTGACGCACTTCTTAATACAGACTCTTTATCTTCATCGTCGCATAATGTACACACACCTACGGGCCAACTTATCGATGCTCTGAGTCTTGAAGCACAAAGAGCCGAAGCCGATCGTATTGATCTAGCGCGTATCGATGCCGTTCAGCAACTCGATGCTGATCGAGCCAAGCTCATCCATACAGAAAAGCTTCTTCGTGACACACTTGCCCGCCTCTCTAAGCTGGAGCCAGCTTCATCACTGCCAACACCTTCGTCATAGGCAAGGCTGATTTATGAAATGAGATACCCGTCCCGCCAAACACTCCTTTTTTCATTACTTCATATTTTGTCCCCTCCTTATAGTCATATATCTCATTTATCATTTGTAGCCACCTTGACATGGAAAGATAGGGAACTTGGCTGCGCTTTGCTGTTCGATGCCGATTCTGGCTGTTCATGCGATAGTGACTGGCGCTTTGCTACACGCTTCATCAGATCGTCCTCATCATCATCATCGCCGCTCGCTTCCGCAGCTTTTCTTCGTCGAGCCAACGAAGGGAATGTTCGATCTTTCGCATCGTCAGATGCATCAACTGAAGAGGCGCCAACAGGCGGCGCTGTTTCATTTTCAGGCTCATCTGCAAAGTAGGACTCTTCATCTTTGTCTAGCTCTTCATGTCCACGGCAACTGTCTCTTTGCTCTTGCTCCGCATGCAGACGTGATTTCTTTTCTTTCGCTGAGGATGTAGTACTAGTCGATGACGACGGCGACGTGGGAGCTAGACATGCTACCTCGTTGCTTTTCAACAATCCGTGCCGCTCACAACACATGGAAAGAGCCGTCATACAAGAGCCCGTCGTCACATTCCTGCGCAGTTGGTGGATCAGATCGTGGTGATTTTGCCATACATGTTCGAGAATAGGACGCACATTCTCTTTGCGAATCTGTTCAAACATGCCAAGACAAGCCGACGACACGAGATTGTCCCGCGGGGCTTCTCGCTGAAGCAGAGCAAGCACATGCGCCAGAGCGTTGCTGTCGATCAGACTCTGATACATATCATGATCACCACTCGACACATACGAACGTATCACGCGTAGTGCTGCAAGACGCATGTGCTTATCGCGTGCATGAAGTAACGATCCCACATACCGGCACGCATTCGAGGTCAGGACGTAATGCCTACTTCGATATGCATGCTGCGTGATGGCAAAGCACAGCAAATCACACAGGTGCAAATATACGTTGACATCATGCGCGGAAAGCGGTAATAGCTCATCAAGAGCTAATGCAGAGAGAGGTGGCACACGTTGAAACGGCTCGAAAAGCTCCTGAATCGGTCCTCCATACAGCCAGCCTAAGAATGCGTCCAATTCGCCTTGGATAGGGCCTACTACACCATCTGCACTGACATCCATCATCACCCGCCACGCCTCTGTGATCTGGCCTCGAAGACCAGCATCGTCCGTCTCGAGAAACACTCGGATCAGTACGTGAAACAAGGACGATCCCTCCTTGTTTTCGGCTGACCACGATCCAAGTCTCTCTCGCACACACGCAGCATCATGCTCGATCATTGTCATCAAAATCTCTGTCGCTGCATTCCGCAGAACTGAATCTGATTGCGAAAAAGCATATGTCATCATGGTCAGTACGTCACCCTCAACAAGGCTTCGGATCAGTCCCACTCGACTTGGTAGCTGAAGCTGCCTCGACAGAGCACAAAGTTGCTGAATAAACAAGATCGCTTTTGCTCGTTGCACACGCGCATCATTGTTGGTTGTCGATCCTTGGAACACTTTTCGCATTTGATCCCACACATGTTCATTGCTGATGCAGTATGTAACAATTTCATTTTCAAAAAAGAACACAAGCGAATTAAGCATAGACAGCATTCCATCATCCATGAAGCTCGCGAGCATCACATCTTTCAGGTATATAAGTCGATATGTTTCGTTGATCTTCGTCACAACAGTAGGGTCTTCAAACTCGACAATTTGATGAAATTTCGTTTCATCTTGCAAGTATGAGCGATACGAGGCTTTCAAATGCGGCTGCTCAGGATTGTATTCCAGCATTCCTGCCACGGCCATGAATAAGTTCTCCTGTAATAGATATTCTGTCATGATGTTGTCATTGATCATGAATATAGTGCGCATAATCTCGAAAAACGTATGTAACTTCTTCAAGTCATGCCGCGCTTCTGCTTGTTCAAACAGTGGTACAAGCCGGCGCACGTACTCCTCCCGCAGTAGCCACTCGACCATTTTTTCCCGCATTGCTCCGCTATGCAAAGAATTCACACGAAGCTTTTCTTCGATCGAATCCAGATTCTCCAGCGTCGGTAAAGGTAGCTCAAATGGCGGTAGAGGTTCTTGCAACTCTTTCTCGAAATCAAAACCACGGCTCAGAGCAAAGTGGTGTTGGACTTCAGTAATGAAGTCCCATACTTCATTGCATCCCTCGAGTTCTTGGAACGAAAGAGCCATGTCGTACCCTTCCAGGTCCGTCCAGACGACAAGTGTATCATGCTGTCTTTGGTATACGTCATCTTTGATGACAGGCGCGTTGAGTATGTAGTCGTCCGTGTTGAGCGACTCGCTCACAACTAGAATGTACTCTTGAGGCGTCATTGACCCTAAGCCGGCTTGCGACGACGACCCTGACACGATGGCAGACGCATCTTCCACCTTTCCTAATGATTCACAGCATTCCTCTTTGCGCACAACAAGCAATGCCTCGTCTTTAGCTTCGTCATAGACACCAGCACAGTACCCAGTGCCGCGGTCGACCCAAGTTTGGTCTTCTAACACATACAGCTTCACTCGCCGTCCAGAACCGCATTGATGATACTGCCCACGTGAGGTCGTCGAAGAAAACAGCAATGGTGCTGCTGATCCGTTGTGAGCATCACCATCGGCTTGCGCATCGTCGTCATCACCACGGTCGTCCACGTCCTCTCGTGGCGCGGGTGGTAGATGCGGGACGCGTTGATGAGCATTTTGCTGGTCTCGTTTATACATCTCAGACTGCCCCTTCGCACTTACAGCGTGCCACAGTTTGGAAGGTAGCACGTCGTCCACGCGTCAAAGCGTGCGTGATTCTGCACTCAGATCTTGGCGTATGCACAAAACGCGACCCCGCAACTATCGACACTCTCCGCCGATACGTACGTAATGACCGATCGTCGTCCACCATCCACGTGAGGGGAGGGAGGACCCATCAGGTCACGTGCGAGTATCCGAGCGGACTCTGTGTAATGCGTGTCTCGGCTGCCAAGCCACTAGAGAGATAAGCGGTATCGTTACATCGGGTGGATTGTGGCAGCCTTATCAAACGTTGGGTGATAAGACCTGGGTAAATTTGTCATACATTTTCTTTCAAACCAATCATAATTTGTATACTTATCCAGCTGCACTCTGATGGGTCATGCCAGTGGCAGGTAGGTCTTTTTCGACGCATTAGTGGCACCGGGCGCGGCCGACAGACAGAAATGAATAAACGTAGCAACTTTTTGCCCTCCTTCAACTATCTATCCCATCCGTCCACCTTCTGGCCTTCACTCGCCCACCCACCTCCTACGGCATCAGCATGATCACAAAAAACAACTCGCTTCTTGCGCCATACCTGAAGCTTTCACAGGGTGGAAAAGTCGCCGCTGAATATGTTTGGCTCGACGCTTGCGGTGTGCCTCGGTCCAAGACTACGACTTGCAACGGCCCTATCAAGTCGCTTGCGGATCTTAAGGAATGGAACTTTGACGGCTCGTCCACTGGCCAGGCTCCGGGCGAGAACTCTGATATCTACCTACGCCCTGTTGCTTATTTCCCTGATCCATTCCGTGGTGGCGATAACGTCTTGGTCCTTGCCGAATGTTACAACAATGACGGCACTCCGAACAAGGCCAACTTCCGTCACAATGCTGTCAAGATCTTCGAGCATTGCAAGGATCAACATTGCTGGTTCGGTATTGAGCAGGAGTACTCGCTCATGGGTGCCGATGGTAGGCCGTTCGGCTGGCCTGTAGGCGGCTTCCCTGGTCCTCAGGGCCCTTACTACTGTGGTGTCGGATCGGGCCGTGTGGTTGGTCGTGACATCGTTGAAGCTCACTACCGTGCTTGTCTTTACGCTGGTATCAACCACTCTGGTATCAATGCGGAAGTGATGCCGTCGCAGTGGGAGTTCCAAGTTGGTCCATGCGAAGGCATTGAGATGGGTGACCATCTGACGATGGCTCGTTTCCTCTTGCACCGCATTGCGGAAGATTGGGGTGTGAGCGTTTCGATGCACCCGAAGGCTGTACCAGGTGAGTGGAATGGCGCTGGCTGTCACACAAACTTCTCGACGGAGGCTATGCGTAACGAAGGTGGTATCAAGGCGATTGAGGCCGCTATTGAGCGTCTCGGCAAGCGCCACCAAGAGCACATTGCTGTCTACGGTGAGGACAATGATATGCGTCTCACTGGTCGCCAAGAGACAGGTCATATTGGACAATTCTCCGCAGGTGTTGCGAACCGTGGTGCTTCGATCCGTATCCCGCGTCATGTCGCTGCGCAGGGTCATGGTTACCTGGAGGACCGTCGTCCCGCATCGAACATTGACCCATACCGTGTCACAGGCATCATCGCAGAGACAGTCTGCCTCAACCCGTAATGTTCATTCCAAAGCGCTCATGTGTCAGTCCCCGCTGCATTTACGATGTTTCGGGCGCTTAAGAGAAGCCAAGAGATTGTGGCTGATGCCTTAGGAAGGCTCTGCCAAAGAGATGAAGAAGGTGCATGTCAGAAACCAAATGCAAGAACTAGAAAAAAAAACGAAAACAACATCATGCATAAAGGGAATCCGAAAAAAAAAAGACGACACCGCGTGTATAGTTCGTGTAGTGTAGTATGATTGTCATCACTATCGGCGTGTTCAATGTTGGGGGGGTGGGGCTATAAGAGTACGCGGTTCTTGTTTGCGGCTCTTGTGAAGGACACAAGACATAATCATTCGAAAGCCCTCGCACTGTCACGTGGTGGAGGTTGGCAGAGGATTTGATCGTGGGCGTGAATGTGTGGGATTTTGCTAGATGAGAGTGTGACAGGCACGAGAGGCCTTACGGAACAATCTTGATCCAATTTAATACGCGTACATACCACTCGTTTGAATTTCCCTTGTTTGCTGCTGCTTTTCTACCATGGACATAGAGCCATCGGTATTGGGCCATGGCCCAATGAATCATAAGCCACCATCGATGACGCAGGACGTGCCTCCAGTGCCTGCGACGCCCATCACGCAGCTCGCGCAGAGCTTGCTGGGTATTGTCCTCGCCACCCTTCGCATAGTTCGATGGACGCTACATTTCACGTCCATCACACTACCCAGCACGCTTTACTGGGTCTTACATTACAGCATGACGGTGAAAGTGACATTTCCCGTGCTTGCTTTGTGGTGCATAGGCGTGACGACCACGGTGATCCTGTGGCTGCGATACCGCCACTGGAACAGGTACGAACATGTGCGAGAGGCGCCCATCCGAAAAATACACTCTGTCAATGTGCCGCCGGATGTCGCTCCTGATGCGCATGACGACGATGACCGCAACTCTTTTAATTCTTACCTAGACGAGTTTTTGGAGGCGATCCGTATCTTTGGTTTCCTTGAGCGCCCCGTATTCCATGAGCTTACGCGCTATCTCGAAACACGTCGTCTATTAGCTGGCGATGAGATTCATCTCAATTCTGAAACGAATTTCTACATTGTTATTGAGGGCCATGTCCAAGTATTTGCATACGTGACGCCACAGCACAGCAATGCAGACGTCACGCCTGAGTATCAGCTTGTGAATGATGTGAAAAGTGGCGGCACACTCAGCTCTCTGTTTACTATTTTGCGCCTGTTTACGGAGCATGTAGAGCTGGGCTTTACGTATGAGGATGCGGACATCCCTCCGCTTAGTTCATCGGATGTGGGGGGGCAGCATACACGATCGATGTCAATGTCCGATTCCGTTGATTCGAATGACCCGCTAAGGGAGCCCAGCCGTATGATGCCTCTTGTATCGCACTTACCGCAAGGTTCAATGTCCAGCTCGGCAGGCAGCGACGCGCGCGCTTTCCTTAATACTTGCGCGCGTGCTTGCGCGCAGACTGACACAACACTCGCTGTGATCCCTGCCGAGGCATTCCAACGCCTCACGGCCAAGTACCCAAGTGCCGCGTCACACATTGTCCAGGTTATTCTTACTCGTCTTGCGCGCGTCACGTTCCTCACAGCGCATCAGTACCTTGGACTCACATACGATGTCATGCAAACGGAGCGTGCGATCAATGAGTGTGCGCGTGTCTACCTTCCCGACAAGTGTTATGAGCCTGCAGCGCTCGAGCAACTTTGGCGCCGCTTCTATCCATCCACACAGCCTATCGTATCCACCGACGTGCGTGCGGAAGCTTCTTCTGTACGAACGCGCAACTCAGTCTCGCATTTCGAGTGGCCACCACAACCGATGCACCATGCTGTCGAGCCTGGAGATCTACACAGCATGGTCAGGCGTTCTCGACGAGCCGTTTCTTCCCGAGATGCCCATTCGGAATGCGCACGCGTCGGATGATACTCTAACGACGTATGTGCCACGCGGTGCTCTGGACATCCGTGACGAGGTCATGCATTGCATTGTTCAGAGTGTGGGACTCACTGAGGCCATTATACCCGACCTTCCAAGCCATCTGGCGAGCCCATACCTCACGTCGCATCGTGGACCATTTGCGAACGCATTTACGAATCTGTCGCGCCTCGACGTATCGACGTCCATGACGTCCACTGCCACATCGGCCTCTGACGACATGCACCCGACATCGATGACGTCGCTGCCTGCGGAGGAAAGCGGCGTGGAGCTCCGTCTCTTTCGCGCTGGCAGCGTGCTTGCACATGCCGGACAGACAGATGCAGGCCTGTTCTACGTCATTGACGGTGTGCTGGACATGCGGCAGGTGAGCACGTCTGAATCAAATGCGCGCAGCCTGTTTACCGTTGAGCGGGGCGGGATCGCCGGCTACCTATCGAGCCTGCTTGGTGTGCCGAGTTTTGTCGATATTGTCGCCAAGACAGACACATATGTAGGCCTGCTGCCGGTGCGCGCGCTGAACCGGTGGGTCGAAGAGGCGGGCCAACGCGCTCTTTACGCTATCGAACGTCTTTTGAGTCTGCTGCCGCCTCTGATCTTACATATTGATGCAGCTCTGGACTGGGTGCACGTCGAAGCTGGACAGGTCCTCTTCCGAGAGGGCGACGTCGGTGACAGTTTGTACATGGTTATTAGTGGTCGCTTGCGTGCACTGCAGGATCAGCCTGATGGCACGCGCGAGGTCGTCGGCGAATATGGCCAAGGCGATAGCCTAGGTGAAGTCGAAGTCATCACCAAGGGACCACGCTCCGTTACGCTGCACTCGATTCGTGACTCGGAACTCGCGCGCATGCCGACGACCCTGTTCAATGCTATTGCGCTGTGGCATCCACCGGTGACGCTGCAGATTTCCCGCATCATTGCACGCCGCATGCGCATGGAAATGGACACACGCGAGACGGCGCGCCGCATGGCACTTCCTCCGCATCTGGCTGCGACCATTGGCCGCGGTCAGAGCACACACAACTTCAAGACCGTCGCCGTGCTACCGGCGTCCACGGCGATCCCCATTACCGCGTTCACGCAGCAGCTGCAGTCAGCCTGTGCAGCTGCTCTGGCAGAGCCTGTGGTCGTCTTGCGACAGAGCAGTGTGATTCGCGAGCTTGGCCGGCACGCGTTCTCGCGCATGGGCAAGCTAAAACTTGCTGGCTGGCTCTCTGACCAAGAGCAGCATTATCGACTGGTACTCTTCATGGTCGATACGCCCGCATCGTCGTCATGGGCCGCCACCGCTGTGCGGCGCGCCGACTGCATCCTGCTGGTGGGACTCGGCGACGATCCGCACGTCGGCGAGCTCGAGCGGCTTCTTCTGAGTATCAAGACAACGGCACGCAAGGAGTTGGTGCTGCTGCATCCGGAGCGCAGTGTGTCGCCAGGGACGACGCGTGAGTGGCTTAAGCCGCGTCCATGGGTCAGTGCGCATCACCACGTAGAAATGCACGGCATCAAGACGCCCCGGACGCATGCGATGCCAGGGCCGACGCCCGTCCAAGCTCTGCGCACACTGACACAGCAGCTCAAGACACGCATTGTACGTGCATCACATTCGCCGCCGCCTCGCGCACGCCCACCTCACTTGTCGGACATGGCGCGACTCGCGCGCCGCTTGTGTGGCTATTCGATTGGGCTCGTTTTGGGTGGCGGCGGAGCTCGTGGATGTGCACACATCGGTGTGCTACGAGCGCTCGAGGAGCTGGGCATACCTATTGATCTGGTCGGCGGCACGTCAATCGGCTCGTTTGTCGGCGGTTTGTACGCACGCGATGGTGCATCCGTCTCGAGTCATGGACGTGCGAAACGATTTGCTGGGCGAATGGCATCGCTGTGGCGCTTCGTGACGGATCTGACGTACCCACTCGTATCGTACACGACGGGGCACGAATTCAACCGCGGCATCTTTAAATGCTTCTCCGACACGCATATTGAAGACATGTGGCTCCCGTACTTTTGCAATACGACGAACATTACATGGAGTCGGATGGAGGTGCACGTCAGTGGGTACGCATGGCGGTATATTCGAGCGAGCATGACGCTCGCAGGCCTCGTGCCGCCGATGATCGACGATGGCGACATGCTCGTCGATGGCGGATACACCGACAATTTGCCCGTGTCCATCATGCTCGCTATGGGCGCGCGCACAGTCATTGCCGTCGATGTGAGTAGTCTCGACGATACGACCTCGCAGAGCTACGGTGACACTCTGTCTGGCTGGTGGGTGCTGCTGAATCGCCTGAATCCATGGAGTAACATGCGCAAGATCCCCAGTATCCCTGACATTCAGACTCGTCTTACCTACACGACGTCTGTCAAAATGCTCGAGTCGGCCAAGGCGAATGAAGCATGCTTGTATCTGCGCATGCCTGTCGAGCAGTACGGCACTCTCGAGTTTGGTCGCTACAATGAGATCCTAGCTGCCGGCTACGATGTTGCCATCAAAGCCCTGGCCAGCTGGCAGGCTCACGGTCGTCTACCTACCCATGCCCAGATTATGCCAGCCAAGTCGGCCGTGCGTGGTTTGCGTGCGCGTCGCAATAGCATGTGAGGACCTACGGCTCATTTTTCATGTCTCGTTCTCCCTCCCCCCTCCCAAAAAAAAAAAATTCCCTTTCTCCTGTCTCTGTCTACGTCCGCGGTATGGCTCGTACGAAAGTCCCTATGAATCCATGTGCCACTTACCTGGCTCATACCAAATACCCCAGCTAGTTTCAATTTCAATCATGATTGGTTGCACAGCAGATTCAGTCCTTGCAATCTGGCGCGTCTCTTTTTCTACAGCCTTTCGACATGAACACAAAATGACCAAACTATCTAGCTATGGTGTGCTTTTCCAAATAGATCGAGGTTTCTCGTTGTGCCAATCTTCCGGATGTCTTGTTTCTGCATACTGTCAAGCATCCAGCATCATACAAACGTGGCTTTAGGTCACTTTGTGCCTCATGACAAGCTTGCAAATCCTATAGCATGGATGATGTTGAACTTTCACCCACAGAAGGTCATCAACCGGGTAGAAATCATGTTTTCTTCGCTCGAGACGTAAGCGGCACGAAAATCCACTCGTTTTCTCCATCCTTCAAATTGGGTCGTATTTGTGATTGCCCAAAGTGAAAATATAGCTCAACATGGAACTCCCACAGCATGAATATGGCGGACAAAATACTGCTCAGCGCGACGTAGTTGTCTGCATTTCCGTTATCAACAAACACATACAACCCACCCAATCAACATGGTAATTTTGCTGCCGTTCAATGTCGGAAGAACGGCAAAGATGGTGTTATTGGGCATCATATCGGTGCTTGATAGCATCTGAAAAGCTCAATGTACGGATGTGTTGTCTGTCCGGTAGAAGCAACTAGACAACAAGAGTCACCCATATACCTGGACGAACAAATAAAGCACTTTTTCTTTGGACTAACTCGTTCTATGGAAGCCTATTGCAATACGCCTTCAAGCTTTTCACAAAGCTTTGACTGCCGACGTGCTAGTAAGACTTTGGCTACATTTACCATACATGGCGTGTGTGCAGGCAGAGAGATTATGGAAGATGGCATGCATATATATGTATGCATTTTTTTTTGGTGGCGGTGGGAGGGCGACGGCGTATCAGATCATCAGGGATCATAAACCATGATACTGGTGTCTGCGAAACAAGCTCAGTGCGAACCTTCCAAATGAAGTTCGGACTCTGAGCGCCTGTGTATACAAAAGCGACATCATTTGCTACCGTTCTAACACTGTAAGTGTGCTTGAACTTGTTGATACAACGAACAAGCCTTCTCTATACATGTTATCAGGATCATGTGGTTTGCGTTTAGACGCAACGCGGGTGAAAGTACAGCTATGGCAATGGCGGCTAACTCCCAACTAGGTGTATAATACTAAGGGTGCACCAGTCATTGCTATCATGAACAGATCTTCCATCACACCGCGCTCATCCTATCTTGGCAGGCACTACAACGTTCGAAGCTGTGTTGTTGCTCTGAACTAAAGTATTGTGGAATTGCTCTTGCGCTGTGCTTTGAGCGTCCAACGTGGCAGGCATGGTTCGGTGATTTCTGTCATAAGCCATGTATCTGCACAATGATTTGTACTGGAGGAATCTGATATGAAGCTATGAACTCAAAATCTGTCTGTGCGTCCGCGTAAATTGTGGTTCAAGACCTTGTGATGTGACTTTGAAGATCGCACCCATCAAACCATTCTCACATCATGCGAAGACCAACTGACATGTCCTGTGACCCTTACACCGTGGATCTCAAATGCATGGCATGTAAAAATAGCAATAGCTGCATTCAACTTGCCCGGAGGCAGTGTGGCACGGGTAAACACAGCTCGCCCAATTTTGGAATGTGTCTCTCCCCGCTCTCAAGTTGCCGAGTTTCTCGGCCCATTCATGCACCATGTGAGTATCAGTGGCAGATCCAATATATCATACACGTACGCGCATTTGAGCGGTACATGGAGAACGAATTCAGTGACGTTGAGCTTGCATACGACGTGGCTCGTCACGCATCTTATGGTGTCCATTTTGCGTGAGGGAAAGTGAAATCCAACGACCCCATGTTTCCACTCTACTCTTCACGGGTGCAAGAGGCAGAAGCTAACTTACCCAAGGACATCTTTGGATGCATCAACATCTCACACTACGAGGCGGCACAATTCCTATGACTGACCAGCGTGTGCTTGAACGTGTGCATGGTTTCTGTGGCTATATCCAATGCATGGAATGCGAGAGACATCGACCGAGAGGCACTGCCTCTTTCCAAAAAGTAAAAAAAAAAAAAACACCTTGTTGTCCGGTGTTTGCTCGCATGTGAGCCAGCGCTGCTTCGATTCAGTAATTCTGCCGATGGCATTTGAGCTCGACAAGGCGATATGCTGAGGCTCGGGTCATGTGGCACATGCTCCTCCTTCTGCCGAAGACGGGTGAATTCCATGGTGTCCTTTGTTGTCAAGTTTGCACGGTGTTCTGGTGAGCGGACGAGCAGGTCTACATTGGAACTTATCGAACAGTGTGAGTCGCATCGCATTTTAGCACCAGCATTGGGGAGGCGGAGGGCGGCAACTGAACAAGGTTGAGACTCATTACACTGTGTGATTCTGTTGCAGAGTAAACGTGTTCCATGATGCTGGATCTTGCGCTCATCTTGCCATTCACTAGAATGGCCATCCCTAATTTCGGGTTCAACCGAAAGCGAAGGGTCCCATCCTTGCACTATGGCTCGCTCAAGTAGGCAATGCAACTAGCATATGGTTTTTTCTGCTTTGATTTCGAGTCCAAGAGCTTTATGACATGATCAGAAGATTTAGTATCAACAGTCATGTTCTATGTCATCCTTTTGAAAACCGGTGCCGACATGGTGAAATGTCGAGACAACGCGATCATAGCGCTGACGAGTCGGGGCATTTTCTTGGCCACTAGCAACAAATGTTGCTGGGAACGGGGGCTTTCGACGTCAAATTCGACCAAGTCTGTCCAGCGCATGCGTGGCATGGGAAGGGGGTAGCCGTACGACAGAGCGCACTGGCCTATGCCTACGAACATATTCTTTACCACAGCTTGTCATACGAAAGAGCGTGAATGTCTCTCAGATGCAACTATGCTGATGTCCTGACCACATAAAAATCCCACTATGTTTTTAGTTGAATTGACAACCCAACAACGTCCATACACATTGCAAGGCAGATACACGATGTGATCTATCCTAATGCTAATGCAGGGCCTGAGAAAAAGCTCTGGTATAGACGTGCGAGCGACGCGGACTTGGACTGCGACACCAACACATGGGCGCGAGTGCGAATACTTACATAATCGTCCGAGATGGCGTGTGGACTGTGCTGCAGTGTATGTATGAAGTGTCAAGCTGTGATCGATCGACCGATCCGGTTCGGTCGTCAGGGCAAGAGCGTCACAGCGTCGCGAGAGTGAACACGTCGCGCGGCTTGTTGCACGCTGAGCTTGTGCGCAAGATCTCATGCTCAATTTTACGCCCTTATCAGGCCCGTATGCGCCTGCGTCTGACATAAGGGGCGACAATGCCGGCGGCGGCGGCGGCGGCAGCTCTGAGCGATCCAAGGCGCTCTCCTACTTGTTGGAAATTGACCAATGTCGCATTTTGCTGGATTGCGGCGCACCTGAGGACCTGACATTTGTGGATGATACGCAGCTGAAGCAGGAAGGGTCCCATGTATGGCGTGGAACACTCCCCGACATTCTGGAGCGTATAGGTCCGACGATCGATGTTGTGCTTCTCACACATGCAGAAATGTCGCATCTAGGGCTATATGCGTACGCATACGCCAACTATGGCCTTCAGTGCCCAGTGTATGCGACGTTGCCTGTACAGACCATGGGGCGCCTGCAAATGCTTGAGATCGTTCGCTCGTGGCGCGCCGAAGTCGATGCGAATCTGACGTCGTCTAAGAGCGAAGCAAATTCGGGATTGAAGCGCTATATCCCCACGGAGGCGCAGGTAGATGATGCTTTTGATGCAATACGGCCTCTCCGATACCTGGAACCGACGCCTTTGGATGGCAAATGCGCTGGTCTCGTGCTGACGGCGTACAATGCCGGGCACTCCCTCGGCGGCACGGTGTGGAAACTGCGCTCGCCCACTGTCGGCACCATCGTAATGGCGCTCGATTGGAATCATCACCGTGAGCGCCACCTGGATGGAACGGCGCTCTTGTCGGTCGGTGCTGCTGCGCCGCTTGCGCATGCCATAGGACGGCCTGATGTTCTTATCACTGACATTGAGCGTGGTCTCTTCACCAATGCGCGGCGGAAAGATCGCGACGCCGCATTACTGAGCCAAATACATCGCACACTTACAAGCGGGCATTCCGTGCTGATTCCCGTCGACAGTGCGGCACGTCTGCTCGAGATTCTCGTGCTGCTCGACCAGCATTGGGCATTTTCATACCAACACCAGCGTTTCCCGCTATGTCTCGTATCACACACTGGGCAGGAGGTCGTCGAGCGTGCACGCACATTCATGGAATGGATGTCGCGCGAATGGGCGATTCAGCTGCTGGATGCGCCTGAGGCGTCGTCGCGTCGCAAGACAACTTCCAGCAGCTCGTCGTCATCGGCGGCGACGGCCAAGTCACCACTGGACTTTTCGGGCCTTCGATTCTACTCGTCTGTGGAAGCGTTGCATCAAGCACTTACGCCATCGCAGGTGAAGGTTGTGCTGGCTACGCCCCCAGCGCTTTCGCATGGCTTGTCTCGGCAGCTGCTCCCCGAGTTCCTGTGTGATCCAGATGCGCTGTTGATCCTCACATCGCGTGGCACGCCATCGAGTCTCGTGCGCAATCTATGGGACCGCTGGAATGCGAAGCAGGCTGATCGCGATGCATGGCGTCAGGGCCACGTCGGTGTGCCGGTCAGTGTGGGAGGTCAGCTAAGCTACGAGCTCCGACGACGGGTGCCACTTGCTGGCGATGAGCTCCGGACGTATGTGGAACGGCAAAAAGCGCGCGAAGCTGCAGCCGATGCGCCACGCGCACGCATCCAGCAGCCACAGCGCGAGGCAGACGATGTGGATGATGACGATGCGTCGTCGTCGGACTCGAGCTCTGACGACGAGTTCGATGGCCAGCCGAGTCGCTTGCCTTCCACACGCACCATCGCACCAGAGCGTGCACAGATGCAGCTCAATGCAGCAGCGCCAGAGCCCGTTGGCATGTCATTTGATATATTCCTACGTGGCCAAGTCAGCCGCGATGCTGTGCACTATCGCATGTTCCCGCACATCGAGCGGAAACGCAAGGTCGATGGGTATGGCGAGTCGATCGATACATCGCGATGGCTCGCACGTCGCAGGCGCTTGGAGGCTGAGCAGGAGGAGCAACTGAACCCTGAGCGTCTTAAGCCGCAGAAGAAGCGCACTCGCCCTGTCGATGTGCCGTGCAAGTACACGTCCGATACGCTCAATGCCGCTGTGCGGTGCCATGTCTTGTATGTCGACTTGCAGGGGCTCAATGACGGCCGTGCGCTCACGACCCTCGTGCCGCAGCTGCAGCCGCGCCGTCTTATCATGGTGAATGGCGACGAGGCAACGACGCTCGCTGTGCGTGCGAAGCTCAGCCGCACACATGACCTGTACACGCCCGACCTAGGGCAGACGGTCTCGGTGGGTGGTCTATCGAACTCGTACAGCGTGCGCCTCGGCGATGCGCTCATGGGCAGCCTGCGCTGGCATCCTATGCAAGACTACAATATCGTGCACTTGCACGTGTCGCCGGACTTTGCGAGCGACTCGGATACCCCGACGCTTGTGCCTGTGAATGATGCTGCCACCGTCCACACGGCTCAGGCCCCCTCAACGCTGTACATCGGTGATTTGCGTCTCCCTGCGCTCAAGGCGTACCTGGCCCGTCAGCACCGCATCCGCGCCGACTTTGCTGGTGAAGGCGTGCTCGTGTGTGGCGATCGTGACGAGCGCAATGTCACTGTGACGAAGCAGGGAACTGGCCGCATCGTTGTCGAGGGCAGTCTATCTACGAACCTTGCGCGTGTGCGGCAGTCGATCTACCAGCTTGTTGCCCAGGTGCACCGGTAGTCCGTGCGATGCATGGCATGTACGTGCATCGTGCTGACGCGGCCGCCCTCTCTACACCACCCCCCTACCACTCTTACCTATGGTGGCCATGTCCATAGGCATGCACATCACGTGTAAATAGCGTCGCCATCAGCGTCACCGCCCGTGTCGGTGTGCCAGGCCATGTGTAGCCGTAGGTAGTTCGTGTGGGATGGATGGATGATACATGCGGTGAACGATTTCGTCACAACAGGCGTGGGAACGAGGACCGAAAGTAGTAGAGCGGTCGTGTCCCTGACCACTAGCCCGGTTTCGAGCTTTCTTGCTATGTCAACCTGCATCTCAAAGCCCCCATTGACCAAAGCATCGGCTTCACCACAGGCTATTGATCAAGTCATGGTGGTGGTGGTGGTGGTGGTGGACCACCTTGCTCTATTCCTACGTACGCCACACACTTCTTGCACTCTCATTCCATGCCGATTCCATGCCGTTATGGACACATCATCTCTGTCATTCTTTATGCAGCATATCAGGGACCTACTTCCACCACATCTGGTAGCTGTGCAGCCAAGTCACGCGTGCCTGCTGGGAATGGAAGGTCCATCAGACCACGCGGCAAGTACTGGGCAGGTCCTTTTGCAGGATCCAATAGCTCGCCCTTGGGCGTTACGCCTTTTCGGTACATAAAATAGGCATTTTTGACCATACTTTTGAGTGCATCTTGCACGAATACCACACCCCCATCAGGACCTGGCACTTGGCCCTTCACAAAGATCAGCTCATTCTTCACATCAATGCGCAGCACGCGCACATTTTGCACCGTCCGGTAGTGACCGCCCATGCGGCCTGGCATGCGCTTTCCTGGCCACACACGACCTGGGTCTTGATTGTTTCCGACGGAGCCGGGCGTGCGGTGCGCGAGCGAGGCACCGTGGGATGCATTTCCCCCTGCAAAGTTGTGTCGCTTCATGACACCCGCGAAGCCTTTCCCCCGTGTGATGGCACGCACATCCACATCCTGCCCAGGGACAAAATGCGCGGCTGATAGCTGTGTTCCGATTGGGAGCATCGCATCTGGCGTCACGCGGAACTCCTTGATCACACGCTTCGGACCCAGTCCCGCACGCGAGAGATGCCCCCGCACCGGTGCAGATACTGCGCTTTCACGTGCATCCGATGCCGCTACTTGCAAGGCCATGTATGGCGCCTCGTCCTGCGATGGCGCGTCTCGCTGTACATGCATGGAGACCTGGTTCGAGTCCACGTACAGCACTGTCGCTGGCACTCGCGTTCCATCAGGCATGAACATGGTCGTCATACCCTTTTTCCGTGTGATCAATCCGACGCGCAAAGACATCGGCGTCCATCCCGGCATGCTTGGTGCATCCTTGGTGGCAGCAGCGGCCGGCTGTGCCTCTGTCTCGCGGCTCTGATGCAATGCAGGTGTCGTCGTAAGCCAACGTGTGAGTGGCGCGGCAGGCGACCATGTCCGACAGGTACGCCGCACGATCGCGCTCATCGCCGTCGATATAGGCAGCATCCCAGATTTTCGTACGCAGCGGGAACAGCAATAGTGGGCGCTGGCCGCTTCAAATGGGACAACGTGCAACTACAGCAGCAATTTTTTGCTGCGCGCTCACTTTGACGATAACGAGTCAATGTCGCACAGCTATTCACACACCTTTCTCATTCACTCACCCTCACTCACTCATTTTCTCACTCTCTCTCCCTTCGCCACGCATGCCACGTGCACCGAGCCGGTGATGCTCACGTGATCACGATCGGTGTGGACGTACGTGAGAAGCAGTGAGGGAAGGCATGTGGTGAAGGACTGTCGACACGGCTTCCGTAAGCCGGTCGCGCACGATCCGAACTCACTGAGCCAAATTGGGCTGCGTTGGCCCGTTCTATTCGAACCTGACACATGCATCTGTGATCGACGTGCGCACCTGCATCGGGCGCGTGGGCGACCTAGGGACGTACGGAAATAATATTGTTAGGTGCCTCCTCTTCCTACGGGACCGATTGGATGGTGCAACAACAGTGTGCAACCTACAATTTTTTTTTTTTTTCCTGGAAAGGGCGGATAAGGTGTGGCGCCTTTCTGCAAACCACAAACCGTATCTAAAAATGGAAGCTTGATTGGACATAAACCATACGATTTTGAACCTGTTTCTTATCTCACATGCCTGGGCGATGATGCCCCATTGACCGATGGGACCCCCCTCCCCCGCACACTGACTCGTCCTCGTCAGTGCTGACGTCAGTTGCGATTGACATTTGCAACAACACTGTGTACCTCATGTACAAGGCATGCTGCACATCATTGACGCATCATCGACGAATGAAAATGTCGCACCTGCTTCCCACCTGTCATCGTCTGACCCTCGTCACGCAGTCACTATGAGTGTCGTCGATGATCGCGTTAACGCTCCAGCTCCCGTCTCTGCTGCTACGCTCATCAACAACTCTGTTAACGTGCCCAAAGCAACAGACACGGCCATGTCCTCAAGTCATACAGCAGCCGCAGCTCTGGGCATAGAATTCCTTCCACCGACTGAGCTCCGCCACCTGTACGCGAGACATTTGTCGCATGAGGTGCCTGCCAACACTGTGTTTCCCTTCTTGTATTGCGGCAGGTCTGGCACCCCGCAACAGCACGTGTTTCTTCACGGATCAACAGATCTCCCGCCTGTACCGACGCATCGTGGTCTCACGATCGTGCGTGCAGAATCCCATGACACCATGCCCGATCACTCCGTCCTGCTATCATCCCTGCGTCTACAGGATCTGGTCGATGTGCATGCGCCGCATGGGCCAAGGTTTCTCGTGCCAAGCAAGGTCGGAGACAGTACGGGGATTCGTCATTTTGCCGCTCAGTCTATCCACTACGCGATGATCTCTGATATCGTTGTGTACGGTCCAGATGGCATGTGTGACACGGTGTTCGACACAGCACGCGTTCTGCGCGATGCTCAACTCGAGTTCTTTCGGGAGCGACGGACAACGAATCCCCATGCGTCCAAGTTCCGCACCTACATTTTGCCGGATCCATTCACTACGCTGGAAATCGAGTGCCCGAATCTTGTTGCAATTTCGAGCCGAGGCGAGCGCCGGCGCCTCATCGATCTATTTGAGCGGGAAAACGACGAACTACACTTCTTGACGGCACCGACAGCTATCAGTAAGAATGTTTGGGTCAGCACGTCAGACCACGTCCATCCAGATACCCCTTCCATGTCGCCTGCACACCGGCCATTCACCATCAATATTGAGGTGTATCCGCATGCAGTGCCGCCGGCGGCATCGTTCCTGCAATCCGTCACACAAAGCCTTCGACAGTTTGACGCGTCGCAAGGGCATGGCAGCCCATCGAGGCGCGTCCCTCGCGCTCAACTGGAATGCCCGAATGCTGTGCAGCAGACAAAGGCGTTGCCTGAACTTGCCCTACGCATCCTTGAACTGTGCGCATGGCTCCATCGACAAGTGCATCCAGACAAATGTACCGCTCCCCAGATACCCCGACACGCGTTGATGCACTGCGACGATGGATACACGGAAGTGTCTGTGCTTGCGCTGGCCTATCTCATGTACCAGCACGGCCTGACTCTGTCCGATGCATACTTGTACATGCATCTGCATCTTGAGCGGCCCTTTTTCGTGACGCCATCTGATTTCCAACTGCTGTTGCTCATCGAACAGCGGGTGCCATGGATGCGCCGCCAAAGCTTGTCGTCCAAAGTGGCCACATCTCCAACGGCGCTGAAGTCGTGCTCATCGGCGTTCTCGTCTAGCCCTGCAAGCACGATGTGGATCCAATCCACCCACTTTGATGGCAGTCTTCCGTCGCGGATTTTGCCGTTCCTTTACCTCGGCACTGTTTTCCATGCCATGAATGCACGCTTGCTCGAGCAGTTGGGCATCACTCACGTGGTTTCGGTCGGTGAGAGTGCGATGCAAGTCAAAGGCCCCTACACACTTCAGACCGCCTACTACACTGGCGAGGTCGATGTCTTGGAGATTGAGCATGTGCCAGACGATGGTCTTCATGGCCTTGGTGAGCATCTCATCACAGCCATTCAGTACATCGAGCGTGCACGGCAACAGGGTGGACGCGTGCTAGTGCACTGTCGCTTTGGTGTGAGCCGCAGTGCGACCGTGGTTCTTGCCTACGTAATGGCACATATGGATTGGTGCTTCGTCGATGCGTTTGTATTCGTACGAAGCCGGCGCCTGCGTATTCTGATCCAGCCCCATGCTCTGTTCGTCTGGGAGCTTTGCAACTGGGAAACCTATCTTGCACGGCAGAAACGCACAGGTCATATGTCGAGTCCCATCGACATAGGATGCGGTCGCCACGCGTATGTCCTACTTCCCAAGTTTCGACATGCTCTAGGTGATTTCCCTGTGACATGGTCCTATTTATGCCATCATATCGCTGCACTGCATCATGCGTACGTACAACGAGGCGCGGCGCTCTCAGCAGAGTCATAGCCTTCCATCACGAACGACTTTCCTCGTACATACAACATGCCACCGAAGCAAGATCGTCCCCGTCGTCCGCCCTCGCTTAGCCTTTTTTTTTTGTCATCCGTAGCTTCCCAGGGGTTCTTCGTTCTGCTGCTTGTTGCTATCCTGCTTTCGTCCTCCACCTGACTCACTCACTCACTCACTCTCTCCACACCCATGCGTGCCGCCCGCGCGCTTTTGCGTCCTGAGCAACATGCCTACCATGCGTGATGGCTGCATCTCGGCCGAACATTCCACGCGAGCGCGCGCGCGCGCGCGCCTCTCCTGCAGTGTTCTTACCTGCATCTCTCACGCATTAGCCTTGCCAACTTTCCTGTGTTACTTGCGTGAGGAAGTGAGATCGCGAGAGCGAGCGAGTGGGTGAGGAAGTGAGTGAGTGAGTGAGCGAGAGTGTGAGTGCGTGTGTGTGCGTTGTGACAATCAACGTGCTCTACTGTCTCATAGTCGCGCCCATCCAGCACTTGACAGTACGTTGCAGCTGTCGATGTCGGGTGGCACACACCGCCCGCCACTGTCATCTGCAGCCAAAATCATGCACGTTCGATCCAAACCTACTGGCAGCTACGCAGAGGACCGCCCCCGAGACCATACCCTACTTATGCCTTTTAGAAAAAAATCAGATGCATCCAAGCGTTCTGTCCAAACTCAGGACTCTGTGTTGGAGGAGCGCCGGCGTGCGGAGGCTTCGTCTGCCTCGGAGCATGTCGACCACCCGCAATGTGAGTCTTGCCAGAGAAAGAGATCCGTGTGATCCGGTCCCATACCCGTTCGATACCCGCTGACCCCCCTGCGGCTCGATCCGTGTCGCTTGGTGTGGCGGACGAGACCTGGAAAGCGTCTACGCCATCTGAACCCATATTCCAGCGCCGACGAGAAGCGCGGCCTACGCGCATGGATGCCGCACCGCACCAGTTCCGTCTTGTTGGCGAAGATTTGTCGTCATCGAGTCCCGAGCCCTTCCCTTCGCTGGGATCAGATCATCAACGCGACTGCCAGCACAGTGTGTTGGCGAGGCCCGATGCTGACGATGCCTCCTCCCTTACTTCACTGACCGATACGGACTCTGACATCAATGAGGAGGAGACTGTGCGTATTCGCGACGTGCACAGGATACGTGAAGATCAAGATCGCCATCATGCTTTCATGGCGCCCCGTGTTGTGCCGTCTGACCGCCGCTCGCGGCCCAAAGATGCACCACGCACGCCCAAAGAGTCGTCGACACCCCGGCACCGTGGCACACGTCCCACACGAGAGCCCTCGTCCAGTGCACGCACTGTGAAAGTGGCTGGTATGAGCGCCGGCACGGAGCCCGGTCTTGTGCCGACAGAATCACCGACGGCGTCCGCGGCGAAAATTCCACCCTCCTCGAGCTCGCATCGCTGGCGCCTCGCCTGTCATGGCGCCGTCTTCATCTTCATCGTACGCACCCCTAACTCCCAGTCCTGGCACACGTTGGGTCCCCGTGACCCCACCCGCCGCAGATCCATCCCTGTCGCGAACGCCGATGCTCGCGAGCCGCGGAAAGACATCCGCCACACTCTTGCCACAGCCTGCTTCCCTGTCGCATCTAGCTCCTACGGCGACTTCCGTTGCGGACCAGTCTCGCAGCGTCTCGTCATCTACGATGGCATCTACCGGAGCCACTCCCGTATTGAGTTCGCGTCCCAGTCCCGCTCAGCCTCGGAGCCCCAACTCGACTCTGACCCCAATGGAAGCGCATATGCTCGCCCTTAGCCAGGCGCCACCGAGTGCGAGTGCCTCCACACCCCAAAAATCTGCACAGCCCAAGTCCAAACGGGCTCTGCCAAGTACACTTCGATCTGTCGATGAGCCGGCACCTGTAGCACCACAGCGGTCGTCCTTGTCGGTCACGCCTCCGTCGCCATCGGACAAGTCCAGCACGCATGACACGTTCGAGGACGCAGCATCCGTCGTGAGTGTGACGCAGCCTGCGGACCCGCGCGTTCGGCCCTTCGAACGTGAGCGTGAGCGTGTGGCAACGACGGAACAAGCGCATCGTGAAGCCCTGGTCGAAGAAGAGCGCCGGCAGCGCGAAGACATGGAACGGGAGCGTCGCGCTATGGCCGAGCGCGAAGCGTTGCGTCGTGAGATTCGCGAGCAGCAGCAAGAAATCGAAGAGCGCAAGAGGCGGCTCATGGAAGAGCGGCGCGTCAGAGATGCAGCCGCGTCCCGACAAGTGGAAGAACAGCGCCGCTCTGAATCCGATGCCCTCCACAGAGTGCGGCAAAGGGAAGAAGAGGCAGTCTTGGAACGAGCACGTATCAACGCTAAGGCCAGCCTTGAACTCGAGCGCCGCACACTTCAAGAGTCGCAAAAGGCTGCGCAGATGCACCAGGAGATGTGCGAGTTGAAGCGACAACGAGAGGCCCAGCGTCTTGAGGCTGAGCGCGAACGCATCGAGCACCACTTGCGTCTCGAAATGGAACGCGTAAAGCTTGAAGAAGCCCGGAAGGCCGAGATTCTAGCTGCCGAAATGGAGCGCGAGACCCGCGCTCGCGACGAAATGTTTGCTCTTGAGCGCCGACGTGCATTGGAGGAGCGCGAGCGAATCGAGGCAGAGCGGCGTGCGAAGCAGGAGGCAGAACTCCAGCGGATTCAGCGCGAGAAAGAACTTGCCGAGCTTGCTCGTCTTGAAGAGGCTCGGCATGAGCGTGCTATGCGTGAGCAGCAAGAGCGTCAGCAACGCATCGAACGCGAAAAGAAAGCGCTGGTCGAGCGCGAAGCACGCGAGCAGTTTGAGCGCGAAGAACTTGCACGCATGCGGCGCGAAGAACAGCAGCGCATCCAGAAAGACAGAGAAGAACGTGAACTCCAACTCAGGCTCCATCTCGAGCAGCAAAAGCAACAGCATGCACGTCAGTCTGCCCACGATGATGAGTGGGCCGCGAAAGACCCTAGCAGGCAAAGGCAGCCGGGCTCCTCCGCCAACTCGGCCACTTTTGTCGCCACGGCAGCTGCCTCAGCCGCGTCAGCCGTCCTGCAGAACACAGATGGTCGCACAATGGATGAAAGCAACTCGAGTACAAAAGGAACTGCCCCGACAGCTACAACAACAGCGAGGTCGTCATCGCAGAATGCCTCTTTCCGGCGCTCAAGGTCTGTGCCTGCCCTGACTGTCGCTAACATGGACCAGCGCGACACAGAAGATGATAGCGCTGCGCACGACTTTCAGGATGCTGAGATGTCCATTCAATCCGTATCTTTGTCGCCGTCGCTCTCATCGTCCATGTCGTCCATGTCTTCGTCGTCGCCGGCCTCGTCCTCCTCATCGTCGGCAGCCCCATCTTTGTCCATGTCGGACTCGATTATGCAGGCGCGCATGGAGCTGCACCACTCAGGTCAGACTCAGCGTCGTGACTCTGAGCGTGCGCAGCTCGAAGAGCGCGCTCTCAAACGCGCAAAGCGCGAGGCTGAAGACGAAGACCGCATCACTCGCAGCTTCTCTAGGCAGCGAGAAGAGGCGCACGACGACGATACGTCGTCGGTCGCCGAGACGGAGCGGTCGACAGTGTCACGTGCATCGGACGCGTCTCAACTTAGTCTAGCGATTAACAGGCTGCAGATCGTGTCAAGACAGCAACCGCCAGCGATCAAAGGCATCCTGTCGCGCATGTCTGCGTCTGCGTCGTCGACACTTGCATTGCCACCATCATTGCCGTCGTCCTCCGCTCGCTCATCCGCACTCAAGCGAACGAGCTCCCATTCGAACGTCAGGACCAGCATGTTGTCGACGCCTGGCGCAGAAGCCGCCGCGGGGGCTGACTCTGCGCCGCCAAAGCCCACTTTGCGCTTCGCTCTTCCCGAGATGCCTCCGGCCGCGCATCTCGGGTCGTATCCTGAGCTGGCGTGGCTCGCGTACATTTGCGACCATCACATGCCGCGACGTGTCGTTCCATCGCCGCCGATCCGCAGCTCGCTTGGCACTTGGATCCGCCACTCAGTCGCTTCCGTCGCTAGCTTGGACACGAGTCTCATGCACGAGGAATGGGCCGTGCGTCCCGTCGGCCCTTACCGCGATGGTGGCGTGCGCTTCTTGCCTGGCTTCACGGTGCATGGTCTTGCGTTTGGTACAGCGCCCAAGACTCCGTCTCCTTGCGAGGCCACTGTGGAAGTCTGTGCACGGTTGTGCGGCGGGCTCACTGCAGGAGCCTTGACTTGCACGACGTCCGCGTGATGTATGATGTGAACCGCTCGATCCATGCCGTCATGGATCGGCCCGACGTACGTGAAGAGCTCCTGTGCAGGTTTCTTGCGCCCGCCGGCTACACCCCGTGGCCGGACGTATGCGATCCGCTCGCTCTCTCGATCACCGACTGTGAGGCATTCCATCTGTACCTGTTTGCCGAGTCGGAGCTGCCTGTCGCGAGCCATGTGTACCTGACCGGTGCACATCGGCTTGACAAGCGCATTCCGCGCCTGTCACGGGCGGTTGCGCGCGCGTACAGCAAGGTCCTCGCGCGCATCCGCATGCAGCCGGACGGCGTGCCTGACGTGCCGGCCTCCTGGACCGTCGAGGGCCCTGGTGGCCACCACCAAGTGACCATGTCCAGCCCATACGTGCCCGGTTATGTGTCGACATTCCGTGCATGGGCACCGCAGCCGACTGATGAGAATGCTGACATGTATGGCTCAGAAATCCAGCGCCTCGAGCGCGAACTGTTCATCGCCGGCATCTGGCGCTTCCTCCAGCGCGGCGATGTCGTTGTGAATGCAGCGAACGCCAACTGCTACCTATTCAACGGCGAGGTGTTTACATCGCTCAGCACGCGCCACGACCCGATCGGTCACCTGCCGCCGTTCATCAACATGTTCCTGTTCCCTATCACGTACTATGACTGGATTGTGCCTTCGACCTACATGCCTGTCATGTACCTTGATATTCTGCCATGGCGCCAGCAACTTGTGTCGTCGCTTCAGCTCGTGCGAGACAATATCGACACCATCGGCTCAAATGGCCAAGTGTACCGCATCGCCAAGTGGGTATACCGTGCCAGAATGACCATCGACGTGCCGCAAGAGAGCACCGCCTCCGGCTTTGCCGAGAGTCCGTACGATGCCCACTTCAGCTGGAATGGCACTGTCGTCTTCGAAGTCGAAGGCACGTCCGAGCACGTCTACGACTTCCTTCAGCGCTGCACATCGCCGAATGAATCGCCCGACCTGTCCCATACCTTCCTTGACTCGGTGCTGAACCGCACGAATCACTCCATCCAGGTGCCCACGCTCCCTGAGCCCCAAAACGGCCTTGCTATGCTGCCGACATATCCGTGGCGTCTGCTGCGGCACCGAAGTCATCCCGGTTCCTACTTGTTTTCTCCGGTACAGTCATGAGCCACGTTGTTCCATACCCTGTCCATACATGATCCAATTGTCTTTTATGTTCATCTTTGCTTGACTCTTGGCCCTGTGTCGCTTGCGCCACTGCGATCCGTCGTGGTGTCTCTGCGTCCGACGACCGACACCCCAAGTTCCCGTGCTCATTCCAGCCCCAGCCATATGCCTCCGTCCCTACCTGCAGCACACAGTGCTCGCTCCCACACGACAAGCGGCCGCCGCGGCTGAAAACACCCTTCGCTCCTGCCATTTGGGCATGTTGGTTTGCGCCCCAAGCCTCGATTCCGCCGGCATCGCTGCACACAAATGTTGTATGCCAGTTACAGGCCGGCCGTGCATAGCCTTGCCGCGTCGCACTGTGTCCAAGTCCGCATTGCCCGTGTCGGTTCGAGCCGTACGTGTAGAGCTGGGTTGCTTCGCCCGTGTGCACGGCCACGACCGAATGATGCATGCCCAAAGCGAGCGAATAGGTGCGTGCTGGTGCACACTTCCACGACACTGCACTACTGGCGTCAGCTTCAGGGTCTGCTGACGGCACTGCTGATTCGCTTGGCTGGTCTCGTCTTGACCACACTTCCACCATGACTGGCTCATACCACACGCCTAGTGGCCGCCGCTCCGTCCCCGATGGCGGCCGCTCGCGCAGCTGTCCATGGCGTGCATGACCCCAGCCTACTATTGCCTCTGCATAGGTACTGTCCGCCCCCGCCGCTCCCGATGCATGCTGTAGAGCTACGGCCGCCATCACATGCCGCACACCGCCCTCCATCGCCAGCACACGCCAGCGCGTGCCCAACTCGATCGGGATCTTCGTTTTAGTGAGGTCAAGTCGCACCTGGTGTATGATGCCGGGTATGGCCGTGCGTCCACAGCCCCATTGCCCGTGGGAGTTGGATGTGCCAAGGGCGTAAATTTCGTCGCCATTCTCGCTGGTCCGTACGACCACGTACGTACAATCCCACGTAGCTGCAATGTCCATGATCGCCGCATCTGCTGCTAGAAAGCTGCAGCGCCGGAAGCATGGATCGCGTTGTTGATCATACGCGTGTCCACTGAGCCACAAAGTCCGCTTTTCCTGCTGGTGCGCGTCCCCCTGTCGTGGAGTCTCACTCAGCAATGCGGCCGTCCACCTCGCGCTGCTGGCGATGCGGACGACTCGCGACCCTGTCGGTGGAAATGTCTCTTCTTCCTCGCCCTTACACACACAACGTACAGGCGTATCTACGTCGTCGTAATGTCCGATTCCCAGCTGGCCATCACTATTCGATCCTGTGGCCCATAATTGTTGTGCCATGTGGAAAGCCCCCCCTTCTCTCCACGCAAGCATCAACATAGATGCGGGTGGAGGATGAAGGACGTGAGAGGCTGGGTGAAGGGGAAAAGCGGTGGGCGGCACTGTGTAGAGGTCGTCCCATCCCACCCTCAAGTTCGCCCACGGACCAACCAAGCGACCCGACGTGTTCGAGACGCCGCCAGCCACTGGGCCGCCACTGGGCCGCCACCACAAGTGTACGGCCCGTCCATGTCCCTACGCCCTGCTGCAGTCTAGGGTGGATACACCATCACATGTTCCCCACGCTCTTGTCTCCTCTCCCCCTCACACGTCCATACTCATCTGCCCAAACGTTCAACTCGCTCGCATTCTCTACCACAATGCGCAGTTCTACGTACCAACTGATGAACGACTGGCATCTTTAGCGACGAGGTATGCCTCCACGCCCTCCTGCACGGAGAGCACGCTGCGCAGTGCCCGGCGGCATGGGCGGCCCACCAGCACCTGGCGGTGGCGCATTCTGTTGTGCACGGATGGTCTCATCCACACTCAGGATCAAGCGAGCAGCCTCGGCAGAACTTGCCAATGCATTGATCTTGATAAGCGCTGGCTCCCACACAAACTTGTCCATGTTATTCGAGATGCCCTCGGTCGAAATGTCAACGCCATCCCACGTATGTCCCTTTGCGTGCTGCATGCGTAATTGATTTAGTAGGTCTGTCGCGTCGAACCCTGCATTGTCAGCCAGCTGGCGTGGCACAATTTCCAACGCTTTTGCATACGCAGACAGGATCATTTGCTGCTTGCCGTGGATCGTGCGTGCATGTCCACGGAGGATCTTTGACAGTTCCATCTCAATGGCGCCGCCGCCAGCGACGACCTCATTGTTCTTGATCGCTCGTTTCACAATCATGATAGCATCGTGCAGACTCCGCTCAATCTCGGCGATCATCTGCTCAGCACCACCACGCAGAATCACCGTCGCTGTCCTTGCTCCCGTGCATTCAGTAAAGATATTGAATCGCTCGCCACCAATCTGGCACTCTTCAAACAGACCACACGTGCCAAGGTGACGTGCTGGATCAATGTCCGACACAGTCGACTGGATCGAGCCACCCACAGCCTCCACCACACGCTGCATGTCTTCTTTGGGCACACGGCCTGCACAAAAGATGTCTCGGGTCCGCAAAGTACTGCGTCCGCCAAATCACCGATTGGCAGTTTCGATTAAGCACGACCTTCGCACCAAGTTTCACAAAATAGCCTCCAATTTGTTATAAAATGATTGACCACTCTTGCATTCGACAATCGCCTTTGGTATTCAGCGACTTCTTGGATCCGTACTTCCCGCATTGTCCTTCTCCGCTTTGAGCTCCAGTTCCACATTCAGACACAGGATCTTGGGCTGCACGAATTTCTTCGGCTGCTGTTCAAAGCCTGCGTACGAGAAGGTCTTTTTGAACGCGACACCACGGATCAACCTCGAGTCTTGCATGGCACCTCCCGGCACTTGCTTGATGCCAATCAGCTTGTCGTTCAAGTCATCACGGTCCAGCGACAGCACCGCATCCACAGCCATCTGCGCAAAAAAGGGCCGCTGTGACACAATGAGCTTCGACGACATCGCCGTTCCGGCACACTTGAGCAAAAGTCCATAAAACTCACTGTGCAAAAAAAAAGGCAAGATCACCGCGTTAGTTCAAGTTACCCTCTTTCTGTGTGCTGTCCTTGCTCATACGTACTCTTCGTTCGTCTTGTCAATCCGCACCGCCAACTTCTTCGTTTCCTCAACACAAAGCTGCGACGCAGTCATAATTCCCTTAGCAACGACATGCGGGCTCACACCTTCCTCGATGAGCGGCCGGCACTGTTTCAGGATCTCGCCCGTCAGCAGTACCACCGACGTGGTGCCATCACCCACTTCGGCATCCTGCGCACGTGCAATGTCGACAAGCGTACGTGCGGCAGGGTGCACAATATCGAGCAACTTGAGAATCGTAGCACCATCATTCGAGATCGTCGCTTCGCCACGCTCATTCACAATCATCTTGTCCATGCCACGCGGTCCCAGCGTCGATGCTACGCACGACACAACTGACAGACACGCTCCGATATTCGAGAGCAACTGCCCTTTGCCCTGCGACATGTCTGTGCCTTCTTTCAAAAGAATCACAGGCGGCTGCATCATGCCCAGCCGCCCACCGTTCTGCATCATGCCGGCCATAACACAGCGTCAAGAAGTCACGTAGACGTGTCAGGGCTTCAAGCCGTCACCACTTGCAGCGGCGATGTCTGACGTCCAAGGCGTGCACGTGATCGATGATTCTTCCTCCTCTTCGACCCATCTGGGCTACCTCTGCTTGGGCCTAGCCCAGCGTCGCATCCACTCCACGTCCACGCATGTGGAGTCCACTGGCACGTAGCTAGTGGCGCACACCGCGCGCACGTCCGATATGGTTTTGCACACTGTCGTACCCTCATCAGCAGCCCCCATTGGTGAGCTTAGCCTAGCCGGTCATATACAAAAGCAGAAAGCGTCAGAGCTACATTTAACCACGTACGCCGTTTGATCCGGATACTGGGCTCCCTCATCGACCAAAAAAAAATGTTTTGCGCTGTGGCATTTACGCCGCTTCTTGGCCGCCGCTCCTTACAGTACGCGATGCCGTCTAGTCGTGCGCGTACATGGTGCGTGACACTTTTTCGGATGCGTCGTACACGCCTGCCAGCATCAAAATTCTTGTCACATTCATCCTCTCACTCGTCGTCATCCTCCTCTTCGTCTTCATCTCCTTCATCTGTGATCCTTGGCATCCTGGGCGTCAATACACTGGTATTCGGTGCATGGAAATTCGCTCGCCAGCGTGCAAAAGAAGGCAACACGTTCCCTTACACTACGATGATGCGGCATTTTACCAGTGGTGAACCTCATCTTTTGGCTGGCCGATGGTGGACCCTCCTCTCAGCATGTTTCAGTCATCAGGATACCTCACATTTCGCCATCAACATGCTGACGTTTGCACTGACAGCACCGGCTATCGTTCCCGTCATCGGTGCGCCAAGTCTTCTGAGCTTGTACATCGGGTCAGGACTTGTCGCCTCGTTCACCAGCATCATATGGCCCTATGTTGTTGATCCTATCTTGCATGGCGAGCGTGCGTCCTTGGCGCGACGGCGCTACACATATTCTCAAGGCGCTAGTGGCTCGGTGTATGCAATCCTTTCTGCGTATACGATGATGCGTCCATCTAGTACTGTTTACCTGTTTTTCGCTATTCCTGTACCTGCATGGGCGTGTATGGCCGGCATCTTTGCTTGGGAATGGTATTGTGCGAATGTCCCGCAGCCGTACAGCCATACTGATTCAGTCGGCCACGTCGGTGGTCTTCTGGCCGGCCTTGTATACGCGCGCATGTTCCGCTATCGAGTGTAATGCATGTGAATGCCTGTTAGATCGCCGCACCACGCGCTTCTCGCTGTCGAATCTCGGTAGCTGCCAACAGCCATGGTTGGCCATCTGTTCTGCCGTCGCGATGCATGCACTGGATCGCCTGTGCATTGGAAAAACCGGGTGCATAATACACAGGCTCGTGTCCTTTTGCTGCTAGCTCCGCGATGGTGGCATTGTTATAGCCGACAAAGTTGGGTATCATCGTCGCCGGCACTGCATACTCAAACATGGTAATCGGCGGTACCAACTGATCATGCCACCGCGGTCGCGCGATAAAGTGATCGATCCGCTTTTGGCCATGGTGGGAAAGAAATGCATACACAAGTTGAAGGTTGGCTGTAATGATGCGCGAGCCACCTGCCGAGCCCATCAACAGCTCCAAGTCGCCTGTACGCAAGTTCTCCACGATGAGCGGTGACATGGACGATAGCGGCCGTTTTCCAGGCTCGATAAAATTGGCTTCTGCTGGTGCATAACCAAACTGGTTCGACCGATCCGGCGATGCAAAGTCATCCATGTCGTTGTTCAACAAGATCCCATCTTCTGTGAGGACATCGCTGCCCCATATGCCATTGATCGTCGTTGTCAAGGCAATCGACATGCCTTGTGCGTCGATTACATTAAAGTGGGATGTACCACGATCTTCCGCCATGTAGAGGTGTTGTGGATCATACGCATCGATTGGTTGCACATGCGAGTCACGGATATTTCGTCGTCGCCATGCCGCACGTGCATCCGATACCATGCGATCTTCCATGGCAGGCACATGCCGAACAAACGCCGGGTCGCCGAGTTGTCCTCGCTCACCGTATGCGTACTTGGTCGCTTCAATGAGTCGGTGTGTATGGAGCACGTGTTCTGGCGCATAAGGCTCATCAGCAAAGTGCTCCATTGTCTTAAGCGCCGCGAGTACGACGCTCCCAGAGCTCGGCATCGGCGATGACCACACCCGATACTGGTCTCGATATGTGATGGAGCGCGCCTCACGAATCAGCACACGAAAGTCGCGCAGGTCGTCCATCGTCATAATCCCACCGGCCTCGCGCACGGCTGCAACTGTTCGCCTCGCGATGTCGCCCCCATAGAATGCATTTGGTCCGTACTGAGCAATCTGTTCGTATGTTCGGCTCAATGCCTCGAGTCGGATATGTTCGCCAGCTTGCACGAGGCGTCCATCTGGACAATACACCGGTGCAAGCCGTCGCGTGTTGCACAGAATGTCTTTCGCGGTGTCGAGACGATCATACAGTTGCGTTGGTATCTTGAATCCATGTCTTGTTATGGTGATGACTGGCTCCAGTAGTTCAGACCACGGTAGGCGGCCGTACATTTTGTGCAGCTGTTCCCAGCCACGCACTTCGCCTGGCACAGCGACGGCCAGTCCACCGTACAGCGATGCGTTCTGCGGCAGGCCCACAAACATGTCTCGATGAGCCGCTCGAGGTGCTTTTTCGCGATAGTCTAATACAACTGGGTCGTTCCCCTGCGTCTTAACCAGGGCGAACCCGCCACCTCCAATGCCTGAATGAAAGGTGTCCACGGCACCGATGCAGCTTGCAGTTCCGATTGCGGCATCAGCTGCGGAGCCTCCCTTCGATAAGAGATAGACACCTACGTTTGAGCAAATGTCAAGCTCACTTGACACGGCGCCGTGTGAGCCAGTTGTATTATAGTATGGCTCGTATCCCTGGGACTCGGCGCGCATGTAGACGGGCACATCATCACCAGGCCTATCATACACACTCGGCACTCGCATAAATACTGGTCTTCTCGGCACAAATGTATACCATAGTATAAAGCACGCGATAGTCCAGCCCAGTCCCAGCGTTAGCCACATGTTGCTGGCTTTCAAGACAGGGAGCTTCTTTCGTGGCTATTGGGTGCCTTGGTCTGGTCTAAGGTTATCTACTACGGTCCGTATGTGGAGGATTTACTCAATACTGCAGGGGAGACTACGTTGAAAGTGGACATGGCGGAAATTCCTTTCCCGATAGGGGCGGTTCTGGATGAATATAAGCGTACGCCTAGAAATTTTTGACAGGCTCAAGCTGCGGTAGCCTGCCTCACCTGGCGAGTAGGGGCATGACGGGACCTGAAATGCGACATAACCGACGAAAGTGGATCATAAATAAATAAATAGAAGAAACATGAGAACCTGCAAATGTCGCGACTTGCGTGTTGCCATGTAACCTTGTGAGAAAATTTCTTTTTTTTGACAGGAATCACGCAAAAATGCGTGCTTGCTCACCTGTAGGGAAGATTTTGCAGTGATAGCCGGTGAAGAGGCGTACATCGCAATGACTCGAATAAGGAAAAAAAAAAATACCTCATGCAAATGAGCCATACGACGCCCCGTCGGACCATGGTCATACAGTGCCGCTACTCCGGCGCATCCACGTGCTTACCTGCTCCTGTCAACGTGCCGCCTGTTTGGCTTGTTACCATAATATACTCGCGCAAAGATGTAATCATTGTTTGACTTGCCTGCTCAGCCTCACGAGATTCAGTTAGTTGATGCTGCATAGTCCCGAGCTCTTCCTTCAACGCTAGTAGCTCCCTTTGTAGCTTCCCGTATTCTGAGCGAAGCTCATCAGCAGCTGCAAAGTCTTCGCGTAAGGGCCAGCTAGATGTATCATCCGACCCAGCTGGTGTTGATTTGCGTGTGAGTCCGAGCGACGAGCGGAGCAGCGACGAAGGGAACAGGCCCGTGATGCCAGATGCTTGCATGTTAGAGGATGATGAGGCCGCATCTTCGCCCGCAGCATGTGGACTAGCATAGTCCGTATGGGTATCGTCCATCCTCGCCTGTGATGCCGTTGGTGGAGAAAACTCTTCATTTCCCATTAGAGCTGGTGAGACAAGGCGTAAGTCACGCAATCCAGTTCGTTCATGCTCTGTGTCATTGTCGGATGAGCGACCGGCAAGCGTACTGAGAATGTGACTTGAACGCCGCACGTGTCTTTGTGTCGGCTCATGATCAGAGCGCGATCCAGATGGCCGTGAGCTTTGCAACCGCATGATTGCACGCCGGCTCTCTTCATTCGTGTACCTCAAGTCACGTACGCGTTCTTCTGCTGAGTCAGCGCGACTCTGCTCTCCTTCCAGTTGCGCACGAAGCCTTGCTGTCTCCGCGACCATCTGTTCGCGTTCGTTAACCCAGTTAGCAGGTGGCGCACAAGACGATTGTGCCTGAAGTACAGACGACTCTGGTTCTTGGACACGCGCCGCTGTTAACTCGAGCTTTTGGCGTAGCTGGTCCACTTGCTCGTCACGCTCTTTCAGCTGCCTTCTCAATCGCTCGACCTCTTGCTGAACAGGCATCCATTCTTCTTCGACTCGTTTGCTCTGCGCTTGAACCTGCGCTTGATCTTGCTTTTCTAGCTCCTGCACACGCTCATTGCGTTCGATGGATTGCTTTTGAAGCTCCGATACTTGCGCCTCGGCGTTGGACAGCTGCATCGAAAGCGACTCGACCTGTGTCGATAGGTCCATAGCCCGTTGAGTCGACGCCGTTTCCGAACTTTGTTTGCCATCGAGTTCTTCCTGCGATTTCTTTTGCTGCTCTGCAATATTCTGCTTGAGTTGCTCACACTCGTCTATGCTTTTTTTCAGTTGCGTCTTTATGACTGTCATGCTGCCGTCACTTTCATTGACTTGCGCCTGGCGTTGGGCAGATTCTTCTTGGTTCCTCTTCAGCTGCTCATTTAATGCGCGTATGGAATCTTGTTGTACAGAAATCTGCTTTTGCAGTTGGGCCACAAGCTCCCGTTCCTTCCTCAGCCATTCGTCACGCTCTTTTACCGCAAGCTCTGCTTTGTCCACAACTTCTTGACGCAGCGCAAGTTGTGAATGCAGCTCAGTAATTTCTGCATCCTTTTCTGCCAAGCTTTTTCCCAATGCTAGCACCTCTTCAGATGCTGGAGTGACTTCTGCGGATTCTGGCGCAGAGTCTCCACCATGTGCAGTTGCGTGAATTTCAGTTTCATGGGAGGTAGGCGGCTCGGAAGTATCGGAGTCTTTGCTGCCGGTGCGTGCATGACTTTTTTCTCGTATAGGAGGCCCACGCGACGAACGCGCTTCGCTGCGCGGCGGTGGGGTCGGCCTGGACTCCTTTTTTGCCATCGTGGTCAAAGATCCAGATACCTCAAGACGATCACACTGATTATGGAGAGTGCGCACAGGCACAACAACACTTATCTTACGTCACACTCTGATCACGTGATACAAACAGAGGAGAGGATTCACAAAAAGATTGTTTGCCGTGACTGTCGCGACCGCACCGCAGAAGCGTAGCGACGACTAAGGGTTCTGGCAGTCGGCTTCATTGGCTGCAGTCAGTGTGGGCGAACCAAAATATTCTTCCCAGCAAAGAATTTTTTTTTTTTTTCGCCCTTTGTTTCCCAGACGTTCATAAGATTGTCTTTTCGTCTGCTCCGGCCACCGACTTCGATCGCTAGGATGGCCGCACAAAAAAAAGGCCGCTCGTCGTCATCGACGACGGGTATCAAAAGCGTTAAAGGCGAGAACTTTTATCGTGATGCGAAGGCCGCCAAAAGAGTGAAGCTTCTGTCGAAGGACAGCTCGGCAACAAAGGCGACGCGTGACCGTAACGGCAACATCATCAAAGCGGCAGAATTTCAAAGTTCTGAAGCCAAGCCAGGTCGTGTCCAGCCTGATCGCCGCTGGTTCGGTAATACACGCGTGATTGGACAAGATGCACTGGATCATTTCCGTACAGCTCTGGGGGCGAAGGTGAATGATCCGTATAGTGTAGTGCTGCGACGAAACAAGCTACCTATGAGTCTGATTCAGGAGCCAGCGCGTGGCAAGGCACCGTCATTAACGGAAGTTGAACCATTCGACAAGACGTTTGGTCCAGGGGCACAGCGTAAGCGGCCGCGTCTTGAAATGGGCATGAGCTCGTTTGAAGATCTCGCTCAAACATCGCGTGCCATGGGTGAAGAAGAGGACAAAAAAGAAGCGGCGAGAGAAGCTAAGGCGCACGGCGATGGTCTTGTCCCGCCAGACCGTGAGATCCCGCTTGGCTCCTCTGAGCGCGACCACATTGCACACCCTGATGAATTGTATTCTTTACCGGTGCAGCGTGGTCGGTCAGAAGCTGTTTATACGAAGGGCCAGTCACGTCGAATCTGGGCTGAGCTGTATAAAGTGATTGACAGTTCCGATGTGATTCTGCATGTGCTTGATGTGCGCGATCCCATGGGAACGCGTTGCCGGAATGTCGAGAAGCATATTCGTGAGGAAACACCTCACAAGCATCTGGTATTTATTCTCAATAAAGTCGACTTGGTTCCTACGTGGGTAACGGTACGTATGTGATTCTTTGGGGTCCCAAGGACCCTCTCCTTTCCTTCTGGCCATCCCTATTTTTGCCATCCCCATGATCCATTCCCTTCTTCTTTTACGCACCACCCCACATTCAAGTCGAGGGTTGCTGCCTGGTGCTTTGCACCTTCTGTGGCGCATACACTGTTACGAATGTGGAAGATGAACGGCGTCTAGTGCACGGCCTTTTTGTGGCAGTGCCACCCCTCCCAAGTCCTCTCCCGCCATTGAGGACCGGATGTGGAAAGGTCGTCCTTTTCGCTGGCGTCCTAGGTTGGATGATGTGTCAGCCATGATACTGACGGATCATCCAATCGCTGGACGAACATGCCTCCCCTCTGATCCCCTCTCTTCCTTGTTGCTATCAGTGGACAGTACTAACGGTCAGGCACGTTGGATCAAGATCCTATCGAAAGAATTCCCGACGCTTGCATTTCATGCGTCGATCAATCACAGTTTTGGCAAGGGCAGTTTGATTCAATTGCTCCGACAATTCAGTGTACTGCATGCTGATAAGAAACAAATCAGTATTGGGTTTGTTGGCTATCCTAATGTTGGCAAGAGCTCCATCATCAACACGCTGAAGAAAAAGAAGGTCTGCAATGTAGCACCCATCCCGGGCGAAACAAAGGTGTGGCAGTACATTACGCTCATGCGGCGCATTTACCTGATCGATTGCCCGGGTATTGTGCCTGTAAGTGCGCATGACTCTGAGACGGGCACTGTACTGAAGGGCGTCGTGCGTGTTGAAAATCTCGAGTCTCCGAGTGAACACATAGCAGCCCTGCTCAGCCGCGTCAAGCCCGAATATATTAAGCGCACGTACAACCTTGAGTCGTGGAAGAATGCGGATGACTTTTTGGCACAATTGTCGGCTCGCATGGGCAAGCTTCTCCGCGGCGGTGAGCCAGATCTCGATACAAGTGCAAAGATGGTGCTGAATGACTGGATTCGTGGTAAGATTCCATTCTTTGTGCCTCCGCCAATGCCAGAGAAGCGTGTGTCCGAGCAAGAGGACGAAGCAGACAAGACTGCATCGTTGTCAGAGAAGCGTGTGCGCGGCGTTGAGCAGCCGATCCAGAAGATCCCTGTTGTGACGAAGTTCACGGCTGAGGACGTGCATGGCGGTGTGCCTGAAGACTTTGAGCGCCAAGATGGTGCTGAGCCAGCAGAAAATGACGATGTCGAACAAGGCGGCACCGAGCAGAGTGAAGAGGACGACAATGATGATGATGACGATGATGATGTTGTGCAGGTTGACGAAGACAATGTTGGAAGCGAAAATGAAGAGGACGATGCCGATGAAGATGCATTTGAAGATTTGACATGGGAGGATGTCTTTGGTGGTGGCAACAAGCCACAAACAACGTCACAAAACAAGCCTTCAGCCAAGGCACCATCCGCGACATTCGATGAAATGGAATCAGACGAGGAGAAGCCGCGTCCCAAAGAAAAACGCATGACAACCAGCAAGCGCAAGGCTGAGAATTATTACACCCATGCAAATGTTAAGAACCGCAATCGGCAGAAAAAGGCCAGCCTGGACGAAATTCAAGCTCAGAGCCGGCAGCGCGAGCGTGGAAGTCGCGTTGGAGTCAACAAAAAAGCAAGTCGTACCTCGAATCCCAAACTCAAGAAGCGCAAGTAGACCTGACACTGCGGCGCTTGCACGGTAAGCTGTTGGTGAACAAGCAAGTCAACTTGTCCGTATGGCGCTGATGTCGTACTGTGCCAGTGTATTGGTCAGCTGCTTATGTAGACTATATGTGTATGATTGTACTATAATCAAATTCATGTCCGAGAGGTCTTAAAAAAACAAAGAAAACAACGGCACACAATCCTCGCAGCACAGGTCTTTTTTTACATACGTTCTAGCGGCGTCACAGTCAAGAGACGAAGTGCGCTGCTCAGCACATCCTTGGCACAGCGGTACAGCCACAACCGCACAAGTGCATCATCACGCTCTTGGTTCTTGACGATAAGCTTCTCCCAAGCAGAGCTGATCGCGTGCGTGAGCTTGAAGCAGAATGTAACGATCGTCGAGGCTTGATGGTCGCGACTAGCAGTTCGAACCACATCGGGCCACTGAGCCAGCAACCACACAATCTCGAGAGCCTCTGGCACCTGTAGGCGCTCCGTCCGCATGGTTTCAAAGTCCAAGTCTTCCTTCGGCAGGACCAGGCCATCTTCTGCGTTCATGCGCTCCATCGAGCACAGACGCACATGGTTGTACTGCAAGTAGGGGCCTGTGTCACCTTCGAAGGAGAACATGCGCTTCCAGTCAAAAGTGTAGTTGTTGATACGCTTGCCAGCCATGTCTTGGATCTTGATCGCTGTCATGCCGACAATGTCGGCCGTACGCTCGGGATCCTCCAGCTGCGCGTACTTGACTTCATTCTTCCGCATGACATCGTGCATCTGCTCCTTCGTCTCGTCAAGAATGTGGTCAAGGAACACAACGGTGCCTTTCCGAGTCGACATGCCTTGAACCATGCCGAAGTTGATGTGAAGCAGTCCTTCTGACTCTTTCTGTGCCCAAGGATGGCCCAGTAGCTCGAGGATCTTGAAGAACTGTGCGCAATGAAGGTCCTGTTGCGATGAAATTACATAGATCATCTTGTCAAACTTGTACTGCTCGTATCGCTGCTCGGCCTCGGGAATGTCGCGCGTGAGGTAAAGAGGAGTGCCATCCTTGCGCTCGACCACTGCCTTCTCGAGCTTGAACTTCGATAGGTCAGCAAGCAAGGCGCCATTCTCCTCACGCGAGACAAAGTCCATCGTGCGCAGCTTTGAGAGCGTATCTTCGATGTGATGCTTCCGCACCTTGGACTCGCCACGGTATTCATCAAAGTGCACATTCAGACGTGCATACGTCTCTTTGTACTTTTCAATCGAAAGGTCGCGGAACCGCTCCCACTCGAGCAGGTTTTCCTCCTTGCCGTCTTCCATGCCCTTGAAGAACTCGCGTGCCTCATCATGAATTTGTTCGCCTTTTCCTCCTTCCTCCGACGCAAGCTTGTTGATTTCCACATACACGTCAAAGAGGTGTTGCACGGGGTTTTCCTGCAACTTCTGCTCGTCACCGAAGCGACGCCATCCAAGGGCCAGCAGTCCAAATTGCTTACCCCAGTCACCCAGGTAGTTCAATCGCTTGACATCCCAGCCATTAGCCTCGTACAAGTTCGCAAGGAAAGCACCAATGATCGTACTACGAAGGTGTCCGGCGTGGAATGGCTTCGCAATGTTCGGTGACGAGAACTCCACGAGACATAGCTTGCCCTTGCCTGAGTAGTTCGAGCCGTACGAAGGCAGCTTCTTGCCGCTGTCCCCCTCGGTCGCAGCGCCATCGCCGTACGTCAGGGCATGCACTGTCGAGAGCACAAGCGGGATGAGCGTCTTCACGTTCACATGGTACAATACGGCTGGGCCTTGCTTCGTCACTCGCTCGATGTACTCATTAGGCTGGAACTCCGTGAGAACCTTCTCCTGAAGCTCATCGACTTTGGTCGGCAGACGAAAGCGAGGAAGCACGACTTTGTAATCGCACTCCTTGCCTCCAGTTGCTACAGCCAAAAAGGTATCTTTCAGAGGCGTTCCAATGGACCTCGACAGCTGGTCTGCGATGGCCAGTCGGAACGCATCTTGGGGGGCACGCGCTGGATCAGTGCCTTCTAGCTCAGGCAGTTTTGGCAGACGTTGAAACAACGGCACGCCGGCAAACTCGTGCTTCGAGGGAATGGGTGGGCAACTCATGGAACGAAAGTGCAGGCGCCTAGAAAGCAGCAAACGATGCAAAACAACTCGTGTACAGCCAAAGCTCACAGGTCGTACAAAGGAGTGAGCTATCCACACTTTTCCAAGTCGTCGTCAGAGGGACAGTGACGCAACGACGACCAGCTAGGCTTGGATTTTTTATTTTACAATAGGCACGCCTGTTTCGTACGTTTTCTGACTGCCAAGTGTCCGTCAGCCAGCCAGTAGAGAGGTGCGTCTTGAATAATAGATTTCTCATCCTATGATGTGCGGCGCCTCGGCTCCATTCGACTCCCCCCTCTCCCCTCCTCTCCCCCCCCTCTCATCCTCTACCTCCGCCATTGTCACTTGGCCCTGGTAACCCCCTACTGGAGGGCTACTAATGGGATCTTTTTATCACGTGATACAGCACGCGCTCGCGCGAGTCTTCACGCTCCGTGTTGCATGTGTGTGGATCGCCGCCGGTAGGAGGCTTGGAGTGCACGTACGTACGTACGTACGCGTCTTGGAGCATGTCGACTTGGGAGCGAGCGCCTGAATCGCGCAAGATCGGGCGCCTTCCAGCACTCCAGCGCACGCCAAGACGAAATCCCTCTGAGCGCTCGCCTCGTCTTAATTGGGACCAGGCACTCGGTGAGTCGCCCATCACTGCTGGTGGCTTGGGCAGTCTGTCGATGCCGCTGGGTGTGATGCCTTCGCCCACTTCGCGATCGTTTGTCGATATGGATGTGCGAGAAACCGAGGATGTACAGGTGGATCAAAGAACATCAGGCGAGGACCATGGCCATGGCGAACAAGACGATGGTGCCGACCACGAGGACGAGCATATCGAACCAAGCAGTGATATGCGTGACGATGCCTCCGTCGAAGCTGATGATGCTATTCCAAGTGCACACAATCTCACGGAACAGGATGATCACGAGATAAGCGCATCTCAAGATGCGCGCATTGCGTCGAAAACGCCACAGTCGCAACGTCCTGGTCTCCCTCCTTCATCACACGCGCCACGAAACGCACATATGGACTACTATGAAACCATCGACTTTGACAAGATCACAGATCCATTTACTGACACACGGCGTGCATTTATGCGAGGCATGGCTGCTGCGCCGTCGGAGCCGCCAAAGTCTGTGCATCGAGCGCCATCCTCACCGCCAAAGCGGACAAGCATCCACATGCAGTCGGAATCACGTCGTAGCCCTTCTCCGACCCGTTCACTTCAGGCAAACTCTCCTTCTTTACAAGCACGGACAAAGCGTGCATCCAACACTGCGGCGTCCATGGCGCACGAGAAAGAAATCGCATTTGCATCTCCGCGACTCACTCGACGTTCTGATGATGTTGAAAATCGTGCTATGTCAGCTACCCACAAAACCATCATCCCACGAGCATCTGTGGCATCACATGAAGCAGGCTTTAAGAATGCGCCAAATGAGATACCAAAAGAGCCGCGGGCATCAATATCATCGTCATCCATGCCGCTCCGACGCCGCCAACTTGCTTCTGGTGTGTCGATGGCGGATACCAGGCCGTCAAATATGAATGATGAGCAGACATCCGAGGAAAAAAATGCTTCCTCGTCGAGTGCGAGTCGATTTGACGTGACTGAGTCGCATGCAACTGTGATAAATACTTCCATGCGAGCCACATCAAAAGACGTACCGCGTTCGTCGTCGACACACACTTCACGATCGTTTCCTACAACATCTAACGCTATACCTGCTACCTACTCTGGCACAAATGCTTCGTCGGATTTGATGACAGATCCAGGTCCATCGTCACAAGTCCCTCGTACGCCACGAACTCTGCCATCTCGTCGGTCTTCGATGAAGTCTTGGCTTCCTGACGTGGACAATCTTCCAGGTTCAAGACAACCAGTGTCAGCAACGCCATCAGCGGGCGTTTCTAGCATGGCACCTCAACCTACGCGATCCAACCGTCTTCTGACGGAGGAACTCCTGAAATGGAAGAAAAAATACGCGGATCTTGAGGATGAAATGGATGCTTTACAGTACAAACTAGAGCATATGCGGGACGATGCAGCCATCGGCTCAGCGTCCGAACAAGATATGCTTATCCAAAAAATTGAAGAGCTCCAGCGCGGTCGCGAGAATGATCGGAAAGCAATGCGGCAACGAGTACGTGTTCTAGAATCGCACATGGCGGACACGAAGACGGAATATGACAACCGGTACTGGCGCTTGCTCATTAGTTCACCAGATGTATCGAGTGATGCAAGCTCTGTGCATGTACAGCTTGTCGTACAGCAAAACCAAGTGACACGTCTGGAGGCGGAGCTAGCTGAGCAGAAGCGCCAAGCACGGCTAGCTCGTGAGCATTCTGCCTTTCTTGTTGGCTTGTACAAATGGCGCGGTTCACAGCTGTTGCAGTCTCAGTCGAATGGTACAGGCCAACTTTCTCTGCATATCGCCCATTTGGAACAGCAGCTTGAGAAGGAACGGAGCGCTCGCATTGCTGCGGAGCGAGCTTTGCATGCCAGATCGTTCAGTGGATCCTCTGCCTTGGCAGGTGGCTGGGATGTCTTGCACGGAGAATCTTCTCGTTTGCCTGCGAACGACCAGAATGGCCTTGATCTTCCGTCCAAAGCGCCTTTAGCGTCACAAACATTTCTCGATCGTGAATCGTCACCCATACCGACGCTTCCACCATCTTTGAGTATGCAAGAGCCGCCGATCTCGCCTACGAGAGCAGTGGCAGAGCCTGAACCTGAACCTGAACCTGTTCAGCGAGATCACGAAAAGACTCGTGGGTCGTTAACGCCTTTGCACGCTGGTCGTGCTGACTCGTTCGAAAACCCTGACTCCGCTCATGCGCTAACGAATGCTACGGATGCTGCCACAGGCATGCAGGAGACCACAGAAGCCACAGAGGCCATGCCGCTAAAGCCCGGCATGACTCCTATGCTCCGACGTACGGCGGTCCTTTCGACGGATCTGGAAATCGAAGGCACGCCCATGCTCGGTCTTCGCACGAAACACCGTGAAGAGGGCGAAGCGTCGCCCGTCATTCGCAAGAAGAAGCGGAAGCTTCTCGGTACAGGTTCCAGTCTCTTCCAGCTCAATGAAGCGACAGCATCAGCACTTTCTCCCGGCTTGGATGTTCCGACGGATCTATCGCCCCTTCCACTCCCATAATGCCGCGAATCTATGGAATCCTTCGTTTACTTTGTAGACTTTTACCATGCCTTGAGCTCCATGATCAGCTAGCAAATCCGTGGACCGGTCTGGGAAGAAAGTGGGGATTGCCAGAGAGAGCATCTGCCCCAATTTCGCGCTAAGCTCAGGCCCTGATCACGTGGTCGCGTACAACCAACAAGCCGCACACGACGCGGGGAAAGGTAAGGCCCGTCCACCTCGAAGCGCGGCTTGTTCTACATCTGCTGGGGTTGTAAAAACTCGCGTTGCCAGCGCTGTGTGTGTACAAAGTGTGGAGAAAGAGCGAGAAATGGGTTGTGTGGTGTGGTATGGGGAAGTGTAAAGCGAGCGAGCGTCAAGTCCGCTGGCTCGTCATCGGCGGTGTGGCAACCAACAGATCCATAAGGAGCGCCTCGCGTACCTGTGATATTGGATCATGACGCTGTCGTTGGGCGCATTCCTCGTGAGAGGCTCAAGACATGATGCGGAGAGGGCCGATTCTCATGCACCGGAGCGCGGACGCACTCTGCGTGCATCGGGCCGCGGTGGCGCTGGCAACGTGAGTGACCAATGTGATTGTCCCGCATCTAAAGCTAACACGACTGGTGCTTGTTTTTCTTCTTCATTTTTCTTGTCGACACGGTCCATGTCATAGATGCATCACGAGCTCATGACACAAGAAGTTCCGAATGAAAATCAAGTGCGCCACGGACTCACGAATGTGCACTTGGGACGCGGTGGGGCAGGGAATGTCCGCTCGCCATCGCGCGATCCGCAGGAGCAGTACCTACATGAACAAGAAAAGCTGCGCGCATTGGAGGAACAAGATGCCATGCAAGCCCAAGAGCTTGTCTCCCAGGTGTACGCAACAGGTCGCGGTGGTGCAGGAAATATCCCCGCCCAGGCACCTGTTGCCGATCCTCCGCACGAGCGCGGTCGTCAATTACATGAAACGTCACGCCCAGAGCGTGTGTCTTCTCCACGCAACGTGGCAAGCATCTTCAGGCCATTGTCTCGTTCTCGGTCTAGAGAGCCGCGTACTTCAGCAGGTCGTGACTCGTCGTTGTCGCGCGTGGCCAAGTTTGATCGTGTTCGTGAGGAACACGCATAAAATGCTGGTCCTTATAGCCCTGGTTCTCTTTCTTCTACTTGGTATGGGGTATCTATCACAAGGAATCGTCGCCAAGAAACAGAACCGCATCACTTGAAGCTGCTCTTTCTGCATCTAGCAAGTTAAGAACAACAGGCACACGATGTGGTGCACATGTATTTGTGCGGCGGAATTTCTTGAAATTGCGTCGATGCGAATGGCTAGGACGGGCCATGGGTTCAATACGGACCTGCATGAATGATGGGCGCTCAATGTGGTTCCAAGACGATGGCGGTGGTGCAGAAGCCGTAGTGCACGAAGAGCGAGAGGCAGAGTCAGATGCTGGAGCAGATACGAGTGCTTGTTCCCATTCAGCATGGGGTTCTGGGACGGGCAGACCGCCTTCCGAGTCCGAGTCGGGAACAGTCGCTGCTTCCGTCTCGTTTGGTGCATGCGACCGAGCTTCGTGTGCTGCTTCATCGCCTCTGTCCAAGTTCGATTCGTTGCTCATGAGCCCTGTTCCCACTGGCTTGTCGAACACTGATTGCGACGAGTCAAGCATCTGGCGAAACTTTGCACTGCGCCGCTCACCATCCGACTGAGACGGGGAGGACGAGGCCACAGAAGCTGGTCCTGCTGGCCTTGCAGACTGTTGTTCATCGCGTGGCACACCTAGCAGCTCATCCAGCAGGTACGAACGCCTCGGTGCACGGCGCGGAAGCGTACCTGGCCGGTTGGTATGCTGACTTGCCAGCGGTGCGAGCGCGTCGTCGGCCGATAGCCGCGTAGCGCGAGAAGTTGACACACGCTGCTGTGGATTGGAGTCAGATGACCTTGACGAAGAAGCTGGTTCAAGTGTGGACGCTGCATTTGTCGAAGGGACCAATGGTGATGATGTGTGGCTCGCTTGGACTGGCTGCATATCTTCACTGGTTGTCACATTGACATCTGGCACGCCACTCAAGTCATCCATCCAACTCGTAACGTCGCACGTTGCGTCACTCTCTTGCTGCGCGGAATCAGGCTCATAAGGCCGGACCATCGTCGCCCATTTTTGTACATCCAAAATTCCTCGTGGTATGGCCCACATCCCGTCCGGCAGCAAGGGAAGTTTCAATGTCTGGCATGCTTGGTCCACGACAGGCGCGTCTTCCGTGATCACATACATCCGGCGTTTTGCATCACATACAACTTCCTGTTCTTTACATTTTGCGAGAACTTGTCGCGCCGTCAACGCGTCAGACACGTGTTCCTTCGATAGATCATGCACATGAACAAATGCACCCGCTGCCTCTGCGAGCTCAGCCAAGTCCAGAAACCGTCGGCTCGGCTTTGGAATCCACATGCACACAATGGCATCCGCATAAATATGTCGTCGCTCGGGTCGTGGCGTGAGCTGCTCGCGAGGGATCTGCGCATCACGAGCTAGGTTTGGGTCAGACGGAGGTACAAACCCAGAGGCATCTGGCTCGTGCCACGCTGGGGCCATTCCTGCACCAAAGAGTGCTTGGACGTACGCTTCCGACACAACGGGTATTCCATATACAAGTGCCAGGAGCTGCTCTTTGCTTGGTCGAATGCAAGATACGACGAGGTGAGTCGAAGCTGCACTGAGCTGCTTTTGAACGGATGTCACATGAATGCCGAGGAGAGCCGCCGTACGGCGCACATCCTCAGAATCAAGCGATGGTACACGATACACGCTTAAGGAAAAAGATAGCCAACGGAGCTCAGCATAGACTCCCGATACGAGGCAGATCCGACTCTGATCAGTCAATTCCACTGGCGTTTCCGCCTGAATTCGCTGCTCAATTCGATTTCGACCGCGAAACGACTCGATAAAAGAGCCTGATTTGCTTCCCGTACGCATAGTCCACGTTACGCGTGCTCTTGCGCCCCCTTGGCTCACATAGGAGAGTGGCACTGCTTCAATTTGCAAGGTACCTGACCAACGACTGATACGTCCAACAGGTATAAGCAAGTCCACCAAGTCCGCTTTTCGCCCAACCTTTAGCGACTTCCCACTATGCAATACACGTGCAGACATTGGCGCATGCTCACCATCATAGTGTGCATACAATAGCCACATTCAAATGGTCAAAACAGACTCGCGTTGTAAAACCAGACTGAGTCAACAAAAAACTACATGACGATATAGTCCAAACGCGTGTGGAGAAAAAGAAACATTGACACTATCGCGCCAGCCCTTCGCACAAAAAACTATCCATGCTCTCACACGGACGATTCAAAAGGCGTGGGGTGGGGACCGCTTTGTTAACGTGTTGGTTTCGTCACGTGATATACACGGCCGTGTTGGGACGGCGCTTGCTTTTCAGCTGTCGTAGCGGTGGGTCGCTGATTGACGTCGCCAGCGAGAGCAGACACAGAGTACGGTGAGTGAGAGACCAGTGCGATACGAGTCGAGCGTGATGTATGCGCACTCCTACGGACGAAATCGTCCCGGCATGCCATCACGCATGGGACCATCTTATGCAGCGGAGTTTGGACTTCCCAATCCACGGCCAACACAGATCCAGTCGTTCATCGAGCGATGTTGTGACCCAAGCTTGGAGCAGATGAATCTGTCGCTCGCACTGGAGCTCGCTGACTATATCAATACGAAGCGTGCCAACACAGCGCGCGAAGCAGCCTTCGAGATCGTCCAGCGGGTGAATTCACGCGTGTCACACGTCGGTATCCTTGCCCTCGACTTGCTCGACATTCTTGTAAAGAACTGTGGTTACCTCATCCACCTGCAAATTGGCACGAAGGAATTCCTCAATGAACTGGTGCGTCGGTTCCCTGAGCGACCACCTATGCACCCGGGCCCTGTTATGACGCGCATTCTCGAGATGATTCATGAATGGCGACAGACAATTTGCGTCACGAGCAAGCACAAGGAAGATCTTGTGCACATCCGCGATATGCACCGCCTCCTTATGTACAAGGGATATCGGTTCCCTAAAATTGATGCGCGCTCTGCAGCTGTGCTAAGTACGAATCAGCCGCTGCAGTCGCCCGAAGAACTTGAAGAAGAAACGCGCCTGGCGCAGAGTGCCAAACTGCAGGAGCTCATCCGACGTGGTACACCGCGCGATCTCCAGCAGGCGCAAGAATTGATGAAAATCTTGTCGGGTGCTGACCCAGAGAGAAACAATGTACAGACGCGCCAGATTACGAAAGAAATGGACAAGATCGAGTCACGAGCGAAGCTTCTTGGCGATATGCTAGACCAGGCGAACCCTTCCGACAAGTTTGTCTCGGGTGACGCTTATGACCAGGTTGCATCGAGCCTGCGAAGTGTCCAACCGCGCCTTCAAAAATGGATTGAGCAAGCAGAAGATGATGAAGAGTCTCGTCACCTGAATCGCTTCTTGCAGCTCAACGATATGATCAATCAGACACTTGATCGCTATGATGCCGTGTCTCATGGTCGAGAAAGTGTGACAAAGCGTGCTACAAACTCATTGATTTCTTTCGATGATGATGCTGAAAATGCACCGTCGTCAAGTAGCCAGGCTACTTCAGCTCCAGACTCTACGTCAGGTCCGGACTTTTCTGCAAAAAAGTCGATCTTTGACGAGTTCGAGTCTCTGTCGTTTGGAAACACTGCTTCTACGACTCCCAACAGCTCAACGAACACCAACGACACCTTGAAAGCGAACAATAACTCTGCATTGTCGACGACAAACCCCGCCGCTTCTTTATCGCATCAGTCTTCTTCTGTTTCTTCTTCTACGCCTTCAAACAACATATTCGACTTGCTGGGTGACATTGACGAGCCATCCACTCCTGGCACATCCGCTATGGCTACTACGTCCGCGCCTTCCGTTCATCCTTCCACATCCAAATCTCATTTTTCACATACATCCAATGCGCCTCCTGCATCATCAAAAGATCCTTTTGCTGGCTTAGACCTGCTTTCATAAGCCTTCCATCCGTAGCTATAGACCGTCCGTCATGTGTTCCAGGAGCCCCGCTGCTTCCTTAGCAAGTGCCAAGTGACAAGTGCGTGGAGCATGCATCCCTCACCTTGCACGGCACGTGACGTATGTCCATTTATCTCCCTCTCGTCGAATCGTGTATGCGTCTCCACACATGCACAAATTGTGGTGCACGTCCGCAGAGAAGAAAAAAATCTGGCATCACAGTCGCGTCTCAAAGTCGTGTAGGTAGCGAGCACTTTCGTATGTTGCGTCGATGTGCACATTCTTTGCACAATATTGCTTATCGTGGAGTATGCACAACCAGTATAGCTCATATGCGGCATCTGCGTCGGCATACGCCCGTGCATGTGCGTGAAGCTGAACTGCGTCGTGAAATTGCTCAGCTAGAACAACAATGGCATGACTTGCAGAAGCGTGATCGTATTGAAGCACTTACGCGCGATCTTCCACCATTGGAAGAAAGCACACTTGATTCCATGTATCAAGAGCTCGTATCCTCACCTTTACCAGACGTGCGGCAACTGGAATCCCCACCGCCAACGACACCGAAGCTTTCTCTTGAGCAGCTCGCTGCGCGACTTGGCTTACCACCTGTTCAGACTCTACCCAAGACAGGAGACACATCAATTGATACCACAGAGCTTGCAAAAGAGCGCAAGCAGCTCCGCGCACAAATCCTTGAGCGACTTGAGCGCTCTGGCGTTGAGTTTTGCCAGCAACAACAAACGGAGGCAAGCGATCTTTCTCCATGCACGCAAACAGCCTCAGGCATCGTGCCACCATCAGCATGGCTGGCTCTTGCTATCCAGAGTGCGCGTGACCATGATACAGAGCACGTAAATACGACACTCGCATTGGCCGCTCGAAGTGGTATGCACGTTTCACCGCTTTTCCATAAAGTCATGGATGCGTACGCTAACGCGGGCCTCGTGGAGCCGGTGTTAGAGCTTAGCGCAGCCATGCAAGCTAATGGCATATTACCACAGCCGGAGACGAAGCATATCGTGGTCAAAGCGTATGCAAAAATGAATCAATTGTTCGATGCCGTCCAGTACCTGTCGCTGTGGGAGCAAAGTGACCCTGCGCCTATGTCATCATATACGCTGGTCATCGAACATGTGCTAAAGCATCCTATCCGAGATTTACATCCGATTGCTTGGTCGCTCTTCTACCATATGCGGTACGCAGCTCATCCCGTGCCAGATGCACCACTTTACGCGATGATGATCCGAGCTTGCGCTGCTGGTATTCCACAGCCAAATACAATGTCCATTCGTCGCAACAGGTCCTGGGAAGCAGATGCAGAGCGCGCGCTGGATTTGTTTCGTGAAATGACTGTGCATCATGGTATTCGACCCAACAAGGAAGTGTATGATAGCCTTATTCTTACTTGCGCGAGGCGCAAGGAACACTATTCCGATGCACTTCGTCTGCTTCGCGAGCTTGTTGACGGCAACGCACATGGAGTGGCGCCTCTATCTCCCGACGTGTACACATACAATGCTGTGCTGCAGGGAAGCGCTCGAAAAGGTGACCTTATTACATCGCGCTGGATTCTCGCTGATATGGTCCGCAGTGTTATGACGCAGGCAGACTCAGCTGACGGCACATCTAAAGCACCAAATGAAGAAACATTGACGAATGTATTCTGGTCGTATGCCGTATACAGACCGCCGATCAAAAGGAGTGATCTGGTCACGGTCCAAGCGGAGGCTGGTCCCCGTCGTTCCGAGAACGACATGCATGCTATTTTGGCTGCAAATGAAGAACAACGCGCGAGATCTTCGAATGCACAGCCCTCATTCTCTCAGAACATGCCGCAGACGTCCAGCGATGTGCTGATGGAAGTGCGTTCCCTAATGGCACGTATTTTGGCCGACCAGGGCCACAGTGTTAACAGCAACAACGCCGTCGACTTAAGAGAGCATCCTATGCGCTTTGTTGCGATAACACCCCGCCTCCTCAATGCATTTCTTGCTGTTTTTACGCACCACATGAAGCCAGATCAGCGCTTACGCGCCTTATTCAATGCTGTGTACGAGCCTGATGGCGTCTTTGCTCAGAGCCACGTCCAGGCCAACGGCCACACACTCGCAATGGTCCTGGCTGAATGTGCACTCTCAAAAGATCGCGCACTTGCTGATCAAGTTGCTGAACAGATTTGGGATCAATGGACTGCATTGGAGGGATCCTCGCTCTCTTCACAAAATACCTCTGTGCGCCGAGATACGGGCACAGATGCCAAGACCATTTCCAAAATGTGGGCCCTCATGATCCGGCAGCACGCAAAAAGTTTCCGAGTTGAGCCAGCTTTAACGCTTCTTCGCTCATTTCTCGAAAAATACCCGCCATCATCGCGTGCAGTGCCAAAAACAAGCGTAACGACACAGGCGCCACTACCGCCGTTAGACTGGATGCCGATCGTTCCACCCATGTCCATGCTACGTTTACTTTATTCCTTGCCTCCCGGCACTGCACACTCGTCAACTCCGTCTTTGTCGTCGTCAATGCAATCACGTCCATCCCTGCCACTGCCGCAATCTTCAACGTCAGCGTCAACGAGCTCCTATTCACCGCTATCGCCACTGCGGCCCAAGCTTCTGTTTCGCGATCTGGAGCTCTTGCATCACCGGTGCGTTGCACTCCATCATGTAGCAGGTCTTAACCTTATTACACGCGTTGACCGCGAATATCGACGTGAGTGGTAAGGCGCTGCTGTGACTCGTTGTCCGGTGCTAGGCATAGAACATACGCGTTATAGTGACTTGTGCTAGTCCTCCACATGTAAAGTCTGTGCGACAGATGACCAGTGTAAGTAAGAGTAGCAAAACCGCCAGGTTCTTGCGCGCTACATTAGTCCTACTCAGCGGGGTTGGCTGCTATATTGCCAAGAAGAGAGCGTATCGGATCGCATTCTCATCATCCTTAATACGAGGCTGTGATTATTCACAGACACAAACAAGCTCCTTCCTTCGTCTGACCGAGGGTCATGACTGCCAGTCTGTCGGTAGGTGGACTATATTCGTATGTTGACAACCCACAGCCCGCGACAGGCACGGCAGCCAGCAGCACGAACACGTCCGGTACACGTTCGACCAGCCAGAATGATGCGTCTGCACGGTTGCCAGCATCAGAGATGGTGTCGTTTGGGTTCCTGGATGAAAATGAGGAGCGCCCGCCGCCAACGTTTGCATTCGCGTCGCTCTTTGATCGGATGCGTGCAGCCTTCTCAGCGCCTTCTTCAGGAGATACTCACAAGTCCGACTATGCTCCGGCCACTCCGGCACGTCGTTTATCGCCTCCGCGGAGGCGAATCTCACGGCATGGAACACCTGCGCAACGACAGCCAAGCCAGCACCATCGTAAGGCGAATGGAATCGTGCCATTACGTACGTTGTCCCCGTCTGTGACAATAGCGCCAACGAATGTCGTATCAACGGCGTCGGATGTCGGGAGCCACACGGCCACAGTTCTGAGCGATACTGAGTCTGTCGATACACGTCAAAGCGATAGAGGGACGCTCGGCACGCATGGTGTACAAGCCGTACCTGGCTTTCCTTTGAGTGGCGACATACTTGACGATACACGATCTGTGACAACGATACATCGCAGCCGCTCTGATGCCGGTGATGACTCGTTGAGTACAATGAGTGTGAGGCCTAGTGCCGATATATGGATCCGACGCTTCCGTGGCGAAGGGTTGAGTCGAAAATACTGGATGGCAGACGAGACAGCAAAAGAGTGCCGCGATTGTCTCATGCCATTCACGTCACTTCGCAGGAAACACCACTGCCGGATCTGCGGGCAGATATTTTGCCACCGATGTGCGTCGAACCTTGTCCCTGGTGAACGATGGGGTCACAAGGGCTCAATACGCACGTGTAATCAGTGCAAAAATATGCTCGAAGAATACGATCATCGGGAACGTATTGACGCTGAAGCTCGTGAAGCTAGCTTCTTGCAAGAGCAAAGTCCTGTGTCTAGCTCGATGCCTGAAGTTGAGGCGCAAGATCTACATACACCTTTGTCGCAATTTGCCGCTAAGACGCTATTTGCTGGAAATGCAAGTGCGCTGCCACGCCGCTGCGAAAGATACCGATTTAACGGTGAAAGTGACGATGATGGGAATGATGACAATGGTGACATGTCCGACGAAAGGCTTAGTCATGAACAAGACGTTCATGATTTCCAATCATATCGAGATGATGAGTTTAACGAAATGCCTGAAATGGACGGCCGCGATGTTGAGCCCTTGCGCAATTTGAGCGCACACGATCCGATTTTGATACATGACGAGGTGCCATTCCGCTCCGGACTCGTGGATGAGAGTGATGTCCAAGCAGCTGACGAATCAATTACAGCTGATATGGTCTCATCAATGATACCAGCGAGTCGCAACACTGACGAAATGCGTCATATGCGCGACTCTGACTTGACTGAAAATAGCCGCTACACGGATGAGGCGAGTCGAAGCGGCGACAGTGGCTTCAAAGTTCGGGATGAAAATGATGAGGAAAATGATATCGTGTGTAGCAAACCTCATCAGCGGGACACTTTGACTGAACCGCCATTGGTTGCTCATGACGATGCCAACGAAAAGCCACTTCCACCGCCCTGCTCGCCCATTAAACGAAGCACGGCACGTCAAAAGCTCATGCGTGGTGCGTCGCGCTTCGTCACCAGTACGGCACTCAGCGCAATTTCACTTGTGTACTTTTTGCGCATGCTGCACCAGCTGCTACTTGCCGAACATATTGGACATGTACATGAGTGGAAAGAAACTATCAAGTTACTGGCACTTGCGGTTATTGAGCGCATCCGCGTTCGGACTCGGAATACATACCTGACTGACATTCGGCACTTTGTCAAAATCAAGTGCTTTCCAGGTGGACATGTCTCTGATTGCGAGTTTTTGGATGGCTTTGTGTGTACGAAAAATGTCGCAACAAAGCCTATGGCGTCTTTTTTGCCGATGCGCAATGCTCGCATTATGATCATTACATTCCCCATCGAGTACCACCGCAATGCAGATCAGCTCATGTCTCTCGAGTCCATCATGGCCCAGGAGTATGAGTTTCTCCGTATTCTTGTCGCTCGCATTGTAGCGCAGCGTCCGAATGTCGTGATGGTTCAAAAGGGTGTCTCTCATATTGCGCTTGAAATGTTCGAAAAAGCTGGTATCGCAGTGTTTCTACGTATGAAGCGCACGGCCCTCGAAACAATTGCTCATTGCACACAGGCCGATATCATCGCATCGATTGACCGACTCGCACTCGAGCCACGCCTCGGTCGCTGTGCGGCGATATTCATCGACACGTACCAACAGGTCGATGATGCGGAAAGGCGCAAACCGCTCTTGCGCGTAGAAGTGACGTCGAAAGAGGTCAGCAGCGCGCTTGTGCTGCGTGGTGCTCTGCTGCCGAAGTTGCGGCGAATCAAAGCTATCCTTGCACTCATGGTATTCGTCGGCTATAATCTGAAGCTTGAGGACTTTCTCCGTCATGATCTCGGTGCTCTGCTGGAATGGTCGGCCATGAACTACCACTCGGTCAGCGAGCTGCCGGCGTCTATTCAGGCGGATGAGTCGGAAATCCACAGGCGCATCATTCTGGACGAGACGCTCAAAAAGTATCAACGACTGTTGTTAAGTGCATCGGTAACGGCTATCTTGCCACCGCCGTTCTTGGTGACTCGCATGAAGCAGGTAACTGATCGGATCCACACATTACGTGCTGAACCGTTTGAACAAGTGACAACGACACACTATCCTCGCAACGATGGCGAGGCTCTTGCCGGTTCAAATTTAGTATTGTGTGCTCCGTGCACTTACCGGGCGGCGACAGAGCAAGCCATTCTCGAATCAGAACACGAAAGCATCCAGGCTTGTTGGCATGCCTGTGTGTCAGGCATGTCAAAGATGCTAACGCCGTTCGCACACCAAAAGCTTGTGGCACTCGTCTTCAAGACGTGTGCCGCTACGCTGCAAACATGCACAGGCCCTGATTTTGTCATGACTGAATTCTACGGATTGAATGACGAGCCGCTCGGCCAGTTTCTCGAGCGGACGTGCTTTGAGAGTGCGATGCCTTGCGACTCACGCCACTGCGAGAGCTCGAATCTCGTGCATTACCTGACGTTTGTGCATAATACGACACGCATTCAGATGGTTGTCGAGCAGTTTCCTTGCCCATTGGCCGGCTCAGAGAACGAGCTGCTGTGCTGGAGTTACTGCAAAGTATGTGAGTCGACGACGCCCATCACGCATCTAAGTGATGCTGGCTGGTCGGTGAGTTTTGCCAAGTTTTTGGAGCTGCAATGCTATCCAAATGCAGCTTGTCACTCTTCAATGTGCCCGCATGACTACTTCCGCGACAATGTGCGGTACTTTGCACTGAAGAATCTAGCCATTCGCTTCCATGCAGACCCTATTACGCCCTGGCACATTGTCGTGCCGCCGTCGCGGCTTGTCATCCACCACGAACTCATGTGTGAGCTACGAAACGCCGAAGTGATCAAGCTCTACGAAAAGAACCTGAGGTACTGGCGCTCGGTCTGTGTCCGGCTCACGGCACTGCGTGATGAACTCCATGCACACCCAATATACTCGGAGGCGCCACTAACACGAATCAAAATGCACGCCGACGACTTGCTGGAACACATCCTGCAATGTGCATCGACAGACTGTGCGGAGGTTGAAGAGCGCATCTCACAGGCTTATTGGCACTCGGACAAGTCACCACTGAAAATGAATGAAGTGCGTCGATTCCTGCAGGACAGGGTCGTTGAGTGGGAGGGCTTGTTCCTTGATTTCGAAAAGCGATCAACTGTGACAGAACGCGACGTTCGACGTCTCATGGAGCTATACCGCCATCGCTTGCAAAGCAAGGATGCCGATGACATGTCGGTTGAGTCAGATGCCCAGCTCGATACGCCTACTGACAGAAAAATGCTGGACTTTCTCACATTCCTAGATGGATGTGCGGGCTACGACAAAGACTCGACGAAACACAGGAATGAAGAGACGCAGCGCATGGAAGACTCGAAGCTTGTTAGTGTGTCGATTGACAGTCATGCATCGAAAGAACGCCAGAGCTCGCTAGAGGCTCCTAGAACCAAATCCCGTGCCGATGCGCCGTCAAAAGACTCGGCCATGACCTCGGCGATTGCCGCTGCTGTAGTGACGACCGGCACCGCCGCAGCTCCTGCGACACCGGCCTCGGCTACCAGCTCGACCGCTGTCCCCATGACGATGCTAGCGAGCAGATGCGGCCAGCTGCAGAGCGAAGATCGAAAGCCAGCGCAAAGTCGTGGCCAACATCCAAATCCGTCAACGAGATCGTCGTCAGAGCAGAGTCCTCGCGAGGGTCAGAGCCACGAACACTCTTCATCTCAAGCTCATCCTATTCGCGACAGTCGTCCTGCTTCGCAAGATCAATGCCGCGTTTCGACACCAGGACCTATGCCGAAGGCGTCCACTTTGACGGGCCCTGCATCGTCGATGCCATCGACGACTCATAAACCTGCGTCTCGTGTTCAAGAGGTCTCTCAGAAGCGCCACGAGATGTCCAATGCTTCTGACTCGCCGACATCAGCCAGCAATATCAGCACACAGACCGCTGCGCGCCAAGACGTCGACCCTGCTGCATCGAGCCCGACCGCATACGTACAACGATCGCCCCCTGCATCGATACGCAGGAAACACATCTCAGAACATGGTTCGATGTCGCCGTCGTCAGAGCACAAGCGAGCTGATTCGCGCACGTCGCCACAAAAGTCATCAGATCAACGTGAGCAAACACCCAGGTCCACTCCAGGCGCTGCGCCATTATCGTCGCCAGCTTCGTCACTGGGACACTCTCGTCCCACAAGCCAGCTGTTTTCATCTCAAGCAGCCATGCGTTGTGAGTCTATGGTGCTTCGTCCACCATGGAATGATTCGCGACCGAAAATCAACAAGCCACGACGCGATGTACCAACGCGTAGTCAGGTCGCAATACTAGCTCGTCAGTATGAGCAGCTGAGTCGCGACGCGGAACTTGAGCGTGATCGTTTAGCTTCGCGTATACGTCGCACACGCCCTGCTACGACAACGCACGCTACCGTTGAGGTGTTCAAGAGCTTGCGAGATGCTGTTAAAGGCGATGAAAGCGATGGCGAAGACGAAGGCAAGCAGACTGAGCAAGCGCATGCAGAGCGACGCGGTGAGGCTTGGCTTGGTAAGGATGCCGGACCTGGATCAGCATTGCACCCATTCATGAACACACCCGAAGCTTCTGCTTCCGTTGCTGGCGAAGCCGTCGCCCTCACGCCAAACACCGGCGGACTGACAAGAGCAAGCACAAGTCCCGCCACATCGGCAGATGCCGCAGGCTCTGCCGAGTCTTTGGGGCCAGGCTCACTGGGTGCCACGTCCGAAAGGACGCTTGCCACGACGCCTTTGTCGAATATGAGCATGAGCACAGACCCACGCGGTGAGGCTCCGCAGCCCTCAGACACTGGGTACACACAGGCATCCATGCAGACTGCACCAGCCAGAAAAGAATCGACCAATGAGTCAGAGCCTGTCGCTACACCACACTCCGACTCAGAGGAAGCCCTGCCCGAGCGTGCTCGTCTCTTCCGTCTCCTTGAAGCCACATGGACACTTCATGTTGGCGAGCTTGTTCCGCTCAAGTATCCTTTCGTGTCGACTGACCACGTATTCACCGATGCACGTGTCGTGGTGCGCGAAGACGAACCAAGCTCCATTATCGCATTTACTCTTGACTCGAAGAGCTACCGCGAGCAGCTGGCCGAGTCTCGCAAGCTACGCACGCGTGATGTCCCTGACGCTGCTCCTGATATGGAGCAAGAGCTGCGGATCACGGAAGGCTCGCATTATCTGTACGAATTTGATACGGGCTCGATCAAGCTGTGGTGTAAGATCTTTTTTGCCGAGCAGTTTGATGCGCTGCGTCACATGTGTGGATGTGCAGAACTGTTTGTTCAGTCGCTCTCGCGCTGCTTCAAATGGGACTCGCGCGGTGGCAAATCGGGCTCGGCATTTCTCAAAACCTGTGATGACCGCTTCGTCGTTAAGCAGCTCTCGCGCACTGAATTGGACGGTTTCTCAAAGTTTGCACCGCAGTACTTTACGTATCTGGCTGACTGCAAGTCAGCGTCGCGCCCAACGACTCTCACAAAGATCTTCGGGTATTTCCGCATAGGCTTCAAGAACATGCACACCGGTAAAGGCTTCAAAATGGACTTGATGGCCATGGAAAACTTGCTGTATGGCCGCTCAATCGACAAGATTTTCGACCTGAAAGGAAGCACGCGAAACCGCTATGTGCAAGAAACCGGGCGTGCTGGCGAGGTCCTGCTGGATGAAAACCTCGTCCATGATACTCGGACGAATCCGTTTCTTGTACGTGAACACTCGAAACGGATCCTTCGCACCGCGTTGTACAACGACTCGCTCTTCCTCACAGAGATGAATGTCATGGACTACTCACTTATTTTGGCGCTCGATTCCAAACGCAATGAAATGGTCATTGGTATCATTGACTACCTGCGGACATACACATGGGACAAACGTGTCGAAAGCTTTGTCAAAGAGACAGCCATTCTAGGCGGTGGTGGCAAAGGCGAGCCTACGATCATTACCCCGCGACAATATCGCATGCGCTTCCTCACATTCCTTGATCGCAATATTCTTATGACGCCGGATCCCTGGGTCCAGTCAGGCTGGGTTCAGTAAGCCCATGGACGACGCTACCTTGGCGTTACGACCTCTCGCTTCTGGCGCAAGCGACCACCAAGTTCACTAAGACTCCAGATCCTGCCGTTCTATGTCCACACCATTTGTACTTTTAGCGTTGCCGGCCAATGCCGCACAGACCAGATATGGATCCCTACAAGGCTATGTCATTGGTATTTTTGTCATCAAATAGCAGAGTAATCAATCTTGCTTTCATGGCGCTTCGCTTCTTGCAGCTTGCGTGCCGCTTTCATGAAGTCTTCTTGGATACAATAGTCTCGATCCGCACGGATCGCAAACATACCAGCCTCTGTCGCTACATTGCGCAAGTCTGCTCCGTTGAAGCCATCTGACAGCTTCACAATAGCTTCGTAGTCCAACTCATCCCTCTTGGCAATTGGGCGCGTGTGAATTTTGAGAATCTCCAGACGGCTCTGTTCATTCGGGAGAGGAATCTCGATCTTACGGTCAATGCGCCCAGGTCGGAGCAGCGCAGGATCCAAAGTGTCTGGCCGGTTCGTCGCCATAATGACTTTTGTCTTTCCGAGCTGATCAAATCCATCCATTTGATTCAGCAACTCCATCAGTGTGCGCTGGATTTCTCGGTCTGCACTTGTTCCCTCGCTGAATCGACGCCCACCAATGGCATCGATTTCGTCCATAAAGATAATACATGGCTCTTTCGTTTTCGCATAGGCGAACATTTCACGGACAAGACGTGCACTTTCACCAATGTACTTGTCAACAATCGCGCTAGCCACAACCTTTAGGAAGTTTGTGTCGAGTGTTGCGGCGACAGCACGTGCTAAGAGCGTCTTGCCTGTGCCCGGTGGACCATACAGCAGCACACCTTTCGGCGACTTGATTCCCACTCGCTCGAAAAGCTCGGGATTGAGAAGTGGCAACTCAATCACCTCGCGCAGCTCACGAATCTGCTCGCTCAAGCCACCAATCCCTGCGAACGATGCACCACTAGGGTCCTCTGTGCTCATCTTGTATACGTGTGGGTCCACCTCGCGTGGCAGGATACGCATGATGGTGAGTGTTGTCATATCTAGCGATACCCGCACACCTTGCACCAATTTGGATCTTGGCACAATAGCACGTACACCCACGACATACCGAGGGCCTGACGATGCCTTGACAATGTCTGGGAACGCGTGGTTAGTCACCATGCAACACGACGTGAATCTGTGACAAACGTACATCGCTCAGGATCCAGCTGGCAAAGGACTTCGCCAATAATCTGTCCAACGGACTGCAATGATTTGATATCTTCTTCTGTCCGGTCGTAATTCCTCTGGAGCGTTCGAATGCCAGCTCGCACTATCCAGTCAGTGTCAACTTCAACACGACATTTGTCGCCGCCTCCTATGCGACAACGCACCATTTTTCAAGTCGCCCGACACCTTTTCGTGCTCGTGTAGCACTTTACTATACGATTTCAATGCCGCGACTTTGGCGTCGTCAGCCATGATGCGCACGTGTGTCAGAGTAGGACCAGGTCAACGATGTAGCGACCAGCGTGCGCAGCGCTTGTGTCTCTGCTCGTCGCCCTTTCTCGATCGTCGACGAGGGACGCGTGGCCTTCCATGCATACTTCCCAGGAGATACCAACGCTTCGCTTACATCCACTTCGACCATGCAGTGCCATTGTGCCGCCGCGTGGCGCTCCAAGCCGCAGATGCGCGTGTGGCCGTCATCGAGTGATCGGGCCGTGCCCGTGATGCAGCTCGGCCGAGACGTGTGGCCCTCGCGTGTGGCGCAGAATGCGCGTGCTTGTGGCAGAGGGGCGCCGAGGCAGCGGTCGGACTGGCGGCAGCCACGCGCCCAGGCAAGGGAAAGCTGTGAAAGGCCGAGTGACAGTGAGTTGCACATTGCGTCCGTTGCAGCAACGGTTTCTCTCCAACGGCCTCCATCCGACATGGCAGCGGACAAGCCGATTAACTTTGCGGAGCATGTCCAGCTGCAGGAGCTGGGCATTGCGCCCGAAAGTATATCGTTTGCCAATGTGACGCTGGAATCAGAGAAGTATGTGTGTGTTCGCGAGAGCAAAGAGTCAGGGAACTCTGTGGCGATCGTGGACCTGAATCATATACAGAATGTGGTTCGGCGACCCATGAGCGCAGATTCAGCGATCATGAACCCAGACGAAAATATCCTTGCACTGAAGCTGCAGCGTCAGTTGCAGGTGTTCAATCTGGCTAGCAAGACAAAGATCAAGTCGCACACATCTCCACAGGATGTGATCTTCTGGCGCTGGGTGTCCCCGACGACGCTGGGCATGGTAACGTCGTCGAGCGTGTATCACTGGAGCATTGACAATGAATCACCGCCACAAAAAGTGTTTGACCGGCATGCAAGTCTTGCCGATACACAAATCATCAATTACCGCGTATCAGACGACGGCAAGTGGATGGTGCTGATTGGCATCTCCAGCAATACAGTCGATGCAAATGCGTTCCGAATCAAGGGGTCTATGCAGCTGTTCAGTTTGGAGCGTGGTGTGTCGCAGCCGATCGAAGGACATGCTGCTACCTTTGCGGAGCTCAAGACGCAGGACTCTGTCGTCCCGTACAAGTTGTTCTCGTTCGCTGTGCGCACGGCTACAGGAGCGAAACTGCACATTGTTGAGATTGACCACGCGCCAGAAAATCCTGTGTTTACGAAGAAAGCCGTCGATGTGTTTTTCCCTGCCGAAGCGACGAATGACTTCCCTGTGGCCATGCAGGTTAGCCGTCGTTACGGTATCGTGTACCTGATGACCAAGTACGGCTTCATTCACCTGTATGACCTTGAGACTGGTGCATGTATATATATGAACCGTGTCTCGGGCGAAACGGTGTTTGTCGCTGCAGAACAGAAGAGTTCAAACGGTATCATTGCCGTGAACCGCCGGGGCCAGGTGCTTTCGGTGTCGGTTGATGCAGACACGATCATCCCTTACATCCTCCGCACGCTGAACAATACAGATCTTGCCTTCAAACTTGCCTCACGCGGTAATCTGCCTGGCGCAGACAACCTGTACATGCAGCAATTCCACTCGCTCTTTAGCGCTGGACAGTACAGCGACGCCATCAAGATTGCAGCAAACTCGCCACGGGGTATTCTTCGGACGCCACAGATGATCGAGCAGCTGAAACAGGTGCCAACGCAACCCGGCACGCTCTCGCCTATTCTTCAGTACTTTGGTGTGTTGCTGGAAAGCGGCTCATTGAACCGGCACGAGTCGCTAGAACTCGCGAAGCCTGTGCTGGCGCAGGGCCGCAAACACCTGCTGGAGAAGTGGCTCAAGGAGGACAAGATCGAGTGCAGTGAGGAGCTCGGTGACATTGTGCGCCAGCAGGACATGAATCTTGCCCTGAGCGTGTACTTGCGCGCGAATGTACCGAACAAGGTCGTTGCCTGCTTTGCAGAGACGGGTCAGTTTAACAAGATTGTGCTGTACTCGAAAAAGGTGGGCTACCAGCCCGATTATGCAACGCTCTTACGTCACGTTGTGCGCGTAAACCCGGAGCAGGGAGCCGAGTTCGCGTCCAGCCTTGTGGCTGATGAAGACGGCCCACTTATTGACGTTGAGCGTGTGGCCGACATTTTCCTGAGTCAGAATCTTGTGCAGCAGGCGACCTCGTTCCTCCTCGATGCCCTGAAGGACGACCAACCCGAGCATGCAGCCCTGCAGACACGCCTGCTCGAAGTGAACCTGCTCCAGGCACCGCAGGTTGCTGATGCCATTCTTGGAAACCAGATGTTTTCGCACTACGACCGCGCTCGCATTGCTAACTTGTGCGAGAAGGCTGGGCTTATGCAGCGCGCTCTCGAACACTACGATGACCTAGCTGACATTAAACGAGTCGTCGTGCACTCAAACCTCTTTGACAATGAATGGCTTGTGAACTACTTTGGTCGCCTTACTGTGGAGCAGTCACTTGAGTCGCTGTATGAGATGCTGCGCACCAACATCCGGCAGAATCTGCAGGTCGTCGTGCAGATCGCGACAAAGTACTCGGATCTGCTGGGCGCGCCGAAGCTGATCGAGATGTTCGAGAAGTTCCGCAGCTTTGAGGGCCTGTACTACTACCTGGGCTCTGTTGTGAATCTGAGCGAGGACCCTGAAGTGCACTTCAAGTACATCCAGGCGGCGACGCGAACAGGTCAGATCCGCGAAGTCGAACGCATTTGCCGCGAGTCCAACGCCTACAACCCTGAGAAAGTCAAGAACTTCCTCAAAGAAGCCAAGCTGCCAGACCAGCTGCCGCTCATCATTGTTTGTGACCGCTTTGACTACGTGCATGATCTCGTTCTGTACCTGTATCAGAACATGATGCTGAACTACATCGAAGTGTATGTGCAGCGAGTGAACTCGACACGTGCGCCGCAGGTCATTGGTGGTCTGCTCGATGTCGATTGCGACGAGGGCGTCATCAAGAACCTGCTCGAGTCAGTAACGGGCCCCATCCCAGTGGACGAGCTCGTCGACGAGGTCGAGAAGCGCAATCGGCTGAAGCTGATCCTACCATGGCTCAAGACGCAGATCGAGTCGGGCAGCGAAGATCAGGCCGTCTTCAATGCGATGGCCAAGATCAGCATCGACAGCAACAAAAACCCGGAGGCGTTCCTTAAGGAAAACAATCTATATGACCCACTCACGATCGGCAAGTACTGCGAAAAGCGTGACCCGTATCTCGCGTACATTGCGTATGCGAAGGGCTTCTGTGATGATGAGCTGATCGAGATCACGAACGACAATTCGATGTACAAGCACCAAGCACGCTACCTGGTCCTGCGTCGCGAGCCACAGCTGTGGGCAAAAGTACTGGCAGAAGACAACGTGCATCGCCGTTCGCTCATTGACCAGGTAACAGCCGTTGCCGTGCCCGAGTCGACCAACCCCGAGGACGTGTCTGCAACGGTGAAGGCATTCATGACGGCGGACTTGCCGCACGAACTCATCAAGTTGCTGGAGCCGATTGTGCTGGAGACGTCTGCCTTCAGCGACAACCGGAGTCTTAAAAACCTGCTGCTGCTCACGGCCATCCGCACAGATAAGGCGAAGGTGTCTGGCTACATCGATCGGCTAACCGGCTACGATGTGGATGAAATCGCCAGAATCGCCATTGACCACGGCCTGTATGAGGAAGCGTTCCAGATATACTCCAAGGCGCAACAGAATTTGGATGCGATGAATGTGCTGGTTGAGCACATCGTCTCGATTGACCGTGCACAGCACTTTGCCAACAAGCTGAACCAGCCAGACATCTGGTCACGACTCGGAAAGGCGCAGCTCGATGGTTTGCGTGTGAAGGACGCCATCGACTCGTACGTGCGTGCAGAGGACCCAGCGAACTTTGACGAGGTGATCGAGATTGCGGAGCGCGCTGGCCGTGAAGAGGAGCTTATCCGCTTCCTGCAAATGGCCCGCAAGCAGACGCGCGAGCCTAAGATCGACACGGAGTATGCGTATTGCCTCGCAAAGGCGCACCGCCTTTCCGACATGGAGGAATTCCTCTCGATGACAAACGTCGCGGATGTGCTGAGTGTGGGTGAAAAATGCTTCCATGACGGCCTCTATGAAGCGGCACGTCTCCTGTTTTCTAGTGTGTCGAACTACGCACGCCTTGCAACGACGCTCGTATATCTTAATGACTTCCCGAGCGCTATTGAGGCTGCACGCAAGGCTGGCAACACGGCTGTATGGAAGCAGATGCACGCTGCTTGTCTGAACAAGCGCGAGTTTAAACTGGCTCAGATCGCAGGTCTTGCGGTCGTACCGCACGCCGAAGATTTGCCGATGCTCATTCGTGCGTATGAAGTGAAGGGCTACTTCGACGAGCTTCTCCAGCTGCTTGAGTCGGCGCTGGGTCTCGAGCGTGCGCACATGGGCGTGTTTACACAGATGGGCATCGCTCTAGCTAAGTACCGACCTTCACAGCTGATGGAGCACCTCAAGCTGTACTGGTCGCGAAGCAATCTGCCGCAGCTCATCAAGGTGACGGAGAGGGCACACCTCTGGCGCGAGCTTGTGTTCCTGTATGTCAAGTATGATGAGCCAGACAATGCAGCGCTCACGATCATGGAGCACTGCTCTGATGCATGGGACCATGATCAGTTCAAGGCCGTCTTGCCCCAAGTTGCTAACGTCGAGATCTACTACCGTGCATTGACATTCTACTTGGAGCAACACCCGCTCCTCCTCAATGACCTGTTGACCGTACTTGTGAAGCGAATTGATCACGCGCGTGTCGTCCGCATGTTCAAGAAGCACGACCATGACAATGTGCCACTGATTCGCTCGTACCTCATGTCTGTGCAGCCACAGAACATTGAGGCTGTGAACAATGCGTACAACGACCTGCTCATTGAGGAGGAAGACTACGACACGTTGCGTGTGTCGATCGACGCGTACGACAACTTCGATGCGCTGGAACTCGCAGCGCGGCTCAAGGATCACGAGCTCCTGGAATTCCGGCGCCTGGCGGCGCACCTGTACCGAAAGAACGGCCGCTTCGACGACAGCATTGCACTGTCCAAGTCTGATACGCTCTTCCGCGATGCGGTCGAAACTGCCGCGCACTCTGGCGAGCCAAGCGTTGCTGAAGATCTCTTGAGCTACTTTGTCGACACAGGCAACAAGGAGTGCTATGCTGCGATGCTCTTCGCCTGCTACGATCTCTTGCTGCCGGATGTGGTGATGGAGATGTCGTGGCGACATGCGCTGCAGGACTTTACGATGCCGTACCAAATCCAGCAGGCTCGTGACACGCGCATGAAACTGCAGACTCTCGAGAAAGAAGTGCGTGAGCGTGCAGCGAAAGACTCAGCCAAGGAGAAGCAAGATGAAGACACGCCGATTCTCGGTCCTGGTGCTTTCGCGAATCGTCTGCTTACGGCGTCGGCCACCGGTCCTGACGGTATGATGATGCCCCCGTCTGCCGGCGGCATGTTTCCGTAACATGGATTGAACCCCCCCATCTCTCATTGCCATCCCCGTCCCAATTCGTAGCTGAGTGACATGCGTAGCAACGTAGTACACGTACCAATGAATCTCAATGGCCTCGAACGAGGGAGTCGCACCTGGCAAGTTCTGCTAGGTTCCGATGACAATGTGAAAGCAACGAACCTCGAATGCATCTTTCAATGCAGCTTGTAGCATGTTGCTTCTTGCATATATGTAACTGCCTTCTGATTGACATACGTTGCATGAATTTCCGCTACAATCATCATGCACACAGTACCGCGTACACACAGACATATCTATACAACAGAGTGTGCTAGAGATACCTCCTGCTTAGCTGCGGCATCGTCGGTATTCGTATGGTCACTGGAACCTTCTTCCAATGACGCAATCAAACGATCAAAGAGCTCGACACCCTGCTCATACAAATGCACATTGCCCTCCGTATACAGCCTGAGCGTCTGGAGCATCTCTTGGCGGCGGCCGAGTTCATAGATATCGTGCTCATTGGCCACGTGTTGGTTGAATGCTTGAGACTGCTTGTGAGACAAAGAGACAGCGTCTTGCAGCTCGTCAATGCGGCCATCGAGACGCTGCATCCGCTCAATCCGTGCCTGCTCTTCATCGACACCCCACACACGGTCTACCATGTGCCGCATGTAGCCACGCAAGCCCACACCACGCACATTGCCATGGACTGGCTCGCCATCAGGCGTGCCGAGACTCGCAAGCCGGTCACGCTCTGTCACAGCCGTATGCAGATAGTCTGTAAGGCCCTCAAAGTCGAGCTGCTTGTTTTCTCGGTGCTTAAGAAGAGTCTTGTGAGAGCCAATGAATGCCTGCTTCGCATGTAACATGGTAATCACGTCATCCAACACACGGAACGTGAAGCGAGCCTCCAGATCAGCAAAGTCATCCAGAGCCTTTGCTGTCTGCTGCAAATCTGATGTCAGTCCCGTTTCGAGCATGCCCAGTTGCTCGAACGATTTCGCAAGATCGTGGTAATCAGATGTCAAGTCTTCAGAAGATGCGCCCATATGAATAGAATACAATTCGTCAAAAGCGGTTACTTCACGCCTGCATGAGTCATCGATATCTCGCGCATAAACGAAATGGCCTGGCAATACAACAACCAACCAACCATGCCAAGGAGCCTGAAAACATACCAGATACATGTGTCCGATTCCGAAGGAGCACTCGTTCCCATTGTGTGGTCCGATCTTCTTCGCCCTCGAGACCAGCTTTGATGGCAATGAATCGCGGATCCGGCTTCCTCACGCGGGTAAATGCGTTCACAAATATATCACTCATCGACTCTAGAATTCCACCCGTCGATGAAGATGGCACCTCCGGTGTAGGAGCGCCCGACGTACTTGCAATCGGCTGTCCAGAATGTGTGTGCATGTCAATGTGCCACTCGTTCGACTCGAGAAACTGCTGCAAGATTTTTGCCCGCTGCAGCAACGGATGTCGGCACACCCGCTCTAGAAATAGCTGCAACTCCATGCACCGCCGCATGATGAACTCGGAACTAAAGCGATCGCCCGTCAAATAGCCTGCATATGTACAGAAAAAGTCGAGTTGCCGTTCGATAAAGTGAGTAACAGGAAGCAATGAGGAAAAAAAAAAATTGGTCGGTGTTAGCTCTACATCTGTTGTGTGCCTCGATTCGACTAGTGCAAGCAATCGTCGTCACCAGTGAAGGGCTGCTGCCGCCAACGAGTGCCATACGTACCGATTCTGTGCTTTCCCGGCAACGGTGGCACAATGCACGCGGGGAAATCGGACACAAGTGCATCGTGAAGAAACACAAAGTCCTGAAAACGCTTCCTTGTGATCATGTATGTGCGGGAGAAATGAGGTAGATTTGTTTCAGCGCGAACGCCATACGACACAAATGTCTGTGAGCCTCTGGTCGTTGGCGCGTGCGTGTCGTTCGTCCTGTTCTGTTGTTGGGCACCGTGAGTCTCTTTGCGTGGATCTAGTACAAGAACACGCAGCTCTCCAAGCCACTCTAACCCGTTTTTGTCGCCGCTTGACATGGCTGTCCAGGATCTGGTTCGTTCTCCGGCCACTCAACACGTATCGAAACGGATCGATGCAGTGTTGGCTACTTTCTGACCCCTGCCCGCAAATCACCTCCACATCCGCACGTTGCGTCCGAACAGTCCTTGGCTAACGACGGTGTGGCTTTCCACGCACGCACCCGCGAATTGGCATGCCACGAGTTGTCCATGTGCATATATCCCAGGACCTTGCTTTTCTAAGTGCTCGATGGCCGCGGCGGAGAGTCGGCGCGCAAGTGGGGACTACCGGTGGCAATACGAATTTCTTTCTCAGAATACCGAGTGATAGAACGTCGGCATCGCAACCGTGAGAGAAATGACGCTTCCTTACGTCGTTGACGCCGAGACGTCGTTGTCGCCTGCAGAACTGCAGGTTCTCTATGATCAGTACGAGTCTGAGGCAGCCTCGGGCCACATCACGACGCAGACCAAATTTAACTATGCGTGGGCCCTCATCAAAAGCCCTCAGCGGCAGCAAATGCTGCAGGGCGTGGCCTTACTCACAGGTACATATTTATTATTCAGGTGGCGTTGGTCTTGGCTGCCGTCATTGTCGACATGAGCGTACTTACATTTGTGTGTGTGACCAGATATTTACCGCTCGGATCCTCCACGACGTCGCGAGTGCCTATACTATTTGGCTCTCGGGCACTACAAGCTTTCGAACTTTGACGAGGCAAAGCGCTTCAATGGTATGATCATAAATACATGTATCTGGCTCACTTACACTCAGCACTTTTATTGGAACGTGAACCTAATAACATGCAAGCACAAAGCCTGCATGCTCTAATCGAGCAGGGTATAGCGAAAGAGGGGTATATCGGTATGGCTTTGCTGGGCGGTGCGGTGACTGTCACCGGCGTGGTGCTAACGGCTTTGCTTCGTCGCGGACGTAGGTAGATGCACCCCTGTGCATCCACATTTGTACGTTGGCTGCGCATGTCGCTAGCCCTGGAAGGCAATCCCTCTCGCGTGTGCCTCTGTTGCGCCGCCGCTTGCATACCCCGTTCCCTCTCGCACCAGTGGGATCACATCACGCGTCTTTGGAATGACTCGACTACATTCTGGACATGACACAGGCTCGCCGTGAGAAAGTGGCGTTGTGACAAGAGTCGTTGTGCATGATGCACATAGCACATGCCCACAGGGACGTAGAACTGTGTGTCAGTATGATCAATCGGTGTCCCAATGTAATTCCTCTTCACCTGCCCTATGTCGTTCGTTCGGCCGGTGGCACTATCCTGGCGACGTACCATTTGTTCGTGAAACAAGCGAGAACTCTTTCTTGCAGCATGGACAGTACATCTGCTCTTCCTGCTCGATTTTCCGCACACTAAAGTGTACTGGGATCAAATGCTTCGAAAGCAATTTGTGAGGTTTGTCAGACGTTGCTGTGCATAGTGTAGTGGAAGGGCGTTCATCGTCCAGAGCGGCCTGTGCTTTTTCCTGTTCCTCACGAGAAACTTCAGGTGCCATACTGGGAAGCCAAAATGCCGGCATCGCTGTGTGGGAAGATGCTGAGGTTGATGAAGGTGCCAACGATTCAGACCCCTTGTGCATCGAAGCACGCTTCTCAGCCGAGCCCCCTCCGTCATCATCGTCGTGCTTGCGCTTGCCGTTGTTCGTGGTCTGCCAAGACACAGGTCCATCGTTGCGCGCGAATGCGGCCACACGATTTTTGGCTTCACGCTCATAAGCCTCAGCGGCTTTGTCGGCAGCAATGCGTGCACGGTCACTACGTCGTTGGGCATGGTCGGCAAGTGCACGCTTCTGATTAATTAGATCCGCAAGGATGCATTCCTGCTGGTCAGCCGGTCACAGTGCACCTACCGCCATGAAACATACCTTGCAGAAGAGATGCCCTTCACCGCAACAGACAGGCTGCTGAGCAGCTTGAAGGCATAAGTAGCAAGCATAAAATGCGCGCATATTCTCCTTCGAGAGCCGCAGACTACGCGAGCCCCAACGGTCTTTCAGCATTCTCTCTGTTAGACAGTGATGATACGCACTGATATTCAGCATAAGTAAAGTGGCCTAAAGCCGTATTCTGCTTCGAGTGGCGAGTCATGGCGACTTGGTTTGTTAGCGCACAACCACGTCAGGCTCCAGGCGTCGTTCTACAGACACGCTGCGACTGGCACGTATTCAGCCTACACTTACAGAGGACGAACACACGATTCCTCGAGCTCGACAGAGACACATCCACGTGGCAACGTCCACCCAACGTCGCAGGCCTTACAAAGCCGGCGAAAGAGCCTCCGAGTCGCAGTGAGCCACACTTACTGGCAAAACGGGCCCCACGCAAAGAGTCCAAACCGCCATACGTATCCAAGCATCTATGCAGAAAAAGCGCGCGCTTCTAGCCAAACTACCTACATCATGTCAGATTCTAATGGCCTTCACCAGCGGCCTCTTTCATATCAAAGCCCTTCCATTGGCCAGGTGGAGCAGGCACTTGAAGTGGCTCATAGCTGCGGCGACACGTTAGATTCAATGAGATATACGTACGGCTTCCAATCGATCATCTTAGCAGCTAAGTGCAATTCATCTTGCGCCTGATCGACGATTTCCTCGATTAGACCCGAGTCCAGCTGCGCAACCACTTGGTCGATCGCTGCCTCTGACGCATAAGCATTCTTCCTGGAAGTCTCGCTCATGGCCGCTTTCACAATGTCGAGACGCTGCTGAGTAACTGCCTCAGATGATTGCCGAAACACAGCAGACTCAGGCATGGTCTTGAGCACTCGCAGGGTCTGGGTATAGGTCGACTCGAGCTCCGGCAACGGGTCGGGGTGAATCTCAAGACCCGCTATATTTGTCGAGCGTTTCGTACGCAAGAATTGGGTGGCTTCCGCACGCACAGCCGACGGGAAGTATCGCACAGCCTTAGTTGCAAACATGTGGGCGGGTGCTCAGGGAGGTCGTAGATGGAGAAGAGCACGCTTCGTTCGGTCTCGACTCTCCCTGGCCAGACCCAACCTCTCACACCAAGCGCACAAATGGGTGACAGACGAGTCGGGGCATGTGTTTTCGGCCGAATCCACTCCACATGCAATATACATCAGCACAAGTTGCCGCCGTCAGTTCGGCGGCGAATTCATTCTGTTCTGAGCGCACGTAGCGGCGGCAGCGGCGGCAGCAGTAGCGCCGGTGGTCAAGTGGACAAGTGACACGATCTCTCGCATCTCACCTATCATTTACTTGGGCTTGTGGGCGTGCACGTACTTTCCTTGCCACAATGATACCATATGATACAGTGGGAGCTCCTCCTTCGTTCCAAGGTATGCCTTCCTCAAGTCATCGTTCAGTTGACTCCCTCGCAGAGTATCGACCGCTCATGAGTGGTAAGCCAGAGGTGCATTCTAGTTATTATTACCACACTATGCCCATGGCAATCCCAGAGCCCTATCACTATGGGCCGGCCACGAACTCCATGCCGCCAGCCCGTGTTGGCTTGTCAGATCCGCGCGATGCCTACGTTCCAGCCGGCGTACATGACGTGTCAATGCGCAGCGTTCCACGACCTCCATCGCGCTACGTACACGAGCCCATGGAGTATGGACCGGTGCACAGCATACACGAATTGCCGCCACCACTTATGGCTCATAACGACGGTTCCATGTTACAACCAAACCCAAGTGCCCCCATGGACATGGGGTCTTCGCTTCATGATGATACTGTCTTTGGTCCGACTCATCGCATGCATGCCATACCACCTCATCACCCCCAGTATCCACAGGATGTACCGCCCCGCTCAGCGATCAAGCGCGTCACGTCTCAACATGCAACAACACCGCTGCCGCCACCTTCCTTCACTGATGCGCCAGCATCGAAGCGCGATCGGAAACGCAAGGATGTACTTGAGCGCCTTGATCGCGCACACTGGGAAACATTTGAGAATCGCGACCCCCTATACCAAGATGCATACATGGGACTTTCATCCACATATTACACCCTCATGATGCGGCCGTCGTTTGTTCGTGAGTATGCTATGAAGCTAGCTGACCAAACGGTACGCCGTGATGCATCACTGCGCGAAGCGTCTCTATACCGTGCCTTCCTAATGGATCGAAGTCGACATACATACGATATGGAGCGCAGCAGAGTCGAAGACGAAGCTCGCGTGTCGAAGCGGAGCGTGCGCGACAAGCTGCTTGGTGTGATTGAGGAGCGCAAACGTCTCCTGAAAGACGAGCGAGACATTGGCGACTTCACTGGCGACTATATTCTTGAGCACTCGCATCGACAGCATTCTACACGCCAGTTGCGGAACAAGGACAGCTCCTCCAATGGCGCGCCGGCGCGTCTTGGACAGCTCCTCGACTATGAACAGACGGAATCCTCTGCGTACTTGGGTATTGCCACTGCTGTAGCTCAGCTGCTTGGCTGGTCAGAAACAGAAGCGACTATGGCTATTGCAGCGGCTAGTACAGGTGGCGATGGTAACCTGTTATGCAGGGCACCCGACGGAATCAACACACGCCTCCCACTGCTCGAGACATTTGCTTCACAGGCGTCTCTCCTAGCAGGTATCAATGTAACGCCCAGCACAGGCAAAGGTAAGAAAAAGGACGCGGTTGGGAAACTGTCATCTAGGTCGGCGATAGATCGCAGCGACGATGACGATGCAATAACAACAACAACACCCCTGCTGTCGTCTGGCGGTGGCCGCTTGCGTTGGGACACAGCTAAGTGCTTGAGCCAGCTTACCTCGGCGAAAGACTTTGAAGTTGAGGCGGATCTCATCCATATCCATCAGATTGGACAAAAGCGACGGCGTCGATAGATGCATTTCGGAATTGGCTACAGCTGTGCAGCGGTCGTTCCGACTTGATCTGTTCTTCATGATTGTAGACCATCGATTGTTCTATTCCCTTTCACTTGGTTATATAATACATTGTCTATCATATTGATCATGTTTGAACGAGGGTTTGGCAGGAAACCAACGCCCAAGCCAGCCTCGCAAAAAAAAAAAATAAATAAAATAAAGCAAAGACAAGACAAGAAAGATATTGTTTCCTTCGGTCAAGTCTCCTGCTTCAACTAACCACATCCAGTTCGCTCACAACGCCATTCGACTCCAGCAGACTAATCACCGTGAATGGCGCACCATCTTGTTCCATAGCATCACATCCGATCGTGTATCGTACCTGCGCCCGCGCAAGACCATTGAACGTCGAGGACGCGCACAAAGTATAGGCACCCATATTTTCATAGACGAGCCAGTCCCCAACATCAAGTGCACGAGGCAAGCGCGTCTGCCTCATGATGCAGTCCATACTGTCACAAGTTGGGCCCCATACACTGCAGGGCCGCCATTGGTCTTGTGCTAGCTCTGGAACAGAACTTTCACGTTCGTATACAAAGTCGCGCTGCATTGAGAGTACTTTTGGATGTACTTGTTGATGATCAAACAAGATGCAATTGAATGCGCCATACGTGCCGTCATTTTGGTAGTACATGGCCTTGGGCCGTCCATCATCAGCACCTCCTTGCCCATCTTGACGAACTGCGTCACTGTTATCCTCTTCGGATTGGCGACGTGCAATGATATTTGTCGCAAGCGAAAAGGCTCGGTACACAAAGTACCGACCGGGCTCGGCAATCACGCGCAATCCCTTCGGTCGCTCTGTCATGCGCGAACCGCCGGGAGCAAATGCTTCATCTGGGAAGTAATCATCCAGCGCCGAGCGTACGACTTTCGCAATAGCTTCGAAATTATGGTGCTCAAATCCACCACCAATGTCTAGCAAGTCAAATGTGTAGCCATACTCACGACCCATGTCAAAGGCTTGGCGCGAACGATACAGGGCATCGCGGTACGCCTCAGGATCGAAGCAGCCAGAGCCAACATGGAAGCTTACACCCACAACGTCAAGATCCAGTTCACGCGCCTTCGAAAGCAGACGTGGCACGTCAGCGAGTGGCGCGCCAAACTTGATGCCCAGTTGACAAACACTCTTGGAATCATCCGTCAAGATCCGGACGACCAGCTTGCTTTCAGGATGGAAGCGCTTCATTTTATAAAGTTCATCGACATTATCAAATGTCGTAAGACAGATATTTTGGGCTGCCGCGCGACGTACAAATGACGAAGCCTTGCACGGATTTGCGTAGATGATGCGCGACGGCGACACACCCATATCGAGGATTGTCTGGATCTCCCCATTAGAAGCACAGTCAAACCCGAGGCCTAAAGCTGCGAGCAAGTGCAACACAATTGGCTCCGGATTGCATTTGACGGCATAGAATGGAATTATACGTGGCAATTCTCGGCGCCATCGCACGTATTGTCGATAAATCGTCGCTAGATCAGCGACGTAGAAAGCATTCTCACCGTCTGCATCGCACTCATCTACATCAATCTTGTCCAGTACCGCTTTGAACTGCTGGGCTGTTGACCCACGATAAAGTGGCATACCAAGAGTCGTCTTAGAAATCGGCTGCGCCACAAGTTCTTCAACGTTATCTGGTGGCGGCGTGAGGGAGCGCGCGTCATTTAGCATCTGTGACACAAACATATTTCACAAACGACACTAACAGGTGCAACCGTCTCTTGCCTCAAGCAAAAGTCGATGTGCTTAGTGCGTGCTTGTGTCGTCGTGTCGAGAAGCACAAGTGGAAGGTGCAAAAGAAGAAAAACTAATTTTTTTTTCTCCTTTTTGCTCTTTTTTTCCTGCGCCTTGCTGTTGCCATTGACCCACCTACCCTCCACACTGGCGCAGCAGCATTTATCCGTCTTACGCTCAACACTCTTGTAGGCCCATAGAGCTGCCCCCCAAGTATCACCGCCGCAGCTGCATCTCCACATAGAGGCCTCATGTTCATTCTGGATTAACATCGCACAAGGCGATTACACCGCTTCTTTTTTGATCGAGTGTAGATCATTACATGACAAATTGGTCGTATCCGCACAATCGACAGTCGAGCTTGGTTTTTTGAAACTGGGCCATGACGCAGGCTTCCGGACATGATGCGCCATCATACAACCCAGAAAAATCATCAAAAAAGCAGGGTGCTGACTCTGATCGAGTCGCCCATGAAAGAGCAGCGGAATCGCAACCACCAACCAAAAAGAAACAAGCGACTCGGCGCAAGGTGAACATGGCTTGCATTTACTGCCGTCGGAGTCATATGACTTGCGATGAGAACCGACCTTGCCAACGCTGCATAAAGCGCGATATCGGACACTTGTGCCGGAACGAGGCCACGCCCCAGAATGGTAACGGTGCAAGAAACCGCGCTGGACGGAAGCAGGCCGAGACATCATCCCCTAACACGATGATATCACCGTATGCTCTTGTCAACATGGGCCAGATGCCACCAGCACACCGCGATATTCTTCCAACATTAGAACTGGAGCGGCCGCCCGTGGCAGGACCAAGCATTATGACACTTGATCACGAGTTGAATCCACCATCGCATGCATCGGCGTCACTCCCTCAAGACACTTTGCCAGCACCGCCACTCGAAAGTAGCAATAGTTTTGATGGTGGCTTGTCCTCCTTTGACATGAACTTAGGTGGCTCGTCCGCAGGGGTTTCCCACATATCCTCACAGAAACCTAAGCGCAATGGCCCCGACTCGTCAATGCCTTTGTTGCATCAACTCAAGACCTTTACATCGTCGGCTCCCAGCAGTACCGCAGGCGTTCATGCCGATGCTTTCACAGACCCTGTACCGTCGCACTCTGTATATGGGAGTGGCACGTCTTTGGCGGCACGCATCACGCCAACAAAGCCAGATGCCGGGAAGACCGCAGATATGCATGGATCACAGCTGGGTGGTACAGCTTGGCTAGGTCTCGGTGGCTCGTCGCAACACACAGGCGATGCAGGCGGAGGCGGCGAGTTGGATATTTTGCATGATTTTCTTAGTTCAATCGACGATGGCAGCGGCGCGATGGCACCGTCGAACGAACTTGTACATCTGCCTCTGAAACCTGATGTACCTCCAACAATGCAGACCACCTTGCTCTCACGCGATGGATCAGGTGCTTTGGATCCTCCAAATAGCTCTACGCTACCGTCTTCCACTACATTTAGTCCCCAGGACAAGATGGAGCTTATTGCAGGATCTCCGCCAAGGAGTACAAGTTCCGTGCCTCTACCGTCGCTGGCGCAAGGCTACCCGTTTCAGCGACAGCAGCTGCAGCGTCGAAATTCATTTGAAGCAGCTGATCAAAAAAGAAACGACATACACCCGTCAGATGCGACACTGCATTCTTCTGACAGCATGTCAAGCTCAACTCCGAATCTGTCAGCTGCCATGGGCGGAGAAAACCGGTCTGATATTGATTCAACATCGTATCATTTCCACTCGCCATCCAAAGCTGCGTCCAAGACCGAACAGTTCTTGTTAACTGCTGCTGATCAGAAAGATGGAAGTCGTGACGAGCGTCTGCAACAGGTAATCCGGGCCAAATGGGAGGCAGGTCTGCTGCGTCCATTCAACCATGTGAAAGGTTATGCGCGATTGAATCAGTGGATGGAAAACAACGTATCTCCTTCATCTCGGCGGCGAATCCTGAAACCGCTTTCCGTGTTCAAGCCTGTCTTTATCACACTGTCGAAAAGTTTAACGAATTTCGACTTGATTTGTGTGGAAGAGGCATTTGAGCGGCTCTTGCTCGACTATGACCGCGTCTTTTCGATTCAAGGTATCCCTGCATGTTTATGGCGTCGAACAGGCGAAATCTACAAGGGTAATAAAGAATTTGCCGAACTGGTCGGTATGCCTATCGAGTCGTTACGCGATGGACGACTATGCATATACGAGCTCATGACAGAAGAAAGTGCAGTGAACTACTGGGAAAAGTATGGCTCTGTCTGCTTCGACTCGAGTCAGAAGGCGGTGTTGACGATGTGCACATTGTTAACGCGGAACAAGAGTCTGAGACAAGCCAATCATCAAACCAGCTCGCCTTCTGATGAAAATGAACCCTCGCCTCATACAACTGATACTGACAGCTCATACACGCAAGCATCGTCTGGTAGAACGATCTCGCGTCCACCAGCACACATATTATGCTGCTTCAGCTTTACGATTCGCCGCGACAGGTGGAATGTACGTGTGCTTCTAGTGATGAAATTAGCGACTTTTGACATACTGACACGCTTTGCGCACTGGTTTTCGCTACCTTGATCTGGTTACTGTATGGACATGGACAGATTCCTACTATGATTGTTGGCGTACGTACAATATCTCTGCCAGGAGCGGGGGGGAGAGATGTGTGTTCAGGACTAACCGCGCACGGCAGAATTTTCTTCCAACAAACCCGATAGCACCTCCGTAAATGCTCATTACCTACTCTGCATTCAAGTCGTTTTCTACGCATTAAATGGACAGCGCGACCCACGATATGCTCGTAAGTAGGCGTGTTGCTTCGTATGCAATTCACGTCAATTTGCATGCGTCGTGCATTCAATGGGTGTTCACATATGCACGTGACTGGCACTGGAGCCGCTCCCGCTTGCACGACGCGTGCAAGGGGTTGCGGGCGGTCCTCCACGAATCACATGCAGAGCGACGTACATGCACGTCTGCCTTGCAGCAGCGCGCGCGACGCTTCGACTTGCCAGTCAGTCAGTCAGTTGCCCAGCTTTTTTTCCTGGTCCACACACGGATCAAAGGCCGTTTATCCAACTGTCATTGCGACCTTGGTCACCAACCGTGGCGGATCGTGTATACACGCGATGACTGCCCTTGATCCATTGACAGGGGTACCGCCCCCTAGGGCATCGCGGCCTGCATCTGCGCTACGGAATGTAGCACAGCCATTGCAGACTGCCACCAACACGCTTGGCACCCGCAAGCGAGCCAAGGACATGGCTGCCATTTTTGACAAGCGGCAGGCACCACACAGTCGCGAAGCACCACGCGTAGGTGCGGCGCCCTCACTGAGAATGCAGCAAGCTGGACGCAGAGGACCGCATCCCAGTGAGATTCATGCGGCGCCACCCATTACCACAGCGCAAGTGCATCCAGTTGAGCCGGCTTCTCGACCACAAACGCGGCTTGAACGTGAAAAGAAACGGCATTACAATGACCCTCCCAATGTAGGTCCTTGGAGGCTGGGAAAACTCATCGGCCAGGGCGCATCAGGCCGCGTGCGCCTCGCGATGCATTCGCGCACGCAGCAGCTTGCTGCAGTGAAAATTATCCCGAAGCAAATGCTCATCAACAGCCGTATGAGTTTACGCGACCTGAGTGCAAAGCAGGATAAGTTAACATTGGGCATTGAGCGGGAAATTGTGATCATGAAACTGATCGAGCACCCGAACTTGCTGGGGCTTTGGGATGTGTACGAAACAAGCAAGGAGCTCTTTCTCGTTATGGAGTATGTGGCCGGAGGCGAGCTTTTCGACTACCTTGTAGCTCGTGGGCGTCTACAGCCATACGAGGCTCGACAGTACTTCCGACAGATCATATTTGGTGTGGACTATTGTCATACTTTCAGCATCTGCCATCGAGACCTCAAGCCAGAAAATCTGCTTCTTGACGGTTCACGCACTGTTGTCAAAATTGCTGATTTTGGTATGGCTGCTCTTCAACCAACGGAAAAAATGCTCGAGACCAGCTGCGGCAGTCCTCACTACGCGAGTCCTGAGATCGTGAGTGGCATGACGTATGATGGAACAGCTAGTGACATATGGAGCTGTGGTATTATTCTCTTTGCACTCTTATGCGGACGTCTTCCCTTTGATGATCCAAACATTCAAGTACTGTTGGGCAAGGTGCGCGCCGGAAGATTTGCGATGCCTTCTCACTTGGATCCTTCAGTGAGGGACCTGATTGGGCGTATGTTGCAAGTGGACCCGAAGAAACGTGCGACTATGCGGGAGATTTGTTCGCATCCCTGGTTTACAGATAATGGACGTTTATCGTCGAAAAATCCTGTGACGACAGAAATCAGCACATTGTCAAACGAACCAATTCGCCTAGCTGAGATTGATCCTGACATTCTCGGCAACCTCAGTACTTTATGGCCCGAGCTTACACACGAGCAGATTATTCGAAGACTCCTTCAATCTGGCCAAAATTGGCAGAAGACGTTCTACATGCTGTTGGTCATTCACCGCGATAGTCATGGAACTGACGACGAAGATGAAGAAGCTGAAGATTTGGACGAGGACGAACAGCTTCAACTGAAGCAAACACAGAATGATATGAAGCAACCTGCCCCGATTGTACACTCCCCTTCCCCACCAGAGCCATCTCGACCGTCAACTATGATCACGTCAGGCCCTACTATGACGAAGACTCAGCCAACGCCATCTTCTCACGTTGCGCCTCCTATAATGCCAGTCAGTATGGGTGCGGCGCCCGAGTGTGTAACCCCTAGCTCCGCCATTGCAACCGATGCTACCTTACATGCTTCGCATCTCCCTCAAGCTCGCGAATCACTAGACGAACGCGCCCCTGCGCCTGTGGTCACCCCTGTCGGAGCGCCTGCGGCGGCTCAGCTAACAAGCACGCCGCCGCGAGAAGTAGGTCGCCGCTCGAATGTATGGATGCCTGATGTGTCGATGGGCTCGACTGCAGCGTCCATGTCCGTCGATGAGGAGCGTACGACTGGTCCCTCAACAATAGCCAAGGGCACGTTAGCCGCACGACCCCCAGCGCCAGCGGAAAACACAGCGTCAGCTTGGCTCATGGAGCAGGTTAGGGCCGAACATGCAAGAGCGGAACAATTGAGAAATGAACATCTGGAGGCTGAAAGGCGGAAGATGGAGCAGCTCAAGGCTGAGCGAATGCGTACTGAACAGCTTAGGGTTGAACAAGCTCAGGTTGAGCAGATTAGGATTGAAAAAGCGAAGACCGAGCAACTGCGAGTCGAGCAAGAGAAAGCTGAGCAAGCTAGGATCGAGCGAGTCAGGGCCGAACAGCTTAAAGCTCAGCAAGAGAAAGCTGAACAAGCTAGGATCGAGCGAGCCAGGGCCGAACAGCTTAAAGCTCAGCAAGAGAAAGCTGAACAAGCTAGAGTCGAGCGAATCAGAGCTGAGCAGCGTAGATCTGAACAAGAAAAGGCTGAGCAAGCTAGGTTCGAGCAAGCTAGAGCTGAGCAGGCCAGAGCTGAACATGCTAAAGACGGAGTAACTTCGGCCGAACAGGCCCGAAACCGACCGCCCAGCTCTTTGGACAAGTCGGACATGGCAAGGATGTCTTCGAAGCGCCCATCGAGCCGAGAGGATGGTCCAGGGCGACGGTTATCGACTCTCTTCTCCATACCGTTCGCTGGACGCAAGCCATCATTGGCCTCCATTCGACATTCGTCTGGCCACAATGCGCGCATCTCATCTGACACATCTCGTCCGTCGTCTGCTCTTGGCTCGATTCCTCCGTCAACGATGAACGAACGCTCGAGCCAAGCGCTATTTTCGACTGGGACGTTGGAACCAACCTTGCGTTCAGCCGAATCAACCGGTGCTCGTAAGCCTGTGCCTACGGTTGAGGCGCTGGAAAAGACCATGCAGACTGCACAGCAAATGACGGATGTGTCGAAATCTGTTGAGCCTATGGAGATTTCTGAGTCACATGAGACCTCTCGAGACAGGGATACCGTTCATTGTGCAACTCAACAAAGCACTGGCTCACAAGCACAGGCACCTTATGCTCACACTGTGCCGAGCATCAATGCCCCGACACAGCCAGATAAGACATCTGCCAGTCACAGTTCGGCCGTCCCCACCATCCTAGCACATCCCCCCTCTTCCAATGCCATAGCGCGACCGGCGCCGGCAATCACGGGCTTGTCATCTTCGCCTATGACAGGTGGCTGGAAACAGCGCTTGCCCTCTCTGTCGAGTCCAGAGCCTAACTCACGTTCTACGTCCCAAGGCAGTCGTGAGGGCGACGAATCGCTCATGCGGATGTTTATGCGGGAAATTGCCGACGAACTTGACTCCCTAGATGCTATGAGTACGTCTCTTGGCATGCCAACGTGCGCACGAACGTCACAAAACTCAGCTGCGCCAGCAATGGGATCCTCGCAACCTGTGGCACCTGGAACTTCGGCGATGGATGTGTCAGGGTCGTCAGCCTCGGCTTCGGCTTCGACTTCGACTTCGAGACCAATGACGTCTTTGGCCACTACAGTTACGGCCAACAGCTCTGCTCAGCCTTCTGATGTGTCGACCAGATCTGGAACTGACACTTCGTTTGGCAGTCAGAATCGCTATGACGATGCAAATGAGGAATCTCTGCTTGTCACTAGTGTGGAGCCACCCAGGACGAGTCTTGGGCAGCACACACGGGTCTACACGCCCGTGTATGCTGCCTTTGCCAAATACACTAACCAAATACAGGCTCCAGAACCGCAGCTGCAGCAACAACAACAACATAAGCCAGATGCGCCAACGCTTCCAGTGCGCCCGCGCACAAACGAAACGCGCGCTCATGCTCCAGGGATGCCGCAAATCCGTCAGCCTATCGGCGGACGCGACATGCCAGGCGAGGTTCGCCAATCGGCTGTGGCTGATGCTAATACACCTATTTCTTCAACACTTCCAACGCATCCACTATCGCCTCCGTTCCCGCCACACGCCTCTTCAACAATCCCATCGACGTTCAAGCCAGCGAATATCGTGCCACCACCTGTCGAACTTGTTGATCCATCAAGAGCCCCTGCCACTAGCGCATCAGCCGCCCAGCGTGTATCTAATAGTCCTATGCCCATGGCCTCGGCAACAACGCGGCCCGCAAGTGCCACAGGGATGCTTCCCAGTGTTATGTCACCGACAACGAGCTATGTACCTAATATGGTGCCAGAGCGTGACCGTGCACAAACTGCGCTTGGTACGGTGCCAGTGCCCGCTGGAACGAACGGCATCAGCAGTCCGACAGGGCCTATGGCATCACCTTTGGGCGGCTTTGTCCCCGGGTCTCGCGCCGGCTCAGGCCCAGTCGTCATTCCTACAAGCCCAACATCTGCTGCTCCTGCAACTCGTTTGCCTAGCCCCATCCCTGCGCGCCATCCCGCAAGTCCATCGGTAGTGCCACATGCGCCAGATGCTGCTTCCTCAGTTCGTCCCGTGACGTCGACGCCAGTAACCACGATCCGCCCATCGGGACCGGTTCCTCCAGGCCGTCCTGCTAGTCCATTGCCTACAGCACGACCTGTGAGCACGTCGCCCGCTGGATTTGTGCCGGCAGCATCGCCCTCAGCCGCTCGCCCCTCTGTACCGTTCTCAGGGGGACGTACTCCAGTGCCAGTGTCAACATCGCCACGACCAGCGAGTCCGGTATCTGCAACCGTTCCGTCGAGTCCACCTGCGAGAACTCGTCTCTCTGGACCATTGAACGCATCAGCTGGCACAGCCCCCGCCGCTGGTCCCGCTGGTCGCTCAACAAGTCCTACGCTAGGACTACGCCCCTCGAGTCCGAGTCCTACTCCGGCAGCGGCTAGTCGACCTAGCAGCGCCTTAGGTGGACCGCCAAGGCCCAAAAGTCCCTTCGGTCTGGCCAAACGCCCATCTTCACTTGCATCGCCAAAACCAACGTTGTCGTCAGGACGCACTGCATCCGGCTCCACGGGCCAATCGAGTATCCGACCACGCCGAAGCCTCATGGGCACACTCCGTGGTGAAGGCGAGCCGATGGGCTTGGGCGTCGACATTGTTGGAATTGAGCAACAGTCCCATGCACATATCCCTCGACCTGCCTCACCCATTGGTGGCGATGCACCTTTGTCCATTGGTGCGAAACATTCTTGGTTCCATGGTCTGCTACCGAAGCGACAGATGCATGTTCTTATGTCGGTGGAAAATCTAACCAAGACCAAAGTGACGTGTGAATCACTTTTGGTCCAAATGGGTGCGACCATCCTGGCAAGTTCGCGTGCACAAAGTAGCTTGCCGCTCACACAGCAGGGACCGTCGCAATACTTATTGGAGCGAATCCGCGATCCACAGAGCGGTAAGTCCATTTCTTGCAAACCTATGCGATTCCGTCTCGAGTACACGATTCTGCCTGTCCGATCACAGGCGTCATCAACTCCGTCGACGGCCAATGGCGGCGGCAACATGCAAGGCAATGCGTTGCCGACGTCGCCGGGCATGCCGGGCTTTGATCCTCGTTCCGCGCAAGGCCGATCCATGTCGCCGGTGCTAGGTGGTGGTGGTGGTGGTGGTGCAGCAAGCACTGCATCGCCATCATTTGCCACTAGCGTTACATGGACGCATGAAAAAGGCTCGCTTACCACGTTCCGGCTCTTCATGGACAAGGTTCGAGGTGCATGGACCTTGGACACCACAAGTAATTAAATACAGCCATTGTTTCACTCTCAACTACTTTCACATTGTATCTCTTTGCTTGCAAAAATACCACGCTACATCAAGAGACCCTTTCTTTTCTATATGATGCACACTCGTTGGGTACCATCACCTGTTGCCGGCGAGACGAATCTTGTTTTGCCTTGCTCAACTATAGTCTCTCTTTCCCTCGATGTGTAGTAGGTACGTATAAATGACATGATTCTACGGGTATCCGCTAGGCACTGGTCTCATGGCCTAGTTCCTCGGACGAACGTACGATCCATTCTTTGCGGCCTTCATCCTCAACAACGAGCCGTTCGCCCGCATACATCTTATTTGTCATCACTGCGCGCTGGAGGACTTTCAGCTCATCACATGCTTCTTCATAGAACTTAGCGAGTTTTTCAGCCGACATTGGCTCAACTGGCTTGATCGCCGTGTTCGCTGTAGGAACGTTCGACAATTTGCTTGCGCTTGCATTCACGTTCTGTGCTGCCACCGACATCTGAGGATACAGGTAGGCCCGAAATTGATCGCGCGCGCGACGCACAAAGTATTCTCGGAAGTTGTATGATGCCTATACGTCAGCATTACAGTGTATGATACATACGAAAGAGCGTGCAGTTGCAAGGTGCGCACGGTAAAGGGATAGGATTTGCTCTCGGGTGGGTGTTGCCACCGACATGATGACGGATAAGTTCTGTGGCTGAAGATGAAGCATCCGTCCTCCCCCCGTCTAGCGACTGTGTGAGCCGCTGGCTGAGTAGCAATCGCTGAGTAAACATCACAAACGCACGTCTCCACCAGTCATATTCATGAGGTGGAGGGAAACGCGTTTAGGCTCCCTCTTCGTCCTTCCTTGACCCAAGCACGAACGAACGCATAGGGAGTGGTGATCAGCTGTCAAGGGGCACCCTCTGCCAACTTTTAGTTTGTTCCAATCATGTCGGATACGATAGCGAAAGAATCTATCTCAAATGGAGCACCAAATTTGCCCCCAAATGCAGAGAGACTCACCATTACACCACAACTTCACGCGTTGCTCACGATCATTAGAGATAAGAACACACCCCGCTCTGACTTTATTTTTTATTCTGATCGGATCATTCGGCTCCTCGTTGAGGAAGGGCTGAATCATCTTCCGGTGTATGATCACACAGTATTTACCCCAACCGGTCTTCCGTACCGGGGTGTTGCATTCCAAGGCCGTATTTGTGGAGTGTCGATTCTTCGCGCAGGTGAAGCTATGGAGGCAGGGCTCCGTGAATGCTGCCGAAGCGTGCGCATTGGAAAGATCTTGTATGTAGGCTGATGACTTACCTTCAGAATACAGCGGGTATGTACGGTGCAGATTGATGCGCCTTGATTTGCTGACGCTTGCTCCGCCAGGACGAAGGCACCGCGAAGCCCAAACTGTGTACGTTTGTACGACTTTTGCTGATGCACAGTCTATGCCAAGCTCCCGGAGGATATTTCGGACCGATGGGTGCTACTCTTAGACCCTATGCTAGCCACAGGTGGCTCAGCCATTCAAGCTATGCAGGTCCTGGTCGACCATGGCGTGCAGCCGAGCAAAATCCTCTTTCTCAACATGATTGCGAGTCCCGAGGGGCTCCAGAATGTTTGGAAAGCGTTCCCAGATGTACGAGTAATTTCTGCTTGGGTTGATGCCAAGCTTTCAGACCGATGTTACAGTACGTATTGGACAAGAACGGCTTAGTAGCTTAGTTTCGACTTACACTGTGACGCAGTTCTTCCAGGTCTGGGCGACTATGGTGACAGGTACTATAGTGGTTGATGATGATAAGGCCTTTTGCATCAGGCGCGCACAACGACATTGTTTCATGTTGCTTTTTGAAAACATTCTCTCTCTCTCTCTCTCTCTCTCTACTTACACCACTATTTTCAGCTCATCTTTGTCTCACATTACTCAATTATGTCACTACCATGATGCTACGCCAAGGTACCTCACTGTCAAAGCTCATGATATCAACTTGGGGTGTATTGCGTAGCAAATAACAATTTTCTCTCAGATAGTGAGAGCTTACTCGCCAAACAAGCTTGCTGCATGCACGATGAAGGCGTTTGCCATGCACAAGTGCTTGGTACATGTCATAGATGCGTATCCCAAAATACACGCGAATCACAAGGCACCAGTGATGATAGGGAAATGCCGCGGCTGTCAGTGCAGACCTTAGCTGTGAGTGGCAACGACCTTGACGGCGGTACCTGAGATGCCGTTTGACGAAGTTTGGCCATGTGCGAGATGCGAGTCTTCGCTGAACGTCGGCCGCATCCTGTCGCATAGTTTGGCGGGCGCAGTTCCACACTTTCCACCACCAAACTAACACCATCGTGAGTATTTCCCCAGCTTCGGCTTTTAATCCCTCCTCGGTGACAACCCTTGTACAAAACGAGTTTCGGTGCAATGCGCAAAATGACTGACAAGTCACACGTCGCTGAAGGCACGATATGAATAGGTTCTCTCGGCGTGGGCTCTGGCATCGGCTCACCAGTTTGCTCGGCTTCTTTCACACTAAGTGCTTTCCACGCCTTAGCTACAGGCAAACAACCACCGCCACAAAGCCATTCTGGCACACCGGGAATGTGTGGCGCCTCAATCCATCCCGCATGCACACACATAGCTAAAACATCCGAGTCGTCCGTGTAAACGTCAGTACCCCACAACTTGCGATGTTCCAGGCTAGGCTGTGCCCAAAATTGCCAGCCAGCACGTTGTAATTCAGCATCATCAACCGCACGTACGGGGAATGGTGACGAGCGGGGTGGTGCGCGCGTCGATACAGAGCGTCGTAAGCGCTTGTTTCTTATGGATTCCTGCGCACGTCGCTCGTGCCATGCATGCGTCAAACGAATTTCTCTGTTAATCCGAGCGTGCTCTAGTCCACGCCATCCGAGACGCCACCGTCCAAAGTATTCATCAGATGCAGGAATCGATGTGGTTGCGCGGTCTAGCGCTAATGTTGGTGCTATACCCTGATCCGCATCGCGCTCAATCCGTTCAATGACTTCCGCCTCAAGACGGGCTTCCTCACTGCGCCATTCAGCCTCAGTGATCCCAAGTCCAATCATTCTCCCACTAATGCGTACTTCCACCGTCGCCCCGACATTGTTGATGAGCATTTCTGTCGGGATAGCTGACTTGCGAGTACCGTCATAGAGAAACGACCCTAGGTGTGGCACAGCACGGCCGCGGTCCAAACCTAGGCCAAAGAGTGGGACATTTCTATCATTGCCACCTTCGGTCCCACGCTGTTCTTTCCGAGCAAGTTCTTCCATTTGCTCGCAATGGTCCAAAAACTGCCAAACAGGCTCATTATCAACACGAGGACCGGAAGAAAGCTCGCGAAGCTTGTGTTCGATTGGTAGTATGGGGGCAAGGTCAACGACCATGGCATGCTGTGATGCATCTTCCGCGACAGGGGGGGTGTGAGGCCGGAGAGCTTTGTGTTCTTTCACGGAACCAAGGCCCGGAATATGAGGCTGGAGATTCGTAGGAGAAGAGCCCGCACTTTCATGACGCGTTTCATAGCTTCCGGCAACAGACGGATGATGATGATGGTGGTGATGATGAGGTGTATGGTGATGATAGTGACGATGATGGTGATGAGAAGGAATATGTGAATGAGCATGCGGATAAGAATGCGGACTTGGGTTCGACTCGCTATGAGAAGAGCCCTGAGACTGTGTCTGTGTTGCGCTGTGCGAGGAAGGATGGAAATGACTGTGTGGATGATGATGATGGTGATGGTGATGGTGATGCCCGTGATGCATATGATGATGCACATGGCCAGACGAAGAGTGATGTTGATGCTGTGAGATCACATGGTGATGATGATGACCTGAGGAACGAGGGGAGGTGGACGATGAGCCATTGACAGGAGCACGATCATGTGACCGTTCTCCATCTTCCATCTGATACGGTTGGTGCACAGGCTGCACGTACGACGTTGGCGGCGGTGCCTGCTGTGCATGCACAGTCGAGGTGTGGTGATGATGTGCATGAGGCGTGCGGCGATGATGGTGGTGGTGATGATGATGATGGTGATGATGTTGCCCAGATGATAGGGGCGAGGAAACAGGTCTTTCATGTGTGTCATGCCTTGGCAGCCGTATTGGTGGCTCAACTTGACTATGCGGCTGAGATGCTGGATGTGAATTAGGCTGTGGCACTGATCCAACAGACAGGGATGCATCTTCATGTTCCTCAAAATGCCGACTAACATACGGACTGGACGCTCGCGCGCGTGCATCATGCTGATCTGAATGTGATGTACCCCAGCGAAATTGGTCATCATACGTGGAATGTGTGGTAGGAGCAGGTATCGGAGGAGGTCCTGGGGCTGATGGTCCCGTTGTAGAATGGGCCTCTTTGGTTGGGGAATGGAGGTGAGACTTCGAATCTCTGATAGCATCCTCTGTTTCGTGATTTTGCATATTTTCTGATAGTATGTGAGTACTTGGGCTGAGCCCAGTTGACGCTGTCGACTTGTCATTATCGTCCGACCCCATAGATGGCTGTGTGCGCAGCGGTGGCTTTGATGCACGGTCTTCTGGCATGGCTGAGGATTCGCGCCGAGACGGAGAGTTTTCTTTTTCTAGCTTCCGTATACTCGAAATAGATACTTGATCGTGGTGTGGTACATCGCGGGATATCATGGAGCTAAGCCGCATAGGATCATCAGCGTGCGATTCTGTCGTTATCTGATGACGTTCTCCTTCGAAGCGATGATGGTGATAATGCAATGACTGATTTTCATGATTTTGGGCATCCTCATCCTCCCTATTTATCCGTATGTGCCTTGTCTCATTCTGACCATCGGGTGAGTGTGTATGTGACGCAGACATCGTATGTAGATGTGGGTGGGAGTGCCAGGGGAGAGCAGGCTGTAATGTACGTGAATTTGTGAGAGTATGTGTGCAGTATATGTCGTGTGTCTCATCATTATGTAAGAGCGCGGAGGAAATAAAGGCCATGCGTGTAAATCTAGCTCAGGGAAATGAAGCAACCGTGAGGCATGCACCAAAGAGGTCCAAGCTCTTCCAGGGTGGATGGCGGCCTAACGACTGACCAAATAACGAATCACACGAGCCTGGCTAGTTGTGTCTACGAAACGAGCAAAGTCTCGTACATTCTCATGAGCCAGGATGATACACCGTTTGCTTTCCCAGGCGTGCACGAGTTTGCTCCGTTCTACACGCTTCAGCCGAATCCAGAAACAGCAGCTATTCAAGTGGATTTGTGGGCACGCTTAATCTTATCATTTTGTGCGGCTCATCACCGCTTTCAATTGGAAGTTGGCGGTGCATGGGAGCGTGAATCGGATCTGTTTTGTCATCGAGGTCTAGATCGCGCATTATCGCCAGACACGGTACGGTTGATTTTCGCGTACATGGTTGAGAAGGGACGCGCAGCATACGATCCTCCTCTACCTCGCGGATACAAGGTACCGAGAGTCGGGCAAGTTGATGCAGATCGTCGGATGCATGCTCTGAGTGTGGCTGGGCTGCGAACTTTGCCGGCCCTCCAAGTGGAGCCTGGTAGTAAGATCTGGGTCTACTGGAACACACCAACCGAATGGGGCGATCAACTGTATGAGTGGGTCAAGCAGACTGGGCAAAACAGGTCTGTATTGACTTTGTATGAGCTTCAGCAAAGCACATTTGTCCAGCGTGAGCAATTGCCGCCGGCCATGCTCATGCGCGCCCTCGAGACACTCGTGGCCAGAAAATGCGCACAAATCTTTGAAGGTACAGAACCTACAGACGGAGGCGATCATGAAAATCTCGGTGTCAAGTTTGTTTGATGCTAAGGTATAATACACCCATGGTCGATCACGTATCCTCCTCTTCATCCTCCAATTCCCCTTCTACTTCGTCCTCTTCTTCGTCGTTGTCGTCGCCGTCATCATCATCGTCGTCCTCTTCATCCACACCTTCAACGATAATACCCGCTTTGCGCGCTTGAGCTATTTCCTCTTCCAGTCGAGCAAGCTCTGCATCACTGTCTTCGTCCGAAAGATCATTGTCTTGAAGTGTATCATCCGCGTTCTCGAAATCGCTGTCCTCAGGATCGCTATCATCAGACTCTGCCTCTTCCTCGTTCGGAAGGTCCGACGCATCTGGATCAAAACCAACTGCACTCAGACATGTCAATCGAGATTTCTTTGTGTCATACGCGGCGAGCGCTTCCAATTCTGGTACAAGGGGCTCCTCGCGCGACAAGCACAATTCAAACACACGAATATACCCGTCCGAGCTGATTGTCGTGACAAGGAGACGTTCTGTTCCGTCGTTCGCTTGGACATGCGTTGCCACAGCACTACGCACACGGTTTGTGTGTCCCACAAGTCGTGCAACTTCACGTGGCGAAGCATCTTCGCCAGTGCCCTGTAGATCGTCCAAATCAAACACATGCAAAATGCCAGACTCGCTTGCAACAAGCATCAGTTCATGCTGGTCGTCACGTTTGTCATTGTTGCCAGTTATATTCGTCCGCACGAACCCAATATCATGTAGTCGCTTCGGATGCTCGATCTGTGCCACCTTTGACATATTCGTGGCATAGACGATGATCTTTCGACCAGTGAGAACGGCGAAGCGGGTCCCTAATGTGTCCCACAACACACGATCCGCCTCTGTACCGATCTTAACGGACGCTGAACCCATGCCGCGCATGAGGTCCCACATTCGAATCATCCGATCAGCTCCCACAGAGAGGGCCACGCGCCCGCTTGGATGTGCGCTGACAGAGTTGATTCGACCCGTGTGCCCACGTAACGTACGTAGAAGAGCCCAATCGCGTGTGCGGTACATGTTAATGACACCATCTTCTGATGCAGACAAGAGGAAAGTTCGGTTTGGGAAAGACAAAGACGTAATCGTGCCTTCATGACCTGTCAATGCGCCCATTTCCTTACGACGTCGCAGATCCCACACCTTAATCAATTCATCCATACCTCCCGTAGCAAGCCACTTGGAATCTTGGCCAGCACAGGCAACACATCGAATCGAAGATACATGTGCTGGGAATATGAAGCGTGGCTCAAGACGAATCGAGTAAGAAGACTGCGAATCTTTCTGGACAGTGCCTTCCAAACCATACAAAAAGCGCTCGTACGTCCCCGCCACAATACGAATGCCCTTAGGTAATGGGCCCGTCTCACCGGGCTTTATTCCTTTGCGCAGTTGGTTCTCGTTTATTTGCTGGCGGTCCTGGGCCGCAGTTTTGCGAAGTTGAACGACTTCAGCCTTCGTTGGTTTGTTGACTGGCGGCTCGATGACGCGTTGTTGCTTGGCATCATCTTGTTCTTCGCTTCGTTTCGACAATGAATTTTCAATGCGCGAACTCTTGGAAGAAACTGATTTCTTAGGTGCGGTATTTCCTTTATCATGCTGCGCGCCTGTAGCTGTCTTAACTCGCTTTGGCGTGCGCTCGTCGCTCTTGTCGCCCTTGGGCGTGGATTTATTGGCGCGGACACCTGAATCGCTAGGTTTCGACTTGGTGCTTTCCTTCATCACGCTTTTTGCTTTGCGATAAGCAGTGCCAGACGCAGTGGGAGCTGCGGCTTTGCGCTTCAAGCCGCTTTGGTTCGCCATTGCGCACCAGCAAAAATTTTTGTCGCGATGCACGAACGCACGTAACATCCTCGGAAATGATGTCGAAGAGTCACGTGCCATACCGCGCTCATTCATCAGCCTAAAGTGCGACTCATTGATAAGGTTCTGGATGTTGGCACTCGGAATTACAAGGTCAAGCAATGTATGAACGCATAATTCAAACTTGATCTATAAGTGACGCTACTGTCAACTTTGGTGACGTGTAAGTAGATATATATATGTAAGCATATTATACAAATTCAAAATGATGGTGTTCATGTTTCCGCAAATGTTCACAGTGGTGATTCAGTCTGTGAGAAAAGGCCTAAAGCACCCTCACCACCCAGACGAGTGCTGCTATACTTGCAGTCGAAAACTTTTTTACAACAATAAAAACCTTCGGTTTCATTCCTTGCTTTTTTCTTTTTTACATAGGCCCAAGCTGCGCCATTTCTTTCACATATTGCAGCTGGTCTGTACAATGAAGCAGCCATCGTGACTTGAACTGAACATTTGGATTTGTGTGACTTGAATAATCAGACAAATCAAGCTTGTGTCCATCTGCGTGGAATGGTTCGTAGATTCTTTTATGATAAAACAGGCCTGCACATGCCAACGCGGCTGCACCAGCTAACGTAGCAGGCAAGAACCCGCGCCAAGTGTTAGGCATCATGGCGCAGACGAGTGCAGGTTGATGCAGGGTGTGCGAATTAGCTGTGGTTCCACTTTGTCTCAAGAGAGATTCCACTGAGACAGCAACACGCAATTTACTCGATTGACGCGGTGTAATGAGCTGAGACACCGGTCGGGGACGAAGAGGCCTTTGCATGTGGCGAGCAGGGAAGTTCTTGAACATGGAAGAAGAAACGGTGATTCCATGGATCATACTTTGAGTGAATCTTCGAGAAAATATGTCCAAAGTCTGGAAATGCACCATAAATTTGAACACCAAACTGAGAAGGAAAATATATGATGGCGTCACACGGGAAGGAGGGGACGAGTATTGATCACGTCAGACCCTTTTTATCGATTGATATCGTACAAATTAGCACAATACCCCACAGCAACCGGCTATTGCCGGAGATATGAAATGTGGGGTCCAACAAGCCAGTAAAAGCAAAGACAGGGTAGTGAGTCATCTAACTTGGATGACGTAATTCTAATATTTATAATTTCACTACGTAATAAGACCTTGAACGAGAAGAATGGATTGGCTACATCGCCGGCTGGATCAGTGTCTGTGACTGTTAGTGTCTTGTGCGAAATGCGAGCAGCTTGAGTAATGATCGATCCTCCCGTACACTCTACTCCCAGACATAGGATTGGTGTATTGAATCCACGACCCATGAATGAGTGCCACGTGAGATAGTCCAAGCAAAATCGAGTCATCACAAGTCACTTTCTTATGATGTGTCGATACTTACGATGTTATCGCCTTTCAGTAGTAGACGGCCTGTCCACGTAACAGCAACAGAATTCATTGCATAGCCATAAGCAGGACAAACAAACATGTGGGTTTATGTTCGCGCATAAGATAGGTATATATCAAGTTCCGTGGTAAGCTCATCGTTCATCGCACCCGATATCTAACGTACCCAGCGGTTTTCGGTCCTTCTGTGCGTTCATATGTACCTCTTCCGCATCAGCCAGTGTTACATTCATAAACTCATCAAATCCCTTTTTACAAAGTTAATCATGCGTTGCGGGGTTCTAAAAGCTTACAATGATCTTGCCTTCGAGGCGATATTCCACGTTGTCATACAGCCAGAGTGATACGCGCGTCTGTTGTTGCAAATGTCGGAAGATCACATTGATCGGCTGGATCATCACCCTCTGTTGTCTTCCCGACATATCGCGTGTGTATGAGGACAGGGCCTTGCAAGATAAGGTCAGTTGCTTCGTCGGCCTAGCTAGCTGTAAAGATCGATCACTCGCGTGAATCGAAGTGCAGAGAACGATTGTCAGTGTCGCATCACGTGATGTAGTGCGTACGGTTAGGACGTGCGACGGGTGTCACAACAGCACGCGCTGGCTGGCTACAGGAAGGGTGGTGCTACCGAGGATGAAGGAGCGCGATCCATAGGAACAGAAGTGGGCGTCATCTCTTGTCGAGACGGGTTACGGATTGGAGGTCTCTCTGTCAAGGTGGCGTGTAGATGCACGAGGTGTCTGCAACATATCCGAAGACTCACGTTCCCGAACGCGAGACTGCGCATGTAAAAAGGGATTGGCCTCAGGCGGCATGGCTAACTTGCCTTGGGCCACATGTTTTGTTGGTGATCCATAGGACAAGACACGTTGCTGTCTGGACCTAGGGGTAGCAAGAGGTGTGTAGAACGGGGTAGCTGTGATAGCCGACCTGGAACGCGCATGGCCACGCTTGGGCTTGGGTGTTTCAGGAGGTCGAAATACGGATTGCGCTGTACTGCCAGACAATTGCTGGCTCGCCTGCTGCTCGAATTCTTTGGCCTGCAAATAGAACAAAAGAAACTCAATACATTTGGCGCCCGTTGTGTCCATATTGGCAGCATCTGCGCTGGGCGAGGGACGTGCATTCATGACGCGGCGCACAATCGACAAGCCATGCGCATGTTCAAACGCGCGGCGCACATCTGTTGGTGCATCGACGAGAATGCACATAAGGGTATCAAGGGTATGTGGGATAAGCAGCCCCAAAGCACATGATGAATCATTGGATTGACTGTACTCGGCTTTCACAATGCCCAAGAACAGAGCGAGGGAACTCTTAGACGAACAGAGCTGCCGGCTCGTCTCATTGGTGAGGCAAACCCCTTGTAGAATCGATAGTGCACATCCCATTTCTGATGCGAGTGAATTACCATCATCAGACGCCGTTGGTGAAAGTTTCAAGAGTATGTGAAGTCTACCCAGGAGGCTGAGCAAATGCTCCGCCAGGCAAGTTCGAACTCCATGGTGGTACACGGCCCAGTCGCAACAGCGTTCAACCTGGATAAAAAACATAGCACGCCGCGTTCCATTCTCTTTCGCTTGCTGGCGAACCTTGGGTAACTCGTGTAACACGCGCTGTGACACAGCATGTTCCAGCTGTACAAGCGCATACATGCGCTCATCTGAAGTTGCATCTGGCATATGAAACTGGCAAGCCGTGAGCAAAGCGCATTCCTGCATCACATACCGTTTCTAACAAGGGGCCAATTTCAATCACACGGCGAGTCCATGCTGCGGAGTCGCTCCCTGTACGGCGATGATGTGACATGTCATGCCAAAACAAGACTAGTCTCAGGGGAGTTACGTGGAGACATCGTGGCGAATGCCGATGCGTCGTCAAATGTGGCCCAATTTGTCTAAGAAAAATTATATTTGGACCAAGAATTCTGTGGTGCGCTATGGTAGCACCTATCAAGAAGCATATAGTCATTCAGATAGACAAAACTAGGGGTCTCCAATCGAAACACGCCTACAGTCGCAACCAGTTATCTTACTGTTGTCGCGTATGTGTAGGTATTTCTCCTTTAAGGTCAAAGACGTATTCGCCGCTGGGGGCAGCAGATGACGATGACGACAATGATGTCGAGGCACCTGTCGCATCTGAATTAGCAATACGCGCAGCTACAACCTGCTTGTACTTTCCAACGGCGTAAACAATACCGGCGATAAAGCCGACCGCGACACCGATGGAGTTATAAGGTGTCACAGGGTTGCCAAAGAAGAGCATTCCACTTAGAGCAAGAGGCAATTTATTTAACGCACCAACCATGCTGTAGGTTGTGCTGCTTGTCACACGGATGCACCAAGCCGTTGTGTAACTAATAAATACGCCTCCTGTGCCAGAGAGCAAGATGGCAAAAACAAGTGTCGAACGCTTTTCGCGAGGAAAGTTGTGCTCAAACGTCTCGACACTCCAGTTCTCGACAAGAAGCGACATAAACAACAGGACGGGGATCGATAGCAAGTTGTTGTAGAACATGGTATCCCAATCTTTGAAGCCCGTCAGCTTGATGCGCTTGCGCATAACCAGTACATAAGTCGCACTAATCATGCAATTTGCCAGCATCCAAACGTAGCCGTTCGTGGACCAGCTGGATAGTGTTGACGAGGACGCAGCTGCCTCCGAATTTTGCTGCGCCACAGCGGCAGCCAAAGGCGTGGCTGCGCCCACATAAGGCTTGACAGACAAGGGAGACAACGCGGTGTGTGGATGCATGGCGGACGCTGCTTCTGTGCGGACGCCCTCGCCCCAGCCTTCCGTAGCATGTGGCACACCTGTATAGAGATTGAGGGACTCGAATGCACGCGAATACAACGTCTTGGCCGTCGAGGGAGCCAAGTCAGGCCATGCGGCAATAATGGACGAAAGAACCATCAGGATAAACGACAAAAACACCATAGGTGTGATACGACCATTAAACCAAAGCAATTCACCGTATGCGATCAAAATAATCGTCAAGTTCTTGAAAATCGTATAGATAGGAATATCCATGTGCTGTAGAGCCTTGCTACCTGTGTAGATCACAAACACGAGCATCGTCGAGATAGGGAACCATGTCTTCACATCGCGCATGTTGAGTGTGCGAATCTGGATCCAGCCCATGCATTTTGCCGCATACACCATCGCAACACCCACAGAACACTGGCACAACAAAACAAGTAAGTTCATTGTGAACTTTTCCCCCGACACGGTAAATTTATTAATCACAGTCATCGAGATGCTAGCAATGCAGTAGCTGAGCACAGCAGCAATAGCTCCAGAATTCGCAGTCGCATGGCTTGCGTTGCGCATAAAATTCTTTGTGACGGAAGCGACATCTGAATTGAGCAGGTGGGCTTGTGGTGACTCAGACTCCGGCGCTACGTCGCTGTGACGAGAACGTCCGAGCTCAATCTCATTGTCGTCCGGCGGCACATTCCGCTCGCGTGAGGTCGTCATCGACATGGGCGCTTTCTTTGTCTTCCTGCACAAGAAGTCCAAGGAAAAAAAGTTGCAACGGTTGTCACGTCCCACACTTCTTGTGCGTGAGCTTAAAATGGGACTGGGCGGATCTAGATGGACGCAACGTACGGTATCTTGGCAGCTACAGTGATCCTCCCTGACCGCGAAATCAGATCCTCACGTGGCTCCACGCGACCTCCATATAGACTTCTTTACTCGCGTTAAGAGCGGATAACTTGGATCGCTCATTTTGCGTGGAGGTGGAGACCTTTACGGCCGTGGAGAAACCACCATACACATACGCTAGTGGGTGATGTGCATCAAGAGACAAAATGGAGCAAGAAAGTGACACCATTCATTTTTCCATGTTGCATCGAATAGGTCAATGCGTGCAGAGTTGCTGGACAAAGTCATCTATGGAATTTCTCGGTCTATCACGCTTACACCCGATCATCCAACTCACTTCTATTACAAAAAAGGTCGCATGGACAAATCTGCCTTGTACACTTTCATACGACTCTCAGGATCGAGTCATGAGGCCAAGTCGAAATTCGCTAAGCTTCCATAGCGTAACACCAGTCTCTCGCATCAGCGCAAGCTATTCATTTCGCATTTTTGCACCTCATACATAACTACTTCGAGAATGAAAGTTCTTTGTGGATTTCCTCAAGTCGGTGCTTCCACTTGCCGACCTGTGCAACCTTGGCTTCCAGCTCCTTGAGCTCCTGTTCAATGGTCAGCTGACGCACATCACCAGCAAGATTGAGCACCTCATACTTGTGGTCGCCTTTGAAGTCAAGGAGGAGCTGGTGATACTTGAATAGGCTTGGGCGATGCGAGATGGTAATAAGCGTAATGCCGAGATCTTTCGCATGCGCGTACATCAGGCCTTCAACATCTGTGGACACAGCCGATGTGCACTCATCCAGCACGGCAAACTTCGGACGATGATAGAACAAGCGCGCCATGCCCATTCGCTGCTTCTCACCACCGGAGAGCACGTCCTTCCATTCCTTGCGTGTGGTCCAGCCACCTTCACGTTCAGGCAGATAAGCGAGGTGCACATGGCGGAGGATGTCCATGAGGTCCTCGTCAGTGCGGCCAGACTCGACATGCTCCTGATACGAGAACGGATAGATCACTTGCTCGCGTAGACTCTCCGTATTAAGGTACGGGCGTTGTGGGAGGAACATGATGTATTCGTTGTTTGGCTTTTCGAGGGTACCATCGAACAGAGGCCACAAGCCGGCGAGAATACGAGCGACAGCTGTTTTTCCCACTCCATTGGGACCCGTAATCAGCATATGGTCGCCTGGGTTGATCTGCATGTCCAGACTTTTTACCAGCAACTCGCCACCACGCTCCTGCCCTGGCGCGGGCGTCACAACAGGTGCATGGACGAATTTGATCAAGTCTCCGTTCTCCACGTGGCGGCCCTTGAGGTGGCCCAGGTCATAAAACGGTGCATCAGGTGGCAAGTCACTCGGACGCGGCACGCTCTGATAGTCATCATGCTGCAGCAGATGAAGAGACGAAATCAGCGAATACACACGCGATGTCTGTCCGGCGAGTGTCGCGACCCCCTTGTAGCTGTACATGAGACGACTACCGGCATCGGCAATGGCCAGCAGGATACGGCGGTTCGAAATGTAGCCCTCTGTCTGCTTGGCAATAAGCGGATCAGCATCAGCGGTCTTGCCCGAGGTCGCTTGCGCGCTAAAGGCCGGTATGGCCATCATGATGTAGCCACAGGCGGACCACGAGTACTTGAGCACAAAGTCTTCCATTGAGTTGTACCCCACACGAGCACGCAAGATTGAGCGGATATGGCGTACAAGCTCGTCAAAAGAGCGACGCAAGATACCTTCTTCCGTCGATGCACCATTGTAGAATGCGATTTCCTCTGCATTAATGATGAGTCGACTCTGTGCATTGTAAAAGTTGCCTTCCAGCTTCGCTTCGAGCGCAGCCAGTTTCCCGAACGATGGCGACACGGAGCGTAGCACATACGACGAGAGCACGTAGCCAATCATTGTGCCAGCAACCCCAGTAACTCCAAGATTGCGACTCATTTGCCACATAAAGATAATCATATCAAGCAACGGCTTAGACACATTCGAGTACAGATCCGACAACACATCACAGAACTGAGCAAGATCGTGTGTAATGTACTGGCTTACGGATTCAAGTCGGTTGTCCAAATTGGTCACGCGGTAAAAGTTTTGGTGGTTGTTTAGGTACAGGTCGTGAACATAGCGTGTGAGTCTTGTGCGGAATGCAATAGACAGTTTCGACTGCAAGAATCGGATCATGGCATTCGTGTATGTTGAAGGCACAGAAAGCGCGAACCACATGCCCAAGCCGCGCAAAAAGCCCCATTTATCCATGGAAATTAGCGATTTGACAATATAGCCATCCAGACGCGCTACCAAAAGACTCAAGTACGTGCGTAGCACGAGGAAGAATGTATGTAGCACAAACATGTATATTTCCTTGGAGCGCAGTGTGGGGAATATAATACGAAACAGGGCACGCAGCTGCCGTAAGAACTCGCGGTCAACACCAACGCGCATCGCGCTAGCACTTGACACACTCTCACCAGCCTCTGGGGCTATCTTTGCTTCATGGTCGCGAATCTTTCGGGCACTAGATGGTGACAAACCACCAAATACACCAAGCAAGTCCAGACGCTTCCGCACTGCTTCTTTATTCACGGGTGGCGGAAGAGAAAAGTGTGAGTAGTCTTGCTGGAACGTTTTGGGATCTGTGGGTGTTACAGACGCTTTGCGAAGTTGCCCACGGTGAGGCACTATCAAGTTGATGGTCCCGTCTCTACGATCAGTCGGGTAATAAAGTTGCTCTAGTCCCTGATCCAATGATACATCGTGCAGTCGTTTGCGATGTCGATGAAGTTTCAACAAGTGTACTCGCTTTTTGGTCAGGCCAACAATCTGCTTGTGACCCATAGCAAGCGCCAAAACCACCAGCGCAACGAGAGCACGGGTGCGCCGCGGCACTGTCTCCAACTTTGACTGAACTGCCGCCATAGAGTGCACTTTGGGGCGAGTTGCGGTCAAAAGATGGAGTCGGGAACGACGATGGGTTGACAACAAAGATAGGCGCGTAAGGTACGGCTTAGTTCATCAGCCGGCTGCATTGAAAAAATGACCCGGCTTGAGAACTGCCATTTTGTGAGTGGCTGTTATGCGGGGATGCATCACGTGAAAATGTGAATGCCTCGCTCGCTTTTCGCCTTCTCCATTCTCTCCACGTCCACACACTCCGATAACTTGGGCGAGGGGAGGGGGTCACGGAGATCTTTGGGTGTATGTGGATAGCGGCCGTGCTCTCGTCCTATCAGGTCGATTCTGCGCATTTCCCCACCTTGGCACAACTCTTGCCTTGTCGTCCTGAGGATAGAATACCCATAGCAGGGAGAAATTACGTAAGAAATCGTCACAGAAGCGTCGGCCGTTGCGTCGTCGGACTTGCGCGGCTCAATGGCGTGTGTCGGAGGCGATCTCAGCGGAGAGCGCGATCTAGCTGGTCGTTCAAGTGCGGCTGTGCGAGGCTGCCGCCCACATCCAAGGTGGAGAGTTCGTCGAGTAAGATTTGAAGAAGTTAAAAGAAATAAGACAGAAAACGAAAAAGGACATCAGAGCAAGAGCGCCGTTTCATTCGCTCTCGTGGTGTGTGAGAGCGGAACGACAGCCACTTCCACCCTCTTCGTGTCACACCCGCATCTACTGACTTGTCGGCATGTCTGCTGCGGGCACTACTGTCGACCCTGCACGAGCATCGTTTGCGAGTGCTAGATCGCAGCGTGCATCTGTGGACATGCCTCGCACGTCCATGGATCGTCCAGAGTCTCACTCAGCCAGCTCATTCTCGTCTTTGCGTCCCACGAGTGCATATCAGCCATTGGAAGATGCTCCAGGGTCCGTGCGTCCCGCATCGATGGCATTGTTTTCAGGCCAGCATCAGCGCCTGAGTGTATCGTCTACGTCAAGTTCAACACCTCCGTTTACTTTCAAAAGCACAGACCTGCGCAATGCTCTTCATCTTCACGACGCTCTTACTCGCAAAGCATACATGGAAGGTTATCTACTTGTGCGCCACTCGCTTGGTGTCGACGGCCAGCCCGATCACCGTGCAGGCCACTTTCATGACTGGACCGAGTGCTTCGTTCAGTTGCAAGGAACAAGTCTTAGCCTGTGGGAAGCGCGCCTTCTCAACCAAGCTGCTGCAGAAGGGCGGGAAGTACCGCCCACGTATATCAATGTGACAGATGCTTTCGTCGACTACATCGGGATGCATGTTGATGCACCCTTCTCTGATCCAGGAAGTCGCCGCACTTTGTACCATGTGTTTGCGCTTAATACGGCAGGAAAGAATTGCATTTTGTTCTGCTTCCATTTGCCGCCGCCTTGTGATTCTACCAAAGTGCAGCAACGATTATCAGTAAAAAATGAAAAACATCCCGAGCACAAGCCTGTGCTTGCGTGGCACCAACTTGGTCAGCGCTACTTGCAGTCATGGATTAATGCTATCCGTCTAGCCTCCTGGGAACGCATGCGCCTAGACGAAATTTATACTGGCGCACTGATTCGTGCTCGTCTTAGTGCTGTCAAGGGACCTGAAGTCAGTGACGTGTCGGAACTTGCCGTGCGTTCGCCACTCGTACGCGGACGACATGAAAGCTGGGTCCGTGCTCGGTTTATGGGGTCCACCGATTGGCGTCGCTGCTGGATGGTCTTGCACAGCCACTGGGCTGATGACGAGCCAACTAGCGGATTGCGCCGGTTCTTGCGCATGGGGCCGACAGGTGATCGAACCAGCAGTATATTTTCTCTACACCATGCTGGATCAAATGATTTTCACGGCCACTCCCATACACAACCACCTTCGCCGCCAGCTGGCATTCTGGCGTCACCAGCTGTGGCATACTTCTATGAATCGAAGCGGAGCAAACACCCTTTCGCGAGCTTGTGGCATGTCCAGCACGTGTATGCTGTCTATCCTTCGCGTTCAGACCTTGTAGAAGAGTCTGTCTTATTCAAAGCAGAAGGCTCACTGCCTCAGTCACCTGTCACGTCTGCCACGCTACATTCGCGTCAATCAGGGTGGGTCATGTTCATGCCTGATATACCAGCAGGCCAAACGCGAGGTGCGAATGCGGAGATGATGAAGTGGATTATTGCTCTTATGGACGCATTTCGGCTCTATGGCCGCCCTGATCAATTTGAATGGGATCCGCGAAGTCCTGCTTCACCGTTCTTTGCATACCCAATTGGACCTTACAAGGATCACTTGTTTTTGGATCGAGCGCTGGCTGACTACCTTAACATGTCTGTCGAAGATCACCTGACTTGCCGACACATGATGCATGAAATTATGGCCGCTCGGATGCGCGGTGAGAATACAATGATACTTGCTCCTCTTCCCGAGCTGCCGAGCACGCTTGAGCCTCAGGTGGCATTGCCTGAGGCCCAAGCAGCACAGTCATGTGCCGATCAGGCATCGGGTGTTCCATCATTTGGATTCGAGCGCCAATCAGTAAAACCCCCTGATCACGTCGCCGATGCTGGAACTAATCACACCGAGCCGCGGGCTGAGAATGCGATAAACCAACCTAGCACCGAAGCTGATGCGTTGAACTATGATACAGTGGGCAACGAGAATGGTCCTATGATGCAGTCATCACATGCTAATCAGGCGAACCAAGGGACCGGAGCCATGGATCCAGCTTCTTATAACTCCTCGATGGGCCAAGAAGTCGGGCAATCAGAATGGCCCAACCATGCTATGGTCAATCAGGAGCCCGCCCACTCACAGTCATCCAGCTATGCATCTACAGGTCAAGAACACATTCAAACAGCGCAGTCTACCGGTTATGTTATGGGACAAGAGGCTCTTGAGCCAGCTCAGACTAACACACAGTACGAAAAGAGTCAGCCAGCACAACCCTCTGACTTTGCAGCTGATTACTATGCTGAATCCTCGGTGCCATCATTCGCGCACTTTCCCAGCCCGCCTCATCAACGGGAACAGACTGTGTTGGCGTCCCAGCAAGCATCAACAGGCGACCCAAATATGAACTTTGTCAGTACCGATACAGACTCTGCCCAAGGCCAAGTACACGGCTTACCCGCAGACACTCGCGTGCCTTTTGTTTTGCCAGGTTCCAGGTACGAGAAAGAGCTCCCGCAGCCAGTCGAGTTGAGTCCTTCACATGCACAGTCATCAGAGGCACCTACTTCGAAACTGAAAGCTAGTGCATTCTACATCCCGCCACGTCCATTAGCAACGACATCGTCGTCGTCATTTTCTGGTCCAGTGGTGCACAACTTGGCGTCAGATCACACATACGACCAAGCATACCGTGAACTCGATCACAACCGCGTCGGCCAAGGCGAACAGGCCGTTATCCATGACTCGAATGCCCAGCATTACCACATGTCGGGCCAAAACCCGACACTCCCTCCACTGCCGATTGTTTCGACAGACCTAGACGACCTGGACATGACAATTCAAGCACTTGTATCACATCCGACTGGTACTGGTACGACGGCGCAGCCCTCGAAGACTGATCCGCAAGAGTCGTCCTCTTCAGCATATGACATGACTCAGCTGGCCTCATCCATTCCATCTGTATGGAGCGAAGCAACCGGCGCCTCAGCGTCAGGCTCTGGATCTGGAACAGGGACAACACCGGGAACTGCATCCATGTCGACCTCGGCTACTACGCCAACACGGGGATTGTCGGGCTCTACAGGAGCTGTATTGCCAGCAGCATCGGCCAAAGCTTCAATACCGTCTGTCCCTGCTGAAATACCCGTTTCTGTTGGTGAGTCCCAAGAGACTGTGCGCACCATGCCACAGCATCCGGTGAACCCACGGCATGACCTTATTTACGCTTGGCCTATTCCAAACGATCCTCAAGCAAAGGAACTTTCGCCTATCGTGGAAGTTCCTTCATCCCATTCGGAGATGTCCGCTGGGGATCGCCCCCCTATCAGTCATTACATGCCCCAGTCATCGTTTCCTACTGCATCTGATGCCCCGTCTAGTGCTCAGACATGCGATTACCGCACTTTCTATAAGCAAACGCCTTCCTCAACATCGTCTCACCTTGCCCTGAACGCGAGAGCCCCACCAGTTCCAAGCCAAAATTCGGCATCGTCTCGACCAACAACGGCTTCTTCATCTGTAGGCAGTGCTGCCGGTTCGTCGCCATCGCCAGCTATCCCTTCGACACTATCATTTCTTGCACCGTCTGTGGGTCCTATTGCTTCCATGTCCGTGTCGACGCCATCAGGTCAACAGGGAGCAGGTACTATCGCACCAAATTCTACAATCGCGGAGCATGCGGCGGACCCAAGTTTGAAGGACACAGCAGCAACTTCGAACACGTCAGAAATCACGAACCGACACGGTTTGGAGCATGCTCCCAATGATCCATCGTCACAGCCTCTGTCTCGCTCTGTTTCACCAAGCAGGACCGACCATGACTCCGAAGCTTACCTTCTTGAAGAGTACATGAACGACGAACAGACATCTATGCCTATACCATCGTCGATACCCACCAAGGTCTCAAAGAGTAAAACGACATCGGCGCCAGCCACTCACTCTGTCATCGTGCCTCTTTCTACTTCCTCGTCACCATCGACAGCTGCCCAAGCTAAGTCGCAGGTGCCCACTATGGAAACAGTCCCCTTGGAGGCTCGGGATGCACATGATGACGACAAAACGTATGGTATTCCTGAAGATCAGCACTCCCCCTTTGCTTCCGACACTATGGCACGGAAAGTCTCGCCCATGGGCACCACCGAGGCGTATCCATCATCGTTCGGGCGTAAGCAGCAGCCGCCTCCTGCGTCGTCATCATCGTCTCCATCGCTATCATCTGCGATTCCCGCCTTGCCGCATGCATCTGCTCGCCCAGGCCGTGCGCCTGGCGTCTCTCACATGTCGCATGACTGGGTCGATCATGACGAACATGCTTCTGGCACACAAAACGAAGAGACAGAGCCTGTCGATGCAGGGGATGGTGCACCTACGCTGTCGTCTTCGCTATCAAATGGCTTTGGATCTGGTTCGCTTGATGACCACTCTGAGTTCTGGCTCTCATCGTCGGCGCCTTTTCCGAGCGGCCAGCGCCAAAATCTTCAGCCTCCTCACATGTCGTACTCTCAATCAGCCCCCATTCCACACGCTAAGGAACCGAACGGCGTCTCCACTGCGCCTTTGGCGAATCCAACGTTCGCACAGCAGCAGTCATTGCCCTTTTCGGCATCAACATTGTCTTCGCTGCATTCCAATGGCACACCTTCACGCTCAACATTTCTCAAGCTCGATGAACCGCATTCTTCTAATTCGCATCCTATGACGGGGCTCCTCGCCTCTGCGTCCCAAGACCGCCTTAGTAAAAGTGCGCGTGCGCAGGAAGCAGAAGCTCGTGAGACTGGTCAGGCCCTCATCAATATGCCGAGCAAGCCACCTCCACCTCAGGCTGGACTTATGGGTGCGATCCATTCTCGTGAACGACGTACGCCAGGGCCTGCGTCCGGGACAGAGCGCGAGCGCGATGCACGACACAGTGGATTTTCTCGATCCACTTCAGGCTCACCCCCTGCAGGTCTTTCGGCTACATCTGCCATGCCGCACCATCTCTCTCAGCAGCAACAACAACAGCAAATGTTTATGAACATGTATTATTGGCAGCAGCAACAGATGATGATGATGATGGGCGTCATGCCCGGCATGTCCCGAGAAAGCATGATGGCACAACAGCAAGCTATGCAAGCTGCCCAGCAAGCATACTACCAGGCATACATGCAGTTTGCATCCTCGACTTCATCATCTGGCAGCTCCACACCGAATCCTCCTCCTTCCATGTCTGGCTCCGGATTTCCACCCGGTGCCGGTGGCCCCATGTACATGCCCATGTCGATGCCGACGTTTACTCCTGTTCCCCCACCGGCGAGCTTTGATCCCAGCTTGATGATGGGCTTTGGCGTGACCCCATCGTCCTCATCTTCTGGTCACGGCTCACCCATGAGGGATAGCACTAGCATGCAAAGCCATCGATCGTCTTTGCCCCCCGGTACCGGATCTGGTGCTACTGCTTCCTCAACCTACCCTGATGCGCCAAAATCTTTGAATCGACCACCTTTCGGCTCGCGAGCGTCGAATCGCACGTTCCAATAATTATGTTCATGTTTACAAGTAGTTTTTCACGCAGCTCACGCATCACATCCTCTACTTGCATTGAAGGATGAATTTCCACTGTCAGCACGTCGGCAGCTTCGTCGTCGTTGATCGGCTCTTCCAATGTGTCAAGCTGCGATGCAAGCATGTCCGACTTCATGAAGTGGTCTGTGCGCTTCGCTAGGCGATGCATCAGTAAGGGCGGATCGAGTCGTAAATAAACAAATACCGTTCGCACATCGTGTGTAGAACGAAGCACATCTCGATATGCTCGGCGCAGCGCCGAACATGCGACAATGATACAAGGACCATTCGATTGGCCTTTGTGCTCCTGTGCCTGTTTCGCTACCGACTTCACACGCTCGAGCCATGGCCAACGATCATCATCTGTTAGTGGCACGCCTGCTGCCATTTTAGCACGTGCTACCTGAGAGTGTAACTGGTCTGCGTCTAGGAACGGTGCGTCACATAGTTTAGCCAATTCGGCTCCAACCGTTGATTTGCCTGCTCCTGCAACGCCCTAGTTGTATGGTCAGCAACACGTTCAGTGCGTGGAACATACCATGACGACGATGCATGAGCGCATATGAATCATCTAAGGTTGATATGCAGAATTTATAAATGGCGTTTATATTTTAATACGTAAGAATGTGTATGTAACTGGTGGCCGACCTGCTCTCGAATGAAACAGGTCGATCTGCATGAATCAGCGGGGTGGGCGTTTTGAAAGCAACTCCGTATCAACACACTTTAATGTCGTTTTTACACTCATTGGCTGTGTAGAGAGAAAATGCACTCATGACATAATACATGGCGGCGAGGATAAACAAAAGTACGTCGTTACGCGTATAGGAAATAAACGCGCGCGTATTCACCTCCCTTAGATGAACGCATACGTGCGAATTTATCTGGCACGGTTAACTCGCGTCGCGAATACATCAAGGCGCGTCCGACGATTACGTCAAGACCAAGTTCGTGGGTGATGACTTGGCAGCTGCTGGTGTTGTGGCGGGTGAAATAGAAGAAGCAGTATCAATAGCAGCATTCGCTGACAATGTGGATGATGATGACGTTTGTGACGATTTGTGCTTCGATGTGGGATGCGGATTCATATCAGCAAATGCAATAGCTTGCTGCAGAAGCGTTGGCCATGTGACAGCATGCTCACCTGAACCTGGTGCATGCAATACAAGTAAAAGTTCATTCATTTTCATGTTCATATTTATGTCATGCCTGATTGCATCCGACCACATCGAATCCAAGTCAGTCTCATCTTCAGTAGAGAACCCTGGATCCATCGCATCTTCCAAAGTGAACTGAGAGCGTAGATTCGTGACGGCATTCTGTGCCGTCTTAGAGACATCTCCACCACCTGATGCAGACCTAGTACTATTCGCATAGGAGTGGCGCCTGGAGCCGATATGAGATGTTGGTACTTGCAACATGCGCTGTTCCCGATGGCGTTCATATTGTTCAGAAATAGCAGGCACATAAATTCGGGCAATCAGAAGTCGACCATGCTCACATTCGACAAGCAAGGGTGCGCTGGTGTCATGCTCGCTCTCTCCATCCATGGCGGATCCACTCTTGTCTTCTGTGTCAGAAGACACCCACGTTCCATCAAGAGCACTTTGTCTGATAGAGGCGTATCTCTTGCTCGTCGGGTCAGGGCTCGAGTGATCGCCACTACGGGCAGCGCGGGACTCGTGACGACGTGGATTTGATGGACGGCTTGTAGCGGACATATTTCGGCGCACTTTTTTCATGCCCTTTTCACGCCATGAAGAAATGGAAATCGCGACGAGGGTTCGAGCGTGTTCTTCTGACGATGGCGGTGTTTTCGTTTCGGGTGCCATGAGCCCAGCTCGTGGTCGAGGCTCTTGTTCTTTACTGATCTTGGTCGCGTAGCCATACAAATCAGCAGAGCGATCGCATACTATCAGTGCTGTGTCAGCGCCATTTTCATCGGGATCATCCCCGATCAATGCTTCCAACTGTGCCGAAATAGATGATATACGAATCATTCGCACGTCTTGGGTTTTAATAGAACGTCACGAGAAAAAGACAGCAGTCGAATGCGCCAAAACCAATGCTGATGTAGAGCAGAGGATCCTTCACACCAATATTCGGGTCAATACGCGTCTTTCGATACCCCCGCTAGTTTGGTGGGAAGTAGTGCGGCTTCTCGTGACGATCACTAGGTCTTGGACGCGACGAGCTCCTGGAGTGACTTTCTCGCAGGGCGTCGTTATAGTCTGATTTGGACGTTGCCCTTTACGTCGCGATCTGTGAGCAACGATTGGCTACAGTACGTGTCAGGTGGACCTATCAGGAGACCCAATGTGATTATCTAATAAAACATACGTCAGAATCACAGGATTTGTCCACGTGCTGTGCGTTTGAGCCAAGTGCAACAGGCTGGATTGCTGTCTAAATCCAAGCAGGACCCACCAAATACACATCAAGCTCCATCAAGCTTCGTCGGACGTTGCAAAAACGTTGGACTGTTCGTTGGGGTCTGATTACCAACTTTTCCTATATATTTCTTGTCTGTGAGCAGTGTGCGAATCACTTTCAAGACTTACGCCACCGCACGTACAAGAAGAGTCGAAGTTTGTGGGTTTTGGAGGTGTCTTGTTTCAGTCCCAGGAGAAGAAAAAAACGTCATCAACAAGATACCTATTCATCCATTGATTGATACCTTCTTTTGTTAAAAGCAAGATCATCTCGCATTCATGGAAGCTCTGGAAGTGGCTCGTGCTCCTGAGAATGAACTCAGGAATGGGAATTCTCACGCATCGATGAACGCTTCGGATCATGGTGGTACGACTTCTGCAGCAATTGCAAGCCGATCGCATAATCCGCGCGACTCATCGACGACGAAGTCTGATGGAAACCGATCGGCTGATACCTCTCATGGGAACAAAACGAACTCTAACAAGTTTCGCTGCCGGGTAGCTATGGCCTGCGTTCATTGTCGGCATCGAAAGATTCGATGCGACGGTGCTCAGCCGTCCTGCTATACGTGCACACGGCTGCAGCGCAAGTGTGAGTATGAGCGTGTTTCCGAACAAGACAACTTGCTCTCACGCGAACGCAAGCGCCTGAGCCGCGAGCGCAAGGCTGCCCGACTTGCTGCGTCGGCATCTCAAGCTGCCGCCGCTTCGCAGCCCACCCACGGTCAGGCACAGGGACAGCCGCAAGTGCAAGTACCAACTCAGCAGCTGCATTCTGCTCGCTCCCAACAGACGAAGCACCAAACTATACCAGCTTCATCGCTCCCAACGTCTTCTGACGAGAAAAACATTGTATCTATGCCGCAAATCCAACCGCCTACATCCAAATCTACCACATCACCATTTTCTTTGTCCATACCTAGTTTAGGTGTCACGCACACGCCAACTGAGGTGGCACCAGCCCTGATTCAGCCGCCCAACGATCCTGCCATGGCGTCGGCGTGGTCTTCAGGTGCCAATACGCTTGTTCCATCCAAGGACCTGATGCCATGGGCTATTCCTCCTTCTCTGACGACCACCGATGCTGCGACGCTTACAGCGACGAACTCTATTTCGCCTTCTCTGAGCACCATCTCTGGCACTCTTCCAAATGACGCACTGCCTTCCCTACGATCCACCGCTGACCCTAGCTTGTTAGAGATGAGTGCGCCACCATCGGCCTTGTCTGATGCATCGCCTTCGTCGCCAACGGGCGGCTTGGCAGATGCCACGTCTTTATCGCCTACTGAGCCGCCGTTCGGGAGCGACACAGGAACGACCCTTTCTTCCATGTCAGCTGGTTCGTTGTCTTCTGAAGCAACGTTGGTTGATCCTTTGGAACTTAAGACGTCTCTTGATACTCCCTTGAAGCTGTTTAGTGACCAGCATCTTCCCAGTTCGATGGCGGCGGCCACTCCCTCGTCCGTCGACTCGCTCGCCTTTAGTGATTCGACCACGTCACACGCATTTGGTAACAAAGCATCGATGGCAACATCACCCCTCTCACCGCAATTGGCTCCACCTTCTTTTGATACCATTGATACCGGCTTTGATCACTGCTCACTGGGTAGTTTTGACCCTGACTCTGAAGAGCACGAGGCGGGCTTGGGCTTATATAGCTCCTCCTTGCCCACTTTGGGACACACCGGTCTTGGTATGGACCTCGAGCCCAGCAGTCTACCTATCTTGTCGTCTTGGGCGCACCCTTCTTCCATGGTGTAAAGAAGGCTATACTTGAGAAACAGAAAGAGAAAGAGAGAGAGAGAGAGAAACAAACAACATGCCAAATTAGCTTGCATGGTACGAACACCAACACGTCACTGTTCGTTTCTTGACACTCCTCTTGATTCATGGCATTGTACGCACGCCACTTTTTTTTTTTTTTACTCTTTCCGTTCTTTTTCAACCTTCCCTTGAGTCATGAACTTTTATACACTCTGATGCCAAAGTTCCCTCTTTGATATTCCAACACAATACTGTTCACTTTTCGCGCAGAATCCGATCCTATGGAACACCCGCTCTCTGTGATTCTTCTGAGCCCTTTTCCTTCAGCATTTTTCTCGCAAGTTGCCCTCGGGTAAGAAAAAGATGAATTCAGGTATTTCTGGGATGTGCAACGGGTGGAAAACAGCTCTGCTCGCTCACTTCAGACATATTTAGCGAAATCCGCCTAAAGCCCTTATCCGAAACGGCCGTGCAACAGATATTATTTATCTTCATTGATGTGCCAGTTAGGACGCGGTCGTATCTCATCACGTATCTCTTTTATCCGTCATGTATCCCCACTTATTATCAGTTTATTCTAGTTGCTATGTCAATGGCGAAAGGAATGGTGGCAAGAGCTAGCATGTCGTCTCTGCCCTCGGTTGTTCCGTGTGTTCGTTGCTTGATGCCCAGGATAGAAGGCGCGTCTGACCCGGTACGCACATTTGCAGTGTTGTCTTGCGCTCCATAGTACGATAGCCATGTCGTAATGTGATGGTGAATTTCTGTTTTGGACTCGTTGTGCAGGAGAGAACGAGTGTGCTAATCTATGTGCGTGACAGCTTATACAGACTCATGCGAAACGCTCCAGGACGCTGGTCCACTCACCTCACCCAAAGACACTTGGCACCAACGGTCTTGCATCCACACGACGGACCAGGTGCCTTCTTGTGACGTTGGCACGCGATACTCATTCGCCTGCCACTGATTGACAGTATGCGTCTCCAGGACCTTGGGCCGAGCATGCGTATCGGCTGGCTCTGTCCGTTGGTACGTGAATGAGAACGGCGGCTCGCCCTCGAGGGTGAACACGATTTCGGCATGACCACCTTCACGCAGTGACTCGACAAGATTTGCGCCTGCCGACACGTGTGCGCTAGGGAGTGCATGAACGATGCGTTCAATCGGGGCGTGTGTCTTGCGACACGTATTTGAGCCATGCGCGGCGCCGAGCACCGACAGCACGCCAGGTCGGTCAGCCAAGCGCCAGAACTCGGCCTTCCGCGCAGTCACATGCGACGTCCTACCTAGGAATGTGTACTCCACAGTCCATGGCGACATTCCCTGCAGTACAAAGTCCATGCGTTCGCCTACACAGTAGTGCATGCGGTTTGTCACGGGAACGACGCCGGCGCTTTCCACCACGTCGACCAGCACTGACGCTGTGGCCGCTTCATTGACACAATGGGCATCTTGCACACGCTCCACACGTAATTCCCATGTCCCTGGCACGCTCATAACGGTGGGTGGCATCACATGCCATGTGGACTCGTGCACGGTCTGAGCGAAGCGTGTGGGGGCTGCCTGACCCTCGATATGCACGGGCCGGAGGACCATGTCTACTTGGAAGGGTGGCGTGCCGAAGAGGTGCAGTATCGGCCTCCGCTCCCACGTGCCACCCACACAGGCTGTGATGCGCTGAGGCTCGTCGTGAACGAACTTGGCGTCTGGCCGCGGCCAGACGCGGTACTCAAGCAGGGCAGGCGCCGCAGCAGCTGTATGTGGATAGAAAGCGTCGCTGATGCTCACGATGTTGTACGAGAACCAGCCAGGGACATTCGTCTTCAGCGGCACAGACGCGTTAGGTTCTGAGCTGGAAAGTGTGTTGCCACGAGTCAGTGTTGTGCCACTGTCGGCCAGGGTCGTCTGCTGATACTTGACCTCAACGGGCGGCTGTCCTTGCAGCGCGATCGTGGCTGTGTAAGGCGTCGACACACACACGGGCGGCAGACTCACGACTCCGCTTTTAAGCCCATTGGGTTGTGTAGTGTCGACGAAGAATGCGTGTGGCCGCGGGCGCATCACGACCTCGGCTGTCTCCTGCTGCGGAAGTACACTGCCGGCGCAATGTGCGTCACGCACGCCAGTAATGGTGTAGGAGCCAGGCTCACTTACGCGCAGTGCTTCGTTTGCATCGTGCAACGTGGCTGTGCCATTCTCGCGCCCATGATCAAGTGTGTAGGAGATGAACCATGGTGGCGTACCTTTGAGCCGAAGAGGCAGGTCTGCGTACGTGTGTTCCTGCACAACCGCATGCTGCCGTGCGAAGCCCACGGCGGCGTTCGGTCGACGCACATCCACACGCAAGTCGCGCGTGGCAAGTCGACGCTCACAGCCCTTGCCATCACGAAGGCGGAGGAGCGAGACGGTAGCACGTCCCTGGTGATTTGGCGGGAGTGTCAAATTCAGTGTCGTCCGCGCTTCTTCGATGTTGTCGACATGCCAGTACACAGGCTCGCCGCCGGCTCCACCACGCGTCGAGTATTCAAGCGAGTAGGGGCCGGTGCCTGAGAAGGCCACATCCGCTTGCACGGTCGGTTCACCGCAGCTGCTGACGACCGCATCCTGATCGCTGTTCGCACCAACAAACGACGCGGAGGCAAGTGGATGTGCGATTTGCGTGAATGAGGGCCCGTCGAGAGGCACATGCTGGTAATTGGCATCATTCAGCTCGAGGAATCGGTAAGTGACGAGGCCCTCCATATTAGGCCAGAACTCAAGCTCATCGCGCGTCTGGTCACGCACCACGCGCTCGTGCCGTCGGGGTGCTTGGCCGGCACGTTGCGTCTCGTACACCAGGCGGAATGGCGGCTCACCCTCAAGATCCGATAGAGCCTTGACTCCCACGGTGCCTGCACACGGGTCTTCGATGCTCTCGAAATGGATCGATGCTCGTGGCAACGGCACGTCCACCACCTCACACGTCCACGGTGAGCCGACTTGGCCCGCACAAAACTGGGACGACAAGCCCTCAATCGTATATAGCCCTGTCTGATCGAGGCGCTTCGTGTGCGTGCCCCGCTCGAGCGTCCAAACGTCTTGACGGCTGCGACCACCGGCAGACGCAAGTGTCTTCCACGTCGTTGTCGCATTACCGTCGGGCCTGTGGACCACCTGCACATCCCAAGCGTCTGAGGGCCCTGCTTGCTGCAGTTGCACACGCACATCGAGGCCTGGGCTAGTCCGCAGGAGCTTCAGCGGTCGCCCAGGCACACACTGCATGGGATCAAAGTGCACTTGCGCCTGCGCATGCACTTGCACATCGTAGGCATCCTGAAGCGCTGCTGCATTCCCGCATGCATCCCTCACGCGCTTCAGACGCACAGTCTGTGTGCCGGGCAACGGCAGACCCAGAGCAATGGTCGCGGGCATGTGGGGCGAATGATGTAGGAGTGTGTGTTGATGTTGGATCTGTTTTCGCGGCTCTGAGCCGCGGAGCAGCTCATACTCAAGCGAGAGCGGCGGCGTGCCATGCAGCATGACCTCAACGAGTGCCTCCTCGCCCATGCAGTAATCTGATGCGCCATGTACGAATGATGCTCGCGGACATTCAACGAGCGTGACGGTCTCTGGCCCGACGAGCGCTTCGTTGGCCTGCCGGTCGACGACGGATTCCAGCTGCAGGATGCCCGTGTGCGTGATGCGCAAATCATGCACAGTTTCAACCGGCATGTCCGAGGCTCTTTGCTTTGCTGCCTGCCGTGCACGTTTGCGCTCCGCCAGCGAAAGCACATGTGCACCACGCGGCACATCGGGCTCTTGGGCCTCAGTGCCAGGAGCTCGTGCGCGTGTCTGCGCACTAGTCTTGGGATGTTTGATTGTATGTACACTCTTGTGACCTGAGACAGGGTCTGTGATGGAATAAGTCAGTGAAGCAGGCACGGTCTGGTTGAACACGACGGGAATGTGTACTTCTCGCACATTCTCGCCCAGACACATGCACGTCGTCGCAGGAGCAAAGCGCGCCGTCCCATACGGCACAATGTGGATGGTATGTTGGCCAGAAATATGTGCGCGTGGGCGCACGATGTGATCAAGGCGTACGCGTCGCTCGCCGACGCTCCATACCGCCGGTCCTGGAAGCACGGCTGGCACCCACGCAAGGGCGTCATCGTATGGAAGGAGTGCTATCGCATCTGCCGCAGCAAGTATCAAAAACAGTCCCACATAGTGCCATGCTGTCCATGGCCGTCGCAGCGTTCGCGCTGCCTGCTGGGGTGGTGCGACGGCTGAAGCTGGTGTGCCAGTAGCACGTGGTGGGATCGCCAGCCAATGCAGGGCATAGCATAGTGAAAAATCCAGGAGAAGCACGACAAAAAACGACGTCGGCTCAAATAACTGCATCATGCCATGCGCTCGCGGTGCGTGAAACCAATGCACGGCCACAAGCCGCATCCATTTCCACGCTTGCACCCCAAAGAACGCGGCCGCTGCATAGAAGCGCTGTGTCGGCGCGTCGACAACAGCAAGAGGTATGCGCGGCTCACGCACATGTCCACGCCCTCTTGTGGTCCCGCTCGTCGCGGGCATCAAGTGCGAGTCAATGAATGTGTGTCAGTGCGTGTGTTGAAGAAAAAAAAACCGACACACGCTTCGGCGGACTAAGAGCAGAGTGCCAGAGACACCTTTGTCGGCCCACGCAGGTGGTGGAGGGCATATTGGGACGAGCGCATGGAATTCAGGTCACGTGTATTCATACACACCTCTAGTGCTACGTTGCCTGCGTCGCGACCTCGTCAGGCGGCGACAACGCGCCGTTTCGTGGTACAGACGAGCTTCTAGCAATACAGGCGCACATATGGCGGTCAAGTCCAAGGCTCGGTACGTGCAATGATGCTTATACTAGCGTGGTAATTGCGCGGCTCATGTCAACGGCCGGCACTGGCTTCATGTACACGACGCGTCGCTTGCGTGTGGCTGAGCGGCTTAGTCTGATGAAATACGATCCTGTGGGTACGTGGTTTTTTTTTTCGCAGCCCTGCTCACGGCAGTCAAACGACATGTCCTCTTCAAAGGAAGGTCAAAAGGGAAGAAGTAGTGGCACTTGCTACCTATATATATGCAATCAATCAATGCAAGCAATCTATCTATATATATACCTAGAAATTCTCGTAAAAAGTCCAGGTCGGCATGCGTGAGTTTACTTTGGGAGGAAGTCGTGGAGGTGGTGGTCGGAGGAGGAGGGGGTTTTGTGGATAGCGTTGAGCTATTCGTTGTCTTCGTGCTCGTAAAGGAGGGAGGTGCAGAGATCTGTGACGGTGGCGGTGGTGATGCATCTAGAAGCAAGTCCACAGGAGCAGCTGTAGTAGCATCGCGAGGCGTCTTGCTGTCGCTGGCTGCTTTTCTATTCGTCGTCCTTGCTGTCGATGCTGGTGCTGGTGGTGGCGGCAGCGGTAATGCTGGAGGAAGAGCTGCCTTGTTCTGTGGTATGACAGGCTCTTCATCCTTATACGATGACTGCAGTGCAACCATCGTTTCGAGGCTTCCATATTGTTCGCCACCACCGCGATGGACGAACGGACCAGGTTTTGGTGAATATGGAGCATCATACAACGTCGCGGCTCCCCGATCGTCGTCTGTATATGCCTGGATGTCGCCAAATTCGTCCGTGTCATCAGGATCGTATCTGTAAGGATCGTAGCCGTCAGGCTGATGCACAATAGTATCAGCATCAGAGATAGGTCCGCGCGTGTCTTCATAGGGGTCATCGTAGAGCGGGGCTGGATCATAGGCTCCACTCATTAGAGAAGGACGAGTGGTTGAGGGTGCCTTTTTCGTTGTAGCAGCATCGAGCCACGCCAAGTCGTCTGCATTTAGCGTCGAGCTAGCGCCTTGAGTCGGTGCGAGCTCTGATCGCATAGGTGGAGCGGTCTGAAAGTTGGGCGATGTCACTGATACGCGCGTTGATACTCCAGGCTGAGTGTCTTGTGCTTCCAACGACGTCTTGCTTGGTTGCTCGGCTTGTGATGACGTACCAGGTGATTTGTCTGATAGCGTCGATGACTTGGTCGAACGCTTCAACCAACCACTAATCCGGCTTGCTGCTGCTGTTGACGGCGTGTTTGCCGCATTAGGTCGGGTGGGCGGCGTCACACGTTTCCAACCTTGCGCTTGTTCGGCTTCGGCTGCTTTTTTAGCTTCCTGCGCTGCTGCTGCGCGTGCTTGTCGCCATTCTGTCATGCGGGATCCTAACCGAGAAATTGCCGAACCGACACTGCTTTTTGTCGTCGTAGCCATGGTTGCGGTAGAGTCAGTGGTATCTTGTGATGTGGTCGGCAGCACATGGGTACCTGAAGTGTCAGACGGGCTGGTTCCATGTGATGGTAGCTGTGGCTTTTCGTCTTGCTGGACAAGCTCGGATTGACCTGGTGCCGGCGATGTGGTATCTTGCGCAGGGTCATCGGCTTCAGCTGAGGCGACAGTGGCTGGCTCGTGGCGTTCTGCATCCTGCGCGAGACTTGCTATGTTATCCTCTTTTTCCTCTGGCTTATCTGATTCCGTAGAGCCATCATTTCTCGGCATGGGATCGCCCTCGTTCCACACGTTCTCATGCATCATTAAAGAGGCAGAAGTGAGCGATGCCAAATGGGCATCGTCTGCCGTCGGCTCAGGAGCCTGTTCCATCGATAAATTCCACGTTGCACTCGGTTTATTTAGGTCCTTTATATGCACATCGGTCGAAAGCCGCTCATCCGCGACAGCAGGTATCGCTGGCTCAGACGACACGGGCACAGCGCTCCATGGGTCCACGTCCAAACTAACAGGCGGCACGATAGGCAAAACATCCTCTTTTGACTCAAGCACGATCGGAGGAGAGCTTGTGCTCACCGTGGATGTCGGCCCAGCTGAGGGCGTTTCAGCCTCGTCCGCCCAAGGACTTGCCCACGGATTCATCAAGCCCTGGAAGGGAGTGGGCGGAAGGTGTAGGAGAGTGTGGAGGATGACACACACACAGGGGGCCTAGTCGACAGCAACTCAAGATCTAACACATAGGTACATGTGGCAAGCGAGCGCGCTTTTTGAAAAGCGCGCCCCCCCACCCCCGCCTGGTAACCTCACGGCCAAGCTTGAAGAGCGATGCAGCGGAGGTGCACGCCTCTATTTCATGATCACGTGATACATCGAAGGTTTCTGCTGTTGTCCTTGCTGCTGTGACTGCCATCACTCGATACGGCGCTTCCTGCCTTAGACAGCTCGTCTTGGTACCGTCTTGTCCGTCGGCTGGGTGTGAGGAGGAGTGTATCTCCCTGCCACTGTCCCTTGTCGTTGCTAGACCTTCTATCCACCATGTCCTCATCAATACTTGCACGGGGGATGCGGGGTATGTTTGCGATGCGACGAGCGCCTCTTTCTCCTGCTTGGACGTCGACTCGAGTGCGTTCACGAACCGTTGTCAGCACGCCCACACCTGTGCAGACAAGAAATGAAGAAGAACCACTTATGCCATCTACTGCATCATTTCTACCATCTACAGATGATGTGGCGCGAGCTCGGCAGCTGCTCCGTTGGATCTGGCTCGAGCCAACACAACGCGAGGAGCTCCAGTCGTTTGTCGACCGCCCAGAGACGTCTGTTGCCCCATCTTGGTTCACGTCGACATATGTAACAGCTCGGCAGTACAGAATGGCACGCTCCCGGCTGTGGGTGCCATCCATGGAGCGGGTCGGTGGTGACTTGAACGCATTTTTGGACGGCGAGTTCGATGCAATGCGTATCAAAATAGAGCGCGCACAAGATCCATTTTTGACTCTGGATGCTTGGGACGCAATGGATCTGGAAGAAAAAGCTGATGTGGTGTTCCAGCACGTATGGAGGGGCATGTCCGAAGAAGAGCGTGTAGCAGCACTAACGCGCGTGACATTTGAATGCGCTCGGCGTCTTGGGTGGCGCTCAGGCTTTTCGTCCGGCTTCCCGGGCATGCCGGATGATGCAGTCGATCCTGTCCAACAAGTTGCAAAACAGCTGCGATCATCCGGCTCGAGCAAGTCGGCTGTGCGGCGAGCCCTGCAGGCAACGGAGGATCAGCGTGCGTGGGACGCTTGGCAGGCACTTTCGCCGGCCGAGCGACGTGCTGAATGGGACACAGCGTGGCGCCAACGTGATCGATCGATGATCTACGTAGACGATGCACCCACGACTCGTTTGCTCGGAGCGCCCGCCCCGCGCTGGTATGCCGTGCCGCAGCGTGCTGGTTCGCTGCAGTTCTTGCCGAATGTCATGGTGCGTTTGGTCCGGAACTATACGCCCCGTGGCAAGCCATACGATGTATGGAAAGCAACGTTCCGTGTGCCGCTAAATATGCACAAGCACTTGCTCCGCTCCTACCTCCTGGCGATTTACGGTCTCCGTACGACATGGGCACGCTCGATGGTGTACCGATCGAAGATTGTATTTAGCGCAACAAAGCGTCGCCGAGTCGTAGGTCGAGGCCGCACATTCAAAAAGGTCGAAGTCGGTTTGCTGGAGCCATTTGTCTTCCCAAGCGTGTCGCAAGCGTTCTTGCGCACGCACCTGTTTAGCCAGGAAATGCTGTATGAAGAACGACGCCTCATGTTCAAGATGACCAAGGGCCGCCGCTGGCGAGGCCACAAGAGTGTGCGTGACCTTTCACGTGCACTGGACAACAACTGGGCTGCCCAGAGCGCTGGTGCGCCAGACGAAGAGCCAGTGGCGAAGCGGCCCACGGCCCAGCTGCTTGTGCGGAAACGGTCGGTGCCTACGGCTCGCCACAGCAACATTCTGTCCGTGATATCTGAACGTCGTGCGGAACGAGAAGCACGCGTGCAAAAGCTCTTGGACGAGCAGCGCAAAAATACATCGTCGTCGTCATCGTAGTCGTTATTTTCGTAGTATCTATGATGATGGTGCTGGCAAATATTCTACAGTTAGAATCCTCGCAGGCCCAGGATGTGGCGAACATCGCTCGCATATCGGAGGCCATCCAAGATGGGAAGCAGGTCTAGCAAGGCTTCGTCATTCGGGTCATGTGTCCAGCCCTCAACTGGTATGCCATTCGCCTCTTGCAGTAGATAACTGATAGGCGAATTGTCCACTAAACAGACACGACTGAGATCTTCCTCGACAATCTCAAGATCTTTGAGGTACGAGCCATTTCGCAGTGTGCATGAGTCGCGGAACAGACGCCCACTGATGAGCCCTTGCCCACCGTCAAGCCAGTCGATCACCGGATCTGCGTACTCTTTCATTGACGCTGTGAAGATGACCACATGGTACCAGGAGGCGACTTTGCGCAGAAAATAATCAACCCACGGACGCTTATAGACCTGGTAAAAGACACGCCGCCCGTCAATGTGCACTTCAATCCCGCGAATCTGCAGGCGTGCATGGGAAGGTATGCCTGATCCAAGACCTACAATATTCATCACAGCATCTGTGATCCTAGTTCCCACATGATCACGGACATTCCATGTATTCCACACGGATGCGGAGCCAAGTCGTGAGTGGATTAGGGTTTCGTCCAAGTCTAGGACAAGTACTTTGGGTGTGTGCTGTATTATGCCTGGCAACTTTCGCACTGAACTTTCGTTTCTATCCTTTCGCTCCGGTTCGCTCTGCGACAAGATTGACGATGATGATGACGACGACCTCCCACTTCCATCACGTGCTTTGCGTCGCTGTACAAGTATCTCTACGCTGGGGAGTGCACTCGTCTTGGCACCCAAGGTATTCTCGTCCATCGTCCTACCTCCGCGTGCGTCCGCAACGCGGGGCACAGCGGTCGTCTGCACCCGTGGTGGTGACAACCTAATTGACCTCAACGCACGAGGCCCCCAAAGATTTTTGATATATGGATGCAGGCTGAAACTTACGCAAGCACCGTTCGGTTCGAGCCCTCCAGCTACTGGGGCCGTCACCTGGAGGGGTCTGCCGCCGCCAGTGCGCAGTACGAGGAATTATGTGGAGATACACGAACTTGTAAGGGCCTTTGGAGTAGCTCGACGGACTGAGCGAGTACATCCAAAGTTCTGTGTTTCCATCAGGCACCTCCACTACACGCCACACGTCGTACAAGCCGGGGGAGTGCATGTGTGTTGGGTTCAAGCTTCTAGCTGAGCAGGCACAGTGTCAAGCCAAGCCGAGTCACTGATATATTCATATCTGGCAACATCATCACATCACCCAGCAAGCTCACATATCAAAGCGCGATCGTATGTCATCTTCAACGCGGCCCACTTCATCGACGGGACAAGAGTACCCGGTCGTATTAGGCTACAAGATCGTACAGCTTCTGGGCGGTGGTGGATTTTCTCGGTATGTTGTCCTGCACGTGGGCTTACACCTGGATCAGTGTGTTTCGTGCGATCAATCCAGAGTCTGAGACGCATCCACAAGCTGCTGTGAAAGTCGTATCATACCAATCAACGACGAATCGCCAACCTATTGATCGACGTGCTCTACAAAAGGAAGTGCAAATTCACAGTATCCTCAAGCACAAAAACGTCCTTGCATTCCTGGGATCGGTCGAATATGCCGTGGCATCATCAGCACCTAGCAACTATGTTCGTGGCCTGTATATTCTTCTTGAGCTATGTGCTGGTGGCGACTTGTTTGATAAGATATCGCCTGATGTCGGTGTAGATGAAGACCTTGCGCACTTGTACTTTACCCAGCTCATGTCAGGTCTAACTTACATTCATGGACAGGGCATCACGCATCGCGACATCAAGCCAGAAAACATGCTCTTGGACGCGCAAGGCAACTTGAAAATTGCTGATTTCGGTCTGTGCAGCGTGTACAAGTACAAAGGCAAGGAACGTACACTCCATGGCACTTGTGGGAGTCTTCCTTACATTGCGCCGGAAATGAACGGCCGCCCATACCAGGGCGAGCCTGTAGATGTATGGAGCTCGGGTGTCGTGCTGTTCGCTATGCTTGTCGGCAACACACCTTGGGACGAACCGACGTACCGAAGTCCTGAATATACCGCATATCTTTCAGGTGAGCTCCTGCGTATAGATCCCTGGACCCGCATCAGCGGCGATGCTCTCTCGCTCCTCCGTCGAATGATGCATCCTGATCCAACGCGTCGTGCATCTCTGTCGCAGATCCAGCGGCACAGATGGTTTACCCGAACGAACCCACTCTTGTCCTCCGGCAAATGCAATGACCCTGTCAGTTTGGCTGAGCGTCTTTTGCATGGCCTCATAGTGTCAGGTGACCTTCACTTGTCACTTCATACCGACGGGCAGCGAGCGCCTGTGCCAACAAGTCTGTCGCTTTCGCAGCCGGAGGCGCTCCCCCAGCGTCCGTTGGCCCTAAGTGCAGAAGGTATTCCCTCCTCCACGGCACAACCCGCCCTGGACTTGCGCCAACGCATGACACAAGTGCCACGCACACAGGCAGATGAGTTTACGCAGGCCCTCGGCTTCTTTACGCAATCCTCCGCCGGGCCCATGGGTATAGTTCTGCAACTGACACGCTTCTACAGCACTGCTGCACCTCCAGATATAACGGCTGCCGTCACCGAAGCATTGCAAGTGCAAAATGCACAATATTGTGTCGAAGCCATGTCAGATGCTTCTTCAGACTGGCTTGAATCTTATGAAGATGATGATGATTCACTCGCTTCACGCGGCAATGTCTCGACTGAGTCTCTCCATGGCGCGCGTGGTGCAAGAATCCGACTGAGTCTGGTCGATCGACGGAAGTGTGCATTGAAAGGTGAAGTCCGCATTGAACGTGTCGCTGAATTGCCACCAGATATGGGCATTCACGCAGGACAGCCTGGAAGTTTTGTGCTAATGCGCCGAAGCAAAGGCAATCCCTTAGAATGGCGCCGCTTGTTCCGCGATCTGTGTAAACATCCAAGTGTGCGTGCTTCTATGGCTATTCCACGCGCATCATAACCCCTGCCTTGGCTGCGTTTGGCGACTTTATTCTCATTTTATGCTTTTTGGTTCCCAGAATACTCTTCCCACCTACTTCCCTCTTTTTCCCTGCGCTTTTTTAAATCATTTTTGCTCGATTTCTTTCACACAAATACTCCGTATTGACGCTTTTCCATTTACTTTTCATTCTCTCGTTCTCTCTCTCTCTCTCTCTCTCTCTAGTCCCAGCGCGTCTCAGGATGTTGTAAGAATGCCTCGTAAGCTGGTCGATGAAATAGGCTCAGCTCCGTCTCGTTCTGGACTCCCAACGAAGCGAGTGACGCGTCACTAGCACTATCAAATATCCATTCAGGATGATCAAGGTTGATGATCAAGTTCGTCGTCTTGGCCCCATGTGCCTGTGTATAAAGTTTGATAGTATCTGTACGTTAGTCAAGGTCCTTTTGTTGTTGTACGTACCCAAGTCAGCCACGACATTCCGATACGCCTTGAATGCTGGCTGCGTTCGCACCTCGTGCCGACATCGCTCAATGAGCTGCGGTGTCGTACACTTTGTCAAGTCAATATCCCTGAGCACGAGAGGCTTCATTGTCCGGAACTCAAAGTTCTTGATGATCCGCACAGTGATGATCGCGCTCGTAAGTGGGCGTGCCTGGTTTGTCACAGTATTGTCAAGGAAGTCAACCTGGGGTGCATAAGGATGATGTTCGAATCCCTCACTGCGTGGTACTGAACTGCCGCTCATGATGCCCGCTTTGGATGTATGAATCTATGCTGTTTTGTATATACGATGAAAGACGCAGCTAGACAAGCTTGTTTCTATGAGCGAGCTGCGGCCGCTGAGCGATTGGACCTAGCCCGATTCTTTCCCGATGCAGGCGCACTCGCTGTGCCAATTGCCAAATCGATCACACGAAGCAGCAGGGCTAAGTGGAGATCCAACGATACCATAGGATCTGTGACCACCTTGTGGACTGTCGTCAAGGCGTCACAAACAGCCTGCTTACCACCAATACCCAGCGCATAGGCAGCTTGCGGAGGTGCATAGCTCAGGACTACTTTGCGTGCTTCCTGGTAGCGTGTGTGAATCTCCTCCTCTGTCCGAATGGGTGTTGTCTCTGTGTTCCACACATCATTCGGCCACCACGATTCGCGCAAGTATTTCAACCAAGATGCTTGTTCATTCAGTGACAGCTTGCTTGCAAAGTACGAGAGTGTCTTGGAAACTGTGCTGACGTAGGTCGTGCGGATATATTGCTCGATGATTCGCAGCATACCCCGCTGCAAAGTCCACGCTTTGTGCATGTTGAGCGCTTCGCGTGTGACAGCAAAGACGGCCGTCAGCAAAACATTGATGTCGTGAAGCGACGGGGTCTCTTCGGGGCATGGCTCACTGGATATTGTGGCTGGAGAAGTTTTCGATGAAGAAGCATTCGACGCTGTCTCTCCTTCAGCTTTGGGTCCCCGCTTCCTGGTCTCGTATGGGACGTGCGTCTCTTTGGACAACGACAATGATGGTGCAGCCGATGTCGCTTTTGAATCAGAAGTAGGGCATGATGGGTGAGGCTCTGTCTCAACATAGGGCTTATTCTCGTATGAATCACTCACTGAATCTGCATGGTTCTTGGACACAAGATCGTGTTTCAGAGGCACGTCGTCGCCTCGTCCGGCAGCGTGGCCATCTGGAATTTCGTCAACGCGCTCCGTATCATTTTTCTTCTTTCTAGGCACAAACGCTAGACCATACCCCTTGTCAACTCCGTGTTTTTCAGTATTTGGTGCTGGCGCTTCAGCTGGTCGCGTCTCAGTCATGTCAGGTCTCAAACCAAAAATGCGTCCAGCGCGGGACGGGGTTGGGGCGAGTTGGCCGATCCCCCTGCGCGCTGAGCCAGCAGCCCCAGCAAATCCTGTGGCAAATGTGCGACCCATACCACCAAGACCTGGCATAAATAAGTTGTTCCAGACGCGTGATTCTTCGTCTGTCGCCCGTGTCTTGTCGAGAAAACGATGCACAGCTTGAGTAGAGCTGTACCAAGCCATGCCATCTTGTGCATGTGACGGAGCCAGCAGCTCTAGCAAGTATCTGCGAATCGCATCACAAGCAACAGAGCTTGTCAGCCCTTTGATTGATGGAAGCGCAGGTGGACCAGACATACCAGATCCCACAGGTCGTCGTTCATACATTCTGACCAAATCGACATGCAGTGCCTCAAATTGCGGCCATGTGCGAATGACAGCATAGCCGCCAGAGCCGTCGTCGCTCTCTTCCTCAACCGTCACAAGCACTTGCATTGTGCGTGAGTCAACAACATGCTCTGGCTCAGCGTTCGCACTTAGATCCACAACTGAAATGTTACGCGGTACATTTATGGACGACATCGTCGCTTGCGGACGCTTACGGCGCGGTTCGTACGTGTTAGAATTCGCGCATGATGCAGTATTCAATGACGAAGGCTCAGACGATTGCTGCGGTTTACCGCGAACACTTGCCAAAAACATGTCATACAGCGCCTGCATACGCCGAAGGAGGGCATTGCGCAAGGGAACGAGCATGGGCGGCTCGATCATGTCATGTTGGAGAATTGACTCCATGGCGGATCGCAGCTCGCTCGTCGCATTTTGTTTAGGGAGCATTGGTAGTGAAGTCTGAAGAATTGCGCGCACATCGCTAGTATACAAAGCAGGTGAACTCGACTCGTGCGTAGCGGCAGCATCAAGTGCTTCTAAGTTCGCATGAAGCTGGATCAGTACAGCGCCTTCACTGGGCTCTGCAGTCGGATCGATGGCCGCCAAATACGATCCCCATGCATCATATACGTCGCTGTCCTTCCTGGACAAAACTTCCTGGACCTTTTTCGGATATCGTACCTGGTAAGACTCTTTCATTACGCGACTGTCTTCAATTGACGGGGGAAGTGGTGGCTCCGACACTTGCGAAGGCACATTCATCGGAGCTGCCCACGGACTCGAAAAGAAATCAACTGGACCTTTTTCTTTCGATCGCTCATTTCTCTTGGCTGCAGAGCTGGGTAATGCAACATGTGTATCAGAAGGACTTGGTGGCAGAGATGTTGAGTGTTCAGGCATATCTGCTACGTCCCTTGACTCAGTTTGCAGAAGAGTCTTGTTCGGATACGAGAGGCTATTGTTCGAGAGGGAATGCGCCGGTCTAGGAGAGCGATCCGGTCCAGGCGAGCTCTTTGACAATAGTGACCTGTTGGATATACTATCATCGCAAGATGCGGGCGTTTCATTCGGTATGACGTCGTCGCTCGACCGGTGTCCATGTCCTGGCGCGTGAACGTCAAGATCTTGCTCAGAGCGCGACTCTCGAAGCTCGCTAAGCACATCTTCGAGCGGGTCTGGAAGGGTCGAGCTGGGCAGTGATTGTCCGCAGTTTGATGATTCCTGGGATGCATGCTCGGACTCCAAGTCGATCAGCAAATCCTGCACTCCTGAACTTTTTGTAGACGCCTTGGGCGACGTCCGTGCTCGTGTCGGCAACGGTGATGATCTCAATTCCGATGGCGATGTTGTTTTCGGATCTAACTGTGTCAGTGTCGAATCAGGATGCGTGTCTAGATTTTTTATTGGAGCTTCGGGTGCATGATTGGGCTTTAATGGCTCACCAGATAGTAGTGGTGACGCCGATGAAGGATCTTTTGACGTAACACCAGATGAGCTCGAATCAGCACCATGAACAAACACTGGTTCTTCTTCCCGAGAGACATGCATAGAGGACGATGTTCTCTTTCCATATTGCAGAATATAGCCGTTGATCACATCAGGATCACTGTATGTTTGAAGTGCACTCCACAACTGCTTCGACAAGACTTCAGAGAGTAGCTCCACGACCATTGACGAGCGTCTCTCTTCTTCTGGCAGGCTTTGTGACAAAAGTGTGTACATGGATGTGCGCAAGCTTTCAATACGGGCGGATGCATTGTCCCAGAGTCCAGGCGCAGGCGCGTCTTCCGAGCGCATATTTTGCATCGCAGTAACAATGACAGACAGGGCAGTGAGTGACAGCTCTGTCGCAACCGTGGCACGATCGTACTGTTCAAGGCGCAGCGAGATCTGCGCAAGTACATGCTCCATGCACGATATCGCTTCTGTGGGAAACGATGCCGAACCGAAAGATATGGGATCAAACCAAGACTGAACGAAGTCGCGGCGGACCAGGCGCAGAATATGGCGTATTTCTGGCTGCAGTGTGGCAGGAAGCAAATCAATTGACATACGAATGCCTTTCTTCGACTTGTCAGGGCTTGAATTGACTTGATTCCCACGGAGAGAGACAATGTCATGTGCCCGTCCACGAAGGACTTGTGCTGTCTCATGTTCGTGCCTTGCTTGACTTGCCGCGGAATGGTCACCAGGAAATGCCAGTTCAAGGTACTCACGCACGACTGGATGACAAAGAAATACAAAAGATAAAGCGAAAACGCATAGCATCGCCAGGATCCCTAGGCGCATGACGACGAATGAAAGAACGGCGATCGCGACCGGTACCACCATCGATGATGACATTGACAAGATCGGCGGTGATGGCAGCAAGGATAAATCAGACGACGACGCCTCCGCTTTGGCATACGACTCGACGTCGCGATCGTTTTGTGCCTCGTCCATAGCGACGCGTCGTCGTAAGACCGTACGGAATCAAGATTGGGCACGTTTCGCTGTGATGTGCTGCTGACATATACAGCCTATTTAGACACGCCTCGTAGCCACACGCGCCACGCATCCCCGCCCTTCCCCAGAGGGCCGGAGAATTTGATCATGCCTCCACATCCTGTAGGCTTCCATGCTAACGAGGAGACCTGCCACAGAGTGAAGCTCTATTTGAAGCCGCCACAGACCTGGTATCAATCTAGTCAATCCCAGTACTTGGTCTTCAAACAGGCTCTGCTTCTAGTAGAAAGAGGCAAGTTTTCCGTGTGTTTGCATACATGGAATGGGAGTCCACGGACTATGGCAGCTCTTGCAGCCGGTAGGACGACCTGTCACGTACGTCAGTTGGAGTGTCACGCTGACAACAGGCTCGAATCCTTGCAAGGCAAAAGACTCGCGATTGATTCTTCCATATGGCTGTACCATTTCCAGATGGCCATGCGTGATAGCGAGGGACGCACGCTTTCGAACGCGCATCTTCTTGGGTTCTTGTGGCGAATTCTCAAGCTTCTCTTCTACGGCATAAAGCCTATTTTTGTATTTGATGGTGGCGCGCCCGTCCAAAAGCGCCGAACCATCGCTAACCGTAAACACAGGCGCACAACAGCCGCTGACTCCCTTGCAAAGACGGCGGAAAAACTTCTTGCCGCGCAGCTCCGGCAGGCAGCCCTAAACTATGCGTCTCCCCAAAAGCAAAGCGGCCTGGATGCGGAACTGTTGGACAATGGAACGGTATACTTTGATTCTGTCGGCCGCTCGAATCAGCCTCAGCTCGGAGGGCGAGTGAACGAGACTGGTTTGACAGTAAAGCCAGCGCTGCAGCCGAAAAGTGCGCCCAAAGACCCGTATCAGCTGCCTGACATGCCACATGACGCCTTGCTCGAGTCAAAGGGTCAGAAAGATTTACGATTTGCGACTGAGACGGAATTGCGCGCGCTTATGAACTCGATCGCTCCTGAAGACCTTGACATGAATTCAGAGCTGTTCCGCAGTCTTCCACCAGAATTGCAGTATGAACTTGTCGGTGATTTGCGCATGCAGTCACGAGGCACATCATACAAGCGTTTGCAGGACATGTTACACGCTGCACCTACGGCGATTGATTTTTCCAAAGCACAGGTTGCCGCTCTTAAAACGCGCAACGACCTCACGCAAAAAGTGCTAACCGTCACGGATGAAATTGGACGTGCTAATATAAAAGTCCCCATGCGTGTGGAAGGCCTACGAAATCGCGAGTATGTACTGACGCACATCGATTCTGGCGACGGCGGATTCGCTCTTGGATCCCGCGATGCTGGTACAACGCGAGACAAAGCCATCATCGTTGATTCGGACGACACGAAACCAGATGTGGCCTATTACAATCACGACGATGACGAGGAGTTGGCAGAACTCGATATGGAAGATGTTGAAATAGGATCGGCCCCAATTGCCCCTGATCCTGAGCTTGACGCTATCGTGCAAGCTGAGCCAGATCCTATTGCACGCAAAGAACGAGCTCTTCAGTTCTTGAGTGCGCGCGCTGAGCAGCACCGCCGCCAAAAGCGCAAAGAAGCTGGTATGGATGATTGGGAAGAACGAATGTTTGGGCATATGGAGCCCGTACAATATGAGTCAAGTGCACTGTTTCATGAGTCAGACGTGGGCGATGCTGCGGAGGCAGTGGAAGCAGCACAACCCAAGGAGCCTATTCTCCTCGACGAAACCTTCGAAGAAGTGTCTTTGCCTTCAGCGCTTCACGCGAAACCAATTCGTTCTCGTTCACCCACGCCTCTGCCGTCGCCCACTCCAATGCCTGCCGAGCTGAGCGCATCAGCAATATCGACTGCACCACCTAACGTATCATCGTCGCCACCCGTGGCGCTTCGCGGTGACGAACCGGCTGCTCAAGCCTCGGCTGCTTCTGTGAGGTCGCCCCCTTCACAATCCACGTTAAGATCACCAGTTCCCACCGTCGCTCCACAGGCTATTGTTCATCCTGTACAGACAACCTCGTGTGAAAACGAATGGGATCCAAAGCACTCGGAATCTTCCAGAGAAGCTGATTCGAATGTTCCACGTGGTAGTTCCTCCATCCCACGCGTTGATACGATGGAGTCCGGAAATCCTTCACCCATGCGATTGGTCTCTGCCAACAAGCTCAAGGTCACAACCGGGGAATTGGATGAAAATGATGAGTCGCACAGCGCCATGGCTCGAGCAACAAATAGACACGTTGATTCGCTTGAAACTGATTCATACGTGAATGTGTCAGATGCTTATCTGGCTATGCCAAACGCTGCACCGATATCGATACCCGTTACGCCAAGACATGATGCCTCGAATGAGCCTTTTCATCATAAGCATGAGGCAGCAAGTCGTGATGTATCCGAGAACAAGACTCGAGAGAAGTCCCCTGTCGCATCACATGTCGTACCACTCAGCAGCGCACCATCGAGTCCAGAACGTTTCGAGACATTGCGAGATGCAAGTCCGTTGTCGGAGCGTGCATCATCAGCATTTCCCTGGTCGCCTACACCATCGCCGGAACCGGTGCCACTGGGACCGGACGGATTCCCGCTTCCTACCGCGGAAGAAGTCGATGATGTTGAGAATGAAGAAGCACACGAGCTTGGACAGTTGGAAGGCGACCAGTCGGAGTTCGCCGACTTTCTCAGTACGACCACAGGGCAAAGTCTTCCGGCTATGCGAAAAGAAGTCGAGGCAGAAGTAGATGCATTGCGTCGCGAACGCGCACGACTTCGGCGCTCCGACGAAGAGATCACACAACAGATGACGGCGGAAATTCAGGCTCTCTTGCGAATCTTTGGCTTGCCGTATCTGACGGCGCCTATGGAAGCCGAGGCTCAGTGTGCACAACTTGCAATGCAGCATCTCGTGGATGGAATCATCACAGACGACAGCGATGTCTTTTTGTTTGGCGGCACACCAGTTTACCGCAATATGTTCAACAATCGTCGCTCTGTGGAGTGCTACTGGATGAACGACATGCATCGAGAGCTCGGCTTGTCTCGTGAGCGGCTCATCCAACTTGCATTTTTGCTGGGTAGCGATTACACGGAAGGCCTGCCTGGCGTCGGGCCTGTGCTGGCGATGGAAATCCTCTCTCTTTTTCCAGGTGATTATGCACTCGTTCACTTCCGCGAGTGGTGGCAACATGTGCAGATTGGTGCAGACGACGAGGTCCATGATGCCCGCTCGAAGGTCCGCCGGCGAATCAAGCGTGCGCTACGAGACAAAGTGCATTTATCAGAGGAATGGCCCGACCCACTTGTGCAGCAAGCATATTGGGAGCCTCAAGTCGATGACAGCGACGAGCCATTCGTGTGGGGCCAGGCTGATCTTGATGCCATCCGCGCATTCTTACAAGAGTACCTGCGCTGGCCACCGAGTAAAACGGACCAGTACGTCCAGCCTGTCATGGAGCAGCAACGCAAAACAGATCGCTTGCGGCGCGTGCAAGCGACGCTTGATCAGGCTGGTTTTACGGGAGGCCGCGTCCCTGCGCCCGCACGAAGCAATGCGTTTGAGTCAACACGCCTGCAGCGTGTTGTCCAAGACTTTCGGTATGCGCAACGCACTGACGAGACGGAGCCGCCGAATAAGCGCGCTAGATCTCGGCCTGAGCCCCGTGCGCAGCGTCGACGCCCTCGGTCGGGGCACTCAAGCGACGACGACGCATACGAACCGACATCCATCCGGCATCGACGTCCTTCCAGCCGCTCGCGCGGGCAGACATCATCGTTGCACCTTTCCATGTAAAGCTGCTATGTAGACACAAACCTACTCGACATCCTGCTCATCTGAACGGGCCTGTTTTTTTGTCAGCGTCAGTCACAGTTGCTCTCATCACACTCCATCAAGAGTGTTGACGCAAATAGTATGTTCACGTACCGCTGCCTGCGGACCGCCAAGTTCAGCAGCAAGGCCATCACGCGGGAACGTCTTGCGCATCATAGGGGGCTGAAACGATGTCTTGTACACAAGGAGAGAAAACAAGCTTATGACGCCCACAGCTGCAAGGAAGTGGCGCAGAGCCAAGGGACCTGGCACCTTGTATGCATCAGGGGACCACATGTTCAGCACATCGTCTTGCTCATGGAGCTGGTTGTGTGAGTATGCAGCATGGGTATGAGTAAGGTACGTACAGTCTCGCCATATTGCCGACGGTCCTGCGTGTCCCACCAGTGGCGACTGTATGGGCGGAACTGCTGGTTCTGGAACGGCATTGCAGGGTAGTCGCCCAGTTGTGGGTCGACCTTGTCGCCAGGTACAACAGAGCCGCGAGGCAGATCCTTTGGCGGCATGTGAACGTCTTGCATCCGCACGACGGACGTGCACAAGCCACGCATGGGAGTGAGGCGCGACACAGAGCGCCATGCCGGTGTCATATTCTGAAGGATGAATCGCTGCATGCCGTGTGGTAGTTTTTCAAACGGATGGCAGCAATGGCAGCGAAACAAAGCCACGTTACCAATCTGACTTGAAACTTCAGGGGGGGAGGGAATCGGACGACTCACTGGGCTGGCGCCGGTCGGCTGTCGGCGTGCACGACCGAGCCACTGACGACCGACCGACACGTTTGTTGGATAGGTCCCAGTTGCCACATGTTTCTGTGACACCACATAAGCCTTCTAGGATAGAAAGACAGGGACCCACTGATTTGGCCGGCCGGCCGAAACCACTCACGGAGCGCACGCATGCACATGAGGCACGTGACATGGACGACCTTAGTAGAAGGGGGCAGAGAGAAACACTGCCCGCAATGACTGGCTGGAGTCGAAAAGTTTGCCTCGGGCGCCTGCGCTCAAATTTGGAGAGCAACTCCGATCGGTGACGTTGGTATTTTGACCCAGTGGCGGCACAACAACATCACCCACATCCCTTTCCCACGATTCAACTCGCAGTATGGTGGATATCCAAGAGCAGGATCAGTGGATCAGCTATCTCAGCGAATGCAAGCAGCTGAGTGAGAATGACATCAAGCGCCTGTGTGAAAAGGTACGCATAGAAAGCACCGCCCAGCCTATCTTGCTGACTGAACTGTGGTAGGCGCGTGATGTATTGCTGGAGGAGTCCAATGTCCAGCCTGTCCATTGTCCTGTGACGGTGTGCGGTGATATCCACGGTCAATTCGTACGTGATTAGGGCACATGACGTGTGCTTTTGTAGTGTGTCAACTTACACACTATCCAGCATGATCTGTCGGAACTGTTTCGCATTGGCGGCAATTCACCCGATACAAACTACCTGTTCATGGGTGACTATGTCGACCGTGGCTATTATTCGGTAGAGACAGTGACGCTCCTGGTTGCACTCAAGGTGCGCCACCCAGACCGTGTGACCATCTTGCGTGGTAATCATGAGTCGCGCCAGATCACTCAAGTGTACGGCTTTTACGACGAGTGTCTTCGCAAGTATGGCAACGCAAATGTGTGGAAGTACTTCACCGACCTGTTTGACTACCTGCCACTGACAGCTCTGATCAATGATCAGATCTTTTGTTTGCATGGTGGTCTTTCCCCGTCCATTGACACACTTGATCAAATCCGCCAGATCGACCGTGTGCAGGAGGTACCTCACGAGGGCCCTATGTGCGACCTTTTGTGGTCCGATCCTGATGATCGCTGTGGCTGGGGAATCTCACCCCGTGGCGCTGGTTACACATTCGGTCAGGACATTAGCGAGGCGTTCAACCATAACAATGGCCTCACACTTGTCGCTCGTGCACACCAACTTGTCATGGATGGCTTCAATTGGTCTCAAGAGCGCAACGTTGTTACGGTATTTTCTGCACCGAATTACTGTTATCGTTGCGGAAACCAAGCTGCTATTATGGAGATTGACGAAAACCTCAAGTATACGTTCCTGCAGTTTGACCCCGCTCCTCGCACTGGTGAACCCCTTGTGTCACGTCGTGTCCCCGACTATTTCCTTTGATGAACCAACACAATGTTTCTCTTTTTTTTTTCTCTCTTGTCCAAAAAAAATAACGACGCACGACTTATCGGTCTAGTCCGTCCACACACACACACACACACCCAAAAAAAATTAGACCTGTTCGAAGGACCGTGTGGTTCAATATCATAGCCTATTTTGTAATGATATATCTATAGGAATGCTAGCTTTCTGTCTCGTTTCTGTTGCGCGGTAGGGACAATGGAAGGGAAGAGAAGGGAAGGGAAGAGAAGAGATTGGGTATGACCAAAAGTAGACGTGAAACAAAAAAAGGGGCAGATCATTAAATTGTCCTGCTGCGTGACAGTCTTGAGGATAGACACACAACAAACACGGAACCAACGATCAGCCATCACTAGCATACTTAGGCTGCTGTTGTGCCGAACTGCTTTGTAATGGTTCCGAGAGCCTCGTTCCACTGGTAACCATTCGTACGGAACACGCGGCTCAGCATGAACGGCCTCACATCATAGATTTCCACACTCTTGGCACGCGCTTCTAGCTCAGCGAGTGGAACGGAAATGACTGTCGGTCCGGTCTCCGACCTCATAGCATGGTGATGTCGATAGTGTGTAAAGCGCATCTTGTCCTTGACAATGCCACCCAGCAGGAACGCCAGGAGCTCGTCATGATCTCGAGCCTGGTGGATGTACTTGCGAAAGCCTCGCTCTAGCGTGCGCTTAATGCTGATCTTCTGTGCCTGAACGAAGCTCTCGACAGTTGTGCGGATCGCCACATCGATATCATCAGCTCGCACATAATCACGCAAATGCATCTTAGCACTCGCCTCGGCCATACGAATCATGCTCTCTAAATGCCGTACGGTAATGGGATAGGAGCCAGTATTCAGACTCTCTCGGCGCAAGTCTGCATACAGACGCGATAGACGCTCCTGGTCAAGCGTATCGAGTCGCGGACGAACGTGATCACGCGCGTATGTGATATACTTGCGGAGCAAGTCCTGGGGAATGATATCGGCATCCATGGATGTGGCAGCGCGTGTCTCGTCGACATCTTCATCAAAGAGGGGATGTGCACGTAGGTGGGAGCTCACGACGAAGCGCGCAAGCATCTCATCCTGGACGGGATCAACAATGTCTTTGACAACGCACAAGACGTCAAATCGACTGAGGATCGGCTCCGTCAGCTCCACGTTCTGACTGAATGGAATCGTTGGATTGTAGCGGCCACGTACTGGATTGGCTGCGGCAATAATCGCGCAGCGTGCTTGCAACGTCGCAACGATGCCCGCTTTCGATATAGAGATGCTCTGTTGCTCCATAGCCTCGTGGATTGATGTGCGATCGGCATCGTTCATCTTGTCGAACTCGTCAATGAGACACACGCCCTTGTCCGCCAGTACCAGCGCGCCGCCTTCCAGAGTCCACTCGCGCGTCACTGGATCACGGCGTACACCTGCCGTAAGACCAACAGCCGAGGCGCCCTGGCCCGTCGCAAACACAGCACGGTTCGCAGTCTTCTCCACGTACTTGAGGAACTGCGACTTGGCAGTGCCTGGATCACCGAGCAAGAGCACATTGATGTCCCCACGGATGCGATGCTTGCCACCAACGTCCTTCGACACTCCGCCAAACAGGCTCAGCGCAATGGCCGTTTTGATTCCCTGGTGGCCATAGATGCTAGGTGCTATGCTTTTGATGATGCGTTTCCCAATGCGATCGTCACGCGCCAATGCACGGATCTCTTGCTCGTCATCTTCCGTGAGCCGGAATGCCGCATACGCGTCATCGCGCTTCGCAATATGGTTCGCCTCCAGCACGGTAGCAAACACAGGGAAACCATGCCGCGTATTGAGCGCAGCATCAAAATTGTTCCGGTAGATGCCAGTAACTTCGACTTCTTCACCAGGCTTTACACTGTCGACCAAGTCCCACAAAAGAATCACTTCTCTGTGGCGAGGCAAACGGCCAGGCGGCACACTACCCGGCGACTCTTGCAATGTCATTTTTTGGTAGTTGCGATACACCGTCTGTTCGCTGTTCACGCGGAACGGCCCGCGTCGTGAGCAGTTCGAGCAGTAGCTGATCTTGACCTCTTGATTCGAGTCTTGCCAGAACGGGCCTAGCACCTCGCCACAGCTCAGACAGTCAAACTTGACGTACTTGAGCTGCGGAAACACGCCGCTTCGCCGCGTCACTACGCCACTTACACGTACAAGCGAGTTCAAATGACTTTGTCGAAGATCGCGCAGAGTGGAAGACGTTGGTAAATCTGCAATGCGGACGTGGATTTCCGGGTGGATCCGGTCGTAGGACGGGTAGTACAAGCAAATCACGTCGAACGCGACCTCGTCAAAAATCGGCAGAATGCTGGCCGGCGAATTCGCAAGAAAAAACGCGAGGATCGCCTTGGCGTCAACAAGATGCAGAAACGAGACCTCGAGTGACTCAAGGTTCATCTCACCGAGCGTCTTAATCCGTTGACCGTACACACTCACGCCCTGTTCATCGACATACGTCACGAGAAAGTTGCGAAACTCACGCACAATCGTCCGGCGCACATTTTCCGTCGCAACCCAGCTGGCTATGCTATCCGCCTTGATGTCACTCAGCTGTTCGATCGGCAATTCGTCAACTTCGGCTGCATCTTCTTCCTGCACTTCGTCATAATGTCGTCGACGTCGGCGCTGCCGCAGCACATCGTCCTCACTCTCGTCATCACTTTGCAAGAACACGGGCGCCCGTCGACTCATGCGCCCCACACCTTCCGCACGATCACGTCGTGCCATGCGCAGCTCGGCTAGTTGCCGCGTCGTCGCATCCATGTGCTCGAAATCAGCCTCATCCAATCCCACCGCCTCATACGTGTCAAGTTCAGGATTCGCTCGATAGTCACTGCATGCGTGCGTGTGCGTGTGTAAGTAAAGCCAGTGCCACGTACGCCATCATGGTGTCGTCGAATAGGTCTTCACCATCGTCTTCGTTCTCTGCACCATTCACAAGGTCGTCCGGGTCGTCATCAACCTGGTCCAGCATACTGTGTGAATCCATATCGTCCGTAAAGTCTGACAAAGCGCCAGGTGGCGATGACGTCGGCATGCTCGAAGCCGCTGTAACAGATGCCCGGTCACCCTGTCCGGACTCACTCGCACCTGAATCGGGCCATGGCGACGATGGATCAAGGGGACCTTGCGATGTCGAGCGCCGGCGCTTTCGATGAGATGTTCCTGGATCAGACGACTGCCTTTGTCAGCCAATGTTCCTGACATCAATAGCACGTACCATCTGGACTGTCTGTCAACGTTCGCGCTCACGTTTGCGTCAGAGAATGGGTTTAAGCGTTGCACTGAAGAAGAAGAAGGAAAACAGGAGGAGGATTGAGGAGGACTGAAGAGAACTGAAGAGGGAGATAACAAGGATCCTCGTATCTACCGGATGATGGATGATGAACGAAGTGTCGGACGCCCACGAACTGCCAGGATCCAAAATTACGGCGGATTCTTTGACTCGTGCGACAAAAACTCGCCCGACTCCAGCGCTATATGGCCTCCACCTATGGACTAGCACGTCTTCCACAGCTCGCTTCTCATCTACTGGTCCGGCTGCTGTCCCAAGGATATGACGCCTGGGCCGTCGAGTTGTATAGTTTCTGCCCTTCTGAACCATGGCGCCGTAACGCACTCTTCGCGAGCAGGGCACTCACGAATCCCCCCCTCAATGCAGCTTGTGTTACTGGAGGACTCTTTCGCACAATCAGGTGTAGGTGTGTGTCGAGAGGTCTTGACACGATCACTTGAGCGGTCGTGCCCTGTGATTCTTGTGTGTCTCCAACATGATCCGAATTTGTTTGGAAGGATCAACAATGCCCACAATATATGCATTCTGGATCATCACTATGACTCGGTGGCTCATGGTATGTCTCTCGCGCGGGTGGAACGAGAGATCCTGGCGGCGATTGACAAACGTATGTATGAATGGCATCAACACTTACCAAAGTATCTCAACACACACGTACGACTGTACTTATCGACTCGCTTGATGCGCTGATGGAGTCGACGATGTGCACCGAACACGATGTGTATGTGCTTGTTCGGCGTCTGTTATCAATTCTCCCACGCTTTTCTCGCTTGGTCTTGCGCTATGATGGCGATCCACTCGCCTCAGCTGCATCCATTGTCGCAACCATACGCGGCCCCCAGCTCTGGATGGGTATACAGCCTGTGCATGACGTTTTGTCGGGGCCGCCATGGACACACGTCACACTCTCTGTGCGTGTTCACGCGATCGAATTTGCCAGATACGTCCAGGAAACGTATGGGCTACCTCCCATTCCATCCAATGCAATGATTCGTCGTGCTGCATTTGAAGACGCCCATTTAGAATACCCCGTTGACGATCCGCTCCCACCCGACCATCCACCAGACATGAGATTCTGGTCGGTCGTGCACCACGTGTCCCGGCGCGGTCCACTGGGCCTTCTTGATGATCATCGCAGTGCCGGGTGGTGGGGTCCGTCTGGTCGGAATGCTTGCTTACATTCAGGTGATTCAGCTCCGACTGCAGCGCAAAGAGAGCCCATTATGAAATGGCATGACCTCTTGGAAGATCCCAGTGGATGTCTCTTTCTTGAAACGCACGTGTACATGTCTAGTGGAAAGCAACTATGTGAATGGGCTCTGTGCGGCTACGACCAGCTCGGGCGTCTTCGCATCAAGGCGCTTGATCCCCTGTCTACAGCGCCTCTTGCACCGCCAGCGCCCGTGAATCAGGCCGCGAGCGATGTGCCCTTCAATTTGCAAGAAACACCACAGCAGAGGGAACGTCGCGAGCAAGTTCCGTTACCTTTCGCGTACCAACTTACGCAGCCGGCGTCGCAGCCATCCTCCTCTGCGTCATCCGCGCCTGGCCTCCGCGGCACTACAGGGCAGAGCACCATATTTTTCGAGCCTGAAAGCGAAGACGACGAAGACGAAGACGATCCAGACGACGATCTCGACTTATGACGCTCGGCGATTCAGCGTCTCAAGCAACTTGGCAACAAACAGGCAAGATAAGACCAATAGCACGGATACACCGACGTTTCGTGGACTCCATACCGATGGATCTTTTCCGCCAGATTCTGTTCTCTCGTCAAGGGATGGCTCAGTACCTTTCTCTTGAGCCGGGGTATACGACCTTTTCTGCGTGTCATTTGTCTGTTTCGCAGGCCGAGTCATGTTGGGTAAGTCACGCATAGAGTCACCGGCATATTCCGGAAAGAGCTGCACAAATTTGCGCTGGGCCTTATTGAATGCATGGGAGCATGCAGCTAGCTGCACTCGTTCTCGATGCGTCGCCCTCACAGAGCCGGCCGTCATTTCATCCGTGCACATGAACGACAGGAGTCCCACGAGGCTTGGGTCTGGTGAGTCGTGCGTGTACGTACATGCTTGCAACGGACCACGCAGGGTTCCAACTTCCCGGATGATAGTCGCTCATAGACTGATGTGAATCCTTGTCACCCATGTCATAAAGAAACATACCGTGCAAATTTTCTCGTTCGGCGCGAACCTTCCACTGGGCGTCTGGACTTTGATTCCCCTACCATATGTCAGCAGAAAGAGCCACTCAAACGTACGGAGGCTTAAATGGATAGTCCGAGGGAAACAGAAGCTGTCCCCAGTATTCACCGCCTTCGTATGGCGTGCCTTCGGGCCCACGAAGGATGAAGTGCCACTCTAGCACATTGTCTTCCCGTGGACGAGCAAAGCAGAATGGTGGGGGATCTTTTTCCATAAGCGCTGCCTCTTTCCCAAGCTTCTCGTTAGTACTAGTTCATTTTTTTGGGGTGGGAAAAAGGGGTGAGGGTAACTGACTTACGCGTTTCGCCGCTGCTTTCGACACCACCATGGCCTTGAAGTACGAAAAATCACAGCCCTCGCACACAGCGATGCAATCTCACTTGTTCCTCCACATCATGTAGTCCTTTGCGCATCTGCACCACACTACATTGCCTATTTTCCCCACATCGCGCCGTAGGCCCTCAGCTTGTCACGTGCTTACAACGCGCGACGCGTCGCGGCGCATCGATTCAGTACTCACATCACGCTTTACATGGCGTTTGGGCAGCAGAGAACGCATGGCCGGCGTGGTCGCCCGCCAAAAGATCCGAGTGCGCGCGCTGCTGCGCAGCGGCATTTGATGTCCACAGACGATTTCGATGAGTCAAGTTCCAGACATACCAGGACCTCGCCGCCGGCAGCGCCGGCGTCGTTGGCATCTGGATTTGCCAGTTTGAAATCGCGAAAGATCCATGCGGACGATCAGCCAAGCAGTAGCATGTTACAGTCGGACAGTTCGCAACAAACCGTGGAAGAATTTGAATCTTTACTCCAAGAAATGCGCTCACGGTATGAACAAAGTGTCGATGAGCGTGTACAACAGGTACGTGCGATCGAGTCCATGTGACAGTACAAACGACTCACACTCACAGGCTATTCGTGAGCGCGATGCGATTCAGGCACAATTTGATCGCCTTAAAGATTTGCGCGTCACGCAGAGCGAGAAAACTCTCGTGGAGTGGAAGAAGGCCAGCGAGACGCGACATAGACGTGTGTATGCTCTTGCTACTGACACATTCCAGACGCACTCGAATCACTCTCAGTGTGGAAGAACCGCGCTGAGCATGCTGAGCATCGGCTTCGCGAGCTAGAGCGGGAGGGAGCGACTGTATCAACTGGCTCCAAGTCTGACTCGTCTTCGGTGCGAGTTGAAGAGCTTGAGCGAGAAGGTGCGTGTGTTTCCCAGCCGGCATTCACAAATTATCTAACAATCACGATAGTCACCAGTCTATCTGAGAAATTAACACAAACTCATCAAGCTTTGTCTGAAGAACAAGCGAGGCGAACAGAGCTGGAGGATCAGTTGCAATCCCGCTCTGGTGACAAGGCCGTACACGAGGACGAACTAGCGATCCGCCGAATGTATGAGGACATCACTGGATTCATTATAAACGAAGTCGATATGTACAATCCGCAAGAGGAACAGCGGCGGTATCGTATTGTATTTAGCGGAGCCGACTATCACGGTACGTGGCCCCAAGTCTACTGACGCAGACTTGCAATTTTCTTTGGAGGAGTCGAAGCTCGTAGTTCCCTCATCGTCGTCGTCATCAAGAGACAGGGGCTATACACTGTCCCCTCAGATCCGTGACGACTTTGTGTACATTCCCCACATCGACCAAACACGAGATGCTGATTTGCTTGCATCGCAGAACATGCCGGACCACTTCCTCGAACAGATTCGTTTCGAGAGGGGTGCCGCCATAAAATTCTTAACTGCTCTCCACCGGAGTTTAAAAAAGTAATGAATGTATTAATTTGTAGATATGGCCTCCATGGAGCTTCTTGTTTCCTTTGCTTGGCAATCGCAAGCATAAGTCGTCCATGGCAGCCCTGCGCGTGTGGAGTGTCCGCGAAGCTGAACTCCGCGGATGAATCTGCTTTATACGACTTCTCCTGTCGAGGACTTGATAGTCAAATAAGAATCCTGTTTGTCTCCGCGGAAAAAAATGAATTTTGGGCGTTACGTGAAAACACACAAAGAGGCGTGATGCGCCAGAACGTGCAGCCCAAAAGTGTTTTAGCGCAAACACATAAAAATTGTTGGCGTGGCTCGTGATACCAACTACTCGGATCGAATCTTGTCTGTCGCGAACGTCGAGGCATGCAAGAGAGCCGCGAGTTTTACGACGCGCGGACCGGTCCGCCTAGCTTGAATGTCGATCCTCAAAATGTTAACGGCGACGTGAGTGCCCCTGTGTCCCACCGCGTGCCAGAGATCGAAACTATCGATGGCAACGACAATACCAGGGGCAACCCAGACGAGCCGGCACCTGCTCTGCCATCGAGCTCACATCCACTCGTGGACGCGCATCATGATGCTCCTGTTGATATACAACGGAGCCAAACGGAGTCCACGCACGATTTGCCTTTGATGAAGACCCCAGCTGCCATGCCGTCAGACTACTCGGTGTCACCGGCGGAGCCAGTGGCTCCAGAAGCCAGTCACGCGAATACCTACACTCACAAAGCATACCCCGTGCAAGTTCTGGATCCTGTTGGTGTGGAAGATTTTGCCCATCGTATGGATGACATAACTCGCAGACAAAGTATAGCATACTCAAAAAATGGTGACCCTGAGAAGCAGCCGTACCAAGTGCCTGGAACGGCCAATCCATTCGACGAAAATGCTCGCTTCGATCTCGCTGCTTTCCTCAAGTATCAAAGCGAGACTCTCCAGGAGCGAAACAATGAGCTTCCAAGAATGGGACTTGGCTTCGAACATCTCAGCGTTACTGGTTACGGATCAGGCGCCAAGTTCAATTCGAGCGTGGCGTCTTTGTTCCTCACACCATTTTACTTGCCTTCGATCATCATGGGTATGCTTCGCCCGCATGTCAAGCACATTTTGACAGATGTCACTGGTTGTGTCAAGCCTGGCGAAATGCTTTTGGTGCTTGGCCGCCCTGGTAGTGGCTGTACGACATTGCTCAAGTCACTTGCTTCGTATCGCGATGGCTACCGCAGCATTGAAGGCAAGGTGCTCTATGAGGGATTCGATCACAAGATGATCGACAACACCTTGCGTGGTGACGTTGTGTATGCGCCTGAGGATGATAACCATTTCCCCACTCTCAGCGTGAAGGACACACTCAACTTCGCAGCTGCTACACGGACGCCCAACTCTGACTATCGTGTCACTTTTGATGACAAGAATACACGCAAGCAGTTCAAGAAACTGATGCGTGAGGCAATTGCGACGATTCTTGGTTTGCGCCACACCTATAACACCATGGTCGGTGATTCATTCATTCGTGGTGTTTCTGGTGGTGAACGTAAGCGTGTCAGTATTGCTGAAGCATTGGAGACTCGCGCTCGGATTCTCATGTTTGACAACTCGTCGCGTGGTTTGGACTCTTCGACGGCACTGGAATTTGTCGAGTCACTGCGTATTGCCACAGACGTGCTCGGCCTGACGACCATCTCCAGCATTTACCAGGCAGGCGAGTCTATCACGCAAACCTTTGATAAGGTGGTTTTGATGAACAAAGGGCACTGTGTGTATTTTGGCCCAGTGTCTCAAGCGGTCGACTATTTCAAATCGATTGGTTTCGTTCCGCAAGACCGCCAGACCACTTCTGACTTTTTGGTCGCCTGTACGGATCCAATTGGTCGGAATATCAACCCTAACTTCGAGTACGTGCCTCAGACCGCTGAGGAGATGGCAGAGGCATTCCGTACATCTCCTTGCGGCCAGGCAAACGCACAAGAGGTTCAACAGTACATGGCTGAGATGGAGAATCAACGCGCTCATCATGGCAAAGAAATCGTAACCCAGTCTCGTGACCAACGTAGCAAACGCGTCTCGAAGAAGGGTATGTACATGCTTTCATGGCCTCAGCAAGTGGCTCTCGCCATCAAGCGCCGTGCTCAGATTGCCTGGGGAGATCGCTCGACTGCGATAGTGTTGTCTTGTGCTTTGATTTTCCAGTCCATCATTATGGGCTCGGTCTTCTTCCAAATGAAAAATAACTCAGAGGCCTTGTTCTCTCGCAGCGGTGTTATGTTTTTTGCCCTTTTGTATAACAGTTTCGCAGCCATGGCTGAAGTGCCAAACAACTACCGTCAGCGACCAATCATTATTCGTCACAAACGATTTGCTATGCTCCGCCCCTCGGCTGATGCATTATCACACACATTACTTGACATTCCCGCACGTTTCGTTCCCCTGGGACTTTTCAATATCATCCTGTACTTCATGGCTGGTCTATCGTATGATGCAGGGAAGTTTTTCATTTTCTTTTTCTTGACGATGTTGGTGACATTTAGCATGGTATCATTCTTCTACTCGCTAACTGCCTCGTTCCGTTCTGCGGCCGTCGCAACGATGATTGCTGGTCTTGTCATTATTGATTGTGGTTTGTATGCCGGTTTCGCTATTCCGAGACCCTCGATGGTTGTTTGGTGGCGCTGGCTTTCGTACTGTAATCCGATCTCGTTTGGATTCGAGGTCCTGCTCACGAACGAGTTCCGAGGCAGGATCCTGGATTGCCACCCATCTCAGCTTGTCCCACCAGGTGCTTCTGTCAATTATCAAGTTTGTGCTGTCGAGGGTTCAAGGCCTGGCACAGACAAAATTGATCCAATGAGGTATCTGGATCAGAAGTACGGCTACAGTTGGGATAACACGCACAGGAATGTGGGTATCATTATTGGCTTTTATGTCTTCTTCGTTCTCGTCTATATGTTCATGTCGGAGCTCCAGACGGATCCATCATCAATGGGCGGTATCATGATTTTCAAGCGCGGACGAGTCGACCGGAAGATGCTCGATGAGTTTGCCGACGATCCAGAATCTGCTATGATCAAAGATGAGCACGTGCAAGAAGCTAAAAATGGCGAGGAGGAAAAGCCCAAGGGCACTCTTGAAGTGTCTGACGAAGTGTTCAGTTGGCAAAATCTCTGCTATGACATTCAAATCAAGGGCAACCCACGCCGTCTTCTCGACCATGTTTCTGGATTTGTCTCCCCAGGAAAAATGACAGCACTTATGGGTGAGAGTGGTGCAGGCAAAACGACTTTACTCAACGTGCTTGCACAGCGCACAGATGTCGGGGTTGTCACGGGCGATTTCTTGGTAAACGGACGTCCACTACCTCGCTCGTTCCAGGCTGACACTGGCTATTGCCAACAGCAAGATGTGCACCTTCCTCAACAGACAGTGCGTGAGGCTTTGCAGTTTTCTGCAATACTTCGCCAGCCTCGCGAAACGCCCAAGGAAGAGCGGCTCGCCTATGTGGAAGAGGTCATCCGTTTATTGGAGATGGAGCGTTTTGCGGAAGCCATTGTCGGCGATGACGGCGAAGGTTTGAATGTTGAGCAACGGAAGCGCCTTACGATCGGCGTCGAGCTGGCGGCGAAGCCGAGTCTTTTGCTTTTCTTGGACGAGCCGACGTCTGGTCTGGACGCACAAGCAGCCTGGTCGGTCGTGCGTTTCTTGAAGAAGCTGGCGTCTGAGGGTCAAGCGATTCTGTGTACGATCCACCAGCCGAGTGGAGAGCTGTTCAATCAGTTTGACCGATTGCTTCTGTTGCAGAAGGGGGGTAAGACGGCTTACTTCGGCGACCTTGGACCGAACTCTTCCACTTTGATTGAGTACTTTGAGACGCGAAGTGGAATCAAGTGTGGTGAAAACGACAACCCCGCAGAGTACATCCTGGATGTTATTGGCGCTGGTGCCACGGCCACAACAGACAAAGACTGGTTTGCATTGTTCCGTTCGAGTGAGAAGTATCAGGAGCTTGAGAGAGAACTCGCGCGTCTGAATCAACTCGGACAGAAGCCCATGGAGATCTCGACAGAATCGTCCGCCCGGCTCGATCGTGAGTATGCTCAGCCATTCTCTGTGCAACTCAAGGAGGCTGTGCATCGTGTGTTTTTGTCCTACTGGCGCAACCCGACATACATAAGCTCCAAGTTATTCTTGAATCTCGTCGGTGGCTTGTTCATTGGCTCAAGTTTCTGGGGTCAAGGTGATAAGACTTCGAATGCCAGTCTTCAGAACAAGCTCTTTGCCACATTCATGTCTCTTGTGCTTTCAACATCGCTTTCCCAGCAACTGCAGCCCGAGTTCATCAACCAGCGCAACTTGTTCGAAGTGCGTGAACGTCCCTCGAAGTTGTATAGCTGGGTTGTATTCCTTTTGAGCCAGGCCATTGTCGAGATTCCTTGGAACTTGTTTGGTGGAACTCTGTTCTGGATTCCTTGGTATTACATGGCGCAGTTTGGCAGAGAAAGCTCGCGTGCGGGATTCAGTTGGGGCATGTATATGATTTTCCAAATTTATTTCGCGTCCTTCGCTCAAGCTGTCGCCACAGTTGCACCAAATGCAATGATTGCATCCGTTCTATTCTCCACACTCTTCTCCTTTGTGATGGTGTTTTGTGGTGTCATCCAGCCCCCCCGACAGCTTCCCTATTTCTGGAGAGAGTGGATGTTTTATTTGAGCCCATTCACATGGTTGATTGAAAGCATGATGGGTAATTTCATACATGACAAGGTTGTGAGGTGCTTGCCGGATGAGTTGAATGACGTACCTACTCCGCCGGGCACATCTTGTGAACAGCACATGGACTTTACGGTAAGTCTTTCACGGGCTGATCAATCGCCCTTGGACGGCTCGCTTCCTGGCTTTGGCTATTACGTTGCTGGACAAAATGGATCATGCCAATTTTGCTCGATGCGCAAAGGTGAGGACTACTTGTCTAGCATCAAGTTGAAGTCGGAAAATCGATTCCGAGACATTGGTTTCATGTTTGCCTACATTGTTTTCAACTACTTGTTGTATGTGGGCTTGTACTATCTGATGCGCGTCCATAACTGGAAGAGTCCTTCAAGAATGAAACAATCACGCCCTCAACCCAGCGCGCCGCAGGAGGACAACTTTCCGCAGCAAGAAGGCTTGGAAACCAAACACTTGAACGCCTCTGAGAAGGAGACCACTCCATCACCATGACTTGCTTTTGAATGCATTGCTTTTGTGGGCCGTTCCTGTGTTTTTGTGCTTGTGTCTTGATAATCTTTTGAGCGAACCTCGTCAACAAGAACCTGTGAATCAACCGATTCCGTGTGCGTTTAGCTCACACCGTGGCAAGGCTCTCTCCCTGACGTTGCTAGAGAGCTGAAATATTGTATTGTCATTATCACATAAGCGAAATTTTTATGTATGGGTGTAATTTTGTTGGTTCAATAGAATTCGTGTGTCTCTACTTTACAGCAATGTGCATTGGAATTTTGGTGTCTACTTGGCCCAATGCTCACGCGCCCATTTTTGACTCGTGCAGCTTCATTGGAGTTTGACCTTTCGTACTATTGGCGCCCGGGCCAAGGCCCTCGGCCAAATTTTGCGCCTTTATGATTATTTCCTGTGTCAAATTCTAAGAGTCATCTGTCCCAGCATCATCGTCACCTCGTTCGTCCTGCAGGCAGCATGCCAAGGAGCGAAGGTCTAGGTCTCGATCCGCCCCATGACATATATCCTCCTGTGTCTGGAACGAATGAGCCCAGTCCTGAGGGTGACAACCCTTTGCACTCCGTCGTGCATATGACGGATTCGCCTGTGGCACAGCCTCCTAGCATGAACATGGTCATGTCAAGAGGCGATATGCTAAACACACCTCAGGGTGCTTACTATGGTCATGATGGAATGGTAACCTCTCCTAGCTCTCCTATCATAACTGCTGGAAATGGTACACCCAAAGAGCTTTATGGGGGCTACCAACGGCGCTCACGCGTCGTGGTTCCTATGACGACTCTTGATCCTGAAGGTGTCACTGAACTTTCTCGCCGTCTCTCTACGGGACCACGGCGACGGTCAGCATGGTCAAACAGCTTTTACGATCAATCTCAGTCGTTCGGCATGGATCCATCTTTCTCTTCCAAGTCCCACCTGGCTATGGGAGCAGCCTCGCCGATGTGTTCTTCTCCTTACCCTGACGCGCGCACATCCCCGTCAGGAATTGATGCAACTACAACAGAACATGGAACATTTGATCCGTTTGATGAGAACAATAAGTTCGACCTCTCGTATCTATTGCATGAAATATATGCCGAGATGGACCAACGTGGTAACGAACGGCGGTCTATGGGCATCGCGTTTCGGGATCTTCGCGTCACAGGGTATGGGACAGGTGCTCAGCTGAACGAAACATTTGGTTCGCTTCTTCTCGCACCCCTTCGTATCGTCTCGGGCGTAAGGAACATGATGCACCGTCCCATCAAAACGATTCTCCAGGATGTCGAAGGATGCGTCAAACCAGGTGAGATGCTTCTCGTTCTGGGTCGCCCTGGAAGTGGGTGTACATCTCTGCTCAAAGCACTCGCATCCTATCGTGATGGATTCCGAAGTGTCGATGGCACTGTCCTCTACGAGGGTCTTGATCACCGCAGCATCGATGGACCCTTGCGGGGCGATGTAGTATATTCGCCCGAAGACGATGTGCATTTCCCTACCTTGACTGTCGGTCAGACACTTAGGTTCGCCTCAGCAACGCGTGCGCCGAACTCCAAGTACCGTATTACTCTGGGAGAAACGGGTGATCGACAGGAATACGTCGATGGCACACGGGAGGTGCTGGCGACTGTTCTGGGTTTGCGTCATACCTACAATACCAAGGTCGGTAATGACTTGATACGTGGTGTTTCCGGCGGTGAGCGAAAACGTGTAAGCATTGCCGAGGCAATGGCTGCTCGTGCGAAGGTCGCGCTGTACGACAACTCATCGCGTGGTTTAGACTCATCGACGGCGCTGGAGTTCGTCCAGGCTCTCCGCATCCAAACAAATATTGCTGACTGCACGACAATTGCGTGTATTTATCAAGCAGGTGAAAATATCACGCAACTCTTCGACAAAGTGGCCTTGTTGAACCAGGGTCATCTTGTATACTTTGGGCCAGTTGCACTGGCTGTGGACTATTTCAAGTCTATTGGTTTCGAGCCGCTTGATCGCCAGACGACAGCCGACTTCTTAGTGGCTTGCACAGACCTCGCCGGTCAGAATGTCAACCCGGACTTCCGCGGCCCTATACCACGAAGCCCTGAGGAGCAGGCATTGGCCTTCCGCCAATCTTGGGTTGGCACTGCGAACCACACCGAGGTTGAAAACTATATCGCTTCTATGATGGCTCGTCAAACAAAGCAAAATGCTGATCACTACGTAAAACTGGCGCGTGACGAGCGCGCGAAATATTCATTCCACAATAGTCGATATTTGCTGTCTTGGCCGATGCAGGTGCGTTTGGCCATTCAGCGTCGTGCTCAAGTTGCGATGGGTGATTTGGGAACACATATCACTGTCATTTTTGCCGCTCTCTTCCAGGCCCTGATCATCGGCTCTGTATTCTATCAGATGCCACAAAACACGTCGGGCTTTTTCTCACGTGGTGGTGTGCTTTTCTTCTCGCTTCTTTACAACTCGTTTACTGGTATGTCGGAAATTTCACTCTGCTATGAACAACGTCCCATTGTGATCCGACAGAAGCGATTCGCCATGCTCCATCCTTCGGCTGACGCACTTGGCAATACTCTGCTTGATTTCCCTATTCGCGCTATATCCATTTTCGTGTTCGATATCATTGTGTATTGGCTCACTGGATTGAGTGCAGATGCCGGCAAGTTCTTCACGTACTTGGGCATGACGGCACTTGTCACGTACTGTATGACATCCTTTTTCCGAATGGTCGCAGCGTGCACTAAGTCCGAACCTCTGGCTACAACATTCGGTGGTTTGGCCGTCTTAGATGTTGCTCTGTACACTGGTTATATGATTCCTCGCGGGTCGATGAAACCGTGGTGGATCTGGCTCTCGTATTGCAACCCTGTCGCATTTGGATTTGAGGTCTTGCTGGCTAACGAATACCGCGGTAAATTCTTTGAGTGTGTCCAAATGATCCCGCCCGGCAAATCTGTCGAAAATCAGGTTTGTCCTGTAATGAGTGCCAAACCTGGACAACCGAACGTGAGCGGCGAAGACTACTTGTCGGAAATGTATGGATTCTCCTGGCACAACCGTATACGAAACTTTGTCATTATTTTGGCTTTCTGGATTGTATTCATCCTTTGCTTCTTGTATGCATCTGATCACCAGGTGGATCCAGCTGCGATTGGTGGTGAATTGCAATTTGAGCGCTCGAAAGCAAAGAACAAAAATCTCTCAGCGCCTACGAATGACCAGGAAAAGACACTCGAGGAAGGCAAGCCGCTCGAGCCGCAAGACTTGTCTGAAGCTCCAGCGGTCGGTAGAACTGGCGGCACGATCAAAGTGTCTGATGCCATTTTCAGTTGGGACAATATCACATACGATGTGCTCATAAAAGGGAAGCCTCGTCGCCTGTTGAATCATGTGTCTGGCTATGTGGCCCCGGGCAAAATGACGGCACTCATGGGTGAAAGTGGTGCTGGTAAAACGACCCTGCTCAACGTGCTTGCTCAGCGAACGGATGTTGGTGTAGTCGGCGGTGATTTCTTCGTCAATGGCAAGCCACTACCTCGCTCTTTCCAAGCTGACACTGGATACTGTCAGCAGCAGGACGTGCACCTAGCGCAACACACTGTGCGTGAGGCACTGCAGTTCTCTGCGATGCTTCGACAGCCCCGTGAAACGCCCAAAGAAGAGCGCTTGGAGTATGTGGAGACAGTCATTCGTCTATTGGAGATGGAGCAATTTGCTGATGCCATTGTCGGTGAGGTCGGCGAAGGCCTGAATGTCGAGCAACGAAAGCGTCTCACGATCGGCGTCGAGCTGGCGGCGAAGCCGAGTCTTTTGCTTTTCTTGGACGAGCCGACGTCTGGTCTGGACGCACAAGCAGCCTGGTCGATTGTGCGTTTCTTGAAGAAGCTGGCGTCTGAGGGTCAAGCGATTCTGTGTACGATCCACCAGCCGAGTGGAGAGCTGTTCAATCAGTTTGACCGATTGCTTCTGTTACAGAAGGGGGGTAAAACAGTTTACTTTGGTGATCTGGGCCCGAACTCTATGACACTCGTCAACTACTTTGAGCAGCGTACTTCGATGAAGTGCGGTGAGAATGACAACCCCGCTGAATACATTTTGGATGTCATTGGCGCTGGTGCCACGGCAACCACCGATAAGGATTGGCATGAGTTATTTCTGCAGAGCGAACTCTTTACGGCGCTGCGAAGAGATCTTGATGAAATTTATCGGACGAGGCGCCAGATTGCAGACAGCTCGTCGAGCAAACATGCCCGGGAGTATGCCCAGCCGTTCCCTGTACAACTGTATGAAGTGACGAAGCGGGCCTTTATTTCCTACTGGCGGAACCCTTTGTATCTATACACAAAAATGATGCTTAATGTTGTGTCTGGCCTGGTTGTGGGCTCGAGTTTCTGGAAGGAAGGAAAGCGCAACTCGTACATTGCACTCCAGAACCGCCTCTTCGCTTGTTTTTTGGCTCTCGTGGCGTCGACGTCATTGTCGCAGCATCTGCAGCCAGAGTTTATTCGGTTCCGAGGTCTCTTTGAAGTGCGTGAGAAGCCGTCGAAAATGTATACATGGCCTGTGATGGTCCTTAGCGCACTCTTAGTCGAGATTCCATGGAACATTGTGGGTGGAACTATCTACTGGATCCCTTGGTACTATCTTATCCAGTTTCCATTTGAATCAAAGCGGTCTGGTTATAGCTGGGGCTTGTACATGCTATTCCAACTGTACTATTGTACATTCGCTCAGGCAATGGCTGCCATCAGTCCCAATGCCATGATTGCGTCCATTCTCTTTTCTACCTTCTTTTCGTTCGTGGTCGTGTTCTGTGGTGTCGTCCAACCACCACCACAGTTGCCATATTTCTGGCGCTCCTGGATGTTCCAGCTGAGCCCATTTACGTGGATTATGGAGGGCATTTTGGGTAATGCGATTGGTGGGGCTCAGGTGCATTGCGAAGCAGACGAAATGCAAGTTGTTCGACTTCCGCCTGGTGCAACATGTCAATCTCACATGGAGCCATTTTCGCGCCCGCAGTCCAGCGATCCCCGCGGAAATGGCTACTATGTTGATAACAATGACGGGACTTGCTCATTTTGTCTGTATCGCTATGGTGATGACTATCTCGAGACTGTGATGATGGATGCGAGCAATAAGTATCGAGACCTCGGTATCATCGTGGCATACATTGCCTTTAATACGGCACTTTTATTTACGCTTTTCTGGCTATTCCGCATCTTCAAGTTTGGAAAAAACAGGCAGGGCAAGAAGAAGATAATGCCAGCGCCTGGTCCCGAGGCCAATATGCCGATTCCATCCTCGACGATGCAGGTGGAAGCTCCTGCGATGGCTGTGAATGTGCCTCATGTTGTTGGCGCAGGTCTCACAAATTTCATGAGCGAATCATCACAGCATCCGAATCAGCACGAGGATCTTAGTTCTCGACACGACGCTGCAACAGACATATCTCATGGAACGTATCGTCAAGCAGATATGGCGACGTCCAAGACGCAACTTATGGGTGACGAATCCCCGCAAATGGACCATGGAGATTTTTTGTCTGGCGAGCCAGCAATGACGTCTCATCCTCTGGAGTCTCCACAACGACGGCCGCACAGAAATCTTGACTCACTCTACTTGGACCCGCCCATGAATGAGGCACCGTATGTTGAGGAAGATCATAATGATGGTGTGGAGACTCAAGATGATACGGATCAGCATGTACCTCGGCGTCATAAGCCCTCAGGCCGCAGAAGCCAATATCGGAGTGCCAAGTCACGGCGCCGCCGTCGAGGTTCGAGAGATCATGGCGAGACGCTAAGGACACCGTCTGGCTATTCGTACTATTATGATGCTACTTCGGAACCCTACGACGATCCCGAGCAGCATTAGCTGAGCTCGGATGTCAGGGCTGATAGCTTGATGACAATGAAAAAATCGCATGGTGGAGAGGGATCGTGATCGAATAATGGCGGTGTCGCAGAGACTTTCAGATGAAGATTGTTCATGAAACAGTGGAATACACTATTTTCATATTCATGTATGTAGGTAGATGGATATTTACAAAAGTAAAACAAGCAATAGCAGTAATAATAATACCTGTTATCATGCATTGGTAAACCGTTTCAAGCATACATACCACAATTAAAATCCACACGCACCACCCGCCAAGCTTTGCATCAGTGCGCGCAACAAATTGATCCATCCGAGTCATCGCCCTTTGAAGCCGCGTCTGCGTCTGGTCAACGTCTGCATCGAGCTCACCCAACATGAGCACTTGTTCGTCTGTCTCTTGCCCAATTAGATGCGCTTGAGAACGCAAAGTCGATAACGATGTGCCAATAGTATCCAAAGCTTGATCTTGGTTTGCAAGCAACATTTGTTGCTGCTCGCGCTCCCACGCGAGCGAGCCAGATGCAACAGGCTCTGATACAGTCAAAGAACCCGACAATTGCTGTGGAGTCGTGTTAAAAAGATTGATACCATCAGACCTACCTTCAGCTCTCTCACACACTTTGCAATGAACGTTTTACGTCGCGCAAGCTCATTTGCATCGATTCCGAATCTCTCGCTGTCGGATTGCTCGACAATGTTCACTGTTTGTTGCACATCGCTCAGATCCTGCCGAAGGCTGTCAAGCGTGTTTTCTAACGCTTTCCGCGCGCTGGCATCGAAGGGTGCATCTCTGGAAAGAGTTTCTGCGTTCCCAAGAGCTTGCTTTATTTCTCGCTCATAATCATGGTATGGGTCTTGTGACATGCCGATTGCGCAGACACAGCAGTTGGCACCTCCAACTCGCGCGTCAACTGTGTTGTGGCCGGAACACGCGTGCCACGCCCCATTGATGGACAAACCGGCAAGGCTGGACGCGCAATGGCAACGCTCCTGTGTAGCGCACGTGACGAGTGTGGAGATGCCTTGCCACGTCCTCCCATACATGCTCCCTCACCTTGGCAGCCAGGATGGCACCGCTCAAGGTGTGGTGGTTTGCAGCCGTGATCGGATGCCTTCTAGCACTTGGTACTGCACTTGCAAGTGCACCAGTGCATGTGAGTCTTCGACATGGCTGGCACAACTACACTGATGGTGCGGCACATGCGGCACCGTTGCTTGAAATGCTCGAGGCGGCACACGACGTGTGGCCTCGACATTTTTTCACGCTCGTGTCCCTCGTGTGGGAAAGTCCATCGAGCGCCGATTATCTTAGGCGTATGTCATACAAGGAACAATATCGCTACGTGGAGGAGCAATTGCATCGGCTTGGTAGTGGATGGGGAGCAAAGAACGTGGATGATCGCCTTGATGAATGGCGTATCCAAGTTGCGCAGCATGCTCAGTCTGCGCGAATCGAGTCGTACTACCAGCTGTTTAATTCAAATAAGATGATTCAGGACTTGAATGTGCAATGCGACACATTTGTACTCGTAAATGACCAAGCCTACTGCTCACCTGCCGAAGCAAGAAAAATAATTCTTCACAACTTAACGTCCTCGCCTCATCTACTCTCGAGCGACCATGTATTTCCGTCTCAAACAGCCCCAGCTCCCACGGTTGTGCTGTACACAGATCCATACTCTGCGACACTAACTGAGTTTCACAATGAACTAAAGCGGCTAGCGAGTGAATGGCGCATCAAGTATGTACTGCGCTGGCGTCCATCTATGGCACCTGTCATCGCTCGGCCTATGTCTCAATATCTTTCTGGATTTGGCGCAGCAATGCATTTGAAAAAGGTGGATTATCTCGTGCTGGATGATCGGCACATTGACGTGTCAGAGCATGCTGAGCTGAACTTGGCCGCCGAGCCGGATCGTGTCAGCACTTACTATGATGACCTTCAGGAGAGAATGCATGCATATTCGGGCACTCAGCGTATGAACTCTGTACAAGAAGCCATTTTACGTCACTCAAACTTGACCCTCAAAGACGCACTCTTTGTTGGTCAAGCGGCGGCTCATGTGATTCTCAGTTCTGACGATCCGCTGTCTGCATGGGAGTCACTTGCACTCGATTTTCCAGCTCATTCAGCTGCTTTGTCGGCGTACAGCAGCGCTCTGCCGGAAGACGACCCAATCATAGAGAGTCTGAACAGCAGGGACTGGCGTGAAGCGAGTCCGGGTGTCACGCAACTCTGGATCAATGGACGGCGTGTTCTTGAGTCGGAGCTGCAACCAATCACGGTACTCCGAATCATTCAAGAAGAATGGGATCTGATCCAAGCATTTGGTGCGCCGGAGATTGGTGTGTCGCCCTCTGGCGTTCAGACGATTCTCTCAAGTGAGCTGATTCGCGCTGCATTCTTACCGTCTGAGCAAAAGGTCATGTTGTATGATGCCAGTGATAGAATTGAGCGCGCTCAAGAAGCTGGCATGCCCGTCATTTCCTGGATAAATGATCTTCGAAGCGACAAATTCTCCATCTGGCCTGGATCAATTCAGGAAATGTCTCAGTATCGCTGGATTACCGGCTTTCCGCTTGTCAATAAGAATTTCTTTCAGCTTGTTGTTCTCCTTGACATGCGTGATCCGAAAGCTCTTTCTCTCATGAGCATGTACATGGAGGCCATGCTTACTGAGGTAGCCGTTCAATGGGGTTTGGTGCCTGTCATTGAAGATGAAGAGACTGAAGTATTAGCGCAGGTTCTATGGCTCGGTATTCAGGCACTTTCGCCATTTGAACTTCCCTTGCTATGGCAGCGACTCGCTCATTCGCCGTCCGCGTCTGATGCACACATCGATTCTGCCACGGCAAGAGCTACACTCCAAAGCATGCTTCCTTCCAGTTTTCTAGAAGACAGCGACGTCATCGAATTTCTCCAAGGGAAACACATAATGCCAAGATTCCAACGTATGATGGAGCTTTCGCGCGAGTACCAGCATCGTTTGCACACCGTCAAGCGCCCCGGCTCATCTGGCGTGGCTTATCTGAATGGGCAAGAGCTTAGCTTAGACGAGCACTTTGTTTCCCAGCTAGTGGCTGCTATTTCGCATCAGGTTCAGCTTGCGTGGGTAGACATGCGAAGTGGCTATATCGATGAGAAGGATCGGGCATCAGAGTACTTTTATGATTTGCCAGGTACTGCACGACGGCGTTCCGCCCTTGTTACTGTTGTTGAAGATGCTCGTGCCCTCAGACGGTCTACATCGTACTTGCGACTGACAGATTTGTTCCAACTGTTGGGCCCGAAAGCTTGGATCATGCGGCAGTTCCTTTATATGCCGGGCGATGTGCACGTGTCGCTTCGAATTATTGGTGATTTGAATGCGCCAGCGACGAGAAAGATCATTCTCTCGGCTCTCGAAGCTATGAAGACTGGTTCATTACCTTTCCGTCTCTCTTTCGCTCATTTGGCCGATACGCGGGGTGTTTTGTCAGACTGGCTCTTGGATGCTATGCACTCAGAGACGTTCTCGAAAATTCCGCCCGCTGAGCTATATGATGCACTCCAATCAGACGATATATCCACTGCTCTCGCGGCGCTCTCAGCCTCGTATGGGATCCAGTCATCAGGCGAATCTTGGAAGCCGATTCTTGCTGCCTTTACTCAGTTATTGGATCTACCTCATGATTGGCACCCAATCCTGCTTCTTAATGGTCAAGTGCTGGATCACATCGAAGGCATCACCGAGTTCGATCTTAATGCAGTGGTAAGCTGGGAAGAAACCTTCCATATCAAGACGCTGCTCAACTCTCTTGATGTGCCAGTGGATGTTGGCGATGTGCGTGCCCAAGCCCTGGAAGCAGCTGTATCCGTGTTGGGCTCTGCCTATGCGAAACAGTCAGGTAACGGTGGCCCATTTAAGAAAGACTTGGAGGGGCGAGATGAGCCGGCCCTGTTTATGCAAAATTCGCTGTTGACCTGGCACTTGGGCGATGAGGCCTCTCCTATTCATGTCGCAGGCTTGATGGACCCCATCAGTGTGAACGCGCCTGTTATGGCGAGTTTGATTCGCATGTTATCGTCGATGCGTGGCGTGCGTGTTAGTATGCTGATGAATCCCCGGCTTCGTCAGCCGACACTTCCCTTGCAAAAGTTTACTCGTTTCGACTACCGTGTCGTGCCTCACTTCAACGACGATGGCGATGAAGTGATGCCAAGCCTTACGTTCGCTAGGCTTCCAGAACAAGCGGTGTTAACGATGCAGATCCAAGCGCCTCGTTCGCTCGTGGCCATGGCTGATGAAGCTGTGTACGACTTGGACAATGTGCGTCTGGCAGATGTGCACGGAAGTTTGGATGCCGTTTACTCTGTCAACAGTGTATTAATTGAGGGTCATGCTCGTGCACAGTATGGCCCTATTCCTGAGGGTTTGCAGCTTGTCCTGTCGACCCAAGATGGCCGCTATCACCTCGATACGATTGTCATGGAGAATCTTGGCTACTTCCAATTTCGTGCGCAGCCTGGCCATTGGTCCTTAAACATCCGTGACGGGCGGAGCTCTGAGCTCTACGATATGATTAGTGTTGGCACGTTTGGCTGGTCAAGTCCTCCCGTGAGCCAGACCGGCTCGACTATCATGCTTGATGCTTTGTCAGGAGGTCTTATTTTCCCTGTTTTCCAGAAGCGTCCTGGTAAGGAGGCGGATGATCTCATTGCGGATGTAGGCATGCCAACAACCTCTAAGCTTCCCACATTTATGCGTGACTTGTTCAAGCATGCGAATCATGCACTACAACGTATACGCACTAAGAAGGGCAAGCATGCCGACATTAACATTTTCACGCTTGCCAGTGGTCATTTGTATGAGCGCATGACATACATCATGATTCTAAGGTGTGTATTTTACGCGATTTTTGTTTTGCCAACGGCATGAGTCACTAACCACGCACCCGTCTAGTGTATTGCGTCATACTCAAAGCAGCGTCAAGTTTTGGTTCGTCGAGAACTTCTTGTCACCATCGTTTAAATCATTCATTCCGCATCTCGCTCAAGCGTATGGCTTCGAGTATGAGCTCATAACCTACGCTTGGCCCCAATGGCTACGGGAGCAAACCGAGAAACAGCGCATAATCTGGGCGTACAAGATTCTTTTTCTCGACGTTCTTTTCCCTCTCGATCTAGATCGAGTCATCTTTGTTGATGCCGACCAGATCGTTCGCACAGATTTGAAGCAGCTCGTTGACATGGATCTTCATGGTGCTCCATATGGCTATCCGCCCATGGGAGATGATAGCGAAGACATGGACGGCTACCGCTTCTGGAAGCAGGGTTATTGGAAGACCATGCTTCGCGGGCGTCCATACCACATTTCCGCACTCTATGTTGTGGACTTGAAACGCTTCCGTTACGTTGCAGCTGGCAACATTCTTCGACAACACTACCATCGCCTTACGGCTGATAAGAACTCCCTTGCAAATCTCGATCAGGATTTGCCCAACAACTGTACGTTGGTTTCCCAAACGAACTGACCTTTAGTACAATATGTTCTGCCGATTCATACGCTCGACAAGACCTGGCTTTGGTGTGAGACTTGGTGCTCGTATGACTGGCTTCCACAAGCTAAAACCATTGACTTGTGCAGCAACCCCAAGACGAAAGAGCCGAAACTTGATCGTGCACGACGTCAGATCCCCGAGTGGACTGAGTTGGACAATGAAGTAGCCGCATTTGCTCAGTCTCTTCGCAGTCGAGAAAGCTCGTCGTCGAGCACTGTGCATGATGAATTATAAACGGTATGGTATCATTGCACTTGCCACCTATTTTTTTCTTTTAACTATATATTATACATGATTAATTGATATTTGCAAACAACACCATTACCAGCGACAGCGTCATTGTGCCGTCGACATCACCTCATTTCGTAATCACGCGAGTCTTCCTCGATTTGTATATTTTCATCATCAGACGAATGTGTTTTGCGTGAACCGAAGAACCGCTGCAACACAATAGGGAGCGTGCTTGCAACACTAAGCAGGAGGAGCTTGATGATCATGTCCCATGTCCATAGATGCTCAAGGAGCACAGACAAAGTTCCAGATGCTAATAGGCTAGCTTCCTTCGATGAAGGCGCTGCCAATCCATCAGGCGAATTCGCCGCAGATACTCGTGCACTCTCCTGGATTGCTGTTGCCACATCCTGCAAGAGTTCTCCCACTTGAGCAGTGCAGAAATTCCACGGCACACTGCCAATTCCAAGAGTGATTGCGTATGGTAAAAGTGGGACGCCGAGAACACCACATGCAATGTTCATCATTCCATATGGAACAATAGGAAGCAGTCGCAGGAACAATAGATAAGACCAAAGATCCCCTCCAGACTGACTTCCACGAGAGACATGCGACACACGACCATCCAAAGAAGTCGGACCTTCCCGTTGATGCACTTTATGCAGAGCCAGTCGCATAGAATGTAACGGTTTCGACAAACTCGGGAGGAGCGTCACAACATCTGCAAAGGGAGCTGCGAGGAAGTAACACATAATGCCACCCACTGCAGTGAAGATAGAAGCAAAGAGCGATCCTGCATATGAACCATACATAGCGCCATAAATAATGTTTGTGATCAAACTTCCCGGCACACAGAATGCTTGTTTCCAGCAGAAGAATAACGTTAGAACAAGAAACACGTGAATCATAGCCCCGTTCGAACTGGCCGCATAGTCCCGCAAGTTCTGACACATGTCCCGTATTTCACTAAGCGTCAACTGCGCCAAGTGGGTAGGCATGTGAAGGGGAAGGGTGCTCATGGCGAGACCAAGCATAAACGTAGCCAACAAAAAGGTTATGCCTAATAATACAACTTTTGCTGCATGGGGCGCAATTTTTTCCCATGTGATGGACTGGGAAGATGGATCGATATCAGCTCGCTCTTGAGCCGAAGAAGTAAAAGCCCTTCCAAGAATGCCCAGACCAAATTGAAATTTCGGTTGCGTTGCGACGTGCAGAGCACACGGCTCAGTATTTTCATCTTCATGGCTACTAAGGCTCCAAGTCAAAGAAGGGGCATTTGAATCTAGACTGCTTGGTGGACTCGGACGTGTCGAAAGTGTAGGCCAAAAGTCCGCCCAACTGTGGTCATGTTTCTTTGCCTTTACGTTTGTATCGGCCATTGCTCCACGGGCGACACCTTCATCGAAAAAGAATGGGGAGAATGGTTGATTTGTTCCATTATGAGTTCTGAGAGCGGCTTCGGGAGAAGAGATCGGTGAAGTCATGTGGTTTGCCATGGACCCCGAATTGCATCGAGGCCTTCCGTCGTTGACAGGTGATAATGGTGGACTTGAATCATTAAGGATCATGGCGGATGCGCGTCGCGCGGAGGGCATTACCAACTGAACACCCTGCACTTCATTTGCAGGCATACAGTGACTCTCCCCACTTACGCAATGTCCATTTGGTGAAAACGAGGGAAGTGATGAGGATGGATACTGACTTTGCGATTCTTGACGGCCCGACACCTCTTTGGGGATACTCATCCCTCTGAGAAGAGATGATCCCTGGAAGCTGCTTCCGGGCCGTTGTGCTTGGTTCAGGATGACATCGGGTGTTCCGGGCCCACGGTCGAAGTGGTCCCTTCGAGAGACGTCGTGAAATGATCTCATGGTCAACACATTGTCTGCCAATTGGCTAATGGATGCGACCATGCGCAGGCCATACTTTCGTTTCCATGGAGACCGCGACCGCTCATCATTTGGACCCGGAAGAACAGGCCCTGCAGGCACATCCATTCTGCAAGCTAAGCTGGTTATACGTATTGGAGACAGCGGTTTGAACGGGTCAATTCGTGATGGACTCTGACTGACTAGACTGGGGCACATGTAATTTTTGAAAATAAAACAAAATCCCACTGGCAATGCATACCGCATGCAAGTTGATCAATCATCAACACCGCAACTCGCTCGGAATTTGTACAAATAATCCGGGACAAGTCTACTGCAACACGAACTCCCGTTGACCCCGGATTTGTCAGCTTGGCGTACAGGCGTTCGTTTCTACGCCCCCGAGTCCCTGACTCTCCACATGCTTTTGCCTGCACGTTTATACCAGCTGGACAAGTGTGGCGCATCAAGCCATTCAGTGGAAATGGTGTCAATTGTGACGGCAGCTCGTAGGATACGACCATTGTCGCATGTTCGTTACCTAAGTACCAGTGATAAGCCTCCATGGAAATTATCCAAGCTTTCTGGTCGCGCATTATACGAATTCAAGGGCAGAGATGTGATGAAATTTTTACAGGGCAGCATCACAAAGAACATCAATGCTCTTGAAAAAAGTTTTGCTCAATCTTTTGCGCAAGGTCAAGATTCTTTTTACACTTCATTTTTAAATCCACAGGGGCGTGTAATGGCAGATGCATTTCTGCATCTGATCCCTTATGCACGAGAGCCTAGTATTCTTGTTGAAGTTGACAAGTGCATTTCTACTGACCTGATTGCGTTCGTAAAACGATTCAAGTTGCGGTCTAAATTTCAAATCAACGATGTTTCTGATGCATGGGATGTCATGCAGCTGTATGGTAATGCTCAGGTGGATCTAGACATGCTTAATTTGTATGGTGCTTATGCTTTTCGGGACGTCCGTTCACCTGAAATGGGCTGGCGTGTATTACTTCCAAAAAAGCACACAGGTACGCACATAATGAATAAAATTACTCACACGCCGACGCAGAACAAGAAATTCCTCTCAAGAATGCTACTGACGTGGACTATACCATTCACCGTATGTTGCAGGGTGTACCTGAAGGTTCTAAGGAAATTCACATGGGCTCAAGTCTCCCACTCGAAAGCTGCATTGATTATATGCACGGTGTAGACTTCCGCAAGGGCTGCTATATTGGACAAGAATTAACTGCGCGCACCTTTTTCACGGGGCTTGTGCGAAAACGCATTATGCCCATTAGTCTAGATCCTAACCCATGCCATCACTCATCCCCCGCTCCCATCAATGTCGATACTAGCATGAACCTTGCGCTACCAGATTCCGGTGCTGATGTGCGCTTTGTGATGCCTCAAAAATCTGACGTATCTACTTCCCAGCCTGGAAGATCACGCTCAGCCGGCAAGTTCCTTAGTGGCATTCATAATATTGGTCTCGCGCTGCTGCGGTTGGAGCAGGTGGATAAATCGAATTCGGAAGAGGCGGGGCATCCCCGGCTTGTATTGGAAGCTCCAGATGGCTCGCCACTCTACCTGCACGCTTACAGGCCGTCTTGGTGGGACTCGGAGACCCTCCAAAAACCGAATGGTTCCAACTAGTCTTTGGTAGAGTAAGGACCAGATCTGATTGAGTGCATCACGATAAGCGAACCACGCATTCCTTGCGCGGAAATTGAACGTGTATCTGCGTGTCAGACAAACGATGCCGCATGTGGAGGCATAGGTGAAATCTTGACATTTAATACGGCTGATGACACGACAACCGTTCCTGACAAAGCCCATGTCTTTGAACGTGGTGCATCCTGGCTTTGGCGCGCAGGATCCCCAAGTTGATTCAGGATGGCATGAATCTCATGTACAATTCGACCCAAATTCGTACGAAAGAGTACAAGCTGAGCATATTCCATCGGATGACGTTGGCGAAAAGCACAAGGGTGCACGTGTTCATCATGATGTGTTTCATCTCGTGCACGGTAAAAAAGCAGCTGACGGAAAGGTCTCTCGGCATATTCATGAGCATGGATTTGACGTGCCTGTCAAAATTGCGCATTTATTCAAACGACCTGTTGTGCGACAATGGATCCATGAGGGCAGTGTATACAGAGAACAAGACGAACGTATTCCTTCCCGTTTTGAGCTATTTTTCGACCTAATGTTTGTGGGAATAGCCCATCTCGTGGCTGAAAATGCCACAAGTGAGGCTACTGGTTTTAATGTTCTCAAGTTCGTCTTGGAGTACTTCCCCACGTGGTCGGTCTGGATGGATGTACGAACGTTTTTAAATGTCTCTGGCACAGACGATGTAAAGGAGCGAGTGGGCCTACTTGCATACATGATATTATTGAATGGATACTCTGCAAATGCTGCGGCTTTGCAAATCACGCAGGCAGGCACACCTGAGCAGCTGGGGTTGTCGACTGATACGGGACATTTAATGCAGCACAACGCGAGACGTCTCTTTTCCTCTTTAGAAGGGGAAAGCTGCAAGGAAAAGGAATGTCTAGAATACTACGTTGGAAACGGATATTGGCTCGAAAATGGGTACGAGGGTGCGATTCATGCGGCTATTGCCTTTTACTTGGTACTTCGTCTGGTGCGGATCCTGTTGTACGTATATTATGGTTGGGCGCTACCGAATTTTCGTCTTTCCATGTGGACAAATGCGTCCATCCGTGCGATCGTGTCGGTGATCTACATTCCACTCTTGTTTGTATGGTCTGCACCATTAATTATCTGTCTCATGTTTGTTGGTATGGCGCTGGAAATGATGAATTCGTTCATGGTGCACTATGTCGTGCGAGTGTTCAATTACTTGATTCGAAAACGCTCTGGAAAACCGTTATTTATACCCGCTCTGTCTCTGGAGCATGCAATGGAACGTACAATCCAGTTCGTTATTGTAGCTACGGGTGAAATGATCATCAGCTCAACATATGCCGCATCGCGGCATCATGGCTTGACGGAGAAGTTTGGGCGAAGCTCACTAGGCATATGCTGTGCGTTTTTCATCATTTGGCTTTATTACGATGCGGACAGTTCTCGAACATTTCAGCATGCTTTTCGACGGCATGCCATTACGTCAGCATTGTTTTCCGCTCTGCATTTTCCACTCACGGCTGCATTGATCTTGCTCGGCGCCTCGCTCACGCGACTCGTTGAACTTGAGCGCGAGTCGTCGGGATACTTATGGTTTTGGAGCGGAAGCTGTGCGACATTTCTTGGCATAGTTGGTGTACTGGCTTTGCTACATCGGAATCTTGACAGGCACTCAAGCACTGTTCTTCCACGCTGGTTCCGCATCTTGCTCCGTTTCGTGATTGCATTAATCGTTTTGTTTCTTCCGTTGATGCGGGATAGTTGGAAGACTATCGACTTTCTTGGTGTTAATACGGCGCTTTTGTTTTCGCTCGTGTGCTTTGAGACTATCACGAAGCTAGGTGCCGTGGGCCGACGGTATGACCCGTATGGATCGCAACTTGTTCACAATGCAAAACCGAGGAGCGAAGCGAAAAACGATCCTGTCATGTCTAATGAGATCCAGAAAGCAAGACAACGGCTCGAGGAGATGGGGGCAGTGTATAAACCCAAAAGGCAAGATGATCCCTTTGGTTTCAGTAATCGATTGCAGCTCAAGAGAGAACTTTCTTGGCACCCATACGAAGGACTCACACTTGCTGAGACAGGTGAGGAAGATGTCGGAATGGAGGGCGAATTAGGCCATCTTCAAGTGAAAGAGCTCAGCGCCGGACAGCGGTGGGCTTATTGCACGTAATTGTGTACATAAAAGGTAGATGTGTATATAAGTTTTCTGAGAGAAATTTCAAGTAGACCGAGCTTGGTCCTTCATGCGCCCATCCTTTAGGGCCACAACTAGCGCGAGGTCCTCCTTGCTACATCCAGGTTCCAGTACAACATTTGTATCGATCCGAGATGCCGTGTCGAAATGAGAATGATGTTCATGTGAAGCCACAAAAAGAGCGTCTCGAATAGAAGCTGGACTATTGTCCACGAACAAAGGCGTCTTTGGCACAAAATTTTGCGACAGCGAGGCACGTCGCTTGGGCATTTCGATAGAAGCTCGATTGGTTTGATCCAGTTGGAGTGACCGCGAACGGTGCATTTGCAGATTGTAGGCACGTTGCACAGCGGAATTTGTTTCTGATGATAGGTGACCCCTATCTTGTGCTTGCTTGCTAAACAACTGTTCCAACAAAGAAGCTCTGCGTCCCTGAGAAGACCGTATCGATAAGGAGGATGGTTCCTCCATGCTTGAATCAGGAGAGCTGAAGGCTGTCTCGTGGGCATTTTCACGCTGTGTTCGCAAATGATTCCACCGCGAAATGTAAGTAGCACCCAGTAGGAATCGTCGAACAATGGTTGACATCAATTGCCCAGATTCGTCATCCACAATAAATCGGCCACGAGTGAATGCCTCGTATCCGTCATTGCCAAGCGAGAGATACTCACGAGTTACGACATTGTACGTCTTGTTTAATTCCAACGGCTCTTTGATTTTTGGCGCCATGCGATGCACCATGATAGTGCTTTCTTCTTCTGACTCATGATCAGGACTGTACATGTATGAGTTGCGAATCTTCATTCTCAGGTCGTGACTATTCGAGTTCTGACCATCGAATGGTTGCTTCAGTAGATGCACGCTTACCACACGATGTCCGGGCTCACGACTTGAGTCCCAGACAACCTGCATACCCGCAACTTGAGGAAACCGACCTTCTTGCTTCGGATACGAGCTAAACCCATTCTCAAGTGCATCCCAAATATCTTGGCCTTTGAGCTCTTTCACGACAATAGCATCCTCGAACGGCATGATTTCTAGCAAGTCACCAAGCGTGATGACACCAGGACCAAACACGCTGTCACTACGCAAAGAGCCACCACATATAATACAGCAGTCAGCCATCCGATCATCTTGCTTGATGACGGAAGTGGGCATAGTTTTGGCTGTTGAGCGCAACTTGCGTTCCATCGATAAGAGAAGAATATCAGCAATCAAATCACCAATTCCTGATTCATCAGTCCGAACATTCTTGGAGCGGAGGTCCCATTCATTCAGTGTTACAGCCACCGGCTGTTTAGTTGATTTGGAAATACGCGCCATGAGCTGGTCAAGCATTGCTCGAAGTTCTGGCAGGGACGGATCACTTGGGTTTGTTTGAAATCGACGCACTAAAATCTCGTTAATAAATTATACATACCTTTGACATGGTCGATGGTCCGTCTTCGTACAGCTGTCGGCGGATGCGGTTCAGAAAGCGTGATCTCAACAGCACTCAGATCGTGAAAATCGGTGCCGCTTTTGATAATAAAAGAGTTTTTGTCATTGTCACTCCCTGGCATTTCTGCATCAAAATCGCTGCCTTCGTAAGATTCAATGCCACGTCCAATGTAGTATTCATGATCATGACCGCCTAAAATAAGATCTACGCCATTTTTCGAGGGATCTGTATTAGCAACGGCACCCAGCGCATTTGCAATTTTGACATCATTTGGGAGACGACAGTGTGTTATAGCAATAATTACATCACATCGGTGCTCTCCCAGACGAAGTTGCTGTGAAAGCTTCATGGCAACCTGTATCATATCGCGATATTCAAATTCCCTTGGAAAGCCAGGTACAGTTTCAAGCCATTCGCTGGCATGTGAGAATCGTTCATACACGCTAAACGCACTGTTCCACAAGTCCAATGCATCCCACCTTAATTTCATTTACGTTCATCACGAAATATGGAAGCGTCGTTTCAATTTGCTCGTCGCGATCATCCATTTCGTCGGTGTCACTCTCATCGTCCTCCCGCCATGAAGCGTCTACCACATTGGAAAAAAGCCAGGGAAAGTTGGTTTTGCTGAGAAGGCGCTGCAAGTGCGGATATCCGAAGTCCCAGTCATGACTATATCGTCAGCGAAATGCATACTCTCACGTACTTTCCCAGGACGGCGACGTCCACTTGCATGGAGTTGATGACTGGGACCATATGCGCACCACGGGTGATGCTGCTTTCGACACAGGGATTAAATAAATCTCCTGAAAAAATCACCAGTCCCTTCCTGTCTCGTTTTGCATGCTGATCCCAGTCGAATGGTTTATCTGGCACAGGTCGCTGACAAACCTGATTCGATTCGCCCCACGTTTTGCGGATCGAGTTGATTAACGCAGCGAATTGATCTGCGCCAATTGATTCACCAGAATTATTGACCTTTTGCCGCACTCTGTACACACTCTAGAGTAAGCCTGATACGAAAGGTGCTGCATACTCATTGAAATGCAAAATAGGAATTGTCCTACTACACGACATGCTTGATAACCACGTCGCGTACCAACCTAATCCACACGAAGGTCGTCTGTGCGTCCCTGTCTAGTCACGTGATTTATCTGCCCGAAACGTCGCAATATTCATTCGTTGTTGTACGCGCATGCGATAGGTCAGACGTTTTCTCCAGGACGCCACAAGAGAGATTGGATCGACCGTGATGCTGTCTCTGTTGCCCAGGGTAGATGTGTCTCGGACATTTGCATTTCTGCGCCAGAATGGATTGGTATACTATGTTCCTCGCTATATAAATACTTCTTCCATTGCTCTCGCGAAAAGCACCACGACATCCAGCGGCGTGAAGACATCTTCGACCACGAAGCGCAGTAACAAGGATGCATCGAAAGAGCCGAAGCGTGCAACTCGCCCCAAAAAGGAAAAGGATCATCCTTGGGTACGAAGGGATGAGAAAACAGGCGAAATTTGTACGTATCTATGTTCTGACCAATATTAGTACCCCTTCCATATGATCGCAAACCAACGAAGCGGCCTCGATTTTTGCTGTTCTTCATGGAGCGTTTAAAAGACATCAAAGAGAAGCCCGAGTTCCGGAAAGCTAACAAAGATGGAAATAGTGTTTTCGATATCAAAATGGCTGCATCGACGATCGGGTCTGAGTGGAAGAGTCTCTCGTCGTCGGAGCGCGACCATTTTGACAAACTGTACGAAAAGCATGTGACCCAATACCAGAAAGATCTTGAGGCATGGAAAGAAAGCTTAACACCCGATGACATACAGCGCCAGAACCAATTCTTTGCCTACCAGCGGAAGATAGGCAAGAAGACTGTGCCACGGAATATTCCTGTGCCGAAGCAACTCAAGCGGCCTCTCAGTGCCTTCTTCCTATTCACGCAGCATTTGCGCGAGACTAGCAATACATCCATGCCTGTGACAGAATTTGCGCGACATGCTGGTGCGAAATGGAAAGCTATGAGTGCGACAGAAAAGGAACAATTTGAGGAGAGCGCGCGTGCTTCTAAAGAAGAGTACCAGAGGCGAGTAGAAGAGTTTAAAGCATCGTTCTAAGCATCAAATATGTTTCAATAGGATGCACTGGAAAGTACCTATCCTTCTCATAATAGATTACTTGCGGTTTGAAAGATAGAACTGGATCAAACCAGCCGTGGATGAATCATGCTCATCAGCAGCTGCACTAGAGAGGCTGCGCTGTTCTAGCAGAGGCAGAATCTTCTTTGCAAGTACCTTACCAAGCTCAACGCCCATCTGGTCGAATGAGTTGATGTCCCAGATAAATCCTTGCGTAGCGATCTTGTGTTCATACAAGACAATCAATGAACCGAGCGTCTTTGGATCCAGTTTCTGTACCATGATGCTGTTTGTAGGACGATTGCCGACAAATACCTTACTCTTAAGCAGCTCAATGTTAGACGCTTTGTCGCCAAGCTCCTTAGCTACTTCTTCTTCCGACTTGCCAAAGGCCAATGCCTCAGGTTGAGCAAAGAAGTTTGACAACAGAATGGCATGGTGCTTGCCCACAGGGTTCAGCGTCTCTACAGGGGCAATAAAGTCACAGGGCACCAGCTTGGTGCCTTGATGAATGAGCTGATAGAAAGCGTGCTGGCCATTAGTGCCTGACTGACCCCAAATGATTGGGCCAGTCTGGTAGTTCACTGGCTCGCCCGACTTGGTAATGAATTTACCATTGGACTCCATGTCACCCTGTTGGAAATAATCAGCGAATTTATGCAAGTATTGGTCATATGGCAAAATGGCATGGGTCTGTGCGCCGAAGAAGTTGTTGTACCAAATGCCAAGTAGAGCTAAGATGACTGGCAGATTCTTCTCCAATGGTGCGTGTAGATAGTGCATATCCATAGCATGTGCACCGTCAAGCATGTCCTTGAAGTTGTCGTAACCAATGGAGAGCATAATGCTAAGACCAATAGCACTCCAGAGACTGTAGCGACCACCGACCCAGTCCCAGAAGCGGAACATGTTGTCTTTCGAAATACCAAATTCCGTCACGGCAGTTTCATTTGTACTAAGCGCAACGAAATGCTTTGACACATGCGTTTTGTCTTTGGCCGAGTTCATAAACCAGTCACGCGCCGTTGTGGCATTGGTAATAGTCTCAATGGTGGTGAAAGTCTTGCTCGCAATCACAAAGATCGTCGTCTCCGGGTCGCATGCACGCAGCGTCTCAGCCATGTGTGTTCCATCAACATTCGAAACAAAGTGCATGGCCAGGTCGCGCTTTGAGAAGGCACGGAGCGCTTCGCACACCATCACAGGGCCTAGATCGGAGCCACCAATGCCGATGTTCACAACAGACCTGATGGGCTTGCCTGTGTAACCCTTCCATTCACCGGAGCGAACAGATTCAGAGAACTTGCGCATATGCTCGATCTCTGGCTTGATCTCATCGACACCTGGTTCGGATACGTTCAGTTCGCCAAGTAGATCACGAAGAGCCACATGCAGTACGGCGCGGTCCTCTGTTGTGTTAACGTGCTCGCCCCGGAACATAGCATCTCGCTTTTCTGGCACTCGTGCTTGTTTTGCAAGCTCGATAAGCTTGCCAAATATCTCTTCATCAATCAAATTTTTGCTGTAGTCCAATAATATAGAGACATCCTTTGTCGGTGTCTCATAATGCTCTGAGAACTTTGCAAACCTTTCTTTGTCTGAGGAAAAAGCCTCCCTGAGCTGAATCTTCCTATCTTTAGACAAGCTTTCTAAGTCTTTCCATATTGGAAGGTCCGTCAAGCTGTGTGGTGTAGACATCGTATGCAAATAAGTGCTATCAGGTCCGATGCTGTAAAGCAGTGAACAGAAATGACGCGTTCCCGTCTGCGGTACGACGAATCGCTCGAGCCCGGTAGTGGAGGTGACATGTACTTCCGCCTATTGGAATTATGTTCCACACGCACACACACATTTCCTCCATTGTCGCACAAGTTGCGCGTTGTACTTACGCAAGTCGAGCTCCAAAAAGTGTGGAATTCTGGCTGTGGCACTAAGCTTGTGTGATTTGCATCATGTCGGAGCGACGTAGTAAGTGGGATAGACCCACAGAATCTGCGCAAACTGGTGCAGTTGAAAAGGTCTCGGACATTCGCCCAGGTATGTTAATGGAACGCTAACAGACTTAGCCGCTAAAGCTGCTGCCGCTGCTGCCGCACGTATTGCTGCGCAATTCGCGAAGGCGGATCCAGCAGCGCCAGGTGCCCTTGTGCGACATCCGGATTTTGATGAAGAGGGCCCTGATGGTGCATTTACGCATGACATTGAAATTAATGACCACAGAAATCGATACCTCCTTACAAAACGTCAGACTCAGGAAGACCTTCGCAATGAGACGGGTGCTCGTGTTCTAACTCGAGGCACATGGTACCCAGATAAAACCATGCTGCGTCCGAATGAGCCACCGCTGTATCTTCATGTGACGGCTGATACGAGGGAGAGCCTCAACCGCTGTATTGCGCGGATTAACAATCTAATGATGCAAGATCTTCCGCCTCTGCTAGACGACCGCCTACATCGCAATGACCCACGAGCATCAAACGAAGAAATTGTGCCCATCAATTTAGAGCCACTGCGAAACTTTAATGTGCGTGCGAAGGTTGTTGGGCCATCAGGACTCTTTGTCAAGTACATACAGCATGAGACTCGTGTTCGTGTGCAGATCAAAGGTCGTGGATCTGGCTATTTGGAAGGTGATACAGGTCGTGAGCTGCAGGAAACGATGCATATCCACTTGTCTGGTCCAGAATCTGTTCAAGTCCGTCGTGCGAAAGAAATGGCCTTAGATCTGGTCGATGCTGTCACCCAAGAGTGGCACAAAGCGCGTGCAGCCCTAGGTGGCCAAGACTCGGGCAGAAATGAAGATGCGCCGCCGCCGCCACCTCCCAGTGAACCTGCGCCGCCACCACCTCCGGAAGGTGCGGAAGTGCCTCCGCCCCCGGAAGATGAAATCCCACCACCGCCACCTACAGATGCCCCACCCGCAGACCCTGAGCCGCCTGTCACAGAAGCACAGACTGAGTCTGCCATGCTCGAAGAGGACGAGGAAGAAGCTGCTTTGCAGCAGTACTGGAAGGACTACGTGGCATGGGAGCAAAGCTTCGTGAACTATCACGGCCGACGACCGACGAAAGAAGAAGGAGCACAAGACGTCCCTCCCGAACACCGAGCATAGGCCCGTGGCATGTCACATATAGAAGCGATGTTTTATTTACAGGTATAATTTCGGCTAAAATCCACGACGTACACGTTTTGACGGAGGTAAGAAATCAGGATACGCAGTCTTAGGTCGACGCGATTGGGACGAATTGCGTTTGGACTCATTAGTTTGGGATGTAGGCTGCGATGAAGCCGGGGCAAGAGATGAAGTTGATAAAGAAGTCCTTTGATCAGCAATGTCCGTTGATGATCCAGTTTCATCACTTGGATGACTAGTAGTTGAGCTTTCATTGCTATCACTCGGATCTTGATCCAGTGTTCCATCCGCTGAGTCAACGCTGTCCCCACCATCATACCCGTCCGTCGTATTGTCTTGATCATCTCCGAAGCCTTCCAGCTCAGAGTCATCCGTGATAGATACGGTCCCCGAGTCGGACGCAGCGTCTTCATCACTCTCCCACATAAACGCAGCCTCTGCCCGTGCCAGTAATGAATTGGAACCAAAGTTAGAGACTTGTGAGGACGTCTCATGTAAAGGCGCTAACATGGCTGGAGCATGTAACACGTCAGATATGTGTTCTAATGGATTGTACGGTGCCAGCGAGGCTCGAGCTTTGTGAAGCAAAGATGCGCGATGATCCATAGAAATAGGCTCTTCAATTGTCCACGTGCGTTTCTCGAGACGAGCTTCGTACAGATGAGCGCCGTACAACGATTCTAGTTGTGAAGCAGCCTGTTTCGTGGCACGCTGAAAGACTGGATCTTGAGACGGACATGCAGCGCTAAGCACATCACGCCATGTCAGAGATTTTCCTTGAGAATGTCTGTCCAAGCTCCAGTGACGGCACGTCATAAACGATCGCAAAACGTCTGATTTATACATACCAGGGTTCGATATGCATTTGTCCAGGTCTCTTTGCAAGGCTTCTGGGCCGAACCACACGGGCGAACACCATCTCATGTGAGAGAATACTTTGAGCAGGAGGCATTGCACAGCCATCCAAAGTTGTCCAAATAGCATTCGACTCATGGATGAGTCGCTGCCTATCTGTTCGTTGGCCAAAGGCTGCGACTTCTTCCGATAAGAGCCAGCTTGGCGCAGGTACATCCGTCCAAGACAAAGGCCACAGGAGCGTAGGACGGCGTCGCAGCATATCAACACCATTTTCGTGCAAACGCTCACGCCAACAGTTGGTGTCATCGCTTTCTCCCTGGAGCGATGCTGCAGCCGTTGACAAGGCAGTGTTAATCTGTCTCCTTGTTCTGGCTTCTGCATTCAAAGACTGGGCTACATTGCACGTTTCTTGATACTCGAAAGAGGCTAGAAGGCTCTTTATATCTGCCAGCTCTTGCGCCGCAAGATTTAGCTGTGAGCCATCGGCTTTTTCTGGAGCCATTGCAACGTGCGTCAACGCGTGATTCTTTATCCATCTAACGCGTGTTGGAAAACAGTTACTAGCAAGTATGACGTCAGCAGCGCAGAGGGGAGGGGCAGATCTGACCTTGGACATCAACAAAAAGAAGTATAGATTTCCCTCCCGAACCAAATTTGCAATATGGACGATTTTGGCAACAAGCAGCAGGCCATTGGCATGGGCAAGAAGGTAAGTTTTCGAATCATGGGGTTCTCACCGAAATAAGCTTCTTGGTAAATTTTTGAACAAGCAAAATGGGGGTGGTATGAGTAGCGGCCAAGGTGGTGGCCTGGGGGGCATGCTCGGCTCTGTTCTGGGCGGTGGTAAGCACTCTGGTGGTATGGGCTCCCAAGGTGGAAGTGGAAAAATGCTCAACAATTTGATCGGCAACTTTGTTGGAGGAGGTCGCTACGGTGGTGGCTCAATGGGCGGCAGTAGCACAAGTGGTGGCATGGGCTCCGGCATGGGCTCCGGCATGGGTGGCGGCATGGGTGGTCACCACATGGGCGGTGGCAGCATGGGCTCCGGCATGGGCTCCGGCATGGGTGGCGGCATGGGTGGTCACCACATGGGCGGTGGCAGCATGGGCTCCGGCATGGGCGGCGGTTACATGGGTGGTGGCGGAATGGGCTCCGGCATGGGTGGCGGCATGGGTGGTCACCACATGGGCGGTGGCAGTATGGGCTCCGGCATGGGCGGCGGTTACATGGGCGGTAGCGGAATGGGCGGCGGTGGCTATTAAAAGTCGCTGCCGCAGTTGAGGAATCCCATCTGTGCTTTGCCTTCATAGTCCATGGACTCGTGGCTCCTGCAATGGCTCGTAAAGCATGCGTCTAATTCGAGTTACTATCTATAGATACTTTTCAGTCGTTTGTTGTTTCTTTAGCAATTTCCATTTCCACAGCAAGCATATGATCCACATCAAAATCGCCGAGTTCTGTAGCGCACTGTGCTTCATAACTTAATAGAGCACACTGATACTCTTCATAAAGGATTCTTCCAATATCCTACGAGAATAAGTGAATTTTACCGTACCTCTTCACTCAATTGATGCTTGATCCCCATAGCTTCTTTTTCCACTTCAGCATGGAACCACCCTGAGTGACGAATCTGCTCCATAGATGCGGCCTTTTTTTTAAGGCGTTCCTCGTTAATGCTCCTCAATACATTCTTGCGAACTATTTTCCGAAAATTTGATGCTGCATCAGCTCTTGTGATTTCATGCTTTGGACCCAAGTGGCTGGGCATATGGACATCCCAAGGAGTAACCACGCCGAAATATCCTTTTGGTCACGCAAACCCATCGGCTTTCCCTACCTCTCAACGCGTGTGGAGCGCAGATAGCGTGTACATTGATGTACACCTCCATAGAAAATCCACCTGGTGGACGCGAGTGACGCGTGTTTCGTCTTGTCGTGAGTGGCGGCGTTTAAATAGACTTTTCGATTCCACGACCCAAGCAGCAGGCACACGTTCTTCGACATGCCACTCGCGCGTGGCTCAAGCAGCACCATGCGAAGCCGTGGCACATTTCGGCGCCGAGGCTCTAGTATGTTGCAGCGTGGATTATCACGCGCTGTGCCTCCGAGTAGCACAAATGTTGAAATAGCCGCTTCGCAAATCGAAGAACGATTCGCCGCCGTGCGGAAACACGATGAAATTGACGAGAAAATGGGCTTTCTCCGACTGGAGCAGGGAGAGACTCGACAAGCATGGATGGTCAACATGCATCCGACACTTCTTCCCGACGACGCCCACCCTTCGGGTCGATCAGGTGTAGATTATTACTTTATACAAGATGACACCTCCATGTTCAAAGTAACAGCTGTGTATCAGCCATACTTTCTCCTTGGATGCTATCCAGGGACGGAATCGCTGGTTGAGGAATGGCTTCGTCGCCGTTTTGAAGGTGTTCTTCATTCTGTTGAGCGCAAGCACTTGGACGATCTCAAACTGCCGAACCATCTTGTGGGGAATCAACGGACTGCGCTTCAGCTGCGCTTTATGAACGTACAAGATTTGCTAACGGTGCGTCGTGATCTTCTTCCACTCGCACAAGATGCACAGAAAAAAGTGTCAGCTGTGGAAGCGTACGCGAACATGCTCTCTGATGTGAGTGGGCCATCGTCAGCGGACGTTTCAGTTGGCCTCGATATGGATGGCGCTTATACAATGGCATCTGCATCGAGCACGGGAGGAAAGAGTGCGGAACAGTGTATCATTGCACTATGGGAATATGATGTGCCATATTATCTGCGAGTTGCGATCGATAATGATATCCGCGTGGGCCTTTGGTATGATGTGAGCTTCCATGAAGGCGCAGTCTCTTTACGAGCTGTGCCAGAGCGTGTAAAGCGTGCAGATCCTGTCGTGATGGCATTTGACATTGAGACGACGAAGCAGCCTCTCAAATTTCCCGACGCTGAGATCGACGCGATTATGATGATATCCTACATGATTGATGGACAAGGTTTTCTGATCACAAATCGCCAGATTATCAGCGAAGATATTGAGGACTTCGAGTACACCCCGAAAGATGAGTATGAAGGTCCATTTATTATCTTCAACGAGCCAGACGAAGTAGCCTTGTTGCGGCGTTTCTTCGCCCATATTCAGGAGGCAAGGCCAACTGTGATTGCGACATACAATGGTGACTCGTTCGACTTCATGTTTGTCGACGTGCGCGCACGAATTCATGGGATCAATATGAAGCATGAAATTGGCTTCGCGAAGGATGCTGATGACGAGTACAAGAGTCGGCATTGCTCACATCTCGATTGTTTCCGCTGGGTGAAGCGAGATTCGTATTTGCCACAAGGAAGTCAAGGCCTCAAGGCTGTCACAGTGGCTAAACTGGGTTATGATCCGATGGAATTGGATCCTGAGCTCATGACACCCTATGCATCGGAGCAGCCGCAAACACTCGCACAGTACTCAGTATCTGATGCAGTTGCTACGTACTACTTGTACATGAAGTATGTGCACCCTTTTATTTTTTCACTATGCAACATCATTCCTCTGAACCCGGACGAAGTCCTGCGGAAAGGAACAGGCACTTTATGTGAAACACTGTTGATGGTGCAGGCATACAAAAACCATATTTTGATGCCAAATCGACACATCGACCCAATTGACAACACTTATGAAGGCCATATTCTTGAGTCAGAGACATATGTCGGCGGACACGTAGAGGCCTTGGAGGCTGGCGTGTTCCGTAGCGACATTCCCACAGACTTTCGAATCAATCCATCGTCCATTCAGATGCTGATTGATGACCTGGATCACGCCCTGAACTTTAGCATTACGGAGGAAGGACGCATGACACTGGACGATATCGAAAACTATGACGAGGTTCGCGGCACGATCTGTGGCATGCTTGAGGCGCTACGAGACAAGCCCATTCGACAGGACAAGCCGCTGATCTATCACTTGGACGTCGCTGCGATGTATCCGAATATCATGTTATCGAACCGTTTGCAGCCTGATTCGGTGGTAGACGAAGCCATGTGTGCATCATGCAACTTTAACAGACCAGGGATGACGTGTGACAAGCGGATGAAATGGGCATGGCGTGGCGAGTATTTTCCCGCGAAACGAGATGAAATCAATATGATTCGGCATGCACTTGACATGGAGACGTTCCCAGGACGTGATGACCGACAGACAAAGACACGCACGTACCAAGACTTGAGTCCGTCTGAGCAATCGGCGCTTCTACAGAAACGACTTGCTGATTACAGTCGCAAAGTGTACAAGCGCGCTCATGACACAAAAACTGTGATTCGCGAGGCGATTATTTGCCAGCGAGAGAATCCATTTTACATCAACACGGTGCGAGACTTCCGGGATCGTCGCTACGAGTATAAGGGCCTACTGAAGAAGTGGAAGAAGAATCTTGAAAAGGCAAACGAGGGAGGTGCTCTCAACGACACATTGGAAGCGAAAAAGATGATTGTGTTGTATGACTCGCTCCAACTCGCACACAAGTGTATTCTGAACTCATTCTATGGATATGTGATGCGCAAGGGAGCACGCTGGTACTCGATGGAGATGGCTGGAATTACGTGTCTTACGGGTGCGACGATTATCCAGATGGCGAAGGAACTTGTCGACGGTATTGGACGGCCGCTTGAGCTTGACACGGATGGTATATGGTGCATGTTGCCAGGCACATTTCCTGAAAATTTTACGTTCCGCTGTCGGAACGGGAAGCCATTTGGCGTGTCGTACCCTTGTACTATGCTCAACTACATGGTACATCAGCGATTTACAAACCACCAGTATCATGACTTGGTCGACTCGCAGACGGGCGAGTACAAGGTCCACAGCGAGAACAGTATTTTTTTCGAACTGGATGGTCCGTATCGTGCAATGATATTGCCTTCCAGCAAGGAAGAAGATAAACTGCTGAAGAAGCGATATGCCGTATTTGATGAAGACGGCTCCCTTGCCGAACTGAAAGGCTTTGAAGTGAAACGCCGTGGCGAGCTGCAGCTCATCAAAGACTTTCAGAAACAAATCTTTAGCAAATTTCTGCTCGGCGACACGCTCGAAAGCTGCTATGCGGCCGTAGCTCGCGTTGCAGATCAGTGGCTCGATGTCTTATACAGCAAAGGCTCAACGCTACATGACGAGGAGCTCATTGATTTGATTGCTGAAAACAAGAGTATGTCGAAGCTCTTGAGTGAGTATGGCGCACAAAAGTCGACCGCAATCACCACGGCGAGACGACTTGCTGAGATCTTGGGACAGCAAGTAGTCAAGGACCGCGGTCTCGCGTGTAAGTTCATCGTGTCTGCGAAGCCGCATGGTGCGCCTGTGACGGACAGAGCAGTGCCTGTGGCTATTTTCAATGCTGAGCCGGACATCAAGGCACACTTCTTGCGCCGCTTTCTTCGGGATCCATCGCTGAATAATTTTGATCTGCGACACATCCTTGACTGGAACTACTACATTGATCGATTTGCTGGTGTGATCCAAAAACTTATCACGATCCCGGCCGCAATGCAAAAGATACCCAACCCAGTGCCTCGCGTGCGCCATCCCGACTGGCTGATGAAGCGAGTGGCTGCGCGAGAAGATAAAGTGTCGCAGGTCAAGCTGGATCGCATCATGACAAGTGAGGCGGTGCGATCACGATCGAAAGCTGTCACTGCAGGTGTAGCGTCTTCGGAGCAAGAAACGCGTTCGAGAGTCGATCCCGTGCGCGTCTCTGACCCGGTGCAACAGCCCAAATTGACGAGTGAGCGTGATGTTCCGATTCCATCGATCGACGAAGACTATCCGGGATGGGTATCGGCCATGCGGGGCCGTTGGCGCAAGCAGCGTGCAGAACGGCGCGGCATCGAGCGGCCCAGGACAACACTGGGTGGCCTTCTTGAAGAGCGCAGTTCGGCAATGGCCTCTGCAACGTGGGATATCGTACAACTCGCACCGACGATTCGACCTGGCGAGTTCCGCATGTGGGTACTCGTAGATCGCCAGATGCATGCACTTCGGCTTCAAGTACCGAGACAAGTGTACGTGAATTTCCTCAAGCCTCCGCAACCTGGCATGCTTCGTGCGTCATACCAAGCGGAAGTTGTGCATCGCACACTGCCACGCGGCGCGAAAGTACATCACTTGATGCGATTCACCATCCCCGAGAGCGAGTACGTTGCAAGAGAGGCACATTTTTCCATGCTACTGAATCACCCGAACGTCGATGCAGTGTATGAAAAGCAGGTGCCTCTTGACGTGCGAGCGATCATGCAGCTGGGCTCAGCATGTGTCCTCCGGCCTGACGTCCGCTTGAGTCATGCTCTTGAAGCTGGCTTGAACCTTGCGGATCTCGCACATGCCCCTGCAGCAAGTCAGTCGTTCTACTTACGTGGCGGTCGTTCTATGCGGTGCTTATATTTGTACCATGCCTCGGATCAGAAACGTCATGTATTTGTACTGGTCAGCAGCGATGGTGCGACAAAGGTCCACCTCGTCGACTCCGCTGGTCTTAAACAGTGGCCATCTATTGATGCGCTGTATGCAGAGCGCTTGACTGCCATGAAATCGTTGGGACGCATCGTCGATGGCCAGGGCGCTTTTGACTACCCGGCATCTTTATCGACACAGATGGTCGATGTACATACAACAGAAACACATGCATTCCGTGCGTTGGTGAGAGACATCCGCGATGCACGTGCATCGCGACAAGGAGCAGCGATCCTGGCCATTTGCACTTCGCGCCCTCTATCGTATTATGAAGCGGCAATGCATGTGACAACCGAGCTTCCTATCTTACTGGTGCCCGCTTCACGGGCCGAAGACTCTATGCCAGCGCTCGGCTGGCAGCCTTACGCAGCGCGCCGCATGGTCAACTGCTACCTGCGCACGTCCGTGTGGCTTAGCCGCTGGATCGAATTGGCTGCGCACCTGGATATTCCATTAGGTAACATGGCGCGTGACTTTGCCATCTTTGGCAGCGACCTCGATATGGCTCGTCGGTTGCAGCAAAATGACATGGTCCTGTGGTGGTCACCGAGTCCACGGCCTGATTTGGGTGGGCGCGAGGACGATGCACATCCTGGAGGAGGCGGCGCCGCTGAAGATTGGGACGCATTGGAAGTCACGAATCCGGGTGCGTATGCAAATGTGTGTCTCGAGGTGCAAGTGACAGACCTTGCCCTCAACTGTGTGCTACAAAACGCTAGCGTACATGCTATGGAAGGCATCGGCGCAGCGTCGATGGCTCTCGACACAGCGTCGCATTCATTGGATGAATATGCGCGTGGCCAAGTGCCCGTATCAGCAGACTTGGGCGATGCCGTATTGACATCTCAAACATTTTCCACGGTGCGCAGCATGGTGCGTGCCTGGTACATCGATAAAACTCGCGGCCTGTCAACATGCGCATCGCTTCTGGCCGACAATTTTTGGCGCTGGGCAAGCAGCTCAAAGTCGGCTTTGTTGAGCCGGCTTGCAGCGGTTTGTGCATCGGCTTATGCGGAAGACTATGCTTCAACTACTGGCAGATCTACGGCGCTTGGGTGTGCAAGTTGTTTACGCAAGCTATTCGCGACTGTTGCTACTTACAAATCGCCCCACAGCGGGAAGTGCAGTGGCTTATGGCCGCTACCTCATGAGCGCTGCAACGACGCCTGATGTATTCCGTCACATTAACCTGTCTATTGTGCACATTTGGGAATATCTTATATTTCTCGACATGGCAAATATGGGCGGCGTCATTGCACACGAGCCAGAAACCACGGACCTGCCTGAGGACGTCGACATCGAGATGGCTTGGAACGTGCAAGCGTTCCTACCTCAAGCGCTGCAAGACCGCTTCGCGAAGATCGTCGGCGTATTTATCTATGAACTGTATCAAGCGAAGCGGATCATGCATGCCCGTTTCGCTGAGCGCCCCGTCATGCGAGTACTTTCACAAAACACACAGCCAGCCGAGTCGGCAGCTGCTGCTGCTGCTGCTGCAGGCATGGCTGAAGACAAGGAGTCACCACAGCACGCTAGTTCGGAGAATGCTCAACACATCGTGGCACACGTCATGACGCCTCGCTTGCTACGAGCGGTAAATGAGATACAGGAGGAGCAGAAAGGGCCTATGGACGCTGAAGCGTGGAGATTCCCGCAGCTTCCTGGCTCGCATCTTACGATGACGAATCCTACGCTCGAGTTTATCAAAGCCACAACACGGGTCCTTGCACTGCAGAAAGATGCCGCACTTGAAGCGCAGGTATGCAAGCGCAACCTGCTTGATTTGATTGGCGTGCGTGAATTCTCACCAGCCGCTGAATGGCACAATCCATGCCTGCCATTCCGTCTGCCCTGGGTCATTTGCCACTTCTGCAACGATGATCGTACCCTTGACTTGTGCCGGGACCCTGACCTGATATCTGCACGCGAGGACCGCCAATGGGCTTGCACAAGATGCAATACTCTGTATGACCGCACGAACATTGAGTTGCGTCTGATTACCCTAGTTCAACAACAAGTCGCACAGCATGCCGTCCAGGATTTGCACTGCAATCGTTGCGGCCGCATTAATACCAGCAATCTAGCTTCCTACTGCATCTGCTCAGGTTCTTGGGTCCACAAGACGTCGCCAGCTGACACGCGCCGCCGCTTGCTTCATGCACTTGCCATTGCTCAATTCCATGCATTCCCACTGCTAGAAGCTACGGTCCAAATGTGGCTCGCGAATACGTAATGAAAGGCCAAGTGTGGAGGAACTTGCAGAAGCGAACGTATGTTTTTCGCGCACATTTGTAATACGACCAACCACATCCATTAGATTAGATCTCGTACGACATTTTTTGCCACTCAGACGCACAACACGTCCTTGGATCCTGCCATGACTGAAGTCCTCCCGCCTACGGGAAGCGCCGGACCTGCTGCTGGCATAACATCTGTCGCTCGGCCTTTGCCTGATCAAATCCCAGAGAATGCTCCAGAGCACTGCCCAGGTGTCGAATCAGACGCCGCTGGTCATGCTAATGCGTGCCAAGGCTGTCCGAATCAAAACCATTGCCAAACAGCTCCAAAAGGTCCAGACCCTGATCTTCCTATCATCCGTGAGCGCATGAAGTGCATCAACTCTAAGATCCTTATATTGAGTGGAAAAGGCGGCGTGGGCAAAAGCACGTTCACATCGCAGCTTGCTTGGGCCTGTGCTAGCGATCACGCCACACAAACGGCCGTGCTCGATATCGACGTGTGTGGGCCATCTATTCCGACAATTTTAGGTCTTAGGAACCAGTATGTACACGCTTCTTCATCGGGCTGGACACCTGCTTTTGTGTCGGACAACCTGTCGTGTATGTCTGTCGAGTTCCTTCTTCCGTCCAGTGAAACAGCCATCATTTGGCGTGGACCAAAAAAGAACGGCTTGATCAAGCAATTTCTTAAAGACGTAGACTGGACTGGTGGAATGGATGAGCTGACAAGTGACAAGTGTCTTATTGACTACCTGCTCGTTGACACGCCACCAGGTACGACGGACGAGCATCTATCAATTGTTGGCTTCCTACGCGAGTCTGGCATTGACGGGGCCGTCATCATCACGACGCCTCAGGAAGTGTCTCTTCAGGATGTTCGCAAGGAGATCTCTTTTTGCAATAAGATGCATGTGCCGATCATTGGCGTCGTGGAAAACATGGCTGGGTTCGTGTGTCCTACTTGCCATACACGCTCCGACATCTTTTATCCATCGACTGGTGGCGCACAAGCTCTGTGTGATGAGCTTGGACTTACATTTCTCGGAAGTGTCCCCATTGACCCACGCATCGCAAGGTGCTGTGACGTGGGAGAAAGCTTTGTGGAAGAGTATCCCGAGAGCCCAGCAAGCGAGGCATACCTCTCGATTATTGCCAAGATCAAGGAACGTGTGGCGCAAAAGGGCACATAAATGTGACGGTTGACTTGTGAAGAATGTGAAGCATTTACATCTATAAACTCATACCACGCGATCCTAACGTGATGGAGCATGGTTTGCAGAGACGCAACTGGCCACCAGCGTATGATCCAGAGCACTTGTTGCATACCAGACCAGCACATCCCTGGCACAGCCGCTTTACATCCAGGAAACCAAAGCGTCGTTCGCACCTCCCAATGCATTGCTCCTGGACATGAGGTGGCACAATGGCACTGCCTGGCAACGCCCATGTATATACTTGGCCCATTTCGTCGCCCGAACAGAGTACAGACGCACACGGCGAATAAATGCATGTGATCTTCGCAGGCGCATCCCGTACTTTGTGAATAATGCTTTTTTCCAGACACCAGCGCGGTGGCGATGCACGAGCATGGTTTGATACGATGTCCCATAGCACGATGGTTCCGATATGGCCCGTGACAAGCACGCCCAACTTGCCCACGTGAAACTCGCGTGCAACGAACTCCATGCTAGAAGGCGGGTCGTTCGTAGCGCTTCGCGTACTTTGGTGAACAAGCAAGACACCATTGATGGACCAGATCCACACCTCGAATCCGGCGGCGGCGGCGATCCACCCACGCTGGTGATCGATCGCCACGAGATTCACAGGCTGATCTGGTTCAGTTAGCTGCCGTACGAATCTGTGTCGATGCAGGTCCCAAACAATCGCCGTTTGGTCGGCACTTCCGGTCACGGCGATGCCCCACGTCGAGGAGACAGCTAAACAGAGTACGGCCCCTGTATGGCCACATAAAGAAGCTCGCATTTCGAGATGTGGTGACGGGAGCTGCAGAGCGTATAGCTGCGTCATGCCATCGTCAGACCCAAACACGACCATGTCACTGAGAGCAGCGATGCAAGAGATGCGTCCTACGGCTGCGTGCTCTAACATCGCCAAGAGATCGCCCTCTTCGTCGATAAAACGCACAGAGTTGTCGACATAGCCAAATGAGAGACTCAGCTTGGTGCCGGCAAGCACAATCTGGTCGCGTGTAGATGCAATGAGAGTGTTGGGCTCTCCACTAATATGTATGACAGGACCGGGCGCATGCGTAACGGGGAATCGTCCTTGGAGCAAAAAGGCTGGGTATAAGAGGAGGTCTGCCGTTGCGTGCCAAGGCTCTGGATCCAGCCGCGGCGGCCGGGGCGGATGTGCGCGCGTGAACAACTGTGTGGGAGTCTGTCCAAAGTTGTGCACGACTTGTGCAGCAGCTTGACGCTCAAGGAGTGAGTCGATGCCTTCCAAGTCGACGCTGTCTGCGTAGGACATGGGATGGAATACATTCGTTGCCGCGACTGCCTCGGGGCCGCGTGACTTGTACCCGAAAATAAGGTCGATCCACTCGTGCAAATGTTCGCTGACATAGTCAGATTCGAGAGCCTCGCGGTGCTTTTGGACAAAGAGAAATGGATCATTCTGAGCCCATGGCGGCAAGACCACATGGTTTACCGGGACACCGGCTTGTGTGGTACCAAAGTTGAAGCCATGCATATTGACGAACATTTCAGGGAGAAAGAAGAATTCAGGAATGAGCTCGCGCACGTCTGCGCGAGAGCGCTCGCTTGCCGAGGCCCATGCGCTGCCAACTGAGGCGAAGATGCGGTCAGGCAGGTCGAAGGAGCCGCCATTCAGGCTGAGCAGAATTTGTGAGAAAGGCATGACTCGTACAAGAAAGCCACACACGCTTGTGGCTGTCGAGTAGTGAGTGCCATAATGGAATGGCTCTAGCTGCACCTGCTGTAGCTGCTCGTAGCGGTCGACGAACTCGGCATGTCGGGATGGCGTTTGCGCACCCATGGGTTTGTCAAGCTGACGATAACACTCGGGGCGCTCCAGGTCGAGTGACGCACTATCGTAGTCTGCAAGTACCCATGGGAAGATCGGGAACTGCGTCAGGTCGTTCATCGTGCGCCCAGCGATCGTGTTGAGTATCATAAGGTAGTCCGCGTTGGATATGCGCCGTTCTTGCCATGCGAGCGTCTCGCGACCGACAGGTGCGCGGCGTAGCACAACGCCGGTGATGCGTGCAGGTGCCAACGGAAGCTCGCGAATGCCCTCGACAAGCGCCTCGCTGTCCAGAAAGACGTGCGGCACTTTAGTTCGTACAATGTGCTTTAGCCGCTTCATCTGTGCCTGCGTGGAGAGGACGAGGAGACAGCTCTGGCCATCGTGGGAGAAAAGTTCAAGCGCTGTCGGACGGTGAAGCCAAGCACGATCCAAGCATAGGCGCAGGCGGTCCCAGCGCCACTTTTGGACAGGCTCATTGCTCTGTGTAATCTGACCCACGCCAGCAGCCAGTATCAAAGCATCGCGTTCGTGGGATGGCGCATCCCAGACATTGACGATCTCGCCATTCGGGCGCTGGAAGTAGTCATCGAGTAGGTACATGTGCCGCGTGCCGACAATCAAGAGACTACTTTGCAGATCGATGCCCACGACGCGGGACGTATTGAGAAGGTCCTCGACACTTTCGCCTGGCTCGAGTGTGCGCAGAATACAGCGCACCTTGTCCTCGAACTCCTCTGGAGGCGGAATGGGTGCTGGCGCCATGACTGCTGCTGAGGCCGCGTGTGCAGAGCGTCCAGAGAATGGCGCAGTGAGTGCATCAGATGGCATGCCCTCCATGGGCGTGTTGATATCGACGAGTTCCGGGAGGGGCGTCGCATCCTGCTCTGAGACATGCAGATGCATGTCAGGTGCATGTGGCATAGATACGGACACACAAGACACATGCTGGGGCACGGCCCACAGTTTGATCCGCGCACGACCAGGCCCTTCGGTGGGATCAAGGCACCAGTTGCCAGAGGCCTCTGGTGACGACTGCAGGCGGAGGAGATCGCGGGACTCGGTCCATTGGCGCCGAATGAAAGCGACATCTTCGCGTACATCCTGTGCATTGCGAGCAGCGCGCAACGCGTCGTTTTCCCTGAGCGCGGCATGCCATTGTCCAATGCGTTCGTGTACTTGGAGCTTGTTCAAGACCTGCGGCGAGACGTGAGGAGTCCATGCCTTGACGCGGTTCCGGCACAAGCTGGTGAGGAACGCCTGTTGCGATGCAAAGGTAGACGCCCACGTGGAAGCAAAAGGAAGAGGGTCCGGCACCTGGTCGAGCGGAAGCTCAACAAGGTCCGGCCAATTCGCGCCGATGAACGTGAGACACAAGCAGGCGTGCCGGTCGGCCGATGCACGTTGGACAAGCCACGCATGATACACGACGCACTGGATGAAGCCTAGGTCGGAAGCATCCGTGAACATGAAAGAGCGAGCTTCATAGCAGAACGCAAGCGCCGTCGAAGCTTCCTGCGCAGCAAACGCATGCAGCACATTACGCTCGAGAGCTAACGTTGTCTGCATGCGCGTTTTGAACGAGACGAGGTTCGGTGGCGCATACACGACAAGCTGGGCGAGATCAAAGATGCGGAGCTGTAAAAGCAGCGAGCGCAGCGACTCATTCGAGGCCATCTCCAGCAAGTCTGAGACAAGCTCGAGCGTGTGGCGCAGTACGGTGCGCTCGCGGATGAGTCGATCTAAATGCACGAATAGCGGCGTGTAGACAGAGATGCACAGGCGCGACTGCATCAGCGGATCTGGTGTTGGCATGGCCGAGTGCAGGTTGTGCAGGAGTGTGAGCGTGTGCGAAGAAAGAGTCAGCTCGGCAATCCGTGCTGCTAGCATGTCAAGTATATTGTCGCAAAGAGCGGCAACGCGGGGACCGCACGGCTCGTCAATGAAGCGCGGCGCCGTGGCACGGAGCAGGGAAACGAGCGTCGGAGCGAGCATCAGCAGAGCACGCACACTCTCATTTCGAGAGTGCGCAACGAGCAAGCGGACGGAGTCTTCCAGCACAGCCAGCCTCGTCGTGTCGACCAGTGCCATGGGAAGTGATGCGCGCCGCTTCTTGGGTGCGAATCGGCATGCCATAAGGCCGTGTGTCAGGCACTGCACTATTACACGCAGTGCCTGTGCATGACAGATATCCTGGTCGTATGCTCGAGGAGCAAACGTCCTGAACAGCGACGACTTCGGCAGTCGTGTGCCAAGAAACAGGGTCCACATCCATGGCATCACACACGGCACGTCCCAGTACATTGGCAGCGTCCGTTCCAGCACACGGAAACCGCCGAGCCGCGTCCATGTTTGCGCCAGCGACGGCGACGCGCTCAGCAGCATGCCGATCAGCTCGAGAACGTTCGGCACGTCTTCGCGTGCCAGGCCAGGACGCGCAAGAATCATGAGCCACTTGGCGTGCACGAGCTCAGCGACCATCGCCACACGCTTTGTATCGTCGGACAGCATGCGTACAAGCACATCGAGCCATGCACGTGCCATAACGAGCGTCCGGGTATTTGGCTTTGCACACCGAGGCACCAGCGTTGCCGCACACACAATCGGAGGGTATGGCGAATCGGCATCTGTTCGTGCACGCGACGCACCAAGCGCTTGCGGCGAAGGAGCGGTCTGACCAAGCGTCATTGTAATAAAGTGCATGGTCGCCTGGACGTTTCGCGGACGGAAGTAGTGTTCCAGGGCAGTTTTGACGGTGTCAGTCAAGAGCTCGACGGGGACGAACGGCGCTGCCCGAGCAAATTGGATGATGCGCCGAACAAGATGCACATCTCGCAAACGGCGGCTTCCGAGTGGCAACACACGGCGAAAATGCACCACGTACGCCAGCTGCACATCATACGGCGCATGCGCCCAGAGAGAAGTGTCAAGTAGGACAGTGCGGTACAGCGGAATGTTGGCTAGCCGCCCGTCGGGCATGATGGCTTCTTCCAGCAGGTGCACAATGTCCGGTGTCAGCATATGCAGCTGGGACCGTAGAAGCGCTCCCAGCATGCCATACGCTTGTAAACGCTCGGCGTCTTCAGCGAGACGCCACGAATGCGTTACGAGGCGCAGGAAAAGACGCACAACATGCACGAGTGCACGACTCGTGTCGGCACGCTCAATGAGCGCAAGCAGCACAGCGCAGCCGCCGATGCCCCATACCGCCTCATCAAGTGCGCGAGGATGACGCACCGTTGGCAGGCCCTGGAGCACGCCGTGGCCATGAGCTACACGTGCAGCGTCAGAGATGCGCGCAACGGCCTGATTCAAGACAAGAACGGCAGACTTTGTGCGAAGCGTGTGAGCCGCCTGCAGGTGAAAGTAGAAGCCAGACAGAGGGAATATGTCGGCAGCCGCTGAGTACATCGCTGTACGCAAGGCGACATAGGCCTGGCTCAAAGTCTCTGGGTCACTGGCCTCGGCAAGAGCATCCAAACGCGCTTGCATGTGCGCCATACCAGAGTAGGTTAAAAACCTAGCGAGTGGGCCTTGCAGGTTGCCTGTATAGAGTGGCATGAGCTCATGTAAGAGTCGCGGCACACTAGACGACACCACTCGGTCGTGCAGAAACGCCGACGACAGCGACCACATCACGTAAGATCGGCCACTCGAGCGCACAGGTATTGCGCCAAGGGACACAGACGCAGGATGCGGAAAAGCACCAGGCCACGGTACCTGCAGCGTACACGCGCGTTGACCGTCCACATACACATGTACCGTTGACTCAACATTCGGTGCCGATTTTGCATGCGTCAGGACAATGTGGTGAGGAGTCCGGAGGGCCAGCTTCGTGCGTGGAAGCGCATACATGCCTTGACCCAACCCTCCTGGCTTGTACACGAGCGACTCTAGCCCCAAGTCGATGGAAATACGCAGCGACGCACCCTCAGGCCCCAACTGCAGGATATCAAGGACGGCAGGCATCTCGTGCTGTACTTCTATCAGCTCCAACGTGAGCGCAAGTGTAAAGCCCGTCGACCGTGCATCATCCGGAGGAAATGGCCGGTCTAATGCACTAAGTTGCACACCAGCCGTGGTCGATGCCGACGCTTCATCAAACGCTTCAAACATAAGCGATGAAGGTCGATGGACGGCCAACGCTATATCATACAAGAGATCAAGCAGATCGCAATTGGCATCAAGGGACGGTGTCTGGAGCAAGTGTGCGAACACGGCACGGATATCTTTGGCATTCTTAATGCCATCTTGCAGCAAGAGACGCAGAACGCGTTCCTCCCACGGTACCGGACGCTTTTTCATCCAGGCTCCGAGCACACGAGAAAGGACGGCCGTGCGTGAGAGTACGACGGCATTGCGGATACTTGTGCGAAGTAAGTCGTAGAGCAGGATATACGTGGTATGTCGAACGTAGGAGGAAGCTGACGTGTCGGAGTCAGCAAGCCGCAACGCACAATATAGCGCATGCGGATGGATGATGGCACGCGTCTTCCATCTTGGCCACGCATCAAGGTCACCATCATCAAAGTCGACATCCTGACTTGCACCACATTGACCGCTGGCTAGGGCTTCACTGACACCTCGAAACTGCTTTACTCCCTCGGCGACATCGCCAACGCCGATGCCAAATAGCAAAGCAACAACACGATCACTCATCGAAACTGCATCATTCAGCGACACAACCAAACTGTCCCATCCCAGGATCTGCTCAAATGAAAGCAGGTTGTCTCGACTGTGGGTAATGGCGTCAGTGAGGATCGACAACGCTAGGAACAATAACTGAGAACCATGCGCTTTCGTTGGGCCATTCGCTTCATCACTTTCCCGCTGCACAGCAGCAAGAAGTCTCCCTATAGCTAGAAAGCCGCCACACTCGCCAAATCCTTCATAGACAGGCGCACGGCGCCCGCCGTTATGCAGGAGAAGTGTATGGATTTCGGTGGCCACTTCCTGCATGGTATCATAGTCGGTAGAGGAGCACGCATGAAGAGATTCTACGAGCGAACCGAGCCGCGCTCCAGCGCGTTCTTGCCGCTCTTGCTCAAGAACAGATGCTGAGGGCGAAGAACTCCAAGCCTCGGTACCGTGCATGACCGCGCTCAAAGGCGGCGAAGTCTGAGCAAGCATGAGTGGGCTGCGCACGCTGCCGCTAGTATCTCGATGCATCCATGAGGACTCTGGCTTCACATTCGACATCACCTCCGGCGCCCGGTGGCGACTCGATAGTGAACAAGATGAAATCGAAAAGCGTTGGCCTTTCTGATTCGCCTCCGCACGACACACGCACGAGAGAAGAGTTTCGCCTCTCCCACCCCCCACCCAAATGGCACGGCGGCGCACGGTCGTGGTAGAAATTCCAATTGTATAGATACACACTTCCATACTTATAGAGCATTGGCACGTCATCTTCTACAAACCATCTGGTCATTCGCGACACAGAGCACGGAGACTTTGTTTCGCCTCCCTTTACGATGCCGGGGCAGCTCCATCCTGCATCGGCTGGACATCGCTGCTGGCCTGCTTTGAATAGTCTGTATACGAGTCAGTGTTGCCATCGCACACACCTTCCATCTCAGCGTCCAAATCCTCTAGCGTCTTTGTGGGACGCGCCTCCTTACGACGCTTCGCCTTGGCATGACGCTTCGCAGCCCTAGCGCTCTTACCAGCACCAGGCGGGTTCTGTTTCTGTGGCTGTGCAGGTGCAGCCATCGTCGCACGCGCAGGGTCCACCACGACCTCGATTTTCAGGGGACGCTCTGCGAGTGTGAGCATTGCAACACGGCCTGCTGCTGAAAATACATACTGCCATCAATCAAGCGGTTGTTGTACTGCGCATATGCACGCGACGCATCCTCAGCACGCTGGAACTCAACGGTCACCACACCAGTCGACTGGCCATTTGCTCGATAACTCATCAGAACCCGGCGGAGTGGCCCGATAGTCGTGGAGAAGAGCTCCTTCACCTGCGCCTCAGTCACATCCATCGGCAAATTGCTCACAATCACCTTGCCGCCCTGGCCTTGCGCTCCACGGCCAGGGAACACAACAGGTGGTTGCTGGCGGTTAGCTTGGCTGACGGCAGCCGCCGTAACAGCGCTCCCAAGTGCGGCAGCCTTGGCACCCTTTCCGCGCGAGAGACTCGATTGACGAGCACCCGAGCTGCGACGAGGACGCGGCGTCTGCTTGCGCTTTGTAGAGATAATTTCGTCCAGTGCTGCCAGATCGTCAGTCGCCAACCTCGCTGATGTTCACATACACTTGTCCAGATTCGATGCCTGTTGAAATTGTTAACGCAAGAAAAAAAAAAAACAAACAAATCGTCAAAGCCAATGCCACCCTGTAAGTAATGTTATCCATCAACACGCCAGGTCCGCGAGCGTCGGGAACCGGGAAAGAAAGAGAACCTATCCGTCGTATAGCAGAGCTTGCGCTCCATTCTCATGTCATGCTTCATACCTAAATGAAGACTTACAAGCGCCATGGGATATTGAAGATGCGACGCGTCTGTCCCTGTATATGCATGTGGCGTCATGGGTAGGTGCCCACAGCCGTTGCGCCGCCAGTTTTCCACTCTGAAACGTCTGAAACACACTTGGCATCAATCTTCTCCCAAACCCAAGATAAGGGTGCCCTGTATCATAGTAGATCCCAGTGAGATCTTGACACATGAGGCGATGCATATGAGTGCATCCATCCGATCAGGCCGAACGAAGATCTCCTTGTCTTCCCCCGGTCCCCTCAGGAAGAGAGGATTTATTTGACGCATCCGCCAACTTCCTTCTGCTTCACGGGTTCCCGTATCATTCAAATGCTAACCATGATTCAATCTCTTTCGTTCAAGTTATGTGTTTGACCGATCGACACGCCCTCTGAAGAAAGTGATGCGGGCCGTGGTAAAACAGATAATGCCCTTGGATGTAGGGACTTTACTCCTGTACGCTCGGCCTCGGCCCACTACCTCAGACAGACCCACCGCCCTTATCCCACGCGCCTCTTACTCCCCTCTGCTCGCCCCTCCTGCAACATCTCTACCCCATTAGGCCCAAAACGAAGCAGCGTGGAATGATTCGGCCGAGAATAGGCGGTCGGTCTTCTTGCATTGGTAATCCGTAAAACCCCGAGCACTTCCAGCTTTGGAGCGCTAGTAGGGTGGGTTGTTGCCTTTGCACACACACAGTAGCAAGAATGCGTCCCAGCAGTATTGTTCAAAGTGGCATGCCTTCGGGCGAAAAATGGGTACGTAGCAACTAAAACCAAAGTATGCTTACGCTCTCGAAGATCGGCTGGTGGGGTGCGTTTGGTGGCCCAGCTCAAAAGGGCATCAAGACGTACTGTAAGTGTTTTTTTACAAGTTGCTTGTTGTGTTTGAACAATGCTAACACGAATTCACAGCGGTCTCTCCATTCCAGCAGAACCCATTCGCCGGCGTGCTTAAGGGATATATGTTCAATGGCTTCCGCCGCGCCGTGAAGCATATGCCTTACTCAGGTATTCCGTTCTTGGTCGGTTACTTTATTTACTCCTGGGGCAATAAAGAATACAACTACGTGAACTCGAAGGAAGGTCATCTTGCTCATGCAGGAGAACACTAAATTTGTGTCTTATCGGCCTCTGTAATGTATTTACTCGAGTTCAGGGTCGCCCTGCGCGAGACTGACATGGCTCATTTCCATCCCATTCTGCAGTGCCTCTCTATGTAGCATATGTGCAGAATTGGGCTCTATGATATACTGTTTACAGCGAGCGATCTTCTTAGTATATTTTGGCTGCTTACTCTTCATCAAGTTGCATGTCATCAGTGTCACTCTGACCTTCGCGAGGAACTTTCGGCCGTTCGTCCTTAGAATGAGTTCGTAAGTGCGAGCTTCGTCGTAGGCTATCTTGGCTGGGCCAATGCAAATAGTCTGTGAGCCGGGACGCTGACATCGACTGGGCTGGGAGACTCGCACGTTTGTCATCGGCCGGCGTGAACTGGCGTCGCTCACGAACAAAAGGCGATGACACTGGCCGACTTGACGGCCTCCGGGAATTGAGCTTGTGACAAGAAGGGCATATGTACTCTGTAGACGTGTGAGTGAAAGTACTGTGAATGCGGTCATACATACGAATTTCATGAAGCTCATTTTTCGGTACAAGACCATTGTGTCGGAAACAATGACGGCAAATCAGTGCATACTGCTGGTCCTCTGGAGTAGCACCGTAGGGATCTGTACCTAGAATCATGTCGGCAAGTTTGTCCATCCAGCCACGAGGATATGGTGGTTGTGGTGACGGCGTTCGGTACGGACGACTTTCAGTATTGCCTTGAGCACTTGGCACGCCAAGCACGGGAAGACCAGAAATCGGCGGTGCGAGTGATTTCAGCAGCTCAAGCTGACCAGTCCTCTGCTCGTCACTCGGGTTCGAGCCCTTAGAGGAGTTTTGCAGTGTATCACTGGACGCATGACGACGAAGGGACAGAGTGGAACTTCGCCTCAGAGGCTTACTGCTTGTTTCGAATCTAGGCTGAATAGAAGGAGGGTTGAGTTGTGGGCGCTGCTTCTCCTCGTCGTAACGTTCCAACAAGTTATTGAGATGATCGAAGTCCGTAGCTTTCTTGATTTCGTTGATCTTTTCCCGCTTCTGCTTGCGGAGTGTATTAAGATGCGTCTCCTGGGCACGCTCAAGACGTCGGAACCATATTGACACTAGTCGGTGTAACACGGCAATGAACAGAGGCGTCCCTAACAAAAGCACCACAACGACAAGTGATCGCGAGGCAGCCCACTCCCGACCCCAAAAGAACGACGAGCATATCCAGAGTACAATGAGCGACACAATCCACAATGTGATCATAATTTGTAGTACATTGTGAATGGCTCGTCGTTTCCGTGCTCGTATATCGACCAGGGTAGACTCTGTCGTCCGAATTTCTTTTTCCAGGGCATCGAGAATGGTCTCATAATCAAACGTGTTCGACCATGACCATCTTGTGAATGGATTCCACGCTTTCGGCCACCATGGCCACATTGAGCCTGCCATGGCTGCTCAACGCAACAGCAAGGTGGGGAATGCAAACCCACTTGTGTTGTTGTTGTTGCATGGATTTTGGGCCAAATGTCTTATTCAAAAATTGGCCCAATCGCAGTTTCCAGGACTCTCGTGCAAGATTAACTTACCGCCACTCATACTTTACGTTGCTGCTGTATGGCTGGTCGTGTGTTGCAGCGTCTTTCTCGCCCCAGCCTATGCATTCAAGATGGGACTTACCTATGTTCAGCATTTGTATACAGGACGGTTCCATTCCGCGCAGCATCTTATGCGACGAAAGCGAACGGCTTAAGCTCCTTACCACAAAAGGTTGGAATATCATTCAAACCCCCTTTCAGGTACGTAAGTCCTGACCCTAATGCCGATAAAGAAGCGAAGATCTTTCTCTTGAATCGGCAGAAGATCAATCCATTGTATCTCCCGTTGACTCACTCTATGTGTGCGTAATATATGTGCTCTAATTACACAGGGCTCAAGCATTCAACTGGGTCGAACTACCCCGCAATGTGCTTCTAGTCAAGAAGCAAGGCGATACTCGCGTGAATCAAGCATTTCGAGACATTACTTCTCACATACGACAAGCATTCCCTCACATGAATATATTAGTAGAAGAGCAAGTGGCACAGGAGATGTCACCCATCATTCCAGATCTCATATCAGTTCAGTCAGGTAAGAATGTGCAAATGAGCGTGTGAACTCATGTCCAGACGAACAAGCACTCTTGGCCGAAAAGACGGACTTTGTCATCGCGATCGGCGGTGATGGGTCCATTCTTCATGTATCGAGTCTCTTTGACCAGAACCCTGTGCCGCCCGTCTTGAGCTTCTCTATGGGAACCTTGGGTTTTCTCCTTCCTTATGATATTCAGGCTTTCCCAGTCATTTTAGATGACGTCGTCCACTCACGCTTCATGCTTGCGCTACGAAAGCGCATGTGCATGGCTCTGTGGGACAAGTCACCTGGTGATTGCTTATGGCTGCCTGGTGAACAAGCATGCCGTGAACTGCATTTCATGAATGAAGTGGTTCTTCATCGCGGAAGAGAACCTCACATGACCACCATGGACGCCTTTGTCAATGGTGAACACTTAACACGCACTATAGCAGACGGTCTCATTGTCTCCACGCCAACCGGCTCTACGGCATATTCACTGTCAGCTGGTGGTCCTATTGTGCACCCCTCTGTGTCTACTATGGTCCTAACACCCATAAGTCCGCGCTCCCTGAGTTTCCGGACTATCCTGTTGCCAGACAGTGCTCAGATCCAGATCTTTGTATCGCCCGATTCGCGCTCTCCTGCGGAGGTCAGCGTCGATGGGAGAACTGTCCACACTTTAATCAAGCAACAGTCAGCCAGTGTGCAAATGTCGCCCTTTCCTATTCCATGCATTACTTTTTCTCCAGAGTGCAATTTTGCTCGGCGAAGTGGATCCCTGTCTGATTCAAGTGACGCGCCTATGATACACGATGGATGGGTGCACGATATCAACACTCTTCTGCGCTTCAATACGTCATTCACTCCCCGAGGCCATGTTCTCTCGGACGAACAGCGTGCCGAAGCTGCCTACGCAGGAACTGTTCGCGCTAAGCTTGCTGCGCAGCGAAAGAAACAAACTCGCAGGTAGCCAATACAACTTCGTTCAGCTCGCGAAAAATCGAGATATTGTTCACCTGATCGAGTTCTACACAGCCCCCTAGCACTGCACTCCCGCCGCTGCCAAACTTTCTTAGCTAGAGTTGGACACGCAAAGACCGACACCTCCAAACCAACCTTGCGGGCAAAGAACTACCTACGCAGGGCAAATTCTAAGAGATCACAGCATCGTTAGGAAACTTGAAGAAACATTGACTATGAACACAAATTTTGCCACAGTTCACAAATGGCAAGGCATCAGTGCTGCATCGGATACAATAGCGTGGTGAAAGAAACAAAAAAGGTCATGGGTGTATACACTCAGGAGCGCTCGCCGCGTAGACGGCGCGCAAGCGCAATATCCTTTGGTTGAATTGTCACGCGCTTGGCGTGAATTGCGGCCAAGTTGGTGTCTTCAAACAAGGAGACAAGATAAGCCTCGCTAGCTTCCTGGAGCGCACCAATAGCGGATGACTGGAAGCGAAGATCCGTCTTGAAGTCCTGTGCAATCTCACGAACAAGGCGCTGGAATGGCAGCTTACGAATCAAGAGCTCCGTACTCTTTTGGTAGCGGCGAATTTCACGGAGGGCAACAGTACCGGGCTTGTAGCGGTGAGGCTTCTTCACTGTTACAAATGTTAGCATTCAATTCAAGTACGCGTGTCAATACATACCACCACCAGCTGTTGGGGCTGATTTGCGCGCGGCCTTCGTGGCGAGTTGCTTGCGAGGGGCCTTGCCACCAGTCGATTTTCGGGCTGTCTGCTTGGTACGCGCCATAGTGGTCGTAGTAAACGATTAAGGGATAGAGACAAACGCCACATGGGACGCGTTGCATCTCCGTCATTATATTATTACATAACCTTGTAGGAACTCGACTTATTTTTACCAGGTGCACCCAATCCTAGGCAATGGCAGGCACCATTGTATTTGTGCTTTCGGTTCTTCATCGTGTCCAATGACACAGCCCGATCGGAGTAACAGCTTCGGACGTGCTGATTCGACAGGGCAAAACTCTGATGTGCATATAAATGGTCTAGTTTGTTACTACAGTCCCGATTGATATGTGACTGGGGCCCAGAAGTAGTGGGGCGAGAGCGCATATCTTGTATTTGCGCAAGAGTAAGTGTGGTAAGAGGCCAGGCACTTTAAAAAAGCCATTAGTGGCGTGCATGTAAAATCATAATCTGTCTATGACAATTCGAGTCCGTCATTTCATGAAGAAAGACGATGTAGAATGACAAATTGCCCCTGTAAAGATTCCTCCCATCATACGAACCACCACACGTTCGTGATACGGCAAAGCTATTTCGAGAGGATAGGGCGGCATGGTACTGACAGGTCGTCGACAGTGATGTACGACGCCCCCCATATCTCGAGTGACAGGAAAATACGCTGCATTTTAGGGCAGCTTAAGCTGAAAGGAGCGTTACCATAGAGCTGGTTATGCTCGATCACATGCCAGCCATATCTTGCACAACATATGAAATAAGAAGGACTCTACGATTCTAAAAAAAAAAATATTGCACACTTGGTCAACCGGTGTCCCGTCTCATTGTTTATCTTGCATGGCAGCAACACCCCGGACCAAGATGAGGGGACGATGGTGCTCACATCACGTGACCATTCCATCAGTCTGCTCCGTCTCCACGATTCAACGATGCTCTCGTGAGTGCGTGTATAGAACGTGTCTTAATTTGCACTAGCTTTGTGTGCAGTGCAACGAGTGCTGCTCGCGTGCGACGCAGCAGTAGAGTCTTGAGTTGCACTACAAGGCGTCGCTGCAACGGATCAAGCGTGCTGAGATCTCGCACAGCACGGCTTTGTGAAGTCTCAAGCCACCAACACAGCAACACGGATCAGAGGGGCATAACCATCGCTAACCATGTCAGAGTTGCCCAGAACCCCCAGAAAAAATCGAAGTAGGGGTGCAAACGGTACTTACGGTGATCGGTATGTACATCACGAAGTGCTTACACAACAGCTTTATCCCCAGTCGAGATGGAACGGACTTGCAGGCAGCATTCCAACTCTTGCCAGAGGAAACGTTAACGCCCAGCGGCCGTCACAAACGGAAAAAAATACCCGAATTAGATGCACAGATGGGTACGTACTTTGAAGAGAACTTCTCACATATGCATAGAAGAGGCCAATGAAACATACTCGATGCTTCTTAGCTCGGAACTTTTTGGCGCTGACAGACCGATGTCATCATCACCTTCTTCGCATGGTAACTTGGGCGCATTGTCCCCCACGCGAACTGGAACCATTACTCCACAAACTAGCTCCCCCTCAGCTGTACGAACATACCGCGCGGACTCATTGCCGGCGTCGTCATCTAAGAAAAACTTGCTGAGTTTTCGGAGCCCCACCTCCTGTTCCACCACTCCAGCCAGTCGGCGACCAATGGTTGGATCGCCAATGGCCTCAGCTCGCTTGCGTGAAGTAACCGCGTATGATGGTGACATGGATTTGTATGGCTCACATCCATTGGCACGTACCTCTTCTTTCGTGTCACCCAGCTTGTCACCCGCAAGCACACCCACAGGGTTGTTCTCGCCGCATGAGCAAGTCGATTCCCCGGTTCATACAGCTTACAGTACTTCGCCTGTGAAGCCAGAAAGTCAGAGACTTCTTCTGAACGCGCGTGTATCAACACGTGTTGTGAGCAAGGTACCTTACAAAGTCTTGGATGCACCGGAGCTGGCGGACGATTTCTACCTGAACCTTGTCGATTGGTCCAATCAGGATGTGCTTGCGGTTGGGCTGAACAAGTGCGTCTACCTCTGGTCTGCGAGGAACTCAAATGTGACGAAACTGTGTGACCTCCAAGGCATGCAAGATAGCATCACGGGTCTCAGCTGGACTGAGCGCGGTCAGTATCTGGCAGTTGGCACACACTCGGGTCTTGTTCAAATTTGGGATGCAGAAAGGGAAAAGCTCCTTCGCACCATGATGGGCCACAGCGCACGCGTCGGTGCCATTGCATGGAACCACCACATCCTCACAACAGGCTCTCGCGACCGATACATATATCATCGCGATGTCCGGGTGCCTGAACACCATGTAAAATCCCTGCAAGCGCATCGACAAGAGGTATGTGGGTTGAAGTGGAATCCTACAGGTGACCAGCTTGCGTCTGGCGGAAATGACAACAAGCTGCTCGTCTGGGATGGCCTATCAGAAACTCCGTTGCACCGTTTCAACGAACATACTGCGGCCGTCAAGGCTATTGCTTGGAGTCCACACCAACAAGGGCTACTTGCTTCTGGTGGTGGTACGGCTGACATGAAGATTCGGTTCTGGAACACGCAAACAGGCACGCATCTGTCGATGATGGACACGGGCAGCCAGGTGTGCAACTTGGCATGGAATAAGACGTCGAACGAACTCATTAGCACGCACGGCTATTCTAGTACCAACTTGCACAACCAGATTCAGCTCTGGCGCTACCCATCACTGTCGCATGTTGCCACATTGACGGGCCATACGATGCGTGTGCTGTACCTGGCTATGAGCCCGTCAGGCAAATCGATCGTAACAGGAGCGGGCGATGAGACGCTGCGTTTCTGGGACCTCAACACCCCTGCGCGCGATCAAGTTGAGCGCCATGACGATCGTGGACTGCAGTCCTCGTTTGTGAAGCTTCGCTGAGATACATGTATTTCTATCAACTGCGTCTTAGAGCCACTCAATCGTTGCTGGTGGCTTGGACGACACATCAAGAACTACCCGGTTCACCCCTTGGACCTCATTCGTAATGCGATTAGAAATGCGAGACAAGAGTGCATAGTCAAATGGATACCACGTCGCAGTCATAAAGTCGGTAGTTTGCGCGGCGCGCAGAGCAATGACTTGGTCATACGTGCGCTTGTCGCCCTGCACGCCCACGGCTCGTACCGGGAGGAGGACGGCGAAGGCCTGACTAATTTCATTGTACACACCAGCCTTCCAAATCTCTTCCACGTAGATCTTGTCGGCGTGCTGAAGCAGCTTGACCTGCTCGCGCGTAACAGGGCCAAGGATGCGGATGGCCAAGCCAGGTCCAGGGAACGGATGCCGCATCACAAGGTGCTCAGGAATGCCCATCAACTTTCCGAGTTCGCGAACTTCGTCCTTGAATAGTTCCCGCAATGGCTCGATCAGCTTGAGCTTCATATCTTCTAGCAAACCGCCGACGTTGTGGTGTGTTTTGATTGTGGCACTAGGCCCTTTGAAGCTAATACTCTCAATCACATCGGGATAGAGTGTGCCCTGCAGCAAGAATTCATACTTGCCAGCAATCTTGCCCGGAGCACCGCCGTGAGAGAGCGCCTGAGCCTCTTGCGCCTCAGCGTCCTTCTCTAGCCGCTCTGCCTCTCTTTCGAACACTTCAATGAATGTGTTCCCGATGATCTTGCGTTTCCGCTCCGGATCTTCCACATCCTGGAGTCGGCCAAGGAAAAGGTCTGATGCATCAACGACCGTTAGTTGCACACCCAGGTGTTCAGAAAGCATCTCATACACCTGCTTTGCCTCATTCATGCGCAGCACACCATTGTCGACCATGATGGCATGAAAGCGGTCACCAATAGCTTCGTGCATAATCTTCGCTGCAACACTGCTGTCGACACCACCGGAAATGGCCCCAATGACCCGGCTCGTTGGTCCGACCATTTCGCGGATACGTGCAATCTCCTTGTCAATGAATGTCTCCATAGTCCAGTTGCGCTGGCAGCCACAGATCCGATCGACAAAGTTTTCAAAGATGCCTTTACCGCATGCAGTGTGAGTCACTTCCGCATGGAACTGGATGCCGTAAAATGGCTTCTCTTTGTGGGCAATGGCTGCGTACGGCGCACTGGCCGTGTGCGCAATGATCTCAAAGCCTTCAGGCATCTTCGACAACTGGTCTCCATGGGACATCCACACAGTCAGGTCGTTTCCTAGACCGTAAAACAGCGCATCGGCGTTTCCATTGCCTGTCGAAAGGACTTGGATCGTGGCGTGTCCATATTCGCGCGTGTCATGTGGGTCGACCCGACCGCCGTGATTCCACGCCATTTCTTGTAGACCATAACATATACCAAGCACTGGAACACCATATGTGAACACATCTGGATCTACGCGCGGAGCCACGTCATCATACACTGAATATGGCGAACCCGACAAAATGATGCCTTTCGGCTTCCAGGACAGCTCAGCGATCTTTTGGGTACAGGGGAGCATCTCACAGTACACGTTCAGCTCACGGCATCTCCGCGTGATAAGATGCGAGTACTGCGACCCGAAATCGAGGATTAGAATCGAGTCGTACTGACTATGAATTTCTTGGCTCATAATCACGATGAAAGGCCTAAGGCAAAAAATATCATTCGTGCTGTGATGTCAGCATCAGGCTTAAAAAATCGATGACCCATCCAAACTGAAAAAAAACTATCGAGCCACGCCGCTACTACTTGCAGAAAAAAAATGAAACAGGCACCCACAAGACGTTGAGTTGGCTTATATAAGCAACACAACCTTGCTCAACATACACACTCGCACACGTTCAAGTGATAACGTCGTTATTACGCTGACTCTCGAGGCTAGTACGCTCGACGTTGCTGTGTTATTACATAGAAATGTCATCGCCGCAGACACAGCCACCATTCGCTGAATTTTCCATATCCGATATCCAGGAGCCTGTGTCTTCCTTGGAGTTCTTTCCTGATCGGACATCTCCTAAGCACGCAAACCACTTGCTCGTTGGAAGTTGGGACAAGTTCGCGCGAGTTTACGACCTCAATCAATGCTCCAGAGGCACAGAAGGAGCACGAGTGCTGCAGTCTTTTGAGCATCCTGCAGCTGTACTCGATGTCGCCTGGATCAACGAATCGCTTGCTGCCAGTGCGTGCCTCGATCGGCGTGTGCGGTTGCTAAATGTGGAAAATGGCCAAATGGTGATTCTCGGCAAACATCAAGATGGCGTGAGTCGTGTGCGATACGATCCCAACTCAGGCCTCTTGTTCTCTGGATCTTGGGACGCTACTGTCAAAGTATGGGATCCCTCCGCTGATGTGGGTGCATCCTTACGGCATACTCTCACTCTACCAAGCAAATTGTTTGCCATGGACGTGTCGCCCCGAACAGCCGCCTCCCCGTCACGGCTTGTTGTGGCTATGGCAGAGAGGGCCATTTATATCTATAATACACTTCAACTTCGGGACGCCATCGATGGACGCAGCTCATGGGACCCTGAACAGAAACGTGAGAGCAGTCTCAAGTTCATGCTTCGTGACGTTCGGTGCATGCCCGATGGATTGGGCTACGTAACCTCGTCTATCGAAGGGCGTGTTGCTGTTGAGTTCTTCAGCTCGGATGCTCAGACACAAGCAAATAAATATGCGTTCAAATGTCACCGGAAAGATGTGGACGGTATCGACGTCGTATACCCTATTCATGCGATTGCCTTTCACCCTACGTATGGCACGTTCGCAACATGCGGTGGCGATGCTCACTGTGCATTATGGGACCCTGTGGCTAAGAAGCGCATTCGCCAATATGTTCTGCCGTCGCCCGTGAGCACTGCGGCTTTTAGCGCAGATGGTACCATCTTTGTGATTGCTAGTGGAGCCGAGAATCTAGAAGAGACGCAGCATCCAGGTCCCGATGCTGGCGAAGTTGGTGGTACAGGGCAAGGTGGATCTGGTCATGTGAAATTGCACATTAAGTACGCTATCGAGGAGGCAAAGCCTAAAGGCAAGCCTGTATAATCCAACAACATAGAGTCTCGCGTCTGTTGAAACGCTTCACATTGGTAAATGGAAAACTGGAAATGCATCCAACCACATTGTCTCTTATACAGTCTGAGCCTGAGCCTGGGCTTGGCGCGCTGCATCTAACGCTGTCGCAAAGACGTGCAGTAATGCATTGGTCTCTTCCAGACCAATGCTAACACGCACAAGCTTGTCACTCACATCCATCTCAGCAGCCCAGTCCAGTTCTGCGTAATGTGCAAGCAATGTGTAAGGACATGCCAACGTGCAGTTTGTGCCCAGCGACGGTCCTTTGGCACAAGCGAGGGAGTCATAAAACACCTGCGCTGTGGTACTGGTGACAAATTCAATTGACAAAAGTCCGCCAAAGCCACCTTGCTTCGCCCCTTCACTGCTGGTATCATAGGGCTGCTTCCGACGGCACGTCTCGTAGTGATGTCGTGTCACGTATTTGGGATAGTACACAGACGAAATGATACTGTCTTTCATACCGCCAGCTTGGCTTTGAGAAAACATATAGTCAGAAATGGCCTCAGCATTGCGGTCGATGCGCGAAATACGAGCAACAAAGTCGCGCGAGTTCCGCTCAAGGAAGATTGCATCTTCCATCCAGAATGTGTCTTGATAGTTTGCTGACAAGACGGCTCTCAAAGATTCAACGCGTTTTGACTGTGGATTCAGTACGAGGGAGCCACCCATCACATTACAATCGCCGGAGAACACCTTCGTTAGACTGGATACCACCATGTCGGCGTACGGCAATACTTCCACATTCACAAAGTTGCCGACCGTCTCGTCAATCACCACGGAAAAGTCATACTTGTCGGCGAGTCGTCGAATTCGCGGCAGGTCTGCAGATCGAAGCAAAGGATTGCTAGGGAATTCACAGAAGAGCGCATGGATTTTGGGCGCTTGGTCGTCTTGCTGGGCAAGAAGTGCCTCAAGCTTGTCCAAGTCATCGTCCGTGCCACGCCCGAAGAAGTGGCACCCGGGACCCCACTTTTGCAACACCTTAAGCGTGTCCGTGTACGGGAAACCAAAGCATACTGATTTTCCAATGGTTTGTTTAGGTCCGACAAAGCTGGGATCCGCCATTGTACGCATGGCTGCTTGGATAGCCTTCTTCGTCATCGGAACGCCTTGCTGTATCATCGCACGCTCTAGCATGAGGGTTTGGTGTGCATGATAGATGCTATTCATTCCAGTAGGGAACAAAAAGACGTCGTTCTCGCTAACACCCGACACTTGGCGAGCACTTACTGCGCGTTCAACAGGTTCTTCTGCCAATTCGCCCACGAGTGTACCAGCAATGCGCCTGCGCAATGCGATCTTCGCATCTTGGGCAAGTGCGATCGGCAAATTACGCCCAAAGCGCTCTTCTACAAACACGTCATGCTCATATGCGAGCTCTTCGTCTTCGGAAGCAGCTGGTTCATGAAGTGCCGCTGTCGAGGAACTTCGGGACGTGCGTCGTGACGAAGGCACTGAGGAACCCCATGCATCTATTCCTCGTGATTGATAGCGTGTGCGGCCAAATCCACCGCCACGAGCAGTCACACCGGCTGAGGCTGATGCGGATGAGGAGGAGCCACGGCGCGGTCCAAGAGATGGACTGGGTGCACAACGGCCGCCGCAGGGCTCAAGAAGCGCTTCGTTATGCGCCAGAATCCGCATGCATTCGTCAGCAATACGGCTTGAAATCCCTACGCCAGTGTGCTGCCAGAATTGTTTCGCGAGTGGGAACACGTCGCGGTCAAAGAGCACAATGTACAGACGGATGGTGGCATCCGAGGGGTCCGGAACACGTACCGTAGTGCTGTCCTGGGTCGGGTGTGCTAGTACGGAAAAGCGGACAACGCGGACAGGCAGTGTGGGGGAGCCTGGCGATTCGCGCTGTTTCATAGCGCGCATGAAGTCACGACATTGTGACGCATGCTGAGGCGATGCAAAAAGCACGCAATCCTCATGACGCTGGGCGAATTTTTCCAGCATCATCTTTGACAACTAATGCGCGTTAAAACCAGAACAAATGAGGCCGCCGTCATAACGTACCTTTTGGATTGAATGATGAATGAAGAATCTCGGATATCCTGTTTGCATGGAATCAGTGAGGCGTCCTTCCTCGTAGTCTACAATATCCTGCCACCTTGGTAGGGAGACAGACACTGCATGCGAAACGTTGGGTGGAATAGGTTGACCAACTGGAATAGTCGGCATTAAGCTATTCTCGCTAGGCTTCGTTGCGACATCCACCATGTTTGAGGAGCAACAAGTATAGTCGCGGTTAAGGCATTCACATGCACATCAAGCATCCTTCCCCCATGTTCCAAGATCAAAAATAATTACAAAATCGCTCTTCAGCCACTTTTCATCGCACGCGTCCTTAATTTCCAGACTGTACTAATTTGGGGTGGTGAGCACGGGCTGTGGAATGAGAGAGACGCTGTCACATCAGGGTATCTATGTATCATGGAAACGAGGGTATGCGCTTTTAGGAAACGAGAATAAACACTGGCGGCATGCGTTAGAGGAAAAGCGACAGACGACGTACGTAGGAAAAAAACGATCAAAACACCAAAAATCTTCAGCATGAGCCACCGGTTGTTTGATATGCTGGTATAGTACTTTAATAATTCACGACGAGCACCTTCAACATTATCGGACACGTGCATGACATCATCGTCGATTCGCTGGACCGTTTCACCTTGTTGTGCAACCATGTGTGCAAGCTGCCCGAAGATTTGTCCCAATTCAGAGATGGTCGATTCGATAGATTCAATCGCGCTGGACCGTTGATGCAAGTAGTTCGACTGCTGGTCTTCAAATTCGTTCAACATAAGCTGCTGCTGCTGTAGGCCGCCAGCTTCCATCATATCCAACGCAAGGAAGCCCTTGTCAACGGAGTGCGCTTCTTCGTCGCGTAACGCGTGCTGACTTGTAGAACCCCGGTGATGCAGCGCTGATGCAGGCGGCGCTGCTGCAGGCGGTTGCGCACGAGCGAGTGTGTAGAGTGGCGACTTGGATCTCTGTTGATCCAACGTTGGCGCCGCTCCCTGGAAGAATTGCTCTGAACGGTCCTTTGATGCTTTCATGTTCTGCGTTCTAACCTCAAGAATCTCTTGGAAATTCGTCGTCGTACTTGCAAGTGTCGACTGAAGCATCGTCACGACATTTCCACGGTGCTCATCAGCTCGGTTTAGCTTAGCGCTGCGGTTTGATGAGTATTGTTGCAGCTCAGCGAGCTGACGATTCAGTCCGGCAATATCGTGCTTGATAATGTAAGTAAGCTCCGATATTTCAACAGGTCTGTCATCAAAAAGCGTTTTTCTTCGGGCCAGCTGCGAGAGCCGGTCCAGTTTCGCGGTGGTATGACTTAGATCACGCGCTACAGCTTGCGCCCGTCGTGAGAATTCAGCATGCGCAGTAGTGGGACGCTTGCTGACGGGAGCAGCGGCGGGAGCAGGCGTGGCAGCAGAGAACTTGCTCAAGACGCCCCGAAACTCATTCGTCCGGTCCTTCACTGTAGCGACGTGCGACAGTCCCACAGCGAAAGCCATGATGCTGCTTTCTTTCTGGGTCGATCGATCAGCGAGCCTTCCACACGTATGAGATCTGGGCTCCAGCCGTTAGCGGGAAAGTGGAGCTGAATAGCAGGAACGTCCATGCTGACACATCATATGGGGACCGGCCAATCCGGCCGCACCCGAGGCAGGACTTTCAATCCGCAGCACATGGTTGGCTGGAGTTGGCTGCTTGAACTTGGTTGCTGCACTGTCCTTTTCGTCTCAGTCAGCCGGACAACACAATCTCAAGCCTTTCACACCTCCGTTTACTTTGGTGAGCATGAGTCTGTTCGTGGCTACTCGTATGCTTCGCGCTCCCCTGCGCACGACGGAGGGCTTGATGCGCGCCATGCCATTTGCCTCGCGAGCTATTCATACTTCATCAAAGGCTCAAGCTCTTCCTTGGGCAAAAAAGGCACCTGTTGTTCCGATGACGGAAGAGCAGGATCTTAAGCGGCTCAACACGCAGCGGAACGAACGCCCAATCTCGCCTCATCTCTCCATCTACCAGCCACAACTGACGTGGGTCAGTTCTATTCTGCACCGTGCCACAGGCACAGGCATGAGTTGGGCTTTGTATGCATACGCCATCGGCTACCTCGCTGCACCACACATTGGACTTGGTGAGATGCTGTCGTCAGGCTCGCTTGTGGACGCAGTTTCTCACCTCCCTGCGTGGGCGAAGGTGTCAGTCAAGGCCCCTTTGGCCGCTGCCTTCATGTACCACTTCTTTAACGGTTTGCGCCATCTTGCTTGGGACATGGGATACTGTACGTTTCTTTTCTCGCATGTAGTAGCGAATCGACTAACAACTGTTCAGTCACGCTTCTCCGTTCGTCGTATCTTGCTGGTTACACAGTAATTGGTCTCACGGCTGTGTCCACTGTGGGTCTCTGTATGTTGTAAGATCACATAGATATCAATGATGCCCCCCTAAAACAGTTCTATTTGCTTTCATGCTTTCCTGTATGTTAAAACTCGTCATATCTTTGTGTGCTAAATGCATTCTCTGCTAACGCAAGGTCGTCTGTAGTCGATATGCTAGTGGTAGTGCGGCTGGGTTCTCGGTGGTGGACAATAAATTGACCACATCTCGAAAAGTCTGTGTTTGTTAGTAGCTAGGCAATCAAAAAAAGCAAACAAAATCATATGCAACATACGCGGGCATGTTTATTCCAGCTTGCTTCGATCTTGACGAGGATATCGCCATCGTCTATAAGTTGTGGTGCCGGTGCACTCTCATCACCTTGTTCATACCACGCGTCTACTGCCGTTTGCATATTTGCATATTGCTCAGCAAACCGCGCCTTGCTCTCGGTGAACGCGGTGATGGTATTCATGATCTTCCGATGACACTCCAAATAACGATAGTCCGTCAGCATGCACTCCTTGCGACACGTATTAAGAAAGTCAAAGTGATGCTTCATAAATTGGTCGACCGAGCGAGCTTCGAGCAGCTTGCATTCCAAGTCGTGCCAGTTTGGCTCCAAGACCTCGCTCGTATAAAAAGCCAGTAGTTGTTGCACCAGCAGTAACATCCGCTGCCGAAGTAGATGAATCCTCATTTTCCAACGCTCCATGGGTGCAGCATGAGGCCGTCGATCGCGACGGCGCCATGACGACGCGGTCTGATCCACCCACACATCCGTGAGCGCACGTTCCAGCAATTTGAACAGCAAAAGACAGCGGTGAATGAACTGCCAACGGAGGATATTTTTCTTGGAGATGACCAGTGATACGGGGAATTGCACATGCACGTCGAACTGGAGCAAATACATGACGACTTCACGCGTACCTTGATGCTGTCGCTCTGCTTGCTGCTTCGCACGCAATTTTGCTATTTCAATCACACCTTTGGTATCCGCGATACGCTGGAGTTGATCATAGGCACGCTCTTTGGCCAAATCCACGCGCAAGTCCTCTCGGTATGGATCAAGGAATCCTACCGTATCTGAGCTGCCCAATGCCATGTCGAGTTGAGTTTGCAGGCGCATCAATGTGGTCTCGCGGATCCGTTGTGGATCGACGACTTTGCGCAATTCATGCTCTGATTGATCCAAGAAGGTTTGTAGGAAGTCCGCGTGTGCGAAGAAAAAGTAGTGTTTCAGCGAGCAAAGCCGCGCAATGATGTCCTTGTCCTTCTTTAGCAGGCACAATAACGCCGCGTTTGCGCGTTGATATGCGCGCTCAATACACACTGCAAATGACTCATCATCCATGACGACCCGTTCGAGTTTTGCATCCAGCGCCAGGTAGGATTCCACATGTGCATCTTGAGAGCCAAACAGAGTTTGGACTCGATCCGATAGCACATTGGACACATCAATTCCACACTCGCGAATGGCATTCAGGTACTTGCCAGCCAGCAAGATCTTGTGTTTCCATGGCTCAAGAAAAGCAGGAATCTTGGCGCCGCCCGTCAACTCGCCTCGGGCCTCGTCCACGTCATCGGCCATAGGGTCTCCATCTCGAGCTTGCTGCTCTTGTTGAGCATAAAATCGTTCATCCCGCAGCATGTATCGGCGCTCCCAGTACTCGTCCGTGGGATCAGACTCGAGGCTCGCTCGAGTGACGCGGGCGTCTTCCACCACCATAAACTCTTCGTAAGGATCAAGCAAAACACCTGATGTGATCCAACGCAAGAGCATACGCGCATATGGCTGAGAAGCCTCGCGAAACAGTTCAAGATATAGATTATGAGCCAAAGGATCACCACCAAGATGCGTGAGTCTGTCCCACAACATAGACAATACTTCGCCGCCCTTTACAATGCCGCCAACAATCCCTTGCTCGAAATCATCCTCCATACCAAGAAGTGCACGTCGATCACGCTCGAGCTGCGAAGCATCACTGTCAAAACCTGCATCGGACGAGCTGGACCCGTCCTCGTTGTCAACGTCATCTTCTTCATCGTTCTCGTCTTCGCGTGGTAGCACGTCCGCATGTGTAATACTGGCGATCTCTGACGTGACGGAATGAATGAGACTGAACGTTCGAAGCATCGGGCGCATCTGGAGCCATAACTGCTGCAAAGTAAAATCTGGCGAGCTTAGGAGCCGCTCTTCCATCTGTGCAACAAGCTCCTCATATGTTTTAAGTTGCGCCCGGATTGCGGCACACAATGCGTGCATGACAGTACCATACTCCAAGCCAGACTCGCATTCCAAAAACGCGCTTATAGAGGTATAGTACCCTGACAAGGGCAGCATTCGTTCCACTAGCTCACGTAAAGATGAATTCAGACTGTCGTCGATGACAAAGCGAGTCCCGTTCAGTCGGTGCCCAAGATCGTCGGGCTTGTAATCAGAAGAGAACTGAATATAGTTGCCTTCGATTCCGATGAGAACATACAACAAGTCTTCCACAAGAAGCACATCCTGCAGAGTCGCATCCACGGACAAGAGATTCACGATGTGCTGAGAAGGTGTAGATTGATCCGGCTCATCGACATGGTACGCTCGCGAACGAGCTAACTTGCGGGATGCCACATTGGGAGTGCGTCCACTGAGCGGATTCAACACGAATGAGGCTTCGTGGAGATATGACTCTGCAACAGGCGCGGAAGGGTCGTGAGTCAACGTGTTGGGATGCCCGCGGTCGAGCTGGCGGATCATAGGGGGAAGACGTCGAGGTGCGGGAGTTCGAGCGATAGGCGTAAGTTCAGGTATAGGTATGCGCTCAACCTCATTGTCGTTCTCCTCGTTGACATCCTCTTCCTCATCGACGGAAGTACGCATTACGCGTCGAGTTGAATGTTGTACAGCAGACAGCCGGCGCAAGTAGCGGTCATACTGCTTCGCACTCATTGCTACACCACGGTTAGTCGCACGTCCTGGCGTGAAGGGAATGGACCGCGACGCGCGATGCGCCGAAGGTGGCGCTTGGCCATGCAGCGACATTTAAACTACTTTTCGTCCACCTCCCCCCACTTGATGATGAGGACACACGACGCGTGTCAACGATCCGTGTTGATGTAGGGGCACTTCACGTGACTTGAGACACACATTTTGTGCCTGACTATCTGTATGTGACACTAGAATAACGTTGACGTGCGTTCCTATGGGGCGACAAATTCATGACGATGGCTGGGACGAGGGTGCTAGCGTGGGCGTTTCCATTGCTTCTCCATACCGAGGAGCAGCCCAGCCACTAGAGGACCGTGGAAGCGTGGTAGGATCGTCTAAGGAGCGAGTCAGAGCTGGCGCGTCTTGCGCAAATCGATCATAGCCATGTGGCAATCCCTCACGAATGTAGAAGCCTCGCGAGCCAAGCCAACGATCAATGCGTGCAGCATCACGTTCAGCGAGTTGCTTTGCAGCACGAGCAGGGTCATGTTCGTGTTCTGCATAGCAGTCGGCTTCATCGTCTAGGACATGCGCACCAGCAACTTGCGTGGATGTAAGGCTCAATACAGCCCATCCGACTACCAGCATGCCCGGCGGACGCTGACCATCAGTGATATGGGTGTCCATGACATGCACGATGCGATCTAATGTGGATGCAATGAGGCGTTGGTCCTCGGAGCTAGCACGTTCGACAATGGCAATGGGCGTGTATGGAGGATATGCATCGCCATAGCGACCAGGGCTTTCACAGGATGTAAGAGTCTCGATCACAGCGGGCAGGCGTGCCACACCCATTAGGAGAAGAAGAGTTCGGGAACGTTCATATCCTGGCAGCATCACACGTTTTCCGCCACGTCCTACGCCCGTCGACATGATCATGCTTTCGGCAGCGCCGCGTTGCGTCACAGGAATATTGACCATCAACGGACCTCCTATGGCGCTGGAAATACCTGGCACGACTGTGCATTCGATGCCTGCATTTTGACATGCAACAAGCTCTTCGCCACCACGTCCATATACGAAAGGATCGCCTTGCTTCAATCGGACGACGGTTTTGCCTTCGTTTGCAGCCTTGAGCGCTTGCGAAATAAGCTCAGACTGTGCACCTTCTGCGTTGCCAGGGAACTTTTTTGCGATTACGAGCGGCGTCGTTGAGGGGATCAGCGCCAGCACAGCGGTCGGCACCAGCTTGTCCGACAAGATCACGTCTGTGTCGGGCGATGTCAAAATGTCTCGCGCTGCGACTGTGAGGAGTGCAGGATGGCCAGGACCAGAGCCGAGCAGGTATACATGGCCTTTGCGGCGTGGCTTGGAAATGTCCAAATCGTGACGCGACCGCTTGGCCACAGGCTCGACATGTTCAGTGACAGCTGATGTTTCTTGTGCACGCGAAGATGCGTCCATTTCGTTCTCAAGCAGAGCTTGCATTTGAGTTTGATCCAGCGATGCCAGCCGTTCCAGCGGCCAGTACTCGCTGATTTGAGCGACCCAGCGCATGCGCCGACGCTGCACAGCACAGGCATCACTTTCATCTTCCGCTGTACTAGAGTAGCCTAGGGCATCATTCAGGGCAGGTTCGTCTTCCAGTTCACCCGCATCGCCTCGACAAGACGTGCGTGCCTTTGCCAGCTCGCGCATCTCACCAATGCGCTCGACAGCGAGTCCGACAGATGCCGGCAGCGATGCGACGAGATGCCGACGTATCCGACCAGCTAGACGACAGCCCCGACCATTTGTAGTAACAGCGAGTTGAAGCGACGAAGCGTTCTCTTCGTCATCTGTGGCGAAGCGGTGAGTTGCAGGGAAAGAGAATGTGCAAAGTTCCGGCGTATCAGTCACATTCAAGGGAAGGCGGCGCGTACGACAAGCTTTAGCCAAAATCTCACACCGCAAGCGCCGCGAGCTTGCGTCATTCGGTACAGCCACGAGCGTATCTGTGACACACACAGCGAATAAGGAAGCGTCTGGGCCATCGATTTCATTTAATATATGTTCCCATGCACGTATGCAGTTTTCCTTGTCGTCTTTGGAGGGGAAAAGGGCCATGGTCGACACTTGGTACATGTCGCTTGAGATATTCGCGACAGGCGCATTCCAGGCCAACTTTGTCTCCAGGCCGGCCTCTTTGGCCGTACGCACACGTGTTTGTGCAAGTCTTCCGTCGCCTATCACGAGCATAGTGCGGCGCTCTGGGCGGTGCGCCAGCAAGAGTGAGGCGACAGGGGGCATGAACAGGTCGCGACGACAAGGGAGTGTACGTTAATAATGATGGTGATAATGACGACAACGACGATTGTGGAGCGCTTATCACATCTCACACTCTTACGCGCGGCGAGCGCGATCCATGCATGCACGTTGCCGATTTTCCTCTATCGGCCTACTGGGGAAGCTGGAGGTGTTTTTGACGCAGCGCATACGTTTCTTGGAAGATATCGCACTCGCACTCGCACTCACACTCCCAGGCTAGCAGGGGTGGGGATTTTTTTATTGTGGCTGACGTCACCAACGAACGAAATTTTGGTTGGAATTTCAGATTTTTTTTCTCTTCGGGCCCACGATTCCCATTGATTGATACGTGACGATAAAGATGGACGCGGACGCGCGAGCTAGCGCTGAGGCTGCAGAGAAGCAATGGGACGACACATCGGCGCCAAGTGTAGACATGAGTGAGCTGGGGGGTCCGTTTGAAGGCCCAGAGAAGCTTTTGGAGCTTTGGTTCGCGCCGAATGTTGATGCTTTGCCGGAGTGCCAGCGCGCCATGGCAGAACGGGGCGTGAGGCTGGGCGGACGACTTGGGCTTCGACGCGTGCCGAAAAGTACCTGGGAAGGCATGTTGGACCTTGTCAAGTGCAAGATCCTCAGTGTAGAGACAAGCGCCGAAGTGGATGCATACCTGCTTAGCGAGTCGTCCATGTTTGTATACCCTCATAAGCTGATCTTGAAGACGTGTGGCACGACGACACTCCTATTCGGACTGGACCGCTTGTTACGCATTGCGAAAGCCACCCTGTTTGATGAAGAAGCGCTGTCCCTGCAAGCATCGAGCGTATCGAGCACCATGATCGCGAATGCCGTCGCTGGCGACGCAGACTGCAAGATTTTGGGTGGTTGTGTGCGCCACTGCTTCTACAGCCGTAAAAGCTTCATGTTTCCTGAAAAGCAGCAAGGACCGCACCGAGACTGGATGCTTGAGACGCGGTTTTTGGATCAGTACTTTGACCACGGCGCAGCGTACACGGTGGGGAAAATGAATGGGAACCACTGGCTCTTGTACATGGCGCAGGGCGTCGATATGGAGGCGGAGACTGAGGCGAAGAAAGAAGCTGAGCTCGAGCTCCAGAGTACATCGGCACCGGCGATCGCGCGGCGTAGCCTGCCTGACACGGACTTGACACTCGAGATCCTGATGACGGAGCTTTCACCCAAGGCTTGTGAGCCGTTCTTTTTTGACGCCAAAGACAGCACGAACATTGAGTCGGCGCACAAGCTTGGGCGTGATGTATCGGCAAAGCTAGGGCTCTCGTCTCTGTTTGCGGATACGCAGCTGGATGCATTTGCGTTCGAGCCGTGCGGATACTCAGCGAATGCGCTTGTGTCTGCGACACCGCACCACTCAGCAGGGTACTGGACGGTGCATGTTACGCCGGAAGAGGCATCGAGCTACGCATCGTTCGAGACGAACGTGCATTTGGACTGTGACGGTGCGATCCAGGATGCTCATACGCACGTCACGAATGTGCCAGAACTGGTGTCTCGGGTCGTGGACATCTTTCGGCCAGGCAACTTTACGCTCACACTGTTCATTTCTATGGACCATGCTGACAGTGCAGCGCAGTTGCGCTCGTTGGAACTGCCCCACTATACTAAGAGCGACCGAATTTTGTACGAGTTTGAAGGGTACGAGTTGTTGTTCTTATCGTTCCACCGCCGCATGACACTGAACTAGGCTGCAGACTCGGACGACACGTCCGAGTCCGAGCCGGAGCCTGATTCCGACGACTCAGTGCCGGACTCGTCGGAGCCGCCGGCTGGCATGTCAACATCGTGCATCACGTATCCATGTGCCTGAAGCTGGGATCGGATGGACGCTGCCGTCGATAGAGAGCATGCTACTGCACAAACGGAAGTGCTTGCATCGAAGAGCGGCACAATGTATTGTTTCATGCACCGCTGCACGTCGTCGAGCGTCACGCTGCTTGCTTGTTGAAGTAGCCGCTTACCACGCCCGCGTCCCACTCGCTTGAGACGTACGTCCACAAAGCTCTCGAGGGCCGCTGCACCGACCGTGCCCTCCGCATCGGCGACGCTAAAGTGCAAGCTCGACTTGGCCGACTCGAGCATGGTCTCGTCCAGTGCCACGTGGGAGCCATCGTCCAGAGCGGTGCCGTAGGCCAGTGCCTGCACGACCTTACGGCCCTCCAGGAAGGCTTTTGCCGCGTTGGGTGCACGGTACAGGAGGAAGTGGATCTGCTCTGCCTCAGCATCGTTGCGGATCGACGCGCCGTACGCAAGGCCTGCGCCGCGGATGTAGCGCCAGAGGAACGATTCCATCGCATTCAGGATCGTCAGCGTAATGACCAAGGGCGCATAGTCCTTGTCCGTGTAGCCGCGCAGACCACGAGAGGTGAAAACAGCGTAGGAGCTCTCGATCGCCGGCAGAGCACACATGCGGCCCTCGAGCGCCGGCTTGCGTCCCAGGCCCGTGCAGATGTCTCTTGCCCACGGCAGCGGGCGAAGCACCAACGACGGGGGAGCATCCGCCAGTGCACGTGGCATATAAGCGCGCCATGGCTCGAGCGGGCGCGCAATCGACCGAATGTCGCCAGCCACACTGATGCGCACATGCTCTGGGCGCAATAGTGCGTTGCGGACCGTGTTAAAGTGCTCTAGCACACGCTCTGGCTCCTCTTGCAGTGCGTCGACCATCTCCGGCACGCGCTGTGCCTGACGGAGGATCGTGTTCGCTTCACAGGTCGACGTGCTGTTGTCAAAGAGCATGGAGCGAGAGAGGGCCGAGGCGACCATGCGTCCGTCGCGCTTCTGCTCTGGCAGCGACTGCGCCAGCTTCGCGGCAGCGACGCGCACCCGGTCGAGAGAAAACTCGCTGCGCCACAATAGGTCATATACCCAAGCGACGACTTTTTCATAGTGCGCAACGGGTGCCTTGAACTCGATAGCCATCGTCTCCGAAAAGCTCGAGCCAATCCCGATGGTAGCGTCGTATTCCAGCACGTCCTCGTCCAGCTGCTTCACGACGTCCTCGTACTTGAGCGACGAGCCGTCCTGCCGTTGGACTGGCAGCGAGAACACCATCGACAGATACAGCGTCAGGTAGGCACGCAGGTCGTCCGGCACACTCTGGGTACCCATGACGACAGATACAAGCACAAACTTCGAGGAAATGTGGTCGAACTGGATCGAAAGGGGCGGCGATGGCGCATCGGCATCGACATGTGCCTGCAATGTCTTGTCGTCGGCGGTGGCAACGTCGCACAGTGGCTCATTGCACTCGCCGGCCGCTCGACATCCACTCTCAGCTGTCGCCAGTTTGATCCATGCTATCGTGTCACTGGAGGGAATGCGGAACGACTGCAGCATGTTAGGCGGGATCGGTGCGTCATTCTCTTGACGCGCTAGCTGGAGCTTTTGCTCACACGCCTGTGCGCCTTGCTCACCCCACGCCTGTCGCCGCTGCGCCACACGCGCCTGCGTCTCGTCCTTCAGCTGCTGCACGAGCGCAGCTGATGGGCGGCCCACGACCACCAGTCGTGCATTCTCGATCAGATAGCGTGTCAACAGGGAGGTCCATGCCTCACTCGAATAGTCATCAAGTGCATCGAAGCGGCGCATGTCATCGAGCGAGTCGGCCAAGCCACTGCCGTCCTGGCGGCCATACAAAAAGTCGTGGATCAGAACGTCGGAGAAACAGTCGGCGGGACGCATCTCCAGCTGGCTCAAGAGCCGCTCGCGTTCACGGCGCAGCACGGTCCTCATCCGCGCCATGTCAATGCCCTGTGACACGATCCGCCGCAGCAGCCGGTCCAGATGGCCATCCAGCTCATCCAGCTGCGCAGTAGGGACGGCGCTGAACGACGCAGAGAGCACCGTCCTACCAGCGCGCTCATTGTTGCCGATGTAGATGTCGGTACACAGCGGCTCGTCACGCTCGACAAACTCCTGCTGCATCGGACTTACGGGCGAATCTGTCAGGTACGTGCTCAGCACATCCAGTGCCTGGAGCTCCAAGCTGTCATCCATGGTAGGCCCGAGCCACGAGATTTGCACCTCGCCAATGCTTTCGTCCCGCTCCGGGAAGTTGACAAACACTCGCCGGCGATCGCGATTCGCTGGCGGATCAGCATCGTCCACGCCAGCGCCCGCAAGCTCTGTGCCGTCGATGACAGGCGGCATGGCACTTGCCGTTTCCACGAATGGCCGCTTCCATCCCGGTGGCCCAAGCTCGCCCTTCGCGGTGCCCATCTGTACAAACCGGTCATCAATGCTTTGGAGCGCGGAAAACAGCTCTGTCCGGTCAAGTGGCCCACACAGCACAATCGCTGCATTGTGCGGCGCGTAGTACTGGGCATGATAATCGCGGATCTCATCGATCGTCAGCACGCGTAGCGCCGACATGAGCCCGCCTGTCTCACTGCGGTACGCGGACGTGCGTGGGTACAGCATGCGCTGTGTCTTGAGCTCCATCAGATCGGCACTGGAGTTCTCGCGCCCTTGCATCTCGGAGTACACGACACCGGCGTCCTCCAGCTTGCCATTAATATGGTATACTTCTGTCACAAAGCCTGCGTCTGTGAGCGTGGGAAAGAAGACGTGGTCACAATACACCGGCAGCATGCGCAGAAATCCATCTGAGCCTGCTGTCGTCAGCGTGTACGCTGTGTGATCGTTCGCCGTCCACGCATTTGTGCCCTGCGCAAACGCACGATTCGCTAGACTGTCCAGCACGCCTTTGTACGGGTACTGCTTGCTGCCCAAAAACACCAGATGCTCCAGTGTATGCGGCACGCCGCTATCGGTGAAGATCTCTGTCGCCAGCGTAATGTAGGCATTCACAAGTGGATTTTCAAACTGTGACCATAGTACAGTCAGACCCGTCGCTGTGCTGCGCCATTTTTCTACTACCATGTCCGGAGCATATGGCAGCGCTTCTCGCGCGAGCCGCCGGAACGTTCCCAGCTGTATTGGTGCTTCGCCTGCGGCCGGTGTCGCCATGACGTGGAGTGCTCGAGTTGGTCGATATAAAAAGTTGATGCCAGTATTCCACGTTCGACAAAGCGCGTGGCGCATCCAACTACAAGAGCGCCCGTTGGTACCTTGTTTTTTCTTTTCCCAGCGACGCAGTGACTCGCTCGACACAGTCGATCGAATGAAAAGCAAGTGTGCTTCTCACTCTTTCACTGACTCGAAAGGCCTATCCAGCAGCTAGTCGCCACACGCACACACACACACACACACACACACACAAACGCACGCTTGAGCGCACGCCACATGTCCGCTGCGGATCTTCGGATACGATCACGTGATGGGTATACTGACGCTACGGACATTAGCGAAATGCTGAACAGGGTCGGCCACCTTTCACACCTCGTACTTCTCGACCCCGCCCATAACCGATATGGGTTTGGTCTCCTCAGGCTCGCGTGGCGGCGGCGGGTGCTGGCGGAACAGCTCGCGCTCTTCACGACGCCGCCGCTCGCGCTCCTTCACATACAACTCTGTGACGCGGCGACCCTCCAGGTGGTCCTCGATCTCCGCAGGCGTCATGCGCCAGAAGCACTTTTGCCCAATCGATAGTTTTTTAAGCCACGTAGGGAAAATACTGCTTTGCACAATGAAGCGCTGCGTGCGTGAAAGTTGCTTATCTGATATATCCAGGAACGTCGCCGTCGAGGCCACACCCCACGGCTCGCGCTCCGTGTACCAGCCCTCGGGAACAACCCTGCCTCGAGTGGCTTTCAGTATCAACCAGGGTATCACATTTAGGACCATGTATGAGATAATGCCAGCAATAAGCCCATACCCGATGTTATAGAAGAACGGAATGCCGATCATGGTCAAGAACGCAGGCAAAGCATCCCCCATGTACGCCCAGTTCACCTCAGCTGCCGTTGTCATCATCATAGAACCGACAATTACCAAGACACTACCGGTGGCCCATGGCGGTAGAGATGAAAAGATGGGTGCAAAAAACAAACTCAAAAAGAACATCAAAGAAACGGTCAACCCTGTGATACCTGTGCGTCCGCCTTCCGCGATGCCTGACGCGCTTTCGACAAACGCTGTACATGGCGAGCAGCCCAATAAACTACCCATGGAAATCGATAGTGCATCACACACGTACGCGGTTGAGCTTCCCTCAAAGTCTCCTGTTCGAACATCAACAAGCCCTGCATGGGTTGCCATCGCATACAATGTGCCTGTGGTGTCGAGCAAGTCCAAATACAGGAAAATAATCAACGCCAGCCAAGCGTGTCCTGTGTCGTATCCTTGCCAATTGATGTTCTTGGGCCCAATCGGATCGATGCTTCTCCATGTCGCGACATGCTTGAAAAAGTTCCAGTTATTATTGCCCTCGTCCGTGTAGGGAAACTGCGTCACAGCCGAGCCTCGAGGCCAGGATGAAACTGACACTAGCAGGATCCCAATTATCATCGCTCCTCGGACACGGTACAATATCAAAAACGTAATGAGAACCCCTCCCAGAAATATGCCGACCCACATCTTAGGATCTTGCAGCACATGTGATTCACATATGCCGTTTTCGTCCTGGTACTGAGGCAAGCACCCAGCGAATTGAAGGACCGTCGAGGTGCCAGGGCTTACCACATTCAATCCACTCGAGCTAAGACCAATAAGTGCAAGGTACATGCCAATCCCTGCACCGGTACTATGTTTCAGCGACGTCGGCAGCAGTCTGGAAATCCATTGTCGTACACCCAGCAGAGAGATTATGACAAAGATCCATCCCTCGAGCCAAACGACAGCTAATGCTTGTGAATAGTTCACGAGGCCCGACAACACCACATTGGCAAAATAGGCGTTGGCGCCCAGTCCTGGCGCCAGGCCTAGCGGCATGTTTGCAATGAGACCCATTAGTCCGGAGGACATGCATCCAGCTGCCGCTGTTGCCACAATGTATGCGCGACGTATATCGTTCTTACACTGTTGGTAAGCGGGGTCAGTTTCACACGATTCAGCATTGCAAACACAGGGACCCCCTGAACTTGACAGAATATTAGCATTCACAGCCAATATGTAAGCCATGGCAGTAAATGTCACGAGACCCGCACGGATCTCCGTCGAGAACCGCGACCCCTTGCGCTCTAACGGATGTCCGGACCCATCGAGGCGGAAGTGATGCCCCAAGAATGAGCGAGCTATAGATGTGTCTAACCTGGACACACCCTCTTGCAATCGCTCTAGCATTCAGGCTCAGTGATCAACAGCAATGCCGAGTGTGCTGCACATGTAACAAAAAATAAATAGCTAAAAATTTTTTATCACGCATTTGGCAAAGTGCCAATTCCGACCTAGTTTAGTCAAATCAGGAAACAAATTTTCAATTTCGTGGCGAAAAGGCGTCTCGTTCGGCCCTCTATCATGGGATGCCTTGAACTTGAAATGTGGTTTCATCAAGATTTTTTTTTACTGTGAATGTCAACTGTTGTGTATTCGCTCGTAGCAGTCGTGAAATCCTATATTCGTTGCACCAAAATCAAAACCGCATAAGTCGATGACGCCCAGGAAAGAGGCCATAGCTTAGGGTTCAGGTACAAAACAATAATGCGCTCAAATCTATGTGCTGCTCCGAAGTGTGCATGTCTTAGTATATATAGTCCGCTCTTAAGCTTCATACGCGCATGAACAAAACGGGCGTATCGCTGAAGATAAAAAACTTGGGCACCATAATGAAGTGGATACATGGTAATGTTTAGGAGGCCAGTGGTTGTGAGGCCGTGGGTAAACAGCAACGCCAGAGGTGCATTATGGCTACAAATTCGCTTGATTGTCATAATTGATAATCCCTGTTGCTACAGCTCATTGACACCACAAGTGAAGTCAGCCCCTAGTCAATGCAGACAATCATTTTGTGCAGACATACTTCACATCGGTAGATCTGAATCAGCTCGGGATCGCGCTAGCAAATACAAGATCTCATAGTCAAGCACAATCCTCTAACACAGGATTCCTTGGAGTGTGGCAGTATGCAAATGATGCATGATCTGTATGACCGCCGCATCAAATCGCCTAAATCAGTTGCTCTCAAGACCTTAGGATAACCAAAGCATATCACACTTCGAGGCCCTAGATTGTTTCGTTTCAGGTTTTCTCTCTATGAACACTACCAATAGCAACACCGAAAAAAGAAAGATACTACCAATATAACCCAGGGTTGTGATCACATCGAAAAAGAAAGTGACAATGAAGGATCCACGCATCAACGAGAAGGAACGCATACTCGAATGAAAGGTCGAACTCTGGGCAAAGCCGTGGAATCAACCACACATGCTAACTCCAACAACATCGATGCATCCCTAGTTGTTCATGTTCATCGATTGGCGGCCTATGCGAATCTTGTTTGCGTCGCCATCATAAATGAGCGAAACGTGCTCAAGGAGCGTCGTACCAACGATCCAGGTTTTGTCCCCAAGATCTTTCACCTTATCGTATCCCATAATCGGAATCAGACACTTGGTAGGCTCTGCGTGAACAGGAGTAATCTTCATAATCCTCTTGGACAGAGGCACTTCGAGATCACCAAACTTAAAGCGAATGGATGGTGGTGGACTGTCGCACTGGTAAAAGCCCTTTACTTGACCCAACTCAGGGACTTCGACAACTTCCACGCCCTCCAAAGAGCTAAGGAACCGTTTCGCATCGGCCGCAGGAGCCATTGTGTAGCCGCTACCGCTGTCAAACGCCATGTACCTAGCTTCTTGACCATTGACTTGACCCCACACACCGAGATAGTCGCGAGACATGTCAAATTCAGCAAGCTTACCCTCATACTGCGAGTCATCTATCTCGCCCATGGTGAGTTTTCCGCCACCAAGCTGAATCGTGAGCTGGTACACGTTCTTAGCAAGCTGCTTGGTGTCCTTAAGCTTGCCGAAAAAGGTCTTGCTTGTATCATTGTTGAAGTCCTGCTTCGTGAAGGCATTGTTAGATTTGGGTCCAAGTCCAAAGATCCCGCGAGGTTCACGAATAAATACCACACTCTTGTTCACTGCAAGGAACATCTGGCTCTCAGACGTGAGGTTGCCGTAGCGCACGGTGTCCGTGTAAATGTCACCGCTAAATGGTGCACCGAGCGTAAAGAATTCGGCCGTGCCTTTCTTGCCTGTATTTTTAGCTGAGGAGGAATTCTTCATATCATACGCGTCCGTTTCCATAACAATATTTGGGTACGTAGTGTCGATGAAGAGCTTAACACGCTCCTTGTTCGCACCGACATCAAGTTGTGCCGCCCAAGCATACGGGCCATCCTGCCAGAGATCGTATGTAGCCGTATGTTCAACGTCTCTAGCGCGACGAACGAGGGAATCAGCCCTCCTCCTTGCGTATTCCACCTGCTCGTCAGACGAGAGTAACTTGCCCCTCTGTTCAAGATTGATCGAGAGCGCCAGCGAGAGGCTTGGAACAGCAGCGAGTGCCAAAAAAAATACGTTGCAGCGCATGATGTTGTTGGAAATTCGCAAAGAGCGAGCGGCTTGGCCTTTAAGTCATAGTCTCAGTTCTTACCATTGTATATCAGATCAGATTATGCCAGCGTATCGACCTTGAAAGGAAATTGATCGTTGCAGGATAATGCGAGATATTATCCTAATCTCCACAATCTCCTTGATCGACCAGTCTAATTGCCGTAAAAGCATTAATCATGAGAACCCATTGGCTCTATTGCAGTTCTTTCCCAAGAAAGGAAACACTGATGACAATCAGAACCCTCCAGATAGGAATTGGGCGGCGCACACGCTGATGTTATGCATCGCCGGCATGATTTTCATGTATCAGTAGTTGAACAGTGTTCCCCGTCGACATCGTGGGTAATCGCTTCCTGCCTTTAACAAAGTATGATTCAGCAAAGAGGTGTGCTCTACTTGTTAAACAGTAACGCGAGCGAGTCGGACAAGCGTCGCTGATAAACACTAGTTTGTTGTAGGCCAAATGCACACCAGGAGCTGTAAATTGCATCGCACTGGCAGTCAATTTTGGGGGCTTACTTTTCATTAGGACTATATGAGCACAATAGGGGATTATAACTTGAAGACATATCTTGGGCTTTGCATTCAGGGAATAACAAGGAATAAGTGATTGTGAAAGTGCCATGTTTAATAACGAGGTGGCTTGGTATGTTGCAATTGAAACGAGAGCGAGATTTAGTTACATTGATAATGGCATTCTTAACACAAAAAGTGCACTATAAAGAGGATATTACCCATTGTTATCAGACAATTTAGCATGCAAACTTTATAGAACATGAACCTGTTGAATTTCAAATGGCAGAGATCCTAATTGCTAGCTAAGTGTAATCAACCCTAGCGATCTCGACCCACCCACTAATGTTGAGTGTAAAAAGACAATCGAGTAAGTGTAAACTTACGAGATCAAAAAGTGATAATTGACACGAACTGACGACTTATCTATACAATGCTAATCTATATATTGAGATGTGATAGTGATGTCCATAAGAAAGGCATGGGTTGCTTAGGGTCGTACGGGGGGATTGAAAGTTTGGAATACATATTTACTTGTGCTTAAAGCCTTCGTACTCTTTCTTGCCCAAGTAAGGATGTGCCTCCGAATACCAGTGCTTGCCCATTGCAGGGCCAAAGACAGCGTAACTCTTCGTAAATGGAAGAACTTGTGCCTGTTCATCCAATTCGTTTCCTAGCAGTTGCATTCGGGGAACACTGTCCTTTTCGAATGTAAAGAAGTCGAACCACTGACGACGCAACCTGTCAGACGCCTCTGTGGCGCAAGGTTCGAGCTTGGCCGCACAGACCTCTGGAGTACAATGTTTATCGTCAAACTCACACGACGCTTTATGCTGGGCTGCTACCCAGGCAGGGGAGTCCTTGTGCGTCCAAGAACATCCAGCCGTAACGCAAAAGTCCTTCTTACTAGTGCTGCGCAGCTGACCATAGAAATCATCTGAAAAGTCCGGATCGTAATGATAGCGGCTAAGCTTGCCACCAGGATACGTGCAATTGTATCGCTGGAACGTATCAGAAGTTGAATCGACAGGCACAAGTCTCGGGTACTTTTCGCCCTTCACTGGCGCATCTGCAATCTTGAACGTTGTGCTGCTATCATATCCCGTGCTGAAGAGCTTGAGCGGCTCGCCGACAGGCTTGCATTGTATACTTTCGTGCTTCGTGGGAGCAGCGCTGGATACGGCGATGGCGACCGATGCAAGGAGAGCAATAAATTTGAACATGATGATGATGCCCTAAACGTAGCACAGATTTGCGCTGTTTTATATCTTTCCCGCGTGGCGCTGGAAGCCGAAACGAAGAGTGGCCACCATGTGGCAAGACTCTCTTGTCGCCGCAAGTCCGAAAGTTAAGGGGCGTTATTAAACTGATTCTAGCAACGTGACCCTGAAGCGCTGGATAAGAAGCCAATGACAAGATGTTTATTGCTGACAGCATTATTGTGCTAGCAGATTGACCCATACAGAACGAAGCACCCCGAGGTTTCGTGAACAGAAAAACACCGCAATTCCGAAGCGAGTGTCTTGGCATCGGCGGAGTGACAGGACATCGTGGGCTGTCGAATTGCATAAATAGCACAGAAAATCCACATCGAACCTCATTGCAGAAATAGAGAAATGAAGATCGGAGCAAGCACCTTGATCGCAGTGGGTATTTTGAATGCTGTGCACGCCGCCCCAGCACACGAGGGCGACAGGCTCGAGTGCCGTGCAATTGGCAAGCCGGGTACGCTCGCAGCCAAGGGTTATTATTTTAACCCAAGATACATGGACATGGTAGACGGAACACTGAAAAAGCTCGAAGAGGACCTCAACAGTACAGGTCCAGCTGAGGAGGGGAAAGAGGAACTCCAATTCTACGAGTGTAAGGCGCCATCGGACAAGTTTAAGAGCACGACCAAAGATGTTTACTTCGGACAGTTACGGAGTGCGAATGATGAGGATAAATGCTTGACCACTGATGGGTGGTGGAAGGAATTGCCTGGCCAGGGTAAATATGGAGGACCAGGGTATGAGATGGAGTCCGACGATGGTAAAAGGCACAAGGAAGGCGCCAGGGTGAAGTACGAGAAGTGCTCATCGAAGGCCGATGACAAGTTGCGCTTCCAATGGTTCGCAATGACGCGAAACAACAAGAAGAACCAGTATGCTGGTATTGCTCATGCGGGACATGCGAAAGACCCCTTGGCGAATGAAATTTGCCCTGATGATGTTAATGAGCATGAAAAGTTGAAGAGTCAGTTTGCATATTTCTGCGTCGTTCAAGATAAACGGTTTGAAGGAGCTGGTCTTGCAATTCTAAAGACGAAGCCTGAGACGGCTGACAAGGAAGGAAAACACCCATATCCACCTGAGTGGTAGTGAGGATCTGGGGTGAGGCGCTACTCCTAGGGATTAAAAGTTTTTATTTGAATATTTCGTGCAATCGACTACTATACACATAAAAATCATAGTCCGAATTTACATTGCTTATACTAATATTAGACACTAGTGGGACTGTTGAACTCGAGGCAAAGTGTGGGTTCGGATGATTGGCTTGCGCATCTAATTAAGATGACTCATTAGACGAAAAACCCCTTGCACATGAGCAGGATTTGAAGTGCTAGGGGTGAAAGACGCTCACTTGAAAAGGACCATACGTCATGCTGAAAAGAATAGCTTATGCAGAACGATTCAAGTCTGAGCGACAGTATGAACAGCTGGTATGGTATTTATTGCTTTTGGTGCTAATCCAAGATAGTACCAAGTAATAGCACGAGCCTTAATAGGTTTTAATGCAGACCTACTGCGTGTGAATGTAAGTTTTGTCCAACTTGGCAGGACAACATGAAGTTTCAGAAAGTCGAACAAGAATAATGCGGAAAGACGCACCACTCGAAAAATGTGATAAATTTCCGTGATCAGGCACCAAATCAGTATATGCTCAATTTGGAAAAAAACAGCACGAGACTAGTACATGTAAACTTTGCATAGTGAAAAATGTGGGCCAGCTTTCACTTTGTAATGTGCTTGATATTCACGCTAATCTTGGCTTCTAGTCTATGGCTTGCTCGATTTTATTGTGCTGAAGTGATCAAATGCCGAACTTGATTCAATTTCAAAAGCATGGATCAATCCTAATAGTTCAATTGAGCAGCACTCGTACGAGAAAGGTTACAAGGATTACGTGTTGCGAAGTTCATTAATCCGCTGGTTTCCTCCCCCACATACACACCGAAACGGCGGCCTGGGCCATTGGTAAATATAACCAAAATTGCGGGGCTCCACATTAAAACAGGTCGTAAGGTCGCACTGGCTTTTGCTTGGTATGTTCATCGAAACCTAGAACGTAGATCACTACGACATGTATTTTTATCTCGAAAAGCCAACGAACCATTATATGATTGATCAATCGAAAGGATAGTAGGATTCTCTCCGTAATTAACGAATAGCCGCTTTGTTGAAATTTTCAAGTGACCTGCTAACAGGCATTCCATATAGATTTATTCGCTGCGAGGAGGAAAAGGATTCTAGAGAGTGTGTGTTTGTATCGGGCACTGAATCTGTTCTTATTTGAATGGCGAACAAAGAGCCGAATTTAAAGCTGATCCACTACTGTGACCAAGTGCGGGTAGAGACACATGTGGTATAGACTCGAAGCCGATCAAGACATTGTTCAAATGACGTGTAACCGCAAGTCATTTGAAGAGACCTATGAGACATTGTATTGCTACAGAGTAGCATATAATTCTCCGGGTCCATTCAGCAGTGCTCAACAAACCCCATGCCCTTGAACTCGGAGTTGTCCACACAGATCGATCCAATATTGATGGCGCTCTTGCAGGCGTCATTTAGGTTGCTCTCAGTCTCACAATAGCCCATACCGGCGCAGTAATTACCGCCTACACTGTAGCAGGCCTTTTTGGTACCTTGTTCGATGTGGTAAGTGTCGGGCTGACCATCTGAACACTTGCAGTAGTTAGCAATAGCGGCACCGACGAAAGCAGTAATAATAAGTAGAAAGTAGATAACCTTGACCATGCTGGTGGTGGGGATAAAGTGAGAGCCAGATCCCACTCACTTTTGTATGGCTCAGTGCACTGGTTATCAGATTATGTCTTTCTAATTTGTTAGCATATCTGATACAATCATATGCAGAATCCTTACTATTGTTAACTCGATATTGATCCAGTTTTTGACATATTAGTTGGTATCATATAAGGAATCGATGTGATTGGAATTTGACCCAGAGTCATTACTACAAACGCACACACACAAATACATCTTGCTTCCATACATGAAGTTTGAGTCAAATAATTTGAATGCCTTTTTTGTTCTTGGCAATGACACTGTTATCAATTACACACATAGCATCGCGTTGCGAACCATTGCTCATGACACATGATGTTAGTACACATCATCCGTACATGAATGAGGCAGACCCGCGTATCAGTGCCACGGTCACAATATGTTCGAAATGTGGTTAATCAACACACTATATCTCATGAAGAGATCTATACAAGACTGCATCTTCATATAATGCATGATGAATTACATGGAGCAATTTCACTATTTCAGGGTGTATTACCATCAACGTAGTAGTCGATTTTCTTCATCATACAAATAACAGCAAAAAAGTAGTAGCCAGCATTGCAAAACTTCCCCGGTGTATTCGAAGGTAAGCAGGTAGCAATCCAAATTGATGCGCACGGAGAGATGCAGCAACACCTCTCATTCATGTTGCAACAGCCTGGTAGTTGTACATATGACCCTAAAATAATACCTGTAATCCTAAACTCGATTAGAAAAGTTTCCGAGAGTTCACTTGACTGCGACTATTTAATGGAAACAGCACCAATCCTGGTTAGTATAATGCAGTCATGAAGAGTCGTTGGTTGCACGAAAGCACTAGTGTCTTTCTAAGAACCTGGATATGCTACCATGGACTCAAAATGGCCGAATTTGCGGAGGTGGAAAAATTTCGGTCAAGCGTTCGAGAAGCGAAAGACTTCGGCGGGTCAGAGGCATAGCGTTTTAGGCATCCCAGCATCCTTACCGTCCGGCTGTGCTTCCTCTACCCCAGTGGGTTTGTAATATGAACAAGTTGTTTCTTTTACAATACGTGTCATGAAGCCCTGGTTGTCATATAACATGGAATGCAGCAAATTGGAATCTACCGCGAGCAGCTCCTTGCGTTGATTCGTGCCATTTGAATCGCGGGCCTATCATACCCGCTTCTAGCATTAGCGCCAAATACCTCTTTGATGAGTACAAAAACGTCATTGTACCCCTTAGATTGGAATGAGGTCAAAACGACTTGAGTTGTCAGTGTGATATCGAGGATGACGATACTAAGACTTCAGATGGTATGATTATGCGCTATGGGTAGTACGAAAGATCTTCTATTCAAGAGAATGGCAAACATTATCCGCTACTGCAACGGGACCACAAGACAGAGAATCCAACTCTTACTATGACTCTAAGAGTGAAGATGAGCAATTGAACAATACAAAGAAATGGTTGAATAGAGTGCCATGACTCACATTGTTGTATTTTGAAGATGCTATTATCTAGTGGCGGCACGAGAGCTAGGAGCTTGTCAGTCGCTTCAAGCTCAAGGTAACTGGGGTAACATTTCGCACTGGGGTCCTGAAAAAGCACAATTCTACACTAGTATAAGTAGGCAGGTCATGCATTTTGGTTTGCGAACTGATCCATCTCTGCAAAGTTCCAAGCGAGTTATTGGGATCCACATGTATGGAGAGTTGGTTTCATTTGCAGCAAATCTTAAAAGATATTTGTAATTTGCATGGGTTCAATGTCCAAGGTGATGTGTTGTTATAAATTTTTTTTTTCGTGGCGAATCAATCAGGTAGATTAGTCATGCGAGAATTGATGAGGGCGTGGGTCAGTTGCGCCCATTTTTAGACTCAAATTCTGGGCTCATTTCGCTCGCTGCCATGGCGATCGTCTTCATGCCCAGGGCAGCGGTACCGACCCCAAGTTGGAACGGTATTTATCCTGGGAGGTATGGATTGGGCATCATGCGACAAGTGACAGGCCGCGATCCAACATTCGTATCTCTCGTGGGTGCTCGAACTGAGAGCCTATCGCTCTCAGATCTACAATCCGTTATTGAACATTTTCAGCTTGGCGATTTGACAGAGCTCATCCAAAAACCCCGGCCTGTCTATGTGGCAGAGTGCGTATGGATACTATCTTACAAGCAGACCGACATTCAAGCAAAAGATTGATTTGACGGCGAACTTGCTTGTCTTTCTCGTCGTTGGGTGCATTGTTGCGACAGCATTGCTGTATATGATCTGCGAGCGCCTTATGGTCCGCGCCGGTGTGATTGAAATGGCGCCTGTATTCAGTAAAGAGGAGATGCTACATACGTACCGTGTTACATTGATTCATTACAAGTCCCTTTGCAGTGCGGGGTCGCGTATTCAGGGCACTGTCGGACCACTGTGTCATGATCTACTAGCTCGTGCATATGGGGCGCTGGTCCACGTCCGTGCACGCATTTCTCAATTGATGCAGCGCAGGTCGTTGCTACGAATGAAACGAACCGTCATGTAATGCCTAATGTCTTACGAATGAGTTTCTCGATATGCTTCTTCTGCCTGTGCGAGGCACCGAAGATTGCCGCCTAGTTTGTTCACCGTCTCGACGTATTCTTCTTCTTCGACGCTGTCATAGACAATTCCACCTCCTGCTTGAAGATATGCGACGCCATTCTTAAAAGTCATTGTGCGAATTGCGATGCAGACATCCAGATCATCTTTCGCAAAGTCAATTCGTCCGACGGCTCCTGCATACACGCCGCGGCGCTCTTGCTCCAGCTCTGAGACCAGCTCTATGGCACGGATTTTGGGTGCACCACTAACAGTGCCTGCTGGGAAGATGGAGCGGAGTGCGTCAAACTTGCTGCAGCTTGGTCGTAACTGGCCCGTGACTCGTGACGTTAGATGGATCACATGGCTGAATTTTTCTATGTTCATCAGCGACTCGACACGCGTAGTGGTGGGGTCGCAAACCCGGCTCACGTCATTGCGTGCGAGGTCCACGAGCATAATATGTTCGGCGCGGTCCTTTTCAGAGTGAAGAAGCTGATGGCCTAACTTCAAGTCTTCTTGCGGCGAATGCCCACGACGCACCGTGCCAGCGATTGCATGCACGGCTACTTTGCCACGCACCACTTGGCACAAAGTTTCAGGACTTGCTCCCACGAGCTGCGCATCGCCACAGTCGACATAGAACATGTATGGACTGGGATTAATTCGTCGTAGATGGCGGTAGCAGTTGAATGGATGTAATTGTGTTGGGCAAGCAAGACGCTGCGACGGCACAGCTTGGAAAATCTCACCCTGCAGGATGTGTTTGCGAAGTTCTGTGACGAAATGCTCGTAACCTGCTTTTCCGACATTGCTCACGGGCTGGCCATGGGGTCCGATCTTGCCCTGCTCAGGCAAGGGCGTTGTATCCTGCAAAATCGTTCGCACCAGGCTCTCGACCTTGTTCGAACAGGCTGTATAGAGAGCGTCGATGTCTGCCGCATCTTCTGTCACATGCACGTGCGATACACAGTACACGGTTTGGAACACATGATCAAAGATGACGACCGAGTCGCACAGCAGCATTACGCACTCAGGAATTCCCAGTGGATCACGCAACTCCCGCTTCGTCTTTGGCTCAAAATGCTGAATGCAGTCGAATGCAATATACCCAACCGCACCACCTGTGAACATGTCGAGCTCCGGCACGGCCACATACTCGTATGATCGCATCCGTTTCTCCAGGTGTGCGAGTGGATCACCTTCGCAATCTAGTCCAGGTCCTGTGCGCAGGACGTCACGCGGCTTTACACCCAGGAAACTGTACCTCCCTAGACGCTCTCCAGTATTTACACTTTCCAGCAAGAAGCTCTCCTGCCCGACCTTTGCTCCGTCAGACAGGCGCAGGTAAGCCATGACCGGCGTGAGCAAATCTGCAGGGATCTTGGTATAGACGGGAATGATCCTGCCAATCTGCGCATGTCCCTCTTTCGTGAGTGCCTCGCGAACCACCTCAAGAGACGGTGCGATTAACATATTGCTCATATTGGTGCGAAATTATGGCACGAGTCGAGCGGAGTTGTTCGATGTGGCTAGTAGGCTTGTGTTGCAGGCAGGCGCGTGTTGCTTCAGCCACCGCTATCGCTCGCGAACGCTGCAGGCACATTCGCTCCACTGTCGAACGACCACGTGGCTTTCACATTCATCTGCCATCGCACCCACCGGCGTTCCACCGCTTATTCGATACGCTCCTGTCTCGGCTGCAGCACGCGACAATGGCGCCTGGGCTAAACCTGCCGCCGCCGACGCAGGGCTCTTCGTCAGAAGACTTGCACCTGATTTCGACGTCCAAAGTCGATGGCGAGATTTTTCCCACAGGCGGCGTCGTGTACCCACCGCCAGACTTGCGCCCGATCATCGACAAAACGGCCGAGTTCGTGGCTCGCAATGGCGTTGCGTTCGAGGCCAAGATCCGCGAGCAGGAGCGTTTGAATCCGAAATTTGCATTCCTAAATTCTGGCGATGCATACCACACTTATTTCCGCCTCCAGATCCGCGCGGCCGCAGAGAGAAAGCACGATGCGCCCGGTCCGGCTGACAAGGATCGCGCCGCGTCGGCTGTGCGGGCTGCATTGCTGGCAGACAAGTCGAACACGGCGAAGAAAACTGAACCTGAGCGTCCGCTTCCGCATGAATTCTCGCTTGAGTTTCCTAGTACAGCGGCTGTGGATCTGGAGGTGCTGAAGCTCACAGCCCTCTTCACTGCTCGTCAGGGGCAGGGATTTGCTTCGCGGCTCATGGCAAGAGAGTCGCGCTCGTATCAGTTTGAGTTCCTACATCCAAAGCACCCACTATTCAGCTACTTCCACCTCATGGTGGAGCAGTACAGGAGTATCATGCAGCCTTCGAAAGAGCGCATCGAGCATATTCAACAATGTGCAAGCCGGCGTCGTGGTCCAGGCGCGGGTGGTGCTCGAATGCATGTGCTAGACGAAGTGCGGAAACGTGCTACATGGACGAAATGGGACGAGGACCGTCGGCAGCAGGAGCATGATGAGGAGGCTCGGCAACGTGCTCTATTTGATGAAATCGATTGGCAAGACTTTTGTGTTGTTGGTGTGGTGGAAGTGACGACGAATGATGCCAGTGCTGAGCTTCCACCACCTCGGTCTCTGTACGAGATGCAAAGTATGGTCCTTACTCACAAGAAAATGTCGGCATTGCACACGGCAGAGAGGAGTGAGAGCAACGAGCAAAAGACCTCTACCGAGGCATCCACGCCAGCAACGAGCATGGCAGATCAGCACAATGCTACGCCTGCCGGCTCGTCGCACCACGGATCGGCTGGTGCCGACGCAGAAGCAGCAGGTCCAAGCTCGTTACCCGCGCATGATACTAATACGCCGACGTCAACGGAGGGTACACGAGCTAGCGTCGTCCGATCCACAGCGCAAGGTCCTGTCAAGATCCGCCACGACTATGTTCGTGGAGCGCGTCCGGCACCATCGACTGCGCCAGCTACGACTGTGTGTCCTGTGTGTGGTGACACCGTCGCTGTGAATGACATGAGTGAGCATGTCCGTATCGAGCTCTTGAACCCAAAGTTTCGCGAGCAGCGCGCTCAAATGGAGCAGCGCCGACAGGAGCAGGCCAGTCTTGCGGCCGGCGCAGACCCGAGCCATTTTCTTCGACAGTTTGCTGGTGCACGAACCGACATCTTTGGTGTGCGAGCGGATGAAGAGGCACAAGCACGACGTGAGGCGTCAGAACGTCGTCTGGCGCGTGAAAAGGAAAAGAATGTGTGGGATGGACATCTCAATAGCAGCAAGACGGCACAGGATGCTCGTGCACGGTCGGGCGACATTGATCAGCAGCTTGCGCAAATGCGTGCCCGACCAGCTCCTGCCGCAACGACAGCGACGCCTATTGGGCCGCAAGTGCCTAGCAAGCGGCCCACAGAAGAACCATTGCCGCCGCAGCCACCGAGTAAGCGACGAGCTGACGAACGACGCGAGGAAGGTGCGCCGAGATATGCCGAGCAGGAATGGCTCGCGATGTACCCGCATCCCATCACGCTTCGAGTCCATGTGCCAGATGCGACACATATCGCACCAGCGTGTGACGGTCACGTCGAAGAAACATCGGGCCTTTCTCTCAGCACGACCATTGGTCAAGTGCGCGATCGGATTCTTTCCGAGACACTCGGTAAAGCTGTAGGCGCGTCGAAGCTCAAAATGTGGGTTCAGGGCAAGCCGGCGACACTGCGACAGTCGCTAGCGTATTGGAATTTGATGGATGGCGCTCATGTGGAGATGAGCCTGGCTAAATGATGATATACAATGGGGCTGGGGGAACAGGGAAGGGGACTTGGGACACATGCGGACTGATTTGTGTGAGGACGCGCCAGTGTGTGGAGAGAAGCAAAAATCTGATTATGTGCATGTGTAATTATGATCGATCCATAGAGGTAGAGAGGTACCCAACCAACAGTGTGTCGTCGCGTACGGATTCTTATGGCATGGTCCCAAGATGGATGTAAAGTCTGAGCTGGCGTTTTCGCTGAGCTACCCGGTGCAGGTGTCGGTCGTAGGCTTTGTTCTAGCATTCATGTTGGCACTTGTTTTCCATCAGTGCTTTACAGCTGGGTATCACTACCCACTGAATCGACTCAATTTTGTGCTACAGATCCTGTCGTCGATCCTCCTCGTCATATACCAGGCCGTCACACTAGGGGTGAATTTGTCGGAGCTGAGTCAGTTTTCAAAAAACTGGCCTTTCATGTTCCCCTACATTGCCTACCGGCTCCCTCGTCGCGATACGTGGACTTTGGCCCAGGTGGTGTTCTTCATCATCCTCGAGAGCTTGATGGCTCTGCTAGCTCATGTACGTTCGGTATCCATTTTTCTCGTGCGCTTATGCAGGCCAATTATATCCAATTTCTCATGCTGATCTTCCCATCGAAGCTAGAGCGAAGTCTTATTTTCTGGATGCTCGGTCCGATGGCACTTGTTCAAGCAGGCATGTTCTTTGCTGATTTTGCGAAATTCAACGACTTCAAGACGATTGATTTGGCAGATGCACTTGTCAATATCTGTGACGCCTCTCTGGCTCTACTGTATACGTCTGGTCTGCTTATCTGGGGTGGCTTTGTCAATTGGCGACGTGCATGGCGCACGGATGGATCGACAGCCGCTTTCGGCATCGCCGTGCTTGTGGTGGCCGTGTGTAAGACTGTGGTGAGTTTTGTCCACATTGCCTACGATCGCGCGTACTGGATTCGCCTTCTGTCAGCCACATTCACAAATTGGCAATGCTGGCTCGGCGTTCTGGTGGTGGGTGTCGGCGGGCATGGGGATTGGCGAGTATGAAGACCGTATACGTGCGAGGCGGAAGAAACACACTCTTCAAACCAAAAAGTCCCGTGCAAAGAAACGACGCTCTGTGTCTCATACGGAGGCGCCAAGACTCTCTTCTGATACGGCCATGCGGCATCCCAGTGAGGTCGGGACGCGTGAGATTCCGTCTTGTTCGGCCGCGGTGTCGGACCAGTCACCGTCCGTGTCAAACACGGACTCGGCCCCATTTACCGTTCGCCTTCTACGAAACTTGCTATCGAGTGCGCCACTCGCGATCCGACGACGCTATGAACATCTTCGCAACACGCACAATCGAGCTATTCGCGACGCAGCATTGTCACAGGCGTCCGTGTATGCGCGAGTCATGCTGCCAGCAAATGTGAGTTTCGTGGCCGGGTCCGATCTAATGCGGCGCTTGTTGCTTAAAGATAGAACTGTGTATGATTAAAGATCAGGGAATCGCTCGCGAATCAGTTGGTGGAGCTTGGGCCAGATCTCGTTGCTAGTGCTCCCGGCCATATCTACAAGAAGAGGAAGCGACTCATCGTATGGGCTCCGTAGTGCACGGAAGTGCTGGATCATCGGCTCCGTCTGTGTATGGAAGGCATCGATGCGCTTTTTAAACGTGTCGGGATTGTCGTCTTCGCGCTTCTCGAGCGGCTCGCCCGTGAGGTCGTCGAGTCCCGGCGTCTTTGGCGGGTTGAATGATAGATTGTACACACGTCCCGAAGGCATGTGTGTCCAGCGCTGGAGAATCCGTTGTAAAATCGCCGACTCGGGCACCTTGAGGTTCACCACAAGAGACAGAGGACAATGCGCGGCGTAGAGCTCTTCGCTCAGTAGCTGGGCCTGGCCCTCTGTGCGCGGAAAACCATCGAGGATCCAGTGCGTCTCGCGCATGTCGTGCAGCTTTTCAGCGACCAGTTGCATCATAGTTGCGTCAGGCATGAGACGCCCAGCACGGATCGACTCGGATGCTTGCTTGCCAAGCTCGGTGCCGTGCCGGATGTGCCACCGGAGCAAGTCGCCAGCGGTAATGAAATGCACACCAAAATGCTTCTCAATACGAGCGGACAAAGTGCCTTTGCCCGAGCCTGGGCACCCGACCATGAGCATGCGCAGTCGGCGCTGCACCGTTCCTCCCCGCATTGTCGTTCTGCTCGCTCCGGTAGCTATTACTGTGTGAATGAGTGGGATGTGTGGAGGAGGGAAAGAACGTCGTCAGTTCGACTGGGGTTCGGTGTACGTGCGTGCAATTTTCGATTGTCGTAGAGAAGCTGGAAAGCGGGACAATGACGACTCTGTTCACTGTTCGAACCAGCTTATGATCGCCTGAGTGCATGCCGCTAGGGAAAGAGCGCACAGCGCCCAGCCCTTGCGACAGCTGCCAATCTAGCTACGGTGAGAGCGGGGGGAGGCGAAAGAAGGGGGTGCGTCCGGGTCCTGCAAGCCCGAAGCAGGTCGTGTAGTGCCCGTACTGTATGCATGCGAAAAGAGATATAGCCTCAATAGCCTGTATGGTGGTGCAACTATCTATATCGTTTGCCGGGAGAGATCTTAGTGGGTGGGGTGGTCATGACTTACGAGTCCTGCGGTGCAAATGTCAGCGGCTCAAACGGATAACCATCGGCCATGTAGTGCTTCGAACCGCCTTCGACCCAGTGCAAACGAAGCGCATGCAAAAAGGCTGAAAGTCCCTCCATAACACACAAGATCGCAATGGTCAAGACGAACCAGAGCGCAAAGGCAAATACCGTAGCAAACACGCCCAGCACGCCCGTCATGCCAAAGACCGTCTTGATCGTCATGTCCCACAACACCTGAGACAGCTGAGCATGAGCAAGCGAGAGAGCCCACAGACGCAGGTACGACGCCGTGTTCGAAATGCAGCCAAGGCAAAACTCGATCGTGTGAATGATCTGATGGATCACAACTTCGCCCAGCTCGAATTCCTCCTCCGACTCACCGTCGTCGCCGTCAGCGCCGCCATCGATGAAGTCTGACTCTAGCTCACGCTCAGCCTCGTCGACGTCATTTACACGCTGCTCGCCGCGCGAGGAGCCTACTGTGTGGTAACCCGCGCCTTCGCGGTGCTTGTGCTCCCGGTATAGCAGGTATGGCTTTGCGACAAGCATCCACGGCACACACACCATGGCGACGAGGAGAAGGAGGGACTGAACGGATGCCTGGCCCGCATATAGCTGTTGCTCGGGATCGACGGCACCTGGCTTGAGGAACATGTAGATGAGCATGTTCAAAAGACCAGGTGGCGAGTTGTGCAGGTTGTTGCCGTTCGCATCCTTCGCGTACCAGTCTGTTGACCATTTGTAGATGATCGTAATGACCAGGTAGCCGAAGAGCGCCTCAAGGAAAAGCATCTGCGGCACGAGCTCGGCCCAAATCCACGTTGGCCGCTTGAAGTGCAAGTGGTTCGGCACGTTGAGCAGGAGCGCAAACGTCATGTGAGCGACGCCCAGCACAATCGACAACTTCATCTTGAACGAGTTGGTGAACACGAGGTTGTTCTCCGCACCGTGCCAGCTGGGATCGAGTCCTATCGGGTACACACGACCGTTTGGCTCAGCTGTGAGTGTGCCATTGGCACGGGGCCACTCCCAGCCGCTGTGGAACAGATGCATGCTTCGACTAAAGATATCGTTGTAGATAAGACCCGTAAAGATGGACGCGATGCCCATGAACAAAATGATATAGCGGCCATAGAAAAACATGGATGAAATCTCGTCCAGACGCGTGCGTTGGAGCTTGCGCTCGTACAGCACCATTGCCCCGGCCATCAGCGACATGAGAACGCCATGCCCCACGTCGCCAAACATAACAGCGAAAAGGAATGGGAACGTGACGACCGTAAAGAGACCTGGGTTCACTTCCTGGTATCGCGCATGGCCATATGCATCGATGATGGCTTGGAATCCTTCCGTCACCTTGTTCGTCCGCTGGAACGTCGGCGGCGTCTCCTTCGTCTGCATCGTCTGCATGACCGACGACACATGTGCGCCAGTCGACTCAGTCGCGCGGCGGAGCGCCAGCTGCACGGTGGCGAGCTCGGTTGTGGGCGCCCAGCCCTCAGCAACCAACGTCTTCTGGTTCACCTCTGTCTGGAACAGGTTCATCGTACTGTACACGAGCTTCTCGCGGCGCACGAGATCTTGCCACGCCTCGATGGATTCCGCCACACGCACGAGCTCTGTGCGCCGCGTCGCATTCGTAGAATACAAAATATTCTCGTGGTCCTCGATGCGCTCAAGGACCTGGTGCAGATTCTCCCTGCACTGCGTTGGATCACTCGCAACCGGGTACAGCGTACCGCCCATCGACTCACAGATGCGGCGGATCTTGGACAGGATCGTCGAGCCGTGTGCAAAGATCACAAACACATTCTTGAAGACGGGCTCGTCGCGCGCTGGGTCCTCGAATGCCTGCTGGATCTCGGCATAGTTCATATACAGGTTGCCACGCAGGGCTCGCCAAAGCACACGCTCCAAGGTCGCCATCTGGGTGCGTTCGATCGTACCAGCGACAAACTCCAAGTCCACAGGCGCTATTGCTCCCATGTTGCGCACGCCTGAGCCCTGGCTCGTTAACAGCGGCGCATGTGCCTCGTCCTCGCGCCCTTCCTCATCCATGCTCACACGCACATGGTCTGCATCGCTGGCCGCCGCTGGTGGCGACTCTGCGTGCTGGAAAAACACTTCGGTCTCGCGGATCACATTCTTCGCCTCTTCGAGCTCGAGCAGACGCTTCTGCAGCGCATCATGGCTATGGTTCATCTGCGTAACGCGCGTCTCGTGCTCTTGCAGGCGCCGTGCAAGCTCTTCGAGCCGCAGAGGCCCATTCATGCCATCGTCCGCTGTGAGGAATGGGATAGCACTTTCCAGTGCGCGCGCAGGAATGGCCTCGCGCTCGAGCTGTGCTTGCAAGAACTGGATCCGTCGATCCATCTCATCGAGGCGCCTAATGTCTGCCACGAATGTGCGCTGGAATGGCGTCACGTCAGGGTTGAGATCTCGGAACTGGACGTTGCCAAGTTCGCCCAGCTCCGTCACTGTAGCATGGACACTCTCCGACGGAATGTACAGCTGTATCAGTGACATGCTCGCCGAGCGAAACAGGCCTTCTTCTTCGCTCATGGCGTTGAAATATGCACCTCGTCGTCCACCCGCTTTGTGTGTTTCGTACCGGCTTGGACTGCGTTTGTCGACGTCTCCTACACGCCTCGCCCGCTGGACCTTCACTGCTTATTCATTCCCACACCTCGTCCCCATCGAGTGCCGGGCCCGTCGACCTCGGCCGAGAGACACGTGGGTCATGGATCCTCGTCACCCGCTGCCACCGACTTGCCATTGGCGCCCACATCCATACACACCTACACATGTGACGCATCCAGTGGCATGCGCTCAGCCAAGGCGATGTCCTCCACATCACACCACCGCAGACCATGCGCCTCGGAGCGGACGTGCTCCTGGCGGCCGTGCTTGTGTGTGCGGTGCACGCATGGTCATTGTTCCCACGGAAACGGTTCAAAGAAGAAGGATTTTTACGTGCAGGATCGCTTGGACTCGAGGATGTCCGTGGACAAGTGGCAGCTTGGGGTTACTTCCGTGACGACCGATTCCTCGATGCGTGGATTGTTGATGCATCGCGACAGTCGATGACTGTCCATGAATGGAACCATGCGAATTTCTCGTTCCATTCAACTCCCTCCGCTCATATTTCCGTGCCCAGTGACATGCGCATTGCCAATGCGATCCTCGCTGATTTTACGTACGATGGACGCACAGACGTCTTGGTCATGGCTTCGTCCACGAGCCGAGCGAGCCCGCCCCTCTCCATGTTCTTGTGGCCGATGCTCCCTGACGGTCAACTTGGCGAACCCATATCATTGCCTGCCTCGATGGATGCACAGCCCATGAGTGTCGATGCCGCAGGCTCACTGCGTGGCGACCTCCTAGGCCATGCACACTCTTCGCCCGATACCCTGTCTGTATGGCGCAATGTAGATGGACAAATGCGTCTCGAGACGCCCGTCATGAATGGTCATATTCCTCCGTGCCGCCTCGCGCACCCACACAGTTCGGCGAATGTCGACATGAATGGCGACTGCTTGGCAGACCTGTTCCTTGTGTGCCAGGGAGCACGGGCAGGACAGCTTACGTACCAGATCTGGACCGCGCGTGCAGACACTCCCATGGCATACGACCTCGCTCGCACAGGTGATCTTCCCCCAGGCGCAGGTGCTCTGTCTTTCGCAGACATGAACCGCGATGGCACTATGGATGTCGTGTTCCCGTCATGTGATCGTTCTCAATGCTACATCAATATTGCGTACAATGAACAAATGCCTCTGTGCTCGCAGGAGCGACGCGGTACCCTCTTCTCGTCAGGCAATCCAATGGCACCAGAGCGGTGCCGCGATGCACTGCGCCTGTGTGAGCCCGACGCGTCGTTCGTGCTGGACATGTCGACAGACGCGACGAATTCGCGTTTCGCCCGCCTGCCTGTGCAAGACCTGACAGGAGATACACGCATCCTGCTGACAGATGATGTCGGCACATACCCGCAGCCGGTGCCTGTGCGCATTGGTGACTTTAACATGGACGGATACCCTGACTTGGCGATCCTGACTGTGCCTCGTGGCGCATTGCATGGTCAGACACGCGTACATCTCTTGGAGAGCGTGCGGTGCAAGAAGCATGGCTCCGTCGGCTGCACGGCCTCAAAGCCTGAGCACCGCACGTTCCGGCGCGTGCCCAACACGGTGTTGGACCAGGAAGCGTATGTGCGCAGTGTGTCGTTCGTGGACCTGGACGAAGACGGCACGCTTGATTTCGTGTTGCAGTCACTCCCACCAGCAACGACACGCACATCTGATGCGCGTGTTCTGTCGTTTGTGCAAAACAATTACTTCCATGATGCCTTTTTTCTCAAGACACTCACACTCAATGCCGCTTGTGGCGCGCGGTGTGAGCGGGAACATGAACGGGCCTATTCTCCATGGGGCGGATCCCTCCTTGGTGCTTCGTACAAGTTTGCTGTTCTGGATCCCAACGGCGTGCGTCGTGCCCAGCAGGTGGCGCAGCAGCCACAGACCGGGTACAGTGCACTGACACCACCGTATGCCTTCTTTGGCCTTGGCCGGACGAACAATTATGTGGAGTCGCTCTTTGTTGGAAGCACGCTGCGTCAGGCAGATTCTTTTCTTGTACTAGAGGGAGTGATTCCCAACAGCGAGGTCATCGTCATTCCTACAGATGAATCGCCAGATGCATGGAGGCGCGAGTTGTTCCTGCATCCTGCAGACTGGATCCCGTTTGTAACAATGGCACTCGCTGGACTCATTGCCCTCCTCAGTCTAGTTGTGTTCATGCTGGATCTGAACGAGAAGCACGAAGACGAGCGCGAGAGACGGCGTGCTGTACATGCAATTAATTTTGACGCCTTGTAGCTGTCCGTTTCCTTATACAGCGATGCCGCTCGGGTCGGCTGGTCTGTTTCGTCGAGACGGGCTGGCATATTTCTCTCTCGATCTCTATCTATATCTTTCTCCACAATCATTATCATGACAACTGACCCGATCTTTGACGCCACACTTAGTCAGCAAATGATGGTTCTGTTAGTTAGACCCTCTTGTCACCTTGCCTGAGACCAGCTTGTGTAGCCACCATCTGCCTTCCACTCCCTCTGTCTTATCTTGAGTGACTCTAGGTGGCCGGCATGGCACCGGCAGCCGAAGAACCGGTTCAAGCTGCCAGTAACGGCCGCTGGAACTGGCTGCTCTTTGTGCTGTCATTGCCTCTGTGTATCGTGCTTCTCGAGCATGTCGTACTTCCCAGCATGACGCGCATCGTTCTGCAAGGTCGTCTCTCTGTTCGTTCCATTAGTCTGTGGCAAGGTATTTCTGACCTTACATGGCATGTGAGAACCAAGGCACCTTATGATGTAGTCGTGCGTATTTCGCGCATATATTTCTCCATCCATTGGCCAGGCATCTCGATCCGCTCCATCGATACCAAACACCATCGAGTCCAGTTTATAACGTTGCATATTGATGGCACGTCGTGTGAAGTGTCACGAGCACAGCCTAGCCTGCGTGAGGAGCCACAGGTCAATTTGTGCCCAGCATCGAGGAAACAGATGGACTTATCCGCCTCCCGCTCTGCTGTATCACCCGAATTATCGCCATCGCCATCACCGTCACTGACCCCTCCCACGTCTGTTACAGCCTCCCAATTGTCCCCGTCTGAACGGAATGCCTTACCGTCGGACTCACAGACTCATGCATCATTGCCTCGGTTATGCAACTCGCCGTCACCCGTGTCCTCATCTTTACCTACACGAGAGTCTTCTACACGGCTGCCTGATGTCGAGCCAAGCTCGAAACGCCGGGTATGCAAGACTCCAACTTCCATTCAACATACGACCGGTCTATTTTCGCAGGGTATACGGCGTCTAGTAAAAAGAGCTTGCATCCTCTTGCAGAGTCTTGTGGCATTTATGGCTAATTTTGTCGCTATCGATATATCCAACAGCTCGCTGCACGCTGAGGGCACAGACATACGGGCTGAGCTGGACCGCTTGGTCGTTCATGCGTTTGTTTTTTTTATGGATTTAAAGCAGCCTCCAACGCCAGACTTGACCTCCGCGCATGATGGCTTCGATGACCGACCCATCAGCACGAGGAAAGCCACACCTGTGAAGGTCTTGGGTCTGCACATTCGCGTTCCGGAAATTCGTTCGCGTGCCTACGTTGATTTCCTAGGAGCGCGCATCATGCGACAATACCAAACCGTGTTGGACATGCCTGAATCGGCGGCCCTAACAATTCAGGCCCGGCTGCGTGAGTCAGTGGTTTGCGAGTCTGTCTCGATGCGTTCTCATATCGAGAGCATCTGGGCTGATGTGCAGCCACTTCACTCGGCTCTGCATGATCTTCACGCTTGGGCTCATGCCGTTGTAGCAAAAGCGCCAACATCTGCCGGCGAAACCGCATCGCCCCGTCCATCAGCGCCAGCTGCGTCTGGACGGCACGGTCTTCAGCGGCGAGCGCCCTCGTTCCTTGCGTATTTTGCTGGAGCCTCCATCTCACTAGCGCATGCGCATTTCAGGCTCTCACTGCCCGGCACGCCGCATGCTGAGGCGAACACGACGCTCGTTGGGCTGCATGCATCGCTAGAAAACAGCAATCCATCTGACGAGGCACACCAAGCGTGGTTTGGTGCGTGCGGTGTCAGACGCCGTGCACTTGATCGCGAGCGCATTCGTCTCTGTGAAGCGCGGCGCATCTTCTTTCTAAACGCGTCGTTGGCCAGCATCAAGACATTCTTGCATGCGGGCCCGACGAAACGGCCGAATGCTAACACCATGCTTGCCAGTGTGTCGCAGCTAAAATGCTGGGTCCGTACCTCTGTCACGCCGTTTGGCATTCTGCCGTCTCTCACGCATACGAACCGGCATCCGCTCTTTTTTGCGTCTGATCCAAATGAGGCTGCAGTCGCCATTCGACTCAGCGTTGGGCAGATTCGTAGTGCACCAGACGTGGCAGGTCTCACACGCCTGGCAGGCGCGCTGCGTGCGCTCCCCAGCCAAAGGGCCCCGCCTCCGCACGACACAGAGTCCACTGTGCAGCCGCCGTCACAGAGGCCTGTGTCGCTCCCACGAATTGCTCTACTAGTGCAGGTGGAGACGGTCGACTTGATTGTGCACCGCGGTGCTTCACGGCATGCTTGGGATGAGGATGGTGGGGCACTCGTCATGTCGATCCCCAAGGTGCACATCACAATGCAGGCATCGTACAGTGAGCGTGTATCGGCGCTGCGTGATGTGTGGCGCGGCGTCACTACGCAGAACCTGAATTTCGAGACGTGCCCGATGCAGTACACCCTCGACTCTATGGCGGGCTTCGCGGCGCTCAGCACCTATCTGACCGGCTCCAAGCACGACTCCATCGCTCACTGTGATATCTTGCACATCAAGGCGCCTGAGCTCTCGTATGCCATGCGCGTGCCGACGTCCGTTGATGCGCTGTCTTGGACGCCTCATGTTCGTTTCAGGGAGGATAAGCACACGCGTATCACTCTTGATCCAGCAGATGGACGTGCACTTGTGGGAAGAGCCCGTCTTGTCAGCGCTCACGTCTGTGGTGTCGGCGGTATCGTCGCATGTGCCTGTGTCCAAGTCCATCCGTTCTCTGCCTAAGCAGCCGCCAGCGTCAAAGCCTTTTTTTCAGCAGCTTCCGTCGCACCGCTTTATGCATGTTGGGATCGGGCGCATCGCTGTGTACATTGGCTCGTCTGACATGAACTTTGAGCCAGAGGTTCGTCGCGGCGTGGGACTGGTGCTTGGCCCAACGGTTCTGGACTATGCGCGCTTGGAGTCAGCTCGGTCTCTGGAGCCTGAGGAGCGCATTTCCCGAAATGCGCGGCAAGCGCTGCGGCTGCCCGAACACATTGGCATTTGCGCTCATACTGTGGCGCTTCAAGAAGGCACGGGTGCAGCTTGCAAGCTCGTGCAGCACGGGCTTCGTGTGTTTCCCATCGTTCATATGGCCGCGATGCGCGATCCTCCCGTCGAGCCCAGTGAGAAGCAGGATGCGCAGGCCATTTATGTGCAGGACCAATGGGACTTTGAGTCATTGAACGACTTTTTCTGTGCGGCGCGCCAAGAACCGCGGATGCACCAGCTGCAACACGGCACAGAGATTTTGCATATCCCTGAGCTCTTCGCGGATGCTCAGTTTCGCCCCATCGTGCCGAACATGCGGCTGGATGTGCGCCTTCCTCACCGCGTGGATTTACGGATCGTGTTAACCAATTCGTACTGTGTTCTAATGGCTGCCGAGACAGTAAAGCGTTTTGTCGATGCCGTTCGGCCCGCGGCCGATGGCGGTGCTGATGACGCAGTCGCTCGTCCTACCATGTCGCCCGATACACACACAGCATCGCCCCGGGCAGAGCCAACGACTTCGTCCCTCCACATCTACGTTAGCATTCCACGCATCGGTGTTCATGTGGCTCTGCCGCACGAGCGTCGCCTCTTCCTGCTGATCGAAAATGCGTCAGTCCGCGTGCGCGCGGGTATACGTGTGTCCTTCGACTCACTGCGTGCGCGCGTGCCGCCAGAGCTCGAAGACTCGCACTTATGGGACGAAGGCGTTATTGCTCGTCGCATGTTTTTCTCGTACGGCGAAACTCCTTCCTCGCCCAAGACCATCTGGGTCACGGGCGAGTGCCTGCATGTGCGCATCCCCTACGGCTACCATACACACAAGCTTGTTGAGGCATCGATCGTCGCATTCAAAGCAACGAAGCAGCTGTTTTTTCAATTCGTTCGTGGGTACACAACGAGCGCGATCTATCCTCACAATGAGGCCCCCAAACACCTGCCGCGTGTCTCGCTGCGTCTCGGCATGTTCGTTTTGGAAGCGGCTGATCATTCGTTCGATGCCGCCCTCAGTCTCATCTTCCGTGCTGGTCTGGATGAACAAATGATGCGCATGGAGCGCGAGCGAGTATTTGAACAACGGGCGAGTGACGTGTCGCCGGCTCAAGCCGCTGAAATGCGCGAGCGCTTGCACGCACTGCAGTCGTCGAATTGGATTCGTCGCTGGCACAATGCTCGCCATGTGCGTTCCCAGCGCGAGCGCGCGCTGTACGCCTACATTCACAAGCGTTTGTACAACCCACATGAAGTGCACGAAGGCGACAGTGATAGGCAAGTACGTACATGGCCTGCTGAGCCGCCGCTCTGCCGCCTGTCCATGACCATGTTCAGCTTCGAACTGTCGCAGCCGACAAGCTTCGCCCTGGACGACACACATACGTGGCTGCATCAACAAGCAGGCAATCCCGTGGACCTCGAGTATACAACGCTGATTCCTATGCATGCTCGCATCTGCATGTCGGAGTGTATGATTCGCATGCGTGACTACCCTCTGCCTCTCTTACACATCCCGCCGCGCGATGACATGGACATCTGCTTCGATGCAGAGGGCGACGTCGTCATTGCCGAGCAGCTGGGAGACGAGTTCTCCGTGCGCCACGTTAAGACCACGATCGTGCCTGCCGTTGATAGTCGGCATGGTGCAGAACATGGCCTTCTCGTTCCCAAGAGCGCCATGTCGCCCAAGTTTTATGGCCCCGTTACGATCCATGTGTCGTCACAGCAGCCGACTATATTTACGTGGGGCCAGTCACTCCAGCCCGCGTTCCACGACTTTACGCGCGTCATCGATGCGATTATAAGTCCTCCGCATGATCCATCCCGGAAGCCCGGTCCATGGGACAAGCTGCCCTTCCAGCTCCAGGGCCAAGTCCAGATTTTCTTCGAGAATGATGTACACCTCCATTTAAAGGGTTCTCGCAGTCCGTACCAACTGACAGGCGCCGGCAGTGGCTGGGTCATGGTGTGGCGCCGGCATATTGAGTTGCGTCTTGGATACGAGAACCCAGACATGGAATTCTTGCAGGTGCGTAGTGGCGAGCACTTGTTGGCTGTGCCTGATTTGCGTCCTCTGCTAGATCCAGCGGCCTTGGGTCTTTCTAGTGAGCAGTGTGACGCCTGCCCAGCTGCTCATTCGGTTTTGGTGCGTAAGGACTCGATGCCATCGTTGCGTCTCGACAAGATCAGCTGGCAGCTCTGCGGTGGCGTGCGCTGGGGCATGGGTCTCGTGTCGGAGCGAACATGCACGAACGACACATGCGAGCGTGTACCGCGTTGTGAAGGCCCACCATTCTATCGCCAATGCCGCTTCTTCGGGCGCATTCCACATTGGCAGGTGCGGTTGCGCTCATTCGAAGGCTACGAGCGTCTGCCGCCGGAGCAGAAGCGCGATTCGTATCTGGGTTGGCGTTCTGACTTTATGCATATGTCATTTTCCCTCCAGGCCATCGGCAGCGATCGCGAGCACCAAAATGCAGCGGACAAGTCGGCCTCACGCAACTGCTTGTATTTGACGCTCCGCACGTGGAACCATTTCCGCGACTGGCTCCACCTGTTCAATGGTCGTTTGAATTTGCCGGTTCGGCAAGGTAAAGTGTTTCCCAAACCACCTGGCGTCAAATCGCCCAAGTTTGGCCTGTTCCTCGCCACTATCAAATACCGCTTCCTGGTGACTGGCCTGCATCTCTCTCATACGTACCAGCAGCATTCTCAATACGACCTGAGGCATGGACTTCGGACATTCGTGGGCGTCAAGGCAAAGCTTGGCACATTCTACCTCGATCTGCATCAACGTATGCAGGAGTCAATCCATCGCCCGCCCGTGCCGAACGCTAATACGCGACGCTCGGTACGCAAGCCGCTGTATGAAGCCGAAGTCGATGTGAGCAAACTCGACATATTCTCGCTGTGTGCGCGGTTCTGTGAAAATCATGGCTACACGAATTTGCCCAATACATCCATCGAGTCCCAACACGACCTGCTGCGGGATGTGTTTTTGGGCATGGATGAAGAAGATACTGCTGATCAACGTATGTATGATGGGCTTGACTTTTCCGAAATGGGCATGTTCCCTTGTAGCGACAAGGAGCCCTTGGTCCACATCCGCAAGATTATGACGCTTGCTCGATTCAATTTCCATCGCCTCATTGAGCCCTCTCACCACATGGCCCGGCGCCCCAGCACCATGCGTCCGCCTAATCCGTTTGAATCTCAGTTGCTTGGCTCGCCTGCACCGTCAACAGACCCCGCGCCGCATGCCAGCGACGCGTCTGCGAGGTCGACAGCTATTGCACATCAGCGCATGAGTGTGGATGAGGGTCTGACACGTCCGCAAATGTCACCTGATCGATCGACTCGTTCGTTGTCGTTCTCCTTGCCGCCACTTTCGACGTACTCGAAATTTGGCCACGAGCACACGCACACATGCTTGATCCGGCGCTCGAGCTCAGTGATGGATGAGCAATTGGCACTCGAGCGCCAGCGTCTTGACCACCTCACCAGTGATATCATTATGCTCAAGTCGATGCTGGATTTGACAAAGTTCCACATTGCCGGTCAGCGCGCATCGCATCTTGAGCAGCTTGCTTGTTTACAAGAGGCTCATGAACGTGTCAAGAGCAATATCGCCATGCTTGAGCAACCAGCCAACGCACAAGACCCATCTGATGATGGTCGGGCTGACTCGTCATCACAAGCACGTACTTTCCATCAACTCCTCGATCAAGAAGAGCCGGATAGCAAATACCATGCATTCCATGAAGAGTGGGACTCATTCAACAACCAGGTGTTCGTGTTCAATCCTGTGGCCGTGCTGATTAGCAAGACACGCGATGTCCTTTTGCAGTACTACAACAACACTCAATTGCATCGCAGCTTCCTACAGCGTCTCAGTATCGTTGAGCAGCGTCAAATCCACGCACTTCTTGAGCGTGCACGTATGTACATCGACCAGCAAGCGCCGTCTGGTGACATGGAAGATGCATCAATGCTGCTGGACGATGTGATTGTGGACACAACACGTCTTGCTTGTGCCAACCTGCCAGACACTTTCCTGAATGACTTTGGCGCCGACAGCAGCAGCGAGTATCGGCCTAACGATGGCATTTCAGACGAGTTTCTCTTGCGGAAGAAGACGATTTGCCTGTGTGTGCAGCCTGAGGTGATCGTCCACAGCCGCATTGGCGAGAAATCGACACTTATTTTCCATGCGGATCAGATGCGCTTACGCAACTATGCGCTCAGTGACAGCATGTACGACGAACGCTCGATCAACCACAACGTGTTGCATCGCAACTTTATTTCGATGCGCTCATTGCAAGTTTTCCACACGGACCGAGCTATTCACTTCAATCCCGAGTCGTACAATACACTCGAGTCGCTTCAGCTTCCGGTTGAAGCACTCAACGGACAACGAGTGCCTGGTTACCAGCGCCTCGTGCGTGGCACACACGCCTTTGTCATATACGATAAGCACAACCGCCTACGACTGCATGACCGCACGCGCTCGGTTGTTGCGGCGGATCGCTTGGATGATCCCTCTGTTAATTATTTGCAGCATAACATGGACCTGATCCAGCTTATGTGCCCTCGTTTCACGCTCACGGCAACAAGTGAACAGTATGCGGCTATATACAACGTATACACAGATCTACTGATGCACACAGATCCCTTGCACGAGGAGCTGGAGCGGCATCGAGACTCGCTCGCATACAGCTACTCGTTTGATGATCCAGACTACTTCGTGCGCGTAATTGCCTCTTATCAGCGGCAGATTCATGATCTAATCAACCTCAAGCAAGCCTTCGAATCTGACTATGCGCTCCTCAATTCCGAAGGGCATGCGGAATACGTCCGCATCTGTATTCGGGTGATGGATCTGTATGTGGATCTATGCATGTTAGAGGAAGCTATTTTCATGTCACATGCCTCAGCACGCGATCGGACGAAGCATTTAGCCTTGCTCCTTCGCGCATGTGCGAACTCCATGGAATGGAACATGATCAGCCGCGATGCTGCGCCGAAAGACACCAACGGCATGCTTGTTCGTCTCTCTCTGCAAGGCAACTCATTTTCATGCATGTCCCTCGTCAGCGGGACGTCGATCAACTGTGTCACGACGAAGAATCTGCAGGCGCGCAACGCACATCCCAGTGCATACTTTGAAGACATCATCAGCAAATACTATCCGCCAGCTGGACACCCAATGATTGATCAAGATCGTTTCCTTCTTGCACATTGGCTCTTACTCGCTCCGTCAGGAGGCATCAAAATTGTCGATCGGAGCGAGTTGCATATACACCCAGTTCGAGTTCAGCTTGAGCTGCGTTTGGGCCGCCAGGTCATGGACTATTTATTCGGCTCTCGACGCACACAGGCAAAAGAAGAAGAAGAGGCCGTCCATAAACGAACCTGGCTCAAGCAGATTTTGTCCATGTCCCGCAAGGCACGAAATACTTTGCGCTCCACGAGTCCCACGTCTGAATCTGACTCGGATACCCTTGACTCAGAGTCTGACAACGATAGTGATGAGCCAGGCGACAGTGGCAGTGTTATAACTCCGATATCACCTTCCACCATGGATGATACCGGATCTTTCACGTTTGCGCGACAGAGTCGTTGGGATCCTGATACTGACAAATTCGTGGCGACAAATGCAATACGCTCGGAGATGTTGCGCCGTGCAGAAAAGAACCTGTCGTTTGTGCATGTGATGATCGCTGCAGTGGCTGTTTGCCTTTCGTACAAAGGTGATGGTGAGCACTCGTTGACGAATTTGTACGACTTGGACTTTCAGCTCCCGCGCCTTGAGTATAAGAACGCGATTGGCTCTTACAGGGATCTCATTGATTTGCTCCGCAAAGACATGATTCGCATCGCCTGGGATCACCGTCACACGCTTCTGAAAGGTGTCATATCTACGAACTCTCGCAAGCATGCACTCCTAAAACGGTTACGTGCGAATCGTATCTCCAAGTACGGCGATGCAGCAAGTGTTGACTTGCAGAATGAACGTTTAGGCGATGAGGAACTTGCGGCAGCTGTCGTTGCCAGCATGACAGTTGCTCCTGGTGACTTGGATGAAGTTGTGGATCCAATGGATGTGTTGAACTCACCGTCCTTACCAGAGTCCTACCCCTCACATGCTCCTCATTCTGCAGACCCGGAATCAGCAACGGACACGCATCTAGACGCGAATACACCGGACACAAGCTCACCGTCTGCGCCCGGTCGCACGTCCAAGTGGCGACATGCATTCTCGTCACGACTTCATCATGTAGCCGATGATGCGGCCTCCTTTGTCTCACACCACATCAACGAAGAACAAGATCATTTTAAACGACTCAAGCGGTTCCTATATCGTAAAAAAGATACATAATATACATATAGTCATGTTGCTCTACGTCACCGTGTTAGATCATCATAAGAAACCCGATTTACGCCTAGAATCCCGACTGACGTCGTAGTCACTAGAGGCATCCATGTCCGCCGACTCATCGTCGTCCTCGGACGTGGATGATGAGATCACAACATCCTCATCAGACGAATGGTCATCATCTTCGTCATCGTCTTCATGGTCTTCGCTGTGATCTTCAGATTCGTCCTCTGGATGAATACCGGAAGCAAGCCAGGGCTCCGTCCGTAAGGATGTCCGACGCATTCCTATGTCACGATGACCAGCTGGCAGAGGTGGCACGAAGCGGTCGTTGTTCGCAGGGGCTGGAAGCGCCTCTTCCCATTGCTGTGGCCGATTATCAGTCTGTGGTTGCTGGCGTGATTCGACGTCATCGGTAGCGTCTGTTTCGACGTGGACGTTCGCAGACCCATGAGCAAAGGTCGTTCGTCCATCTTGAATGACATCTGTCATTGGTGCGGGTGGCAAGTGGCGAGCTTGGGCAAAGAAGATCCGCACTTCTCGGTACGACACGTTCCGAATGTTGTATGTATTGCCCTTTGGCACAAGGAACATTCCTCCAGGAGCAATGACGAAACGCGTGCGATGCACCATAACTTGGACAGCCCCTTCCAATACCACAAACGTCTATTGTAAGAAATCTGTTAGTGTCGCATAATCATTTTCGCACACGTACATAATTGTTATCCTTGCTCGGCTTGGTAGGTTTTTCTCCCCCCACGAGGTATCACCAACACACCTGCAGCCATAAAATCGCTGATGCCGAAAATCTTTTCGTACGAGAACTGTTGATTAAAGGCAGGTCGTGGCCGAATCCCGGCTGCTGTGCATGCAATCCGCATCGTTACCTCGGCATTCAAATCAGCATCAACGACTCGTCCATACGGATCTGTATTATCATCCCATCCGTCTTCTGGATTCCGAACGATCAAACGCGTGTCTTCATCGTCCACGCCTGTCTCATTTTCGCTCTCATCCACAGGTGTAAGCCGCGGTACAAAGTTCTTCGATCCCACTGGCCGTCCAGGGTGAGCATACCCTGCAGGTTTGGCACGAAAGCGGCGCATGCCTGAGAACGTGCCTTCACCGGGTGCTCGCGGCACACGGATCACCTTTTTTAGCACAGGTGCAACCAGACCTTCTGGCCCCTCCTCCTGCTCCGCCGGCTCGTCAGGCTTTCCATACAACGCACGCTCGCCACGCCACCAATCCAGTGGTGCAATCCGATGGCGCTTTCCGCGCCGTAAGCCATCAGGATTCTCAAGCTGCCAAGACGGTGGGTCGTAGATCCGTTCAACGATTTTCTGCGCTGGTTTCTGCCGACCAGGTGGTCGCCCCGGTCTTCCTCGCGGTGGCGGCATGGACTCGTCTTTCCGTGGACGTCCACGGCCACGCTTCTTGGGCAGTATGGGCTGCACAGGCACATTGTCATTTCGATCAACACCACGTTCTACGACATCATCGATGATGCCACCGTTTGGAATATTGTCAACGGGCTCTAGCGTGTTGAGTGGTGCGTCAAGGTTCGAACTGAGTTGCGCATCTAGATCCGTTCCAACAGTGCCGTAACCTAAATCGAAATAGTTTTGGGCAAATTCCTGACCCGCATCCTGTTTGGTTCCAAAGTCGTCCGGCACATCGTGCATAGCATCAAGCTCGGGTATTGAGGCCGACACCTGCGAAGCAACGTCCCAAGACGAAGGATGCGCAGCATCAGCGTGATGTGATGATGCTGGTGACAGAGGCACGGATGACGACGACGATGGAAGCAGATGCGATGGCCGTCGACGCTGGGATTGTCCAGACAGGATAGATGCGTCTGGGCGTAGGAATGAGGGCATATCCGTGTCAGGAATGCGTGACATATCTGCAGCCGTGCTTGATCCACGAGACATGCTATAGCGTGCTGGCAGAGAACTGACTAGAGGCGTGCTTGCACTTGGTAGGGTCACATCATTGTGCCATGTAACAGGCTGTATGTGTGGTGATTCTTGTGTTCGTGTGAGAGCTTGTGACGCGAGAGGGGCCGGTGGCTGCGAGGTGCGCTGTAAATGAAGCTCGCGTTCAAAGCTACTCTGATGCGACCATGCGCTACCATGAGTGCTTGCTGGTGTACTAGACGAAGATGTGAACGTACTTGCATCACCAGCGAATGCACTCAGTCGAAACGTGCGATCGGAGCGTGAAATGTCAACTGTAGACTCCCACATGGTCTCTTCTGCACGCGGAGCCATAGAACTTCTAGGTTGAATACGTTGTGTATACTCCTGCGAGGGCGTAAGAGCGTGGGAGTTATTTGTATCGCCTTGTATGGTGAGCATAGATACGGGCGAGGCTCGAGGCACGCTACTCAGGCTGCGCGCAGCCCACTCCGACACACGAGAAATGCGCCGATCCCATCCATTGTCATCCGGTTCAGGTATCTGATCTATTTGGTCCGCTGTGCTGGGTGCAGACTCGCTCGCCGCTTCATCATCGGACGCTTCCATCCATTCCAACACACGCTTCGATTCAGCAAAGAACGCGTCCAAGTCTTCATTCCCACGATCATCGCGCCGAATGTTTCCTATTCGGAGACCCGTTCGTGATCCAAGGCCTTCCTCATGGAATCTACGCGCCGGCGCGACGCTCATGCTCCTAGATCCTTGTCGTCGTCAATCGACGGCCACTTTGCCAGAGCAGCCACACTAGCTCTCGGCAGTCTATCAACGACCGACTCACGGTCTCGCGTTGCGCGCGTGTTAGAAATGAATATCACGTGACCCATCTCCGCATCTCACACGCTGTCTCTACTCCACAACGTCTCAGAAGCCAACGCGTGTGAACGATTGTTGGCCAACGTGTTCTCGCGTATTGGTTTACTTGTTCGTCGGCGCTCGATTGTTGTATAGTTCGCCACACTGTTTGCCCAAGGAGTCATATCTGGATTGGGTCATGTCTTTCAAAACTTGTGCTAGTGCGCTTCGACATGGCGTGGGTGCAGCATTGTCTGCACCAAGGCCAGGCGACAAGGGTGCGTATATTAGCCTGCATGTCGGCAAGTTATGCCAACTTATTCGTAGTGGTTGTGGCTATGTCAGGTGGCGTGGATTCATCTGTCGTAGCAGCTCTATTGGCTCGTCAGGTACGTCAGCGCCGCTCCGATTTCTTCGTATAAATTCTAATGCACATAACCGTTTCGTCTTGCTAACGTCAATAGGACTATGATGTTCGTGCCGTCTACATGCGTAATTGGTCTACTGCCGATGAGCATGGAATAATGCATGGTGGAAGTGGTGGCGCCATGGGATGTGATTGGCAAAGGGAGTGGCATGATGTACAGGCTGTCTGTCGACATTTGGGTGGCATGCAGGTTGAGATGATCGACCTATCTCGCGACTACTGGGTGCATGTTTTTGAGCCAGCTCTGGGCCAATGGTCAGATGGAACAACGCCCAATCCTGATGTTGAATGCAATAAGTTTATTAAGTTTGGTGCCCTTATGGACCGTGTCGTCCCAAAGTCACTTATACCTGCGACATGGCTTGCTACAGGTCACTATGCACGAATTGCTCCTCGCATTGAGCACACACACATATATCCAGTCGTGCGAAGAGCTGCAGATCCCACGAAGGATCAATCATTTTTTTTGTCATCGGTCTCGTCATCGCGCCTCGACCGGAGCCTGTTCCCCTTGGGCGATATGCACAAAAGCGACGTGCGGAGCTTGGCTCGCTCACTTGCACTTCCAACTTGCGAGAAAAGCGAGAGTATGGGTTTATGCTTTGTTGGTGAGCGTGGAAGTGGCGCGCATGCGTTTGCTCGCTTCCTCGACCAGTATGTGGCAAACGAAGCTGGTGCATTTGTCACGCCTGAGGGCCAATATCTCGGCATGCATCGTGGCCTACATACACTGACAATCGGTCAGCGTGCACGAATTTCTGGGAAGCCACAACGCTATTATGTGGCGCGCAAAGACCCAGTAACTCGTCAAATTATTGTAGTACCGAGCAAGTCGCATCCCATGCTTCAATGCACCTCACTGCAGTCAACGGTATTTTCCTGGGTCACAGGCGTGCCTGTTTTAGATACTCAGCTGCTCGCCCAAGTTCGTTACCGTCAGAATGCCGTACCGTGTTTTGTCCGTGCGCATGGATTGGATGGTGTACATGTGGAATTCACGACTAGTGTGGAAGCCGTATCTCCAGGTCAAACAGTGGTTTTGTATGATGGAGAACTGTGCTTGGGCAGTGGAACAATTGATCATGTACAGACTATGGCATAATGCGAAGAGCACGCAAAGTACGAGTGAATAGGGATGTATAATGTGTGTCCCAAAAGGCCAGATGCGACTCTATAGTGGAATGCTTGGCTCGTTTGGCAGGTGGCTCTTTGTTGTCATCGTGTTCAATGGTTCTACCACGGACGTCTTTGCCTTCAAACTTGTTTCCGTGATCGCCATCGCCATCGCCATCACCATCAACATCAACATCATCACCATCGGGATCCAGCTGTGATTAGCGTGACCAGCGTACCTTTGTTTCAAACAAACGCCTATAATGGTTATCCGACTCTCGCACCGAAACATCTGTAACCGAGTCTGCTTTCGGGTTATCTTGCTGATCCTTTGCTGTATCACCTGATCGAGAACATGTCGGGTCTATTTCCGATGTCTGTAAACAGGCATCCTCATCAAATGGTGCTTTTTGCGAGCCGTTCGTATTCTTGTGTCCTAAATCTGTAAGATATTCCTCATTCGACATATCACCATGATCATCGTCTTCAGCGGTCCGTGCAGTCCCATAAGCCTGATCTAAAGCCTTTTCTGTTGACTTATTCAGGCCCATTTCTTTTTGCTCCATGTCATTCAGAAATAACTCTTCTTGTCTGGTATCAATCTGCTCTACTCTTGGCTGTTCATTCTCGATTTCGGGCCACGCATCATCAATGGTTGGTGGCCGAGGGACTCCCAGCTGATCACGCATCCAGCCAAACAGCTGCTCTTTCGCATGCAAAATTTCGTCGCGTAGGCGAACACAATCTGTCTGACAGAGCGCGGGTATCTGTGGCTGGCTTTGGAGTGCCAGTTCACCCGTCCTAGATGTAACCAATGTCGTTGATGTACCCAACACAGCAGCAACACGATGTGCATGCTCAGGTGTAGGGAAAGAAGCTCCTGCAACGGTTCGTGCATCTTGCAATTGTATAAAAGCCCGATTCAAGCGCGCTGCCCACAAAAGGTCCAAAAGTTCCATCCAGTATAGCACGTACATGAGCTGCGTGTCGTGATCTAGTTCCGGATCCGTTCGACAAGTGTAGCCACAAATACCATCAGTCATTTCACTTGTTAAACGCAACAGATATGTATCATGCAGCGCTGCTGTTGAAGGAATATCAATGGGTGTAGATGTGACAACCTCCAAACATGGGTGCCATAGATCTAGAAATGTACGTAACGTGTGTGTGGGGGCATGTGGCTCGTGTCTGCCAAAATCGTCAGGGTTGTGAAACGTTTTGAGGACTTACCGTTTCTGGTAGGCACGCGCTATATGAAGCAGCTTCTCGTCTAGATACATAACAAGCCGCGACTGTTGTCGCGCTGATAATGGAGGCATGGCTCTCCTGCAATGATGAGCTCAGACGCTGACGTCCGAGGTCCGAGCGACCGACGTTGCGCACGTGTGGAGGGGAGTCCGGCGACGTGGGGGCTAGGAGACTTCGTCCGTTCGGGCAACAGGAACACGTCGGCCGAGATATTTTCAATCGAGACTTGAGCTTGAGAAATCAAGGGTGCAGAGAATATATGGCGCCACAGTCGATCCCTATCGAAGGACTAATCGATGGAGCACATATGAAGAAACGGCCCGCATCCGACACAAGATGATGCAATTACAGCCTATCGATAAAAGTAGACTCCAACCAAACAGACATCTAGAGTGACTAGATCGCCTACAGATACATAGAGTGTGATTGTGAGATCACCACCTCGATCGCAGAAAAAAAGATGGATAGATCATACAATGGTGAATGAGATAGGGGATCAAAGGTGTAGCTCACTAGTTTGGTGGGATAAGATCCATATTGTAAATCGCCTTGCGCTCTATGCAGGCACTCAGAGAATTGCACATTTCGTCTGAAAAAAGGGTGTGTAAGTCTAGGTCATTCGAGAATCTGAATAGACGTACCTTTTTTTTGACGACAGGCGGTTCTAGTGCAGCAACGATGGCCTCATCAAACACATTTTTCAGTCCCTTTTGTGTCAAAGCCGAACATTCCACATATTTAATGGCTCCTAGCTCGCGCGTTACTCGCTCGCCCATTTCTGTGGTAATTGGCCGCTGTTTCTGACGCGCTAAGCGCTCAATAACCGCTGGATCATCTCGCAAATCAACTTGTGTACCAACAATCAAACAAGGCACACCAGGACAGTGATGACGCACTTCAGGGAGCCACTTTTCTCGCACGTTCTCGTATGAGGCAGGCGAAGTCACAGAAAAGCAGACCAAAAAGACATCCGTCTGTGGATACGATAGCGGGCGCAAGCGATCGTAGTCTTCTTGCCCAGCCGTATCAAAAAGGCCAAGGGTGTATGGGTCTTCGCCAATCATGACAGTTACAGCATAATTGTCAAACACTGTAGGAACATATTCTGATGGAAACTTGTTTGTGGTGTAAGAGATCAGCAAGCAAGTCTTGCCCACAGCACCATCACCAACAACCACACACTTGATCGTCTGCATGTTGACCCCCAAGTATCCACTAGCGCACTTGGATCAACCCAATACGTGAGGGAGCGGTCCGTTTGCTTAATACAAAACACGCACGACGTCCGAGGCGGAAAGAAAAACCAGCGTGGTCGCCTGACCGCGTTGGGGCAGAGTGGAACTGCCTCAAATGGAGGTGTGTATGTTCTATTTGGCCCGTGTGTGCCACGTGCTTTATGTACTTACAGTCGTAGTGGCGATGCTGTTTCGCCACGTCCACGGCCTCTGTTTGGCGAGGCGGTTGCCACACCCGATAGCGCGGTGTTTGTGCGGAAAGGGTTTGTTGTTACTGGCGTACCTGAAGATGCCTTCTGCGTTCTTTGTAGTTCTGAATTCCCCAACACTAGGCCGTCGAGATCCCGCAGTGCTGGGGACAAGTGCGTCGACGTACGCGTAGGTGTTGCGGTTCTTGAAGTGGGGCGCGAAAACCCTTGCTGAAGTGCTCGCTCAGCCCAGGGAGATGGGCGTGGGGTATCTAGTAAAGCACGCCCAGGTGTGGAAGTAGTCATGCTATTGCCAGATAGCGGCGTTCGTGTCAATAATGGAGAAGACATGGGATGTGAAAGATGGGGATGCGTCGGTGTTTGAGTGCATTCTGCATTTAGATCTGACGATGTGTGTGCCGGAGCCACGGATTTCACAGTTGATGCAGCCATAGACAGAGCTGGAGATGCCGGAGATGACATGCTTGTGGAAGAAACAGCAGAGTCACCTGCTGATGAAGATGCTGGTTGATATCTGGTCTCATCAACAGAGGACGCAGTCGAGGGATCTCGTCCTGATGTTGGCATTGCATTAGTCTGCTGCGGTACAAATGGGTGCTGAAGCTCTCGATCTCGCGATAAGTGGCTGAAACTATCGACATCCAAAGATGCACGATAGCGAGTGCCTCTCCCATTTGGACGATCCGCCGACGATGATGAGCTGAATTCATGACACGTAGACGATGGGATCGATCCCACGTCAATAGATGCGCGGCTAGGCTGCGTCGGCGTGGAAGGACGAGAATTAGAACCGAACCGGAAGAACGGAGCTCCCTCCATGAGACGCCGGGGTAAAAGAGATAAGCGACGCGACTTGGGCTCGGTGCTGGACCGATCATATTCCTGCCTCATTCGCCGCCGGTCACTGGAGCGAGAGTCAAGACTTGCGCGGCGCTGCGACTGTTCATGCTCCAAGCGACTGATGCGCATTGTTTCCTGGAGCATGATGTGCTCTAGCTGTTCAGGCGGTAGTGTAGCAAGAGTACGGGCAAACTGGTCGCCAATTTGTGGACGATGTGGATCACGATCTCGCAGATTACGTAGAATGTGAGAAGGAAAATAGTCCAACATTATATTACGAAGCGAGTTTCCATGCAAAATGATGCTTCCACCAGGGCCATGTCGTCCCACGCTCGTATGTTGCGAAATAAACGATGAGAGTGCATCGCCCGTGCGAGAAGACGAGACACCAATAGGCACAAGATTGTCCCCTTCTTGCCGCATAATAACACGGCGATTCGCCTGGCGCGCAGCTGTCTCGAGCGCTTTGTTGAGTTTTTCCTCCCAGTTCGGGTGAATATCATCCACAAGAACGACTTTAGGATCGTGCGGCTGGTATGAGACACGGCCTGTTGCATGCGCGCCGCCCGTTCCAATAGCTGTTGCTGCCTGTTCCATCACTTCCTCTGTATCCACTTTGGGAAGATCTGATGTGCGTGTGTAAATGACGCCAAAATCTGGCTCAACACAGAAAGGGCATGCAGCTGGGCGTGAGGACGGAGGTACCGTTGTGCTTGGATCAATACGTTGAATTTGTACAAAGCATTCTGTGCATATGGGTTGTAAGCAGCAACGGGTACGGTTCAGGTGTGAGGGGAAGTACTGAAAAAAATGAAGGCATGCGTGTAAGAATTTCAATAATAATGCAGTGGGGAAGGAGTTGGTGATAGGGCAGAGATGTGCCCGAGCAAATGAAAACATGCTCCATCACGGCCATGAGCACGAACACACAAACGCCTTCCACAGGAAATCAACGTACCAGGAAACATATAGGACATTTCAGAAAGAGACAGACGCACCCTGAATATCATCCTCATCTTCTGCGCCGACAAAGAACGGGCTCAACTTGCGTTCAACAATAAGTTGTCGCACTTTTTGGTCATCAAAATCAGTACGTGTATTGTATATGCCTTGTCGAACAACAAATCCACCGTCTATTTTAGTTTTAGACGAAACGGAGGGCCCTGCACTCGCTTGTACTGCCAATGGGCTATCGGGTACCGATAAAAGATCTCGTTGACCGCCACCTTTCGCGCGACGCATTGCTGTCGAGGAAAAAGACCTATCATGAGAGGATCGAGCATGCTGTTGTGAATATGCTGCTGAGGAAGCTACCTCCTCACGTCCGAGCTGCTGGCCCATGAGCGGGGATGTACTGCCCTGCCTCCTAGTAGAGAGTGAACGTGGGACACAAAGGTAGGCGTCTCGGAAGTGGAGAACGTTGTACTTGTTGAACGTGTGGCGGATTTTTCCATTTTTTGGGCCTTTCATGAGGGTGAGGTTTCATAATTTAGAACTTATTAGACGTACACAGAGTGGATTCCTCCACATATACACTGGACGCCCCCAATTTGTAACATATGGTTGGCTTGGCATTCTGACCCCGCCAAGCACGCTTGTCATTTTTTATCTACTGAAGACTAATAACAGCAAATTCCGCTGTGGGGCCATCAGTTTCTTGAAGGAAACCCCGCCACAGTGGAATCTGAATCGCCACCGTCAAAACACACACAAACAATCACGTGTGACGACGATTCATTTACAGCCTTGTATGCATCGTATTCATGCCGCACACGCTGATTGGGAGCAAGCTCGTACTCGTGATCATGCACGGAATCTTGTGGACTGCATCACGACTCTGAGTTCGGAGCTCGCACGCTCTGAATCGGCACGCACTGCATGCTCCTCCACAGACCTGTGGCCGTGGGCTATGGAAATCGTGCGCTCATGGATGAACTTTGAGATGCATGTTGATCCCCAGAAACGGGAGGAACGCGCTTATCAAGCCGATATTGTGCGTGCCGTATTAGGTCTTCTCCGGAATAGTGCTCAGTCTTCTGAGCATGCGTTGCAGGCGTGTATCTTCGTACCAACCTTAACGGACTTATGCAATATGTGTCTTGTTTATGAGCGCATGTCTGACCCAATATGTACGTGATTCGTCTCGGGGTTTCTACCTCATTCTATTGTTCTTTTTTTTTTTCAACTCGCGACTGTGATGCTGACATGTACATGCTATAGTGCTAGTATTGATTCGAGTCCTGGCCCAGCTTTTTGTGAATCTCGCCACAAGCCATGCTGATGTGCGTGAGACATTATGGAAAAATTTTGTTTTATCGCACTCGAATCATGTCTTCTCACAACGACTACCTGCCTCAGAAGCAGTTCTACGCCTCCTGACTAGCGCAGACGCACGCACAAGTCTTGCTGCACATGTCTTTGTGCTGAATTGCATATCAGCTGGTCAGTCGACCTGTTCGCTCGCTATGACACAGCAGGGGCGTCGCATAATGGAGATCATTTCAGCCTCGTACGATGCAGCACTTCTCGACGATGATGACAGCCACGAAAAATCGCAGGATCTTATTCATATCATGTACGTACAAACGTGAAAGCACACAAAAGCCGGTTTGTGGATCAGCCAGTCGATGAGACCACCGGACATATGTCGCGCACTGCATCTGCATTTTTGTCATATCACCATCCTGTTGACTAACATATATCAACAGCATTGCTATCGTGGATGAATTTTTCGCTCAGCGCACATTAGGTGCGCTTCTCGAAGCTTTGGGCCCACTGGGCAATGATATCAACACACCGCAGCTCACGGTTGTGCGCATACTGATTGAGTGCATCCATGCCCACATGAAGGAGCCAGCAATGACGGAGAACCTGGCTGCATGCTTGCCATCACTCATGCACATGACGACCAAGCTCTTATATACAACGACACAGGCGATGCAGCTTATGCGTGAGACAGACACAGCTGATGTCTCTGCATTGGTTCGCGCGCATATTGGGCTCCTCGCACTGCTAGAAGCACTGCATTTGAGCGCTATGCACGCGCAGGAGACAGCATTTGTTTCAATGCATCTCGTGCAGGACATGCGCACGTCAACCATGATTGATGCGTTGGTCGAGCTGCTGCGTCAGGCACGAGCATTTATGCCTCCTAAGCCGCCGTTCGCACCGGCCCAGTCCAGTGCAAGCAAAACTCCTGTACCAGATCAACACGCACCGTCAGCATTGCATACCAACATGCCCAACGACGATCGCCCTGGCTTGCCATACTTGAAGCGGACGGCTCTTCAGCTCATGGGAACACTAGCCTTTCATGCTCCTGGTACTCCCTGGGCTGACGTGCACGCATTTCAAAACCGCATTCGCGAGACTGGGGGACTGTACGAAGTGCTTTCACTAACAGCATTAGACGAATTGAACCCTTGTACGTATCCATATGCCGTGTACACATATACACAAATACAGGTCTTCACATGCTTACATCTTCACAACACGCGCAGATATTCGAGAGCATGCCATCTTCGCACTCCGCAATTTGCTTGATAGGAACGAGACGTCACAAGCCCAGGTCCGTGATCTTAGGCCGGCCCCACCACCATAAGGACGAAAGCTATCAAGTCTTTAAATGTTGTAGGCCTGCACCAAGTTTTGACGCACGCAACGTACGTCTATCATGTGCCATTTCTTCCTCAAACGCATGCATCAGGCGGCCATGTTCCAGCAGGTCTAGGGAATGGGTATCGTGCATTTCGCGTCGAAGTTGGCGCCTTTTTTCGGCCAAAGCATCAGCCGTCACAGATTGGGGTCTTCGTTCCAGAGGGGAAATGCTGCTGCTGCCATTACCATTACCAGTGCCAATGCTGCTGTTGTTGTTGCCATTGTGGGCATTGCGCGCACGCGCTTCACGCATAGCTGTAGCTACTTGGCGCTCTTGTTCCTTGGCTTTCTCATGCGCTTCTTTCGCACGTTCATGCGCTTCTTTGGCTTTTTCACGTGCCTCTCGAGCGCGTGTTTCGCGCATCTTTGCCGCTTCTGCCTCCACGGCCGCAGCACGTTGCTCTGGTGTCGCGTCTTTAGGCCGCGCTGGCTCAGTGGCCGCAGAAGCCATGGGACCGAACAACTGGTCCCAGCCACTCATGTTGTGCGCAAAGCTTGCATCTTGCGCGGTCCGAGACGCCGTACGTGGCTTGGCACGTTGAACTTCTATAGATGTCTCAGAGGCAACACTGTTTGGATCGGCGTTCGGATTTGCACTGCCGCTAGTAGTGCCGCTCTGTCGGTGTGATTCTTCGTGAGGCAATGATGAACGTGGTCGTTTGGCGCGTCGCTCTGAAGTTGCCGCGTCATTGGAAATGGCCTTCGACATAGAGGCCGACCTGCCTCGCTTGGTCTCTGGTTCAGACTGTATCACCTCTTCATCAGCGCTGCTCAGTTCAGATCCCGAGTCGAACGCATCCATCGCTTAAATACTCAAATATACCGTCGAGACTGCGCGTGCTCGCAAATTCGCTTTAATACAGCAAGCTATTGGGTACGGTGGAACGACCTTCGTTCGCCCAGGTAGACAGAGACACAAGCTCTCAAGCGACTGAACAACGCTGATGAAGCGACGATCTACTTGGATTGCCTGAGTGCCGACCCAACTCCAGACCAAGACGACGCCGATAGGTCACGTGATAATTCTCTGTGGCCACACACGACCGGCCAGCTCTGCTGCCACTGCAGCCGTCACATTGCGTCGCGACTTGCGCAGGACAAGCACGCATTGGAAGCTTCGTAGCTCGGAGCGAGAAAATTGGCGGCTGGTCTTGGCGACAGCATTGTTCGTATCGTCACCACATAGGACAGACTAAAGGGCATGGTATGTTGCCTTTCATCGTGGAATACGTTGCATGTGCTGACATGCTTGCAAAAGTCGCTTCCAAGAATTCTCGCGCAGATCGCCTTTACAGGCTCCAGGATCCTGGGCCGTGCATTTATGGAAGCCGGTCGGCAAGCCGTGCGTAGTACGTGTCTTGATGGGCCTATATACAGGACTCGCGCTTACCTCCCACAGATGTTCGTGCGAATCAGGTGGAAGCAGGCAGTGCGGCCGGGCGCGGCGCTGGTGCAGGAGGATCGTCGCCATCCAATGCACTCACCGGCACACATCGTATGACGCTTGATGAAGCCAAAATGATCCTGAATTTGAAGAATGATATCTCACTCGCCGCCCAAAGGCAGCCCAGTATTCACGAACAGGCCAAGAAAGAACTAGAAGAGCACTACGAACGTCTATTCACTATCAATGCGCCACCGGCGCCCAAAGGCAAGACAGGCGGCGGTAGTGGCTCATTTTACGTGCAGTCGAAAATTGTGCGTGCACGTGAACGCATTGAGGCTGAGTGGAAGATGCTCGCTCAGCCAGAGCAACCAACATCTTCGTCATCTTAGGCACCGCCCTGACCGACCTCAGCTGCAGCTACCTCTTGTTGTTGATAAGCAGCATCGTGAATCGCCACACTTCGTCCAGACGGGTCACTGTGGTTGTTAGCCATCTCATACAGACGTAAAAAAAATAGATATACATATATATCTTCATGAGCAAACGTACCTTGAGCAGCCCCAGTCACCACGAGGGACCCAGCGCACAGCCGTCCGGGCGGCTGCTTCCGTCGGGAACCATGACTCAAACAGTTCTCGAATCATGTACGCCTCCTTCGTATCCGGCGTGTCGACTGGGTATCGACTCTCGCGCTCACTGAACTTGTCATCGCTGACAGTCTTTTCCGCATACTCCTTCATTCCATCGATCCACGAATAACCCACACCATCGCTGAACTGCTCCTTCTGGCGCCAAAGAATGCTTTCTGGCAGGTATGGCAGACTGCCTTCCAATGGCGAACCGTGCTCCAAATCATCCGGCTTCACGTCAAAAGCCTTGCGCAAAATGTACTTTTCCATGTACGGTCGGCCATCAGCATCCTTCTTCTGCAGACTACCCTTGGAGAATTGCTTCTGTGCGGGATCCAAATTCATACACACGTCGAGGAATGCCTTGTCAAGGAACGGCACACGGGCCTCCAAACCCCAAGCCATCGTACTCTTGTTGGCTCGGAGGCAGTCGGCCGTGTGCAGGTTCTTCACACGCTTCACAGACTCTTGATGAAAGGCCTCCTTGCTCGGGGCCGCATGGAAGTACAGGTAACCGCCAAACACCTCGTCAGAGCCCTCGCCTGACAGGACCATTTTTACGCCTGTTGCTTTTATCTTGCGAGAGAGCAGGTACATGGGGGTAGATGCACGCACTGTCGTGACGTCGTATGTCTCGAGATGATACACGACATCTGAGAGTGCATCAAGTCCCTCTTGCACGGTGAAGGTGTATTCGTGATGGATTGTGCCAAGGAACTCGGCTGCCTGTCGAGCTGCAAGGAGATCTGGCGACCCAGGCAAGCCAATGGAGAACGAGTGCAGACGCGGCCAAGCAACGAGCGGCCCGTCGTCACTGGTCTTGGTCGCATCAGAGGCATGCTCCGTGCGACGCACCTTGCTGCTACGCGGTTCCGTCTTTGATGCGACAGCTGCCTCGTGATGTGCATGTTCCAATTCCATCTGCTGCACCTTAGCCTGCTTCTCTGTCTCTCGCGCCGCAATGGCTGCAATGAGCGACGAGTCCAGTCCACCGGATAGGAGTACACCATAAGCAACTTCACTCATCAGACGCTTTCGTACGGCCTTCTCAAGTGTCGTGCGGATGAGCGCAAGATCCGCGGTGGCCGTAGGAAGTTGACCAGACTCGTCCGTGTCCCACCAAGATGGGCGGTAGTAGCGCACGAGTTCATCGCCTTTCGCCCTTTGACTGTCATAGAAATGACCTGGCGGAAATGAAAACAAGCGCTCGCACTCTTTTGAAATGGCCTTCAACTCGCTCGAAAAGTACAATGCACCCGGATATTCGAAGGAACGGCCATAGTACAAGGTCGTCACACCAATTGGATCACGCGCGGCAATGACGCGGTGTGGCGACACGCTTGTGTCGAGGAGGATGAATGCAAACATGCCGTCAAGCATGTTGACGAAATCGACTCCGTGCTCGCGGTACAGATACATGATCACTTCACAGTCACTGTCAGTCTTGAACTCAACAGACGAGTTGAGTGAAGCACGCAGCTGACGGTAATTGTAGATCTCTCCATTAACTGCAAGGTAGAGCTTTCCATCGTCACTAACGAGGGGCTGCGAGCCAGAGTCGACACCAACGATGGCCAAACGCTCATGACACAGCACGCTACCACGTGTTGGTTTGTGTGGGTCATCTGCGCCTACCACCACACATCCCGACCAATCGGGACCACGATGCCGGATCGCTCGCGACATAGTAAGCATCTTTGACCGGTACGCCTGCGCATCTGGATGATGAATGCAGCCCAGAATTCCACACATGCTGGTAGGTGACCGCGATGCTGAATGGAGGAGTCATTCGTCCTTCTCTCGGTTTTCATCAGGCTTCGCATGTGGCACGTGATACGATCGATTCGTCGAGATGCCGCGCGTACTCCCCCCAAACGAAATAAGTGGCGACGGCCGCCGAGCCTTTTCTTGCACTAAGTCCAAGTCTGTCGTGGATATATGCTAAGTAGCTCGGCGCGTGTTGGCATACGTTGTGGAGCACGCGCACTTTTTTTGTTCCAGTCAGCTTTTCTTGAAGAGCACTCGCGCCTCGATCTGGTTGAGCGAATGGGACGTTGTGCTGGGATTTAGTTCCTTGAGGAGGCGCAAAAATTTCCCAATCCTGCTGTTGCACTCGGCATCTCAGCTCGTTCTTTTCTTTTTTTTTTCTAGTCTTAGTGGTATTGGCTTACGCTCATCGTAATTCGCAGTAACGTAGACGCGTCGACGTCACAAAAAGACTCTTCTTATATACCATGTCGACCCGCCAACTGCGCGGACTTTTTCCTCATGAAGTGATTGTCGCTGCATCGTCGTCGTCCGCGACGACTCAACGCGGTGGCCTGTACGTCCTTGACCCATCATCCTCGGCTTCTGCGCATACGCCGCTCATGCACTTCAAAGGCGTTGCACATGCCGCACCTCATGGCTTGTCTTGCACCGTATCTTCGACGCATGCATGTCATGATGGAGGGACAAGTGGATGCATTGCCGTGATCGAGTCTGATAAGGCTGTGCTGTCTCTTTACAGCTGGCAACGAGACCAGCCTATTACAAGAATTGTCTTGCCGCAGAAGATGTCATGTGTGGCTTTGTCACCCCGTGCTATCTACCTGGCAACAGGAACCGCAGATGGCCGCTTATATGTGTGGCATGTGCGCTCTGGGGCGTTGCTTTGCTCTTTCGAAGCTCACTACCGTGGCATCACAGCCATCCAATGGACGTTGGATTCAGCTGCTATCATCACGGCAAGCCAAGACACTCGCGCATGTGTATGGAGCTGGCCTAGCATTATGCAGTACACCGACCTCACACATACGGGCGGCCCCGCGCCTGCCCCATATGCGACGCTCTCCGATCATACGCTCGACATTTCGGATATGTACGTGACAGCTGGTGCCTTCCCTCATGAGACTCGGCTTTGGACAGCAAGTCTCGACGGCTCTGTTAAATCGTGGGACCTAGCCTCACGCCGTCTTGTGAGCACATACGTGCTCGATGAGCCCGTCCGCGTCTTGGCTGTAGACCCGTTGGAAAGGTTTTTCTTCGTCGCACTTCACGAACGTGTGTGTCGCATTGACTTGTATGCTAGCGAGAACATGAGTGGTTCTGGATCTAGCGCTGGGAGTGTACTGAGATTTCGTGGTGGCCGTGGTGCCTCTGGCGTTAGTGAGCGTGTGAGTGATGCGCCGCACATCGAGCTGAATACCCCTATCTCTGCACTAGCTCTCTCGCTTCAAAGTTCACACATTGTTATTGGTACACACTTGGGTCATGTGCATGTTGTTGACGGCATGACGCTACAGACTGTCCGCACTCTTGCTGCGCATGCTTCCTCCATGTCACAGTCAGCGGGTGTGAAGACGCCTGTGACATCTTTATTTGTTGTGCCTCGTCCTGTGGACTTGCCAAGTCTATTAGATTTACGTGCGCCATCTGGAGCGAAGCGCTCACAGCACAGCAACGATCGCGACGCTGCTTCAAGCGCATACATGGATCCTTTACCCGTCCCCACGGTACCGACTCAGTTTGCCCGTACATTGTCCTCGCCCTTGGACCAACCGCATGTCTATGTCCGTGTAGGTGATGCGCACAGCTCGCATGTACGCAATGTACATCGCCTTTTCACGTGGGCCAGGCAGAATCAGGCGGCTCAGTCCGCTACGTCCTTGCCTCTAGACCCAAAGGCTCCTGAACGCGTAGCCCACGTCGCGGCTGACAGCAGTACAGAGACGCCTGCTTTGATGCAAAGGATTCGGACGCTCGAAGCTCAAGTCCACAGAGCCAAAGCGTTAAATGATCAAATGTGGCAGCATCTCGTGCAAGTCGAGGCGCATTCAGCTACGTAACACTGAGTATGGCCATACCTCGCGATAACATGCCATAATGCGCTCCTGCATGAGCGATGACACACCTATGGCGCCGTTCTTTGCGATTGTGTATGTACCCAGCAGTAGCATCCCTGCAAGGCCGACACCAGCCAGCACCCCATATGAAATGCGCGTTTGCATGCCTCGACGACGCGCGATTTTTGCACCACCACCCATTATATGAGCGGCTCCAGCGATACAAAGACTCGTGTAGATACACCACATAATCATTGGATGACGTGCAAAGCCCACGCTGACGTGTGACATGTCGAGCTCCGATGGAGATAGCTGCATGATCGGCATCGAGTCTTGCATCGGAACGAGCCGATTCACACATACATGAATGGCAAGGACGGGCACTAGCAGTGTGCCTGCTACTTTCTGCCACCAGCCAGCGTCGCGTGCAGCTTCAAGCCAGGACACGCGGGCTCGTGGAAGTATGGAGCGACGGATGGCTGACGATATTAGATGCACACATAGCGATCCCCACACGAGAACAGGCTCCAGTAGGGCTTGCTGGTAATACTCGCGGCCCAGCAGCAAAGTCTGATTTGCCATATCGAGCCCTACAGATCCACGAGCGAGCGATGCGACAACCGGTGCGGCCATATGTACGATAAGCACGCTCCCGAGTGTCGCTGCCGATATATTCTGAGCCTGCGTTGCAATCCGCAACACTGAGGCACGCCATGAGAAAGACTTGGGCATGGGAATAAGGAGCCGTATTCTAAGGTAACACGAAGACAAAGGCTACAAACCGCGAACAAGCCACGATATGCTATAGGTCTGCAGTTGCTGTGCCGCGTGGCTGCTCAAATAACATAATATATTTCACGTCTGCCTGCCTTTAGCGCGTCCGCGCCGGATTCCTTCGACGTCCCCACCACTTGATCCTCTCCACAAAACAAGTTTTCGTGGTCATGCCTCATTATCAATTATTTGGTGGTGCCATAAGCATCCATTTAGATGGCAACTATATGGATGCAAGTGATCTGCGTCAGGTCCCCGACAACCAAGAAGTTCTGCTCTCCCGCGATTCGGATGTGAGTGTGATTGTGGAGGTCTTGCAATGCGTCGGCACGTCTACGGATGCTGATGCGATGGACCATGGCGTGCGCTATCACTTTGATTCATTGGCGCATGATAACAGCGCTTTGGAATCCCAGATTCTCAAGGTTGCATCCACCACGTGTATACCACAGAATCCCGCACAAGGAGCAACACCCACTCCGTCACTTGCACAGGGTCTTCAGATCGTGCGAAAGTTTGGTAAAGCATCCGACGAAGATCGTGTGCAAATATCCATCGCGATGTGGCGTCTTCCGTCCAAAAACGTAGACTTGGTTCTTTCAATCAATGATCCCACTTGCGCGCGAATTGATTGGAGTGTGCTCCAACAGGCAGCAAGTTCACTACATATCGTAGACTGGGGGCTATTTCCCTAACAGCAGGAAATTTATGAATCAACTACCAGCATGTACACTTTGCTCGAAAGTAAGATGCTTGCGGTGGACAACTCCGTCCTCTTCAATGACAGCATCGTTCGTTGTCTTGCCACGATTTGATCAATGCTTTAGAAACACGAAGGCTCGCGACTACACGGTTAGTCAGCATGTGTTCTCTCTGTCGGGTCGAGCGCAGTGAAGGGCGGCGTAATGACGTCACACGCGCATTGACTCACTCGATCTCGGCCCTTACCTTTCTCCGCTTTGAACATCTTTCTTGACGTTCGAACCTCTCCCCTCACCCACCCCCCATATCGCATTTCGTAGCCCAATACAATGGCGCCTGCACAGCCACTCTGGCTTCGTTGTGAAACCAAAACTGCCGAGCACAGGTCGGCATTGACGCCAACGACGGCAAAGAAGCTCATTGATGCAGGCTTTGACATAACCGTTGAACGCGATCCGCAACGAATCTTCGATGACAGCGAATTTGAAAAGGTCGGCTGTCATCTTGCTGACTACCATACATGGCCGAGTGCCCCACGCACGACGCCTATTCTAGGTCTTAAAGAACTCGACACGCCAGGACCCGATCTGGAGCATACGCACATCCAGTTTGCACACTGTTACAAGCAACAAGATGGCTGGGTGGACGTACTCGCACGCTTCAAGCGAGGCGGTGGCAAGCTCTATGATCTCGAGTTCCTCGAAGATGCAAATGGACGACGTGTTGCAGCTTTCGGATGGCACGCTGGCTTTGCAGGTGCGGCTCTTGGTCTGTTGGCCTTGGCTGAGCAGGTGCAAGGCCGGCAGCTGGGCAAGCAGACCATGTATCCAAACGAATCATCCCTTCTCGAGCAGACACGTGCGGCCGTCGAAACGATCCGCGCTCATCGTTCAGACGGGCGTGTAACATCGCTTGTGATTGGTGCTTTAGGACGCTGTGGACGTGGCGCCATTGACTGTCTGGAGAAATCGGGCTTCAAAGCAGACGAAATTGTTCGGTGGGACATCCAAGAAACGTCGGCCAAGAGTGGACCATATCAAGAAATTGCCAATTCGGACTTGTTTATCAACTGCATCTACTTGTCGAAGAAGATTCCACCATTCATCAATCGGGACTTGCTTGCCGCCGCTGGCTCACAACGGCGCCTCGGTATGATCGTCGACGTCAGCTGCGATACGACGAATCCAAACAACCCAATCCCCGTATACTCAGTAAACACGACGTTTGAAAAACCAACCGTGCGTGTGGATGGCGTTGACAACCTCGAGGTGATCTCGATCGATCACCTGCCGACCTTGCTGCCGCGTGAATCCTCCGAAGCGTTTTCCCACGACCTACTTCCTTCCCTTCTGCAGCTACCACTAATTCAAGGTGACGACGGACCGGATGCACTGGCACAGGACCACGCTGAGGGAGAAGGCGCTGTCTGGGCTCGTGCTGAAAAACTATTCCGCCATCATCTTGCTGAAGCCGAAAAAAATGGTGCATAAGATAGGTGTGAGCGTACACTTGACCACTCTTGACCCGAGACATTATGTTTCTCCGAAGTCACTTGACGTGGAAACTCAGAGAAAGTATTTGGTGAATAGATAAAGTGGCAGGGGAGAAGGAGAACATACAGAAAGCATGCAGTCTTGTATACAAACAAGACCAGCGATGAGAAAAGCAGGTCTGAACGGACACGTAGACACTAGTTTGGTTCGTGTATTAGAGAAGTACTTATTTGGCTACGTAGATATGATTTAAAATACAAACACCTTGTCGTCACCATGGCTAATGTCACCCGTAGCTGGGTAGTTCAGCTCAACGAGATGCTTTTTCATCACGTTCATCATGGGCGGTGGACCGCACATGAGAATCCGACAGTCAGACGAGGCTGCAGGGAGAAAATCGGCCATCGCTTCTTTCGTCACAAAGCCAACGCCGCCTTGCCAGTTGGGCGGGGCCACATTCAAGAAGTAATACACGGAAAAGCGTAGTGGGTTCTTGCGCTGAAGCGACTCGAGTTCTTTACGCATGAGAATCTCGTCTTCAGATACATTAGCATAAATAAGCTTAAATTCCGTTTTATCAGTTGGGTCGGCCAACGCAGACCGAAGAATCTGCAGACACGGAGTAATACCCGTACCACCCGCGACCATGCCGATCCGCTCCGTCATGTTGGGAAGGTACTTGAATCGACCCTTTGGCCCCTTCATCTGCATAGTGTCGCCGATCTTCAAGTTATTAAACACACGCGATAGATTTCCAGCTTCATACGTCTTCACCAAGAAATCGACATAGCCAGTCGCGTCATTGTCCGATATGGGCGTGTAAGAGCGCATGACGTATTTGCCCCGAATCATCGCGCGCATAGAGACGTGCTGTCCCACGGGGAGGCCAAACTTGTGAGGAATTTCGAAGCGGTATCTGCGTTGCGTTAGTATTGCTGGCGACGGACGCTTGGGCATGTTTTTGCATCCACAAGTCTTGACAAGTCACAATCACGTACATACTGGTCGACTTTGAAACTGCGATGCGTTGAATCAACTTGAATGCACGCCATTCGTCATTATTTAGCGCTGGCTTCACGCTCGTGAACGCGCCCCACACGTACATGAGCGCGACAGAGCACAAAAGTCCTGCGAGAAAAGTGACAAGGACACGCGAATCCATGAACGAAAAGGCAGTGTGCATCTCAGCAAAGATCCAGTGAGTCGGAGCCAGTGCCTTAGTCACGAATTGTGCGACCGAGCAACACAAGACAAACGAAGTGATAGCCGACGCCGTCAGCACAATTAGATTCGAGTACATGGCACACGCATGCAGAAAAAGCTTCGTCACCTAGTGATCGACATTCACGTGGACTCCACGTGCTTTGTGATCGAGCAAATCCCCCCAACCCCCAACTTTGCCTATTTGCGGCAGGTCTTAAACATTAGACTCTCGCTGTCAAATTGCGCATTTTACGTTGTCGTGAATTTTAAGGAACTAAGTGGGACGAGGGGCCTGGGGAGCATTCATCCATGACCATCTCGACACTTGGTGTCCTAGTTCATGTGACGCCGACGCTTATCAAGGTGTGTGAATCCGAGCGGGACCGCGGCGGCAGCAGCGCAGCTGCACCCTTGCCTCTCCATTCCCCCTGTTTGACTTACACTCGCATAGAATGCATTGCGGCATTATGTACGGTTCTTTCTTGGATTTGGATGGTGCGCACCGCGCGAAACGGCAAACGAGTTCCTATACGACCAGTACGTCATGGCGATGCATCAGCACTCACACGCAGGTTGTTCCATCTGATTAAGAAACTTGCCATCTATTTAACTCATCATACAACTGAGGATGCCCAAAAGATGTACGTTCGTTTCCCCGGTTCAATGGCAAGCTATTGCTGGGACTCTTTTTCCGCCACATTCACCCTAGTCTGCGCAGGTACTAACGCTCGTTACTAGTTCCGACCAGCCAGTACCACTACCGCCATGGTGTTATGACGAGCAAGTCATGATCCCTTTGGAGTGCTGCCACAAGGCTGCGGAGCATTTGCACACATACTTTGGACCAGATATGATACAGTCGTTTATTGGTGGCTCGCGATGGTGGCAGATGCGGAGTCAATCTGGTATACCTGCACATTGGATTGCTCACTATTCAGACTACCATCTTGTCATGTCTAAACATGGGCAGAAAACCAGCTATTCGACAGAATTGATGCATCGATTCACACGCGATTCAGCGCGTGTGAATCCACGGCACGAGCATCCAACAGCTCATATTGATCCGAACGCAACGCGGCAGCCGGGCCGCTTCGCAAATACCGCTGAGGAAGCTGAGCGCTTGTCACGCGTTCTCTTATATATTCATGGAGGCGCATACTACTTCGGCTCCGTCAACACACACAAACACGTCATTCATCGCATGACAACGAAGTTTGGTGGGTTTGCATTGGCTGTAAATTATCGCAAAGCGCCACAATTTCCCTTCCCATGCGCGATTCAAGACTGCTTGGCTGCGTATTTGTACTTGCTAGATCCGCCGCCTGGCGCTCTGCATCCGCGCATCGACCCGTCGCGTATAGTTGTTGGCGGCGATAGTGCGGGCGGCGGCTTAGCACTTGCACTGCTGCAGATCATTCGTGATCTTGGGCTCCCCCCACCTGCCGGTGCGATTCTCTTATCGCCCTGGAGCGACCTGACACACTCGTTCCCGTCCATTCTACAAAACACCAAAACGGACTATATTCCTCCATACAGCTTTATCCATCGGCCCAGTCTGCTATGGCCCCTTCCTCGAGAAACAGGCGCCTTTGTGCGCCGTTCACAATCGTTTGTGCGCCGCCGCGGCCGGCAGCCAACTAGTGAAGGCCATATGGACAACATCCCTTGGCACGCACGCCCGATATTTGTGCCGCAGCCCAATGGGGCAGCGCCAATCAAAATTACATCCCAGGTCCAGTTCTATGCTACAAATGCTCAGTTGCGTCACCCGCTCTGCTCGCCCGCCTTGGCAGGCAGTCTTGGTGGCCTCCCACCGCTCTACATTATGGTCGGTGACGACGAGGTCTTGCGCGATGAAATTGTCTACGTTGCACACAAAGCCGCACATCCAATGCGATATCCCACCAACCCGGACTTTGTGAAGCTCTTCCCACACACGCGCGCCGCTGCCGAGCGCTTCAATGCGACGCCGACCAATGTGCATCTGCAGCTCTTTGATGGGCAGTGCCACGTCTTTCCGATGTTTATGTATACGGCTGCTGCACGCCACGCATACCGTGGTATGGCTTCCTTCATCAAGCATGTCACGGGTGCGCCGCTGAAAACAAGTGGAGCTATTGCTAATTCCATGGGCAGCGCACCTGCAGGGGAGAACAAGTATACGGCGCGAGTGCCGCTCGAGAGGCCGCAGTACTACGACCACATGATTCGCGAGCGTGTCGCACGAGACGGAAAAATCCGGCCGATGGAGCGCGAGGACCATATGTCGTACTTGTGCCTGGATCCGAAAACGATCGGTATTATCAAAGCTGAGACGTATGCGCGCTTCCATAAGGGCCATACGATTTGGGACAACAAGTATCACCGCGACTTTAAGCGGATTCGCAAGTCGCGAGCCAGGATCGAGCGGCGTGTCCAGCGGATCCTGGCGAAGGCTGAGTCGGAAGGCCTGTTTCGAGACATGGGGGATATTGAGGCCTCGGGCACCAAATGGACAGATCTTGGCACTTACGGTCCTGCTGACCTGCGGGGCGAGACACCTCCCCTCTCAGCGGTGGTGGGCCGTCGTGATACACCAGATGCCATGGCCCTCTTAAAGTTAGGTCTGCACTTGCGCGCGAAGCGGCGCCGCGCCTTGGGTCTGCAGGCAGTCGAAAAAGGTGCTGCTCCCAATACGGTACCGATACCAACCTCGCTCGCCGACGATATTCCTCGCCGGGCATACTCCATGGGCGAGCATTACCATACCAACCAGGAGCGGCCAGTACCGCTCGACAGGTTCGGATGGTGGAGAAACTTGCTGGTTCGTGGTGGTCCCTTTACCAGGAAGACCAAGCCAGCATGGGTGCATCAGGCAGAGAAAGAGAAGCAGCGTGTGTGTGTGTCGGAGTGGGATTAGTATTAGGCGAAAAAGAATAAAAGTGTGTGGAAGCGTCAGCACAATGTACCCGTGGCGCAGAACCTAAAGATTACTGGGGTGTCTCGGACATTTGCCGCGCCTGCGTCGCGTGCTGCGTTTCGGGCGCTTGCGCTTGCGCTGCTTGCGCTGCATACGCACGTTGTTGTATGTCTAGTACCTGAATGAGGAGCTTCAGGTTTCCTCGATGCACCTCCAAAAGTTCGATCAATGTAGGTATACCGAGTCGATACTTGTGTGATAATCGTTCCATGTAACGCTGTAGTCTGTGTCGGCACCGATAAACATCACCATTTGCTCGCGTCATAAACGGCATTAGCTGCTTTGGATGGCTCAGGCCATAATCGGCACAGAGCTCCCACACATGAGCTTCGTACAAGGCGCGTGCTCGATGTCGTTCTGCACGCGTAATCGAGTGGTGTGGACGTATCAGACGCGAAAACACCGACATATTCGGCATGGGCGAGCCTGGCGTCACTGGACTCGTGCCGTGCCGCCGCTCCATCGTTGGCGACGGCTCTTCGTCATGCAATCCAGAACACGCTTCACGCGCTTGAACCTTGGCATCATGATGCCCACTTCGTTGGCCTATCCGCACAGTGGCAGGTGTGAAAGACGGCGGAATCGCTTGGCCTTGCGGCGTATGTACATTCGCCGCGCTTGCTGACACTGGCTCTGTCGAGGTGCTCGCAAACGGCCTCACGTCGTGCGGCTTGTGGGTTGAGGGAGTCGAGAATGACTCGACCACGGCTGAACGTGAGGCCGTACGTGGTGCATCGAGTGCGTCAGATGCATTGCGCGCCGGCTCCGTCGGGACAAACTCGGACGCGCGAGCATGCGCAGGTTCTCGAGTGGGTGAGCGTCCTGAGATCGGAGGCCTGGCGTCTGAGACAGGTTCATGTTGAGCACTTTCGCCGTTGGCAGTCGCATGCCCGGATGACCGAGCCTCCGCCAAACGGCTGGCGTGCTGCTGCATGGCTGACTCCCATAGCTGGGACTTGGCTTCATCAAAAAATGATTTCCATGCAGATGGGGTCCGATCTGGCACAGTCTCAGCAAGCTCTGCCCACACGGCAGACGGCACCTGAATTGCAGCGAGTTGTGTTTCATCAGGTACATCCATCCTTGCCGTATCGAGAATCTCTACGAGCTTGCTGATCAGCAAACGGACATGCTCAGGCTTCACGCGATCACCATGTTGACGAATCCGCGGAGCGCGGTGGTGCGTAGGCGCAGAAGCAGCAGGCAGTTGCTCGTGCAGCTGCATCTGTGCTGTTTGGTCGTCTGCACTCGCGCTTCCAGGTTCCACGAAGGCTGGGTCTGTCTGGCCTCGATACTGAGCCTCAAATGCCTGAAAGTCAGCTTCATCCATCTCTTCCTCTTCGCTTTCATCGTTCGGTTCACGATTCGCACCATTCACGGAGGTATTCAGCGAGGGCGATCGTCGTGATGGCGGCGAAACAGACTGCGATGCGATCGGTGAAGATGAAGCGGACTGTGTGGGAGGCAATGGGGGTGAGGCAGGTCCTGGCGCCGTTGCAGCAATGCCTGAGGGCGCTGACGACGTGGACGTGCGAATCTCGCGCATGACCATGGGAAGAGCTTGTACAGATGACGGACCAGCATTGATCGTATCCACTTTCGCCATGAGATTCATCCCTGAGCGTAGGTTTTTTGTTAAGAATGATTGATAGCTCCAATACGTATGTCGTGGACGCAGTTCTCGCAGGGTGCGAGCTAATTCTGACACATTGAAGTTCCCATTTTGAGTGCGCAGAATCTCGAGTATGAATTGAATATCTGACTCGTCGTACGTATTACGACCGGAGTGCCGTGTATCCATGTTGTGACAGCGGCTAGTTTCTGAATGTCAATGTTTGACCCGACTCTTCGGCAGACACGGTTCAGCAGGTGTGCTTCACAGCAGTGGGAATCGGCGGCGCTTGGTGTCGTGGCCCCAGTGTCCGACGCCACAACCTGCGTGCCCTGCTCTGCCTTGCTCTGCCCTGACCCACCCAACTGCTTGCCTCTCTGGCTCAACCGCCTACCCTCCACCTCAGCCTTCAAACCAGGGACAGCTGGGGAGGGGGGATTCAGGGCGTGATGGGATCACGTGATGTGTTGCATCACACGCGTCGCGAGCGAATCGGTGTTGGTGGGTGGATGCGTGTGCATCAATGGCACCCGCGGCTGGACGAACGAACGTGTTGGTGTGCCGCTATTTTTTCAGTGTCGTCGTTGAGGAGCCGAAGCAACATATTGCGGGCGGACCAACAACAAATACATCCACAATGGTGCCACTCACGCGCCGAGAGTCATCAAGACTCTCAGGCACAGGGACTGAATCCGTAAACGGCGTATCTGGCATGTATCTCGACCAGATCCTGAGTAATTTCGAACAGTGTACGTATCGACAGGCCACGGTGTTAAGGCAACAATGAGACCTTCTTACATCCAGACCGTCGAAAACATGCGGCACAGAATCGTGATATTGTGCAAGCTAATGCCCTTGCTCACGCACGGATTCGTGAGCTTGAGGCACGCGTACTAGAACTTGAAAGTGAGTGCGCCGAGCACAAGCTTGCTGCTGGTCGACAGAGTGCTCATGTGCGCTGCCTTGAATATACCTTGGAGTGTGTGCGAGTCGGATGGGAAACCATGGCGCATGCACTGCGTGATTGTGGCGTGCGCACACCGCTAGCAGCTCGCGAGCGTGCGACTTCCGCTTTGCCCACACCTCCGCAGCCTCCGTCTCGTTCACATATTGTCCTGCAAGACGACCGGCCTACTACGCGCGTTCCTGCCGCATATGCAACACCATTGGCATCTGAATTTATTGCAGAGGTGAGCGAAGATATGTCACCACTACCTGAGACGCCAACGCGTGAGGCCTGGACACCATCACAGGACTCGACACCTCGCGTCGCTTCACCCCTCCGTGGTGACACGTGTCCTATATCTGTAACGCGAAGAACGCATGGCCGGCGACAAAGCACGCAGGTGGACGATGTGTTTCGCTTAGATGCTAATGACTCGGCGGGAACACAACATGTCGGCGATGATGGTGACATGCAGTTTGAAGAATATGAGCAGTTCGTGGATCCTGTATCCGAGCAAGAGCAAGGGCAAGAGCAGGAATGTGAGCCTGTGTTTGCAATGGATATGGAGCATGAGTATGAACAGGAACCTTTCGTTGAAGACGAACTTATACCAGAACATGAACATGAACATGAGCATGAGCATGAGCACGACCATGTACTCCAACACGAGTCCCTACACGAAGGGGAATCAGAGTCTCATCCTTCGTCTAATACTGGCTCTGGATCTGACAGCCGAAGTGAAATGGATCACCAGCTCGATCCTAGCATGCAGAATCTATCTGCTCATGATACCAAGCAGAGAACGACGCCATCGACGCCGCCTCATCCCCAACCGAAGCGCTCTCGACGCACATCCATCGCGATGGACCCTGGCCTTATCGACGAAGTGCCAGATCGGACACGTCGGGCACGGAAAAGCATCAATTATGCGCTTCCCAAGCTCAATACCAAGATGCGGAAACCCGATCCGGATGAGAGCGACGCACCTGATGCAAAGAAACCCCGAACCTCACAGGAACGTCGCCGTTCTACTCGCACAGCTAGGCAAGTATCATCGCCGTCACAGCCACCCAAGACCGGTCCTAATGCAAGCGTAAACAAGTCATCAAAAGAGTCGAAAGAGCTTTCCGAGTCGAAGCGGTGCGGCGATGTCAACCAGCAGCACGAAAACGAACTGCCGCCAGATTCATCCAACACAGGCACGCAGCATCCTTCTCCGGCGCCTTCCACTCTGCCCCCAGCTACGCCACCTCAGGATCAAGTCCAGCACGATCCGGAGCCTAACCACGGGCAAAAGCAAGACTCGAACTCGACGATACAAGATTCACCTGTCTCGCCTCTTCTTACACCCAAAGCAGCGCCGACGCCACGGCGCCCAAGACGCTCGCGGGCCGCTGAGCCAACGCGACGAGCAACGCCTCAGGTGCCCAAACAGAGAGCCGGGACACCGACGATCCCCCCATCTGTATCAACAGCATCAGCAAGACCAACGGTGCCTGCATTCCAGACACGGTCAAACAAACCGTTCGTACCATCGCGCGGAGGCAAGAACCCACATGCCAGTGTGCTACAGCAGCATTCAGCACAGAAAATGCCCAACTGGGCTAGCTCACTGCTGCATTTGTCGTCGCCGGAGCCACCTAGCCGCCAATCCTCGCAACAGAACAAGGAGAACTATCCCGAGCGTCCTCGTCGCCCTTTGCAACAAACCCCGTACTCGACAAGGCGGTCTTCAGCGTTCTCATCCGGGTCGTGAGACAAAACTATCTTCCCACATTTACTACATGTACAATAGCTAATCGCCGGCATGCGCCAACATCCACACCCAACGTGGATCTTCTCTTAGTTCCTCCCGTTGTGCAGCATGTCCATGAACCACACGCTCTATAAACCATGTAAACCATGCCACAGGCCGCCAGACCACTGCTGTAGCGGCCGCCACGAACGAGCCTTGTTGCGTCGCCGTGTTCGCTTGCATCGTTGTGTCGACCCAATCGACAACAATATGTGGCGTGTTTGCAATGCACCAGTTCGACACGCGCAACAGACTGCCCCATATCATAATAAATGCACGTCCAATTCCCCAAAGAATCATCGCTAGCAGCAAGACCCCCACAAAGCTGACACTTTCCCAAACAACAGTACATCGGACGGCGTCAGACACAAGAGGATATGCGCCTACAGCGACAAACGGTGTGCCGAAATGAAACGCACCCACTGACGACACAACGACAAATGTATGAAAATGCACCGCCAAACTAATGAGAGCAAGGCCAAGTGTGGCATGCCAAAAAAAAAGCTCTCGCCATGTAAGCGGGACAGCGTGCAAAGATTCAGTATGGGGTGCTTGTAGATACGCTGTCGTGATAACCCGCTGGACGAGAATGGCGGATCCTTCGCGGAGATTGGGCGACAATGAGAGCCACGTATGTTGATGCAATAACACAACAGACTGAAACAAGCGCTGTATGATGCCTTGAACAATTTGAAGGAGGATCGCAGGCTGGAATATTCCCAGACGATACACGTGATTTCTCGATGACGGATACGACGATGATGACGACGAGAGTGGATCCTCGTTCGAGCTGCTGCGGTCTGTGTCCTCATTTGCCTCGACGTCATCGTCCAACGCATCCAGTACATTTTCCCAAAGAAGTGACATGCTATTGGCTTCGTCAGCTGTCGTCCGGATCAGGGGCACGGAACTTTCCGGCACAAATTGCAATGACTGAAGGCGAAGTGGATGTGGGCCCGAAAACATGGCTGGTTCATATCGATGAAGAGATACGTCAACGACAGATCCAAGACATTGTGTCAGGACGACAAATACCAGAAATGATACAACAAATCGTATGCATGGCGACGACAGAATGCGTGTTAAATACGTCAATTGTAGCTGGTAAGATGTACCACATTGATCACAAACCAGTGCCGACTTTGCTCGATGCGATCTGGCGCGCCAAGTGTCCAAGCACGACGCATGCACGTACTTCGAGCAAGGGCGTAAGCACATGCAGCTATGTACACACCTTCATTGTCCCACGACAACGACATGGACTGATCCATCTATCGCCGTGTTGGATCTCGGTATCGAAGCAGATCCGGCATGACCGCACGCTAGACGGAGAAGGGGGCGATGGCGAATGTGACAATGAGAGCCGAGGCTGCGATGGTGATGACGGCTGGGAAGCCAATGCACTGGCGTGTGACGTCCCAAGCATCAGTTCTGATTCCACATGCAAAGCATCGGCGCGGTCTGAGTCATTCTCACACATATCTTGGGCACATCGCCGCGGCCCATACGAACCGGGATCAAGTTGCGTCAGAGCACTCCACAGCTTAATCTTCTTCCACACAAGGCCCGCCCGCCACTTTGGCCGACACGTAATCTCGGTGAGACGAGTCGAACACGATCGACCAACCCCCCCCCTTGACGAACACAACTTCCCTGCCCGTGCATCGACCATTTGTAATAATGACTAATCATGGGATGTGCCTTCACGATCACGACGGTGGTTTCTTGAGAATTGTGATGCGCGGTGGCGCCGATGGTGTATGTGGCTGAGAGTCTGAGCTCTTATGCTTAGCCTTGCGAGGTTTGGGCGGTTTCTTTGTATCAGATTTGGATGGCGCCTTCTTGGCTGCCGCCTTGGGGCGATTACTACCCGTATTCTCATTTGATGCAGCGTGGCGAGTCTGATGTGCATGAGAGGATGATGGTGCCGTTGACGATGATGACGGCTTTGATGGTGCGCTTGAGATGGATATCTTTGAGTCTGCCTTAGATTCAGACTTTGAAGAGGCTTTGGATGAGGCTTGTGAGCCAGGAGCCTTATCGGTTTGGTTAGTGCGCGCTGACGCAGTTGATTTTTTGTAGAGTTCTTTCTTGGCCTTAGTCTTCATGCCTTCGATTTTTGAGAGTGGCACACCACTCACATTGGCGAGAATCTCATCCCTCGATAACGCTTTGTTCGCCTTGGTACTTGTGTTCTTGTCTTTGTGCTTAGACGTAGATGCGTCTTGCTGCCCTTTGCTATTTTCGGTTTTGGCTGGCGATGATTTCTTCGTTTCCTGCGCTCCCTGTTTTTGCTTGCGCACGAATTCAACGAGAGGAGTCGTTATACTAGCTTTGTCCGAGTCAGTTTCAGAAGCAGACAAGCCTGGTGCTGGCGCCGGCGCCAGGGTTGATGGGGCTTCCAGAAAGGCAACGAAATCTTTGTACTCCTGCGTTTGCTGAATAGTACCGGTAGATTCACCATATTTGTCTGGAGCCCAGCGCATGTAGCTTTGAAAGAGCGCATTGTCCACAAAAGCATGGTAGTTTTGACCTTTGCTGTCGCGAAATATGTGACCTTGAAAATTCTGAACAAAGTCAAGCACATACTTGAAGTCACTGAAGTTAATGTAAGCCACGGAAAGCGTGTCTACCTCCGACGCCTGCTCGCTCCGCTTTCCTTGAACGAATGCAGTCCGACTCGCTGTTCTAGGCTCGTTCGTGACAGGGTCTGCCTTTAAGCGCACCCATGGAGAAACAGCTTCCCAAAACACATTTTCCGTGAGATGCGGCGGCAGATCACGCACGACAACTTTCCTGTTGGATTCTATTGCATCACCACCCAAACTCATACTTCGACACGCAGTCGGATCGTCCTAGGTCAGTGTGGAACAAGAATCGATGCAGCACGTGTATCACGCGTGCTGCATCGCCTGAAACATTTTCCTATTTTTTTTTTTTTTTTCACAAACAAGAAAGGAAAGCTATCAGTTGTTGGCCGCGCAGGCGTGTTAGCGATCTCCACCCCGCAGCGATCACACACACACATCTCTAGATTGGAGTTGTGGCAAAATACGTTGCTGTGGAGAAACTCACATCGCATCTAACCAAGTTTCGGCGGCCAGACTCTGCGGTCGGGGCTGGATCGCTCAGCACAATGACGTCTGCATCAGCGCCAGATGCAGCATCCAAGTCACATGATGATCGTCGTGAGCGGTTCCATAAATTGCAGCGTAGACTGAGAGACTCGTCTTCGGCAAATCGAAGTGATGTCATTGCCGAGCAAGTCAAACACCGCGAGGCGTCGCAACGCAAGTCAACCGCGCATGCATTTCAAATGGCAAAAGCGGAGCGAATTTTAGAAGACCGCGACTTACTCGAGCGCGGTGAAAACATCGAACGCCATCGAGCAAAGACATATACCATTGAGGAGAATGAAGCCTGGGAGAAAAGACTCGAGGAGAAAGAGCGGTCACGAGATAAAGGCATGATAGGTATGTCTTTCATTATGAAAAAAATGGACTGTTCGTTTGTATGCTCACGCGCTGAAGATTTCCAGGACCTTGCTGAGCGTTCATATTTGCGGCAACTCAAACAGTTTACGCCAGACAGATCCGCGTATATCCGACAGAAAGAGCAAGAAGAAAGGCAGCAACAGGAGAAATGCAGTACTTCTGCTACGTCATCGCATTCCCGCTCGGCGCTGTCTGCGCCATCCACCGACGATTCGGATGGTCGTGCACTAGTACCTGCAAAAGATGCCCCTGTCTCGCCTGCCATCGCCTCTTACGGTACCCATAAGCCTGAAGAAAGCGCTGTAGACCGACTCGTCAAACACCTCAACCATGAGTACGTATTCGGCATTATTACGTCGTTGCTCACACATGCGCCCAGACACGAACAGATCCAGAGGCGTAGTCGTCGGCGCGAAGATGACTTGGACGTTGAGGGCACATATATCAATCAGCGCAACAAGCGCTTCAATCGCAAGATTCAACGCGTAAGTATACCATGCAGGTGATGTCCAAGGAGCTACAAAGCCCTGTGGCCGAAACGTAAGCGAAAACGAACTAACTCAAGTCCAGTACTTTGGTGAGCACACGAAAGAGTTTCGAGAAAACTGTACGTTGACTACTCCTGCATGTATTTACTTACACTCTATCTCAGTGGAACGAGGCACTGCGTACGTACGATGAAGAGCTTGACCATCGTCTGTTTGATGATGATACTGACACATGCACCTTCCCAACGTAGACTGTAATGTGAGAGCTGCAGCATGCATGTGGAGAAAGTCTGGGTATATTATATACATTTGGCGACATCTCATCTGTTTCCAGTCCATGGCCAGCCTAGAGAGGTCGTCGGCTGCAGCGGCCGCGACTGCAGCTCTAGCTGCTTCGCCTCACCCACTTCCATGGCATCGCCCATCCCTGCTTGGCACAGATGAGCGTATCGTAATCGATCTCGGTAGCCGGATCTGCCGTGCCGGGTTCAGTGGTGATGCGGAACCGCGTGTCATGCTTGACGCCCTTGCGTTTTGTGCACGTATATGGGGAGAACCCAAGGCAGATGCCCTATGGGATCTCGACTGGATGCATGCAGAGAATACACGTACTTTGCAACAGAGACACACCGATCTTGTGTTTGCACTTATCCGCCTGTTACGGCATGTATACCAAGAGTAAGCTTCTTTGCATACATAGACACGCAAAATGCAAGTTTATTAAGTACTCGACTCACACAACCAGATATCTCCTATCAGATGCAAAGACATACCGTGTGCTTCTGGTGCACAGTCCATTGTGCCTCGATGCTGTGCAGCACGCCTTGTGTGAAGTGCTTCTTACCAACATGCATGTGCCAAGTGTGTCGTTTGTCGACTCGCATGTATTGTGCACACTCGCTGTAGGACGTACATCTGCCCTTGTGGTTGATGTGGGGCATTTAGAGACATGTGTGATGCCAGTGTACGACGGACGTCCCATGCAGAACCTTATCACAACGACGCCACGTGCAGGTCGCTTTCTGTCGCGCACACTTCGCGCGCTCCTGGCACGACACGCGGAGACTACGGCACCTATCGACGATGTTTTGCATCCATCAACGATAGATGAGGTACAAACAAGGGCTCTTCTCGTAGGTGAGCCTTGTACCTGCTCGCGAACGACGGTGTCGCCGCTGGATGTGGACGCATTTGCTTCCGAGTATGCAAAGCACGCCACAAACACCAGTGCATGGAGCCTTCGGGTACATGGCCAATCGGTACTTCATGTCCCTGGATGGTTGCGTGAGCGTGCCTGTGAAGTGTTTTGGGAGCCTGGGGACGAAGACGAAGCAAGTGTCGTTGAGTGCGTATGGCAATGCATATCACGACTACCCCTTGATACGAGACGCGAATTGCTCGGCTCCATTCTACTGGCCGGAGGTTCGAGTCTGATCCCTGGATGGACGCAGCGATTTGTCCAAGAGCTCCAGAAGCCCGGACTCACCTCAGCTTTGCAGTATGGCGCGGCTTCTATGCCCACAGATCCAACCCACGCGATGCGTGTGCAAGTACTTAACGCTTCCGCCACATACATGCCAGCCAATGTCCTTGCCTGGTCGGGAGCAAGCATAGCAGGACATCTGCATGCCGAAGGCACGACGGTATGGACGCGCGATTCATGGAATGCATAGAAAAAAGCAAAGGACCTTTTTTTGTTGCCCTATTTTCTCACTAGCGCTGCTCACGGCCTACAACCGTAATGTCGGCACGCGAGAAGTGCTTGACTCGTGGGCATCCGAATACGTACAACGCCTTGAGCGTGGGCATGGCATCTGCGAGCATGGACAGGATAGAATCGTCCACACACCGAACAAAGCCAACATCAAGCGTCTTTAGAGGCAGACGCGCTTCAGCGAGCGCGTAAAAAGCAGCCGGCGTCAAGTCATCATTGCTGTTAATGTTAAGAACTTGGAGAGATCGTGCATGCCGCACGAGTGCTTCAAGTGATGCATCTGTCATGCCAATGCCACGGACAGACACCGAGGTCAGCTGCGTGCATCTGTGCCAGAGTCGGATCCATGTTGATTCATGCACATGAGCCAAGAAGTCCAGGATAAGACACTCAATCGTCGCGCCAATAGCATCGATGGTTGCGTCACTCAGAGCTTCATTCTTGCCGAGATGGAGCGAACGAAGATGCGTTCCGTGTCGCTCCAGCACAGGTATTACGCCTTGATCGGTAAGAGAAGCAGGCGGCACGCCAGGTTGTGAAACACCCGGCTGTGACAGGTCTATATGGTATAAGCATCGCATACCTGCGAGGCACTGTGCCCCCTCATCATCCAGTTTTCCGACCTGAGCAAGACGAAGCTCCGTCACATTCACACAATGTTGAGCAAGTGTCTCGATGCATGTGCGATCAAAGCGCGGCGTTTCGCGAATGAGAAATGACGTTAGTTGCTCACCCCGCTCGCGTAGAAATTCGAGCCAATCTTCCCGCCGCACCAAATAAGGACCATACAGCTCAAGGTGCCTAAGGTGTGAGAGGCGCCATAGTGATCTGAACGCCGGTGCGTCGAGTTGACCGCAATAATCGAGCTGCAATCGCTCAATGTTGGGTGCCAGCGATGCAATTGTTTGCAGCGATGTGCTGTTGAGTGCTGTGAAGTACGTGCATAAGCGCGGCACGTTTGGTAAGTCGATACTCCTGGGTAAAAACGTACCACTGCAGTCATATAATCGCAGGTCCCGCACAGAGCTGCCAAGGAACAGAGGCAATGTTCGTGGCGTCAAGCGGCGATTCTTGCTAATGACACGACTTAGTCCATGCCGACTGCGTTCGCTGATCACACCCAGTGCGCCGATGTGGTCAATCCACTCTGCCACGATCTGATCAGTCAGTTACAGTGATTGAGGGGACGTACATTAATACAGAGTGATTGTAGTGTGGGTACATCTTGCACAGCTATATCCACAACGGATCCAACGGTAGTGCCGCGGCGTGCACGTTTCGCCGAAGAGCCTGAGACTTTGGATGACAGCCGTTGCTGTTGCTTGCCGGATGGCTCAGCCGATTCATGACAATTCCAACACAGAGCACCGCTGTGTGGATCGACGTAGCTGTCTTATTAGTTATCACCGTGTACGTACGTGTAGCGGGTCATTGTGAACCGTTTACCACACATGCCGCAATCCGTGCTGCTGCCTGCCTGGATCTTCATACGAGCACGGGACGCTTGCGCGGAATCCAAGACTTGCTCCGCCGCTTGCTGGCCATCGACTTGACTCATATTGCCATCACTATCTTCTTCCGCTTCGTCTTCTTCATCGAACTGCATGGATGCTCCCTGCGGGATTCTGGGTCGTTGACGAGTCACATGCTCGTTCTTTGCCCTGTGATCGGTCGATGACGACGCGTCACGGCGCGCAAATTGCTGGCCTTGTTTATTGATTTCACCTGCGCGTATACCTTGCGACTGAGATCAGCACACGACGCACGTACAGCAAGAAAATCTGTGAGGGCCGAAGATGGGCCCCGAACTCGCGACCGTTTTGACATTATCGATGGTATGGATTGGTCAGTGCAGCTACAACTAGTGTACTTAAGTAAGCATATGGTGGCTACGATGGACGCACAGGCCGTGCAGGCGATGGGCCAGGTGGAGGACATCGACTGATTGGTGACGCAATCTAATCACGATACCGGGACGACGCCATTGCCGTCGTCCTTCGTGGACTTTGCGAGCGGGCAGACGAAGGATAGCGGTGATCATCGCGATATGGATCGCGGAGACGACGCAATTCTGCACGATCCGGGCTCGGGGAGCGCGAATAGGAGGGAGAGCGCGAATACGAGCGGGAGCGAGTATAGGAACGACCTCGAGGGCTTGGGGAACGCGAGTATGAGCGTCCTCGAGGGCTTGGCGACCGTGAGTACGAGTATCGCCGAGGACGTGGTGACTGCGAGTAAGAGTGTCCTCGAGGACTCGGTGACCGTGAATAAGAACGTCCTCGGGGGCTCAGTGACCGTGAATATGAGCGTCCACGAGAGCTTGGTGTATACGAGCCCGAATACGAGCTGGAATATGAGCGACTGCGGGAACTCCGTGAATATGATCCATCCGAGTCAGATGACATGCCTTCCGACTCAGCACGTCGCGCCCATTCGGCTTCTCGCCGCTCCATCATCAGCTGCGTCGCTATCTTGAGGCGCTCGCGCATCGTCTCCGTAACAACGCCTAAGCCAATACTCGTGAAAAAGTTGATCGAGAACCGCGTGTCACTAGGATGGTCCATTGGGAATATGTGCCGATAATACTCCTGCATGGATGGCTCGCGGAACCGTTCAGCCAATGTTTTGAGTCCAAGAAGAGATTGCATTTCATTCAGCAAGATTTTGATAAAGATGCGCGATGAAGACGTGGTTTCATCCTCTGTCATATGCACCACCTCAAAACATGCCCAACTGATACTGTCTGTTGCAAGTAGTGCGCCGAAGAACCGCGCAATGTTTCGAAGACGATTCGTCTCGTAGCGGTGAATCGTGTCATAGTACGTGTGAAAGCTCTGTTCATACAGACCACTCCAATGTCGATGAAGCTTGCAAAGACGCTCTCCAATGTGTCCGTAGAACTTCGAGTATGTTCGTTCCTGCGAGCAGCACTCAATCACCATCTTGCATAGCTCCATTTCTTGATGATCAGGCACTCGCAGCTTCAGGAGCTTGTGAACACATTCCTCAAAGTCGAGCGACGACATGATCACTAGATAAATCGTGCGACGAAGATTCACAAGATTCGTTTCAGTCCGATCCTGGATTTCCAGCTGCGTTTGAGCGTCATCTTCCTCGTCCCCGGCCGCGTCGTCACCCTCCGGCTCGTCGTCCTCTTCCTCCTCGTCTTCTTCATCGCCATCACTATTCTCACCAAGAATCTCGGCTTTGATTTGTCGATACTTTTCTTCATTTGCCTCAAACTCAGGATCAGCCTTGAAGATGTTTAGCCCCTCCTCGACCTTCAGCTCGTCATCCAGACTGATCTGGTGCGTAATCTGATCCTCCTCCTCGACTAAATCAAGTTCCTCCGGGATGCGTGGATGGTCCTGGAATCTATCTTTGCGTGTCTGAGCCAAGACTTCCACCATGTACTGTACACGCACGCTAATATCGCCCTCGTACAGCACAACCCGGAACCTGTCAAACACCGTGTGGCACGCTTTGGGTGCTTCTTCTGTTAGAAATGCGCCCACGTCCCGCATGAACGCCACAGCTAGTTCCACACTGTCATCCGTCGGGTTCTCCAGAAGCAGCACAAGGATCTCGAGGGCCAGTAACTCATGCACGACTCGCTGATTCACAAGATGCGCGAGAAATAGTAGTGTTGCATGACACTTGGGCTTGTCATTACGTCGAAAAGAGCGTCGGAATTGCGACACGAGTCGAGTCACAAGCAGCTCACCAACAAATGGGAGCTTGGTATTAATGATAGCAGCAAGCGCGGCAAAAACTGGCGTAAACGGCAACGATAATTCTTGGGCATGCATGATCGAGCGACAGAAAAGACCACGTCCGCGAATCAAATTCGCTCCGGCGAATAGCTCCGGCACAATGTACTTGATATTATCAGCGGCAACCTTGTTCACCAAACCAGTGATGCTCTTGCGCAATGCTTCCCAGTTCATTCTCTGAAACTCAATGCTCCCAGGATCGGCGCGTGCAACCTCTTCCATCAAAGCGCGGAGACGAGCTGGAGGTACGTACGTTCCACCAGCCCGCGTTTCTGCCAGTTTTGCCATGGCAGAGCGCAACGCTTCTCCTTTGGACGCCGCATCGTTCTGAGACGTATCGAATTGCGTCGCTACATCCCCGGACGAGTCCGAACGCTTACGCTTTCCGGAGCGATCAGCATCATCCATGACGATCTCTGAAACAAATGCGCGCGCGCACACACACACACAATCTGATGCTCTAAGGCACGCGCCGGTGACTAGACGCCACGAAAGATCCTCGGTGCACCCTACGAAGGAGCCTGGGGACGACACAAAATAGACGTGTAGCTGACTAAGCGTCTCCTATACAAAGGCCCCTTGAGACAGAGAAATGGTGGCATCCCAAGCCTCCTCTCTGAGCGACTGGCGAGGTTCTCCACCACAAAGATACAAGCCTTACGCCGGCCGATTTTCGCGAGTGAGAGCGCTCGCGTTGAATTGTCCAAATCGGTATAACGTCACGACACACGCTAGCTCAAAGCAGGGTAGTGGCAAGAATGGCGGCGCCTTCCCCGTCTCCCTTTTGCATTAGAGGGACGTTTAATCTCTCAACAAATAAGACGCAACGCGCGGCATCCTCCTACACGTACAAGTCAGGCTGCAGCGCCCGGTACAGTCAAGATGCGCGTATTCCTGACCATATTCTCGAAGAAGACGACGAAGATGATGAACAGGTAATTTTGACAATGCCAGGACAAGGAGTCGCACCCAGTACCCAGTACATGCGTGGTCATGGGTGTTATATTGACCCGTCAAGTTCGGAGATCGTGTCCTCAATGAGCGGCATTGTTGAGCGTGTCAATAAGCTGATCTCGGTGCGACCGATCCGCACGCGCTACCGCGCAGAAGTGGGGGACTTGGTTGTCGGACGCATCATGGAAGTGCAATCGCGAAGATGGAAAGTCGACATCGGCACAACCACCGATGCATCGTTACAGCTGTCGTCCGTCAATTTACCGGGCGGCGTCCAGCGCAAGAAGCTAGAGTCAGACGAATTACAGATGCGCATGTTTTTCCAGGAAGGTGATCTGGTCGTTGCAGAGGTACAGTCCGTGTTCCAAGACGGAAGTGTTGGATTGCACACGCGATCACTACGATATGGGAAGCTTCGGAACGGCGCTTTGGCTGTAATACCACCAGTTCTGGTCCGAAGGCACAAAAGTCACTTCATAACGCTGGACAAGTTGCCCGAGCATGGGATTGATTTACTGTTAGGACTGAATGGATACGTGTGGGTGTCGAAACATATTGACTTCGACGTCGCAAAGGCTGAGGGCGAAGGGGGGCATCACAGTGTCGCTGCCCCTCCGGCAATGCAGGTTGGAGCTAACGAGAGTGTAGGACTTGGCGGACGTGGGGTTGCTATGGACATTGATGGCGTTTACAGTGATGTCAATGAGCCTATATCAACGGAAACCCGGCGGTCCATCACAATCGTTTGCATAGCCCTTGCTGCATTTGTCCACCACGGGATTACTGTTACGGAATCTTCATTGGAGCGAGCTTGTGCATGGGGAATCGAGCAAGCGGATTTGTCAGATCCGATTACTTTGGCACACAGCATGATCCACATGATTCGGCGGCATAACAATGCGTAATGAGCAAGAAATGTGTGTATCAAAATAGTGGGCCTTGAAAGTGGGACGAGATGAATAGCAACAGAGTCTAAGTACTCCCCGATAGGTTTGCTTACTTGACGAGCTCTCTCTGTCCGCCTGTTTCTCTCTTTCTCTTTTTTTTCTTTCTCCCAGACACGCACATCCACTACTTCTCCCAGACAAAAAGCTTTCTTCTCCGCTAGTATGTAGTGCCTTCCGGTGGCTGAGCAAGTTTTCGGTTTGCAGGTAATGCCATCATGCGACGCAGCTCTGCCAATAAGCTTTCCATCGTATAGTCGGTACGCCACTGGAGAAGCGGCATGAATTGATCCGGTCGCACGCGACCATTCGACTGGTCCACGCATGGCAAATTGATCTTTGTAACAAACCAAATTTCTGGTGGCACCTGCGGGTATGAATCACCACAGACAAGACGCAATGAATAGATCCGATTTTCGTGCACAGAATTGGCTGGACCGAGAATCGTCGCATTCCAGTTGGTCATAACTGTATGTTGATGGTTAGAGTGAATTCACCGTGACGGATGCCTGTCCACATACGTATGTCATCACTTTCGGCTAGACCATACGAGCAGGAGCCATTCCCTAGACCCTTTTCACCTTTCTCTAGTTCCTCAAGCAAACGGAAATTTCGTGGTACTTTGAATAAATATTGTGCTTGCCAAATGCATGAACGTACCGACCGCCATGGTTCAGACAAGTTACGAGGTCACGAATAGTAGTACTACTTCCGGCCGATTCGTCACCTCCTAAAGGGCACTGACTCGATTCACCACTCCACTTGGACCAAGCACCCGGCACTCGCCACATATGACTTGGGGCCCGTCTGAAAGCAAGCGTGTGCATGCCATGTGGGGTAGGCGAATTGGGGCCAGCCAGCCAGCACCAGGAGCAAGTGCATGTCACGTGAGAATGGACTCATGTCCGTAGCGGTGTCGCTGACGAAAGGCGAGCGCGCTTGCACCAGCAAGCCAAACTGCCGACCGCCCATCTAATACGCATGCCTCCACATATGCTTTCTGTCGTGCCCAATTTGGGCACGAATGGCACCATTTAGACCTGATTCCTTTCTTCTATACCATGTCCAGCAGCGCTCCTAACGGTGGACATGCGCCTGTATTTATCGCATCAGCCGTTCGAACGCCAGTGGGATGTTTTCAAGGCACATTGAAATCGCAGACCGCCATTGATCTAGGCACGGCCGCAACGAAAGCAGCCATCGACCGTGCGCACATCAAGCCAGCAGACATCGACGAGGCATACTTGGGCTGTGTGCTCCAGGGAAATCTTGGACAAGGTCCTGCTCGGCAGGTAGTTTTGCATGCAGGCTGTCCGGACTCGACGGAAGCTACCACTGTCAACAAGATCTGCGCATCTGGCATGAAAGCCCTCGCATTGGGTGCCCAAAGCATTCGTCTTGGAGAACGTGACGTCGTACTTGTAGGAGGAATGGAGAGTATGAGCAATGCACCGTTTTACATAAAGCGCGGTGGTCTCTTGTATGGAGATGTGCCTGCCCAGGATGCCATCTTGCGCGATGGTCTCACAGATGCGCTGCATCACAAGCCTATGGGCCTCTGTGCCGAGCAGACAGCCCAAAAGTACGGATGTACGCGACAGGAACAAGATGCGTATGCGATTCAGTCGTATGAGCGGGCTGCAGCAGCATGGGAACGTGGCGCTTTCCAGCAAGAGATCGTGCCCATTACCATCAAGGGAAAACGGGGTGAGTCGATTGTGCAGGAAGACGAAGAGTACCGCAAGCTCCTCAAGGATAAAATCAGCACTTTACGGCCGGCTTTTGATGCGCAATGCGGCACCATCACAGCGGCCAATGCGAGTTCTCTCAGCGACGGTGCTAGTGCTTTGATTATCGCTAGTGCACACGCCGTGCAGAAACATCAGCTGACGCCAATCGCGCAGGTGCTGGCAAGCGCCGATGCTGCGTGTGCTCCAGTGGACTTCTCGACGGCGCCGTCGATTGCCATTCCACAGGCCCTTGCCAAGGCAGGCGTCTCGGCTGATCAGGTTGCGCTATGGGAAATCAATGAGGCATTCTCTGTCGCTGCACTTGCGAATGCCAAGATCCTCGGTCTTGATCTTGCAAAAGTCAATACGCTGGGTGGTGGCGTCTCATTAGGGCACCCGATCGGCAGCTCTGGCGCACGAATTGTCGTCACGCTCGTACATGCCCTTCGTCCAGGAGACATTGGTGTTGCAGGCATTTGCAATGTACGTTTACACAAAGATGGTGAAGCATAGCTAACGTTTCAGGGCGGTGGTGGCTCATCTGCTGTTGTGATCCAGCGCATGTAGCTGTCAAGATAGTTGGGTACTCGACATGGTGAGCATAGAAGAAACATGGATCTTGATGTAGTTTTTGTAAGAATGACTTCAGTGGTTGACGTGAACGTGCTGGTTACTATGGTGTCTCGTGGCGTTTCACGTAGGTCCTCCATTCCAACCGCTGCTAAGCGGCGGAAGGGTTTCATCAGTGCATGATCCGTGATTGAAATAGGCCATTTTCTCCACGCACTCGATAGTATACTCTCTCCACACACATGAAGAAACGTACCTTGGCCCAGGCGTTTCAAGCGTCCTTGAGGAAAAACGACTCAACGTCGGACAACAACGAGAAGAGGGACGAGAATCAGAGTGACAACAATGGTCAAGATCGAGACTGCAAACAAACTCTCACAGAAATGACAGCTGATGAACAAGATATTGATTACATGTCTGACACCATGCTCGAAAAGCTCGCTGCGAACGAGCGACCACTCGAGCTGACGTACTCGCAACGACAGACGAAACGTCGCATCGACGAAGCAGAGCGGAGGAGACAGGCTATGTATGATGCAGAGGCGCGTCAACGAGAAAAAGCACGCATGCCCCATCTCGGCGAAGTCGAGGCTCGACAACGCGGGCTTGCCACGAACGTGCTGGAAAATGCCATCAAACCACAACCAGATGGACCGGCCATTGGCGCAGGCACACATGCGGCATTGGAGATGATGAAAGCCATGGGGTTCGATATATCATACAAGGATGATGCAGTTGCAACACGTAATCCACTGATGCCAGATGAACGCTGGTTGAGCAGCAGCAAGTCTCATGTACCTCGAAGGCAGGGCATTGGGCATGCAGAGATCTCGAAACAAATTGCTCAAGCAAAAGAAGCTGCTTCACCTGTGCCATTGAGTGTCGATGCATTTCGTCAGCTTCAATCAGATCGAGCTAATCAAAAGCATCTAGAAGGTATTCTGAACAAGGCACGAAGCACGTGCCGGGCTTTGGATGAAGCGAACGGATGGGATGTACGTACGTGGACGGTGTAGACTTACCAACAGTATAATCCATATTGGCTTGATCCAGCGATTCTTGAGGAGGGAAGCAAGAGAGCCAATGAGACAACTAGTCCGCATGATGTTGCAGCACAAGACGCTAAGAATCTTTTGCTGGAATCACTCGAGCATCCGACGAGGTGCACAGACGCCCAGAGCTTCTGCTGTCTACCTGTACGTACAATCAACTCGCGATATATGAATATTTACGATTCTAGACCCATGCACGTCTTACTCTCACACACCAGTACTTGCGAGAGGTATATCACTATTGTGTATATTGTATGCAACAGTACGAGTCAGCAGGCGCTTTAAACGAAGAATGCCCTGGCGAGACAGAAGATGAGCACGCTTGAAAAAGAAAAGACAAAAGTATGTATAGAGAGTACTACGAATGTGCGAACACAGCAAGAGTGTACAGGGAGAGAGGAAGAGAGAGAGAGAGAGAGAGAGAGAGAGAGAGAGAGAAAGGGACATGGGTATGATTACCTAGTTGTACTGCGCGTAAAGCGAAGTGCTGGAGAACTTGCTGCCTTGGCGCACAACTTTGTCAACGGCCTGCAAAAAGTCCTTTTCTGTAGCCACCTTGCGATGCGCACGGATGGCAAACATGCCCGCTTCTGTCGCAACACTACGAAGCTCGGCACCTGTCGTGTTAGGACACAGACGAGCAATGAGATCGTAGCGGATATTTCGCTCCACTGACATGGAACGTGCGTGGATGCGCAAAATATGGGCACGGCCATCATTGTCAGGCAAACCGAATTCGACACGGCGGTCGAGACGGCCAGGACGCAAAAGGGCTGGATCTAGCGTGTCAGGCCTGTTGGTTGCCATCAACACTTTAATGTTACCACGAGAATCGAAGCCATCCAGCTGGTTGATCAGCTCCAACATGGTACGCTGCACTTCATTGTCACCACCGGCGCCATCATCGAAACGGACACCACCAATCGCGTCGACCTCATCGAAAAAGATGATGCACGCTTTCTTCGTTCGTGCCAACTCAAACAACTCACGTACCATCCGTGCACCTTCACCGACGTACTTCTGCACGAGTTCCGAACCAATGACACGGATAAATGTCGCGTCTGTCCGGTTGGCAACAGCACGTGCACAAAGCGTTTTACCTGTGCCTGGCGGACCAAAGAGTAGGACGCCTTTTGGTGGATCAATGCCCAGCTTCACGAACCGCTCTGGCTCAAGCAGTGGCGTCTCAACGACTTCACGAAGCTTTTCAATCTGGTCCTTTACACCACCGATATCACTGTACGTGACATCTGGCTTGTCCTCAACTTGCATCATCGTCACAGATGGATCAATCTTCGGCGGCAAGGGAATCTGGATCTGGTACTTGTTCCGGTCCACACCAACACGCATGCCTTCTTCGACGTCCGTAGGTGAGACACGGTCGCCCAGGGCGACGACAAACTTGGCAATTTGCTTCACATTGATCACATACTTATCTTTGTTTTCGCTTGAGGCTGGATTCAGCGAGCTGCTTAGGCCGTGCAAAGCGCCCAGCATATTGTCCAGCACACTCGGCGTACCACCTTCTGTGTCTCGGCCACCTGACGCACCCGATGACCCTTGACCGCCTTGGCCATCGCCCTCTGCGTCATTACTCTCGGGGTCATTCGCGTCGGCTGGAATGATTTTGGTGCATCTCGCCACTTGCAGTGGTTGCTCTTCACTCATACGCTGCTTGTCAGCAGCGATATCCCATAAATCAGGCGGCGCCAGACCTGTGTCGCTTTCCTTGATGCCCATCTTTTCATTCACGCGTTTTTCTGCTTCCTTGATCTCTTGATCGATCCGCTTCAGTGCATTGGCATACGGACCCTGTGCATATGTGCGCAGGAGCTGGATATCATCTTCGTCGAGTGGGACAATCTGGTCCTTGTCCTTGTCGGCATCTGCATCGGGCTTGCTGTACTTTTCCCAGTCTTTTTTCGGCGCCATCCCTGCACGCGGTGTGGCGTCGTTGTCGTGGTGAGAGTCAGTTGAGGGCCGCGCGTCCTTTTTCTGCTTGTGGGTCACGTAAAGATCGATGTGACGACACCTGGCCTAACAACGACCGGCAGAACATGGTTGGGATTTATGCATGCAACACATGCTTGCACCAGCCACGGACCAGCACGCTGCCCTTCTAAGAAGGCAAGTACTCCCTCCCTCCACCCTCCTCTTGGACTCAGCGCCTCCGCCCTCTTTCCAGCCTCTGGTGTGCTGAGTCAGCAGAGGCATTGCACGCGCACAGAGGCGATGAAACCGGGCCGCCCACGGGTTCGCCTACAGCGAGCGAGTGCTTGGAGACCAGGAGCCAACGAACGAGCAGGTCGCTCTCTCTTTCACCTACACACTCTCTTCACCCACGTTTACGACGAGCCTTATTCGACGTTGGAGATGGCGGGAGCAATGAGCAATGCAAAGCGCGATATGCGCAAGATCCGCGATGAGGACCGCGAGAGCCAGTATGGCAGTGTGTTTGGTGTATCGGGTCCTGTCGTGATTGCCGAGAACATGATTGGATCCAGCATGTACGAGCTTGTGCGTGTTGGACATGAAGAGCTGGTGGGTGAAATCATTCGTATCGAGAACGACAAAGCGACCATCCAGGTGTATGAAGAAACAAGTGGTGTCTGTGTTGGCGATCCTGTGCTGCGGTCCGGCAAACCCCTGAGCGTTGAGCTGGGCCCCGGTCTGATGGAGAACATTTACGATGGTATGCATTCAGGGCATTCTCGTGTTGAATGAGCATCGGGTACTAATGCGCGTCTGTACAGGTATTCAGCGGCCTCTGCAGGGCATCCGAGAAAAGAGCCAGAGCATCTATATTCCGCGCGGCATTGATGCACCTGCGCTTGACCGAACGAAGCAATGGGAATTCACACCTGGCAAGTTCAAGAAGGGTGACCACGTTAGCGGTGGTGATGTGTTTGGTTCTGTGCATGAAAACTCACTTGTGACGGAGCATCGACTCATGCTCCCGCCGCGTGCTCGCGGCACCATCACGTATATTGCCGAAAAGGGCACATACACAGTCGACGATATTGTCCTTGAAACCGAATTCCAGGGCGAGAAACAGGAGCACAAGATGATGCACTCATGGCCAGTGCGTGCGCCGCGCCCTGTCACAGAGAAGCTCGTCGCTGACACACCTCTGCTGACCGGCCAACGTATATTGGACTCGCTATTCCCCTGTATCCAGGGAGGCACCACGGCTATTCCAGGCGCATTTGGATGTGGTAAGACAGTGATTTCTCAGGCCCTGTCGAAGTTCTCCAACTCGGATATTATTATGTATGTCGGCTGTGGCGAGCGAGGCAATGAAATGGCCGAAGTGCTGGAGGAGTTCCCAGAACTTACGCTCATGCGGGATGGCAAGGAGCAACCGATTATGCGCCGAACGACGCTCGTTGCCAATACATCGAACATGCCTGTCGCTGCGCGTGAGGCGTCGATTTACACTGGCATCACGCTGTCGGAATACTTCCGTGACCAGGGCACGAACGTGGCCATGATGGCCGACTCGACGTCTCGATGGGCCGAGGCACTACGTGAGATCAGTGGTCGTTTGGCTGAGATGCCAGCTGACTCTGGCTACCCGGCGTACCTGGGTGGCCGTCTCGCAAGCTTCTATGAACGAGCTGGCAAAGTCGTGGCGCTCGGTTCACCAGAGCGTGTGGGCTCGGTGAGTATTGTGGGTGCTGTGTCGCCACCAGGAGGTGACTTTTCCGACCCTGTCACGACAGCGACGCTGGGTATTGTCGGTGCTTTCTGGGGTCTTGATAAGAAACTCGCGCAGCGTAAACACTTCCCATCCGTCAACTGGGATGTCTCGTACTCGAAGTACTCCCAAATGCTGGAGCCGTATTATGAGAAGAATGCACCGGGCTTCTCGTCCTTGCGTATGTCGGCCCGTGAGCTCCTACAGAAAGACTCGGACCTTGCCGAAATTGTGCAACTTGTTGGTAAGAGCTCACTTGGTGAGAATGACAAGGTTACACTGGAGGTCGCTCGCATTATCAAAGATGACTACCTTCAGCAGAATGGTATTTCCGAATACGACTGCTATTGTCCCTTCTACAAGACGTCTGCGATGCTAAAGAACATGGTGCAGTACCATGAGAAGGCACAGGCAGCCATCAACAACAACCCCGAGATCACATGGGCCCGTATTCGTGAGCACACGTCGGACATTCTGTACCGCCTTACGCAGCAGAAATTCGAAGACCCGAAGGAGGGCGAGGAGACGATGCTGAAGAAGTTTGAGCAGCTAGCGTCGGACATGACGGAAAGCTTCCGCAGTCTGGCGGACTAGATGTGAAGGAGTGTGTATCAACTACTGGTGGCTGGGCTGGCAAGCGTACGTGAGTGCTGTTCTCTCTCCTTACTCCACTAGGAAAGCCCTCGAGCTTTTCACTCATGTACACTCTCCATCTCGGATCCCTTATCCTGTTGCTTCTTTTTTTTCTTGTCTCTTTTTCCTTCCCTCATAATCTGTTCCTGTCTGCGGGCGATTGATGCTTTCATACTTCTAGGCAGGCACAGCGTACATAGGATCATGCAAAAGTGGGTGTTATGAAACCAAGTTTGGTGCTAGTCGTACCGTATACATTGTGGCCATAACCCGGCATGGGTCCGCCTTCTGTTGCGCGAACGAAGATCGGGTTGGTTGCATGGAATAGCGGCACACGTATCCTCTTTCATGGACAAACGTAGCGTGTAGTTTCTGTTGCTTTGCTGGTTCATGCTATGGGCTCGAACTTTTACTGATATGGTCGAGATGGTTGCTGCTGCTGCTGCTGCTGCTGCTGCCATGCACGCAATGCTTCAATGGTTGCCACTTTGAGACCATGCGCCCGCGCAAAGGCCAAGCTTGCATCACGCGCTGCAATGTTGCCCATCTGATCATTCGGATCGACAAGTTCACACAAAAGACCGGCTGGCGGAAGCCCAGCTGCCTTGCATAGATCGACGGCCGCTTCTGTGTGGCCTTGACGTACCTGAACGCCTCCTGGCGTGTACCGCAAAGGATTCATGTGACCAGGGCGAGAAAAGTCGCCGGCCGTCGCACCAAGAGATGGATCAGCGAGCATCCGCGATGTCAATGCACGATCATGTGCAGATATGCCTGTCGTTGTATCGTGGCGATAATCCACCGTAATCGTGTACGCCGTCTTGTGCTTTTCTTGGTTCTCTGGGACCATCATCGGGAGTCGAAGTGTATTGAGACGTTCAGGCGTCAGCGAAATGCATACGAAGCCACTGTGAGGCGGTGTTAGCATATAAGGTCTACATCACCACATTATTGCCAACGCTCTTCTCTTTGCGCCCCTCAACGAGCCCACACTTACCTTGAGTGCTGAATCAGAAACGCCATCTTCTCTGTCGTCACCAGACTCGCGGCAATCAATAAGTCCCCTTCATTCTCACGATGTTCATCGTCCAACACAATCACAAACTCGCCTCGTGCGAACGCATCGATGACATCTTCTATCGGATCAAACATGATCAATGTGTTCTCTTCTGTGGAACGATGGTTTTCCCCCAAATCACTCCCCGCCTATCGACGATGGAGGCCTTAGACCGGCTTCGTTGGAATTCTAGGCCTCAAATACAATTACCCCACGCTACCTAGGCCAGGGCTCCGCGTTTCTCAACCAATTGTGAGAAACCCATATTTCTAAGCCCGCCCTCGCAATTTGGATTGGGGGCCAAGCGCGTTCGCCACGCGCAAATCAAGTGCATCTGTCTCCACTGCGCGCACAGCCAGCGGAGGCGTGGACTACGAAAGTTCTTTCTATGAGACAGACGGTGGAGAGGGAGAGGGAGAGGGAGAGGGAGAGGTAGAGAGATGTACGAATGTGTCCGCACAAGACCCAAAGGTCAGGGTAAGGGGAAGTAAGTATGGTGTCCCCTTCGCGTGGGCCAGAAAAAAAAACTTGCGCACCAAGTCTGCTCGCGGCCGCAAAGACTTGGTGACGTAATCAAGAGGCCGGGCTAGCCCGGGTTTGGGCGCTCGAACAGCGAGCGGTGCCCCGTCACTGGCTGCTACTGGTGGCCAAGGCAGGCGACGTTTCTGAGTGGGCAGACCAGACTCTCTTGCTCATCTCGGATCCACGCCGTCGGATCGCTTACACCGCTAGTTGTTGTCCACACTTTGTAGCGATGACGTCGGCCTCCGCCGCATGCCTATCGAGGCGCATGGTGGCACGCATGGTGCCGCCGCATGCGAGAGTATGTACGGGTTTTTTCTCGACAGCGTCAACTGACCGATTCGCAAAGACATACACAAGTGGCGCTACACCTCCAGTCCCGCCGCGACGCCGTGGCCTCGTGTCGCGCGTCCTGACATATGCGACAGTAGGCGCCGCCGTATTTTACGGTGGCTCTGTGTTTGCAGCGAAACAAAATGAAACGTACCGGGACTTTTTCACTGAGCGCGTGTTTGGCGGCAATGAGCTTGTCACCTACTTTGACAAGCACGAGCTGCGCGATATCCCCGAGGATCTCAGGCACATGGACGTTGAAGCACGTGTTGCACAGGCAGCGAACCATGTGCGGGATGGATTCCATCGCATGAGCAACTACGTGCGCCAGAACGAACACGTCCAGCACACACGTGAAGAGGTGGAAAAGCGCACGGCTGAACTACAGGACAAGCTGCAGGAGCAGCTGGGAGAGCTGCGTGACAAAGCAGAAAGGGAATCGGCGCATCTGTACGAGCAGGCGCAAGCCATGGCAGGCCGCTCGCTCAGTGATGCTCGCGAGCAAGTGGACCACTTGGGCGGAGCGCTTCACGCACGCGGGTGACAAGGCGCGCGAAGAGGTGTCCGACGCTGTGTCGGGCGCTTCGGACGCTGCTTCTGATGCTGTCACAAAGGTGGCGCCTGCGTCTGTTGAGTCGGGCAACGGCCATCGCGACCACGACGCGCCGTCGGCCGGTGTATACGGCGCGCCGTACGCCGAGCGCAAGCTCGTTGCGTCCGGCGACAATGGTGGTCGTCTGCGGCCAGACCCTGAGGCGCCGCGCCTGCCACAGCTGACGTCGTCGCTAAAGAAGCTGGGCAGCTCGGAACCTGTGATTGCGCAGCTGGCAGGCACGATCGACGAGCTGGCTGCATTCTTGAAGGAATCGCCGCACGCGAGTACGCTCGCGCGTGGTGTGCTGGAGACGGCTGAGGCGGACTTCCAGAGTCTGTGCAAGCGCCTGGACCAGATCAAGGCCAAGGATGCCGAGAAGCTAGATGCCCAGCTGGAGAACCAGGCGCGAGCCTTTGAAGCCGAGCTGAAGAAGGCAGCAGACAAGGCGTCGAGTGAGCTGGGCCAGCGGGACCAGGACTGGGCGAAGCGCGTGAGCGCCTTGCAGGATGAGCAGGCGAGACAGTTCAAGACACACCTGGCGAAGGAGCTCGAGACACAGAGTGCTATTATCGACCAGCGTCTAAAGGAAGAAGTCATTGCGCGCGGCATTGAGCTGCAGCGCAAGTGGTCGAACGAAATCAAGGCCAAGGTCGAGCAAGAGCGGGCTGGCCGCCTCGCTCGTCTTGATGAGCTGGCGCAGGAGCTGCAAGGGATTGAGGGCATGCTCTTTGAGAATGCGGACACGCTTGACGACAGCTTCAGCCTCAATTCACTGCATGCTGCACTGCGTGCGTTGCGCTCGACGATCGATGCGCACGCGGCGGAGGACTCGCCGTATGTTCGCCGTACGTTTGTGAACGAATTGGCAACGCTTTCTGCGACGCCCAAGGCCAAGAACAATGACCTTATTGCTGAGGCGCTCAAGGCCGTCGATGCGACAGGCACCGCGTCGGATGGCATCGAGAGTGTGCCGACTCTGCACGAGTGGTTCACTGTGCGTGTTGCGCCGCGACTTACGCAGGTCGCGCTCCTGCCGGAGCAAGGAGCGGGTGTGCTGTCGTATGTCGCGAGCATGGTGATGAGCCCTCTCTTGTTCACGCGCAAGGGGAATGTGCCCGGCAACGATGTGAGCAGTATTATTGCACGTGCTGAATGGTTCTTGGAGCGACGCGATCTCGATGCAGCGACGCGGGAGCTCAACCAGCTGCGTGGCTGGGCCAAGATCCTCGTATCGGACTGGCTCCAAGCTGCTCGCAAGCGTCTGGAGGTTGACCAGGCACTTGATCTTGTTCAGCAAGAGGCTTCGTTTGCGTCGCTGCTGCGTACATAGGCCATTGGTAGTGTTCGATGACGAGAACATGCAAAAGAGATCGCCGGGAACAGGAAAGGAGAGCAGGGGGGGTTGGGAAGACGGTACGAAAGCGCGAGACAGGGTGTAGACGGTTCCCACGAGAATCGGGCGTCCATGCTCGACGCTGTGCGATGCCATCACATGCGCTATACGCACACTCAGACACCCTCACACATACACGCACCTACGCTCACGATGCAGGCAATCGGTCGATGCCATGCCGCCTACGTGACGCTCGTTTACGTCCGTTCGCATCGCTCATCTGCTACATGCAATGCACACTACAGACAGAGATCGTCACTCAAGTCCATGGGCCCTCCGTGTACGTGCGTGACGTACGCCTGCAATGCATCGACCGTGTCCCGGCATGCGGCGAGCCAAGCGTCCCCGGCACGTCGCACACGAAGGAGTGCTCGCCACCACAACAACACGCCGCGCACCTTGTCGAGCGCATATGCATCCACACAGCGCTTCAGCACAGCGCACAGACGCTGGAGATCACCACGACGTGGCGCGTCATGCGCACAAGTCTCGTACCATTGCGTGATTTGCGCACGCATTCTATCGAGGGATTGATGCACATGAAAGCCATGCACACTCGCCACGGCAGATGGGGGGCATTCGACAAGCGAGGCACGGGGATGCAAAGGTGCGAGTTCATAGGGGCCGACGCGTTCTCCCACGACGTCCTCCTTGTCGGCGTCAAGGTGCAGACCCAGTCGCAAGGCTGCGTGAACGTATGGATCTGTGTGTTCAGAGGCGCCGGCATCTACTCGGATCCGCGCCTCGTGCATCAGAGCGCACTCGGCAGCCTGTCGCCTGTGCGCAGCGACGGTTTGCCGGCCTTGCACAGGCGCCTGGTGTCGTGGACGCAGGGCTTGGTACGCGGTGCGTTCAGCAAGCACATCGGATTGGATCTCGGGCGGCAGCGCATCAAAGACGTCCTGGTCAATGCCGAGTGAGGCCAGGTCCACCTCGCGCTGCTTTTCGCGCCGAGGAGAAAAGTACATGGGCAGTCGCGACTGCCTAGACGGCGTGGCTGGCGTGCTGGATGAGTGCTTTGTTGGCGAGCGATGCTTTGTCGGCGTCACGGGCGTGCTGGACGACTGCTTGGTCAGCGAGCGACGGCGCTTCGATGGCGTCGTAGGTGTGCTGGATGACGCCTGTTGTGGCGTCGCATCTGGGATTGGCGACGCCGGAGGCCTTCGCTGCTCGAGCACACGCTCAATGTACTCGCGCATCTGCGTCGGCAGATCAGCCATGACACTGGAATCCAGCTGGGAGGAAGAGGGCACCTGAAACTGAGACGGCGACGGGGCAGGAAGAGCCACTGGCGTCTTGGGCGACGCACACGCTCCATGGGCAGTACATGGCGTACTGCGTGGTTCAGCACTGCGCTGCACGTCGACGTGGCGCTCGGCGGTAGATGTTGCGTCCGTGGTCAGCAAGGCTTGGTCCTCATGCGCCGGCGACGGCTGATGCTGGCGAGACTCGAAATCGCTCGTGCTCTTGGACTCCGACAAGCCGGCTTCTGAGGCCGGTCGATGCTTCTCCCTGCTCTCCCAAGGCCACGATGAACGCGTCGATCCGCGCTCCAAGCCTGAAACACTAAGCGCAATCCCGCGCACATCGACAGCGGGGATCTGGAGCTTCTGCAAAAGGGGCCACGCTGCCGCATACAGCGACGAGCGATCGTACACGCGCCGCCGGATCGACCGATGAAACGTGCGGCACAAGCCATGCCCCAAGAACTTGGGCGATTCACCTGCCTCGTCGGCCCGCTGCATGACCTGGAGCTGGACGTGTGTCGCCGCCGATACGTGCATGTGCGACGCACGCCGCATCACTTCCGCACACACGTCCTGAAGAAACCGACGGACTTCTGTGTCGTCGTGCAGTCGGACGCCCCAGTTCACATGCGCACCAACACTCTGACGCTCCCGTGTGGCTTGGAGCACGTGTGTGTCATGCCCATGGAACTTTTGCCAGAGCGCACGTCCATGCTTCGGCCCAAACTGCTGGATCATGTGGGCTTCATCCGTGCGCTGGCAGATATCCCCAATGCATGTTGTTCCGAGCCACGCTAGCAGCCGCTCTCGCAGACTAAAACCGACGCCCCATATATCTCGCACATCCAACATCTGCATGTGTTCTTCCACACGGTCCAGTACATACACGCCACACGGCTTCGCTTGCCTCGTAGCCAGGCGCGCTTGCAGGATATTCGCTCCGATACCCACACTCGCTTCACACTGTGTCTCGAGTCGAATCACGTCGCGTAGTGCTTCGCCCAGGGCGTGTGCCGGCTGCACACCGGCATGTCGCGCTAGATGCAGGCGGAACTGCGCCTCGAGTCGAGAGAGGATCGCATCGCTCGTTGGCCATGCGAATCGCTCCGATGCTTGCGCCTCACACAGCGCACGAAGCAGGTCCGTTGCATCGAGCAGCGCTTCATCCACACTCACGACCTGCAGCACGTCTGCGACGTGCAAAAGCACAGCGTAAAACTGCAGCGACACTTGATAGTATGCATCAAACGCATATGGCACAGGTAGAATAGACGGGCACAGGTGCCGCGCTTGACGCAGGCTCATCCCATTTTTGACGCCGTACCGACGGGCTACGTAATTGCATGACGCCACATCCGACGTGCTGGACGACCCGTCTGTCCCTGTCAGCGTCGCGTGGCACACGGCCACTGGCTTGTCGCGCCATGCAGGCTTCGCTCGCAGACTTACACTCACGAAAAAGCTGTCAAAGTCAATGTGCACGATGGTGCGCGGTAGATCGGTGCTTCGTCCACGTGGTGGTGTGCCCGACTCGCTCACAGCACTCGCCACAAGGTCCTGCAAGCTGTTTTTCCACGTGCTTAAATGATGTAGGCGGCTGTTCGCATAAAAGCCCGCAAGAAAGTCGCGACTAGCGGCTGTGTTCTTCGCACGCCATGCCTCGGATCGGAGCAGCTCAGCCGCCCGTTGATTCGTAGTCGTGGGAAATAGGGAGCAACAACTTGCAGGCTCATCCGGACGGCTCAGTCCTGCTGCGTTCTTCGACGTCGCGGTGGCCACGGTATGTGGTGTCATAGCGTCCGCCGGCACTGTATCACACGCGTCGTTGGCCGTGGACGAAGGCTCGTTGGCACGCTTGGCATCGAACACTGTCGTCCAAGGTGTTGTGTGCGTACCTCCTAGCCTAAACTGCGTCCAGTTCGCTCGCTGGCGCATGCGACAGCTTTCAAGGACCCATGCTGGCGACACCACCTTGTACGCCCGAAACTCTGCCACTTTCTTCGGAGGAAGGGTGCTGGCTACGATGTGAGTACATGCACGCTTATGATCCAGATACGTGAGCACTTGACCGCCATGGAGCACAATCATCCGACGCAGCTCTTTATAGGGCGGATCCGTTCGGCCAGTGATATAGATCGAGCATCCTCGTAGCGCGTCGGATTCCAAGCCAGCAGGCTCGTCCTCAAGCAAACTTGCTTCCTGCACCTGTAATTTGAGTCGCTTATTTTTCATGTATGTGCCAAAATCACCAAACGGAATGGCTCGGTACGCATCCGTCTCAAGGTACGTGGTATCACCACCAGCCAAGCGTCGACCCGCGTTCGTGGGCGGCGACGCGTGTGGCAGTCGCGACGTCAACAGGGATGTCGGCCTTGATGAATGTGCTGGTTCCAGAGCTGGACATGTTTCGCACGCTGTCCGCTCCTCCTGTGCCAACGGCTGGTCCTGCAATGACGCTTGTTGTGGCGAAGACGCAGGCCACGGATCCTCGTACACATCAAAGGCATCTTGGCGTTCAACTTGTTCTAGTGCCTCCAGCAAGACACTCTCATCGCTGCAAGGAAAGCTGGACGGCGGCGTCGAGCATGGCATGCATGAACATGCCACTCAATAGTCCAGAAGAATAGACAGGTCAGGTCCTACCCCTCCGCCCACCGACGTGCCAAATGATCAATGTGCGACATCTGATGCCCTCACACGCCTGCCGTCTCTCCACGCACACAACGCACATCAAGTCGTCCGATCGCTGGACAAATCTCTAGTGCTGACTAAACAGTGGAGTCCAGCGTAGACGTGTGCACGCGCGCAAGGAGTCGTAAAGCAGCCGTGGGTGTGGGTGCTGGAAAGACTTGGGGGGAGGAGGGGCATGGCGACCAAATGGAGGCAGGAGTTTTGGCCAGAGAATTTGCCTTCCGCACACGCTCATCTTCTACCACCATGTCGAACCCAGCCAACACAGAGCTTTCATACCTAAAGTCGCTCGTCAACGAGCTGAACGAAAAGATTGCCGTGCTTGAGGGCAAGGCACCAGCGAACCAGGGCGTGCGCATGGTGCTGGTGGGCCCGCCAGGTGCTGGCAAAGGCACACAGGCCCCAAAGATCCTGGAGCGCTTCCAGAACATGGTGTGCCACCTTGCGACAGGAGATCTCTTGCGCCAGCAGGTTGCCATGGGCACTGATCTTGGAAAGCAAGCCAAGAAGATCATGGACCAGGGCGCACTGGTCAGTGACGAAATCATGGTCGGCATGATCAAGGACCAGCTCGAGACGAACCGTTCGTGCAAGAAAGGCTTTATTCTCGATGGATTCCCGCGAACGACGCCCCAAGCTGAGAAGCTTGACCAGATGCTCTCGGACCGGAAGCAGAAGCTTGACCATGTGATTGAACTGCAGATCCCCGACGAGCTCCTCATCAGCCGCATCACGGGACGTCTCATCCACCCAGGTAGCGGCCGCAGCTACCACAAGATCTTTAGCCCGCCGAAGCAGCCCATGAAGGACGACATCACGGGCGAGCCGCTTGTTCAGCGCTCCGACGACAATGAAGAAGCACTTCGTAAGCGTCTCGCCACGTACCACAAGCAGACGACGGCCGTGACGGACTACTACAAGAAGCATGGCATCTGGTCGCCCATCGATGCCACGCAGTCGCCGAACACCGTGTGGCAGTCAATCAGTGCGATCTTTAATAATGGCGCTAGTGCATAATGGCCGTAGAGATAACTCGTATCGTGTCAGTGCTCGCACTATGGCCGTCCGCCACCTTCCTTGTTGCCGCCATGCGCATCTCATTTGCCCGAGTCACGTCGGCAGCACCGCTGCACCTGCACTAGCTACACAATGTCTTCTACATAGATGTGTCCTGGGTATGATGTCGAACAGCCTGGGTGATGTGCTGAAAGATTGGGTAGGTGGAACTCGCTCGGTACCGGCGCACCGTTGCATACGTCAGTGCATGCTGGTCGTCTGTCGCCGCATGCTCCGCCTCCTCGCGAGCATCATCCAGCAGACGCACAAGCGCCGGATCGATAGGTACACGGCCCAAGAAAGGAATCCCCTGCTTATCAGCAAGTGATTCACCACCACCTTTGCCCCATACATTCGTGCATTCAGCACAATGCGGACAGACGTAGCCACTCATATTCTCAATCAGGCCCACCACAGGTAGGCCGACCTTGCGCGTGAAATCAAGTGAGCGCAGGTTGTCAGAAAGTGCTACGGCTTGTGGCGTCGTCACAAGCACGGCCTTGGGTGCATATGGGTGGATCGCCTCCATCAGAGAGATGTGCTCGTCTGACGTGCCTGGTGGCGTATCAATAATCAAGTAATCGAGATCACCCCATCGCACATCGCGCAGAAACTGGTTGATCATGCCTTGCTTCTTTGGACCGCGCCAGACCACGGAATCGTTCTTTGACCGCAGCAAGAAGCCCACACTCATTACGCCCAGGCACTGTGTCTCGTCTGTGTACACAGGCACCCAACCATCGGAGCTTTGATGCACTGCTTGGCCATCGACGCCAAGCATGCGAGGTATTGATGGGCCTGTCAAATCGATGTCCAAGAGTCCTACGCGCAAGCGTTTCTGAGCACCTGGATCAGGAGTATCAGATTTTGCCGCATATGACAGTGAAAGAGCCAGTTGTGCTGCCACAGATGACTTGCCCACGCCGCCTTTTCCTGATAAAACGACAACGATGTGGCGCACACGACGCATGCGCCTCTCAATAGAAGAATCAGCTGCACTCATAGTGCCTGCACACAATAACAAGCGAGTGACCCGACCGCTTCACACACACGCTCTCTCTCACTCTTTCTCTTTCTCTCTCGCCTAGGCAACGCCACAACGGATGTGAATGATCGACGTAAGCGCCCACCGTTTCAAGAGTGTGGAGTGGACGCGCGTTGCAATCTTTCACGTGATGCATCCCTGCCCTCTTCCTACACTGTGGACGTGAAACGAGAGCAAGCGAACGTGTGTGTGTGTGTGTGTGTGTGTGTGTATTTTGACGCGCGTTGTGTTGAAAAGGTAGAACACTTTTCTGACACAATCGCGCCGCAACGAACGCGAATTTATATCGCCTACACTGTGAAAAATTGCATGCCCGTACGGTCCGTCGGCACAGTTCCACAAACTACAACGGCATGAGTGCCTCGGCTTCAAGACGACGTCCAATTCGACAACAGCCACAGCATCGGCAGCAGCAGCCAAACGGCGCCGCGAATTCAACAAGTGCCGATGACGTGGATCGACATTGTGTTCCAATGCTTGTTTCACTTGCTGAGTCTTACCTTCACGTGGCGGACGATTTCCAGGGCCCTTCGTCCGCAGCTTTATCCTGGTACCTGACGTTGCATCGGCTACATTGTATGCATCGCTGGCCCTGGCCATGGATCCAGACCACGTTGATGCGCGGCGTCTAGTTGCTCTTTGCCACCTTATGGGTGGAACCGCGCTAGTTTTTCCTTTTGCTCCGTCGTCATTTGGTCATGTTCGCGTGCCTCATGGTTACCAAGCGCGTCCGCCTTCGCGAGCATCCGCATTGTCTGTAATGCACCTCCTACAGCGAGGATCCCGCGCCACGTTCCAAGACATAGGATCTGCGCGCGTATATGCATCAGCATGTACGGCTCTTGGGCAGTACAAGGATGCGCACGATGCGCTCGAGTATACGATCCAACATGGCACGAAACGCAAGCAGGCAGACATGCCACCTGCATGCTCGTTCCCCTCCCGTGACGTGTACACGAGCCAGCTCTATACACAATTGGGCCATATGTCTATGAAGCAGGCCAAGTACACGGAGGCGGCCAACTACTTCGGCAGGGCTCACGAACTAGACCCGTTGAATTGGGGTGCATGGACCTCCCTTTGTGATATGGCAACAGCGCGTCCTGCTGCCGATGCATGGTTAGTGAAGCCACGCGTCTCAGCTGCCACCAGCAGTGGAACAACAGCACCGACAACAGCTGCTGCCTCCGCTCCTGCTTCCAAGCTGCAGCAAACGAAACGGGCGCGTGCGCCAGAGCCAAGTACGCGCCCTGTGCGTCGAGTCACGCCACGGGCGGCTGCGTTGCGTTCGGGCATGGCTCGAGGAGCAAGTGCACATGCCCATCAGCCAACAAGCGCGCCTTTGCATGAAACACATGGACCCCCTGTATCTACGTCTGTGCCGCCACGCACACTTTCTTCGTCGCGGACTCATGTCACTCGGCCGCTGCCACAGGAAGACGCCCGCAAGCGCGTACCAAGCAAGACGGGCCTGACGGGCCTGAGCAGTACATCTGTAGCCCGAGGGACGAGCACTCGTGCTGCATCGTCAGCACCGCTCGCTCCCGACCAAACCACTTCGCCAACCGGCATGGTGCTTGAGTTAACGCGTGACTTGGCCGAAGCCTATCGCTTGGTCCGTCGATACGAGGGAGCGAAGGCGGTGGCCTTGTTGTGCGACAACACACAGGCGCCGCCGCGCCGCCGTGCATTCCGCATAGCTTGTGTCTACTGCTTGCTAGGGCGTGCTTTGCATGACATGACAGAGTACACAGACGCAGAGACCCAGTTCCGTCGTGCACGTGCTCTCGAGCCGTACTTGCTGATGCACATGGACATCTACTCGTTGGTCCTGTTTCAGCTGCACCGAGAAGTCGCCCTGTCGGCACTGGCCCAAGATCTGCTTGCGATGGACCCACGTGCCGCTGTTGCCCACATTGCTGCGGGCAATACATGGTCGCTCCAACACCAACATGATGCTGCCTATCAGTGTTTTCGGCAAGCCACGCTCGTCGCGCCTGAGTGTGCATATGCATACACCCTGGCAGGCTACGAGGCTCTTGAACTCGAGCAGCCAGCGCGTGCTGTGCGCTTGTTCCGCTGTGCACGTCGATGCGACCGACGCCATTGGAATGCGCTCGCCGGCCTCGGTCAGGTGTACCTTCGGCAGGGCCATGCCGTCCGTGCGAGCGAAGCATATGCACAAGCATTTCTAATCAACCGGAGTAATGCCGTGCTGCTCGACCTACTTGGATGGGCGCTTGAGCAGTCTGGCAACTGGAACGGTGCATTGGCCGTGTACCAACGAGCCATTGCCATGCAGCCCAAAGCCGCCATGACACGGCTCAAGAAAGCACAACTCCTTCTTCGCCTTGCGCGTGCGTGTGACGATACCGATGGCACGCCATTGCTCGATAAACGTGAACGTGCACGGCAGCGCCAGGCAGCCCATGCTGAGCTCCTGCGCGTCTGTGCATTAGCACCATCAGAGCCTCGTGTTCACTTGATGCTCGCTCGCTCGTACATGCGAATGGGTGGGGGACGCTTTGCTCCCGGCGAAGATACCACTCCTCCAGGCTCTCCTGGTGGGGACAGTGATGCAGAGCGTAGCAGCGGCCTCGGCGCGACCCAGCACGGAACACGATTGCCGAAAGCATTTCACGCAGAGATTACGCACCACCTCGCGACAGCCGTGGATCTTGATCCGCGATGCGTGCGAGAAGTGAATGCGATGGGAGATATGCCGAAACTCGCTTGGCACGGCCTTATGGGAGGCCCTGGTTTCGCGACAGGTTCTGGAGCTGGCGCTATGAGTGGTGACGTCGGAGCCATGATTGCTGAGGACGACGACATTGATGACATGGCAGGTATCGAAGATTCCCAAGATATGGCCGACATAGCCACGAACATGGCATACCATGCCATTGACCAAGACGACGAGCTGGATGGCTACGTATGGGAAGGCTAAGGAGGCGAGCAGGATATCGAAGGAAGGGAGTGAAGACAACCAGAAAAAATAGATGGGTAGGGATCAATGGCGCCAGGAAAAATGGTTCATCAGAAAGACATCTTCCAGCGCAGGTCTGCTGAGTGTTGTCTTGAGGAGATCGAAGCGCGTGCCATTTTAGCGCATCAGATGGTCAGCATAAATATTGGAGGCAATCTCAGCCTCCGCCCGGTCGCCATTGGCGAGAAGCTTTTCCTTGTTATAGAAGAGCTCCTCACGCGTTTCTGTCGCAAACTCAAGCGTTTGTGTCTCGACAATAGCGTCGACTGGACATGCCTCCTGGCACATACCACAGTAAATGCACTTGGTCATATCAATATCATAACGCGTCGTACGGCGCGAACCATCCATACGAGGCTCGCTCTCGATCGTAATAGCGAGCGCTGGGCAAATGGCTTCACACAGCTTGCAAGCAATGCAACGCTCTTCCCCTGTTGGGTACCGACGAAGCGCATGCTCGCCACGGAAACGCGGGCTGACCGGCCCTTTTTCAAATGGGTACTGGATCGTGTATGGAGGACGGAAGAAGTTTTCCAAGGTCATCCACAAGCCACGCGCCATCTCAGTGAAGAGGAAAAGGCGTCCAGCCTTTTCAAGCGAGCTGAGCCCCTCGGAGAAGTCTGGCTCCTGCTTTGGTGGACGCACAGAATGCCTGCTGCGTGATGGCTGCGGGTGATCCTGCGCCACATTCAGTGTGTCATGCACGGGCGACACTTGCAATGGTCCTGTCTGGCCATCAGGGCCGGAAGGATGCGCCCGTTGCCACACGTTTGTCGAAGAAATCGTACGCACGCAACCCACGCTGGGCTTGGCGAGCATGCGTGTCGCAGCACGGCTTAGGAATAGCGACGTCATACTCGTAGCGGTATTGGTCGTCAATGCTACTCGCGATGAAAAGGCAATGTGCAATTGACGGGAGTGTTCGTCGCTGACAAACAAAATTAGAGCCAGCGGACGTCCGCCTCGAAGCTCCTGACTGCACGAAATAGCGGTGGTCTCATTGGCTAGACCGTCTGAGTGCTTGTCCGTTCGTGATGCTGACCATCGGCCGATAATTGTCACGTGGATCGGCACCTTTCGTTTCCAGTGCCCCGATGGCAACTTGGTAATCGGGCTGGGTGGATAAGATACACATCAGCTTATTGTCAGCGTCCTGTGACTTATCGCTGTTCACGGGTAGGAACTGTGGGTGGAGGTGGCTGTCCAAGCATTTGTTGGGCGTTTGGGCCGCAAGGAGGCTGCGCGTTGGCACAAAGTGTGATAATGAATCATATAGAGAAAAGTGTGAAAGAATAATTATGCATCAGGAACCTAGTTGGGTCCTCGAGACAATCAAAGCCCTCTCTAGATTTGCCAGCGATCAAACTAGCTCGTTTTTCCATCAGGTCTTAGCACCCAGGAGCTGGAGCGAGTGGTTACCACTTGTTCCCAAAGTCAAAATAATCAAGCTCACTCACAACCCTACTTCGCTTGTCTTTCGATTCAAATCGCTTCAAGGACCTGCACCCATCCGCTCTCAAGAATAGTACGAGGGTCGTTCCTCCTTTTCCGTCCTGGCTCTCCATCACGTTGCCTAGTACGCCGCTGTCGTCTTGGACGCATCCACCGATAGTGTACCCGTTGCGCCTGTCAACGTTTCTCTCTCATTTTTGCATCGACGTTCACTCGCACACGTATTGGCTTTCATATATATGCTTTCTTGCTTGCCTGACCACATGAATGGTCAAAGTTTTGTACGGCACGCAAGAGATTTTCACACACCGCTTGAATCAGCATGCTTGAGACCTTTTTCCAAATATGAAGACAACACATATGAGTCTATCCCCGATAACGAACATGAGGCCAGTATTATGCAACGTCTGTACGAGGCTCGCAAACGCCTCGAATCAGGATCTGCAGAAAACGACGCACATGAGGAAGTCTGGCTCAAAAGCAGGACTTCCACATTTCTCTCGCCGAACAACAGCACCACAAGTCTCATCTTGCCTATCCCACGAGCGAAATCGCCAAGTCCTAGTGTGTCAGCTTGGTCCATGTGTGGCGAATATAGCAAGCCGTCGACGCCTGTGTCGCTTCAATTTGAAGATCAGCAACTGCAGGAGCGTCGCGCGAGTATGAAAAACTCGCAGAATCGACCTCCAAGTCTGACATTAGACCTTAAAGACGTTCCTTATTCGGCTTTCATCGATGCCGAGCGCCGGCGCTTGAGTGAAGTTCCATCTGCATCCCAATCGCATGAACCACTGCCGCCCCAACATGTCGTACACGCGCTCGCATCGTCGGCACCGGTACCACCTGACAATTCTGGGTCGAGGTACGGCATGGCTCCATTCACGGACCTCGAGCGCGACGAGTGGGTTTGGCAATGCGATGAACATCGCTCTCCCCGCAGTAAGGCGAGCGATCCTGAAGCAAGCAGTGGCCAAGAGCAACCGTCAGGTTTGTCATCGTCTCCGGTCTCAAAATTGTCTCACGCGCAAGAAGAATGGGCTTGGGTTGTGTCTGGCGCCGCATACGGTCACCGACAAGACAAGCCAGCCACACCATTGTCTACACCAACGACCATGTCCGGTTGATGTGCATGGTCTTAAGATGTATTGTCGCTAATGCTAGGTCTTTGTAGATAATTATGCACCACCTTAGGCCAATCCCTTTCCCTTCCCCCATTCTATCATGAATTCACTCGTATCAGCTACGTTCGAGAGGAAGTCGACTCTCCGGACGCCCAGCGTTCTCTAATATGATGTGCCAAGTAAGCCCCGATCCATTCCCGAGCAATGCGGCGTATTCCGTCAGTCTCTGGGGTATCAAACGCTTCGTCAGAACATCCTGTTGATCGAGCGCTTTGCGCGGTAAGGATATCATGGGCGCCTACACAAAGGCGCTCAACTTTTTCGTCGAGTATGGCGATAACACGAGACCAATCAAGTCTGTAAACAAGACCATCGCATGTGTGTGTCTGGGGCTGCGTTGAGCATATTCTCAAAAGATGCTTGTGCATCATCGGGTGTAGAACGAATGCTGTGATGTCTGGCCATGCGTTTGTAAGTGCTGTCGGTGACTGTGATGAGCATGATGTTGAGGATGGGTCTGTGTGTAAAGCTAGTCGGCGAGTAACATGGGCATCTGTTGCAGCTTCTGCCCAATCGTCCAGGGGCCAGAACCGCTTTCCATCATGCTCTAGCCCAAGTATACCCAGTAGCACAAAGGCCGGATCTATGCGGCTAAGAATATGCATCGCTCCATCAGCGACAACTTGGCCTTCAAATGATGTCGCTTCACGCAAGAACCAGCTTTGGGATGCTGGCGCTGTGGGGCGTGTGACAATGAGCTCGAACAGCGTGCCATGTCCGTCATTCGAGATGGCATAATACGCCGGTGCGCCGGAACGTGGATGGGGAAGCACCCATAGCTGTGTCAAATCATCGTTAGTGACTTCGGACGGAAACGCGAGTGCGACGGGTGGTCTGTCGCGTTGCTGTGAGCTAGCCGCCGACATGCAGAGTTTGTTGGAAAGCAAAAAAAAAAGCGGCCAAATATTATCATCACGTGGGTTACCATGAAAGTGCTCGACTTACTCGTTCAGCATGCGTTGCCTTAGGTCACTTGATGATAATCAAAAGTCCTACTTGAGAGGCACGTTGTATCCCAAGCATAGGCGTCTGGCATGGCGGCCAAGTAACCTCCTATTAACATGCCATTCAGCGTATGGTGTTTCATAGTGTCACATGTTCAAAAGCCATTGCAAACCCTATACACATGGTACATCAAAGTGATCGACTTGATCAATTCTGGACGCCTGACCGACGCGCACATATACACGCATCAGATAGGAGAACGTCCGTAAATACGGCAAGTATGCGTCAAAATCACCAGCGAGGTTGTGATTCTGGATGTGAATATTGGCGCAAGGGAGAGCTAGTCTCATTGTTAAAGAGCGACAAAGGGTTCACAGGCTCCGCCGCGCGGAAGTACTGGCTGCTCTGCGCGAGTGACAAGGTCTTGTCAAAAATGAATTCTCCGGCTGATAAGTAGTGTTGAAGTGCGCTTCGCACATTGGGCTCTGTCACTTTGGTCACGTCAATAGTCACACCAGAGCTGTGCTTCACCCCCGCCAGGATCGTTGACACCATCAATGCATCCGCAGCGTAATGTACAAGTCGGCCCATCATTTTATTGTTCGGGAGAGTACGCGACGTGTTGAAGGCAAGTTGCGTATACAATGGAATTGAAATGGCTTCTTCGTCGAGAAATTAACGATGCGCACGAGAGCGACTTGGCGCGCAACACGAAGAAAATACCCGGCACCCGTCGTACTGCTTCCAGCGCTGCTTCGATCTCGATACCCTGTGCAAAAGCGAATCTGTTTTCATGCACCTTCAAGGATCTTGAAAATCGACAAGCCAACACATCACGTGCTATTCACCGACACAACAACACAATTCTACGCTGTGACACACAGACATTCGGACAAACTTTAACCTTTCGGCACGGCGCGTGGCGTCAGGCGTAGGCTCCGCACTAGTGCATTTGATCCATATCTGGCCTGGTCCTGTGCGTCCGATCACGGCCTTTTTTGGAACTTACAGAAAACGCATATCAAATTCGTCAAGCGAGCTAACTTTGTTCGAGCATGTCGGCTGTATTGCAAATCGGCACGCTTCGTGAGCTGACCACGTCCATGCGGCATCAAATTGTTCTGCACAATTCAGCAACAGGTGTCGATCATACACTACGTACGTGAGACATAAACAGAACAAACCGTCTTACTCATGTTGCAATTGCAGTCCTTTTTTCTGTGCCTGATGCAGGGAAACCATCATTTTCGTGCATGGAGTCGGAATGCCCTCATTTGGGAGCATCGTTAGATAAAGCACCTGCGCAATGGTCGGATCACGACATTGAAGACCTCGTTGTTGTTTGGTATGTTGGCTTCAAAGCACACGGATGCTAGCGCCAGTTCTGTTGATATTGACACATTGTTTCTTTATCTTTTGATTGCTTCTTGTTCTCGTTTGCAGCCCGTATGTATGACTCTTTCAATCACACTCGTCCCGATGTACTTGCATTTCTATGTACTTACACTCTTACAGCTGGCATGTATGTTGTGCTACCTATCTCGCGTATGTCATCCTAACCATCTCCATCAGCAATATGACTTTAGTTTAAGCACAGGCGACTCATCTACCGGTCTAAGGGCTTGCATCTACGATGTTCGCGTCGATGAGCTTGGCATCGTGTACATCGAGCCACCTACACCAGAGTCAACATGGTCCTGCAAGGCTATCCAACCAGTGCCGAGTGAATTCGCTGCGATCCCGCCACCACCGCCCGAGTCTACGACGCTTGCTCAGTTGGGGCATATTCATCTGTTCGACCCCGACGCTGTTAAGCCACCGGATCCTGAGCCACAGACCCTTATTGCATGGGCTACATTGATCCTGAACACTGCCTCTCCGTTGCACAAAATCGCATACACACGCTATGCAAAGAATGCGTTCGATCGAGGTATATCGATCGGTGGCGGGCATTGGGATGGAGCAACGTGGCATGTACCTGCAAACGAGCAGCCGCCGGAACGTCCGCCGCGCTTGCGAGATGAACAGCGGGTCGAACCTGGGCAGCAGAGCAAGCGCGGACGTGGCGGCTCCGAGCGCAGTCGCATTGCACTTTTGCATGCGCTTGCCAACATTGAGCAATGGGCCATCGACTTGGCTTGGGATATTATTGCTCGTGGACCGCGTCTCAGTGCTCGGTATATGCAGACAGAGACGAACCAGACGCCGGAGATGCCACTGCCACGCGCTTTTTTCGCTGACTTTAGCCAAGTGGCTTTGGATGAGGCGAAACATTTCACTTTGCTGCAGCAGAGGCTGATTGAGATGGGCTCCTTCTTTGGAGCCCTGCCGGTGCATCACGGACTGTGGGACTCGGCAATCGAAACCGCTGAAGATCTATGTGCTCGACTGTCGATAATTCATCTAGTGCATGAGGCGCGAGGTCTTGACGTGAACCCACTGACAATCCAAAAGTTCCGGGCGGCTGGCGATGCTCTTTCTGTCGAGTCACTCACGACGATCCATCTTGACGAAATTACCCATGTATCTGCAGGCCACCGGTGGCTCACATATTTATGCCATGTGCATCCTGAGCACCCATCACCCGTGGACGTATTCCGCTCCTCAGTTCGCAAGCATTTCGTTGGTCAGCTGAAGGGTCCCTTCAATGTTGACGACCGCCAGCAGGCTGGCCTCACGCCTCAATGGTACGAGGGGCTTTGTGGTGAAAAACATGCTGAGCGCCATGTCGAGTCATAAGTTACTATCATCGGGAACGCCATCCCAATCTGAGGCGCCATCTGTCTCCTGTGCTATCGGTACGCGCAAGTGTGCCTGATCCACGTAAAGCCGCACGCGTTTCGAAGCAGCAGGTGCACGAGCACATGCTTCATCAGACTCGTTTGTAGGCGGCTCCGCATCCCATCCCTTTAGCCGTCGCCACAAGGCCTGCTCTGGCACGGAGCGAAAGTACCTGTCCATTTCGTCTGGCTTAAAAAGTAACGCGTCCACTTCACTCTCGCTCAGTGCATCGATCTGCGCCCCTGTGAGACCTAGTTGTTCCGCTGTGCTCTGTGGTGCACATGTATTTTCAATGTCAACGACGTCATTATCAAGCAAGCTGCCAAGAAAATCGTTGTCCTCGCGGTCGTTTCTTTCACCACCATCGCAGCGGCGGCTTTTTTCATCCGAATCATTCTTGCTCTGGGCATTGGTCGTCATACTGGCGAGGCTTTCGCGCCCGAATGCGTGTGTCCAGAGCACGGGGCATGGCGTGAGCGTCCCTTTGTAGCCAGTTCCAATGCATCACTCATATACACAACGACATCGGAGCGGGCAACATGTCGCACGGCACCTGCACGTGTAGAATGTCGGGATCGATCACGTTCACGTTTTGACACAGGGCGTTCGTTCGCCCACGGCACTGCTTGCACAAGCGCCGCAAGCATTTTCTCCATTTCTGCATAACGGGACAGAACTGTCGACACAGATGCATGGATGGGTGCTACTAATACACAGCGTGTATCTTCATAGGCGTATGCAGCGGCATCTGGAGCCCATTTTGCAAGGGCCCGCACAGGCATAGCACGTCGGTAGGCTCCCTCAATAGCGTGCATAAGGATAGCATACGCGAACGAAGGCGCTTCGAGTGAATAGGGAATTTCATAGGTTTTGCACACGGACAAGAGCTTCGTGGCAAGTTCTCGAACACGCTTGGCATCAAGGGGAAAAATTCCTTTCGGTGCACGCAACACAGACACCCATGCTGATGACGGTACCTTTGTAGCAAGGAATGTTAGTTCTGCATCCAGATATAGCTCAGGGTCATTAGGAAGCGGGCGCGGTAACAAGTGGGGAGTTGCATGTCGAAGCATGGCGCACGCATGCGACACAGCGGAGCTGGCTTGCTCTGTAGCGACTGCGACGGCTGCGAGGTCGACGGCCCGATGGTCTCTTCGCAGTACTGCATACAGAGAGGCGGCTGCTAGGGCTGACACTGTTGAGCCCCAGCGACGCATCGTGCGTGTCGTGTGGGCATCTCGTTGGCGTATCGGAAACAAAACAGTGTGCGCCGCTTCAAACACTTGCATACTGGGTCCGCTCGCATACGCGAAGCCAAGTCGAGTCGCAGCGCTGCGTAACATGGAGGACATTTGGCTCATATTACGCCGATCCTGGAGTGCACGCGACGTTTCGCGATCATACGCGTGGTTCCAAAAGCGTGTGCGCTTCTGCATGTGCATTGCATCATTGAATGTAAAGGTCGAATCCATGCGTGTAAGCTGTGGCGGCACTCTGGATGAGCTGGGATGATCCATCGAATTGAGTGGCGCATCTGCCGCTATCGTTGCGCATTCGCAGCACACGAACGCACCCGCCTCGTCCATCCATTGCACCGAGCCAACCTTGGCGCAGTATGGACATATGATTATTGACGCCATCACAGTGACCGGCTCTCACGGACGCTATTTGCGACCACTCTGCACCGCGCCGCCAAAGCTACGAACGTCACCAACGCCAGTGACGCGTCGTCTCGTGCATGTAGTGGAGGGACGTTAAGTAACAATTGCACGCATGTGTGTGCCATAAGGTGTACGTTGTGTCTGCGCGGCGGCTTTGCGGAGCAGCTGCGGGCTGTCCAACAATGGCCACCACATTTTAGGTCACTCGTCCACATTGCTCCCAACATGTCCAGCCCAGCCCAGCCCATCCCAGCCATGCGAATTCCCTCCAATTTTGTGACGAATCACGTGATACACCAGGCGCTAGGCTTGGGTCCGTCGTTCCGCGTTCTCCTGTCCAACCACCTGCGAGCATTTACGAAAGCATGGCAGCCATGGCATTGCGACTAGCAGCACGCTCGCTGCGCTCTCAGGTGCCGTCTACGTATCTGAGCTTGCCACAGGTGGCACGCCGTACGCTTGTGAGCAGCTGTGCGGTGCGCTCAGATGTGCTATTCGTGCACCGTGACACGCCCTACAACAACGCGTCTATTCCGTTTTCGTTTGTTGGCGAGTACGAACAAGAGGCCAAAGATATCATTAGCAAGTACCCGCCACAGTACAAGAAGGCGGCTGTGATCCCGCTCTTGCATCTTGCTCAGAAGCAGAACGACAACTGGGTCAGCATTAGTGCGATGAACCATGTGGCCGACGTGCTTGAGATGCCACCGATGCGTGTGTACGAAGTAGCCACATTCTACACCATGTTTAACCGGTATGTTCTTGCTCTTTGTATGATGTTTCTTTAAGTATACTAACGGATTTCAGTTCTCCCGTCGGCAAGTTTTTCGTGCAGGTTTGCACGACGACCCCGTGCATGTTGGGCGGCTGTGGATCCACGGCTGTTCTTGAAGCCATCGAAAACCATCTCGGTATCAAGGCGGGTCACACAACGCCTGATAAGATGTTTACTGTGATTGAGGTTGAATGCCTTGGTGCATGTTCGAATGCGCCCATGATCCAAATCAACGATGAGTACTATGTACGTATTTTCTACAATACACACACACACACGCACACCAGTGGATCATCTAACGCTGAACAGGAAGATCTTACGCCTGAATCTGTTGTCAAGGTCCTGGATGGCCTCGCTCGCGGTGAACATGTCAAGCCAGGACCGCAAAATGGCCGTCTCACGTCTGCGCCTGACAATAAAAACAGGACTCTCACTGAAGAGGTATGTAACCACAGATTCGACAACTAATTCGCAGCCCTACGGTCCTGGCAAGTACTGCGTGCCCGATTTTGCATAGAGTCGTCGATTCGGTAGTTTTAGATTGGATGAATCTAGCGATGGACATGTGCCGTCCGTACTCGCAGCACTGGGTGATGCTGGACATTGTGTCGACTGATTTTGGACATTGCGACTTGCTAAGCAAGCCTCTTCCTAGCTGTGTTGATTCCTTTCACACCATTCGGTACAAGTGCAAACGTTTGATGGGCTTTCTTCTTTGCCCATGGCCATACCCGTTGTTGTCCCAAGGGTGACAGAACAGCCCAGATCTGCAAAACTTTCTCTCAATTGGCTCCGCGTAAATGCACCATTCATCATCCAAAGTCGGACCGACCACATTTATGGTTCTTTCGCTCGCCATCAACATACCGTTTGGATCGCATCCAACGAGTGACAGGCATCATGAATAAGACGGCATCTTTCACCCAAGAATTCGCGAAACCTTTAGCAATTCCATCATGCTCGAGTCGAAAATGCCCTGCTGACTCTGATGCGGGCCTGGACAAAAGTTATCCAAATCATATAGACGGAGACATGAGCGCATGAAGCGCAGTCAGCGTCGCTCTCAACAATGCATCAGATATGCCTAGAAACAAGTGCCAGGCGTTCTATCATTACTTTCACAGATGCATAGGATGACTAGGCCACAAAGAGATCACACCATACATGTGATAAGATCTCTCGTGTCAGTGGCCTCCACTCTTTCAAGCAAGGGAAAGTATGCAGTCCCGTTGTTGTGCGTGCTCGAATTACTCACACCAATACCTCCCGGTTACAAGATATCATGATGCGGCCCATGGTTCGGTTCCTTTGTTCATGATACTCATTTCATTCAATCTTTTTTCCGATTCAATCTCTCGCGTTTCGTTGTAACGTGGTCATATATGAAAGTATGATGCTTGTCCAGCTGACCATTTGCCACAAATTAATCAAGCATACTGAATCTTTCTCTCTTACTCACAATACCTTGGTTCTCTTGGCACTTTTCACAGATGCGAGAGGGACATGTTTGACCAAATGAACGGATAGGGCTCATAGTAGCATTATTCTGCCTTGGTTCACATATGGGCTTCGATCACATCAATAGCGGTACATATTATGCGCCATGCGACCGACCCATGAACGTCTGCTGAATGTTAGTCTCTCATTCAACGAGTGAGGTCGTCATAGCACTGGTACATACGTAGCATTGAATTGAGCGAGTAACGATCCCACAAAAGCATGCGTAGGAATAACGAGTATTCCCCACTGCTCAGCATCGACGCGTCGAAGTGTTCCTCGTACAACATCAGGTACTTCAAGTGCTCGCTCGCGATTATCTCGAGGACCTGTAGTTGCATCCACAGCATACGTTGCGACGAAGGAATTTTTGATCGGCCCAGGCGCAACGAGCAAAAAGTTTACTCGTGCACGTCGCTTGTCGCTCCCAGGTACAGGTGTTCCAGCTTGAGCTTCACATTCTAACTCGACCGAGCGGATTAAAAAATGTTGCGATGATTTGCTGGCACAATACACAGCGCGCGTAGGCGCAGGAACAAGCCCAGCGACGGAGCCGATGGTAATAACGGCTGGATTTGCCGATGTTGTTTGTAAAATTGGGAGCATAGCCCCCAGAACGATTGCTGTGCCTTTGAGATTGCCATCGCTGCTGTGCTGTACGGTCTGAGCAATCTGATCGAGACCTTCTCTGCTTGCGTGCAAGAAAGCTGTGGCTTGGCCTGACGCATTAACATTGCATGGATCGACGTTGGCCACACCTAGTATCGGCAGAATTGAAGTGACTCCAAACACAATATGCAGCGTGTCCAACCCATAGAGGTTTTGTATCACAAAGTCGCGTAGTTTTATGACACCCTCTGTCTCAGTGAGCTCTGTGGGAACGACGTAAACTTGTGCGTGAGGATGACGCTTTCCGCGTCCCTCTGTCTGCTTCAGCATTGTATGCCGGACATGATCAAGTGCTTGTTTCCGGCGGCCTACAATCACGATCTGCCGCGCGCCACGTTCCAAATACTGCCGAAGAAATTCAGCGCCCAAGCCGTCTAATGTTGAAGCCCCGAGAATCAATACACGTTCATCGGTTTCCGACACTTTTTTCGTGCGTTTAGATTTCTGACCATATTTCATAAGTGCATACACGATGCATATAGCAAGTAGTGCACTTGTCAAGGTTTTTTGAGGCATGAGCGTGTCAGATGCAGCTTTTGTAGCACGACTCAAGGCCAAGAAGCTATGCTGAACTGTGAGAGGATTTTGGAGCAATTTATTTCTCTGTGGAGAAGCCCCTTTCAGTGGAGCAACAAAACGACTGAATAGGCGGGGCAGAGGTTTGGGTAATGGCGTCTCCATGAGCCAGTCGTCACTAGCACGACGGGGTCTAGCGCGCCTGCAAGCACTGTTTACTAAGCCCATCTCTCTCGAACTGCTCCTCGAAAGAGAAAAATCCATCCTTGCACTAGATTCATTGAGCAATTGTCGTCTTGTGCTCACGCAATTGTCGTGTGCAAAAATGGCGGTACAGGGCGCCTCTAGAGCAAACACAAATCGAAACGCTAACGATTTTGAGCCACCGCCAGGATACGTACCTGCTCATCTATCTAGCGACGAAACGGCATCGCATGGTGACGAAGTATGGGTAATTCGCGTTCCTGATGGCGTGGATGCTCGTGCTTTGGATGGCGTCACGATACCCTTGGAAGCACTTGAATCAGCGAGTAGTTCGCCTCTTGCGAGTGTTCGTGTGTCAGAGACGGATACATATGACGTTCTACAAGCACGTGGCTCTTCCTCGTCTTCATCGAAGGCGCCATCTTCCGCGCAGCCAGCAGCATCACAGCTCATTGAGATGGCTGCACCAACAACGACAGGCCATGTATTTTTAGATGAAGAGTTTTTGCGCTCGGAACAAAATGCAGGTGTGGCGGCCGAGCTCCAGAGTATATGTGCATTGATGCCTAGTGGATCGAATGGGTCTTCATTGCGTATGACGCCTGTGTCACGGCGTTTCTATATGGCACGCCAAGCTCCCTCGAGCCTTTACCCGCATGGAATTCCAGTGCCAGTTCCACCCAAACATAAACAGCCATGGGATCGGCTTCAAGGTGTATTTCATCCAGCGGGATCACAACGCAACGCGCCTACATCGCGCGCGAAAGGCACCGACGATGTTGACCGGAGACGAAATGAGCATGATGCGGATGAAGTGAATGCTGATGCAGAGGCCAGCACACAGGATGCCGATGCCAAGCTTGACAAGGCGCAGAAGAAACGCAAAAAAGAGGCTGGTGAGGACTCAAGTAAGGCTGAAAAGAAGAAGAAAAAGAAGCAAAAGTCGTAGGATAATGTATGAATGTAGAGTGCACTATGTCTATTCATTTTCACCATCATCGTCGGTATCGACGTCTATGTCGTCATCCATCCACTCGTTTGCATCCAGTGCATCATATTCTGGCGCCTCATCGTATTTCGTTTCGTCGTCTTCATGTTCATCTTTGTCATCACTCGTTTTTGCTTTTTCACTGAAGTCTTGGTCATCTTCGTCTTCGTCTTCGTCCTCGTTCTCGTCTTGCTCATGTGTATACGTAGAGTCGTCACCATCGTCTTCGTTTTCAACACTCTCATTTTCGTCGACAAACTCAATCACAATGATGCCCGACAAGAGCACCCATAAGATTGGGCCCAGAATTGCACTTGTCATCCAAGCAATACGACCATAGCGCAGCGTTGGTGCCAAGTTCGACGTCTCATTCGCTGACGAGCGCCACCATGACGAGAGCCCCCGCCAAAGCGATACCCACGACGGCCGATTTGGTAAGGATACACTGGGCCACAATGAAATGGTCTGATGGTGCCATGCCCACGATGATGATGTCGCTTGCCAAAGCCACTCGTGCATGCGCTTGGTATGTTGAACCAGGATGGGAAACTCAGCGCGAAGTAGCGATGGGAGTGGGTCAACGGGCCAGTCCACAAAGACCCAAGGTGCGAGTAGCGAATAAAGTCGCGCATCAACAGAAGTAGGCTCGTTCCAGTGGCCAAGAAACTCTCGCTCTTGAAGGTATACGGCTACCGATTTGAATAAGCGGCGCGCACGAGAGACGAGACGCGATCGTTCCCATTCTTCACGCACATCGCTCGCGAGATTTGGATTCTCACGGAACCCAGGGCGCGGCATATATGAGATAGGATCACGGGCTTCAGCCAAGCCTGCCGTTGTTTTCCAGCGTTGCGCCTCGCGGCGCTCCTGACGCTCCCATGAGCCGCCAACGCCCCACAGATTGATGTTCGGGCTTTCAAGCCTAGCACGCACAGCTGCACGCATCCTGCGAGGGAGCGACGAGGGAATCAAGCGACGACGCGTGCCCGACAGTGCGGTGCAAGTGACTTTTTGGAAGTTGGGTGGCAGCGAAAAGAGAGTGTGCAGTACTAAATCACTTAGTTCATCGTCGAGCCATGCGTGTAGCGCGCGGGTTTTTGCCGCATGACTTGGATCACGTAAAGACTTGTCAAGACTTGAATGTTCACATAAAAATGTGCGGATGGAAGAGGGTGTAGTAGCAATCAGTTCTCCGAGTTCATGATAACTTGGATGCTGATGATCAGGGGACGTCACTGTGGGTGGCGCTTGTGTGTATAGCGCAGGCACAGCATCTGTGTGGAAGAACGAATGGGGCGCAAATGCACATACGTTTGGGACGTGTGCTAGTTGAAGAAGTGCCAGTACATACAGCGATGTAGGATCAATGGATGGTAGCGACGATGTGCCGCCCCAAACAGTAACGGCAAGTGGCGGTGCTGGCGGCATACGGAAGCGACAGATCAGTGGCAGTGTGTGGAACTGAGCTGCTGCGGGTGGCGGCGACTCCACAGCGAGGCAACACGGTAACAAGTGCTTATTGGCTCAGGTACATGTGCCTGGACCAACGAGGAGCTGCAACGCTATCTGGTGCATGCACTCTTGGCAAGAAAAAGCTGTGTTGGATTGAAGAAAGTGTGTGTGTCGTTTGCGCACGAGCGCGAAATGAATGAGCCAATCCCACATAGCACACCTCTGTCCTACAACTTCCGCGCTGACATACTAAGTGCAGCCGTTGCTACTTCTCTCCTTCGCCTCGCACTATATCTTGATTTCGATCTTGCCTGCGTTGCATTTCCGCTTTTGAGGCTGGAAACCGTGTCTGGTTGACTCAATCACTAGCACACAGCACTGTTACTCTTTTTTCTACCATCATCTTCGTTAACGATGTCATCCTCATCGACTGCAGAACATCGTCAAGATCCCAACGTTTCCGAGCTCATTGAGGACGATGTTCCGCCAGAGCTGATTGAAGCCGAGTCTCGAGAGCTGGAGGCACAAGATTCCGACACGCCCGTGCGCCACTTGCGCATCGACTGGCCAAGCTCGTCGATCAAGGGCTGCTTCGTCATTGGGCCCAGTGTGCCTCATGTACATCCGCCTTTGTACGATATGCCAAATTCAGCGGATGTGGAAAACAATGCATCCTCTGCAGTATTCCAATCAAAGAGCAGTCCGATTAATGCAACGGTCATTGTGCTGCATGGACACGGCCAACGTACTCCACACACCGGCTCAGCCGAGTCCCAACCTGAGCAGTCTGATCCCATGCAACTGCTGAAGGCGGTACGCAAAAATACCGTATTTGTGCAAGCACGGACACAACATAACTCGGCATGCATCCATGTCCCAACATATGCAGGTCGCAAGCCGCTGCACATCAAAGTCCAAGCACATTCTGGCAATGCAACGGTGATTCTCCCGCACTCGTTCAACGGGCTCATTTCCTGGAATGTGGAAAATGGCTCATTCAACATGTCACCAGGAGCTGCGTCACACGCACAGCGTGTCGACAACAATCCTAGTAAGCGCCACGGAACTATGCGGATGATTGTCGACCCTGATCTGCCGGCATGGATGACAGGCAACGGTCGTCGCGGTGATGTCTGTCAGATCAGCACGCATACAGGACGAGTCTATGTGTGCATGAGTGGCGAGAAGAGAAGCAGTGGCAAAAAGGGATGTGTCATTTGTTAGGGGCGGCGGTTGTAATATAAGAGCCTGGCATCAGAAAGACAAGCATGTCAAAGACAATGGACCATGGCCCAAAAAAACTCTCCAACATTGTTGGGTTTGGGGGTTAGCGGGATGAACCAACAAAACACACAGACTTTTTATTTGGGAAACAGGGGCGCGATCTTTTCCGCTGTGTCCCGCATACGTATGTGCGATTGCCATGCATAGAGAGAGTCCCATGTCCGCTGCGATGCAGGCACTTGCAACTCATTCAGCAAAGTGGTCATCGCACGGGGCATCACGGGCTGGAGTAATACACCACACAGACGCAGCGCCTCACAGCTTGCAAATACGCAGCGATGCACGGCATCGAGCGGTGTGTCTGTGGACCAAGGTGCCGAATGCTGCACGAGCTCATTGGTCAATGCAATGACATCAAAGACAGCCTGGATTGCTTTGGATGGCTCATATGCTTGCATATGTGCATCGAATGTCGGCGGCAAGTGCGTGCAAGCGTGGATAAGGCGCTTTTCTGCCTCTGCCCAATGTGTTGGCCGCGCAAGAAGAAGGCCGGTGCCCGTGAGGCGCGCCTGGATCTTGGGTGCAAGTACCCGCGAAAGCAAATTGCCTAGCTGGCCTTGTAAAAATTTGCGCTTGTGCTCTTCCAATAAGGCAGGTGCATAATCAGCGTCGGTGCCAATGTGTCCCCCAATGCGCATAAGATAGTACCGCATTGTATCGACCCCATACGTATGTAAAGCATGGAATGGATTGATCGCGTTGCCTTTGGATTTCGACATTTTTGCTTTGTTCACAGTCCAATGGGAATGTGCGACGATAGTTCGCGGTAGTGGGAGACCAGCCGCCATGAGAAAAGCCGGCCAGTATATGGCATGGAACCGCACAATGTCTTTTCCAACGATGTGTACATCAGCAGGCCAGCCAGGCTGCATGTGGGGATATCCAAGAGCAGTCATATAGTTGACCAAAGCGTCCATCCAGACATACATAGTGTGCTGAGGATCGCCCGGCACAGGAATACCCCAAGTAAGACGCGAACGCAGACGAGAAATCGACAGGTCCTGTAAACCTGAGCGCACCTCGGCCAGGACGTGGTCGTACATATTTGAAGGCTGGATCACTTCGCGATTGTTCTCGAGCCAGTCAAGTAATGGCTGTTGAAAGGCCGAGAGACGGAACTTGTAGTTGGTCTCGGTCGTCCACTCTACTCGCTGGCCTGTCTCGATGGATGTGTAAACTGTCTCAGACGACGAGCCAGACTGTTGCTTGGTCGCACAGATTTGGGACTCTGGATAAAAAGCCTCGTCCGATACGGCATACCAGCCTTGGTGTTCACCCAAGTAGATGTGTCCATGACAAGCAAGTTTATTCTGCCATGCACATATGTCTGTGTAAGTAAGATCGAAAGAGAAAGAAAGCAAGGGAGGGGTCGAAGAAACCCAAACATGAAACAGGATCAAGGTAAAACACGGGCTTTTTAACGTACCCAGACATGTTGTACGGCTGCAATGTGGGTGTCCTCAGTCGTGCGAATGAAGCGTGTCGGCTCAATGTCGGCTGCACGTGCGAGTGCTTCGAAACGCTGACTCACACGATCACATAGTGCTCGTGGTTCCACTCCCATTGTTTCGGCGACGCGCTGAATTTTAAGTCCATGCTCATCTGTACCTGTTGTCATAAGTGCGCGTGTCGTTTCGTCGTTGGGTATAGTGCCATAGGTTGACCATCCGCGATACCGTAGTTCCGCATACCGACGAAGCACGTCTGCCATTACACTGGAGTGCAAGTGCCCAATGTGCGGCTCAGCATTCACGTAAAAGATCGGCGTCGTCACATAGAACGGTTTCGGCATAGGTTGCGACGGCGATTGGGTATGCGTATGGGCCTCCGAACATGGCGGGCTATACGTGCTCACACGGCGCACAAAGTACCGGGACAGCTGGCTTTGTAACCGTGGCAGCGACAACCGCTTGATATTCATGTTGCTCAATTCCTGCCAGTAGTCAATCTTCTTTGTCCTACGGGTTATGCAAAATGAGTCAAACGAAACTGCGTCGTTCCAAGATGTGCATGCCTTGTAGTAGCTCCACCTTTTTTCATTATCACCGGTGTGGAGCACATCGTCATGACTGGAGGAGCTACGGAAGTTTGTACCTTAGTAAGATCTGGACACTCATACGACGTAACAAGTCAGGGAGAAAAAAAAATCCAACTCGGTTGCCATTCTGTGGAGAGACACACGTGCTAGGTCGACTGATGGTGATGAATGGATGCATGCTGGACTGGATCCCGCTTGGGCCTGCAAAGTGTGTCGAGATAGCTTGGACCTCGGTCCCATGAATGATGTTCGTATCGCAGCGGCCATGCGTTTGGGAAGGTGCGATGCTGAGATGACGCAAGCGAATCTTGCGCCGCAGCTGCATGCACAGGTGCATCGCGACATGTTTGAATGTGCGAAGCACGCACATGCCACGGGATCCATGGCTGCTGCCAGGCACGACAGCCCGGCTTGTGGTGGTGATGAAAATGATGATAGTGATGTTGTGGGGACTTTGGTGACGGGTCCTGGTCAAGAGCGCTAAGCACGTTTACGATTTGAGCACCGTGAGTAACATGATCATGAACGTGCACATAGGGTGTAGGACAATTATGAAGAAGAAGGTGGTGGTTTGCGTGGCGAAGCAAATGTCCGTCACCTAGACGATCGTGATCAAGATGTAACGGATGATCCAAGGCGGCTGTCGGCTTTGGTGTGAATGAGTCAATCTGTGCGAGTTTGCTTGTGTGATGGTGCAATGTTTCATTCTTATAGCCTGGGCTCAGCTGGTTCTTATCATCATATGCAGGCATGTCAGAATCTTGCGCGATTGTGTCAAGTGAACCTGTTCCGCGCCGAGCGGCATGATCATGACCCTGTCTTTCGTACACTTGGAGCTTGGCACGCAGCTCCATCACATAATCAAGTGCGTGAGAAATGATGCACAGCTTCTCGAGCACAACATGTGTGCTAATATACCCGTCTACGTTGTCGTCATCGCCAACAAACAGGGGTGATGTCGTTGATTTGGCACGTTTTTGCACACATGCGCATGCTTGTTCGCGGCAAGCAGGTACAATGCATTGTAGGCATATCAGTTGATCGTTGATTTTCTCTCGGCGCCGTCGCTCAATGACGGAATGCTCGGTTCTGCGTTGTGACGCACGACTTGCACAGCGAGGCTTGCGTGCACAGGACTCGGATTTGGCCTGTAGCTTTGGCAGCTTCGCTGATTTTAGAGAAGTAAGCGCATCAGTGTCAGGTATGAAGCTGCGTTTGGCCACATCCGTCGCCTTCAATACGGTATCAGGCATCGTCGCTGCACGGCGTGAACGCGTGCGAATACACATAAGTGATGAGCTGATCAAATCACTTGCTAGAAGCGGATCGGGGAAGTTGGATTACCACTGCTACGACAAGCATCTCAGGAGCGATGCAGTGCATTTTGTCACCAGCGAGTTGGTAGTACCCTGCCAGTCTTGCTCATTGGGCACGACGGTTCCTTGGCAGCTGCTGCGCTTGCATCTCACGTGGAGTCACTGACAGGGTTCGCGATCAGATTGTGATCAGTACGCGATTATGTTGACCTAGTGCTGAGTCAGCAATTTGAATCGGCGGATTCGTTGCATGGATGATTTCGTTGGGAGACAGCGACGGGGCACAGTCTTGTGCGTGTGCGCGGGTGGAGGCCAGGGATAGCTTAGTCACACGACCTATCGACAAGCACGCATTGGCACCATGTCGGGAAGGCAAGGAGGCAAGCTGAAGCCATTGAAGCAGCCGAAGAAAGGACAAAAAGAGCTTGATGATGATGTACGTGCGTCGATCCGACCTACCGCCGGGCCAGTGTGTAGTGGTGGCCTGTATTCGCGTGTGTTGTGCTAACGAAGATAGGACCTCGCCTTCAAACAGAAGCAGAAGGAGGAGGCGGCTGCAAAAAAGGCCGCTATTGAGAAACTAAAGGGCAAGAAGTAAGAGCACACACGATCGATCATACAGTACATGGGCGGGTCTTTCTTTAGTGTATGTAGACACGTACATGCATGAACGTCCTATGTCATGGCACGCATGGCCTCGGCACTTTGCAACAATGCATACATACTTTGTAGACGAGGCATGGACGCGCCGTGTGCCTCGGCCACTCGAATTGCATTCCCGAGAATGGCATCAAGCTCCAGTGCATGCCCCGCCTTCCAATCCTGTACCATACTGGATGCGCTTTGCGACGTGTTGCGCGCTGTGCTTTCAAGGAGTTTTGCAGGCGATGCAAACTTGTCCGGCATGGGGCAGCCAAATACAGACGGCGTAGCCTCGAGTACTTCATGCATGCATGCTTCAATGTGCTTTCGAAGTGCGGGATCTCGCACCATGTCTGGGTTGCTCCGGCCGCCTGCCAGCACGCCAGATGTATTCATGGAGGCATTGATGCAAAGCTTGTGCCAACGGACGAGCTGAATGCCTAGTGCATCGTATGTCTCAGCATCTTTGATGCCGCCGCGGGTCAGGAGTTCGGCAAAGTCTCGGACACGGTCTTCCGTTCGGTTCAGGAGCGCGCGAGCCTCGGGCGTCGTGGCTGACCCGTGCAGATCAGTGTAGGGGCCGAGACTGATGCGTGTCCAGCGGTACTGGACGATGCGTGTTGGATGCGTTTTGGCAGCACTTATCACAGTGACGGCCGATATGATCGGCGTTCTCGGATAGCGCTCGCGGTATGGTGCCTCGATATCGACGCCATTCTGCAGAAGCACAATCGTCGTTGTCTCACTAATCACAGGCGCAAGGAATTCCACGGAGGATAGATCCATTGATAATGCTTTCGTAGCCACACACACATAGTCCCAAGGCTCAGAGGCAAGTGCCGCGGCTTCTTCCACTGTTGCATACACACTGTGCGGAGTAAATTGATATGTGCCAAAGCTGTGCGTTTCGAGCTCGAAGCCTTGCGTCTTTGCAAGCTCGTAATTCGAGCGGCATACGAGCGAGACGCGCGTGTGCTCGGGGTCAAGCTTGCTTCCGTAGAAGCAACCGACAGCACCTGCACCTACGACAAGGACATTGAAAGGCATAGTACGTGCGTGTATGTATGCACTATTACCGCGAAATGTCAGCGGCTATGTGCAGTCGACGAAGCGGGAGAGGAGACACTGCTGGTCGTGCTTATGGTATCAAGTCAAGACGAAGTGGAGAAACGAGACATGATCCTGCTCTGATCTTTCCCGCGCTCAAAGGAACACTGTGGCAGCGAATATAGGCGGACATTTGGGAAACAAGATCAAGCCAGTGGATCTGGCGCCTGAATTTCTCGCTACCGAGTGTATACAAACGGAGACACTGCTCGTGGATAAGTAATCTATCGTACTAGAGAGGGTGTGTGAGTGAGTGCGAGAAACGCACACGACCAGCAGCCACTTCCTCCACTTCCCCGCGCTAACCAACAGATTTCGCCCATGGCTGTGACGTAATGCACCATCCCATTTAATGACATTCCTTCGCACTTTTACAGAAACAAGGTACCTATAAGAGTCACTCTATTGGCACGGACGCACGCGGACGATGGGCACAAGCTAATCGCGGAAGAAGTTCAATACCTCACGTACAGCGAGCATGGACATGCCGCCCTTCGGATAACAAATGTACGTCGGATCGCGCACGGTGCCAAGCTTGTCGCGGAAGTCACCCTTGCTGAGCAGGTGCGTCCGTTCAGAAACACTGTTGTACACACGAGAAAGGATCTTGAATGCGAGGCCACTTAGGCCGTGCACTGCCTTGACTTTGGGTGACGCTGCGGTGCCGAAGGTCACGGAACCCGAGCCCAACGTGTCGAGGGCGTGCAAGATCGTCATTTCAATCGCGCCGTTCGGTGCGTTAGGGAAGTTGAGGGCCCACTTCACTTGTGCACCGTGTATGGGCGCCAGCTGGGCGAGCACGACAAGACAGCACAGCTTTCTGTCGCTGTCACGAGCGAAGAAGTACTGTCGATGCTCTTGGTCGACCCAGGGCCGTACATCCGTCAAGTGCACCTGCGTACCCCGGCGACTAGCCGACCATTCCTTGATCTTTTCATCACACTCAGCGCGCACGTCTTCTGGCACGATCTCATGATACGCAAATGACTGGATCGATACGCCGACTTTGTCAGCATGACGGATCTTGCGCTCAATTTCATGATCGTGCTTCGCGGGGTTCTTTCGCACATCAGGGATACGCTGGTCATCTGTGCAAGTGAGTGTGCACCAGCCGAAGCGGCTACCCAGGATCGACTCGACGACCTCGCTAACCATGAGCCATATTGGTTTCGCACGTAGCTCTCTCTCGACGAACTCGAGGAACCGCTCGATCACGCGGTTATACTGTGACATGTCACACAACGGGTTGCCGACAATCAGCACATAGTGCCGTTGATACCAATAGCCGATGGCAGCGCCCGTGTCTTGATCTCGCCAGACAGTAATGCGATCATCGAGCCACGACGTGTTCGTCGAGTCGCCGTAGTTAGCGATGAGCAGCTCAAGTGGCTGCAGCTGCTTTTCTCCCGGCTCCGTGCGCGAATCAGATCCGGATGACGATGCGGCTTGGAGCCACGGTGGTGGATTCGTGCTGCCCTCCAAGTAGCGGAGCGTCTGAGGCGGCTTCGTGGGGAAGCTCTTGGGGTCGCGGTAGAACAGCGAAGCGAGACGGATGTCGTCAAGGTTCAGGTACAGCATGACAAGTCGTTCTAGTCCAAGACCACATCCCGCGTGTGGTGGTGCACCGAGGCGGAAGCCCTCCAAATAGTCTTCGAGGCTTGAAGCATCCATGTGCAGACGGCTGATGTTGTCTTCGAGCATTTGCGCATGGTGGATACGCTGTCCACCCGTGCAGATCTCCTGGCCGCGCAAGAAGATATCAAACGAGTTCGTGTAGCGTTCGTCGTTTTGGTCTGGCAGTGTGTAGAATGGGCGCGCATTGCGAGGGAACTTATCAAGAATGTAGTAGTCTGTGCCATACAAGCGCTTGACGATCTCGCCAAGACGAATCTCACCACGGGTCGCGAGATCTTCGAATGGACTAGGCTCACTGCCGTCTTCCTCGCGATAGCCGTCCTCCTTTAACAGACGAATGCCTTCCCAAAACGGCAGCACGAGCGTCTGCTCAAGCCACTGCAGCTCCGTACTTGGGTAGTGCCGACGGATGAACTGCGTGACGTGGCCGTACTTGTCGCGCAGCACCGTGAAGATGTGTTTCAACATTCTATCGATCAGCGACATGGCATCGTAGTAGTGGTTGATTTCCATCTCGAGATCAAGGCCTGTGTACTCGGTCAAATGACGAGCCGTGTTGGAGTTTTCCGCACGGAACACAGGTCCAATCTCAAACACCCGCCGCATGTCCGCTGCAATGCACATCTGCTTGTACAGCTGCGGGCTCTGTGCGAGGAACGCTGAGCGTCCAAAGTACGCGACGTCAAACACACTGGCGCCCGACTCGGACGCACCGCCTTGCAGCTTGGGTGTGTGAATCTCAATGAACTCGTGCTGGCTCAAGTACTGCCGGAACTCGCGGCAGATCACCGATGGAATCATGACGACAGCCTGCATGGTCGGCGTGCGCAAATCGACCAGCCGGTTCGACAGGCGTGTCCGCTGCGTGATGACAGGCACATGGCTCGTGCTCCGCTGCGATTGCCGGTCTGCATCCGAGAGCACACTGGAGCTGTGGTCTAAGCTTTCATCCTCATCAAGGTCTTGATGCTCCTCCAAATGACTAGACAAGGCGCGCTCTGCCGCATACACCGTAAATGGCATCTTCTCGCTGATACCAGACACAAGGTGCACGTGCGTCAGATGCAGTTCCAGATGCGCAATGTCACAACCAGTGATGACTTCACGGGGCTTCTGGAGTGTGCCTTGTACAAATACGAGTGACTCGCTCGGCAGACGCATAACCCAGTGCATCATGTGCGATGTGATGTTCGTGCCGTGCTCGGACAAGACAGCTTGCATCGTGACCCCGTGCTCGCGAAGCACGACGAATGCCAAATGCGAGCTCATATTCCGGATCACATGGATACGCGCACGAAAGCGCCACTCCGTTCCATAGCACATGGTTAGCCTGCTGGGATCCTGCTCGGCCATTTTGCTCATTGCCAGTACATCACTTAGGTGCTGCCATTCATTAGTCTCGACATGGTACGCGTCCCATTCCCCGTAACGTGATTTCTGCTCAGGCGACTCGATGAGAGCCGCATTGGCTGCAGAGACCCGTCGCCGCATATTCACCATGCGCTCAAACGCACGCTGGTCCTCCAGCTTGCGTAATCGCTCCTCAGCCACCGATGATTGCGACGTGGTTGTCGATGTCGCCTGCGACGGTGTCGGTGAGCTGCTTGTTGATCGGTGCTCGATGTCTGATCGAGCGCCACGGCCTTGGTTCAGTGGCTGCGGCTGTTCGCCCGGCTGACGCGACGGCTCTGGCGAGCGCGGTTTGCGCAGATTCAATGCACTCAAAAATCGATTCTGTCCACGGTACAATGCATCAGTCAAGGAGCTTGACTCTGACCCGTCTGCGCTCATAGTGCCCGCCGCCGATCACCACTTTGGTTTCCTGGCTCAGGTGCAGGATAGAACAGTGATTGCGACTGTTCACACTTGTGGTCTTGCTTGGGCGCTCACTCGACAGGTGCTTTCCTATTGGGCCGTTGGAAGTTTAGCTCCCCCGACGATGGGCTTTATGTGATACGTTATCATCCGCCAAGCAAGGAACGCGAGCGGGCCCGCCCATGTGGATCACGTGCATCTCCATCCGTACTTGGATGCACACCTACACACGTCGTGCTCCACTGCTGCGACATATGTTCGCAGCACCGGAGCAGTCGCTGCTTGTAGCCTGCCTGCATGATCGTGCTTGCGTTGATTGCGCGCGGCGCAGACGTGCTTGTTGAGTCGCATGATCCGGGATATGAGCGCTTTTTGGTATGTATTTAAACTGTGTTTGTATGTGTGTATAGGTGTCCAGGCCTTTCTGACCTTCTTCCCAGACAGCATCTACGGCGATTCTGTCCAAGGTGCAGGATGCTGAGACGTCTCGCCTGTCATACGCGTTTGAGCAGTGGCTCTTTCACTACATGGGACGAGATGGAATTGCGTACTTGGCAGTGGCTGATGCTGATGCCGGACGGCGCATTCCCTTTGCATTCCTTGCACAACTAGAATCGTCCTTCCAGCAGATGGGCGGTTTGGATGGCACTGGTGGTCTCATGCCGTCCAACCTCTCTTCATTCTCAACCACTATGGATCAACTAAGGCACCAGTTCAACGAAGCACCTGATGCAGATCCCATTCAGCGCGCTCAGGCTGAACTGGGCAGTGTGAAGGATATCATTACGAAGAACGTTGAGCAAATTCTCAGCCGCGGCGAGCAGCTGGACCTGCTTGTCGACCGCACAGACTCGGCTGCACACCAGAGTTTAGCATTCCGTCGGCGCGCTGTAAGTTTGCGCCGGGAAATGTGGTGGCGGAACACACGGATCGTGGCTCTGATGTGTGTGTGTGGCTTGGTACGTGCTCAGCCATTCCGCCTTTTACTGACATGCCAGGCACTCTTTTACTTTTTGTATCACATGCTGTTTTCATAAGCGATCCGCTCCTTAGAGGGCGTTGGTGGTGTGTGGGAAGGCACGGAGGGCATCTGAAGTATCTCCGACTTGGTCGGCTCGATTTTGGCAGCGTCTGGTGCTGCATCCGCCGGTTGTGTTACGTCGAGCTCTAGTTTCCTGAGCTCGTCCGCCAATGTATCTTCGTCTGTCTCGGCATGCATCGCCTCCGATGTTATGCTCGCATGCACCTCGTCCTGCTTCGCCAGGCTCTCGGCAAGAGCGTCCATCGTGCTGTCTATGCGTTCCGGCTGAAGGACAGGATCATTCAGCAATGCACGCACTGTGCGCTCTGATGCCTCGAACGTGTGCATCATGTCCGCGTCGCCAGCTGCCTGCTCCATCTTGAGCAGGAGCGTGTTCAGCGTCTGTTCTGCTTGCACGCGTTTTTCAAGCATGTCCTCCAGTTGCTTCTTTGTCCGTAGGTGGGTTTTGGTCACAGATTCGCGCTGCTTTGCCTTGAAAGCACGTACAGTATTTTCATGGGCACACTCAATCCGCTGTTGCAGGTCGTCGATTTGGCTTGCGAGCTGTGCTTGCATAGACTTGACAGCAACGATTCCCCGTTCCTGTTCGCCAATCATGTACTCACGGGATTCACTTGACTCCAAGACGTGCTCTCGGCACAACTTCACGACATCATTGTCCCTTACAATCACACGTGCATCTCTTTCCAGATAGAGAAGTAAGATGTCTTTATCGACGTCACTGAGTTTCAACGAACGGTTCTCATCCTTCAGTGTCGAGAGCATCTCTTTGAATTGCGAGCGTGGCATGACACGCTGTACGAGACTTGTATGTCGATCGTGCTGCGCCTGGAATAGGCGCGCTGCTCTCTCGACATTTTTTCGCACGACCCATTCGCCTACAATTGCTGGCCACAGCGCTTCGTCAGCACTTTGGTCGCTATTGCAATCTCCTCGGGAGAAGAACCAACGCCAAATTTGTGAACCTATCCACTGAATTCGATTGGGGGCAGTCAGTGGCGTTTTGCGCGCAACAAATTCGTTCATTCGGATCAGCCGTGCCTGTGATGCTAGCTCATCGACCACCACCGACAAGCACATAGGTCGTCCTACATCCTTCATGGCCCACTGCATCGGAATATGTTCATCCACGTGCCAACACAGCGTATGAGGAAGTCCTTCAATGCGGTACCAGCAGGCGTCGGCGATCGTCTCTGCCCACCAGGCAATGCGGGTACGATACGCGGCTGGATCACTATGTTTTTGCCCGCTGAGATCTGCGTACATTGATGCGAGGGCCTCGTGATGATGAGAATCGAGCTGTTGTTGAGGCTTTTTTGGCTGCTCTTGCTGATCTTTTTCTTGCTTTTGCTCCTGCTCCTGCTCCTGCTCCTGCTCCTGCTCCTGCTCCTGCTCCTGCTCCTGCTCCTGATGCTGATGCTGATGCTGATCCTGTGCTTCGCACCTCGACTGCGCAAAGGCTACGAGGGTCGTCATGCGTGGCCGTGCGAATATCAAATACGAGCAGGCTTTGAGGAGTGATGTAATTCGTGAGGAAACGAAGATGTGGAAGCGTAGTCGATGCGTCAAAGCTCCCACCAAATTGCGCCTCCCACCCCCTCCCCAAGATCAGGGGCCGCAATGACCAAGGACGTCCGATGAGTGGCGAGAGCAAACCAGCCGATTCGCCCAGATGCACCACGACCCAACTGTTGCGTGGACGAAAGAACCTGCATGCAAGTGGAGGAGACATTCATTCAGGTGCATGAGTGATCTTGGACAACGATGGCCTTTTGGAAGCCTGGGTCAGAAAGACCAGGTAGGTCTCTCAAACCTTGCTGGGGAATGCTGACAGCCTGAGCGAGTGCACTAGACCGTGATGCCGGCAGCGATGCGTGGGCTACATATGCACCAGCTGCAGAGCGTACGCGTTTGCCCGTGTATGCACACCGCACATCTATCTTGTACATGGTCGAACGATACCCGGTAGTCGTTGTCGTCGGACAGACAGGCAGCGGAAAGACAACGCAGATTCCGCAATATCTCGTCGATGCTGGCTGGGCACCTCTAACTGAGTCTGGAGCTAAGCAGGTCGTTTGCACGCAACCACGGCGTGTGGCGGCAACGTCCGTGGCGGCACGCGTCGCTGAGGAGCGGCACTCACGCCTAGGCGACGAAGTCGGGTATGCTATACGTTTCGAAGAATGCACGCATCCAAAATACACTCGCTTGCGGTACACGACGCCTGGCATGCTGTTTCGTGAATGCCTAAGTGATCCACTGCTCAGTCGGTATAGTGTGATAATGGTTGACGAGGCGCACGAGCGCACAGCCTACACAGATCTTCTCGTCGCACTACTGAAAAAGTACGTATGGGGCAACAAACAAAATCCATCGTCTTGCTAACCAGCGGCGACGTGCGTGCGTGCATACATGCGCGTGCGCGCGCGCGCGCAATTTCTGACAGGATTCGTCGGAAACGACCTGAGTTGCGCATCGTACTCGCCAGTGCTACGCTGGATGCCGAAGCTTTGGCTAGGTATTTCGATCCAGCATATGGCACATCGGAAGCGATCTCGTCGATTCTTTCCATTGAAGGACGCATGTACCCGGTGGAAGTCGCTTATACCACGGAGCTTGTGCGTGATCTTGTCCAAGCATGCATAGATGCCGTCTGGGCGTGGCATACGCATGAGCCACTAAGCGGCGACATGCTCGTGTTTGTGCCTGGACGCGACGACATCCAGCGCATCCTTCAAGCACTCGCTGATCGCATGATGGAGGCCGCGTCAACACATCCATCGAGTCACCGCCTGCATTTGCTCCCACTGTATGCAGAGCTGGATGTGAACGCACAGCGCGCTGTCTTTCTTCCTCCGCCACGCGGTACGCGCAAAGTCATTGTCGCGACGAACGTGGCCGAGACTAGTGTCACACTCGATGGCGTCCGCTTCGTCGTAGATTCCGGCTACACCAAAATCCGGCTGCTTGACACAAGCACAGGTGTAGATGTCCTAGCTGTTGTGCCGACGTCGCGTGCATCTGCACAACAGCGAGCGGGGCGCGCTGGTCGCACGGCCCCCGGCAAATGCTTGCGGCTCTATCCTGAGTCAGAGCTTGCGCGCATGCGCGCATCAGATGCGCCAGAGCTTGTCCGCTGCGACTTGTCCATGTACCTGCTACAGCTCAAAGCACTAGGCATCGATAATGTTGCACGCTTCGACTATGTGCCACCGGCGCCACCAGCCGCCCATGTGGCGCGTGCGTTAGCGTATTTGGCAAGTCTGCAGGCACTGGATGCACAGGGGCGCTTGTGCTCGCTGGGCGAGCAGCTCGCTGAAGCACCTCTTTCGCCCATGATGGCGCGGGCTGTCCTACATGCAGCTCAGGAAGGATGCGCCGACGAAATGCTTACGATCGCGGCGATGACGTCAGTTGGCACGCCTTTCCTAAAGATCGAATATGGCGCAGCGATGGACGTGCATGCGGAACTTGCGCGCCGCAAGTTCGTCGCTGAAGAAGGCGACCAACTTACACTTTTGAATGTGTACGAAGCGTTTATCGACCCGCGCATCGGTCGTGCATCGGCAGCATGGGCAGCTAAGCATGCGCTGCACTATGCGACGCTCAAACGTGCGCAAGCTATCCGGGCGCACCTGGTCAAGTATGCAACGTTACACTGGTCACTGCCATTACATCGCGCGTACGATGCCACACGCCTGCGGCGGTGCTTGGCCGCAGGCTTTTTTAAGAATGCCGCACGTTACATGCCTGACGGCACCTATCGCAGCGTGCAAGGCGCCACGTTACACGTACATCCGGCATCCGTGCTATTTTCTCGCACTCCCACAAGCACTTGGGTCGTGTTTGGTGACGTGGTTTGGACAACCCAGGCTCAAATGCGCGACATTGCGACAGTGGAGGAAGATTGGCTTCTGTCACTTGCGTACGTATCCATGCATCATGATGCGTGTGCCTCGCTTCTGACACACAGGAAAGACCCCATTTTTACACGCATGGCCCCCAAGGCCAGGACCCCAGTCGTGGCCCTGGCCATGGTTATGGCTATAGCCCTTCTAGCATCACGATGGATCGCGCGAACCTTCTGCCACTTCGTTGATGCGTGCACGGACATGTGCTGTGCCACTGAGGCCTTGTGCAAGAAACTGGCGCAATACACGGAACCGTTTCGTGCGTGTGGTGTACTGCCCGGCAAGACTGCGAGTGGCCATCGGCAGAATGTTGGTGCGTTCGCGTGCAGCAACAGAGTGGATCGAGTGGAGCGTGCTGAATAGATCGCGATCGACTTCTTGGAACGTCGCTCCAGCCTTGTACATATCAGATGCATGGTCCACAGCCACGCGCGATGACGATCCACTTGCTTCACGCTCCGTTGGATCGGCACGCTTTTCATGCGCAGCTTTGCGCTTTTTTTCCTTATTTGCTTGCGACGCACTTTTCATCGCCGCTATCTGGCGCTCTTTTTCTTCCAGACGTGCCACAAATGCAGGGTTCGTGGCTTTTTGCCATTCAAATAGTAGTATATCATAGGGTTGCGATCGACCTGGCACGTTTCGCTTCGCACCCATGCTGTGCGACTTGCACGTAAGTGACCGCGAGCATGGCAAGCCTTTGTTGTTGATCACACCGCACTGTCGATCAAGATTGATGGGACCTCGATTCTTTTTCCCGCCACCCATGTTCTTCCGCCGTGCTGCCGCTGCATCTTGCGACAGAAGACTCTCGCCACCAGCGGCAGCATCGCCTGTACTTGGCACGGAGCTCTTCAGCACGCTCGGTGATAGGCTTCCATCCTTAATAGACCGTGCCATCGTGCAGTTTTCTAATGACATGTCAATATCCAAAATGCCATGTTTATGCTCACGTACGCGTATGATATGGGAATGCTTCTCGCAGCACTGGCTTCTTGCAGGACGAACACGCCACGATATCGACGGAGTCATCCAGCGCAAAACTCCCAAACAGAGTCACATCTCGTTCGTCTTTTTCCCACGGACGCTCACTCGCTTCTGACGGCGATACTAACTCTGTAGAGTCGTTGTAAGCGTGTGCTTCTCCAGCTGCCAGCGAAGGGCGCATCGTCGCAACAACACGTACGGCTTTTCGTCTCGTCAAGAATCAGGTCCCAATCAGGCCCTGACACCCCATTCATTTTCGCATCTGAGTCGGTGAGGGCACTAGAAACTATCGGTTTGTTGAGCTAGGGTTGTGCGCCGTACGTTCTGTGAACGAAGAAGCAGCTATCGTGCGCTTAACGGATTCTAGCCTGTCTGGTGTTTTCTTTCTCTCCACACGTACCACGCAAGAGTGTTGGCATAGCACTTTATCACGTGGTGTCCACCCTTGGCCCTCGACCTTGCACAGAGATTGACACTCCAAGCCGACAAGCTCCACGAAGTTGGACATGGCAGCAGCTGCCATGGACGATTCTCAGGTTCACAAGACCGCCAATCTTATTGTATGTATGCGCGTACCTCCTTACGATAGCGTGAATCTGCCTTCGATGTGTATTCGTATGCACGAGTGGGTGTCGACAAACTAAGCGATTCGCTCAATGTGTATGGGTCGCCAATCCCCGAAACATGGCGCAAAGTTCAAAACATGGCTAGCGAGCAGTTGATTCAGTGCATGGCATACCTTGGTCTTAAATCACCGTTTTCATCCTCAACGCCAACACCCCCGGTCGCATCGCATCCGCCGTCTCGTCTTCCATCTGCCATCACATCTTTCTTCGATCATGTCTTTCCCGCTGAACGCATGCCCAGCCGAAAGATCATTGTATATACTATGGGCGGTATCATATGTGTGGGATTGGGTGTCCTTACAATGCCGTATGTCTCTACGTATGTTCAGCATCACCTGCGATCATCACGTCTGCCTTTGAAGGGTGCCATTTCGAAGGATGGCACTCGGAGACAGTGCGTGATTGTGCTTGGAGGTGACACAATTCTTGGCTCTGAGTTCGTGCGTCATTTCTTGGCGCATGACCTGATTGTGCTCGCCTCAGCATCGACGGAGCAGTCGGTTCGAGAGCTCGAGTCGAATGTGCCGTCAGAGTCACAAGGATACATCCGCCTATTTCAGCTCAACCCTGTCGCGGCGAGCGATAAGGAGATGACCAAATTCGTGCATGCTATTCATGCTAGCTTGTGTATGCGATTCCCATGGAATGCGACGGGTGATCCGTATGCACGACCAGGGTCTACAGTTGAGCTGGTGGGCATCGTGAATGCTTTGTCGTACGTGCCGGATATGATCGACTGGACGTCACATTCTGGCAACACTGAATCGCCCTTGGCTGCTCTAGAGCCTAAGGACGTGGACGCTGCTCTTCACAAACATGTCTCAGCGCCATTGAGTGTACTAAGCCGCTTGCTGGCGCTTGTGACAACGTCCAAACCGCACAAGCCATCGAACTTGCCCATCCTCGTTGTCCACATCGTTTCCTTGCCAGGTGCTCGCTTTGTGTGGCCTGCTCATGGTGCGACAGCAATGATTGCGCAGGCCGCTCAGACTGGCTTTACGTCGCTCCGTCGCGAATACACACAGGAATGGATGGCTTCCCTCACCTCGACCCATGTCCCTTGGCATCAGAATACAGGAATGGAGCGCAAAATCAGCTGGACAACCTTCCAAGTCGGACCTGGGGCCATGACTTCTTCAGGCGTATCTCGCTTGCTGCCGAAAGTGACTCGTCTAATCCTCACACCAGTGCGGTCCCTTTCTCTTTCTTATACCATTTTTGGCGGTTCGTTATGGCATGCAATGGTAATGCGGTGTATACACGCCGCACTGAGGATTGTGCCTACAACATGGCTCGATGTCATTATATCTGTACACGAACGGTTCTTGGAGCGACACAACACTCGAGCACGCGTCCAACAGGCGCATGCCAATCCGCATCCTTCAAGCCTCCAGCCCGGCGTGACCATGTAGTAGTGCAGTTTCATAGTACATACGAACACACAAGACCGCATGAAGTCGGCCGAGCGGAACAATGTTATGGTTTGTGTAGACACTTTATTTAACTAAGATGAGGTCGACGGGGGTTGAATGGGAATTCGCACGAGGGTATCGGGTATTGTTCGTGTGCCGAGCGTTGAAATAGGGTCCTCAGCAGGAACATTTTCATGTTCTACATGGGCCTTCTCGACCTCGCGTCTTTGCAACATGGCCGCTTGACCAAAAGTCAGCACACGTACATTGTGCGGCGAATAACGCACCTTGAGCAATTTGAATCGCGCGAAACACACCTTGCCAGCTATCCATCACAGAGGCCACAGCTTTTTGTCAGTGATCACAAGTACGTATCGTTACATACATTGACCGCCAATAACGAGAGTATCGATGCGTTCACTCAATTTCTCGAGTTCTTGTGTCAATTGAGCCGATTCGACACGCAGCTGCTGCAATGCTTGAAGTTCAGCTTGCTTTACACTTAAACGCGCAGCCACACCGCCCGAAACAGGCGCCACAGACATGCGCGAGCGCGCCAGACTCATCCGTTGCGAAGAGCCGACCATAATCACTACAATGCACGAGGTCTCAGTTCAATTGTCACAACGGTGTCGTGACACGCGTCGATCAATGTGGAGGGGGATTTGAACTCTAGTCAATTCATTTAATATTTTGTTCCCTCACACGCTCCTGCTCGTCCCTGGCGCATACTCTCTCGCACCCATACGAGGACACGCTCGGATTGGCAACCTTTTGGCTGTCTGTCGCGCACACTCTATCGCGGTCGCCACTTCTATGGCAGCTGCATCAATCTCGGCTGTTACCCGTGGCACAGCATATGAGCTCGCATGCATGACAACTCTGCATGGTTGGCTCGGTATGCAACTGTATAGAACTGGCGGCGCAGGTGATCGGGGCATTGACCTTTCAGGTTGGTGGGAACCACACAAGCTTGGACCTGTTGATAGCACACGACCAGGCACTATTTCAAAGAACTCGTCCCGCATAAGAATTCTTGTACAGTGCAAAGCTGAATCCCGTCAAGTGGGACCAAATGTCGTCCGAGAATTAGAGGGCACTATGATACGTGCTCTCTGGGACAAAATTCAAGCGCCTAATCAAATACGTGCCGAAACGCCTGCCTCCGCGGCAGTGGTTGGCATTATAGCAAGTCAGTCTGGATTTAGCAAGCATGCCATGCTACACATGCGTTCTAGCAAACTGCCGATGTTGTGCTTACATCTTGCGAAGCGTCTCACCAAGCGCGAAGACGAAAAACAGCTCGAGTGTCGCGGATTCATGTGGAATGACGCTCTAGCTTCACAGGAAGGTCCTTTGCAGGGTAGGTTTGAAGTAGCGTGGACATGTGTGCCGAAAGGTATGCATGCACCAGGCGCATCCCCACATCCTGTTATGAAGCTATATCGAGACGGGGTCCAAATCGCCTGACTCTCATAGCATCAACATCTGTAAATGCTCGCAACCACCTACATATGCTAGACTCGCAGGGACCTTTGTTGCCTTGCCACTCCGACATACAACATGTCCAATGGGAAAACACGTATACAAGAAGTCTACATGCCTAGGGTACTTTCCAAAAGAGTGATCAAACAAGAACACTCTGCGCACGCGTAACTCAAACATGCAAACAAGTTAGAGAGCTACCACGAAACGTGGCACACGGCGTCGAGAGCTGTCACTTCATATAGTGCAACATCGATCTGCGTGTAGAGACCACTTCATGAGATGATATAATTGAATGTGTGACTACAACACTAGTACCCACACATTAAATATCGCCGTTAAACGCTGGCTTTTTGGTAGGTCCTCGATTCCTTCATTTTTTTTTACTTGTCGTTCGAGTTCATGCGACGCTTACCGCCAGGCGTCACGGTGGCATTCACAAAGCTGCGATAGATGTCAGATCCCAACTGCAATGCCCTACCATACATACCGACGGTTGTAAAGAATACGCTTCTTCGCGCGGCCCTTTGGTACCTTGGGCTTCTCTTGCTTCTCCACCTTGGGAGTTTGCGACTTGACCTTACCGGCACGAGCGAGAGAGCCGTGGACCTTACCCATCTTGCTCTGGGACAGGTGTTAGTACCCATTCACATCTTCACTACGACATCCACCGGCATCACACATACCTCTTCGAATGTGGTTGAAAACCAACGATATGCCGTGCCAGACCGACGAAAACCGCCACTCGCCCCCGTGCGAGACGCACGCTCGAATCACGTGTGCATGGTAGTTTTAGATAAGCACGTGATGTAACACTCCTTCAGGCTTCGTGCGTGTTAGGCATCTGCTAACCAGTCAGAAGAGAGGACTAGCGGCTAAATCAGTGTCTCACGACTTTCTCCAAAGCGCCTCTGTCACCACGATGATCATTTCGAAGGAGAACCGCCGCACCATCTACACGACCTTGTTCCAAGAAGGTGTGCTCGTGGCACCTAAGAACTTTGAGATCAAGCACCCTATCATGGATGTGCCAAACCTGGAAGTGATCAAGGCCATGCAGTCGCTCACCTCGAAGGGCTACGTGCACACGCAGTTCAGCTGGCAGTGGTTCTATTACGTGCTCACGGACGAGGGTCTCGAGTACTTGCGTGAGTACTTGCACCTTCCCTCGGAGATTGTGCCCAACACGCACAAGCAGCCAGCTCGTCCTCAGCGTGCCATGATGGGTGACCGTGACGGTTTCCGTGGTGGTCGTGGCGGCGGCGACCGTGAGTACCGCCGCCGCGGTGACTTTGACAAGAAGGACGATGTGCCAAGTGGAGACTTCCGTCCTCGCTTCGGTCGCCGCGAGTAAATGACTTTTACTTGTGATGCAATCCCACACACATGTCGTTGACGTGAAAAGAAAGCATTGCACTGACTGTGAAATTTGTGTGATTGACCCTCGATATGCTGGATGCAAGTGACTTTGTTATTTGCTGTCTAGCTTATGGTGGATGGGTACCCCTATGGGTGGCACGCGAGTTATGCGCGTCGAGCTGGTGCTCTTAGCCTACTCATTGACGGGTCCAAAAATTCAATACCTGCTTATAGATGTGTCATTTACGCAATATAAGTATGCAACTCGCATGTCGAGTGATAAACAAGGATGTGTAGAAGTAAGTCCATATGTGCTTAGGCCTATGTGCGGTGGTTCTTTACACCAGAGTCGTCGTATCCGCAAGAGCCAACGGCCGCTTTCGGGCTTGCTTTCGGCAGACGACGAGCTCTAGGCCATGTGTGTATTAGTCAGCACACACACGCGTGCAAGACCCAGCGGACGCTAATGTCGTCGCGAGAAAGTGAGGCTGTTCAACCATTTTGACAAGCCAACATGGGACTTTTCGGTGGCAGCAGCAGTAGTGCCAGCGCCTCCAATGCTAATTCACCTCAACTGGATGCGGCCATGGCCGAGGTACGTCGCCCATAAGACTCATTCGCAGCTCGACATGATTACAGATGTGTTCAACCGTCTCGTCGAGTCGTGTCATGCCAAGTGCATCAGTCCTCGCTACGCTGAGGCTGACCTCAACAAAGGTGAGAGTGTTTGTGTGGATCGGTATGTGTCATGCTGATGAGGTAAGATGGGACTGACGCATGCTCTGAAGTTGTGTCAGCAAATTCTTTGCTGTGAATGCCAAAGTCGGCGAGCAAATGCAAGCGATGGGTCAAGCCGCTGCTGCCTCCAGCGGTAAGATGTTTGGCTGAATCTTCTCTAGCATGAGGATCCACGAATGATGCATAAATTGCACACTCACACGTTTCATAGAATTATGTAGATGTGTCGGTGAATGTATGGAGCACGAAGCAAGTAAATGAGGGGCTTTGGCGGCGAAGTACAAATACTACATCCTTCGTTGGTCTGAGCATCTTTGTATCATTTGCCTATTTCTATGCTCTCAGATTGCGTTTGTTGAAAATTTTTGAATTATCATGTGTAGCTGAATGCCAAGCCTTGTCCATGGTCACATTTAAGTAGCTTTCGTCTTTGATCGCAGCCAAACCGTTAGCAGCCATGCACGGCAAGAAAGACGTCAAATATATTCGAAATATGATTGGCTGTGACGCATGCACCTGCAACGGGCGTACGGACCTGCCGGACACCTATAGTGACAAAATCTTTGCGCCCAACCGAAAAACCTAGCGTCTCACAACCCTGAACTACTCAAAGTCCCGCCATCGATCACCGCCATGGTAATTGGATTTGTGGCGCTGGGGTGTGCAGTGCTCGCGTCTACTGTGGCCGTGCAAGCCAGTCCGACAGCGACACGATCAGGACCTACAGCTAGCGCCACAGCTGATGCCCATGGTCTACAGGTGCCGATCTATTTCAACGGCAAGGCGTTACATCCGCGGAATCGAAATATGAATGAGGATCAGCTATCTGAATGGTTGATGGCCGAGCACAACAAGTTAAAAGTGAAGTACACACACCCAAAGGATCGGCAGCCATCGAATCGGTCGAAGCGGCAACAACTTGGTCTGGGGGACTTCGGCCTCGATAGCTTCTACTTTGCTCCCATCGGTGTTGGGTCGCCAGAGTTGACACTAAATGTCGTGCTCGATACGGGATCAGCTGATTTCTGGGTCGCTGGAACTTCATGTTCGTTGATGGACCAGTGCCAACAAGGGATGATCAAATTTGATCCATCAAAGAGTAGTACATTCAAAGACAATGGCTTACCATTCAGTGTTCAATACGGCTCAGGTGCTGTGAGAGGTGAATTGGCTTCCGATAAGGTTTCTCTCGCCGGCTACACCATCTCGTCTCTCTCATTCGGATTGGCAAAGGAGCTGGCTCGGAATACTATTGGTCCACCTGCTTCTGGTATTCTTGGCATGGCTTTTAACACATTGTCCACGACGGGAACTATGCCATTCTGGCAAGTCTTGCTTGAAAGGAGAAAGATGCAAAATTATGTATTCAGTTTCCAGCTTGTAAACAATCTTGAAAAAGCGAACTCCCAGGATGCGAAAGAAGTTGCACCAGGTGGTGTGTTTACTCTTGGTGTATTGGACGACCAACAGTACTCGGGTAACATCACCTGGTCGTCCTTATCGAAGGGTTATGGTCCGAATGGCGTTGGTTATTGGGCCATCGACATTGAAAAACTGAATATTAACGGCAAAGAGCTCAAATTGGGTGAACTGAATATTGCCGCGATTGACACAGGAACCACACTGATTGGCGGTCCAGAGAATGTAATGGACGCCATCCACTCCAGGATCAGAGGTGCACAAAAATACGCACGTGCACCACAATACTACGTGTTTCCGTGCAGGACACAAATCAACCTCGACTTTACGTTTGGTGGTCGCACATGGAAGCTCACGACGAAGGATTTGATTTCGCACCAACTTACATCCAATATGTGCTTGAGCTCCTTGTTTATTAGCCCAACGCAATCGCCAAACATGCCATCATGGATTGTGGGTGACACGTTCTTAAAGACTGTGTTTAGCGTCTTTGATGGCGCAAAAGCACGTATTGGATTTGCGTCTCTGCACCAAGGTGGTGCACAAACCATGTCATTGACTAGCGCTACGATGGACAACAGTCTAGCGAACAAGGGGGCCAAAGAATCAACTGAGGCTGGCCCAATGAGCGATGAAAGCAGCGCTGGGATGCCGCATGGTGGAAACACTCCTGGTATGGCTCGAAGCAACACTGACAATGCATGGAAGACAGCCTCTATCTTTGTACCACACGACATCAAGCCAATTGATCCACCGAAAGGTTCAAGTCATTTCGTTAAGCCTGCGAATATTGTTACGCTGTTGATGGTGTCTGTGATGACTCTTACAGTCTCTATGGTGGTTCTTTGATTGCGTCCTTGTAAGAATACATGTCCCTTGACCTTCCAGCTTTTCCTTGTCGATCCAGCTTCCATCATATATTTATTTATTTATATATAAACTATTTAGGCTGGACTGATTATGTTCTCCAAAAAGGTACGAATCATCAACGATGAGTGCAGTCATAGTGCCAGGTTTGATAGAGACGGTGAAGCACTAGTAACAGGAGATGAACTCGATGCTACTTTCATAAATCCTTGTGTGCAATTGGCTGCTCGAGAAGAGACGCCAGCGATTTCCGGGTCTTGTGGTCATGGACCTGAGGAAGAATGACCTGGAATTCGACAAACAAGTCGCCGTGCTCCTTGCCGTGTGCCAGGTCTTTTTCATCATAAGGAATTGGCAATCCCTCGCTGGGGATGCGAATGACTTGGCCCGGTTGTGTGACGCTCGCACGCTTGATGTGAATTGGGTGACCGTCATAATGCGAAAGGGTGTGATCGAAGCCGAGGAGAGCGTCATGGAGAGAAATCGTGTAGATATAATAGAGATTATGGCCCATGCGACGGAAGTCGCCAGGCGACGTGGTCGTGTGGACCTTGACGATAACGTCGCCAGCGTCCATATCAGGGTCCTGGTCGGCCATGCCTTCAAAGATATACTCAGCACCTTCGCGTGCACCAGCATCTACTTCTACTTCGATGTCTGTTGTGTCCGGTAGAACCTTTTGACCGTGACAGCGACTGCATGTGCGAGCGATCATGCGACCTTGGCCTTGGCAGTGTGGACACGTCGATTGCATGCTTGTTACGAAGCCAGGCATGATTTCCTGTCGGAGTATTTGGACGCCAGAGCCACGGCACTGTGTGCAAGTACGAATATCTGCAGTTGAGTGAGCACCGGAACCGAAACACGAAGGGCACACGACATGGCGTTCATGGACAAGTGTAAAAGAACGACCGAGGTACAGATCGGATAGCGAGATTTCGGCTTGGTATATTTTGCTAGCACCCTTCGGTGTCTGGTCATTTGAGCGGCTAGGGCCACCACCAAAGAACTGTCGAAAGAGGTCGAAAGGATCGCCATGGCCATTTTCTTTGCGTGATTGATGCTGCAAAGCTGCGTCTGCTCCATGGGAGTCGTACACGCGGCGTAATTCAGGATCAGACAATACTTGATAGGCTTCAGACACTTCCATGAAAGCCTCTGCCTTGTCTGGATGCTTGTCTGGATGCATGTGACGAGCCTTTTTCCTGTAGGCGGACTTGATCTCGCGTTCGGATGCATGTGGCTTGACGCCTAGGACTCGGTAAAAATCTTTAGCCGCTGCCACGAGAGGCAGTAGACACACGATGCATACTAACAGCCATATCGTGAGGTATTTCGCCGGCCAATAGAGCATGATTGCAAAACAATGAAGGACCTTACGCAACTAGGAACACCTGAAACCCTCACTCACAACGAGACAGGAGCACGATTGGACGAGGTATGTGTGTGAAAATGCAAGGAAAAGAGAGGGGAGCGAATATAGACAGTAGAAAGGGGGGGAGAAATAGGTCACGAAGGGCAAAAGAGTAAGTCGTTCAGACGTGCGGGCCAAAAGAGCAAGGCAGCGACAACGACGACGCAGGCGTTCGTTGGTTTGAAGGACGAGTTGCAATTTGCGCACACGAGCGAGGCGAGGAATATGGAGAACCTCCACGTGGTTATGTGACGCAGCAAGAGCCACGAGCTCGGATGCGTGTTTGATCGCAGTAAGCTTGCACAAAGCCACATGCAAAAGACGTCTGCCTGAGATCCGTGCAATGCAGGTGTGTAAAACATGTGGCGAGGAACGAATCGCCACTTAAGGTCAGTGCAGAACAAGCAACGAGTGTTGAGACAGATTCACGCCACCCAACACCATGGGGGATGCAGCTGTCATGACGGCAGCTGAGGTGCAGGGACTGGTAGCTCGAACGCTACCATCCTTTTACACTAGTTCGCCAAGGTTTTTGCAGAGTATATCAGACCATGATCTGGCGCTTCTGCTACCCATCCTCATATACTGGGGCGCATCACTTGCATACCATGCGCTGGATGTGATACGGCCTGCATGGTCAGAGAAGTACCGGCTGCATGCGCCAGAAGAGCTAGAGAAGCGGAATCGAGTGAGTATGAAGCGCGTTATTGCAATGGTCGCATTTCAACACGCGATCCAGACGGCGTTGGGCATCGCAATCATGGAAGATACACCCGCGACCAAGACACGCCGACTAGATGCAGATCCGTTTACGGATATTCCCGCGCTTGTACAGACTATGCGTAGCCTGCATCTGCCACTGTATGATAGCGTACTTGTGCGTGCTGCCATCGCGCTGTACTGGTGGGGAATTCCGTGGCTTCAATTCTGGTTTGCATGCTTTGTTCTAGATGCTTGGCAATACATGCTGCACCGCACCATGCATGAGGTGCGATTCTTGTATCGCACAATGCACTCGCACCATCACCGACTGTACGTGCCTTATGCATTTGGTGCTTTGTACAACCACCCACTCGAAGGCATGCTCCTCGACACGCTCGGCGCCGAGCTGGCTAGGGTCGTAAGTCGCATGACTCTTCGGCAGACGATGGTGTTCTTCACTCTTTCCACGTTCAAGACCGTGTGTGACCACGGTGGGTATGCATTCCCATGGTACTTCAATCCCATCCACGCGCTCTTCCCTAATAATGCGGCCTACCATGACGTGCATCATCAGACACAAGGCTTGCGCTACAATTATTCGCAACCATTCTTTGTACACTTTGACACGATCCTCGGTACCAGAGTCGATCCAGAGGACTTCCACACAATGCTTGAAAAGAAGGGTCTTCAGACGAGGAAGATCGCTAGTGCAAAGAACGACAATGAGGCGGAGGAGGAGAATGCACGTCCTGCACGGCTGCCCGTGCCAAAGCGGTCGTCACCATATTCAACGGCTACAGTGTGGTCAAGCGTGCTATTTATGGGCATCCTGGCTGTGCCCGTGCTGGTGTATTCAGTTGTGTAGAGAGGTAGATGTAGTCGTAGACAAAGCGGGAGTGGTTGTTTGGGTATCAGACGTCGAATGATTGGCTGCGCCGGTGGCGTCCGTCGCATCCGTGGCTTCGGTGTTGACGGTAGGCTCAGCAGGCTTGTCAGGCATGCGGACTGCGTTGCCTGATTCTATGGCCGCATGGACCGGCTCCGTCGCCGAGGGCGTTGCTGTCGTAGATGCTGCACGTGCCGTGGGGATGACAGTGCCATTCGTCCTCGGCGTTGGTGCGCGAGAGTCGGAGGCCATTGTCGCGGGTGGTGACGATGGCGACGCAGTTGCAGGCGGCGACGGTGAAGGGAGTGGCGACCCAGACGGCGATGGGATGGTCGGCAAATGCAGGTGCCGCGCTACTTGGTCGGCCATCTGATCGGCCTGGCGGTGGAATGCCGCTTCCAGTGCCCCCATGGACGGACAAGCGGACTCGCTCGCTGCGGCAAATGTGGGCGTCGTTGTCGACGTACCGCATGGCGAGAGACCAGCATGCAGCAGGTATTGCATGCTGCCCCACTCAAGGATCTTGCGCTGCAGCCATGGAAGGCTCACAGGCTTGTTGAGAAAGTCATTGCATCCAGCGGCGAGGGCTTCCACCCGATCAGAGCTTAGCACAGACGCCGTGAGTGCGACGATAATGACAGAGTGTCGCGCATGGTAATGATGAAGAGCTGGATCCTGCGCCGACCTCGGGCTTTTTCTCTGCTGCGACAACCGCAACTGGCCCTCGAGGCGACGAATTTCTTTGGTTGCTTGGATGCCATCGAGACCTGGAAGCTGAATATCCATGAGGATCAGGTGAAAGTTGCCACGACGCCATTTGTCAATAGCTTCATGCCCGTCCTTGGCCATGTCATAGTCGATGCGTTTACGGCGGAGGAACGTTGCGAGAATTCGCTGGTTGATCACATTGTCCTCGACAATCAGCACCTTGACGGGCGGAAGGAATTCTTCCCGAAGAGCCATTTTGCGCCGCTGGATCCGTGTGCTAGACTGAGGCGAGAGTGGTGGCGCATACGGTGGAGACAGAGCCGCGTCATTCGTCCGTCGCCACGACTCGTCGCGCACGCCGATCATGACGCCCTCTTGTGGCTGAGCTGACGTGCGGACGGAGCGGCTTGGAAGATGTGCGTAGGGCGTGGGGCGCGAGGGATATGCTTTTGGATCAAATTGCAAGGGCGGCAGGTGGATCGATGTTGGTGCACCGGGACGCGAGCCACGTTCTCGTTGACTGAAGGAGAGCGTCGTGGGCAGCTGTGGTGAGTTGGGTGGAAAAGCGCCAACACTTGGCACGCCAGGCATGCCACGCATACTTAACTGCGCTGCACGGAGCATGGACGCACTCGGATATGACGGGGGCGGCACTGACGACGAGAGGGGCTCGCTAGCATGTTTGTTTTTGGTGCGCGGCGAGACGCGTGAGCCCGGGTCCGGGGGCGTTTCGCGTGGTTGGAAGTAAAGGCCTGCTGGGCGGCCATCAGCGCCATGCACGAGACGCCCACCGGCCGTGTTAGCGTGCGATGCGAGCCGCGAGACGGCCTGCGTGAAGTAGTCTGTGGTTGCGTCGGCTGCGTCTGACACGACATCGGACGCCGTGGCAGGCGATGCCGAGTAAGACGCAGCGGAAATGGCCGGCACAGACGACGAGGACGAAGAGAGGGTTGGCGATGCTATCATGGAAGTCGGCGGCATGCCCGAGGCTGCCATGGACATGGATGCAGAGCCTGCCGGCATCGGATGTGGACTTCGACTCGATGCACGTACGTTCGTGGTGGCTGGATGAGTGATGCCACGTGCAGCAAGAGAGGCCGAACTTGACAAAGACGCTCTGCGAGTGGCGCTCGAGGCGCCAGAGGCTGGCGTAGACACGGAGCCTGTAGAAGAGTGCACTGGTGCTGCTGGTGGCGCGTGTGCTGGAGAATGGACCGGCTGAGACGCTTGGGTGAAAGCCGACGCCGAGGTGGAAGTTGACACGGGATCTGACTTTGGTTCTTGAGTGCCTAGGGAAACTTGGCATGAGCCTGGCTCTAGATCCGCAATGGCATGAGGATCTGGAGCTGGCGCGGAGCTAGAGTCATGTGCAAGATGAGGACTAGACGCAGATACGCTCGCGGGTGGTGGAGCAGGAACAGAAACAGACGCTTGCTCCAGAGCCAGTGGCGGGACTGGCGTCGGGGCTGGTGCAGACATTGCCATGGATGCAGGCGCTAGTGCCGATGATGTTGGTGCTACTGGTGGTGGTGCTGTCGTTGTTGTTGATAATGTTGTTGATGGTGCTGATGTTGGTGCTTGTACTGGTGTTGGTGCTTCTGTTAAGGCTGCTGTTGACGCTGTGGTTGGTGCTGGTATGGAAGTTGATGCCGATGTGGATGTTGGCACGGGAGTTCTTGTTGGCTCAGCAGTAGCAGAGGATGCAAGCGAAGGCATAGACGTAGGCGTCGAGACGTTGTTGGACATGGGGATAAGGCCTAGGCCCAGGCCCAGGCCCAAACCGTGACGAGCGTCAGGACTCGACAAATCACTAGATGGTGTGACCATTTGAGTGGCGACGGCTTGCATGGAAACAGGGAGTGGCACCGGACCCTGTGGCGGAAGTGCCTGGGCGATCCGTGCTTGTTCGTTGGCCTCGGGCCTGGGCGACCCGTTGTCCTTGTACAAGAGGCAGTAGATTGCATACGCCAGGCGAGCGCGACTGATGGGCTCGCTCAGAGCCATGCAGCGTGGCGGCATGCTTTGTAAGACTGATACGATGCGTGGCAACGGAGCGAGAAACACACAAGGAACCTGTGCTTTGGCCATCGCATGCAGCTGCTTTTGATCATGGTGCACAATCGCAATTTCTGGCTGCTGATCCAATCCAACGAGCGAGCACTGCCAGTCCACAAGATACTCTTGCAGCTGACGACAGAGATCATCGTCAGGCGACGCAAAGTGAACGCGACGAAGATGAATAATCTGCATGGCAGATAGCACAGTGATGCCCGGCGCAATCAAAGGCACATCCCGCTCCGTATTTGGCTCACTTGACATGAGGTCGGAGCTGGCCGGCCGCTTGAGTGTGATGTTCAAGCATGTAGGATGCTGTGCATGCAAAAGAGGCTGAAAGTACGGCTTGTCCTGCAGTGTCTCGAGAGAGACAGGCGTCTGCACGAGATGACACCCGATGTCGTCTAGCACTGTTTGCATATCGACGTACGGCCCAAGCCAAGGCGGCCAAGACGTCTCATCCACTGGCACAGTCGCATCAAAGTACACGTACACAAGTGTCTGGTTCGCAGGTGCGTCAACACTGGGGTGGATCACGACACGCGAGTCCTGTGCCACATTGTGCACGAGCCACGATAGCACATGGATCAGCAAGCCGAGCGCAGCAATAGGGTACGTTGCACTGGGATACCAAGGTGTATTGGACGTATCGGCAGCCTCAGCGAAGGGTGATGCTTGTGTGCCATCCGTTCGCACTGCCGTCAGCAGAAGCGTCGTGGGCGATGTGATAAAGAGCTCAACACGACTTGCACTCGCCTGGGCTGCTACGGCATCGAGAGCCGCCTGTGTCAGGTCTGAAATATGCGCTGAAAGGGATGCGGCAGAGATCACTGATGGTGCATTAGCACTTGTTATGCTCATAGCCGCACGAGCATGCATCAGCTGGATCGCGTACGATGTGTACACGCTCGCTAGCAGGATCGGCGCACTCACGCATACACTGGCACGTGTATGAGCTTGTGCCGACATAGTCTGCAGCGTCGTGTCTAAGCTGTACTGCAGCGTCCGTGCGACTTTTTCATACGACTGCGGCGCACTAGCCATGCTCTTCTTCGTACGAGTCACGAAGTTATCTTTGTTCAATGTGTGGCTCTGAGTCGTTCTTCCTTTCCTCTATTGTCCCAGTAGTAGTATTTTTTTCCCTCTGTGTTCTTCTTTCCCCTGATCGTGCCAGCTCACCTTTGGTTGTCGTAGACACCACGAGCCGAGCGCTCGTGAATGGGTTGGTAGCCAAAAAACGACCTGCGTGCCACTCGATGAGTGTGTGGAGCTTATTTCTGGTGCGTCCCTCAAACGATTCCCACCCCCCCCCCACCGATATCACTATTTCATCTCTGACACTTGGCCCTCCACACACCATTGAGCCCCGTCTAAGTAAGCCAATAAGAAAAAAATAAAAGAAAAAAAGGTATTGTCGCTAGCGCCGTCGTAGGGAGACTCCCCACAAGGACGCAAGCCTGCTTGAATGAATGGCACCACCACGAAGGCCTTTGTCCCAACCAACCCCTCTCACTCCGCTTTCGGAAGGTAAATCATGTTTTTATACCTATTTCCATCTGTCCGCCATCTTACTAGGTCGCACAGCATACGAGAACCGTGCATGTGAGGGCGCTCTTGAGCCCCTTGCCACCGATTCACCCGACTGTCCTCTTTTGCTCCACGCACCTGTCCAACCTCCACGTCAGTGTCGTCCCCCATTCACATCTTAGTTGGGCCCTGGACAACGAACGCCGCCTGTGATTCTCCCTCATGTGGACGTCAGCAATGCATGCGTCTTTGAGTGACGCGCTGCATGCACTTCCACCGCCCACACCAGGCACTTGGAGTGCACAGACACTCCTGCGCCTGCGGACCTGTGCGGCTCTCTGCACAGCGCTCGCACGCGCGCGGAACGCCGGTGCGAAGGACGCGGACTTGGCCCGCATCGTGTACGCAACCTACTTGCACGTCACTACGACTCTGATATCCGATGCACAGGCACTCGAAGAGGCCGAGGCGTACTGGCGCCGCGTAACGCGCGACCACATGCGTGCGGGACTTTTGTGGCTGCAAACGTTGCCGGAGCGACTCGTGTGGGGCCGTCGGCAGACGAAATGGATCGGCCTTCATGGCGTGCGTGCAGAGGCGGAAGCCAAGTGTGAACGACTTCATCGTGCGTATGAAGCAACGGCGCGCGCGCTCGGTGCACTGGCAATCGCTTGGCACACCTCGTCGTCGTCCAACTTGTCCATGTCGGAGCGGGCAAAAACGCTATGCAAAGAAGGATGGCTCGCTCTTTCATCGGATCTACCCTCTCGGCCCAAGGATCACCTATCTCATACCACGGCTGCATTCCTCGATGCTGTCGTGACGCACGAGGCAGGTGTGTCGCGTGTGCTGCGGGCGTGTGGAATACCCAGCGTGATGACACACGCATGGCCCCTGCTGATTGTATACCCCCTTGTGTCGTGGGGTGCAACCAGTCTCGTGTACCGCCATTGGACACAGATCACCACACAGATGGCAGCTGCTTGGGAGACTGTGCAAGGGCTTGTGGTCGGATGGGTGTATGTACCGGCGTTGCGCCTCCTTGATACACTGCGCGCTGGGCGGAAAGAGCGTGCGCTTCTCGTCCGCCGCGAGAGTCTCGCTGCCGATGAGCAGAGCCTCGAGCGCATGGTCGAGTCGCTAGGCCGCGACACGCTCCAGCTCGATCCGGCGGCCCTCGCTGACTTGGCGGCTCGCACGCGCGCCGGCGACTTGACGCCCGTCTGGCAGGTGTATGAGGCGGCGATGCGCTCACCGGTCCGCGGCTTTGTCTCTGGCTCGCTCGTGCGTACATTGCTGATCCACGTGCAAAAGGCGAAAGTCGACTTGGAGATCGCGCTAAGCGGCATCGACTGGCTCCTAAAGTCGCAGGAACTCCTGCTGGGAGCCGTCGGCTTGGCCCCTGCCCTGGGTCTCGTATACGTCTTGTACGCGAGCGTCCGTGGCAGTGTGCGCTGGCTGTGCCAGAAGCCCGCTTCTCTCCGTGCATCCAGCACGACCCAACTGCGCATGGATGCTTGGCAAGCGTTGCGCCGTGCGGATGCTCGCTGCTGCTACTGCCGCTGCGCATCCTCCGCCTCCTCCAGCCATGGCCCAGTTGATGCGAACGACCCGGCGAGCTCCCGCTCCATGGCGCTCCTGTATGGCCGCTTGCTCCTTGATCTGCGTGTGCTACGTACGTCCCTAGCCGCTCTGATCAAGCATGCATGCCATGGCGATCGCCTTGTTCATGCGCGCCTGCTCAGCGAGGCAGATGCTGATCTGCAAGCGCTTGAATGTGCCGACGCATGGACGGACCGTGCCAATGTTGTCGCACGCATGTGGCGCTCGTGGGGGCACCTAATTAGCGTGCAGTAAGAAGATGCTCACCCGACCAGATAGCGCAAGGCGTCGTCGTGGACATGGCCGTCCACGTCGTCAGGGTCGGTGCCTGAGACATACACATGGCCCATTCTTACACCATGACAATCCCATTCCCTGAGCCGTAGATGGATGGCGGCAACGGCCGCGGTACATGCTCATTTTCTTCGCTGCTGGCTGCTGCTGGATCCAACGCATCTTCGTCAGCACGCGACCCCATCCCTCCAGCGATCGGTGCGATGCGCCAGTTGAACAGGTAAAAGCGCAGGAATCCATCTCCAGGGCCAAACTTGAGCTCATGCGTAAACAGGGGATTGTCAAGTACCGTCAGACAATTCACTACGTCAAAGCCCTCCTTGTTCGCCAGCACCAGCATGTCGTTCATAAGCGCACACAGACGCGCCTTCAGTCGCTCTCGACTGGCATGCGACTCAGTGTGCCAGGGGCGCACATCCGCTTCATCTGCCGCTTCCGCTGGCGACAGTCGGCTTAGTGCACTGCACTGCCACGCAGCTTGGCCGCGTTGCCGCGCCGCCTCGTACGGCGAGATCGTCTGATCCGTCGCCTGCTGGGCAGGCGGCGGTGTCGGCGTCGATGCACTTTGCTGCGCGGCGCCGTCGTCAAACGCCGCGTCCGTCGCGTAGTAAAACAAGTAGGCTGCCTCGAGCGTGTCATATTGTTCATGGCCCAGGAGCGTCGATGGCAGGCTGTAGAAGGAGAAAAAGTCTGTGATCGCACCGTCGTGCCGCTCAACCACATACGCCCACGTCACGGGACGTGTATCTAGCGGCACAGCTTGCGCAAACAAATGGCGCACCTCCGCATCTGAAAAGCGCGGTGCCATGTCAAAGCGCGCCATGTATCTGCGCAGCAAGCGACCGACGGCGGGCACATCGCGAGTCTGCATTGGTCGCAAGCCCGGCAAACTGGTCGTTTCTGGCAGCTTGTACCGCGCTTCGTGCTGCGCCATTGACATGCCACGCGGCACGGAACTAAACCCCACCTCGACCAGCTTACGCGCGTGGAGCGTTCGATGGTAATAGCGTGCACACGATATGGGCGTCGGCAGAACCTGCCCGGCTGTGTAGATGGCCTGGAAAATCCCACTCTTGTGGCACCTGCGTGTCACTTCCTTGATCAGCACAGGCGCAAGTCGCTTGCTGCGCAGAAGCTTGTGCACACACAAAAAGTTGATCTCTGTTACTTGCAGCACCGAGTCGTGGATACGCAGTTCCTGTGGAATGCCAGCAATGAACGCCACGAGCTTCTGGGATGACTTGACCCGCACACCGACGTGCCATGATTTGTCGTAGCCTGGATGATGAAGCACCCAGCGCAGAAATGCCGGTGAGTACTTAAAGCGCATGGTGGCTTCGCCATCTTCCACGTAGTGATGCGTCAGCAAGTGATACACTTCTGACAGTTGAGCGTCATCCTCCATATCGATGGTGACCCATTCAAAGTCCGCTGGCAGCGGCAGAGGCTTTGTGCTCACCAACTCTGGCGGCACATTCGGCTCAATTGCGCCTGTTGATGCTGCCTCGTGGTCTCCTAGCTGTTTCACGGGGTTGCGTGTTCCACGAACTTGGTGCCTCCTTCTTGACAGCATGCGTGGCTTCGTGACTCTCTGCGCCAAGCATCGACAGTAACTTGGCAAGTTGATTCATTCCCGCTCCCACATTTGGTTCCGACATGCTTTCTGAACCTGCTGGAGCTGGCTCACCCTGCTTCGTGGATGACCTAGTCTCGGGCGGCGACACGTCTCGCTGTTGCGTGCGTTCGTCCTTTTTCGTCATGCTCGGATGCCTGTGCCTAGAACTTTGGCTCCTTGACAGACACGCACGCTCTTATGCGTAGTTCAGCTTGTCGAGAAAAGGGGGGAAGCGCTCGAGTGTGTGCGTGGATGACGCGTTCGCCCGCAACGTTCGCGCCCCTCAGTCGATGGGGTAAAGACACAATGGTTTCGTCGCCGCTCGATGAAATTCAGTCGTTTTTCCATGTGGACGCGGTGCGACTCCATTCACTACCGAACGCGCACGGGCGACAACAGAAATCTAGCACGTGATGCACCCTCGCTCGTGCCTGTCTACTCTTAGCCTCTTTCTTGCGACGTCGTTACAGGATTTGCGCGCTGAGACGTGGCGAGGCGTGGCGCGATACACCCAAGTGAGCGAGTCAGAGAAGGTGATCTTCTCCGCGAGGCATTGCCAAAAAAGATTGGTACACCGCTTGACCTGCATCAACAACCGCCAACCCTCAACCAAATACGCGCTGCTTGCGCAGCTGTCTGCACGACCAAAAGAGCACATCCAGTTCCATGTCGTACGGCTTCTTAAACAAGCAGGGTGCTGCGAGTGCAGGATCTTCATCCGCGGATACTCCCATCGTATGTGAAACGTGCCTCGGGCCCAATCCGTATGTCCGCATGTCCAAGCATCATTTGGGTAAAGAGTGCAAAATCTGTGGGCGCCCCTACACTGTTTTTCGATGGAACCCTGGGAATGGCATGCGCTTCAAACACACAGAAATTTGTACAACATGCGCCAAATTACGGCATGTTTGTCAGTCGTGCATTCTCGATCTCGACTACCATCTGCCTGCACAAGTCCGCGATGCTGCGCTGGGCTCCTCCGTCAAGATACCCATGTCAGATATCAATCGGCAATACTTTGTGAATCGCATGGATAGCCTCCTGGATGGCGCATCACCAGAAGCAACAAGAGAACTGGTCGGTCCTTCTCGTGCTGGACACGAGGTTCTTAAGAAGCTCGTTCACGCCCGCTCGGACTCCCCGTGGCAACAGCAGCAGTACCTTCGGCACCATGACCGCCCCCCCGTGTGCTCCTTTTATGCGCGCGGCGCTTGCACCCGTGGCCAGGCGTGTCCATACCGACACGAAGGTGCACAACACGCTGCATCCACACATACTATAACAAACTCTTCTACCAGGAGCGAGAGCCAGCGGCCATCACGCTCTGCATCGTCTATGCCCCTAATAGAAAAGGTGCCAGGCGCCAAGGCGTTAGACACACCGTCCGATGCACACATTCGCACATTGTTTTTTGCTAATCTTCCTGTCGATATGGACCACAAGACCAGCTTCGCACCGTCCTGCTCACAAGCATACCGAAACTTGACCAGTGCAAATGCCATTGCACACATCCAAATGATAATGTCATCACACTGTGCATTCGTCCACTTCGAAACGCGCGACAACGCCGAGTGTGCACGCAGACGCTTTAGCTACCAAAGTCTACATGCAAGGGCAACACCAAGTGCGCGTTGCATGGGGCCGGCGACCACCCTCATCTGCTTCATAGTGTAGCCCAATGTCTAGGAAACTGGTTCCGAATACGACCAAGATCCCAAATGACAGAGACGGGCCAAGGAAATAAAAAAAAAAAAGAGAAACGAAGCTCACAAATACCCGACCCGACAGCACACCAACCCAGGTTGCATGGATTTTTGTTTCTTATCAGAGGAGGTTTTCTATTTCTTGCCTTTGCCTCCTTTGCCCTTTTTAGCCTGGACAGCTGCGCCGGGACGAGCTTCACGACCGCCACTCATCCAGCTCAAATCACTTTCGTCAAACGAAACAGAATTCTGCGCATGCCCCGCGCCATCATCGGCGAAGCGACGACGGAAGCGGCCAAGTCGGCCCATATCGTCATCAGCCTCAGCTTCATTCCGACCACCGGACAAAGGATTCCACAGAGGATGATTCGTAAAGTCCCGCGTCATTCGTGTAATGTGTCGAGGCGATGTGGTCGTCACACGCACCGACGATCCGTCCGCCAGGATCACCAAACCAGGGAATCGCGGCACCGGCCGTGGTAGAGGTGCTGTCGGGTCAGGCCCATCTTGCTGGGAGGATGCACACACACGCCGTCCCGTAGAAAAAGTGCGCATCTGAGCTGGTGCATTCCTTCCTTTCGTCTTTTCAATCTCTGAGAGCGTGGGAGCCGGTCGCACTTGCTTAATGGTATCATTGGAACCCAGCTCTGTGTGCTCCGTAAATCGTAGCTTATATGTCGCATTTTCGGCTTCTTTGTCCGCCACACCTTGCACTACATTGTGTTTCAAAATATAATTCACCTGCTCGCCCATATCCAAGCCCTCGTCAATCTTGGCAGGATCGCGCTCTTCTTTTGCACTGAGAAATCGCTGGCGAGTTTCTTGCCGCGCAGCCAAAAGCGCACGTTGGTCTCCGCGGAACAGATCGCGTGTTGTTCGCATAAGCGTGCGGTACAATGCTACCGCACGCTGTCGCTGCGCGCTTGTGAATGCTGTTGTTGCTACTGCCATTCACCTGCTATTTGTGTTGCTTGTATACAGGAACACACTTCTTGCCACGCTCACAAAACGACTTGTCTGGCTCGAATCGCCAACCGAGGTCTCTCCAGCGTTCAGTTACGTAATCTGTCGTCGACAAGTGCTTGGCTCAAGATACAGACAGAACAGGAAGTGGCAGCGCAAATCGAAAAACCAAATCACAGCTTGCCTAATAGACCGGTTATTCAAGTGACTTCTGACATAAGTGGCGGGCATGAGCGACGCAGGAGGCTGCTGCGATACATATCACGTGTCACTACACGTGGCATGATGCCGAGCACAGTGGCTGTGGCAACACAACTGCCGTAGCCGAAAAAAGATCTCACACGCACAGTGGTCCCATTTCTGTGCTCGGCCACACACATTAGTTGGTAGCATGGTGAGCCCCGCAGCCCCTGGACGATTGTATGTATCATTGCTGTTTGTTAGCTACTCGAACTTACACATACGGACAGAACTCGGAAAGTGCGCATCACAGTTGTGGCTGCCGATGGACTATCGAAGGTATGTTGTAGCAGACGGAAGAAATGGTCGTCTTCGTGCGTGGATGCAGTTGCTTACTCGTACATATAGCGTGATGTGTTCCGACTTCCCGACCCGTTTGCAATTGTCACGGTAGATGGAGAGCAAACACATACAACGTCTGTCATCAAAAAGACGCTCAACCCATATTGGAATGACTCGTTTGATGTTAATGTAAACGATGCATCTGTCGTTGCCGTACAGATCTTTGACCAGAAAAAGTTCAAAAAGCGCGATCAGGGGTTCCTTGGTGTTATTAACGTGCGGATCGCTGATGTCGTGGATCTGGAACTTGGCGGCAAAGCGCTCTTGACGCGCGACTTGAAGAAGTCAAACGACAACCTGCCCATTCATGGCAAGCTGATCATCGATATCAACACAAATGTCGCTGCTCCTCTAGCCCATGGTTCTGGTGCAGCCTCTTCCTCACATCTCACCGCGGGTGGACTCGCGCCAGTTGCCTCGTCTGCGTCTGTCTCCAGCGCGCCACACAGTGGTCGTGCACCGACCGTGGCTACTCAAGCATCGCCAGCAGTGCCAATGAGACCAGTTCCTCCTTCTGCCGCTGCCACTGCGCGTCCAGTCGCTCCAGGCAGCTCGACGCCATCACTTGAGCCCGTTGTACCCACGATTGTGCAAACAGAAGCCACCGCCCCCACCATGGCCTCCCACACTGCGCCTGCCATGTCGCCATCGAATTTGAACCAGTCGCGTGTTCCCGATAGCCGCGCGGATGACTTGGGCCCTCTTCCTCCTGGCTGGGAGCGCCGCACGGATCATCTCGGTCGAATCTATTACGTGGACCATAACACTCGGTCTACGACGTGGACACGACCGTCGGGTGATGTGAATGCTCAGCGGGCAAATGCAGAAATGGATCGCTCGCGTATGTCCAGCACGATTGTAGCGGACGATTTCCTTGGTGTTGAGGGACAAAACTCAGGGGCTGCTGGTTCTTCGACGCCCGTCACCGCAGCGACGAACGAAACGTCCACTGGTGCTGGACCCTTGCCCAGTGGTTGGGAGCAACGGACTACGGCGGAGGGCCGCCCGTACTTTGTTGATCATAACACGCGCACAACCACATGGGTTGATCCACGCCGTCAACAAATCTTGCGTATCATGGGCCCCAACGGCAACAACTTGAGCCTTCAGCCCCAGAGTGTAAGTCAACTGGGTCCACTCCCAAGTGGATGGGAGATGCGTCTCACTTCTACGGCCCGTGTGTACTTCGTCGACCACAACACAAAGACGACAACTTGGGATGACCCACGGCTGCCCAGTTCCCTGGACCAGAACGTGCCGCAGTACAAGCGCGATTTCCGCCGCAAGCTTATCTATTTCCGCTCGCAACCTGCGCTGCGTCCTATTCCTGGTCAGTGTCATGTCAAGGTTCGCCGCACGCATATCTTTGAAGACTCGTACGCGGAGATTATGCGCCAGCAGCCGAATGACCTGAAAAAGCGCTTAATGATCAAGTTTGAGGGTGAAGATGCCTTGGACTATGGCGGTGTCTCCCGTGAATTCTTTTTCTTGTTGTCTCACGAGATGTTCAATCCTTTCTACTGTTTGTTTGAATACAGCGCACACGACAACTACACCCTTCAGATTAATCCACACTCTGGTATCAACCCAGAGCACCTGAACTATTTCAAATTTATTGGTCGCGTCTTGGGACTTGCCATTTTTCACCGTCGTTTCCTTGATGCACACTTTATCGTCTCGTTCTACAAGATGATCTTGAAAAAGAAGATCACGCTTGCTGATATGGAAAGTGTCGACGCTGATTATCACCGCTCACTGCAGTGGATGCTCGACAACTCGATCGAGGGTATTATGGAAGAGACGTTCAGCACAATGGAAGACAAATTCGGCGAAATGGTCACAATCGAGCTCAAGCCCGGTGGCGAGCATATCGATGTGACCAACGAGAACAAGCGGGAATATGTGGAACGGATGGTCGAATGGCGTATTGTAAAGCGAGTCGAAGAACAGTTCCGTGCATTTATTAGCGGCTTCTCCGAACTGATCCCTCTGGATCTAATCAATGTATTTGATGAACGTGAGCTGGAACTGCTTATGGGCGGTATGTCGGAAATTGACGTCGACGACTGGAAGCGCTTCACCGACTATCGTGGCTTCACTGAGCAAGATGATGTTGTACAATGGTTCTGGCAGTGTGTGCAGCAGTGGCCAGCCGAGCAGCGCTCGCGTCTTCTGCAATTTGCCACAGGCACATCTCGTATACCTGTCAATGGCTTCAAGGATCTCCAAGGTTCTGATGGTCCTCGCCGCTTCACCATTGAGAAATCTGGCGAAATTAACCAACTGCCCAAGTCGCATACGTGCTTCAACAGGATTGATCTTCCACCATACCCATCCAAAGAAGTGCTGGAAAACAAGCTTGTGCTAGCCATTGAGGAGGGAATGCGCTTTGGCAATGAGTAAGAACAAGTAGATTCGAAGGTGTGAATGCATGGCTTGCTATGTAACCGTAGACATATATACATGTACATGGGACCTAATTAAGGGACAAGAGCAAATAAACAGAACTGACTTTCTCAAAGCAAATCAAACTACAGCAACATTCTATGTAATTACAACAAAGTGCTAATGAGAATGTTGGTGGATGTGTTCAAGTCACGGAGGAGACTGGAACTCGATTATGTAAAAGTACACAGATGCCTAGATCAAGCGGCATGCGCCACCGGTGATCTGCGCAAAAGGAAAGCTGGTGCCGATATAACACCGTTGAACACGAATGTACCGTACGCCATGATAGCAAAACCCAAGCCTTGTACACTTCCCGATAATGGCCGCAAGACTTCCCAGCCTAGACATAGACTCACTGCACAAATACCAAGTGTGCGTAACGTATCGATCGTGCTGCGTGCTGTGGCGCTTAAATCCTTTGTCACGTTCAGACCCAGGGCATTATAAATGGCAATACTAGTAGCGCAGAGGAATGCACTCATTCGAACACTAGGCACACCCAGCGTCTGTGACCAACCTGCACGTAGATCAAAGATACCTCCCTCACCTTGCCTAGTAGAGCCGACAAAGTAGTGCATCAGCAGCATACCCACAGTTATTTGGCAAATACCAAAGATCCCCTCTAGTCCAACGACCAGCAAGGGATCCACACGATGTTGCTCCATGACCTTTTCTTCCCAAACAAACTGTGTTGCAGAGAACACCTGTGCACCTAGCACCATGGCAAGACCCAGCAAAGTCTGAGATGCCGTCTCATGCGATTTGGTCTTCAGTAACGCAAGTATATACAAGTTGGTGTCTGACTGGGCGGACTGAAGAAGGCTACTGAGCCCAACAATGCAAACACCGACCATAACAAGCACGAGACTGAGCCATTCGTAAAGAAGCATGTGGTAGCGAAGGAAAATCACACTGAGCAACCCAACCCACATTACCAATGCACCTCGAGTCATTTGGAACACACTTACAGGCATAATTAAAAGCGCTAGATTCATGAGTGTAGTCGCGAGAATATCGCACGTCGCTGGAAAGAAAAACTCGAGACTCCGAATGTACCATGGCTTGTCGGTCGTGCATGCTCCTAATGCAGAATACGGGATATTGGTGCCGTACGAGGGTTGCGAAGGAGAATTAGATGAAATGAGTAGCACCTCTCGCTCACGTTGATCACCATTGTTGCTTGCTTGTTTGTCTCGGTACTTTTGTCGCATGGTGCTCAGGCCATAAATCGCCAAACACCATGCCTCACCCATGAACATTTGCAATGTCTGCCAAACTGGCTGCGAGTAATACACGCGATTTGCTGCAGATACATCATCACAGTTTTCTATACATTGCATATCTTGCCTGATGTAGTGTTAGACACAAGAACCAACGTCTACTCCCTAGCGGACACTAATTCGTTTGGCACGTTTCACACATGCCATGTACATACCATTTGAGCAAGATCGAGTTTAGAATGCCAGTCACAAACATGCTTGTGACAAGCGCCCACACATACAATCGTTTGCGAACTGACTTGGTCTTGTGTAATGAATGCATACTGCTGTGAAACCAGTCGCAGACGCGGTCTTCAACTTGACGTGTTCGCAAGTGGGGGTCTTCAGAAGATGGTGCGTGCGTATCGGCCGAATGTTCATTTTCAAGACGTCGATCAGTGCATCCCGCAGCATGACTCAGCAGGTGAAGACCAGGAACGCGCATTTGGTTGGTTTCCTCAAGGTCTGGATTCAGGTGTGGAGTAGATCTAGTCTCAAAAAAGGCCTCACCCACTCAGTCGACAGGCGATATCTAGCACGTGATCATCTTATTACTTTTGGCTTACGTTTTCGATGTGGGCCGAAGCTTTCAGATCGCACTCGCATCTATTAAATCAACCGCGCGTCGTCATCGTCGGCATTATTGCCGTCGTTACTGCCCATGGTCGTGTTGGAGTACGAGGCGTCTCCACACGCAAAGAACCGCATAGTACCAACCTTTTCTGATGCGCCATTCTTTTATGATAGGACAAGATACCAAAATGATGGTGCGCCAGACCTCAACGTCGGTGCTTTGCTTGCCGACGCGAAATCTGTTCATGTAAGTCGCGAGTTCCCACTTTTATGAAGTGAAATTTTTTCAGTGCTGACGAGCAGTCACACTTTAATCCGCGAGTTTCATATTATTTTTCGGCTGGTGTGTCGGACTATGTACGTGATTCAGCACAAGGAGACCTGTTCGAGAAAAGATATGCTAATGTCACCCGCAGCATTACGGAGAACACCACCCCATGAAACCCGCGCGACTTGCACTAACAAATCGACTTGTACATGGATACGGCTTGCATAAGTATATGTCCGTGTATTCACCACGATGGGCATCGCGTGAGGAACTGGAAATGTTTCATGACAGTGATTATGTTGACTTCCTTAGCACCGCCACACCGTCTACACCATTGTCATCTGCATTTACCCGATTCAATTTTGCCGACGATTGCCCCGTATTTGACGGCATGTACGACTTTTGTCGGGCATACGCCGGATCATCGCTCGCGGCTGCCCGTAGGCTTGCTGCTGGAGCCACGGACATTGCTATTAACTGGACAGGAGGGCTTCACCATGCAAAGAAATTTGAAGCCAGTGGGTTTTGCTACATCAACGATATCGTTCTAGCGATTTTAGAACTCTTGCGGACGTTTCCACGTGTTCTGTATATTGACATCGATATTCACCATGGTGATGGTGTACAAGAAGCCTTTTACACATCCAATCGTGTCATGACAGTGTCTTTCCACAAGTACGGGAACGATTTTTTCCCATGCACTGGCGACATTAGCGAAACGGGAGTCGGGCTAGGCAAGCATTTTTGCCTTAATGTGCCGCTGCAGGACGGCATTGACGATGGTGCCTACGTGTGTCTTTTTAAAAGCGTAATTGAACCCTGTGTTTATACCTTCCAGCCAAGTGCCATTGTTCTCCAGTGCGGTGCTGACTCGTTGGGTCTCGATCGGCTCGGCTGCTTCAATCTTAGCATTGCTGCACATGGTGAATGTGTTGCCTTCACTAAAGCATTTGGCCTCCCGATGCTCGTTCTTGGCGGTGGCGGCTACACGATCCGCAATGTTGCACGCTGCTGGACATACGAAACATCCGTGCTAACAGGCACGCAGATTCCAGATGATTTACCTCATACCCCTTATGATGCGTTTTTTGCGCCAACGCATCGTCTTCACGAACCCCTTATCGCACGCGTTGAGAACCAAAACACGCGCACAAGTCTCGAACGAACGCGAATTCAAGTATTGGAAAAACTGCGCTATCTCCACGGAGCACCCAGTGTACAAATGAATGAGCTACCTCCCGATTTGGCTGGCGGTTGGGTTGATGAACCTATCAAAGATTATCCCTGAAGTTCCGTCCACAGATGTTAGACTCGGATTTGATTGTATATGTAAAATAGTACCTAATTACGCCTTGTTGCAGATGTGGAAGTTTTTCAGCGCCGCGTTGGTCGCTGTCGTCGGAATTGCGTTGTTGCGAGCACACACATGCCAGGAAATACATGCGATGTGGGTGGGCCGAATCTTTCTTAATTTTGGTTGGCAACAATGTATCGCTAAAATCCGCCGAGGCACGAGTCTCGGAATGCGTAGCCACGTGTCGAATATCTATCTGTAGAAACGAACTCGAACTAGACTCAGTTTAAAATGGTGGCTGTGACACATACATGTACCTATTGCTTTCGCCCATCCACCCCTCTATCTAATGAAACTCACACTCATTTCGTCTGCCCTGCTTGTTGTCGGGGCAAGTGCTAAGTTGCACACGCCCAGCACCCATGTCGATTATGTTCGCCGCGCTCTTCCCTCTGATGCTGCTGGTTATGCTAAGCTAGACAATCCAACCAAGGAGTGCAAATATTATACGCCACCTGAAATGGAACAGATGTTGAAGGACCGTCTTCCAAAGGCTGGAAAAGTTGCGGACATCTTGCCGAATGATGACGAAGCAAAGAAGGTCTGGAAAGAGATTCAGGATACGGGCATTATCCCTGAAGAGGTCAAGACAAAACCCGATGCGTCAAATGGTAAGCATGCGGAAGTGGATATTAAATCTGCGAACTACGATGCGGACAAGGATCCAGATTGTTGGTGGTCTGCCAGCCAATGCACCAAGCCGAAGCACAACAAGATTCCCGAGGATATCGCCGTATGTCCAGAGGGAAGCACATATGGATTGACCTTTGATGATGGACCCAACTGCTCGCACAATGCGTTCTACGACTTTTTGAAGCAAAAAAAATTGAAGGCATCGTTGTTCTATATCGGTACCAACGTAGCTACCTGGCCTTACCAGGCTCAGCGTGGTCTTGCCGATGGACATGACATTTGCGTTCACACATGGTCTCACCCTGCAATGACGACCTTATCTGACTCGCAAGTATTTGCCGAACTCTTCTACACAGTCCGGGTCATCAAGGCCGTTCTTGGTATTACGACCACATGCTGGCGTCCTCCATTTGGTGATACTGATGATCGTGTGCGTGCTATTGCAGCCGGTCTGGGATTGCGCACAATTCATTGGAGGGAAGACACTGATGACTGGCAGATGGCTTCAACTGGATCGCCCAAGCAGGTTCGCCAGAATTACGATAAAATCGTCGACAAAGCTAGTAATGAAAGCCCTATTGTACTGGCTCACGAACTCCACAACGATACGATGAGCATATTTATCGAGAAAGAATCAAAAATTGCAGATGCTTACAAGCATGTGGCTCCTGTCAGCGCTTGTATGAATGTCACGAATCCTTACATGGAAAACCAAATTGTGTATCCAAACTTTGAAGAATACACTGGCGGCAACGCGAATTATAAAGGCTTGCCTGACATGAGCAATATGAAAATCAATCCTAACGTTGACTTTAGTGCTCTGTCGCTGGCTAAAATGGACACTGGCTTTGCACCAGGTGGTGAGAACAAGAAGCAAACCGACACTGGTTCAGCAACTTTCTCTTCTGACTCATCGGATGATGGGAGCAAGAATGCCAAAGGCTCTAAAGACGGTGGCAGTGGTGGTAAAGACAACAGCCATAAGGAGAACGGCGCCATCCAGTTTTCCTCTTTGTCTTTATGGGCCGCACTTCTTAGCTCTATTACGATTACCTTCGTTACATTCCAGGTTTAACTATTGGATTTATGATGTAGATTATCCTGAATAAAAATTGCATGACAACTTCTTGACTTTTGCTGAGTCCAATTAGAAAACAATATAATCTATAGTTTTGTAGTCTGAAAATAAATTGGAAGGCAAAAAGCGAGGTCCTGCGCGGAGTCGAACCGCGGCTTAAGGAACTCTAGACCCAGCAAGTCAGAAACCTTCGGACTAACCGTTATCCTACAGGACCTTCTGATGATAGGTTCGGTGATAACATAAATAAACACAAGCGAGTGCATTGATGGCACGAACAATTCATAAATCATTTGTTCGGTTCTCCCGCACTTTGTAGCTTGATGTCTATCAACTATGGTTTGTCGTGAGCCTCATCTTAGGTATCAAGACAGCAAATGCAACGAATTTGGAACTAAAATACCCATTCATTTCGGCCTGATTTGTGCGTGTAATAGCGCTTTTGACTTGCGATTGTTATCGCGCCGAATGCGTTGACTTTCTCGGAAAGTCTTCAACTTGGGACATGTCCACATTTCGTTACGTACGATCACGTATCCTTTGGGAACATACAATTATTTAATGCCGCTGTAGATGGTCTCAAGTTTATACAAGAGAACTAGCTTTTGTATAGTCACTAACTTTGCATTTGCTCTAGAGATTTCTAAAAGGTATCTTAGTTGGGACTGCTCTAATTACTGACACACTACTATTTTACGATCTTACAGGATTCGTCAACACGTTTGCTTGTCTGAGGTGGCGCATATCCTTGAGATGATGCGTAACGCTTCGCAATATTCATTCTTTCTATCTATCGCACAGCTTTGATCCTCACGTATGCACAAGCCACGCGGGAACACATGTGAAGGTGGCAGTGCAAGTGGTATTATATAATCTGAGATGAGCCAACTAATAATAGTGCATTCCCAAAGTTAACCTTAGGTCTATTCGTAAGGCACGCATGTGTCGCGCTTAAAGCATTCAAATGCCTTGCATTCTACACATCACATAGAGTTTATGGCGTATCAGCTGACTAAACGGGTGCGTTCACGTGGATAAAACCCCTGGTCTTATTCCAATGCTCACGTCGGGCTGGACCTATCTCGTCGTCCGGACGTCATGCAGTTGACAACAAGTCTGATTATTGCTTCTGCTGCCTTTGCGAGCGCCACGGCATCGCTTCATGATGTCAACAGCCCACATCTTGCGCGTTTGCAGCGTCGTCAGTCTAATCAGGATGCAGCTTCTGTAGCGAAAGAGACTGATCCAAAGCAAGAATGCGCAGCCGCGTATCAAAACCCTCTCGAAGGACTGAAGGGCAAGAAATTGCCTGAACCCCAGAAGATCGCCGAGATCATTGATGGTGACGATGAGGCGAAAAAAGTATGGCAGGAGATCCAAGATTCCGGTATAATTCCGAAAGACGTGAAGCAAAAGAAGGACACTACAAGTGACCAACAGACTTCTAACATGGGTACATCAGCCCAAGCCTCGAACTATGATGTCCAAGGCGATCCTGATTGCTGGTGGACCGCCAATCGATGTACTGAACCGAAGCATGACAAGATCCCGAAGGATATTAGCTCGTGCCCGGAGCCTAGCACTTGGGGCCTTACATTTGATGATGGCCCGTATTGCTCCCACAATGAGTTTTACGACTTTTTGAAGAAGAAGAAGCTCAAAGCGACACTTTTCTACATCGGGACTCAAATGTACAATTTCCCTTTGCAGGCACAGCGCGGCCTTGCTGACGGGCATGATATTTGCGTCCATACTTGGGCCCACCGTTACATGACTACTTTGTCGGATGAACAAGTGTTTGCTGAGTTGTTCTACACGGCCCGCGCTATCAAGGTCTTGATGGGCGTGACTCCCTCATGCTGGCGACCACCATTTGGCGATACTGATGACCGTGTTCGTGCTATTGCTGCGGGTCTTGGTTTGCGTACAATTTTGTGGGAAGAGGATACACACGACTGGCAGGTTGATCAGGGCAAAACGGAAGATGACATTCGAAACAATTACCAGAACATTATCGGCAAAGCGGACAGTGAGAGCCCAATCGTTCTCTCCCACGAACTTTCGACAAAAACAATGAAACTATTTGAGGAAATGGAGCCAAAGATTTCGGATGCGTACAAGCACATTGTTCCGATCACTGCATGCCAGAATGTGACGAAGCCTTACGCGGAAGACATTACGTACCCCGACTTTGCCGACTTTATTAAGGGCAACATTGAGCCAAAAGGTGTTCCTGACATTGGTGACATAAAGGCCAACCCAGACGCTGATTACAAGGTGGTCAAGCTCTCTGACATGAAGAATGGCTATGCCAATCCAGGGCAGGGATCTAGCGGTGGCTCCAAAGATGGTTCTGGTAATGGCTCTGGTGGCTCGAAGGACTCTGGAAAAGATGGCAAGGGCGAAAATGGCTCTAGCAGCTTGCTTGACGCCAAGATTGGTGCCATTTCTGTGCTTGTTGCTATGGTCATCGGCACTGCAGTTGTTGTCCTTTGATGAGCACCTCATCTGATTACATTGTCGGGTTTCCATGAAGCTTTTCTGCGCGATCGTTTCCGTTTTTTGCTATTTACTGTGAAGCTGGTCCACTTCTTTGCGTTTCCACAAGTGGTGCAGTGGATTTTCTGTGATATATGAATATAGTATCTCAGTAGCAAATCCAATATATCGTTTAAGACTCTGACTGAAGCGTGTGTTAAGTCTGCTGAGGTTTCAGTGCATGTGTCAACCTTGCATAGATTTTAAGGTGGAAACTCGAGAGAGCGTTGATCATACAACGCGCGCATGTCTTCATATACGATCCCTACATGTTAACGTCGCGAGCCCGCCACCGCTTCGGGGCCGATAGCTTGGCGACATATAAATGGAATAGTTGAATCTAACGCTACAGACATTGTCATCACGGATAGCTTGTTGCATTTGTTTAAGTGTGCCTCAACACATTGAGGGACTAAAACCAAGATTCTTCAGCTTGTTAGAAAGATCCAAGATATTAAAACTACCTCTGATGTTTCAAACATCTATACAGCTGGGAAACATGGGTCACTGAAATGATGTTGGTGCAAGGTTGATTCATCGACTCTGCGTCAATGTTCTTCGAATCACTCGCAGCTTGCTTTTGTGCAGGATGGTCAATGGCTTTACCTTTATGGTGTGATGCGGCACGTGACCATGCGTTCATCCTGGGTCTCATTCATGAGATGTGCATCGATCTTCGTCACTGGTGGGTCCATGCGGACGCGAGATATAAAGCAGTGGCTAAGCGCTGCCGACCCGGCAGAGGCGGAGTCACCATATGATCCAGATGATGACATGGCACCAGAAAATCAGGTGCCAGTGTACTCGACCCAGCTGGAAGAAGCTGAGTCTGATTGGGATGCATTTATCACTCACGCCGCCGCGCGGCTTCGTGATCGTAAAGAGAAGCGTCGTTATCTGTTTGTCTCTAACACTGTGCCGCTAGTAGCTAGTGACTCTGGAACAAGCTCAGAAGAACGTGTAGAGCTATTTCAGCTCTTGTTGCAGACGACGCTGTCTTACAACGACAGGAAATCTCGCGTATGTCTAGTTCGTGCTGGATGCACACTGCTAGATGCAGACACGGCACACTGCCCTAAACAGCCATTGTCCAGTATGCTCGTAAGAGAGTCTGTGCATGCATTACAACCTGAAGTCGAGCGGACGACTCGGTCGGATTTGCGACTTTGTTGCACGCCATTACGTCTTGTTGCACTGTACGATTGGGTCTATTGTGTTCTTTCGTATGTATTACATGGCGAACACGCGTCTATCAAAAATGATTCAAATTTCATGCTACTTGTGAAAATGTATGCCCGTTTGCATGGGACCTATGTGGCAGCACTCGTCCGGAAGCACATGTGCATTTCAAGCGTGTCAGCACGGCTCCGCCAATGGGAATCAGATCCGGGATGTCTTTCACTGCTACTGCACGCAGCGCTGAAGCTTCCCGCGGCGGAAGCACTCGCTTCATGTGCACTGCAAGGACACTTGATCACAGTCTGTTGCTTGGGGGTGAAAGATACACAACGTGCTGGTGCGTTAGAGCTCGTACAAAGCATTAAAGTGCTGGTGCTGCAGTTCTATTCAACAAACGTCCTCAGTTCCAAAGTCCCGTTGCCCGAGACGTTACGCACAGCGAAGTCACATCCATATCGGTACTTTTTCAAGAGCGTCGTTACACCTGCTGACTTGGACGAGCACGTGTTGCCCACGCTTCAAAAGATGCTTCTTCGCTCACCAGAACATGCATTCTACGATCTTGGCGTACTCTGCACATGTGTTGCTGTGGACAAGACTTCTATCTTGTCGCGCTTCCAAAATGTCATGGTCTCATCGATTGCCTCGTCGAATCCAGCAACACGCGAGGCCGTCTTGTCTCTGAGCGACTCATTGTTCAAGGCGGATGACATAACTGCGTTTGCTGATGCAGTTTGTAAGAGTATCAAGGCAGGGGATGTGCGTTCTGAAGAACAGCGCCTCGCACAATATAAGCTTCTGTGGTCTTGTGTGCCAAATGAATCAAACAGTCCAGGCCTGCTAGGATCTATGGCTCCCGTGCTACTAAAGGAAACACAGCCATCGAGTGTCGCAGCTGCTGTTGATGCTGTGTCGAAGCATATCCATTTCTTGCTCGAGCATGATGTAGAGGTGCCGTCTGCATTCATGAAGGCGTTTATTGGCAAGACGAGCTCCCCGAAGCCGCCAGTGCGTGCTGCCGCGCTTTGTGGCATGTACCCTGCTATCTGCGCATGTGAACTAGGAATGACCTGTTCCTCCAGGGAACAAAAAAATTGGCTGGCATTCTGGAAAGACCTACTACCATCACTCGGGACCAGTGTCAAGTCTGCGCTGTCCAGTGCACTGACCTCGCCGGAAGCAGCGCTCGAGGGCTGCATTGCTACTGCACTCATATGGGGCGCGATCTCCCAGGAACATTCGCTGCGTGATTCTGCACTACCGCTCGCGCCTCTTGATGCACTGTTGGCCACAGGCGCGAAGCCATCGTTCCTCCTAAATGAGAAAGTGGCTCAAAAAATGAGTGAGCTTCATACAGTGCATTGGCATGCGAAAGCTTTCTATACGGTACTGCACCACACAAATCCGATGTCATGGCATGACAAGGAGTTTGCATCCCACATGTGCGCTCTGCTCCGATGCTACGTATATCACACTGTACAAATTGGCGCACCCAATCACGGTCCGCTATTCGTGCAAGGTGCACGATGGCACGCGCATAGGATTGTTCAATATGTGCACCGACACGATGAGCGACTTGCTCTTCACATGGTGCGGCACGTTTTGTCGAGTGAACCAGAGCTGCCAACGGATGTCGCACGGCTATTGGTTGAATGTATGTCATCGTTGAATCTTTTCCCAGAACTGGTCGTCCTAGTGCATGCTCCTCAGCTGCAGGATACGGAACATGATTGCTTTGTGAAATTATGTCGCAATGTGATGAAGCAAGTGGGGCCTACTGGGTCTGTTACTTACGACAACCTTGATCCACACGAAATTCTTCGAGACTATGCAGACTCGGTCATCCAAGCCATTTACGAGGCACAAAGCGATCCGACATGGCGCGTAGCAGCGGAGGCGGCACTGGCGTCCATCTTGTTCATCGCGCCTGATGCCGTGCTGGGCCGGATCTGCGGCGACATTGTGCGTGATATGTCGGTTAAATCGATCGAAGCTTTCAGTGAACAAGATGTGGCTATTTGGCGTGCATCAGACGACAAGCCATTCATTGATGTGCTGTCCTCAAATAAACAGGAACTTGACAAGGGCCGCACTACCAGTATGGACAGGTGGGATGCTGAAGTGCGTGCGTCTATTGCCGCGAAGAAAGCTGCTAACGCACCAAAATCGCTCACGAAGCAAGAGCAAGCTGCTGTCGACACGCAACTTGCACGTGAACGAGAAATTCGCTCGTTGGTCGAGCACGAGCGGACGCGCGTCATGCTCGCTCTCAACCGCGCTTTCATTGTGGCGCGAGCCCGTGCGACTAGCTCTGACATATTTGCGCTGACAGTGGCTGTGCGTACATGCCTGGGTAATGTGCGTGCTCGTGAGCTAGGAGTAACAGATATAGCGGTGGATGCTCTGGCCATGCTCTCGCGCGCAGGCGAAGCTCGTGTGCAAACTGTGTGTGGTTTTATCTTGAGTGCGATGCTGCGTGAGATTGACGGGAAACTTGTCCCGTTGGATTATTCGCTCGAATCAGGCGAGGAGATCGAGCTTCGCATTCTGTATCAATTGCGTTTCCTCGTGGATGCTGCGCCATTGGAACGCTCGTCTTGTGGCTTTGTAATCCCCTGGCTTACGCATTTGATTGCAAAGAGTCGTTTGTGTGGCGACGAAGACAAGGACGACCAGGTTGTTGAGCGACTGCAGTTGGCATTGGATGTGCTCGCAGCGCATGCGGTATATGGCTCAGACCCGCAATTTCCACGTGCTGAGGTTTTGGGCTCGCTACTGGTCCTTTTGCGTAATATTCCGATGCTAATGCACGACGCGATCGCAGCACTTCGGTCGTATGGCGACATGATATCTCATGAGCAGCAGGGTCAGACTGCACTGATAATCGAGCTTTTGGATGCTGCACTCTCGGATGAACGCCGTGAGCGGGATGGTGCGCTACAGTGTCTGGTATCACTGGACTTGACAGAACTCGAGTTCCCTCGCGCTGTCTGGCTCGCAATGCATTCAGACCTGAAAGCTATCGCAACGCAAGTATGGGAGGAGAATGCTCTGGATGTTCCATCGACGTATGTGCCGGCGTTAGTCCCACTCTTGCAACATGCTCACAAGTACGTGCGAGAGAGTGCAGCGCGCTCAATTGGTGCAGCATGTGCATTGCATCCTGACACATTCCCTGAGCTTTTGGACGCGCTGCTCATGCTATATCGTTCCGAAAACTACTCGCTCGAACCCGAGTACGACCAGTATGGCATGGTAATTGAATCGACGCTGAATCGCCAAGACCCTTGGCACGTTCGTCTCGCTGTGGCCTGGACGCTACATGCCGCTGCGCCGTCGTTCCGTCCGGCGGATGTCGTGCCATTCTTTCTGTTTGCCCTGCAGCCAGGTGTTGCGCTAAGCGATCGGAATGAGGACGTCAGCCATGCCATGCTCGATGCGTGCACGTCTGTGATCGATGTGCATGGCGCAAACGTTCTCTCCGATCTGCTCTCGCACTTAGAAGCGAGTCTTGAGAGCGAGAGCGACGCGGTTACCGAGGCGTCTGTAGTCTTGTTGGGCCGCATCGCTCAGTATCTACCGGCGGACAGTCCGCAGGTGCGTCGCGTCGTGGATCGCCTGCTTTCCGCTCTACGGACACCCAGCGAACTCGTGCAAGAGGCTGTGGCTTCTTGCTTGCCGGTGCTTGTTCGCACGACTGCTGTAGCCAAGGATGTGCCGGGCATTGTTGATGATCTTTTTGTCGACCTTCTACATGGCGAAAAGTATGCTACACGGCGTGGCGCAGCATACGGCTTGGCGGGCATTGTAAAAGGCCGCGGTGTGTGCTCTATTCGTGAGCTGCATATTTTGACACGACTAGCCGAAGCGATCGACGATACAAGCGTGTCGACGATCCGGCAGGGTGCCTTATTCGCGTATGAAATGCTTGCCGGTACATTGCAAGTGTTGTTGGAACCATATGTCGAGGGTATTCTCGAACATTTGCTTGTGTGCTTTGGCGATACACATGCAGATGTCCGAGAAGCGACGCAGGATGCTGCACGAGTGTTGATGCGTAGCCTGAGCGGCCAATGCCTGAAACTAATTTTGCCATCTCTATTGAGCGGCCTGGATGAAAAGCAGTGGCGTATGAAGAAAGGTGCCGTCGAGCTTCTGGGTGCGATGGCATTCTGTGCACCGCGGCAATTGTCCGCGGCGCTGCCAACAGTCATCCCCCGTCTGAGTGACGTCTTGACAGACTCACACCGCCAGGTCAGCACGGCTGCGAATCAGAGTCTCAAGCAATTTGGTGAAGTGATCCACAATCCAGAGATCCAGTCACTCGTGCCGGTGCTGCTCAAGGCGCTTGTCGATCCAAACGCCAAGACAGCGAGCGCACTGAAGGCGCTTCTTCGCACAAAGTTTGTGCACTACATCGATGCGCCATCGCTAGCGCTGATTGCGCCGATTATCGAGCGTGGTCTGCGTGAGCGGACCGTTCTCCTTCAAAAGCAAGCGGCCCAGATCGTTGGCAATCTGGCATCACTTACCGACACGCGCGACTATGTGCCGTACCTGAGCAAGTACACACCGCTCGTGCGTGTGGTGCTTGTGTCACCGGTGCCAGATGCTCGTGGCATTGCAGCAAAGGCGCTCGGCACGCTTGTTGAGCGACTGGGCGAGGTCCACTTTGCGGACTTGGTCCCGTCCTTGCTCCAGGTCCTGCAGACCGACGCAACAGGTGTCGATCGCCATGGCGCTGCACAGGGTCTAGCTGAAGTACTTGCTGGTCTGGGTATGGAGCGCATGGAGCGACTGCTGCCGACGATCATTGAAAACACACAGGACAGCACATCGTACGTGCGGGAAGGCCACCTCGCGTTGCTGATCTACCTGCCGGCTACGTTCGGTGCGCGCTTCATCCCTCATCTCGGGCGCATCGTGCCGCCGATCGTCGCAAGTATGGCGGACGATATCGAGTCTGTACGAGAGGCGAGTCTGCGGGCCGGCCGCATGCTCATTTCCAACTACACGCAGCGCTCTGTCGATCTGCTGCTGCCACAGTTGGAACCGCGTCTCTTTGATGCGCGGCACCGCGTTCGACTGTCGGCGCTGCAGCTCACGGCTGATATGCTATTCCGTGTGTGTGGTATTTCCGGAAAGGCAGAAGTGGAAGACGAGACAGACGAGGCTGCTGCGGCCAGCAGCAGCGTCCAAAAGACACTCGTCCAAGTGCTCGGAGCTGATCGGCGGGCTCGGATTCTTGCAGCCGTCTTCATCTTGCGACAAGACCCGAGCATACCTGTGCGCCAGACGGCCGCTCACACGTGGAAGGCACTTGTGCACAACACGCCCCGCACTGCCCGCGAAGTTCTCCCTGTTATGCTTGACCTACTCCTGGGTGGCGCTCTCGCGTCCGATGATTCTGAGCAGCGCGACATGGCAGGACGCACACTCGGCGAGCTGGTGCGCAAGCTGGGCGAAAAGATTCTCAGTGAGACAGTGCCGATCCTCAGCGAGCGTGCGATGCATGCACCCACCTCGTCGACTCGCGCCGGTGTGTGTCGTGCCGTTACGGACATTCTGGCGAATGCGACCAAGACGCAACTTGAAGACCATGAAGACGCACTTATTGGTGTTGTGCGACATGCGCTGGGCGATGAGGCGCCGGATGTACGTGCAGCAGCAGCTCATGCGCTCGACGCGATGCAGGCTCACCTGGGTGGCCATGCGATCGACGCCACCATTCCTACCTTGCTCGAGGCGTTGGACGACGAGCGCGCCCCGACCGCGCTCGCGGCGCTCAGGGAAGTTGTGCGCACACAACCTGAGGTTGTCTTCCCCGTCGTCGTGCCGACGCTCGCTCATGTCCCGTTATCCGACTCACATGCGTCCGCGCTGGTCGCCTTGCTGCCTGTTTCAAGCTCCGCGCTTGCGCAGCAGGTGAATGTGATTCTCAGCAGCCTTGCAGCATCGTGCGATGATGAGACGCACGTGAAGTACGAAGTGGCCGACGCGCTCTTCGCTGCCATTGGCGATATCGACACATTGCACCAGACTGTGATGCAGATCCTTGGCTGGCTCGGCGCTCGTCAGGCCTCTCGCCAGGCACTCGCATGCCACTTGTGGGTGCACTTCACGAAGCACGTGACTGTGTCGTGGGCCGACTACGAGATGGATGTGATGCGAAAACTGATCGCACTCTTCGAGCCTCCTGAGAAGCGTGTGTACACGGCAGCGCGTTCTGCCCTCGAAGCTTGTGTGCAGACGATCCCGAAGGAACACTGGGGCGCTCTTGTTGTGCCATTGCGACGAGCGCTGGAATCCACGGGTGCACCTTCGTCACACCTACCTGGCTTGTGTCAGCCACGCGGAGCCTCGCCTTTCGTTCCCGTTCTTCTACATGGCCTGCTCCAAGGCACAGCCGAGCAGCGCGAGCAGGGTGCACTGGGTCTCGCGGATCTTGCCGAAAAGACCTCCGCAGATGCCATCAAGCCCTTCATCACTGCCATGGTCGGTCCATTGATTCGTCTGTGTGGTGATAGGCATGCTCCACCCGTCAAAATTTCGATCGTCACGTCTCTCGACACCTTGGTACGCAGCGTGCCGATGCTCGTGCGGCCCTTCTACCCGCAGCTGCAGCGCTCCTTCCAAAAAGCCCTCTCAGACACCGCCAGTGGTACGGTGCGCATGAAAGCTGCACACGCGCTTGGATTCCTCATGGGCCTACAGACACGCGTGGAAGGCGTTGTATCTGAGCTTGTTCAAACCATTTGCGATGCTCTTGTGTCGCCTGACGACACGTCAGATGCTGCTATCGTTGCTCTCGCGTGTATCCTGGACCATGCACCGCAGGATAAGATCGGCGAGCAGACTCGTGCATCTGTTGTTGGATGCCTGGAGTCGGCATTCCATGCCGAAGAAGAGCCACGTGAATCGATCAAGCGTGCACTCGCTGATTTATTTGCATCGTTTATCAAGTTCGACACCAATGCCATACAACCACTTCTCGCTTCTCAGGTGCTGCAACCGGCTCCCGTCGATGTTCAGTTGGCTGCTTTGTGTGTACGTGCTTGTCTAGAGAATGCATCTGACACACTGTACGACGTTGCACGCCCACCATCGCTCGTGGCGCAACTTACAAGCGCATGGCTTAGCGAGGCTCCCTCTGTCGCTCGCATTGCGCGCGAAGCTCGCGACTTGATTCGGCGTACGTCACCATGGGCCACAGACGCGAGCGTGACTTCATCACTGTAAGTTTTTCTGTCTTCGCGCCTGTATTGTTTCGTTGTGCCTTTTCCGCCTAAGCGACTACCCATGTCTATACTACAAAAAGCCTGTTTCTCGTAGAGAGTTTTGCAGGATGGTTTCCTTCACAGCTGCAAATACCAAACGAATATTCGTCGTATCCGTCGCTTGAGTGATGTGTGGATAGATATTCAACCGAGCATGATTCACGCGTGTGAAGCGCCACAAAATGTATTTCGCTGCTTTGTTCACGTCATTGCCGCCCGTGTATTCCGGGAAATAATCCGACAACGGGCGCCGTGCGAGCTTCTGCTTGAAAATATCAATCTTGTTCAGAAACAGAATAATCGACGAGCGCTGGAACCAGCCTGTAGTACTTCGTTAGCACACATGCGCTCACTTCGCCTATGTATACGTACGACTGTTAATAATGCTTTCAAAGAGCACAAGACTCTCTGCCATGCGGTTCTGGCTGCTATCTTCTAGCAGAACCTGGTCGTACTCGCTCAGTGCGACACAGAAAATGACCGATGTGACTGAGTCGAAGCTGTGAATCCATTTACTCCGCTCCGAACGCTGTCCTCCGACATCGACGAGATGAATCGACATGTCTCCTGTCTGGAAACGCGTCTCCGAAACACCGAATGTCTTTGATCGCGCATGTAACACATCTTCTTGCGTCGGAATGTACGTATCAGTTGCGATACGCGCGACGGAATTTAAGAAGCTTTACGTGTGTGAGTCATCGAGCCCGTCAACATGCGTCGCCATATACATACTATTCCGCATTATCCATCAAATAAAATTCATCACGCCGCTCCATGAGTCTCGGAATGACGGGGTCGCTCCATAATGACTCGATCAGCTTCCCCATATCTGCCGGCAGGAAAGCATTTGGATCAGCAGGCACTTCGTACTGGGTCAAAATATCGGCTGCTTCCTGTGTCAAGCGTTAGTCTTGCTTCGTCAACGCGAGCTTCCGGCTGCGCCATGCGTTCCCCACCAACATGCGCCTGTCGCGTCTGAGGCCAAAAAAGGGGCCCGTATCAAAGACAGAGGGAAACGCCTCTTAGCCGTGCCGATTAACCATCACGTACCCTGTTCTCCAGTCGCTCAGGTTCCATCCCAAGAAGACGCAGCGCCAAAGCAATCGCGCGTGCTGAGTCCACAACATTCTTGATAACTGTCAAGCGGAACATATATAGCTCCTCCTTCGAATAGCCATTTTGGTGAATAATCTTCATTTGCTTTACGATCGTCGACTTGCCCGACTCGCCACTCCCTAGTAAGAGGATCTTGTATTCCTGTTTGCCTTGCTTCGTTGACTCAACAAGATGTTTATCGATTTCTGAGCTTCTTTGCCGCGCATCTTGATCAGCCCCACTAGCCTCAGGCTTCGATCCACATAGACCCATCTCGCTGTGACAACAACGTATGCCTGCCCGCAAACGGAGCGTGGGAGCGAAAGGTACGAGCCGTTGTATGAGTTGGTGTGGAAGAAATCCCCACGCTCCTTGCCTCTCCCTCACTAACCACTTCCGGTGGTAATTCTGACGGCGACCTCCACTCCTATGGTCTTGCAGTCGCACGCGCTCTCTTTGTTCTGAACAGGATACTTCAAACGCATGGAATCAACAAATCAGATGTTCGAAGCAGGTGCGCGTGCATACCCCAGTGACACACAACATTCGCGCAAATAGTTCAGGTGCCTCGTTTCGCAACTCGTTTGCCTCTGCATGCAACTACAGACACCTACAGAGAGGCCTCTTTCACAAACGGCTCTTGTCCATCACGTCCAGCACAGACGAGCCGTCACCTGGCGTAGGCAATCCATTATGGGTATGAAGTGCACGCAAATCGACCATCTCTGGCACGACATCCCGAATGGTGTTCGCACCAATAAGGCGCATATTCATCTCCAACTCGGCGCGCAGCAGGTTGATCGCATGTACCACGCCATCGACGCCATATGCCGAGTAAGCGTACAGGAACGGACGTCCAACGCCCACAGCTGTCGCCCCCATGGCAATGGCCTTGAGAATGTCAGTGCCCCGCCGGAATCCGCCGTCTACCAAGATCTGGAACGCTGGGCTTGGGAACATGTTGCGCTTGCGCAGCTCACGTACTACCTCTTCAAGGACTTCCACGCCGGAGCGAGCATAGTCAAGCTGACGGCCGCCATGATTCGATAGCACGACACCAGCAAATCCCATCTCACAGGCCATGACTGCATCCTCCCACGTTTGCACGCCTTTCAAGAGCACAGGAATCCGTGTATTGCGTTTAATCCAAAGTGCTCCGTCCCAATCGAGCGCAGGATCGATAAACGAGCTGATGGCCCGTGCCGCACCTTCGTCTCTGTTTTGAATTTCGCCTCCTTGCACATTCGAGCCCTCATCGCTAAAGTGCATCCGCATGTCCTTCTCACGCCGTCCGAGCTGAGGCGCGTCGACTGTGATGAAGATGGCCTGAATATTGGCTTTTTCAGCACGGCGCAACATATCAACGACGACCCGCCGGTCACTGTTGACATAGAGCTGGAAAAACTGTGTTGGTGCACCATCCTCTGTGCGAGCATTGACAATGTCCTCAAACGAGCAAGATGATAGTGTTGGGACCATCTGAATGAGCCCTGTTTTTGCGGCTGCCCGCGTAAGATTCAGCTCCCCGTCCGGGTGTCCCAAACGACCAAGCGCCGTGGCTGTAATGTAGATAGGCAGCTTGCTAGGAATCCCAAGAATGCTTGTGCTTGGATCGACCACTCTGACATTACGAAGAATCCGCGGTCGGAACCAGATCCGTCGGAATACCGTTTTATTTTCATGGTATGTCTCAAGATCGTCTGCAGCTGACGAGTAGTATGCCCAAGCCTCGGGAGACAGGACTTTTGACGCCACCAGCTCCAGGTCGTGAAGGTTTAGACAACTCGACATCGGAGGTAGATTCGCCCGCCGTTCTTGTTCTTCGGCCTCCTCCTTCTTTTGCTGCTCTTTGTATTCTCCAGGCAGTGTAGACTCATCAAACTCGCCCTTGAACTTGTCGGCTGACAGATACTTTTCAATGGTGCCCTTTGGGTGCACCGTGTCAAATAATTTGGTAGCGTCACGGCCAGCATTCTTGACAATGATCTGAGGTCCTCCGGGGTGCTCCGGAATGAACTCGGTGAGATCATACACTTTTCCATACAAAATGATCCAGCAATCATCTGCTGACGAATGCTTCGCCACTTCGTCATATGTCAGTTTTCCCATAGTGCGAAATCTGTCGTCGCTGCCGTCGACGAGGTGTGTGCTGTGTAAGAAAACGAGTTTGAGTGCATGAGCCACGCAAATATATCTCGCCACTTGTGTTGAGTGGATTTCCAAGCCAATCGGGCTATGCTTTCCCACGCCGCGCTCGGCCCCCACATTCCCTCGTGTGCGCCAGGGTCGACGCACCATCTGCACGTGACTCTACCGTGGCAGCGGCAGCCGCTGCCGTTGGCGTCCAAGTCACGCAGGCACATGGGCCATGTGGGCTGGACCTGCCCACATGGCCCATGTCGTGCATGCGTGCGTGCGCCGCGGCCGCCTCGCCGCCCCTGCCAAGTAGACGGACCCGCAGGTGCCAGCCCCGAGCACCAGCCAGAATATAATTTGGCTCGACCGATCTCATTTAACAAACTTGGACGTGTCATCGTCACTCTCGCGCCTTGCACGTTCTTAGCCCATGCTACACGGATTTGATCTGCTGCGGCAGCAATACAAAAAGTATTCGGCACAAAGTGGCAGGGCACAAACTCCCAGCTCAACGATCACTGTCCTGAGCGAGCGGCTTAGTGATCCAGCAACACAACATGAAGACCGCCGTGCTGCTATCTTGTCGCTAAAGTCTCTCGTACGCGACCATGCAGATAAGGTCAGCGAGCATGCGCTCGTTCCCCTGTTGCGCTGGATCAAGTCTCGTGAGCGCGACGAAGAGATGCTCCGCGCTGCCGTGGAGTGTTGCTTGGCTCTGTGCCAAGCCCATCCCGACGATCCACGTACAACTGCGCGTGCTAGCAAGAATATGTCGCGTTTATTGGAGGAAAAAGACGCTCTGCTTACGCTGCTTACGCTTCTGTCTCCTGAGCATGGGTTTTATACGCGATTCGGTGCATTGCAGCTTCTCGTGGTCCTTGTTGAGAATCGACGACTTGAAGTTCAGGAGTATGTTTTAACTGCGCCCGGCGGCTGCAGTTCCGTGCTCCAGTGTTTGGAAGCGGCACCGAGTTCCAGCACCGAGATCATTCGGAATGAGGCGCTCTTGCTCTTACCCCAGCTGCTTCGAGATAATCCAGACATTCAAAAGATCACTGCATTCGAAGGCGCTTTTGAACGCTTGCTCGATATCATGGCGCAGGAAGGACGTATAGAGGGTGGCGTTGTTGTTCACGATGCACTTGAAGGTCTCGAAACTCTCTTACTGCAGAATGTGTCGAACCAGAACTATTTCCGAGAAACTCTCAGTATTCCGTTGCTTGCGCCGCTCTTATTTTATCCACCTCCCTTACCAGCACACGCGCCCGATCATGCACAGCAAGAACACCTCACACATAAGCAGGCCTTTCTTTTGCAAGAATGGGACGAACAGAAACTTGCGAATGCCCAACTCCTGCTTCGCTGTGTTCGTCATTTGATTGATGGCCAAGGTGAGGGACATAGGTCAAATCAGCTCGTCATGTGTAAGACGGGCCTGGCTGAAGCACTTGTGCAGCTGGCCATGGCGAGTCTTGCGCCCCTCCCGCTCAAAGCCGATGCACTGCATGTCTTAGCCTCTCTCTTGCGAGGCTCGCGCGCTGCACAGGACTTGATCAGTGCTATGGTCATTACTCCTGTCGTGTTAAAAGAGCATTCTGTCCCAGTAGCAGAAGGTTTGCAACCGCCGATGGAGCTTGCGTGGCAATCACCACATCCAGCGATGTTGCGACTCGTCGAAATGGCTCTTCGTGTGCCTATACAACCGACCGACTCGCCGCGCATGGCTCTTCGTGTACGCTGTGCGGCACTGCAGGCAGTGGAGGCGCTCGTCGAACAGAATATGGATGTGCGCATGACGATGTGGCACGCTTTTGTGGCTGCACCAACACCTGATCAAAGTGAACCAGATGGGACCAGTCTCCTGCTCAGCAGCATTGCGCACTTACCGAACACAACATTAGCATCGACTAGCAAGGCGCCCCGCTTCGACCCATACCAGTATCTATTCGCTATGATGATTCTCAGCTACATCCTGCACGGAAGTGAGACATCCAAGGAGTTTGCGCGCCGGGTGTGTTTGAATGCCGAGGGCAGGTGTGTGGCTGATGCGTCGGTGCCCTCATCGGACGACGACGAACCAGCGACACTCGTGCATGTGGTAGTGGGAAACTTGGCCATGGCACTCCGCGAGCAGAGCGAAGCCGTACGTCGAGAGCGTGCTGCACAGGATCTGAATGGCAATCCGTCCCGAGACTGGACCAAGCTGATCGTTGGTTATCTTTCTTTGCTGAGCATGTGGCTTTGGCAGAGCTCTGCGAGTATTTCTGACCTGCTATCAGAGAGTGCGAATTTGCAGGTACTAATTCAACCGGCAGCACAGACGACTGGGGTTGACCCACTTATCCAGGGGCTCTCCGCGTTTGTGCTTGGAACTGCTTACGAGTTCAATACGCTACAAAGCTCCACATCCGACGGCTCGACGGCGCCGACAGCCGATGAGCAAGAAGGCCTGCTCACACGGCAAGCAATGCATCCAATCCTACACTCACGCATCGGTGCTGATCAATTCAGCACTCGCATTCAAGCGGTGAAGAATGACAAGCGCTTCTCGTCGTGTTCACCCGAGACGTTGGAACTTGTTGGGCGCCCATTAGGCGAAAAGTCCGCATCGCCAGGTCCGGCTGACACTATGGAGGAAGACATCTGGTTCACGTGGCCTTTTGTGGAGTTCTGGAAAGACAATTACGTTCGCATCCAGAAGTCCATTCTCAATGAGCCCCAGGCCACAACGGCCGCAGACACAGAGGCCTCTGCTGAGCTGCTAGATGCGAGGCAGCGACTCATGACTATGGAAGCGCAACTTGCGCGTGCGCAAGCAGAAGCAGGTATTGTCGACAAGCTGCGTGCTGATCTGGCGCAAGCGAATGAAACGGCTGAGCTAGCCAAAAAGGAGCACGCTGCAGCGCAGAGGGAACTCCATGCAGCACATCATGCACATGAAGCACGCGAAAATGAATGGAACGCTGAGCGGGAAGCACAACAGGCCGAATGTGCGCACTGGCGTGAGGCTTGTGAAGCGACCAAAGCCCAACTTGTTTCAGCTTGTTCCGATCTCGATGCATTGCGTGAGCAGCTTGCTAAAGGCAGGAAAGAAGCTCCATCGGAAGATGCAGTGTCTCTTCGAGCGCTTGAAGCGTCACGTCAAGAAACAGCCGCTGCCCAAGCACATGCAACCCACCTCGAGCAGACTGTGAAGGAACAAGAACAACGTCTCCAAAACTTGAACGGACGTATCGCTGAGCTCGAGCAGGCTGTATCATCCGTCTCTTACGATGAATTGAAGAAGGACTATGCTCGGATTGAGTCTGAAAACGAAGATCTACTCGTCCTTTTGGATGAAATCACGCAGAAACGCGTGCGTGATAAGAATGAAATGCGCGCCGCCGGCTGGACCGTAAGTGACAGTGAAGATGATAACTTGGATGAGTGAAGACCCTCGGGCATTTGCGGGCCAAATCACTGCATGTGTGTTCAGTATGTTACGGCAGCAGCGGCATTTTTTTTTTTCAACATTTTTGTCCAAGCATACCAGACCCCCCTCCCTTATTACATTCGTAAGATGCCCAGTCATTCAGAATTGTGAGGCCAGTCTAGTAAAATAGCGCTAATGGATCACGCTTTCGTGCTGCTTTTTGCGTTTCTGGTATCAAAAGATCGACGTCTGAATCGCTGTCTGGTGTTGGGGGACGAGATATCAGATCAGGCACAGACGATGTGCGAGTTGTAATTCTTGCCGTACTTGGCGAGGGCGGAGGTGAATCGTCCTCATCATCTACGTCATTGGCATGAGTGTTGGCGTTACTTTCGTTGATGGCACGATCGTGTTGGGTCTTGTCGAGCAAGCCACCCGCAACACTTGGGAATGACACAGTCCTCTGGCGGACATGCCTCGGGGTCTCCATCACGAGGGTTTTTGCAGGTACAGATGCCCATCGATTAGCAGGTGCTTTACGCTTGTGATGGCGCATAGAGGTAGAAGGCGCGGCGGCCGTGGGCGTCGACATCGGCGAGTGTAACGTCGTGCTTTGCGGAGTATAACTGTGCGTGCGCACAAGTCGGCGTGACATGTGGACTTCATTTGTCGAACGCAAGGTTGTGAGTAGTCTGCGTTGAGAACTGCGTTCAGCATCTAGAATAGGATGATTCTCATGCACGGAGCCTGACACAGAGGTTGACTCACGCGCAGGGGAGGGTTCGACTGGCATAGATGCAAGAGGCGCAGAACTTGTGCGCTCCATACGCCGTCGACGAGTGGGCGTCGTTTCAGTTAGACCAGGTCCAAAGCACTTGAAACGTAAAATTTCATACTCTTTTGGCAACGAGGATGCATAGGTTGACCCAAATACATCCGCACAGAACCACTGTGCTTCATCACGCTCATCCTGCAATGTCTTGACTCGCGCACCCGAACCAAATACCCAAGCACAAGGCGTGAGTGTCGCAGAAAACTGCAGCAAGCACAGTTGGTCTGCAAGGGCTTCATACAAGGCACGTAATGAGTCGTATGTCATCTCAATGGAGAGCTCTTTTGGCTCGTTTGTGGTTGGCAACCGCTCCATTGCGACATCAGCAAAAGGGATGCGAGGCGCATGCCAACTTTTTGGTTTCGAATGTTTTCTGCGTTTTGAATACGAGGACGCATCATACTGTGCGTGCGTAGATGGCACTTTGGGCACGTGTGGAAGGAGCCAAGCCACGATCAAAAGCTGCAGTTGGACTTCCCGGCAATGCACGGCGGCCATAAAGGCACGACTCGCTGGCTCTTTTTCTTCCGTGCGGATTGCTTCTTGCATCGGACCCCAGTTCAATGCCGAGCGAAATGCACGCGTGTCATAATCGTCCGTATGTACACACGGCGACTGCTGGAGCGCGACAAAATCAAGTTGTCGAAGATGCTGAAACTTTTGTCGCAATTGCGCAGGGGTATAAACACACTTCATCATGTCAGGAACAAAAAACACATCTATGTGCGTCAGGGCCGTTAAGACACGTGTGAGTGGCGTATGAGCTTCACCAAACCACAGGCTGTACGCGTACATGCGCCGAAACGAAGACAATACGTCTCGGTCTTTGCCAGTGGATGGTGCAGTAGCAAGCACTCGAGTGTATATGCCATGAGCACATTCCATAGAAGACGCTATATGTTACTGGACACGCGTCCCTAGCCCAACGATTGCTCAGGTCGTAAGAAGCTGATCGAGCTCTATGCCTCGTTTCGTTTCAATCACGTCCTTGATAGAACGCGTGCAACGCACGTTTGTGGAGGCCTGTTCGAGCTTGGCTGATCATGTCTAAGGGCGGCGGTGGCGACAGTGCATTGCCATTTTGATTGCACACGCACCCACGGCCCCATGACCCGTCGAATTGCGTCGCGGGTGGCGTCCACCCCGGAGACCACGATGAACATGTCAGCGATTGTTGATGTGCATCAACCAATGGGGAGTATGAGTTTGAGCCCATGTACGTGAACGAACGAAGTCGGAAGAGGAGGAAGGGGAAGGGGAAGGGGAGCGAATGAACCTAGTGCTCATGTCAGCGCACCAGGAAGTCGTGTTGGGCTCAAACATGGGTCTTTTTGTGCTGCAACTAGAACACTTGTACACGCCACCTCGTTTTTTTGCGCACAGCACGCCGTGGGAGATGGCCGACATCCAGTGGAATCCACATATGGCTCGTTCAGCATGGGTCGCAAGCACTGTATGTATGCGTACCGGTCAATGGCTTGTGTGACTGACATATGCTCCATAAGTCAAATCAAAAGCTCGTGATATGGAACCTAGACCGGCCATCAGGGCGCTTTGGGTGCGTTCAAGCTGTGCCAACGCTTCCGCCATCGATCCGCTCCAAGATGCAGATGGATGTTGCTCGCTCGTGCAAGACACATTCATCTCCTAGTTCGGCGGGCCGTGGGTCATTCATGTATGGCTCACATAAATTACCTGTGGACAGCGCATCACGAATTTTACCACATGCATCTGACGGGCGCAATCAGAATGGCATACCCAGCTCGATCGAGCACCTACTCAATGCACATACGCGCGCCATCACCGACATTAATTGGTCTCCATTCCATCCTGAGGTACTCGCAAGTTGCAGTGTCGATACATGGACATGGATATGGGACCTGCGAATGGCTAACAGCGGTTCTGGGCGTCCTGCACAGGGCTACAGCTCATGGAATGCGAGTATGACGCAAGTCAAGTGGAATCGTGGCATAGAACATCGCATCGCAGCATCGTGTGATGACAAGGTGCTTATCTGGGATGACAGATTCGGCGCATTGCCTCTTGTCACGCTGGAGACGCGGCAGAGTAAAATATATGGACTGGACTGGAGTCTTCCTGGCAACGAACGCAATAACCGGCTTATGACCTGTTCATTGGATGGCACTATCAAATTTTGGGACTTGGACTCGCCGAGCTCGCGACGTGTAGCTGCTCACTACGCGCGTATTGATCAGCCAGAAAGCACGATCGAGACGCTTCAACCTGTCTGGCGCGCAAGACACTTGCCGTTTGGACATGGCGCTATTTCTGTTGCACAGCGTGGCGATACGGCCGCGACACTTTGGGCATATGGTTCACAGGAACCTGTGTGTCGGTTTGAAGGCCATATGGATCTGGTGAAAGAGTTTGTAATTCGATCACGCAGCGGGTCAAATGCCAATTTGGATGACCGCACATTCCAGCTCGTAACTGGAGTAAGGACCAAACACTCCGTCTTTGGCCTATCAGTGCTGATGTTATGCGAGCATTGGGGCACATCCAAGGTGCGCCGATGCATCACATACTCACAGAGTCTGCAGTTGCTCCTGATTCGACTCGACCGTCGACGTCGGCGAGATCGACGGCATCAACAGCATTCGCAGGAGCTGTACCAGTGTCGACAGCAAGATCCTTGCCGACGGCTGCATGCACCACGGCATCGAGGGCACCGACTCACGGGAGGACAAGTTCGTGCAGTCGTCGACACTCAAACTTGGGTTCGTGGTCGCCTACATTAAGTGAAATGAGTGTATCACCGGGACTTGCGCGCTTCAGCTCACCTCGCTCCCTACACGCTTGGAAGTCTGACGTATCTCGTGCAGATGTAGCACAACCTCGATCTCTACCTACATCGCGCATAAATTTGTTGAAAAAATCGCCGCGAAAACGCCGTGCACGACGCTCAGAGGTGCCTCAAGACCTAGGTCCACAAATGCGATACACACAGGACGACGCGAGCATCATGGCTGTCGACGCCGTGCAATGGATGGCGAATGTGCGCGTTGGCGAATTGCAAGAGCCTAGTGATGGCGAACTCTCTTCTTCAGCCCCCAGCACTGTTCCAGCTGTAGACCCCACCGTTTTGCCTCATGAGATTTTGCGTGTGAATTCCCACTTCCCGAACACGCTTGAATCTATCGATATTGCACATCGCCGCTGTACAGTCGCCGTTAGTGGGCCGTGGCACAATGAGGGAGATGGCGCACTTGCATACCTGCGTGTTATGTTCACTTTCCCACGAGCGTATCCACGTGAGCCACCGGCTATTGAGATCGAACGCAGCGCAAGTATACCTTTCAAAACGCGAGCCGAGTTGTACCGGTCACTCGTGGACCTAGTCGAAGAGTGTACCATGGAAAAAGCACTTTGTCTTGAAGCATGTGTCGCTTTTTTAGTACAAAGCTCTAACTCGAATCACAACAGGTCGAGTTTGCCTTCTTGCTCGCGTTCATCAACTACTTTGAATACCAATAACAGATTTGCGCGCTCATACCAAGCGGTGGCCGATGCTGTGATGCAGTTGACTCTTCGATCCACCGACATGTTGGATTCTTCTCTTGTCGACATGGATATCGTGCAATTGATGAGTACGAATGTGCTAGGACGTGCTCATCATACTGGTTTTTCTTCAATGGAGGAGCGTCATAAGGAATCGAACCCTCATGAATCACAAGCTTTGCCATCTAAATGACGCTAGATGTTTTCCAGGACTTGCATGAGCCAATAGTCCATGCATGAATACGGCTCAAATCCGCAGAACTAGATTTTCATTTGCATCCAGCTCACTATGAACTACGTGACAGATGGCTCTGCACCATTGTTATGACAAACATGCATTTTGAAATCATAAACCCGACTTGCAGTGTATAGGTAGTAACAATTTCATTTTTTTTTTTTTTTTTTTTTTGAGCATCTTTGCCCTTATGATCGTACGTTTATCGGAAATATTCATTCGTACACACTGGAACGGTTGCGTGCGAGTTAACCGAAATGGAATATACTGGTGGTCATCGTCAACCAAAGACACGATCATCCAACATGGCACTTCCAAACCGCTCTCGAATGAGTGTGTGGAGAATTTGATAAGATTTGCCCGAAAAAGTGCGAATTACGTCCCCATTCCTAAGGATCAGAATCACTGCTACTTGACAAAAACGAACCGTCGTGGGCCAACTCTCTATCCGGACTAAACTAGACTACATAACAGGCGACTTGATACATATCTCTATATAATGAGGACCAAAGTTGAAAGTATTACGACACAAGTGACGTTTGGGTAGTTTCTGCAGGGGGAGGGGTGGGATGAATCGGTTACGATACTGGTCTGTATCGGGCGACTCTTGCATCAGCTTTCGTTGGTGAATATGTCTTTGATGTAGCATTCGTGACATCTTGTAGAGCCCGTTTTGCATCCATCTTTAGAGACTTGAGCTGTGCGGCGAGGCGCTTGTTTTCTTTCATGACCGTTAGTAGTCGGGTATCGGCCTCTTCGACTTCTGTCGCCTTAGCGCTCAGCTCAATCTCCAGCTCCGCAACACGCTGTGTAGCCTCATTTGATACAGACGGACGCGCCTTGAAGGCTCGTCGCTGCTCTGTCCAGATGCGCTTCGCCTCATACAAGTCGCGCAGCTCCATTTCCCGCTCACGTAGTGCCTGTTCAATCGCAAATCGCTGTGTCTCGGTCCGTTCGAGTTGCTGCTGTGTCTGTTCATGTTCATGCTGCGCATGGGCAACGCTGTCCTTATACATAGAGACAAGCTTCTGCAGCTCATGTACTTCACTGGAAAGCTGTGCACGCTCTGTTCTTAGTGGCTCGAGTGATCGAAGTTGTTCACGAAGTTGCCATGCATCATGATCAGCCGCTGAGAGGCGTTCCTGAAGCTCGTCGATATTTGCTTGCACATGAGCTGAGCACTCGATTTCATTCTGCACTTCTTTCAGCTTGCGTTCCGTCTCGACAAGTCGGCTTGTTTGTTGTACCAGATCTGTGTTTTTACTAGTGATCTCGACCTGCAGCGCAGCGATATGAGCCTGTGCTTCGGCATGTCTCTCAGACCATGCCAATGCTTCAGCATTTGCGGCGTCTCGCTCCTGGGCGAATGTGTCTAGTAGCCGATTGAGTGACTGGATTCGACCATGGAGCGGTGCAAGCTGGCTTCCCTGTGAAGCAACAGCGTGCTGTAGCGAATCCAATGCAAATCCCAGGGTCTCGCTTGCAACTTCCCACGTGCGTTGTATCTGTTCGAAGTCTGTAGCGCGCTGTACGTCTCGCTCGTGCCACATGTGTTGCACGTGTTCCAGCTCAGTCTTGTGTTCAGCTTCCCTCTTATCCCATGTCCGATGCATTTCTTCTAGCTTGGCTGTGAGCGATGCCTCACGCTCGTCCCATGACTGTTGCCTTTGTTTGAGCTCCGCCGAATACTGTGTTTCTCGTTCTAAACACTCGAGCTTGTGTCGTTCCGCTTCTCCAGCACGGTCTTGTGCAGCATGCTCGATTGTTTTGATATATCCATTCTCCATTGTGCGTATATCAGACGCATGCTGTGCAGAAACGTGTTCCAGATCTGTGGCATGCTCATTGCGGAGTGCCTCTAATTCATCAGCATGCTGTTCGTAAATGTGCGCAAGCTCACTGGCATGTCGCTCATTCATGCTTTGTATGGTATCTTGAGCCAAACCGCGCCAATCTGATGAGCTTTGCCATGGAACATGCGAATCAACAAATGTCGCATCAGGATCCGTCTCGCCACGAAGTGCATGAAGTTCCGCTTGGAGCGAGTGCACTGCTTGTGTAGCCAAAGCATAGTTGAATGCACTGTTTTCATCGCGAGCACTTGAGCATAGCTCATCTCCTCTCTTTGTGATAGACTCAGCTCGCTCAAAGTCTAAGAGATCGTTGCACTCAGTGAGAAGCACGCCAAGGTGCATGAACACATCGCGAGTGTCATCAAGGTCCGAGGGCGCCGGAGAGGGTATATCGTCAGCAAACATCTTGCCTATGAGCCGTGCATGGATTCCGCTTTGAAGCGCACGTAAAGTATGTACGGCCCATTCTCGCACGTCGGCAGGGACATCCATCGATAGGCGCACACGCGTGTGTAGTTCGTCACTTGCACACTCTCGTCGAGTTCGAGGCGTGCGTGTTGTTGTACCGAAGTGAGAGTAGCGCGACATCAACGCGTCCCCATCACGTGACTAGGAAATGCGTGTTCCACAGCAAGAGGCTGGAGGAGGTGGAGGGAAACAGAACGCACACTTATAGAAGCGGTCCTCTACATTGAAACCATGGAGGTGATTAGGGTTGGGTGGTAGCGACGTCATGTCGGCCTATGGTACATTGGAAGAAGTAGGAGAGAGTTTCGGAAAAAAAAGTCCGTGGTGCGCGCATGCATCAGTGGCAGCATAGACAAAGGATGCAGGTGCAGGACCAGCAGACAAAGACTATGTCAGGAGAGATGCAATCACCGCCTTGTACACAAACACATACTGCCGTACCGTTTCAACCATACTCATGCGCTGTTCACGCATCACCATGAGCGCCTCATACACAAGATCATTCGAAGAGTTCCAGTACTCGCGTGCTTGCGCAAGTGACAAACCGTCAGCATCATCTTGACCTGTTTCAAGAACGCGATGCACACGCGATAGAAACGTGCTTACTGAGTCGATAAGGATATGCGCACCTGTGCGTCCAATGCCAGCCGAGCAGTGCACGACTATTGGTGCATCTGATGCAGTATCTGTTTCAGCGTGCACAAGGCGGATCATGTCGAGCAAGAGATCAGGCGTCTCTGGCACACTATGATCCGGCCACGCTAGGAACTGGTAATGCTGCACGCTGTGTACAGGCTCGTCTGCAAGATCCTTGTGTCGTACCTCAATGGTTCGACGAACTAGCACATGCAAACCATATTCGCCTACATGTCCAAGGTCCGCAGAGGTAAGGACGCATTTCTGCACGACGCGCACATCAAAAGGTCCCGCATGAGGAGTGTCCCAGTAATTATCACATTGTAGCCGGCCAGACTCAAATTCGCGAGCAAGCATAATGATCGCTGGAACCTTTTGTTCCCAGACGACTGCCCAAAATGCGCAGAAAGTTGTTGGCAATGGCGCCTGCGTCGCAACATACACACGGTGTGCACCCCATGCACGGAGTGGGTTGACATATGAAGCGTTAATATACTCTGCACGACTTGCTGGTGACTTGAACTTGACGCGGCTGTGCTCGAATGGCCAAAAGTTCCGATAACGGTGGTCATGTCCACGCTCAAGAGCTGCGGTAATGCTCAAGGGAAAACTGTCCGTGGCCGAATCCTGCGCGGACGGCAGTCGTGGGAAGGCTGCCCGACTCGATACATGCACTGACGCTAATGGTGGCGGCGCACGCGTATTCATAGTGCCTGCTGGGTTGGATAGAGAAAGCGAGGACTCCTGCGAGTGACGCTGCATCACACTTTGCAGGCGTTGTTGCTCGCACTTTTCAACAACGAAGAACTGCTCAGCCAAGTGGTGAGCACGTTTCGATGGATCCATTGCTGCCAGGTCACACAAGAATTTGGGTAGACGCGAGAGCTGCAGATCGCTGAAGTGCATATCCAGCGGCACGATATCAGTGATGCCGCAGGAAAGCTCCAAATTTTGTCGGATATTATCAAAAAAGGGGTTCGTCGCCTGAATTTCTTCGCCTGAGCCGCCATTTGAGTTGGACGTAGTCTTGCGGCAAAATGCTTCTAACGACAAGCCGCGGACACGCGGGAGGTTATGTGAGGCCGCACGCGGCTGGGTGGCTACTGGTGAATGCTCCAAGAGTGACACCGCTTCTGGCAGGGCAGCAAGCGATTGGAAGCCACCACGAAGCCAGCATAACATGCCGCCATAGCTAGCAGCATCGAATTTGCGTAAAAGACCCATGAGTGAAGGTCCACCGCCACCTGCACTTGAACGGCCCAAGGACGTTGGCTTAGTCGAATCGGTATCAAGCACAACGATCCAGCTGGTTGATTTGGCCGGCAAAGAGGACGGGGAAGATGGTCCAGATGTCTGCGTAGGCTCGCGCCTTGTGTAGGACATCCAACGGCGAAACTCGGAACGATCTGTGTCGTCATCAAAAATTTGATCTTCCAAACGCTCAACTGTGAATTCTGAGCGACGAAGCAGCGTTGTCGGTGCACACACATTGACACTGCCTCGAAGGTGCGAGCGCGAAAACGCTGATGTGGGCCGGATATCCAGTACGAGCAAGTGCTCGGGAGCAGGGTGATCTAGAATGGGATGATTGTGCATAAGTTCAATAAGCAAAGACGGATGAAGTGGCGTATATTTGTCCGCATCAGGAACACTAGGCTCACGGGCAGCCTTGTTTGGTGATACATGAGCGATAGAGCTTGGTGGTCGAAGCAAGGAAGGCAAAGGAAATGGTTGACGAAAATCAGCAAGTTTTGTCGGCATACTTTGGGATGTTCTTGGCTCATTTGCTGCGTCCAGCAAACTCGACCAAACGTGGTTGGGGGGAGCCATTTGTGGCACCTGCGGTGAGGGCTGCGAGGGATTCAGTTGAAAGTAATCTGGTTCAGGCCCAGGGTCAGAGGGGTTTGACTCTCGCGATGTGCGTTCCGGAGCGTCTTCCATGCTACCAGAATAACAAATTGTCACACGAGTCTGTTTAGTATGATACTAGAAATGATCGCCCTCGCAAAAAGAAGAAATGGACGAGAAAATATTTTTAATGAGAATTGAATAAGGGAGGGGAAAGCAGACAATAAGCACTGTAAACGCGTGAATGTAATGAGCGATGAAAAAGGTAGTGCGACAAAGAAAGGACGAAAGGGGGATCAATTAAGAAGTAGAAATGTGTGAGAATCGAGTCTGGCGACTGGAATGCGCCGAAGACAAGCAAGTCAGTATTCGAGGGTTGGAAACAAAATCTCGCACTGGCGAGCAAGCGGTTATCGTGGAATGGTCCAAACTGACCTACTTATGAAAAAAAGCGTAGCTATAATTGTGACGTCTTGTCGCTGCACACTAGTGTAGGGAGAACGCCTCACATGGGATAATTCACTCTCGGCCGAAAGAACGGAAGAAGGTGCGTTGTGGTGGAAGAACCCGCGCAATTACTTCACCAAATAGGGGGCATCAGTTGGTCATGGCAATCAAGGTTCGTTGAATGGACGGCGGAGAATGCGCGTGTTCAGCGTTAGGATCGGTGAGTGGAGGCAGCACAGGCTGCGCGCCCCGGCCTCGTCCTAGCAGCAACAAGTTGAACTTAAGTTGGCAAAAAAGAAATTCGCGTGCGCTTCGTTTGGTCAGCGCTGAATTGAACCGCACGCTACCAAACATCTGCACATGGTCGTGAAAATGGCAGGCCGCGTGATAGTCAGCGTGGTCGCTTTGATGCTGGTCGCGTTGAGCAGACATACGAATGCCGCGCGTTCATCAACATCAAATCCCGATTTGCGCGCGGATGCTATCATGCCCATCCGAACGCATTCCTTATTTGCCCCGTATGTGGACTCTTCGCTACAAAACAACTTTTGGGATTACGGTGGCGATGCTGTGATCGATACGAACCGGTATATTATGCTCACGCAAGAGCGGAAGAACGAATCGGGTTGGATTTGGTCGCGTCTTCCGATCAATGCGACTGACTTTGAGATCACGTCTGAGTTCATGCTCAAAGGCAAGTCTACAACCGTCGCGGGCGACGGCTTCGCCATGTGGCTCACAAGTGACCGCGCCAAGCAAGGACCTGTCTTTGGATCCATGAATCAATGGAAGGGTATTGGCTTCATGTTCGATACGTACGCAAATACGCCGCACCGGGGCTTCTTTCCGCGCGTGAGCGCTGTTTCGAATGACGGCACGAAGGTGTACAACATGAACAACGATGGCGAAGGCCAAGATTTGGCACAATGCGCGATGCAGCTACGCCAAACTCCTGCGGAGACACGTCTTCGCTTCACGTATGTCAAGGACGTGTATATGGAGCTGGCAATCCAAAACAGAGAATGGAATCAGTGGAATTCCTGTTTCAAAGTACCGCCACCGCCTTTCTCCGAGCCACCTTTCCTCGGTTTCACAGCCTCAACAGGTGACGTCACCGATAGCCACAGCATTGTTTCGGTGTGGACGAATAAAATCGTCTACAATTCTCGCTCGCCAGAAGACCTTGAGCGGGAACGCCAGCTGGCCTTTGCAGACGACAGGTCAAAGTCTTGGTGGTCGTCTAAGGATGAAAAGAAGACACCTTCAAATCATGGCTCGGACCTGCTGGTGCATGTTATTGTTCGATTTTTCTTGAGTGTTCTATGGCTGTTGAAATGGATCATGGTGATAGCAGTGATTGTTGTTATCGGCGTGATCGGCTACGAAATGTTCAAACGCAAAATGCAAGCGGCTTACAAAAATCGACGCATGATGGCTTGAACCTGGCTTGATATACCTATGGAGCGGCTGGTCGAAAGATGTTAGTTCGATAGTGCTCCAATTCTGATTGTAAGTATATCCTCGGCTGTCGAGCATGCATGTACATGCATTGAATGTATCACACGTACCGTGTATGGAAGCGCGGATATCATCGAGAGCCCTAGGTGTGAGTCACCGCTGTTGTTTTCACGCACCGATGAGCCGTTCCTTCATTCCGTCTTGCCGGCTCGTATTTCGTGCCATACCAACGGCGCACAAGCTCCTTGATCGTAGAAACGTCCACAATCCTGTAGTGCAAATGCTTTATAAGTTCCGGCATCTCGTTCACGAGGAATGCCTTGTCCGCGTGCACGGAGCTTCCCGCCAGACACGCTATTCGCGCCTCTGGAATACGATCCAGCACGTAAGCAAGCACGGCCGCCCGTACGTCTTGATGCATATGGGACATTTTTGCATCCAAACACGCATCTATGAGTCCTGTATTCGTATGTGTGGTAGTCTGTGTTTGATCATGAGACGGCCATTTCAAGTCACGTACACACCACTCGTCCATGTCCTGGAGCACATGGGGCTGCGTGCGAATCACGTAAGAAACGCCCTCATCGACGGGGCGCAATTGTCCATCCGTCACGATACAAGCGATTTCTAAAAGCCGATCGTTGTTGGGATCGAGGCCGGTCATTCTGTATTCAGCGGTGTACTCGGCGTACGTACTCGCAGTCGATCCACACAAGCGGCTCATCTTCCTTATGAAGTACACACTTTGGTGGTGGTGGCGGTAGGCTCGACATTCGCTACTGTGGGAATATGAAGGAGTCTCTCCAACACGGATCACGTAGATGAACAACAACCAGTGGGTTTTCCCATGTCCTACGAGCCTACATTTATGATGACGAGTGTATTCGTATATGTGGAGCAATGTCACAATCTGTTAGTGACACGGGCTGTGAGCCAAACACATCTACATCCAGAGAGGAAAAAGGTGTTTTCAATATGCCATCAATAGAAAGTGTGTACATGTCAGGTGCGAGGGTTTGCGAATGTAGAACAGCATAATTTGTTCTGCTTTTGGATTCTGCTTCGCACAGCGAAGACGAGTGTTTCTCTAAACGAATGGTCATTGTAGCAGGCTCGTTGGCATGATCAGGCGCATCCGTCACAGCACATATAAGCAAGGGCATAGCCCTTGGCACATACACTTGCCAGGCATGCGGTAAAGTTGTCGCATGTGCAGACCGTCGGTACATGCCCGCCCCCAACATAGGCAAAATATCAACGCTCACGCGCACATTGCTTTCGACGATGACGGAGAACGAGGCTGCTGCTGAAGTCGTAGAAGAAGTGGCTGTTTCATCGTGTGAGCAACTGGTCAAAAGAACAAGGGTATAGGCGCCAGGCTGAAGCACTTGAACGTCGGATCGGGCGATGCCGCGGCTTAGTGTGCCGGTGTGTGCTACAACAGACGCCTCCTCCCAGCACAAAACTCGTTTACCCGACGTTAAAAGCACCGCTGCGACACAAGTCGACAGTGACGTCATAACAACCAGCTCCAAACGTGGTAGGAGAGTGCCTTCATGCACAGTGAGTCGGTATTGAGGCTGGTACCATAGCTCAGGCACTCCTCGGTTTGGGCTTGGGCGCCATGAGCCATGTACGATAGATCGATTCGGCATGGTTGGCGGAAGCACAGCCAGATCAACTAGACTCGTTGCGTACACCGTTAAAGTATAAGGCATAGGATACAAAGCACTACCGTGCCGGGACACGGCAAGTGTGTACTGCATAGGTCCTGAGGCATGTAGAGCGAGCAGAGAATGTGGTACATTTACGTACATGCCCATGAGTCCATCAAACTCAACCTGCGCACGTCGTTGGGCCTTGTTACAAGGAAATACGTGTAGAGCCATGTATTCTTGCTCCTCGTAGGTACCTGATAAATCATGGCGTTCCAGGTGCAATAAAATAGGTGTACTCATTTCTTGCGACACAGATATATGGTATTGATCTGTCTGTGCAGCACGAAATTCATCTAGACGCACAGCAGAATCCGAAGTTGCATCCCACATACCAGTGACTTGCCGCTGGTGCGGGTACAATGCCGGGTCCCAATTGACGAGCAACGTATCGAAATAACAACATACTTCTTCCCATGCCATATCTTTGACATGTTGCAGTACATCGTGTCTTTTCCATGGATTGACGATCGATACGGTGCGCTTGTGTTGATGCTCACGCAACTCAATAATCCCGTAACAGTGCAACGGCACAAGTGCCGACATTGTTTCTGGTGACGAGCCTGTACCAAGGGCTAACAAACACCTTCCTTGTTTCCATGCCGTAAACAAACGAGTCCAAGTCTTCTCACATTGAAAGGATGCCTCATGCAATGGAATATGTTCAGGTATCCAGCCTGTCAATGCGTAAAGATCCATGCAAGCATCAGAGCCGTTGAACGCGTAGCTGCTGCGTTTCGCGACGAGAAACGCCTTTTCTAATAACGCAGGCCACAATTGGATGTTGTGTCGCGGCTTGGAGCAAAGCAGCTCACCTGTGAGTGTGCATGGCAGTGCGTCATTGATAGTGATACACCTAGCCTGACCGTGCAAATACAGTTTGACCATGTACACGCCAGTGGGGCTTCGACATGGCATGCTGTCGAGCTGTGGAAACAGCGCTTCGAATGCCAATCTAGTATGCCATCGAGCGTTGTGCTCCGTGGCTATCTCGATAGCCGTAATAAGCGAACAGTCCGACACAGACCCCTGTTCTATGTCACCCGCGCGCAGAACAACATCACGACACATGATTGGGATCGCAGGACTGGCCTGACGCAACTTGGCGCCTTGCTGAATTTGAAGAGGCGAAAGCGCTGGGGACGCTTCAACATGCAGATCGATTCGTGCAAAATCAGACAAGCTAGGGTCTTGCGTCCATACCTCCCATGTATCGCAAGGGTCATTTGCGAGCTTGTGTGACTCACGTAGGCGCTCAGCACGTTCCAAGCATCGCGACGCCATGCGGCGTGCGTCTGACCCCAACGTTTCTGGCGATGCACGTGCAGCTTCTAAGAAGAGCTGCGTTGCAGACACATACGCACGAAATGCTTCGAAAAACCTCTTGTTGCGCTCGAGTTCAATGGCTCGGTTAGCAACAGAACGCGCCTCCTCGGTGGTGCCGTCGACGGGCATGGAGAGACATGGCAGTTACGCGGACTGGAGAGAGGGATGGGTCTGCGAAGATCGTGTGGAGAACCGGATTGGTGGACAAAACGAAATTTGCATGGGCTAGCACCAACGGCCAAAGATGAATATTTTTCATTTGCACGAAATATACCGGGTATGATGTATTTTCCATAAACGTGTTACTGCCACCTGTAATGGGTGCAAGGTTCGGATGAATCTTCCTGCGGCGCGCCCCACTAAATGTTAGTCGTGCCTACGGATGATAAAGGTTTGCTGGCGCGTGCGCGTGCTTCATAGCATGCCCACCTCAGCAGTAAATGGGGGTGTTTAAGGGGCCGCCTCTCTACGGTCTGAAGGATCAGTCAGTACTTCTGAGCAATCCACTCCACCGACCTCTATCCCACGTATTCGTAGGGTCTTCGACAAGCAGGGAGCACATGGCTTGAAAGCGCGCCCAGGTCTAATGAGGGTTCAAACGTTTTGCAAGATCAAATATTTTTTTTGCTGCATGGGAAGGATCCCCATGTCCCACCCAGGTGTGGAGATTATTACTAAGGCAGAGAAAAAGTTGACTGTCGCTAGTGTTGTCGTAACGTTTTAGCTCCTCGTATCTTCTACTGGCGCTGAGAGACTCATCACTGTGGGATGCAGGTACTGAGCCGCACTTTCTTCCGAGGTGCCACGAGTAATGGACTTTTGGGCATGCGCGCTCATGCGCGTGTGTTGCATACAACCACTAAGGACGCCAGTGCATGGCCTGTCCCCATGAAGCAAGGGAGCACGGACCGGATATTGTCTCCGATCACACCATCAGATCTTCAACGTAAAAGAGAAGAGGGTACACCTCTTGTGTGTATAACAGCGTTTGATCAGCCGACGGCACTTTCCGTGCGCGCGGCTGGAGCCGACCTATGCTTAGTTGGTGATTCACTCACGAATGTTGCTCTTGGACATGCCAGTACTCGTGTACTGTCGCTTGATGCGATGATCCACCATGCAAGGACTGTACGTGCAGGTGTGCAAGCTCCTGAATTGCAATACGATGCGCGATGTCCACGCGCGCCCATGGTGGTAGTGGACATGCCATTTGGCGCCTATGGTGTATCTTTTGATGAGTCCGTACGCAATGTTGTGCGCGTGATCAAAGAGACACAGGCGACTGCTGTCAAAATGGAGGGATCAACGGAGCTTGTGCCTTTGATTGAGCATCTCACAACGCTGGGCGTTGATGTGATGGGACACATCGGGCTTCAGCCCCAGCGTTTCGGCGACGCATCTGGCTTTCGTGTACAAGGCGCAACGGCAGAGAGTGCGTTGAACATATTAAAAACCGCGCGCGCTCTAGAAAAGGCTGGATGCTTTTCACTTGTCCTTGAGTGTATTCCATCTAAGGTTGGTGGCGTCATAAGTGAGCGATTACGAATCCCTACAATTGGGATTGGTGCTGGGCCGCAGACACATGGCCAGGTGCTTGTCTGCAGCGATATCATGGGGGACCTCGCAAGCCCTGCACACGTGTCTGCTGTTCTAGCAGGACTGGATGGTTCCGATGAGCATGTCTCTCTATCGGTTCCGACACCATCTTCCTGGCCGCAGCCACCCAAGTTTGTGCGCACGTTTGCGGCATCTCATATTGGAATGCAGCGCGTTCTGGCGCTGCGCCAATTTGCAGAAGCCGTACGCACTCGCACATTCCCTGAAAATGCGTCGGAAGCGTACCGAATCAAAACTCATGAATGGGAACGATTTGTAGCAATGTTGGATTAGGTATCACGATAACGACCAAGAGAATGAACGTATGACATGCCTGCAAGGTTGTGACAGGCGATCGATGTCCAACTAGTTCGTGGGATGCCCCAGCTTAGGTCGGTGGAGGCGGGGGAGGCAGAGGGTCGTAGGAAATTCACCCGACCACACTTTTGGGTTTGATGGCGGATGCTCGAGATGCGTTGCCGCCAACACATCCGTTGTTGGCTACAGCGCCCGTGCGAAGGTAGGTTGTTGTCATCTCGATAATCCAAGCCTATCGATTGCAAGCCAAAATGATGTCTCCGACTCACCATGCTCGTATGTGGCAGCGGCGTCTTAGCTTCTGGCGGTGGCTGTCCTCGACGGCAAGGGCCTTCTGTACTAGCCCGTCGATGCGTCAGGGTGTGCTTTTCCGTGTCGAACATGCACATATACATGGCTTACGGGGTGTTGTGCATGAGTCAGCATCGCCTCCATCGTTTTCATGGACGATCCATGACGATGCCGAACGCGAGTGCTGGGCTATCGTAGGCCCAGCGTCTGCTGATGCTGGTGGCCAAGTCCGGCAAACTATTGTGGATATGCTGCTGGGACGCAAGCGCCCTGTATTGGCAAATGCGTTACATGTGCGGCACCCGCATATGCACCCGATGTTCGATGCGAACGCGCTACAGAAGGCCATCAGATATGTACCCTTTGAAACGCGGCCCGCCACGACCGGCGAGTTTACTGATTATGCCACACGCTACGGCTCGATCCGGGACGAAGATCGTGTTACGCTCTTTGAGAGCCTTATGGCGTCGCGTGGTATTTTTACTGGCCTTATAGCACGACAGCGGATGCGCCCAGATCCACTCGCTACCACACAGAACAACACCGGTCTGTTGAAGTGGGAGAACGAACATGTGCGTACAGCTGCCACACAGCGTGCGGAAAGGGAACGTGAAATGATCCAGCGCATAGCGCCGACTTTGCGTTTGGAGCCATTTTTGACACGCCCTGTCATCTCACTCTCCAACGGCCAGATGCGGCGTGCACGTATTCTGGATGCATTGGTCCAGGGGGCTCAGTGGGTCGTGCTGGATGATCCATTCAAGGGACTCGATCCTTCGTCGCGGCACGATGTGTCTGAGCTTTTTGAGCGGCTGCATGCCCAGCGAATGCCACGGATTTGCTTGGTACTTCGTGAGCAGGATCCCATCCCCTCGTTTGTCACGCATGTCTTGCGTATAGATGAACAAGGCTTTATCATGGAGCTTGGTAAAGCTACGACACACGCTCGTCCTGCTGTGGACGAGTTGTATCCACATGGCAGTTATGCATTAGTACGAAGAAATGCACAACAGGGCATAGGTGTAGGGCAAGGTGCATCCGTGCCACCGATCGCGTCGTTCCGCGACGTCTCGATCCACTATGGCGATGCAACTGTGTTGCAGAATGTGTCGTTTGCGCTTCGTCCAGGCGCACGCATGGTTTTGGTGGGCGATAACGGAAGCGGCAAGACGACACTACTGTCTCTTCTTTTGGGCGACCATCCACGCTCATTTGCCTTTGATGCCGAACAGCTTGAGCTGTGGGGCGCTGCGCGCGATGCCCCGCAAAATGCGCACACGCTCCTGCAGCGGCGGGTGGGCCATGTATCGCCGGAGCTGTTTCATGCATTTCCACGCAAGAGTCTCGAGGCTGGCGGACTCAGTGTCGCCGACGCAATAGCGAGTGGCTTTGATGGCATTTTCACGCACCGCCGCCGAACAGCGGCACAGATGGAACGAGTATGGCGGCTGATACGTCAGTTTGCGCCGGAGCTCACGCACACCAACTTGTGCGAGCCCGATCCTGAGCTTGTGGGCAAGCTGCCGTTTGCAAGCTTGCCGCACGGGTCACAGGCGGTCGTGCTGTTTCTCCGATCAGTTGTGCATCGCCCATTGCTCCTAGTGTTGGACGAGCCATTCCAGGGCATGAGCCAACGGCAAGTGGCCAAGACGCGCGCGTACATAGACGGCGAGTCCTGGGTGTATGAGGGTATCGACGATCGGACAGGAGGCGAGAGCGAGAGCGAAAGCGAGCGCGAGCGCATGTGGCGAGAGAATCTTGTGCTAGTTACAGTGAGCCACTACGAAAGTGAATGGCCTCGGACCTGTGGCCGACTACTTCGTCTTTCCGCAGGTCGCGTGGCGGAATGCTTTTAACGCAAAGGTGCAGGAGGAGAAAAGTCGACCCAGACGTCCCAGTCGCTGCCAATGGGCACGCGTGGATCGTGGATCACGAGCTGGGCGGCACGGTGCGTGCTTGAGTCGGTGTGTGAGACCTCGCGACCGACGGACGGCGTCAGGTCGAAACGCAACTCCACCTCGCGACCGTGAGCGTCATGCGTCCAGACGCGAACGGGGGATGCCGACGGTAAGAAGCCAACCACTGTGATGCGCTCGACACGCACAGACTGCACATCCTTCTCATATGGATTGCCTGCGCGCTGGAGAACGGAGCCATCGTTCGATGTCGGCAGCGACGCTGACACGCTGACGTCACGCGAAGTGAGCGCGCGGGACGACATGTGCACGCGCGTCGGACTCTCAGGCGCCCAGGTGAATGCACGCGCAATGAACGCTTGCTGGTCACGGTAGGCATATGTCTGGCCATCGTCCATGTACAAGTGACCATGTGCCGAGCCGTCGCGGCCAATAGCCACGTGCAGTGAGAATGGATCCAAGCGTTGCAGCTCCGCTGCTCGACGCAAGCGCTCGCGGACGGGCAAGATGGAGCCGCCACGCTGCAAGAGGGGCATTTGCACGTTCAGCGGCGCTGGCACGTGGACGACGCCCCGGCCGCGGTATACAGCCTTGGTGTGGTAGTGGAAGTAGTCCTGGTCATCGGCCAAGTACATATCGACATGCGAGATGCCTTGTTTTGCGGGTGGCTTCACAAGGAGGCCGGACTCGCCAAGGTAATACTGGTCGTCAATAGCAAAGCCACGTGGATCGTCCGGGAACATGAGGGCCTGGGGCTTCAACACAGGCTGGCCATTCACGCTGGAATCCCAGAACGCCGTGTACCAAACAGGCAGGAGCTTGTAGCGTAGCTGCAGGAGCATGCGGAGCGCGTCGCCGACCTCGCCGTCAAACAGGTATGGCTCGCGGCGCTTGGTGTCGATATGGGCGTGTGCACGGAAAAACGGCTCGAAAATGCCAGCCTGGTACCAGCGCACGAGCAGCTCCGAGTCAGGATTGCCGAAGAAGCCACCGATGTCAGCGCCACAGAAACTCATACCGCCAATGCCGTTTTGCAGGATCATCGGCACACTGTTCGCAAAGTGCTCCCACGTGCCCATGTTATCGCCGGTCCACACAGCGCCGAACCGCTGCGTGCCGAGCCACAACGCACGGCTCAGCACGAACGGACGGCGCTCACGCCTGCTTGGCCGGCTGCGTCGCGCGTGCCGAGCTCGCGGCGCGTGAGGCCCGTCGCCGTGAGGTTATGCAAGATGACCCCGTTGATGTTGTGGATATCGCGATTTTCCCAGCCGGGGAAGTGGCGCACGTCCTTGGGCGACGACACCTCAGGGCCCGAGAAGATCGCCGGCTCGCTCATATCGTTCCACACAAATAGGTTGCGTGCGTTGCCTTCGAGGCGCTGCTTCGTCAGGCGGAACTGGTCGATCCACCACTGCCATGTGCGCGGCTGGAAGAAATCGATCCAGCTTGCCTGTCCGCTCCAGCACTCGCCCTCGTAATTGGTGCGGCCATCGGCCGTCTTGACGAGCAGGTCCTGGCTCTTGGCCTCCTTGTACAGGTAGTACTGATCGGTCTTTTTCAGGTGGGGATCGATGATGATCACCAGTTTGCGGCCACGCGCATCAAGCGCACGCATCATGCCAGCCGGATCGATGAACGCCTTCTTGTCCCACACGCCGTACATGTGGTCGAGACTGTATTCAATGTCCAGCCAAATGACGTCCATGGGGATGTCGGCGTCATCGAAGCGGCGACTCACGTCCTTGACGTCGTCATCAGACCAGTAGTTCCATCGGCATTGGTGGTAGCCAATGGCAAAGTACTGCGGTAGCGCTGTGCGGCCGACGAGCGACATGTAGCGCTCCATGTTGCGCGCGAGCGTTGGTCCCCATGAACACAAACAGATCAAGATGCCCGACTCGGACATGAAGTGCACATGCGATGACTTCGCCGACGTGCCCCCACTCAAGGGCGAGCGCGTCTGCATGCGAAGCGCCCAGCGACATCACGTCGACCGCCGGACCAGGCCGCTGCTTGCTCTTGTGTATATCGACCCAGGTCTCGGCCGCGTTCATCCACAGCACGCTCACGGCACTGGAGCGGCTCAGTGCATGTACGACTGGCGCACTGCCATACAGCGCCATGGGGCTATCGTACTCGTACTCGAACACATCCGTGTTCATCAGGCGGTACGGGTCAGAAAAGCGGCCAGGCTCATCATCCGCTTCGCCATGCGGTGGTGCACGAGTCGAGCGGAGGGACAGAGGACTGGCATGCTCCGGCAAGCCCATGAGTGTGTCATAACCTGGGAACGATATGTCGAGCGCTACACCCTCAGGGCCCTTGGGCTTCGAGTCGTGCACGCCACCCCACGACTCTTCCCATTCGCCCTCGTCTGGCGTCTCAAACTTGGACCACATGTCGATCAACGCTGGCGATGCTGTGGGGTGGCGCGCTTTCAGCACACGCACGCGTTCTTCGATAAACGCTGCGCGCTGTTCGTCGGTCGATGGCATACCTCCTTCGGGCTTCGGTCGGAAGTGCTCCATGTGCAGGAGCGCGCGCTCATTGAGCATCATCTGTACGACGCCATCACGCAGAAACGAGATGCGCAGCGGTGCATGATCGATGTGCATTTCATGCATGTTGCCACTCTTATCCGCTCCCCATGACACGACCGTCTTGGCCTCGTTGGGGTGCGTGACGTGGATCTCCTCCGCCAGGGCGGGCATCTGTGCGATGCCCCACACGTTGGCCTCTGGGTAGTGACGCCAGTCCTTGTACGTGGGGCCGTGTTCGTCCATTTGCAAGCGCGCGTTGCCATCAGCAAAGAAGGTCGCATTCATATCAAATGACACGTCGTGCAGCGCTGTCCTGACGAGCAAGTGGATCTTTGCATCATCCACCTTGGCCACACGCTCAGCCACGGCATAGGGCGATACGTACGAGGGAAACGACTCGACTTGCTCCGACACTTGACGGAAACGACGGCACACGCTCGAATCCTTGCATGCCTTGAAATCACCAGGGCGTACACTTACTACGAGTGTAGCGGCCCATGCCAAAAACGCCAGCACCCAGCAAAAGGTGCGCAGGTGCATGTAGAATGGGGCGTCACTGACGGTGGGTGCGTTTGTAGAAGGGGTTGAAGGGGGCGTGCGCAAATATCCCTGTTACTGTTTTCCTGGATGGATGGGATCGGATGGGATGTGAGTGGTCCGGAGGCGAAGGCCTCTCTGCCTATTCCTCCACCTATCCACGCACGCACGCATACTTGGGTCGTTTGCACGCGCTTGTTGACGCCACTACAGCTTCCGCCCATGTCTCTGCGCTAGTGTGCAGACTTCCCCACCCGCTGACGACTGCCTACTTCCAACAAACATCTGCCTCCACACACTCACCCCAACAGACAGACCTCCATAGGCGCCAGTCATCATCTGCACGCGCGTGGACTGGGCTGCGCGCAGCACCAGCAGGAGCAGCTTACCTAATCACTTTTTTTTTTTTTTTTTCTCCTGCGCGCATTCTTTTTCCCAGCACAAGCGCCGCCGGCGCCGTCGGCGCAGCTGTACGTAAGTGTGAGTATGTGAGTGCGTGGCTGCCGGTCGCCTGCCCAGCGTCGTCGCTGGAGGTCTCCATATCGGCGCACGTTCGTTCGCTTGGCTGGGTTTCTTATCGATTGGCATGGACGCATCGACGTTGCAGTGGGCGTGTACGTAACACAGGGAGCGAGTAAGGAAGACTTAGACTCAACCACAGATCGCGCGCAAAAGAGCCTCGGTGTCAAGGCAGGTGTGCCAGCCTTTCCTGATGCTCCGGGCTTCGATGGCTCACATGTAGGCGCGCGCATGCTTGTGTACAGTGCAGATGGCTCACGACTCGCGGTGGCACTCGAGGGCACTACGCGTGTGTACGACGTGCAGAACCATGGGCTTGTTTTGCGTCACGAAGTGCCTGTGTCGCGAGCAATTGAGCTCGCATTCTCACCACGAGGCACATACTTGCAGACGTGGGAGAGGCCAGTCAAGGCTGAAGACGGCACCTGGAGCCGGAATCTGCGCATCTGGCATGCCGAATCTGGTGAGCTGCTAGGTGAGTTTGAGCGCCGGCAGATCGAGGGCTGGGCTTTCCAGTTTACGGACCGCGAAGACCACTGTGTGCGACCGACGTCGGCGGAGCTGCAAGTGTTTTGTCCGAGCGACTTCCGAGCGGGCGCTGTTGGCCGCTTGCGTGTTGAGAATGTGCAGTCCTTTAGCCTTGGGCCAGGCGGTCAGCCATCGATCGCGGCGTTCTTCCCGGAAAAGAAGGGCATGCCAGCGTTCGTGAGGATCTACTCGCTTGCATCACTGCTCAAGCAGGGCGAGCCCCCCGCGGCGCCCGTGGCGCAAAAGTCCTTCTTCAAAGCCGACAAGGTAACGATGAAGTGGAATGCCGCTGGCTCATCGCTTTTGCTAATGACATCGACGGATCATGACCAGACAGGCAAATCGTACTACGGCGAGACGAATCTGTACATGCTCTCGGCTCGGGGCGACTTTGACTGTCGTGTCGGCCTTGACAAGGAGGGCCCGATCCACGACTTTGAGTGGAATCCCAACAGTCGCGAATTCATCGTCATTTACGGTTACATGCCAGCGAAGGCCGTTGTCTTCTCGTACCGCGTGAATGTGATTGCCGAGCTTGGCACACAACCACGCAACTTGATTGCCTACAACCCACAGGGCCGCCTCTTCTGCCTTGCTGGATTCGGCAACCTCGCTGGCACCGTCGATATCTGGGACCGCGAGCGCCTCGCCGACGGGAAACTGTTCACGCTCGACGCGAGCAACAGCAGTGTGCTCGAATGGAGTCCAGACGGCCACTTCCTTCTGACTGGCACACTGTCCCCGCGTCTGCGAGTGGAAAATGGCGTTCGCATTTGGCACTGCACTGGTAAGCTCGTTCACGTCGACATGGTCGATGAAATGTACCAGGCGTGCTGGCGCCCACAGAAACTCATCCCGCACTCGTCGCTGCCGCCGTTTCCTAAAGAGCTTCCTGCTGCACCAGCGCCATCAGAAGCCGCCGCCGCCGTGTTGGCCAAGAAGCAGGCGGCTGCGTCGCGACCTGCCGGCACATATCGACCACCCAGTGCACGGCACGCTGGTGCTACACCGTCAGATCTCTTGCGTCGTGATACCAGCGATGCACCGCCGTCGTCCAGGCAGGCCTACTTGCCTCCAGGAGCGGCCGCCTCATCGTCTTCCACCTCGGGCCCCGGTGGACGCCGAGGCCGCAAAGTCCCAGGAGCTCCAGAGAAGCCAGCGGCGCCAACGCCGAAGCCCGCCATGGGGGCTGCTGATGTCGGCGCACACTCGTCAGAGGCCAGGAGCCGTCGAAAAGAAGCTAAGGAACCTGACGAAGAAGCTCAAGGCCATTGAGCAGCTCAAGGAGCGGCGCGACAGCGGCGAAGCACTCGAACAGACGCAGCTGCAAAAAATCGAGTCGGAGTCGGAGATCCGCCGTGAACTCGACACACTCCAGTGAGGTCTGTTCTTCTTTCGTTGTCTCTGAAGCGAGCTGGAATCTGCTGGACTTGAGCGTGTGGAGCACAGGCTCAGCGTCGCACAGCGCATGCCATCATGCATCAAGCACGTCTCCCTCCCATCCAAGCGCGCGAGACATCTCGCTCTGACGCACGCGGCACAAACGAATGATCTATGTCTGTCGCATCCGCTACTGCTGCTGCTGCTGCTGCTTCTATTACTACCACTGACTATGATGGATGATAAAAAAAAAAGTGAGAGTGAGTAAGAGTCGGAGAGAGTGAGAGTGAAAATGTATGTGTGCATGTGTGCGTAGATAAGGAAAAGAGCTTAGATTTCCATACGCAATAGCCCCAGCCATCACGACAAGCCTAGCGGACACAATACGCCTGCATCATACGCGTAGAGACACGCTTCTCACCAGCGGGTCGCTTGTGCTCATCCACGGCATAGTGAATGTCCACGTCCAGCTCACGTGCATTGCTCTTCGACGCATACACATGGATCTCGCCCTGCAAACAAGAGCCAGCGTCGACCTCGATCGGCGTCTTGAGCAAGAAAATCGTCTGCTTCCAGTGTGTTGGCTTGCCGAAAGGCGACGTCGTAAACGACACAGTCTCGCCAGGACACGATGTCGTCAACACGGCAGGCACGACCTGAGAGCCTTGCATGTCGAGACCAAATACATCCCGCTCTTGGACGGGGGCTGTCGTGACAGGTGGGAGCTCGCTCGTCGGTACACGTGGCGCTGGTGTGAACCACGTGTCGAACCACGACACAAAGCCATGCACCGTGCAGGACTTTTGGATCGTGAGCGAGAATGGTGCGGCAAACTCCGGCTGCTCCGCTGGTAGCGTCTCTAATGGCAGATCATAGATCGTCGCGGCATCACTCACGATCGCTTCCTTTTCGACATCCTCGGTCGCTGCATCGCTCGTGAGGCCGCGCGTCATGCTTGGCATGCGGAAGCCATATACGTTGCGCCAGAATCGCGTTCGCTCACAAAGTGCACTGCAGTCTGTGGCTGCAGCTAGGAGCATACGGCAGTGCGACGGAGCCAAAATACCCTCACGACGCAGGTATCGATCGCGTGCATACAAGACCGACGGCAGCATCGACTCATACAGCAAGAAGTAGCCCATCCACTCACTTACAAGCAAGTCGACTTGACCTGCCCATGCCCGCAAGTCGTCATCGAGTGCTTCAATCTTCCCCTTGAACACACGCACAACATGCCCGAATCCATTCTCTTCCACATTCGCACTCGCTCGGTCCGCAACGTCACTGGCATCAATCGCCAGCACATGCTTCGCACCTGCACGTGCGCAAAACAGACTCAAAATCCCCGAGCCACAGCCTACGTCCATGATCGTCTTGCCCTGGATCAAGTGTGCATTCTCCGGGGACAGCAGGAACTTGGCATATGAAAGTGTGCGCACCGTATCGCCAATCATGGTCTGATGGATATCTTGCCCAGCATAGCTTTCAAAGTAGTGCGCATCGACAGGCGATGCAGCTGGCACCGGCACCGACGCACGCGCGGACGCTTGGGCCGTCGCCGCTGTGATACCCAAGCGCTCCGCGTACTGATGTCGAAGCTCATCATACGCCGCACGGAGCATCGCGAGCTCGACATTCGGATCCATCCGCTCCGTTTCTTCTGTCAAGTCCAGCTGTAGCAGCCCATCTTGCTCGTAGCCAGGCACCGGCTGCATTTCGCCGTCGTCCGTCAGAAACGCCTCATGTCCCGTGAGAGACATGATCGACTCGGGCGTCGGCCGCGGACTCGTCGTCGGCCGCCTGATATAGTTGATTAGACGAATCAATTGCCAAGAGTCAAGCTGCAATCGTTTCACAAGCGCACGCAAGTCACAACCCTGGCTCTTGGCGTGCTCAAGTGCTTCGTCAGCACTTGAGAACGTCCGGTCTTCATCACCGGGAAACAGCGCCCGCGTCGGCACGGCACCTTCATCGTCCCAGCCGTCAAATGTGTTGTCCTCTTCGTCCCATATCTCTCGATCGGCCTCTTGTTCACGAGCCACGTCCATCGTCTACTGACACACTAAACGCAACTAGGTAGGCTTATGACGACCGATCGTTGGCGTGCTCGAAATGACTGCTCAGCTATCATCTACCCTGGCCAGTGCCTGAACTCCAGTATGTCACGTGTTCATTGCGCTTGGGCCATGGCCACATTCTACGTTGACGTGTGTGCAACGCCCAGGTGAACTGACGTGTGTCTTCGGACCAAAATAAAATGTACCTTGTTCACGCTGCTACACACATGCGAACACACGAGCCACAGACCCTTGTGAGTCGAAAGGAGCTCATGTACGGCGCTGCGGGCCTCGGATCCGCTGGATATCCGCATCGCTAAGGTGCAACGCACCTCCACGGAATTTGCCTACACCAGAGCCTATACCGCGCTGGCGCTTCTTGGGCTGCACAGCCCGAGACCCGCGCTCTGTCTCAGAGCCCCGTGTCATCAGCGATTGCTTGTGCAGCTTGGGATTCCATAGACCTAGCTCTTTCTGCGTTTGGATTTCGCGATCACGCTTCTCTCCCGCCGCTCTTCGTATGCCTGAGCGGATCCGCGCTGGCATTTTGCCTAGTTCACGAGATTTTAGCTTCTTTTTGGCCCATCCCGTACCGGTGGCTAAAGCGCCTGGATGATCAGCTTGTGAAAGCTCAAGCACTCGCGAGAGTGTTTCGTTCGTTGTCGTAGTTAGCTTGCGTTTCTTGTCAGATGCATGCTCGGAGCCAGGGGCAAACAGTGTCGTTGATAACAGTTCAGAGAGTTTCCGATCATTCGCAATCTGTTGCTGGTCGTTATTATCATCAGCGTCACCATCGCGCGCGTTCTTGGACGTGGTTCGTGTGGTGGGATCTTTGCGGAGATCCTCAATTTTCGACGACTATAGCATAAGTTCGTGTCACTGGGCAGCAAAAAAAAAAAAAAAAAACACATACCATGAATTGCTTCCGAACTGTCTTCGTGGGCTGGGTATAGGATGCGTGTGCACTTGGATCAGTAAATACCACTGTCTCCGGCACGCGGCGCGATGACGTTTGCAGGGCCGATGCTGAGCACTCTGTCGACTGCGCTGATTCCAAGAGATTTTCATCATCGTCAAATTCATCATTGTCTTCATTCATTTTATCATAATTATCCTCCTCATCCTCAGATGTTTGACCCTCCATGATACTCTCGGCATTATCGATCAGTGATAACGAGTCCTGTCGATCGTCGTCACTGGCACTATTATCATCACCCTCCTCTTTGTGCTTCTTTCTTCGATCCCTGTCCTGGTTTTCCACTTCTCTCAATGGTCCTGGTACATCAAATTGACTATAAAACTGAGCTTCGAGGGCACGCAGCTGTGCATTCACGTCATCCGCTCTGCTTGTCGGCTCTCCTGTTGATCTTCGACCCATGATCAAAAAAAATCGTGTGGAGCACAACGTACTCACGAACAAGCTTAGAATTAAAATAATAAATCAAGCCTCTGTGTGACCTGTACGGTCCAATCAGCGCTCACTGAACCGCAGGCTTGAACACTAAACGTCACCTGTTTAGCCAGGTATGAATGATGACAATGAAAGTGAGCTGGAGGATGCTGCTGTGGAAGCTATTGTCTTGCACAGATACAATGCAGGGCAGGATCGTGTCGAGTATTTGATTCAGTGGCAGGATGCGACGGATGGCGCAGCATTTAGTTGGGAACCTGAGGAAAATGCCGTTGATGCAGACGAGCTTGTGTACAGATATTGGCGAGAGAAACGAGGAGCTGATCACGCAGCTGCCAGAGAATACGTCGAAGCAACTAAAAGGAACCAAGCTCTGCATGGTGTCGATCACCCTCCCACTAAGGCCGAGACAGTCGATCCTAGCTCTCGCGTGGCAGCAGCTGATACTCCTTCGAATGTCACAGGGTCAGAGTTAGAGCCGGTGGCACGACCGACTCTCACAGCTACAACAAATACATCGCTGAGCGTAGCGCCGAATTCAGTGCGAGAATCTCAAACTGTCAACGCAGAGGGAGAGTCCACGTTATCAGCTACCGATTCACAACCGCGTGCATATGGTACAACCCAAGTAGCTCATTTTCAGAACAGCGTGTCAAAGATGTGCACTGGGTCAGAACCGCATGTGGTCGATCATCCTCTATCTGGCAAGCGTATTCAGATTCACCGAAGCACCCAATCGAACTTGGATCGAGAATCTCCGACGTCGAGCCGAAGGTCCTCACCGCATCCCACAGCTCCAGAATCGTCGTTGAATTCAGGTACCACACCTCTACTGACTGCGCCTATGTCTTCTGAACCCGTGTCTTCTCAATTCCTTCGTAATAAAGGCGACTCTCATGCTGTGGATTCGTCGATCATCCAATCTATACCCGAGAATGCTTCTATCGAACGCGAATTCCAAGAGCAATTTGGTGTTGACACGACTGAACCTGTGTCTGCAGCCAAGCCACGGGCCGCTAGTGAGCCACCGCCTGGGAATCTATTGGTGACGAGAAAGTTGCCAGCTTATGGGAATCCTGTAACGAATGCAAACAGTTTTTGCTCACCAGTGACTCTAACACCCTCACTCTCAAATCTTGTTCCAAAGACCGCGTCTGATGACCCTGCGAAGCATGCAACTGCGATCTTAGAGAGCAAAAGGCCTCGCTTGGATTCAGACGATCCTTCTCTTGCCAAAAAGCACTCTAATACGTATGCGAAAGACTGGGCGTCGTCGTCAAGTTCTATGTCATTTACACCGGCACCCAAAGGTGAAAAGAAGAAATTCGTCGATCAGACACAGGAGCCGGAGAAGGAGGAGTCTGGTGACTGGGATGCAGTGCGTGTTCGGGTACTCACATTGCGCCGCCAAGATGCAGAACTGCATGCTCTTCTCCAGTTTCCACACGGGACATATCTTCATCCAGTTAGTGTCGCGAAGAAGCGCTGTCCGCAGGCCCTACTTGCCTTTTACGAGAGTCGCGTCCGTTTCACTCCCCCGGCAGAGAATGCGGATGCAGCACATTCTATGCCGCGCGATTGCCCAACGACATGAATCAAGTTCGCCTACATCAGCAGGCACGATCTTTTGATGCCAACTTTGATCCCTCGCTGCTACCATGTCCATTCAGTAGAGACTTCACTTTTGCACCCGCCACGCACATTACCCATAGCTACGACAACAATGGAGGGCATGCTCACTGTAACCAATCACCACTGGCCGTGTGATAGTCAATTGTGTGGAGACATATCACGTCAATCACAGCAAGTTGCTGCTTCGACCTCGACGATGCAGGCAGCGTCCCGGATACCCATCTTTACGTACGAGTTGGTATGTGAGAAGCTTGTTTTGAATGTGGGGCACAAATTCTCACATTCTTTCTTTTTTCTCAGTCGATTTCTCGAAGCGATGCTCCGAATGTGCTAAGAGGCATGCTGCATACCATCTGTTTCGCCCGAGTTCTAGGCCTTTTGAAGCCGGCGACGCAGTCTGTCTTGGGTGTTAGCATGGTACGTGTTTGCGCAGGCTATGTCGGCCTGCTATTGTATCGCGCGTACTTACACACACAGCCATACGTCACTGATGAAGCAATCATTGCACGCTTAGAGCACGCGCAATCCGAAATGCTTGCATCTCTTGACAAGCACACCAACAGCCAGCCGCCGCACGCCTGCACTGCATGCATAGATGTCGTGCTCGGCTGGCACAAAGTGATGTCCAGTCACGGAGACTCGACTGATGCTCAATTCTCCCGCGCCATGTCGCCAGAGCCCAGCACCACCGATGCCAACATGGGAGCACACTATGCAGTCTTTGAGTCACCGTACTCGTGGCTCGCATCGGCCATTGCTGGTGGTCGCTCGACTGCGAAACTAGAGTCACGCGAACGCGATGCACGGCGGCTCTTGCCACGCGATACGTCACTCGATGCATGTGATGCGGATGTATTTGAGCAATGGGTGCTGAGCCTACGGATTGACTATGTAGAGCCAGCGCCAGTCGCATCCGCGGGTGAAGGAAACATCCGCAGTGCACTGCAAGACTTTTTGATGTCGGCACTATCGTTTGCAAATAAGCACCAATCGACTCTACCGCCCATAACGGATTCAGGGATTTGTCCTTTTCCATTTACCATCAACAGCACACTTCGTGAACGCTGATTAAAAGCCCGCTGGTAACCGTGTTGGACTAACAAACAGCAACACCACCAACAATGGAGAGAAGCATGGCATCAACTTCGGGAAAGTCGCGCTGGAGTTCATCGTCAAGAGCTGCAAGCGTTCGCATGGACAAGCGGTCCATACTGACGTTTTTGTGATGAGGATACATCCCGAATGAGTCTATGCCGGAGAAGTGCATTGGGATGTGTCCTCTGGGGACTGGCATAGCTTCGTGCATTGGCGGCGAACGGAGGAGTGTCTCTGGTACAGGCTCCGCTGCGGCCATGTCCTCGGGAGCGACACGCATAACGAGCCGCATTTCAAATACGTCGGATCCCAAGCGCGACACGTCCTTCATGTGGTGTCGCTGCATGCCCATGGGCGGTGGCTCAGGGAAGTCCCAGTCGACCAGGTCTGCATCGAATGACACCGTGGACCAAGCGAGCTGCGGATGCTCAAGGCGCATGATGACATGACGTGTCTGATTCTGCACGTCATAGTGCGTGTCTTCACACGTGAGCCGCACATTTGACCAGCGGTTGCCATCGAGCGAGAGCTCGTCGCGTTCTGCCGAGCGTGGAAGTGTCACACGCGTCACGCCAATAAAGTGCGTCAGAGGGAAGAGAATGTCCATGTCTGGTGCCGCGGCTGGGGCGTCGTCCCAGCTAAGCGTGGCATTCGGTTCTGATCCTAGGGCCGTGCGCAAGATGGCCGCATCCATCTGTGGATTTTTGGCGCCTGCGTCGAGCACCGAGTAGGAGAGATGCCACTCGCCACTGGTGACGTTCTCCACATGGTGGAGAAACAGCCGACGTGGGTGCTTGTCGTCAAAGACGTTCGCGCCCTTCGCGGCAAAAAGCGCCGTCGTGATGCAGGAAACAGCCAGCAAAGCATAGATGGCCTTTTGCATGAATGCACGCCCATACCGATGGCACAGCGCCGGGACAAACCCACCGACGAGTGTCACAAGAGCGGCGACGAGGGATGCTATCACGTGATCCGCAGGCGCGTCGGTACCCATGCGGCCCATGAGGGGGACGAGGAGGTCGAGGAATGCGACGATGCCTTCGGTGCCGAACGTGCAGGGCAAAATCAGGTGCACAAAGTAAGTTGCCAAGTGCATGCGCGCATCGGGGTTCACGCCCTCGCCAATGCGCTTGAGTCCAATGAGGCTCAAGTCGTTGATGAGGACGGGCACATAGTATGAGAGGGTCGCGATGAACATGACATGCGCCGAGCCGAGCCCGTAGAAGTTCATGAGCAGCAGAAGCAGCGTATAAAAGACAGTAGCGCCCGTGAACGACGTGTATTCAAGGTATGGACGGCGCGTGCGCTCTGCGAGCGAGTGCACAAAGAGCTGGACACCGACAATGGCAGCGATAGCAGGAGGCGCAAAAGCGAGGAGGGCATGAAACTCATGCTGGAACCAGGAGAGGGGCGAGCCGACGGAGCGGAGGAAGAATGCGACAGCATTAGCGGCTACGATGGCGGCCACGTACGACAGCGCGACGCCAATTGTCGAAAGCATCGACATGTGGATGAAACGCACGCGACGCTCCGTTGTGTTGATGGAGCTCAGCATAAAGTTGACGAGAACAGACAGCGTTGTGATCAGATTTTTGAACAGGTACGGCGATATCAGCACAAGGAATGAGCCAAAGATGGAGAAGTAGATCGGTAGGATCCGCTTCGTCTCGTACGGCCATGGCCGGATGGTTGGCAGCGGTGACGACTCACTGAGGCAGAGAGACTCGATGAGAGAGAAGGCATTTTCACCCAAGTGCTGCACGACCCCGCGCTCCATGTACTTGGGCACATCGCGCCGGGTGTGATACAGGTAGGATGAGCCGACAATGGCCATATCGAGGCCGGGGAGACCATGGCCGTAGTGCTGGAACTGGCGGAAGTCTGTGTCGCTCATGATGATGCCGGACGAAAACACGTCGCTCGCAAGCACTGTGCCGAAGGGATGTGGCACATGGCGGAACGCCTCGATCAAAGCGGGATCGGTTGCCTGGAACAAAAGCGTCGGTCCCGATACGCCGCAGCCCTCGAGGTTTACGACTGCTCTGACCGTCGGCCTGGTGATGACTTCCTGCGTCATGTACAAGTGCGATGCGTCCTGCAGCGACTCTTCGCCGTTGTTGAACAGGAGCACAAGTCCATGTCGAACACGAGGCGCACCGCGCAGCGTAAGCACACGCAGAGCTTCCATCATGATCGAGACGCCAGCAGCATCATCGGCTGCGCCCGGAGACGGAAGCGTGCTGTCCAAATGGGCGTTCACGAGCAGCGAGTTGGCCTTGCTTTCTTCCGTGCCGTCGGAGATACGCACGATCAAATTGCTCATACCGTAGTACTGCTTCCATACCGGGAAGCCCAATATGTCGAAGCGGTGGGCTCCGTCACTCTGCTGGCGAAATACCTCGACCTGCGTCGAGTAGTTGGTGCCAGTGGCATGTGTGCCTTCGAAGCGGCGCAGGACCTCTTCCAGCCACACTTCCGCGTCGATATGCTGCTGCGTTCCGACAACACGGAACCCGACATCCTCGGAGAGGTATTGCATGGTCAGCATCGCATTGGCTTCACTAAAGTACGAGTGCAGGGGACCATCGAAGGTATGCGACTCTAGGAGCGACGGATGATATGTCGCCGCTTCTTGACTGTTAAGCGTGTGAGCGAAGTACTCGCGATACCAAGCATCGCTGGCTGGACCCTGTGGCTTGGGTGCATCGACGGACGTCACTGCGCGCGGAGCTGGCAGGCGGTAATGCATGTACAAGGTGGGCGTGGCCAGGAGCGCGATGCAGAACAACAGCAGGCAAAGCTCATAGAGGACATGGCGTTTCTGTGGCGTGTATGTGAGAGGCGTGCGCTTGGCTTGCTCTACCTCGGCGCGCCTCGTGCGCTGAGCCGAAGCTGACGCGGCTGCCATTCTTGTTTTGGCGGGAATCTAGCGGCAACGTGAGGGCGTCTCGTTGAGATGCAACTCGCCTCACACGCCAGCCAAAATGGCAGCCATATATCTACCTCTCCTACTACCTATTCGGGTTGGTTCCTTGGCTCAAGTGGAGGCGCGCACAGGCAGCATGATCCATGACAAGTGTGGAGGAAACGACCTGGGAGTCGAGCCAGAGACACGAGAGGGATGTGGTCATAGTTGTAGGAGGTGAAAGTCGGTGAGGAGCGGGCCAAGGCGTGGCGATGTACGCGATCAAGATTGTGTGTACCATGTGACAGAAGTTAGCTGGTCTAGCAGCACAAAGGGTAGGAAAGAAGACTATTTGACAAAGCTAACGGGGGGCAGTGGGAGTTTTCGAGGCCATGACGGCGTGACGCCATAGCACGGCATAGGCAGCAGGAGTGCATCCGGCGATGCGCTTCGCTTCGCCAAGAGTACGTGGCTTTACACAAGAGAAGCGTTCTTTCATCTCGTCGCTGACGCCCTGCAATTCCGCAAACGCCATGTCAACGGGGAGAGCAAGTGCTTCATCGCGTTGGAATGCTTCAATATCGGAGGCTTGGCGTTCAAGTAGAGGCATGTAGGAGGCCTGCGTTGCAAGTCGCTCTAGCGTGTGTGGATGCAGCCCACGAAGCTCTGGCACAAAGGGAATCAAGTCCTGGATACGCGCATGTGGACGGTGCATCATATCGAGAGCGCTAAGCGTGCGCACATCGTCAGCGGCCTGGAATCCATGCGAGGCCCAAGCGCGCGAGGTCATTTTGGTTCGCGCGAGACACTGCATCCCAAAGTCTAGATCAGCACGCACACGCTCCAGGGCAGCAAGTCGAGTGTCCGTGATCGACTCTGGGCTCACTGCGTGAACAAGAGGCGTCAGTCGCAGGTCTGCATTGTCAGCGCGCAGGGACAAGCGATACTCGGAGCGTGACGTAAACATGCGGTACGGTTCCATGACGCCCTGAAGACGAAGATCATCGAGCATGACGCCCACAAAGCCATCGCTTCGCGAGACTGTGAGTTCACGGCGCTTTTGTGCGCGAAGACCCGCATTCAGGCCGGCAAGAACGCCCTGGACACCCGCTTCCTCATACCCGGTTGTGCCGTTGATCTGGCCGGCCATGGCAAGACCGCGGATTCGGCGTGTCTCGAGCGTCGGTAGGAGCTCTCGAGGATCAACGTGGTCGTACTCGACGGCATAGCCAGGACGCAAAAGCACTGCGTGCTCGAGGCCAGGGATCGTGCGCACCATGCGTGTCTGTGCATCGGGTGACAGCGAGCAAGACAAGCCATTCGGATACAAAACATGGCCATCGCGTTGAGGCGTTGTCGTCAAGCCTTCGGGCTCAAGCCAGACAGGATGCGATTCTTTGTGCGCAAAGCGAAGAACTTTGACCTCGAGCGACGGACAGTATCGTGGGCCTGTATACTTGGTCATTTCGTAGTCATCTCCCTGCACCTCTTGATGTACAATGACATGCGTGGCTGGCGTCGTGCGGGTGCCGAAGCAATACAACTGAGTTTGCGCATCGATGGGCGGGCCATGGGGATGCAGGAACGAGAACGCCATGGGGTCTGTATCGCCAGAAAGCACTTGCAGTGCAGGCGAGCGCGCGACGTGTGACGACGACGACGACGCATCGCCCGGGGTATCTCGGGCCTAGCGAGACGGAGTTTGCATCGATACGCGGTGGCGTGCCTGTTTTGAGCCGGCGCAGCTGAAAGCCAGCGCGTGCAAGAGACATGCTCAAGGACTCGGTGCTTGGCTCGACGCCGTCACTGGGTAAGGGAAGCATACGTCCCGCTTGTCGACGCTCCTTGCCCAGCAGGATGGTCGCGGCTAGAAACGTCCCTGTACAGAGCACGATTTGCTCACAGGGAAGCCGCTCACCTGAAGCGAGGAGCACACCTGTGATGCGGCCGAGGGCGCCGTCTGCCGTGGCCTCACGATCCCACTGCACGTCCACGCCGTGTACATGACCTTCTTGGATCGTCAGATTGGGTGTCTCACGGAGCAAGCGTTGGATGTGCGTCTTGTACAGGTACCGATCCATCTGAGCACGCGGCCCGTGCACGGCTGGACCTTTGGATCGATTGAGCATGCGAAACTGGATCGCCGCATGGTCAGCAGCCAAGCCGCCCAGACCACCAAGCGCATCCAATTCTCGCGTCAGTGTGCCTTTACCTATGCCGCCGATACTTGGGTTGCAGCTCATTTCGCCAACGGTGGCGGCGGACGTCGTCAGAAGAATTGTCGAGGCACCTGTCCGCGCCGAGGCAGCTGCTGCCTCAACACCAGCATGTCCGCCACCAATGACAACTGTGTGAAGGAGCTTGTTCCATCGGTGTGGACGACTTAGGCATGCATACAGATCGCGCACAGTGCTACGATCGGGCCGCCGCAGCCGCCACCCCATAGTGTGTCTAGGATGCCAACCTGGTCGCGCTTTCGCTGAGCTCGCAGTCTGTGCGTGTGAAGAAGAACACCATGACGACGACGGCTTTGGATCACGTGATACACATGCGCGCGCGGTGGCGACGCGCGCGTTCGTGATTGTTGGTTGGGCCAGCCTGAGGGGTGGGCGGAGGGCGGCAGCTCTGTTTCGGCTGCGTGATGTTTGGTTGGAGTGGCTACACCTCCATTCAGTGGGTGGGTTAGTATCTGTGCTGCGGCCTCGACCAGGAGACGGACTGGGTGCAACACAACACGCGCTGAGACAGATAAGAGGCGCCGTCGCTATTGCAGCTACTGTGTTCCAGATATGAGTAGGCCCGTGCAGCACGCGCCGGAATCGCGCGTGAGGCCTGCGCTGGCTGACTCGCATATCCCTGGGCTCGGATTGGGCATTTCTGTACCCAAAGAGACCCAGACGTTGAAGCGTGTTAGCGAACGATCGGCCGCTGACGTCCAGCATGGTAGTACGCCTTTCGAGCGTGCACCGATGCGGACGAATGGTTCTTCACGCCTCGCACCCGCGCGTGCAGACGCACACGCACACACTCACGCACACACTCACCCACATTCCCACGCTCCTACCATGCCATCGCTCGCTACATCAGATCGGATTGCGATTAATGACGTGCTTGAGCAGTACAAGCCTGGTGAAGACTCGATGGTCGACACATCGCATAGTTTGCTGCAGAATCCAGCCTTATCGCACGCGCCATCGCGTACGAACCTGGCACCACCCATCACTGCATTCCTGGGGAATCCATCAGTTGGTATGGGCTCGCAATGGGTGCATGAAGACGTGTCTTTGTCCGCATACATCCGTGACGAAAATACCACACAGGAAGATCCAGGCATGCGTACGGGAACCACTACCACTGGTGCACGCCCTGATGCAAGCTCCGTAGCAGACGCAGCTGCATTCACAAACGCTACGTCCGAGCCAAGCGCACGTGTGTCAGCACCTGCGCACGTCTCCGCTACAAGACACGCTTCGGAGCGAGCTGCGCCTTCTCGTGATACGTCGCTGCATCAGCCCGACGAGGCAAGTGAGCAGGATGCTCAGAGGCCTACGAACATGCCCACAGCGAGTCGTGTGCATGTGGTAGGGACGACGCGGTCGTCGCCCACGAAAAAAGCACCTGACATGACATCGGTCTATGACTCCTTGCCGACGCCTCGAACGAACGAAATCTTCCCAGACGGTCTGTTCACGAGTGTAGTGACGCCCGTGCTTGATCAGTCCTCTGCGTCTGAACGACCAGCTCGTGTCCCGGACGATTTCTTGACGACGACGAACGAGTCCATATCGCGGGAACCTCTTCTGGACCGTGCTGATCTGGACAAGTTCTTGCTCGCAGGCGACGACGAAAACGCGCTTCATATCAAGCTAGATGAACGTGCTCCAAACGAGGGAGAACAGCTCAATGCAGAGCCTGAGCAGACAGTTTCGAAGGCCAATGACCGGGAGCCGGTGCCTGAAGGTGTGAATACTTCCATGTCGTACCATCCACAAAACACGGTCTCTGAACGAAGAGGATATGAAGCAGGATGAATCTGGCGCCGAACCCGATGGCGAGAAAGGGGCGGAGGAAGCAAACGACGTGGATGCTCTTCTTGCTCAGGAAGAGTCTGTGACACATGAGTTCGAAGAAGACGAGGTCGATCGACTGTTGCATGAAGATGTGGCCAATGATGCAGGCACCGGCATGGCCCGCAGCTCGACGATGCGGCGCATTGTGCCTACCAAGACAGACGATATACCCAGGATGCCAAAGTCCTCGTCACCCCAGCTCTTGTCCGTGGATCTGCCTACTTTGCCCAGCTGGAGCCCCATCACATTCGATGGCCTGCTTCCAGATGCCGCAGATGAGCCAGAGCCGCCGAAACGCGCCAAAGAGATGCCTGCGCGAACGGTTGTGCAGCCACATATCTCGCGTGATCAAATCCGCGCGCGCGTTGAGCAAAGAAAGACAGGTGTGTGGAAGGACTCGTCTTTGGCGCCTGTGGCCACTGCATCTACGTCTGAGTCATCGCCGACGCCGCGCACCGGCACCAGCACTCGCCTTGACCGTAGCTCTGGTGCTGCCGCTGCTGCTGGCCCGGGCTCTAACACCGCTACCGGCTTAGGTTTCTACCCTCATCCTGACCCTGGGACTAGTGCCGGCTTTGGTACTGGATCTCGTGTTATGCCTGATACCGCACTTGGGCACAGCACGCCTGCTCCGCCGCTCAAGACCAACTTGCGTGGTATGGGTGCACGAGCCCGCGTGTCCAAGCACCATGATGTACGATCATCTGTCGAGGCTGCTCGCCCCCCTATGACAAGTGTGTTGTCAGACGCACTGCCTCGGTCGTCTGTGAATTCGCCACGCACAGATACATCCCCACGAGCCGAGCCAGTCGATCTGCCACGCAAAGATGCCTTGCCACCCGCAAAGGGCCATCAGCGTGTAGCAGCAGAAGCACCATCACCTGGATTGACATCTCGACGGTCCAATGTGCCGAAAGCGACGGTCCTTCCTACCAAAGAGGTGCCTCGCTTGTCAAGAATCTCCGTGCAGTCGCCCGTCAAAGAGCGACCACGCGCTCCGAGAGATGGTCCAGCGGTGAATGTCACCAAGACAGAAAGCACAAATACTCCAGAACCGAGTGCAGAATACAAGCCCACGTTAGCGGACAGTACTTCAGCGGCCAAGGGACGGCCGCACCAGACGTTGGCTGCTGGTGCGCCGGCTGCCACAGGAGCTACCACAGCATCCACATCTGCGTCCGCATCTGCGCCAGCGCGCCACCAAGTTTCTGCTCTGGACAGCCCTCTGACCAAGTTTCAGTTGGATCTGCGCGACTTTGCGCATCTCGCGCCAGCGGCTGACGATGGGGGACAGGTGCCCACGAACCTCTCGAACGATCTCGCGAGGCAAGCGACATGGTTTGGCGACGCCAGTCACGCTGATGGCGGTCCTGAGGCCGTTGACGCAGACGCTGGTGCGCATTTGGCTGGGGCGTCTGACCAAGGCAGAGAGCATGGCCCCAGCGATCTTTACGACCAACGATCCAGCCGAGCCACACAGATCACACAAGAGGCGGACGACGAACACGCCTCGTCTTCTACACCATCGCCAGGGGCACCTCCCACGGCATTCAGTTTCTTGATGGAAAGAGAACTGCAGCGCATCGTGCGTGAGAGTGACCAAAAGTACAAAATCCGCGAGCGCGGCGTCTTTGTGGATGCACCGCGCCAGGCAGCGACGGAGCCAGGAGCCCATCGAGCGTGGAAACGCGTGCAGAAACCGAATGAGGTGTCGGCGCTTGCAGCGCAGCAAGGGAAGCCCATGCCACACAGCATACCTGATGCGAATGGCATGTATACGGCGGGGCGTATCTTTTTTGCGATTGACTCGTTCACGCCCACGACCATTTATGCCCAAGACGAAGCGAGCGTGTACTGTGTGCTGGACAATGGCATTCACCGCGTCAAGACCGTCTCTGTGCCGCTGCTCCGTCCCGAGGACGGCGCGTCGCCGATTGACCAGGAGTTTGAGTTGTTGGAAAGCCCCGACTTTGCTCTGACCGTGACGCTGATGCTAGATGGCGATAGCAATGTGGTGGAAGTGCCGATGGAAATGGGCGGGCTTCCGTCGTCGTCCGAGCCTCGCACCAGTGTGGGTCGCTTTCTCAGCCGGCACCTGGGCGGTACGAGGGATGCCACGGCACGTCGATTCAAAGGGTCGGGCTCCGTCCTGGGCGACAAGCCGTTCACGTTCCCGCGGTCGAACGAGCTTGGCCAGATCCACTTTACCCTGCGTGATGTGCGCCACCAGTGCTACGGCAGGTGCTTTGCGATGCATCTGCCCGTCCAAGTGGACACGGACTCGCGTGCTACGATTATGCGCCGCGGCCATGGTGCTGGAAGCAGCACCGGCGCCCCTGCTGGTAGGCTGGTCCGTGGCATGCTACGCATCCGTTTGTTTTACCTGCCGCCACTGCCTCTGGCGTTGGAGCCGTCGCTGCCAGGAAATATGCAGGAGGCAGCTCAGGGCATGGACTCGGTCTCCTGGCATCAAACGATGACCTCGTACCATGGCGTTCTGACGCAGCTTGGGGGCGACTGTATCTCATGGCGCCGTCGTCCCATGCGCATCATTGGTCTCAACCTAGTATGCTACAACGAAGTCACGAAACGCCCCACCACACGCATCGATCTCGTCCAGGCAGTCTCGGTGGACGAGTGTGGGCCCACGACCTCCCATCCCGACGACTCGTACAACGTCCCGCGCTCCTTCTGCCTGTCGTTCCGTGATGGGGAGAAAATCTACCTGTTTGCCGATACGGAAGAATCTATGCGAGACTGGATGCGTGTGTTGCGCAACATCATTGCCCACAAGCTGGAGCCGCCGCCTGCGTGGGCCGTCGCTGCGTCCGATGCTGTCCAGGCATCTGTTCACAGCGCTCAGCGCCGTTCAGCCAGCGGCGCTCACGCTCCTTCTGCGCGTGCATCGACGTCCACATCAGCGCCAGGCTCAGCACCTGCTTCCGCGTCAGCGTCTACTACAGCATCCCCTGCCCCCAACACGTCACCGTTACCAACGCCACCACATGGGCTGCCAGGCGTCTCTTCGTCTGTACGTCCCCAGACCCACACCCACATGCATACACGCCGCGAGCCGCGCATGTCAGAGGATCATCCGCCATCAAGCAAGGCCGGCTTGTATGACAGAAAGTCGGCCGCACAGCCCACGCATCCATCTCGCCCACGTGCTCCTCTTCCCGCGCGCCAACCTGCGCCGACGTACGCTGCTCCTTCTTCGCCGCGCACAACTTCTCTATCTGCATCACCTGTGGCGCCAGAACCCCCGTCCAAGTCAGCCACACCACAGACGACGTCGCCTCCGCTACCCTCTGTACACCCGCACGAGAGCAAAGGGAAGCGACTCCGGAACGTCGCAAGTCGCTGGCTTGGTCGAGGTCCGCGTAAGGCATGAGCTCGACATCACCACGTGCAGAGGAATGCCCCCTCCCCCCTTT